TTTCTCTCCTCTTTTAACTCTTCTCTTCTTTACTACCCTCTTCTACTTTTTTTTTCTCCTCCTTAACCACTCTTCTCCTCTCTACTTATTCTTTCTTATTTCTTCTTTTTAATCTCTTTTTATCCCTTCTTTCAATTCCTTTTTCTTATTTCTCTCTTTTTTTCTTACTTCTTTCTTCCACTCTTCCTCTCTAATTATTCTTCTATTTCTTCTCTCCAACTACTTTTCTTCTTCTACTTTTACTTTTACTTCTTCTTTTAACCACTCGTTTATTTCTACTTTTTAATTATTCCTTTACTCTTTCTTCTATTCCTTTTTTTTAATTCTTTTTTTTTTCTTTTATTCCTTCTCTTATTTCTTTTTTTTTTTTTTTAATTCCTTTTTTACTTTTACCTCTATTTCTTCTCTTTAATTTTTTTCTCTTTTATTTCTTCTCCTATTTCTTTTTTTTTTAATCCTTTTTTATTTTTCTTTTTCTTTTTCTCCTCTCTACTTATTCTTTTTTAATCACTTCTTACCACCTCTTACTTCCTTAATTCTTTTAATTCCTCTTTCTTATTTCTCTTTTTTTTCTTCCTTCTCTCTTCCACTTCTTCTCTCTAATCACTCTTTCCTTTTTACTTCCTCCTCCCCTAACCACTCTCTCTTTTTTTTCCACTTCTCTTTCTCTTTCTCTTTATCCATTCTTCTTTTTTTTATTATTCTTACTTTCCTCTTAAATATATCTCTTTTATTTCTTTCTTTTATCTACTTTATTATCTACTCATTTATATACCCTCTCAAATATATATCTCTATATATATATCATACTATATTAACTATCCCACCTTTTATCTTCTCTCTCTCTCTTTATTCTACTTCTTTCTAATCACTCTTTCTTCTCTTTTATCTATCTTATATCTTTCTTCTATTTATTTATTCTTATATTCTCCTTTCTACTTCTTCTCTCTACTCACTCTTTCTTATTCCTTCTTTTTTCTAACTACTCTTCTTATTTTTCTTCCTTTTCACTTCTCATCCCTAACCACTCTTTCTTTTTAACTACTTCTTCTTCTCTTTTTTTCTAAATATTCTTTTCTTCTTTTTTACTTCTCTTTTATTTCTTTTTTTATTTATCTTTTCTTTTTCTCTCTTTCTTTTATTCCTCTTATTTCTCTTTTCTTTTCTTACTTCTCCTCCTCCCTAACTATTCTTTTTTTTCTACTTCTTATCCCTAACCACTCTCTATTCTTATTTTTTTATTTTATTTATATATCTATCTTATTTTATTTTATCTTTTTTTTTTTTTTTTTTTACTTCTTCTTTTTCTTCTTTTTACTTATTTCTCTCTTCTCTTTATCTACTTTCTCTCTCTTTTTATATTTCTCTTTTTTTCTCTCTCTTCTTTTCTTTTTTTATTTCTCTTACTTTCTATCTCCTCCTTTCTCTATTTCTCTTTCCCCTAATCACTACCTTCTTTTTTTATCTTTTACTCTATCTTTCTTCTTTTTATCTACTTTATTATCTATTCATTTATATACCCTCTTAAATATATATCTCTATATATATATCATACTATATTAACTATCCCAACTTTTATCTTCTTTTTCTTTATTATACTCCTTTCTAATTACTCTTTCTTCTCTTTTATATATCTTATATCTCTCTTCTATTCATCTACTCTTATACTCACTTCTATACTCTCTCCTTTCTTATTTCTTCTTTTTAATATCTTCTTATCACCTCTTCCTTCTTTTTAATTCTTTTTTTCTTATTTCTCTCTTTTTTTCTTCTTCTTTTTCCCCTTCTTATCCCTAACCACTCTTCTACTTCTCCTCCTTAACCACTCTACTTTTTCTTCTTTTACTTCTCCTTCTACTTCTCCTCTCTAACCACTCTTCTCCCTCTACTTCTCTTCTTCTCTTTAAAATAAAAATAAAAAAATAAAATACAAAATAAAACCTTAAAACCTTATACTCTCTCTCTTCTTATCCTTATCCACTCTTCTTCTCTTTAATTACTCTCTCTTTTTTTCCTTTATTCTTTCTCTCTTTTTTTTATTTTTATTTCTTTTTTATATCTCTTTCTCTTCTTTTCTTCTTTTCCTTCTTATCATCCACTTATTCTCTTTTTCTACTTCTTCTTCTTTTTTCCATATATTCTTTTCTTCTTTTTTATTTTCCTTACTTCTTATTCTCTTTTCCTTTTTTTTTTATTTATCCTTTTCTTTCTCTCTCCTCCTTTTATTTCTCTTATTTCCTTTTTTTTTTCTTACTTCTCCTCTTTCCTACTTACTCTTTCTCTTTTTCTATTTTTTTTTTCTTCTTTTTTATATCTCTATCCACTCAATCTTTCTTCTACTTCCTTTCTCTCTCTTTTTCTATTTCTTATCCACTTAATCCTTCTTCCACTTCTCCTTATCTCTATCCACTCTCTATTCTTCTTTTTTTCTTTTTTTTTTATCTATTTCTCTTTCTCTTTTTTTCTCTCCCTCTCTCTTCTATTTTTCTTTTCTTTTTCTCTTTAACCACTCTTTCTCTCTATTTATTCTTTATTTTTCTCTTTTTTCATTTCTCTTCCTCCCTAACCACTCTCTCTTTTTTCCACTTCTCTTTCCCTTTAACTATTCTATCTCTTTTTATCTATTTCTTCTTCTCTTTTTTTAATCTTTTTTTTTCTTACTGCTTCTCCTTCCTAACCACTTAATCCTTTTTTACTTCTTCTCCTTTTTATTCACTTTTCCCTCTTCTACTACTTCTCATCTCTAACCACTCTTTCTTTTTTAATTCCTCTTTCTCTCTCTCTTCTTTCTATTTCTCATTTCTATTTTATATCCCTATCTACTCAATCTTTCTTCCACTTCTCTTCCTTCTACCTATTTCTTTTCTTTTTTTCTATTTCTTCTACTTCTTTTTCATCTCCCTTTTTCTTTTATTCATTCTTTCTTCCTTATTTTACTACTAATCCCTTATTCTTTAATTTCTTTTTCATCTTTCATCTTCTATTTATCCACTCTTATATTATACTCTTATACTCACTTCTATATACACACACATATATATATATATCCCACTATATATACTAATCATCTTAACTTTAATTATACTCAATTCTTTTTAACCAAAATTAACTTTTTTTTATTAAATTTATTCTTATTGCTCGCTCTCTTTTATTATTTTATATTTATTTTAATTATTTTTTTTTATTTATTCTCTTCTTTAATTACTCTCTTTTTTTTTTTTTTTTTATCTTCTCTTTAATCACTCTACTTTTTCTTTTTTCTACTCCTCCTCCCTAACCACTTTTTCTTACTTTTTCCTTTTTTTAACTATTTTTACTTCTCTTTTTTTCTAATCTTACTTTAAAATTTATTTTTTAAATTCTTAATATTATCTCTTATTTTCTTTATTCTTACTTATTTTAATCACTTTCTTTTTCCATTCTATTATTCTCTTTTTTTTTTTCTAAAATTCTTCCTCTTTTTATTTCTTATTTTAATTCCTCCCTTTTTATTCTTTTTTATTTTATTTTTCTTACTCTTTCCTCTATTTTCTACTTCCAACTTTACCTCTTTTTTTTTTCTATTTCTTATCTTTAATTTATTTTTTATTCATTAATTATTTTAGCCCTAACCACTTTTTTTATTATTTATCTCTTACTATTTTTTATATTTTGATTTCTATTTTCTCATTATACTACTTCTCTATCCTATATCTCTTTTATTCTCTTATTTCTATATATATCTCTCTCTCTCTTACCATATAATAATTTCCTTTATTTTAATCTTTTTTTATTATTCTTATCCCTAACCACTCTCTTTTTTAATATAATAATTCTCTTTTTATTTATTTTTCTTTTAAAAATCCTATAATTTCTATCTTTAATACCTCTCTTCTCTCTCTATTCTCCTATTATTTTTCTTCATTTTTTAATTATTTTATTCTTATACACATCTTCTCTAATATCACTTAATATTATTATCCCTAACCACTTCCTTCTTTAATTATAAAAAATCATCTTTTTTATATTTTATTTCTCATATATATCCTATTCTTAACCCTAACCATTTTATCTCTCTCTCATATTATTTCTTTAATCTTTCTTAATCATTCCTAATTTTCTTTCTTTTTTATTATACTTAATTCCTATACTATCTCACTCTATATTATATTTATATATATATATACACTACTATTTTATTCTTAGCCTTTTTATTATTTAAAATAACTTAATTTCTTTTTATTTTTATTATTTTTATTATTTTTATCTTATATACTGATTTTTTTAAATTATTTTTATTTAAATTTCTTTTTACTATCTTTCTATTTAAGCTTACTTTCTATTCTCTCTAAACACTATATATCTATTATCTTCTCTATATACTCTTCATCTTATTTCCCCTTAGCTGTTTTAGCTGATCTATCTTACCTATATATACTTCTCATCTTATTTCCCCTTAGCTATGCTAGCCTATCTCTTTTCTATTAGCTATCTATATCTATATACTATATATCCACTATCTTTATATTTATATTTCTACATACTTCTTCTTTATATATATATGCTTTTTACCTTATTCTCTCTTAGCTGTTCTAGCGTATCCTACTATTTTACTGTTATATATACATACTCTATTAATCTCACTGATCTATACTAGCCATCTTACTAATATATATATACCATATTATAAATATATGCCTTTATAGACTATATGTTACAATAATACCAAACCTTAGACTTCTCCATACCTTATATATATATATCTATCTCACCGATATATTAGCTATCTCTGTAATATATATCCACCATCTTACATATATATGCCTTCATCAACTGGATATATAATAATGTTACCTAATATGTTTATATATTACTAGATACTATAGATATAGCCCAGTAAATATGACTTAAAAAGGGAAGAAATTTAATCAGATAGAGTGATAGAGCAGAGTATCTAAGATAGAAAAATAAAAACTAAAAAAGAAAATTCAAATTAAATACAGAATTTACTTAAGGCAAATTAATCATCCTATGACACCATTTATAAAATAAGACCACCCCCTTAAATACCTCAGTCCCAAATGTGTCCCTTTCAGCTTTGAGAAGCTGATTCCCAAGCTCTAATGATGATGATTGAGAGGTGCCTATGTTCATGAGAGAGCACAGAATCTTACCCATATCAGTAGTAATATGATGGCCAAACCAAATAAGAAGAAGCCCTGGCGGAAACAGGCATTCCTCCCTATTTCCAGATCGGTTTGGACAGATCCTGGTGGGAAGAAGGCAATGAAAACAGCCACCATGGGTTTCCAATTGAAGCTGATCCCGAAGCTGGTTGAATGCAATGATCAGATGCTGGGCTCTTGGGCATTGAAGGTAGGAATGGTGGGAATCAATCTCCTGGGCATAGGCAGATTTATCATCTGCATAGTCAAATCAGTTAGTAGATAGATAGTAGATAGATAGAAAGATAGTAGATAGATACTCACAGCATGAATCAAGCTCACACCCAAGGCAGATATTTCCTTTGAGGAAAAATTCCACATAGGCAGTCAGCTTTCGCCTAAGGCCGTCACCCTCCCTGAGGACTGCCCTAGCCTGGGTAGCAACTGCCTGGAGCTCTCCCTGCCGGGCCTGGCACAGGTCACATGCCTTCTCATGCGCCAAACACCCCTGGGTAGCCCGACCATTGAATTCCCTATTGATTAGGGACCGCCGGCAGACCTGTGCCTGCAGATACTCATGGAAAAACTGTTCTTCCAGATCCGCCGGCGCTGGGAATGGCTGAGAGAGGGGGATGATGGCATATGACCAGCCAATCTCCCCAGCACCCCGCGCCGCACGCCCTGTAGCTTGAAGGAACTGGCTGATGCCCCACCTGGTCCCCCAGTGAATGACCATGGCAGTATGAGCAAAGTCATATCCTTCCCCCGATGGCAGCTGTCCCAAGGAGCACGAGCTTCTGCCCTTGGTCAAAGCTCTCCACCTGCCTTTTCTTTTCTTCCTCTGGCAGCCCGGCATGGAAATAGGCTGTCTCCTGGGGATAGGCCTGATGGAACTCCTCCACCATGCCCTTATAGGGAAGGTAGATGATCACCTGACCCCTAGGGGGGATCTGCCCGGCCTGGCGTGCATCACGGATCAGGTTCAAAAGATATTGGAAGCGGCGGGCGCCAGAGAGCCTAGGGGGGTGTGCTTGGACCAGATAGTGAATGTCAGGGCGGTTGATATCACCACGGACCACCAGGGGAAGGTGGGCTGGCAGGAGGAATTGGTGGCGGAGCTGGTCCAGGGCAGGCTGGGTCATGGTGGCCGAGGCAAAGACTTTGGGGACTGGGATCTGGCTCAGGCGGTTTACATCATTCATCACCCCCCGATAGCTGCGGGCCAGGGGGATGAGATGGGCCTCATCAAAAATAATGCGGTCCAGGGCGTTTTGGTGGTAGAGCTGCATGGCCCAGTTAATGAAGACCTGGCTGACAGCAGACTCAATGGATACTAGCACTAGCCGGGTAGGAGGGGTCTCCTCATGCCTATATAGAGCATTAGTAAATATATAAAGATAGATAGATAGATAGATAGATAGTACTTACTGATCCTCCCAATTCACCCATGGCAGACCTAGGTTTTGAAGCTTAGATTGCAGGTTCAGCTTCAATGAAACAAGGGGAACCACCAGGACAGTAGTATGCGCCCAGGCAAGGCTTGCAGCAAGCAGAAACAGGGTGGTCTTGCCTCCAGCAGTTGGTAATGCCATGAGAAGGAATGGGGTTGGCTTCAGCAGATGGTAGAGGCACTCACGCTGTTCTGCGCTTCGAAATTCAGCCTGAGGCGTTCCCATGAATTCTTGAAAGAGCCCAAGCAGGAGGTCTGGTGCTTGAAGGCCCCTAGGGGTTTGAGGGAATGGCTGGTGTGCAAGCAGTCGCAGTCGCTGGCCTGGTTCCAGCTCGGCCAGGCGCGGGTCACCATCGGGAATGCCTTCAGTGACATTGGGGTCGATTGGAGTGAATGTGGGGGTTGTGGAGCCCATGAATGCATTGAACTGACCAATAGGGATCTTAGGGGATGGTGAAGAGGCAGATCTCTGCCACCAGAAGCGCAGGCAGGGCTGGTTGAGAGGAAAGGAGCTGGTAGATAGGCCCTGGGGGGTCTTGGCTGTGGCCTGGGGGGCCTGAGGCAGCGGTCTCCCTTGATAGAGAAAGCTCAAAAAGTCGAAATCAGGCCCCATGCCGATATAGGAATGCCACCGCTGGCTGAAGTCAATGTAGGCGGCCTGCTGGTTGATGGGGAGGTTGCCAAATTGAACCTGTGGCCGGCCATAGACCAGCATGGCCGTGCGGACGCTGTGGTGTGCTTGGCCGGCTGCTAGAGCTTCATTCTCAAGCTCACTCAGCTCTGGCGCTTCAATGGAGTCCCCCTCCATCCGTTCCCCCATGCCATATCGAATGAAGCCTTGGGCGAGATGGCGCCATGAATGGATCTGAATGCCCTGGCCGATCAGGGCGCTGGTCCGATGGCGGAGCGTGTCACTGACCTGGCGGCTGGTAGGGAGGTCGCCCTGAATTGAAAAAAAGAAGACTGCGGCGGTTTCGGAGCTTCAATGCCTGATGGAGATAGTGAATGAATGGCTCCACAACCACCAGATAGACCAGTAGTATATGGGATGGAGCTCTGGGGATGGCTCGGACAGCATTCCGCTCCATGCCAGTGGTCGCCAGCACCTTACTATACCGCAGCCGAATGAGGAAGAGCTTCGATTTCGGGTCCAGAAAGAGGTTTCGGCGGTTGATCATGGAATTGGATGCCAGGAGTGGAATAATCTCAGTGCCTCGGGCAGGGGCGCCACTGGTCATGTGCACCAGAACAAGCAGATGGAGCAGGAACTTCTTGGCCATAAATAAATATCGCTCTGCTGGTAGGGGAATGAGATGGAGCCAATTTCCAGCCTATATGATATTTTATATATATATATATTAGTATGTGAATGCCATTCAGCCAGATAGATGATATACGGGAGATACTGACTGGCTTGAACCATTCTTTGGCTCGCGTAGGGTCATCCAGGATTTTTTTCACGAGATAGGGCTGGTAGTGGTGTTGGTAGTCCTCATTCAATGTTAGGAAATTGAATCCATTCCCCTCCATGGCAAAATCCTCAAATCGAGCTGCCTCCCCCAGCTGGATCTGGTTGAAAAGCTGGGCATCCTCCCAGATCAGCAGCGAGCCTACTAGGGAGTGTGCCAGGTCCAAGGTAGACTTCTGGAAAAATTCCTGGAGCTGCAGACGGCTGACACTAAGATGGTGGAATCTTAGGTGGTGGGGTGCTTGTTCAATCACCTGGTTGCCTTGCACGCTGGAGATCGTGTTGTAGTAGAGAGCATAGGCTCTGAAGGACAGAAGATCTCCAAGGGGGTAAGGAGACTGGTGCTTGAAGTAGGTCTGCAGCCAGGGGCCGAAGACAGCATGAAATGGGGCCGCATTAGCCAGCGCTTGGTCCTGCCCATCCTCTTTCGCTTCAAGGATCCTCCGGATCCATGGGGTCCAATGGTGGTTGATGGCGACCAGCTGCATGGCGTAGATAACGGCAGAGTAGGACTGGCTGATGCGGTCAATTCGCTTGAAGGTCACCTCCTGGTAGTGAATACTGAAACAGGCCAGGAACGCGTAGATAGGGCCCTTCATGTCATATGACTCATGCCTGGTGACCAGGTCAATGAGGAGCTTTTCAATGAGAGCCACCCCTTCGTGCACTGCCGCCTGAGTGAATTGAAAACCACTGGTGGCCTGCCAGGCCTGCCGCTCGAGCTTCTCGAGAACACCAGAGTCCTCAAGATCTTCCTCACCATCATCCCCCCCTAGGTCCAGGGCCAGATCGATCTCATCCTCTTCATCATTCTCACCATCAAGGTCATCACCAATATAGGCACGGGCACTGCCTGCCTGCAAGGGGCCTGAGGCCTTTGGTGCCTCCTCATCCTCTTCCGCTAGGGTGGGGGATAGTAGCAGGTCCTTGAGCTCCTGAATCCCCGCCTTGACCATGTGATCTATAGCATAGAGTCGATTCAGGTCCCTATCCCTAGGCCCCCTAGTGACCTGGTAGGGATAGCTCTCCAACAGAAAAACGAGAAAGCTGTGAAGCACGCGGGCATATTTCTGGGCACTGGCTGCCTCCTGGAGGGGTTTGAAAGGGCGCAGAGTCACATGCTCAATGTCAAAACTATTGAGAAGGCATCGAACATGGCGAGAAAGGAGAGGGATGATCTTCTGGCCTTTGGCGAATATATAGGTGGTGCAGGCAGTCAGGAAATCATGGATTCGATCTAGAAAAATATGAAAAAAATTAGTGCATGCCATATATATATATATATATATCAATAGGTAGATAGATATAGATATAAGCTCTAAATACTCTTGAACATCAAACACAAGGATACATGCATTGTTAGGGTTGTTCATTTCCCCATACAAAATATATGGCAAAAGAAACATGGGTTAGAGTGGTAGAGGTATCCCTCAGAGAAAAGAAATTAAACTCACCAGAATGCTCTAGGGATAGAGAGAAGAGATTTCTTAGCTTTGGGAGGGAGCGTTGCTGCAGGAACTCTGGATACCTGGTGTGGAGCTGAAATCCATTGAGCTCATCCCTAGACCCAGACAGATAGATCTTGGCTTGCTCTGGCTGGGGCTTCTGGATTTCCTGGTACTGACGGAGCAGGGAATCCACCAGATCTGGGGTGATGCCAGAGTCAGGCTGCGACGAAGAACCAGGCCTAGAAATACATATTAGTGAAGGCGTAGAGGATACATATCTACATAAATATATAGACCCCACCTGGTAGGAAGACTGGCAGAGGGTCCAAAGGCAGAAGGGGCTCTCAGAGAGGTATTGACATCCCTATACAGTGAGAATCAGCAAGATATATATTCAAAATGAGCAGTGGGAATGCTTACCTGGCAGAGACCATCTCAATGTCAGAGTCACTAGACTCAACCACCCTAGGAAATAGTTAGTGAGTGCATATTGCACCTGATACATATTTTCTTACCTAGCGTGGTGGGCATAGTGTGGCTGAGATGGGCCAGGGGTTGGTGAAGGACTAGAGGTGCCTGCCCTAGTAGGAGCATGGTCCCCTAGAGGGTGAGATGGAAGCCGCACTTTGAAAAAGTAACGATTTGGCTGCAATGCCTGGGCCAGAGTATCTATAATGGTAGGATACTGAGCATGACCTCTCTGGTGCTGATGGGCCTTGGTAATATGGCGATTAGCTTTGTCCATGGATTGAAAGAGCTCACCACAAGCACTACATTCCCTAGCTTGAAAAGAGCTCAATCCCTTAATGGGAGCAATTGGCTGGTCATTCTGAATTTGGTGAAGAGACCTAGTAAGAGGGAAGATATCAAGCCTCTCAATGATAGCCTGATAGCCAAGGTTAATAACTTGATGTTGAGTCATCAAATGGTCTTTCCTAAGGTGTTCCACAGCCTTATTCTTAGGAAGAGCAGTATGGCATTCCTTACAAATAAGGATATGGAAGGTAGGGTAGTAAATAAAAAAATCAGGAAGCTCAGTGGCCATAGTGAATAGTAAATCAAAAAGGAAAATAAGTAGAGGGTTTAGAAAGTTGAAGACAGTATAGCAATGGAGATATAGGTAATATGAAAAGAAATATTGCCAATATTACTTAGCTAGAGGACCAACCTCGAGGGATGTCAACCACCTATTTATATTATAATATGAAGAGCTTGAGACATTCCATGTTGTAAATTTAATTTCTTTCAGTTTCAAAAGATGATATCATACTTGTGGTGGTGTCATTTTGGGATCCTCAGGATCCTCTGGGAGGTGGTATTCCTGAAGTCCAGCTGAGCGATCCCCCACTCTGTGCCGTCCCCCCACTCTATGCCGTGTCCCCTATCTAGCTGCGCCACCATAGCAATTGCAGATCTTGAAAAATCCCTCATCTTATTAATCCTGCCATTTATTGATTTCAAATCATCTTATTCTAGGCTGATGCCCCTGCCTAGTTGTTTAGGTTTCTTTCTAATATATCGATATATATATATATGTTATCTCATGTATATAATACCTCTACCACCATGTCTAAACTATAGTAATATTATTAGTGTATTAATAAGAGACCTTTTCTACTTCACTGCAATAGAATTTCTAACTCTAAACCTCTATATATCCTTCTCTAAATCACCTTAGAATGCAAGACCTTATTTATTATAATACTCTTATTAGTTGCTATTGTCTTAGCTACTATATTATTAAATGACTACCTTCCTAATTGGGAACTCAAGGTCACATAACCCTGTCACAGAACTCAACTAGACAATAAATAGGATGCTATTCAACTATCTAGGCAGTTATTGACAAGAACTTCAAGCATGGAGAGGAGGGAAAAGGGAAGAGATCTACGTGAAGCTGGACGACGTATTCCTATCCACGCGCCACGCTAATCCAAATAAGGAAACTCACGTTCTCATCCTGGTCTACATGGCAAGGGCCCTGACAAACCCCTCTGTGAGCATTGAATGGGCTACAGACCCCTAGAGAATATTTCTATATAGCCTGTAGTGGCTACATATTAGGCTAGAAAATATATCTACTAATCATTTGTTATCCCTTTTACCATATAATATATGTATATATATGCAATATCAATATATACGCAGTAATTATACCTTATAGATTAGGATTCTATTGTATCACTACTAAAATAGGCCTAACATCCTGACAAATTTAGAGTAAGAGTATAAGAATAGTAGTATAGTCATTTTCTATCTTGCTATGATAGAAGTCCTATCGTCAAACCGTGATATCTCCTTATATAGACCACTTCAGGGAGTGCGACTATGTTCATTGTAATCCTGTCATAAAATGCCTGAGAATGAGCTATAGATCAACCACCTTCCTAATTAGGCAGTTTAGGTCACGTGACTTTTTTGGCTCCTGATTCGTTTGATGAATAGTACAAGTCAGAATATACACCTTCCTAATTGGGAAATAAAAGTCCCCTGACCCCTCTAGACCCCAATGACATCAGCATATTCAATTCTGAGTTCAATTGGCCTACTAGATAGCCTATAGCAGTGCTATCTACATATTACCCTATCTGGCTTAGGGTTAATTTAAACCTGCTTATGTCATCAATCGAACTATACTAGCAGAAACTAGACCTGATTAGGATCACTATGATACTAGTCTGACTTCCTAACATGGCCTAGTTCTTGAGATAAAGATGGGTCAGAAATTATTTTGACCCATCTTTTTTAGGGTCACTACCCATTCTAATTTCCCACCAGACCCAAGTTGGGTCATTGTACAGAATATGACTTAGAAGGAAAAAGGGGGGGGTTTTTTTTTTTGAAATTGTTGTGCCGGGGGCACTGCGAAACCCCGGATCTCCCATATTTCCTATCTTGGAACACCGTAGAACCGCGGACTCCGACATACTAATGTATGGTGGAGCCCACGGCCGGAGGTACTTAATGGAGGGTTCCCTCCCAGATAGTTACGAGAAATAGAGCATTCTTTTGGTTTCTAGGTTGCTTCACTAGTATCGTTATCGTCGTATAGAGCGGAGCGAGGCTCCTTCGTCGTTGTGTTTTCTTTTATCGTTATATCGTTTTGTTTAGATTGTTCAGTGTGTCCATTCCTGAGATCCCTCGATCACAACCCGGTTCCTGTCGCAGGGAACAACGCACGTACGCCCCCCTTTACAGCACTTCATCAGAAGGAAGCTGGTTGTACCTGGAGTAATTCTTAGTAAGGGTGAACTGCTAAGTAGGCGGTAGAACACACAAGATGGATGGCCGCTTCAGATCAGCCTGAGTGGGGGCGATGTGTAAGCCAGGCACAACAGCTTGTTTGAGGACTGAGACTGAAGCCATCTCAATAGATTACCCAGGATATGAGAGGATATGAGATGGAAGATAATAAAAGCACTCTTGAAATGGCTGGTGTGGTAAGTCCTAAGACATGAAGGGCCACTTATATTTTCAAAATAGGAACCCCCAGCAAGCCGCAATTAGATTTGCCGGCCAGTCATGTAATGGCGTCTTTGTAGACAGGGTTCCCCGCTCGATCTATGCAACCTCGTCCAAAACCACATCCAAGAGGGTTCAGGCGGTGACATTGGCTCGATTCGCCAAGGCACCAGCCCCTGCGACACCCGTGATTGACTGAAGGTAGGCATATCTGTGACAAGATGGGGATGCTCCAGGCGTGGAAGTGACCGTCATGCATTAGCGAATAAGCGGCTCACAACCGGTGCTTTCTTAGCGCCTGGCCCCCAATCTAGACCGACCCAGTTGCGGCTCCTCGCGCCATTCGCATCTTTTCTGACGTGGCTGAGGGGTGAATTTGAGGCATATTTCCAGCATCCGTGGGATTGGTGGACTAAGGTTGCGTGAGACAGGCATGGTCTTTTCGCTCAGGCAAGCTGACAATGGGTACAGAGCAAGGACCAATTAACGGCGCGGAAAGCCCATGTGACCAACCACCTGTTGTAAAGGGGGGCGTACGTGCGTTGTTCCCTGCGACAGGAACCGGGTTATGATCGAGGGATCTCAGGAATGGACACACTGAACAATCTAACAAAACGATATAACGATAAAAGAAAACACAACGACGAAGGAGCCTCGCTCCGCTCTATACGACGATAACGATACTAGTGAAGCAACCTAGAAACCAAAAGAATGCTCTATTTCTCGTAACTATCTGGGAGGGAACCCTCCATTAAGTACTCCGGCCGTGGGCTCCACCATACATTAGTATGTCGGAGTCGGCGGTTCTACGGTGTTCCAAGATAGGAAATATGGGAGATCTGGGGTTTCGCAGTGCTCCCAGCACAGCAGGAACATCTCTGTTCTCAGGAATTCCACTAGCTGGCCTCGGCGCATTAGTTCGCCAGAGACGTTGCTAAATTTGCGGACATACTTGGTCAAGTTGTCATCTGCTGACCGTTTCTGAGCAACAAACCTGCTAAGCCAGCCTATGTTGAGCTCGGCCTGTGCTGAATCCTGGTCCCGATACTCCTCTAGGAGCCGCTTCTCCATTCCTTCATAGTCCTTCCTCTCATATTCAGGGAGGCTCTCTACCCACTCACACACACTTACTGACACATAATCACACAGGGCATTTATCTTGTCCTCCTCACGTGTGATTCCATGTTTCCTAAACAATGAATGCAAGGTCCTCAGGAATTCACTGACCTCCTTACCATTAAATGTTGGGGCTCCAGAAGTTCCTCGCAACGGCAGACCTCTGGGTGCTCCCGACAGTTTTTCCAAAATCTGCATCATCAACATCAGCATACCTTCTGGCTGCCACATTCCAGACAAGCTTGGAGTAGTGGGTGTTGCGGCCGGTGCCGGTATTCCCTTTGCATCTCCCAGTGTAAGGAGTGGGCTCCTATGCTCCACATGCACCAGGAGAGGTCGATGCTCCAAGCGGTCGCTCTCTGACGACATCTCCTTACCAAAGTAGGCAATACCGAAGGAAAGCCGTGTCAGAACTGTGGAACTGCTAACTTAGCTGAATTCAAAGTTGAAGTTCATCATGCAGAAATAGAGGAGAAATTCGAGTTGAAAATAACCGGCAAAGATGATTCATAGCCGAATCGAATAGCATCATCGTGGGGTATCGAAACAACAACTGTTGCCACGCGATCCGTGATGGGGATGGTGAGGATGATGCTATGACAAGCTGTGGACCGAGAATGCAGCCGTAGGAGCTTGTCCAGCTTGGAATGGGGAACAAGAAATGCTCTCTCAATGACTTCTTGGGCGCCTTCTGTTGAAGTATCAGGATCAGTCTGTCAAGGACATTCATGGGATCATTCACCGTCGACGTTAGGTATACCTGGTTGCTGTGTCTGCTCTTCTTGGACACATGACCCTGTAATATTTTTACTCTTCCCAGCGCTTTGGTACATACCTAACCTGTATCAGCTCTCACCCGTCCATGCAATGGTTGATATGCTGACCGGTTAAGAAAGCTCTGAAATCAGAGGAGTGGCAAAGAGGTTGCTCGACTGCCAGTGTATTCAGAATGTCGTATAATTGAATAGGCCAGTGCAGTGAGCCTCCAGGCTCCAGAAATTCAATGACAAAGTCAAAGGTGCTTTTCTGGAGTACATTTAAGTCCCAAACACTGGGAGCAAATGCCGTTGCCCACAGAATCATCTTATTTGGCGCTATATTTCTCAGTTTTCCACAGCGCTCGCGAGTTAATTGTTTTCATTTCTGAACAGCCGTAGAATCCAATCTTGACTCCTTGGGAGGGCTGAAAAACAGCTGTATATTCCTGATGAAGAGGACCTGACTTCTCAGTTTCTGGTTTGTCATCAATTCCAACTTGGCAGATTCTGCCTGAGACAGTAGCTTCTGTCTCTCTGCAACAACAGCTGTTCTCTGTCTCTTGCCCAAAGACTTCACTTCATCGGCAACTTTGTTGGCAATTTTTGCCAGGTCTAGGCTTGCAGCTTCCATGTAGTTATATTCATCACTGGTAAATTGGAGCCTTTCGTGTTTGAGAGTCTCAGCCATTGCAGCAAGGTCACAAGCGAAATCGCTCAAACGACCCGTAATAACGGCTCGGAGGTCTGATTTCCGTTGCTTGTGGCTATCATAGAACTCTATCTTGACTTCTGGGCGACAAGCAGAAGCAAAATTGCTAACAAACTGTCTTCTGGTCGGAGGTCTTTGGCTTTAATAGATATAATGAGAACTATAAATAAGTCGTCAATAGGGAGAACTTGGAAATCCTCCCAATTCAGGATAGCCAATGGAAGGCCCTTGCTACCCCTCTCCTCAGGGCGGGGCGCGTACTAGCGTTGGCTTTTCCAAGCTTGCGAGCCTATCCCCGTCCATCTCGAATGTGATTGTGTGAAGCCTCAAATGAACTGAGGTCACCTGTATTTAGCGCTGAGCTCTTACTCAGTTGAATATACTGCCAAGAACGCTGTGAAGACATACCACATATAAGTATTTCTCAGAGTATGAACCAGCTACCGGGCCAGATGCTTCCTGCCAACAATTTAAGTGGTAACTAGGTAAGAACATAAATGGTGCAGTCATCCTGATTAGTTGTTAATCTGCTATATCGTATGTGACGCTTCCAAACACGAGACTTCAGTGCCAGGAAGAGCACATCTCATCAAATCTTGGTTGGAAGCAGTTCCTTGGATGTTACTAGAATGTTTTCGCGGCCCGGGAGTGGGATAGGAACATGGATTGTGTCGATCTTGTCCTCTTGGCTTGTTCCCTGCAAATCCTTGAGCTTAGTTGGTGCGTGAGTCATACTTTCCCCAGTACTGTATAGGATGCCTGGAGGGGAGACGTGTCTACATTCCATTGGGCTAGGAGGGAATGACGTGTTTCCTATCCTGATAAACACACCACAGGCAAGAAGGGATTCTCTTCTGTCTGCACATTAGCGAAGTTGAGCATGAGCAGGGATATAAAAGAGGGGATGTGAGGAGCCCTTTTGCAGCTTATTTTTCTAGCCTTGCTCCCCAACACCAATGTTCAAGTATCATAAAAAAAAAATTTTGAAAAGCGATCTGCTTCAGACTAGACAATCTACCAAAAAACACAATCTGGTCATGTCGAATCCAAATTTCTGCGGCTGCAGGATTGTCCATCCGGCTCCAAGAGACCATCCAAAGTGCACAAAAACCCCCAATAATCACCTTGCATGCTACAATTTTGAACCGCCTGTCGATGACTTTGTGCCCTGCGGACAGCAAAATGTGACTCACAACATTGAGCACGTCCATCCAGCTTCATCCACAAAAAGATATGGAAATTATCCAAACCATCGGAATTTAGGTATCTGGTATGCTGGCGGAAAGCGTTTCGAAACCCCAAAGACGGGGAGAGGAGGTCAGGGGAAAGCAGGATCAGCCAACATGCTGGTCCAGTAAACAGAAATGAGAGTGGAAATGGAAAGCTGAAAGATACGGGCTCATTTTGCAATGCATGATTCGCAAGTCATCTTTGGGTCCTTTTCTGATGGGTACGGATACATGTAATTCTAGTTGACTTCACCAACCAACCTTCTCCTGGTCCAACTCTGCAGCGAGGTCTTTAGCAGATGTAATTCCTTGAGTCCAACACTTCTCGATGATATGACCTAGCCATGTGTTGGCTGTTGAGGGAAGACTGTCTCGCTGTGGCCAAGTATACAGGTCCCCTTGTTCCCTCTGTCCCTGGACAAGATCAAACCTGCATCTTTGACCAGTCACAATCTCAAACATGACAGCACCGAATTGCCCGATGTCAGTCATAATTGAAAACCCAAGGTCATCAGAGCCGTTCAGGTCCCAATCGAGAGGCATCATCTTTGATTCTCCAAAATCGCTGAATTTAATGCATAGATCATCAGTCAGTAGTAAGTTATCCAAACGGATATCAGCGATGATGATGCGACATTCATGGATGTACGACATGGTGTGCGCCATGGATGCCAACCAAGATAGTTGCGTCGATTTCCCCGGCCGCTTTTCAGCCAGATAACGCCGAAGATCGCCATTCTTCATAAGATCCATCTGGATTGAAGGGTGCTCTGATGAAAGATTGAAACAGCGTACAATCCCAGGATGGTGGCCCAGTCTTCGATAAATAGCCTTCTCTTCTTGGATTGAACGGATAAGATCGGGGCGCTCATCGTAGTCCCCTTCTTCAGGAGTCAATCTTCCAGTAGCCACAGGCACCCCATCAATCTCTATAGGCCTTGAAATTCGAGGTATTTTGAGCGCATACTGTCTTCGCTCAATGACGATACCTGTACCGCCTATGCCGATTACTCTTTCCACAACCCTAGCACCATCAAGATGTAGGAACGCTGATTTCGTTAATGGCAAAGACAAAGGTTTTTCAGAAGAAGTGTAGGCGGAGTCCTTCCTGGCTCTGAAGCACCCGCAAGCCCGAACAAAGGTGGAAGAAAACCAGCTCCTTCTTTGAGAAGATGGATGCATGTCGACAGGGGGCTTTCTCAGCGAGTGCGTGTTGCACTTGGATTAAGGCGTTTAGGACTACTCTGCAATGCTGAGGCGACCTGGTGTACTTGATGAAAACTCTGAGTATTCTGTTTAAGGTCTGGCAAAATGGAGAGCCGCGAAGAGGACCATCAACTTAGTCCCAGAAATTGCAGTGAAATGAATCGCAAAGCTGCTATCATGTGGCCTCTTTTTTTCCAGTCGAGTCATAATATAATGTTGGTGATGGAGGTATATCGTTGGTTACTAGCTAGATAGGCCTACGTGGTGAAAAGGGTCAGCGAGGGCGGACCTATGCGGCAGAATCCCACGTGATCCAACAGTTGGTGTTAGAGGTCACGTGTATTCTGCCATATTAGACCGCCCTCGCTTGGCCTGACACACTAAAATAGCTAGACCAACCTAGATAGAGACAATACAAGCAAGTTGATCCAACAGGTTATGAGCCCTCGCGCTCGCTACGATCGAAAGCTTCCAAAAAGAAGATATTAAGTCGTTTAGAACGAGCTAAATCAGCTCTCCTGATTGGCAGAACCAGAAATCTTCTAACGAATCTATCACTTGGATGATAGATACGGGGATCGTGTCTTCGAAACACTAAACCCCAACTAAGGATGGAATCAACTGAGCCATCTACGCCTCCAAATACAGCTAGACGAGCTTCTACTCTCGATTCTGAAGCCTTCAACATGGCGGATACCCCTACCCCCCTCCCGCGGTCCCAGAACGGTCAGCAGGAACAAACCAACAAAATCAACCGACAGCTCCTTTGGACATGAATCAAGCCTTCTTGATGATGCTACAGAGGATGCAAGCAATGGATGAACGCCAACAACTCATGCAAGAGCAGGTTCTTGAGCTTCTTCGACAACAGCAAAATGCTGCACCACCTCAGGATGCTGGAACACACAGAGATAATGCCACAACAGACCTCTACAACTCTCTACAGCTCGAAATCAAACAGCTTACCAAATAGATTAAAAAGATATGGACAGATCGGTGCAAAGTTACCCTGAATGGTGATAATTATGATGACTGGCAAACAGCCATCACCAGTGATGCAGTCAAAATCCTTTATCAAACACCTCCACCAGAAGCTTATGATATTCATCTTTCTACAATTTGGGCCAAAAAATCAAAACTGCTACGTGCTCATATGGTGAATTCCATGGCACCAAAAGCTCGTGAACAGATTGGTATGCTACCAGATAATACGGCCGCGCATATCTGGGCTGAAGCCACCCAACTTTGGGGTCGATCTCGTGCTGAAGAACGCCTGACGATCCGCACACGGCTCTTTGATCTTCGGATTAAAGATAATGACTATTTCACGTACCAGGAGCATTTCAAAAAGCTCCAGACCTGTCTATCCCACATTCAATGCCCCCTACCAGATGATGTCTATCACGATCTATTCATCCGCGGACTTGGTGATTGGAATCGTCATTTTGTTAAATCAAAACTTGATGAATTCTATAGCACCGGCCAGGGAGCAATTAAGGACCTTGACCTCAATGATTTCATGAAGCAGCTAACCCTTCGTGCTGGTACCAGAAATTGAGAAAAGAAGGACCCAGAATCAACCAAGGAAACCTACACTGCTAAGCAAGCCACTAGCAACCAAGGATCTAACAAACCCAACAATGAAAGAACAAAGAACCCAGACAATCCATCTTGCAATTGGTGTCACCGTCGCCATCCTGGCCATCAATGTTACTATGCCGATCCAGATAAAGCCCCAGAGTGGTGGAAAGAAAAGAATCAGCATATACTAAAGCTCTATCAAAAAAGTCTACACACCAACAAAATTATTAATATCTAAAATAAAGATCTTATACTATTCAGTGCTTCAAGCTCAAAATCAGCCCATGCCAAAGTAGCTATGCCTGTTTCAATTAGAACACCATGGCTACTTGACAATTGTGCATCCTACCATACTACCCCCAATCATGATGCCTTTATTGAATTTACACTGTAAAGGGGGGCGTACGTGCGTTGTTCCCTGCGACAGGAACCGGGTTGTGATCGAGGGATCTCAGGAATGGACACACTGAACAATCTAGCAAAACGATATAACGATAAAAGAAAACACAACAACGAAGGAGCCTCGCTCCGCTCTATACGACGATAACGATACTAGTGAAGCAACCTAGAAATCAAAAGATTGCTCTATTTCTCGTAACTATCTGGGAGGGAACCCTCCATTAAGTACTCCGGCCGTGGGCTCCACCATACATTAGTATGTCGGAGTCCGCGGTTCTACGGTGTTCCAAGATAGGAAATATGGGAGATCCGGGGTTTCGCAGTGCCCCCGGCACAACACCTGTTTCTAAAGCAGAAATCAAACCCAAAGATATTGTTGAGAATGCCACCAGTGGCTAATCCTTTCATATTGGAATTGGCACCGTTGTCATTGAAATAAATGACCAACCATTGGTATTGAGAGACGTGAGATACAATCCTTCATTCTCATCCAACATCATATCATTGGGAACCCTGAGAAAACAAGGCTTTCAGCTTCAATTTGCCCCTTCTGATGCAATTCTCATCATCTCTCCAGATGGCACTGAATTTGAAGCCCCCTTATGCTCAAATACTAGCATCTACACATTCCCACAATGCTATTTGCTAGATTACAACCCAAATGCTGAACCTGCTCCCAAGACAGCATATGCTTTTGCTTCTATATCTCATGATAAAGAAGACACCCCCGTTACTACCCATCAACCCAAAAAGATACCATTAACCATGATGGAATGGCATCGACGTCTTTGTCACCTTAACCAAGCTGACCTTCTTTGGCTAGCACGAGATCCCTACTCCTGCATTGCCATACAGGGCTCTAAAGAGCTACATTTTTGCAACACTGTAAAGGGGGGCGTACGTGCGTTGTAATATCCTAGTCTTTTGCTGGTAGTGCAGCAGTTTAGTCCTTAGAATGCACACTAGGAGCTAGGTTGTGACAGTTTTCTTGCTAGATCATTCAGTGCCATGTGGTACAGCGGCATCATCTTAGTATATCTATGCCTAAGATCCCTCAATCACAACCCAGTTCCTGTTGCAAGAAACAACGCACATACACCTGCCTTCACAACATAGAGTCTTGACACTAGCTAGCTTATTAATCGATCTCCAGGCCCAAGTTGCACAGGAACCGAGACTTTCGCCCTGACATTCTCAAGGCAGAGAAAAAGAATCCCTGGGCCCTCTACCAAGCCCGAGCACACGTTGTCCATGGACGACCCGTGACCTTGGCCCAAGATTGCGGGAACAAGGCGGAGCTGGCCCATATCCAGGAGCTTGGATTGACGCTGGATCAGGCGCAGTCGTTGGTGAGAATGATTGGCAAATGCTCCCACCGCAGCTTTCCCGCGCTTCAACGCTTCCTGCAACATGACGGCCGCTACTTCTTGGTCTGGGAGCTGACCGAGCTCTCCCTCAACAAGGTTTTCGCGTCCAAGTGTCCCATCACCGAAAGCGAACTCGCACAGATCGTCTGGCCAGTATGTAGATGTTCCCTCTCGTTGCTCTTGTTAGGGATGCCACATTCGCACTCTTTTTTTCCGCACTGTCTGGATGTGCTGACACCGGAGTAGGTTCTCAAGGGAATCCGAGTTCTGCATAGTCGCGGACGTGCACTTGCCACTTTAGGCGCTGAAACGATTCTGGTGACCGAAACGGGAGGAGTCAAGATCGGTGCGTTGATTGTATTGGCGGGATCCACTGTTATAGTGAGCTGGAGCTGACATCCAACGGGTACTGTAGCCGGGGTGGAACATAGTTGCCAGACTGACCCGGCGGATATGAATGCCGCCACCCTGAAACTCGCCGCGCTGGCAACAATCATCAGCGGCCTGCTGAAGAACAACGGCTTTGAGATTCCATGGAGTGCGGAAGCGCAAGGCCTGCCGCAGCGGCTCGTTGAAAACTCTCTGGACGAACTCCTGCGCGTACGGATCACTGACCCAGCACATTCACTGAATCCGTAACTGACAATTTATGTAGGACCCATTCTTTACACGAATGGAGGGCGATGGAGGCTTGAAGCTGGTAGTCCAGGTAGTGAACAAGACTGCCTATCATAAGGTGGAGTTTGTGCGTGAGAGAGATCTGGGCGCTATCTGAGCGTAACCAGATAGCGTAACGCGGTTCTTCGAGGTTCGGAGATCGGCTGTACGAAGCCAGGTTTAATCAGCGTCATGAGTAGCCTGTATGGAGTGCATGGTTTTTCTGTGGCAGAACGATCAGAACAATTATAAAGATTAACCCTTCGTTAAGCCGATTGCTCGGTCTGTTGTGGTGCCTTTCATACCAGATATTCGGATGAGTCAGGTCTATCCACAGGATTATGGTGTACTACTCGTAGCGATGGGGATACTGTTGACTGTGACTTCGCTCTTGTGTCGTCAAGGAATGGTTTCCCAATTAGGCAAACAACTGGTTTATGCATAGACCATGGGGCCGCGAGCATCTACTTAGCCTTGCTAGCAGCCTGCCAATTCTTTCACTGCTTCGTTCTACACTCCTTGAATGATACTCCCTGAATAGAAAGAATCCTAACCGACTCAGTCTGTATTATAGCTAACCCAGGATGATTCACAAGACTATTAGGCCGAGTTACGAACCTGCTGAGAAGTGCGATACTTCTGGCAGTCGAGAAGTCGCTCGGCGTGCCCCTTGCTGGTCGTCCAGTTCGATGTCCGACGCTGTCCGACCCACCAGAATTGTTTCCCTTCGACCTCTCCGCACTCGCCGATAACATGGGCCTTAGGGTCTTTGAACAGGTCCAGGAGGGAATTACACGGATTTTTGAACAGTTGGAGGGTGCGGGCGCCCAGCGAGAGCGCTCAGATGCCACATCCGTAGACGGATTAACTGAGACAGCCAGATGACGGTGCATAGGATGTCTTGCTGCAGACAAAGATATTGTCAAAATGAATATCATATTACGAAGAATATTTCCACGCGCAGCGTACATTCATGGTTGCCGAGGATCGATGCAGTATACACCAGGCAGGTTCCTCTTCCGAGCCAGTTCCACAGCCGGTAATGCGCACATTAGACCCTGCGGCGACAAGCAAGTCTACAATATCGTGGATTCTGCGCCTTTCTACACTAGTCAGGATGGAGAGGGTATAGACAGGGTATCGGTGTACGTATGGGCAGAGGGAAGTGCCAGTTGTGTTTTGGAAGCTCAAAACCCTAGTTCATAGTTCAGAGAATACTTTCCGCCGCTGCGCCCCGGACTGCACAATGCCCCTCGCCTTCTGTATCGTTCCGCCGAACGAAGAGCCCCATGCGCGCCTGCCTCATCTTTCAAGCTGACAGGTCATCCACTTACCTTCTCAATGATCAGGCAGTCTTCTACCGGATTTTTTAAACAAGTCATCCCGTATTTAAGTGACCAGAGCAAAATGCATGGTGACCTGGGTAAAGCAGGACAACGAATTCTGAGGTGGTCGGTGGTCTCCTCTTTGAACACCCATCCTGCGCCAGCTTTGAAAATTATTCGCCGCTCCCAATGTAATGCCCGATTCGACCAACACGGTCCTGACTAATGAGCGTTGCTGTTCCTCGGTAAATTCGGGGTCCTTGCGAGAGTTCGAATCCGGGGGCCACACTTTAGAAATAGTTCACCGGTTCCAACGCGATACATTCCTAACCCTGGTCTTCTTGTGGCTTCAGAGGCTTTCCGCGGTTCACTCGAAGAAAAGGATAAATCTATTTTTGTACTTCCCTTGATTTTCTGTTGATTCCGATTACTACTAGTGATCTCTGGTTGCCTAGAGCTAACCGCTTCTGACGAACTTGTCTTCTTTTCAGGGAGAAAAGACTGCCAAGATCCAACAGTACCCGCGCACTAAGGGATAAGCCAGAGTCCTTCCGCTTAGGATTGGCGCTACATGCTTCCTAAGCATATTTATGTTGGTATCTCCCCCCTTTATCGAACTCCGCTGGTATTAATGAAGTGGTTAATTCAGCATTTCTTGTCTGATTCATACCCCAAGTTGCCGAGTATTACCCGCTACACAGTCGAAGGAAATCCCCATGATGCTTCACGACGACAGGCAATACCAAAAGTCTCGTTTCTTAGGCCTCTCATGGTCCCAAAAGTTGGAAGAACAGATCCCGACATTGGTCATAAAACTTGAGGAGCGATTTGGAGTTAAGATTAAACCTGAGTATCTCTCTGTGGGCTCCTTCAACTGCTGTTACCGGCTGAAAGGAGTCCACTGTATTGCTCGCTTTCCGATTCTCTGCAAAAGCGCGTTCCGCTATGAAAAACCCGTCGATGAGTGTGCGATAATGGCATACATCTCTCGCCATACGCCAGTTCCCATCCCAAATCGAAACTCAAAGAGTCCTATCCATCTTACATGAAGTGAATGACAGTTTAGACAGATACTGAAGCAGCTCCATTGCTCCCGAGAACTAACACCATGGTTCCAGGGGTCTTAGGGCTCCCACGAATAACCCCCGTGTTCCTAGGAACGGGGATATTACCTCTTGAGAATTGCCAGATAGATCCCAAGAGTATCGAGCCTATACCCCCCCTCCCTCTCACCGCCTCTCTTTTCTAACTGAATGGAGACTCAAAGCGCGTCAAGCTTCAACTTCCTGTTCAGCAACCCCCGCGCCCAAATCAAATCAACGACCAAGATCTCGATAAAGGAAAGCACCAGACTACCCCCAAACACTAGGCTATATGGTACGTCTACGCATTATTCGGGTTGAGGCCAATGACCTGACACACGATTGCCCACGGGAGAACGTAGAAAATGTTGGATATTAAGGACTGCGTGAGATACCATAACTATGAGATAGTAAAAGCCTTCTGGAAGGATTCTTGCATGTTTACGCCATGCTGACCGAGAGGATGTTCCCAACTCATATCCATGGTACGTTCCGACGCTTCCAACAAACTAATTCTTAGCACTATTTCTGAGGCTACTGAAGTGTGCGACGATATGAGTCAAGGCAGAATAACCGAGGGTCGGGTTTAATGCAGATAGATCTGCGCAGTCGTCGTCAACTGTTGTATACATCTTTTGCATTGAAATCGTTCTTCTGCCCTGGTTGGTGGTATCCACTTAGTGGGTGTCTGAACAACGGGTTTTCGACGGCCGTATGCTGCATCTCAAGTAATGTTAGCCTTGAGGCTATTCATATCATGATCCACTGCATTAATCTGCCTTCCGTCGTAGTGAAAGTGTGGTTCGAGCGAAAATCGCCAAGCTTAGGACGACTGAGTATGCTTAAGACGGCATGCTATGGCCGGGGGGTTCCATCATCAGCTGCCGATACCTTGCCGCCCAAGGCGGCGTCCATCCAGAAATAATCAAGCCAGTGCAGCTGTTGAAAGGGCGTATCCAATGGAATCTAATTGCTGTTCCTCCAAAGGGTATCGCGGCAGTAATGACAGCACCATGTCATTGAAGTCGATGAACTGAGATTGAGAGCATAGAGCTGCCATTTCCAAGGCTGGGGGATACGAACCCGCATCTGCCCAGTCCACGAGCCACACCAGGCCGTTTCGGTCCAGAATAAGGTTCCGCGGACTGATGTCCTGGTGGGTGAGAACAAACTCGGTGAACTTGAAGGGCGGAAGGTCTGATGATGCGTGCTTGTATGTTTTACAGATGTCCAACTTGTGGTTGAACCAGCCCTCGAATTCAGCCACGTCCTTGAAAGGCCCGGCGCTGTAGTGCGTGAAGAAGCGACCGCGACATGGGCCCCCACCGATCGGACCTGGCTCCAATAGCCTGATGGACTGCATTTCAATGATCATCTGGGCCGTCTGCTTCGCGACATCCATCTTTTGTTCATCACTGAGATCTCTCCAGCAGCCATCAAGCGGTTCACCATCGATATAATCCATCACAATATATCCCATGGTGCCAAAATATTTCGTATCGTCCATGAAATGGAGAGACCGATGGACACGAGGAGCTCGAATATTGGACTTTGATGCAACTAGTTGAAGGACCTTTGCCTCACAAGGCAGCACATTGCCGCCGCCTTTTAAAATGAGATCCTTAGACAATCGCACCACTGTCGTTTGGCTGAGATCGTAAAGGATCGGGGCAGACTTGAGGAGGTTGATGAGGGTTTCGTCAGAGACGCAGTCGATATCCTTATCATCCAGTGGGAATGCCCTGTCTGGGACTTAGTTCACCCCCGGGGTAATTAAGTAAAGGAGTCAATACGTCGGTGAATGGGCGTAAAGGTCCTTCCATATTTCCAATCCTTCGGATATTATGGGGCAAGGGTCAGTGAGAAGGGAAAAGGCCGTGTTCATATGGAAGTACCATTCCAAAAGGGCAAAAAAAAGAAAAAGATAGGAAAGCTGAATGTAGGAGAGTTGAACATTGTTGATTCTATTGTTATCTTGGTTGGGCTTAGTCATTGCCAAGGAGCGCAACAGACCATGAAGGGAAATTGATAGGTGGATCAAGCGCCTAGTTAGCGCTCGCGTGGGTTCTGGCTGACCAGTCCTGTCTGAGCAGTCGCTAGCTTCACCTATAGGACGCCGGTTGAGATAAAGCAGATCGTTTTATGTTTGGATGAACATCTGTCAAACGGCATCGTATTACCAACAGTACTGACATGGAAGAACAATATTACGGATTACTAAGCTGTTCACGATGAAAACACCTCACCCCTGAAAGGCCGTATGGAGGGTTGCGATCAAGAGATATATGCTAGAACCTCAATTATTTTTCCTTATGAGAGATCAGGTCTAGATATCAATCAATTATTTCTCCTCTTCCCCACCTATCATGGGCTCCGTAATTACTAGCCGATACCCTTCTCTTCTCATAACATCCGACTTACGACGAGGGCATTTGACCGCCATTGGCTCCCCTCTCTTGCTGGATTCCCTTGAGCCGCACACATAATGAAAGATTGATCGCAATTCCGTCAATGATTAGTCCCTCTACGCGCTGACCTCGACTTTCAACCTCTAATTAGTTATAGCAATTCGACTTCTCAGGCTTTCATTCATCATGTGCACGGCGAGTTCTGAAACATTCCATCATGGCGAAAGTTAGCGAGGCGCTTGGGCAGTTTGGAGCGCGACAATATTTAAGGGCACTCATTCACTGCTCCAAGCCCATCCTTTGACAAACTTACGCGAAATAGATACTCCTCGCCTTTCCTTGAACCTCTTATTCACATCGCTTTAGGCATGTGTCCATGTCGTTGTGGTGTTATGCATTGAAGAATTTAACATGTACCAGGACTCTCCGACATATGATTTGAAGAATGGCAAACTTTCAGCCCAGATTCTGGAGTCATCGGTGCAGTCTCTGATTGCTGTGCCGCACAGCAAAAAGGCCGGCACAAATCATTGGTGTGTCTACCTCTTGACCTCTTGACATCAGACCGAAGCTCTGTCAGAATCGATTGCCAGCCCAGTTACTCCATCCCAAGCACCATTCTCCCTGGAGGCTCCAAAGCCTATGTAATCATCTCTGAGCTGTCATATACTGTGTCCAGGGATACACCAGCATCAGCTTATCACCGACACGGCACAAGTTACAGCTGCAAAGAATGGGATTCTTAAGCTGTGGCCAGATCAGACGCCCCTCGAACTTGACCAGGGAGCCTACTACTAGTGCAAATGTCAACAGGCAGATGTCTGCTTTGTTGTTCCTTGGGTCATCAGGTCACCTATCTTGCGAGGGACATATGCGAGCAAAGCAGCATCTTACGCACTTTGGCCAGTTTGGGGATCTCAGGCCTGAGTCCAGCTCCTGTTCAAATCCACAATACCGTTGAAGATTCATTTCATATGCTATGTTATTTTCTGTGTCTTCTTTTTCCCACTTTCTTGTCCTGTTTGTTGCGTTTCTACTTGCTGCCAGAAAGGAAATCCATCAATTTATAGCTTTAAACTCACCCACAATTATTCTAAGTGACTCCATATCCCGTACGTTAGTTAGGTTATCTTGCTGCTTAATTCCACTCCGACGCTTAGGAGTCGGTTGGACCTGGCAGAAAATCCTGAAAGTAGCATTTTCTCATCCGGACTACATTGCGCCTCGTTTTCTCCACTGCTAACTCCGACCGATGAGCGTGGACGAGCCGGATGAGAGCTTACTCAGTTTGATTTTGCCGCCTGGGATGGGGGCCCTACATTGCGCCCAGCAGAGCATATTGCTCCACCAAGGGAAGGAGACGTGGCTTTGCATTCTACAAGTGTCCAGCCTGTAGTTGTGCAGGCGGAGAGCACTGCAGCTGGAAGAATACAGAAGATCCTCACTCTGAAAATTGTTGCGTGCACCACTTGGGCCACACAGGAAGCACCACGGAAGGCGCTTGGTATGCCTGTCACTATTGTCTTGTTCTGATTCTTCAATTAGGGCGCGTAGGTGTTTCACCCTATTTCCGTGTCATCAAACAGCAAAGATATAATTCATGTGGAGTGCCATACATTTCCAGTTATAAGTCTCGCTGATCAAGACATTGATGTTTGGATCACGAACCAATCGTCTCAACTATCTATTTCGTGCCATTGTTATCCATTGCCTACTACTTTATTCTACACAAACCGTCCCTGTTGCCATTTCATCCAATTCTGGGCCTGCAACACAATAAGCATGCCTTCTAACAAAAATCGGTTGTACGTCGCGTTGTATCCTAGTGGCGTCGTAAACAATGAGGAGCGCAAGTGAGCCAGCTGCCCTTCAAAGTTTCTCTACAAGTATTGATCTTCTTAGATACCATTGGGGTTTTCTGATCGGACCCAAAGCAGAACGCAGCGACGTCATACCAGGCGCACGTTACCACGTCAAGAATTTCCCTCTCGGCTGGACATATGAAGAAATTCCATTGGAGAATGTCCGAGCCACCAACAGCCTCTTGGCACGCATTCTCATTGCCAAGATCGAAGACGAGCAGCGTCTCATTGCCCTTTTTCGGCGACTTCCAGTTCTGCAGGACGATCCAAACTGGAGATGTCGCACATGGATCGCAAGCGCACTCGTCGAGATTGCGAAGGATGGGAAGTGTGTTGGCACTGCTGAGTTGAATTGGCAGAAGATTGAGGCTGTTGCGAGACAGTACGTAGACCACAAGACTGCTAGTGGTCGCTATCGGTCTGCTGCAGATCTGATGAAACCGAAGCCTACCTGGGACATGCTTGAGAATAAGGAAAGTGTACCGTAGGAGCTAGCCATCAGAACGGTCGTTCAACCAAATATGGTCTTGTAACTAGTTATTTTATTCCTTAGCCATGTTATGATGAGCAGGACGGATTTCCATACGACTGCGCATTAAGCATCACTCAATAGGGTCATTCGCCCCACCATTTGTTCCGAACTTCTTCCATCCTGAATATCTCAGGACATGGTCTGTCGAGAATCCGGTCAAGCATGTCTTGCCATTCCGTTCTCGTAACATTGCCAAACCAGGCCGATGTATATTCCCAGTAATGAGGATACCACCCTGAGAATTCCCAGTCGATGATTCCGACCACAGTCCCCTCACGAACAAGAATGTTGAACGGATTTAGATCCCCATGGGTGAAGCATGGTGGAGGCCATGGCCCATCCTGTTTGCTCATCATGTCCTGGAGGTCGTGCCAATCCTGATCCCTTTCCCGATCTTTGAGATCCTCGGGTCTCAGGTCTCGTCTGAGCCAGAAATGAAATTCTTGGATTGTCTTGAACGGACCGAATCGTGGATTACCACGAGGTATGCGAGAGTCGTACAGGGACCCTCCAACACAGCTTTCCACGCCCGTGGCTGGAAGAGGCGTCAGGGCACGTAACTCCTGGAAGATCTTTCTTAACTGCGACAAAACATCCTCGACTGACTCTTTAGACATACTATTCCAGACTTTCGGTAACTCTTCACCTCGAATCCTCTCCATGACAATGAACGCTCTATTTTTGTGCAAAAAGGAGCAATAGACCTTTGGGACAGGAATGGTCGTTTTTTGAGCCAGGTATTTCAGGGTTGCACCTTCCGTAAGATGGATTCGACGCCCTGTTTTGACAATTTTGTGTTTTGAGATTGGAATGCAAAGGCCATCCCGCGAATAGAACCTCGCCGTCGTATGCAACGCTAGTCGTGTCAGGATACGGCGAAAAAAGTTGTTGTTGATGGCGAGGTGCTCAGTGCCGTCGTGCTGAGTGTCTATGTTGTATCCAGTCGCAACATACGGGTATGTCATCCTGTCATTGTGTGGGAAGTTGGGGAGAGCGCAGGGTTTCGTGTAAGACGTAGAGGGCGGAGGGTAGCGGCCTAGAGTGCCGGCTCTTCGACGTTCGGGCGTGTGGATTCGAGCCGCGCTGGCGCGGCAGGGTAGCGAGCGATACAGAACCAGGCGCAGAAGGAGTGGTGTTCAGGGTAACCCAGGACTTTTTGCGCAAGGCCGGCCTCAATGGCTCAGGCTAGTCGTTTCGCGTAGGCGCAACCAACAATCGCGAGGGTCAAGAGCACGTGCGTTTCTCGGCTTGGGAGGGTGAATGTAAAAGAGAGTACAGAAATTGCAACACTGCAAGGCCTAGGATGGTGAGTCATGGCAACGTGATGTGCTGCTGGCGTAGTGATGATGATGCGCACTTCCCAGGGGCAGTGCCAGCTGTATTGATGTCAAACACCATCTGATGAACAGAAAAGAGATGATTCCTTGAAAGGGGTTCGGACGGACGAGGTCCAAGCTTTTAACTGCTAGTCCTACAGTAGGTGATCACCTGACGCCCAGTCCCACCTGCCGCCCGAATTATCGATACACCGACTTTCTAAATGTTTTTTAAACCAACACAGCTCATTCAAAATGGGGTCTATTGAAACCGCTCTAGCAGATATAGAGTCCTTGAAGCCAGGAGAACCAATTAATTACTCCAAAATCGCAAAAATCCATGGTGTGAGCCGTACAACATTGTCAAGACACCACCGTGGGGTCCATCATTCAAAAGAACACCAATATGAAAGCCATCAAGTTCTCAACAACCAACAATCCAAAGAGATCATAAAATGGATCAACAATCTTACTGATCATGGGCTTTATCCATCTCATGAAATGCTTCGGAATTTTGCTAAGGAACTTACTGGAACAAAGCCTAGAAAGCACTGGCCGAGCCGATTCCTGAAGAAGCATAATACCTGTCAAGGTGCGGGCTCACAGTTGGTCAGAAACAGATAGATTAGGTAGTTGATACTCAGGCTAGCTACAGGATCTCTATCAGTTCCAGGTTGCAAGCAGGCCGGTACAGGTGGGCTCGATAGACAGGACGTAGCTCAAAGAGCTACAAACAGGATCAAGGCAAGGAGTCAGAGATAACTGTTGGATCACGTGACATATACTTGTCAGGGCCCTTGCCATGTAGATGTTGGATCACGTGGGATTCTGCCGCATAGGTCCGCCCTCGCTGACCCTTTTCACCACGTAGGCCTATCTAGCTAGTGACCAACCAACAATACACTTCCATTAGTAGACCAGGACGAGCACGTGAGTTTCCTCATTTGGATTAGCGTGGTGCGTGGATACAGTGGGGGTTCAAAAGTATTTCAAATTGAAAGACGCGCTAGAAACGCCAAAAATGACCGCCGTCCTATTTAATATAAACTGCCCTCCATTAAGTACTCGCCGGCCGCGGGCTCCACCATACATTAGTATGTCGGAGACCGCGGTTCTACGGTGTGCCTATGCAACTGTACAATACACAGTTCTCAAGCAACATACCCACAATAATCATGTTTCCAAACCACGCAGTGGAAGACCTCCAGTTCTATCTCCAGAACAAAAAGAACACCTCCATGCATTTGCTATTGAAGATCCACATATAACAATACATGCATTACAGGCTGCAGTAGATTCTGTCACGGAACTCAACTAGACGATGAATAGGATGCTATTCAGCTATCTAGGCAGCTATCGACGAGAACTTCAAGCATGGAGAGGAGGAAAAAGGAAGAGATCTACGTGAAGCTGGACAGCGTATTCCTATCCACGCGCCACGCTAATCCAAATGAGGAAACTCACGTGCTCGTCCTGGTCTACATGGCAAGGGCCCTGACAGATTCCTCACCTTCAAAATCTACTGTACAATGTCTCTTTTGGGGTAATCTTTATATGAAGAAATGGAAACAGAGAAATCAACCAGAAATTACAGAAGAAAATGCTGCAAAACACCTTGCCTAGGCTCAACAATATGCCCATTTTACTCCAGATGATTGGAAATGTGTCAAATGGACTGATGATGTGCCGGGGGCACTGCGAAACCCCCCGGATCTCCCATATTTCCTATCTTAGAACACCGTAGAGCCGCGGTCTCCGACATACTAATGTATGGTGGAGCCCGCGGCCGGAGAGTACTTAATGGAGGGTTCCCTCCCAGATAGTTACGAGAAATAGAGCAATCTTTTGGTTTCTAGGTTGCTTCACTAGTATCGTTATCATCGTATAGAACGGAGCGAGGCTCCTTCGTTGTTGTGTTTCCTTTTATCGTTATATCGTTTTCTTGCTAGATCGTTCAGTGTGTCCATCCCTGAGATCCCTCAATCACAACCTGGTTCCTGTCGCAGGGAACAACGCATGTATGCCCCCCCTTACACCATATTTAAGAATAATTTTTAGCTGCTGCTAATAAGTGAGATATGACTTGTTTTGTTGTATAGGGATTAAGGTTAAAGTGAGAGACAATTCGAGTTTTGTTGTACATATGCCTAGCATATGCCAGCATACATATATATGTGTTGTAACAAGTATGAATGTGTTATGTATGTATGGAGATGTGACTGTAATGCGTGCTTGCTACAATGTCATTATATGTATGTATGCCAAGTACACGCATAGTGTATGCCAGACGCCTCTGGTATTTATGCATCAAATTTTATTGGAGCAGGAGTTCAGCCCACCTAGAGACCTTGCACCGCATAGCCTTGGCATACCTAGAAAATCTCTAGGTGTGCCGAGTATTTTTCCGTGCCCGGCCTGTACCTACCGCGAGGTTTCTCCGGGGTGGGCCGAGCTGCTAGCCCGTCGAGCACTCGAGCGTTTCATTCTAGCTTCAGCTTCACTCAACCCGTCTGCTGCCACTGAATCAGACACGGTCTCTTTTCCGAGTCGAGATTCGTCATCGTGTTGTGTGTTGGTGTCAAAGTACCTCTCCAATCCGACTTATGATGTAAACTAGTTGTTGAACATCCAGCTGAATCGCGTTGCTGACATCATTTCGTAAGGTATCGCATTATCTGACTGACTTGTCAATCTCCCAACACCGACAACCCATCCTAAGACTCAGCGTCCCAGTCTTCCTTGCCCCCAGAATTCAGCCATGACAGGTGCTCAGTTAGATCTCATCTACTCTTCACCTCACTTCTCAGCACCAGGTCCAGAAATCATCGACCAAAAGCTGAAAGAGAGAGAGAATCTTATCTACCAAGAGGGGGTCCTAATTGTGAAAGTTGCTCCTCAAGTCGTCGTTAAATTTGGCCCTTCTGTCACGATCCATGAAGCCAAGAATATGATTTATGTCGCAAAAAATACTTCAGTTCCGGTACCGACAGTATTTGCTTGCTACACTTATGGTCCCATCGACAGGGACGTTGAAGATTATGGTAGTCTCTTTGACACATACATATTCATGAGCTTCATCGATGGCCAGACGCTTGATACCGTATGGGACTCATGCAGTGAACATACGAAAGCAGCTATTGCAGCTCAGCTGAAATCATATATGGAAGAGATTCGCAACATCGGCGATGGTTCCTATATCGGTTCTGTCGATCACGGCCCTGTCACAGACCAAATACTTTCAAATCATCACACTAAAGGTCGGAAATTGAAGTCTTGGTATTGCTTGGTGTCTAACATGTTCAATATAGGGCCTTTCCTATCAGAAGAAGAGTTCAATAAAGCAATCATTGATGCTTATGAAGCGAATTTTCCCAAACGTCACATCAGAGCGTTATTAAGTGGAATGCTCTTTCAGAATAAGCACCGCATCGTATTTACTCACGGTGACTTTAGGCCTCGGAATATCATGGTGAAAGACGGAAAGGTCACTGGTATTATCGATTGGGAATTAAGTGGATGGTACCCTGAATATTGGGAATTTGTCAAGTCCTTGTACGTCTGGAGGTGGCAGAACGACTGGTATGATTACTTGGTAAAGATTCTTCAGCCATATTATGCCGAGTATGCATTTCATACATTCTTGGCTCAGGAGTTATGGTGATGATGGTATGATACAACTTGCCACTCAAAGTGCAAGTATAGTCGCTTTATCGGACCACCACCCTGGACCACGACTTTTGAATCATCTGCATTCTATATGACAAACGAGTCTCTCAAGCTAATTCACCCTTCACTTCAGCCAGAACATCATCGACCCAGTTGGAACAGTTTCTTGCCGGTGGGTCAGGGCGTGCTTCGGTAAGAGTCCTAGGATCATGTGGCGGCGGATGCTTCGCAGCGATATCTTCGAAACGGTCGAGCTTTGCCTTCGGGATTTGGAATTGAAGAGCTGAGTCTTTATAGGATCTGCTCTCTCCAAATCGGTACCCGGGTCTTCTCTCGTAGATCATACCCATTCCAACATCCCCCTTGACATGGTAAAATCTTCCTGCCTTTTGGTTGGGGCTCTGTGCGGGTACCAATGCGATACCTTCGTGGTCAGGGCCGCGAGCTTGCTCAAAGCGGACTCGGTAGACGTTGTAGATCGTAGTGTCGGTGGACATGTTGGAGGGTTCAGTAAAGGATCTCACAGATGGTATTTATGATATGGTATGATGGTATCTCACTAATATCGATGAATTGAGGAATCGAAGCAGAATCTCTGGTCCATTTATAACCATTTCGTGCGATCTTTGATGACCACATTTAGAGTAGACTACGATATCTTTCACGAGAGATCGTCCTCAAAACACCAGGATAAACCAATTGCGGGACACGGCGTTTGCCTACATAGCTGTGGTCACCCATCAATGTCTTCGAACTTGTCCAGACAATACGTTTCAGACATAGTCGGCGATACGCGCAACAAATTCGCAGGGATCTGGGGAGAGCATGAGGGCGCTAAAAGGAATGAATGGCTCGTCGAATATTGTTTCCACAACTTGACCGGGCTCGATTGCGACACCAGCGCAGTTGTCAACTCCAGCTTCTAAGCGCCTGTCCGCCTATCTCTCTGCCACATACATATCAAGAGATATGTGCCCGCCATCTTCCTATCATTAGGCTTCGATGACTGAAGGACCAGGTTGCTTTGTGGCAAGTCCCATATTTGGCTCCCAGCAGAAAATTGAGGGCGAAATATACCACTGTGATTTACCAGATTTATCCCTAATATTTCCAAAGCCTCACCAATCAAATAATGAGTAATGTACTCATACGAAGTCCTGCAGATTCAAGCAAATATGTGGTCTGTCCCTGGAATTGAAGCTGGTCCCAGATACTGGCTTTTTTATTTTTGCGATCAGAGAATAAAATTCGGGATAATAGGAAGTAGTTCCAGTCTGAAATCAACCTAGATGTGAGTCCCAAGAAAGACACGGTGCTTTCTGTAACTGTAGATGGTCCTAGAGGACAAACAGGAACTCTAATATCCAGTCATGGGCTCCCGTAATCAGCTTTGGTGCCGGGCATCATGAACAGGGCCTTGTCTTTCTCTCTTGTTCTTATTCAACATGAACCTTTTGCCTTCATGTGGCCTCTTACCCTGTTCCCATGGATGGGCCCCGCATACTCCTCGGCAACCTCGAGAAAAGGGGCAGCCGCGTCCCAGATAGTCATTGAGCAAGCATGTAGAGGGAGACAATAAGTAATACAGGATCATTCATCGTCCTGCCATCTCACCCACCTGTCAGGGCGATGGTAATGTTTCAAGTCTTCCATGCTCTCCTCCTCGTTTCTCCACTTGCGGCGCTTACAAGGTGACTGGCTTTCATTAAGTCATATCTGAACATCGGAGGCAATAATTATAAGTCCCAAACACTATGACAACATTTCGGATAGCATTGCATATTAACGAGATTTGCTTAGATTGCCTATATAGAGATAAATATCCGTATATAGAAGCTCGATTGCGTCAAACAGAGGGTTCTTAGAGGCGAAGCGCAAGTGTTTCAAAGAAAATATGAATGCGCACTTTGGTTTTCAATATCTTTTGGGCGTAAAGATTTTCTTTTCTCTTCGAAACCGGGACCTTCTACCTGGAGCATAGGTACAACCAGGTGTATCTCCTAGACCGGAGATGGCCAGCAGCAGACATTTGATCTAACCGTTTTAGTCAGATTGTTGGTCAACGAAATCAGAAATCATGTCTGGATCCTCCAGCTGTTTTCTTGCTGCAGACACCTGCTTCTCCAGCTGCCTAGTAGTATAGGGCGTTTTAGGCCCTGAATTGATTGACCGACTGCCTGGTGGTGTAGGGGTCTTTAGTTGGATGTCCAACTTGCTATGCACCCTATCTGGATCAAATGGAACTAGTCTTCTAGGCTCGGAAGATATTTCAGGTGCCTGATTGGAGCTGTTGCCATTAGGCCTTCAATTATAAGCATCAGTCGGAGCAAATTAGTCTAGAATTGCTAGGGTAACAGTCAGAAGGGCTGTAACAGTAATGCAGCTGTACCTAACGTGTTAGACCTACAGCTAACTCGGCGCATAGAAGAAACTGGTAAAACCAGATGTAATACTACGCTTTCTCGCCTGCAAGCCAAGGATCTTGGAGAAGCTCCTTGGCTGTGGGTCTCTCTTCAGGAATCCAGGCCAATGCTCTTCGTATGAATCTGAGAAAGCCAAGTTTATCCTCCAGTCGAGTCTCAAGGGCCTCCATCGTACGGCCATGCGGTATGGGTGCAAGGCCTAGCCATTCACCTGTAGTGAAAGGGATTAGAAGAAATGCCATAGGAAAGTGGCGCATTGCGGTTTGTCCTTCTAGGTATTTACGGTTCCTAGATAGCCAACATACCTTGGTCATCCCAAAAATCAGCTCTCCGCTCTGGATTTTTGGCTAGAAATTCAGGGGGCGGTGGGCCTAATGCGGCAATAATTTGGGCGAGATGAGCAGCATCGTAAAGATCGCCATCCTCATCACGTGCTGTGAACAATTTCTTTGGTTCAAGAAGGTCCCAGGCCTTTCCTCAGAACCGCATTAGTGTATATTCCAAACAGCCAGGTGTCAATAATGAACTTTGACCAGCATACAGTGAGGCCGACACTCCATATATCAACGGGATAGCTCCATCCCACATAAAGAAATGTCTCGGGAGCTCGGTACTCTAAGGGCATTATATCGCCGCCGTGCGGTCCAGGACCAATTCTGGCTTCGCCAAAATCAGAGAGTAGCATTGGGCCTTCCTTGGGCCGCATTAACCGTGAGAGATAGATAGTTCGAGTGGACGACACTAGTTTACGTGGCACGGGATTTGTGAACTCCTTCTCTTCAAGGTTTCGTAGAAGATCATTATTGAAAATGCCAAGGAGCATGTTGCCAGGATGCACATCTACAATAAATCAGTGACGAACAACTGATGAGCTATTCTGTGGAAGAACATGAGTGAAAGCATAGATACCAGTGTGGACAATTTCTCCTTGGGTGTGGAGAAAATCTAAAGCCTTGAGAAGCTCGATAATGGCACCCCTGATGAAATCTTCGTCAAATCCATCCTGTCGGAACACTAGCTTCATATCACGCAGGCTCATTTGCGCAGCTTCAAAGACAAGGACAATATGGTGGCCGTCTGGACCGACGGCTTCGAAGGAGTCTAATAGCCTGCGGATGTTACCTCGCCCTTCATGTGAGCTCTCGGCTATACGTCTGGCAATATGATGATAAGATGGCAGCTCGCGATGAACCAACGATGTGCGCACATACACCTTGAGTGCAACGTACTGGTGAACTCTGCAAGAATGAGTTGGAACTTCCCGACATCCAGGGCCTCACGCATACTTACTTTAAATCCCGAGCCAGCCAAGTGGTTGATGAAGAGCCAAAACCAAGTTTCGTAATCACCTGATAGCGGTCGTGGAAAACCTCACCCAGTTGCACAGGATAGAATCGATCAGCTCGGTAATCAGGCAACTCCTCTTCTTCCACTAGTTGGTCAGTTTCAATGACCTCAAATCCGCTCGTTGGAAATCTTCTTCGTTCCTCCATGGCGGTTTGCATCGATTTTCTGCCCTGCGACTTGGTCGCGAAAGCTTTCATGGAAGACGTGACGGTAGACCATGGTGAGGGCATTCTTAGTCTAGGGCGCATCGAAACGGTTCCTTGAAGCCTTGACCCCGCCAGTATTTTTTGTAATCGTGAACGAGTAGTCAAGTGAAGGGTGTGTTTCATAGGATGTGTCATTGCTGACGGTACCCTACAAACATAAATTGAGGAGTATCGATCGTTTTCAATGTCGCAAACCTGGGCTGCGTCATTCGCGACTTCAGCGACTTCAGCCGACACCCCAACGCAGACCCACATATGGCTGATTATTAGCCCAAACCATATTCCCCATCCGCGTTAATTAGACTTGGCACCAGGGTGATCAAGAGACGCCAAAGCACTTTACTGTAGCATCTCTACAGTACACTGCTTTTCGTGTGATCATTTGGGACCAGAGACAGCGACTAGAATTCATTTCCGCTTCACCATTTACGAGAGCATCCCTCAGCCCAACCCCCCGATGTTGATAACTGTACTTTTTGCAATCGTCTGTATGACTGGGAGCTCTTCTTTCAGATTAACGAAATACAAAATAGTTCAAGAAGTTTCACTGCTGCTTTCCACAAAGATGAATTAACATAGTCTCTTAGTGTCTTCATGGAACTCTCAACAACCAAAACATGCGTATTTCTATTAAAATTAATTATCGTGTAGGACAGATAGTTCTAGTATGCCGCAGAATGTGGCATTCAGAACATGGGTGGAGCACATCTTGGCATGTTTGAAGGTAAGGATGCAGAACTTGTTAATGGGATAAATACTTGAATTTAGTCACGTTGGTTGTCACTATTAGTCCTTCAAGTTCAACTTCTCATTCATATCCCTTGAAATATCTTCGACTTCTCCATACGCGGAAGTTGGTCTAAGCATTCCCTCAAAATTTAACTTCATGTCTTGAGGTCGAAAGCCCCGATCTAATTTTTCCTTTATTACTCTCCGGCTTATGTCAGCAAAGGAAGTTTTCCAATCGTCAATGAAAGCTTCTGCCTGAGCATGTGTCCGGAAGTGCTTATGACAAGCACCTGGGACCGTTTCAACCATTGGCTTCACTTTTCCGCTGCCAAATTCATGAGCAATCATCATGACAGTATTCGGGTTGGCCACCATACTAATCGTAAGGATAAATACCCGGTTTTGCACCATTAGCAACAGCATAGAAACCTTTGTTGCCTGGTATTGGTGTAGTCTCTCCTGCACCTTCCTTTATCACAAGTCTAGGGTTTTCGACTCCATTTTTCTTCATATATTCTAGTGCTTTGTCAAGTTCGGAAAAGCGCCTATGGATCGATTTGCATCCAGTCACACGGGGATGTGCATCGCCCCTAGCAGGAGCAATCAGTTGGTTGTCCATGGAATAATAAGTAGGGAAATATACCACGATGAGAATATCGTAGGGTCGTCAATTCGTCCAGTAACAACGGCATAATATTCCTTGTTCTTCTTGCCTGGTGACATTTTGCAAAGTTGGACACAAATGCCTCAGTTATTGCACAAGCTTCTCGAAATGCAGATCCATACCGTCTTAAATGTTGTCCTCGCTGATCTGTGTTTTGGTGGGGCAATGCGGGGTAGGCATATATCCCCAGAGTTTCTATTTAAAGAATAAGTACGGAGGTGTGGGCCAAAAGAGATTGGCACGCTAGTAAGATTGGGTATAATTCCAAGACAGGCCACCATAGTGTTACGCCCTGGGATCCTTCGTACCTCGGTATCATTGGCTTGGACTTCCGGTTGGCTTGTCTGGCCTGATCTCTCTGGAACCGGTGACAACGCGTCGTATCGTATAGGCCTTACGCCACTGTCTGACGGTCTTCGAAGGGTTTCGAGAGGTAGAAGAAAGCAAGGCTCCCTCGGTACGTATACATTAGGATTAGGGAAGTACTAACGAATACAGATCTCCAAGTTGATACTTCAGTAACTTGGTGTTATTGAACGCGAAGACAGAAAGATCAACTAGATACATGATGGTAATGACAGTCCTTATACATCTTCCTCCCATTATACCTTTCCCTGGTATATTCCTGCGTTCCCTATACTCCATTATACCTAAGTATGGTGAAGTAGTAGAGTATAAAATACCCTGTATACCTTTTGTTGGTGGAGGTCAAACTCGCTGAGTTGGTTGATCCAGCTAGGGAGGCCCGGAGTCCAGGACTAACTAACTAGGAAGGAGCTGGACTATAAGAACTACACGATATAGCATAGAGACCAGATACCGGGCTCTTTTTATAATTAGAAAATTGTGTTAGTCCAAATTTCGCTTTAGATCCATAAAGGGAAACCATTGATACATCAAGATAGTGCAGTCTCCCTTAGGAACGTGGCTTTTTCCAATGCATTTGCCTGGATTCTCCAAATATCTCCAAATATTTTTACCAAGCATCACAAATTTTGAGCCAAACTCGTTCAATATCATCTCAGCACCTGACTCTTCTTCAGAAAGAGCGTTATGATACATATCATCTGTCCCAAATGTTGTAATATTCCACATTCTTTTCCACCTTTCAACTGCTATAGCTGCCTCCCCACTACTAACGTTGACATTTGTTGCAAGCATGTAGAATGAAGACCGCTTTGCATGGATCCTTGGAGGTTTAAAGAGACGCACAGAAGCGAACTTATTGAATGTGTAAAGGAGCTGCACATTATGGAAAGCTTCGACTTTGTGGACAAGTACAATCATAGCTCCTCCAGGCCTGAGATGCTCAAGACCAATCGCCAACTGTGTAAGCGTCAACCGCCTCCCCTCCTTAACCCCACGATAAGAGGCTCGCTGATGGGTGCTAAGCACCTGACCGTCGCATAAAACCAGATCGAAAGCCAATCCTGGCTCAAGCTGGCTAGGTAAGAAATTGGCAGCGTCCGGGTGTTCAGATGGAATATCCATCGTCCCTATATCCGCAGCCAGCATATCAAGAAACTTCAGTGTGACATTAGGATGATTCGGTAGAAGAACTTTGTGGCCGCCTTCAGAAACAGGTAAGCTAGCCCCAATTCCTCGGTTTCAGGGTTAATCCTCAACGCAGCCGCAAGAAAACCTCCTGGTGCCATGCACATATCGAGGATACGGGTGCTATCCGAGTTTTGGCTTTTGGTTTGAAGAACCCCAGTGAGCCGGTGCATGTCGTTTGCAATGTCTTGCATCATCTTGTAGAAAATTTTAGCCGTTTTGTCCTTGGCATTATCGGCATTCTGGCGCTAATTTTGGAAGAACCGATCGCCTTCAGGATTATTCCAGCCCTGTTCTAGCACGTTAGCACTATCTGTATATACCGGAACAATTTGCTTTTCGCTTCTAGCCTTATCTCGGAGCGTATATAGCCGCTGAAACTGTGGAACTTCTTTGAGAAGGTATTCTTCTATTATGGCCTTACAAGGTCGTTGGATCTTTGATCGGCAGGACTCGATGTCTGTTCAGTAAATTCTTGACAGCCGAGACTCTCTGATGTGCTGTCAGCATGACTGCTTGCGGGATCAGAAAGATCAGTATGATTCCTGGTAGCTGTAGACGTCTTCGTGGCAACAGAACCAAGAAGAGAAATAAAGGAAGAATACTGACTGATCTCAGCCAGAGGCAGAACTGACAGCCCACAACATTCGGGGCAGTTAACTGTACTCGTAGTATCCTTCAATGGGACAAGAAATTCTCGACATAGCAATACCTGAGTGGTGCTAGGAAGGTTTGCGTTGCATCTGATGGCGCTCATGCTGCATGCCACTTAAGACACATCCATGAGTAGCTTTCCTAAGTATCACTTTACAATTTGAAAGCTGCATGCATGCATTTATATCCCTCATACAACGATATACAGGACATATCCAGGTAGTATTGATGAATCATATGCATTAATTTGGTCAATATCGCCGGGAGTCAATTTGTGCTGAGCGGGTAATACTGAAGAGAAGAAATTGATGACACAGGAAGGTCATTATTGGGAGACTCTATGGTAAGACTCATTTAGGTGGTCTTTTCAATTGGCAGCGCTAACAGTTCCTTTTATGAGTTCTCACATACGGTACAGAGTAAATGTATTCTGTATTGATGTAACTAATACTATCGATTCTTCGATGTTCCGTAAGTCCTTTGCATGTGGTGTCTCTCCCTCCCATTAATCGAATCATTGACCGCATTAGCGAGATCTTGTCCCACCTGTTCAATACGTTTTAGAGCTGGATCCTGCTATCGATCGGCAGGTCATCAATGGTAAGGCTTTTTTTTTTTTTTTTTTTTTTTTTTGACCCTGAGAGGATGTCACAGTATCAATTGAAGTACCCATGGGTGCCTGACCCCAGAAACCCCGCTTTCCCATAATCAGGGGCAGAGTGTGATAGCTAGTACTACGAATAGATGAAGAAAAAGCAACTTATGCTATTCGGTACTATTTCAATGAATACCAGACATGAGAGGAGAGAAGAGAAAAGAAGGGAGAAGAGAAAAGAAGGACTGAAGGGAGCGTGGATGCGTAAACAGTGTGCCGGGGGCACTGCGAATCTATAGATAGGACCCTGTCAGGCAAGATGTCGGAAACAATTACGAGAGACTGGTAGATGGTATTCCAGACATGAATGCGACTATTTTTTATCCTGGGTAAGTTCGTTTGACGGCATTCCCCTGAATATATACATCGATAATGCAGAAGAGCGAGCCATCCCAGAATCTACCGATACTCTCCACCACAATCACCCATCGACTCAAACATTTCCAGCCGCTTACTCCTCTTTAGGATATCTTCAATGGCATCTTGGTCTGAATTGTCTAGCGACCAGCCGAAGCTCGCTTGGTTTTCGTCAAGATGCTCGCTGATGCCCATGCGAGCTCCAACGATGACTGCCCCGACATATGGGAAATCCAACACCCACCGCGTGGCAACATTGGAAATGGATACATTCCTTTTTATGGCGATTGATTTGAGCACCCGAAGTAATTCTTGAAATAGCTCCCAGCCGCCCCAGCTCTGAATCATGGCGTAATACTGTGCGGAGATGAATGGTTAGCATCTTACCAGCCGAACAAGGAGGGACAAGGATCATGTACCTTTCTTTGACTGGGTGTTACTGTGCTGTCGTATAAAGCAGGCTCTGGTTTTCCAAGCCATCTCTCAGCCAGAAAGCCACCACACTAGATGTTCGTTAACATTGCACATGGCAGGTGGGTATGGGGGACGGCAGTCTCATTCATACTAAGGTACCGTAGGTAAACAGCTTCACGTTATGTTTTCCGCAGACTTCTCCCATCTTAACAGTCGGTCGCGAGTCCATCAAAGAGAACTAGAACAGGACGAGGCGTCAGTTGGATCCGGAGGCATCGTGGGAGTTTCCGTCTTACCTGGACCTGGTTGGAGTATACTTTCACTCCACTGTCAAGTATTCTTTGTAAATGCTCCGTATCGAAATTGCAGAGGCCCAACTTAGAAACTCGCTCGTCCTCTTGCAGAAACCTTGTGGCATCGATATATTGTGGATCATCATACTGTATAGCATCAGGATCAGCAGATCAGGAGGGCTCAGGCGAGCCAACGGAGCCGTATGTGTCTTACAAACTGCCAATGGAACTGAAGAAGATCAATCCTGTCAGTTTGCAGGCGTTGGCATCTTTCTGTGACATTGGCGCGGACGGCTTCGCGTGACACCGTCATGGGGTGGAAGACACAGTATTTTGTAGCGGCAAAAATGGCATCTGGATGCGGATACGATGACCGGAAACGGCCCTTGTAAATGCCATCAGCATCCTCGAAGATAAACATCGGAGAGAAGACGGGAACATACGAAGATGATTTCAGCGTCACCATAGTGGTCAGCCATGTCGAAGGCAGTGAACCCGCTCCCGACATGTCTCGCAAACTGGCTCACAATCTTGGATGCGGGGGCTGACCCCCATGCCGGGCCTGATAGCTGCCACAGCCCAGAGAAAATACGCGGCAATTCCCTGTCTCCCAGCCAGAATGTCTCCGTCGCGGTTGGAGGCGCACATACTACTCCTCCGTCGAGAGATTTGCAGTCCGGCACAACGGTGCCTCCGGATGGGGGCACCGGACAGCCCAGCAAGCTGGCAATTGCCATTAGCCCCCTCTCAAATGGGAACTCTCTGCTCTGTATAGTGCACTCCCTCTGGCAAGCCACGAGGCTGCTGTAAAGTCTGTCGACTAACTTATGTTCGTCGATAGACAGAACTCGAGACCCCGTCGGCACCGCTAGGGTTTTCTGAACAGCCGTAGCTGCTTGGACAATATCCGCGTCAACAGGTGCCAGTAGCCCCCATATCTCTTCGTCATTGATGTCCTTTGTTTGATCCACGATGGAGCCCAGCAGAGGGAGACTCTGATAGCAGAGGTTGCATCCCAGCATGCAGCGGATGCGCGCCTGCAAAAGGGAAGAGGTTTCGTTCAGTGTACCATTATCATCGAGCAGTGCATCTGATCGCAGTGCGTTCGACTGTAGGTAATCCCTCGTCACTCCCTCGAACGTCGCCGTGAGACTGGGATACAAGGCAAGGAGAGACCGCATGATGGAACGCAGCGCATCGGGTGAAAGGTTTGCAATAATGGTGTCTGTCATCATGTTGACATGAGCCATTCTCGACTTTGTTGGCTGAGCAATCGCCATGACTGGTTCGCGCGCAGTGAGATCGAGGAAGCAATTGAACAAGGAGCAGAGGCTACTGGAAGCAGGTAGTCCGCGCCAAACAGAAAAGAGACGGGCCTATTTTGTCGATGATACCAGCAGCTCAGCGTACTCACTTTCCTATCTGTAGACCGTCAAGCAAGCCTCCACACCGGCGTCTCACCGGCGTCTCAAGGGATTCGACCCATGGTTGCAGACAGTGGACCTGCAGATAAGACGAGATAAAAATACGGGGTAAATAGTCATAAAATGAGCCGGGAAAAGGCGCAGATGGACCTGGCTGCAGATAACCACTGCGTTCTGCATTCTCTTCATCGGCATCTTATGCTGCGCGCTTGTCAGAGGAGCGTTGACGATTCTCTAAGTCCTTGACCGGCCTTTTTTTTCATTTTCATTTTAATCCTCCGATCCTCCGTGATCTAGCTGCTTAGCGGCCTTGTGGAGAAAGCTCGTCTGGTGCCGGCGCGAACACGATGCCAGGCACGGCCGATCAGACCCGCAGTCTGGTCAAACCGGCTGGGCAGAGTCGGACTCGGACTGTGACTATGAACGCCTGCCTACCCTGTCGCAGGATCAAAATGAAGTGTCGTATGCGAAAGGGGGAAGCAACATGCGAACGGTGCGATCGTAAGGGGCTCGACTGTATTTTCCAAGAACACCGGCGCGGGAGAAAGCCAGGGACGAAGTATGTGTATAGTCCCTCCATACATCGGGAATGGACGGCTGATGCCTCTTAGAATCTCAAAGGGAACAAGAGTAGCAGGCAATGACAATGCCAGGCCTGCACAGGAGGCGGCTGCAGCTCCGGACAATGAAGCAGGAGATGATAATATGCGCTCTCACACAACCCCAAGGACTGACCTTGATGGCGATCGACCGGTGTCCGCGGAGCCTGCGAGTCTACAGCCGTCGGAATTGCTGAATCGTGAGGCGATGAGAGGGAAATTCTCTCTGCTGAGCGTCCTCGGCACCGACCACGAAGGCATTGGGGCGGCGGCCGAGGACGCATCCGTCGTGCCTCCGCAGGATGCCATTCGCATCGGGCTGGTCAGTCAGTCGATTGCAGAGTTCCTTTTTGCAAGGTAGATGCGACACAGGACTGCTTCACTGGAGAAGAAGGAAGCTGACACCATCAGTTTCATTAATATCCTCAATCCATACATCAGTCAATTGGACCCGCTCCTTCATACCTTCTCTTATGTTCGCCAACGGTCGTCCTTCTTGCTTTGCTCCATCCTCGCAGTGTCGGCAAAGATGTTCAACCCAGCTTTGTACGAACCACTGCATAAGCATGCTGAAGACTTGTTTGTCGACGGTTTCCGGCAGGGCACCAAGTCGGTAGAGACGGCCCAGGCCATCCTGATCCTAACGTATTGGAAAGAGCCCGAGGACACACGGTCTTGGGTCACCCTGGGCTATGTCATCCGAATGTGCATGGATCTGGGCTGGCACAAACTCGCGCCTCGTTCCATACGGGAGCGGGACAGTTTGACCACCACACAGTTGAGGGAGGTGCGCAATATTGAGAGAACATGGTTTGTGCTCTTCGTCTATGATCGCAGGTAAGCCAGGTGCGATTTCCTGCAGGAATCGTCCACGCCTTTCTTCTGACGGCGCCTCGCAACAGCATGAGCTTGCAGACCGGGAAGCCATGGATGATCGAACGTAACCGGTTTATTGAGACGATCGAACCATGGTGCAAGGATCCCACAGCTACTCACAATGATGTTCTGCTGGGTGCGTTTGTGACACTTCGGTTGCTGACCTCTGAGGTCTTCCGGTTGCTGGGATCGCGCCGTCAAATCGACACATATGACAATATATCCTCCTTTCTAACAATCATCAACAGTAGAATCGATGAGTGGGAGTCAAAATGGCTGCAGCTATGCGGAAACGGTACGAACCCTTCTGCATGGGAATCGAGAACAGGAGCACCGGACTGACCCTTTGACAGAATCTGAAAGTTGCCATCCGTTCCTTATTCGCTTCTACGGCACTCATCTTCGTCTACAGCTCTATTCTCTGCCTCTGCAGGAGGTTCTGGGATCGGCAAGCCATGACGTTGCCTACAACCTAGAGACGCTCTGGGAGAGCTATTCCGGTGCAATCAACATGCTGAAGCTAGTGTCTCTCTTTTCATCACGTCTATACTTTGCTCAAGACTCGGTGCATATCATGACAGCATACTCAGCAGCGTTCCTCATAAAGGTCAGGCCGTCGAGTGCTACTGCATTGGATTCCCCTTTTCTCCAGTCTTGCTGATGGGCATACAGCTCCTATTATCGGCGCCTGCATCTATTGTCCGTGAGATTGAAGCCGGAACGATCGAGACAATCCGGACTGCAGCCACAGCCTTTTCGCAACAGTCTGCGCCTCCCGGCTCCAGCTGTTTCTTGCAGGCCCGGTTCCTCGACAAGGTTGTTTCCAATTACGATGACATTCGAGAGCAGAACTCCCCGCGAGGCGTATCTGCGACCACGCGCACCGACATCTGCTACCATTCTAATCTAGCAACTCCGGGAACAGGGACCAGAGAAACAATGACTGCCCCATCCGCTCTGGCGGAAGGCAGTTGTGACAGTATATATACCCAGCAACAAGCATATGAGGAAAATAGTCTTCCCCGGACTTTCATCACTACGGCGCAAAGCTCGAGTGCTGTAGCACGTTCGACAGCAAGGATAGACTGCATTCTGACTGACAATGATACATGGGCAGATGTCTTTGCTAATGCTGGTTTCAACATTCAAGACGGGTTTTTCTTCTCGTAACTACGGGATTTGAAATCCCACGGGCAAATCCCCGTTCAGTGGTTCAGAGGTACGGCGGTCGTTTCACCGTGACTAAACGTCCGAATTCCCTCCCTGATGATTTTCAGCTGCGAAGGACAGTTGGGATCAGGGCATGCGATTAATGCATCTGTTGACATCCAGTCGTTCTGGTGCGTAACGCGCTGTTTGGCTGGGAGGAGCGCCAGGACGGATGCTGTTTCGAGTCCGCATGAAAGCGTATTGTGTCAGCTTAGGTTGGGCAAGGACGGTCTTCTGTCATCTCTTACACAGGCTGTAGATGCTGATTCCCTGGTTCGGTGGTAGATAGAGCATTTCTCCATGCAGCGTGAAATAGTCGCCTTCCTTGGCGCCGCACAGGATTCGTTCCCCCGGAGGACAGACAACCTCGACGCGAAGGTCATAGAGCTGGAATGAATCATCCTTGTCCATCGTGGCTGTGAATAGTGGTCTGCAGGATTTCAGCAGAGAACCCGAACCCTGAATATTTATCAGAAGCATTTGTTGCCGCGATGGTTACCCGCCGAGACGACCTTCTCCACTCCGGCGTTCTAAGCGTCGTCTCTATCTTCCGAATTCGCGGCCGGCAATCTACAATTTCTTAATCACTGGCCGGTGACCGTTTCGTGTTGAAGATGATTGACTAGCCTTATCGAATGGCCAAGGGGCCAGTCATCGCCTCTAGGATAGTTGGACGTTGTGAGTTGTGCACAATCCCTATCAAAGAGCCTGCGGTCATTGAACACCCGCCAGCTTATATAGATAGGATTGAGCCAGACCAGCTGTGTCAGTCTGTCCGCGCAGTCATTGTCATCACTATTTATTTGGTTGGAAACTCTTTGCTCTCCCGGGTATCCGTGGCCTGAGAACAGGAGAAGACAGGATGGCTTTCGACGACAAAAAGGATCCTTTCAAGACGGCTCCCAATGCAGCTCAGGATGTCGAACCAGGTCTGGAAGACCAGAGTTCGGCCGGCGTGATGGAGGAAATCAGACGCAGTATGGGCTCCCGGCATATCAACATGATTGCCATTGCTGGAATGATCGTGGGTGTCCACCCGTCTAAATGTGCTGGACTGCACCAAGAGGCGACAGTGGGCCATTAACACGTCAAGTCTAGGGCACTGGTCTCTTCCTCAGCTCGGGGCAGGTCATTGCCATCGCTGGCCCTGCGGGGGCCTTCATCGCTTACATCCTCATGGGCCTGGTGACGGCCGGGGTTTCTTTTACCACGGGCGAAATTACTTCTTTCATGCCGTCCACCGGAGGATTCGTTCGCCATGCCACGAAATACGTCGAGCCCGCATTGGGCGCAGCCGCTGGTTGGAATTTCTGTGAGCCTCTCTGATATAACCAACTTGGCCTCTGCGGTGGCAAGCTGATGTTCAATTCTCCGTCAGGGTACGCGATGACTATCTCTGTTCCAGCAGAACTCAGTGCTGCTGCCACGGTTATCCAATTCTGGAATAAGTCCATTAATCCGGCAGTGTGGATTTCCGTCTTTCTCGTTTTCATCGTTGTTCTCAACTTCTGCGAGGTGAGATTGTACGGCGAGGTATGTTCTGAACACAACACTTGCTTGGGCTGTATCTTTCCCATCTCACCGTTAATATTCACGTTACAGTCCGAAGTCATCTTTGCCTCGTTGAAGATCATGTTGATCATCGGCCTGATTATTGGTGGCCTTGTCATCGACCTGGGAGGTGCACCAAGTCATGACCGGATTGGATTTCGCTACTGGAAGCACCCCGGCGCCTTCAACGAGTATATCAAGACCGGTTCCACAGGGCGATTCCTTGCCATCTGGAAAGTGCTCCTCTCGGCGGCCTTCAGTTACGGGAATATCCAAGTTGTGGCCATTTCTGGGTCCGAAACGCATGATCCCAGGAGGATTATTCCTGCGGCAACGAAGAAGACGTTCCTCCGGGTCTTCTTTTTCTACGTCCTGAGTATCTTTATTGTCGGGATGATTGTGTGAGTCGCACACCCTGTTCTGTTCTGTTCCTGCAGTGATGGAGGGAGAAGCCCTAATGGATCCGGATCCCTCGCTCTCCCAGGCCCTACGATGACAAAAGTCTGTCCATTTCAACAGGCACTGCGCAGCAATCCCCGTTTGTCATTGCTTTCCAGCGTTCCGGAGTGTCTGTAGTTCCTTCTATCATCAACGCCGTCGTCTGTACTTCGGCTATCAGTGCCAGTTCCGCTTGCATCTTCATCGCTTCTCGGACACTGTACGGGCTTAGCTGCGATGGCCACGCGCCCAAACTCTTCCAGAAATGCAACAGGTTCGGTACACCGCACTATTCTGTGGGATTGACCTGCCTCTTGCTGCCACTTGTCTACCTCAATGTGGGCAAGAACACATCCGTGGTCTTTGGGTGGTTTGTGAATATCACAACGGTGGCCGGCTTGATCGGGTGGATAATCATCGAGGTTACATATCTGAGGTTCTACTTTGGACTGAAGGCCCAGAGAATTTCGCGCCACGGTATGTTCTCATCACTCTGCTTGGGTCGACTGACTGAACGCTGACCTTTTTACCTGAAGAACTGCCGTATCGCAGTCCACTGCAACCGTATACAGCCTGTACAACGCTATTAGTCGTCTTCCTCGTCGTCTTCTTTTCCGGTCAGTGCTGTCCACTCCCCGTGGTCTTCCCATTGCCCGGATGTATACTAAATGTCGTCTGTTTACAGGATTCGATATATTTGTCAAGGGCAATTTCACAGCGTCGGGATTCTTGACATGTTATCTGAATGTCTTCATCTTCATAGGTATCTCTCTCTGTGTGTGTATCCCACAAGACAGCGGAATGCTAACAGGAAGCAGCCCTATACATATTCTTCAAGATCTTCCTTAGGTCCAAAGTTATCCCTCTGTCCGCGATAGACTTTGCGAGTGAATTTGCGTCGATCCAGGAAGAGAAAGAACAGGCTGGTATCGTGTCGCTTGAAACAATTCCTATGCAGGAGGGAAACAAGCTACGTAGATGGATCGGTCGCTTAAGCCATTCGTGCTAAAATGGCAAGCACAGGAAAGGAGTCTATGATGCATATTCATGTACCTAATATCAATTGCACAGGGCATGGTTCATCGTCTTCGGAAACAGTATAAGATTCTAGAAGGCCTCGCGTCTCGCGACTCCAGACAGGATTCCCGGTAGCCACGCTTCATTGAGCTTGTCAAGTATTGCTCGCAGCCATGCATCATATCCAGCGAACAGCCCCACGCGTTTTTAAGCACCGCATACTTTGAGGGGGGCTTCATACCTCTCTGAAACATAATCCGTCTTCTGACGCTCACTTCGACCCTGTAACTCACTTGCCACAGCGTGTGTGATCTTGCTCGGGCATACTGGACAGATACGGTGGGTGGCGGACATCTTCAGCCATTCCGGCTGTGCCTTGCATATGAAAGGCATATAAAGGCATAACACACGCAGTGTCCCATGCCTAAGCAATGGCAGAGATTGTGGGCCACAGTTCGAACGACTCGAGAGAACCAAAGATCTCGATACCTGGCTGAATATGGGCCCGGTATTCGAGTAGCTGCGCTGATTGTTTGCTGAAGTGGGCTAGTCATGCTAGCAGCAGGGGTCTAATCAGCCTTGGCCAGCTGAAGTCTCTGGCCACGTATGAGTTTAGTAAAGGATGGTAGTAAAGGATAGCGGTACCTTGCCGTCAAGACAACCGCAATCGACTGCCGCCGCACGCTCTTCCACAGTAGTAGTCGCCATGATCATCCTCGTACATATCCTGACCCGTAAGTAGAATAATTAAACACGCATCATGAGGTACCATCTCGATTGCAGCATCCAAAAGGTCGTTAAGGTTCAGTTGCCCTTTGAAGATCCCATCGGGTGATTGGAGCTAGTCCTAGAATGATCAGCTTTTGCTTTGTGCCATGCAATTCAGATCGAGAACCACTTACATAACTTCAAGCATGCCATCCATCTGCATGTTACCCAGTGTGAGCTCAGGATTTGGTTCCATGGCGTCTTCCATGCCATGGGCTCGTCCTCCTCAGGCTCTTCTCAATCCATGTGCTCTGCCTGGAAAGTTCATGCCGTGGCCTCAGCTTGCTGTCATAAAATCCGCCGCGTCTTCCGTTGCGGTGGTGTAAATCCATATGCGGGGCATCGCCAGTTGAGCTGCGGGCCCTGCGTCCAGGCAAAGACACCAGCATCTGCTTCCACGGATGCATATGCTCCCAAATGGCCTCTGCATTCATATATGCCAGCAGTGGTGTGTACCGGATCTGCTGCTTTTTCACCCAGATGGCCTCAATGCAGATGCAATGGCCAAGTTCCTTGGTGATGGCCTGGCTGATCATGGCAACGTATCTCCATAGACAATGGATGGAATGCTTTCTATCAGACGGTTTGCTCCATCCGAAGAAAAATCCTGGAAGCTTATTGTTTTCCCCAAGTAGTGATTGTAGCAGGAAGTGAACGCTACACTTTTGAACCATGCAGGTCTGGATACATGAATGCTTCTCTTGGAACATTGCACAACTCTTGGCATTTCCGGTATTATGCTGTAGCGCGTATAAAATTATATCCAGTCCGTCCCCACGTCCGACGCCAACGAACTGTGGCTCAGTTCTCTCCTCCATCGCCCCGGCTTTCTACTGATTCATCTCAACACTCCCTGGGTTTTCTATTTTCTCCATTCTATCGTTCCCCACGATCTCTTCGAGTCCTGTTCGGTCAGTAACCTGTATAAGATACCGCTCGTTACATAGCTAGCCTCTTGGTCTCCATCCGCCATGGCATCTCCGAACGACTTCACTGTTGCAATGACCAACCGGTCGCTCCGCAACATCCGATCTGTTTGTTCTCCTCTGTGCTGTCTAGCGTCTATTGATTGTACATATCTGACTTGGCTTTTATCTGGCAGGAACTTGATTTCCTCGCTGATGCCTCAGTCATTACACCGCAACAACATTCATCAATCCTGTCACAATTGCGAGACCTCTCCATGAATATGCCCGAAGTATCTCAACCGCGGTCAGAGAAAACGACTTCATCAGCACCTCCGGCTGCAACTCCCGCGCCAACGCAGCCCTCTCCGGGCCCGTATACTCCCCCGACTAGCCAGTTTGCGAATGCGACGTTGAACGAGAAATCTAGCCTACATAACCAGTTCTCGACCCCCCCTCCACCTGCATACCAACAAGGACCACCTGTGCTATCAGTAGCCTCGGCTCTATATGCCTATACTCCCACAGATGCGGGGGATCTAGCGTTGCAACCGAACGATCGCATCCAAGTATTGGAGCATATGAACAACGACTGTACGGCTGTCTGCCATTTTGTCATAGCAACACGGCTTTTGCTAACGCAGTATGGACAGGGTGGCGTGGTCGAAATGAGCGAACCAACCTGGAAGGTATCTTCCCTCGCAGCTACGTACGAGTTATCGAGGAGAAATCCGTTCCTCCTGCGCCCGTTCCTCAGCCGACGAATTATGGCAATATGCCTCTGGAAGTCAGTCAGAGTGGTTCCGCACCCCAAGCCGAAGGGAAACATAGCAGGTTCGGAGAACAGGGGAAGAAGTTTGGGAAGAAGTTGGGCAATGCTGGTTAGTAGCCTTATGAATTCTCCCTGCTAGATTCTCGACTCGGGTTGACTAAATATGATGATCTAGCAATCTTCGGTGCTGGCGCCACGATGGGCGCGGATCTTGTGAACAGTATTTTTTAGTGTTGAAATCCAACTGCAACTGGCGCAACCAACTGCACCTTTGGCCTTGGTAGAATGGATCTCTCGGGTCGAGCGACGATGAACCTTTCCCTCTTTCTATCTCTTAGTCTGTCGGGTCCGGCGTTTGGGAGTTGTTATGCTAGTATGAGCTGTTAACAGACTGATTGGGTTCTTTCAGGTTGCGCATGGCCGTGTCTTCTCCCTTGCTACATGTAGAACAGAAATGTCATGTTATAACTCCATCTCACCGAGTTGATTAGTATAAATGCCGCTGGTCCCTGGAAGATGATTCAAAATGTCCTGCGGAATCTATTCGGTGGACTAGTGTCGTTAGTCCGTCTAGATTGAACTATGAACGCGCCACACCCAATTTAATCCTTCGACGGCATGACGAAGACTCGAACGGCTAAGAGAATCTTCTGACGCAGGTTTCAGTACTTCTGGAACCATGCAAGCCCTTCACTCTGAGTCCCGTCTGGAAACGGCGCACTAACAACCTCTCCCGTTGCATGCCGATACGACTAACTTTGTGATAGGCGTTGCTGGCAGCATTAGTGCTGCGGGATTGTTGTTACAGATGCGCCCTGGGCGTCTCTCTAAGCGCTGAAGATATTTCTGTGCCACGTCTCTGGCCCAATCCCAGTCAAATATAGTCATGTCTGCAAGACTTGCACGGCGCGGCGCAGAACATGCTGTTCCGGCTCTCTCACTTCAATCAGCTTACGCCGAGCCACGGGCATCTGGGTTTAAAAGAGAAGAGCTTCCCCTCATCGCTCCTCTCTCACACTTATTCTCTGCATATATTCGAACTTCTCGACATTTTTACTTGAGTGGCTGGCCCCTCCGCTTTGTCGAAATAACGGCAGCAGTGCTACTTACACCGGGACTTGGATGAATGGGATCCCATATGTACAGTGCTTTCTAGACGAGACCACAGGATATAATAAGCTGGTTAACGGTGCTGTCGAAATCGCTTATCTTCGCGATTCACGCAATTCCGAGATTGTCATATACTTGATCATGGCCCAGCAGATGAGTTTCCCACCACGTATGCGCTCCATCTGCCCCAATTTACTGCGCTACATATTGACTGATTCTTGCAGCTCCAACAGGTAGATCACCTTCATTTCTATCATCGGCTCAATGAATTGTTTGAGGTAAAAAAGAGTGACTTCCTCACAATAACATAGCTCCGCAATCCCCACCACCGCAGAATTTCAGCTATCCCCCTCCTCCAACGTTCAATTATAATAGTGCTGCAATCGGCACTGCGCATTCCGAGACACCACCGCGCCAAGAAGGAACCTTCGAAAAAATCCCAGGCGGCGCGCCGGCATTTGGAACCTTCGTTGGAGCCGGCGGAACTGAGCAGGACAACGTAGGAACGTTCAATGGCGGTAGTTACAGGGTTAGCCATCGCGACACGAATTCGATTCTGACGGTTCAGCTTGCGATGGGATGCCCATTGGTTGCGAAGCCAGGTAATAATGTTTCCTCGTTACACTTGAATTCTGTGATAACCACACGCAATCAATCTAACAATATTTCAATGGCAAAACAGGTGCTATGATCGCAATGTCTCCCACCATCACACTAAGAGGTACGGTGAAGTTCTCCATGAAGAAGCTGCTTATCGGAAGCGAGATGGCAATCTCCACATACACTGGACCGGGGGAGCTTCTGCTCGCGCCATCCGTTCTGGGCGATATCACTGTTCTGCGCCTCATGGGTTCAGAAACGTGGAAACTGGGCAAGGACGCTTTCCTAGCTGCAACGAGTGGTATCCATAAGGATTACCAAGCGCAAGGTCTTGCGAAGGGAATGTTCTCTGGCGAGGGCTTCTTCGTCTACAAAATGTCAGGAGTAGGCCTTGTGTGGGTGCAAAGCTTTGGGGCCATCATTAGGAAAGACGTATGTTATTCCATATCGCCTTCCCTTCTACCCTTTCTCCCTCCAAATCACGATTATCTCGTACGATTGATTATCCCTAACCATGTTATAATTCGCAGCTCGTGGACGGTGAATCTTACTACATCGACAACGGCCACCTGGTAGCCTGGAACTGCAAGTACAAGATCGAACGCGTTGCATCCGGCGGTATCATATCGAACTTCAGTGCGGGCGAAGGTCTCGCTTGCAGATTCACCGGTCCGGGAACTGTCTACATGCAGACGAGGAATTTGAACGTCTTCGGTACGCATATCGGGGCAAGCACAGCTAGTGGTTGAAATAAATTCAAAAACTCAAGCTCGCTATTATCGTCTTGGGTTTCATGTGTATATATGTTCATTTGATTCAAGCCTTTCCTTTTATGTGTTATGACAGGAACTTCCTCTACTTATGTGGTTTTTTTTTTGGTTTCCCCTACTTTCTATTCGTATCCAAGCAGTTAGTTGAGTTGAAAACATGCTGCCCGGCCGACATCTATATAGGAAGCAGAACGAGGTGCTCTTATCATTAAGTAGATGGAGAAAATGTAAATAAGAAAAGTGGGAAAAGTGTCTAAATCGGTATAGAAAACAAGGGCTAAAATCCCAACATAGGAATTGAAATCCATTTCATTTCATGCCACGCTACTTTCTCATTTCGCTCGATCCCTGTCTTGCTTTTTTTCCACCGCCCTGTCATAACGGAGTCCTAACCTAATCCACATGGCCTCCTGTACATGAGAATAACAGAATCAAAAAAGGGGGAAAGGAATAAAAGGACCAGCCGTAAACGACCGCTGCCGTGATAATAATAATAGAGAAGACAAAAGAAGAACAACACCTTTAACCCTGCCTCTTCCTGCGGCCGACTTGGCCACGGAAACCGGTCTTGATTGCTGCGACGGAACGGCGGGAACCACAGGAGTTGCAGGTAATGAAGTACAGGCGGTTTTCACCCTTGTTGAGTTCAGTGTCGGGACTGCGGCATGTCTTGCAAGTAACGTATTCGACTGTTGTTTTTGTTAGCGATGCATATCAATTTTAGAAAGGAGTAAGGAGAGAAAGCGGGGAGAAGAGCGGCGACAACATACCAATATATCTCCTCAAAACGTTCTCTATCTGTTTCTGCTGGAAACGACCCTTGATGACGAGACGTCTGCTTCCATCCACACTTCCACTAGTACCCAATTCGGCGAACAAGAATTGCATGACGTGGTCGTCGGTACGCTTCATACGCTTGGCAATATCCGAGATATTGGCGAAAATCGTACGACGGTTACCTTCACGGAGACATTGTGGTGGCGGGATCTTGTAGGACTTGGTACCGCTGGAAAGAAGGTCGGGATGATGGCTCTGAATGAGGGAGAAAAATCTGGCCACGAGAAGAGAGTACGGAATAGATTGTGTCGCATCATGGGCCCAGATGCCAGTGCCAGCTTCAAGGTCTCCTTCGGGAACTTCAGGAGCCTTCTCCTCAGCACCCTCTTCCTTCACACCAGCCTGAGCCAGCTTGGCCTCGAAATCACCCGCATCGACCTTCTTGACGCTCTTCTTCTTCTTCTTTTTCAAAGCAGTTGGGTCGAACTCGCCGTCTGCGACCGGAGCGGCTTCGTCGCCAGCCTCGGTGTCCTTAGACTTCTTGGACTTCTTCTTCTTGGAAAGGCCCTTAAAGAGTTCTGTCACTTCGTCGACTTCCTTGTCCGGTGTTGCTGCAAGTCCGTGGGTTGTTAGTTAGACAGCTGGGAGAAGAACATCATCACGATTGAGAAAAATAACATACCGGACTTGTCGCCTGCAGGAAGAGTATCGGTCACCTTCCCGTTCGTATCCATGATGACTGACCCTTCGGTAAATGAGACGGACTTCCGTTGTTTCTGCTCAGTTTCCTAGCGGTACGAAACAATGTCAGCAAGGCGCGAAGAGTTGGGAAAAGTAAATGATAGACCGCTTGTTGCCTGACGACCAGCAGAACTGTCTGCAAACTGAATAAGCAGCGAGGACAGTTATGTGACGACAAGAGGTCGACCGTGGTCAAGGTGCAGGTATCAAATTGCAAAGCGGTTCGTGGTAAAGAAAATGTGGGATGGTCATCGGCAAAGGGGACAGTGTGACGTACAGTCGCTTCCGCCATATTACTTTCTTTTCACTAGTTCGAATACAAGCACGTCAACAATATTAGTTGGGAGAAACTCTTGGTCAAAACCAACCTGAACCGACTGGACTCGAGACTGTATGCTGCCCGAAAAAGTGCCAGGGTGCATCCGACAATTGCGACGGAGTGGCAGTTGTCGTTATCGGGTTAGCCACCACGTGATTTGCGTACGTGACTCACAGCCGTATTGGAAATACCGTACGAAATACACACATGACATCACGTGCGGAGCTCCTTCAAGTACGTACTGACGCTCTCGTAGCTAACGACCCCGACAGTCAACCCCTGATATTTCCATCTCCCTGCAGACGGCAGGGATACAATCGCTTTAGGGCTTATTATTCTATTTGTCTTTTAGCTTTTGTTCCAGAATTGATACGTCATGGCTTCACCTGCTGCATCCAATCCATCCCTCTCTACATCGGCCTTCATGATCCCATCCAAGCCCGCTTCGTTTTCTTCGGCCTCAGATGATGATCTTGCATCTCTCCCTTCGGAATCCACATCCACATCGGATCTAGAGACCCTCTCTGACGATTACTCGGATGCTGAGGAGGAATGGAGGGAGAGCATAGAGCAGCTAGAATTGCTTTTGACCATGGTTCTTGTACCCTTCGTCGGTAAATTTCTGGGGAGAAAATGTGCATACTGGAGTACGTAATTAAGTATACTATATTGCTGGGGGTGGTCTTGCTGATGCTGGAATCTATACTATAGGCTGGACCAAATTCATGGAATGGAAATACCCCGTTGAGGTCGCTGTGCGCAATAAGTTTGCTTTCGAGGGGACCGGCGCTGTTGAAACCTTCGCCTCTCTATAAACATTCATAATCTCAGTCACTGCCTTGACTGAAACTGGCGCCGAGAATGTACAGTATACGAACGGCGAAGACATATCTGGATAAGAAACCAGCAGCACGCCATATAGTCGACATCTCTCAACATACTCCATATGCACTGTCAGCTAGTGCATCCATGTTCGTACCTCTTGCCCACAGGAAACTTGGCGGTTAACGCACTACACTTCACTTTCCTCAGGCCCCACTCAGAGCACGACGAAATTCATTTCGTGTTTGGTTCCCAAAGAGCATCGACAATATGTCGAGAGCTGGCTCTTCTAGTTTCTTTGGAGATTGCATCGTTCCTTTCAGCATGGGATTTTTTTTCCTTTTCCTTTCAAACAAGCGTCCGCATGGAGCAGGTATTAATACGCGGTTTCTGGAAGTGAAATGGGAATTTAAAATGGAGGCTTCGATTCAAAACCATGCATTGGCGCTTCGGGGATAGCAAAGTGAATATGGCTTCTAACCGGGAATCGCAACTAGCTACTGAGCACATAAAGAAGAAAGGATCGATTGAATAACTCGATAATCACTACAAAGCAAACATGAAATGGAAATCTGATGCCAGTTTGTATATGCCGTCTGAAGTGAGAATGCGAAGAGACTCAACATGCCCACATTGCCCGCTGCTATCTGCGAAAGTTGGCTAAGCTGGCTATCTTTTATTGACTACGGAACAATAATAAATCATCCTATAATTTCAAATTTATGACCTCTCCCAGTGCGGCCCTAGCACGGTCTCAGGTTTGCATATCTGTCGTTCCAGGCCCTGTTTTTCTTATAGCCCTTGCTCTTGCCAGGACGACTAGACTTATCTCATGGAAGGATATCTGATGTGTTGACAAGGTTTCCAGTGCATTCTCCTGGAAGACAGACAGAGGGACTCAGATCGGCCGGAGGGCTTCGGTCTGAACATGCTCTTTACCGGGGTTCGCGAGTATTCTCCGCCCAAGAACGTAATCGATGAGGTTGGTTCTTGAATTAGACGGTGAGGACTGCGGCATACGATAATCGGGGCCAGTTTTAAAATGAAGAGACAACACCGTTTCAAAATGTGAGCTATTGAGGTCAAGGCAAGTTGTAGTTCGTTATTAGTTGTCAATCGCGGCTATGATGACTAGGAACTGATTAAGCGACATTCTCTCTCCACCCTACCGTGTCGATGCCGTCCAAAGATGATACAATGACCCCTGGCTTCCTTGTGCTTTTGCCTTTGTCCTAGCCACCGACTTCGCGTTATTTTTCGCCATCTGTTGCCTCTCGGCTACCCCCTGTGCCTTGTCGAAATGGGTCTCTAGACATTCAAGGGCTGGACGAGCAAAATATCGTGGGTCACTGCTCCCATCTGGGGTTAGAAACCGCTCTAGGGGGCTCTCTAAATACTGTTCTTGCCCGTGTTCAAACAGCTTAATGCTTGAGCTGAGATGCGAAGGACTGTCTCTGGTCGCGGGGAATACGTGGCTCTGGTCCTCAGAGTCGCCATTGGCATAATTCGCATCCTTGTTGACAATGCCAGTTCCTATCACCGAATAAAACTTTTGGACTTCCTCTTCTCTGATGACCTTTTCCGCCCACGGTATTGTCACGGTGCCTGACTCCTGTTACCCATGAACTTAGGCTCCGTACCTATGAAACAATAGAATAAGAGGCCTACGCGCTCCAGCAGCTGAGTATGTAATGCGAGATTATACTCGGTCAATCGATGTGTCGTGGGACTTGGAGTCATTTCTGGCAGATACGAGGACCTTCGAAAGTGTCAAACAATTTTTCTCAACACTCGTTTGTATAACGTTGGGAAATAAGACCTACCAAAACGCCTTAGTAGGATTTTGAGATTTTAGAGGTTTTAAACACTGGTGCGGTTCAACGAATGGAGCATTGACAGTTCTAAAGTTCTCGTTTGGTATAGACGAGCCATGGGGAGGCAGCCTGGCTTTATGAGTGACGAAGTCAAACCCTATTTCTCGGTTTGGCAAATGCTTCACCCCTTTTTCTGCTCACAATGTTCAATTACATCTATCTTCGAAATACCTTTACCTCATTTCCGCCTGTGGATGACCATTCACGGATATGCATAGTTACCCATGCAACGGAGAAGATGCCTGCAATTATTTCGTAATGCCGTCAATATTGATTGTCTGTGCATTCGCCAATATCCTAGCACGAGAGAAAATTTCTCCTTCGAGGTTCCCCGTCTTCCTTAGGCCTGGTTGTATGTCAATGTAGTATGCTGATCGTGCCTATGTTTTCTCTCTCATTCCATGCAGGGCTGTAGATGACAGGGTAGCAAGGACCAATATTAGGTCATACTGAGAGCGCTCAAACCTTGCACTGCAGGTATCCAGCCATGCATGCATTGGTAGGATCGACATGGGCACATAATTAGTATGTCAGAAGTCCTCCAATGGTACGGTACTCCTAATTTGCGAAGATAAACGAACAGTTGAACGCTTTCCATCAACCCAGTGGTCATACTAGAACATGAGTCATTGTCCCATTGTCCGAAGATAATGTTTCAAGGCTGAGACTCGAGAAATACTTTTCCTTGTCAACCTATGAGCACGCCTAGTGGCCAAGACTGACAGGGACATTCCCTTCAGTTCTATGCATGGTTTCTAGCCGCATTACTACAAACCTCAGCTTCTTACACAGTAAAAGTGGTGCTGCACGCTACGTTGCAACGGCATAAGAACAAAGAACATCATACGTCTATCTGGAAACGATATAGTTACATTGGTGTTCCTAGCTGGGAAAACAAGGATAATATTAAATAAAAAGCAAAGTTTCTTTTCCAGCCCCAACGAGACTAGCAAAGTTTGCATTGCATGAGCATCCATGTGTATCCAACCGGGGAGACAGGAAATTGGCAGCCAAGGGAACCCCGGGTGCTCACCTTTGCACCTAACGTGCAACGCAAATAGGAACCCGACCCTTGGGAGTCCCGGGAATGTGGTCAAGACCGTAAATTGCACTGATAGCGGGACGGAACGCTCTGTCAATCAATGCTTTTTTGGACCCAGTGTGGCGGAGAAGACGCATCCCGTCGAACAGTTGTCCCTGCATTGGCACTGCAGGTTTCATGAGCAGGCTGAGCTGTGAATATCTATTATTACCGCTGTGCTTATTCCCTCAAGCCCGCCCCAATGGTTACCTGTGCCGGCAATCTGGATCCTTACCGAAAGTACGGAACCCGTCCTGGGGTTCCGTCCCAATGGATCCGTGAGAAGGACGCTGGACGCTTGTTGCTCTGTGGCATCTATCCGTCTCATCTCCCCCTGCGGAGTACGAAAGATAACATTCATCCTTTGAATCTAGTCTCTGGCTCCTTCCTCGTCACTAGTTAACCCCATCCTGCAATCATCACGTAAGATATCCCTCCTCTTCTCCCATGGTCCACCAGAGCCAGTCAATTCCCATGCAGTACAAGGATTTAACGATTAGTTGAAACATACTTATGCAGCCGAGTCTGCCAAAGTTCCATTTTTCAAATTACCACTTCAGTCACCCATATCTGTTGGGGCAATAGTCTTTCTGTGGCGCATGGACCTGGATTCGTGGGTTCGTCTGTCTAGAACAGGGGTTAACGGTAACAGCGTACAACTGTGCAATGCACTCATGCCTTCTTATTCGGGGTCATGAGATTGCGTGTTCGTCGGATCCGGGTTCATACGATATCTAAGGAGTGTACATGACTCAAAGAGTCAGTGTCGTAGACAGTGGTAGTTGGGTATTGCCCGTGCTCATTGCTTATGCTACTGACTGACAGACGGCATTGACGTGCTAAGGACACAGTCTGACCATTGTCTTCGGTCCCTTCCATAGAAATGCTTTCTATGAACAAATACAAAATAGAAAGATTGTTAACCGGACCCATTGAAACTACGGCAGCCATCATTGAACATAATCGTCAATGCGCAAACTTCAGTGATGTCATGTTGAAGTCCCCTGTCCATGAAAATATTCAGCGATGAATTCCCCTATTTCTGATCGCTTCGGCACAACCCCTGACAGAAAATTCTTCTTAATTTTTACCATTCGAACAATACGACAGTATGAACGAAATAAACACTTAGTAGAGCTTGTTCTCTCGCCAGAATCCAAATTGTCCTTCGCAGGACGCAATATTTAATGCAATCATCCCTGCGTTGGAGTCATGCCGACGCTGTGTCTGTTCCACAGCTACCTTACAAGTGTCTTGGGATATTGATTGTGGCATTTGGCCATGCCTTGAAATTAACTCCCTCTATTCCGACAGAAATTCCCTGTCAGCGGTTTGTCGGGGAGTGGTGCATTAAGAGAACGGTTTGATCGTCCAAAAGGTTGGCAACATTCCTGGTAATAAGTTGCATTTCTAGATCGTGCAGTTGGTAGCATCCATTCTGATGAACGGGATACTCGACTCCTTTTCAAGTCTTCAGGCTCTTCATTGTCTTTTGGTCCAAAGATATCCGCAGCCAGGACATCAAGCGGCTCACATTGTAATCTCTCAGGGTGCACAATGGCGTTGTATACCGCATCCAGCGTTTGCAGAAACAACTCCTCGTTATCCTCGAGCTCAAGCCTGGCCTCATTTGAACAAATGACGTGAGATGCACTTTCTGGTTTTGCTTTTAATGCTATCTGTGGATTTTCAGCGCCAGTATCCACATCTGGGTAGTGAAGGAGGTAACTAGAACAAATGGAATTGCCACCACGGCTCTCTTCAGAAGAGTCCCAACGGCGAAGTGGACCGGGTAAAGTCCCAGGCTTTGGGTTTACGGGTACACAACCAGTGTTTTGAGCAACAACGCCTGGTGATTTAGTATTTTGGAGCAGTTTCTCATCTAGTTGGCTGCCGACAATTAAGCTATCCACGGAGGAACTGGGAACAGAAGGGGAGAAATACTCTCTTAGTGGAGGCAAGAGCTAGAATGGTCTTCCATAGATTTCCTTGGTACTTCAATTTGCTTGAATATCACTTCCAGCTCTTTTGGCGAAGAAGAATGTCGATTTCCGGCCGGGCTCGAAGCTGAATTCCTCGCTGCAATCGAGTTACCTGATTCAAGATCAGGCGACTTATGCTCTCTCAGGAGACATTTGAATTCCTCCAGACCCCAGTATTTCTTGGTCTTCTTTACTTCTGACTTTTGCTCATCGGTTCTTGGAGGACTTAACCCGTCAAGTAAAAGATCATTCACAAAATTCTCAAATGAAGGATCAATTCTCAGACCTCCTTGTTCATTTGCAGACCTGTTGTATGGTATAGCCGAACCCATGGAACTGTCTTCTTTTCGTTCCTCTGAAGCACAATCTCGTTTTCTACCCAAAAGGAGTTTCGGGGTCCAGAGTCGACTGAATGTCGCTTCTGGACCTTGGGAGACGAGTGATATACAAAGGCACCTGCAGGTGCTTACTCTTGGACTGGTCCAATTGTGTCTGAAAACTGAAAAGCATCCATTGTCCATGGTGATGGATGTGGGATGATGGGTACGTTGTCTGTGAAGAACATTCCAAGGGTGGTCTTAGTATATCAGGTTCCTTTTGATGTATCTCTTCTGTCAATCCATTGGGCTCCTTAGAGGTTACCATAGTTTCGTTAATGAGTCGTTGTCTCTCTGACAGAAGCCTCATTTCTGAGGAGAGGTTAGGCACTAGAGGGCAACCTATTAGATGGCGTTCATAGACTGTTGTTAAATATGAAGATCCCACATTCACCGGGCCCAGCTGCAGATGAAGATTTCCCTCTTTTAAATATTCCCAGATTTTGGGCTGCATAGAGCCATGGGATATGGTCAGCGTAACCTTCGATCATCGGGCAGTCGCCCTTACCGTTAACCGACCCGGTGTCACGTTAGAAGCGTGAAAGTTCTCGTTCAGCATGTCGTTTCTCTTCATTTTCGAGTATCTTATCTTCTTTCTTTTGGTGCCTTGGTCGCCTTTTCCAGAAGATCTCCCAGACTTATGTTCGTACCGGTCTTTTCTTATTTGTATCGAGGCCTCTATTCGTACCCAGTTTTCCTTTCCCTCTGCATCGTCTTACCAAAGGTTCGAAAAATACAGACGGATCATTAAGACCTGAATCTTGAACTGGCATTGTCAAGCTTTCCACAGCTGGAGACTATCCCTTCCTGAAACGCCTGACGTTTTCGTCTTCGCGCCCTGTGACTGGATCAATCCGGCCGCTTTGAAGCTTGTGGGTGGCACCATGGCTCTGAATCGCTTCGAGTCGGTGTATGCTCGCAGTATCATCTGGTTGGATTCAGTTAGGTTCGTTGAAGCCTGGGTGATACCAATGGAGCAAATAACACTCCTTGCGATGAACACAGTTGACGCTGGCTTTGTCGATGCCATCCCTTGATTAAGAAATGAACTGGGTATTATATTTATGTAGGGAAGGGTATTTATGGAGTTGCTCGTACCGATTTTCCCCACGTGCTGTTCAACTGGATCCTTATCCACTCCCAGCAGCCACTTGTATATTGAATCGTATCCAACTTGATCCATGCGCTAAGCTGTTCTCAAAAGGAATGGAACGGAAGCGTAATTCAGGGATAGAAAGGGATGGTTCCCGGCCAATTCAAGGGATACCTGAAACGATCCGCTGCAGAATAACCGAGAAATTTCCATGAAAATGGATGAACTGGCCGTCTGCGTCATGAAATCCGGCGGAACGGAGATATAAAGGAAACGCACAGGGAAGGATTTGCGAGTCCAGGTTGTCCTCGCCGCTGAATGATGGAGGAAAGTCTTGGGAAGAAGTCATGTCCTTTCTTTCTGGCAATCACCACTTCCCGGACTCTCCCACCCCTCAACGTGAGCTCTTTCTTCATCCAACAAGATCCACAAGCCAAGCAATTGCTATCAGACCTGCAAGATGCTGGGACAGAATCTGCTGCTGATTTGTCTGCAGGGATGACACAGATCGTTAAAAGGGGAATTACTGACAGAACGCACTGGGACGAGATAAGGGCTGTCGGCATAGTACCAGTAAATACTGTGTCCATTATTCCACGGTACGGATTCAATAACCTGGGCGTTGATCCAGGTAGATCCGAATTGACCTGCCCATTTGCAATTGAGCCGGTCATTCACTACGACTTCAGAAAGAAATTGCGCAGAGACCGCGAAGAGACCTCACGCAATGAATCTCCGGGCTGTGGGAAGATACGCACAGGTGTCCAAGTCCGGCTAAAGCGGTATTAAGACAATCTGGATCGATAGACAGTAGACACAACAAGAGCGTTCGTGATTACTGATTAGTGGTTGAGTTTCGAAAGCAGCGGAATGAAAGCCACATTATGGCGAGATCCTCCATTATGACCTGTCAGACACTCTTCTCAGCTTGCCTCGTCCAGCTGATCGGCCACACGCGGGATGCAGCTGGGCAGTTCACCGGCATCATTCACGAGGGCCACCGTCCAACCATATCGAGCACGTCGTCTCGGCACCTATTGTGCCTCAAGCGACGGGAGGACAAATCCGGACTCGCTACCGGAAGATCACCGAAAAGGGCTGCATGCACCCCCAACAGTGCATTCTGGACCCTGAGTTCTCAGACCTTACCGCGGGAGCTTGGTAAATCGTTGACCAGGTCATGAAGAAATTATTGCTGGCTGCATTTTGACTGCCACCGCCGCCGAGGCAGGTCCGCACTCCAGCTTGAACCCTCACTGGCGAAGCGTTGTGCCATGCGTGTTACTGGTACAACTCTCTCTGGCTTGCAAATGATTGATCGCCCGGTCTTGGGAGCCGTTTTAAATAGCCTTTGCACTTAAACTAGGGCACCAGTACTCCGTATGGGGCAGCGCGTCAAAACATCTTCATCACATTGCGCAGGCACTGCGCTGCTTGCATTCCAGCGTCCAGCCGCTGCACTAAATGCTGACTGCGAGATCTCCTCTATCACCACCGATTCCACAGCTTGCCGGGCATTTCCTAGCATGGGCAGATTCTTAAACGCGGGACTTAAAAAAATTATTGCTAGCGCCTAAATGCCTCTAAGGGCTAACGCCGTTCGTTATTACTCGCGTGTCTGGCTGGCGTCCCTATCTTTGGTCAAGAGCTCCCTTTCCCCCGCTTTCGCTACCACTGCTGCTCCAGCCTGTCAGCAAGCGCCTGCCGTGCTTAATATCCATCCTGATTTTTTCGTTGAAAAAGCCGCGTGCGAGGCTAGGGCCCCTCTTCCACTGCTACCCCTCTTCTTTGCCCCCTCCCGTGCTCTGTTGGATTCTGGAGGTAGAAAACATCCTCGAGTGCATATTTGAGATCTATCTATCTGCGACCTTCCACTCCATGACTGAGCTTTGAACGGGGAACCTGCCGAAATCCTTTGTTAATTTCTCATTCCGTCTTTTTCTTTTTCATGTAGGTGATAAGGAAAGTGAATACCGTTACGTGGTATTGGCTAGTCTCATGATTCCCTGGCGCATTCACCATCCACCAACATCCCAGTCAGTTCAGTAATATTAATGGGCATTCACCCTTAGTAAGGGGAGGCTCTTTCTGTCTCTCCTGCAATCTTTTCTTCGACTTAAATTGGCTTCTTCTCCTTCTCTCGTCCTTTGTTTTCCACTTTTGCCTTCTATCTAACCGCTGATTCCCGAGAAAGTACTCATCCCTGCCCGACGCAAAAAAAAAAAAAAATCGACAATGTCCAAACTCTTTGTCGGGTCTGTCCATCGTCTCTGGTTCTCTCCGGACATGCCCTATCTTCTCTTTCTGACATCAGTATCAAATATAGCGGCCTGGCATGGCACACAACCGACGCGACCTTGCGCGAAGGGTTCGAGAAGTACGGAACTGTTGAGGAAGCGGTTGGTCTTTGCTTGAACATCTACTATTGCCTGTCAACAGAATGTCCCGAACTGACTCAATGCGATTCTTATCTTCAGGTCGTCGTTAAGGATCGCGACACGCTCCGCAGCCGCGGCTTTGGCTTTGTCCGGTTTGCTAGTGATGGCGATGCCGACGCTGCCATGAATGCCATGAACAACCAGGAGTATGTCATTATTGTGATACTGTTATGCTTCTATTTCTCTTTCTCCTTCCCCTTTCAGGCGAAACAGTGGCTGAGACAATAAATTAGGTTCGATGGACGTATCATTAGGGTTGACAAGGCGTCCGAGCGTGCTCCGCGAAACGACGGAGGCTTCCAGGGCCGCGGTGGATATAACACCAAGGAAGGCGGATACCGTGGTGGTTATGGTATCCTCCCCCCTTCGCTCTATCTATTTCCTAAATTGCATAAGCTAACACGCGATTCAGGTGGTGGATATGGAGGCAATGGATATGGTGGTGGAGCTGGCGGCGGTTACGGCGGCGGCTATGGTGGCGGTAAGCCTCACTCTCATAATTTCCATGTGGACATGCTCTGCAACATCGTTGACGGGGTCGTCGATCCTCCGGGAGGATTTGTTGCTAACTTGAGATCAGGATGGCGGTCTTCGAACTAAACAGCCAACCAACAACCAGCCGCTTGAGTCTCTAATGGCGAAGCATGTGAGAGAAACATTCCTTTTCTCTTATGTTTCCTAAGGAAATGGCGTGACGTTTTTATTCGAGAATGTCTCTTTCAGATACCCCTTTAACTCGCCCAGAGAACACAGGTTGCATGTTGCGGAAAAAAGAGGAACTACGGGCTTGGAATGACGAATGACGAATGACGCTAGACATTTATCCTCGACAGTATGAAATAACTAGCAATGTTATGGGCATTCTTTCTATTTTATTTTGCCGACCTAGGATATTATGAACTTCGTGGGATAGAATTCGGTCTGCTACTTCAAACCGGAATTTTTTTTTTTGCATCCGTCCATCCTGTACTTCAATAGTAGCACCGTCTTTAACCCATCTTGCATTGAGCATAGCTTCCAGACTATCGCTGTATTTGCACTAATCAATGCTCTTCTGTGGATTTTTCGTATCTATTTCTCGTAAGCGTTATATCAAGCAGGATTATTATTAAACTTTCCATGCATCTGGCCAGAACTCGGTCAGCCTATTTATTCTATTGCCTGTAATGAACTCCCGCAGGAGATCACCGGTCTAAGCTTTAGGTTGTTTGCAGGTTAAAAACACAGCGCGTCTATCTATTCCTACTCAGTCTTAGGAAAATCCGAATGTGCCTCATCCAAAGACCTCCTTAGAGACCTCCTGACAGCACTTTCGGCCTCCTTCTCCTCAACTACCGCGCATCCCTGCTCAATGGCTTCCACTCTCCTCACCAAATCAGTAACGTGAACATCGGCACTACCTAACCCAATCCCCTCCAGAGCTTTCTCGAGAAGGAAAAGATACTCTGAATTTTTCCCGCTCTGCCCGCTGCTGGAACTGATGACCCGTGCGATATCCTGGGGCTCTCGACGAGCAGGGTCTCTGAGGAATTGCGGATTGGAGGGTTGACCGATATATACCATGCAGGTTATTGGGGATGATGACGATGATAACGACATATCTCCTGCTTTTGCTGTTTCTATTTCCGCTTCTGTCTTCGTGGCTAGGGTTGTAACTCCCGCTGCGGCTTCTTGGATGGTTTCTGGGTCCCCCCCGGAGACCGTTGATGCAGAGACGGGGAAAACGGGGTGGAAAGGCGTGAAGTGGACTGTGTAACCGTCTATTTCGCGGATGTCGAGATAGTGGTGGACTTCTTCGGCATGAGAGGCTGGAATGTGGTATGCTGCGCCCCAGACTTTTGCCGTTGTTGTGGGCGGTTCAAGGTGAGAGTGCTTTTGTTTTTAAAGTTATTTCATTATATCTTGAGAGCATCGAGCAGATTGCCCGGAGAGGAACATACCGGATCATCCAGTGTCTCCCAGAATTCTCGTTCAATCACGGTTACAACACGTCCAGGAGAGTCTGGGGTTCCGCGATGGTCCGTACTGTTTATTTGAAATAAAGTCAGTTTATTGGATGAAGGATATAATATTTGCAACCCTTTCGTGCAGCAAGGAGCAACCATGAAGAGTATCCCAGAGACATGCGGAGTACTTACCTAGCCTATGCAAAGAGTTCCTCGGAAGGATATTTAATTAACAACCAAGTATCAATGCCATTGCTTAAAAATATGCAGGGGGCCTCCAGGTCAAGGAACTAGCTCGGAGGGAAAGGTGATTGTACAAACCTGCCAGAATCTTCGTACATAGCCATTGATGTACCCGGGGACTCTTTGGTCTATTACAGCACGTTCGTTGGGTCAGTTGGTGTCCTCTTATGTGAGAAACAGAGCATTGCCTCCCCCATAATGTATAGACTCTTGGGGAAAGACGTAGTTTCGACGTCCATATTCGGATCTCTGGACATACCATAATGTGGCGGTGGCTTCCAAATCAAACTCCTTAAAAGAATAATCAGCAATCGGCTTTCTTAAACATGTCTCTTTACGATTCAGCACATGCTATCCAGACATGTATATGATATATATGTCCTCGAGATGAAACTTCAAAGACGGCAAATGCCAATACAGCAACTTACCCATAACCAAAGACCCAAAGATCTCCGGCCGGGAAATGATCCCGCCACGTCCGTCCCCGTATAGGAGGAATGGCCTGTCTCTGACAAGAGCCCATTGCCGGCTATCTCCAGAAGAGCATAGATGCCCTTGATGATCTGCGGAGCAGGGAGTGTTTGGTATCTTCTCGTCTGGGCGGGAAGAGATTAGATCCGAGCATTAATTACGCTGTACTATTTTTCTTTCCCTGCAGGGGTGCCAGAAGTCGGAGATACCGTTGATAATGAAGGATATCAAAATAATCTGAGGTATTTTCGAGTTTAAAGCAATGAATCCGAAACGGTTGACGTGAACATGCCATTCTTCTTGCCGTCTTTGAATATTACTACTAGGTACTTATTACGCCAGCGTTGGTATGCCAGCTGGCGTGGCTACTCGTGTTTGCAGTGTTTGCTTGCCATTCGTCATAAGCATGATGGATCAGGTCCTTTGCCTTTCCTGTACGTCTGAAGAGAAAAGGAGAAAGCGTTGAGACAGGAAGCCTTACTGGCTACGATTGACCAGCGACAATGAATAAGAACAATGAGCATGAAGCTGTTGGAATTGCGTGACGGCGATGCGGCATGTCTGGCGCCTGAGGCAGAAAGTTGCCAAAGGAGGAAGGTGAAAAATACATCCTCATCTGCAACTGTATTGGGATTACATACACAGTGGGGCCTCTGCCAGTTGGTCAAATTTCTATTATTGTTCCTGTTGCTCCTTCAATCGCTCTGTTCTGCGGTTAAATGGGACACGTTCCTCTTCTCGTCCTCCAGAGCGCTTCTCTCGCCTAAAAGGGGAGGTGCTTGAGAGTACTCAATGCGTATGGGACACGTAGACTCAGCATGCTGTCATAATAGTCATTGTTCAAGTTGACATGCAGTACTTTTGGCTTCAGAATTGATGAAGATACATACCCTATTGCACAATGGTATATCTGCTCCCTGATCAGTACATATTCGGCTGATCTTTCGTGCTCAGATCCGTTTCTGGTTTCTAGTTTTCTCTCTTCGGCGTCTTCTCGTCCATTGTCACACTGATCACCACGACCATGGCTGGTCTCATCCGTCTTTTACGGGCTCATCGCAACCCCCCTGCTGATCCGACTGAGATCTCGTTTACGGGAAAAACAGTACTCCTAACCGGGGCAACATCAGGACTCGGCTTCGAGGCTGCTATCAAGTTTCTCAATCTGGGGGTAGACATGCTTATCATCGGATCCCGCACCCAAAGACGGGGCGAGGAGACCAAAGCGGAACTCGAGAAGCGTACGAACAGACTGGGTGTGATCCAGGCGTGGGAGCTGGAGATGGACAGCTTCGAGAGCGTCAAGGCGTTTGCCAGACGCGTCGACCGGGAGATTCCGCGGCTCGATGTAGCCTTACTCAACGCTGGGCTGTGGAACCGAGAGCACATTGTATCATCCGAGGGTTGGGAGCAAACGCTGCAGGTAAACACGCTGTCCACATCGTTTCTGGCACTTTTGTTACTTCCCAAGCTCAGGAAGAGTGCTTCTGTGTCGGGCCCAGCCCATCTCACTGTCGTGTCCAGTCAGCAGTTCACCGGCATCAAGGCAGAGAGTCTCACAACCGACGGTCCTCTGCTGAAGCATCTGAATAGCCCGAAAACACGCAGGCTGAGGAAGCAGTATGGCATATCGAAGCTGTTACTAGAATACGTCGTCAAGAATATCGCAAGCCTGACACGCAACGATGATGGCACCGTCCAGGTCATCGTAAATTCCGTCAGTCCTGGGTTCTGTGCTTCGTCACTCGTACGGCAATTCAAAAAGGGCTATGAACGGTGGTTTCTCCAGCTCGTATTTAAGATATTTGCTCGGACAGCGGAGCAAGGGAGCAGGTCATTGGTCAGTGCGACAGTTCAAGGGGTTGAATCCCACGGGAGATGCTGGAGAAGCGACGGGTATCTAGAGTAAGCAACCTTCGAGCCAACAGCCCTGGGTTGAGGCATGCTGAATATATCATTTGCTATTAGTGAGTCGATGGCATTAACAGTAGGTGAAGAAGGGGAGAAGTTCCGAGTCAAGGCCTGGCGTGAGATCCTGGACGTGCTGAGATTTCAGGCCAAAGAAATCGATGGCGCAGTTGGATACAGCGCCTAGATCGAGGTTATTTCTCCTTCATACTGGTGTTTGGGCATTCTCTTATGTCCTTCTCGAAGGATCCGAGGTGCCAATTTTGGACCGAAACTCTGCATTGACTGCAGATGTACACTATTTATTGCGGATTTCCTTTTGTATGATGGGATGGACGAATGAAATGACAACAGAATATCCGTATTAATCGGCGCCTGATGTCGTAGGGATTATGGCCGTTGCGATGTCCTATCCAGTAACCCGTGGGGCATCGGGAGGTCTCCAAATAGACAGAACAACATGACTTCGTTTGAATCTCTTGACACTTCCTGCAGAGATAATAAGCACTGTGCTGGTCAAGTACCAGTACCCAAGGCTGGCGGTTAGGCAAGATATCTTGATTTGCCCGACTGCGGCTCGGCGGAGGATGATAATTAATCGAGGAAACGAAAACGAACCTCCGCCTCCCACCCACTCCTTCCCCTGTTCCTGCTCTCTCCCCTTGGAACTGGGAAGCTTCTCTTGCCTCTCATGTTTCTCTTCCTCTGATTCTCCGTCCATTCGATTCCCCTAATCGCTTGCAGCCTTCGTGCTGAAGGCGAGCTTGTCTCTGGCCTGTCCATTCAATCGCAAGCCTTCGCATAAGGCGCTCTGGCGGCGTTACGTCAGTGTCTTTTACGATCATGGCCTACAACAAGGACTTCAACCCAGACGCGCTGCCTGCGTAGGTGGATTACATGCAATACTATTAGTCCAGGAAGGCAGAGAACAGGCGCTAATCTTGACTCCTTTCAACAGGCATGCAGAGCCCGAGCAGGTAGAACAATAACAACCCCCCCTCCCCCGTCCTGCCCCGCGCCTACTCAATCCACGCATACTCCGTGCTCACACTGGCATTTGAATAAATAGGTAGCCCAGATGATCGGTGCGATGGAATCCTCCCAATCAGTGCCACGCTATCAGAAGCCATCGCGACCTCACCATTCCAACAGCGCACCTGTCACTCCACCCAGCGTCCAGCGCAAACCTCACCCTACCCATGAGACCGGGCGGCATCCGGTAGCAAATGCGAATCACCGTCCACATCCCTTACATCCGTCTCCGCCGCCTCAGAATTACGGTTTTGGACCACCCCCGTTGCAGCCCGCCCGTAATCGACCTCCGCCGGCATCACGGCCACCTCAGTCCCCCAAGCCGCCGCCTGTACAAGATCCCGGTGGTGATCCGCAGCAACTATATCCGTTGTTCTGTGCGGCCAATGTGTCTAATACCGGGGCACTGACTGAAATGGAGCTGGGCTCCGCGCTCGTTAACGGCGACTACACTTCGTTCCACCCGAAGACGGTCAAGATGATGATCCGCATGTTCGACCGCAATAGCAGCGGGGCAATCTCCTTTGACGAATTCATGTCGCTATGGCGCTACCTGGCCGCGTGGAGGGAACTTTTCGACCGGTTCGACGTGGACCGCAGCGGGCGGATCAGTCTAAAGGAATTCGAGCGCGCGTTAGTTTCGTTCGGGTACCGTTTGAGCCAGCCTTTTGTCTCCGTCTTATTTACGACGTTTGAGCGGAAGGGGTGGGAAATGAACGGACATGGGCCAGTGAAGCGCGACATGAGCTTCGATCTCTTTGTGCAGGCGTGCATAGCCTTGAGACGCATGACGGACGTGTTTAAGCGATATGACGATGATCGCGACGGATATATCACTGTGAGCTTTGAGGAGTTCCTGACCGGTGAGTGAATCTTGTGATCTGGTATGGGAACGGGTTGGGTTTAAGAGTTCCACGCTGACATTGCTCTGGCTGTTCTAGAAATCCTTCAGCTGCAGGATTAGGTTAAATCTTACGTTTCCCTGGCAGCCTGATTTCTCATGATGATGTTATTATTAGTATTCCATATTATTCAAGATCCTCTGGTTTCTGGGTATACCCCGTTTCTTAGACATATGCACAACCGGTCTCCTGATGGCCATCACGGAATTCTGTCGGAATTCTTGCCAGCCGGGAGCATCGAGTGATCTCGACAAGGAGAAGATGGACTGAAGCTGGCAGTAATGAAATGATAATCCCCGCCGGTTTGCCTATGAATCACATTGCTTTTCCAAATCTATCGCACTGCATGGTGCCATTTAATATCTGATTCACACTGTTAAGCCGGAGATCCAAGCTCTGGAGATCTCCGACAGGACGCTGCTTGATTGGTAAGCCCGGGCGTCATTACTGCTGCATCGGGAAATCAGAGCCTTTCCGAGACTTTTCTCCACGAGGAATGGCTTGATTATTTTTCTGTCCTGTGCTTCATGGCGTTTTCCCCAGGTGAATTGCGTCTGGTGCGCTCACACTGCTGGATCTGGCGGCGACTGCCTAGTAGTTAATAGCTTGTATTATTATAAAGGTGCTAGTAATTGGCCTTTCCCCTTTCTTCTCATTCTCTCCTTTGCTTGAAAAGTTTTTCAATCACTTCTTCTTACACACCACATTCATTTTTGCTCCTGATAGCCATCCTAGGGGCGTCTAGGGACGGGAGAAGAGAAATTCATGTGGAAAAGAATTAAATAAAAGAAATCCGACAAAACTATATTTTCTACTCCATCTCGCCACCGTCCGTCCAGAAGACGTAAAACCAAGGATTCATAGACCGAAAAATAACACCTGAGCAGACTAATAGTCTTCTGAAATATACAACCAGAATGACTGTGAATAGCAACGGCGCCAGCAGCAGCACCGCGACAGATGCTGAGATGACTCGTGCTTTCTGCTCGGACTCCCAGAGCCAGGAGAGGTCATCGGAGAACACGATCGGAGACGCAGAAAAAGAAGAAGAAGAGGAACAGGAGCAGACGCTACCTGGATCCTCGGACGGGGATGGCTCTCAGGAGCAAAAGGCCGGGGAAGGAGGAGGTCGGTTGGATCGTATGCCCTCGCAGGGTGAGAAGCTGGGCAAGAAGAAGATCGCTATTATCATGGCGGCACTCTGTGTATGTTCTATCCATACACACACTCCCTCTCTCTCTTCTTTTCATATGGAGTTGATGTAGTCTTCAACTGCACAGTAACTGACTGCGAGTTTTAGTTGGCCGTGTTCCTAGCTGCTTTGGACCAGGTTCGTATTTTTCACTCTTCGTCTTCTAAAAGGAAGTTGATCTGACGACTTTACTAGACTATTGTTTCGACCGCCCTGCCTACAATGGCTGCTCATTTCCACGCCTCTCAGAGTGGTTACTCCTGGATGGCCTCCTCGTACTTGCTAGCTAATGCGGCTTGTGCCACGTTTTGGGGCAAGGTTAGTGATATCTGGGGAAGAAGGCCGATTCTACTTTTCGTCAATTTCATCTTCCTGGTAGGGAGCTTGATCTGTGCTCTGGCTGTCGACCTGGCCATGATTCTGGTGGGAAGAGCTATCCAAGGTGTTGGAGGCGGTGGGATCATTGTGCTGGCTAATATCTCGGTTTCTGATCTGTTCAGTATGAGGTAAGGATGCGGGATTCCCTGTTTTTCATCGGCAAGCAATCTCGCTGACTCTGCTCCCAGGGAACGGCCAATATACTATGGGCTCTTTGCTGGGGTGTGGGCTGTAGCAGGCTCTCTGGGTCCCATTATTGGAGGTGCTTTCACCACCAGCGTGACATGGAGGTGGTGTTTCTACCTCAATCGTATGTATTCCCCTATATGTCCAGGGTGCACGAAAACAAGATACGCTGACCGAGAAACTAATTTCCAGTACCCATTGGCGGTTTTTCTTTTCTCATTCTTCTACTGTTCTTCAAGGTCGAGACTCCCAAGACCCCCTTCCTGGCAGGACTGCGCAGTGTCGACTGGAGCGGAACGCTATTCATCGTTGGTGGAACGCTTATGTTTCTCTTTGGACTCGAGTTCGGCGGCGTCTCCTACCCGTGGAATTCGGCAACCGTTATCTGCCTCATTGTCTTCGGCGTCGTTGTTTGGGTCCTGGCCATGCTGAATGAATGGAAAGTAGCCAAGTACCCGATCATCCCGGTACGGCTTTTCAGGAACAAACACAACATTACCATGCTCTTGATCTGCTTCTGCCACGGGTTTGTCTTCATTGCGACTTCGTACTATCTCCCCCTTTACTTCCAGTCTGTCCTTCTAGCCAGCCCGATCATGAGCGGTGTTTACGTTCTCCCCATTGTCGTCTCCCTGTCCATCGTCTCCCTGTTCGTGGGCATCATCATCAAGGGAACTGGTCGTTACCGTGAAATCATCATCTTCGGCATGTGCTTCATGCTCCTCGGCACCGGTCTCTTCATTGACCTGAAATACTACGCATCTTGGCCCCGGATCATCATCTACCAGATCATTACCGGTATTGGAGTTGGCCCCAATTTCCAATCTCCCTTGGTCGCATTTCAGGCCAACATCCACCCCTCCGATATGGCGACGGCTACAGCTACCTTCGGGTTCGTCCGCCAGCTGTCTACGTCCATGTCTGTCGTCTTGGGCAGCGTCATCTACCAGAACGTGCTGGGACAGCAGATGCCGCAGATTACGAAAGCAATCGGCTCAGAAAATGCAAGTAAACTCGCGCATTCTTTTTCGGGGGCCGATAAAGCCCTCGTCAAGTCACTTTCTGAATCACAGAAGAAAGTCGTCCTGCAAGCGTATACACTAGCACTCAGTCGGATGTGGATTTTTTACACAGCCATGGCTGGTCTGGGTTTACTTCTTAGCCTTCTTGTCCGACCGATTGAGCTGAGTAGAACGAATCACAGGGGAAGGATTGGATTGGAGGAACAGGAACGGGCGAGGCAGGAGAGGCTTGCTTCAGAGAAGAAACAGGCGAATCCTGGTCCTGAGGTTGACGTCTAGGAAGTTCGTTTTCCGCTTGTTCTTGGGTTGTATATCTTTTCTTCCGCGCATGGAAATTGGCCATTGGAAAAGTCATCAAAGTCTTCTGATATTTCGGCATAACACACGGCATGACTTGGAGTTTGGAGTTTTCAAGATGCAGGGGCCCAATTTCATGAACACATGCATTATGATGGCGCATGCATACATTGGTTTACCCAACAGGCCATTTAATATAAAAAGAACATGTTTATTAGCATCTTGCAATAATATTAATTCATATTACCAGAACTCCCAACATACACATTTGAAATTAATTATAATACATCTCTAATAACAAACAAGTATTTCATTTCATTCAAGCAACAACAGCTACATAGTGTCTCATTCTGTCCAGCCGAAGTGAAGAGTGCATCGGATCCGACCCTCTCCCACCAATTCTAACCCTGCCAGTAATACGGCCAAGCAATCGTAGATAGACATGGGTAGAAATAGAAATAAAGGAAGGGGGTATTAAGAACCATGAGAAAGAGAAGACACTGGGAGAAAGATAAAAAAAAAAAAAAGACAATAGCCAGCAAAGGAAGAAAAGAAACCAGGAGAGAAGACAAGACTACCTATTTTAGAAGACTGAGCACGAAAAGCAAAACTATCTCAACAATCAATCCAATACCTAGCACCAGTACCAGTACCACCTTCCACTGTCCAAATTAAACAATCCTTCCCAGTTTAAGAAAACGACCTCCGGATCCCCAAGAAACGCCAGCACATGCATGACATAGACTGACAAAGACGTATAGTATACTACGTATACTGGTGACGTAGGACGACAAAGAGTAATGACCAGAAAAGAAAAAGAATGTCACTTTGGAAAAAAGTTATCAGAAGTTTCCCTCACGTTTTCACCCTCTTAGAAGCCGCTTCGGAATTCGGTCCTGTCTCATCATTCTTACGCTTCTTGTCGCTCTCATCTTCTCGCGAGAAACTGGGTCCTGTCTGCGCGGACGGTGTCGGGAACGTGAGAGGGCTTGGTAGCATGTTGCTATCGGGTCCGGTCCGGCCAAAGCCCCATTCGGGGAAGAAGCTCGACGGGGAGGGCAAGAGGGCGTCTGACACGAAACGACTGGGTAATGCGGAGACGGGCGTCTCGATATTGTTATTGTTGGCGTATGCAGTGCTGTTCTGTGCTGCTCCCGCTGTCGTGCCCGGGGGCGGTGGTCTAGCAAACGGGTTCGGTGGCCCCTGTGCCCCTGCGCTGAGGATGGCCCCGGCCGACGGAGACGGGGGAGGTAGGACTACCCCCGGAGGATTGGTATCCGAATTGCCCTTGGCAGGTGTCTGTGTCTTGTTTCCGGCCGAGTCACGCGCAGATGATTCCCCCGTTGCACTTCCTCGATCCGAATTCTCACTGGGAATCTGCACTGTGAGTTTTGGGCGACCAGCTGCCGTGCTCGAGTTCGTCCGCGTTGGCGGTTTGGATTCGGAGCTGGCAGGAATCGATTTTGAGCGTACAGGTGCGGATACGGGTGCGGCTGCAGCAGCTGACGAAGCGGCAGGAGGAACGGACACGCTTGATAGCTTGGCCTCGCCCGACGACTCATTCTGCAACGATTCAGCTTTCACGGTAGGATCGGTGCGCGGAGACTCGCATACGTGTGGGACGACGCCGAAATGACGCGCTAGCACGGAGCCGCGGTCATCGATGGGCGTGAAGATACTGCGAGACTTGGACGAGTGACCCCCGTCAAACTTGGGCTGGATGGAAATCTGATCAGCCGAAGACGTATCGGGAAGCGTCACCGGACGGGGCTGGGGCGGCTCCGCGAAGGCTGGAGGCATCGCCGCTCGAGCTTGGTCTGGCAAATAGACCTGTGCCATCTGGGGCACCGGGGGATGGGCTTGCGAAAGGCCCATTTGGGGGAGGCCATGGGGCTGTGGCGCCATATGTTGCTGTGGATGCGGTTGTCGCGGGGGCATTGGCTGCGGTGGAAGAGGATGCTGCTGCAACTGTTGCGGCGGTGGTTGCATCTGTGGGCCGGCCTGGGGATGGGCAAAGTGCGGATACTGGCCAGGTCGGGGAGCGTGCTGATTCATACTCGCGGCAGCATTGGGGTTGTATATGGAAGGATTGGGCATATAGGCGAAGCCATTCTGCGGGGGCGGCGGTGTGGCATGGTGCTGCGGAGCGATATTCGCGCTGACACGGCGGATATGGTTCCTCGATGTTGGCCGGGAGATCACCTGGGGTTGAGGGGTGCCGCGACGCGGAGCGAATGCGACCCCATTGGCAATCGGAGGGGAGGCAGACGGAGCATGGTTGATATGCTGGAAACCCGGCTGGTTTGGCATGTGCGGAGGGACAACGGAATGCGTTCGACTTCGAGGCGGGAGGTCTTCGGGGGCCGGGGTTGTCTCGTCGTCCTCCTCATCATCTGCTTCACGCTTACCGGTGAAGTCTTCGGGGCCCTTATGTTCGTGCGGAGGGCCGAACTGGGTAGGAGGCACAAAATTTGTTAGCGGGTGAAGACACCACGGTGGATGCGGGCAACAACACACATATTGATATCGGCCTAGAGTCTCACGCATGTCACACGACGAAAACTCGTAGAGTTTCTTGTTGTGACCGAAGATGATGACAGCAACATCCACCGAGCAGAGCACAGCAAGCTCATGGGCTTTCTTGAAAAGCCCGCCCTTGCGCTTCAGAAAGGTGCTGGGGAATCAGACGGCCATGTCAGCTCACGATGAGGATGAACATCACGGGAAAAGCCAGGGACAACTTACACGGAACGGTTGCGATCATCTTTGATCGCTTTGATTTCGATCTTTCTCCGACCCATTGATGATTACCGCGGTGTTGCGACGAAAGAATCCGGTTGGGGAGTTGACAACGGGGAGGGGAAACGAACCGGAACGCGTGTCGATCCGGAGGGAGACGAGAGTAGACACGGAACGCGAAAGGAACCAGTGTTTGCTGTTATGTTTTCCGGTTTTCCTTATCCCGATTTCCTTCCCTCGGTGTTCTCCCTTGCTTCCCTGATTGATTTAATCCTGGAGCGTGAGGAAGGGTGGCGTAGGGGTCGAAACAGCGAGGGTAAGTAAGCTGCTGGGCCGAACAGTAAGCAGCTTTCTTCCACGTCAATCCGATCGGGGTTCCAGAAATCAGAAGAATGGAAAGCTCCGTCGACTCTCCTGGTCTGGACGCGTCGAGACACGAAGAGATGGATTGAAATAAGATGCAGAGCGAGCGCCAGAAGATGCCCTCCGTCGGAAGCGAGGCCCCTTGGACCGGGCTGCGCCGACCGTCGAACGGTCTACGAAGAACGGAAAAGAAGAGAGGAAAAGAGGAGGCGGTCGAGAAGAACGCCGTGATAGGGGTTTCCAGCAAAGAGCTTGGACGAGGCTCTGTGCGGGTGATGGAAGGGCAAAGGCGAAGAGGATGATGCAGAAGATTCTAAAGATAGAAAAGAAGCAACAGAAAACGGTGTGGGAGCGGAGGAGAAATTCACAGAACTAGGACAGGATAATAATAACAATAACCGCGCCCATAGCCGCTGTGGTCCATGGTCATTGCGACCGTAATATAAGCTTATCCACAGGAAGAGAGATATATTATGGCAGATGCAGCATACATATGACAGTATAAATACTCCGTACTGCAAGTCGACAGTATCACCGCTGTCAATCCAGAGTAGACCCATTCATCCCCAACGGGCATATGTCAACGTCAACGACAACGACAACGGCCGCGGCCACGACCAGGCCAACGCAGAAACAAACTCAAACCTCAAACCCACTCGGCGCCTGACTAGCTTGCTGGGACAAGACAACTTGCTTCAGACATCGACGCATCATTGTCGGCCTGACCGCTCAACCATGAAGCCGTTGACTTCGCTGTCCCGCCTCTCTGCCTTGGCCGATTCCACGGTTCAACCCGCTCCGCTGCTCGACCATTGGCTTTTCCGATTGGGACGGGGGTTTAGACTCATCTCGGGCTGAAGCATCGATCAAGATATCGACGGCGATAGTCAATACTCCGTGCGATGATATGATCTGATCAGGGTGGTGCTCACGGGAGCCAGGCGGGAAGCTGCTGGCCGGTATAATTTATTTATTATATTACCCCTGAACACTCATCGAACTTGGGCCTCACGATACACGGCGACACGATCCATGATTTCATCCGTACTATTTCCCAATAATTATACTTTTTAATTTATCCTCGCTTTTCTGGTTCAGCGGTCCCTCTCGCTGCCTGATTGCTGCTTGTCCTACTTGATGCTTTTTTTCGTTGCTCTGCTCGGTCCCTCTTTTCCCTTCCCTTGCTCCCCCTCAACCGTCGTTCCCGTTTGGAGCTGTTAGGGAGTCGGACCGTCTGTCCCTTGCGATCTTTATTATCATCTTCTGTGCGTGAACTGGTCTTCTCTGCTATTCTGCTGCTGCTGTGCTCCCTTCTCCGACTGCGTCTCTGCCGTGTCACTCCCGCCATCGACAACCTGTCTGCCATTGCAGCAGAAAAAGAAAAGAAAAAGAGGACGCAGGCCAATAAAATATGCCTTTCTTCACCCGTGTGTTTCGGAGCAAGGACTCTAGCTCCAAGAAACACGCCAAAACCACCCCTGTTCAAGAAAATGGTGTCTCCCGCCCCAAGTGGACGGACGCATGGACGCGCTCCGAGGTTGCTCCCTCCGAGGTGCAGGAGCTGCTACGGGCTTGCACCAAGGAGTTGAAAGCTCGAGGTTCGTTATATTGATCTACTCTCCCTCCCCATTTCGGGCTGTCGGTCTGCTAACCGTTCTGCTCCTCGCCGCTCCTAGCCCTCGCGACTCCGTTGCTTCTGCTCCCGTTCCGTCCCTCGTCCAACCCCAGCGCTGCTCGTTCTTTCATCCGCAATTACTTCAAGAATCCCTCTGCAGGTGGTGGATCGCAACTCCATGGCGATGATCTGGCGCAGGAGTTGCGTCTGGCAGAGCCAATGGTGAGCATATACACCCGAAGCCACATGCCTGTTCACTGGCTGATCGTATGCACGCCCGTTTTACATGCACACAGGTCCTATGCAGTGTAATCAAATGGTGCTGGAGCAGACTCCCTGGAGGAGTGGTCACCTGGGATGCCTACGAGCTGTTCAAGATCGGAGAACAAGGCATGTCTGCCGCACCTTACCACGTCATTTGGCCTTCTACTGACTCGCCGCAAGACTCGGGCCTTGCCCACGATGCCTTCTCCAGGTTCATCCCCATGAGTGTCGAATCGGATGCCCGAACCAGGATCATTTTCGACTTCTTCGATCTCTTGGCGGCAATTGCTGCCCACAGCAAGTCTAACGGTCTCGGAGGGCGGAAGCTGTCGCGATACGCTGGCTGGTGGGCCTTTGAGCAGAAGGGCAACAGCAAGGGCTTCGAGGAAGCATACAACCATTGGGCCCTGTGGGTTCTCTCTCTCTCTCTCTCTCGCTCCCTCTTTGCATTCTCTGCTGTACCCCATAAGAGGTAGCTGACCAAGTCGCAGCGCGGCCGATGCAACGAGTCATCTGTTTTTCGCCTATTTGCGCTCAATTTCACCGGAAGCCACTCGTGGAGTCAGCATCTCGACCCTTCCCCTTACTCTCCAGTCGCTCCTCAACGCGACGGAATACCCTCCGGTTAGGCCCAGCCTGCTTCAAGTCACCACGACCAAGGTGGCCATCACGGTTGAAACCGTCTCGCCAACCCCATTTGCCTTGCTCCGTCGCGCCAAGAACTTCGAGTATCGGGACAGCGACCACCATCTGCAGGAGTTCTCCCATTACGGGGATCCCGTCCAAGCCCTTACCGACGAATGTCTGCGCGTGCTGAAATGCATCTCGAACGCAAACCAGTCCAACATCTCTAGCACCAAGACATCCACAAGCCTCCGTGATGCAGCCTGGTCCCGGTTCGAAGATGTTGGGTTCGGTGCCCCAATCGAATCTGACGATGACGACGACGATAAGAACGCTGCCGTGCTGGCCGCCAGTGAATTCGGAAGCATCAAATCTGATTCTGTGTATAATGCAGGGCACGATCTGAACCGTCCCTCCACCCCATCATGGGCTGACTTTCTGACCTCCGGCTTCACTGGGACCGGAGTTGACGGCAATTCCAACGGTAGCGTGACTCCCAGCTATCCCACATCACTCCTACCTCCGGATAAGGTTCTCCCCCCAATTCCTACATCCCGGGGTCAAAGCTCGCAATCCCATAAGCGCGGCCTTGACGACATGTCTACGCTGGAACCGGGCGAGCTCGCCAGCATCACGGACCTGGAACTCGACGATTCCTTCTGGTGGGTCTGGATCAGCAGTTTGGCCGGTGAGGAGCCCGATTCCCGCAAGGCCGTCTTCGGTCGATGCGCGCTCGTAGAAACCGTCATCAAGGGCGCCAAGTGGCTTATCATCGAGGAGAAGATCAAGGGTGCAGTCCCGGAGAGTGATCCCAGCGCTTACATTGCAGAGAAGAACCGAGGGTTCTTCAGCACTCTAGGAGGCCGCAGGGGGAAGATGTCCCGTGCGAAATCGACCAAGCTGTCGAAGACTATAAGCTATCGGTGAACGTCCGTGCGGAGTTCGTCTAGCAACAAGGGACAGGGAGGTAATAAGACAAGGATGTGAAGGTGGTGTGTCCTATTTTCTTTTCTTTTCTTTGGCTATCTTGTGTGTTTCGCCTTGTTTCAGATCTATCGTTGAGCTTCTGCTGGCTTGCTTTACCATTATTCCCCCTTTTGTTTTATTTGTCTATTTATTTACCCTAGATTCTGGTATTCCAGCCTTTTTATTTCTGTTGACTTATTTACCCTCCCCGCTTGTTTTACGGGTTCTCTATTCTTCTTCGTCGGTGTCCTCGATTCCAGATAATGTTTATCTTCATTTATACCTTGCTAGCAATGCTTGACGAAACTGAATGGAGACGATAGCCTTGGTCTCATTCTCTTTTCTTTTCCTTCTTCCCCAAGAATCTCGCTCAATAATATCCTACCACAGGGATTCTGAAAGCGCTTAAAATTCTTTTTATTTCATCTATCTACCCCTTTTGACTACTGCCCCTTTCACCTGCAAGCAATGAAGCAAACACACAAGTCTTTCGTTCGTTTTCTTTGATCTTATAAGAAAAAACCCTAAACTCCCCTTGACACCACCGACAATACACGTCATTCAAAACAAGGAAGCACATCCCTGTTGCTCGCTTTATGAGTTCGTCCACGAACCGATAATTACTGTCTGTTTATTTGTTGTTGCTCTGGATAATACTGGCTATTATTGTTATCGATTCTCTTGGGGAAAACTCCTATTAATCAGCCTCCTCTGTTAGGAGTCTGGGAGTCAAGATCTCGGTCGGGGATTCCGTCTGATTTAATTCTGATCTCTCAGACTTCTTCCCATGGAGAATCCTTTCTGGTCAGTGCCTTGGCTCGGCTTAACAGATGTCAATATAATTCTAGGAGTAATCAATATCTATCTTCATTCCTTTTCCTGTCCTCTGCATAGAACGGTAGATATTATTTTGTACTTGGGAATTACATATTCATGACAGGGTAGGTAGGTGAATAGAAGGATATCATACAGTTTAGACTAACCATCTTCAATTAACGAAACCATGTCTGCTAATGCCCACTTAGGATGCCTGATATCCTAAGTGCTAGATCCAAAATAGAGAGGTGCTCGTCAGCACCGTCGACCAATCTCTTATCCATTTCCGAGAAGACAGAGAGGATCCTGTTCTTTTGGAGGTCGGCTATGGTGTCATTGAAAACAATTCGTCGATACAACTGCATCCTCTGTTAGAATCGTCCTTCCTTCGCTCCCTTCGTCTTTTCATTTAATAAGTCAACATGCACATACCTGACCGAGTAACTGTGTAGCACTCCATCCATCCGCAACCACATCAGTGACAGCAGCAGAGACGGCTTCGTAGGCACTCCCCGTCTTCTTAGGCTGCATGGCCTCCACCAATCTATCCAGAATACCCTCCGGAACCACACCGGCGATCTCCTCAATGGTCCGCACGGTAATCATCTCAGAGGGATTGTTATCCGTAGCAGCATCAGCCATTTCCGTATCCTCATCATCACCGGAAGCATTTGCTCTTGTACGACCGACCAACCGCGCTGCACTCTGCAAAAACATAATGGCCCGTCTCAGATCACCATCACTGCAACTGATCAACTTATCAATAACGCCATCATCAAGCCTTAACCCCTCTACCTTAGCAATATACTCCAATCGTTTCCCGGCAGCTGTATTATCCAAAGCCTTGAACCGGAACTTGCTGCACCGGCTCGCCAATGGCTCGATAATCCGCGTCACATAGTTGCAAACCAGACAGAACCGGGTAATGCGACTGTACGTTTCCATGGTGCGGCGGAGCGCCGATTGCGCATCCTGAGTCATGCTATCTGCCTCGTCAAGGATGATGATTTTGAACGGCGGACAGGGATGTTTCGAGAGATATTCTGCGTCCAGACCTGTTGTGTGGGAGAGTTGGGTTCGGGCGAAGTTTTTAATCTTGTCCCGGACAACGGTTATGCCTCGTTCGTCGGAGGCGTTGAGTTCGAGAATTCGTGAGCGATACAGAGCTGGTCCGAAGAGGGATTTCGCGAGCGCGAGGATGGTGGATGTTTTGCCTGTTCCCGGAGGTCCGTAGAAGAGCATGTGTGGGAGCTATCATAGAAAGGGGCCCAATTAGTGCTGCTGTTATAGAAAATATCATATATTGTAGTTAAGTCGATACATACGTTGGATGCTTGTAATGTCCTTTGTAGGACATTGGTTGTGTGTTCTTGTGCTGCTACATCGTCGAGTGTTCTGGGACGGCTGTACAATCCATCAATCAGCACATTATTATATCCTTTCTCTCATATATACTATATCACATGTATATGCTTACTATTTCTCAATCCATGGTTGCTGCTGTTGCTGCTGCTTGTCCTTGTCCGCTGTTTTCGGTTTCGAACTGCTCGCTGCCGCGGCCGCTGCCCGGGCTTTGTTGCTGAAGAAATTGGCTGCCATTATCGGCTATTTGCTTTTCGGGGTAAGAAGGGTATATAAGAAAACCAAATGGCTGTCGATAATGAAGAGACTCGATATCTCCTTTGTTCGCGAGTCTCGAAGTCATCAATGCGACAAAGGCGACGCGTCTCCACGTGATACGCGACAGCAACTCTAATTCTCGTGACGATGCCAAGACAGCATATATTACCAGAACAGGAAAGGCAGAAGAAACACTACGGAGTAGTTAAATGACTGTTATCGTTGGCATCAATTCGTTCAATTCGTCTATAGCTCATCTCTCCGGTTCTCATTGATAACCTCTTCGTACATTCTCTTCTTCGAGTTCCGGGGCATCTCTTCCTGTCTCTTCCTTTCCTCAGGTGAGATGTCATCAACATTCGTTTCTTCCATCTCCGCCTCCCCAGTTGCCATTTTCCCAATCCGGTCAATCAGACGGTCGCCCTCCGTAGTGACAGGCTCTTGATTCCAACTGGCACTACCCGTAACACTTTCAATCGCAGGAACTTCGGTTTTGTGGACGAAACCAGGTGTGAGGGTACTGCTCAACGAGGCAGTCGCTGATGATTGAAGCGCATTTGTACTGGTCAGTCCCACTGCGCCGAGGACCGCCAATGTAAATCTGGCGATGAGCCTCATTGGAAACCAGACAAGCCACCAGAAGGGACCATATAATATACGGCGGAATATAAGCCAAATTATGGTCCCAACAAGTACGTAGAACGCAGTTTCAAGGTACCAGGTATCCGATTTTTGAGAGCGGAGAAGAGATCCAACGAGGGAGCGTGATGATGATAGTAAACTGTCAAGGCCTCCGTAGGATTCCGACAGAGAGGCCAGAGCAGCGTTCGATTGTTCTGTTGTTCGTAGGATTAGCACGGCGCGTTGTGTGCAGAGGCTCGAAACTAGTAGTATAAAGGACTAACCTAGTGTCTGTTGCGCGAATTGACTCCTTGATAGCTCCGCTTGCATCAAGTAATATGTCCTCTTCAAAGCAGAGGTCACATCATTCGACGCGTTAACCATCAGCTCATCCTGCGTGAGCTTCTCCGAAGTTTGCCTAACACCCTCCGCCTCTGCATTTGCAGATCTCGAGAAGAGCAATTCTCTCTCCTTCCGTTTCGCAAGTTCCGCATTCCTCTTGGCCTGCAACTGAGCCCTCCGAAACTCTCCTCTTGTTCTATCGCAGCCGCATATTAGCACAATGTTTAGAGCAATGCAAGCAGAAAGGAATAAATCCATCATGCATCCGGCGGCACGACACTTCAGTCCATAATGATCATACCCACCTCTTCAAATCCTCTTCTAACCTCCCCGCCAACGAAACAATCCTCTCCCGCTCTGCCTCTTTTTCTTCATTATTCGCCCCTCTCCTCCTGTTCTCTGGGATAGGTTCCAGTGCCTCAATCTCAACTCGCAGAAGCTCCATTTCTTCCTCTGCCTCCTTAAGCCGAGTGTGGATTTCCGCTCCGAGCTCCAAGCGGGCCTGATCACCTTGTCCGATAGCAGTTGTGAAGTTCCACAGTCGAGTTATCAAAGGATGCATATGGCCAAGGGAGGCGGAGAGGTCTTTTAACCGTGTTTGGAGGATGGATGGGGAGGCCATTATGGTTGTTTTCGTCTGGTAGATAGTTTTTTGTTCGGAGAGAAAATGGAGCCTTTGATTTTTACCTAAAGCCCGTATATCACTAGCTGTATATGTATTATCGATTAAAGGAGGAACATCATGGCTGTTCAAATGGTAGAAAAGAAGTATTGTTTGTCTGTTCAAGTTGTCTACTTGATGCCAACCGTCATAGGCGTGATGTGTTTGTCTCAGATGCAAACATGCCATTCCGAAGCCATTCGATGGTTATTTTTCCAAGGCCGCGAACCACATCCAGCAGACTCCGATTAGACATTTCAATTGCCATTGTTCTGTGTGTTCATTCTACGGCCTTATCCGGCGTTATTGATCTATTGAGCGTATTGAATTGAATTAAACTGACTGAAGTCGATCCCATTACTACAAGCAGGTACGAACCAACTACCTACACCATACAGAAGACACAATCGAGCCTCAATCCCAGCACTTCACCTCTGAAATAAAGACTAAAGACAGAAAAGAAGAAAGAATGCGCTAACAAGCGTCTAGACAGACACCAACTACAAACGCAATAAGCAATTCAGCCTACAGAAGTTCAATCGACAGAACTGAACCAAAATGTCTCTTCCCCTTCAAACAATTACCGCCCTCCGCGCAACCATAGACCCCTTCTCCCGCCAATCTCGCCCGTGCCGACTCTTCCTCTCCCTCCTCCGCACCCCCTCAACGACACCAGCCGGCAGCCCCACGCACATCAACATCCAAGTCACGCGGCTCCCGCGGAATTCGACGCAGCCCCCCGAGATGACGGTGGTATTCCGGGGCGGGAAGGAGCTGAAGTTGGAGGTTGGGAAGAGGCAGATGAAGATTGGGGATGTTGTTGAGGAGGTTTCAAGAGTTGCTAGGGGGGTTCAGAGGGAGGAGACTTTGAAGGAGTGATTTCTCTCTCTCGCACACACACATACTCTTTCTTTGTTTTATTTTATTTTATTTCTTTTGACCGTTTGACGGTGTCTTTGGATGTGCGCATACTACGTGTGCTGGCGCTTGGAGAGCGGTTCTTCCTTTGTATTCTGTAAGATATCTGTTGGATTTGGGTGGAGAGAATTACCTGCTGAAGAGGGTGGCATTCATGTATATATCTAATGGGCACGTTATGCATCTTCAAGTCATCACATTGAGCTCTTTCCAACGTTCGCACACATCATCCCAAGATGATAGAATACTTTAGTTTCAAGGTCGAGTGGTCTACCAAGGAACAAACTACAACCCAGTTAAATACGGGTGTATAAGTGAAATAAGAAAACAAGATGCTTTCTATCTACCAAGTTCACTGACTTTTAATACTTGCATGATATCATAAGTTTATACAGCAGCACCGGAGATGAAGAACCACTTGTCAACGCTGCCATCGATAGGAGCCGCAGGAAGGCTCTCGCCCTTGGGGATCTTGGCGAGCTGAGCCTGGTCAACGCGGTCTGCGGAGCCTTCGACGGAGACGTTGGCACTTCATCCGCATGTTAGTATCATCAAGACACACAAAAGAAAAGAAATGGAACGGAAGGGAAGTTCACTTACACGCTGACTTCGCCACGGGGAGTCTTGCCGGTGATGAGCTTCTCCCAGGCGTCGGCACACTCACGGATGACATCCAAGGCGTACCTAGAAAACCACACGGTCAGAAAATGGCATCTTCAAATAAATCATCATGAGGGATACTCACTTCTTGTTCTTGCACTCGCCAGAGAAGGCGAACTGGTTCTCGGGCTTGCCATCGGGGATCTTGTAGATCCGGAACCACTCGTTGGTAGCACGGAGAAGGCCAGGAAGGTGACGCTCGACATCCTCAATGTCGTTGAGCTTGGGAGCTAGAGGGTCGTTGATGTCGATGACGATGACCTTCCAGTCGGTCTCCTCCTCATCCAGAAGGGCCATCACCCCGAGAACCTTAACCTGCTTGATCTGACCGGTGTAGCCGACAAGCTCACCGATCTCGCAGACGTCGAGCGGGTCATTGTCCCCCTTGGCCTTGGTCTCGGGGTGGACGACATTGGGGTCTTCCCAGGTCTGAAAGGATGCACGGGATTAGCGCTATGGGTGTCATACATGGGGGGGATGCCCAACTTACGCGGGGGAAGGCACCGTAGTTCCAGAGGTAACCCTTGTGGGGGAAGCAGTTGCGGACGTAGCGAAGCTTGCCCTTCTTGACATCCTGCTTGATGGGGTTGAGGAATTCCTCCTTGGAGATCTGTAGCGGGGTCAGCATCGTTCGTGTGGCCAGCTGCTGCAGACCCGTCGTGTGCTTACCTCCTGCTTGGCGTTGGTCCAGCGGGGGATCTCGACGATCATGTTGAGGATGGTCTGCTGCTCATTGGCGTAGAGAGGGATATCGTGGAAGGGGGAGACTGGGACACCGTCCTTCTCGATGAAGACACGGTGGTCCAGCGTGTTGGGCTGGCCAACCTTGCGGATGGTGTACTCCGACGGGGAGGTTGCGTAGGACATTTTGTGGGTGGACGACTGCCGGGCAGCGGACGAGGAGAGATGTCTGGACAGGAGGGAGGCACGCGAAGAGGCGGACGAGGCAATGCGTGCGGACGAAGCTGAGACGGAGGGAAGAAAGGAGGGGGGAGGGGAGAGAGAGGGGGGGAGCGAGAGCTTGGTGGGGGGCGCCAGGGTTACTGCGGTGCGAACAAATCGGGCGGTGGACACGCTGCGTCGGCTCAAAGGAGCGAATGGCGCCTGACGTGCAGAGACTGCGAACTTCCAGGGCATGGATGGGAGCAGCGAGATATTATATCTATAATACTAATATATAATATAGCAATATAATAAATGCCCGTTGCTTGTGCCGACGACACTCTCAGTCGTTCCTTGTGCTTCGCGGTCCGCTGCAGAATTCCGGCTGGCCCTCGGCTTCGGCAAACAGCCCTATTAAATATCCGTCCTAGTATGGAGTAACCGTTGCCAGGGCAGGGGAATCGCGATTACAGCTATTGCCACTCTCCGGATTGCTTATTCTGGTATTTTCCTTCTTGGTTCATCATAAAGCTTGATCTGGGGCACGGGGGCATTGGAAGAATAGCACCAGGCTTGCATGTCTATCAGGTCGAATTCCCTTCTCGATTCTCATACCAACGCTAATTAAGAAAGACGCCATTTCCAGACAAGTATTACCTTCCCGACTTTTCACGATATCAAACAATATTGCTCGGATATTGGATCTCCTTCAAGGAGCCGAAATTCTCGCTGATCGTCCGCACGCTCACAAACCGACTGATCGCATTCACCGTGCCAATCTTGTCGTTCGTTCCGCTGCCGCGAGACCCCCCAAACGGCTGCTGCCCGATGACTGCCCCCGTGCTCTTGACGTTGATATAGAAATTGCCCGCCGAATGACGCAGTTTCTTCTCCGCGTAGCTCAGGGCCTCCGGATCGCGCCCGAACACACTCCCGGTAAGAGCATATTCCGACGTGGAATCCACTGTTTCGATGATCTTCTCCCACTCACCGTCCGGATACACGTAGATGGCTGCCACGGGGCCGAATAGCTCCCGCTTCATGATTTCGTGCTGCGGGTCCAAAGTCCGATAGAGGGTCGGGTGGACATAGTACCCTTCCTCCTTGGAGGCCTGGCCACCAACCAGCAGGGTGAGCTTGGGGTCGGATTTCGCCTTGTCGATCACGGCCGCCAGACGGTCAAAGGCCTCCTCGTGGATGACCGGGTTGATGAAATTGTCGTATTGCTCTGGCTTTCCGACCTTGAGTTCCTTCGTCCTCTCAACGATCTTCGACTTGAACTCGGGCCAGGCGGACTCCGGAACATAGATGCGCGAAGTCGCAGAGCATTTTTGGCCCTGGTATTCAAATGCGCCGCGGATGGTCTGGTTCACGGCATTGTCGATGTCGGCACTGGAATGGATCAGATGGAAGTTCTTGCCACCCGTCTCGCCGACAACGCGTGGGTATTGACGGTAGATGTCGTCCGCCGTCCCTTGTCCAATTTTGCCCAGCAGCGACTTGAAAACTTTCGTGGACCCGGTGAAGTTGAGTCCAGCGAATTCTTCGTGTGCGAGACAGACCCGAGTGACCATCTCAGCATCCCCAGGCACCCACTGGACCACGTCCCGTGGCAGACCTGCCTCCAAGAAGATATTGTACAGTAGCCAGCTTGCGTGGAGAGAATAGTGGGATGGCTTCCAGAGCACCACATTTCCCATCAGGGCAGGGCTGAAGGCAAGATTTGTACCCAAAGCCGTGAAGTTAAACGGGGAGACGGCATAGACAAACCCCTCCAGGGGGCGATATTCCTGCCTGTTCCATGACCCAAACTCGTTGACGACGGGTTGCTGAGCGTTCAATTCAAGTGCAGACTGCACGTAGAATCTGGCTGTGAGTGTCAGCAAAACTACTTCTCCGGCTCTCGAAGAGTCACAAAGGAATAGAGGAACAGAAAACCACATACCGCATCAGATCACACACTTCCGCCGCGGCATCGATCTCGCCCTGCCAGATATTCTTACCCTGTCCCAGCATCGTGGCTGCCACGATTTCAGACCTGTATTTGTCGGAGACCAGCTCAGCCGCCCGCAGGAAGACGGCAGCCCGGTCTTTCAGACTTGTATTCTCCCAAGATGTCTTGGCTTTCAGCGCAGCAGAGATGGCATTCTCCACGTCCTGCTCAGAAGCAGCTTGCCAATTGGCAATGACTTCTTTATGGGATGCCGGGTTTCTCTGTTAGATTGTAGTAGACACTGCGGACTAGACAGCGGCCAACGGCATATACAATCAGTCACAGTTTGATCTTGCTTTAATTCAAGGTGTTGATAATTTCATCTTACCCCCTTTGCACTTATCGGTAGAGAAATCTCAACAGGGAAGCTCTTCCTCAGGTTGGCAATGGCTGCGGTCAATTGGGCTCGCTCTGGGGATGACTTTGCGTATGCTTTCTGCCTTTTGGTTAGATACAGCAGCATGGAACTCTTTAAAAACAGATTACATCAACTTACAGCTGGTTCATTTTGAAAGGGAGGTTTCTTATACAGGGAGATGGACGCCCGTTGCATCGGTCGCGCTCCCAATCCCGGCAGCAAAGTTGGCCGGCAAGCCCTTGTTGCTCTCAACATCGTCGACATTCTTTGCTCTTTGAACAATGATCGATGCTGCTACAAAAAAATTCAAAGCTACTCGGAGCTACCCAGTTATTTATATTGCTTCTCTGCCTTGTATGGCAACGAGACAGCTAGCTTCGGATGGGGAGCCGAGGAATGATATCTACAGCTTCGGTTTGCTATCCGTCGACGAGATACGATCCCCCGCAACAAGATATGTCTGGTTCGTCCTTGATGGGCATGGTTAACTCGGTGATGGGGTTCTAGAGTGCAGTATCATCTAGCGGATGAGCTGCAAGCCATGGAGCTCGGAAGATGGGGCCGACATTGATCAAACCAAGATACTGAAGGCGATGGAATATTCATAGCAGACCTTGAGCGCTATCTTCTCTTATTGCTGTTCTTTCTCTCTTTTCTTCAATCCTCTGTCTTGCATGTGTGCTGTATTGTTCCCAATGAAGCAAACGCTCACAAAGCTCTCCCGAACAGCCTCAAGAATGGCACCATTTGCATCAATCAAGAAGCCTCCCGTGGATCCTATGAATATATTGAAGCGTCGAGCAGACGGTGATACTCATCCTGACAAGGTAGACCTCGGCGTTGGCATCTATCGCAACGAACAAGGCGGATATTATGAGTTCCCGGCGATCAAGAAGGTGTCTTGCCTCGTTGCCAACTTAGGGTTATTACACCCCGTCTCTTGAATCGGAAATGCTAATAAGGGAACAATATAGGCAAAGCAAATCTTGACGGAAAAGAACCTGGGCCATGATGTTCGTTTCTTTTGGGTTCGAGATGCAGAGCACTTCCACTGATGGGAGAATTAGTATATTCCCACGACCGGCATACCGTCGTTTATTCCTCTGGCGAAGAAGTTCATGTTCGGGGAGTCTTTTGACATTGAGCGGGTGAGCTGGATTTATCTTCGTCCGAATATGGTCTTTATGCTAAATCATGATCTTATTTCTTTCAGGTCGCATCTGTCCAAACAGTAGCCGGCACCGGTGCAAATAGAATCGGGGCAGCCTTCCTGAGTGCGCACTATGCAACTGACTCTACCAAGGCTTATATTGGGACACCGGCTTGGGGGAACTACATCCCCTTGTTCACTCATGCCGGCATCCCCTGTGCAACATACAAATACCACGACATCAAAGCCCGAGGAGTGGATTTCGCGAGCGTCCTCCAAGCAGCAACCCAAGCACCCCCAGGTTCTATCTTCGTGCTGCAAGGCTGCTGCAACAACCCCAGCGGCTCGGATATGACAAAAGAACAATGGACCGCCCTGGCACAGGTCATCAAAGAGAGAGGCCATTTCGCGTTCTTCGACGTGGCATACCAGGGTCTCGGCACGACAGCACCAGATGGCGGCCTCGACGACATCTGGGCCATGCGACATTTTGTCTCCCAGGGAATCAACATGTCCGTTTGCCAATCATTCTCCAAGAACATGGGACTATATTCCGAGAGAGTGGGCGTCCTGCACATTGTATGCGAGGACGCAGCCATCGCCAGCCGCGTACAGGACGTCCTTCGATCCATCGTCAGATGGGAGTTCTCATCCGCCCCATCATATGGAGCCAGACTTGCCGAGACGATCCTCGAAAACCCAGAACTAAAAGCGCAATGGGTGAAGGAAGTGGCGGCCGCCTCGTCCCGTCTCGTGGCTAATCGTCAGAAACTCCATCGCGAGCTCACGGTTGTCCTGAAGACTCCCGGGCACTGGGACTTTCTTCTCCGGGACAAGGGGCTGTTTTCTCTTCTTGGTCTCTCCGAGGAGCAGGTGGAGATGCTGATCTCACAGCATCATATTTATTTACCGGCGAATGGCCGCATTAACGTTGCTGGACTGAACGATTCGAATATTCAGACTGTTGCTCGGGCCATTGACAGCGTCATTCGGAAAGATTTATAAGGACTTTATATCGGCACACCCGATGCAGCATATATTCCACTGTTAAATACTCATGACTCGACACGCGATAGAATGTCTATTTCCTAATCCGAATCTGTCGTGAATTCAGTAGAGCTTGTAAACGTACTCATGTAGGAATTTCACCCATGGGAATTTTCGGAGTTCATATACGCCTAACTCTCCTCCGTATTCATCATCAAAGTCTTCGCGTTCAAGTTTATGGCGATGGATGGCTACTTGTCGCTCTTCTTAAGATGCCTTGTCCCGTTGACCAAGGCATCCGCAAAATCTGACCTACTCCCCTCCCTCTCCAGCGTCATCAGGGCCTGAATGGTGCAACCTCTCGGCGAGGAAATCTGCTCCCGTAAAACTGCAGGATGAGTCCCCGACTCCAGAACGGCTGTTAATCCGCGAAGACCCTGCAGAACAATTTCCATGGCATCGGCGCGTCTCATTCCCTCGGCAACACACCCGTCCAGAAGACCTTCAATCGGGACCGTCAAGAGCGCCATGGATGCGCCCACAATCATCGAGCCCAGGTCAAAAAGATCCGAAGCCACGTACTTGACCGCCCCGACCTGCTCAAAAATATACTCCAAGATCTCCGCCATATGCGGTGGGAGAGCCTTGTTGTCTGTGTCGATGACAGTCATCGATTGCAGGTACTGCGCCCCCATGTTGGGAATCACTCTGACGATGACAGGCTCCCGGCCGGACTCTGCTTCTAGCTCTTCCCCGGCTTGGATATACCCCGCGAGCGCCTTGGGAGTCTGTCCTGCCAGCAGACTGATGACTAGCTTTCCCTGAAGCGCCTCCAGCACACCCTTTTGCCCGAGAATGTCTTCGGCCATGTACGGCTTGAATCCGAGAATCACGACATCTGCATCCTGCATCGCCCGGAGGCTTTGCGCATGGGTGAAGTGCACCTTGGCTTGGTTCTCGGGGGAAATAGAGTCCTTCAGTCGGTCACTGGAGGCCGCTGTCTTTGTGCAGGCGATGAAGCGCGATATTTTTGATTGTTCGATGGATTGTCCGGATTGGGCATTGAGGATTCCCTTCAATATTGCCCCTCCCATATTCCCTTTACGATTATGAAGACCAAATCAGCTGGTTACTCGCATGTCGTCAATAGGATCGTGACGACTTACCGCAGCCGATAAACCCAACGGTGCAATCCGGTAACGCCATTGTTGCAGAGATGAAATGAAAGGTAGGCGTTCAATGAAGCTGCTGCCCAGGGAGTTAGGGGGTAGTGACTTGCGCGAATCCTTGAGCAAAAGATAGAGCAGCTGCAAAGGTGTCCTTACTTGAGAATCTTCGAGTCATACATAAACTGGGGATTTCCGATAACGATTCCTGCAGCTCGGGTGACGATCCCGCAGGCCGACGAATCTCGGGATCATGGCCGACGCGTTTGAAGATTTGGAGTATATTTGTACTAGCCATACTGGTCAAAACAGTCTTTATGGAGACGGCAAACTGCCTGCCTGAAGTGGCCGTAGTTGACGCTGCTTTCGGTCGCCTATTGCCAGGTGCATGGCTACCGGTGCAATCCCTGCCAAGCCCTAACTCTTCACTCAGCATTTTCCCTCGGCGAGCCTGGCTACAATTTCTGCATCTTGCCGGCTAGCCTGCAGTTTTATGAAGGCGTTGGAGGTGGCTCGCTCTCAGGGTTCCCAACATAGTGGCCGTCCAGCTCAAGGGGGGCACAGATGCAGGTCAAGAGATTAACGGCAGACTGTGCTGTCTAGGAACAGCCACTGGAAGAATGAGAAGCGCAATTCTCCGGCGAAGACATGGAACTCTTTCTACATTTCTTGCGGCGGATCTTTGTTGGCTGCCTGATGAGCAACCGTCTGCGGAGGAGCTTGCGTGTGATGATTTTCTAATGCAGGGTTAACGAATGCAAGGAGTGATATCAATACGCCTTGGCCAGTTCAATTTAGCAGATGGAAAGGAAAACGCCATTTCGTTATACTAATCTTCAATTCTACACCTTCTTCTCCCCATCCTCCAGCTTGACGTCGTCCAGAAACTCGGTGTAGTCCAAGTACCACGTAACAGCCTCATCTTTCATGTTCTGCTCCTTCTCGCCCACCGTCCATCCATTCCCAAACCATCCGAACTCATTGCCGTCGTACGGCTTCGTCTCAAAGTCCTCCCACCGCACACGGCTCAATGCCTTGACTGCATGGACGCTGCTACCCGGCCATAACGCGGTAACCCGGCCTCTTTTCCTCTCTTCCAACGAGGCACCCGGCGGCGAAGACTTATACCAACTGGCACATTCAACGCTGTAGACCGTGCGCTCGAAGTACTTGTCGGCAAAGTTGGTGAAGTTCTCGACCTGGCGTCTCTTGGGTTCTACCAGGCCGATGTTGTCATATGCCATTCTACGCAGGATCTCCCCGACGTAGATGTGCGTTTGCTCCATCATGATGAGCAGGTTCCCAGCGCCTTGGAATGCATTCGGGCCCAGCGACTGGAAGAAATTGGGAAACCCATCCGTGCAGAGTCCTAGGTATGTCTCCGGACGCTGTGCGTATCGGTGTCGAAGATTAACGCCATTTCGGCCTAGGATGGGAAACCCGCCGCCTGGGCTTGTTTCGAATCCGGTTGCACATACGATTGCCTCGACAGGGCGGTGTTTTCCATCGGAGGTGACGATACCGGTCTCATCGACCCGTTCGATGCTGGTCGGGATGACCTCAACTTTGGGAGAAGTTAGAGCCTCCAGGTATCCGGGGCCTGGAGTAAGACGTTTGCAGAGCGGAGGGAAGTCAGGGACGAGGAGATCGAACAGCTCCGGTTTGCCCTTCAGTCTGCGCTGCATGCCGGCTTTATATTGGGCCTGTGCGGCGGTTTGGATATCGCTTCCCCGTTGCGACTTGGCATACCCGGATTGCATGGCAAACTCCAACTCTTTGCGGTACTTGAGATATGCCGATGGGTTCTCACGCCATGCTTGCTTTTCCTCTTCCGTGTATTCGAAATTGCCACCCTTGTCCTTCGTCCGGGCAGACAGTTCACTTCTCTGGCCGTATTGATCAGAGATCCAGGTTCTTCCGCGGACGTAGTGGTCCATGGCCTTGACTTTGTCAACAAGGGCTGGGACGATCTGGATTCCGCTGCTTCCTGCGCCGATGACGGCAATGTGCTTGTCCTAGAACCGGGGAAGTCGTTAAGAAGAGGCTATCTAATGCCGTGGGTACATTGTAGACTTACCTTACTGTCAAAAGTTTCATCCCAGTTCGCGCTGTGTAGCAACTGGCCCTTGAAACTGTGTAATCCGGGAATCGACGGCCACTTCCACTCGTTGAGCATGCCGGTTCCCGTCATGAAGACATCCGCTGAATCCTCGAAGACCTCGCCTGTCTTCTCGTTGTACATCTGAACGAACCACTTGGCGGTTGACTCATTCCATCGTGCCCCAACACACCGGCTCTGGAATCTGATGTGCTTGCGGACGTCGTATTTCTGCGCAACCCGCTTCCAGTATTCCAGGATCTCGGGCGCACCGGAGTAGTAATGGGTCCATTCGGTCCACGATTCGAAACTGAGTTGATACGAGTGCGATGGGACATCTGCGTAGGTTAGTGTACAATGCACATACCTTCAGGGTTGGTGCATTCTCACTCACCACACGCGCAACCAGGATATCTGTTCTCATACCAAGTACCTCCCAATTCAGGGTTCTTCTCGTAGATCACCAAGTCAATATCAGGCACGGCTTTCCTGAACTTGATGGCCGCCAGAATCCCCGAGACACCAGCACCAATGTAGATGACTTTGAGGGGCCGTGGTTGATCGATGGCACGCTCTGAGATCAGCGGACTGCTGTACTTGTACTGCTCTCCGCCGAATTTGATGGCCGGCGAGACAGCAGGCTTGGTCTTGGTCTCCGGGGGAGTAGTGGCCATGACCTCGGTCGTGGTGGTTGTGGTCTGCGAGGTCTTCTCGCTGAGGAGACTTGGAGGAGAAAGAGGAATAAACGTGGTTTCTGTGATAGTAGCCATGATGCGGGGAAAGTACTGATGGATATTGGTCAAGTTACTACTCCCAGAGACGGCCGTCTAGCCTTTCTCAATATTTATAGCCTTCTACATCAAGTCGAATGCGGCCTGGCAATCAGAACGGACGCCTACCCGATGCGAATGCCCGGGAAGTCCATGATAAGACGAGCAGGATCGTGACGGCCATGCGCATTCCCAGGCCTATCAAGACGTTGACCATGAGATAAAGACGCAGAAACCCCGCATCTCGACCATCGATTGTCGCCGGGAGCCAAACCGGTCGAGGCTATTATCCTGTGCAGTGTCAATTGCCCCTCCAGTGCATCGGGAGCGTTCCCGGTCTGCTGATAAGCCCTAATACGGTATGTACCCTAACACGGCGTGTACATAGGGCCATTGTCCAACGACCACGGATCAGTCCAGGCTAGCATTTATGTTATTAAAAGCGAATCTTTGGTAAGCTTCAAGGGCACTAAACGCAGAACATGTGGTCCAAGAATGGCAAGCCGGAGCAGTACTGCCCGAACCAACGCCGCATGTTCCAGGTCTCGTCTACCGCAATGTGTTATCAAGACACCAGCCTCGACTTTAGAAGAATAGCAATTCGGGTTGCATTGAGGCATGCCATCGCGCCATGAGCTTTGACAGACCCTTGAAACTCGCTCCCATGCAATCAAACGAGGACTTGGGCGGCATCCGCAGTACTGAGTTGAGTATGTCCGGATGATCCCCTGTTGGGCTTCAGAGCAAATTTGCTAAGAATAAGCGCTAAGTGCGTCTATCGGAGACGTGCTGTAAGCACAAGATCACCATGCCAAGACATATTAAATTCTCCTGTCAAGTTCAGTCAAGTTCCTGGAGTCCGCCATGATATTGCAGACCTACCTAGACCACTGTTCATCGCCCGGCTACAACACCAACAGACTCAACCACAAGAACCACCTCCGCAACGAATAACCAAAAAAAGAAAGAAAAGAAACATGTCTCCAACCCCAAGCGTCCGCGTTGGCGTGGGCGCCTTTGTGCTCGCGCCCTCTGGGTCATCCACAAACCCCCGTTTCCTCATCGGCAAACGCAAAAATTCACACGGGTCGGGTACCTACGCCCTTCCAGGCGGCCATCTCGAGTTTGGCGAAACCCCCGAAGCCTGTGCGGTACGGGAAGTAAAGGAGGAGACGGGACTAGACGTCCACAACGTGCGGTTCCTGACGGCGACGAATGACTACATGGCGGCTGATAACAAGCATTACGTGACACTGTTTATGGTGTGTGAGCGGGTCCAGCCCGAGCAGGAGGCAGAGGTGCTTGAGCCAGAGAAATGTGAAGGGTGGGAGTGGATTAGTTGGGCGCAATTGCAGGAGGGCGAGACTGCAGAGAAGAGGTTTTTTACTCCCATTTTGAATCTTCTGCAGCAGCGGCCTGGGGTTCTTCCAACTTTTTCTTGATCCTTCTAATCCCAAAGAGCTTTGGCTGATGAAGCAATTCATTAAGTTGAAAATGCAGCCAAATCATTAGATGAAATGAGAATGACTAGTTAGTTGACTAACAATGAATGTTGATTATTAATAATGTATGAACAATGTTGGACATCAACAAATAATACATATCACGTGCGTCTTATCTACACGTGACCAAATCCCGAACTTTTCGTCGCGGTTTCATCTTTCATCGAACTTCAACTTCTCCATCTCAGCCGTCCTTCTTCCTCTACCCCTTGGGTTCAGGGTGAACCCAGGCATGATATGCTCAGATATTTCCGCTCCATGATGACTTCGCTCACCTCACCAGCTCGTGTCCCTATCCCCGCTAATGGGGTCGACTACCGTGGCAAAGTAGTCCTGGCACCGATGGTGAGGTCTGGAGAACTGCCATCACGTCTTCTAGCTTTGAAATACGGCGCTGATTTGGTCTGGGGTCCGGAAACCGTCGATCGCTCACTAGTCGGTGCCACCCGCCGTGTGAACCCCCGCAATGGAACGATCGAGTTCACCAGGCGTCCATCCAACGGAGGACGTGCTAACCCCGCCAGTGAAGATTCCGTCATCTACCGCATCGATCCCGTTCGTGAAAAGGGCAAGTTGATTTTCCAGTTGGGAACTGCGTCCCCCGAGTTCGCAATCCCGGCTGCGAAGCTGGTGGCCGCCGATGTCGCAGGGATAGACGTGAACTCGGGATGTCCAAAGCCTTTCAGCACCAGTGGGGGAATGGGTGCGGCTCTGCTACGAGACCCGGATAGGCTCGTCTCTATCCTCGAGGCTCTGGTTCGAGAGGTTGGGAATCCTTTCCAGATCGGCATCTCCGTTAAGATCCGTATCCTCGAGACCGCGGAGAAGACAGAGGAACTGGTTACACGACTTTGCGCAACAGGCATCACAGGTCTAACCGTCCACTGTCGTACAACGCCCATGCGCCCCCGGGAGCGTGCAATCCGCGATCAACTTCGAATGATAGCTTCCGTGTGTCGAAAGGCGGGTGTTGCTTGCGTCATGAATGGCGACGTGACGTCTCGTGACCAGGCACTCGCTTTAATGAAAGAATACGACGTCGACGGCGCGATGATTGCAACGGCCGCAGAATCGAACTCGTCCTGCTTCCGTACCGATGCAGAGGGCGGTTTACTCCCATGGAGGGATGTTGTCCATGACTATCTGGAAGCGTGCTTGCAAGTCGAGAATCGGTTCGGTAACACAAAATATCTCCTGAACATCATGATTCCTGGGAAGAACAAGGAGTTTCAGGAAGCGAAGGCTTCAAAGACATATTCCGATTGCTGCCATATTCTAAAGTTCGACGATCTCATCCCCATCGCCATCAGGGTAGACGAGGTTCTAGGCCTCAGCGGCAAATCTGTGTATTTTGGGAATCAACAAGAAGAAAGCGTCCGGAGCAAAGTCGTCCAGAAGGCCATGCAGAACAACGAGTCTGCTCGGGCTGCTGGCGGTGCAGCAAGACCCATTAAGGAAAGCCCACCGGTTGTCAATGGCGGTGGTCCTATTCGGACGAGTTCTATACCGCCCCCTGCTCCAAGGCCCAAGCCTGATGATACCAACGGGATCGACTTGTCTGTGCCAGCCTCCCAGGCACCTCAAAAGGCAGAGGTCACCGTCTAATGCTACTATTGGTGATACGGACAAGATATAATCTACCTATCTGTGACGTTATGATTTAGACGTTTCCCTAGATCAGAGGCGTCGCTGGTATCTTCTTGTTTTCTTTTCTTTTCCTTCTATTGAAACCAGCAACGTTTTCTGTTCAAACACACTTTTTACAACATATTATTCATCCCATATCCTTATATGCCGTCATATTTTACTTTCTACAGTTACATTACCTTGGGCTGATTGCCTTTGATTCAGACGTTGGAATATTTTTGATCAACTTTTGCATCTTGCTCGGTGTTGCTTGGTCGATCTCGTGTTGTGTTTCTCATTATGACTGACTTGTTCGTACGAAGCGTGGAGTAACAGGATGTTGCCGCCTTTGCCATACCCAGTGTGTCTGTCAAAATACTATGGACACTGTAGATAGAAATTTGAAATCACCATGTTATCCTAGAATTAAAGACATACGCTGCATGCCCATCAGTATCTTCCGCGAGGGGGTCCGAAAATGAGCGTCGATGGAAGCGTCCAGCAAAGAAAGCCCAATGAATAAACTTTACATTAAGTACCCCTTGTTATCCTGCTTTTTATCTCTATTTTTTAATACATAAACTCTTGTCGCTTGTTCGCTGGCTATGATGATGCTTGAACATGAAAAAGATCAAACCAGATCTATCCGGCACCCGGAAGAGAACCAGAAGAAAAGGGGGGGGGAAAAACCAATGAAAATAAGACAGGGAAAAGCAAAGAAAACAACAAATGATATCGCACATCCCAGCTTCTATGTCTATCTATCACCGCTCACTTCTGAGCAGCTTCATCATCCTTTTTCTCCATATCCGCAAGCATCATATCCTCAACCATCTTCATACCGGTCTCCTCCTGTTTCTTTGACGACGCTCCACCTTCCTCGCCAACAGCGGCGGCACCAGAAACAGCCTGATCAAGAGCCAGCTTCGTTTGACCAAGCGCATAGATCTGTTCCTCGATGGTATCCTTCGTCACGAGACGGATCACCTCGACTTCCCTGTTCTGGCCGACGCGATGGGCGCGGTTCTCGGCCTGCACATCCTCCTGCGGATTGAACGAAGAGTCGAATATGATCACCTTGTTAGCGCAGGCGAGATTGATGCCGGCGCCTCCGGCCTTAGTTGAGAGTAGGAAGACGGGGATATCGGTGCGTTCATGGAAGGCGTCGAGGATCGACTGTCTGTCTTCGACGTTTGTGCGGCCATCCAAGCGGACGAATTCAATGTGTTGTTCTTCCAGGACGAGTTCGAGGATGTCCATTACCATGGTGAATTGGGAGAAAATCAGAGTTCTGTCGCCAGATTCCTTGAAACGGGATAGGAGATCGCAGAGCTTGGCGACTTTACCGGAGTTTATCCATTCGGCGGATTTCAGGGCGAATTTGCCCAGGGAGTTTGGGTTTTCTGCGCATATCTGGTGGCATTCTAGGTCGTTGTATGGCTGCAGGTCTTCGTAGATGAGGTCTGGGTCGGATTGGGACCATTTCTCCTCCTTTAGACACGCCTTAGCCATCCGGCTTAGAGTGTTATTGTCGTAGAGACGGCGGAAGAGGAGAGGGTGCAGGGCGGCCTGGCGGAGTTTCATCAAGATGTTCGCGGACTTGTTGCCTGTTCTCTTCCCGGCTGCACGGTCAGCCAGAAGCTGTCGCACTTCTTCTTTCTGGCTTGAGTAGATCTCCTTCTGCGTGTCGTTCATTTCACAGTACTCCACGCGGGAAATCTTCGGGGGGAGGTCGATGACCTGGTACTTCTTGCGACGTAACACAAATGGCTTGAGCATGGACTTTGCGCGTTCTATACGCTGTGCAGAGAGAAGAGTAGTGCGCGATTCATCGGTCGTTTTGGCCTTGTTCGCAAAGATATACTGGAGATCATCCTTTCGCTCCTGGAATACCTTGGGAAGGATGAAACCCAGCAGCGAGGCCAGTTCCTGAAGATTGTTTTGAAGGGGTGTTCCCGTCAAGAGAAGCCTGAATTGAGCAGGGATTCTGATCAATTTCTCATACAGGACAGACGTGCTGCTCTTGAGCATATGCCCTTCATCGTAGACGCAGACGCAAAAGTTCATCTTTCGGAGAAACGATGCGTCGTATTTGCCCTTCGCGATGGTGTAGGTAGTCACGACAACATTGATGCTGTCTAGGTTATTTAGAATAGTCTCCTGGATGCTCAGTCTTTCGTTTTGACCAGCGTAGTACGGCATAACGGAGAGCGCAGGGCAGAACTTCTGGAACTCTCGGAGCCAGTTCTCGATAGTGGATGCAGGTACAACAACAAGATGCGGCCCCTTGATACCACGTTCATATAAATGCGCAAGGAATGCAATCACTTGGCACGTTTTCCCCAATCCCATGTCATCCGCAAGGATACAGCTGAGCTCGTTATTAAACAATAAAGACAACCAGTTTATCCCGACAATCTGATAGTCTTTCATCTTGAAATCCTTGTTCATGATCGATGGTTGAGAGATGAATTTGGTCTTTCGCGAACCGGCGTTGGTGGCAGGGCCATCGCTATCCTCGTCAGAGCGATTGCTGGAAGGAGTCCCGATGCCAGAATCATGAGAAGCTCCAGTATCAATTGAGACCATCTCCAACTCTCCATCTCGCTTCCCAAAGATATCAACACCCCATTTCTTCATTTCTAAAGCAATTGGCCTTCCGATAGCCTCACATTGGGCCACCAACGAGTCGACGGCCTCATAGCCAGCCCACATGTCCAGACATTTATCCACAACCTTATCTCCAATGGGCTTTGGTGCCCTACGTCCTTTCCCGGTTTTGGGTTTCGACTCGTCAGACGGAGCAGTGACAGCGCGGACAGCGTCCAGAGATCTGAAGGGACGGTTCGAGATCACGATTTGCGCGACTTCTTCGGAAATGCCAGCAATGTCTGCCAGATTGGCAGCGTCGCACTGGTTGAAAAATCTGAGCACCTTAACATCTCGGTCGCCATCTTCGACTTCTCCACTATCCGATCCGGTATCGTCGTCTGAAATCTGTATAGGTTCCTCGGGAGACTCTGAGCGTGGTGATGAGACCACGGCTCTCTGACCGCGCACAAGTCGGCCGGGTTTGCGTTGTGGCTGAGTATTGTCGGAACGGGCTGAACTGGCGGGTGAGGAGGAACGATTCTTCGGTCCCCTGATCAAGCGTCTCCGTGGCTTTTGCTCTTCCGGTGGCGGCGTCGTCTTCTGAGGAGGGTTCGGCATGCGCAGAGACGACCATTTATCCTGAATCGTACTGCGCGCTTTAATCTGCTGTTTGGCCGGCGCAGCGCCAACGGGCGATGTGTGCCTAATAACAGCCAGTTCATCGTCGGACGAAATGTAAACTGGCGTCGCACTGTCTTTTTCTTCAGACAAGTAAACCAGTGCATCGTCATAATCACCGCGCTTCGCAATTAGAGCGTCCAAGCAAGCCTGAAGAGACTTCTGGCGCATAACCGTCTGCAGTCTCTGTACTTTTACCCTAATCTGGTAATCCTCGATGTCATCCAGCGACGAGATGCCCGTACCAACCGGCTGAGCACGAGAGGGACCATCCTGTCGAGGCTTTTTCACCGCGACCCCGATTGGAGATGCGGAGCCCATCTCTGTCGACGTACGCTTGCCCGGCCTATACATGGCGGACGATGTGATCTCCTTGAACCGATCCATAGCAGAACTGTTTCCGCTCACTGGCGACTCGGCGATTTTCTCTGGGCTTTTAGTAGGTCTAGCGAATGTTGACGGCTTGATATCGGGACTTGGATTCGCCGTCTCGTCGTCAGAAGAACCACCGCGGTATACGGGACCGTCGTCGTCAAGATCGATAACCGGGGTCCGTTTCTCTGGTCGTGCAGGTGGGCGGAAACGTGTTCCAGGCGGCGCTATGAGGTTGCTCAGTGGAGGACGTGAAGGAGAAGAGGCAGGGCCTAGAGGCGAGGAGGCGGCGACTTGGACAACGAAATTGATTCCTGCTGAAGCGGCAGGGCCGCCAGGAATGATCTGAGTGGGCTGTGTCTGTAGCCGCTGAGAAGCTGGGGTCAGGGTCTGGGGAATTTGTGAAACTTGTATGGGGTGGGACAGGGGAACCGTGGCAACCGTCTCGTATCCTAGTAAATCTGCATCGTCTGTAGCAGCCGGGGGAGGAGTGGTGACGACTTTTCTGTGGCCGATGGGAGTATCAGGAACCGTCTCATCCATGGTTTGAAAGGAATGGTATCAGCAGCTAGGCATCGAGGCCATGACTTGAGACAGAAGTATAGTAAGGCAACAGCCGTCTTCTCTGCACACCCACGGTTTCTGCTGAAGTTGACTTTTCTGTCTTCCCTTGACTTTTCCTGTCAACGCGATGAATGCGCGCAACATCACGTGATGTATATCAGAAAAATGAAGAACACAGAAATCAAGCAGGATTCACCAGATACAATTGTCCTGCTCGTTCAGTCGATTGATATCAGCCGAGACAGAAAGCAGCAGCTATTCATAATCCCCTTCTTCTTCATTCTGACATAGAAAACAATAACATCTGTAAAGTGAAGCTTGCATCCATCCGGCCAATCAGACCCCGTCTTTGCATCCATCCATGATTCCATTCTGCTGTTTCTCTTGAGCTCCTTTGTATATCGCCCTACAAGTCCAGTAGTTATTCCATCCCTACAGTTAATTCACTCTATTTCAAAACGCCAAGATGACCAGTCGTCGCCCCCACGGCCAGTCCTATGCGGATCCCGCTCCAGCACCAGCTTCACCATCAGCTCCGGCCGATTCAGACGTAACTCCAGCCGTGCCTGCGTACGTGAAGACGATTCCACTACTTGCTTTCTTTTCAATATCAAATCGAATACTGACTATGTGGTTCATAGGCCGGTGATCTATAAACTCCTAGCCTTCACTGCGGCCATGGTATTTGGTCCCATCGGGATGTACTTTCTCACAGTGGAGTCTATCTTCAAAGGTAAGTAGGTATCTATGTTGAGACATACAAATACATTCTTTTTTTGTAACCTCGAGACTTACTTTTCAAGGAAATCCCATCTTTTCTGGTATTACTGCGGCTGTTACCGCGAACGTGGTCTTGTTTGCCTATATCTATGTTGCGTGGAAAGAGGATCAAGGGGATAGACTGGAGGAAGAGGCAAAGAGGAAAGGGAAGAAGGCTGAGTGAGAGGACCATGAATGGTCTTTATGTGTATATCAAAAGCAACTCTGATGTGCTACTCCATTTTATATGTAGGGATTTTGGATGGACGGCGTTCATCGGGACTGCTTTACTTCACTGAAACAACAAACGAAAAAACGGGAAGAGATGAGAAAAAGATGCATTTAAATATGCAAGATTGAGAGCCTCCCTAGCAAATTCTATACATAGTTCCCATCTCCAAGCGCATCGGTCATTTGTTCGTTGGATATCATGAACCTCCCAGAACAGAAACCAAGTGTCCCAAGTAAGTATATAAACACATCAAGCCAACCGCGCCTGTAATGCCATGCAAGTCATCCCATCCCATCAACAGATCATGCCGGTCTTCTTTTCACGAATTCTTCCAAATCAGCCTTGGTCGCAACACCCAGTACGAATTTTCTAGCGGCGTCCGTCACCACGGCAAAGTCTTGCTTCTCCCGCTTTTCCCCGTTAGGGCCAGTCTCACTCTCGAAAAATTGTTCCAGCTCCTCCAGAGGCGTCTCCATCGTAATGACTTGGTATGTACCCTTTTTGCGGTTGAAGCGGTTCATGGCGGCCGAGACAGGGTCTGACTCTGTGACTTTGCCTTCTTTCAGCAGCGCTTTCAGTCGCGGGATGCTAAGGTACCCGGTGAGTAATCGACTTGTCGATGAAATGACGGTCAGATGGGTGTAGTCGCGCTCATAGGCTGCTAGGAGAGCCGAGGAAATGGTGTGGTTTGGAGATACAGAAAGCGCTGGTGGGGGGTCTAAGTCTTCGATAGTCGCCTACAAAAGAGCATACAATTAGCTAGAGAAGCTTGACGGGGCATTATATAGCTATTTCGACTGGAAGATTTTTTAATTATATATTATCTCGTCGACAACGTCTCTTTCTTGGAACACAGACAAGGACTGAAAATACTAACCCCGCGGTATTTGTTCGCCCAGCTGTTGTGCGAGGTCGCGCCTGCAGCATCGTTAGGCGCCTTCTCGCGAGAATATGCCTCGCTACCGGTTGAATAGGAAGCCATAGCAGGGTGGACGAGCAAGAATCAGTGAGCAGTCGAATTTCCTCCCAAGGCTGAAGCTTGCAAGGACGGATCGTCGCTGAAATAAAAATGCGGGATCCGAAGCGGCTTAGCGCGGTTCCGTTCCGGGGAAGTCACATCGACGTCGTCGTCACCCATTCTCCGTTGTCTTGTCGTCCTGCATCTCTTTGCCCTCTCTCCTCTCTCTCGTATCTGTCCCTGGTCTCCTCCGTCTGTGGACTCTGCCTTGTTCCCTTGACGGTGACCTGATCATCCAGAAAGGTCTTTTGAGTTCGTTGAATATCTCGCTGTTCATCCCGCTGGACGACACCGGAAGTGGGCCTTCGTCTCCATAGATAAGCAGCCGTCTATAAACATCATATCGTATATACAGTATAGCACCGTTTCCGTGACTTATGTCCGTTCAATCTACTGATGAACGCATGGCTAATTGGTGGCAGACCTAGGTGTCCCATCATGCTCCCATCTAGAGACACTATTGTCAATGCCTTCGGGCCCCAGCACCCTCTTAGCCACCCCAAGCAGGAGCCTTCGGTGGCCCCGGAATCGTTGAAACGGGAGCCTTTCCCGGCCTGGAGTGCAATTGATGATGCGAAGAAGAAGGCCGATGCCTTTGCTAAAGAGGCCGCGCGGGAATACGACGTCGCGAGCCAGAGGGTGCAGGCACGCACTGGCCATATCGAGCCATGGACGGCCAAGTATTATGCCTCCTGCACCTTTGGTGGCATGCTCGCCTGTGTAAGGATATTGTAGATAGCCGGTTCTATTTACGTGCCTGGAAATGCTAACCACTCGTAACTTTGCGACAGGGTCTGACCCACACAGCGGTAACGCCGCTGGATCTTGTCAAGTGCCGTCGGCAGGTTGATCCCAACCTGTACAAGAGCAATGTGGAGGGCTGGAAAGCCATCCGCCATGCAGAAGGCCTGAGGGGCGTGTTTACTGGCTGGAGCCCGACTTTCTTCGGATACAGCGTAAGCTGACGGAACACACGAGAAATGGCTGATTGAGAGGATGCTGACGCTGGTATCGGGAAACAGGCCCAAGGTGCATTCAAGTACGGTGGCTATGAATTCTTCAAGAAGTTCTACAGCGACCTTGTCGGAGAGGACAGAGCAGCTCGCTGGAAGACTTCCCTTTACCTGTCGGCTAGTGCGTCGGCGGAGTTCATCGCGGATATTGCCCTCTGCCCATTTGAGGCTGTCAAGGTGCGCATGCAGACCACCATCCCACCCGAAATCAAGGGAACCTTCAGCGGTATTTCTGGTGTTGTTGCCAAGGAAGGCACTGGCGGGTGAGTAGTGAGCTTTTTTTTTTTTTTTTGCAAAAAACAATTGCCACGGGACTGACGCCAAATGTAGTCTTTTCAAGGGACTGTATCCTCTGTGGGGCCGGCAGATCCCGTACACGATGATGAAGTTTGCGTCATTTGAGACCATTGTCGAGGCCATCTACAACTACCTCCCCGGGCAAAAGTCGGACTACAACAAGGGGGCCCAGACAGCAGTAGCCTTCACTGGTGGATACCTGGCCGGTATCCTCTGTGCCATTGTGTCTCACCCAGCGGATGTAATGGTCAGCAAACTGAACGTTAACCGGTTGCCGGGCGAGGCCTTTGGAGCGGCGATGGGCCGGATCTACAAGGATATCGGCTTCGCGGGACTGTGGAACGGACTGCCGGTTAGGATTGTCATGATTGGTACTCTGGTAAGTAATGCCGCAAGCGAGATCAACATGTGAACAGGGGGCTGATCAATTACTCGACAGACCGGTCTCCAGTGGATGATGTATGTACAGTGTACCCGTTGTATTTTTATCTTGGTGAGTGACATGCTGACTATAATTGGCACTGGACAGCTACGACGCCTTCAAGATCTTCATGGGTCTCCCGACGACCGGAGGAGGACCTGCCAAAAAGGAGCAGAAGTAGGCCTGAACGCGTTGGTGGAGGGTTGCATGGGCTGTGTGTATGAAAGTTTGAGATATGATTGTCTGATAGTGTGTAGCGCATGGAATCCATTCTCTCTGCTCCCAGCGTCTTTAAAATAAGCATAATAAGCATGTATACCATGCGGTCCATGCATGCTGGACGTCTTATTGTCCCCGCCGTCGTGATGTCATCCCACAGCCCTATCCTCATCCTCATCGCCGGCATGGGGCCATTTATGATATAAATAAGTATTTAAACACCTGATAAGCCGGGAAGATGTTAATTTCCCAGTCATCACCGCACTCTTGGCAGCAGCAGATAAAAAAGCAAATCACGAAAGGGTTAGTCAATCTATCTTCCAATGCCAATGCCTGTCCCTATCTCGCTGTCTTATCACTGGTTCATATTTCGCTAACTTCCATGTCGCATCGCGATGACTTAAATAGATCGTATTCGAGCTCTCTCCCTCCTGAGTCGATTGGCATATTATATACGAACGAGTCTGACAGCTGGTCTGCTGCTTGCTTGCTTGCTTGCTTTCATCGTCTGGTCGGCAATTTACAGTAACGAATCAGAACAGATAATTCATAATTCTAATCGTCATGGCTGAGGCTCCGATCGTGTCGCATGGACGCGGTGGTACGTTGACTCATCCCTATCCAGTTGCCTATGGATCATGAACTGATGAATCTCAACTCCTAGGACTTGGTAACATCGGTGCCGATGCGACGGAGTATGTCCCTTTCCTTGCCTTTCGCCCATTCCCCTTTTCACAACATCGGCCATGGAACGAATCGAATACTAAATCTAACGAAACCAGATACGCAGACGCTGAAATAGTCCGCGAAGGCACCTACGGCGATCAAGGCGATGGCGCATACTCGGCCGGTGTACGTTTACGTTCATCTCGTTTTCTTCCATCATTCAATATACTATACATGCCATACCATGTAATTCTCAGGACTGAAGCAGTGCTGATCTATTGTGGTTGATAATTCCAGCGCGGAGGAGCAGGAAACATCGGCTCCCCGCACGTCCGTCCCACGTCGCAACCGCATGATGCTGAGGTGATCCCGGAGTTCGCTATTAGGCCGTCGATGGATACGGGGGATTATCATACTGGTGTATGTATCCCACTCTTCCCTTTTCCTCTTCACCGTTCACTCTGTCTAGCTTGGCTGTATGCTATGCGTGATGACAATGCTAATTATTTGAATAATAGCGCGGCGGTCAAGGAAACGTCCACGTAGACAAGGAGAAAGAAGAGAAAGCAGAGAAAGAGAAGGAAAAGGAAAGGGAAAGTGAACAAAAGAAGGAGAAGCGCAAGTCGACGTCTGTTGAAGGATTGGCGGATAGGTTGAAGCGAAAGTTGTTTGGGAGGTTGTGGTGAGCCCTTCTTATGCAACAGCAACGACAAGTCGATATTGTTATTGCAGGGCTCTAGGCAGGTTAATTTGTTTTTTTTTTTTTTTTGTTCGTTTTAATATATCCAACAGTCCCACTTCATTGAAATTTGAATACAACGAAAATTGAATTGAATACATCGAGGAGACGGGATATCAACCAACAAACAACTAGACAAAAACAAAAATCAGGTAAATCTCATTTTAGCTTCCATTTTCCCAGATCACACAAAGATTCCTTCAACTGCAGGTAGCTGTAACAGGCACAGAAAGAGGCCCGCGTTGCTCATTCCAGCGTCCATCGTCGTGGCCTCGTATACCGTGAATTCAAAACGTAAACCGGGGGGAAAAAGACAAAAAACGTATTAAATAGAATATCCGTGAATCGATGGTTTCCCCTGACCACTCAAAAGGAAATAAAGTGCGTATCACCCGAGTCATTATACCCGTCAAACATGAAAGAAAATAGTAATCCGTGAAAACCGTATATCCAAATACGCAGTGCCTATTGTCCAATGTAATAGACAACCATATTCCATGGTAGTTCATCCATTAATCTTTGCGCCGGCTGAATCTCTTCTTAAGCCAGCCCTTCTTCTTCTGAGACTGAGATACATTCGTCGCGTTTGTGTTCGTGCGCAGATGGCCGTTGTTAGGAGCTGTTGCTACAGATGCACCGCCAGCAGGACCACCGGCATTCGTGCCCGTCCCCGATGGCCCTCCGGGAGCATTCGAGAAGCCGTTGCCAGTGTTGCGTCTGTCCCAGCCTCCTGGACCGTACTTGTCAGCACCTCCATACGCTTGTCCCGGCTGTCCTTGATCCATTGAACCGCCGATGGAGCTCGGATCGGTCGAATGGTTACCCCAGGACTCGGTATTGGGCACGGAAGCAGTCGCAGTATCGTACGATCTCTGGGCAGTATGTTGCGAGTAGTAGGGATTCCGTGAGCTGCTTCCATTTCCATACGATTGATCGGTATTCATCCGCTGCACTTGGCGGCGGGGAGACCAGCCATTGTTCTGATAGTATGCGGAGCCCTCGCCAGAACCCGTGTAATTGTCAATGTAGCTATCGGGTCGTGATTGCGATCCGCGCCCATTATAATGTCCGTTTTGTCCTGGAGTAGATTGGTCAGCACTGACACGCGCAATAAGTAATACTGATTTGAATGGGCACTCACCATAGTAGCTGTCTCTGTCCCGCCTGTTGTATCCATTGGGGTGCATGGGTTCATCTGCGGGGATTAGCGGACTTTCACCTTAGAGATAGAGGTCCGGAAATACCTCTGATGTATGAAGTTGGCCTACTGTTGGCGTTACTCATGCCGTAAGTTCCACGAATGGCGGACTCAAAAGACCGGATGGTGTCCAAAGGACGCTCGAATCGAGGACGGGTAGGATTGGAACGATCGGGGTCAGCTAATTTCAGCCGATCGGGTCAGTTATATGCTCTCAATGTCGTCCACTGAAAAAAAGAAAAAGAGGAGGTATGTGATCGGGGAGACAAACTGATGATATTTCCATATTGATCCTTGTGTTGCATGGACCTCAGTGAGCCCAAGTTCGACTTTTCGAGTGCAACCAGATCTATACATCCAACCTGTCAGTTCGAGACACTCGCGAAAGGAACAATCTGCAGTAGGATGGAACGTACTGGGCTGCAGTTCGTACATCGCGACGGTGGGATCGGCCTTGGTCGTGAGATTCCGCCGCGCCTTTTCTTCGTGGGTTTCCGTGGGATCGATCTTGTTTGCGGAGTTGTTGGATTTATGAGTCTTGTCCGACCGGCCACCGAAGCTGATCCGGCGGCCATGCCTGGGTGATGTGGGAGATTGAGGGCCCGCCATTTTGAATAGAGAACGGCGGGTCTGGAATGCGATAATCTAGGATGCAAATTCACTCGGGAGTGGAGCACGATAACAGTCACAGCGTGATGGTTGAAGTGGGGATGACGGTCTGTCACAGCGTCGAGTCCTGCAGGGAAGGCGAATGCACTGATCAACGGGCAGCTGAAACGACTGAGGGATCGGATGGACCTGGTGAAGGACGGGACAAGCCGAGAATCTGGTCAAAACGTATATACAGCGGATAGATCAAGTACGCAGATAATAGTACAAGGACCAGATACTCGATTTGGTTTATATACGTCCGGTTGCGAGATCCTGCTGCAGAAAAACTGGGTCTGGGCAGTTGATAAAGCAGGTGGGCCGTTGTCGCGGGAGATGTCTCACAACGAAAATATTGTTGGTCAATGAATGAATGATCGACAAGAAACGAACGGGTGACAAAGAATGATCATATGGGCAGAAATAAAGCGACAGTTTTGATGGATGAAGCAAAAGGGGGAGAGAGTCTAGATGAAGAACGAGAACGAGAACGTGAGGGAAGGCGAAAAAAAGGTGGCGCATGTGAGCTACCGCTATTAATATCTCGAGCCACGCAACGGATCGACTGTGCATTATCCATATATTCACGATTATACACGATAATAGTGTCTATCTCGGAGTTCTAGATGCGTATGTATCTAAGGATCAATAGTCGCCTTAAAAATAGGCATCAGGTTGTTTTCGTCTCAGACTCCGGGGATATGCCCTACTCCGGTGTTAGGGCAAGCTTCTACATCACAATACATTTGAATAAACAGTAATAATGAATCGGTTCCCCTCATGCAGAGAATAAGATCTTAGCTATGGAGAAGCCTGGAATTTTTGGCTTTACGGTGGATGGCTGAGTTGGTACCTGTGAATTGTTGGCCTACCCCTACACTGCTCATGATGACATGACCTGCGGAGTACTATCTACAATTTCCTGTCTCATAGACATCATGGCCAACTCGTATTCAGATAGACAGACAATCAATCATTAACAATAACAAGATGGTAGGCATTCTTCATTGCCCTGCTGCATCGCCTGCGGCAGGGGTCTACTACCCAGATGCACCGCAGACCAAATCTTCCAAGAACGCGAGGAATGGAAACCATTTCTAGGCGACGGCAGTCACAGAGCCGCTGTCCTTGCACAGGCTGTCGTCGACGCCAAGGATGTCGAAGGAGCGCATTTCGCAGAGTCGTCGCTGTGGAATTCCCTTTACCGCGCAAGTCAATATCCCTTTGCCCCCGAATCGTCAAGCTCATACTGATTATATGCTGTGCCTTGATCAAACAGTCCTCCGCGATCCTGAAAATGGCGGCATTGAGCTATCGGGAATCACACAGCTCAGCACGAATATCGACTTCGAAACAAATCCTGTCCCTCGAGACACTTCCAAGGCAGCGATTGGCAATACCAACGCCAACAATATGCGCCGCGGAGACAAATGATTTTCTGAACCGTTCGATATGGTCGATATGGAATACCCAGACAGAAACAGAGGACGTAGCAAACTATTCGGATATCCGATTCATACGCGCTGCTGGCTTCTGCTAGAGCGCGTTATTGGACACCGCGAAGTGCAATCCAATCTGAGGATATTCGTTGGCGCGATCGAGCAGTTTTGGAAGAGAAAGGAGCACCTTAAAGTCTGGGGGAAAGACGACGAGTACACTGACGATGTCTCTGATCGTTTCTCCCATCCCTATCTTGCTATCAGTCGGAAGAACCTGAGAATACACCAAACCGTTTCTGATCCCTGGGAGATTTATGATGAAGCCTACGATTCCTTTAAAGTCATTCTCCAGTGTTTCCGGCACAATGACTACGTGCAGAAAGCTGGAGAACTGGCTAATACGTACAAAGATCCATGGATCATCCCTGAAATACGGATGCTAATCCAGCAAGCTATTCAAGATGAAAGCGAGTCTGCTCATATAGTATCAAGATGCGGTCAGACGGAGAGATCTTTCGTATCACTGCCATCTGACATCGTCCTGATTATCGTTGAAGCTCTCTATGATGAAATCGGAAATGAAAGGGCCAACATCCAAGACACGAAGAACCTGCTCTTTGCATTCCAATGGCGGCTGCCGGATGCCTACTGGCAGAGACGGTGTGACACAGAATTGATATTTGAACTTGGTGAGCTGGTCAGACAAAAACGCCCGGCTAACCGGCAGCATATATGTCTAGGGATAGAGGAGTTGTTGCTGCAAGAGGGCTGGTATGATGCGAGCGGGTTGAAAAACCGCGCGCGTATTTTGCATCTCCTCTGGGGTATCAAGCGCGAGTTCTTGGGTATGCTTAACAAAGAAAAGAACACGAAATAGGTAGATGAAGAATCTGCGCGTGTGTATATGGCCATTGTAATGGGGGTTATCTTGGAGTAAGAGATCTATCTCGATGCAATGTACTTCTCCATCCCGCACCATTCAGCAACAGCTGGATTTCTTGCAGTTAGGCTTGTGGTAGATTCAAGGAATATCAACAAGGCCGGATTGACAGTTTCCTCATTCCTCATCTGTCTCCGTATCCAGAAACGGGTCTTTCGCGTGTTAACAGTGGCTCAGAATTCACGCAAATACACCACTGATCCTTCACAGATGCATTCCTACCAATTCTATCCACAGCTTCAGCGAGTCGTTCCGCGGGTGTGGCGAGGGCTTCACTGATCTAGTGGTCGAATTGTTTGAAGAGGGCAACGGACATGATCTCAATACAAGCAATTGTTGTACCTCTCCCCTATTCCCTCAGGGATACCTCACGCGAAAGACTTTGAGGCTGCTGAGGGCAATAGAAAGATTGCTTAGCCGAGCTTGCGTGTTCTTCTACCAGGTAAAGCAACGTATCCCGCCGGTGTTGAACTGTACCGGACAAACTTGGCTTGCTTCAACTATGATAAAGGAACACTATTTTCGGTTCCAGATATATATTTCATATCCTACATTTTCTTGCAGTATTGAGATACTATTCCATAAGTAACTGTAAGCGCCACTACCCAAGTATGTAAAGGTTTGAAAGAAAAGGTCCACTGACGCAACTCACGCAGTCCGTATAATGAACTCACGCCATGAAAGGCATATATTATTGATGAAATCCTTTTTAAGAGCGAATATCAAGGGGATTTTGAATGCTCAGTCTGTGGACGACTATCATTGTCTTGGAGAACTGTGATACAAACAATGACCAGGTGTCAGACGCTGGTTCTTTCGATGGGGCGAAGTGCCTTGAAAGAGGCTCGAGATTGCAGAATGATCCACGTACACCGTGAATCTATTGCCGTCGAAGTATTGCCGTGATCATTGTATCCCCCAAACCAGTGTGGCAATCTCAAGCTCTGTTGGCCAGTAATTCTTTCTGCATTTGCCAGTCACTTTGATCGAAACAATATCAGTCTCTCTACTTCCTCATCATCGAGCTGATGTCGTGTGATACCGAACCCGTATCCCTTTGAACCATCGGTGTACAGGATAAATGGCTTCTTGAAATCGGGCAGTTTCCGCATGGACAGTCTTTGCTAACATGCATCTTTCCACGCAGAGATCTTATCATCACTCCAACCGCACCTCAACGTATTCAGGAAGACCACTGGGCTTTGCAGACCCAGTTTGTCTCTCTGCCTGAGACGCAAGGGGTAAATATGAGCTACTTCCAGAGGCCCCCCCGCGTGGTGATTATGCATGCAACCCAGGAATTCGAAGAGATCATTTGAACCATGCGCCATCTTCAGTCGCTTCCTACCAGAGCCTGCACTGCATCATTGTTTGGTTTTATTTTCAGTGGGAGTTCCTCTGGTTTGCGCGTTTTGGGGTACAGAGTGAGGGTGTATCAGGAGGGCTGACATCATACTGGGTGAGAGAATCCAGACCTTTGCGCATCTCCTCTTTCGTACGTTGCTTCACTCTCGGGAGGAGTTGCTTGTCTCTGTTTTAAAGCTTTGTCAGTACTGTACTAGCTGTAGGCTATGGATTCTATCAAGGACAATCTTCCAAATTGGGTATGATTGGGGATATCCGTTTTGTGGATATCGAGAGTCGCGAGTTGTAAGTGGCATTCGCATGCATATATATACACATAGACCATAGACCAGACGTACCAGTGCATAGACGCAGACAAAAGGACGGTAGATACCAGACAAAAGAATAAAAGACAAAGATTTATCTATCTACCACTACATTCACAGTGCATCCAGTGAATGATTCAATGGTAAGCAGTAGTATTTGCCCACCAGCCAGATCAACCCTACCATTCACTACGAAAGACCGGTCCGAAATAGCCTAGGTAGAGGAGAGAACCGGGAAGAGCCCCGGAAGAGAAGAATGCCAATCCTCCATTCGATCTGGTAATGGTATTTCCAAAGAGATCACAGGTGAAATATTTACTGGTACGTTGTAGCTGTAGCTATATTACCACTTCGGTCCCGACTCGTACGGAGGACCCCATATTAGATATTACCTCATACTCGAGGTGGATGCTAAGCGGGGCTTTGTATCGCATCACAAGTAGAATGATTCTATTGAGCATTTCTCGGCACTACCCTGAAGCTTGGCTCGTCGGTGGTGAGTTCTTACTGCCGAGCTACAGGCGGAATACATGGCTTAGGGCTTATGACAGGTGAAGACGTGGGTAGCATGGCCAGTACTTCGTTTCCCGTCTCGGATCCAAACAATGGCCCGACATTTGAATACAAGGCCGCCATGCTGTAGGTGGGCATTCGCCGAATAGATCATGCCTGTCGTTCACGAGAGTCCAGAGCTTATCGTGCTTATACTGTACATACTCGAGTCAACGATTTCAATGAAAACAGCGTGTCCCGAGATCAGCCGGTTAATTGGTATGAAAGCGTTGCTGTCGGCCAGTAACTATTTGGTTCGTCGGTGCAGATAGGATAACAGGGAAAATATCAGTCAAAAAAAGACAAACACGTCCTGGATGTCTATGAGTCCGATAGAAAAAATTCCCTTTCTTTTGTGTTAAATTTTTTGTCAAAGATTAATTCGTTGGGCCTGGCGGCCCTGCTTTCCCCATGAACGTCATCAACCCGCGAAACTCCATCACATCCACATCGGCTCGTGTCGGCGAATAACCCTGCCCGTCCGTCCGCGCGGAAAAAAAGGGAGTGACAAACTGAATTCAGAAAGGTTCGTTTAGATGTTGGAAGGGTACAGCATGACGCGCACGGTAGCGCCGAAGGACCTGGGAGGGAGGTTGTTGCGGAACTGTGCGCGGACAACACCGGAGTTACCTAGCAAAATCGAATATCGTCAGTCCCGTCGATATGAAAGTCGAACTCGATTTTCTCATATTCCTCGCCAGCCCGGTGTGAAATGACTGATATTCACGTACCGTGTGTCCGGGTGATCTTGCCCCAGATAACCCGGATCTTGGAACCCCGAACCTCGCGAGACGTGCGGTAAACGAAAGCGACCTTCTTGCCCAGGTAGAAGCTGATAGAAAAAAAAAAGCCTTAGCTGCCTAGCTCCGATCCCCATCCAGAACACCAGTACTCACTCTGCGGCCTTGGAGTCGTCGACGCCCTCAAGCTTGATAAGACTGCCAGACAATGTCAGATGCCAGTCGAACAGTTCGCCCGGAGTTTCTGTAAGTACCTTGTGTTGGGGTTGTTCTGGCGCTTGGAACGCTGATAACTCAGGTGGCGGCCCCTGGCGAACGATTCGCATTAATGTCTTGTTTCTTCATCACAAAGCCCAGTTTTGATCCGACTCCGGTTTCCATTCCATGGATGTGTATCGCATGATTCACGAACGACGCAGCAAGCGGGTTTGAACTTACTTCACGTAGACTGCAGAATCACAACACAAAGTCAGCGTATGATGCAGAAAGCGCAGCAGAATGGAGCGCCTTAACAGCTCCCAATACAATTACTCACGTCTGTAGTTCTTCTCCGAAGGCATTGTGACGGGTTCTCTGAGCAACAACGGGCAACGCAAACAAGTCGAAAGAAGGCAGAAGTGGCCCGCAAAAAGTCGGTTGTCGTGGTCCGGGTTGTCGTCGCTTCGAATAAAACTAAGTCAGGCGAGCGGGCGCGTAATAATGGCTCACTGTGCAAGTGTCGGACGGGCAGGCTCGCCCTAGCCCCAAACGGGACGCTTAGCGAGCCGGGGCCGAGGGCTAGTTGAAGTCCCGTGACCTGCAAGGGGGGTGCGCGCTATTCCCGATGTGGTCACAATCGGAGAAACTATAACTCCGCTTAAAGGCTCGGAGTTTAGGGCGGCAGCCGAAGGTCGAGGTCAGATGACTTGCCGTCGGTCTACAGTGATCCGTGACCGCCTTCCCGCCGCCTGCCGGGGTGGATCCGCCCCGCAAATCGACGCTTCTGCGCTCTAGAATTACCCGCTCACAAATCCACGATGACGGCAAGCTGCCATCATGTCGCTTAGTAGGGAGGCTCGCGCTGAAATAATATAACAGATAGGGTGTCTGGGGATATACGCAGGGATAAATAGAGAACGCGTAGATCGGTAGAAAGGATATCTTGGAAGGAGAATGTTAGAAAGGAAGTAACAGTTCTGTATGCTGAAAGAAGCCTCAGCAAGTCTTCTCGAAGCAAGATGCAATTCTTATCGCTACAAGCAGACCGGGCATCCTGATTCGGAAGCACATCAGGAAGCCGCTGCCCCACAGGGACCGGTTGGATGCAGCTCCAAGATGCGACAGCATGCAGTATATGGCGTACATTATACGGAGTACTGCAAGCATCCCCGTCCGTACTACATACGGAGGACGCTCAAGAGATCCAGCTGATGATCCATGTCGAAAGCATGCTGCTGATCAAGACAAAATTGCCGATCCGATGACATTGTGAATGCCGAAGCCAGTAAGCGGCTTCTAAAGCACGTCGTCCCTGACTTTATACCAGCATTACTACGGGGAGGAGATTGATAAAGCCGCCTGTTCCGCGTAAATAGGAGAGGTCGCACCGGGTAGATTACAGGGATATATCACCTTAAAGGAGCTTCTGCGCCTTCCTGTAAAAGAGATCTACGGATGAATGATGCTACCAACTGCGGAGTAGTTGCATTCTTTTCTTTTCGTTTCCTTTCCTTGACCTATCTAGCAGAACAGTCCTGTCAGCAAAAAGAAAAGAAAAAGAAAAGAAAAAGAAAAAAGAAAGAAAAAGAAAACAAGAAATACAGCGTAAAGAAACGCTTCGGGGGGCAATGACCCGGACGGTGTAGTGTAGCCACACTGTCCGCCGTGGGTTGAGTAATAATCAGGCGTTGATGATAAATCCATTAACCATGTATTACAGCGCAGACAGTCAAGGCCTACCAGCAATGCCTCCTCCTATTGCCGTCGCGGGATGAACTACGACCTGCGCAGCTGACTGCATCTAGATTGAGCAGGTTCCTGGACCCTCTGTCTGGGTGCAGAATCATGATATCATGGCTACAAAGAGTAAAACTAAAATAAGGCTGGCAAGAGTAGTAATAACAATATGGGCGCCGTACAGTATATAACAGGACGGCGGGTGGGAAGAGCCAGCCGGACCAGCGTGCCCCACCACCTTGCGTCTTCCTGTCCTTCTGCAGCTCCGGAGCATTCAAAACTACCTAACCGACCCCTACGGTAACCTTCGGGGTCGGTTACGGTTCCCTGCTCCCCTCGACAGCTTCTCTCCACCTTCCTCCCTCTGCCTCATCCACCCCCCTCTACTGTTTCTTTTTTGTCCAATCTACCCGTGTTCAAGCTCCCAGTGACTCTACAAATATGGCGAGCCAACTAGCACAACCTTCCGAACTCTTCTCCGCGTAAGTTGCTCTTCTCATCCACTTTGGTGCGCCTTACATCACTTGGCAATAGTCAGAAAAAGAGAGGAGGGACAGCCACTGTATCCCACCACCTTCTGTCTATTAACCTGCAGCAAGACTATCAATGGTCAAGAAATTTCACTGAAGAATACACCCTGTGAAAAATCTACCATTTTATTAACACCCCACTTCTATCGCCCATCCATCCATCTCTTATCGTCATTCCTCTGCTAACATCACTCCTTACTCCAGTGTCACAGAGCTCAAGGACAACACAGCCATTGTTGTCCTAGGCGCTTCAGGTGATCTTGCGAAGAAGAAGACAGTCTGTTTCCCTCCCCCCTCTTTCCTGAACAGTTCTGGCAGTAGTTCTTTTGCTGACTCTTCTATCTCAATAGTTCCCCGCCCTGTTTGGTCTTGTAAGTGACAAAGAGAGTGTTTCCGCAGCCTTTTCACCTCTATCACCCCTCTCCCCAATCCCAATTCGCACGTATTGACCACGCGATACAGTTCCGCAACAAGTTTCTCCCGAAGGACATCAGGATCGTTGGATATGCCCGGACAAAGATGGACCGCGAGGAATTCCTCAAGCGTGTGCGGTCTTATATCAAGGTCCCCACCAAGGAAACCGAAGAACTGCTGGACAGTTTCTGCGAGCACTGCACCTATATCGCCGGCAAGTACGACGAGGACGAGCCGTTCAAGGTCCTCAACAGGCACCTCGAGGACCTCGAACATGGCAGAGATGCCCAGAACAGAGTCTTCTACATGGCCCTACCGCCCAGTGTCTTCGTTACCGTTTCCGAGCACCTGAAGAAGAACTGCTACCCTAAGCATGGCGTCGCTCGCATTATTGTGAGTTCCCCTATTTCCCATTCCCGTCCCTCCGGTAGTGCTCTACCCCCGGGAGAATATATCAGCTTACATGTTTGTGCTGTACAGGTCGAGAAGCCATTTGGCAAGGATCTTCAGAGCTCGCGTGAGCTAGCAAAGGCCCTCGAACCCAACTGGAAGGAAGAGGAGATTTTCCGTATCGACCACTACCTGGGTAAGGAGATGGTCAAGAACATCCTCATCATGCGTTTCGGCAATGAATTCTTCGGTGCCACTTGGAACCGTCATCACATTGATAACGTCCAGGTAAGGACCAAATGTGTTTGAAGGTGTGTTCAGCCGCCTAATTGTCCTCAGATCACATTCAAAGAGCCTTTCGGAACAGAGGGTCGTGGTGGCTACTTTGACGAGTTTGGTATCATTCGTGACGTTATGCAGAACCGTAAGTTGAGATGCAGTCGCGGGCTTTTGGAATAATTGCTGATCCCTTCACAGATCTTCTGCAGGTCTTGACACTGATTGCCATGGAACGCCCCATCTCATTTTCTGCAGAGGACATCCGTGATGAGAAGGTTTGCAGTGTCCTATCCCAGCTAACCCAGTTCACATTGACATATATTGTTCGCAGGTGCGTGTGCTGCGTGCGATCGACTCCATCGAACCGAAGAACGTTATCATTGGCCAGTATGGAAAGTCTCTCGATGGTAGCAAGCCTTCGTACAAGGAGGACGACACCGTCCCTCCGGATTCCCGCTGCCCGACATTCTGCGCTCTGGTCGCATACATCAAGAACGAAAGGTGGGATGGCGTTCCCTTCATCATGAAGGCAGGCAAAGGTATGCCATCATATTTCTGTTGACCGGAAGTAGAATTGGGTTCTGACAACCCTATAGCTCTTAACGAACAGAAAGCGGAGGTCCGCATCCAATTCCGCGATGTGACTTCGGGGATTTTCAAGGAAATCCCTCGCAATGAGCTTGTCATTCGCGTGCAGCCTAACGAGTGTGTGTACATCAAGATGAACTCTAAGCTTCCTGGTCTATCCATGCAGACTGTCGTGACGGAGCTCGATCTCACCTACCGCCGTCGTTTCTCTGACCTCAAGATCCCCGAGGCCTACGAATCTCTGATCCTGGACGCTCTCAAGGGTGACCACTCAAACTTTGTCAGAGACGATGAGCTCGATGCGAGCTGGAGGATCTTTACCCCTCTCCTGCACTATCTCGATGAGAACAAGGAGATTATTCCCATGGAGTATCCATATGGTATGTTCGATCATCGTGTCTTTTGCAACCGATGATAGGGTCGACTAATAATTGAGGCTCTAGGTTCGCGTGGACCTGCCGTTCTCGATGACTTCACCGCATCCTTCGGGTACAAATTCAGCGATGCAGCCGGTTACCAGTGGCCATTGACCTCGACAGCTCCCACTCGGCTATGAGGAGTTGGAATTTCAATGATGGATGAGAAGAGAAAAAAAATTATAATGAAAGACAAATAATAAAAACGAGAAGCATGTTAAAATGACAAAGGCTAGGCGGTTCTGCATGTTACTTTACTATTGCAATATGGTGAGGGAAATCCTGGGTTTTAACATGGCAGAAATGAAATGAAATAACATCTCAAGAGACGCTAGTCGAGGATATTTTTGATCTGCTAGAGCTGACAACTGATCGCAAGCGATGGGATATGGACAGGTTTTCTGCTTTCTCTGCTTTTCTGGGGTTAATTCAACGATCATCAGATAAATATGGTTGGTCTTTTACTAAAGGGTGGATAATAGAAATGGCACCAAAAGCTCCATTCATTTGGAGATATCCGGATTTTTCTGGTTATTTCATTATGTGTAGAATGTAATATCTGCCTCCTGCGTAAGAAAACTGGACAATAAGCATGTTCACCATTCCTCTTTCAAAGGCGCATGCAGTATCCTCAAATTGTGAATTCTTCTTAGCCTTTGCGGCCTTCTTTTCTTCCATCCGTTTTAAAGCTTCCTCCCGTTGCTGCTCTTTCAGACTCGTCTGCAGCCGCGTGACTCCGCGTGACTTGGGAGATATGGCTTTTCTGTCGTTTTGGCTGTTTGTTTTGCTTTGTTGTGTTTGCATCATTCGAGTCTGGCAGGGATGCAAACATGCCGTGCAAATAATGCAAATAAATGCCGTCACAACGAAGAATAAATTCCGTCGCTCCAGGAACAAGCGAGGTCCATGGTCAAGGCCTCGCCAGACAGGGCCACAAGGAGGCGCGCTTGGCCCGCAAATGATGTCAGTTTCGATCCTCTTCCGGTGAATAGCATTCACGTATCATAGGCCAGATACCTGATTCAACGTTGTTGGTCAAGTTTTGATCCAGACCAGACTGCTTGACGCTGTCTGTGAAGTGTCAAGACTGGATGCGCGCTCTCGTCCCGTTGAGCCTCGAATGAGTCTCTCTTATGGCCTGGTCTTTTCTATGTCTTCTCCATGCATTGGAACCCCGGACCCACGCACCTGTTAGTCGACGACGATCAAAAGCCATTCATTTCCTCCCATTCTCCCTTTTTTTTTTAAAAAAAAATCTCTCCTCTACGCTGTAACTTGGATCCTCTGTATCCACTGTATCTTGCTTTATCCGCGATTTTATTTATTCCCTCACCAAAAGAAGATCTGTGCGCTGTTCGCATATCGTAATTCGACACGCGAGGCTCTTCCGTTTCACAGGCGTCCACGCAACGGTTCTTGGCGCTTATTACCACAAGTCGCTCACATATATACCCATACACTCCCTCGTTCGGGTTGCGGCGGGTTTATGCCATCTGGCAGTTGACACGGAACCTGCTCTCCACCGGTCCTTACGATACGCAGTGCGTCGACAGCTCGCGCAAAAAGAGATCGGACTAGAGACGAAGCCGTTGAATTTGGGATTTTTCCCGCGGTCATAGCGAGCATATACAGGCCAAAGGAAAACGAAAAGGAAGACGCATTGGGAGGTCTTTGGTTCATGCTGGTCGCAGTACAACCGGTATGCCGCAAGCTGCAAGATGGGCGGGTACTCCCTCCATCAAGGGCCGGACAGAGTCCATGCGAATGGCCCTGTTGACGTTCAGTTTGGTGGGACTACAGTGCGTATTTACCTTCCGTCGGATTGTGCTGCGGTCAATCGTTTCGTGCGTGTAACTGACTGGGGTGCTCCTGCGATCACCAAATAGATTTACCTGGGGCATTGAGATGACCTGTACGAGATATTGACTTTCCAGTTGATTCCGACCGGATCCTCCTGGCTTACAATTCATCCATAGACTGCACGCCGTACCTCCTTGATCTGGGTCTTACAAAATCGCGAATTTCCCTCGTCTGGATCGCTGGCCCACTGTCCGGATTGATTATCCAACCTCTCATTGGCGTCGTTGCGGATCGCTCACGTTCGAAATGGGGTAGACGCAGACCATTCATGATAGCCGGTTCTTTGGTGGTTGGTGCCTGTTTGCTGGTATTGGGATGGACATCTGAAATTGTCGGGATATTTGTAAAGGACGCAAACAAGGTACTTCTTATTGCCTGTTTCCGAGATGCGGTGCCGATTGTCGGCGATCTCGCTATTTTGAAGTATGGGTTGGAGTATACTAACCTTTGTCGCTTGACAGGCCAAGGATGTCACCGTTGCTGTCGCCGTTCTAAGTATTTATGCAGTAGACTTCGCCATTAATGTCGGTATGTAACTTAATTGTTTCCTTATCCCCCCCCTTTATTGAAACAGGCTAACATCGGAGCAGTCCAAGCGTCTTGTCGGAGCTTGATTGTCGACACACTGCCAATTCACTTGCAACAGGCCGGATCGGCATGGGGTAGGTGGCCGTCTCTTTCGTGTTTCTGGCTTCCATTGACAGCGTGAAGCTGGCAGGATGTTGGCTATTGGCAATCTGATTGGATACGCCATTGGCTCGATGAACGTGGTCAGCATATTCGGCTCCTCAATAGGTGACACGCAGTTTAAGCAGATGACTGTCATTGCTGCGATATCGTTACTGGTAGCGGTTTCGATTACATCGTGGGCCGTGCAAGAACGAGTCCTGATTTCTGCAAGGTAGGTTGAAGCGTCGGGCTTTCCCTCCGGCCGTCGACGAGTCTAATGAGCTCTTTGTGATACTAGGGGTTCGGATGGGAAGACAGGAGCAATCCAAGTGATTTCGCAGTTGTTCAGGACGACGCTGAACCTGCCACCTCGCATCCAAGCTATTTGCTGGGCTCAGTTCTGGGCATGGATCGGTACGTGCCCTACGCCATACTCTCAGTTCAGAGCTTCGGTCCACTGATGCTTTTCAAGGCTGGTTTCCGTTTCTCTTCTACAGCACCACATGGGTTGGTGAGACATACTTCCGCTATGAGGCGCCTGAAGCAGTTGAAGGTTCCAAGGATGTTCTGGGCGACGTTGGTCGTGTTGGTAGCCTTTCGCTTGTCGTCTTCTCGTGCATCACGTTTCTTAGCTCGGTTCTCCTGCCGTTTTGCGTCCAGCCGCCAGATACCAAGAAACCAACTTTCACATCCCGCCCGCCTCCGGGTCTTGCGGCCTTTTTGAATAAGATCGCAAGGTTCCGCCCGGATCTGCAGAAAGCGTGGTTGATGTCACACGTCTTGTTCTTCACGACGATGATCTGGGCCCCCCTGGCCCGGTCGCGGGCTTTTGCGACCCTGCTAGTTGCCATTAGCGGCATCCCATGGGCCATCAGCGGCTGGGCACCGTTCGCATTCATGGGCGTCGAAATCAATCGACTTGGAATGAGTCCGTCTGCCGCCGCTCGGTCCTCTGGGGTTACCATGATTACGTCGGCTACCTACCGCTCCGGCGCGTTCCGCGGTGAACGTGATGCTGACACGGAATTGGATGTTCTCCGTCTCAATCACGATGATGCAGAATACGATACCGACGAAGAAAGCGCCTCCCCTTCTGATGTCGCCTCAACCGGGGAGCTTGCTGGTATTTACCTCGGAGTACTGAACGTATACACGACGATACCGCAGTTTGTGGGCACATTCATCAGCTGGGTTGTGTTTAGCATCTTCGAACCAGGGGTTAGCGCGCAGGAGAATCCAGCCGAGGGAGAACCATCCGGAACTCCCCAGTGGATGAAAGCTGGCAAGGATCGGCCCAATGCCATCGGTATTTGTCTCTTCATCGGCGCCATAAGCGCCTTAGTGGCGGCAGAAGCAACCCGACGATTACAGTACGTCGGTAGCGGGAAGGTATAGTCCATTGCTTGGATAACCAAGCCTTCGTGAGCTTTTTCTTTGATGGATTTCCTATACTGTCATTGCGATACCCGGGTGGATTTTCTTTTTCATATTTTTTTTTTGTATATTGGATACTTACTGTACTATATACTGGCCTGGCATTGCGGCATATTTTCGGACGACAATGTTTTGCTGGAAGCATTATTGCAGGTCCGAACGCGGCAAAGAAGCCATACCCACTAAGATATGATAAGGCTTGATCGATACGAGCAAAGGGAGAAGGGGGAATCAATCCGTCGACTATGTTGGGTGTAGTTAGGGCTTAAGTCTCGCTCCCCTATAAGGCGTACCTCCGGACGGTTCTGATCGAATGGAATTGCTCTTCGAACCTCGACACATTGGCTCTAATTATTTCCCCTCTAAGCCCATCTTTTTATTCATATCCTTTGAAATACCTCCACTTTCATCACATGCAGGAGCTGCAAATGATTGACGTGTTGGTTTGCCAAAACGTTGTTGAAGGTTGTTGCTGTCCAAATCAGAACCCTTCACGCAGCAATTCGCTCCTAAGCTCTGCATTATGCTGGGCGCTAGTTATCAAGCGCTGGAGTATGGGCATACAGCCTGCGCCAGCAGCCATGCAATTTGTCTAACATATAACGACATGGCTTGTGAGCTGCAGAGCGAGGTGATGCTGAGGAGATCATACAGAGAGCTGTCAAATTCAAATCTCGGCATGATCGATCACTTTTTTTTTTTTTCTTTCAGTGCAATGGACAATCAGTCACATGCTATTATTACGGTGAATGGGATGGCATAAATATCTCTATAAATATCTCTAAGATCCCGTCGAGTCTCTCAACCATCAACCTTCCTGGTAAAAGGAAGTGACAATGTCCTCCTACCTGTCGTCAATCACGAGATTGGGTGAATTTGCTAGTATTTCCTATTCTACCATTGCTCTTCTGACCCTGGTCGTCCTCTACGGCGCCTGATGGGCATTGCATACTCGCTTCCTCCATCCCTTATCCGATGTCCCAGGTCCATTTTGGGTCTCCGTGTCAAGGCCCTGGTTAGGGTATCATGCATCAACTGGACGATTTGAACATTTGCAAAGACAAGTTCACAGGAATTTGGTATATTCAAGGAGAGAGATCAGGGCAAGTTGGATGCGGGACAACTCGCGTGAGGCTTGCACCGGACGAAGTTTCGATTCCGGATCCGAGCGCCATTAAATCATTCCCTATGTCAAGAGCGAGCTCGCATTGATCTCTTGCTGAAATTCCTCCGGATTCACGATAAGAAATCGGAGCTTGATATACGGGAAATCCAGAACGAGGCCATTGCAGCCATGAAAGCGACCTTTTTCTCCCTGTCCAAAGAGAACGAAAGTCGGGGTCGGCGCGGCAGTCACACATCTGGACGACGAGGGCATCTTCGGTCCTGATGCCGGCGTTTTCGATTCGGATTGATGGATGCATCACGATAATCCTGCAGCCGTAGTGAATATGGCGCGATGTATGTTTCAGTTTGGCGCCAGTTCCGGGACTTGCTTGGAAAAACGTAACCCTAGTAGTCATGTCTCCAACACCAAAAGTCTACGCCAGTACCCATTTGAAGGAAGCGAGATTACCGCTCGCAAATGATCGTTGCATCAGGAAAGTGCCAATGAACTAACATTATCAAGACAGAAAACGGCCCCCATTTGCTGTGTGTTATACAGTAGTGCTATGCACCATGCAGAGCTAAGGATAGAGGAGATGGGCCCAAGGAGAAGCATTAACCGGGCTTTTAAAACCGGATACACCCGCGTTGGAGTGGTTCTAGCATTCTCAAAGGCCAGTCAGTCTACCGATTCAACCATGACAAGCCAGCCGTTCAGCTTTCGCGGGCCATCACAGTCTGCGCCCGATTCCCTTACCCAATCGTCCGCACATTTCAGTTTTAGAGTTATCGTACCATCGATAGAGACTGCGGACGATGATCTGGCTTCGTCAAGAGGACAGGTGCAATCACCGTCTTCTGGCTCGGAAGATCGCAGTCAGCCTGTATACACACCAAGCCGGGGCACCGCTACTCCATGCCAGCATTCTAGCTCGAGTTTAAGTATCAACAGGTATATGCAGGCGTTCACTTTCCAAGGGTTCTCAAATTCATCACCTAGCACTGGCCTGTCCCCAGGACAGTCTACCTCCACCTATGCGGACTTGTATAACGCAACCCCAGAACCAACTACGCACCGTGGGACAACATTCGACACGGCAGACAGTCTGGCAGGGCATCTGCGGAATCTGCCTCTGGACTCGGACGTTGATAACGATGAAATAAGCGACACTAGGAGTGACGAAGAAGCTGATACCGATACCGATGACGCTTCCCTGTTCGACGTGCGGCATGAACGATTGCCTCGCGCCCGTATATACAATGCCGGCCTTCAGACCGTTCTCCTGGATGTGAAAAACCAGCTATCAGCTCTCCACGACGATATGGGCCGCTATCCTCTCTCCCATGTCCATGACTCGGATCTTTCTGAGCTGTACAGGCAGGTGCACAAGTTGAGCGAGGTTGAATGTCCCGAAACACGGACAGTGGGATTCATAGGAGACTCGGGGGCCGGTAAGAGCAGTGTCATAAATTCACTGCTGGACAAGGACGGCCTTGCCCGATCGGTATGTCAATTATCAATTATCCTGCATCTGCATCAGTGAATCATTGACAGTATTTTTTTCTTTGTGTCATAGAGTGGCGATGGCGCAGCGTGCACGTCGGTAGTGACCGAATTTCGAAACGTGGATGCACGCCATCCTGATCGATATACCATCGAAGTTGACTACATGAACGCAGAGGAAGTAAGGGAACTGTTGGAGGAGCTCCTCCAAAGTTTCCGGATGTTCTCTTCCGATCTGTTTCGCGAAGAGGAAGATAATAGCAACGTCAGCGTAGAGGAGATGAACCAGATTCGCGAGCGATCTGAAAGAGCATGGAGCACGTTGAAGTCCATGTTTCGGGATCGCCCAGACCTTACGCGCGAGTTCCTTTGCGAGCAGGGAGATGGAGCGTTGTCGAGGATAGTCGAGACACTCAAAGAATGGGCAGATAGCTCGATCATGCAGCGTCCTGGGGGTGCATCGCTTCAACATACGATCATTGCCAGGAACTGCGAAGAGTGCAAGTCCGAACTTGATTCATTGACCATGGATCCCAGCGATGATGGGCAAATTGCAGTCTGGCCATTCATCAAATTGATCAGGTATGCCATGGAAGAACGTATTACATGTCTATATCTTCTAAGATCCTTTCCCCCTCCCCCTAGGGTATACCTTCGATCGCCCGTTTTGAGGACCGGATTAGTGTTGGCCGACTTACCTGGTTTGACTTACTGTTTCGATGGAGAGTTGTTCATTGCATTAATTTCCTGTCTCTAGGCTTCCGTGATCTTAATTTCGCGAGGATTCGGGCGACTGAGAGGTACCTCAGGCACTCGTGCAATGAGGTCTTTGTTGTGACGGCTATTTCACGATGCGTTACTGACCCCAGCATTGACGAGATCAGACGAAGGTGTACCAAAGGCCAACCGCTGCGCATAGTGTGTACACGAAGTGAGGTAGGGCTGCTTGCTGCTTCGAATAGGATACATCAATGCCGTTGCTCACTGATGATGGCAGGACATAAATGCGACTGAAAGAGCACGCCACTTTCCTGAGATTGCGGCACAGGTAACTCGGCTGAAAGAGAGAGTAGATAGTCTTAATCGGAAGCTCGCTAGGCTGCAACGGCCAGGGCATACGCGGAAGGCCGGAGACGGCAAAATACTCCAGTATCTGTGGGTTTCTTCTCCATGCGCGCAGCAATCGCCCTATGTCACTGCTAATGATTCCGCATCCAGGGAGAGCGCGGAGGATGCGAAACTTGAGTATGCCATCCCCTAATGGGCCATGGCTACGGCCAATCCAGAATCACAGAACTCGACTGCTTATAGCTTCATAGGTTGGACCGATTCCTGATCCAGGACAGGAACCAGCGAGTAACCAAGCAGCTGTCCAAACACGGTGCAGAAGTCCGAATCTTCTGCGTGAGTAATCGACTGTATTCTGACCACCAGCAAAGTGGCAGGAGGCAAGCCGATGCCTATATTGAACTCAGCGGTATTCGTAACCTTCGCCAATACTGCCAGCTCGTTCCAGCAGAGGCACAGTTTCAGTTCGTCGCAGCATTTTTAGAGCACCGCGTACCGGCCGTGGTGAATTCTGTTCGACAATGGGCCATTGCCGGTGAGGATAACGTCACCACAGAGAGAGCTGCAGCTCTGAGGCAAGTCTTGCTCGATGTCGAGAGGGTCTTTCGTGAGGTACGATGATTGCAATGCGGGTCGGCACGCGGCTGACGTTAATACCTAGAGGCTCATTGGACGCGATTCAGAGATACAGGCTTTTTCAAGAAGACTCGAAGATCGGTACGAGACCGACATCCTAAATATAGCCCGTGAGTGCATCTGCCAAGGAAGCACGAAGGAAATATACTAAATACAGTCCTTACTCGCTACAGAAGCACGGCTTTCTGAGTGGAAGCGTAGCGCACTGCAAGCCAGTATGGTTTGGGAGACCGTGAGTTTGCATGCTGCATTCTTCTAAACGATTATATTATATCCAATACTGACTATATACTCAGTGGTATCACTCCACTTACGCCGCTTTCTGTAGAAAAAACGGCACGCATTCGACGGGGGCAGCCGGTTATCATTGCTGGAATGATGAACTTTTGGAAGCAATGAGAACTGATCTGGAAGAAAAATGGAACGCCATCGAGATTTCTATTCACGGGCAAATCGCTACCCTGAGAGGAGCTGTGAGAAGGGCATTTGAAGAGAGCTCTAAGAAATTAAACGGTATGCGAAAGCAGTCCGTTCCAGGTGTTTTTTTTTTTTTTTTTTTTTTTTTTTTTTCTGGGTTTATTTCCTGGTAACTGACTCGGTCGTAGACAGTATACAACTCGCTCCCATAGCTTTGGGAAACTTGGTGGATAATATGAGCGCCCGCGAGGCCTGCATAACGACGAGCATCCGTCAGTCGCTGGAGAAATTGACTCAGGAATCAAGGTTGCCTTCCCATCTGGCGAATATGTGAGATATCTGAACTGACTCGAACACATGATATATAGTCGAGTAATGATGGATGCTCTGTATGGCCACGCTGCTAGCTCGTACATGGCAGGTCTGATGCGGCCGGCATATAATCTGTGCAACAGCGAAGGAGGTAATTATGCGCTGCCATATATCATTGCTTACGGCACAAGAAACGAAATATATAACTGACAACTCTCACAGGCAGGGGATCCGATGCCCGACGCAAAGGACATATGCGGCTCCACCTCACGAGCTCGAATATCTTTGACAGCCTGATTGATAGTATGGAGGCAGATCGCCGTAATCTGGCCATGGAGAACTATGCGGAGCTGAACCGAACAGTAAGTGAGGAGGTGCGGAATATATGCAACGACCTCCACTCGGTCGTTGCCGAGGAGGGTGAGGTTGCAGAGGCTACGAGGTTCCCTGAACTGGCGACTTCTCTGCGGAGGAGGGTTCAGATGGCCCAGCAGACTCTCACACGAGCACAGAGAATAGTTGGTGAGTTACGGCATGCACAGCAGTGATTCAGAATCCAGAATCGATGGCCATTCAGTGTATATATGGTTTATGCTGCAGTGACGTGATGGTGATATATATAGCCTTCCTATGCTTTACTAGTTATATTTTATATTGCATTCTAGCATGACTAGAAGAGAATCAAATAAAACACCCCCAGAAATACGCGAAATGCCGCCAAAAGTCCTCGTCGTCCTCACATCCCAGTCGTTCATCCCCGTCAACCGATCTCCCACAGGATGGTACCTTGTACGTATATCCAAAAGAGCCCCCCTCACAAGCTATCAACCAGCCAACAAAGCGCGTTCAAGCCAGAACTAGCCCACTTCTACGCCGTCGTCAAAGATAAAGTCGAATTGACCTTCGCTTCGCCCAAGGGCGGCGAAGCCCCCCTGGACCCGGCCTCAGTCAAGGCATCCCAGAACGATCCCATCTCGACCTCATTCCTGAACGAGGAGAGACATCTCTGGGCGAATACGCATAAACTAGCCGAGCTGGTACCGCGGGCGTTGGATTTTGAGGCGATTTATTTCGTTGGTGGTCATGGACGTCAGTACCGTTTCTCTCTACGTCGAGATCTAATCACATCACTGACGTTAATTGATAAAGCAATGTTCGACCTGACTAGCGACATTGTCTCATTAGCAATCATCCAGACCCTCTCATCGGCCCGCAAAATCGTCGCAGCCGTCTGCCACGGTCCCGCGGCTCTGGTCAACGCAACCACGCCCACCGGCACGTCTCTGATCCAAGGATCAACAATCACCGCATTCTCCAATGAAGAAGAGGACCTGATGAACGCGTCTGCCGCGATGCCATTCCCGTTGGAGACACAGCTGAATCGTCTCTCCGGGGGTGGGTATATGAAGGCCGAGAAGCCTGGGGAAGGAAAAGTGGTTATTTCAGAGACGGCGTCAGGGGGGCCGTTGGTGACGGGGCAGAACCCGGCGAGTACGAAGAGGCTTGCGGAGGTTGTGTTGAGATTTCTGGGGGTATAGTTCGTTGTATCATGGTGTTTATACGGAGTCTACTAGATCTTGGCATTTCTCTTGGCGGTTGAAGCTTAATTCCTTTCCTAAAACGGAACTCCTGATTTTTACTTCAGCTGCAGTAAGCATTATTATCAACATGGAATGCCTCCACGCCCGGATTCCATACTCGTCATGGCGTCTACGAGTATTCAGACAGCTCTTCCTATCACTTCCCAATGGCACCCATCCGAGCCGTCCCTTAAGCACATCCCGTGAAGAAGACAGCAAAGATGACAGCTCGAAGCTCGATAATTCCTCTTCCTCCTCCCCCCGTCCATCCGAATCACTCCCTCAATCGCCTTTCCTGAATCTCCCCCCAGGCGGACTCGAGAAGAAACGCAAGAAACGGCCAAAACCAGAGGACACAAAGGACCTGCGCAATAACCCCTGGGCCATGGCGCTGGTGTCTCCCCCGCGAATGTGTTCAGCGACCGGAATGAGGCTCCCAACTGCTTTCCTGACGAAGTGGGGTCTGGTCCAGCGGCCTGGTTCGGAGGATTTATGGCTCTTACCCGTGGACTATATGGAGGATGAACTTGCTGCGACTACACACGCAGGTACAGACACACACCCAGATGCAGATTCTAAAGCATCCGGAAATAATGCTAAACGAAAACGCCCCCTCGCTCTACGACTTGTCGACCGGCTTTTAGCCATTAGAATGATTACGGATACATTTGCCCGCGTTGTTTCGTCGAAGAAATCTCCCGCCCTGCGCTTGGCGCCCGCTCGATGGAAGTACCCCCTCGGCCCTCTTACGCCCCGGGAAGAAGATAAGATTATCTGGCGGCAGGATATGCCAGATTTTCTTCTCGGGAGGATGAGGAGGGAGGTTGTTGAGAGTCTGAAAAGGGCGTCTGATCGGTTTAAGCACTCTGGTCGCGAGAAGGGGGTATGGCGGGAGGTTGAGTTGGATGGGGACTTCGAAGATGCAATTGTCGAGGGGTTGGGGCGATTGCCGTCGTTTGAGCGTATGGGGTGTGGTGTTGTGTTGATCCTGGAGTCCGGAAGGCCATTATCATCGTCGCCAGAACCGGCTGCCTTGAATTCTTCGGTGTTTCCGGACTTTGTGACTCTCCCGCAGACCAAGTCCAAGGTTCCCGTACTCGATCTTTCCGTACTTCTCTCGGAAGATGATCTTAACGCGCTCCGGGAGCATCATCCACGTTTCCGGGAGAGGATGCTGTTCTTCCGGGCTGACGACCGTGTCACGGTGGATGCAATTATCAGTCTGTGGAGGTTCAAGGGGTCGGTCATGCATGACAGGCAATATTTATCCTAGTCATTCTGTGCAAGTATCGAGAAGTGTATGTACTATCTAAGTCTATCATTATCTAAACATCCATGCAAGAGTCATTCAAGAATCAGCGCCCAAAAGATCAGACAGCTTATCCATATAAGCCATCGGCTGAACCGACGAGGTAAGCAAATCCTCCTTGGAACTAACACCTGTAAGAACGGCCAAAGTTCCACCCAACTTCCCCTCGACCCCAAACCGAATATCAGTATTCACCCGATCCCCAACCATACACGCCCTGGACTCATCAAACTGGAACTTCCCCTTGATAGCCTCCATCATAGCCTGACTCGGCTTCCCCAGTGCAATAGGCTCCTTACCCAGCATCATCACCAAAGGCGCACTCATCGTTCCCGCACCGGGAAACAATGCCCCGGAATGCGGATAGGTGCTATCGATATTCGTCGCGAGAAAGACCGCCCCGCGCTTGATGTAGTGATACGCCAAGGCCAGCTTGAGATAGTTCAACTGGAAATCCAACCCAACCAGCACAACTCCCACTTCAGGATCAAGCAGGGACGGATCGCCCGCCGCGATCTTAGCATAGTCACCCGCCACGAGTGTCCGGCGATATGCAGGATCCGTACCGCAGATATAGGGGATATTCTCCGAGCGCAGCTCTTGTTCGATTCCGGTTTCACCGATGACGAAGACCTTGCGCTTGTTCGGGGGCAGTTTGAGGATGCGGGAGATGTAGATAGAGGAGCTGTAGGCCGAACCGAAGATTTCTTCGACGTTGCTGGGGATTCCGAGGTTGTCAAGTTTCTTCTTGTAGTCTGCTCGGGATTTTGTGCTGTTGTTTGTGACGAAGACGACTTGTTTGCCCTTGCTTCGGAGGAGTTCGAGGGTCTCGACTGTTCCTGGGAAGAGGTGGTCGCCGGACCAGAGAACGCCTTTTTACTCTCAGCATGTATTACCCCCAGCATGTCATGTCATTGTTAAATGTGATTGTAGATGCAGATGACAGCGGACTCGAAGAACGAAAGGATATCACGAACCATCACAATCGAATAGAAACACCTAGCAGAGACGAGTCAGCGGAAGTGACCCGGAGATCTACATCCATTGAATGAAAGAGCAAGAATACTGACATCGAATCGATCCAGGAACTGCTTCAGAGCAGGGCCGTCCCCGGTCAAATAGCGGGGTTGCGTCTTGGGTGTTGCCATGGCCGCTGTGCTTTGTGGCGTTCAATTGAGAATGTATAATGTAGTTCTGACAGGGAACTATTATTATTATTATTTTGTTTGGATTTCCTAATCAAATGAAAGCAGATCAATCGGATTGGTATCAGTGAGAGTAATTGTCAACCAGGAGAGACAGAATAGGAATCTGGATGGCAGGGCGTGGCATTTGGTGGGGCGGTACCTTTTTGTATGCTTTATCAATTAACCGTGTTCATCACATCAGATATTATAGAATACATCAAAGGCAAAGGCAAAAGAGATCCGTCTTATATCTGTCTACTTTGCCATCCTTATGTATTCCAATTGTCTGATCCAGACCACGCAATCCGCCTTCTCCGCAGGTCCCGTCATCCCTCGGTGAGTCTTCCATAACTTGCCTGCTAAAGAACAGAGCTCTAATATCTCTGAGATAGGAATACTCCATACTATTGCTATTGTTCTAATATTTGCTCTAACCAGCCAGAAGAGCCGGCTTCCCGGCATCACTCAACAGGCTCACTCCAGGATGTCCCTTGAGTTGGTTTCATCACAAGTGCCCTGGACCTCGAGGTAGTCCTGCGGCGCCAATCCCCGTTTGAAGTAGTCAGCCTGGGCCTGGACGTATCTGACATTAATGTCAATGGAGTGGCACGCCGGGATATACGCAATGGCTGATTCACCATCGCTATTGTGCTCAACCCCAATAGCATGCATCCCATCATAATGCCACCAGACGGTATCCGCAGCCGGGAAAACGGACGCAGGAGAACATATGCAATGGACTCCCCTGCATATGGACGGATGAATAGACCTGATCGGTCATTTCAAATGCTCGACAGCGCTGTCCAGCCCTGGAGGTGATTGGGCTGTTCTCGTAGGAAAACCACTATCTGCTGTTGTCTCAATGTTTCTCATGGATTCTGTTTGTTCTCAGTTTAGCTTCAAATGTAGGTAGAATTAGGAAGGCTCAAAAGATGCAAGGCATTCTAGCTAGATACCACTGCCTTAATGTTGCAGTATTGAATAATTAGCTCAAGATCATCTGTTTTAGTTCAGGGTATATACACCTCATCGTAAAGAAAAGCAAACACTAGCTAGAAGGAGGCCTCCCTTCTCCTTCACCCCCTTCACCCTCAGGCTTCACTCGTCGATCAAGAATCTGATCGACAATACCCATCTCTACCGCCTCCTCCGCATTGAGGAAATAGTCCCGCTCCATCAACTTCTCAATCTCCTCCAGAGACAATTCCTTCTTCCCTGTCAAATGTCTCTTGTATATCTTATTTAATTGCTCACGAACGCGTAGGATCTGCTTAGCGTGGATAGCAATATCGGTGGCTTGTCCCGCGTAACCGCCCGAAGGCTGATGCACCATGATCGATGAATGCGGAAGGCAGTATCGCATGCCCGCATGGCCACCGCATAGGAGTAGTGAGCCCATGGAAGCTGCCTGGCCGACGCAGATCGTGCTGACGGGGGCAGAGATGTAGTTCATTGTGTCGTAGATGGCGAGGCCTATGACAATAATCCTTAGCACTCTGCATACGGAGCAATGCACAGTAATCACGAACCAGCAGTTACAGAGCCCCCAGGCGAATTGATGTAAAGATGAATCGGTTTCTCAGGGTTATCCGCTTCTAGGAAAAGGAGCTGTGCCACGATCGCGGCGGAGAGGGTATCGTCGACTTCGCCATTGAGACAAACGATCCGTTCCTGCATCGGCATTAACACGGGTACCATCAATGACCCCTGGGGGTAGAGATAAAAGCATACCTTCAAAAGCCTGGAAAAGATATCATCTGGAATAAATCAGTCCCACCTGGTCCTTTCTCGTCTCGGTGCCATGCCTTAGCTGCAAGACACGTACAAGTATGCCAACCACCTCCCTATACAATCAGTTAAATGCGCCATATCCATATGTTTCTGATAATCCAGAACTTACCACTGTTTCCGTCACAAAAGGCGTTGGCGTCCAGCTTCGCGGCGGCGAAGGCGCGGAGGTAGAGGCGGCGCTCGTGAAAGTCCGTGATGAGGCGGGTTTGAATAAATTGGAGCGGATAAGTCGCTGAAAGGAACGACACATGAACATTGTGAGAAATGGATATTTGATCAATAAAAATAAAAATAAAAAAAAAAGAAGGAAAGAAAAAGATGGGAAGGAAAAGGTCTGAAATGACGTTGTGAGACGCGATTTCAGATCGGGAACGGTATTGCCGTTTTAGGCAAGTTGTCGTCCTAACGCTGTTGTCCAACACTAAAAAAGTAGAAGACTGCCGGTGTATAATCTTTTAATATCTATAGCAAACCTGGGACTAATTACTGAGATATCTTGACGTGCCATTGTACGTATATACGGATGTAATAATATATGAGAACTGAAATGGCTAATGGTACAGCATCAAAGCAAAAATGTATGGCGAAGGCGAAATAGGAACCCCCGAGAATCACCGTTCTATCCTCACAACGCGCCCATCCGGGGTAACCTGAAGCCCAAATCGTTCTCGAAGAAAGCTGGCCGTTTCATCCGATGGCAAATAAGACGTTCGTCTGGACAAAGCAGCCGGGCTATGTCGCCATTGCTCCCGAATGGCACTTATTAGACCCATATCCATAATGACAGCCTCTCCGGAAAAAAATGAATCCAGAGCATGGCTGTCTCTCGTGCCCTGTGAAAGGCCACCTTCGGGAGAACCTGCCAAGAGCTCCGTCCGTTCCAGACGTTCGTCTATGCTGGAGCGTGTGCGTGCAGGGTTATCACGGGGGCCCAGTCCATTAGAATCGACATCGCCACCATCATGATTCGTAGACATTGCCAACGCAGTCCCTAAACCGCGTTGGAGAACTCCCCTCTCCTCCGAATCATGATCCTGTACCTGTCTTCCAGATGTATCTCGTGTATCGGAAGCCGATGTACCATCCGCCGTGGCGGAAGCCAACCCCACCGTTTTAACTCGCTCTATGATGAGACCCATCATGATAAAGTCAATGAATAATATGATAATGTCTAGCGATATTAATCGGAGCACAGAAACCGGCGCTTTCTCCCCGATGAAATCGATGAACAGTCCGCCATGAAGGTATTCGCGCGTTGCCTCCCCGGCTTCTGGGTGGGTGAAGAAATTATGAGAGAACATGCAAAAGAAGTTGCTGGCAAAAATGGCCCCGACATACGGTTGGTTTCTCGTAGGGTCGAACGGCGGCGCTTTAGGCGTGAAGAAGATCAACTGGACGATGGCGCGGATGGTGAAAAGGACGATCGAACAGCTATAACGGAACGAACAGTCAGCGTGCGAGAGCTCCAAGGCGATCGAACAGTTGTCATTCAAGGAGTCAGAGGATGATAGAGCAGACTCACTCCATGTAATACAGCGCAGACAACTCGCAGTAGATCAGAATATCCAGGTCCCGAAGACAGCGATCGATGAAGGCGACCTTGGCGGCGACCTGCGCCTTCTTCGTGGCCTCATCGTGCCGTCTGCGTGAAGCGGAGCGCTGAGAGTCCGTCAGATCCGAGCTGCTCTCGTATGGCAGGCTGGACACGTCAGCAATGTATTCCGCATCTCGAAAGGCATCCGGGGTTGTCATAGAGGGTCATGAGGGCATGGACCGCGGTTGGAGAGCGCGAGGGGGGTCCTCCACGGCCGGATCTGGTCACTGTGCTAATGAAAAAGTGACCAGTGGCAGGATAAATGGTGAACTTGGAGGATAGAGATCCGAAGGAGCGCTTTGATAGCTTACAGCGCTGTGTTCTTCGCTGTGAAGCGCCAAGTCCGAGTTGCAACTGCGAGGTCTCCGGATTTTCCTCGGCCCGGACACATTCCTCAACCACTCTCATAGATGATTTCCAGCAATTGACCTCCTTCCCATCACAAGTTGCTCTGTCAATGGAACCTCTCTTTGGACAGGCGAAGGTCCCTCCCTCGCAGGCATGGGGTGGCCTGGGTCAAGGTAGACTAGTGTCAGCTTACCCCATATCTCGAATTCTATGCCCTCTGTATTGTACGACCGGGGGAGTTGTCTACCAATGCACCCAACAACACCCGCTTTCAAACGGCGTCAAATCCCATCAGGAGGGATCTTACGGCGAGCTCTTACTTAGCTGAAATGCTGCACTAGTCCAATACTGTCCTCGCAGTCCTGCTGTCATACGATCGATGGGTCCTTGGGAGGTAGAAAAGACATGGAGAACTCCGCGGAGCTCTATATAGGAGCGACTACCTACGCAACAGCGATGACATACCATAGAATGGATAGGACTATTGGTGACCAGGCGGAGACATTGGGTCAATGCTGAGAATACGATGTTGCATGACCTCATGATGGAGTAACCCTGTTTTGCGAACCATCTGATTAAACGAGCTGCTGTCTGCTATAGCAACAGAAGGTATTTAAGATTGAGCTTTAACCCTGATAGCACTCTATGTGGCAGCTTTAGTATTCGATTCAACCACGATCTTACACCATGGCCGGTAGGACAGCCCTGAGACACGTCTTCAAGACAACTGCTACGACTACACTCAGATATTACACCAAAGAGGCCCGTATGACTACTTGCCTTGGGAAGAGTCAAGCTTGGAATAAGCTCAGTAATAACGCAACAACGTTTCTAGGACCCCCCAAATTCCCCTTTGCTCGACCTCACGGATACGAGCCACCGGTCGAATACGCACGACTTCGCGCGACGAATCCCGTTTCTCGCGTCGAATTATGGGACGGAAGTCATCCATGGCTTGTCGTGAAGCACGACGATGTCTGCAATGTATTGTCTGACAACAGGCTGTCAAAGGTCTTCGGGAATACCTCCACGAGTGAGACTTTCCGCTGAATCGTTCGTGCTGATTCAAACAGGAACGCCAACGACCGGGCTTCCCCGAGATGAGTGCTGGGGGAAGGGCAGCTGCGAAGAACCGGCCGACGTTTGTGGACATGGATCCACCAGCTCATATGCGGCAGAGGTACGGAGTAAGACACGGAAGAAAGACAGACATCATCCTGCATCATGAGGGTCATGGCTCATTCATTATAGGAGTATGGCAACGCCCTTTTTCACCATCGAGCATATCGAGGCTATGCGTCCCGAGATCCAGAGGGTTGTCGACTTCTTCCTTGACAAAATGGTTAAAGACGGGTGTACAAAGCCCGTGGATCTTGTGGAGAAGTTCTCTCTGCCCATTCCTTCTTATGTAGGTAACCAACTCTCACAGACCGGGATGTAGTCAGAACTGTGCTTACTGACTGACAGTGGATACATCCTGATAGATCATCTTTAAAATGCTCGGAGTCCCATTCGCGGACTTTGAGAAACTGACTACGATCAACGCCGTTCGTACCAATGGAAGCTCGACTGCGGCCGAGGCTGCGAATGCCAATAAGTACGTTTACATCCTTCATGGCCTGCTCCATCTGCAGCCGTACTGACAGTAAATGGCAGGCAATTGCTCGAATACCTTGAAGGTCTCGTCGACAAGAAAATTGCCGACCCATCAAGCGACATAATCAGCTCCCTCGTAACCAAGCAGGTATCTTGACCCCCTTGCTTGACATATAACAATGCTCACCGCATCAGTTGGAACCGGGCCATATAGACAAGCTGGATGCCGTGCAGATTGCGTTCCTACTGCTGGTGGCCGGCAACGCAACCATGGTCAACATGATCAACCTGGTAAGCCAGACCGTTCCTCGGTTTCCTCAAGAGCAACATGTCTAATGGGGACCCCAGGGTGTTGTCACTCTCCTCGAGCACCCTGACCAGTTAGCCGATCTGAGAGATGATCCATCCCTCGCCAAACCGTTCGTAGAAGAACTGTGTCGATTCCATGTTGGCTCGGCATATGCGACACGCCGAGTCGCCAAGGTTGATATTGAACTGCACGGCCAGGTAATTTGTCTTCTAAACAAGCTTGCCTAGTACATCGTGCTGAAATGATACTAATCCCATTTCCCATGCAGAAAATCAAAGCCGGGGAAGGTATAATTGCATCAACCCAATCCGCAAACCGAGACGAGGAAGTATTCCCCGACCCGGACAAGTTCGATATTCACCGCGAACGAGGATCAGAGGAGGCGCTGGGCTTTGGATACGGCGAGCATCGCTGTATTGGGGAATGGCTCTCTCGTGCTGAGCTGGAGATTGTTTTCTGTTTGTCGTCATTATTGCCCATAGTAGATGTTTCTAGCTAACCTCAACCAGCAACTCTGTTCCAGAGACTTCCGAACCTGAGACTAGGCATTCCTCGCTCGGAAATTAAATGGACGCCTCCGACGAAGGATGTAGGGATTGAGGAGCTTCCTGTCGTCTGGTGAAACGCATGATGATGGTTGTTGCTATTTGGAAAAGGATCCATGACTCCATCAAAGCTATCATAAAACAAACACAACCCAGCTCTACCTAGGTAATATACTTGAAATTCTTCTGCTGGAAATCCGTCCGATCTGCAAACATCTCCAGACCCTCCTCATCACCATTTCCATTCTCCACCTGCTCAGGATCGACTCCGTTTGTCGTGGCATCGCGCCGCTTATTCAAGAACGCAGCCAGCACCCAGTAAATGGCCATGAGAACGATACAGATGCAGTAACATGCGAGCATGGCGATGAATCCGCCCGTGTATGCGGGGGCTTGGTTTGCTCGGAAGGTCTGAGGACCGATGAGGTTTCCTGTCACTAATCAGCATGGCGCTTGAATACTTGCGGGATCGGGACAACGACGTACCCACAGCGTAACCGATGTAGAGGATGGAATATTGGACGTTTTTCTTGGTGTGGCCTGCTGTGTTGGCTTGAGCGAGAGAGATGCCTGAGAGCATCAGCATGCCATGTTATTGATTATAGGAGAATAGAATGAAACCTACCAACAACGTAAGGCCCGAAGTAGGCGTACATCTGAACGTCCATGCCAGTCAGTTCAATCCAGATTCTGCCAGCAAAAAGAAGACATACCAAGTAAATCCCCACCATCTGTCCACCGACATTGGACCGGGGGAGGGTATACACGATAATCGACCCGACCATGGGGACAATCGCAGCCAGTATGGAGACAAGACACCGTCTGTTCGTCCACCGAGCGGCGATCCACGAAAACACGACGGAAGACAGCGTGGACATGACTCCTGTCGGCATATTGAGCAGCGAGGTGTTGACGGCGGAGAAGCCTAGATTATTGATGATGATGTTGCTGAAGGTAATGAGTCCTCCGTTTGGAATGTTAATTGCAATGTTGAAGAAGAAGAGAATCCACGTCTTGGGATCGATGACTGCCTCCCACACCTGTTCCCATTTCCATTCCTTGTTCATAATGCCGGTTTTGTTCTCTGATACGCGCTGGATAGCATAGAACTTCTCTTCCCTGGTGAAGAAGAATGCGTTCATCGGGGAATCGGGGAGGAAGACGAATGCAACGATCGACCAAGCCATTGATACGGAGCCTGGGGATTGCAAAATGAAAACGATCAGCCATTGCATCCTATGACAAAGCGACGAGATTGCCTACCAGTGATTAGAAAAAGATACTGCCAGGTATGAAGAGGTGCAGACGACGGGATCTGTCCCACAGCCCAGGACAAGAAGCCATTAATGACCGAGCTGACGGCAGCGAAGACGATGGCCGTCCGCGGAGGCTGTTCTGCTTTCTTGTAGAATCCTGCAACGAGCAGTGATATGCTCGGGACGATGATTGCCTCGAGGCATCCTGATCAAACGTGGTGAGTGTTCTTTTCTCGGAGGTTACAAAAACAGGAGCTGAACTGCTTACCCATCAAGCACCTCAGGGCCAACAAGCCACCGGCATTGTGACAAGCTGGGAGCAACAGGCTCATCGCTGACCATCCGATTGAGCATGCACAGAGATACTTTGCAGATGGTAATCGATGGACGAGATACGAGGAGGGCCACATTCCAACGATAGCCTAGCACCGTCGTGAGTTGAACAATCCAGTCCCATGTCGTAAAAGGAATGCCACCTACACCAACAGACAGAATGGAGCCGGCCCAGGAGTACTCCTCACCACTCAGATGGAGATCTATAGCCGAGCCGTCAGCGGAAGACAGACCAAGAAGGGAAAGCAAATGAATGTGCATACCGGTTCTAAGGCCGTAGATCGCCGCCGTACCGAGAGTCACCTTATCAACTGCTCCCAGGGTGGCAGTAATGAAGAGCTAGGGCATAATCAACACCAGAATCAACAGAAGTAGACGTCCGCTTCCCGTAGGGCACGAAGGCACGAACCATGGGAATAAGAATCCAGTCCAGCTTCCGCACAATCCTCTTCTCCATCTCGGGAGCCATGGGCGGCAACTCAACCGCATTCTGGGCAAGGAACTCGGCGGCCTTGTCCATGCCCCCGGAGACTTCCGCCATCTTCCCCAGGGACGGACAGGGTTCTTCGTCGACGGTGTGTTCCTTCTTGTCCATCGTGATGCGATGGGTGGTGGGCGAGGAGCTAGGGCTAGGTCAGAGAACAAGGCAGCGGAAAGGGACTTGTCGACGAGGGGGCTTTCCGGAAGGGAGGAGGAGGGAAAGAAGACATGCTTATATACCAGAGCAGGGATTCAGGGATTTATGTGGTTCCATCCGTATACAAGACCAAGGCAGACCAAGACAAGACGTCCGTGATGATAGAGCAAAGCGGCATGGAGATAGGCGGTTGTTCCACGAAGCCCTAAGGAGAACAGAGATACGCATTACTCTGCTCCATACAGCGTACACCACGAGACACCAGACAGATAGAAAGATATCACGGCAGGACCTTCTGCTTCTCCGCATTTTGTGAAAAGCCATCGAGATAGGACTTTTTCCCGGGACAGGTCGGTTTCCCCCATAGAATGCCTAGAATGCCCGAGCGCGCACTGCAAAGGATGGTCGATACGGCGCATATTGCAGTGGAGACGCTATAGGAGTAGATCATGCATAATTATCTAATTCTCCAATTCTCTAATTAGTTCTCTCTCGGAGGAGATCCGTTCTCATCCAATAACCGCGGCTCTGAAGATTCGGAGACGGCTCAGAGTTTAGATAAACTTGGCACTGAGGATTGGCTTACATTCTGCAGAGGCAATGTAGACCGTAACGACCTTCTCATCTGGTGGAACTTCTTTTCTATTCCATAGTAATACTTCCTCCGTGTCTTCCCTGGGATAATGTATCTATGCTTTGCAGTGACTGATTGCGGTTCTTCCGGTCTGCAGACCCGCAGAGCGGTTGGTCCTCCCTCCAGGCTGCCCGTATCGACCTGACTACTATGCTGAAGGAATGCGGGCTTTATTAGTGCAGCAAACCTGCATGTCCATTCCAATCGCCGCTCCGAATGGATATAAAACGAGCCTTCGCGCCTGGTCGAGGTGGAATGCGCCTCCAACCCACCACACCGTCCGAGGACTTCGTCGACCATGAAAGAACGCATTAAGATCGCGATAGGTTCGTACAACGTTCATGGAGAGTGCTAGCATGTATCTAACTTAGCAGATCGCGGTGGCACATTCACCGACATCTGGGCCAGTCTTCCCGGACGCCCAGACGTTGTCCTGAAGATCCTCTCTGTTGATCCTGCCAACTATAGCGATGCTCCTACGGAGGGTGCGTGAGAAGACCCCAGATCCAGATCTAGCTCTACAGCCACTGACTGGTCCCAGGAATCCGTCGGGTCCTCTCTCTCTACCGCGGAGAGGAACTCCCCCGAGACGTCCCCATCCCCAAAGACGACCTGGAGTTCATCCGGATGGGAACCACCGTCGCGACCAACGCCCTCCTCGAACGCAAGGGCACCAAGCACGCATTCCTCGTCACGAAGGGATTCCGGGACTTGTTGAAGATCGGATACCAGTCCCGACCGCGTCTGTTTGATCTGAACATCGTCAAGCCCGATGTTCTATACACCGAGGCCCGCGAGATCGATGCCAGGGTCACCATCGAAGGCTTCGATGAGGATCTCGACGATCTGTTCAAATGCGACGAGGAGATCCCCGGGGTCCTTGTGAGAGGTACGAGTGGAGATATGATCCGGATCCTGAAGCCGCTCGACGAGTCTGCGGTGCGGGAGACATTGCGAGGGCTTCGTGCGCAGGGTATCGATACGCTTGCGGTCTGTTTGACGCATTCGTACGTCTACCCACAGCATGAGCAGCGCGTCAGGGAGCTCGCCGTGGAGGAAGGGTTCACTCACGTTTCGCTCTCCTCGGAGGTCGCTGCGAATATGATCAAGATGGTTCCCCGAGGGAGCTCCGCCACGGCAGACGCTTACCTGACTCCGGAAATAAAGCAATATCTCTCCGGCTTCGCGAAGGGGTTCGAAGGCGGCAATCTTGACGGCGTGCGATGTGACTTTATGCAGTCCGACGGCGGATTGGTGAGCCATAACAGTTTCAGCGGACTGAAGGGCATCCTGAGCGGCCCTGCCGGTGGTGTCGTTGGATACGCCAGGACATCCTACGACGAAGCCTCCAAGACACCGGTCGTGGGCTTCGACATGGGAGGCACATCAACCGACGTCTCCAGATACGGAGGCCACTTGGAACACGTCTTCGAAAGTGTCACGGCCGGCGTGACTATCCAAAGCCCCCAGCTCGATATCAACACCGTCGCCGCCGGCGGCGGTTCAATCCTGTTCTGGAGAAACGGCCTCTTCGCCGTCGGTCCGGAGAGTGCTTCATCGCATCCTGGCCCGGCGTGCTACCGCAAGGGCGGTCCCTTGACAGTCACCGATGCCAATCTGTTCCTTGGCCGGCTCATCCCCGACTTCTTCCCAAAGATCTTCGGGAAGAACGAAGACCAGCCCTTGGACGCCGAGATCGTGAGGGAGAAGTTCACCACCTTGACGGCTGAGATCAATGCCGAAACAGGACGATCCATGACACCGGAAGAGGTTGCATGTGGATTCTTGGATGTTGCCAATGAAGCCATGTGTCGGCCTATTCGGGCCTTGACAGAAGGCAAGGGCTATGACATTGGTATGCCATTCATCTCGCTTTCAATATCGAAAGACTCTGTATGCTAACAGAATACAGCAAACCATAATCTGGGCGTCTTCGGGGGTGCAGGCGGCCAGCACGCCTGTGACATCGCCAGGAAACTGGGAATCTCAACCGTCATCATCCACAAGTACTCGAGTATCCTCTCTGCATACGGTGAGCATCGACACCAACCAGGAAAGTTATGGCAATGCTAACGTGAACAGGCATGGCCCTCGCCGACATCGTCCAAGAAGCCCAAGAGCCCACCAACACCATCTACGACAACAGCACCAAAACCCAGCTCGAGACCCGCCTTGCCGCACTACGAGACAAGGTCCACGACAAGCTCCTCGGCCAGGGCATCCGGAGCGAGGACATCGCGTATGAAATGTACCTCAACATGAGATACCAGGGCACCGAGACGTCCATCATGGTCCTGCAGCCGGCGGACGGGGACTTCAAGGCGGAGTTCCAGAAGACACATCTGCGGGAATTCGCCTTTGTCTTCCCGGATGAGAAGCCGATTTTCGTGGATGATATTCGCGTCCGCGGGATTGGGAGCAGTCGTCGGAAGGAATCTGATGGGCAGCAGTTGGGATATGAGTTGAGGGAGCATAAGTCGTTTACTTCTGCTCCGAGGGATTCGGCAGAGCGGTTTGTAAGTTGATCTCCGGGCTTGTTGCTGACCCATATGGCTGACCGTTTCCATAGACGAAGGTGTATTTCCAGAACCTGGGATCGCAGAGTACGCCGGTGTTTCTGCTGCAGAAGCTGTCCTCCGGTCTTGTCGTGCCTGGACCGGCTATTATCATCGACCAGACTCAAACGCTCGTCGTCACGCCGGGGGCTGAAGCCAAGATCCTCCGTTCCCATGTTGTCATCGATATCGTTTCGTCGTCGGCCGTCGCATTGAAGGATTCCACGGTTGTCGATCATATCCAGCTGTCTGTCTTTGGACATCGCTTCATGAGCATTGCAGAGCAGATGGGTCGTGCCTTGCAGAAGACGGCAGTGTCGCTGAATATCAAGGAACGACTCGATTTCTCGTGTGCATTATTTGGACCAGATGGTGGGTGCCCTCCTCTTGATCTGTAGATCTGGCTAATAATCCAAGGTGGCCTCGTCGCAAACGCCCCCCATGTCCCCGTCCATCTCGGCTCCATGAGCTACGCAGTGAAATACCAGCACGAACTACACAAGGGCAAGCTCCAACCCGGCGACGTCCTCGTAGCCAACCACCCCGAAGCAGGCGGAACGCATCTCCCAGACATCACGGTGATCACGCCCGTCTTTGAGAAATCCGGCAAAGACATCGCCTTCTACGTCGCCTCGCGCGGCCACCACACAGACATCGGCGGACTGGGCGGGACGTCCATGCCCCCCAACTCCACGGAGCTCTGGCAAGAAGGCGCCGCCATCCGGTCGTTCAAGCTCGTCCACGCCGAGAAGTTCGACGAGGAGGGCGTCACGAAGATCCTCCTCAGTCCCGGCCAGTACCCGGGGTGCGCAGGGAGTCGGCACATAGCGGACAATATATCCGACCTGAAAGCGCAGGTCGCAGCGAATAACAAGGGGATGGTCCTTGTCCAGGGTCTGATAGAGGAATACACACTGCCCGTGGTACAGCTGTACATGAATGCGATCCAGTCAAACGCAGAGATCGCAGTCCGCGCATACCTACGGTCCATCTTGGCCAAGTTCGGTCCTCGCCTGTACGCAGTGGACCAAATGGACAGCGGATCCCTGATAAAGCTCGCCATCACCGTCTCCCCCGACGGCACGGCCGTATTCGACTTCACCGGCACCAGCTGCGAAATGCTGAGTAACATGAACGCACCCCCAGCCATCACGCACTCGGCCATCATCTACACGATCCGCCTCCTCATCGGCACCGACATCCCCCTCAACCAAGGCTGTCTTGCCCCGATAGACGTCATAATTCCCAAGGGAACATTCCTGAACCCATCCGCCGGACCCGCCGTCTGTGCAGGAAACACAAATACCTCCCAGCGAATCGTGGATGTCATCCTACGAGCCTTCCACGCCGCAGCCGCCTCGCAGGGATGCATGAACTGTCTCGGATTCTTCGGCGAAGGAGGCCGAGACAGCAACGGGAACCGACTAAAGGGGTACGCATACGCATTCGGGGAGACAATCTGCGGCGGATCTGGTGCCACATCAATTCGACCCGGTGCATCTGGCGTACACACACACATGACAAACACACGTATCACAGACCCAGAGAGTCTCGAGAAACGGTACCCCGTTATCCTGCGCGAGTTTGCAATCCGCCAGGGAACCGGGGGGAAGGGACGGAATAACGGCGGTGACGGTGTGGTGCGGGATATCGAATGTCGGGCGCCATTGAGTTTCAGCGTGATTACAGAGCGCAGGAGTATCGCACCGTACGGGATGGAAGGGGGTGGAGATGGGGAGCGAGGTGCAAATTACTGGGTTCGTCGCGTGGAGGGTGCTGAGGGACCGGAATGGAGATGGGTTAATATGGGTGCTAAGAATATGGTTCGTATGGAAACGGGAGATCGGTGCGTCATTCATACTCCTGGTGGAGGTGCCTGGGGGAGGAGACCCGAGGAGGAGGATCATCAAGTGAATGGGAATGGGCATTCTCATACGAATGGTGTCGTCAATGGTTCAAGTTCCGTGCAGTATCCTCGTGCGTCTGGGAGTGTGGCTGCGTATATGTCTGCTCAAGAGGCATCGGCTTAAAGATTGGCTTGGATGGGAATGGATAGATTGGGTATCTAAAACTATATCAGACTATTGGCTTGAATTCATGGAGTTCGAGGGAATAGAAGAAGCTTGGTCATGAATGAATCCGGGGGTACAATATCCATTGATGCACGCTCACGTTAGAGCTAGAGGTCAAATCAAGTCATCCATTTCAAGAAAGAAACCATGGATCAAGCCAGACTGATAAACCCAGACTTATGATCCCCCCATAAATGACCGGAAGGGTAGTCAAGATCTCTCATCCGGAAAGCCCTCTTAACCGCCAACCTCGCGCGCCGTACACTTCCCAGGTTCCGCGTTTTCTGAATATGCTCCAGCCTATCCAGAATAAAGCGCCGATGCTCTTCACTATCGAGACCGGTATTCCCCAGAACGAAAAGTGGCCATAAGAGAGTAGCCGTGTTCGGGAGGGTAGATATCAGCTTTATGATTAAAGACACGAGATGTCGCTTGCATTGTCTTGTTGAAAGCAGCGCGTTTTCGGATGACGAAGTCTCCATCTCAGCAGAACCTGGTGTCAATGGGTCGGAAGGGATATTGGTATCATCATCTGGCGAATCGGCAGCGAGGCCGAGACGTTCTTGCAGATACAGCAGTGCAGTCAAGCGCTTGGTTTCCGCGATACGTTTTAGCTCGTTCCTGTCTGAAGAATGCAAGGGCAAATTTTGTTTCAAAAAACGTAACGACATTTCAATTTCGTTGCTGGCGGAAGTGTAGCTTTCAATTTCGACTGGAGTAAGCGGGCGGAATTTCAAGATCTGACAGTGTGAGCATCGAGGATGGAAGCATCTACAATGAAAATAACACAATAAAAGGAACCATACCTCCTGCTTTTCCGAAGCTAGAGCCGAGATTCTGTCGATCAGGGTCATAAGGTTTCTCGAACAGCCCATAACCCCATCAATCTTGACCTGCGTCAGTTTCCACCGTCTGCCCAGTTGGAAAGCGTCGAACAAACGTACCTCATCCAGGTCATCGGCCTCCAGCCAGCTGCAGGATATTTTGTCTTCGTACCGGCTCTCGGTGGCCGTGCGGCTCATGATATCGTGAGCCACAAAGTACATGGTCAGAAACCTTCTCAAAGGTTCACACTGCCGAGAGCGTGCAGAGACATATTCAATGAGTTTCAGGCCCCCACGAAGGTGGGCTACCCAAGAAGGATCACAGCCGTCAGAAATCTTTGCACACGGATCAGCGGTCAGTCTCATCTATCATCCTTAGGGCTCAAATGAGGTTTGCACATACGTCATGGAAACAGAGCATCAGCACAGTAGCAACTGCACCATAATCCAGACTATCAGTGATGATGGCCTGTTGGAGACCCCGTAAAGCATTATCTTTGTACAGACACGCTTCTTTCTGAAATCTCGAATCTCCGAGAAGGCGAAGTTGGTTCGCGGCAACTGCCAACAGAGCGCTGCGCAGGGTGGAATGATAGAAGCTTAGTGGCGTGATGAGAGATATGTATGGATTATATGAAATGCTGAGTGAGCAGTTGGGACCAATTCCCTCGATGAAATATTGGAGGAGGTAGCCTTCGATCTCAGAGTAGGAACTGAGAGGGTGGCCCAAGGCTTTCGTGCAAGACAAAGTTAGAGACACCGCATCATCGACCAGTTCTGTTGGAGACATTTCTGTCCGTACACTTTCCCCTCGCTTATCTTGCGAATCGGGTTTCTCGGTTGAAAAGTCGCCATATGTTGTGTTTAAGAAGACCCAGCGTCCACGGTAATCGTCAAGAGGCACTGCACAGAATCCATCTCCGCTATCGATCCTCGTAGGTTTTTTCCTTCGTCTGGTCCATATTCCTAGATACCAGTTGGTAAAGGAAAGAAACCAAGGCAATCAGATCACTGGGAGGATACCTTCCCGACCAAACTGAATACCACGTTGTATTGCATCATCTCTGAAGGTGAGTCTGAGGCCCCGTGTGCAGGTCAGACCAAGCCTCTCGCATCTCCTGCATGCTGGGATCTCTTCGGTGCATCGGACGTGTTTCTCTGCCGTTCGGGAAATGGAATTAGATGGTCAGTATATGCAAGTTGTGGGGTGCATGGCCGTTGAATCCGAATAGTTCACACCTTTGCACTGGAAGCAGCCCGTCCTCCGTCGGCACTCTAGATGGTTTCTCTTATTCCTAGGCATGATGGGCAGGCTCCGATTATAATTTAATCAAGACATATAATACACTGTCTGTCAAGGTTGGGCGAGTGCTTCAGGACGAGGCAAGGCGTTGCGGAGAAAGTAACACGGCGGAGACATGGGCCGCTTATCTTATCAAGGAGAGATGGTCGACAGCTGTCATGCCATTGCGCTTTTGACTTGAAGGCGTAAGATTGTCGGAGGTTATATCCCTGATCGTGGCATTGGGCCAATGTGCAGATGTGAGCGTATAGCATGTTATATAGTTCTGCGATACTGCGTAGAATTGACAATAAGCAGACTTTGGTTCATCGCGAAGTTCCTCACGAGCAGCGCTTTTGGGGTTTCTGGACTGCCGTACAGCATGGAGCTGGGGTACTAGACCGAATCCGGTTAGGCGAGGTTCGGGCCAGGATCCGGGCAGCTTAGGCCATTCAGCGCGCGCACCGAAGCATTTCTTGCAGCTCTAGATTCTGTGAAGAAAAGGGGGATCTGGTCCTCTACTTTCTACGCTGTATTTAGATACATCCCGTCGAGGCTAATTACTCCGGATATCTGGGGACTAGTTAGTTAGTAGTCGTAGCGGGTCACAGGCTGCCGCATGTATTATTCCGGTCCTCGGCGGCAGACAGCCAGTGAGGAAACATGCGGAGAGATAAACAAACAATCGTCGAACTTGGCCCTCACGGTTGATAAAAAACGCGAGGTGCGAATTTGCAAAACGGGAGACGAAGATCATCTGTATTGGGTTATGCCGAGACAAGCCCGAACAGGCTTACGCGGATCGCAGCGATCAGCTCAATACGACGGGGTGCGCCATACGGCGTACTGAATCGAGGTGGTTCTGCTGCTCGACAGCTGGATGCTGGTACTCAGACATTCGACCGAGAAGATAGACACATGCTGCAAAGCTGTGTAGTATATACGCTGGAAGTGAGCACACGGTCAGAAAACAGAGGCAGGGGAGTACGCCGTGACGGGGGCCAAGCTGACTCGGCGTCACGGATACGACGGGTCGAGAATGAGTGATGTGCGTGGTCGAAACGACAATATGATACCACACGTGCGATCCCATGGCTGGCAGATACCTAGGTAATAGTCTCTCCGGCACACGGCTTATAAAAGGGCAGGACCTCGCCCATCAGAGCCTGGACAGACAGTGCAAAAAGCTGGAGAACAGAGAGCTCCCGTCTTCGTCGTGGAGAGTGGCAGGTTTCCCAAAGCGGCATCATCCCAATAGGACCTAGTGCTCGGTGAGCGAGAGAGGAGAAAGGGTCCACTGGTACGGTATTATTGTACGGTTATTTTGACGATTTCCTTCCAACCGAAACCACGCGTTCTTTGTTCCCTCGGTATAAAGGAGCTGCCTCGGACTGAAAATTTCAGCTTCGATCTCTCACTTCTCCCTGCATTCTTGAATGCCGCGTATCGGCAGTGAAGCCCGAAGCCCAGCTCGCCCAGATATGTCCAGCTCTCCCATCCATGATGCAAGGACGTGTAATTTTGGCTCGTATTGTTACGGTTGCAGCAACGTGACGCCGAACGCCAGTGGAGCTCCAAAGCCGCCCGAACCGGCCCGATGTAATCATCTGGGCTGGGCGCGCCGAGCTATTGGCCGGTTTGCAGGCCAAGTGGGCCGGTCAATATGATTTAATCTATCGCGTCGTACGGAATCCACTGCAAAGTTAAAACAGGAAACAGCATAAAAATGGAAAGCGAAACAGCAGAAAACAGGGAACGTATTCCGTACAGCAGAGCTGGCAACTAGCCCGTAGACAGCAGACCCGACTCTTGCTGGGCAAGATAGAAGCTGTCCCAGGATAATTATAATAGGCGTAAGCTCGGTGTCTGTCTTGCACGGGTTGAAACACGGATTGTCAGATGTAGCAATACAACTCTGCTGGACCAGGGTCATTGAGCGTACCAAGAAATACCCAGCTTCCCGAGAGCTCCCGACTGTACAGCGCAGGCAGACGAAAGGAAATACCGTACAGCTGCCCTAGGGCTTGCTGCTCCCTTCCGCCCTCTCCCAGCCGCCGCACTAAGACCGCGCTTGCCCTGGAAACGGTGAAAATTAGCCGGACAGTATTTATCTCCTGGGACACCTCATTTGTAACTTAACCTCTCTGCTTCTTCCCTCCCTGAAAAAAAAAAGCTCTTTTTTTTTCCCCAGGCTCACCCAACTTCCATCTCTCCTCTCTCTCCCGTCAATTCCACTCCTCCCACCGGGAATCACAAACAGCAGACACAATGGCCTCCTCTCGCGTCTTCGCCTCCCGATTGGCCTCTACCATGGCCTCGACCTCCAAGGTCGCTCGCCCTGCCGCTCGCTTCCAGCTCCCTGCTGCCGCCCCCAAGCGTACCTTCACCGGTCTCCGTGCTCAGGGCTCTCCTCTGGCCCAGACTGTCAAGCGCCAGCAGGCCTCTACCCTCCTCAAGGCCAACGCTCGCCAGGTCTTCGCTGCCCAGGATGCTCGCCGCCAGTACTCCTCCGACGTCGCTAACGCCATGGTCGAGGTCTCCAAGAACCTGGGTATGGGTAACGCCGCCATTGGTCTCGGTGGTGCTGGTATCGGTATCGGTCTCGTCTTCGGCGCTCTCCTCCTGAGTGTCTCTCGCAACCCCTCTCTCCGTGGTCAGCTCTTCACCTATGCCATTCTCGGTTTCGCCTTCGTCGAGGCTATGGGTCTGTTCGACCTCATGGTTGCCATGATGTGCAAGTACGTCTAAACGTGGGAGGAGTTTTGAAATCGACCCGGATCGTCTCTGCCGGCGGCCTAGTCTGATTGATATGGATGAAATGAGGGGATTTGGTCGTCCGTGGTTTCACTATCATGTACTACTGTCAGCCTCATGTACAACCTTTATTTCCATTATTGTGTACTACATATGGAGTTTTCAATGGCACTTACTCCAGCGGAGCCAACTTTGCCTTCATTACTTTGTTCATCCCTCGTATCTGTAGCTCTTTTGCCGTCGATGAAGGAAGGGATCGTCCGCTCGCTGTCTTCCGTCCGAATCCGATCACGGTAATCACGCTGCATAGCCGACGCGATTGAGGGTGAGTACTGTAGTCAAACAAATGCAGAAACAAAAACTACGAAACAAGAAATTGGCCATGATTCTATCGTAGTATTGTAAGAACTGCCATTAATAGGAAACCAGAACAGACAGGAGAGAAAAAGAGGAGACGACATTGCACGACACGACAACACAGCACAGCACAGCGACGGAGATTCTTCCCCTCTTTTTTTCGTTTTGGCCCTTGCTTTGTTCTTCCCTGCCTATAGCCAGCCTGTAGACTCTCGAGTAGGACTGTACATGCAGCAATGTACCTTTTTACTCCTCACTTTTCTCCTTTTTCGTTGTGAGCTCGGGCCGCTCAGGACGTCGGGTTGCTCAGGATATCGGTTGGGGTAGGACAGGATGGTTGGATTTGGAATTTGTTTCTTCCAGTTTTCCTGGATGGATTGCTTTCGGTTTGATTTTGCTTTGCGTTGCGTTGCATTTTCGTGCCTTGACACTGTTGTTGCCAGGTATCTCCGAGGTACCTCATCTCTCTACGCTGTGCTGTGCTCTACCAGATCTTGGATGTGAGACTATGCTCATGCTGGAAACTACTATTTCACATACATAGAAAGTGTATACAATCTACGTCTTCAATTAATGACTACTATGTACCCCTACTCTGCTCACCTGCAATGGCACTCTGCCTCTCTACCTGAGTGGGTGGGGAAGGCCAATGTTGGGGAATTGGCTTTCCGGGCGCTCCGTAGAGTCTGAGCACGCCTAGACCGTATTGGGAAAGGTGACGTGAGATGGGACTTGGTTTTCCGTGCATAAGCGTACACTAGGTACCTACTACTCTGTACTCTGTACAGAATTGAATGATAACTAGTCAACAAAAATAGTCTTGGACAAGGCCGAGTAATGCTTGAAGAAGCCCGTAAAGAGTCGAATCGCATGTCCCACATCATATGTACCCCCTGTCTCCCGGATGCTGTGCATGCTCAGTTGCGGATTGCCCAGGTCCAAGGTCCTCGTTCCCAATGCAGCTGACAGCATCGGCCCAATCGTAGACCCGCAGCTGGAATCGTTGCGGACGACAAAGAGCTGCAGCGGAACTCCTTCGCCTTCGGTTTCGGCTGATTTGCGAGCCACCTCGTGCAGGAGTGCGATTCCAGGGGCGTTGGTTGCGTAGCGCACGTTGGCGTTGATCTTGATGACAGGGCCCTTGTTGATTTCTGGCTTATGGTCCGATTCGTACTTGGCCGCGAAGTTGGGGTTGACTGCGTGTGCCATGTCGGCAGAAACGAGAAAGGAGGTAGACAGCGTCTGCTCGTAGGCAGTGGAAAAGTCGGTGTCCCCGGCTCGGACGTAGGACGATTCGGAATGGGAATCCTCAAAGTGAGACGATGGGAGCACCGACAGGCGACGGATAATAGCAGGCAGGACGTTGGAGTCGGCACCCTGGGCCGATCGGCTTCCAATCTCTTCGTGATCGAAGAGCGAGATTAGCCGGATAGACGGCTCCTCATCTAATGCAGACTCGTGAGCAACCGAGTCAATGAGGCCGACGGTGGCACAGAAGGAACTGTTAAGGTTGTCCAGCCTCGGGGAGAAGATGAATTCCTCCAGCAAGCCACCAAGGCAAGACTTCTGAGTGTCGAAGAGGACCATCTCAAAGTCAATCAGATCGGCAGGCGAGACGCCGATTTCAGAGGCAATGAGCTCGATGAAGTAGGGATGATGGCGTTCCGTCATCGCCTTCAACGGAGCGAAACTCTTCTTCTCTGCGTCATTTTCTCCAGCGCTGGTAGCGTCTTTGGTGCCGCCAGTGCGGTTAAGTTCCGCAGCAACGAGGCCAGCGATGGGGAAGAGCTGGGTCTCCTTGTTGAATGCGAAAGTCTCCTGGCGTTCAAGATGGATTGCCAGGGTTGGGATACGGAGAACTGTGGCAATGTCAGGTCAGCGTATCGGGTATATTCGTCCGGAGACATACTTGGACGATCAATCTTGACCAGCTTCTGCACAATTGAACCATCACTGGTCCGGACCATTACTCTTCCAGCAACCCCAAGATCACGATCAAACCCTTTGCAGAAATAATGTCAGCGGACGCAGCAAATACGGGTTGCAACAGTACTGACAGGTATGCCAGATGCCTCCTCCATAAGTCTCAACGCCCACCTGGATGAAGCCTTCTCCACGCTTGTTGCTCACCGGTTTAATCCGCAGAACTGGCGAGTCCGTGTGGGCACCAATCATGGCGATAGAATTGCCAGGCTGTAGAAATCAGGTCATCAGCGGTTTGTTTCAACAGAACCCAAGCATCAGCTACATACCTTCCATTTTTTACCAATAGCAAAAGCCACGAGAGTTGAGCCATTACGGGTCAGATAGTACTTCCCGCCAGGGTGGCATGTAGAGGCCCAGGAGTCTTTCTCCTACGCAGATGGATGATATATATGGTAAGTACGGGAAAGAACCTGAGGCAAATCGAATTGACCAGAATTTCCCACAAATCAAAGTACCTTAATCTCCTGGAAACCAGCTCTGACTAGAAGATCCTTGGCAGACTGAACCGCATGGAAGGCTAAGCTCAGGTTAGATAGATGGATGGGAGCGGGGTAAGAACAGGGGAGGAGAATCCATACGGGTGGGAGAAGCATTGACAAAGGACAAAAAGTCCCGCGCGGGCTGTTTACGGTCGATCGACGCCATAATTGCTGTTCGGGATGCACAGGATGAGGACCACAGGCGCTGGAGATAGCAACCACCGAGCTTACAGGGAAGACGAGCAGCGGGAGATCTGGATGAGGTAATGGCGGTCACCTGAAACGAGCGAAGCGCCCAGCTGTTCATGAGCAGATCCTAGTAGTACCTACACGGGTATGATATAAGCTCTAGGACTATATCGTATGGATGGTGCGTAACGATCTGCCGTCCTCTTTTCCCAGGATAACAAACACAATAATTATGACGCTTTTTTTGGCCATTATTATTTGATGCAGTTAAAACAGCTGGGAGGTCTGCCAATTCCTTACATAAGCAGCCTGGATGACATAATCATAAAACGCGTGACGCGTCGAAGCGCGCAGGAAGTCCATCCAGCCATTTATTTCGCGTCTGGCAAGACCTTCAAAACATTCAGCAGCACGGCCCAATGATGTCTTGTTTCGTCAGGCGCCATGCTGAGCTGAGTCCCCATCTATACTACTGACTGTTATGATAGCCCAGCTGGGCATTTAGCGATGCTATCAAGACGCGCTCCTTCATGGAGGGAAAATGTAAACAATCACGTAGACGCCCTGTTGTAACTGTCCTCCACCCCACAGATTATGACCATGCAGATACGCCTCAGTCGGTGAATCTACCTCTGAGCAAGCAGCAACCGGTTGCCATCGTGCCCAGTGCCTGCATTTGCGTCCTGGTGTCCTGGTCCCTGGCGATAGCGAGAATCCGATCTGGATCCCAGTGTTGCCCAGATAGGTTTAGCGCTCCCGACGCGTGACCGGAGCGACGACGAATTCCCCTTTGGAACTCCCGCCCCCCCAAAAGAACAAGAACAAGAACTCACCTCCTCCGCCTGCTCCAGCTCTCTCTCTCTTCCTCATCCTTGCCGTTGATTCTCCTGCCCGTTAACCCGGTCTCAAATGCCCTCCGTCCGTTTCTGCCTCTATCTACGTCTGTGCCGGGCCCGGTGAGGAGAGTTTGTTGTGCGGCCATTTGTCGCCGTCTTGTCTCAGCCCGCCGCATTGATCATTGGTGATTTCGAACACGGCGCCGGGGGTGTATTCGGGGCCTTTTGCTCAACGTCCTACGGTCTACAGACATTCGATCGAATACAAGGAAATTCCAATTCGCTCGGGATAATACTGTCGCTCTAGATATCTCTCTTTGCGCAATTCCCAGCCGCCTGGTCTGCCGCGCGACTACGTCCATTCACTCTCTTGATCGGAACTGGTCTGCTTTGACATCGCGCAAACCAACAAATAGTCTCCCAAACATGGGCGACAGTAGTAAAGATCCAGATAGCGTGGTGCGCAGCAGTCTACCGGCAGCAGGGTTGAATCCGAAATTGTCTGGTCGCGCTACGAATGTCGCAAACATTGCCTCTCCGCCTGGATCTAAGACACCCCCCAGCATGTCCTCTAGGCGAACACTCTTCTTCCCCGAACCGTCTGCCCGCCAACAGAAACCCCGCACAGGGGCTGAACCAGTCGATGCCGATGCGCTTGCGATGGCTCTGAAAGAATACGAGGAAGCGGGACATCGTCGCGATAGAACGCCAGGAAGCAGTCCTTATCGAAAGAGACAGAGGGTCTATGGAGACAGGTAAGTTTATTTTGTGAAGGACTTCTGCAGATTTGAATCTAATCGTCTCGAGCAGATTTATACCGAACCGCGAAGGACAGGATCTACAAGCAACTTACAGTTTACTACACGAAGATGGATGTCCGTCCACCCCTTCAAGGTCAAGAAGACGGACACCACATTCAGAACTTCATTTTCAAAAGAGTCAGTTTTGCCTCGCACCTTGATTCGTCCCTCTGTGACTACCATCTGACATTCACTCCAGCTGAGGAAGCTAATCGAACTTACTCGCGAGTGCTGCGAAGTGAACTCTTTGGCAACACTGTTCCCCAGACAAGCTTGGATTCGTTATCAACAGACCCACTGCTAGGCCTCAGCAACGGTATAAATGAAAAGACTCGATCCCATACCCCACCATCACACGTGTCTAGCCTCCCACCAGCTAGCATAACACCGTCTACTCCGCACAAAAATCTCTTCACCTATGCGTCCCCACGTCCCGGTTCAGGTCAACACACCCCATCGAAAACCCCTCGCAGCCAACATGGCCCCAATTTGGATGTCAGATCTGAGCTGTATAGCTTGTCGCCAATCCGTTACGACAGCCAACGTATCCTTGAGACTCCGCGCAAACAGCCGCGTTACGTGAACAAGGTACCCTACAAGGTTCTCGACGCTCCAGATTTGCAGGATGATTTCTATCTGAACTTAGTAGACTGGGGAGGCAGTAATGTTCTCGGCGTCGGATTGGGAAACTCGGTTTACATATGGAATTCTCAAACTGGTCGGGTAACTAAACTATGTGAACTTCGCGACGATACGGTTACGAGTGTTAGCTGGATCCAAAGGGTAAGTGCAAACTTCCTCTTCTTGCTACAAAGGGTCTAATTGGGATCTCTTTTTAGGGTACCCATCTTTCAATTGGCACCGGGAAAGGTCTCGTGCAAATATGGGATGCAGAGCGTTGTCACCGTCTAAGGACCATGATTGGTCATACGAATCGTGTCGGGGCCCTTGCTTGGAATGACCATATCTTAACTTCGGGATCCCGAGACCGGTTAATTTTCCATCGCGACGTCCGTTCACCAGACCAGTACTTACGACGACTATCTGGCCATAAGCAGGAGGTTTGCGGCCTCAGATGGAATACGGAAGACGGTCAGCTAGCGTCTGGAGGGAATGACAACAAATTAATGGTGTGGGATAAACTGAGTGAGACGCCTTTATACCGGTTTTCCGACCACACTGCTGCGGTGAAAGCCATTGCTTGGTCACCTCACCAACACCATCTACTTGCATCGGGTGGAGGTACGGCTGATCGGACCATCAAATTCTGGAATACTTCAACGGGGTCGATGATCAAGGAAGTCGATACAGGTAGCCAGGTCTGTAATCTGGCGTGGTCCAAAAACTCGGATGAGATCATCAGCACCCATGGCTACAGTCAAAACCAGATTGTGGTCTGGAAGTATCCGCGCATGGAGCAGATCGTATCATTGACAGGCCATACCTTCCGCGTCCTCTACCTGGCCATGAGCCCGGACGGTCAAACTGTTGTCACAGGCGCTGGCGATGAGACGTTGAGGTTCTGGAAAATCTTCAACAAAAAGTCCGGGAGGGAAAGCGGGCGTGAAGGTGGCAGGTTATCAGAATGGGGTACGATTCGGTAAGATGAGGTGGCCACTTCATGCACCATTACTGCTGTCATGCGTTTCCATTGCCTGTGCATGTTAAGGCGTTCAATTCGGTCTCCAGCATCTCGATACCCCGACGTTGCATTAGACATGGCGTTCTTGTTGGACTTGGCGTCCCTTCAGAGCTAGGATTTGCCTTTTGGCGATTTTAAGGGGGTTCTCGTGTTATTCCTTCTTGGCATCTCTTGCATCTTGTTCGCGGGTTTATGGCATTTTACAGTTTTTTTGAGCGTCCGTCTTCTTCCGTTTCCTAATATGACCGGTTTCATTGCCTCCCTCTTTCTTTCCTATCCTTTTGTCTCCCATGTCAGCAACCCCATACGGGTTTTCCTTTGTCTTATTGTCCTGTTTTCCATTTCAAACTTCTGTCGGGGGTACAGTTTCTATCACGCAACTCCCTCAAGAGAGTGTCATCTGTGGATTCCAGCAGGAGATGCTCATGGAGTTTGTTTGGTGAGGTGACGCATAAAATATATGGCGTTTGCATTTCAGGTTGGGGCAGGAGTTGTTTTGCCTTCCCTTACAGCTGCTATTCTTTGTTCTGTTTTGTTTTTCTTGTCTTCATCTGGGTCTGCTTACATGGTATGCATTTGAATGATGATGGCACGACTCTTTCTGCTACTCATTGAACCAAGACTGTCTTGCCAAGCTTGTCTTTTCCAACTGAGATTGTGCATCTGCATGATCACTCTGGCTGCATTGGGAAGCTTGAGAGAGAATAATAATCATGCAATATGTTAAAACCAACTCTTATGAGGAATCATATAAGGTAATCCCTGAATCTTTTGAATTCATGTTGACCAAACAGGCTACATGTGCCTGAAACTCAACAGTAAGAGCCATAGCGCAGGCACGAAATCAATCATACCGTGCCGGGCCCACACGGTTGAACAGTATTTTAAGGATCAGGAGTTTGCAGAAGACCCGCCGGGCTTGCCTCCTGGAGATATAATCATCACCAATTGCTGGGATTACAATTATACATCAGCTAAAGAGGTTGCCGCCGGCTTGAAATCGTAAAGCGCAAAAATCCATGAAAACAACGCTTTGTATAGAAGATTAGCGATAGATAGATGGAAGGATGGAGGCAGTTTTGCTGGTGATTCTACACGTTTTATGTATATACAGATTGCATAGTAATCAATGCGTGAAGAAACATGATACCATGGAACACATGTTGAAGGTTGCAATGAGGCTTTGGGCATACTGGGTATTATTTGCAGGTAAATGAGCCTTTTCTTTTTTTTTTTTTTTTTTTTTTTTTTTTGCTCTATTGGAAGCGTCCTGTCTATGCCGTGGTTGTCAAGTTACTCCCATTCAATGCAAGAGCCCAGCCCAGGCTCAAGGGTTACAATTATCCAAAAGATGAGAGCGCGGGTGAATTATATATACTGCTTTAAGCTTTCACAGGAAGGGCATTCGCTGCCATTGAGGAGACCTAGAAAGGGTATGTATAGCCATGCTGCAGGGTAACAAAGGACGACTAAATATAATATATATATACAGACTATGAGTAGGGAATATCAAGATATACGTTACTTCCAACTAATTAATTCTACACCCTAGCTATGCGAGCTGAAAAGAGCAAAGGCGTGAAACAGGAGACATAAAAACGAATAAGGTAAATTACAGAACCAGTCTCCCAGGATCAACTTGCAACAAGTCCTTAACTCGCTCCAAGAAAGTTCTTGCCCTCTTCTCCTCGCCCACAGGAACAGTGAGGCTGAACACATTCAAAGCAGACCCGTTAGAAGGCGATTGAGCCGCTGGTAGCTTACGAGCGGTCTTCTTAACCGTCTTGCCAGCGAGGATGTCAATGATATCTTCGGCGACGGGCTTCTTCTTTGCCGGGGTTACCTCCGAGGGATCGAGCTTGTTCAATTCAGGGAAATAATCGCCCCTGGAGAAATTAATTGGTTCTGCGCCCAGGATCTCATCAAATAGCTCATCGACGGTTGGTTTCTCGGTCGATGAACGCGGAAGGGCATCATTGGCCAGATCGGTTGCACGAACGAGGAAAGTCGATAGAGGTACAGTGGTGCCCAGTGTTTCCTTGATCTTCTGCTGAACCGACAGGACCGCACCCAGGGAGACGGAGACCGCGACAGATGCTGTGAGGGGCGGTGCAGGGACCTCTTTCTCGACAACTGGTGCGGCGGGTTGGGCGGGAGGAGGAGGCGGGGCGAGCTTAATGTTACTCAGATCGAGATGGGCCAGTTTCTGGAGACGCGATGCTTGGATGGATGGGTAGTCGGATGCGATTGCACCGAGGTAGGCAAGGACATCGCCCTTGAGGAGACGGCCCTTGGGGCCTGAAGCAGGGATCTTGGAGATCTCGGATTCCGGGATGCCCTTCTCGTGCAGGAGCTGGATCACCGAGGGGTAGAGCGGGTAGGCTGTGTTTTGGCCCTGGGATATAGCGGTGGATTGGAGGGTGCCTGTTTCGAGGTAGGGAATCGATGGTGTTAGCTAGCTAGCTCGATGTAACGATGATGGTTGTGGTTGTTTTGAAAGGTTTCCCTCCCATCATTACTCACGTTTGGAGATATTGACACTGCACACTCTGGGCTGCCTTATGGCAAGCCTAGCAGGGAGCTGACGAGCAGAGAAGGCCGATGCCATCTTTGATTGAGACTCAACCGTTGAGGATCTGGTCTGCGGCGGCGAGAGATAGATACTGACACTGCTTCCAGAGGCTTAACAAGGAGCCCACCACGTCAACTGCCACGCACGCAGAATCCCGATGAGATATCCTGGCTTGAACGAGGATCTGATCTAGCAGTCAAGGCAGCCAGAGCCATCCAGGTTGGGGGAAACAGCATCTCCGCGAAGCTTGTCGTCGCCGTCGCTCACCGGCCGCCGGGACGGGAACATTTTTCTGCCGCAAAGGGCTGGGGCTCGGCTTTCATGCCGCGCGAGAGACAGAAGAAGAATCGCGCATGTCGATGACCATCACAGTCCATCCAGGAACTCAGGGTGAGTGTGCATCTATCTCATGCCTTGCAGGACGAGATTACTTAGCCGGATGGGGCCAATTCCTTGATCCTGCAGGTTTCTTGCGTGTTGCTGTTCCGTTTCATCATAGGAAATCCATACTAACGTATTCTCTACGAACAATCTTAATAGGCGAAACATAGAAACCATGCTTCCTAGATCCTTTTCCGTTCGCATATTTCAGCAGCAATGTCCGAGAAGCGCGCTTCGTTCATCATTCCAGGTCCCGTCGGGTGTGCCGTGGAGGCCTTTCACATCTAGCCCTCCTCGGGCCAAGTCCGCCGCAAATAAAGCATCCTCCACGCCGGTATCATCCTTGAAGTTTGCCGGACAGCGACCAGAAGGGTTTGGGAAACTCGAACGCAAGGTTGCCAAACAGGGCGAGGTGGTCCTTTTCGAATCTCCCTCACATCGCGCCTACATTTTCAGTGCATATGCCCTTGGAGCTGTCGGGTTCGCCTGTTCCATTTTCTACTCCGACATGGTCTTTCGCAATCCTATACATGAATTCAAGGATTGGCAAAAAGTCACGTACGGCGTTGTATGTATCCTGACCAGTGCCATGGGTACGCTCGCCATCATGCAGACATTTCGACTGGTGAAGTCCATCCACGCCGTCAGCTCCAACGGAAAGACATATATCCGGTTTAAAGTCAACCGGATGGTCCCGTTCTTGAGGCCTCGCGTGTTTGACGTCGTGCCGCGCCAGATTGCTTTCAATCGCCGGCTGGTACCTACGGAGAGGACGTGGCAGGGAATCAATGGCCTGGTAGAAAAGAAAGAGCGTCTGACAATTATCACCTTCTTTACAGCACCTGTGAAGAAGGTGAATCGCATGTTCTGGGAACTCTTCCGAGCTGTACGACGGGTCTTCACTCAGGAGGATTTTCTGTCAGTGGAGATTGAAGGACAGAGCGGTAGCTTCAAGGTTGATACCGCCGGGTTGATATATAATGATTTTGCCTATATTTGCTATATCCCAAAGGTTGGACGGAAGTGAGGTCTCATTGGGGGTTGATGCTATCCTTTTCTCTTTCTTTTCTTCGGGTAGTCCCCTTGTTTTATTACATGACGAAGCTTCATTGAAATCTGGGAACGTCTCTGGAAATGTATATATCAGGTGTACCGTACAAATCATTAATATATAGCGTTGCTTTTCTGTTCTTCTAGCCCATTGTTTGTTGAACTGGCTTAATTACACAGCAGTGACACTCACCTATTCAAATTCCAAACATACAGGAAGCAGGACTTCATATCTATCTCTCACCGAACCGTCAGACAACGCAAGAACGTAGTCTATCTAAGCAGGCCATGAATGTAGGGATCAACAGGGTAGATCACGTGATTACATCGCGTCCACCCGATCGAGAATTGACGCGACCTGCAACTATCGCGAACCCCTCCCGGCAGCAGCTTGCCTGTTCCAACCGGACTCGTGAATTTAACACCGCGCCCAAAGCCCAGTTTGATGCTCTGGCAGGCTTGCTGAGAGTGATCTCGCTACTTATTAGTAGCTGCGTGGCAAGATGGGAAAGCTCATTCGACTAGAGCTCTTCAGTACGGACACCCGTCGCATACTCGGCTCGCGAAAAAAAGGAACAACACTGACTCTGGTCACACACAGATTTCAAATCATACAAAGGGCATCATGTCTTGCTATTTGGAGATGCGTATTTCACGTCTATTATCGGACCCAACGGGTCTGGGAAATCAAACTCGTTCGTTTTGACCCCTTGGAGAAAATATTGAAATTGCATCCCAGCACATGCTAACGCGCATCAGAATGGACGCGATTTCATTCGTCCTAGGTATCAAGTCTTCTCATTTGCGATCTACGAACTTGCGCGATCTTGTCTACCGCGGCCGTGTTTTGCGCACATCCAAAGTCGACGGTGTTCCTGCCCCCGATGCCCCGGCGGACGGGCAAGATGGTAACGATCAGGCGGAGAATGGAGTGGACGATGAGGAATCACAGACACAAAGCTCGTCGAATGATCCTAAAACAGCTTGGGTGATGGCTGTTTACGAGGACGATGCCGGTGAAGAACAGCAATGGCGACGATCAATCACGAGCCAGGGCGTGAGCGAGTACCGAATCAATAACCGAATTGTGACCGCTCAGCAGTATAATGAGGCACTGGAAGCAGAGAACATTCTGATTAAGGCGCGCAACTTCCTCGTCTTCCAGGGTGATGTTGAGGCCATTGCGTCACAGTCTCCGAAGGATCTCACTCGGTTGATCGAGCAGATTTCCGGAAGCTTGGAATACAAGGCGGAATACGAACGGCTCAAAGTGGAAGCAGAGGAGGCGGCCGAGCAGCAGACTATGCAACTTAACCGCCGACGAGCGATCAATTCTGAGATCAAACAATACCAGGAGCAGAAGCGGGAAGCAGAGAATTATGCTCGGAAGGCCGAGGAGAGGGATCAGGCTATAATTACTCATATTTTGTGGAAGCTTTTCCACTTTCAACGTATGATTGATGCGTCAAGCGCGGAAATTCAAAAGTACCAGGATGAACTTAAGGAGTATCGCCGCGGCGTCGAGAAATATGAACGGAACGTTGAAGATGCGAAGAAAGACCATGCGAAGGTAGGAAGGGATGTGATGAAGGCTGAGAAGGAAATCAACAGAAAAGAAAAAGATGTTGAGGAGCTGAACAATTCCCTGGTCCCTGTTGATGAGAAGGTGGAGATCACTCTGAAGAAGGTAGAGAGATATGCTTCACGGATAGCTGAAATCGGCAAGGAGCGAGAGTCCCAATTGGCCAATGCTAAGCGTCTGGGGAAGGATTTAAAGGTCGTGGAAAAGGCCCAGGCTCAGTGGGAATCCGAATGGCAAAAGAGCATGAGCAAAAAGGGGGTCGCGCTAAATGAAGCCGATCAACAGGAATACAACAAGCTGAAGGAAGAAGTCAGTCGGCGTTCTTCTGCTGAGCAGCTCCGGCTTGACAATCTGCAGCGTCAGAGAAAGACGGAGGCAGAGGCTGTCAATAGCCTTAAGGGCAAGTTCGAAGGTTTTGAGTGGCAGCTGCAAACTCTCGAGTCCGAATCGCAGACGCTGGCCGAGCGCAAGTCCACAGCTGACGCTACCATCCAATCCGCCTCCAAGGATATCGATCGCAAGAAGAAAGAGCTAAATGCTCTTACGTCCGAACGTCTTCGTATTTCGCAAATGAGGACAGAGCTTGAGGAAAAGCTCCAAGTGGTATTGAAGAAGCTGCTTGAAGCCGATGATGGCAAGAAGCAGAGCGAAAAGGAAATCAGGGCCAAGGAATTAATCTCAGCCTTGAAGCGCATCTTCCCTGGTGTCAAGGGTCGTGTCAGCGACCTCTGCCGGCCGAAGCAGAAAAAGTATGCTGAAGCAGTTAGCACCGTTCTTGGACGGCATTTTGATGCCATTGTCGTCGATAACGAGAAGACTGCCAAGGAATGCATTCAGCACCTCCGTGACCAACGGGCAGGACAGGCCACTTTCATCCCCCTCGAGACTATCCAAGTTAAAGCTTTCAACTCGAACCTGAAGGGTATGCACCGGGGCATGCGCCCGGCAATTGAAACAGTGGACTACGATGATTCAGTTGCAAGGGCGATCAGTTACGCTTGCGGAAACGCCGTTGTGTGCGATGACCTAGCCACGGCCAAATACCTCTGCTATGAGCGACATGTTGATGCGAAGGCAGTCACCCTAGACGGTACTGTGATTCACAAAGGTGGTCTCATGACCGGTGGACGTGGTCCTCAACAGAATTCAAAGCGCTGGGAGGACTCGGAGGTGGAAAACCTTTATAAATTGAAGGATAAGCTAATGTCTGACCTTGCCAATTTGCCGAAGGGTCATCGCCGAGGCACCGAAGAGGAGTCACTCCAAGGTGACCTAGTCGGTCTTGAACAACGCCTTGCTTACACCAGAGATGAGGTAAAGGCGCTCGAGAGGAACCTCGAAAGCAAGCGCAGTGAGCTCAAGTTTGTCAAGAAACAACTTGATGAGTACAGACCGAAATACGCCGAAAAGCAGCGAGTATTGGAAGAGCTTGACCAGGCCATCGATGCGTCGCAGGAGTCGGTCAGCGGTGTCGAGGATGAGATCTATGGCAACTTCTGCCGCCGCCTGGGATACGATAATATCCGTGAATATGAGAGGCAGCAGGGGTCTCTACAAGAAGAGGCCGCACAGAAGAAGCTCGAATTCATGACACAGAAGAGCAGGATCGGAAACCAGCTTAGTTTCGAAAAGCAGCGTCTACAGGCCACCGAAGAGAGGATTAACAGTCTTAAAGCCCAGCACGAGCGGGACATTAACTTAGTCGAGCAACTGAAGGCCGAGCAGGAAAAGATCCGGAATGAGCTGGATGAGTCGAATGCTCAGCTCGACATCCTCCGTGAACGTCTCGAGAAGCAGAAAAGCCGTTATGAGCAAACGGCCGAGAATCTTGCAAACCAACGCAGGGAACTCCAGAAACGCAGTAAGAATGTTGAAGCGTCGTTGAAGAACATAAGTGCCTTGGAAGCGGAAGTGCAGCGCAATTCGTCCAGCCGATATAGCCTTCTCCGTCGCTGCAAGCTCGAAGATCTTGACATCCCTCTTACGGAGAACTCGAATTCTCTGGACAGTCTTCCTATTGATGATCTTATTCAGGGATCTGATCCAGATGCGATGGATGTCGATGAGGACGGCGGCGATAGCGGCGACAATGCAATTGCACAGGACTACGGGATTGAAGTTGACTTTGACTCTTTGGGAGAGACCCTTAAGGAAGTAAGTCAAGCTATCATTGCGGTTTCTTTAACATAGATGCTTATCCCTTTACCCCTTTCGAAACAGGAGGCGGACGATAAACTCGAAGAGGAATTGCAGGAGAAGATCAGGACTTTGAATAGTGAGCTCGACAAGATGGTCCCTAATACAAGGGCTATGGACCGTCTTGAGAGCGTGGAAAACAAGCTTCGCGGCACCGAAAAGGACTTCGACGAAGCACGGAAACATGCTCGGAAGGCGAAGGAAGACTTTGAGGCCGTCATGCGCAAGCGCTCCGACCTATTCAACAAGGCCTTCTCTCATATTTCCGAGCAAATCGGTCCCATCTACCGAGAGCTGACGCGAAGTGCCAACTATCCGCTGGGTGGACAAGCGTGAGTTCTCTCCCTCTGACCGAGTAGCCATTTTTATTCTGACAATCTATAAAGCTACTTGGACATCGAGGATTCCGACGAGCCGTATCTCGACGGAATCAAATATCACGCCATGCCTCCCCTGAAACGTTTCCGGGACATGGAACACCTGTCTGGTGGCGAGAAGACCATGGCTGCTCTTGCACTCCTGTTCGCCATCCACTCATACCAGCCATCACCGTTCTTCGTGCTGGACGAAGTCGATGCGGCTCTCGATAACACCAACGTGTCGAGAATCGCAAATTACATTCGTGACCATGCTGCTCCTGGTATGCAGTTTATCGTGATCAGTTTGAAGACGGGCCTTTTCCAGAACAGTGAGGCCTTAGTCGGAATCTTCAGGGACCAGGTTGAGAATAGCAGCAAGAGCTTGACGCTGGATGTAAGTTGCCTTTTTTTGTGTGTATGTGTGTGTATGGTTTATGACATTGACTAACTATCTGCAGCTCCGGAAATACAATTAGTGGTTTCGTCTATGATATTATGCTATGCCTAGACTTAGTTAATACTACTCTGGTGCTTTATTTGTTTCTTTCATCAAGCCTCTATGCTGATTTTTAGCCCATTGGCGATGTAAGAGCATAATGAATAGGGTTGCTCCTCCAGAATACATTCGAATTCGGCAAGTTATAATACTCCACATTCATTCTGCAGAGGAGTAGCAAGGCTTTTTGATTGCGACTGCTCATTGTACAATATTGGGACTTGACTTCTTGCAGTGCCATTGAGCAGACATTACCCTGGGAGCAACTTCATCACTTGTAGTACGGACGGCCTGCGTTTCCGTTCCGTTTGGATGGGCGTGTAATTCACCTGCTGCTCGGACGATGGCATATTCTGCACTGATGCTGCTTGTTCCACGGGCTGTGCGCTTGGTATTCCAGAGGATGGAGTTTGCTGCATATGTGCATAGGGAACATGCGGTCATTGTCCCCGAATCAGGATCAGCTCAAGAAGACCCTGATGAGAAGTCGAAACGAGCACTGGATGGAGCTTTTTGAAAAGCCCGCGGCAGGTCGACGATGAAATTGCGGCGTCACTAATGAGCTCAATTCGGCGCAATACATCTTGTTAAGTCATTTCTTTGCAAACATCGACATCTACATGATGGCCGTTCGGAAATGAAGAGACTGAGAAACCTTCCCCTTCCCACGTCCAGCAATGGGAGAATAAGATGAGAATGCCCACGCACACCCTTTCACTTCAACAAAGCTTTTTGCCCAGGGCTGCTACTTGCAGATACCATCTTCAACGATCTTACCCTTCTTGTCGCACACCTCGCAATCCGGATACCTACTGCACTCACTATTTTTATTGCCAGGACGTGCAGGGCGCTCATGTCTCGGCTGCAGCTCAAGCGGAGACACTCCTCCTTCCGCCGCCGCCGCCGACGACGAGGAATTTGCGAATAATACAGGCGGGCAGATGTCCGGTCCAGGATAAAGGAGAGCCGAACCCTGGACATTACGACCATCCACATCCTTGAAGACGTTGGCAAGATGCTCGTTTTGTTCCGGGGTGTAGAACGCAGCGTCCTCGGACAGCGCCTGCTGGATTTGCTGCGGGCTCAGCTGCGCATACTGTATGACGACGCCATTACTGTCGTCGCCGAGGTGGTAGAAGCCGTCTGGGCTTTTGGTTTTCTTGAACGGTGCGCGGATTTCCCCGTAGGTTGGCTCTCGGGCTTCTTCGGTCTATGATGTTCAAAAGAATATACTTAGAGATGTACTGTTTGTAGCATATAGGGATACCCAGGATCCTCGCCGGAGCAGATGTAGCCATGGCCGCAGCAGCAACAAGCACTGGAGAAAAGGGCAATCTGCTTACATGCGGCAAATGGAAAGAGAACGAGTTCCTGTTCATAAGTACATCTGTCCTTCGATCTTCTCTCAATGTCTCCACAGGGGAAGTAAGACCTCAAATAATAACGATAATAATAGTAATACCCCGCGATCCTTCGGCCTTTGCGCCGAGGGTCCTCCAATCCCTCTGAATGACGAATGTGACGTATCTACAGCCCACCGGGAGTTTGAACTGGTGGGGAGAATAGTGCTGTGCTGCGTACATGAGACTCTGGGTTCAGATTGCCAATTGGGGAATATCCATATCCAAAGATACCACTACATCTCGGACCGCGGTCCGGGGACCAGGGACAATAATGCATGTGGAACCCTGGATGGTATTAAATTCTCCACTGAGAAGGGGATTCGCGCGTATCCGATTCTCCACCTGGCCTGAAAGTGCGAGTAGGATCATGATCCGTGCGAAGTCAATCGGAGTGGGTTCTCCGAGGTGTCATTTCAGACGGATGCAACTGTACGTGCGCCGGAGCAATTGGACCACTAAGATGGCCAGTGCTGGCTTTGTCGGGAAGGGTGGGCAAGATTCTGGAGGGTTTACGGGTTGACTCCAGAGAGGATGCAGTGGGCAGGGATGAGTGCGACAGGTACATACGTGGTGCTCTGATTCCGTAGAGAAGGTAGATCGAAAATAGCCGGCTAATATGTACACATGAAAAGCCGTCAAGGAAAGCCATCATCCACCAGACACCAAGTTCCCAATCCCCTTACCAGCCCTCAGTCCAGAGAAGATACACCCGCCCAAGAAGCCTCCCTCGAGAGCGCGGTATCCATGGACGCCGCCACCACCGAAGCCAGCGACCTCCCCGGCAGAGAAGAGATTGGGGAAAGGGGATCCGTCAGCGCGAATGGCGTTGCCGTTCAAGTCGGCTTCCAGTCCGCCCAGAGTCTTCCTCGTGAGCAGATGGAGCTTGACCGCGACCAGGGGTCCGTCCTTCGGGTCCAGGATCTTACCTGGTTTCGCGATGCGGCCGGACAGCTTATCTGGCCAGTAGCTCCTGGCGTTGTGGATGAGCATGATCTGGCCGTCTTTGCAGAATTCATTTTCAGTCTGGTCATCGCGGAGGTGGACTTGTCGTCTCACTTCGTTGAAGTCTAATTTGGGACCGCATGGCTCTTCCTCCGCGAGACGGTTCATGCCTTCCACGAGCTCTTCCAGGCTATCCCTGATCACCCAGTCCTTGCCGTGCTTCATGAAATTCTGCACGGGACCCGTGCCTTCCGATGTGAAGATTCGCTGGAGGAGAAGCGCGATGCTCTTGTGCGTCAGGTCGGGGTTCTGCTCGGAACCCGACAGTGTGAACTCGCGGGAGATGATTGCCCGGTTGACGATAAACCACGAGTAGTCATATCCAGTTGAGCAGATGTGCTTCAGTGCGGCCAGAGTGTCCGCGCATGGGTACAGAAAGGGCGGCAACCTGGTGCCAGTGGCATCCAGCCATAGGGGGGACGGACCGGGGATAATTCGGATCCCATGCATCGGCCACAGGGGATTCCAATTACGCATACCTTCAGTGTAATGCCACATACGGTGAGTGTTGATAACGTTTGCTCCAGATGCTTTGGCGATGCCGATCATCCGGCCGTCGACGTGAGCCGGCACTCCCACGACAAACGATTCGGGGACTCGGGGACCCAGACGGTCGGCCGGCCAGTGCTTCCTGATAGCTTCAATGTTGCCCCCGATGCCGCCAGATGCAATTAGAACCGCTTTTCCGCGGATATCGAAACCGCCCGTCGTCTTGCGGGATGTAGCAATGCCCCGGTCGGCATCTGTGGGCTCCAGAGTCTGGCCCTTGACCCCCAGCGCAGCACCGGTCTTGTCGTCAACAATTATCTCGTCCACACGGTGACGGAACTTGAACTCCACCAGTCCGTCCCTGGCGGCAGCCCTGACCGGTTCTGCAAATATGCGCACGACTTCAGGGCCACTGCCCCAGGCAAGGTGCATTCGAGGGACAGAATTGCCATGTCCATTGACATCGCCGCAGCCTCTTTCGAGCCATTCCACACCGGCGAATTTCAGCCCGCGCTGCTTCACGAAGTCTTCCATTTCATCAGTAGCGAAATTGACAAATGCCTCCGCCCACCGGCGCGGCCAGTAATCCTCCTTTTCGCCTCGGTCAAAGCCTGCAGAGTTCATCCAGTCCTGCATGGCAAGATCGCGGCTATCCTTGATACCCATACGGCGTTGTTCTGTTGAATCCACGCAGAAAAGACCACCCAGGGACCAGTAGGCCTGTCCGCCCAGGCTTTTCTCATTTTCCTGATCAACGATCACTACCTTGATCTTGCGCTTGATTAGCTCCGAGGCAGCAACAAGACCGGCGAGTCCACCGCCCACGATGATAACAGGGCCCCCGCAGGAAGGCATGGTATTTGAGTCACCTATGGGGATGCTAATAGATATTAGATGTGGTATGTCCAGTTAATCAATCACCTCACGAGATGGAATTTAGTTTTCCCTTTTTTTTACTGAGGGGATGTATATTGTTTCTGTAGAGGGAACATGCCATGTCGGGCTCTTTATCTCGAACTCGCCAGCAATGTGGTCATGTCATTGACCATTTACGTAGGCATGACGAGAGAGCTTGTCATGATGACTTCAAGGTTGCCCTTTCCCCCTCGGGTTAGGGCCAGGGCCAGGGCCAGGGCTAGGGCTAGGACAGGCAACTCTGCACACGTGACATATGGCATATATGTTGGTGGAGGAGGTTCAGCTCCTTTCCTCTTTCGGTTTAGGGCGGCTTAGTCAGATAGAGTAGATAGCCAGTAGCGAGACGCCCAACGCGTACTCGCCGTTGGGAACAAGGAGCATATTCCCCTATCTAGGACCTCGCCAACAATATATGTGTCAGAGGTCACGTGAAGTCTGCCATAGTAGACCGCCCTCGCTTGGCCTGACACACTGAAATAGCTAGACCAACCTGGATAGAGACAATACAAGCAAGTTGATCCAACAATATGGCGGTGCAGGGATTTGTCATCCTTGCACCGCCACATGGCAATCCCCCGCCTCCCATTATTTGTACCTTTTTTTTATTTCGCCAAGCCGCCTCCAGATAAATTATTTCCGAGATTGGTCGCAATAATCATCCGTGCGCCGTACCGCATACGCGGCTTGTGTTCGGGTCCGCAAGGGAATGCACAGTCCAGACCGATGGACCTTTGTGTCATATCTAAATTAAATTGGATAGTCGGGTGCAGCGGACCGCAGCATGGAGCCGTATAAGGGACCAGATTAGGACTTATGATTCCAAATACTTGATCCACATGGATGATGCAACGGACTTCTTCGAACGCGGCGATCGAATCGGGATTTTGGCAGTGGTTTAGTATTCGTCGGGGACTATCCGCAGGAAGGCCAGTATCATATCTAGATATTATCTCTCGCTAAATTGTGGGGTCCATTGCATACCGCTAAAGTCGGAAAAAAAAAGAAATTGGCCTGTTGGAAGGGGCGGCCAGTCAAATACTGTCAAATCCGGACAAGAAAGTACCAGAAAGCCTGGGAAAATTGGCCATGACGGTTTGGGAAAAGCAAGTCGGTATGTGCGCCCTATGCGCCTGTGTTTCATCTGGCAAGCCACGAATTCGACCATAACGGTTATCTAGACGACGACCCGGTTATTCTTCGGCAGGGGGCGGTGGAAATAGCATCGTCTATTGGGTCCTTAAGCGACCGTGGCGAATTGTCACGGACGAGACGTGCATATCTGCAGAGAAAAATGAGGCAATTGCAAAGAAGTTCAATAGTCCTGGCAAAGCATTGATAGTCGGCACAACGCTGTACCTATGAAGAACCAAGGGCCAATCAGCCCATGAGAAGCTAAGCACGCGTGGCTTGACCATGGGGGCGCTATGCAGATCTCAGTTATGGAACAAGAGTGCCATTCCCCAACCATGACAAAAGCTGCTTGAAGAGAATGAAGCATCGGTGAGGCAGGGTCCGATCTAATGTCCTCTTGCAGTGGCGACGCATCAGCCTCGTGGCCCCGTCGACCCTTTGTTTTCACCGCCACATTGGTGCATATGCAGGCCGGCGGGGAGCTGGGATTGAAACAAATGCAGAAACCCGTGCGCAGATGCATTGCGATTTGCCTGTAGCATGGACTCCTTGCAGCAGATGTCGATGAGAGATGAGATCGCGGCAACATCATTGGGAGATCTGTCAGTGTATAAGGTTGGGTTCCGGTTCCGAGAGCATGGTGCACAGACAATCATCCCAACATAACTACTGGCCAAGATTTGATGATTTGATGTTGGTCTGATCGAGGGCGATAGTATTGCCCTTTCTGTCCTATTTCGCCCCTTCAATTGTTAATACAAGCCCGCATAAGTCAGAACTGACTCATCTCGGGGAACGTCAGGGACTGTTGTTGACCATCCTTAATAATAGTGGCACCTCGTATAATTAGACATAAACTAATTTTGACCCTGGTGCGGCTGATGCAGCTGCAGAGCTCTAGGAAAGGCAATGGAGATAGCCTCAATCGTGCGCCGCACCATTCTCGATTTGGAATTTGGTGTTCTCGAATTTGCATTCATCTGGCCCGGAAGCTGCTCCCCGGCCCTTCTGTCTTAATGAGAATCCCCTTGTCGCGTGGGTCTGCTCGGGAGGAAATGCAAATCGAAGTATGTCCCCGTTCGGTAGTCATCGTCGATAGTGCTCCATATCGTTAAAGTAAAGGTCAATCAATAATAATGAGTAAGTATAGTGAAAACAAGACAGATGACAGGTATATAATTGACGTACAGCGCAGCCCTCATTTCCAACTTTTTTCTATCCAATATCAGGATTCCAAAATGTATTACAACCCGACACCAAGTCCCATCAGCCCAGCAAGTTATATGGATCCCGTACCTGAAACAGGCGTGACAAGTATAGAACAACGGTACCCAATGTCATCGCACAATGGGGTAGTGATCCGCTCAACGGAAACTGTAAGCAATGAGGCAGACTCCCCCCCCCAACAATTATGAGGAGCTAACACGGTGGGTTCTTTAACAGACACTTCCACCCATACAGACAGGGGAACTCGCTTCTCCATACCTCCACTCTATGCTGCTGTACATTGACCATAATGGGAAGCTGGGAAGGGAGGCATCTCCTTCAATGGCAAGCTATGTGGAAGATGTCTTCACGCCAGAGGTCACAGCCACGTTCTTGAAGATGGCATCAATTGCGAGCCAGCGCGAGTTCCGGCGTGCCTCGGAGTCCTTCGCAAATCCAGGTGGAAGCTTCGTCCAACAAATGAAGGGCAGCATCAGTGATCCAAAGCAGTTCACCCGGTCCCAATCCCACCCCTTGTTGAGCTCCCAGGCTTGTCCACCGGGTTGCTATCAGCATGGTCTATCAAGACAACCTGCACTCATCCCTTGTGAATGGCAGTCGCAACCGAGAAAGCGCAGGAGACGAAACAACGCGGGATATATGAATAACAAATTGGGGTATGCCGTGGATGGAACAAGCACTCTCAAGCATACAATTCAACGGACAGCGCTTAAAGTGGGCAATCGGCCTCTTCTGCGGAAATACTATGAGAAGGGGTTTGAGGCTTTCCAGCAAACCAACTGCAAGGTGATAGCGAAGGCTTTTGTGAAGGTTGTCGAACCCCGGAAGCAAGTCAATCATCCATACAACGGGAGAATTGGACCCTTCCAGCGTGTGGATCCTGAGTTCACCAAGCCTGACTGGTGGCCCACGGGTGTCATCCACAAAGAGCCGGATCACCTTCTCAAACCTGGTAAGAAGACTCCAATTTTCATGTACTACCCACTATCACCCTCACTGGACTTTTTTTTTCGCTGACTGTCTCGCGGAATAGACAGAGTTCAGCTCCTGACCCACATCCTCTCCGAACTGAGAGAAAGCCAAGGAGTCACAGTGGACAAACTCCGAGCGGCAATCCAAAGTCTGAGGCCAGATGTCTCACCGCCAGAGAGGCTCAAAGTCCTGGACGAAATGTTCCACGTTCGGGAAATGGAAGAGCGTTATCTGAATGGAGAAATCGGTATGACGCAAGCCGGTCCAGCTGCATACTGTATGCAATAATTGACGCTGACTCTCCCTGTTTGGAACAGATGGAGACACTGTCATCCATGTATCCCAGGTCTACCTAGTAGAGGCAGACCTTGAAGCGCTTGGGTATGTCCCGGAAGTCGCTGAAGTCGCTGAAGCCTCTGAGATCTCCTCGGCTGTCAGCAGCAAAACGAATTCACCCAGCGTTACTAGAGAGGAACACACAAGCCCAGCTGCTAGCAATCCATCGCCTGCCACGAGCCCGTTGGACGCTGACGATGGCAACTACTGGCTCAGACTGAAACGACTAAATGGAGGCTTTGGTTTTCAGATGCCACCGAGCCCATCACCATGTCAAGACGAGGTTTCGTCCTACACAGCCGCAACAGTTTCGCCCATGACACAGGCGAGTGTGCTGTACATGGATGCCACAGAATATGAGGAGACTCACACCACAGAGTCTCCATACACTGGAGTATCAGAAAGTTTCGGTTCACAGCTTTCTGTTCCCACCACGATGCCATTGACAAGGTCTTGGCCTACTTCATGCAATTTATGCCATTCGAACTTTCCGTGCCCATATCATTATGACTTTCAACAGTAACGCGACCGTCGGACCGCACTTGATGGTTCATCTCATCAGGTCCTAATGCTGTACGTCAGCCTGTCGGACGGATACGTCCAAACGTAAACCGATACAGTACTCGCAGGATTCCCTTGCCAGTCCAACATTGCTCGAGTCTCCTTGATCAGAGCATGGAGCCTGGGACGGTAGAGGAGATAAAAAGGTTCCTGCAGCCACCATGGCCATATCACGTGATATCACTACGAAGAAGCATGACAAATTCCTACGAAAGCTCAACGTTGACGTCTTTATCTTACTTCTACTTTGTCTTTTTCTGACCTTTTACTCTCTTCCTTTCTTGAATGTCTTTATTTGTTATCGGCCGTTTAGTCTATTTCCGGTATAATTTGATTGCGTCAACTATTTTTCCAAAGCGTGCATTCTCCAAAATGTGCTTCCCAAAAAAAGTGCAAACATGAAAATTATCTTAACTAGATGTATCTAGATGTAATCTTCCAAGAAAGCTATTCGCATAGACAGATCTGACAATGGTGGGGCTCTGCGCCGCAGTTGGTACCCCAAAGTCAGATCCCGATGTCCCATCCTTCGATGCAGCGAGCAAGCACAAAAAGGGGATAATCAGAATCCATCTCCCAATACCAAGTCCCATTCATCTCTCGGGTCCCAGATAGAATTTGCCTTTCAGCAGTACTCGTAAGCGATTGTCCGACTACCGCGACTTTGCCGAAACCGCGGAACAGCCGTGCCACCTCAACTATGTGCTGGATTCCCAGTTTCGTGTCGCCATTCGTTGCCGAAATCAATACCTGAGAGCATTGCTAGGACACTAGACCCGGATAGAGGGCAGTAATGGCAAGCCAGCGAGTGTCAGACTGACGGTCTGTTCATGTTGTATGAAGTTTGTAAAGTGAGGTTCATAATTACCCAATTAGGCAATCCCCTTTACTCCGCGCGCTGGATGCCTTGGTGCCTGGCCACTGAGGCTGCCCGGCCAACCACGAGCGGCAACATGAGCACTCGCCCAGCTCTGCGCGCGTCGCTGGCCTCGGACTTCATGTGCTCTGCGATCTTCCCCCCTCCTCTTCCTCCCACCTCTTTCTTCTGCACGTTTTATCGCTTGCGACTGTGCCTGTGCGGTTTCTCATTGGGTTGTGTCCCTTGGACGGTGAAGGGGCTCGAGTGTCTTGCCTATAGGAATTGGCGGTGTTGAGCTGTCGATAGGTGTGTGAGTGGTAATTTTCTGTATGAGTGGCCTCATCAGATGTTCCCTTATCAGCTTCCTTTGTTTTTATTGTTTCGAGGATTTCTTTCTATCCCTCTCTTTCACGGACCGCCATTGTTCAAGCCTGTTTGTTCTGTGTGGATCGTTATCCGTCATCTATATCTATAGTCTTCCCTCCAAGCCGCGGAGACTTTGTGATGCGATTTTGTCCGGAAACTAGAGATTGCAACCCACATGAAGGAAAGAACAGTCATGCTGACAGTTGGGCTCTTCTTTAGTCGCCCATACAACCCTCATACCCGCAAGGGTCCCACACTCTTATCCTTTCAACGACAACAGTGCCTTGTAGCAGACACCAGTCTCTACAGCAGCAGCAAGTTGATCCCGAAAATGGACAGTGATGACCTAGTCCCAGAAGCTGCGGCAGTTGATGCAGATGCTAGACTCGACATGGACGAGTCTGCGTCTCGCGCAGATGATGCGGATAGCGTCGGATCAGTGCCTCCGTCTCCAAAATTGTCGCGCAACCATTCCTTCTCAAACAGCAGTTCCTTCCAGGAGGATTGGGAGACGTTCCCGCCGCTCGATAAACTCAGCGTGTTTGACTTGCTGGGCGACTTCGACTTGTCGCAAAGACTCGAGAAATGGCACCAAACTATAGCCGCGCAAAAGGAGAGAGTCATGAAGCAGCGCGAGAAGCTAAAATCCACTTCTGCAAGCGCCAAGGATCGTGTCTTGGATGAGTGGAAGCGCCGCGCCCCTACCGCTGAAGAGCAACTGGAGAAGTATCGTCGACGGATGAAGCATGGCGTTGAACGGCTGGGCAAGCAATGGCATAATACGGCTACCGTTACTGCCCGCGAGAAGGCGTCGTTTATCGCTGGCGTGCTGAATGTTTTCATAAGTGGTTACCTGATTGGCGGTTTCCCACAATACTTCTATATCTGGTTCAGCGTACAGCTGCTCTACTTCATGCCGATCCGATACTACCGGTACCACAAGAAGGGCTATCACTATTTCCTTGCGGATCTCTGCTATTTCGTTAACTTGCTCGCTATGCTTAGCATATGGGTCTTCCCCAGCTCTAAGAGGCTCTTCATCAGCACGTTCTGCCTTGCCTTTGGCAACAATGCGGTTGCGATCGCAATGTGGCGGAACTCGATGGTTTTTCACAGCATGGACAAGGTAGTTAGGTGGGTTTGCTTTTCGTTGCTTTTCCAATACCTCTCCTTTATTGTCCCGTCTAGTCTGACTAATGATACTCGATGCAGTTTATTTATCCATATAATGCCGCCTGCTACATTCCACTGTCTTGTCCACTTGACGCCAGCAGAGAAATTGAAGGAGAGATTCCCGGCCATCTACAACATCAAATTCAGTGATCCCGGATCCCCAGAGCATTACTCACTGGGAGCCATGGTGACCTGGGCGACCATTCCATATGCTATATGGCAGCTGAACTATCATTTGTTCATCACGGTTCGTCGCAGTGATCAGATCGCGGCGGGACGTCCTACTAGCTTCACCTGGCTCCGCAAATCCTACGCAAAGAGCTGGCTCGGCAGACTCGTCCTGGGCCTTCCCGAAACGCTTCAGGAGCCCGCTTTTATGTTGATTCAGTACGCGTACGCGATCTTGACGATGTTACCATGCCCCATCTGGTTTTGGTCCAAAGTGGGTAGCTCCTTGTTCTTATCTGCTGTTTTTGTTTGGAGTATTTATAACGGCGCAACCTACTACATCGATGTTTTCGGCAAACGATTCCAAAAGGAGCTTGAGCAACTGAAGAAGGACGTCGCGCGATGGCAATCGTCTCCTGAGTTTGTGACAAGTCCTCCCTTAGCTCCCTCCTCTGCACCGACTGTGAGTGTCAACGGAACGAATAATTTAGCGGAGTCGGACAAAGCAAGTATTGACCGCATTCCTCCCCTGGATTCCACCGCAGCTACAACTGGTGCGGAGAATAATAACCATGCGAATCCCTCTGAAGTCCGAGAGAGAGACTAAGCTACCTTCGTCTTTCGCGGGTTAATTGATCGTTTGTTGGTTTCTGGTCCTCTTGTTTTGGTTATTAGCATGTTGTTAGCGCTGTATTGTGGATGCACTTGGGCTATTGCCACTAATGATGAATGCTTTCCTTTCCTCAATAATAATGATGAATATAACCCCTCTTGATAATATCTCGAAGTCGAGTCACTCGTAGACCGAGTAGTAGCAACATCGATCGACCACTAGCTTAATAAGGACTGCACGTGATAACACGTGCCGGGCGCCGGCGGCGGAGCTAGGACTCCGCATCTTTTCCTGGTTCTGGACCTTGTCGTCACCCATCAGTGAGATAGATTCCTCAATATCCTTCTCTGTCTTGGCCAAATCCATCTTCCATCCAGAACAGGCTGTCGAGTTCCGTTGCTTCGTCCGCTCGTCTTATCGAGCATTCTTCTTCCTCTTGCCCGCTCCGAAACGCTCACCATGTCTGTCGCCGTGAGATCGGCTAGACTGGCACGCAACACCTCTGCGTTGCGGCCAGGCTTAGTCGGTGAGTTTTCGCCCAAGTCATCTTTGCCATCTTCACCTTCCTTAACTTTCTAGGCGCGCTAATTGCTTCATCGATTTTCCTTTTCTGAATGAAATAGCCCGCACACGCTTTTCCGGAGCATTAGGTCCAGCGTCAGCCGCAGACCTCCGATGGAGTGGCGGAAGAGGCCTTCCATCCCATTTGCAGGCCATCGCGATTCTAATCCCTCACCAACGTCTGTATTCCACCGAGCCGACTACATCTTCTACGTCCTCGGACTCTTTTCCTCCCCCGGGGTTCAACGCGGAACAAGCCAAAAAACCTCTTCCCTTGAAGCCGGCAAACGCGTCGCCGTCTCATCCGAAGCCCGTCTCGGACAGCGCTAGTCAGTCGGCCGTCTCGAAGCCGGAGGCGTCGGCCGCGGCGCAGAATGTAGCCGGCAAGAATGCCAACGTAGGCGACGTTTCGAAGGCGCCCGCGGTGCAGGAAAAGAAGGTTCTGGAGGAGAAGAAAGAGGCCAAGAAATTGACGCTTGGGCAGAAGATCAAGAAAGAGGTTCAGCACTACTGGGATGGAACTAAGCTCTTGGCTACAGAGGTTAGGATCAGTACGAGGTTGGTATTAAAGATGGCTGCGGGGTACGAGCTCAGTCGCAGGGAGTCCCGACAGGTTAGTTTGATCATATTTCTCTGTTGAACCGGGTGAATGATTAAAGACAAAGGCGAAGACAAAGACTAATATACTCGCGGTCTACAGCTTAACCGAACTGTAAAGGACTTGGGCCGTCTGGTCCCATTCTCCATGTTCGTCATTATCCCCTTCGCTGAGTTGCTTCTCCCAGTTGCTTTGAAGTTGTTTCCAAACCTGTTGCCAAGTACCTATGAGGGACAAAAGGCGCGGGAGACAAAGGCCCTGAGTCTCAGCTCAACCCGAAAGGAAGTTTCGAGCTTCCTCAGGAACACACTGAGAGAGACGGGTCTTCCCGTAACAGCAGCTACGGTAAAAAATGAGGAGTTTGCAGAATTCTTCAAGAAGATCAGAAACACCGGTGAAACGCCATCGACCGATGACGTTATCAGGGTCTGCAAGATCTTCAAGGATGACTTAACATTGGACAACTTGTCCAGGCCCCAGCTGGTTGCCATCTGCAAATACATGAATCTGAATTCATTTGGGACGGACGCCATGCTCCGGTACCAGATTCGTCACCGTATGCGCCAAATCAAGCGGGATGATCGTGCTATCTTCTATGAGGGAGTCGACTCGCTGTCCGTCCCTGAGCTGCAAATGGCGTGCGCTTCTCGTGGAATCCGCACGCACGGAGTCTCACCAGCTCGTCTCCGTGAAGATCTCTCGGCGTGGCTCGAGCTTCGTCTTAGAAGGGGCGTTCCCTCGACCCTCCTTGTCCTGAGCAATGCGTATATGTATGCGCAGGGTGGTAAGGACCCTGAAATGTCCACACAGATTGAAGCCCTGCAAGCTGTGCTCTCCAGCATTCCAGAGGAGCTGTTCCATGAGATCGAGCTCGAGGTGCACAACGCCGAGGGCGCCGCTACCAACAAGCAGCGTCTAGAGGTCGTCAAGGAGCAACAAGAGCTCATTGACGAGGAAAACGAGCAGAACAGCAAAAACGAAGAGACAGGATTGGCGGCGCCCAAGGACACAGCGGACATTGATGAAACGGAAGAAGTCAAGGTCCAGCAAGCAGCCTTAGAGAACCACAAGCAGCAATCCGCCGAAGCAAGTGAAGCCCAGAAGGAAGGTGAACAGGCAGCGACCGAACAAAAAGAGGCAGACACTGAGAAGAAGACGAAGGCCCAGGGTTCGGAGTAAGGTGCTTCGGCTACTAATTTGTCATAGTGATATATGGGATGAATAGACATTTCTTTTTTTTTTTTTTTTTTAATATCTTCATCTGTCTAGGAAAAAATGTGTGGACCGCATCATCTCCATCTCACTCGTTTGGTTGAGTGTGGCCATTACCTTTACTGATTCTATGACTTCATTGCCTATACGCATTATTTCGTTTGTTTCTTCCTGGGCCCTCGCGGCTCACGTCAATCAGATCCAACCATGGTATTGTCCCGGTGACTGACCATGAAACAGACATTTTGAATACTTCTTTCCTGCATATTCTATGTCTTTATGTTTTTTTATAGTGGCCGTCTTAGCTCAATCAATTTGGTTGTTTAGGTGAGATGTTCTTTGCATACTGAGCTCGTAGCACCACGCATTTCCCAGAGAGGAATACAGCTGAGAGTATAGGGAGCTACATGCTCTCCCATCGCGAAGTGCAATACGAAGGCGTAAAATCAAACATACTCACCTGTAAAATCCCTCTCGCCCAACTGCGACCACCAGTCCCCATGCCGACTATTCCTCTGCTGCATAACAGCCATATGGAACTCGTCCCCAATCAAATCCTCGAAGAATCGCCAGTTTAACATCCCGCTGGCCTGTGAGGGACTCGGCTTGAACGGACTCTCCGTGCGGTTTGCATCGCTCAACCAGCCGTAGTCGAGGATGCGCCATAGCACGTCCATGTCCTGGGGTTCGATGTCGTCGTCGCTCGAGGAGGGTTCGATCAATGCTCTTGCCACTGGTTCTCCGACGTCGAATTCTCGTAATGCCAGGGCCTAAATCATGTTAGAATTGCGCTGCATTGATCGGGGCCAGGGAACACACCATCCTCCCATAATTCTTCCAGTACTGAGGCGACAACTCGATAAACTCAAGACAAGCGGCCGAGGAATGCAGCGCCTGCGTCTTGAGTGTGATATCAGAGGAATGTTCATACAGCCGATGAACAGAACTCGCAACGACGGCGAAATAGCCCAGGAAACTTCCCCGGGCGCAACAATCCACGTCCCGCACCACAGTCAGGATCTTGGTCAATTCCTCGGCGTGCTCCTGGCACCGCAGGAGGGATTCCCGTGCAAAGCTCCGGGGGAACGTCTTGCGATGCTGCTTCAGGTCATTGTGTAGCAGGAACGGATGATGGAGCAGACACCCGCATAGATGATATAACCCCCGACTCCAGATGTAATGACCCGCTTTCTGTCTGTCGTGCCCGGCTCTGATATTGCTGAATCGGTGGTCTCGCACTGTTTCACCACCCGGCGGGACTCCCCCGCGCGCAACGAGTCCCTCCAGACAGAATAAGATGCTCCGTATCTTGGCGAAGTCACTGCGGAAGTCCCAGGGCGGGAATGCATTGCTCGGGTTCTGCTGCAGACTGCACCGAACCACCCGACCGAGAATGGAGAGCATGAGGATGGTCAGGGCGAAGTCGCCGAGATCCCCATACCGGTCGGTATCGGGGAGGTCGCGCAGGATTGAAATCGTGGGTGTTTTGTCAGTGGGGTGCCCTTCGCTGGACGGGAGCTTAACAGAGCAGTCCCTGTCGAGGATGGACGGGGAGCGCATCCGACTGCATGAAACGAGTCGGTCCAGCATATACACCGACCAGAACACCCGTCGGTATTCCTCCTGCTGCCAGGGGGGTAATGAAGGATCCGGTTCAACGTTCAGTCCTAAACCCTGCGCAAAACGGACCGCGAGACCGATCTTGACCCAGCCCAGGCTGTGTTGACCGGCTAATTGCCATCAGCACGGAGCCAGACAGGAAGTCCATGGGGGAGGGAGACAGCTTGGCGTACCGATAAAGTCAACAATGGCAAGGAGATTCGCCGCCTGCACGGCATACAGATCCAGCCCCTGCTCCGAGGAGAAAACCTGGTGGAGGACGACACTCCACGCCGTGCGGGCGTAGGTCTCCATCGCCTGCTCCTTGCGGTCCTCGAAGAACTCATGCTCGCAGTACCTCGCCGCCGTGGCGACGAATGCGAGAAGCAGGTAGTCTGGGAGGACGCCGGTCTCCAGACGCTGGCGGAATGCGGTCTCGATGAAATAGCAGTACGGCTGGTTGTGGCAGTGGGTGAAGTAGACGTCTGTGAGGGCCTTGAGGACAGGCATGGGGGGAACAACGGAGAACCTGCTGGTCGGTAGGTCAGAGAGGACCCGGAGCTCCTTGGTGAATGCGACAGACCTTGTTTCATGGCCGCGTTCGGCGTCACAATGGGACGCGTCTACACTGCCGCCGGAAGCGACCCTTCAAGACAGCATGCACGGTCAGCAGATCCTATGGCAAATATGGTCCATATGGTCTATATGGTCCACAGGAAGAATGCACGGAGTATACATACGACGACAACGGCCGAGGACAATCAACGCCGAGTCGCGACTCCAAAAAGGCCACTCTCGCGGCCAAGTCTGGCTGTACCGGATCAACAGGAGCAACACACAACTCGCAGGGATCAACCGCATCCATACAGTGGGATTGGGACCGGGACCAGGACCAGGACCAGGACCAGGACCAGGGCCAGCCTGCATCCATGACGCGTTTCTCTCCACCGTCTGCGCTGGCGTCCTTGCGGAGCCGCTTCCACTGGAGTATTGGCACGGCTGGCCCAGACGAAGACAGAATGAGCAGACGGGCTTTTCCCCGGAGCACCGGGTTTTCTTACGCCTGTGGTCCTGGGTTAGCTGAAGTGGTCTTTTCCGGATATCAGGAATACGAAGGAGAAGAGCATACCTGCAATTCTGACATGCCTGCCGCGCTCGCTTCGGTGCGGGCTCGTCCATGATTCGCGTGTTAATCCGCTGCAGTCGAGGGGTCGAGGAGTCGAGGAGTCGAGGAGGAGTCGAGGAAGCTGGATTTGAAGCAAGGAGACTATCCCCGGCACAGCCTCGCAGCACCCAGGCGACACATCCCGGGGGCAAGGATTACGGGGAGATTCCGATTCTGCATCCAAATTGCATTGCCGGATCTTGGCTGGTTCATGCGGGGTTGGCTTTGCGGAGATGATCTACGGCGATGTGAAGGACTCAAGATTAAAGGAATAATATAGGATTACATGGGCCAGCTATGCTGATACGAGCACGGATTTAATCTGCATGCATGCTACAACTTCTGCTGGCGTGCGTGCAGCTTCCCAGCAGCCTTCACCTCCTGGTTCACAGCCAGCTGCGTCAGAATCTCCTCGCTGCCCCCCCCGACAACCATGACTCGCACGTCCCGACTAATCTGTTCAATCCGCGCCCCTCGTCCGTTCTTCGAGTATCCCGCTCCGCCCAGGATCTGCTGGGACTCGCGGTTGACGTGCTCCAGCGTCTGGCCCGCCAGGACCTTCAGGTTGGCAATGAGGCCGCTGACATACGCATCGGCGCCGGTCGTCTTCGAGGACTCGATCAAGTACACGAGCTGCTCCATCCAGGCATAGGCCGAGTCCAGCTTGCGCCCGAACGAGCTGATCTTGCACCGGATGACGGGGTTGGTGACCAGTGTCTTGCCGAATGTCTCGCGCACGGCGGCATAGTCGTACGCGTCTTCCGCGCAGCACCGTGCCATTCGGAGGCTGGTGCAGGCGAGCCAGAGGCGTTCATGGTTGAAGTCTGGGCGTCATCAGCATCGTTGTGGTGATCCGCAGCTTTGCTTGGGGTTCCTTACTCGACATGACAATCTCAAAGCCGTGATTCTCTCTGCCGAGAAGATTCGCGACGGGAACCTCGACGTCGTCGAATTCGAGATACGTGGATCCTGTGCTGGTTAGACAGCCCACGTCTCATGGGGTGCCGGGGGTACACTCACCACTCGCAAGAACCCCCGAGTTTGCAATCTTCCGTCGGGAAACGCCCTTCGCGTTCAGTGGGATGATCAACGCCGAGACTCCTTTCCCCCCCTCTGCCCCCGTCCTCACTGCCGCCGTGCAGTAATCGGCGAAGATCCCGTTCGTGATCCATTTCTTCGCCCCGTTGACGATATAAACATCTCCGTGGCGTTCGGCGGTTGTGGTGATACCCGCTACATCCGAGCCCGCTGGTTGTCAACAGAGTCAGCCATCTTCCCAGTGACGCGAGAGACGAGAAGAAGAAATGCACCGTCCGGCTCCGTAACCCCCAAGCAAAACCTCGACGTCCCGTCAAGAATACCCGGCAGAAACCTCCGCTTCTGCTCGTCCGTCCCAAAGTTCACCAACGGCGGCGCCCCGATGGAATTCCCGCACGTCAGAGCCCAGATAACACCCAGGTATCCGCAGCGGGCGATTTCATCGATGACAATGAGGTCGTGGAAGCCGTCCCACTCGCGTGCCTTGATGCCTGCCGGTAAGCGGCGGCTTGTGAGGTATTCCACTGCGAGGGGGTAGACCGAGACGGCCATGTAGCCCAGGTCGGCGTGCCTTTTGATGGCCTTGCGCAGGGTGAGCAACAGAAGGGGAAAGACATCGCGAATATGGCATACATACCTCTGGCGGAACACGCCCCTCACGCTCCCATTGTTCGCAGAAGGGGCTGATGTATGTATCGACGTACTCGCGCGTTTCTTTCTGCAGACGACGGTGGCTTTCGCTGTAGTACGGGCTTGCGGAGCGAGAGAGCCACAGGGGATCTGCGAAGGGCGCTGGTATCTTCGACATGATGATTGAATTCCGGCTGTCTGGGGATGAATGCCGACAACAGGCCGCTTCTTTCTGGTAGAATACTTGGAAGGAGAAGCCCGTATACTTTGCAGACTGCCAATGTTATATGCACCAGAGCGCCTCGGAAGCAGCACGACCAGCAGAACAATGGCAACATCCAACCGAATCACTCTACCAACGCTAAGAGACATGCATCTATCCAAACCCCTCTTCATCGGCTTCGCTGTGACCCTGAACACCGAATGCATCTCGAGCTCAACCGGACCGTACAGCGCGGCCCGGGGCCGTTCCCACATTGCCGTCTCCACGGTGCTGAGCTTCTCCGCATTTCCAGAGTCGCCCTCGAACTCAATTATACTGCAGATCATTGCAATTCGCAGTGGTTATTCGCAGTGACTGACGCTGTAGAAGCGGCCGACCGAGTTGCAGCTCAGATCGCGGCCCGGCACTCTCCCCGGTCCCTACCTAGGTACTCTGCCAGACTCATTCTAAACATATCAGGACTCGCTGTGTCTATAATTCAGAATCCGTTCTACTCGTTCACGAACCGTCTGCAGAGCATTGACAGAAAAAAATGGCACGAATCCCTGTCCTGTGCGAAACGAGCTCCGCATGCCCTGACCGGCCATCACTATTTGCCGCCCAAATCCCCGTTGGGAGGGATGGGAACCCGCGCATACGGCGAGTACTCATTGCCAATCGGGGTGAGATTGCCTGTCGGATTATTGCGGCATGTCGCAAGCTCAATGTCACTTCTATCTCGATATACGTTCAAGAGTAAGTAGTATGTGCATGCATTCCTATGCCCCGAGAGTGCGCTAAATGCCCACGAAACAGAGACGAAACATCCCTCCACGTCAAAACCGCCGATGAAGCCATACATCTCGGCTCAATCAACCGGGACGGTGGAAACCCGTTCCTGAACATCGAGCTGATTGTGCAGACAGCTCTCGACGCAGGTGCCGATGCAATCCACCCGGGGTACGGGTATCTCAGCGAGAATGCTAGATTCGCCGACGCAGTCCGGGAGGCAGGTCTTGTTTTCATCGGGCCTACCTCCAAGGCAATGTCGACGTTAGGCGATAAGCGATCTGCGAAGGAGTACCTGCGCCAACATGAGCCAAGCGTTCCTCTCATCCCTGGTTTCGCGGGGAATAACCGGAATATAACAGAACTGGAGCAGGAGGCTGCGCGGATCGGGTACCCGGTCATGCTGAAGGCGTCTGCTGGTGGAGGTGGACGGGGGATGCGGATTGTGCATGAGCCGTCCAAGCTGAGGGCTGAGCTGGCCACGGCCGAGTCCGAGGCGGCGAGGTCGTTCGGCTCTGGGGATTGTATTCTGGAGAAGTACATCGAGGCTGGGAAGCATATTGAGTTCCAGATCATCGGGGATGGCCACGGGAATGTTCTGTCGCTTTGGGATCGAGAGTGCTCGATTCAGCGACGGCATCAGAAGGTCATTGAGGAGTCGCCGTCGCCGTTTCTCACGCCGGCGAAGCGCCGGGAGATGAGCGAGGTGGCCGTCCGTGTGGGCCAATTACTTGCATATCAGAATGCCGGCACTGTCGAGTTTGTCTTTGATGTTGCTGATGGAAGCTTCTACTTCCTCGAAATGAACACCCGGCTGCAGGTCGAGCACCCCATCACCGAAGAAGTCACCGGCATCGATATCGTCTCGCTGCAGATGTTCGTGGCAGCCGGGGGTGATCTGAAGTCTCTCCCACAGCTCCAATCCATCCCTCAACTGGGACATGCCATCGAATGCAGACTGTGTGCCGAAAACCCTCAGAGCAACTTCTTCCCCGAGCACGGCACCGTCCGACTCTGGCAGCCAGCAACCGCAGCTCTTCCGGGGATGAAAGATGTGCGATTCGAGACGGCCATCGAGACCGGGTCGCAGGTGGCCATCCATTTCGACTCGATGATCGCCAAGATCGTCGTCTGGGCTCCCACGCGCTCCATGGCGATCCAGAAAGCTGCCACCGTCCTGTCCCACACGGTCTGCCTGGGCGTGAAGACAAACCAGCGCTTCCTGCAGAACTGTCTCGTGCACCGGGCCTTCAGAGACGTAGCATACACGACTTCATTCATTCCCAAACATCTTCCGGAGCTGCTGTCGGATCCGTACGTCGAGATCCCTGTTAGGCTTCGACAGACGTTGGCTTTGATCCCGAGTGCTTTCCTTCGTACTGCACGAAACCACATTCCCTCGTCGCTTGTCCCGCAAAAGCCCTTCCGGCACGTTCGTCCTGGCTTCCGGAATCAGCGATTCGACCCGGTCAGTGCCCCGTCAAGCATCGTCGCAACAGGATCGGGCGAGGACGAGATGTCGCTCCTCTGCCAGTGGACCGACAGTGACCACGAATCCTCAAAGCTCAAAGTCAAGGTACAGCCATTGCCCACCGGGCCATCTCCAGAGAAAGCAGATTGCACACCTGCCGCAGAGGTAACAGCCAGGTACAACGCGATCAGCACCGCGCTCCGTTCAGAGTCAACGCGAACTGCAGACGCCTTCGACATCGAAATATCCTCCTGCAGAACCGCTCTTGTTACCTCCAAGGCATCCCGGCCATGGGTCACGGCAACCATGAAAGTCCTGATCAACGGCAGAGTATACTGCTGCTACCTAGCCACGGAGAACACCGAACTGAGCAGCTTCACCTCCACCGGACAAGCGAAACAAGTCTTCTGCCACTTCCCCGCCTTCGGGACATGGGTTACCTGCAAACACTATGATCTCCTCTCGTACAGCGAGAGCACGCGGCAGGTCGTGGCGGAGGGGTCTCAGGCTGCTCAGCGGAAGACGGTTAGTGCGCCCATGCCGTGTAAGGTGCTGAGCGTGCTTAAGCAGGATGGGGAGGAGGTTCAGATGGGGGAGACTGTGATTGTTGTTGAGAGTATGAAGATGGAGATGAATATTTCTGCGCCGGTTGATGGCGTGTTTCGGACGCGTGTTAAGAAGGACGATGCGGTTAGTGAAGGGGCTATTCTGTGCCAGATCGAGTAGTTAACATGCGTTTCTTCCTCTTCCCCGCTCTGTTAATCCATCGAGTACATACAGGCTCAAAGGAACTATATCCTCGCCAAAGCCCGCTGCCCATCCCCATCCACCCCCGGCACACAAACAACCTCAAGACACATCCCCAGCACCTCCCTCGTATCCCTAGGATCAATGACCCCATCATCCAGCACCGCCGCGCTTGTCCGGTAGCACTCGCTGTCCCTCTGCACCTCCTCCCGAAACCTCTGCACACTGGCCGTAACCTCATCCTCCCATAACGTGACCCCCCGAGCCCTAGCGCTCGTCTCCCGAATCGACCCCATAACACCCGCAAGCTGATCGGGCCCCATGACGCTGCATCGTCCCGTGGGCCAGGAGAAGAGGAAACGCGGCCGATACGCCCGTCCACACATGGCGTAGTTGCCGGCGCCGTAGGATGCGCCGATGATTATGGAGATGTGTGGGACTCTGGAGCAGCTCACGGCGGACACCATCTGGGCGCCTTTTTTGATGATTGCAGCGTGTTCGGCTTTGGAGCCGACCATGAAGCCGGTGACGTTGTGGAGGAAGATTATGGGTAGGTTTCTAATGGTTGTCAGTGGTGCAAACTGGGATCGTAGGGGAGGCAGCACGCACTGCTGGTTGCACATTCGTACGAACTGGGCGCCTTTCGAGGCTTCATCAGGGTTGATTACGGGGACTTGGTTTGCGACGATGCCGACGGTGCGTCCTAACGTAAGTAAGCCTCTCTGACTCGTCGGGCGTTTAGAGACAGGGTCCTACCCATGATCTGCGCCCAGACAGTAAGAAGATTCGGACCGTAGTTCGGCTTGAAAAGCGACATCCGCGAATCATCAACGATACGCAGCAACGCCTCTTTCATGTCCAGCGGCTTTCGAATATCCGGATCCACGAGCGCCAGCAGGTCCTCCGCCGAATACCGCGGTGGTAGCGGCAGACCGAATTCCTGCAGTGGTGGGCGTGGATACGGCAGAGACGCAACCCACTCACGCGCTTTGCGGAGGGCATCAAACCTACAGAGGTTAGAGCATATGCAAAGACGAAGAAACAGAACGCTCGACTAACTCATCGGTAGCAAGCTGATCCGCCAAGCCGGTGACACTAGCATGCGTGCGCGCACCACCCAGCTCTTCAGCCCCGATCACCTCCCCCGTCGCCATCTTGACCAGCGGCGGTCCGCCGAGGAAGACCTGCGCCTGTCCCTCGACAAAAATCGTGTAGTCCGATAGAGCTGGGTGATAGGCGCCTCCTGCAGTGGATGACCCGAAGACAATGGCGCATGAATGCTGTCCCTCGCTTGTGCGGACGGCGAGATCGCGGAAGATCTGGCCGCCTGCGTGGAAGACACGGAACTGCTGGGGGAGAAATACGCCTGCCTTTGGTGGGCCATTAATAGGACTGACACTGACTGAACAATATGTAGATGCGGGACGCACCGACTGCACCAAGGCCACGATGGGCAGGTGGTTTTCTGTTGCTATTGCCGTGACGCGGTTCTGCTTGAGGACTTTGGAAATGAGCTCCAGCCGATGAATTCGCCAGAGAAACAGATATCCATACCCGTGATTTCATTCCAGGCTCCTCCGCTTTGCGTGGGAATGTGTGATAATACAAGGCATATCCGACCACTGCTGTTTCTCAGCTTGATGCCTTCATTGCTCGGTAGAAGTCAAGATGCCCTACCAGATGCTCCCAATCCCAGCCACGATACTGGCCGATGGAGACGACTCAGGTAGATTGAGCCCCGCGAGTCCGCATAATTCGAGAAACGGCGAGTCTGAATCTAACAGGAGCGCAACTCTGTCTCGTGCTGTTTCCATGAGCTCGGTCCAACGAGGCAGCTAGCTGGTTCGGAGCAGGGAAACACATACCCAGCACTTGTCCGCGAGATATATGCTTCGACAGCGATTTCTGATTTCCTTCAACGGCGCTGGTCTTGAGTGCATCCTGGAATTTCTCAAGCATAGGCCTCCACGCTTCGAGATTCGCCTGGCATTGGGGCAAGCGAGTATTGACTGCCGAGTTCACGACGGGGAATGCGTTTAAGGCCATGACGCTCCTTTTCTTTACTAGCAGCAACTCCAGAAAATCACTACCTGCGAAGGACCGTTAGTTATCAGACTTGTATCGAGTTCACTGTTTCTCGGCGATTCTAGCCCTCTTCCGTTCGTTGTGACTCCTCGTTATCCATGATCGTACCCGGGCCGAAACACGGCTCGGTGCCCGGTCCACAGCTACACCCGTACATTGGGATGGCTTGATGGAGTTCAGTCCGCCGAATCCTAGCAAGAGGATTCCCAAGGTATCCATTCGGCTGGGACCGAGCTACCCCCGCGCACAGAGGTCCCGTTCCGTGGTGGGTACGGAGGGCCATTCGGTTGTCTTGTTGATGTGGTTAGGGCTACAGATCGAGTACATGAAGATGGCCTGCAACCACAACAGTAGTTTCGCTGGCTTGCTGCTGTCTTTGTCATTTTGTAAGTGTCTGTCCAACGGCCACTGTCCAGACTCCAGGACAAACCAGCATGGCTACTACTGCAGAATTACTCCCAGAGCTGTCCATGGTCTCCGGACCACAACCGTCACCACTATGGCTCAAAACCATCGGCTCCCTAATCGAAGAACAGGCACAGCAGTACCGCGACAATGTAGCCGTGTCATTCCCCTGGCAAGGCGTCCGCCTGACGTACCATGAACTTGCGCAACGGAGTCGCATCGTCGCAAGGTCTCTATCGCGGCTGGGTCTGCACAAGGGCGGTTGTGTAGGCATCATGGCCGGGAACTGCTATCAGTATATTGAGACGTTTCTCGGGAGCGGCCGTGCTGGGTGTCCAGTGGCTGTTCTTAATAACACCTATAGTCCAGAGGAGTTACTTCGTGCCATTAAGATTTGTCGTGAGTTGACGACTCCTGGTTGTGGCTAGTAGGAGCTTCCCTCTGACTCTTCGATAGGCTGCAGGGTCCTCTGCATGTCTGTGTCCATTGGGAAGAAGTCTCTGGAAGAACATATTCGACTGGTTCGGGATAGCGACGCAGAGCTTCAGTATATCGTGTTGTTTTCTGGGTCTTTCGAGTCAAATGGCGCTGTCAGGATTGTATCCTACAACGACTTCACGTCGCGGGGGACGTCTGTGGCCGGAGATGAAGCCGTCTTGATGCAAAGAGAAGTCTCTATTCAACCCGATGACCTGCTCAATTTACAATTCACCTCAGGTTTGTCCGGCCATACTATATGGTTACCGTGTTTCCCTGCTCACGGTTGAATAGGAACCACCGGAGACCCCAAAGCCGCAATGCTAACACACATGTAAGTCCAAAAAACACCCGGAAGAATAGTACCTCTGCTAACTGCCAGTTTTTTTAAAAAAAAAACAGCAACCTGATCAATAACGGCCGCTTCGTTGCCGACAGAATGCAGCTCACACCCCACGACATCGTCTGCTGCCCCCCACCACTCTTCCACTGCTTCGGCCTGGTAATGGGCTTCCTGGGCGCCTTCACGCACGGCAGCTCCATCGTCTTCCCCTCGGACCAATTCGACGCCGACCGCGTCCTAGACGCCATTGCGGCAGAGAAATGCACCGCGCTCCTAGGTGTCCCGACAATGTTCGTAGCAGAGCTAGAAGCAAAGCAGAACAAGCCCTACAAGATCAACACGGTGCGCACGGGTCTTGCGGCGGGCTCGCCCGTGCCGCATGTCGTGGTGGAGCATCTCGAAGCCGAAATGGGGATCACGGGCATGCTGATCGCGTACGGCATGACGGAGACGAGCCCGGTTACGTTTATGACGGCGCTGGAGGACTCGCATGAGCGTCGGCTTAAGTCCATTGGGACCGTGATGCCGCATACGCGCGCTAAGATCATTGACCCGCACGGCCATGTTGTTCCACGGGGGGTACGAGGGGAGATTTGCACGAGTGGATATGCGCTGCAAAAGGGGTACTGGCAGAACGAGGAGAAGACCCGAGAGGTGATGAAGGTTGACGAAAACGGGATTGTATGGATGCATACTGGCGACGAGGGAATGATTGACAGCGAGGGCTACTGTTCCGTGACGGGACGGATCAAGGATATTATCATCAGGGGTGGGTTTATTTCCGTGAATTCCCAACTCCTCCCACCTGCGACGTGAAGGGATCTAACAGCTGCAGGGGGTGAGAACATCTTCCCCGCCGAGATCGAGGAGCGTCTGCTCGAGCACCCATCCATCAATGAGGCCAGCGTCGTGGGCATGCCGGACGACAAGTACGGAGAAGTTGTCGGCTGTTTCCTGCACCAGTCGCCGTCGTGTCCTGGTCGGCCCTCGTCGGCTGAGGTACAGAACTGGGTTAAGCAGGCGATGGGCAGCCACAAGGTGCCCAAGTACGTCTGGTGGATTGGAGACCCTGGTGTTGGGAAGACGTTTCCCAAGACGGGGAGTGGGAAGTATCAGAAGCATATTCTGAAGGAGATCGGGCATCGTTTGCTGAAGAACCAGAGGGCTCCGGCGAAACTGTAGTTAGAGTGAGCTTCCAATTAGGCTGCTGCAGAGTACGCTGCCTTCGGTAGAAAATTCAGCAACAGAACTTGAACTGCATGGCTACACGAATCCATCCGGATCCTGGATCCCAACGAAATATTTCCTAAACAGGCAACCCGCACGCCTTCACCAACACGGGCCGTGCCGGGCCGACTACCGACGACTCGCCGCATGGGGTAATTAGAGAAGACCGGGTCCCCGCATGGCAATGCACGTCTGCTGCCCCGGTTTCAGCTAGTTCAAGATTCGGGCCTCTTATCCCTGGAAGCAGTCGGTTGGCCGTCTCCGGCTGCAGCGGAGCGCGCAGGCAGAGCATGGATAATTGCCGGTCACGAATTCAATGCCTCGACGCTCCTCTGTCCATCTGAGACCCAACATCTATAGACACACTCACCAGAAGAATAAAAGATGACTCCAAATACAAACATGGACAAAGTCCGAATCGTTGAAGTCGGCCCCCGCGACGGCCTCCAAAACGTCAAAACAAGCATCCCAACGCCCACAAAGATCGAGCTGATCAAACGCCTCCAACAAACCGGCCTGCAGTCAGTCGAGATCACATCCGTCGTCTCGCCACGGGCTATACCACAGCTCTCCGACTGCACGACCGTACTGTCGAACGCCCATATCCAGCGCGTCCTGCAAAATGGCCAGATCCGTGCGCCGGTTTTGATCCCCAATTTGAAGGGCCTGGAGATTGCGCTGCAACACGGCGTCAGGGAGGTTGCTGTTTTCGTTAGTGCGAGTGAAGGGTTCAGCAGGGCCAATATCAATTGTTCGGTGCAGGAGGGGTTGGATAGAGCCAAGGCCGTTGCGGAGAGGGCGAGGGAGAATAATTTGGCTGTGAGGGGGTACGCTCCTTTCCAGAACGTGTATGCTACGCTCAAGGCTAATATGATCCAGCTATGTTTCTTGTATATTCGCCTGCCCCTATGATGGCCCTACGCCGCTTCCGGCCGTTCTCGACTGTGCCCGGCAATTGCTGGACATGGGCTGCTACGAGATTAGTCTCGGCGACACATTAGGCGTGGGAGTGCCATCTCAAACGGAGAAATTGATCCGGTTCCTTGTTGATGCCGGTATTCCCGTCGAGAAACTGGCGGGTCACTTTCACGATACGTACGGCCAGGCCGTCGCCAATATCTGGGCGGCATATAGATGCGGCCTGCGTGTTTTCGACAGCAGCGTTGGCGGCCTGGGTGGTTGTCCTTACGCACCAGGGGCCAAGGGTAACGTTGCCACAGAAGATGTCGTATACATGTTCGAACAAGCAGGGGTCACGACTGGAGTAGACCTTGCAAGTCTCGTTGGAATCGGAACCTGGATCTCAGAGCAGCTAAGGAAGCCCAACGAGAGTCGTGCCGGGAATGCCATTTCTGCGAAGTCGTTGAGAAAGAAGCAACTGCCTGCATTGGCGTCTACTCCAGGACAGAACCGGCCATCCCAACGGCTGCAATGGACTCCTCAATCCGCACCGGAGGGACTCCAGATCGTCAAAAGCGGCCCAAACGTCAAGATCATCCTAGATCGACCCCGGAACGGCAACGCTCTGACCACGACAATGATATGTGGAATCACCGACTACGTGGAAAAGACAGCGCAAGACCCGTCTACCACTCGTCTCGTCATCGCGTCTACGGGCAAGTTCTTCTGCACGGGAATGGACCTTGGCAAGGGCAGCTCGCCCGTCGCTCAGGGACAAGCAACAGTCGACGCGCAGTTCAAGCGACTCACGCGACTCTTCGACGCCATCAGCAACGCACCCCAGGTAACGATTGCCTGCGTGCAAGGCCCCGCGTTCGGCGGGGGGGTCGGGTTGGCATTTGCATGCGACATCCGCATCATGAGCCAAAAGGCCAGCGTGACCCTAAGCGAAGTCAAACTCGGACTGTGTCCTGCGACCATTTCCAAACAGGTCATCCGTGAATTGGGCGTTCCCTTCGCCCGCGAGGCCATGTTGTCTGCGCGTCCTGTGTTCCCCGCAGAGATGGCTCGAATAGGTGCTGTCGCAAAGGTCGTGGATGAATCGTCAGATATATCCGCTGCTCTCGATGACTATCTAACTGCACTGAAACAATGCGCACCGAGTGCCTCGGGCATGGTGAAGGAAATCGTGAAACTCGGCTGGCAGGAGGGTTCGGGCGGCCCTAGGCAGGAAGAGGGCATCCGGAGGCTCTTCGTTGAGATGATGGCGTCGGATAACCCCGAAGCTGCGTTTGGGCTGGAGCAGTTTCAGAAGGGGAATAAGCGAGTGGACTGGGATGCGTATACTCTGGCCAAGAGACGAGTCCATGCCAAGTTGTAATTATCAATGAGCATAATTATCAGGGAAGCCGAGCTGGTTATTAGGGCTGGCGTTTCTCGTGACAGGCCGTTCCGTTCCCCGCAGATAACACGCAACAATTATGGTTTGCATAGAGATAAGGCGACATTAATAGATAGAATTAATAGATATCGAGTAAAAGGCCGCTGATAGATTGCAGATCGTGATAAAGCCGTCTGTACCGCTTATCTGCTGATAAGTGGCATTATCGTGGTGACAGGAGAGAGGGGATGGCCGAGCGCTGCTCAGCGCTGAGAATCGGCGAGCCCCATCTGCAGCGACGGCATACAAATACAAAGATTGAAGGGGATTCCGGCTCTGGTAGAAGCTTCTGGCCTCGTTTGCATCTCCCACGGGTCACCGAGACACGTACACACGCAATGGGTTCCATAACGGCTACCACGACAATCACGACGCCAGCCTCCGTCCCAGATCTGAAAAATGTCACACTGCTGGAACAGTCGCCGTACCTCGTTGGCTTAATGACTATTCTCCGGAACGCAGAGACAGACAGCTCCGAATTCGGGTCCTGCGTGGATAGAGTTGCTCGTCTGGTCGTCGCTTCGGGTAAGTCGCCGCACGGCGTACTTCGAATGCAAAATCCCAGTAGCAGTTCCCCGAAGATAGCTAAGGAAAGCAACCATTCAAGCATTGAGCCATGTCCCCACCGTTGAAACCCAAATCAAGACCCCCACAGGAGTGACATACACCGGACGAAAGCCGGCAAAGAAGGTCTGCGGAGTGAGCGTCCTCAGAGCGGGGGCGAGCATGGAGTCGGCCCTTCGGGAATGCTGGGCGTAAGCACCCCTTGACTGACGACTTTCAATCGGCGTTGCCTGACAGTAGACAGGGGGCCCCTCAGCTTCGGGAAATTACTGGTTCAACGTGATGAGAGGACATACCAGTCCCGATTTTTATATTCCAAACTACCGCCCAGGATATCAGAGGACGGTAAGAGGCACCCCTCTTCAATCAAACCCTCCATCGCGCCCGCGAATAAGACAAACTTACGCTTATGTGATACAGTGGTTCTCCTCCTAGAACCAATGCTCGCAACTGGCGGCTCAATCACCAAAGTCGTCGAAATCCTCATCGAAAAGGGCGTAGCACCGGAAAACATCGTCTTGGCCAACGTCGTCGCATCCAAACAGGGACTCGACACGGTCGTGAAGAAGTTTCCTGATTTAAAGATTGTTACCGCGGCGTTGGATCCGGATTTGACTCCTTCGAAGTAGGTTTCTCCCTTGCTATTCGTGCAATTGTTAAAGTGTTGTCGGTGTTTCTTTCTAATGCGAGACAGGTTTATCTCGCCTGGTCTTGGGGATTTTGGGGACCGGTATTATGGGACGGTGGAGTAGGTTGTCATCAAGCGCGTTTTGATTTCAGTTTTCACAATTCATGGACCATATGCATAGTAGATGTAGTCAATCAATAACATATGGGAGATGTAGTTGATCTAGCTGCACCCGAGGATGTCTTCAGCGGTGTAAACACGTGACGAGAATCTGATAAGAACCGGAAGCCCTCCCGAAGTCGTCCTTGCGAAGCCGGAACAAACTGAACATTCCCATTATTCTATCAGACAACGTTTTCTGGCTTCAATGCCTTGTTCTATCAACTATGGGTGACACTGGACATGGAAGCCCCCAATTGCCCGATCAGGACACCCCCGTCCAGCCTGCCGGCAAACGTCGTCGCATCAGTGTCAGTAGTGTACCCCTCCATCCCTCCTCTCCTCATGCTCACGACCGTCAACCATGAAGTATATAGCAGCAGAACCAAACGAGGCTGCGACGCCAAAGCCAGAGGAATCCGCATCGCGAACGCCCAAAGATACCAGCGCGAACGCATCCACGCCGACATTGAAACCCAAAGCCCCTCCCACGCCATCCTCGGCCGTGACGCACCTGTACATCAACGACGAATTCATCCTGTCCAAGTCTAAAATCTGGACCAATGTCCTCGATCCTGTAATAGGATACTGTCTCTCCTGTTATAAGCACTCTTATGTGTCCGCGCGGGCCTGGCTGATGGTCGAGGATGTAGGCTTCGCAACGTCTCCTTTCCCGTGTCCCCGATAGCACGCTCCAGGAAGTCCAGGGGGCGGTTTCTGCGGCGGAAAAGGCGCAGGTGGGATGGGCGGCTCTTCCGTACATGATTCGTCGGGACTACCTTCTCAATCTGATCACTATCCTGAAGGAGATGTCGCCTACAATTGTATGGGATTCCTTGCTCGAGACATCTTGCTTCTGGCGTATCTGCTGACTGGATCCCGGCGATGGGACAGGTAACGTGTCTATCGACAGAGGCGGGAAAGACTCTCGCTGATGCGGAAGCAGAGATCATTCGCGGGTTAGATTCCATCCAGTCCGCCTGTTCCGTCGGGCAGGAGATGGCTGGGATGTACAACATGTCTGAGACGACGCAAACATACACTCTTTCGGAGCCATTAGTAAGGCTACTTGTGACAGGTATCCGTTTCCGGAGACTAACCCGTCTAGGGTGTTTGCGTATCTATAACCCCGTTTAACTTCCCTTTGATGATCCCGCTATGGTCTATTCCTTATGCCCTGATAACCGGGAATACGGTGGTTTTGAAACCGTCGGAAAGAGCACCTACCGCGTCAATGTTGTTGGCAGATGCATTTCGCCAGATCGAATTACCCCCGGGCGTCTTCAACGTGGTGCACGGCGGTCCGAGTGCTGTGGATAAACTTCTCGCTCAGCCGAGTGTACAGGCGGTCTCCTTTGTCGGATCGGATGCAGCGGCGGAACGGGTCTATGAACACGCACGAGCGACAAGGAAACGCGTCCAAGCCGAATGCGGAGGGAAGAACCACGGAATTATCCTCGAGGATGCCAACATGACTTCTACATTATATGCAATCGCAGGAAGTGCCTTTGGCGCTGCCGGCCAGCGCTGTATGGCCATGAGCGTCGCAGTCTTTGTGGGCGAGACCAAGCATTGGATCCAACAGCTTATCGGCCTTGCAAGTTCCCTAGTCGTGGGCTGCGGAACAGACAAGGATGTCAACGTCGGGCCGTTAATTAGCGCCGTTTCCAAACGGAATGTCTTGGGCATTATCGAGCGAGCCGTGGAAGAGGGGGCAACGATCTTACTAGACGGCAGGGATGTACATGTCCCCGGTTATCCGAACGGGAATTTCGTAGGGCCGACTATCCTAACGGATGTCAAGCCTTACATGGAGTGTTACCAAACGGAGATCTTTGGACCGGTGCTGATCTGCATGGAGGTTGATACCATGGAGGAGGCTATCGAGCTGATCAATGAGAATAGATGTATGACCTTCACGATTCCTGAGTCAACAAAGTTCCCTGGTTTGACGAAGAACTAACCTGATTTCGCAGACGGCAATGGGTGTTCCATTTTCACATCCTCTCCACAGAACGTCGCTGCTTTCCAGAGCAGGGTTAATGTCGGTCAGATCGGGGTCAATATCCCCATAGTTGCACCATCGGGCATGTTTGTCCGAACGAGCAACAAGGATTCCTTCCTTGGAGGTTAGATCATATTCCCCTATAGTGTTTCCCCCTGTTAGATGCTCACGAAGCCAACCTGACTATCCTTGTAGACATGAATGTTCCGGGAAAAACCTTCTGGCCGTTCTTTACCCGAATCAAGACAGTGACCGCGCGGTGGTGATCCCAGAAGAATAAACTTTCTGATGGACAGTGTACAAATAAGAAAGTACAATAAACGAGGAAGTACGATTTAAAACAGCCAGGTAGACGTCCATAAACCCTATTTATATTGATAACACTCTAATTATTCTCATAATTTCTTAAGACGTCCCAAATAACCGATCACCGATATCGCCTACCCCCGGTGAGATGAAGCTCTGGCTATCTAGTTCGGGGTCGACGGATCCCACAAAGAACGTGGTATGATCGGGCCATTCCTTCGCGACTCTGGTGATACCGGCCGTGCTGGAGAGAAGCGAGATGAAATTGACCGTCTCGACGCCCCAGTCTCTGTTGGGAGTCAGAGCCGTTCGCAGCAAATAATAAAACGGAAGAAAATGGAGGAAAAGGAAAATAAGGACACCAACTTCATAATATTCACCACGGCATCTGCCGTCCCACCAGTCGCAATAAGCGGATCTAGCACGAATGCCCGCTTGATCGCGTCCGGCTTCGCGGGCAGCTTATTGTAGTACTCAACCGGCTGCAAGGTCGCCTTGTCGCGGAAGATCCCGATGTGATAGGTTGAAGCAGACGCGGCGGACTCAGCGGGGATCTCGGACATGAAGGACTCGAACATGGAGAGACCCGAGCGCAGGACGACGATGACGGCTATTACCTCGCCTTGCTGGGCTTTGATGTCGATACTTGAGACGATGAGAGAGGTGAGGGTCTTGACGAGGGATCTGACTTCGGGGGAGGAGAGGGTGCGATCTCTGAGTTTGTTGAGGAGGGAGGAGTAGGTGTCGTTTTGGAGGGTGACGACGTTTGGGGGGAGTGTGATGGACATTGGGTGTATGCGTGTGAGGATGAGAGTGAGGTAATGAGACGATGAGACGATGAGGCGATGAGGTATATCCTTAGTGGCGACTGTCAGCATCTGGCAGTGTGTTCATTTATATCATGGGTGTGTTGCAGCGACTACATTGAACGAGTATCTGATATGATATTGATATCTGGAGGAGTCTCTGTTATCTCTCGCTATCTGGCTGATAAGGAGATAAGATAGGGTTTCCGTGATACTATCAAGGGAGGGATACCATCTAAGAATAACAACACGATAGCTGTTGTTACATCATGTCATCCATCGCAGGCATTCAATTGACAGTTAACAGTTCACGCGCAACACGAAAAGAAGGAAAGGAAAACAGAAAAACAGTCAATTGACACACACACACACACACACACACACACACACACACACACACACACACGATGGCCCCCGAAATCGAATACATCCTCTCCCTCCAAGCCGTCCGCGAAAGGGCACACGCCGTCCTCTCCATCGCCAAAACAGGCGGCCTGAAGCATTTTGACTTTGACGAAGACAAGCTGAACGATGCGGCGGACTATGTGATTGACATCATCAAGGTATACGCATGCCGTTGAAAACATGCGTGCAAAAGAAATGTGGTCTAACAAACAATTATGCTCTAAGCGCGACTTCGGCCCAAGCAACTACCACCACATCCCGCCCCATGGCCGCTGGCAACACTTCGAAGTCGGCAATGTCCCGCGCATCGACCGCTTACTCGCCCACTGGGATAAACAAGGGTACAGCGCAACCGAGAAGGCGCGGAGTCTAGTCGACCTGTTCTTCGTGTCAGTCCTTCTTGATGCGGGGGCGGGGGATGTGTGGAAGTTCCATGAAAGCAGCTCGGATGCGTTTTATTCGAGGAGTGAGGGGATTGCGGTTGCTTCGTATCATATGTTTTTGGGGGCGATTTTGCTGGCTCTAGCTCCCCGAGGAAGGATATTGTGGATGGTGGGTGTTTTTTTTTTTTTTTTTTTTTTTTTTTTTTTTTTTTTTTTTTTTTTTTTTTTTCATTATTCAATTATACGGATGGCTCATGACACATGAACAGGACGGGGCCTCCAAGCACTCGATACTGCGACATTGAACCATGGTTTCCGGGTTAGCGAGTCGAATCCCATGATCGGAGTCGAGTCTCGCTGTCAGCTTCTGGTTAAACTGGGCGATTCATTGGTGAAGTTACCTGAGATATTCGGCGCTGATGGCCGTCCTGGGAATCTCGTCGGTAAGTACGGGGTATTTAGCTTAAATATAGCCAATCCTACAGGAATAAACGCTAATCTCCATGACACAGATTACCTCCTCTCAAAAGCAAGCGGCTCAAAATCCCTGGATTACTCTCTCCTCTGGAGTGTCCTCCAAAATGCCCTCCTCCCAATATGGCCATCAGATCGTACCCAAATCAACGGCATCCCTGTCGGCGATGCCTGGCCTTTACAGGTCCTAGCAGACCACGCCAAGAAGAATGGAGATACGTTCCCCACGGCATCGATCCAGCCCTTCCACAAACTCACCCAGTGGCTCGCCTATTCGCTAATGGTCCCGTTTGAACGCATACTAGGCGTAACCTGGCAGAACGCGCACTTGGGTACCGGACTCCCAGAGTACCGTAACGGAGGGCTTTTCGTTGACACGGGAGTCCTGAAACTTAAGCCGGAGCTGGACATCCCGGCTCCCGGGGAAACCTTGCCGAAATTCGGCTCTACGGACGATGTGATTGTTGAGTGGAGAGCGATGACTGTTGCGCTTTTGGATGAGTTGCATAAGGTTATTCTGGAGAGGATGGGGATCCAGTTGAGTCTGGCGCAGGTGCTGGAGTCTGGGTCGTGGAAGGCCGGGCGGGAGCTGGCTGCTGAGAGACGGCCGAAGACACGATCTAGTCCGATTCTGCTTGCTGGAGATGGGACGTTGTTCTAGTTGCATAGAAGTATGATAGCTTAATAGATGGTTGTGCTGTTCCAGCATGTTTAATAAGAATATTTAGTTAACTAATAAGCATATTTAGTAAGCATACATAACAACATCAGCCTGTCATGCATTAAAAATGCCCTTAGAGCATGAGCCTAGTCCACCGCCCAGTGGTTGCATTCCATATTGGGTGTTGTGCTGGCAGAAGTATTATTTTAGTAGGCGGTGCATGGGAGGCATCCTGTATCTCCGAGATAAGGGCGGTGCTGATAAGCTATCCTTATCTACGCATCATAGATAGAACATCGTCGATAGAAGCATATCATCTTCAATCTAATCGACAACGTCTGCTGCAGCACTCTGTATCACCAGGTCTCTGCATGCCCTGCATGTCCTGCATCTCCTTCATATCTCATATCTTTATGATCGATAGACATTGCCTCTGCGCAGATCCCTCACCGCTGCTGTTATAAACCCGACTCGTCCATTTGTTCATCGATCACCCTGTCCTCCTCTATCTCCTATACTTTCTCCATCTTTGAATGAGAATAGAAGAACAATAATCAAAATGACAGTCCTCGAAAATACACCAGACGAAAAGCCCACGGCCTCCAGCGCACCGTGGTGTAGCCCCGTTACAGAACGGTACAACACCCGCATCGTGGTGCGTCTCCATATCCATCCTATCCCGAATATAACCAACCACGCTGACTCGTCTAGTTAACAACATACCCCGGCCAAAGCGCCGTAAATCCCGTCCCTCTAAAATGGGGCGAAAAAGACCCGCAAGAACGCGGCCCTATCCTTGTCTCCCGCAATGGTAAAACCCTCAACAGACGCAACGCCATCGGCGCCCACGGCGGTAGCTACGCCTTCTACAGCGCCCTTGCCATCGCCGCCGGCGACCTCCCCGTGAACTTCAAGCCGGATTTTACAAATACACAGCCGACATTCGACTTTCCGCCCCAGGAGGCATGGGGGGATCCTACCAAGATCGTCTCGATGGACCCCTTCGGCCACGATGTCGTGAAGCACTACAAGAAACATCTCGAGGATGGGCTGGATGCTCGTCCGACTATCGCCATTACCCGCGCAACGATGAGAGTCTCCGAAGTGTCCGACGCGGTCAAGATCGGCCGCGTCCCCGTTGATGGGGAGATCGTTCTAAATCCCTCCGGAGATGTCCGCGTCACCAAAGTAGCCGTCGAACCAGTCTGGTATTTACCGGGGGTTGCTGCGCGATTCGGCGTGGACGAGGGACTCCTCCGACGTGCATTGTTCGAACATACCGGTGGCAGTTATCCGGAGCTCGTTACTAGACCGGATATCAAGGTCTTCTTGCCCCCCATCGGCGGGTTGACGGTTTACATCTTCGGACCGCCGGGGAGGGTATCGGATCCGAATTTCCGACTGGCACTGCGCATCCACGACGAGTGTAACGGGTCGGATGTGTTCCAGTCTGATATCTGTACGTGCCGGCCTTATCTGACCTTTGGGATTGAGGAGGCAATCAAGGAGGCGCAGAACGGCGGTTCCGGAGTGGTAATCTATTTCCGAAAGGAAGGACGGGCTCTAGGTGAGGTCGTCAAGTATCTCGTCTATAATGCCAGGAAACGGGGTGGGGACACGGCCGATAAGTACTTCCAGAGGACAGAGAATATTGCCGGCGTTAAGGATGTAAGTATTTTGCTTTTTACTTCGGTTTGCCCCAGCGCTGGCCAGCTAACTATCATAGATGCGCTTCCAAGCCCTCATGCCTGACATCCTTCACTGGCTCGGCATCAAGAAGATCGACCGCATGCTCTCCATGTCGAATATGAAGCACGACGCCGTCGTGGAACAGGGTATTCCTATCTTGGAACGGATTCCTATTCCTGAAGGTTGGTTGTCCATTCAGAAATCGCCCTACTCGTGGAGAAACAAAACTAACCCGAATAGAAATGATCCCGGCCGACTCGCGCGTCGAAATTGACGCCAAGATTCACTCGGGCTACTTCACGACGGGTCGGAAGTTCACAGAGGAAGACCTGAAGCAGGTCAAGGGTCGGGGATGGGAGTGTTGGGAGGATGTTACGGTAAGCCTGGCTATAAGACAAGAATAACCGCTTAGTGACTTCAGCTGACTTATTTCTAGCACTGAACTTGATGCATATACCGAGATACAAGCATAGCACTTAATTGAGTTGTTTTTTTGGTTGGAAAGCAACCACCGTGTACTGTGTGAACCCGTAGAAAGAAGGAAAAATCACATCTCAATCAACGCAGAACCCGTACTCAAATAACCCTCCACAATAGCGTCCTCTAACCTCATCTTCTTGAAACCCCCCAAATCCACCGGCCTCAACTTGCCCTCCTCGAACCACCTCCCCAAGACCCGCATATCCCCCGCTATTTCCTCCAGCGAATACGCGGCCGTATTGCACCCAACAAGCTGTATCTCCTTCCGATACGCCTGGAAAATATCGAATGAGACTTCCTTGCTGATATTCGGGTCCCTGGGCGCCGCGATCCACGCGTATCTCCCGCGGAAAGCGAGCGAGGGTATCGCGGCGGCCATTAGGGAAGTGTTCCCTATGGTATCGATTATGACATCTGCTCCCTTTCCGTCGGTGAGAGCCGAGATTTTAGACGGGAGGGTTAAGTAGTTTGGTGTATCGCCCGTGGGGAGTTCGATGTCTATATTATCGCCACCACCGCGTGCAGCCCTTAAGACAGAACACCCCATAGCCCTAGCAATCTGCACAGTTGCCGACCCAACACCCCCCCTAGCACCAAGAACAAGCACTGTGTCCTCCTTTTTAACCTGTGAGCGTTTAAGACAGGTTAACCCCGTGGTGAACGGGACCCCGATAGTGGCTGCTTCGGCAAGTGACAATGAAGAAGGTTTCTCAACCAGCGCCGTCAGCGGAACAAGACAGAACTGCGCATGCACGCCGTCGAGTGTAAATCCGAGCGCTGAGCCGGACGTACCGTAGACTTCTTTGCCGAGCCAAGTTTCTTTCTCTCTCTCCTCACTGTTGTTCTTGTCGTTCCCGCTATCCCTGTCGTTGCCTTCCGAGGGAAGAGAAACATCAACGACCACCCCGGCATAATCCCTCCCAGGTATCTTCGGAAACGTCGTTTTAGAAAAATGCCCCTTTGCATTCATCCTATCTGAGGGCTGGATAGTGGAGTATTTGATCTTGACGAGGGCGTGGCCTGGTTTGAGCCTGGGAACGGGGAGGGTGGATAGGGTTAGTTCTGGGGGGGAGGAGGGTGAATCCCTAGTCAGAAGGAGGGCTTGTTGGGACATGTTGTTATAGTTGTTGTTGTATTGCTTCTGTCGATTATCGTGTAATTAATTTACAGTTGCAGCTAGAAGAGGATTATAGGGCCTTTATATAGATGAATTTGAATCTGTATAGGGTTAAAGTATCGACCGCTGTCGGGCCTCGCGGACCGCCGAAGCCGCGCCGATTGCCCTAATTCTTCTTCAGGAGCTGTTCTTCTCCCACAGCTGCTCTTCTCTGTATCTACTCTGCAAATGGTGCATAAACAAGAAGCGAGTCTCATTGACACCCTTAGATCTACTCTCCTACCCATTCTAGACATTGAAAGAAAGCAAGATGTCCGAACAAAACCAACCAACCCAAAACAAACACAATGACCCCGAATCCCTCACACAACAAGCACAAACAATCCCCCAAGAAATCTTCTTCATAACCCTCGTCTGCTCCGCCCAGCTAATGACCCAAGCTGGTCTCGCTCTCTCCATAACACCCCTACACATAATCGGCGACTCCTTCCACATCACCAGCACCAACAACGCAGGAACTCTCACGTGGTCCCCAGCAGCCTACAGCTTAACAGTAGGCACATTCATCCTCATCTCCGGCCGCCTAGGCGATCTCTATGGCCACAAACTCCTCTTCCTAATCGGCTGGATCTGGTTCGGTCTCTGGTCGCTTTTAGCCGGGTTCTCAGCATGGTCACCGGGGATAATCTTCTTCGATTTCTGCCGTGCTATGCAAGGTATCGGGCCGGCGTTGTTGAACCCTAATGCGCTTGCTATTCTTGCGAGGACGTATCCGCCTGGTCCGAGGAAGAACATGGTGTTCAGTTTGTTCGGGGCTACGGCTCCCGGGGGTTTCACGGTGGGCTCTGTTTTTTCGGCTCTGCTTGCGGAACGGGTCTGGTGGCCGTGGGCTTATTGGGTTATGGGGATTGCGTGTTTCCTTCTTGCTGCGTTGGGGGCTGTTGTTGTTCCTCAATACTCCGAGGATGGGGACCCAGGTGAGGAGGTGACATCTTCATTTGCTAGGATTGATGTGCTTGGCGCTGTTACTGGGATCGCGGCTCTGGTTCTCATCAACTTCGCGTGGAATCAAGGTCCTGTTGTCGGATGGACAGTTCCATATACGTATATCTTGTTGATCGTGGGCTTCCTGTCCCTGGGTCTGTTCATGTTCGTCGAGCGCAGGGCTGCCTGTCCGTTGATTCCGCCGTCGGTGTTCAAGGGCGACGTCGGCTGGGTCCTTGGATGCATCGCTGCAGGGTGGTCGAGCTTCGGTATCCTAGTTTACTACTTCTTTCAGGTCATGGAAGTTCTGAAGGGAAACAGCCCGCTGCTAGTGACGGCCAAATGGGCCGGGGTGTCTGTCTCGGGAGCCGTTGCTGCGATAATAAATGGGTTTCTGCTGGGACTCATCCCGCCGAGTATCATTATTTTCATTGCCATGCTGGCCTTCACGGCGGGACAGTTATTGCTCGCGACACTGCCCCTTCACCAGATCTTCTGGGCCCAGGCATTCGTCCTCACGATTGTCACGCCATGGGGAATGTAAGCTATTTCACACATACTCTCACTATACAATATCTGACAGCAATAGGGACATGTCATTCCCGGCCGGGACGGTCATTCTCAGTAATTCCATGCCCCGGCAACACCAGGGCCTTGCCGCCTCACTTGTGAATACGGTCGTAAATTATTCCATATCCATCGGCCTCGGAATTGCGGGCACGGTTGAATCAAACGTCAACAACGGAGGCATAGACACTTTGAAAGGATATAGAGGAGCCTGTTATACAGGGGTTGGCCTTGCCGGCTTGGGTGTTTTTCTCGCAGCGTGTTTCATGTTTGTCACCTGGGATCGATCCAGAAAGAACAATGACAGGTAGTCATGCAGTGGGAGAAAAGAGAACACTCGCAGATCCAGTACCAAAGATAAATCATCAAATCATAAAGTCCATGTCAAGCAAGGAATCAAAATTCGCAGTCAATGTGGCCTGCAAGAAAGGATCAAAAAGGGCGTCATTTTGCACTGGTTGGTATTCTGCCCCGTTAGGAGTGGATACCTCAGAGATACTTTCTAGTATTGAGACGCTTTTTCGTTTCTTATCCAATGAAGCTCGTATAAGCTGACGCACCACGTTCAGAGCTTCCGTGGCGAAAGGTGTGTTCAATATTTCCACGATAATTTCTAGTGTTTCCATCGATTCCGGTACCTTCGCAATGCTAGCCGTCGTATCCACGGCGAGAAGAACGCAAACGAACTGGAAGACGGACCCGATAACATTCCACCAAGGTTGGTGCTGTCTAACCAATCTCAGGGCTGCAGGGAGAGCAGAGTTGCCTGCATCGATTACCTGGTCCAGCTGGTCTTGCGGCAAGCTGGGAACGAGCAGTCGAAGCCGACGGTAGATACTGAAAGCAATGTCTGTTCGGACCAATATCGCGAAGTCGTGACTTACATGTGTCGCAGTCACATTCTTCAACGCAAGCACTAAGTCCTGCGGACCTGAAATCGAATCACTGGTCGCATTTTCAGGTGGAATGCATTTGATTAGCCGATACAATTCAGGGGTAAAATCTTCCGCTTCAGTTGGGAAGTCCACGAGCTCATCGGGCCAAGAAGAAATGTCCATGATAGACCTTCCATATTCGTAAGCTATCATGACATGCAGACAATACACTACTTGAGCTGTCCGTCGTTCAGATTTTGAAATTGCTTGTTTCGAACTTTGGAGAGGTTTGCCGTTCGACAAAACAGTCGCTTCCAACTGCTGCAATCCAGTAGCTTCAATAGAATGCATTGTAACACAACTACAGAGCCACGCCACGTGCGGTCGACCGGTTGCACGAACATAGATAGTGCGTAGTATCGATGCGTATATCTGTTCAATTGTAGGATAACGCCTGACTTCTAGGATCTCCTTTGCATGCTGGACAACCCTAGCCTCTGTTTCTTCATTAAGAAATCCAGAGAATAGGGATGCCAATGCAATAACACCGCTTATGACAGATTCAAAGTGGAGTCCCTGTGGCTTCCCATTCCAATGTTCCTCGGATCGCCTGTAGAGGGAACTGATGTCCAAGAAACCAAAAACTGGGTGAATAGTAGAGGCATAAGCATCAATAAGATTTTTCACCTCACTCCACGAGATATTCTCTACCAACATGTAGCTTGCCACGTAATCCACCTCTTTTCTGATGCCCGTGTGGTACGCAAATGAATGTAAACGCGGCGGATGCGCGGCCTCCAGCTCCAACCCCACGACCAAGGGAAACGCGACACACGAGTGCCTCCTCATATACCTCAGTTTAGCCGGCTCAAAAATGGCTCCTGCGTTAGCTGCGGCTATTCCCTGCCTCGGGCGTATTCGAGACTCGCTGGACGCGTAGCCCGGTTTGGCCGCATGGAAGGACGACGACGCGTCCGAACCGGCACTGCGCTTTGGGACAGTGCGTCGAACATCGTCATTATATTGACAGTCATAGCCATATCCTGTACAAGTACTGCAGGGGAGATTTCCGTCACATTTCTTCTTCCGCCGGTGGCAGGGAAGACATGCGCGTCGAGAGCGTTGCCGTGCTGTGCCGGGTGCTTGGCTCATTGTGGCTGTTTCTCATGCAGCATCTGCATACACGGGGACTCAGTAGAAGAGTGATCCATATATCCAGCCGGTCTGCAGTGATTGTTGTTGGATTGTTGTTGAGACTAGACTGTTACTGGGGATATTAGTGGCCATGTCACTCCTTCCCAGTTTAGCTTAGCATTGCTTAGTCAGTAATGCGGAGATGTGTTGGATCCACTTGCTTGATTGTCTCTATCTATGTTGGTCTAACTATTTTAGTGTGTCAGGCAAGCGAGGGTGGTCAACCGAGGCAAAATCAGTGGCCTCTAACAAGATGTTTCATTCAGGGCTCCTTAGGGTTCAACCCTATCAACATGGTAAGCTCAAGTAAGGTGTACGGAGTAGATTGACGGAGGAAGATAGGAAAGAGAAGAGACTCGATAACCGACCCCGAAGGTTACCGTAGGGGTCGGTTACATGATAAACAAGTGCCCTTATATACCCTCCTACTGTATACCTGAATCTGAACCCAGTAAAGCAGCAGCCACTTGAGATAGCCAATGGTGTCTGGCGTTAATTTCCAATTACGGTTACGGTTTTCTTTTCTTTTTCTCTCTTGTATGCCAAATTCAATTTGAATGCCGAGCTTGTCGACGTGTAGTAAAAGGTACACATAGAATATAGGGACCTTGAAATTGACGGCCGAAAATGACAGCCCCTGGCGCCAGAAACGGCCGTCTTTCCACGCGTAACTTCGGACGGCGAGCTGCCCTGTACCACCCCCTATTCTGCACCCAACAATATGGGGGAGGCCAGGGCACCCGGGAGCAAATCAGATCCCAGTCCATCCTGACCCGGGATCTGAAATTCATATTCTCTTCCCCAATTACCACTCTTTTCTTATTGCCGCATGTGCCATGGGCGCTACAATGAGCGCTGAAGAATTCCTGGCCAATGTTGAAGGCGGCATCGTGCCAGTGACCTGCCATGAGGATGTCTTGCGGATCGCATTGATCTATCTGGACGAGGGGCTGTGGACCGGCAATGGGGTGTTCGATGTTGTGGAGAAGCTACACGCGCATGGCTTGTCCTTTGGTGAGGGTGATTTACGCTTTAATCGGTAAGCTATTCCATACTATGACAATCCCTAATAGCACTGTATCAATAATAACAGTTCCCTGGATATATTCTACCTCGCACAGCTAGCAGCAGCCATCTACCGCTATTCCTCCCAACTGGAGGATGACTTCCCCTCCTTCTCTGATTTCCCTGCCTTCTACACAGCCCACCACGCCCTCCTGCACGCCTCCGCCTGGCGCTCCTACTACTCTACCCCCTTCCTCACCCAGCGCACCACAGCGCGCTTCTACCGCCTGCCCGACCTCCAGGACCTCCCCGACTCCTCCTCCCCACTATGCCAGCCGCGCCAGAGTCCGGCATCCGTACACGTCCTGAAACTCCCCCGCTGGGCCTACACTGTCGGGTGCACACGCCGTAGGCAGCCCTTTCTGCCATGTGCGGCTCTTACTGCAGTAGCCCTCAGCACGCTGGAGGCAACTATGACACGCCTGCACACGGCCTACCCCAGCGCACCACCCTATTCCGAATCGCATGCGCGCTTCTGGCTTGACTATTTTACTCCTGATCCATCTCCGTCTCGCGTGGCTAAGGTACCTCCCCGGGAAGCATGGGGGCCCAATAGCTTTGGGATATTGGTCGCGCAGGGAAAGTATGATATACAAGGGTTGGAAGCAGAGTACCTCGCACAGGTATCGGGGGGAGAGGTTACCGAGGGCGATAGCCTGTCGGAGCAGGTGATCTGGTGTGGGTTGCCGGATGGAGGGATTGGAGAGCAGGCGTGGTGGAGGGGGTGGGAGGAAGAGGTCGGGAGTGAGGAGGAGGTAGAGTTCCTAGCCGCTGTTGCGGTGGAGGAGACAGTTGGATTCGGACTCCAAGGAATCGAGATGGATGAGTTGGACTTGTCAATCCGGTCACATATACTACTAGCGGTCATGCAGGCTGCGGTGAAGGACAGGCAGGAGAGGGAGCGGTTCCTGGGGGAGCTGGAGAGGCGGATGGTGCAGAAGGGGAGACTCGGCAAGGAGAGGGCAGGGAGGTGGGCCAGGGAGGCCTTGGGGATCATGGAACCGTATGTACGCGAATGGCAGGGCGTGTGGCCTGGTGCAGAGGAGAGGGGGAAGATGCTGCGGCGGATTCTGGTGGAGAATGCGCAGCTCTTTGCACGCTGGACGGTGTCACCTGTTTCGAAGCAGTTCACTTTTGAGCTGGGGCCGAGGGAGTAAGGGATTCAAACTACTTGCTTATTGAGAACATGAGGTGATACGGGGTACACCTCATTCCTGGTGATCGATCTCCCAGTGCCCAATATTGTTCTTGCTATAGTATGCTTTCACTACGGGTGCAGAATATACAGGGCAGCGGTTGGCCAAGCGGCGGCTCCCTGTCCAACGTCACGGGTGGAAAGGCGGCCGTTTCTGGCGCCAGAGGCTGTCATTTTCGGCGTCATTCTCATAGGTCCCTATATTCTATATGTAGAAGATTGTCCAGGGAAAGTGACCACGCAAAATAGCCGTTGCAAAGCAGATAGGTATACTGTAGAGAGGGATGACCGTCATGGATGTTGTTGATACACAACCTATGGACGACGGCATTGGATCGTAGAATTAAACGCATTGGTCCTCGGAAATATGAGTTCACCGTGAGGTCAAGAGGATAAAGAGAATGGTGGACGGTGAAAAGCGCCTGGATTCCAATTCACGAGTCCAAAACAGCACATTCAACCAGAGGGTGCAGGAAAACGTGAAAAACGGCGAAAACGATGAACCCGGTGAAGAGCCGCTGGTTTCTATGGCTCTGAGTTGAACTCGAAGATGGCAATTGAACCATAGTGGATGACACCTCCAGGACATGAATACAGTATGAGAAATGTCGAGGAAAGGAAGCGAGTACTTATGTTGATAATCCGCTCAACTGTATCTCTTTACTCGGTCCGGAGATGGTGAACATAACGAGTATAAGGATTGCACACTCGAGTTCTCCGGTCTAGTCCGACCGATCGGGATAGACCGGAGATAGTAGTGCTCGTAAAATAAAGTTAAAATAAATTTTGACTACTCTGCGAGGGTGGAAGATAATATTAGGCTAGCCAATCTCTTTCGGTCCTCATCTGTACCTATGTTCCATTTTTGCACTTCCCCTTCCAACGAAGGTTGACGTTGGAAGGTCTACAAAGTAAAGGATGGTGGCGGAAAGCCACCTAGCACAGCTACGATTACCGTAGTTATCAGTCACAGAAGCTTCGACCGAGAAAATACGTACTTGAATACCACAACGAACACAGTCGGGCTGGCTGCATTCACATTAAAATCATGCAACAGCAGTCTTTCTACGGAAAGCTATTCCTATCGCCATATCCCAACTTCGAAGCGATAAACAAATTCCTACCCTGCGTCCGTATTTTGACGGTGGCCAATGTCGTGTATTCAAGGTGACCTTTACGGACGGCGAGAGCTGGGCCGTACGAGTGCCTCTTTTTATCCGCCATGCTTCACAGGACACTGTTATACAGCTTCTTGAGTCCGAAGCTCGTATTTTTGAAGAGCTTGAATTGACGGGGTTCTCATGGGCTGCAAGGCTCCGGGGCTGCAGTTTCACATTCGAGAATGCGATCGGATCCCCGTTCATCGCATTGGCATGGATTCCGGGCAGCCGGCTTTCTTGGTCCGGTGAATTTCCGACGCGACCTCTTCGAAATAAAATCCTGGACCAAGTTGCGATGTTGCACACGTCACTATTGAATGTACTAGGGAGACCAGTATGTTCAATGCCTTATTTGTTCAGACCGAACCTTGCTCACAATTTCAGGGGGATCTTCCCTCAAGCATTTACCCGGACAATCCAAAACAAGACTCGTCGTGTCCGCGAGGGTCTCCTTCCAGAAATCACGGAACAGGACTGCTCTGACCAAATGAACATTCTCTCTAATGTTCTTTTACCTGAACTTGATGTAGCACCTTTCGCCATTGCCCATGGCGATATATCACTTGCCTTTTACATCCGAGAATGGGGTACATGAGTCACGTTTGCAGTCTGAAGTCAAGGGAATAGTCGTTGGCCTACCATGTTTTGTCAAGACCATTCATTTGAATGTTTAATTTTAACTGCTCCTGGGCGACTGCTCCGTTCCAGGGGGAGAACGAGTGAGGCGTCGGATCGAGCGGCATCTCCGGTAAAATGAAAGGCGCAGTGGTCGGCGGGGGCCAGAGTGAAAGAAAGGGGGCGGCGATGAGTGCAAGATGGAGGAGTGGAAGGGAGGGGAGGAAGGAAAAGAGAGGTCGAAAGGGCGAGGTCGGGTCTTTTATGTCAAGGCTACAAAACAGCGTATGGGGCGCTAATCCGGGAACGGAAAACTAACTTGAACAGGCAATTCACAGGTCCGCCGTTTACAGTTTATATAGCAACGTCGATCTCCAGCGATCTCCAGCGATGCACGCTCAGTCCCCGCCAGCTCACGAAGCTTGATGCATTTGCATTTTGACTCTACGGCGCAGATCGAGAGTGCTGTCTAACATCCCAGCTATGACCGCCTGCCCCTCTCGATCAGCAGTCAGCCTTACCGTTCGGATGCTGCCAAGATGAGCAGTTTGGGAAGCTCACTCGAGTTTAATAACGCCAATGCTTCCCGTCTCCGGTCGGTGCCTTTGCAGCCTGCTATTTTCGGCGTCTTGCATGAACTAGCCCTGGCACGGGCGACAAATAGGCGCCGGCGAACAGGTATTCTGTCATTCAGAAGGGAACCAGGATCATGGACGCTCAGTTGGAAGGGAAACGGGCAGAAGGACGGGATGACTTACTCTTGCTTTGTGTGATTCTCACTGTCTGGTTTGGTTCATCGGACTTGTTGCTGCGTCTGCTGGACGATATAATCCCACATACTCCAGCGCGACAACGATCACGACAACTCGCAACAATAGCAATTAACCCGTCTGCTCCTAATCAGCCAAAAATGGACCCGTACCCCAGACCGTTCGTCATCCAGCCGAAAACCACGCATAAACAGTCGGTCATCCTCCTCCACGGCCGCGGCGGCTGTGCTGCTGAATTCGGCCCTGCGCTGCTCTTCCACCCCATCAACAACAAATCCTCCACGACCTTCCTCAGTAGCACCCTCAAATCCCTCTTCCCCAGCGCGAAATTCATCTTCCCCACAGCGCCCAGACGCACGGCCGCTACGTACAACTACTCCCTGATCAATCAGTGGTTCGATTATTGGCCCCTGGCAACCACCCTGTCCGGCGAGGACTGTACGGCCACCAGCAGCCCGGTGACTGATAAACTGCATATTGCCATTAACGGGCTCGCGGAGACAGCTGGATTTCTGCACGACTTGATCCGCGATGAGGCCGCGCTGGTCGGGTGCCAGAACGTCGTTCTTGGCGGGTTGAGTCAGGGAGGCGCCGCCAGCATCGTCGCGGGGCTACTATGGGATGATCGAAAGGAAGGGCCTTTGGGCGGTATCTTCGGGTTGTGCAGCTGGCTCCCGTTTGCAGGGAAGATGAAAGATCTTTCTGTTTCTGCGTTGAAGGATGAAGCGAGCGGATACGGTGACGCTCCGGCTGCTCGAGCGATTGAGCATCTTCAAAATGAACTGCAACTACCTTCTACCTCCTCCGCGTCTACCAACAGATACCCCTATTCCTCCTCATCGCTACTCGCAGAGTCGACTCCCTTCTTCCTCGGGCACGGACTAGAGGATGAGAAGATCCCTGTCCAATTCGGACGGGAAGCCGCTGCCTGTCTGCGTGCAATGGGTCTGCCGGTCGTCTGGAAAGAATACGCCGCGTTGAACCATTGGTATTCCGAGACAATGCTACGTGATCTCGCGGAATTTCTTATGGGAATACTCGACGAGGCTTAACTGGTTATCTCCTCTCCCGAATTCAGTAAATAGAAGACTCTACTTTTTGGCTATGCGTCTTTCGACTCCAGGTTTACCTACTCTTGGCCCGCTGGGGAATCCGAATCCGAACTCTAGTCGCGTCGCACTCCACCTGGAAACAAAACAACAGGCATTGAAAGGAACCGAGGTTGGATGGAAAGAGGATCGGATATAAATTGCCGTACTAGAAAACATAAACGAGTCAGCCGCAACTCTGACTATCGGAATGACTGCCGGGCCCAATGCTGGAGGGTGTGACAGCCAGACGCTGACTATGATCCAGGTAGCCCTTCGAGGTCTTATAAAATTCGCAAAAGGGACCACTTCTCTAGTTTAGTTGATTTCAATACTGCTAGAACGCCTACACAGCGTTCATTCACAGGGTGGAATGGAAGATGCAAAAGAATGCAGAAGTTCTCATTTCTCCAGAGTACCGAAGATAAAAAAAAGCAGCTTGCTTTCTCTTTCCTCTGTCCATACCAATATCCTTGTAGAAAAATCTCATTTTCCTCTTGATGAACACGGTGTCCCGAGTATGTAATGCTCAACATGTTTCGATCGAGCAACGTCTTATTGTATGGTATGCCATCTGCCGTGTGGTGAAGATCACGCCTCTTCCAAAGGCATGTTCTGAGTGTGAAAGGGTAGACCCAATTACTCACTTCAGCTTTCGTAAAATCCACACTGCATGGCTGATGCAATTTGCTAGGTTGTCAGGAGAGTATACGTCAACATCGTTGACCCCATTGATTGGGCACGGGATGGCGAGAAGGGGCAGGATGGGCAGGAAAATGGCGCTTGAGTCTTTCGCAATGTCAATGAGCTGCGCATATACACAATCAGCACAAGGAGAATCGTTTGACTTGATATCAGCGACTCGGATCAGGGGAATGTTGTGCTAAGGCATTTGCTCTGGTCTATCTTCGGGAGAGCTTAGACGAGACTCGCATGCGTATGTCCTCAATCCCATTGATATTCTGTTTCAAGTAATCCCAATATAGCAGGCGTCAGGCTCTCAACTCAATACCTAGTGGTATACTTTTCAGCAAACAAGGTACCATTTGTAAATGGAAGAAGGGCGGAAGATATTAGTTTGGAGTCATGCACCACGCCAACCGATACAAGTGCTGCCCATTTCCCCATTTTCACCTGGGGAGAGAAAGCGTGAGTCTGGCGTGACAAGACAAGGAAACTCCAAATGAATTGCTTGACAAGATTCCGATGGCTTTCTGAGTCCTCGTCGACGACGTAAACAGTAATATCACGTGATCCTTCCAAGAATAACCTCGGCATTTTCAGCGCCAACTGGACAATCATCGACGATATTCATGCAGAGAGTCAGTCTAAATTCCGTGGAGCTTGTGCCTGTTACTATTTCTGTTCATAAATGATACGATATGATATGACGAGACCATCTATCCACTATATCTTACACCGCAGGCCCCGTCACCACAGCTGTAGCCTCAGCATCCGCAGGTTCCATCTCCCATTCGGTTCTAATTTGGGCAAAATGCCACGTCTTAATGCAGAGTCGAAGGTAGGTTTGTCAGGGATGATATGCGAGGCTCCCTGCTGTTCTCCCTAACGTTGTGGTCTGATTTATTGCTACTCCATCACGGTATTTGTATTGATATTTGCATTTGCGTCTGTCCATGCCTTAACGAGACGATCCCATTTGAAACAGGAAGCCATCGATCGACTGAGATCCTACAAGCCCCCGCCCACGAACTACGGGTCTGTGCCTCTGAGTAGGCGGGCAGCTGTGTTGGTTCTGCTTTATGCGGATACCCGGGGCGACCTCAGAGTCGTGCTTACGGTGCGGGCTAAGACCCTGAGTTCGTGTAGGTGTTGTCTTACTTGGCCTAGTGCGTATCCATGCTGATGCCGTGTACCTCTACTTTAGTCGCAGGACAAGTGGCATTACCAGGAGGTGAGTCGATAAGAAAGACGGGTTTCATGCCCTGTCCTCCATGCTGCGTGTCTATGCATACCCATTGGGTATGACAGCATGCATATCCATGTACCCCCCACTGTCAGTAAGACGAAACATATTCATGACATGACATGACCTCGTACCAGGAAGGGCGGATAGCCTGGAAGAGACCCCGTTCGACACCGCCAGACGGGAAGCACGGGAGGAAATAGGCCTTCCAGATGATACTACCGCCAGTCTTGAGCGGCGGCAGCTGCCTGGGTCCTTCAGAGTGGAACATCTGTGCGAGTTGCCGGCAAGCTTTGCAAAGTCAGAGCTTGTGGTACGCCCCTGCGTGGCGCTTTTGCATTCCTACGACGAGAAGACAGGTGAAGATGCGGACCCGGAGGTATCGTTGATTCCGAAACTCGATCCTAGGGAGGTCGCCGCCGTGTTCACCGTGTCATTCCGCAATTTATTGTCATCGAGAGATGCAAATGACCCTGATGGCGACCCAGAAAAGTGGTACCAGGGTGCCTGGGGTGAATGGCATGGGTATCCGTGGCGAAGTAAGTTTCTTGTCTTTCATGCATAGAAGGATTCGCCGTTGCATTATCCCGTGATTTTCCTTTCTTTGTTTGTCTGCAGAGATCCTGCCTCCACAGGGTACATGTCTAGGCTCACAGGGTCGTATTCCAGTGCACGAGTTCTTTGTTCCCACCACCATGACGAAAGTGGTCAAGTCTCAGCCCAAAACAGCCCCGGAGAAGTTTACGTTGGACCAGTCTCGTCACAGAGAAAGTCCTGGCCAGCCCGGTAAGCCGGCGAAGCGCTACCGACTCTGGGGCATGACGGCGAGAATCTTGGTCGATGCAGCCCGGATCGCATATGCCCGCGATCCGGATTTCGAGCACAACAACCAGCCGGGCGATGAAGAGATGATTACGGCGTTGCGCAAGATGGGCCGACTGGGACCAGTGAGGCGCCCGTCAAGAGAGTCGGGGCTTACCCGGGGCTCTGCGCCTGGCTCCAAGCTCGCCTGAATAGCGTCCATTTCTATTCTGCAGATCCACATACCGGGTGTTCCATAGCGTATGGGGGGAGTGAATCTTGATGGTTACCGAGACAAGAGAAGGTCCGACCCCGTGTGTAGCTACCATGTCTAATCTAGTCCGCTGCGTTGCATTCCAGCCCGCTGAGGGGTAATTCGGGCCTTTATGCATATGAAACACGGCGGTTAGATTCCATTATCCCTTCCATGCAGTGTCACTACTGTTGGCTGCATGTCCGGTGTCAATGGGCAATGCCTCCGGGCTTTGATTTGAGGTTCTCGGCTGGATATCTTTTCTGTCTTTGTTCACGCCCTGGTTGACAGGGAGGGATACACATGCAAGCCACACGGTTACTGCTGGGTGAGAAGGGGTGGAAGAGAAGAAAGGACGACTGGCTTATATGCAGTGCTGTCTACAGTAGATAATAATGTCTGTTCTCTCTGTCTCTTGTTCTTTGCACTCTGATCGGTCATGAACTGCGCTGTCTTGACTCTCTCCATCCCTAAGGCACTCCCCAACCGGAACATCTTCGGCCTCGCCTTCACCTTCGTCGACAATACTAGCCAGTTCCGAAACAGTTCCAGTCTTCATTCACTTCAACATGTACTCGCCAACAGTCTCTCTCTCATCCTCTCCCAGTATCATCCCCAGTCCGCTCGACGTCCCTAGACGCCCTCCTCCTGTGAGGCCATCCAGATCCTTGGACGGTCTTGAACAAGTTGTGCCACCAACAGGTCTCGCGTATTATCCATACCATTCACATTCGCGTCCTCTCCCCCCCTCCCCTCTGTCTCGGTCGTATTCTTCGTGCCCTTCTCCTCCACCCCGCTCCGACCTGAGATTAAACAAACCGCTTCCTCCTCGGCCACCTTCACTTGCGCCGGAAACCGCATTAGCGTCCAGCGCCCCGGATAAGGATCAAACTCAAACTCAAACTCACGTCCATTCACAGCTGTATAGTCCTTCGACGACGGCGACGTCTACTTCTATCACTTTGAGTGAGGATAGCCTGGTTAGCAGCTTTGATTACCCTCTCGGGCCACGCCACGAAGGGGATAAGAGTCAGGATCAGACTCAACGCTCCCATTCTGCGGTTGCTGTGGAGGCTGTACCGATAGGGTTGAAGCCGGAGGTTATCGAAGTTCAACTGCGACAAGCGCAGCAGCAGCGGCGGCGGCGGCAGCAGCACGAAAGCCAGACGCGAAGAAGCGTTTCGTTTTCAGAAGCTATATTTTATCCTCAAGTTCTAGAGGACAGCGACGAGGAAACGGCGATAGAAGACGACTCGGTACAGACAGCAGCACCCGCAGGAACAAAAGAAGACGACAACGAGGCAGACGAAGAGGCAGACGAAGAGGAAGAACGAAAGCTCGCTCTAGCCCTGAAAGCCTTCGTCTCGGAAGAGCTCTACGGCCGACACGTGCATTTCTTGCCACCTACATGGTCTAGCTCGAGTCGGATAGCGACGAGCCATTACTTTCGAGAAAAGAAGTGGAGTTTCTTTCCCGAGCTGGCTATGCCGTCTCAGTTGCAGATGGAGAAGATGCCCGGGAAATGGGGTCCATTCATGGCAACCACCGCGAAGAACAATGGGAGGAAAATGACTGATAAGTATCACGGGAAGATCAAGGGGACGGTGCATGGATTTCGGGATTCGATTAAATACTTCCATCTCAATCGAAAGCTGATGAAGGAGGCTGCTTGTTCGGGGCTTGCTCCTCCGTTGGATGAAGATAATGGCAATAGGAATGAGAAAGGGAAATTGGCAGAGAAACCACCTTCAGGACATTCCAGGGTCATGACGGCTTCGAGTTCGACTTCTTATTCATCTCCTCGTCTGCACGGCAGCTTTACATCCTCGTCCGCCTCGTCCTCCCGCGATGAGCCCCGGAATTACGGGTCCTGGGAAAGCTCCGGACTCCCCTATCGACACCGGGGTCGACGCAGCGATACCTGCGACGGAGAGCTCGAGACAGGATCGACGTCGAAATACAAGACCAGGACGGAGTCCAGGGACAAAGTCAAGCGCCGTAGCGACGACGCCGATAATGAAGCATACGGACAACAGCACCTTACAACCCGAACATACGGGAGAACCAGCTCGACAAACCTCCCGAAACAGCGAGCAGTTCCTCTCTCCCCCTACCAGAAGTACGGTCCTGCAATCTGGGAATCCCACAAGTCGCCGAGAAAGCGCCATGTCAGATTTGCGCGGACTCACCGGAGTTCATCATCCGCGTCGTCTTCCATGCACTCGTCTACTGGGGAATCGCAGTCTACAGCGGCGTCCAGTGTGGATGATAGTAGCGATTCATACTACCGTATCACGCCGCCCCCAAAATCGCCGTATCGCACACGGTCTAACATAAGCATGAAGACAACCGTCGATGGGCGTAGGAATAGGGGCCCAAGTCAAGTGCTGGGAGATGCGAAGAAGATGATCACCGAGTCGAAAGCAGATCGTAGACGGGAGGAGTTGAAGGCGCAGATCAAGCTCGTGGGGCCATTGAATGCGCATACGTTTTACAGGAGGGAAGAGTGGTATTGATGGGAGCCAAATTGTCTACTGCCTGTAATGATATGTAGTCTGGATGCAAATAATGGGAGATAATTATCTGCTTATACAGAATGAGTTCTCTTTGCTGGTTGTACAGGAGCGGGCAGATATGCTGGTACCTACACTGCTACATCATGGAGCTTCAATTCAATCACTTCACGTCACTTCACGTCACTTCAAGCTCCCGGTTGATGAGAAATAGATAACCAAAACTGTCAAAAGTGGTCCTGAACCAAACTTGACGCATCGATGGTTCTATTCTTAGCCGTCCCGCTGATATAGTAAGACGCCAGCCTCTCCGCATTTCCATGATCTCATCTCCCCTGCCTATCCTCGCCTTCCTGTCTCTCTCACTCGTTCATCGTCTCCGTCCTGCAATTGCTCTTATATCCTTTAAACCATCATCATATAAATATCTCCATCCATCCACGGAGAAACCGACCCCGGAAACGACTCTTCGTCTTCTCTCAGACCCGCCAAGATGGGTGGAGAAGCCGCAGCTCCAGCTCCAAGCACCTTGCCCCGGGCGCCACAGCAGCCGGTCGGCCAGCGGATCCATAACATCTACACTGACCGACTCCGCCAGTTTATCGGTCCAGGTACCTATGGTGGATCGTGGAATCTAACCTCGTATGTTTCTACTCATGTCAGGTACTCCCTCTCGACTTGAATGACTGCTGACGTCCCGTTGCCGCCAGGAAAATCATCGAAGCCTCCGATTCAGACGAGGACCATGTCAAGCTCTCTGTTTACTCAGTCCCCAATCTGGATCGTCCTTCATTTGATGAGGCCGTCTCGCATGAGTTTGAACCCACCCATATCGGAGCCTCCTTTGGCCCTAGCTGGTCCACCCATTGGTTTCAGATCCGTCTCACCATCCCTCATGATTTCCTCGACAAAGAGCGTCTCGAATTTCACTGGGATGCGCACAATGAAGGTCTGATCTGGACCGAGGATGGACATCCGCTGCAAGGCTTGACGGGTGGAGGAGAACGTATTGAATGGGTCATTCCCGATGCCTGGCGTGACGGGAAGGAACATACGTTCTACATTGAGATGGCATGCAATGGCATGTTTGGCACTGGCTCTCCACCAAACCCCAACGTGTACTTTACGTTACAGACTGCGCGGATTGCTGCTATTAACCTTCAAGCTAGAGGGCTTTACTATGATTTCTGGATCATTGGAGGTAAGATATATATAACAGTCCCCGTGAGACGCGCGAGTATAATATGCTGACTAGGGCACGCCGCAGATGCTGCTCGAGAGTTTCCCGGAGATTCATGGGAGTCTCATGAAGCGAACGTGGTAGCCAATGCTATCATGGATTCTTTCATTGCTGGTGGTGGAAGCAAAGAGTCCATAATTGAAGGACGCAGGATTGCTAGGAGATATCTCGGAGACAAAGTCGATTCTGCAGAGGTCTATGACAGCGATACGCATCCTATTGTTTTTGCTACGGGTCATTGCCATATTGACACCTGCTGGTTATGGCCGTGGGCAGAGACCAAGCGCAAGGTCGCCCGATCATGGTCCAATCAGTGTGACCTGATGGACCGGTATCCCGAGCATCGTTTTACCTGCTCTCAAGCCCAGCAATTCAAGTGGCTCGAACAGTATTACCCGTCCGTATATGACCGCGTGAAGCAGTGGGTGAAGAAGGGGCGTTTTCAGCCCATTGGTGGCAGTTGGGTTGAACACGACACCAACTTGCCTAGTGGTGAATCTCTCGTGAGGCAGTTCATCTACGGCCAGCGGTTCTTCGAAAGCCATTTCGGAAAGAGATGTAACACCTTCTGGCTCCCGGACACCTTTGGCTATTCGTCGCAGATCCCACAGCTTACCCGTCTGGCGGGCATGACCCGATTCTTCACACAGAAGCTCAGCTGGAATAATATCAATAACTTCCCCCATACCACGTTCAAATGGGTCGCACTTGACGGCACCCAGGTGATGTGCCACATGCCTCCATCAGAGACATACACCGCCAGCGCCCACTTTGGAGATGTGAAACGCAGCGTGACCCAGCATAAGTCCATGGACCAGGACAACACGTCCCTTCTCGTCTTTGGCATGGGAGACGGTGGTGGTGGCCCGACCTTCGAGCACCTAGAGAAGTTGCGTCGCTGCCGTGGCCTCAGTGACAAAGTTGGCTTGCTTCCACGAGTAAAGATGGGAGACTCCGTTGATGACTTCTTTTCCCGACTCGAGAAGAAGGCGGCGGCAGGAACTCAGTTCATTACTTGGTACGGCGAGCTTTACTTTGAGCTGCACCGTGGTACGTACACAACGCAGGCGAATAATAAGCGGAACAACCGCAGAGCCGAGTTCCTGCTGCGGGATATTGAGCTTCTGGCCACTTTGGCTTCCCTCACTAGCCCCTACGGATATAAATACCCTAAGGAGGATATAGACGACCTGTGGGAGGGAGTGCTTCTGTGCCAGTTTCACGACTGTCTGCCTGGAAGCTCGATTGAAATGTGCTACCGTGATTCAGACGCGCTGTATGCCAAGATTTTTGAAAAGGGTCAGAGGCTTAAGAGGAATGCACTGAGGGAGTTGGGTTTTATAGAGGGTGACGACGATGATGATCTTTTGGCCATCAATACGTTCCCTTGGCATCGTTCGGAAGTCGTTAAGATACCCGGGGTTCCTGCAAACTCGATGAGGCCTAAGTATACCCTAGTGAGCGGAGACACAGGAGTCATCCAGAGTCAGCCTTTGAAAGCTCAGCAATCACCCGCTGTGGCTGTGGCGGAAATTCAGCCTGGAGTATTCCGTTTGTCGAACAATAAGTTGAGAGTTGATGTCAGCAACGGTGTCATCACATCTCTGTTCGACATCAAGGCACAACGTGAAGTTATAGCCAAGGGTGGCAAAGCTGGCCAACTGGTGATCTTCCATGACAAGCCTCTCAACTTTGAGGCTTGGGATGTGGAACTTTATCACCTGGATTCTAGGAAAGAGTTGACATCCAGCAAGGCCAACATTGCGGAGAACGATCCACACCGGGTCAGCGTCGTGACTGAAACGAAGATCAGCGACAACAGCTGGGTCAAGACGACCATCAGCCTCTCTGCCGCCACTGGAGATGAACTGCCGTACGTTGAATTCTTGAGCGAAGTTGAATGGCGAGAGAACGCCAAGTTCCTCAAGGTAGAGTTCCCTGTTGATATCTTGAATACTGAGGCGTCATACGAGACGCAGTATGGTATTACCAGACGTCCGACTCACTATAACACAACGTAAGTTCAACTTGCGATGACCTACTTGACTTTTCAACCTAGCTGACATTGCCCTAGATGGGATGTGGCCAAATTTGAAGTATGCTGCCATAAATGGGCCGATCTGTCCGAGCACGGATACGGTGTCTCCATCCTCAACGACTCCAAATATGGCTTCGCAACGGCTGGTAACGTGATGCGTCTCTCGTTGCTCCGCTCACCCAAATCACCGGATGCGCACGCTGACATGGGCCGCCATCACATCCGCTATGCCATCCTACCTCACGCAGGGCCGCTCGACTCCCGCATCGTCCGCGCGGGATACAATTTCAACAACCCGCTCGTCCTCCAGCGATCATATTGCGATGAAGCCATAAATGCTTTCAAGTATATTTCCCTCAGTGGCTCCGATTCTCTTGTTCTGGACACTGTCAAGCGTGGCGAGGACGACGAAGACGTCTCTCGTGGTGATTTGCCTGTGCGTCCTGGCAAGAGTATCGTTCTGCGCATTTACGAATCCCTAGGCGGGAAGGCCCGTGGAACTATTTCGAGCAAGTTCCCAGTCAAGAAGGTCTGGAAGACTAATGTTCTGGAGGATGATGAGGAGGAACTTGAACTCAGCTCGCAGTCGGCGGAAGGTGTTGTTAGCATTGATATTGAGTTGAGGGCTTTCGAGGTTGCTACTTTCCGGTTGCAGCTGTAGTTGGGATTTGACCATTCTGGAAATGGCATTTCCTTGAATGATGGCTATGAATTGAGAGGAACCGCTCATTTCTTTTTTTTTATTTTTCCTCAGTTCTTTTTCACGACTTGCTTTGAAGAAACCAATTGGTCAACTTGATGTAATGAGTAGCACCCACTCAGATCCAATATCGTGAATTACTCTGTCCTGTCAGACTTGCTTCAAAATTTGGCATGAGAATGGAAAGCTTATTGCATTGTGCATAGGAACAGTTAGCTCCTCTATTCCATCTCCTAACACCAGAAACAACATGATATGCTAAAGTAAATGTTGTGAAGACTCCTTGCGCCTGTCTGCATAACGCATAGTGCATACATAGTACATATCCATATACATGTCAGCCTGTGGAATATAATAATACTCCACAATATTCCATGTTATGTATACCATACAACTTTCACCATGAAAACATCCCAACCCAAATGACGTGAATAATAATAAACGCCGTATCAAACAGCATACCAAAACCGGGTATCATATGAGGAACACCAACAGTATCCATACCGACTGAAGAATGAGAATGGATGGATAGGAGACATATGCGTGATAAACCACTCAATCCCTCCCATATGTGATCTTCAACCTCTTAACAGGCGGCTTATCACTTTCATCCCCATCATTATCATTCTTGTTGTTATTCCCACCTCCTGATTTCTTCTTATTGTTCTTCGATGATGTATTCTTCACGCTATGGTTGCCATTACCGCCATATGTTGACGACGGCGTCGGGGCGAGGGAAGGAGTCTGTGACGAAGAAGGGGTGGGAGAGTCCTATTCCACGTTAGTACCTATCAACGTAACCAACCCAACTTGAACAACGAATCCATACAAAAACCAGAATCTAAGTGGGTAAGTCATGTATGGATAGAAAGGAAAGGAAACATACACGCATAAAACTAGCCGAACTCCTCGAAAACACCCTATCCGTCTCAACAACCTGCGCCTTCCGCCTCGCACTGGCCGATCCGCCCGCCAACGAAAGCGACCCTGCGCTCCCCGCACCGCCGCCGAATGCCGAAGTCCCCGTTGACCCCTTGATGTAGTTATCGAAGCCCTTGATGATGTTCCCGGCTGTTGTTTCTTCGAGGTAGGATTGTTCGAAGCGGTAGATTTGATCTTCTAGTTGGGCCTTTTTTTTTTCTGTTAACACTGAAAATAGATATAGGGTAAACTGTTATATGGACTAACCATGCTTTTGTCCATTAGTCTTTTCTTTTGCAGTGTGTCCCGGAGCTCTCGTCGGAGTTTTTCGTAGTATGGGAGTCCGCGGTTCGATGCGTTGGGGTCTGTAGGGCCGGTGGTCGTTGTTGCGGTGTTTGTGTTTGTATTTTGGGCATTGGGGGCCGATGCCGAGGCTGGGGGAACGTTCTCTGCCATTTTCCCTAGTTTCCTTTCTTTTCGTGTAGGCTTTGATGTAGTAGATACTGTATAGAGTGTATGAGCTGGATCTAGCGCGTTGATGAGTGCTTGTTGGAGGTTGGTTTGTCTTGTTTGCAGATTTTCCGCATCGGGAAAGGTGGCATCTGTGAGGTTGTCGTAACACCATCAGGGATCATTGACGACATGCACTTTTCACTTCTATTTCATCTGGAGAGAACAGATTACGTTTTTAGTTTATCTATTTACTTCCTATCTGATTAGTATTCGTCTTAAAAAGTACTAGAGGATACAACTACAACTATGGACCACTCAATGCACCACGCTGATATGGACATGCCCGGCCACGGCCATGGTCACGGCGATATGGACATGGGCGGACAATGTAAGATGAATGTGAGTATATCCATCCTATACATACTATACAGAGCAGTCGTATCTCTATAAACCATTCCAACACTAATATGTCATTATTACTACCTATCTATCCATCTTACAATCGCTAACTAAACCAACCAGATGATCTTCACCTGGTCCTCGACGGACCTCTGCATCATCTTCCGCCAGTGGCACATCCGAGGTCCCTGGTCACTATTCTTGTCCCTGCTTGCAATCGTGTTCTTGACAGCGGGATACGAAGCCGTTCGACAAATCACCCGCCGGTACGAGGTGGGACGTGCCCAGCGTCTTCAGGCGTTCTCAGCTACGGTTTCTACGGGTGGTAAGCATCTCTTTTCATCCATTTCTCATTCTACTCGTAATATGTTGTATGCTTTTTGGATTATCGGCATGGCATTCGCATCGGTACTGCTCCCCATATAAAGACATGTATGCTGTAATGTTTTATAAACAAAAAAGCATTATAACAAGCTGGAAGGAAAACAAACCCTCATTGACCTCTCCATGCAATGCTCTTGAAGACCATGAGGCAGCCGACGCACCTGCCAGTGCCAATTTCCCCCCGTTACCTGTTGCGAATGCAACAACAACAACAATATCAGGCGAAAGCCATATCCACAACTCCAGCTTACCACTGCTTGTAGGCAGGGATCATCGGCAGGCTGTTTTGCGGAGAGGCAAGGTGGTTCTGGCGGCGCTCTATGCGATCCAGGTGTTTTATAGTTTCTTTATTATGTGAGTGGGACCCCCTATCCATACACAACACCCTCTGGGGAAGATCCAATTTGCTCAACGTGATGCTAGGCTGCTTTTCATGACATATAATGGTTTGGTTATGCTTGCTGTTGGTGTTGGGGCGTTTGTTGGGTATCTTGTTTTCGGTGATGATGCGCCAGCTACCAAGGTTGTTGCTTGTCACTAAGTTAAGTGGTTTTCTTCGACTCCGATACTCTTACTGGGTAGATGGATATGGGAGCCGCAAACCAGCTATTATGAATATCGGGCCTCTCGTGTTATACTGGAACGCTATGCGATGTAGTTCTCATTTCTTGCTGAAGCAGATTCATCAAATACACTCATTCTTGGTTATGGTACATTATCTATAAACAAAACATGCGTAGATCATGGAACTTCCACATCGCTATCATCTCCAAATCCAAAACTGAACCCTCCTCCCTTAGACCCATCATCGGTCCCTTCCTGGACCACCGGACCATGAACCAGTTCGTCCCATTTCCTCTTTTTACCATCCGCTCTACTCTCCAATTTTCGCAGTGCCTCATCCAGCAAGTCTGGATGCGATCCTCTCAAATTGCTCACAAATCGTGCATAGGGGTCAATGACATTCTTCCTAAACCCGGAGACTTGATCCGCTTTATTAGACAAAAAGTCAAGTGCCGAGGTCAGATGACCCCGTGGCACGAAGTTCTGTGTGACGGCAATGCACGGTTCCAGGTTGACGACGAGATGCCACCAGCCCGACGGGACATGAAGGATCTCACCCTCACCACAGACGCCCTCCAGACACCCCGGTGTGCGTCGCGCCTCGGCATGGAAGCAAAGGAGCCATTCCGCGATACTCAGAGGGGAGGTAACCTCGCTCTGGTCGGCAGAGACAAAGACACCGGGTGGGGGAGGAAGTTTCGACGAGGAAGGGAACATGATCCAGTATTTGGATCCACGGAGGACCGCATTCCATGCACTGGTTGCGTTGGGGTCTTTATGAAAGGAGCTTCCTGATCTTTCAGGGCCGATGATCAACCATCGTCTATCCGGGCGGTCGGGTCCCAGAACCGAGAACAGGTCTTCGCCAAAGCAAGCGGGCGGCCAGTACGCGGCCTCGGGTTCCTGATCCAAGGGGCCGACCTTGATGTCCATCTTGGATACGAAATCCCGGTCAAAAAGGTAGAGGGGTCTCTCGTCGGAGTTATTCCGCATGTAATCCACGTATGTCTTGAATTTCCAGTCTACTGCTTCCGCGCGGAAGACAGCCTCGCCATGCTTGGAAAGTAGAGAGTCTACAGACCAGTTCTTGTATGCGGGCCATTCCTTCACGGGTTCTGTCAGGATGAATGGAGTATCAGTCCATTTCTCCTGGAATTCCTCTGGGGAGAGATTTGGAAGACGGGCCAGTTTATTCCTGGTCGGGATATTGGCCACATATGGCTTCAAAGAGGTGTGCGCGCAGTAAAATGGGCGATGTAGGGTGTCTGAGAAGAGATGGGAGCAGTCCAGGTTAGTGACCTTGGATTCTGGGAGGTTGAGATAGGTTGATCGCCATGTTCCCTTCCAGGAGAAGTTGGACGGAGGAGATCTGGATACGGTTCTTAGTACGGGCCTAACCGGTAGATTCGAACGACTAAACAGCGCAAAGAACTACATATTTTGCATTCGTGGAAGAAAGGTCCAAAACTAGGTCAACTGCATACATGGTCTATGCGATTTTGTCCGTCCAAGCCTTCCTTCCAGATGCACACATAATTTCGAAATGCTTTTCACGACGCTCATGAACACAAGAAACGGAACAACAAGAACACGAAGAAGACTTACTGAATGAAAAGAGCTTTCCATAACTCTTCCGCTCTAGTGAATGCGTAGAAGGCTTTACAGGTACGTCCTATGCGCAACAACGCGGGGCCATCGAGAAATTCCAGCAAGGTCAAGATCACCTCGTCTGGGAGTAGCTGGAAATTCCCAATAGCAGAACGCAGATTCCATGAGGCAAGAAGGGCATTGCCACTGGGCTTCACTCCCAAAGGATGACAAGGGATTGCATCACGGCCGATGGTGTCGGATCCGGGCTGTAGGGTGCTATTTAGGTAAGATGAGGAATCCTCAGCAACAGAGGCTCTGGTTCCTAGAGAAGCAATGTCTGGCATCTCCTGATGCGTCGCACAGGTCTCCTTGTGTCCCCTGTGCACAGCGTAAAGTCTACCAAGAACCTGACTTGCTGAGTTGTTCTGCCTCGCAGTACGCCGTCCCGCTGCCGAAAACACACCGAGTCAACGGTGGGCTGGCACGTCTGGCATACAATCGCAACAATGATTGGCGGAACCGACAATTTGGCGGGGAGGGTTGCAGGAAAAAAAAAAAGAGACGGTCCTGTGTCGGTAGACTGACTAGATAGGCTGATGCATGCAATCCCGGCGGAACATAAGCGGCTCGACAAAACAGAAGGCTGAATGCAACAGGCAAAAATGGAGGGAGCCACGGAAGGAGGACTGATTAATAAAGCAAAAGAGCGAATACAGCGGATTGGAATGGAACAGAAGAAGCGAGAGAGCGAATGATGCTGGAAAGCGAGGCAGTAGAGAGGCGAGAGGCGGCCGAAGCAGGAAGGCGGTGGCTAGTCGGTTCGGCAGAATGGCGCTAAGTCACAAAAAAAAGAGAAGAAAAAAAAGAGGTCCCTTTTTTCCTTCTCGCTTCGCTCCTCCTTATAAATTCCATCTCTCCATCGTCTCCATCGAATCCTGTCAGACTTCTCCTTCCTGGGATTTCTGCTTCTGCTCTTGGCTTTCTGCTCTGCTCCAGCAGCCCTAGTCCTACTATCCACATCGCTGCGACAGTCCCCTCTGGGTTTCGTCTGTCGCTAAAGTCCTTTTTTCACCACTCAACCCCACTGCTATTTCCGATCACAGTCTTCCGTCTGTGATCACCCCCAACGCAACAGTCGCAATCATGGCTTCTAACGACAAGGGTTTGGAGGATATCCCCGAAGGTATGCGCCGTGTTCTCTTTTTTTTCCATTTCGTCTATACGAGTCGCTTTTCGACGTTTTATCCCATCGTGGCGACACTTTATTTCATCCCCCTCACGCAAATCAAGTCCCAAGACCATGGATACTGACGACAATCCTTGAAAAATCACAGGTCAGATCGAATCCAACTACGATGAGGTTACCGACTCCTTCGATTCTATGAGCCTGAAGTCTGAGCTGCTTCGCGGTATGTGAACCCCTTTCTGCTGCTCAGGGAGCACGAGACGGAAAAAATTCAAAACCTGGTGGGGCTTGCAGCGGGATTCACTGACAGCCAAACAGGTGTCTACGCTTATGGTTTCGAACGTCCTTCTGCTATTCAGCAGCGTGCCATCATGCCCATTATCAAGGGTAAGTCTTTCTTTCTCTCTGTTTTTGTATGATAATGATACTGATCACTCACAGGCAACGATGTCATCGCTCAGGCCCAGTCTGGTACTGGCAAGACCGCGACCTTCTCTATTGCCGCCCTGCAGAAGATCGACCCCAACCTCAAGGGTTGCCAGGCTCTGATTCTCGCCCCCACTCGTGAACTTGCGCAGCAGATCCAGAAGGTCGTTGTCGCCATTGGTGACTTCATGAGCATTGAGTGCCACGCTTGCATTGGTGGTACCAATGTGCGTGAGGACATGAAGGCGCTGCAGGATGGCCCTCAGGTCGTCGTTGGTACTCCCGGTCGTGTCAACGACATGATCCAGCGCCGTGTCCTGAAGACCGAGAACATGAAGCTCTTCGTCCTTGACGAGGCCGATGAGATGCTTTCTGTAAGTTTCCGTCGCTTGGGGTTATGAATTTATTTCCCGACGGGATTCTGACTGAGATATCCAGCGTGGTTTCACCGAACAAATCTACGACATCTTCCAGTTCCTCCCTCAGTCCACCCAGGTTGTTCTGCTTTCCGCCACCATGCCCCAGGACGTCTTGGAGGTGACCACCAAGTTCATGCGTGACCCCATCCGCATCCTGGTCAAGAAGCAGGAACTTACCCTCGAAGGTATCAAGCAGTTCTACATCGCCGTTGAGAAGGAAGAGTGGAAGCTCGACACTCTCTCCGATCTCTACGAGACCGTCACCATCACCCAGGCTGTCATCTTCTGCAACACCCGCCGAAAGGTCGACTGGCTCACCGACAAGCTCACTGCCCGTGACTTCACTGTCTCCGCCATGCACGGTGATATGGAGCAGGCCCAGCGTGACGTTATCATGAAGGAGTTCCGCTCTGGATCTTCTCGTGTGCTGATCGCCACTGACCTTCTTGCCCGTGGTATTGATGTCCAGCAGGTCTCTCTGGTCATCAACTACGACTTGCCTACCAACCGTGAGAACTACATTCACCGTATCGGTCGTGGTGGTCGTTTCGGTCGTAAGGGTGTTGCCATCAACTTCGTCACCGCTGACGATGTCCGTATGATGCGCGAAATTGAACAGTTCTACAGCACCCAGATCGAGGAGATGCCCATGAACGTTGCCGGTAAGTTCAACCCATTTCATGTGGTATTTTCAGAATACTAATTCGATCTAGACCTTATCTAAAACCTTATAATATCTTCGACGATGCGCAGCATGGCCATGCAACAAAACTCCGATGGGACTGCAGTGGCATAGAATTCTATGATATCGCTGCGTTTCCTTGACAGAGAAAACGACACGTTTCAAAAAAAGTGGCTTTCTGTGTTTCTAGTATGTGTTCCTGAGGACTCGGCGCCGTTGATGGCAGAGCCCAAGACCCTGTGTTCCGTTTCTCTCCAGTATGGGCTTTCTTCTATTTCCTTTTTATCTGTGCTTATGAAGAATACTGCATGTTTCTGTCTATTGCGGTAGTTAACGGCTTTTCTTTTTGTGCATCTTTTTCGTGTGTCTCTTTTTTATTTTCCCACTTTGTATCTAGCTCGCTCTCTTTGGTTAAGGATGCTGCAATCATACTTAATCAATAGGTCGGGCAAAAATTTGATTTCTATTCAGGCGCTCTGCATTGTCCTTTGCTTTCTATGACCAGCTACGGTGGACGAATGTATGGTGGTGGCGCGGGAGTGCCATGATTGACTGCATGATTTGCTTTCAGGGAAATAGATAGAGGTAAATGCCATCCCATATGTTCTATCCGATGTCATCTTTTCGTGACGATAGCATATCCTCGTGGATTAGCTAGTTAGTACCTCTAAAGTGCGAGCGTTTGACACCTGAGACTCCCTGTCGTATATGACTTCCAATCAATTCCCCTACCTAGTACCAACTACACTGCCATCCTTGGAAAGACACTCAACCCATTCTATCACTTTACCCCTTTCATTCCACTGGAACCCCCAAGAGAAGGCCAAAACGAAATGGAAACAATGCAAACCATCACCACTCCATCCCCATCATCCCTCCTTTGGGCCCACGAAATCCGCCGCGAAAACATTCACCTCCTAAACCAACTAGACGCGACACGAACCTCGCTCTCCTCAACGACCCAGACAACACAGACATTGAAACAGTCCGTTGCAGAACTTACGCAACTCGTACGCGAGCTTGGGGCTGAGAATCGCGTCCTCCACGATACTCTGGATGATGTACAGAGAAAGCTTGCTCTTTTGGGGGATAGAGTCGAGTCTACGTCTACGTCTACAGTGACTTCGCTTGAGTCGTTGGGGAGGAGGGTCGGTGGGCTTGAGGATGAAATTGGAGTGAGTAGAGGAAGGATTAGTGCTTTCGAAAGGCAGCTGAGGGGTGCTGTTAGTGGTGATGAAGTGAGAGAGATGGTAGGAAGGGAACTGCGGGCGTCTAGGGTCTGCTTTGGTAAGTTTTTTTTGGGGAGGCGGGGGGAGGTTCTCTTTCTCTTTTTTCTTCTTCTGCGTGTCTGCTTATATTCACGGTGGCAGGTACAGCAAGGAAGGATGATGAGAATCCCGATGTGCTCGTTCCGGATTCAGTGCCCTTCACTAATACTAATACCTCTACGGCGACTGTCGAGAATCCGGGTTCAATCCAGGACCGAAACATCTCAGTCCTTGACTCGATAGAGGGGATCACTAGGGAAACTCGCGAATCCCAGTACCAGGACTGTGACACAACTAAAGACGAAAAGGGAGAACACGGGCCAAAAGAGCAAGTTGAGATGGCATCAGTGAGAGGCGGAAACTCCTACAACTTTGAAATCGAAAACTTGAAGCAACGTGAGAGGACTCTCTCGGAGTACCTCTCCTTTGCCGTTGAGGTTAGACGGCAACTCCCTCCGCGGAAACGGGAGGGGGTTATCGTGGAAGCTTTCGTGGGAGGGTTGGATAATCTGTATACTCGGGAACTACTGGAGAAACAGATGGATAGGGATGGATGGAGCTGGGGTGTGCTTGAGACGGTATTGAATAACATCATTTCTGAGCAAGGAGGAAGAGACGTACAAGCTATTAGTGATGGAATAGGATCCAACGCCCGCGGAGAAACTACCGACAGCAAAGGGAGTACTGGTTGCAGGCCCGACGGGCATGGGATGGCTAACGATACCAACCTGAAGCAGAGGCACAGGAAGAAGAGGAGGTGTATTCCTATTGTACCGGTTGATGAAGATGATCTGTTACCCTAACCTTGAACCATGGCCATAGCCATGGTTCGTTTCAACGCCAATTACGAGAATTCACATTTGTACTTTTTATTCCAGGCATGTTGAAGGCTTTCCCTTTCCGTTTTGGTGCGCATCCCTTGCTCACCGAGTACACGTGAGCGCTGAGGTGAGTAGTAGGATAGATGTAACCTCAATAGAATGCACCCAGCTACAGGGGTCTTGACCATATCCGTCAGAGTGCAGGTTCAGAAAAGAGGTATCGATTGGACTGGACACTCAGGCAGGCTACACTGTAGGTCAGGCTATATACAGGCAGATAGGCAAAACCTAGCTCGAAGAGCTACAACAGGATCAAACCAGAAGTCGGAGATATTGTTGGTGGTTCCCATGGTTCAGTTCCTTCTAAGTCTGGTTTAGCTTCCGTTGGTTAGCATAGCGTAGAACTGAACCATGAGGCTTTCTGTTAGTAGTTCGTGAAGTGGATCAGGGGTGCGGCGTGCGGATATCAAATACTAAAAGGAAGCGTAGGGTTCGCGATGAACGCTCTATATCAATATACTGCCGCCTATAGCACATTGTGAAGCTCCTAATTGACATGCTTAACGCCCTTTTCAAGCTCTCTATCCTATATATGCGGGATTCGGGGAATCCGGGTGCAGGCATCTTTCCTCTCGGAACATATATACTCCGGATTCCGGGGCTGGATTATTAGATAATCCGCCTGTCCGAAATAACTAGTATATCCTCATCAAATACCATGGCATTATGCGATCCCGTTCGACACAAGCTCATTTTAAGACCATGGTTTTGGCCATTGTAGGAAGACTAGATATCTTTGTTGCCTCCAGACACACAGCTATCAAAGAGCAGGCTAGGGCCACAGTAGGCCTTATCATTGTAGACACTGGCATGGCCCATTCTCAACCATCCTCGCCAGGATCCAAGCGCAAACATTGAGTGGGCATTGCGAACCTACAGGTAGGTCCCTCCTTTTTTTCCTACTTCTTACCTTGAGGCGCTGTTGGACGGACGGGCTCCGCCATACTTAGGTATGGTGGAGTCCGTGGCGGAAGGCGAGCAGGTAGTTTTTTGAAGAACAGGCATACTTTTCGTTTTCAAGTTGCTTCACTAGTATCGTTATCGCCGTCGTCGTACAGTACGGAGCCCGGCTTCATTATGATTGCGTCTTTCCTTTTTGTTATATCGTTTCCTTACTAAATTGTCCTTTGCCGTGTTGTATCGCGGCTTCGTTTCAGTGCATCCATCCCCAAGATCCCTCGGCCACAACCCGGTTCCTTTCGCAGGGAACAACGCACGTATGCCCCCCCTTTACAACAGCTATGCTAGTTGGAAAGGGCTTTTATTGCAGTTCCTATTGTCTCACAACAACTATACAATCCTTTGATGACATTGATGCAGGCAGAGGTGATAACAATGGAGTTGCATGGTAGAATAGAAAGCCTGTTTAGTGGCATATATCCATTTTTTTCAAATATAATTCATGGACCTTGCTTTATATGCATATTTCCATACCCATAACCCGTTCTATCAAGTATATAGGACCAATCAAGTCTCCTTAAACTCATACCGTCCCTCCCGATCCTTAACCTCAACCTCAATCCGGCCTTCCTCGATCTCCTTCCCTCCAACCTCAATAGACGCCTTCATAATATCGCCCGCCTTCACCTCCCCAACACCCTTAGGCGTCCCGGTGAGCACCACATCCCCTTTCTCCAAAGTCATAATACTGGAGATCTTCGCCAGGATCTGTGGAATGCGATAGATCATCAGCCCAGTTGAGTCAGCCTGTCGCTGCTGCGGCCCGACACTGAGACGGAGAAACGCATCGTGTGGGTTCGGGATCTTCCACTTCGGGATCTCCTGGGATATGGGCAGGAAGGTATCGAATCCTTTCCCGATGGTCCAGGGGAGACCCTTCTTTTTAGCTTCGTCTTGGACGTTGCGGGCCGTCATGTCTATGGCGAGGACGTAGCCTATATATATATGCAATTAGGCCAGTGTTGGGAGAACCGATGAGAGAGAATGAGGCAATAAACTAACTGTGAATCGCATCAAATGCCTTCTTTTCATCCTGAGGATCCAAATCCCGGAGAGTCTTCCCTATCACCAAGCCGAGCTCTACTTCGTAGTGTAGTATGGTCCCCTTCGGACGCAGGAGGGGTCCCTCGCCGGGGAGGAGGATAGAGGAGGACGGTTTGAGGAAGAAGAAGGGCTGTTTGGGTCTGGCGTTGTTGAGTTCTGTGATGTGCTCTCTGCAATTATTCTCATGGTTAGTATTATACTATCCGAATTGAGGGTAGCACAAAAGAACATACGCATAATTCCTGCCAATGCAGGCGACTTTCCTGCAATTCGCCTTTATCGATGCCATGGTTGTTTTCGCTGTCCTCCTGGTCGTTGCAGATCGCAATTGGGGGAATTGGAGATAGTAATACTCAGTCTGGATCTGGATCCCCGAGATCGGACGGAAGGATGCTCTGCGACGTGAAGTCTGCAGTGGATAACGATAATAATCTCCGTACAGAGCAGCAAGTGACGGGATGCAGCTCCGTTGGAAGTTGACATCTCCGCTCGGTCCTCGGCCCGCATCTCCGCTTTAATATCTGGACTTCACTGAATTTACTTCCACTACTCCGTACGCTTGGCTTTTTATAGCAGTGTCAAATACAAGACCAGAATCCAGATAATAAGACATGAAGGTTGCTGAGATCCTCTCCGATCTAACCTCTTTACGTGTTTGCGTATGCAGATTCCCTTCTAACACTTAATGCAACAACCCAAACCAACGTAAAACAGACCTAACCTGTCTCTCAGGAATACAAGGATGCCCTTGCCCTTGTCACCGTCAACAAAAGGATCCCTCTAGACTTAGCATCTTCGGAAATCCCCCATGGGGGGATATCAGATGCACAAGGCACGTCCCAAGAACAAGAAAGCCAGATCCAGAATGCTGATCTGGAACGAGCCAAGGAACTGGTTGATCTGCACTACATGATTAAAGAGAAACATAAAGAAGGGAATGTCGATGAGGATCTGGCTCGTTTGAGGAGTGATGTTGATCGGGTTTTGAGGGAGTTAAATACGAGACGAGTATGAGCTATGTCCATCTTTGAGATCAGGAAGTGAGATATCTGCCAAACTTTAACTTTGAAGCCTTCGGGATATTTTAGAACAGCCTACATGGCTACTGATATTTGCTGGGCTTTATCAATATTCCAGGCTCAGGCTTTCGAAAGCATGGCTTCAAGCTTCCAGAGAGGATATGGTTCGTGTCAACGCTTGGGTCGTATCAAAACTCAACGGACAGAACATCCTGGCAAACAATACGATATTCTTGAACAGTGAAAGCAACCTACATCAGTTATCAAGTAGATCATTTAGATCATTTAGATATAAATAAACGATCGATCTACACCTTCACAAGAGAAAATACATCACGTGATTGTAAACTATCCGAATAGGAAATCCCGAGTACTTCGTACGGCAAGCTCCCTATACCCCAAGCGCAATTTTGTGTAGTCGACCACGCGTGGCTCGCTGAACAAAACCACATCCATAACTGCCAATTTCTCGGGGGATCTGCCTACGCAATCTGTCCCAGAATGACGACCAGCGTGGATGCAAAACTGCTCAAGCAGACTAAATTCCCTCCTGAATTTAGTCGGAAAGTGGACATGACTAAGGTCAACATTGAGGTCATGAAGAAGTGAGCATTCCTCCAGACATTACATTCTTGCTACTCGAAAACAGATTTAACTGACCCTCGTGCGTACCCCTGCAGGTGGATTGCGGGAAAGATCTCGGAAATTCTGGGAAATGAAGATGATGTGGTGATCGAGCTTTGCTTTAATCTTCTTGAAGGGTCGCGTTTCGTAAGTCTCGAGACTCGGATTTCGACTCCTCTGAAATTGGTCGCTGATTAGTTTTTAAAACCCTGCGACTACAGCCGGATATCAAGTCTTTGCAAATCCAGCTTACCGGATTTCTAGATAAGGATACACCGAAATTCTGCAAGGAGCTTTGGGGTTTATGCCTAAGTGCTCAAGAGAATGCTCAAGGAGTTCCCAAGGAGCTCTTGGAGGCGAAGAAGCTTGAACTCATACAGGAGAAGGTTATTTTGGTTAGCTTACATATGCCACTATAACTCGGCTGACTGGTTCACCTAGATCGAAGCAGAAAAAGCCGCCGAAGAAGCCCGTCGCAAGAAGGAACAAGAACGAGCACGCGAACGAGAGCTCGAGGAGATGAGGAAGAGGGAACGATTTGAGCGCAACAGGGGAAGATGGAGTGGTGGTGGTGCTAGAGGAGGCCGCGACTACGATAGACGATACTCACGATCGCCCCCGCGACGGCGGAGTCGAGATTATTACCGTGATACTCGACCAAGACGGGAGCCAGACTCCTATGTTCCGGGACGTTCATACAGAAGCCGTCGACCGTCTAGGTCACCATCCCGCTCGGTATCCCGTTCTCCGTCATCGTCACGCTCGCCACCTCGTCGAACACGCCGGGACCGTCGTGGGCGTTCGATCAGCAGCTCCGTGTCGCCAGACAGGCGTGATTATAGAAGGTCTAAGAGAAGACGTAGCAGTCCAGACTACGGTGATCGACATAGATCTACTCCCCGCCATGATTTATCGCGCTCACCTACTCCCAGACGAGACCGACGAAGACGACGATCCGTTTCGTCGCGCAGTTTGTCGCCATCGCCTGTACGTCGAGGTCGCCGGAGGAGCCGCAACTCTTCTGCTTCAAGGTCAAGATCTAGGTCGTTGGTTGACTCCCGTTCAAGATCCCGGTCGCCTCATGAAAGGAGCAGCAAACGCAGAAGAGATTCATCCGCTGATGTTGGCAAGGGCCGGAAAGACCGTGATGACCGTCGTTTGAGCCGCAGCGCAGATACCGAAGACGATCACAAACGCCCCAGACGATCAAGCCGCAGCCGCAGTCGCAGTCGCGGGCGCACGCGAACTGTCAGTGCCAGCCCGAAACGTCGCAGTTCATATAGTCGCAGCCGAAGCCACAGTCCGAGGAGGGAGAGAAAGAGACGCCGTTCTATTGAAAGATATGCACCAGCCGCGCGCAGACGGCGCAACTCCTCTTCTATATCTGTCCCCACTGAAAAGCGACAGCGAATGGCTGCTGATGAAGAAGAAAAAGGAGAAGACACTGCAAAACAAGCCTCTCGTCCAGATGACCAGCCGGGCTCGAACGATCCAGAGACGAAGGATATTGGCGAGGTGGGTGAATAACCTCAGGCATACATTCACGTCCGTGGTCCCGGTGTATTTATTCAATTCGCTGTACAATATTATTACCTATGACGTCCACATAGCTAATGGAATGGGTTCTTAGAGCACAACGCAACTCTCACATCGGACACGTATATCAACCACTGAGCTGCGCGAGAAGATCCTCCGCGAGAAGTTAGTGGCCATGCGCCGTACCAGTAACCACCTCCGGTAAGAAGGTAGGTGGTTTCAGCGCTGACCGTAGCGAAAGCTGGGTTTATTCACAAAAAGTACTATCTTTTGTTGGAGCATTCGGTGTAGGCAGCATAGCATCCCTCCTGAGGAATGGGTTGATTGTTTTACCACTCAGCAATAATAGATAATGATCCATTCTACAGCGTCGAACTTCAGTTTTTTCCTTTTCAGCCAGACCGATCAACTATCATATGCCAATTTATACGAAGTAATTATTCTATCCAATTCTAAACACGAACTCTACGCATTCATCGACCGGTACCTAGCTAGTTTCATTACCCTTACCAAATCCAACCGCAACTCACTCAGATGCTGTACGCTGTAGATTGTAGACTGTAGACCGTCGCGATGATTGAAGTAGGAGTATTTCTTCCTAGGGACACTGGACACTTGATACATAACATGATCAGCAGCAGATCGCTTCAACGGATGAACGTCCCATTGGCGACGTCAAATTTAAATGCAGATCGGGACGCATTGGCAGCCGTTGATCCGGGAGCAACCACTGAGACATAGCGAAAAGGAGAATTCATAATGTTTACATCTGGATGGAAAAGCAAAGGCACTTTTGATGGAGATTTTGTGATTCTGTCATGTCTGGTTGTATTGCGATGCGAGTCTCGGCTGGCGATTATAACCTCGTTGCTATCTCCATCTCCATCTAAGTATGCGGTTATATCCATGTCTCTTCGTATTATGCCGGTCTGTCTGTCTATATAATATACTGTTAGCATCTCAAGTGACAATGGCAGATAGATTCTGATCCCGAGATGACAAACCAGTGTTTTGCATGGACTATCTCAACCCAAGCAGACCTCATCATGGTCTTCCATTCTGTATGATCCATTCAACTTCCCATTATCGTCTATATGTGTGTTCATTTCTCAGAAAAGGAGGATTGGGAAGCATTGGGATGGAAGAATCCGCGCTGTGTTTGTAGGATGGATTTTGCATCTCCCACTGCTGCAAGAGACAAGGGAAAACAAAACAAAACAATCACGCCCACAATAAGGATAGCTCTGCACTGGACCTGTAAATTTCTAGAAAGATCACTATATATCAAGATAAGCAGCTGAAAAGAAGAGCATGCATCACTTGATATCTACAGTGAGTACAACATCCACAAACAAGGGAGCAAAAACCCACTGATGACTGTGACTGTAACCCAACATCACCCATAGGCTACGACTACAAAAGTACACTCTCATCCGGCCCCTTCCGAACTGACAGATCAGTTAAAGAAAACAAGAACAAGGAGGCCAAAAAAGAAGCATGCGGAAAGGCCCTTCCGTCTTCATGCCGAAGTGTGGGGAGGAAATACGAGGAGCAGGAATGGAACTATCACCACTAGTTGCGGTGGGCTGGATTTACACCGACTAATTATTATTATTATTATCACTGGAGTATGTGAGGGATATCCAAGATCTCATATGGACCCATTGATATCTACCGCTTCTACGAAGATAGATATCTTGGTCTAGCTCCTGCTGGTTGTAACTATCTGATATCATGCGATTCATTACGCAAGGCATGAAGAGGATTTATTAGTACCTACAGCACACAACATACGAAACGGGACAATGCTATAGCTGAGGCTGGCTGGATAATGGGTCCGGTGGGCACTGGACACTGTCGACAGAGTACTCCGTAGGAATACATCTGGATCTGTACCAAGTCAATATAGCCGTAAAAAAAAAAAAATCATGTTCGAATCTAGACCCAGCTTGCATATTCCAGGAACAGAAAGACGGTGTTCGCTTTGTTCACTGGCCTTTTTATTTTCCAACTATTGGCAGGCTACAGGCACACTACTACGCGCATGCAGACAAGACTCTAGCAGAAGTGATAGTGCCAGCAGGATCATAATCATATGCATGCAGTGGGATTGAAATTTGACGTGCCCCATTTCGTTCCTTCGGCCTCGCTTGATCTCGGTTCGGAATCTACTAGAATGATTTTTACTCTGAGACATACTGAAGATCAATCATTCATATTAGGTAGAGGAATCATACAGTAAATATAGCATAAGCATAATTAAATTTCCAGCGAAGGGGAAAAAAAGAATTCAGACAGACTACTAAAATACAGGATGGGAGTGCCGCACTGCCAACTCTCTGCATTCAGAGTACCATAAACCATCACTTGTCAAATTGAATACAAATCGAAGCAATAGGGAGTAGCGAGTGGTTCCGCCGTAATCTGACGATTAGCTGCCCTGATTACCTCATGGCAGGAGTATCCGTTTACTCGCAGCCGCATACTGTCACCGTCGTAGCGGGAGCAGTGACAGTCACCGTAGGAGGAGTCACCGTAACAGTGACCGGGCCGGCAGGCACCGAGACAGTGCTGGAGGGGCTAACTCCTCCAGGGGGAACTGTAACAGTGCTGATGGGGATGGTGACGGATTCAGTGAAGGTGTGGCATGGGGTGCTTGACGGGCTAGGGCCAACGGTAACGCTAGTCGTGACCGGGCCAGCAGGGACACTGCCAGTGCCTGTTGGGCCAACAGCGGGGCTGCTAGTAACAATGGGAATAACGGTCTCCGAAGTAACAGTCTCACAAGGGGTCGAAGTCTCACCAGGGCCAGCAGGAACGGTAGTTGAGCCAGTAGGGCTGACGCCAGAGGATGTCACGACAGGGCTGCCAGGAACGGTAGTTGAGCCAGTAGGGCTGACGCCAGAGGGTGTCACGGCAGGGCCACTAGGGGCAGAAGAGGTGCCGGGCACGACGGGGACGGTGGCAGAGCTTGTGCCAATAGGGATGACTGTCTCCGAGGTAATAGTCTCGCAAGGGGTGCTGGACGGGCTGGGGGTACCGGGAACGACAGGAACAGTAGGAGTCACGCCAGGGCTGCTAACGGGAGCGGAAGGGCTTCCAGGAATGACGGGAACAGAGCTGCTCGGCGCAACGGGAACAGTGCTGGAGCCCTTTGTGATGGGAATGAGGGACTCCGACGTAAAGGTTTCACACGGGGTGCTGGACGGGCTGGGAGTGCCGGGAACAGTGATGGAGCCTGCCGGGGACGTAGGTGTGACGCTGACGCTGGGGCTGCCAGGAGTAGTACCGGGAGTGGTACCAGGAACAGTAGCAGGGGTAGTACCGGGGGTAGTAGCAGGAGTGCTGGTAGCGGGAATTGCGGGAATCGAACTAGAGGGAACAACCGTAGGAGTGGGAGTAGGCATAATGGTGGTGATGCCTGGGCAGCCAGGGAATGGAACACCAATGAACCAACCCCAGACGATGATCTCGAAACCTCCAAAGATGCTCACGTCAAAACCGCCGGCGCCAGCGAGGAAAACAGCCAGCTGGGCCCAAACATCGATGGTGAGGACAGACAATCCCTCGCCGGAAACAATAGCCCAGAGAGCAGCACGAATTTCAGCACTGAGACTAGCGGCAACGGAGCCCTCGAGGAAGGTGATAATCTCAGTAACCTCGCTGGCTACAACACCAACGGGGTTGACACTGGCAGCGAACGACAGCCAGAGCAAGACAACTGCCTTCAATTCAGCGCTGAGGGTACAGCTTGAGCCAGACAGCCACAGTGCGAGAGCGGCACGCACTTCGACAGACAGGGAGGTTGCAAGGGCGCCCTTAGCGCATGCTTCGAGTCCGATCGTAATGCTCTCCTCCAGAGCAACTGCCACGCTTGTCTTCAGCCAGGCAGCCAGAGCGACCTGGGCTTCCTCAATCAAAATTCCAGTAGCGAGCACACGAGATTCGACGTAACCAGCAACTGACACCAGCTGGGAAACAGATTCAGAGATTTCACCGATGACAGTCACACCCGTGGAAACTTCGGCCTTAAGCCAAGCAAGCACAGCGGCCTTCAAATCAGCCTCCAATTTGCATTCAGTGCTGACAAGCCAAGCGTGAAGAGCTGCCTTGACTTCAGCGGAGAGAACAGTGACGGCATTGCCGGCGGCGCAGGCACCCAAGGCGAGGCGGATCTCAGCAGAAATAGCCGCGCTGGCGGAGGCAGAGAGGAATGACAGGAGGGAAGTCTGGAACTCGGCGGCAAGGGCGACTTCTCCCTTGACGAGTTCAGCCAGGCCGACGATACCTTCGATCGTGGCGGTAAGCTGTTCCTCGGCGGCGATCTGAGCGAAGAGGGGAACAAACAAGGAGATGCTGCCAGCGACCTCCACGGACAGAGTGGCAGAACCGCCAGCATGCAACCAGCTGATCAAAGCAGCCCTCACCTCAGGGGCGAAGAAAACAGCATGGAAAGACGAGAGCCAGGTCACAACCTCAGTGCGGACTGAAATGTCAATAGCACCCGAATGGCAACCGTAGGCGGCTCCTTGCAGAGCAGCAGCGGCGTGGGCGCTGAGGCCAGTCAAGGAAGAGGCAGTAACCTGACCCTTGGCGAATGCTTCGATGATGGCAGGCAGGTCAAGGCCGAAGGTACGGGGGGACATCTGCTTGCTCCGGCGGTCGACATCAGTTGGGAGACCGAGGGCGTAAGACGCCAAAGTGGCGAGCAAAAGGATGCTGGGACGCATGATGGTGAAAGCGTAGAGCAGTCAATCAATGATGCCTAGTAGGTAATAATAACGAATGTCCGCAGAAATACAAAATCTGCTGTGGAAAAGAGTGCAGTAGTCCTGTTGAGTATACAGAATTCAAGTCAATCGGTATTAACGAATGGGACCGGCTAAGAGTAGCCTAGGACAGGTTGAAAGAATGACAGAAAGGGCAGTGAAAGAGTGGCCCTGATTGGAAAAGAAGGACTAGGGAAAAGTAGGTGAAGAAAGAAGAAAAGATAAGTAGGTAGTAAAGACAGGGTTTGACCAGGGGCAGTCCCCATTTATAAGAAACCCCCTTTGGAAGCAAGTAATGTATATCAATCAGCCGGCGATATTGTACTCCGTAGGGAGTAGACAGCCCCTCGGACCTCAACTCAACATTATCCACCGTCGTCTTGAGGAAGAACATGTCGACGGCAAGTGGGTCTGCCGTTTCCAATGCGAATGAGATGATCGACCAGCATGCAGACATCGGAGAGACAGCGAGACAGGTCCACGGGGCTGTGAAGTGTTATCCCAAATAGGCAAGCCTGGATCGACGGCGAGGGAGGATCGGCCAACACGGGGACGGGCGATAGAAAGCCAATCACAGCTGGACCGGGCAAAGAAGGATAATGCAATGGTCAATCTATTGTGCTCCACCTGCTGGATGGAGAAAGCCAGGCTCGAATCCGTGGTTCATGCGCAATAATAATTGCATACCCTTTTTACCCCTGTGAATCGTGCGCTGGACAATGCGTGACCCTCGGTATAGGAACGCCAGGGATGGGATGAGACCTCGTATTCGTGGAGTGTTCGTCCGCATTGAGGAAGAGTAGACGACGGAGGGTGGGAATTGAAGTCCGTTGTATTTTGATTGTGATGATTTTTTTATTTTTTTTTTATCTTCCTTCTCTTCCGAAGACGCATCGTATGGTGTGGGTAGAAGGGGCCAGAAACAGAGGCCCATATTGTCATAGCGACGATGACTCCGCGTGTGCTCCGTGCCTAAGAATAACCTTTTCTTCATTTTCCATGTTGCTGTGGCATGCGGCGGAGATGAAACTATGCTGAAGTTCGCCTCCGTACGAACACCGCGAAATCGAACTCCTGAAAAGCTTCAACTTCCTGTTAGTACACGTGAGGTTCTGCCGTCCTAGACCGCCCTCGCTACCTATCTCACGGCACAGGCAGGCCTACCTAGTAATACGACCATACATGCGCCTATCCATTAGGTTATGAGCCCTCTGTCTCACTCCATCAAAATGTGAGCTTAACAGCATCAGTGCTAGTGCTGGCCATATGGCCTAGCAATACTAGCAGTCCGGATTGTCCTACGACATACCGAAAGACCGGATCGACAACGAATCGAAATCCCCTCGATTACCCCTGAACTGCTCGTCCACCTCCATTAGGTTATGAGCCCGTTTTAGCTCTACGATATTGAGCTTAAAAAAGCCTTTCAGATAGGCTAAATTGTGACCTCTCATTGGTCAAACCAGAAATCGAGCGCTTCTAAGCGACTCTGAACACCAGGACCGCCAACAATCGGCCCCTGAACCCCAGGATCCTTCGATCGATCCCATCCAAAATGGTGGTGCCTCGAACGCCCCCTACCACCGCTAGACGTCACCGTCGTCAGCCAGAATCCACAGATCCTTCATCAGATATAGGCTCCTCCGCCTCCTCAGTAATCTCTGAAGAAATGGACACCCCAACTGCCCCTAGAGCTCAAAGCTCTACTACAGCCAACACCATGGCATCCACACCAGACATCACAGCTCTGTTCCAGCAGATGCAGGAACAGATGCAGGAACAAATGCAGAAGCAGATGCAGGAACAAATGCAGAAGCAGATGCAGGAGCAAATGCAGAAGCAGATGGACCAGTTCATGACTCGTTTTAATGCCCTTGAACGCCATCAATCCCAATCCTCCACTCCTACAGTCCGGCATAACGCTACTCCCTACAATCATATTCAAAATAATACAGCTATTCCAGCCTCAAATCCAGTACAAAAAGATCCTTTTGATCATGTACAAGCTCAAGTTAAAGCGCTCTTACCAGACCGATGCCGAATCACACTGTCTCATGATAATTACGACCCCTGGAGTTCAGCCATTCAAAGAGAAGCCAATGTCCTGAACGCTAGTACAGTCTTGCATCAGGATATACCTCCAGCAGGATACTCAGCTTATGATGCTGAAGTATGGCATTGCAAAGCCACTGTCATGAGAGCCCGAATGCTTCATGCTATGACTGCCCAAGCCATTGACAAATTGGGCAACACATATGACCTATCAGCCCATGGTTTATGGGACCGAACTGCTACCTTTTTCGGACGTTCTACTGGTGAAGAACGAATGCTTCTCATAAAAGAGCTCAAGGAGCTCTATATAAAAGACAATGACTACCTATCCTACCAATCTGCGTTTACTAGGATAGTAGACCGCCTTCATGCTATAAAAGAAGCATCATTTGACAACCTTATTCACGACCTATTTTTTATAGGCCTCCGCGAATGGAACAAAGCATTCATTAAGAGTAAACTTGATGAAGTATACTCAACTGGACAAGACCCTGTCATCAATCTGGACCTAACTACCATTCAAGCTCAACTCTCTATCCGTATGGGCACCCAAGCCCGTGAATCCCGCTCCCAACACGGAGGACGACGAGAGAATCTATCCGGACGAAGCTATTCCAAACAAGCATCTAACCCCATTGCTAGCTCTTCCGCCTCAAGTTCCAACACTAAATATAAACCTCAGGACCAGGACTCACGCAAACCAAAGACCCGTTGTGATTGGTGTGGTCATTTCCACCCAATGCCTTGCCTCTACAAGAACCCTGAGAAAGCCTCTGAGCATTGGCACCGAGCCAATAAAAATACTATTGAAGCTATTCGTGCTTTACACACTGCTAAAGAATCTTCCACTGCTTCATTCTCTGAAGCAGAAACCAATGAACTGGTACCATGGACTTCTTCAGCTGCAAAAACAGCCATTGCTAAATCAGCCCAATCTCTCCAAGCTTCATGGTATCTTGATAGCTGTGCTTCATTCCATGTTACACCCCACCAAGCTTTCTTCACGTCCTATAAAACATTGAGAAAGGAGGACCTTACTCCAGCGGATTATATTGAAGATGCTCAAGGGAAGATTTCCAAACCTCATGGTATTGGCACCGTCGTCATTGATATTGGAACCGGATCCTTGATCCTTAGGGATGTACGACATGTTCCATCCTTCAATTCCAACTTAATCTCCATGGGAATGCTTCTCAAACAAGGTTTTCGTATCGAATTCCCTTCCAGCTCTCAAGTAGCACAAATCACAACCTCTTCTGGTGCAGAATTTGAAGCCATTTTGAATACCAACAATGTATTCATCCTATCAGATTGCATTTCTCCCAACGAGAGCTCCTATGCCTTTGTCACCACCCGGTCTGGCAAAGAGGCCAACCGACCAGGGGACCCTCCCAGAAAGAAACCTACAACATCCCCAAAGACTAAGAGCTCCAAAACAGCTCTACCAATTATGACATGGCATCGCCGTCTATGCCATTTAAACCAGCAGGATCTTTTACGCCTTGCCGCAGATCCTACATCAGACATTGAAATCAAAGGTTCCAGAGAACTACCACTTTGTGAAGCCTGCATCCAGGGCAAGCAAACTCGCCAATACAGCAAAACACCAAGATCCCGTATGACTGCACCACTAGCCCGAGTCCACATAGACCTTGCTGGTGGCGGCCGAACACTAGATATAGAGAAGCTAGATATGCCTCTACCTTCACGTACAGGAGCCAAATATGTGATGCTTATTACTGATGACGCTACACGTTACCGTTGGATCCACTACCTAACTGAAAGATCTGCTGCAATTGATGCATTTCGGGGTTGGCTACAACAGATGAAGAATCACCATTTCCCTGCCCCAGCCTATATTGTCTCTGACAATGAATTCTGTTCAGCTGAATGGCAGAAAACCTACCGTCAGGAAGGCATCGAATGGCAACCAAGTTCTCCATATTCCCCTTGGCAAAACGGTGTCAGTGAGCGCAGCATACGCATACTCTTTGACCGTGCTCGGACATTAATGCTTGACGCTCCCCATATACCACAGCGATTTTGGGTTGATGCTTTAAAATATGCATCAGATATAACAAACCGCCTCCCAACATCCACAATCCTATTCAATTCACCTATCCCTGGGGGTCAATACCAACACAAAAATCAGCCCAAGCCCATATAAATCGCCTCTGGCTGCCTGGACCAACTCACCAACTAGTATCAACAAATACCGACGTTGGGGGCTGCCCTGTCTGGGTTCATCGACATGGCTCAGATAAGCCTATAAACAAGTTCGATTCCCACTCTAAATGCTGCTTCATGATCGGCCAAATCAGTAGCCAACAATACAGAGTGTGGGACCCTAAAACAGACGCCATTTTTTCAACCAATGACACTATATTTGATGAAGAATATGAGGATCCCACAACTACACCTCCACAAGCTACTGTTCCTGAAGATCCAAGTACTCCTAATAAAGAAGATACAAACCAACCTGTTGAAGATGAAGACCAGGAAATATGGCTTCGACCCGCCAAAGGCATGTCCCTAGCCTATCTCACCACTTCAACTACTCCTTCGTCTGAAGATGACACGCCTACTTCCTATAAGCAGGCTATATCTCATCCTGATGCCACCAAGTGGCAAGCAGCCATGCAAAAAGAAGTCAACCAACTCAAAGAAAAAGGCTGCTGGCAACTTATCCGCCGCTCTGACCTACCACCAGGGACCAAGGTCATCCCTGGCCGGTGGGTATACAAAAAGAAAGAAATCCCTGGTACCCCTATTACAAGGGACTACCAAGCTAAAGCTCGCTGGGTGATCCGTGGAAATCTACTTGACAAGGACTTCATGGAATCATACGCCCCAGTGGTAGATGAAAATACCACTAGAACCCTTACGGCACTGGCCACTCTACTTGGCTGGCATACTCGAAAGGCAGATGCCATCCTTGCTTTCCTAAATGGAAAAATGCCCACAGATAAACGTGTCTTTATGACCCAAGTTCAGGGATTCAAAGAAGGCTCTGGAGACCTGGTTTGTGAACTCCGCCAGTCCCTCTATGGACTGATCCCATCTGCCCGTATCTGGTATGATACACTAAATGCTTTCTTACGACAAATTGGCTTCAAAAGCTCCGAATACGACTCTGGTCTCTGGATCCATACCACCCGGACCCAACTCTATGTGACTACCCATGTGGATGACTTCAAAGTCTATGCTAAGCATGAGAATGATGCCACTTGGTTTATGGAGTCTCTTTCTGCTAAATTTGACATAAAAGAAGTTGGAAACTCTACCAAATACCTTGGCATGGCCACCTCTCAATCCAAGACCACATATACTCTCTCCCAGGCCAATTATGCTGAAGACGTTGTTGCCTCTTTTGGCCAAGCACAAGCACACCCTGTTGGGATCCCCATGGATCCTAGTTTAATAATTGATGATGACCCAGACCCTACAGTGAACATCAAAGAATATCAACGTGGTGTAGGCTGCCTTACTTGGCTAGCCACCAAAACCCGACCTGATCTTAGCCGGACAGTTGGCGTACTATCCCAATATCACGCCAAACCTACCCAAAAGGCATGGCGTGCCCTTATACACGCTATACGCTACCTTAAAGGCTCCATTAACCGACAAATCACCTACCATAAGGCCACGGAACCCATTACATCTGACCTCCTCATGCCCAGATGTTATACTGATTCTGATTGGGGTGGTCAACTGACAGGCAATCGCCGGTCAGTATCTGGATATATATTTCTGCTTGCCGGGGCCCCAATTGCCTGGAAAAGCCGCAAGCAAACGTCCGTTGCACTTAGCTCCAACGAAGCTGAGTATATGGCTCTAAGTGAAGCCAGCCGAGATGCCCTTTGGCTCCGGAACCTCATCAACGAGCTCAACGTACTCCCTACTGAATGCCCACCAATTACTCTCCATATCGATAATCAAGGTGCACACGCCATGGCTGAAGCTGAGCTCACCACCAAGAGATCCAAACACATCGATATACGTTACCATTACGTTCGGGAGAAGATCCAAGACGGTATTGTTAAACTCCAGGCCTGCCCTACCAAAGAACAAGCAGCAGACGGCCTGACCAAACCTCTCCGAACTGAACAATTTGATCATTTCCTACAACTCACTGGCATAAGCTAAGCCGCGTATATCTCCCCCATTTTGGATATATTTTCTATTTTGATATACGGCATTCGATTGGCTAAAGCAGAACCTTCATTCCTCTGTTTATTTTTGCATATATTCACTCATTTGAAGGCCCGAATAGAGGCCGATTTCTGTATTTAGATTGATTCCATAGTTTGTAGGCTGCTCGTGCGTGGGGGGTGTTAGTACACGTGAGGTTCTGCCGTCCTAGACCGCCCTCGCTACCTATCTCACGGCACAGGCAGGCCTACCTAGTAATACGACCATACATGCGCCTATCCATTACTTCCAAGGCGAACTGCACGTGATGCGCCTCGCTTGTGCTGCAGGCCGCACTACCCTCGACAGCGGCCCAAATTTCTATTGAACTGATCTGTCGAATATTGAATTGCTGCATGGACACGAGCCAGACTGTTCTATTCATCGCCCAGTCCCCCCCGTGTGTCTTAGAACTTTGTGCCTGTACGCTGGATGCTGGATACTGGACGCAGTACAAGCTCAGGATTCCTCCACTGCACAGCTTCCCATTTCCACGGCTCTGCCTAATTTAGCTCTTATTAATCTGAGACACACCTAAGTTTTCCCTGTATTGTATATTGTACTTCGTAGTCCGTACTATACGAGCTCTTCGCGAATTCCCATGACGCACTCTCTTTGCAGGTCGTCCCGCATTATTCACCTGCCTTAGGTTCCTCCCCGGAAACAGAAGGTGAAAAGCGCTCTTAGCGGCCGTAGCGTCTGCCCAGAATCGACGGACGGAGTTAGCGCCAGTGCTGACAAGGGCTGGCTGGCCATCGAGGCATATCATTATCTATGTATAGCACTCGGTAAGGGGTACTACTCGGTACTCCGTAAATTCCAAACACTGGCACCAGGAGTCGTAAAACCTAAAATCCCTTAGCCAGGAACCAGCTGGACCGTGTGTTCATGCTTCTATTCACAGAAACACCGTCATGCCCGGCCAACCGCGGCAAATGCAACCCCAACCCTCTCTAACTCCTTGAAACAATCGTCATTTTGCACGCGGGAACCACGACTGCTGAAAATAGAATACTCAAAGAGTTTGTCGAGTCTCGAGTTTCCAGTCCACGCCGACGGAAGGCCGGGGAATATGTGCATCTCTCGTTGATATCATAGGGACGAAGGGAGGGGCCTTTAGGTTTCCTAGAGATCTCTGGGGCTGTTAATATTGGTAATAGTAACCAGTATAGTTTTCGACTTGGCTCGCTTATCTTGTTTGGATGGCTTCGGTATACTGTATACTCCAGACATCCCATAGATCGGGTACCTCCAGGTCTGACTGAGAGTCTTCGGTGCTCTCTGACCTACAGACAACTCCAGACCGTACCTGGAAGGCATAGAATGAGATGCGAATGGATGTCCTAGATCCAGACAGCATGCATCCAAAGCATCAAGGACTTTGTTGTGAGGCGGTCATCACCCCTGGCAACGATATGCACGTGACTACGACGACGGCTTCCCTCCCAACCTCGCGCCGACTTCGTGTTGCTCTCGATGCTTCAGCAATTCCTGCAGCAGTCCGACCATAACACAACGACAACGACAACTACTTTGCAGTTATTGAGACGGTGCATGCTTTAGCACATTGGCATGCCCGCATAGTCTGCAATTTAGATAATGGCTTCACCCTCTCTAGCATCCGCATATAACAGCGGCCCATATCAACAACGGCCCATTTCCCGATCTACTTCCCGACGAGGTTCCCCTGCATTAAACAATTCGAGCGCAGGGAAATCGGAATTCTCCATTTCTAAATCATACCAGATCGCCGACAGCTCGGATGACGAGGTTCCAGAACCCAAGTTCAGTGCCTCTGTGAAAGCACTTTTAGGTGAGGCGGATTTGGCTTCTTCTCCGCGCCTTCATAATGGCAGCCGGGGTAGCAACGAGCACATTTTTTCCACATCCCCCAAGCAGGGGAAAACATTTCGAACTTCTTCGCCACATGACCACTCTACCGGAAGTCCTGCGCCGAGAGTCGTTCGCATATCGAGCTCCACGAACTCAACATCCAGGAGACATGCTTCTCCTCTTTCCAATGGTGAGCATGTAAATGATTTAATCACCCCGGCCCCCAGGCCACGCAGCATCCGCATCAGCACATCTCGCAGCCACTCACGATCTCCCGGTTCCATGTCACCCTCCCAGAAATGGTCATTGGACCGCAATTCAATTGGTGAACATGGAAGTGGGGACCGCTCCGATTATGACCAGGTTCCGCGCATGGGTACTTCATCCGTGCTTCGCGTACGGAATGGGGATGAGTTTGGAGCTCAAAGCTCGTTGCGTGTAAAGAGAGTCGGGAGACTGACCGGCACATTTCTTAATGGACCCGCTCGAAGAGGCGTGTTACGGCGACAGAGCGAAGACGAGATCGACCCCATGTCCAATCCAACTCTCCCTTCCACTGATGGTGCCAAAGAAGCGGCTGCGGACTACGATCGTGGTGATTCTGACTCCCTCCCGAGGGATACCGGGAGAACATCTCCCACACCCAGGGTGTCATGGGCGGATCGAGGCCCTTCTGATCCACCCGATCAACCGCGGTCCTTCAACCACAGGGATATTGCTCCAGCTGAGGGGTTATATTCGAGATCATCTTCCCCCAAATCCCACGGCTCTTATTCCAAGTCTACACCTGGGTCCTTGTCGGAGAGTTCATCCAAATCGTCTGCCGCTAGGGAAGCTCCCGTATTCAAAGTTCCCTCAGTGCCCACTCTTTCTGCGACTCGAGATCAAGAGAACGAGCCACCCCCGACTTTCAAACGGGTGAAGTCCAGGGGGTTCAATTTCCTGGACAAACCCGAGAAGTTCTCGGTTGTGTACGGAGAGGAGAAGAAGAACAATGCTCCAAATCCCGTTGAGAGTTCGCCAAGGAGGATCCTGGCAACAAAGAGCAACAATACCCCTCACAGACCGGCGCCGCCACCGCCCAAGATGTCGGTTCTGGAAACCGCTACGGCCACCGGAGGAGCGGCCACGGCGTCCCATTCCCGAAAGAAGCGTAGCCAGGTGTCTGTGAACCACAAACCATTTACACGACTGGATTGTATAGGTCGTGGTGGGAGCTCAAGGGTCTACCGAGTGATGGCTGAAAATTACAAGATATTCGCACTGAAGAGGGTCAATCTCGAGGATGTAGACCCATTAACCCTGGCTGGCTACAAGGGGGAGATCGATTTGCTAAAGAAACTGGAGAACATCGACAGGGTCGTACGCCTCTTCGACTGGGAACTTAATCACGATAAGCATACACTCAGCGTCCTCATGGAAATCGGAGAATCGGACCTGGAGAAGATCCTGACCTATCGTTTGAACTGTGAAGATGCCGTCTTGGACCTAAGCTTTACGCGTTATTACTGGAAAGAGATGCTACAGTGTGTCCAGGCTGTGCATGACTTTAATATTGTACATTCCGACCTGAAACCGGCGAATTTCCTTCTTGTCCAGGGCAGACTAAAATTGATCGACTTTGGCATCGCCAATGCTATTCAGGATAACACCGTCAACGTACATCGCGAACAGCAAGTTGGAACACCGAACTACATGTCACCAGAGGCATTAATAGACTCTAACGCCTCACTCGGCCTACCAGCCAGTGTTGGAAAAATGATGAAACTCGGCAAACCGAGTGACGTATGGAGTCTTGGCTGTATACTTTATAAGATGGTATACGGACAGCCACCTTTTGCGAAGATCCCGAAATACTACGAACGTATCATGGCGATCCCGAACCCTAGGGTTCCCATTGATTTCCCTCCCTTCGGTATTGGCGGGGTCCCAGTGCCACCGGGCCTTCTTCGGACCCTGAAGCGTTGTTTACAGCGTGACCAGACCCTTCGACCCACCGTGGAAGAACTTTTGGGTCAACGGGATCCATTCTTGTATCCCGAGACGCAGCTCGAAGGAGCGGTCCCTGTCACCCAAGAGATGCTCAGCAGAATTTTGGTTAATGTAGTCAATCACTGCCGGATTCGGGGCATTCCCAAAGAGGAAGAGCTCGCAGCATGGCCGGCAGGGTTTTTTGCCAAGATCAAGGCAGCATTGGAAGAAGACGAGCGCGCCTGATCATACACCGACATTCTATTTTTTTTTTTCTTGGCTTTTCTCTTTGTTTTCTTGGGAGACCCTGGAATGACATACCTTTTCGCCTTGTCCCGGCGGTGTCCGCACTTGCGGCTCGCCATTGCTAGATTATACATGACCCCTAACTGGACCACCTGATATTTTCCTATGTGAGACGTTTGACTTTGAAGTGTATTGGCGTTATCATTTTGGCCTTTCATCCTGTGGAGTCTGTCTCTTTTGGTCTGTCTCTTTTGTCTATTGTTCTTTATCTTTTGAGTTCGAATGATCGCCGGAGTTGGCCTTCCCCCCTTTTCTTACCAATCTAAGAAATATTCGATGATGCGTTGAGCGCCCTTTTTTTTTTTTTTTTTTTCGTTTTTGTTGTCACTGTACATATGCACCTTTTTGTACATATTCCGCATTTGCCATAACATTATGGATGGTTGAGGGCATACCTTTCGTGGCAATGGTAACTATTATTATTCTGCCGAATAATAATTAATGACTTGATAATATAAATGAAATAGCAATATATACATTTGGTCCACAGTCTGGACTGCATTGACTTCGGGCTAACGGCGGTGCCACAGGGGCTCCTGAATAATATGTTATATTAATTGAGGCTTTCACCATTCTGCAGGGCAGCAATGTACGGAGTATTCATATAGACTTGGAATACGATGGATAGCCAGAATCAGAACCCTCGTTCTACGGCTCATTAGAGTTAAACCACGGCGCGGTCTTCTTTCCCTAAGCCTGGCAAGGCACTAGCACTAGTCGTTAAGGGGTAGATATCTACATGACTGCTACAGAGTCCTTAGCAATTTATCTAAGTACCTAACTATTAACTAACTAACTATCAATAGACGTCTGCCACCTTGATAGCGGTAATATTATATCCATCTATGTACCGTGATGGACGATCATAACGCCACCAGTCATTATTGATCCTGGTGTCATCACCCTGTACTTGTAGGGTTTTCAGTAGTATATGCTGTATCTCTGTAGTTAGTTAGTTAGTTAGCCTAGAAAACGGCCATAATTATTGAAGAGGCTTGAAGACAGGCTTTATTTGAGTTGAATAGTATATTTCAATATAAAACCCAATTCATTTAATCATATTTATCTAAACAGGGTCCTGAGTTATTCGTATTCGTGATCTCAATTTGAATTGCATGTTGCGTAGCCTTCATTGATGATTTGATGGGGGTTACTGATATTATTATTTTGGTAATAATTTGATTTTGAACTCCTGAATTTAACTCCCTTGGCAGCGAATGCCATGGCAGCATGTCAAGGCAATATGAGAATACGTAAAACTATCTATCGACCAGGAGAATATGAGCCAGGACGCATCATAGAGGTCGACATGGTCAAGCTAGTATTCATAATTCAGGGCTGGATGAACACGAACACGGCACAACCATGCTACCCCGTCCATTCTGCTTGAATGAATTATCCAAGTACAACACAACAGGCCATGGATGCCAAATATAACCATGAACCACAGCATTCATTGATAGCCTGTTATGTTTCCACTCGAGCAACAGAATTGTGCATATTGACAAGTCCTATATGTCCCACTGACTGCCGTGAAACGGGAGCTGGTATGATCCGAGTACAATATATCCGCACCTGCAAGAATGAAGCCATGTTAGCACAACGAATCAACTGCAAAGACAACAGAAGATGCCATAGAAACCAGCCAGTGCACATCAGAAGAAAATGAAAACAATAACAGGTCCTCATGGAAGTCAGAGAACAAAAGGGTTGTAAATTGGACACATCATTTGGCGAGGTTGAAGTGGGTAGTAATGGAATAGGATTGCACTTGCCTGTTCTATTTACATGTGAGTATACCAAGATTCCATGATAAATTCAATCGATTCAGGTAATTCAAGGAATATGGAAAATTAATGGAGTTGGAGATTTTATTTTTGTGTGGGTATTTCAACGCGGTCAGGGGTGGCAGAATGCTGAATATGTTCATTAATACATCAACTCAGTCAGATCTATCAATTCTACACTTGGGATGGTACTTAATATTAGAGGATATGTTGGTAGGCTGTTGAGGCCATTTGGATGAGTTCTGATATGCACCTTGGAAGCCATAGCAAACAGTCTACATACATATAAAATTGAATAGAATAAACATATAGACCAACACACAACCATGCCCATTTCCAATGGATGAAAGGAAGAGAGATACCTCATCCTGATACTGCCTTACTATAACCGTATCCACAGGTGAGAATATCCTCTTTGGAAAAACAGTTTCGGGCATTCACCAGTCCTCATGGCTAACAGGTTCCTTTGTCCTCTGAGACAATGGGGTAGCTTACCTGGTGCATGTTTGCAGTTTGTTATTGGATAGCTGATGCCTAGGATGCTGTACCTAGGTATAAGGTTCACTGTATTGACTTGGTCCGGGTATGGTGGATTTCCAGGGTGCTTGATTAGGTGCCCTATTCTCCGTGAAGCCATGATACCAGAGTAATTAACAGGCCCAGATGTGTTGTATTTGTAGCTGATCCTGTTATAATCTAAACAGAAAACTGTGCTTTTCCTGATCAACATTTCACTCCTCAACGCCGCCGTAATAGAGCTGTAAATACAAAGACACTTGCAGACATAGAACAAATAGAAATCTATCGCATAAAATGGTATCGAGGGCTGTTTAAACCAGAAGAACACTATCAAATCAAGTCAGCATTTTATTTGTTCATCGGGAAAGAAAGAAAGCAAATAGACGGCGAGAACATACGCATTGACGCAACCATCATTCTCGGGATTGTTCGAGACCTGAGCCAATTTACCCCAGACGACCTTTCCGCTGGTAGTGACGAGTCCCAACTCAGACACGTTGACCTCTATAATAGTTCCCTTTGTCAGGACACCGAGTTGTGTGTACATTGGGTTCTGCGGGTTCTTCTTGACGGATAAAATAGGTAACTGAACAGTAACACCGAGTTCGGGGCTGCAAGCAGCGTCAGCCATCAATAGAACGCGAATAAACAAAAGAGAGAGATGGACATACTGTGTAACATTCGCCTTCTTGTACCGCAAACCCATAGGCCGAATAAACCGCTCGTACTTGACAGGCCGACGAGTGAAGTCGTTCCCAACAAAAGTCGGTTTGGTAATCATCCGCTTCCACGACTTCTTCGAAGTTTTCTTTCCCGTATTGATAACCTTGAACATCTCCTCCTCACTGATACCCTTCACCTTGGGCAAGGGGACGGAAAACTTGGCCGCCTTCTCAGCGCGCTTGTCCTTGATCGCACTGGAGAGGGCCTTGGCATTCGTCGCCTGCGAACGGTCGAGCAGATAGTTGGGCAGGGGCGTCTTGGAGGGTTCATCGGGTGCGGAGGACTTGACGTTCTTCTCTTCCTGTGCGCGGATGCGCTTCTTCATCTGGATCTTCTCGGCATGGCGCTTCTGCTGGTAGAGTTTGGCTCTTAGACCGCGCAGGTTCTGGGCGTCGCGGGATTGCTGGTGAGCCTCGCGGGCTTCACGTTTGCGAACACGCTCGTCATGGTCGAGGCGCTTGCCGTGCTGCTTCTGCCAGCGTTCGATGTACCTGTGGTTGTCAGTGGAGGGTTATCGATGATGAGGCGGGGTGACGAACTCGTTCTGAGGCTGTATGGTTCAAGTTTTGTTAGTATGGTTGAATCTAGCAGATGGCATAACTAAACAGAGAAACCATAACTTACCATATTGACCGTAGAACAGAGTCAGGTGTGCAGGTAATTCTCTTCAGGGCAACTCAAGCAAATCAACAAGTTGACGCCAAAAAAAAAGTTGGATCGGTCTTGGCATAGATACCGTCACGTGGATATGCCGGTGGACAAGCCCATCAACACGCCATCTGCCTGATTGTACAAATACTGGCGGATAATATTAATTGTATATAGCTCTCCTCTCATATTGAAATGAGAATTATGAAGTAGTTCTTCTGGATAAAAAGTAATTGACCTAATTGACCTACTCTGAGAATGTAGTTGGTACGCACGTGACTACGGCAGACCAAGCGGCCACTCCCGCATCACGGACGAATTTCTTCAATCCGCCATCTCCACGGAAACACCTGCTGCAGGACCTCGCATCAATTGAACGCAGGACAAGGTCCTACACATCCAGTTAACTAACGATGTTCTCCCGCTCAACACTCCGCGTCGTCTTTGACACGCGATGGACGCCGAAACCGAACCACCTTGCATCGACGAGCCGTATCTGTGTCTCCCCGATTCTCTCGCAACGAGCATGCCTGCACGGCACGAGTTCCAAGTCAAATAATGCAATGGGTCAATTGGATCCGAAGCAATCATCCTCGTCAACAAACGCACCCGGGACACCATTGACGGCCATCCCGCGCGCGCAGTCTTCGCAGCCACAGCAGCAACAGCAACAACTGACACCAACGAACGAAATCCCCCCCAGCAAACGCCCTATAGAACCAACCTTCACCACACCACTAAAACTAACAAAAACGCTCCTCTCAACCCTCCCAAACCTAGCCACCCAAAAACCGCACTACGTGATCGCCCACCTCCACGCAAAACCCTACCTCCTCACGGCAGGTGACCATCTCCGCCTCCCCTTCCTAATGCCGAACGTGGAGCCGGGCGATGTCCTCCGCTTCAACCGGGCTTCTGCGGTGGGCTCGCGCGACTTCACTCTCAAGGGGGCGCCGTATGTGGATGAGCGGATGTTCGAGTGTCGGGTTCGGGTGCTCGGGGTTGATGCGGAGCCGATGCGGATTAAGGAGAAGACGAAGAGGAGGCAGAGACATGTGAGGCAGGTGAGGAGTAAGCATAAGCATACTCTTTTGCGGGTTATGGAGGTTAGGGTTAAGAATGTTGAAGAGTTGGTGGGGGAGGGGGCTGTTGTTGATGAGGTTGAAGTTGAGGAGAAGGCTTAGTTGGGTTTTCTAGGAGACATGGATGATGGTGACAGGGATTCTGTTTTATTTCCTTCTTGTTGTGCATTATTTTTTTTGTCACTTCACTGAGCTTGTTACTGAGCTGCATGCATGCTATCTATGTACAAATAGGGATTGCTCATTCTGCTGTTGGATGGGTTTGCTAGCTGTTAAAATGCTATTCTCTGGCAGTTTATTCTACAGATAACCCTATAAGCATGAGTAGCCCTATTTAGGGAACGAGGGTTTGTATGGACAATATCAATCGCACAGGGACATAGTTGAAACTAGTTTTCAGTGGATAGAAATACACTGGTATCTGTATCAAGTTCTCTATATTCTATCACAAGACAGTCACGTAGAGTTGAATTGACAACCCATTCAGAACAACCTATCTCTGAAACATGCCAAAACCAGTGCCTTCCGGCAGGACCTGTACAACGCCAAAATCATTCACATACAAATGCTTTTCGTTTTTACATCCATTGTAGTCATAGTCATTGCAAGAACAAGACAAGACTCGTAGCTTTAGTCTAGTGGATAAATCTAAAATCGAGTCTGTAGTAATCAAGGTTAGAATATGTAAGAATAAGAGTATTGGGGAGGAGTAAGAATACCGTTTATTCCCCCTATCCCTATTCTCGCTCAGATATGCCTCTCTCTCCTCGGTTGACATGGCGTTCCATTTGCTCGCGTTTATCCTGGTATGGTCAGCCTCGTCGAGGTTCATGTAATACGGCAAATCCCAGGTGACGAATCATACCTATTCCGCCAGACGTAATAAATCTTGGCTCCGATGAAAAGGACTATGCTGAGAGCAGCTAGGGCAATGAGAACGGCGTTTCCGGTTCGGTAGTAGGGTTTGTCGTTTTCGCGGTAGATCTGGTCCTGTTAGGATCTGTCTTGTATAGTGGTCAATGGCACTCGACGTACATTATTTCCGATAATGTTCGAAGTCTGAATCATCATGTTGTAGAGCGCCGACGCCACTGTGCGTGTTCGAACGGACCCGGCATTTCTCGATGTCATGGCCACGATGATAGCATGCACATACGGAGAGCCGACCAAGAGAGTCAGCACAACCCATCTGACCCAATGACCGGCATGATCCGGCAGCGTTTCCAGCGCGATTAAAAGAGCCAGACACCAGACCTCTGCAATCACACCGAGGAGGAGGCGCTGCTTGAAACGCTCCGAGCACCAGGTAAAGAGAAGCAGGTTGATGATGAAGATGACATAGGCCGGGATGGTGAGCAGGTTGGTATGGAATGTGGTGAAGCCGAGCGACTTGAGCTGCAAAGTGATATACTGGGTGGCCGGGGTACTGGGGATATTCCACACGAGACCGAGGAGATAGATGGGCCACATATCGTAATCGCAGATGGCCTGCCAGAAGAGTTTCGGGGACAGGGCCTGACGGTTGTGCATGGTGCCCTTGCTGGGATCGTCACGCAGAACGCGGTTGACCATGATCTTCTCCTCGCGCTCGTTGAACCAGCCGTTTTTGCCGCGGAGGCCGCCCTTGGTCTGGGTTGGGGAGGCGGGCATCCAGAAGACGGCGATGATGCCGATGATACCGGTGATGAGGCCTTCGTAGGCGAAGAGGTAGCGCCAGCCGCCTGTGCCATCGGACCTGCGTATGTGCAGGAAGCCAAAGGCGAGGAAAGCGCCGACAATGGAGGTACTTTGGTAGGAGGTCCAGAAGAAGCCGAGGCGGACCGGGAGTTCCTTGGATTTGTAGAAGTAGGACAGGAAGAGGATGGTGTCGGGGATGCTGCTGAGGTCAGGGCTGCGAACCAGAATGGAACATACCACGACTTACAAGCCACCCTCCAAAAGGCCGAGGAGGGCACGACAGGCGAAATAGCCCCCTCTGTTCTGCAGAAAGGCCTGGCAAGCGGCGACCAGACTCCAGGCGATCATCTGGAAGGGGATCCAGCGGTCGGGGCCGACTTTCTTGGAGATGAGCTGGGACGGCAGCTCGGCGAAGAGGAAGCAGACGAGGAAGATGGTCTGGCCGGTATTATAGTCGTTGGTGGTCATGCCCAGGTCTTGGAGCATGTTGTCGGAATTGGCCTGGACATTGTTTCCTCGGTCCAGCTGCAGGCCGAAGAAGGTGAAGCACGCGAATGTGCAGACGCGCAGGTCGATCTGTGGCTGTTAGTCCTGGTGCCTCCTCCGGGTCAGAGGAATGCATCACCTTGCGCACGATCTTCCTCTCCTCCTCCTCGTCCCACTCGAAATCCGGATCCCAACGGTGGATGCCCTCGTAGGTCGGGATGGGCTTGTAGTAGCGAGGGTCTTCGGTGGTGTCGAAGGCCGCATCGTCCGCGACCGGTCTGCGGCCAGACTCCTTGTCGAACGAGGGCGTGCAGGAGCCCGGATGTCTGGCGACCTCGACGGTGGGAGCCTCCTTGGGAGACGACGCCTTGGAGATATCTGCGACCATGCTGAGGGTCGTGGTGGTTGAGTGGCTAGGTGGTGGTTAGGAGGTGGTCACTCCGTGCCCGTCCTGCTGCTGTCGCGGAACAGCACGATGCCAGGAGGCATGCGCTTTATACGGAGCCTGAAACAGGAGAGACCGTGCTGTTGTCATTGTGATTCTCTTAGTCTTCTTTTAAGCTTGTTGATCGTTGCTGCAGAATGATAAGCAGTATAGGGTGGCAGTATAGGGAGTGGACGCGCTGGGAGTGGACGTGCTAGGTGTGCCGAACATCACGCAAACACGGCGCATTTGACGCTATATGTTGCCATTGACCTGCAGATGGTGCAATATCTGATAGTCTGCCGTGTGCAAAGAATAGACAAGAACAGAGCACGTCATTCCAAGGGCGCATAACGAGATAACGGCATATATGTGGCATCAATATACTGCGGTATAGGGCACGGTATACTGTAGTATACGGTATACGATGTAATAGACGTATACGATGTAATAGACGTATACGATGTAATACATGGTATAGATGTAATACATGGTATAGATGTAATACATGGTATAGATGTAATACATGGTATAGATGTAAACGGAGTATAGACATGGATACCACCAAGTATACGATATGGTGTGCTATATAGCACCGAGTATACGACATGGCATCCTATATAGAAGTACACGACAAGTATACCGCGGACGATATAATCCTATAACCGTTTAATACCCCGCGATTGCGCAACCACTGATATTCTGAGCTGTATGTCCGGCTGTCGTGGAGACTTATAAAAGCATGCGTGCCAGAAGCAATAGAGTAGAATGACAGAACGAAGCCCAACAAGAAACAATCCACCATGGCCCCCTCTCTGGTCGAAAGTGAAACGTCAGCCCAGTCCATCCCCCTCCGGGCTCCGCCTCCAGTAGAACAGACTCTCAAGGATGACGCCGGCTTCAACAAGGAGCAGAGCATCGGCTACGCTGAAAAGTTCCGTCTCCAGGATGAACTGAAAGGCACCGCCAAACAGCCGCCCGCCTCCTTCCCCCATTACCTGCCCGTGTGGGACAACGAGACGGGGAGATACCCCCCCCTGGAGCCCTTTGAGCACTACGACCACGGCAAGGATGCTGACCCGTCGTTCCCGGATCTGCTCCCCAAGGGCAAGGCCGTCGTCGACGACCTCACGCCCTCCATCGGCGCGGAAGTGCGCGGTGTGCAGCTGAGCCAGCTGTCCAAGGAGGGCAAGGATCAGTTGGCCTTGTTTGTTGCCCAGAGGAAGGTCGTTGGTATGCGCTCTCTCGCTCTCTCTCTCTCGCTCTCTTCTCTATCTCCCTCTCCCCCTCCCTCCCCCTCTCGCCCTCATATACCGACTGACAACCCCAGCCTTCCGGGACCAGGACTTTGCCCGTCTCCCCATCGACAAGGCCCTGGAATGGGGCTCCTACTTCGGCCGTCACCACATCCACCAGACTTCAGGCGCCCCCAAGGGCTTCCCCGAAATCCACCTCGTGCACCGTGGCGCCGACGACCGCTCCAGTGCCGAGTTCCTCTCCACCCACACCAACTCCGTCACCTGGCACTCCGACGTGGCCTTTGAGAAGCAGCCCCCCGGCACGACATTCCTCTACCTGCTCGACGGGCCGACCAGCGGCGGTGATACCCTCTTTGCCAACACTGCGCTGGCCTACCGACGTCTCTCCCCCGAGTTCCGCAAGAGACTCCACGGGTTGAAGGCCGTGCACTCGGGTATTGAGCAGGTCAACAACAGCTTGAAGAGGGGAGGCATTGCCCGGAGAGTGCCTATTACTTCGGAGCATCCCATCGTGAGGACTCATCCGGTATGCCTCCACGCATCTCCTCGGTCGTATCTGCACTCGCGTGATCCGTAGCTTACGTCGTTTGCCAGGTCACTGGAGAAAAAGCCCTCTACGTAAACCCACAGTGTAAGTCGAGTCGTCCAGTGACCAGAAGCATCTGCTAATCCTGCAGTTACCCGGTACATTGTCGGATACAAAAAGGAAGAATCGGACTACCTGCTCAAATTCCTCTTCGACCACATCGCCCAGTCGCAGGACTTGCAGGCTCGTGTCCGGTGGAGGCCGGGAACAGTGGTTGTCTGGGACGTAAGTGTCGTCGAGTTTCGATGGATGCCAGGGTAGATGGTGTACAGTCGCTGACTCGGCTAGAACCGCGTAACATCTCACTCCGCCCTGCTGGACTGGGAAGATGGGCAGAGACGCCATCTTGCCCGGATTACACCGCAGGCAGAGGCTCCTTACGAGACCCCGTTTGAGGGGGAGGGGGAGCAGTGACGAATTATGGTTATGGTTGTTCAGGTTGATTCACGTTTATGAGTGGATATGAAGTAAATAGTTTCCAATCCCAATTTCCTTGAAAATATGAAGCAGACGCGTAGAAAGTGATGAACATCAGACATCTACGACCGGTAAATACCAGTGCAGAAAGAACCCTAAGCAGTCCACTCAGAATAATCTCCCAAGAGAACGCCAAAGAAGGAAAACTCAAAGAATGCCTTCGAAATAAACCCTAATAAAAGGCTCCAACAACCTCCTCACCCAATTCACCTTCTTCCTATCCCTATCCCCATCCCCATCTCCATCTCCATCAGCCTGAACACTATCCCTTGTCCTCCGCGCAACAGTATGCTCAAGATGCCTATACTTCGGCCTCTCATACCCGTTATAATACTCATCATCTGTGTGACAGACAGATGACCACAAGGATGGGCGTCCACTAAAGGACTCCACGGCGGAACTGTAGATGTCTTCTTCGTCTTCATCGTCGTCTTCAGTGTCGATTTCGTCGTATCTGCCTGTTCTCGCCTTGTTGATGGTGATGTCGAAGAGCCCGTTACATGATTCATCGAATAAATCTTCGTCGTTGTCCTTGTTCTTGTCCGCGTATTCGGTTATCCTCATCATGTACGAGAAGGTAATCTCGTCTTGGTTTTCGTGGAAGAAAATGGACTGTCTTTCCAGTTCCTTTTTTCTCTTGTTCATGGCCTTGTCATAGGTCATGTTGGTGTTCTTGTTCATGGCCTTGTTGAGGATGGCGTTCAGGCTCTGGGTTTGTAGGGAGGACATTTCTTCCGGTTGTTTTCTTATAAATAAAACCAGATAGACAATATAATATAATGATTTGCATGAGTTGAGCCGGCTGTTGAGCTTATAGTATTGTCCATATAGATCTGGACGTTGGCCGCTTCGGACAGCAGACAGTAGAGATGGTGAAGGAAGAGAAAGAAAAACAGGATCCACGAAGAAGAGCAGAAGATATAGAGAAGAGACCAGGCATCAATCAACATTAGAAATAATGAAATCATACGCATCCATCAGAGGCAACAATCCATTTTATCCCGTGTATACCCCGGAATGGAAAAGCAACCCCAGATTCTCCACGGGAACACGCCGAATCCATCCACGGTTCGCATCGACTCCAAATTCAAACACATTAATTACCACGGATCATCCTAGGCATCCGTTCAAACCGACCCAACAGTCCTACCCTCCATTCCCGAAATCTCCTCGCAGACAACGGTAACATCCCACTACTCCCCGTCAGGACACGGGAGATCTCCACGAAGGTCTGGGATGGGAGCTCCAGTTCATCGAGGGAGAAAGGCGAAGATGAAGTTCCCGGTTCCCGCCCGTCACGCTCTGGATACAGGAGGGCTTCCACATCGGGGACGTCCTGGTAGAAGACTTTCATAGCTCGTTGGGAATTGATCGTATTAGTATACGTGGAGTCGGAGTCATTCGTGCTCAAACTGGAGTAACGGAGGTCTGGGTTGAAGATCCAGAGCTTTTATTTATCATGTTAGAATATATCTACGTGTTATATATGGAATACAGGGAATGCAGAAGCATACCAATAATCCTCTTTGCCCACCACAATGCAGCACGAATCGCCTCACGCCCTCCCGTTCAACTGTTTCCAGTATCTGTGCCGAAACGAGGATCTCCGGTGAGCGGATTTCCCAGGCTGTCTCTGTTTCTGCTTCTGTATATCTGGCCATGGAGAGGGAAACGCTGGCTTTGAAGAGTCTCCATCCGGCTGCGTGGATATCTTCTGATCCGACCACGGAGTCGCATTTCGTGCAGCGCAGGACCATTTTTTTGGACTTGGGCTCTCTTTCGACCTATCGATCGATCAGCAATCGACTAACGAGATAGCATATCTTCTAGCATCAACAGTGGGAATAACAGAAAGGTCTAAGAGTATATTGCATTATTGAAAAGTACTATGCCACTACAGCGACTACCATCCATATACCTCGTGGAATCACGTAATCCCATTTCTCAGGATGGAGACAGATCAACGGAGAAATATGATCGAGGCACCGTCAGTCCCAGTCTGGTAGTATATACAACAAGGATCACTCGAGACTGGCATGACAAGGCAAGCTGTATGAAGCATGACCTATGCACTGCGAAATCCATCTGTCTCTTCAGAGAAGAGGATAACTGCAACCGCAAGGACAGTTTCGTCCAGCCACCGCTTCTCATGCTGATCTCGAACCAGGTTGCATTCCCGAGACCAGACCTGTGACGGATCTGATATAGGGCAATTGTATCGGGGCTCAGATCGTGGAAGGTGAAGTTGAACTGGCCCCTTCTTGTTACCCGGTAGTAGACTTGACCATGAGACAACCTTTAACTGCAACAGACCAGAGACGGATAACGTAAAATACAATATAATCTTACCTTCAAGCCCTTACAATCATCCTCGGTGACCAGAAAAGACGCAACATCCACGAGAACCGTAGCAGGCGCCGCAACAACACGGTTCGCCGCCCCATACCCCTTGATGAGAGCATTCTGAGCATCATTCAATTTACCATTACTTTGATTCCCTTTGTCAGTAGTGCCTGTGTTCTCGCCATCCTCATGATCGTGCGGATCCGGCTTATGACAATGCCAGAAATCCATCATCTCGGCCCAGTTTCCACTAGGAAGATCCTTCCAGGTCCATCCTGCTGCATTCGATACTTTAATGTCCGGCACATCCAGGATCTCCTCCCGGCAGCCCCGACACCTCACCCGCGTGAAAGGAGTCATATCCCGCGCAGTCCAGGGGACAAAATCATCCATCGAAATCTCATCCGAACAAGCTAGCAATGAACTAGAATGACATTCATTATCATTTGGATCAAGAGGCATTCTAAACGAATACTCCCATCTATCTCCGGATGCATCGTCCCGCACAATCTGTCCGCGCTGCTTGGTCATATCCCGAAATGCATCCCGTGCCGTTTCACTCACTTTGCCAGGTAACTTGAGCGTCTCTGATACACCGTGTATCTCTTCAAGATGCCCTTCCTCTGGCAGAGCGGGAGCAGCAACGGTCACGGTAAGAGCGCGACGGGAATCAGATAGGGACACCGATATATCCGGCTCTTTCCCTCCCTCCGAAGACACATTTCCAGGCTCATATTTCGATACTCCATGTCCCACACGTGCGGGAATGGAGACATACAGCGTTATCTGGCGAATATTAGGAAGGAGTTCGGCGTGGAGATTCATCACTGTGGCGACGGAGGTGTCTTTGAATCAACGGCGGAACGCTTATATCAGATGGTGCGATGCTTGTGTGAACACTGTGAGGTAGATAGCTTCTGTTAGTTTCCTTAAGTGTCGTGTCCAGAAGATATTAGAGTCACATGTGATCGTGATTTGCCTGTCCAGGCATGTATGCCTGTCTGATTCATGACAGTCGATTCATGAAAGTTCGAAGTTTGTTTTGTCTGTATTTAAGCAAACAGTGCAAACTGTTGGTAATTAGCCAGCATAGGGCTAAAAGGACAGCCCTAATCGGCTGGATCAGTGTAAGCCTGGCTGTCTACAATACAAACAGCTTCAGCTTGGAATAGATGCTAATTCTGCCTAGTGGTATAGTCAACCACTAAGGATTGAAGCCTAGGTATTTATATGGAATAAGGACTAGACTCTTCGTGTCCTAATCAAGCTCAGGGAAAGCATCCATATCCGCTTAAACTGTACAGATCTGTGAGTTTTTTTGCCGTCTGTCTTGTCCTTTCGCATACATCCCGTCGATATCCATGAATATAATATAATAATACAATAATATATTAGATTATAATAGTTCCGGTCTCACACAGCTAACTAGCCACTCAATTCAGCCATCTGCGGCGGCTGTTTCTCCCTCCCATCTAACTCCAGGATAGCATAATGATCGTCCCCTTTAGTTCTGCTATCTGAATCCGCTGAGTATGACTAGGATGCAGAGAGAAAAGGTCTGATGCTTGAAGTTTACGACTTCTTCGTCTCTTCATCCAGAAAAATAGAATGAGACCCATAAAAAATAATACGCCCGTAGCCACGCCGGCTGATAGCCCGCTATGTGTGTTTGAATCGGGTATGTTTATGTTCGTGGATGTAGATGTAGATAATGACGATGATATAATTGTTGTGGCTGGTGCTATTGCTGATGCTCTTGCTGACGCTGTCGTTGTGAATGCCCCCGGCATAGATAATGTAGTATATAGACCCAGAGCCTATCCAAACGCAATGAAAATTGGCCTCCCCACATCACATATGTCCCGGAAATAGTCGTACTGGTAGTATAATCCGATGACCCGAAGCCTCCTGCCCGTGCTGCAACGCTTGTAGCACCCGTATAAGTACTCAGACAACCCGTGTATTCGTAATCTTCTGAGAATGTAAAAAACCTAAGCCCCATTCAGTACCAACATCGCCAGGTTATGGAGGTGCTAGTCCGTGCTCCTAATTCTGAGCTTCCAGTTGAAACATCCCCTTTCAGAACCTAAAATCCCTTATTACTGTCCTATTACATGCGAAAATGTGCAAGTAAGTAGTCGTGGCATGCACGTTAAGCGCTGACTCTCCCGCGGCGCGTAGGAGTAGGGCAAAGTTATCCAACCGCCATCAGGACCACTTCCAAGATACTAATTCGTAATAATAGAAATGAAAATTGCACTATCTTGGGAAACATCAGGTTTGACGATACAACATGGGCCCATATGCTAGACACCTTGGTTAGGCGCCTTTCCCCATGAGCTTGAAGAGCAATCTTGGATCCGATAGCCTCATCTATGTCATCGTCTATCATGGATGCAAGACACTTTGAAACCTGCCAGTTTCTGCAGGAAAACAAGACATGCTTCATTAACCAAGACCAAGAACTTTTAGATGTACTGCAAGTACATACCCAATGGCACCTATACATACAGACAAGATAGGAAGAGAAGATGCCTACACAAACCCACCCCAACCGTCAAACTCCTCGGCAAACTTCACTGCAGCCTTCAAATAACGCTTCTCAGGATCACCCCACGTACGAGCCGCTTCACCAAATGCTCTAATAGCCTTAACATAGTGAGCATCGGTATAATAATCTCCCTTGACAGCCTTCCCCGCCGCCCAATCCCAGTCTCGTCCGTTCAACTCGTAAGATTTGATCCGGTCGAGATCAATTTCAGGCCTGAGTTGGGAAATGTAGATAGCCACGGTCACCAGCCACCATTGCCTCACCAGGGGGATCTGGAACCGGGCAGGGATCAATGGTAGGAGGACTCGGATAGCATGGCTGGTTGTCAGGACGTGGACAAAGAAAAAGTCATATTTGTCTGTGGTATGCGTGGCAACGAGTAGGGCTGCAGCCAGATCCTGGCTTTCTCGGAACTGAGCTGTAGGGTTCTGGATGTTCCACGCGTTCCAGTGGTCAAGGAGCGCAGCTTCACGGTCACGGAAGACAATATCCAGGTTGTTATTGCCCGGGGTACCGAAGAGGCCATCAAAACGCTTATCAGACCGTACACGGTTTAGTATTTCGAAAAGGGAGTTAGAGCGGTAGGATGGCTCCGCAAGAGAATAAGAGGAGTCATCAATGTATTTGTGGATATCACCGTAGCACGTTGCCGTAAGTGCTAAAGCTTCCATGGCTATCTCACGGCTGGACATTTCAAAGGCATACGCAAGATGAATGAGGGGGTGTCCAACTAGACGCATGTAAGCCAATAGTTCGAATGCACAAAGAAGTATGCACGCATTTCGACATACGATCAGCAATAATAGAGTTAAAAATGGGCTCATCCCCTGAAAAAAGAAAATGACGAACAACATCCTCCCAGTCATACGCCCGACGAACAAGCTCATCCTCGAAGAAATCCACAAACGCACGTTCGTACCTGGCTTCCAGTCAGCAATGGAGTCTAGAGGCAACATGGAATGGATACAACGAACTCTTTGTGTCCCAAATAATCTCTCCAGTCATACGCACTGACTTCGCAAGGGGAGTCCGTCCACGGCTCCAGCTCCTTAGCTTCAGCTTCGTACACTTGATACAGGATGTGCTGGTCAGCACCTAGCAGGTAAGAGGAACTTAACACCTGAGAGTATATTAACATGAATCCATGATTCCAGTAGCCCGAGAAATCCTAACATGAGGCGCATGATTATGGAACTGTCTTTGATGCCATAGTACCGCATTATTCACATGGTTCAACTTGAGCAGATGTTTCAACGACCTAGCGGGTCGCTCATGCGCTGTCTCTATTTCATATGTCTTGATTGGTGGGATATTGATGGCCGATCGACCTCTCCAGAAGGAGGAGAGGATATTGTAGAGAGTGGAAGCCATCAGTTAGAGGATACAGCAATCCGCTGCAGTTTTCCCTTTCGTTTTCCTTTCTGGTGGCACTAGGGAACGGGGGTTCATAACTCGAAGATATAGATAATTGGTTCTGATAAGACAATTTAGCAATCGAGACCTTTGAAAGCGCGGATTTACAGTAGAGGAATCATGGGGAAGTTGAAGCCAAATCGATGGATTGTTGGGAACATGTGACGTAACCAGTGCAAACATGTCAAATATCGATAGCCCTAACATAGGGCTAGATCATATATTTTACATAGTTCCTTGAATGTAGCCTCAACATATGATTCTACCACCCCGACAAAACCTTCACCGAACAAATCCACCAGCCGATATTAGACCAAGATAGGGACAATGCAAGACATGTACATATATTGACCGTCAGCTGCATACGGTGAAAACAGCACCATACCTCTACTCTATAGATTTGCTCGGATCTTTTCAAGCGGCTGTGCACAAGGGGTCTTCAGCAGATCCTCCAAAGTATCAATAGCCTCTGTTGCCATCCAATATCCTGCCTGGAACCCAGTTCCACAAGCTCCATAGTTATGTACAATGACCCGCTGCTGGCCGGAAACGACATCGACTACATCATCTCGACTGATAAGTGCACCTCCTTCGCGAGATGGTTGAAGGCCTACAACACCAAGTTGCTCATACAGCACTCTCCGCAACTCAGAACTTAATTCCTCTGTGTGCTTGAGGATCGACTCATTGTCGTGAGAGTGCGTGGAGCCGTCTCTGTTCATGTTCAGTGGACATACCCACTAAGGAATAACAATTTTCTTGCAGTCAAACTCACCCATTCTCCTTCTGCATAAACTCACCTAGAATCACATTCCCGTTCGAACCCGGTCGAGGAATAGCATACGTCTCGTAGTCCTTTCCATGACGCATGATATTCAGGCGTACAATCGGCGCTCGTACCAATACTACCTGACCTCTTGTTGGGTAGGACTTGGGATCTTCGACTCCCGGTAGTGTTCGTAGTCGGACTGGCAGATGCCTCGTGGATATGGTTTATCTTGTGTCTGACGAAACGTATCCCATACTGGTCCTGCAATTACTTCTTCGAGCTGGGCGGTCTACAAGACCGCGTTTCCTTTGGAATTGGAATCATGAAGTGCCCTCATTGTTTCTTTGATAGGGGTGTATGGATCGAATCGGTAAATTCAGAATAGAGCAATGTAGTCTGTTCCCAGACGTTGGGGAGTTGTTGACTGCTGTGAAGAGGGCGGATCGTGACAGGCCGTCGTCTAGAGTTAGTGCTGTGAAACTCCCAATTGATTGAATTGAATCATTGCAAGGAGTTGACGTACCAAATTGATTAATGCAATCCTTACTCTTCCTCAATGCATCTAAGATCGGATACGCATGGAACTGCTCTTCACCTACACAGCTCCACGCCTTGGTCATGAGCACCAGCTTGTGTCGTGGAATATTATACTCCTTAATTGCCTGCGCAATAACGCGCTCAGAGTCTCCGTTGGAATACACATTGGCCGTGTCCCACTTTTCTGAGCGTCAGTCTATGTGTCCTGCACCTAGTGCATAAATGTATGAACACTCACCATCGTTAACACCGCAATCATAAGCAGCCTTTAACAACGACAGTGCGTTGTCCACTCCAATAACCCAACCCGCCCATTCTGGGTTACCAACGCTCGTACATCCAACGAAGGGACAGAGACACGAAGCCCACTGTTTCCAAGCAGGCCGTAGTCGACTTTTGTGGCCTCGAGGGACGCGGCAACACTAGGGGGTAGAGACATGGTGACGGAAGATACCAGGTCCGGAGAGCTATTGTAACGGGCTCTGTGAGAGGATATACTGTGTACAGCCAAGAGGCAGGGACTTAGGAGTAGCTGCCATGTATAAATGCATTGCCCCCACTACAGCCTCATCTGATTCATGTGAAATCTCCACTACTCAGCCTCAAAAGAAAGGAGATATTGAACCGTCTAAATTTCCACCTTTTTCGTTTTCCTGTTAAATAATAACAGCTCCTTTGTACAAAGTTACCGTCAAGCCCTCGCCACTACTCCCCTCCAAGCTCAAACCTCACCAGAATGCCCCTCCAGCTCCGTCGTGCGGTCGAATCCGACGTCAACCAACTAACAGACGTGTTCTTCTCCGGCTTCCGCAAAGACGGCGTGATGTCCCGGTGTTTCCCTGAAAAACCATCTGTTCGAGAATTCTGGATAAACGGATTACAACGCGATCTGTCCGACCCAGATGTTCACATCGTCGCTATAGTCGACACCGATATCGCCGGATCCCCGATTATCGCGTATGCGAATTGGGTGGGGCCGCGAGCGCAGCCGCCAAAGTCAAGCCAGAATCAAAATGTACCCCTCTATCCGGACGAGGGCGATGATATACCGCTTGCGGAATTCTTCTTCCCACATTTGAAGGAACAACGAGCAAAGAATATGGAGGGTCGGACATGTTGGTATTTGGCTGCTTTAGTTTGTCATGAAGGTCATCAGAGGCGTGGAGCAGGGGGGATGTTGATGCGGTATGGATTGGAGGAAGCGGAGAAGACGAAGGCGGATATTTATCTCGAGGCGAGTCCACCGGGGGTGCCGGTTTACAAACATTTTGGGTTTAAGGAGGTTGACAGGGTGGTCGTATTGGATGGGGATTTTACGGAGTTGATGATGTTGAGGGAGTATACAGGTTAGACACGTTATCCTAGGTGAATTGAAGCGGCGCCTAGGGTTGTAACTCAACTACAATGGCATAGAGTCGATTGGCCACACCTGTCCTTCTGTGAGAGTAACGACTCTACCTAAGAGGAACATGGTAACTGTTGCGGGAACAGACCGTAGGTTGATGATTAAGGCAGCTTCGGAAGGCGCACGTGATAGTTAGTTATAGTTTGATACTGACTAATCTTTGATTCTAAAAATGGAAGCAAATCTTATCAACCCCACCTTGATATCGGGCCGAGATTTTAATGGATCTGTGGTAGCCCGCTATATAAGACAACTCAGCTAGCAGCATTTGAACAATCATAGCTGTGCATTTTCAATTATGTATAATAATGGCTATCATAAATGGTCCTCCCGCTGTTGATGAGATCATAGGCTACGTCGAGCCCTGGATACCTCGACCGGGTCAGAAGGTGGAGGTCATGCTCCCTATGGTCGCCGCGTTAGGACCGACGGGTGCGAAGGTTCGGTCTATATGGCATACTATGAGACTTGTGCTAGTGGCGCGGTGGTTTTGGTCGGTAGTATCACTTGGCACTGCTCGCTCGGATGGAAGGGATACAATAATAACTGTGCGCATTTGACGAGGAATGTTCTGGTGGACTTTTTACGGCGTGGAAGTGGTGGGCTGAACACAAAATAGATTATGATATGCAGCTGAATACACGGCCATCTGTCTACTTTTTCAAAGAAATACCCTTGAACTCCGCTGTTGTACTTTTGTTGAGGGTTGTTCTAGATAGGGCCATCTACGCTACCTAGGAAGGAGCTGACTATAGAAACACCAACACATCGTACACGTCGCAGGGACATACAGTAGCTTAGCACAATTAGAGTTCTATAGCTTCTTCACATCGCGTAGCGCACCCCTGACACCTAAACACCATCACAGTTTAGAAGGTTATAGAAGGCAACAGTGATCCAGACAGCGGTACGACCCGCAGGCTACCCGAAACCCTTTCTTGGCGGGCTTTGGTCCTCCTCCCAAAGTTCCCAAATGGTGTCTAGATAGTCATCTAGATAACAAGTGAAGAATGAGCTAGGTGGAAATAAGTTTCTATTACCATGGATCCCTCATTTGAGCCCGACTACTTGCATGAAATAAAGGAGGCAAAAGTAGAGAGTGTGTACTTCAGGTTGGCACATGCTTATTCAATCACTGAGCAGGCTCTGAGTGGTCACGGAGTTGCTGACTGGTGACAAGGAACATTCCCTAAGCAAGTCCCTTGAGTGCCCTCATTAAAACTACACTCTGCGAGCGCCTGGGATCATACTGATAGTGTACGGAGTACAAGTACGCTGTATTTAGGAGCAGGAGCATCAAACGAAAGCTAGCAAGGGATATCATCCAGTCATAAAACCACCCCCATCTGAATCCCCATCTGAATCCCCATACAGCCCGAGCCTATTTCGTTTCATTCCCATCTGCATCCTTATTCGGCTCAGCTGGGACAGTTTGAGTCTGAACTGGATCGCCGTAACTTTCCACCTGGACTCTGGGACCGGTGAAGTTCTTGTGGCCGTCGAAGATCCATTGGGCTGCGGAAATAAGTACAACGATTGCTAAGACGACGACAGAGTAGTCTGGAAGACAATTAGCTATATCCGAACTCCTGGCTCGGATTTTGATGGAATCAATTAAACTACAAAGATAAACTTACTCATATTGCTACCCGTCACTGGCCTATCAGGAGGGAAAAGGAAGAGAACCGTAGTTAGAGAGATATAGCACAGGGAAACCTGAAGATCGAGTAAAAAAGGTTAGCTCGTTATAGTAGTGATATATTTTGATCCTGACACGTACGATATTGGCAATCCAGCCAACCAAATTCGGCAGAACAAACGGTCGTGGAGGGAGCATTTTTCGGCCTCGAAGACAGTTCACGGCAATTGGAATGGCATATGCGAGATCAAGAAACACCACGGAACAGGAAATGATGGCATTAAAAGCACTGGAGGCGGTTAGCTGTCTACACCATATACAAGGGAAAGAACAACGATTAGTACCTGGATGAGCCGAGGAAGATGAGGCCAAAGATGATAACCAGCACGACCGTCAGATACAACGCATTCAGTGGAACTTGGAGTTTGGAATGAATCCTTGAGAAGAAGGGTGATGCTGGTAGACCGCCGTCTCTGTAGCCTGATGAGTGTGTGACTTGTGTATTATTCAGGGGGAAAAGAAAACATACCGGGCAAAGGCGTAGAGCATGCGGCTGCTTGTTGTCATAATGGTGATCGTTGCAAAGAGCATACAGACCAGCGGAAACCTGTTCCCCCTTATGTCAACCCCAGAACACTTTTATCCTGGAAACTAAGCTAAGCTTACATGAGAAGGCAGATTGCCCCAGCATTGTTTGCGGTAGCATTCCTGAGGATCTGTAGGAGTGGCCCAGCAGCCGATTTGATAACCCCATCGACATCACCACAGACGAAAAGCAGAACGATCAGGAAGATGGTGCCCGTGACGGTGCCGATGAGAACACAGCCAACCATAATTTTGGGCCCCTCTACGGAGGGTTTTGGGATTTCTGCGCCTGTTAGGATACTGTCTCTGTTAGGACTGGGTTGGAATTGGACTCAGGATACCTTCGATCATGTGGGCAACGCCATCCTAGAATACAGTCAGCGTCACGACAAGTATATCAAAAGCTAAGAAAGAAAACATACGAATCCAGTGACTCCGAGACCACCTTGGAGAAGCTATGCCCAGTGAGTAAGAGAGTTCGCTATTAATTGGCGATCCAACATACACCCAATAACCAAGCAACGCCATCCGGCCCTGGAGACATCAGCTTGGACCCAAAACAGTGTACACGGTTGACTTACAGCCTGTCTGATTGATGAAATCCCCAAAAACAAATCTGCATATCATTAGCACAGACCATGCGCATCACGACGTGCACTCCGAAGACGCTTACTTTCCAGTGCTGTAGTGTGGCGACGCACACGCAAGTACTGTGATGCAAATAACCGTGAAACCAGCAAGTGACCAGATAACTAGCCTGATGTCAGTAATTCATCCGAGGATACAGATCTCGACGGGGATGCAAGATCCAGGTAGGACTTACATGCGCTCTTGGTTACTAATGGGAGAGCGGAATTCATGAGAGAATTGATCACAAAGCCAGCAACGTTGTAGGCAATATAGATCAAGAACTGATGCCACCTCTCTGGATTATACGACTAGAAGGCACATCAGCATCAGAAGAAGCCACCTTGACATCAGATAGATCCGTAGCAAGGAATCGCACCGGATGCATCAGCGATATCACGCCCACGATGAGTTCGCTGCCCAGCAGACCTCCAGTCGCAACCAGCGCGACCTACTTAACCATATCAGCCATAATACAGTGGATTACAGCATGTAGATGAACTTTTCTTCTTACCCAGCCGGCACAATTGATCCACCCGGTAACCCATGACAGGATAGGGATCCATTTCTCCCAGGAAACTGGTGGGAAGAAACACTCAGGATACGTGACCTAATAACCGAACAGTCTCATTGTACTACTTACTGACTGTGGCATTCTAGTATTAGCAGGGATCCGTTGGCCGTCAACAGGAGGGAAACTTACCAGCGACCCAGTGATATTGGCCACCAGCCCTATTTCGGATCGTCAGCATGCATCCCGACTATAGCCAGGGACGAGGTTAAGACCAACGTGGGATAGGCAGAGAGAAACTCGGCCAGTGAGATAGCAATGCATAGGTTGCAGAAGCCAGCAGTGATCAACCCTGAAGGGAGTCGTAAGCGATAGTAAAATATTGAAAAAAAAGAAAAAAAAAAAAAAAAGCTGCTTACCCCAGATGACACTGACACTGCCTCCCGACGGAAGACTGAGAGATAAACTGGCAGAGAGGGCAGTCCATGACTGCAGGAGTCAGTGTAATACAAACATAGAGGCACCGTCGTAGTATACATTCAAAATAGCAAACGCTAGACCCAGCATCGATCTAAATCGCAACAGACGGTCAGAAAATTACCCAGACACCTCTCCAGCTGTCTGGCAATGCTTACAGTGTCGAGAAGTTGCGCTTCAATTCTGCCTTGTGGCCTAAGGCAGCCAACTGGGCTTCGTCGCCATCATGATGGGCATTCGGACTCTTTTCCGCCGTGGGATCCATTTCCATCCTCCCAGAATCGGATCAATTAATATGCAGGAATAATAATAAGATAATTTTGGCATGGCAAAGAAGACACAGGATGGATTGCGCAGGTAAATAAGGGGTATCGAACCGCCCCTGAGCACTACAGTGAGCAACAGGTCATGACGATCAATGCAGCTGCCATTATCACCAAATCATCCAGCGTGGGCATCAATTATCATCATTCCTGTTAGCATTTTCCAACAGTCATCAATAATCAGCGAAGGTACATAGCTATTAGCTGCAGTCCTGATAACGGTGGCATGGGCCATCCTTGGTTAACAAACGCCGTTACATAAACAAGATATCGGAGAATGCGGGTGCGGATCGCTGGGAGATGCATTGGCCATGTTAGGGTTGCATTCGGCGCGTTCGCAACTTAATCCTTCTGGGTGATCGTGCTGCGTATGGCTGGATATACCCGTGGACGTGTCTGACTCGTAACATGTTAAGTGTTGGAGCATGAGCACAATGAGCACAAGCAGCAACTGGAATAGGGACAGGAATGGCCCACGTCTGTCGCGAGGACTTTCCTGCCCCGGAAAATGTTGGGTCGACATCGATTGTAGTTGTCTTGGAGACCATCGAGATCTTTCTATGATGGTGGAATGGTCTGATATGGGGATTAAAGAGGAGAAGCTCTCCAGAAATGGTGACTCTTTAAGTCTCCAAGAGACATCTGCTTCCAATGCATGGCATCATCGATGTAAACACCAATCTATACTGCCATGTGATTAATGGTTGAGTGCTCCATATCGACAATTCCCGCCATTGGAGATGCAAAAACATATACGTAATGTACAATATACTCTATTTAACGATGAAACAGTTAGCCAGCGCCCAAAAACAGCTACACTTGACGCCGTTTTGCGAGTCCTGCTGACCGTCAGCGGCCTTGGTGTCACGTGCAAGGAATCGCACGGCCAACAGGCTTTACCATCACGGCCCGCGCTGCTGTTGCTTGGGTGCCTGGTTGCGTAAAATAAGTAAAGCAGAGTGATGAGATCAAAGGCTTACGCACGATAAAAGGTGTAGGAGTGCCTTATCCCCTTTTCGCAGCGTGTCAAGCCTATTTTGGATATCACGTGCCAGGAAGGTGTTGTAGATCAGGGGTGCGTCTGGATACCAGATACTAAGAGGATACCGTAGGATTCGTAGGGATCGTGGTGAACGCTCTATACCGATATACTGCCGTCTCTAGTACATCGTGAAGCTCTAAACCATGCGCTTCATCGCTAAGCTCATGCGCTCGCTTGCTCTCGCTCCTATATATCGGGTATGGTCATCTTCCCTCCCGGGACAGTTATATACTCCGTATCCCGGGGACGGATTATTAGATAATCCACCTGTCCGAAATAGTATATCCTCATCGGAAGGCGGGGTCGGGCATTATTGTAGACATCCAATTACTATCAGATCATCTTGACCTGCATCTTGCTCTCCTGTACAGTAACAAGTCCTGAAGTTCTATATAGCCCGGTCTTCGGCCGTGACATTGTTTGATTTACCTCTCGAGCTACATTTGCAAATTTCGAGCTGTCTTGACTACCCAACATGTCTGGCTCTGTCACAAACAATGTCTTCTTCAGGTCTGTCATCACGGTTGAAAAGCCTTCAACGTCAGCGCAAAAGGTATCGTTTTTATGTACTTCGGAGAACTGGCCTAGGCAAGTACTGTCTTTCCACAGGGTCCCACCATTGTCATGATATGTTGTCCATATCCACCAACTAACCCCTCTAGATACAAGGACAAGTTCTCTTGCAACCGTTGCCTGAAACTTCGTCCCTCAGGTGCCTTTGCTGATAAACAAATCAAGGCGAAGCGTGGAAAAGGCCACGCTGAGAGTGACCGCCGATTCTGTCTCGAATGTGGAGTCAAAAAAAAGGGATCTATCAGCTGGGGCAGGAAATTATTATTAATCGGCACACTCACTATCTTTGCGCCTTGTGCCGGAAACTGTGCGGATTAGGCCTCTTTTGCCCAATTTGCGGCGCCTGCCGGCGCTGCCTTGAAAGGAAAATGACTACATGGGCTTCTTCCCTTGGACTTGTCATAAGACTAGACGAGATAGAAAACAAGTGTGCTCGCTGTTCGGGGCCTTATAAGAATCTGGGGGTATCGGGACCAGAACGCGATGTTACGAAACTAATACCGCGCTAGAGAATCTACCGTTATCTTTGAGGATGGCAGAGTTCGAGGAAGATTTTGGTATGATGGCTAGCCCCAAGTCTTCTGGTGGAACGACCGTTTGAATCACCGTATAGCCGGCCTGGGCGAAGGAACCGCCGCCTAGACCAAGGAGGGCTTTGAAGCCGTAAATATAGGAGGGGAACATCCGGTCCGTCACTGAGGTGAAGAGCAACAGGGTCTGTTGCACGCTAAAAGCAATCCAAAGTACTCCAGCGGACAGAAAGAGAGCGATAATTGCTCCGCTCTTCCATTCATACAGACCCCCGCCAAATTTGATGGGCATGATGGCTGTGACGAACGCGCCGATGCTGAGGATACTTCCCACCGAGTCGAAGGTGCGCTGTCTCTAGCCCAGTGAGAGGTGTTATCATTTTTCAATTGGGGAACAGATGAATACATGGAAAATGTCACCCAACTGAGAGCCATCCCAACTCATCAACCGAAGAAAAGTCGTTGACCGTGGCCTGTGGAGAGTTGTCATGGAATGAACTAATTGAAGACTAATATTTCAAGGGAATTTATACCGGCAGGATGTCTGCAACAATGGTATTGATTGTCCGAGGCACAGGGAAAGATGCTCGACAGAATACTGGCGACGATGAGGAACCACTATGAAGTTCAAGTTAATCTCTCCTCTCTCTCACTGGGGGGGGGGCATTAGAATGCTATGCCGAAAACCCCTGAACCTTCCGAGATGACGATGACACAAAGGATTGCTGGGCACCGACATAGTGCGGCATTTTGGACTCGTTAGAGTGAGATAATGCCTCGTGGCTATTGTCCATGATGTCGGGCATGTTGGCCGAGTATCTGAACACAATGATGGATGTAGAAGCTAAAGGTCAATTCAATCAAAGACAAGACAGCATACTACTACTACTACTACTACCACCACCATCACCACCACCACTGCTACTTAAGGTACTCTTTATGACCAGTTGAATTTGTAAGCAATTATGATTGGAAATCAAGCATGTTGGATCTGCATTCCTAAGCTTGTATTTGCTTAGTATTTAATGACAGGTACGTGAAACATATCATATCATAACTATGGAGTATGCACTACTGCACTATTTGTTTTTAGATGACAGATTGACAGAAATAAATACTAACTATTACCTCTTGGCTCATGCAATGAGATGGATATAAGGGCTCTCGATGTATGGAAGACAGTACTCGCTCAATTCTAAACATACATCGACAGCTCTGACATTCTAGTACGTGCATACACCATCCCATTCTGATATGAATATGTCCCTCCAAAGAGCCATCCAGATCCAAGCCCCCAAGCTGGCCAAACTGGTAGCTGACGCTCCCATCCCGACTTCGCAATGAATATATCAAAGTTAAGACGGCCGCAATCGGTCGCAATCGGCCTCAATCCCACTGACTACAAGCACATTGACTTTCTCGCCACCAAGGGCGTCATTGTCGGGTGTAACTGCAGCGGTATTGTCGAGGAGGTCAGTCCCGCAGTTACCAACGATCTCAAGGTTGGGGACAGAGTTGCTGGATTTGTTCATGGAAGAGGCCACCACCCTGGGCGTGAGCATCACCACCGTCGGCCAGGGACTCTACCAATCCCTTGGCCTTCCCTGGCCCACCACCCTCACAATCGAACCGTCCTCCCCCATCCTCATCTACAGCGGCAGCACCGCAACCGGCACCCTCGCCGTCCAGTTCGCTAAGATCTCCGGCCTCACCATCGTAACCACCTGCCCCCACACAACTTCGACCTCGTCCGTCGCGTGGGAGCAGATCAAGTCTTTGGCTACCGCTCGCCAATGTCGGGGCAGAGATCCGCGCCGTCACGGACAACAAGCTACGTCTTGCCTTTGACTGCATCGCCGGTCAGGAGTCCGCCGCCATCTGTGCCGAGGCGATCAGCAGCAATGGCGGCACCTATAGCAGTCTGCTTACGGTGCAGGAATTCCCACGCAAGGATGTGGTCAGCCGGGCCACGCTGGCTTACACGGGGATTGGTGAGGCCTTCCACAAGGGACTGAAGGAGTTTCCAGCCAATCCGGGACATTTGGAGTTCCAGGTTAAGTTTTGGAAGTTGGGCGAGGGAGTTGTTGGCGCAACCTAAGATTAAGGTGCATCCTCCTGCTGTAAGAGAGGGAGGGTTGGAGAAGGCACTGGAGGGAGTGGATGATCTGCGCTGGGGTAAAGTGAGTGGGCAGAAGTTAATATATACAAAGTTTAGTATCCGATTTCTAGTACTTTAGTACGTTGCAAGTAATGTACCTCTCACTGGGCCGGATCTGAATAATTATTCATTAAATGATTCAACGTTAGTGTGCGAGGCAAAGGGGCGGGGAGCTCTAATTAGAGAGTTGTTGAGTGTGTGAACTGGGGGCTCGGTTGGAGATTGGGGTTTATGACAAGACTTCAAAACACCATTTCCATCGATTAGTATAATTGATAAATTCCATTCTGCCCACATCTTTCTATCGTAGCGATCAATATCTATACGGAGTAGTATGAGTTATTAGGATGGATGTTTTGAGTACTCCGCAAGTGGAAGTAGAAAATCAGGGCTTCCCGAGCCGTAAGCCCTAATTTCCTATAACGGAGCTAGTATAAAACTGCCACGACACTTTCAATCATGCTGTGCCGGGGGCAATGCGAACCTACAGATAGGACTCTCCTTTCTTTTCCTACATTTTATCTTGAGGCGTTGTTGGACGGACGGGCGGGCGGGCTCCGACATACTTGGGTATGGTGGAGTCCGCGGAGGAAGGGCACTTAAGGTGAGCCTCCTCCTAGGTAGTTTAGAAGAATCGAGCATACTTTTCGTTTCAAGTTGCTTCACTAGTATCTTTATCATTGTCGTATAGTATGAGCTTGGCTCCATCATCGTTGCGTCTTTCTTCTGTTATACCATTTCCTTACTAAATCGTCCTTCGCCGTGTTGTATCGCGGCTCCGTTTCAGTACATCCACCCCCTCGACCACAACCCGGTTCCTTTCGCAGGGAACAACGCACGTCCGCCTTCAATGGCAATGCTAGTATGAGGTATAGGATCAACGGTATGTGGCAAAGGAAATTGTCAGCTTACAAATACAAAGACACTAGTTAGTTAACTAGAATATCGACTCACGCGATAAGATCGACCCATATGATAATTCTAGCCAAGGGATTGAGTAATATTATAATACCTAATGGAATCGAGTCGAACCAAATAGTATGGGTAAGCACTATAAGGCGAAGCCCACAATTGCAAGCGCAAGTCATGTCAGCGATTGTTTCCATTGAATTACAAGTTGACTTTACTAGTCGGTTGTATTACAAGCATTAACATTAGCACCCTACTAGCTCAGCCAGCTAGAATTATGGTTTCTGCTTGATTTCAAAGCAAATGAGGATGAAAGAAAGCATGTGACACTCTTTCTTGAGGATATATAACCCGCCATCGCTCTTCTCCAAGCAACCTCTCTGCACAAACCAACCTTGAAACAACAACTTACTACCATCTTGTTCACAATGGCTTCTTACCTTATTACTGGTACCTCACGAGGCATTGGCCTGGCTCTCACTGAGATTCTTGCTTCCAAGCCTGCCTCAGAGGTGTCTGTTGTCTTTGCCGCAACCCGTACAGAAACCAATGCCCTCAAGCAGCTAGTCTCTCAGTCTGCTGGCCGTGTTCACCTTGTCAGGATTGATGTGACAGATGAAGAGAGCGTCAAAAAGGCTGCAGCTGAGGTTCAGCAGTTGCTCAATGGCAAGGGGCTGGATATTCTCATTAATGGTGTTGGTATCATGAACTACACTCCTGGTGGAATTGAGACTATGTAATGTTCCAAACACCCCCCCTTTTTCTTTCTCTTTCTCTTTATAAATCAGCTAACACATGATAACAGGACGGATCTCGACTCGTCATTTAGAACTAATGTCACCAGTGCCCACCTGATGACTAGTGCCTTCCTGCCACTGCTGAAGAAGGGTAACGTCAAGAAAGTTGCCAACATGTGAGCTACCATCCTCTATCATTACTATTTATAATACAGGCCTAATGATAAACATCAGCTCCACGACCCTTGGCTCTATTGGCATGGCTCCCAGATATGCAATTTTCCCTGTCCCGGCATACAAGGTCTCCAAGGCTGCCCTGAACATGTTAACTGTGCAATATGCCCAGTCCTTTGCAGACCAGGGCTTCACATTCCTCACCATCTCCCCTGGAGTAAGTACTATCTTCTCCATTACTTTCTCCATTAGGCTCGCACTTGCTAAACCTCTTCTAATAGTGGGTCAAAACCAATCTTGGCGGTGACGCTGCTGATCTGACAGTTGACCAGAGCTCTAAAGCTGTCCTGGATATTATTTCTCATGCAACCACTGCAGAGAATGGAAAGTTCTTTAACATTCTGGTACCTGGGTGGGAGAAGGCAGAGGGTCTCAACCAGTATGATGGTCAACAGCCCCCATGGTAATTGTGATGACCATACGTGATGACCATACCAGAGCAGATTGAGCAAGTAGGGCACAGGGCTAGGGCTGAGGGCAGGCAGCTGCCCTCGCCTCCTATTTCCTCACCACCATGTCTTCACCCTCTTTCCTCTCCTTCTTCTTCTCCTCATGTACGATATTCTTAGACAAGTACAGCCAAATAGCGAGCTGCTTCCTTCTTCTTCTCATCCTATTATAGCTGATCGTCACAGTAATCAGAGGCTTCATCCTGTTTTCTTACATGTCATCATGACAAATCATTTTGTGGTTTAGTGTAAGGGCTGGATGGCGGTGACGGCGTGAAGAGGTAATCAATATACGGAGAATGCTAAGTGCGATGGTTAGGAGGAAAACGTAGGGTCCTTATTGCTTAAGAACTAATCACTGACTTTACTATGGTGTTGCTCTTTTGTCTCTTTCTTCTTCAATCTTGAACGGCATCGGGAATCCTTCAATCTGCGCAGGGCGCCACCCACGTGCTGTGCTGTGATGCTTTGGCTGTTGGAGGAGTGAAATGGTATTGGAAAGTCCGCTAATGAAGTGACGGCGTAGGACTACGGCCTATGAGATGCTGGTTCCGTTTGAGATGATCGATATGGGTGTATTGCATTATGGCCAGGCAACCAAGGCAGCCTAAGCCATTAGTCAGAGCACAGGCAGAAATCAAGCATCTTGCCAATGTCGGATTGCAGCTCGGCGAAGCAAGAAAATAACAACTCAGTGGAACTAGAAATCTTACCACCAAATTCTGCACTTTCACTGGGTTCTTGGGTGCATTCAATTAGACCTCTGGATAGCCCTACCGCCAATTTAAGACTTAGCTTTATCGCATATAAAAGGAGGCACTGGTTGAAGTGTATCTGAAGAGAAGTAGCCCCTGGAATTGTATGTGCACAATCACCTTTCTCATCAGAAAAAGCGACAAGGAGAATTCCTCTCCAATCCTCAAACCCTGCTGGAGGCTACTGACGTGTCCATCTTCATCAAAAAGTGTCGCCTGTAGACTGAAATCCGGTGCCCTGCGCTAATCACGTCTGATTATTGCGGCTCCAAGCCTCACATGTCAAATATACAATTGACCTAATGCAGCTGTTTGGCCCGATCTGCACGCATACACCAAATAAAGGAAATGCGGCAACTTCGCTTTTGGCCGCTAAACAAGGTGAGAACACGGGAGGAATTGAGCCCAGTGGGTCAAGAGATGGCCCTGGAGGGGAGGAGACGCAAACCAGGTCACCTAAGCCTCACAGACACTCTGCCTTGAGGATGCAAGCTATCTCTAAGTAGCTGGATTATCAGGACATTGTATTTTCCATACGGAATCTCAGAACTCTGTGGATGAAGTGATCACGAGAGTAGATGCAAGAGATCAGGGTTAAGGGGACTGAAGAACCAAGCAAAACTGGCCAGAGAGAGCGTAGGAGAGCTGGAAAATTCAATCAGAAATTCAAAATTACTGATACGCTCGTGCATGACGCGGTGAATCCTACCATAAGCAATAGAACAGCATCAGGGGCAAAGTGAATAGCTCAAAACCCAAGTAAGCGAATAATAACAATGTCTCAATCTATCAGATGACCCATCGGTGACTCCGCAGCTGAGGCGGGAGTGGACGGCTGGAAAAGGGCAATTGTCGGATAACGCGGCATTCTTTGAAAGAGGGGGGTGCATCGAACAAGGCAGATGGCAGGGGGAAAAGGGAAAGAGAAAGTGCGTCGTCGTTTGAGGGAGAGATGTCGGGCTTATATAGATGAAGTGGATGCGTCAAGGCGGCAGGAGAAACGGGCAAAAGCAGCAAGAGGCAGCGCGATCCCCAAAGCGGTAAGCGCTATACCGTAACTAGCAGTCCGACTTCCACAGGCAGGCGGTGACAACCGGCAGACTGGCGGTTCAATGAGGGCCGTTTTCAGCGCCCCTAACCGTGACATGGGATACAATACTTATATAAGTATATAGTATATAGTTACATCACACAGCTCACTGCCCATTCACCAGATGATCTGTCCGGATAATGTAATCATCCTCTCCCTCCGCATCTGCATGGACAACTCCATCGTTGTCAGCGCCCATAACCTTCCATGACGAACCCACTCTTCCTTTTCCCTTGCCACTATGACTACCACCGCTGAAGTTCCGAATGTCTGAATGTGCACTCTTCCCTTTACCCCTGATGGTAGCAGTACCATTCGCGATCGAGAAGTTGAGATGGCCTCCATTCTCTAGTGGCCCGTTCTCGTTCGTATTAAGGGCTGCAAGGGCGTCCTCGATTGTCTGTGGCTGTTGGCTCTGCTTTCGTTTTTCTTTATCGGATGATTCAAAGGTCTGGCGGATTCTTTCAAAGTGTTCGAGTTCCTTGGCACTGTTTGATTGTCAGAAAATGTGTATAAGGGTGGTGGCGGAAAGCAACCTACCTGACGCTAGGAACCAGCTCATTCTGTGCCTGTATAAAGTCCTCCTCGGTGACCACCACCGATACATCTTCAGGAGTAGCAAGATGGTCGAAGAAATATGCCGTGCTAACAGGTCCATTGGGCAGATTCTTGATCTTCTCATCCACCGCAGTCGACTTACGGGTGATAGCTTTCAGCATCGCATCTGAGCAGAGCGCATACAAGTCTGCACCCGTGTACGTAAGAGGCAGTTGATCGGCCACTCGACGGAGAGACAATTCCGGGTGAAGTGTGAACTTTCTCGTGAGTGCCTCCAGGATAGTTGCCTGTTTCTCGTGCGTATCAGACACACCGAGGTAGAGCATCTTATCGAAGCGACCCGGTCGGAGAAGAGCAGTGTCCAGCAGGTCTGGACGGTTAGTCGCTCCGATGACGAACACACCGCCGCTGTTCTCCTCGCCACCATTCATTCCGTCCAGCTCTGCTAGCAATTGACTGACAATGCGGTCCATTACACCACCGCTGTCACCCTGGTTTCCACGCTTGGGGGCCACGGAGTCCAGCTCATCAAAAAATACGACACATGGCCGTGCATCGCGAGCACGCTGGAACACCCGTCGCACATTGGCTTCCGACTCACCGATGTACATGTTGAGAAGTTCAGGACCCTTTACAGAAAAGAAGTTCAAAGAGAACTCGGTCGCGATCGCCTTGGCCAGGAGAGTTTTGCCCGTCCCCGGAGGACCGTAGAACAGGATACCACTGCGTTTCTTCATGCCCTTGGCAAATAGCTCGGGTCTCTCGAGCGGCAGCTGAATAGTCTCCACGAGAGCATCCTTGACATTTGCCAAACCGCCAACGTCCTCCCAGCTGACACTGGGGATCTTCGGTGCGCCAATCGCATCTGCAAAGTTCTTCCTGGCAGCTTCCACGGCGGTATCGAAGTCCAATTTGGTCACACCAAGAGCCGCATCACCTCCGGAAATGAGGACATCACGTACAGTGACTTTTGCATTTGTATCTCGTTTATTGCTTGTTTGCGCTAGTTTTTCTAGACGTGCGTCCCTGGCGGCGGAAGCTCGTTCAACGACATCTACCAGATCCCCAGCAACCAGAGCGGCCGTCTTCAGAGCAATAGAGCCTAAATCAACGTCTGATGATACCTTGATGCCTCGATCCACAACGGCATTTCGGAGAATGCCTTCCCGCTCCTTCTCCTCCGGTGCAGTCATCTCAAATTCATGTGTAAATAGGCTGCGGATGCCCTCTGGAATTTGTTCAACGTCCGTCGTGGTTGCAACGACAACTCGAGAATCAGCGACAATCTCATTCATCGCTGTGACCATGCGGTCAGCTGTCAGTACCTCGATATGTTTGATGAGCAACGTCGTGCAATTGGATCCACAGTGGAAAGCACGCTCCGCTCTTGCTTTCAGATATGCTTCTGTTTTGACGTCGCCACCATTCGCACCACCCTCCGTGAGGATATCATACGCATCAATGGAAAACGTGTGGAGGCCGATGTCTGCGCTTGCGCGAGACGCTATCGTCGCCTTACCAATGTGCCTCTGCTGTGATGTCAGGAGAATAATAACCGGTTTCATGCCGAGTTGAATAGCTCGGGGACTCGTTGCAGCAGACATCAATTCACGGATTCGCTCCTGAAGAGGTGGCGTATAAATAGGAAGTGACTCGGCGATTAGTCCGAGAGGAGCATGGCCATCGCCCACAGCTTTTGGTAGCTTCTTCACCCCCAGCCAATACTCCCAGTCATTATCCAAAGTGCCAGGAATTCTGCTAATTTCGCTCCCGGCTTGTACCATCCGCGTAGTCGCAGAGTCAATGACGGCCACTCCTCCCCAATGATCCTCCCCCATCTCATCCTGCTCGTCTAGCACACTGGGAACAACGTTACCCACACGGAACCAAGCAACGCCAACTTTCTTGGGTCTGGAATCATTGGACTCCATCATACGACCCACTTTAGCTGCTAAGTCATCCTCTTGGTTTGCACCATCAGAGCCTACTGTGCCAGAAAAAACCGCCCTGCCAAGCGCTTCATCGACACCAATGCCAACGAGATCGCCACTTTTCAAGAGTCTTCGCTTGGATTCAAAATATTGTTTCAAACCAGAAAACAAGGCCTGTTGGAGGGCGCGATCCATAGACAATGGAGTAGAAATTTTCAGTAGGGTCACCTCCTTTGCTAGAGGGGGGCTCCTGGCAGAGCTTGTTTTTAATTGATGTAGAAGACCTGGCCTCGCTGCGACCCCATTTGGTGCACTGAATTTAATGGGAGACATTCGCAAGTACTTCGGGTTTCCGAGGTTGCTGAGAAGAAGGGGGGGAACAAACACGAAAGGAGTCAGACGCTGGGGTGGACGTTGCGAAATACTGGAACGCCTTCCTGTAGCGGGTTGATTGATAGAGTAGCGTGGTTTTGGAGATGGGAGACCGGGTAAACCGTAGATTTTGACGGGGCGCCAATTCGTCTCTTCCTCTGCTTCATTTAAGTTACCAAATTTCAGCGATTCCAACGCATTGAGCCGGGGTTCCTCTGTTTCTTCAATGCGTACCCAATCTCCAGAGAAACAGCCAATCCTAGCAAGGGTAGTAACGTCAACAAAGACGAAAGAATCAACATCATCATCTTCCCGCGGCCGGGGGTGTAGGAGCTCGATCGGAATAGAACGAAGAAGACCTTCCGTCTTGAAAACTTTCCCCGCATTCCGACCAGGACGCATGGTAGTAGCTGTGAAGTTTGACGCTGTGGACCCCGGTGTGCGAATGCCGTCTGATCGCCTGGCGGCCAAACGTGGTGTACCAATAATTGTACCAGACATAATCCCTGACGGGGTCTGTGGAAGCTGGGGTGCAGCAAGAGATATCATATCTTCCAGAGAGTCATCCGACGCATCGCTTACAGTGGATACGGACCCTTCTGTTTCTGATTCATCAGCCGAAGTCGTACTGTCCACTTCTGTGCTGCTCTCAAAAGGTTTATCTTCGGCGGCGGAGTAAAACTGCTCGTTTGAAGTGTCATCCGATGGGTCCTCCGCCACCTGCTTTAAGGCCGTCCCAGATGATAGACTCTTCAGCCTCCGGTGGCCCTGTTGACGTGCTTGGATGATGACGATTTTGGTCGTCGGCATCAGCAGGCCTTGTGACACAGGTTCACAAAAGGAAATGCGCGCCGGAGGCGGGGGAGCGTAAGTAATTGGGTGCGGCGGGAGTGGCATCGGTAACACATCTCCAGCATGCAAAACCTTTGAGGTACCCAATGCCGCACGTACTGCGGCAGTAAGTCGCCCCTCTGCGTCAGCCGCATCCTTTCTTGTGTGTCTTTTTGGTCCAGGCTTCCCTCCCTTCGTCCAGTACCCATTTGTTCCATCAGGGGTAGTAGTAAAGCCGCCACCAAATCTATTCTGCACATCGTCATTGTCGCGGAGTAGATGTCGCTCCACGGTCACGTAGACTGTATCAAGGTGCAGGGGCACAACATCCAGAATACGAATCTCGATGGGGCGCTGCGCGGTAAGCAATGTTCGTGCAGGGTCTATTTTGCTAATTGCCTGGATGAAGGGCTGTATGGAATTGGTTGAGTCAGGGAGAAGGACCGTTGAGTGCGAGATGGGTGCCGAGCGGGAGCGTTCTCTGCCCTGCACGCTGACCGGGATTATGGTCCACGGCAGATCCTCGACAGAAGAGAATATTGGAGTGCGCGGCGATATTGCGACGTAAAGAACTCTATCTCTATTTCCATCTAATATGTAATGATTGGAATAAGCAATAGACACACACGGGATGAGAGGAAACAGGCTGTGGCATTACTCACCTGTCATGGCCTGCTCTGGGAAGAGGTCAGCGACCAGATCGTCCGACAATACACCAACATTGCCACGAAGATGGTGATCAATCACCAGACGGGCGGAGATGGGAGCCCTGTTGCGCTGACGTCGTCTGCCAGCCCTACGTCTTCCCCTTTGCTTGGGTTGGTTGGAAGACTGGGAGTATTGCTCGAGATCCATGATCGCGCTGTGGCGGATTGCAAATGGAAATTCTCCTGGTTGACAACTTGGAATGTCCAGCAAAATTCAGCGGTTCATGATCCTCCGAGCTGAAATAGAGAGCATCAGACGAAGACCAGAGGACAGACCGAGCACTGAGAATCTGGGGACTGGGAATCTGGGGGGGAACTGACACCGAACCGACAGTTGTTCCGGAGCCGAGGTTCCGCAAGACAGCATTCAGATCTTCACAAGGTTAGTTGAAACGCTGCACTTGGAGCTTGACAGGAATAGAAATAATAATACAAACCCGAGGATCAACGGCAGGATACTTGAAGCCTTTCAAATGGATGTGATCACGCTGAACTCGATGATATCGAGTCGACAGTTCCTTTTCGTCTGAGGGTGAAGCTGCATGATCACGTGAAAATACTATCACGTGTAAATGTTGGATCACGTGGGATTCTGCCGCATAGGTCCGCCCTCGCTGACCCTTTTCACCACGTAGGCCTATCTAGCTAGTAACCAACCAACGATACACCTCCATTAGTAAATATTGGAAGTCATGTGATATATGTTTAGTAATACGATGCCTCGTGCCTGAGGCTGTACACTATACAGCGTAGTATGTACAGTTGTGTTGTAGGCTGTGCTCTGTAAGGGGCATTACTCCTGGCTCCACCCGCATATATTATCCGCGATTATTGGAGCAACTACGCTCAGTACAGCAAATAAACTTCTGCGGAGAAAGCCACTTTGAGTCAAGACTCAACGGAATGAGTCACTCCGGGTCCGCAAACAACACTATTTGCGGGTGAAATGAGGCTCAAAGCATAATGTGAGTCACGGCCCCCAACTTGTCCTTCAAGTGACGCTTTTCTTGAGTTGCAAGTCCCATGGCCAACTGTTCTGAATAGTATAAGTATTGCCTGCTGGACCATGGACGCCGTTCATCTGCTAATGATTCTCCCACGCCCTCCAGTCTGACTGCGGCTGACCTGTTCTTTCCGCGGAACAGGCAGCCACTCCCCTATCTCTCCACCACGGACGGCCCGTACTTCCAACGCCCAGTTTCCATGGTCGTTGGGGAAAAGCCTCTTTCTCCTGGCCATCAAATCGCCCTCGTCCTCATTAAAATCATCTAATCTAACTACTTAGTAAGACCGCTGATTACATATCATGCAACACTACAAGTGCCTCGATGAGCTCACACCTGTGAGGCTCTCTCACTTTGCATCCTCTCATATCGAGTTTGACCAGTGATCTCTATACACGTTACTCCTACTGCCATCCATCATGTTTGAACTGTGGAAGACCACTCAGGGTACTACCCACCACCAGCCAGAGGAGGCGATGCACCTCGAGGCTTTCAATCATCCACTCCACGACGGGGTCGAACAGTCCATCGCCTGCCGACGAAAAGACACATCCCCGATGAACATAAATGCAAAGTGCAAGAGCTGTGACAGGGTCTTCCGACGGCCTTGTGATCTAACGTGAGTACCCGTCCACCCTCTTTCCATTCCTCGATTTCAGTCTTGCTAATAAAACCCTCAACAGGAAGCATGAGAAGACACACAGCCGCCCCTGGAAATGCACAGAACCATCGTGCAAATACTTTGAGATTGGGTGGCCTACTGAGAAAGAGAGAGACCGCCATATCAACGACAAACACTCGCGGTCTCCCATCATGTACAAGTGCCGCTTTCCTCCATGCAACTACCAGTCCAAGCGTGAGAGCAACTGCAAGCAACACATGGAGAAGGCTCATGGCTGGGCCTACATACGATCCAAGAACAACGGCAAAGGAAGCAGCACCCGGGGCTCTCCCGTCCAAGCCACCCCGATGTCTACCCAGACGACTCCGGCAACCCCCAGCCTCCCAACACCATTCTTCGAGAATACCGACTACTACAATACTCCCCTTATCACGACCAACCCCTTCTCGGACCCTCTCATGCCCATAGGACATGAGGACTTTCAGCTCTTCTCAGACTCCAACCTGCTTGGGAACCTGACCGACTTCCCTGAATTCAGCCCTCTTCCGCCGGAAATTCCAGAATTCGAGCAGTTATGCCAGCCTCCGGCCACCAATGACGGCATACCTGAAGCTTTCAGCCTGGGTATCCAAGGCGGACAAGGAGACCTTATGCTCTACACGCCAGCGTCAACATGGATGGATGATGACCTACTCTAAGAACCTTTTGTGCCTTGAAGGTACCATTTCGTTGGCGTGGATCTATGTATTTTTTTTTTTTTTTTTTTGATGCGGTTGTTTTAGCGACTGAGCTCTTGGGATGGCATTGGCGTCTGTGTGGGTTACATTAATGTCTTGATATGTACTGATAGCGGTGCCACGGAATCTGAACGAGTGTCTTTTAACTTTCTATGGATGTATGGATGACCTCTCACGTTGTTCATGGGCTGCGATGTCTCGTAGGAATACCTGTGTCCATGCACGTACTGCCGTTTCCCTTTTGAGGTGATCTACGTGCATATCACGTGCATGGCCATCTCTGCAGCTTCGATATAATTCCAACCATATTACGAAGTAAATTAAACTGTATTCTGAATGATAATAGTAGTAAAAACAATAGTCCGAATGATACTACAGCTCAACGGCTGTCGATAGGCATCCTCGTTTTTGCGGCGGCTATTTTTAACCCCCCGCACGCTGCGGAGAGCCACTGCCCAGCCTCAACTGCACACGCTGAAGCATACGTCAGCAGCCTCTCTCCGTCTCCGCCTCAAGTCTAGATCATTTTGTTATTATTTCTCCGTATATAAAAGATAATGTATGTTAGTCTGCTTGTTCTGCCTGCTTTCCCAGTCCAACTGATTCAATAGGGCGCAGCTGGTATGACGTTTTTCTTTTTTTTTGGCTTTGCTGGTCCCTGGTCCCTCTTTCCTCGACCCGGCAGAAGTGACTTTGGCTGACTTGTATGTCATCGAGAAACAGGATTCCTCGCTGTCTACTCCATCTATCCGCCATCTATTCTCCCATCCTATTCCGGCCCACCGTCACCTGTCATATTTGAGATGCAGCAGACTAGCATTGCCAGCCCCTCCTCGCCCAGCGGTCCTCAGGGCATCCCCCCTCCCGCACCTAACCATCGTCCGCCGCCGCCTCCGTCAGCGATCCTGACGGGGAAGCAGGAACATTGTGAGCACCTGGACCTCCCCCAACTCATCTCTCCTTGATGACCGGTGAGTGCCTAGGCGGTATGCCCGCGTTCGTGCTAACCGTGTCATCCCGGCGCCTGTAGACCTTAAACGCGAGCTTATCAGCCGTCAAGTCCGCAATGAAATCTCTGAACTCAACTCTCCAACTGCCCTTCAACGCTTCGGGGCTCCATTCAGGTCCGATCTCGGTGAAATTGCACCCATTGATTCTGAGCTGCCTATTCTGCGGTACATCTTTGTCCACCACGTGCGGAACTTCCCCTTCCTAGACCAGGCGCGGGAGAAGGAGTTTTGGCAAGATAAGCTGCAAGTGGTATGTACTCTTCTCTCTCTTTCAATCTCGGCATCTGAATAATTTCTCTTCACAGTTTCTCGAAAGCTTTGCGAATAAGCATGTATCGTCTTCAGAGGACCGACTGGAGGAGACAAAACGAAGGAAGCTCGCTAAGAAATGTGAGAAACTTGTAGAACTGATGATGGTGTCCGGTATCCCGACCGCATCGGGGTACGAAGAACGGGTGCAATTCTCCGAGATTGAAGTAGTCGAACGCGGGGCAAATGATCAAGGGTTGCTCGTCAATATTCCCTCAGGACATTCCATCAATGGATGGGATATCAATGTAGCTGGTGTCCGCAAGGTGAATATTAAGCGGACTGTGCGCTATCATCAACATGCAGTGAGTAACCACTCTATAGGCCATTGGACGCCTTGAGGGCGACGGCTGACCCTTGTGTAGGAGTTTATCATTCGTGTGGGACAGGAGGGCAAACCAGATATCTACGTCGGCAGAAGATATGGAGACTTTGTGAAGCTTCACAAGAGACTACGGACCGAGTTCCCGGGCAAGATTCTGCCTTCTCTACCGCGAAAGAACAAAAGCTCCACGATGTCGACCCTGCCCGCATTTCTAGACGACGATAATGAATCCTTCTCGTCTGTATCAACCCAGGATACGAACCATGCGGATGATAGACAGCCCTCAAGGAATCTAGCCCCGGGTGACCATCATCATCGCCATAGCCACCGAAGGTCTCATTCCAGGTCTTCTATTGCTTCCATAGCATCCTCTATAGGAAGATCGCCCAGGAACTCTGGCGAATTCGGCAGAGAGACCGTTCTCTACCGAGAGGAACAGAGGGTTTCCCTGCGCGCTTTTCTCCGTACGCTGTTGCAGAACAAACGATTAGCAGACTCTAAGTCTGTCGCTGAGTTTCTGACTTCGGACCCAATGACTCCCAACAGTGATGAGCTCCATGATATTAAAACAAGGAAGGAAATGGATGCTGTAAGAATCGAGGAGCAAAAGCGGTTTTACGAGATTGCAAGACAACGCGCTGCAGAGTTAGATGTTTATATGGAGAGGTTCCGCAGATCCATCGTCGAAGAAAGTAAGTGAAATTGAACAGCCGTAATTGGCAGCATCCTCACTAACCATTCACATTCTATCTTATTCGGCAGATGGCTTGACGAAGTTGTTTTCTGAAATACGGGAGAAGAGTTCCATCCAAGAACTTAGCCCACAGTTTCAGAAGTTCGCGGAATGGCTGCGCATTGAGTATGTCTGTTCGATCCTAGGTTCATATTTCCCAACGCTAATTCTAATTGCAAATTACCAGAGTTGCTGCAACTATCTACCACTTGTTTTTAGCGGAAGATAACTCGCCGGAGCTTTTTGCCCAAGCAAAACGTATACATTCCCTGATCCCCTATACCCTGTTGAAGAACGTAATCCGGATTGCCAACCCGGCCGCTGTGATGTCCGGAGTCCTGGATCTTTTCCTTGCGCAACCTTTCGGCTCACGGTCTCTTTTGCAACGCATCTTCTCCATGACGTTGAATGACGGAGTCAAGACTTTCCAGAAGTCCATTGACGCGCTGGCTGGGAAGATAGGTGATCCTGTTCTGTCTGATAAACTGAAGGCTTTCACATACGCCGATGAAACAGTCAAAGCGGAGATCCGCAGAGATGCAGAACTTGATGATGTAGATCTTATTGTTGCCATTCTCCAGACAGATCGTCTCTCACCGGAGCTCACTTCGGAACAGACTGAAAAGGTATTCAACAGCTATGTAGCTTGGAACAATGCGGTGGAAAATGTCGACCTCGAATTTCAGACAGGCGCCCAATGGTTCGCAAATTTGAAACAGCTTCTCAAGCTTTACACTCGGCAGCGTGACAAGGCCATGATGCTCAGTATCGTTGAGGAACCTGTTACGTTGCAACTATTCCGTGACCTCTTCACTATTTTCTACGAACCCCTGGTCCGCGTCTACAAGTCGGCCAACGTATACAGCAGCATTACCGATTTCGCCTCGTTCGCAGACGATGCCATTGCGGTGATAGAGAGTGCTCAGCGACAAGACGTCTCTGCCGACCCCAACCAGACCGTCCAGGCCTTTATTGATCTGTGCGCCCGCCATGAAGACAACTTTTACAAGTTCATTCATGAAGTGCATCTTCATGATAACGGGCTATTCGGGTCTCTAATGGCATGGCTGGAGGGTATTCTTGACTTCTTGCGCAAGGGACCCCCCCAAGGAGGAAAACTGGACATGAATGCTTTGTTTCAGGGCGCCGTTCTAGTGAATCAGATTGATAGAGAGGTCGCTCTGCGCGAGATTGATTCCTTGATCCAATGGCAGGAGGATCGGAAACGGTGGCATCTGGACAAGACACGACAGAAGATGGCCGCCGAAGGGACGGAGACCGGATATGTCCCTGGCAGTACCACCTTTCGGGGAAGTGATTTTGGGCTGGACGAGGTATACCTTCTTATCGCTCCTTGTAATCCCCCTTGTTTTTGTCTAACTTGTCGTGTTCTAGGCCGATCTTGAGGACCTCACGATTTCAGACGAAGCATCCGATGCTTCGGACGTGTCGGAGGAGGAGGATGACCTCGACCCCATCGCAGCAGAGCGGAGACGCCGGGTCAAGAAACAGGAGCACCTCCGCCGCACGGCTGGGGAGCCAGTCAAACCTGAGGTTCAGGAAATATTAAAGTTGACAGATTCTTTTGGGGCGATGCTAAGACTTGCTCTTGCAGAATAGATTGGTTGAATGTCTGGACCTTGGTGATTTATAGATGGCACATGCTATTACAGGTTGCGCATACTTTAAAGCTATATACATACAATAGATATTTATTGAGTGACCGTTCATATATGACCTACCTCCATCACAAGCAAGCATCTATAGACGTCCAAGATGAAGATGAAATCAAACCTGGTGAACATCACCCTTGAATCCCTTATCATCAGCAGCTCCGGTGCTTACAGAACACCTATAAGAAGCATCATTGAACTCCTTTTGTTCGACTCTCTCAACCACATAATCATGGCTAGTATCACTCTGAGCACCACCGCCCATCCCGACGAAGGGCTTATCAATTCCCAGCCCTGGCGGAGGGAAAAAGTAACACAGGATAACCATCCATGTAAACGACATGGCTATACCAACTATGAAGGTTAGATTGTAGAGTTTCAACCAGCCCTGGAGGGAGGGTGTTGTGAGTTGGTTCACGGAGGCGTCCATTCCGGCTATTGTTTTTTTAATGCATGTTAGCTATACATCCATGTGATGTAGACAAGAAAAAGGAATACTAATACTCACGCAGTAAAGGCCAACATCCCATCAAAAACGCAACGGGACCCCGCCAGTTAAAGCCGTGGTAGTACCAGTATATCGAAGAGGAGTTGCCCGTGTACAGGTCTTGGAGTTTGAGTTTGTGGCGGCGGACGATGTGGTAGTCCGCCAACATTACGCCTCTATCAGATCCCCAAGATTCATTAGCTAGGTTCAACCAACAATGTGAAAATGTCCAGTATATGCATGCATTGGGGGCCGTGGTGGCGGTGTACATACGTCAAAGGAGCCATGACGACCCCGAAGCCAGATACAACGGAGAGGAATTTTGATGCCGTCGCGACGAGTTGCCATGGTCTATTTGTCTTTAGCATATCCCCCCTTTTTTTCCTAGATACAAGAACCTCACTGAATAGCTATCCCGATAATAGCCATTATATAAGAGCCCCGGATGATATTGATGTATCTGGGGAATAACCCTGCCATGTCCATCCCTGTAGACACAGAATTAAGAACAACGCTTATCTATTATCTTGTATGAGCATAGAGTAGTAATAAATACAACCAAGAAAATGTATGCAAGATGAATACTCACAGCAAGCTGCGTCGAAACCATCCCAACAGACGCAAAAAACACACCCGCTCTCGCCCGCGGACTGGAATGATACAATTCCTGTACATCCGCGAGGAGGATAATGGGACTCCAAACCGTCTCACCGACTATATCCCTCGCAGCACTGGTGACGATAATCCCAATAACAGCAGTGACAGTAATAGTAAGCGGAGCAGCAATGAGCTGTGATAGCGTCGGTGCGAATCGGCGTTTCGCATAACGGGTCCAGTCGCTTTGGCCTAGGGTGCCCGAGCCCCAGGAGCCGATGATGGCCGTGATGCCGTACATGATACCCCAGCCTAGGTTGATGGTTGTTTTGGCTTCGGTGAACATTGTTCCCGCTCCGCCGGCGTTGTGGACGGACCTGTTTCAATTCAATGTTTAGCTGCTATACCTAGGGCTACGGAGAGAATGACGTTGCCATACCAGATCAATAGTCCAAATGCAGACATGGCAAAGAGAAGAAACGAGATAGCGAATGGGATCTGGAGTTTCTCCGGCGGAATAAGGACGAGGGGTATGAAGCCTGCGAACCAGATTACGAGGCCGATAAAGTCGTTGGTTGCCAGGTGAGATGACTCGGAGAAGAAGTTTTTCATATGGGCGAAGCCTGTTAGGGTTACAGATTAGAATGCGAACGTCCCTAAAAACAGATAGATCCATGTGAACGTGGCCATTTATACATACCTGGAATGATAGCCCCAAAAAGAACCCGAACTGCCTGACCACCCCTAAGAGGATATACGAGTCAGACAAAGGAAGTTGGGCTATATTTGCAGCGCAATAGAACTGACCAGTATGCCTGAAGTCCAAACCAGATAGATCCAGTGAAGATGCGAAGGAGAACCGGGACTGCAGACTATCAACATAAATAACCCGATTTGACTCACGGTCTGACCTGACATACCATATGAACCCCTCATTCCGTAGGAAAACCTCGAAGCAACAGTAAACCCTATATGATGCCTTTCACCAATCCAGCCACAAGCAACGGCTAGAAGACCGGTGATGATGCCACCGGCGACCTGATCCTTTCGTTCAGTTCACTGGGTGAATAGCAGAGGAGAAACAAAAAACTGACAACACATCCTATTGCATCTTTCGGGTTCAACCCGTAGGATAACAGCGTGCTTCCCATCTGCCAGGCAGATATGCAGGACCCTGAAACAGTCCAGTAGCCTGGATAATTCTCTTAGACGCGATCCAGAGCTGGTTTTGTGTAGGTAGGTGCCATTCATACCGAAGTATCCCCATACGTCCCATGTGCGTCTCTCCGGGGGAATGGGGATCAGATCCCGATTACACCATGTTGTGTTCTCATAGTAGCTATCTTCGTCGATAGGACTGTCTGCAGTCAGAACAATAATCCGGGGAGGTCGACAAATGCCGGCGGCCATAGACAAAGCACACCACAAGGGACTGGACTTACACGGCGAGTTTCTTGCTGATCTCCTTCCAGCGAACCATCGTACCTGCGAATTACCGGGACTTGCTAGAGCTGAAGAACCACCGGGGATCAGCACCTGATATTATAAGAAAGCATCACCTATCGCTCTGGCTCACAGGGAGCTATCTCACAGTTGGCCGAGAGAGGAGTAATAAGCCGGACCGCAGGTAAAGTTGGCCGATCTGAGCGCCGGTTGCTGCTTGATTGGGCTTTGATAAGTAGTTTTCATGATAACAGTCGGCATGGCGTTTGTTTCATTGGCGGCTTTGGGTAGTTCTCGTAGTCATGGTTATCTGCTTGTCTTGATCTTGAGGTTGAGTTGTTGCCGCGGTCAACGTCGACTAGGGTTAGCAGCGTCAACACCCATCTTTACGCAGGCTGGATGCCGTGTCTTTCCAGCAGCGTGGAGACTTCTGGCGTGTGGAGTTCCCCGTATATCATCAAATAATCCGTACTCCCGGGTGCCTTGTGTATGTCTGTACTATGTAGCTGCGCTCTGCTTGCGCTCCCAGTTTCTGATAACTGACACACCTTAGCAGAGGGACACACATGTAGATAGAAATACACATACCCAGACCTTTCTGCTCATAATAATAGTAGAATCCCTCTTGAGAGCATGGATCTATTATCATCCCGTATCTGCAGCGTAACGACTTGCTCTGTCGCTGCGGCAACGCATTCGTGTCCCTTAGCTGCAGATGAATTGCGGGGAATGGCAGTCCATCGATCAGTACTTTGTCCTCACATCATCCCTTTCATCTGTCATTTCTGTATTGAATTTTTGAAATCAAGAAAGAAAAAAAGAAAATGGCATCGCCACATAAAGAAATCCCCCCATCGCCGCGGACCATCGCCCGACTGCGCGGACTCTTCGTCGACGGCTCCTGGCGCTGTAACTGTCCCGGTCGGCCCTTAGCGATAAAGCTGCAGGCGAAGAAGGGTGGTGTAAACCAAGGGAAATGGTGTACGCTGCATGCTTCGTTTCATTTTGTTGGTACAATTCGTGGCATCTAAATGACCAGAACTTGAAACTCGTAGTCTACACATGCCAGCAACAACCGCAGTCGAGGAAGTGCGATTTCTTCCTCTGGGCGACCGATGCCGAAGTGCGGGAGAGGACGCTTGTTCATGCGGATTTGAATGATGAGACAGATGTTTTTTCGCGTCAGGGTGGGCAGTCTGGTACCTCTGTTGGCACCAGGACGAGTACCGCTGTTGTGACTCCATCCAGGAACGTCCACCGCGGCCTTCTCACCCCTCGCACTGAAGGGAGAAGTTCCATCTTCAAGGGGCTGCAGTCAGGTTTCATATCCCAAGGACCATCGCGATGGCAGAACACGTCTGTAGTCGAAGATCCTGGTTTACTAGCCTTGCAGGCCGCATCGGGAGAAGAGGAAGAGGACGAAGAACAGGACGAGGTCGAAAAGTATCTCAATGAGCGGTCTCGACGAACGCCGCGAAATCCGCAACACCCACGGAGCGAGCCGCGGGGGAAATGGAAGTACAGACAGCAACACCTGAGTTTTACGACGGACAGCACCGGCAACACTCCTTCATTGATGCTTACGCCGACGCCGCGCAAGACGGCCAGGACGGGTGTTATTACGTCCCCTGGGAAGCGGGAATTAAGGGACAGAGACATTGATACAGAGATTGAAGAAAGTGGAAAGAGGCTCTTAACACGGAATAATGCACCGGCAGCGGCAAACAGCTTCAATTCTTCAGATACGATTTCAACCCCGCATCCCAGTAAATACAAACCAGCCTCCCCTCCTCCATCCTCCTTCGAAATCTCAACGACCCCAACTCCCGCCAGATACAGGAATACCACTACCGCCATCCTCCCTTCTTCTTCCCAAGAGCCGCTGATACTAGGAGTTCCGACGACAACAGAAACCCAGTCAGACCTTGCACTTGAAGCCCTAACCGTTCTGGACGCGCACGTTGTCACGCTCCCTGAGAGAGCGCGGAATGAGCTCGTCGCGCTCCTGAACAGACATGATATGCGGACAAAGGGGATAATGAGGGGGAGGGATATCACGCGGGCTGCGCTGAAGAGGAAGGAGGAGCGGATCCGGGAGTTGGAGAGGAGAGTTGGCGAATTTGGGGACAGGGAGAAAAGTAGTCGATCGAAGTAGTTAGAATTTTTTTTTTCCTTGTGTCGAGAATACCCACGTTTTCTCATCCTTCCTGTGGCAGGATAATGCTATCCAAGACAGCTTCAAAAAAGCTCACAACATTCCCCCCGTGCGCCATAATCTGAAATTAAACTTTATATTTGGTTCCATGTTATCATGTTGCGCCCATTAACCTTGTAAATTGTTAGCAATAAGAATAAACCAATATACGACATAGCCAGAAGCGTAAAGGAATGCAGTGTACATACCATATGCAAAGATGAATAAAGAAAGTCCATCTGACAAGAACAAAAGAAAGTGCATTTATTCCGTGAAATTCCTCAACTTGGTTAACTCATCCAGAAGCTCCTGTAAATCCACATCGGAAATCTTATTCTGGAGGCTCGGGATGAGCGATTTGGCTTCTTCTGCATTATCGCAACATAAGCTCCCTGCATGTAACCTATGTCAGTAAAATTGCAGCATATTCATGTATCCTCTCTTCGATCCTACTAACCTAACTGAGACCGCTCAAACATCTCCAGCTCCGTGTGCGAGTTCAGAAGCCGTTCCACCGCCTTAATATTCTCTTCGTCCTTGAACCGGGCAAATACTTCAAGGTAATCCAGCGTTTTGGTGAGGTTCCTATCCGGCAGTTGCCATCAGAATAAGCATATTGCCTCACATCTTTCAACCACAAAAACCAAAGCCATGCGACACCCTGGAAACAGTCGGGATATTATTTGCACATACTCAGGTTCTTCATATTTCTTTCCGCCTCTCCGCTTATTCTCCAGCACTTTGTTGATAACTAGTCGCGCCTCCGACAGGGACAGCGTATGTGTGTTCTGGTCCTCTCCTAGCTTCAGCGTCGATGCTGCTTCGAGTTCGCCCTGTGGCGGGATACGTTTTCGATGGGTGGCAGGTGGTAGTTGGACATTCATATCTGCAGATTTCCCGGGATTGTCAGGAAATATAATAGTATTGTTCTCTTTGTCGTCTGTTGAAGTGCGGGAGAATCGAGATTTGGACGCTGGAAGCTGGAAGCTCGCGACGACGGCAGTTCTGGGCGGTGAGGTATCCACCGCTCTTTGATTCTGCCAATCAACGAAACAGATTTTTTGACGTGGTTATCATAGTTTCTTAAGGTCTACATGCGAAACAATTCTACTCTGGAGATTCCAAACAATTGAGTAACTAAAGGGTATCGAATTTTTCCAGCTCTGCATTATCGGAATCCACATGCAATGCCCCTAACGCCTCGTTCCATGCTCCACCGTCTAGCCCTATCCTTCCCTAAAAGCGACTTCCTTCGGGAGACGGAAGCTAGCGCAGAACATCTGCTTCTTCGGACTGACACATCGAACGTTGTGGATGGTGAATTCCAACTCTTGGTTTCCGCTTCCCCCCTCAAGGTCATCGGGAGTGATTGTATAACCGATCCGCTCTGATATGCGCCTGCAGATGTCAATGTAGTCATCCAGTGGGTTGTCTGAATGTCCCGAGAAGCAGTACACATGAATCATGGGTAAAGGCTGCAACGTATGCGGTGCAAACAGCGACTCCTTTCCAGCATAAACGCCTGGGAATGCGTCCAGGAATTCAATCGCGGTGGCAGGGAGGTTCATGACATAGTGATCGAAGACAGTCGGACGGGTATACTTCTCTGCTGGTGGTGGTGGCCGCTCCTTCTTGTCCGTCTCTGCCTTCCCCTTCGCTTCTCTCCGTATTTTCGGTTGAATGGTAACTGTTACCGGACCCTGTTCTAAGAGAGCCTTGGCCGACCAACGGATAAATTCCCGTCCATCCATGTTGAAAGCTGTGACAAAGTCTTTCACCTTGTTTCTTTTAATTGCATCCTCCATGACCTCCCAACCATGCGGGTTGAGATCATTGGCCCAGACAAAGATCTTCCTCCTGCCTGCAGGTACAGCAAATGGACCAACGCCCGCCATAACATCGCAGACCATCTGGCCTGGGCGGAATTTCTCTACCAGGCGACGATGTTCCGTCTCCAGGCGACTGTTCCAGTACACACGCGAATAGTCGAAATGGAACTCACAGTCCTGCTCATGTTGGATGACATTCAGATCATTGTCACCTGCCAGCAATTCGAAGGGGAAGGTGCGAAATTCGCTATGGGACCCCACATCCTCTGTCTTATTAATGACTGTGCGAATGGCCTTGTTTTTATCTTTCAGAATCTCCGCGATGAGGTGTTTATACGGCAGATATTGTTCTCTGAGGTTCAAATGCGCTAATGGCAGCTTAGTAGGATGAATGACTAGCTAAAAAGAAGGGTGATGAGCATACCAACATGTCCCACCTGCGTGAACCCCACGGGGATTTCCGTGTGTTCTTCCTCTGGCAAAATTGCCCAGATGATATCAGCTACGTAGGTTAGCATGAGACACGGCAGAGCGGTTCTATAGCCGCTGGGGGGAAGGTAGCCTACAATATGTCCAGAAATCATAGTCAAGCTCCAATGTATAAGGCCCGAGACCGATTGTCCCCTTCTCGACCAGTTCATTTATGGTATTCGACCAAGTCGCAGAATCTAAATTGGCTGTGTCAACACGCAGCTTTTCACGCAGCAAGAGACAGCAAAGCAAAGACTTGAAAGAACAAACCATTATGTTTGATATCCTCCCGCAACAAAAGACACTTCCTCACCACATCATTCTCCTTCACTTCCCGAATGACATTGAGCCTCGGCAGCGATAGGAGATCTCGACTCTTCGTCAGCTTCGCCCGTACAGTGGCGATATCTGGTTTCTGAAATATTGTCGCCGCAGTAATCGGAACCGTCTTGCGAAAGAACGAACGGTCGAGCGTGCGCATTGCACGATTCACCGGCGGTCGAAACATATCGGGAATGTCGCTTCGGAGCGGTCTTGTGGTCTCCGTCGCAGAGTCCATGGGGAAATTGGGGAATTGCTGGCGTCAGTCAAGATTGAGACGCGCGTATAACTGGCTCAGATTGTATAATGGGTTACTGTCATGCGTTCCTGGTGGATTGTTCGCTAGAACTTGCATCGATAACATTATAACATCAAATTCCTAACTCCGCACGTGACTTGTCCACATCTGGAATGGGTCGCCGCCGCCTTTTATTTACGCAGTAGAAGGGGTAAGCCTTGTTTCTGAGCATTGTTATTCCTTCCCAGCCCACGGGGCAGGTGTCAAAAGAGATAATCCAAGGATTGAATATATATACATGGCAGACAGCTCTTCGAAGGAGACAGATCGCAGAGACGATTGATCGGCGGATACCGCGGGGCGTCATCTCTCTCCAACTGACCTCAACGTTGCAACTTGCAACCTCTACGCTGTACTACTGCAGCACGGGGTAGACTCACTCCAACAGACGTCAGAATGGCAGAATCAGCATCAGAAAGACCAACTTACCCAATCACTAGCCGCGCTGAAAGCGAACGTCTAGTTGAATCCTGGGGTTTCAGTCACGTCTTCACTTGGACGGATGGAAGGTATGCTATGCTACGCCTATTGCAGACGGATCTGCTGTCTACCTTTTTATGAGCCTCTTTTTGGTGAGCTAACATCTCACTTCCTGAAGGAATGCGTATTATGCGCCCCACCGTCACTCCAATGTAACCACCCATCTCATCCTTCGTGGGTCCATGACAATTACCTATCCAGAAGACAATAAGACGTTGTATAATGGAGAGATCAGGAAGGAGACGCACGGTGTAGGGGCTCGGATTGATGTTCCGGCAGGCAAGTTGCATGAGGTTTGGATTGGCAAGGATGGGTGTGAGTATGTTATCGGAGAGTAGCTGTCCATTTCTCTGTCTTCCCCATTGAGTAGTCCTGCACAATGAAGATTGTCTTATAGACCACTAGGTAGTTCGACATGATCACCTATTGTCCATAGCAGGTCTTCTCTCACATTACTCCCTCTAAGGATAGTGCTGATGACTCATGTAGGTTAACTCCAACTCAAACCGTCAACCCACCATCAACCGATATACATGCACCGGTGATATAGCTAGCATTATCACTAAGAAGGAAGCGAACCACCTTAGCTACTTCCTCTGGATGTCCCACTCTCCGTAGTGGCGTCTTCGCTTCCAGCTCCTTGGCCATCCGAACGGCCTCCGGGCCCCAGCAATTCAGGCTGATACATCGGCATCCTAATCGTACCCGGGGCGACTATATTGACGCGAACAACCAAGCGGTCCCAGCTCCATCGCTTCAGACCGACCATACCCGAGAACCGCGTGCTTAGAAGTAACATACGTATGTATATATGGTCCACCCTGGAAACTCTGCCGATCCCATCAGGACAATCGAGCCTTTGGCATCGATCACACCGGCCGCCGCAGTCTGCACCGTATTTACAACGCTGTCGATGTTGACCTTCATCATCAACGCTGCATCGGCGGCATTCTGCATTGATAGCTGTTCATTCGCGCGACCCCTGCGATCGCTGCGATTTTGGTAATGCGTAGCCCCTGCTTAGTGGTTTTTTGGACAACCTGTTCCAATACACTTCTATCACTGACATCTACCTTCGCCCATGCGATAAATATTGCGGGCGCAACTTTTTTTCACTTTGTCGCTTGTTGCTCTGAAGCCGTCTTCATTCACGTCCCAGAGTAGGAGGTTCTGTCCGCATTTACCCAGTTCGATAGCCGTGCAGTATCCTATTCCGGATGCCGCGCCGGTGATGAGGGTTACGTCTCCCATGATAGTAGATTTGTAGTAGAAAGTAATTGCAGGGACAAGTAGTCCACCGTCTGGAATAGCAGTGATATTTAAAATAGTAACTAAATGGCAGTGCGCCATGAACACATTTTCCGGCAATCCGTCCGACCCCGCCTAGGTCTGTCGCTGTGTTTTATCTCTCCAACAGATGTCAAAACGACTCGTACGACTCCGTTCGTATGTACTACTATATATATTTTGGATGTGCGTTCAGGTACCTCGTACTCAACAGCCTAATAGGTGCACTGTGGAGTGCTGCTAAATACTACCGTCCCATAGTCGGCTGGGCATCGTGACTGGGAATCGTGGACCTTTTGTGCTTACATCCCGTCCATTCGAGTTCCCCTGGCAATCAATTCTATTCCCCCTTCGCTGGAATTAGTAGCGATGACAGTCTTATCCCCAGTACCTGTTGCATGTTCCCTGGAGCCAATCAATCTCCACAATGCATCAGAATACAAGGAACTCAAATGCCAACGCACCGTATGCGCATGGAACTTCGACGACGACGCACTCAGAGGCTTCCGAGAAAACCAAGATAAAGGCCGGAAAGCATTCTTCTGGATCACGATCACATCAAGTGCCAAACAAACCAGAAAATCGGATAAGAACGAACCCACTACATCACCGGCAATTCCAGTTCGAGCAGGACATATCTCCCTCGACTCCTGTTCCACATTTAATGATCCCGACGTAGCCGTCGCGGATAAGTCCATCCTGACTATCCAGACCTTCTTCATTCTCCCCGAGTACCGGGCTCTGGGACTGGGACGGACAGCCATGGACCAGGTTGAAGCTATGGCAACGCGGGAACCGTATGGGAGCCCGCGGTGTCGGTATCTCACGCTTAACACGCTGAGTAAACGGTATATCTACGATGAAGGACCGGAATGGAAGGGGATCTGGGAGAGGATAGGTGTGAGTATGCCGGTTTTCAGCAACCAGGTGTGGTATGAAAGGCGTGGGTATGTAGTCTGGAAGGAGGAGCCAAGGTATCCGAATACGGTTGATGGGGCGGATATTTTGCTTGTTGCTGCTTTTATGAGGAAGAAGGTGTCATCATGAAGCGGGTTACTCTGGTCAACAGGGTTGTATATATGGAAACGGCTAATATAAACATCTGGATATCTTCCTCAAGTCCTTTAACTGCCATTCCGGAAGGAAGGAATAAGAACCCCCTATCCCCTCCATCACATATCCATGTCCATAACATGGAGAAAGAAAATATCCAAAGCTGCAAATTCACCTTCTCCCCCAAGACACCAAGCCCTTCATAGGAATCACGGCAATTGAAGTGCGCCAGCACTGGCACTCGGCACTCTCATCTATAGCCAGAGGAATACTATCCTTCTGGATCTCAGCAGGTACTTGTAAAAAGCAGGATCTTTGAAGGCCGTCAGTCTTACCTGGACTCCAAGAATCAATAACCACAAGGCGTCCCGCAGACATGGCATCTCTTCCCGGGGATGACCCATATTTCCTTTCCCTCATTCTCGCACTTGGGGCAACGCACCCCCGGCATCTGAGACCGAAGTCAGTGAACCTTGTGTAATAAATGCATTGGATATCTTACCAGTCCCAGTACCGTGCTATAATTCAGAGGCGTGGTGGGTCCGTTGGGAGGATTTCCAGTTCGTTCTGTCGACGTTTGCGGCGATGTGACATTCACGGTATTGACGGCAGGCATCTTTTGTTTTTATTTCTTGGGAAATATGTGTGCTCTGTAGGAAAATTGTAATGCGTGGTCGTTGTAGAGGAGCTTCTGCTAGCTAAATGGGTTGATGGTGATCAATTGCAATCGAACACCGGGTTGCTCTGTCCATTATATATACACTTCAGATAGCACACCCAAGCGCTCCAACCTGATGAGGTGATATATTAATAATAAACGAAAGAAAGAAAAGGTCAGGGGAAAATGAGATGTCAAAGGAGGAATACCGTTTGGGCCTGTCCAATTGGTACTGTGGTGCAGGGCTATCCCTCCATAGATGATCTATCAACAGCTGCAAATAAGCTCAAGCCAATCCACCTCGAAGGAACCATCGGGAGTCAATTGGCATTCACGGCGCCAAAGATAAAGAACAAAGAAAAAAGGAGAAACGGTAAATAATATGAGTCAGTGCGGCATTCGGGAGCTCCCGCGATGGGCAGCTTTCTGCTAGCTAAACCATTGGCAATGGTTCAGGCTGTTCTCGCGAACTGGGCTTGGGAGGGTTTGCGGGCAAACCGGAGCAGACAGGGATCATCCATGAAGCGCTTGAATGATATTAATGCACGGCCAACGGCTACCATGGGGCTACCGCTGTCGCTGTTGCATACTGTTGAGCTTCACCTAAGTCAGTGCCTCCATCGACGATGTAACATGAACGTGTTAGTACACGTGAGGTTCTGCCGTCCTAGACCGCCCTCGCTACCTATCTCACGGCACAGGCAGGCCTACCTAGTAATACGACCATACATGCGCCTATCCATTAGGTTATGAGCCCGTTTTAGCTCTACGATATTGAGCTTAAAAAAAAAAGCCTTTCAGATAGGCTAAATTGTGACCTCTCATTGGTCAAACCAGAAATCGAGCGCTTCTAAGCGACTCTGAACACCAGGACCGCCAACAATCGGCCCCTGAACCCCAGGATCCTTCGATCGATCCCATCCAAAATGGTGGTGCCTCGAACGCCCCCTACCACCGCTAGACGTCACCGTCGTCAGCCAGAATCCACAGATCCTTCATCAGATATAGGCTCCTCCGCCTCCTCAGTAATCTCTGAAGAAATGGACACCCCAACTGCCCCTAGAGCTCAAAGCTCTACTACAGCCAACACCATGGCATCCACACCAGACATCACAGCTCTGTTCCAGCAGATGCAGGAACAAATGCAGGAACAAATGCAGAAGCAGATGGACCAGTTCATGACTCGTTTTAATACCCTTGAACACCATCAATCCCAATCCTCCACTCCTACAGTCCGGCATAACGCTACTCCCTACAATCATATTCAAAATAATGCGGCTATTCCAGCCTCAAATCCAGTACAAAAAGACCCTTTTGATCATGTACAAGCTCAAGTTAAAGCGCTCCTACCAGACCGATGCCGAATCACACTGTCTCATGATAATTACGACCCCTGGAGTTCAGCCATTCAAAGAGAAGCCAATGTCCTGAACGCTAGTACAGTCTTGCATCAGGATATACCTCCAGCAGGATACTCAGCTTATGATGCTGAAGTATGGCATTGCAAAGCCACTGTCATGAGAGCCCGAATGCTTCATGCTATGACTGCCCAAGCCATTGACAAATTGGGCAACACATATGACCTATCAGCCCATGGTTTATGGGACCGAACTGCTACCTTTTTCGGACGTTCTACTGGTGAAGAACGAATGCTTCTCATAAAAGAGCTCAAGGAGCTCTATATAAAAGACAATGACTACCTATCCTACCAATCTGCGTTTACTAGGATAGTAGACCGCCTTCATGCTATAAAAGAAGCATCATTTGACAACCTTATTCACGACCTATTTTTTATAGGCCTCCGCGAATGGAACAAAGCATTCATTAAGAGTAAACTTGATGAAGTATACTCAACTGGACAAGGCCCTGTCATCAATCTGGACCTACCTACCATTCAAGCTCAACTCTCTATCCGTATGGGCACCCAAGCCCGTGAATCCCGCTCCCAACACGGAGGACGACGAGAGAATCTATCCGGACGAAGCTATTCCAAACAAGCATCTAACCCCATTGCTAGCTCTTCCGCCTCAAGTTCCAACACTAAATATAAACCTCAGGACCAGGACTCACGCAAACCAAAGACCCGTTGTGATTGGTGTGGTCATTTCCACCCAATGCCTTGCCTCTACAAGAACCCTGAGAAAGCCTCTGAGCATTGGCACCGAGCCAATAAAAATACTATTGAAGCTATTCGTGCTTTACACACTGCTAAAGAATCTTCCACTGCTTCATTCTCTGAAGCAGAAACCAATGAACTGGTACCATGGACTTCTTCAGCTGCAAAAACAGCCATTGCTAAATCAGCCCAATCTCTCCAAGCTTCATGGTATCTTGATAGCTGTGCTTCATTCCATGTTACACCCCATCAAGCTTTCTTCACGTCCTATAAAACATTGAGAAAGGAGGACCTTACTCCAGCGGATTATATTGAAGATGCTCAAGGGAAGATTTCCAAACCTCATGGTATTGGCACCGTCGTCATTGATATTGGAACCGGATCCTTGATCCTTAGGGATGTACGACATGTTCCATCCTTCAATTCCAACTTAATCTCCATGGGAATGCTTCTCAAACAAGGTTTTCGTATCGAATTCCCTTCCAGCTCTCAAGTAGCACAAATCACAACCTCTTCTGGTGCAGAATTTGAAGCCATTTTGAATACCAACAATGTATTCATCCTATCAGATTGCATTTCTCCCGACGAGAGCTCCTATGCCTTTGTCACCACCCGGTCTGGCAAAGAGGCCAACCGACCAGGGGACCCTCCCAGAAAGAAACCTACAACATCCCCAAAGACTAAGAGCTCCAAAACAGCTCTACCAATTATGACATGGCATCGCCGTCTATGCCATTTAAACCAGCAGGATCTTTTACGCCTTGCCGCAGATCCTACATCAGACATTGAAATCAAAGGTTCCAAAGAACTACCACTTTGTGAAGCCTGCATCCAGGGCAAGCAAACTCGCCAATACAGCAAAACACCAAGATCCCGTATGACTGCACCACTAGCCCGAGTCCACATAGACCTTGCTGGTGGCGGCCGAACACTAGATATAGAGAAGCTAGATACGCCTCTACCTTCACGTACAGGAGCCAAATATGTGATGCTTATTACTGATGACGCTACACGTTACCGTTGGATCCACTACCTAACTGAAAGATCTGCTGCAATTGATGCATTTCGGGGTTGGCTACAACAAATGAAGAATCACCATTTCCCTGCCCCAGCCTATATTGTCTCTGACAATGAATTCTGTTCAGCTGAATGGCAGAAAACCTACCGTCAGGAAGGCATTGAATGGCAACCAAGTTCTCCATATTCCCCTTGGCAAAACGGTGTCAGTGAGCGCAGCATACGCATACTCTTTGACCGTGCACGGACATTAATGCTTGACGCTCCCCATATACCACAGCGATTTTGGGTTGATGCTTTAAAATATGCATCAGATATAACAAACCGCCTCCCAACATCCACAGTCCTATTCAATTCACCTATCCCTGGGGGGTCAATACCAACACCAAAAATCAGCCCAAGCCCATATAAATCGCCTCTGGCTGCCTGGACCAACTCACCAACTAGTATCAACAAATACCGACGTTGGGGCTGCCCTGTCTGGGTTCATCGACATGGCTCAGATAAGCCTATAAACAAGTTCGATTCCCATTCTAAATGCTGCTTCATGATCGGCCAAATCAGTAGCCAACAATATAGAGTGTGGGACCCTAAAACAGACGCCATTTTTTTCAACCAATGACACTATATTTGATGAAGAATATGAGGATCCCACAACTACACCTCCACAAGCTACTGTTCCTGAAGATCCAAGTACTCCTAATAAAGAAGATACAAACCAACCTGTTGAAGATGAAGACCAGGAAATATGGCTTCGACCCGCCAAAGGCATGTCCCTAGCCTATCTCACTGCTTCAACTACTCCTTTGTCTGAAGATGACACGCCTACTTCCTATAAGCAGGCTATATCTCATCCTGATGCCACCAAGTGGCAAGCAGCCATGCAAAAAGAAGTCAACCAACTCAAAGAAAAAGGCTGCTGGCAACTTATCCGCCGCTCTGATCTACCACCAGGGACCAAGGTCATCCCTGGCCGGTGGGTATACAAAAAGAAAGAAATCCCTGGTACCCCTATTACAAGGGACTACCAAGCTAAAGCTCGCTGGGTGATCCGTGGAAATCTACTTGACAAGGACTTCATGGAATCATACGCCCCAGTGGTAGATGAAAATACCACTAGAACCCTTACAGCACTGGCCACTCTACTTGGCTGGCATACTCAAAAGGCAGATGCCATCCTTGCTTTCCTAAATGGAAAAATGCCCACAGATAAACGTGTCTTTATGACCCAAGTTCAGGGATTCAAAGAAGGCTCTGGAGACCTGGTTTGTGAACTCCGCCAGTCCCTCTATGGACTAATCCCATCTGCCTGTATCTGGTATGATACACTAAATGCTTTCTTACGACAAATTGGCTTCAAAAGCTCCGAATACGACTCTGGTCTCTGGATCCATACCACCCGGACCCAACTCTATGTGACTACCCATGTGGATGACTTCAAAGTCTATGCTAAGCATGAGAATGATGCCACTTGGTTTATGGAGTCTCTTTCTGCTAAATTTGACATAAAAGAAGTTGGAAACTCTACCAAATACCTTGGCATGGCCACCTCTCAATCCAAGACCACATATACTCTCTCCCAGGCCAATTATGCTGAAGACGTTGTTGCCTCTTTTGGCCAAGCACAAGCACCCCTGTTGGGATCCCCATGGATCCTAGTTTAATAATTGATGATGACCCAGACCCTACAGTGAACATCAAAGAATATCAACGTGGTGTAGGCTGCCTTACTTGGCTAGCCACCAAAACCTGACCTGATCTTAGCCGGACAGTTGGCGTACTATCCCAATATCACGCCAAACCTACCCAAAAGGCATGGCGTGCCCTTATACACGCCATACGCTATCTTAAAGGCTCCATTAACCGACAAATTACCTACCATAAGGCCACGGAACCCATTACATCTGACCTCCTCATGCCCAGATGTTATACTGATTCTGATTGGGGTGGTCAACTGACAGGCAATCGCCGGTCAGTATCTGGATATATATTTCTGCTTGCCGGGGCCCCAATTGCCTGGAAAAGCCGCAAGCAAACGTCCGTTGCACTTAGCTCCAACGAAGCTGAGTATATGGCTCTAAGTGAAGCCAGCCGAGATGCCCTTTGGCTCCGGAACCTCATCAATGAGCTCAACGTGCTCCCTACTGAATGCCCGCCAATTACTCTCCATATCGATAATCAAGGTGCACACGCCATGGCTGAAGCTGAGCTCACCACCAAGAGATCCAAACACATCGATATACGTTACCATTACGTTCGGGAGAAGATCCAAGACGGTATTGTTAAACTCCAGGCCTGCCCTACCAAAGAACAAGCAGCAGACGGCCTGACCAAACCTCTCCGAACTGAACAATTTGATCATTTCCTACAACTCACTGGCATAAGCTAAGCCGCGTATATCTCCCCCATTTTGGATATATTTTCTATTTTGATATACGGCATTCGATTGGCTAAAGCAGAACCTTCATTCCTCTGTTTATTTTTGCATATATTCACTCATTTGAAGGCCCGAATAGAGGCCGATTTCTGTATTTAGATTGATTCCATAGTTTGTAGGCTGCTCGTGCGTGGGGGGGTGTTAGTACACGTGAGGTTCTGCCGTCCTAGACCGCCCTCGCTACCTATCTCACGGCACAGGCAGGCCTACCTAGTAATACGACCATACATGCGCCTATCCATTAGAACGGACAGTCTGAGCGCAAACGTCCATGCAAACGTCCATGCAAATGTCCATGCACGGTCAATTGGAAAGCAGAGGCAGGCATATTGCTCGTCCGGACCGGTTTGACTGGATTATCTCCTGGAAAAGCAAATAAAACAGAGTAAGTTGAAGGATTAAGTGGTCCACGCCTTTCTGGATACATTTGTAGAACACCATCCTGACAGAGCACACAGAGAGAGAGAGAGATTCATTGCCACAAACATGTGGGGTTCCTGATGACACAACTAGTGAGATAGTTATCCAAGTATTTGGAATGGAAAGAGAGCAGTAATAAATAGCACAGAGACACAGCGCTGCAATTGCAGCAATGCTGCATGGATATATTACACCGCATTGCTAGCAGTGAACGGCTTCCGACGGAGTGCCGCAGGATCAGGTCAAAGCCAGCGATTATTACTCCGTACGGAGCGCTATTACTATTATTATTGTCATTATTGTGTTACGACCTGCCGAGCATGATCAACCCGTCAATTTGGCGATCATAGTGGCGGCCCAAGCCAACCGTGGAGGGACGAAGCTGGCATGGCAATGCCAGGATCAGCTGTCTGTACGCCTAGGCATAGCTCTGGCAATGGACAAATAGATTTGCCGCCGAAGGGCTCCATGCGCAAAGTCGATCCTGCAATAATCAGGGCAGAGGTGTCGTGGTCTCCATACAGACTCTGGGACCAGGGTCCAACAGCGTGATTATGGCTCCTTGTAGCTGTGTCTGCCTTGCCCTGCTGCCCTCTCTGCAGTGCTAGGCCTAGGAGAGCTGCTATCACCTTTCGGTAAATGCTGACAGACGCACCGATGGGCACATTGGTAATCCTGTGCGTTTGACACTGCCTTGGCTCCCGGCAATGATGTTTGACGATTGAAGTATAATGAGATAGTATCTCTTGGAAGTATAGCTTGTCACGGTGCGGCTGTATAGATAGTATATTATACTGTCATAGACATTACATTTCTGTTAGGTTGCTTTATCTGGCTGTCCATCTATGATTCAACGATATCAAATACTGGAATCTATGTTGTTATGTTGGTCTTACCACAGTCCTGTTATAAACCGTGAGTCTGGTACTGGTCTGAGCACCAGGAACAACCCTCTACCCAAGTAGAGTAGAAATATACCAACAAAGAAATGCACTAGGTGGCATGTACAGCTGGTTTGTAAGCAAGGGGGTGAACACATCTTAGTACCCCATATAGTAGGATTGAGTTGTACAGAGTAGATACGCCTCGGGACGCGAATACAAAGAGAGACGGGAGACGATCCATGAGCTGCCCTATTACCAGTTCTGCCAGATCTCTCAGGGAACTGCAGCTTATCATTTAATCCCCGACCATGGCAATGGGGGTTTCTGGGCAGTATTCTCTACTCACATGCAGAATTCGATCCCCTGTTCACTCCGGGAATGATGCGGCTTGACATGGTTGACGACCATTGGGGAATGCATCTTCCAGGATCAGTACAGAGATGAAAAAAAAGGGCGAAGATTTACGGGGAAATTCTACTTAAATAGGAATGTTGAAAAGGCAAGAACAAAGCAAGTAACACGCCCATGACATTGCCTAGGTAGAAGGGAGAAAGGACCAGAGCTAACACCAGGAAACTCCCAGGACAATGAAACAAGCCAATGGCTCTCTTGACACACAAAAGCCATCTACTATTCCCCTGTTCCTGCATGGCTTCCGTGGCAAGGCAGAAAAAAGAACAATCGATGCTAGGAATGACACCACATTCAAAACGTCTTACAATCCCTCATTTTACAAAACGTCGCGGTATAATGGCTGACACACTATAGTACATTTTCAGTAGAACCCGAAGGGGCGAACAACAACCAGAGGACACGCAGTTGAAGAAATCGATCGATATTGCAGAAAACCTGTCCGCCTGACATCAAAAATCAGCGAATATATAGGCTCAGAGACCACGCAAGAAATTAGACTCCTTGATCTCCTTCCGTCTGGCCGCTCTAGCGCTCTTGGTAATCTCAACACGTTTCTTTGCATCCGCGGCAACCGCTGCGGTCTCATCTGCAGACGCTTCCTGTTTTCTCGAGTTATACGGAGCAGGCGTAATATCCGTAGCTTGATGATGAACCGGAATCTGAACAGGGAGGGTTGCAAGGCGAGCAGCCATTTTCTTCTCGTGGCGTTTCCTTTGCTTCTTGTTCATAGCTATTGTGAGGCGCACACTATTAGCGAAGACGCTTTCAGTTTACAGGGGAAGGCATCTCATACAACTCAAATCAACACCGCCCATTTCAGAGGTAGATTTCTTCTTGGAGTCTTCCAACAAACCCCATAACCAGTCAGGGTACTCCGAGTCCTCCTTGGCGAATATATCTGGTTTGTTCTTGAAATAATTAAGTCCGGCCAGCTTGGTTCCTGCAACACAACTGCTCAGTGGTCGTCCAGCTGGTTGCAGCTGTGGAGCTCTCTCAAATTCAGCGGGGCCAGCTTCAGGTGTGCTGAGAGGCTGTGAGACACCGGGTGTAGCAGAGGAAACGGCAGATGGGATTGAGATATCGCCGACGATAGGTTGTCGTGGTGCTGGAGGAGGCGGGGGAGCAGACGCCGATAATTTCCCATCAGTGATGTTTCGTAATTGGCTCTTCTGCCATGGCTGTTGGCGCGCACAAGGCGAGACAGAGAAAGTAGTGTGGTGTTGCAGTCGGGACAAAAGGCTGGTCCGACAACGTTGGCAGATCATTGTGAGTCAGGGGTATAGGAGAGCTGCAAAAACAGACGAGTCACTGACAGCTTCGAATTATCACAGTACCCAATGGGCGATGCTGTCCTAACAACGGGCGTATTCAATACTGCGTCTTTTGAGAGCGCGCACTGCATCGGACAGGAAGCTGCGGGATGAATTTGGCGCCAAGCCGGAGGTTAGGTCACGTGTGTTATCGCTGCTGACTAAGGTCACCTGTGGTGGTACAGTGGGATGTCATAAAAAAAGCCCCCTATCAACACCCTGCTACCGCCCGGTGATCACCTTTCTAATTAGGAAACAACAACATCACGTAGTTCACGTGGTCCGGCATCATCAACGTGTTGAATCCCTACTGCTATATTGAAATAAACCACATTTTGTCCCCAAAACAAGCCCAAAATGGCTTGGAAGAAAGGCTCTAAGGAGCTAACACCTCAGATTTGTTTATGGATATGCGAATTAAAATCAATTGGCTGAGGAGCCAAGCGAATTCACAATAAACACCCAGAGATCCTACTCAGTACGATCAAATCAACTATTCAGCTTGAAGCTATTCCCAATGACAACAAAACTTGCTCTCGCTCTGGCCGTCCTCATAAAATTAGTGAGGAGCAACGAGATCTTATTTATGGCCTTACTGAATCTGACCCACACATCAAAATAAGAGATCTTGCTGACGCAGTTGATGAGGTTGTAAAAAAGCAATCAATCTAATGGCTCCTACATGAAATACCCCAAAAATAGGTGCAAAGGAAGTGACCAGAACTCTCTGAACTTCGTGTCATGAAATGACTCAATTGGGCACAAAAATATGAGCATTTTACACCACAAGATTGGGCACATGTGAAACGGAGTGATGAGTGCTCTGTGGAGAGAGGTTCTGGAATCCAACCAACCTAGTCTTTTATATGTCCATCTGAGCAGCTTCAAAAACATGATGTATACACATCACTGTGGGAAAGGGGTCAAACAGATGTTTTCGGCAACATTTGGAGAGTGTATGCACACAGGTCTTGTTCCAGTAGATGGAGATCCAGACTCTGCATGGGGTGGTATCACTGGTTGGATTATCGGAGAGCTATATATAGAGCTTTTCTTCCTGATCTTCTGCAACCTGGTGATATCTTTATGCATGATGGAGCAGGACCATATCGAGTTTATATTATGAAAGATGTTTTGGCTGAATTGTCACGACCTAGCTCCTAGGGTGCATTCTAAGGACTAAACCACTACACGACCGGCAAAAGACCAGGATATCAGGTCGTAAGACCTGATACTACACACACTTATATAGTACTTGTTTTCCACGCCGTCACATGAATTAGGTGTTGAAGTTATGGTTTGGCCTCTTTATTCACCTGATTTGAATCCAATTGAGAATCTTTGGGGCCTAATGAAGCAGCGAATATATAAACTGCACCTTGAACTTGAGCATGCAAAGGATACTGAGGACACTTGTGAGTGTTTGGTTGAAGCTGTAAAAGAGGCATGGCATGCTATTGAAGAGCATGTCCTAATTAAGCTGTCTAATACAATGCCACATTGTGTTAAGGCAGTAATTGAAGCATATGGATGGTATACTAAATATAGGCTACTTATTCAACCAAAAATCAACCAATTTGGTACTATATTCACTGAGTGATTGACTACGAATTCGAAGATATTAGAGAATCCGCGAGGTGGTTATATTTGACCGGCAATATAATTCTTTTTAGTAGGCGGTGGCCGGGTGCTGATAAAGGGGGGCATATTTTTATGACACCTCACTGTAACTAACTGTTAGCTAACTAGTTATCTGCATAACACGACATGATGTAATACAACATATTGTGCGCATAAAGACTAGCACAGCCCTAATCCGGGGCACGCCACGTGATGGGGCGTTTTAACAGTCTGTGTGACACCAACAAAGGTACCTCGTCTGTTCTGGATTCCATTTTGCGTTGGTACGTGGCAATGAAGAGGCTCGTCGTCTCTGCCATGCTTTTGAGATCTTCAGGGTCTCACAAGTGACTGGCAGCTGCCACGGTTCAGAACAGTCTGGCTGTAGGTAGGACTAGTGAGCTGGCCTTTCGAGTTAGCAGTTTCGTGACAACGTCCTTGATCCTGCGGTGCTTCTGGATTTTCCCCTCCTTTCTTGAATATATCTGCTCTGGTTACCATATGATCAACTTCTGTTCTGCTACTGGCATATATAACAGATCTACACTGACGTTTCCGTACGTTGTCCATGAGTTCATCGAGGCACTCCTTAGCCTTTGTTACTATTTGACAATCAACACAATCGACTCCTCCAGTTCACTCTCTGAGTCATTATACCCATGTATAGCATTCCGGACAAGGCTGTCAAGGCCTCCTCCACCAGTATCCTTGGATGGAAATCCTGGCCCTTCAAGAGAAGGCTCATAATTCTTGGGCTAGGTCTTATCGCCATATTTGCCCTTACTCTAGGTCTTGGAATCGGTCTAGTTGTTGGATCGGGCCATGGCAGTGGAGACGAAAATGATAGTGAACCATCACCACTACCACCCCCTCCTCCTTCAAGCGGAAACGAGACCGCACAGCCCAATGCCACAGTGAAATGGCAACCAATGGTGGGCACAACCTGGCAGATTGAATTAGAGTATCCGCTCAACGATACTTCATACAATGCCTCCATCTATGACATCGATCTCTTCAACAACAATGCGTCTATTATCGCCGAGCTACATAGACTGGGCCGCAAAGTAATCTGCTACTTCTCGGCGGGCAGCTACGAGAACTGGAGGCCGGATAAGGACGAGTTTCAACAGTCTGATCTTGGAAACACGTTGGATGGATGGCCAGACGAGAAATGGGTCAATATCAGCTCGTCGGACGTGCGTCGTATCATGCTGAATCGTCTAGAGCTTGCTGCCAGCAAGGGTTGTGATGGAGTAGATCCCGACAATGTCGATGGTTACGATAACGACAACGGGCTAGGACTGACGGAGGTAGATTCGGTGGACTATGTGAATTGGCTTGCTGAGGAGGCCCATGCGAGAAATATGTCTGTTGGACTCAAGAATGCGGGAGATATCATCCCGTCTGTGTTGGGGAATATGCAATGGAGCGTGAACGAGCAGTGTGTTGAGTTCGATGAGTGTGTCATTTATTCTGCGTTTACGAGGGTGGGAAAGCCGGTATTTCATATTGAGTATCCTAAGGGCGAGGATACGGATAACAACCAGAGTGTCTCGGCGCAGAAGAAATTGGAGTTCTGCGATTACCCAGGAGTTGGGAACTTCTCGACGGTGCTTAAGAATATGGATTTAGATAATTGGGTTGAGACTTGTTAACTGGCTTTCGTACTATTCTTTTGCTATCGAGAAAGCTATATTTATCTGTCGAAGAGGTAATAAACCCTAGTAACCCAGCTCATTTGTTCTAATCAACGCTCATCTTGGTTGTATAATTGAATCTTCAATTGAGATAATAGCAATAGCAATATCCAACCGATGGTTATATCTACCGTCCACCCTATCGTAATGTATTTCCATATCTTAGAACTCGAGGCATATATATATATAGCGAGAAAACAACCAAGATCATAACCGGACTCATACAACGTATAACTCCACCAGGTGCGGAAAATAAGACATTTCTAGCCTAATAACGACGGAATAGATCTTTTGAATCTCTCAAATATGGTTTCTTCTGGGACCGGGTCCGCTATTCGTTCCCACTCGCCGTTGAAGGCGTTTATGAGCCAGCTTGATAGGCCTAATAACGTTTCCCGGATTAACAAAAATGCTTGGGAAAAGATCAGTGGATGCTTGGGGAAACTCACGTTCATAAACCACTTTACGGCCGTTGTGAAAATATATACTATGATCGGAATCTGGGAACACTTGGACGTCATAGTTAAGAACGTTCGACAGGTCCAGTTTATCAATCAAAACAAGCGAGTTCTGCATGTGGACGTTGTCATCTGAGACGCCGTGAAATATGAGAAAGCGCGTAGTCTCCGCCAGGGCAGACACATTTGAAATTGAGGCAGCGGCATAGCCTGATGGGTTATGCTGAGGGGTATGCATGTAGCGCTCTGTGTAGAGCGAGTCTAGTGTTTCCAACGTCACGTCAACTATACTGTCATAAGATGACATTCTCAAACGACTTACCATATAAGCTCCAGTCTGTCACTGGCGCAACGGCCATTCCATATCGGAATGTCTGGCCGGCATCTTGTTCTAGAGTCTTCAGAGTCATGAATCCACCATAGCTCCAGCCCCAGATCGCCATGCGAGTCTCGTCGACGTACTCCTTCTTAGCCCAGATTCTGGCCGTCTCAATCTGATCTCGCGATTCATAGTGGCCTAAATTGCCCCTGACTATGCACCGGGCTTTTCGACCTATAAATCCCGTTCCCCGGCCATCAACCGTGACAACAATATAACCCAGGCTTGACGCAATATATGACTGAAAGTCGACAGAGAACTTACGTTCTACAGTCTGCGAGCCTGGTCCACCATACAGATAGAAGAGAACAGGATACTTTTTTGCTGGGTTAAATTGAGGAGGGAGACGCTCCACGACTTGGAGCGTGTAGCCGTCTATTGTCACGTTTTGATAGACTTCAATGGGAAGGGCGTGTTCTTTAACCATTTGCGAAAGCTCATTATTTTCCTCGACGAACTGCTCGTATTCGATTCTATCGCTCTGGGTGTTAACCACAGCCTGCCAGGGAATTTCTGGGCCGCGATAACTCAGCAATGCATACCCAGCGCCGCTTGAAAATGATGCGTCATAGTATCCAGGCTTAGAGGTGTTTGTCAGTGGCTGGAGATCCGATCCATCAAGTTTAACCTGGTAGAGATGACGTTCTATCGGAGATTCCTTTGTGCCAATGAAAAAGACAATCCCTCTTTGTATATCAACCGCAGATTCAGTCACCTCCCACTCACCAGAGGTAAGTATAACGGGGTTAGGATTGTCAAGAGGCGTGAAGTACCCTAGATGATCATACCCTTCAACGACAACGGTGTCAATATAGCCATCATTTGGGCGTCCATTCGTGATATCGGCTGGGATAAATTGGGTGGATTGAGTAGGCTCAACCCAGCCCCCATCCAGATCTGTGATGTTCTCCTGTCTCACAAGCTTTCCAGTCCTGGACTCCGTGTTAATCAAAAATACTTTCAGGACATCACTTTCTCGGTTTGTCTCCCGGACAAGAACGTTGCCCGCAGATGCCCAGACCACTTCGATGATTACCCGGTCGTCGTCACTAAAGTTTTCAGGCAGCTCGACAGCAAATGTCTGGCTCTTTTCGACGTCGTAGAACTCCAGGCTGACGACTGGATTCGGTGCACCAGCTTTAGGGTATTTGATCTGCCTCACCTCAGGATAGTTCTCCAATCCCGGTGGCGGTTTCTCGCCGGACGGTCTAGACAAGAAGTACTGAACAGGGTATTCGGGGACAGCCGACTCATTCGTTCGAAGAAATGCGATATACTTCCCATCACTAGACCACCACGTTACACTATTTCCGGCGAAGACTTCTTCCTCATATACCCAGTCAGGAACACCGTAAAATAGATCCTTGCCTCCGTCCTCCGTAATTGTAACTATTTCTTTGGTAGACAGTTTCCGAAGATACATGTTATTATCTCTCACGAAGACGACTGCGTCCGACCTTGGAGACCAAACGGCGAGCTGGATCTGCCCATCAGGATACGCTGGATCCAGGGGTTGCGCCGCCTGAGTCTCGACGTCCAAGAGCCAGTAGCGTCCAACGTACGAATGTCTCCAATTCTTTTTCTGGTCAGATAGAAGCAGGACGCTCTTCATGTCCCTGCTGGGCCAGACGTTATCGGGGAAGACAGTTTCCCCGTCTACCTGCACATAGGAATTGTTCATGAGTACTCTGCTGTTAGAGTAATCGTCCTCTCCTTTGCGGTCTCGGATGTCATTAACCCGCAGATAGCCTTTTCCCCTGCCAGCTCCGCCCACTTCAACAAGAAGTCCATCTTCACCGTTGGATCCTGGGATCCAAGAAATACTGTGGGATTGAGCAAGCCATTCACCGCTGAGGACTTGGTTCAACGTCACTGGTTTCCCACGACTGCTCCCAGTGGCTGAGTCCAGATCATGGATAGCATCAGACGGAGCAGCTGCAGAGGATCGCTGTTGGGCCAAAAATAGTATGAAGGCAAGGCCCCATCCTCCTAAACAGAGTAGTCCCAGCGTCCACATGACTCGCGAAGAGCGGCTTCCAGTGGACGTTTTGGTTCTTCGTGAGGCAAGAAGTGGCTCTTCCAGATGCGGATGACCATCCTCGAGATCACGATATCTGTCCTCTTCCTTCTCCAGCTCCCGTATCTTTCCTGATGGATAAACATTATCGTCAGCTAGCAAGGTGGATTCGAGTGAAGATAAATCCGAATCGGATGATGCGTCGGAATGAGAGGACGATGACTTTCGATGTGTTCGGAGGGGAGGGTCCTGCCTTTCAGCAACTTCAAGGCTTCCCATGTTCACAGAGTATTCAACGAAGCAGCTCAAATCGTTCTTGCTCATATATGCGTTAAACAGACAAAACAGCAGACAGCGAATGAAGGCCGTATTGCATCGAATCGTATTGTTGCTAACAAGCGACTGTGACCGATGGGAAGAATGTTTGGACAATGTCTATACCCCTGGAAATATATTGCTTCGGGGCTACTCCGTGCGTCAGTCCAGATACCTCTGGGACTGCATACACACAGTGAAGAGGTGCGGAGGTTGGAACTTGAAAGGAGGCGCCAGTCGGAGCCTTGGCGTCCATGCTAACAAGGAAGAGAGCCTCGGAACTCGATTCATGCGCTTCAGCCACGATAAGGTCCCTTTTTTCTGTTTTTGGAGCTCTCTGAAGGACCCTGGCAAAAGGTACAAGCAGAACCATGTTCCAATACTCGCACTGCTATCCACGGTTCAGGGACGCGCCATAAATACTCTTGACCGCCTGAGGCAGCCGGACTGCATCTATGACTCTTATTATGACGTTGACATCCAGACTGCCATGACATCAAACAACCAGGCAAATGATGATCGCGCATATGCAAACTTCACAGTATCCAAGGCTACCTTTCACGACGAGACCTCGTTCCGCTCAAGTGGATTTGAAAATCAGGATATGGGAATTGGTGGCGGAGGTCGACGGGGTTGTAAAAAGGCGTTCAATTCAGATACTTCTACAGGCCATGGCTGGAAATTGGCAGAAGAAAGAGCTTAACTGCAATACACAGGCAGGAAGAGGAGCCTACGTAGGACACTCTGGGATAGATAGCTAGGCTACACAGTTCTACTGTGGATGCGAACATGAAAGAAAAAAGGAACAATATCTCTCTTTCAACGGTTTTGGCCAAGATTATTCTTTAAAGTAGATAGCCCGTTATACGCCCCTTATTTGCCTTTTGGTCTTTATCAAATCACCTCGACAGGACAATGTCATCAATCCTCATGATCATCTTTACCGTCTCCGCCGCGAGCTCGATCGCACTCGTGCTCACGAGAAGAGGCTGAAGAATGTTTTCTTCCGTAATATCATCCTTTACGCCGCCGCTGCGAATACTGACGCCCGCGTTGTGCTGGCCTTGAGCGTGTCGATGCCGCAGGTCAGTGACCACTTTGATGGCGTTGAGACCAGCATTCTCCGCGAGGGTGGTAGGAATAATCTCCATCGCATCTGCAAATGCTTTCCAGCAGATGGACTCGGTTCCTGTGAGCTCACGGGAACGCATCGAAAGTGCATGAGCAACTTCGATCTCGGGAGCACCACCACCAGCAATGAGGGCACGCTTTTTCACCAAGCACCTAATAACGCACAGTGCATCATGCAGAGAACGTTCTGCCTCGTCCAAAATAAGACTGTTTGCGCCACGCGCGACGATAGACACGGTCTGGCTGTTGGCAGCGGCAGCAGCCGCTGGCGTCTTGACACCTGTAATCTTGACATAACGTGCACCAGACTCTTGGACTTCCTCCACTAAATCAGCGGTGCCGAGTTTGTCCTCCGTGAAGGAGTCAATGTTGGCGACTGGCTTGCAACCCAGACTCTTGCAAAGAAAATCGACTTCGTCACGCTCAATATCCTTCACAGCAAGTATCTTAAGGCGGGAAAGGAAGTGCAGAGACAAATCATTGACGGCATCGCGGAGAATAGACTTTTGGATAAGAAGGACGTTGCACTTTGTTTTTTGGATTTTCTTCACCATGTTGAGGAGGTACTGCCGCTCTTCCTTAAGGATCTTATCCATCTGACGGTAGTCATTAACCACAATTTGGTTTTCCATCTAAAATTGTGTTATCTGTTAGCAACGTCTTGATGCACTGAAAAGAAAACAAGAGTGAGTACATGGATAGGAATGGGAGCATACATCAGGCTTAGGCGGGCTCAGTTGAAATTGTATCAGCCCTATGCGAGCCTTCTCGATCCTTGTAGGGCCTCCACTGCTCTTGATCACTTGCTGGTTCAAGACTACACCGTCGACCATCTCACTATCCTCAATCGTACCGCCCACCTTCTTAACTATGCGGATATTGCGCAAGTCAACATTCTCTGCGGTCTTGGGATCGATCACCTTCAGCACTGAATCGACAGCCATGGGCCCAAGAAGACTCGAGTACTGCGAAACTACTTTCGATGAGAGGGAGGTAGACGCAGCTTGGAGGAGGCTTGCACGGTCCGTTATTTCTATCGGGCGGGAAATGCCGTGGAGAACCTGGACAGCAGCATTTGCGGCCCTCTGAAAAGATTCCGAAATGACAGTGGGATGGATGCCTTTTTCCAGCAGGCGCTGGGCAGCCCCCAGCAAGCTGCCGGCAATAACGACGACCGAGGTTGTCCCATCACCAGCTTCAACATCCTGAGCTGCACTCAGATCAACCAGCATCTTGGCAGCTGGATGCATAACACTCATATCCTTTAACATAGTGTTCCCATCGTTGGTCTGCAGAATATGGTCAGTGTTGATTCATGCACACGGTGTGACGGGAGAATCGTACGATAATCGTGTTTCCCTTAGGCGTTTGGATCTGCGACGAATATCAGCATGGAGAATTAGTGTTCATTCAAGTATCTCTGCCTCACCATCTTGTCCATTCCTCTGGGTCCCAAAGACTATTTTCGTTAGCCCCTCATCCATTTCTATCAAGTTTCAGGGCGCATACAGTTCTGATCGCATCCGCGACGGCTAATCTCAAGTCAGTGGTCTTCCGGGATATAATGTAGGGAGAGAGATAGGGAGAAAGTACCTCTAGCTGCCAAAATATTGGCTCCCCGTACCGCCATGGGCTTCTCCTTATCCTGCAAGCAATTAGAGACTGTCGGGCACAAGAAGCAACTCTCCGGTAATAGGGAGAACGCACTCTAAAGGTGTTGTTCCCAGCATTTCCCTGGGATACTGCGGCCGCCATCTTTGCGTCGGCAGTTCTGTAGAAAATAAAATAGAATTAGAAAGAAAAGGAACAAGAAGAAGGATTAAAGCAGCGTGGTGGGGTTGCAAGGGAGGTAAGTTGAAGAGTCAAAGGCGGAACAATATTAATTTCTGGAGGTTCTTCTGCGATGCTTGGCGCTCGACTAGCGTTTCCGTCACTGGCATGCAGCTCGACCTCTGGACAGCAGCTGGATCATCTCAACATCCTCCTGTCCAGCTTCCCCCCATCCTCTCCACTGTCTATTTCCTCTTGATCCCTACAGTTGTTTATTTCTCGTCTGAATCTCGACTCCATTCATTTCTCCTTTTGATACTAACTCCCTGGCCTCTGACATCGATACGAACCTTCCACCATGCCCAGCGCCACGGGAGAGAACTGGGAGAAGTACAAGAAGAACTTTGCGGACGACGAGGAACCCGAAAAGAAGATTACACCTCTGACTGATGAGTGAGTTCATCGTTGTTATGGATATTACAGTTTCTTGTCGCGGTAGCGCACGCTTACTGTACCTTAGTGATATCCAAGTACTCAAGACATACGGTGCCGCTCCCTACGCCGCTGCATTAAAGAAGCTTGAGAAGCAAATCAAAGATAAGCAAGCAAGTGTGAACGAAAAAATTGGTGTCAAGGTGATAACTCCACGTCTGGTTTCGCTTGGATCGATCTGACGTCTTTAGGAATCCGATACTGGTCTCGCACCTCCACACCTTTGGGATGTAGCTGCGGATCGACAACGCATGGCAGAGGAGCAGCCACTGCAGGTTGCCCGCTGTACGAAGATTATACAGGATGAAAAGGATTCGGAAAAGAGCAAATATGTTATCAACGTGAAGCAAATCGCCAAGTTCGTTGTCAACCTCGGGGAACGAGTGAGCCCTACAGATATTGAAGAGGGCATGAGAGTTGGGTACGTTTCTGCCTTGCGATACATTTTGTCTCTTCTACGGCATCTTTTTTTTTGCTCTATTTTTTGTGTTCATAGGCTGATGGAAACCCTTAGCGTCGATCGCAACAAGTACCAGATAATGCTTCCTTTACCGCCGAAGATTGACCCAAGTGTGACGATGATGACTGTTGAGGATAAGCCGGATGTTACATACGGAGATGTCGGTGGATGCAAGGAACAGATCGAGAAGCTGCGCGAAGTTGTTGAAATGCCGTTGCTATCCCCGGAGCGTTTCGTCAACCTCGGTATCGATCCGCCCAAGGGTGCTCTGCTCTACGGACCCCCGGGAACCGGGAAAACACTGTGCGCTCGGGCCGTTGCCAACAGAACAGATGCTACGTTCATTCGCGTTATTGGGAGCGAACTGGTTCAGAAGTATGTTGGTGAGGGTGCGCGAATGGTACGGGAGCTGTTCGAAATGGCGCGGACCAAGAAGGCATGCATTATTTTCTTTGACGAAATCGATGCTGTCGGTGGTGCTAGATTCGATGACGGGGCTGGCGGCGATAACGAAGTACAGAGAACCATGTTGGAGTTGATTACACAGCTGGACGGATTTGACTCGCGCGGGAACATCAAAGTGATGTTCGCCACCAACCGGCCGTCGACTTTGGACCCTGCTTTGATGCGGCCTGGACGAATTGACCGCAAAATTGAGTTCTCGCTCCCGGACGTTGATGGTCGGGCAAATATTCTACGCATTCATGCCAAGAGCATGTCAGTGGAGAGGGATATTCGGTGGGAGCTTATCTCGCGCCTCTGCCCGAACGCAACCGGTGCGGAGCTGCGGAGCGTGGCGACAGAGGCAGGCATGTTTGCTATCCGGGCGCGCCGAAAGGTAGCTACGGAGAAGGACTTTTTGGCCGCGGTGGACAAGGTGATCAAGGGCAATCTGAAATTCAACTCGACAGCGACGTACATGCAATACAACTGATCAGACGACGCGTTGCTTCTGTGTTGCAAGGGGGTTACATGGGGAGACATGGGGCGTTAATTAATTAGTGTCGGATTCATACTAATCGAGTCGACCCGTTCTACCGGACTGAGGGTTGGAATGTTTTTTACGTAGCTGTACATACGAGGTACATCGTATTTACTAGACAGCGCCGTAGACGCAAAGAGACTCGAGAAACTACGCTCTCACGTGCCGGTCATGTGCCGGGCCAATCGCGCTCTCCCGGCAGCCCGAGATGATTACCTCTGGCCTGCCGCTGATTGGCTTGTTCGGCCCCGAGGCGCTCCGTCGGCTGAGAGAATGCTTACATAAGGCAGCTTTCTCCCGACAGCAACCATCACGACGGCAGAACTTCCAAGGCTTTGCCAGAAGACATTCCAGTTTCCAGCCCTCTCCTCTCCTCTCCTCGCCCTTCCATCTGCTGACTGCCTACTGTCTGTGATTGTCTGTCCCCTCCGTTAGCGCATTGTTCCCCCTCAGTTCCATCAGTCATCATGAGCTCCATGAGCTTGCGGAGTCTAGCTCCCGCATCCAAGGTCGGTGACCCGATGTCATAGCTACTTTTCCTGTACTGACTTTGGCTTCTCGCGCAGATTTCCCGCGCCCTGAGGGACCAGAGACGTCTCTTCTCATCGACAAAGCCAGCAGGTATGCAGTGCAGTCGCCGTCTGTCTACCAGCCTCTGCTAACCTCTTACCCGAAAAGCCCGGGTTTTTGCGAACGGGCCGTTGCGCGCCAAAGAGGCTACTGGATACATCGCACAGAAGTACCCCATCATTGTAAGCTGAGCCTGTTCATGTTTTGTCCTCTTCGTGGCCTTGGACCAAGCTTTCTGACCTCTGTAGGATCACGAATACGATGCCGTAGTCGTCGGTGCTGGTGGTGCCGGTCTGCGTGCCGCCTTCGGTCTTGCGGAAGCCGGCTTCAACACAGCATGTGTTTCCAAGCTTTTCCCTACAAGAAGTCATACCGTTGCAGCTCAGGGAGGAATTAATGCTGCCCTTGGAAAGTACGTGGCCTGACTTTGTTGTGTTTCGTGTCGGAAGTCGTTACTAACCAGTCGGCCATTAGCATGCACAAGGATGACTGGAGATGGCACATGTACGATACAGTGAAAGGATCCGACTGGCTGGGTGACCAAGATGCTATTCATTACATGACAAAGGAGGCTCCTGCCAGTGTCCGTGAGCTTGAGGGTTATGGATGTCCATTCTCCCGTACCGAGGACGGTCGTATCTATCAGCGTGCGTTCGGTGGTCAGTCCAAGGAATTCGGCAAAGGTGGCCAAGCCTATCGCTGCTGTGCTGTTGCAGATCGTACCGGTCACGCCCTGCTCCACACCCTCTATGGCCAGTCTCTTCGTCACAACACGAACTATTTCATTGAGTACTTCGCTCTTGACTTGCTCATGGAGGATGGTGTATGCCGAGGTATCATTGCCTACAACCAGGAAGACGGCACGCTGCATCGGTTCAAGGCCCACCATACTGTTCTTGCTACAGGAGGATACGGACGTGCATACTTCAGCTGTACCTCTGCGCATACCTGCACTGGCGATGGCCAAGCTATGGTTGCGCGTGCAGGTCTACCTCTCCAGGATCTGGAGTTCGTTCAGTTCCATCCTACCGGTATCTACGGTGCTGGATGTCTGATTACCGAGGGATCTCGTGGCGAGGGTGGCTACTTGCTTAACTCGGAGGGTGAGCGCTTCATGGAGCGTTATGCCCCTACCGCCAAGGATCTTGCATCCCGTGACGTTGTTTCTCGTTCCATGACCTTGGAAATCCGTGAGGGCCGCGGTGTGGGTCCAGAGAAAGACCACATCTACCTGCAGCTCAGCCATTTGCCTGCTAAGCTTTTGCATGAGCGCCTGCCTGGTATCTCCGAGACTGCTGCTATCTTCGCTGGTGTCGACGTCACCAAGCAACCTATTCCTGTGCTGCCCACTGTTCACTACAACATGGGTGGTATTCCTACTAAGTACACCGGTGAAGTTTTGACACAGGATGCGCAGGGCAATGACCAGGTTGTGCCGGGTCTGTGGGCTTGCGGTGAAGCTGCCTGCGTCTCTGTCCATGGCGCTAACCGCCTTGGTGCCAACTCCCTTCTTGACTTGGTTGTCTTCGGTCGCGCCGTTTCCCACAAGATCCAGGAGACCACCACCCCCGGAAAGCCGCATAAGGAACTTAGCCCTGACGCTGGTGCTCAGACCATCAAGGATATTGATCACGTCCGCACTGCAGAAGGCCCTAAGTCGACATTCGAGATCCGCAATGCCATGCAAAGGGCTATGCAGACCGATGTTAGCGTCTTCCGTACGCAATCTAGCTTGGATGATGGTGTCAAGAAGGTCACTGCCATTGATCAAACATACAGCCAAGTTGGCACCAAGGACCGTGGCATGATCTGGAACACTGACTTGACCGAGACTCTGGAACTTCGTAACCTGTTGACTTGCGCGTACGTATTACTGCTATATGTTATATTTTCATGGACGAGAACAGAGCGTAACTGACATTTTATTTTCTCAGATCCCAAACTGCTGTCGCAGCCGCTAACCGCAAGGAGTCCCGCGGTGCCCATGCCCGTGAAGATTACCCTGAACGTGATGATGAGAACTGGATGAAGCACACCCTTACCTGGCAGAAGACTCCTCATGGCCCGGTTGAGGTGAAATACCGCCACGTCCAATCTCACACTTTGGATGAGAAGGAATGCCCGTCAGTTCCTCCATTCAAGCGTGTGTACTAAGCGAACCTCGAAAAGCATTAATTAGGAGGTATGAGGCATGTCTTACAATGAGCGAGCTTGGCTTCTAGAAACACAGGGCAAAAGGTCAGGCTCGGGCTCCCCGCACCAAATTGTGCGATTGGCTGGCCACTCCAGGTCCTTCGCCCAGTTTCCCTCGAGCAAGGAAATGGGTGGGTTATTATATAGTGAAGAGGGGTTGGGAATTCGATTCACTATGTCCGTTCTTCGTTATTTCTGTATAGCAATTTTTAGGTTGAGGCGGAGTGTTGGGGCCATGCCATGTTAAATGCATTCTGTTGCTGCCGGTCCTTCTTTTGCTTTTTCTTTTGAGTTTGTATAAATTGAAGGTTCTCTTGTTGGTTTCTGGAGCCATATCGGGCCTCTTGAGGTATTCTTCAGAGTACTCCATATCGTAGTGAGCACTCGGCATTTAGCCATGCGGTTGTCTACAGCAAGCCTTCGAGTTTTCAGCCTCGACATTTGCTTCTTTGGGCCCCTGCCAACCATAAATGTAGACCGTAAATACAATACAGGTCTAACTGGAACCGGGATTCAGCGCAGGCTTTTGTTGAGTCAAGGCATGGTGACGGTCAGCCAAACGGATGGACGGACAAAGAAATTATTACCATCATTGATACCGATACTTGCTGGCTGGGCGGGGTAATTAGATCTCCATTGAATAGAATAGATGATTTGACCGTTTCCAAGCCTGGCATCTCCGTTGCTGGTGTACACGGATGCAACATGGAATGTGGTGAGTATGCACGTCAAGTAGTGTAGACAAATTCAAGTTCAACGCATTGTTTTTGTTATCCCCTGCCACGATCCTCATTGTGTTAACAGTCCCATCTCGTGATAGCCTTTGCCTTACGGGGTACACTTTCTGCATCCGGACGCATTGATGACGGATTGCTTCGAGGTCTCACAAGACGGATCAAGCTGAAACGAACTTCTTCGGTTGCCTATGACTGAAAGGAGATAGTTTCCTTCGCCAAGGACTGAACTTGTCGATAATGACAAAGAATTTACCTTGGGAGGCTGCGACATGGTTATTTTGCGGGTGGCATGTTGTATGTTGCGAGGCTTAGGGGGATAATGAGAGGCTGTTCTCTGTCTCTTTTTTTTTTTTTTTTCTTTCTTTCTCGAGCTCTGAAAAGGGATTCTCTGTCCTGTCCTCTTGTCAGTTTTTGTTGAAGTATCGCCTTTTTCTATTTCCTCTGCAACATCGAAGGTTATCATCCTGATGGGATGAGGCTTTGCTTCCAATATTGTGAGATACCGATGACGGTCTCTTGGTTATTATTGTGTGATTGTCTTTCCTGGGTTATATCACTTTCTGGAATCTTCCATCGCTCCTTATATTGGTCTTCCCTTGATGGTGGTGACATTATCTTGATCAGCTAAGGAAAATGGATCTCGACATCGATCACCTTCTTCCCCGTCAGGCAAATCTCTGCACGAATCAAAAGCTGTGGTACGTATGCACGGCTGGAAATTTCCATGGGTGTTGCTCGACCGATCCATGCACTACAGGAGTCTGTCCAGACGACGATCGTGACGGTGAAAGCAGCACTGTGACTACCCCAACGGTAGCAGCTACGCTGCCTGCATCATCGAGTTCAACTAGCTCGACGACAATATCAAGTAGTACGTCTTCCACCAACGCTACTATCTCATCTTCGCTGTCTTCTGCGGCTTCTGTGAAGAGTTCTGAGAGCTCGAATATGGCCACTAGCATAACCACGGACACAGTTAAAACTGCAAGCACCTCTTCATCGCAGATAAACTCAGTCATAACAGTGACTGCTTCTATGGACATCGGCCCTAGCCCTTCTTCTGCAGCGAGCAGTTCTGAAAGGGATTCAGGCAGCACTGGAGGATTGATTGGCGGGGCGGTTGGCAGTATTCTTGGTGCACTTATGGTAATGGGCTTGATAGTCCTCTTATGTCGAAGACGACGGAAACAGCTTCGACGCGGCCGAATTCCCCATGATAATAATAGCTGGAAAAAAATAGCGTCGGCTGAAAATAGTCCTATTTCTCCATTAGCCGGTAAGCGACAGAGCTATGCGCGCATGTGGATAACAAATATCTAACGATTCTGATATCGGTAGGCCCCAGGGAGCTCAATATGGATCCTCATACACCGTTAGCGACTCTAGCCAGCATCACCAACACTCCTAGATCAGCTACTGAGCTCTTGAGCAGGACTAGGGGCGTCTTTGACCATAGAACAACCACAAATGCCACCGTCTTTGACAATTCCACCGCTCACGTCCCTGAGTTACCGGCAACCTTTGCAGGGCACTCCGGTACTACCCCGGAATTACCTGACACAGGCTTCTACCGGCCACGAGCCGAACTGGCCACTCACTCGCAGAGCGAACTGATCAACGTCCCCTTCAACCAGCGAAGCAGATCCCCACCTATATATGGGATGGTCCAAAACGACCCTTGTCTGGACAGCGGTTCCCAGTTCGATAGTCAAGGTGATAGCGGAAATAATGACAGATACAGGGAAAGTAAGAGCAGGAATCTGTACCAGCCTGTTCTCGTACCTGCTCCTGCGCTTGAATCGCTGATTTCAGTTACTCGCGATAATGACGTTCAGGTTGCCCCGGCCAATGCGAACCTGGGAAAGAAAGTATATGAGACCGAACGACACGATGACCATGTGCATTATGGTGGTGGTGATAGTGAGGTGACCACCTCCTGAGGGATTCCCTTTCTGTTTCCTCGTCCATTATGGGCTAACGCATGGTTTCACAGGCGTTCATGTCGGGGATGAGGAGAAGGAGTCGAGTTGAAGGATTGGGGTTCCGGCTGCCCGAGTAGTTGATGGATGTTGGAGGGTTCCCTTTATTCAGACAGTGTAGACCATTGTCTGTGATGTGGATATATTATTGTTGCTGTTGTCGGTTATTATTATAATATTAGATAGTTACTCTGTAGAATATGACTCCTCGTACAGTTTATCGGCTGTCCCGATCCGGCTTAGCGTCAGAAGTGACTCTATCTCCGAATGTCATTGAAAGATCTCTAATTTTCCTCCTTCAACGCAGACCTCCAACAAACCCACCCGTCGCCGCTCAATTGCTGCATTCCACGCCCAAGATGACTGCTTCGAAGGCCGTAGCCGAGAACATGCTGTGGGGTGGCCGCTTCACCCGTTTGTCCACCTTCCAACCCGTCACCCCAGATAACAAGAATATGACTAACTTTCCAATGATGCAAACTTCCAGAGGGCCTTGACCCTCTGATGGTCCAGTATAATGAATCTCTTCCGTACGACCGTATATTTTGGAAACAGGACATCGCCGGCTCCATCGCATTCGCCCGCGCGAACACCAAAACCGGCATCCTGACCGCGCACGAGTTCTCCGAGATCGAGCGCGGCTTCAAACAGATCGCGGCGGAATGGAGCAACGGCACGTTCCTCATCAAGGAAAATGACGAGGACATTCACACGGCTAACGAGCGCCGACTGTCCGAGATCATTGGCAAGGAAATCGGAGGGAAGCTGCACACGGGCCGTTCCCGGAACGAGCAGATCGCGACAGATATGCGGCTCTGGCTGCGTGATGAGCTGCGCAAGCTCGACGGGTTCCTGTGTGATCTGATCAAGGTCTCTGTTGCGCGGGCGGAGAAGGAGATCGACTTCATCATGCCGGGTTATACGCATTTGCAAAAGGCTCAGCCCGTCCGGTGGGGTCATTGGCTGCTTTCCCATGCGACGGCCTTTGCGAGCGAGTTGCAACGACTGCGGGAGGTGACGAGGCGGGTGAATCGGAGTCCCTTAGGAACGGGTGCATTGGCCGGGAATCCCTTCCAGATTGATCGGGAGGCCATGGCAAAGGAGCTTGGGTTTGAAGGATTACTGTATAATTCCATGAATGCGGTTGCAGACCGTGATTTTGCTATGGAAACTATGCAGTGGGGCAGTTCCTTCATGTTAAAGATCTCGCGCTGGGCTGAGGATTTGATTATCTATAGCAGTTTGGAGTTTGGGTTTGTGAGGCTGTCTGATGCGTATTCGACCGGGTCATCGTTGATGCCTCAGAAGAAAAATGCAGGTGCGTTTCGTCTTTTTCCGTCTTGACTCAAAATACAAGCACACTGACAGAAAGTAGACAGTCTAGAACTCCTCCGTGGAAAGGCAGGTCGTGCATTCGGCCAAATGGCCGGCCTCATGTGCACGATCAAGGGCCTCCCGACAACCTACAACAAGGATCTCCAGGAATCTGTCGAACCCCTGATAGACCATATCAAGACGGTTGGTGACAGCATCCAGATCGCCACCGGCGTACTGTCAACCCTCACTACCAACCCGGACAAGATGGCAGCCGCCCTGGCTCCGGAGATGCTCGCCACCGAAGTTGCAGACTACCTTGTCCGCAAGGGGGTCCCCTTCCGCGAGGGCCACCATATCTCGGGACGAGTTGTGGCGTTGGCGGAGAAGAAGGCCGTGCCGATGGATACGCTACAGTTGGAGGAGCTCCGGACCGTGGACGGACGATTTGAGGAGGACATCAAGGCCTGTTTGGATTATGAGCGGGCCGTCGAATTGAAGGATGCCGTGGGGGGAACTAGTAAGAGGGCTGTTATTGAGCAGATTGGAGTGTTGAAGGGGCTGCTCTAGTTGTATCTAGATATCTATCTGTCCTGTCTGTCTGGATCGTCTGAAATTATAGGTGGCGTATTATGCATGAACAGAGTTGTCCTCTGCTAATCCAAATCCACAAGCTCAACAACAGTCCATGTAACAGTCCACCCCGTTTCACCCCCGACCTTCTCCATAACCCTACGACTAGCAACATTATTCATTGCCACCTCAACATGTCCCCATCCCCCATCTTCTCTCCCTCCCGAAGAAGAGACGGGAGTACGAAAGGGTCCCTTGGCAGATAAACCCCTCTTCATGACCTCCTTGGACAAATGCACCGCCAGCCCCTTCCCGCGATGCTCGGGTTCGACATGCAGCGTCGCGAGGGCGCCATCGAATCCGATAAACGCCCATGCAATAGGCCATTCCTTGTCTTGGTCTTGGTCGTCCCCTTGCTGGGTAGCGGTAGCAGTAGCAGTACCAGAGAAATAAATACCCAAACTAGGCATACATCCTAGGGACTCCGAAGAGCGAGGAATATGCGTCCTGCTCTGCACGAGGTCGAACTGGTACGACTGAAGACCGCGTCGGCCGTATTTATCTTCGAATCTGTATCCCGGCGGCAGCGTGTAACCCTCTTCCACGATCGATGTCTCCAGTATCGCCGGCGGAAACAGATACTTCACATACGGCGGATTATCGAATCGATGGATCTTCACACCAGCCCACGGGTTGGGATCCGTATATGTGCCCGAGGCCGTGAGGAGGGACTGTAATCCCGTATGTAGACAGCCGATCAGGAAGGCCTGTGGTGGTGGAGGGGGGATTGTGTGGTCTTTCTTTGTGGTATTGGCACCGTTAGCACCTGTGCTGGGACCGTCTGGATGACACTGTGTTGCCAGGTATTCCGGGAGTAATTTGGCTTTGATGTATACCAGAAGGCCTAGGAGTTGGCCGCGGACAAGATCGAGAACGGCAGGGTCTGTGGTTGAAAGTGTAGAGACCGCATCTCCCTTTGCATTCGCATTTGCAGTTGCATTTTCAGCTTCACTGTGCTGCTTCTCATTGCCGGCTAATACCGGGTTTGAGTCAGTGGGAGCATCCCTTTGCAGACTCGAGTAGAGGATTATCTGCGTTTCCCTGCCGCGGAAGAGATCGACATAAGCGGCCAGCCAGGGTGATCGGAGATCAGTTACAGCTCCAGTTGCATTCGGTGGGAAAGTCGCCAGGACTCTGGCAGTGCTGGATGAATATGCCAGAGCATGCTGGATGCGCCGGAGCAAGGAGACCGAGTAAGGGAAATGCGCGCGAAGAAGAGGGATGATGGTTTGTTCGGGGTTGGGGTGGATGTAGATGAGCGGGGCCATGTTTTTATGTTCCTGTTGTTTATATATTTTTGGAGAAAAGTCAATTCGAGACATCCATACTCCGTACTCCGTGGAAATTTCTGGTGGGATTTATCGTCCATGCGTTTGATGAAAGCTCGTGCTAACGTTGCATCTTAGCGTTATTCATGACTCACGGTTAAGTCTGACATTGATTGAAAAAGCGTCCCCGTCATCCAAACTCCACCGAAAAGCACCAGAGAAGGTATTAAAAAAAATAAAAAAATAAAAAAAGAAAAAAGAAGAAAAGAAAAGAAACATTCGGGTATCATCAACAATCACATCGTACGGTAGCTGCAGTAGAATTCTAACTCTACCACGGACTCCTAGGCCCAACCATCCAGTCCTCCATTGCCAGCCACTCACTCCACTTCGCTTCCGCCAGCCGGATCTCCTCCTCCAACGGCTGCTCAAGAGGCCGCAGAAACGGTGTCTGCTCGTCTGGCAGGATGTCGTAGGCTGCTTTCGTCGATGCCCATCCGCTGCTTTTCGCCGTAAATAGGTAATTGACGCGTTCCTGTTGGCGAATCGGGCCGATTCCACCGACCCAGTTCTCGCCAAAGAAGACCTGCATCATCGATGCAGAGTCGCGGCCTGTGACGATCAAGCGGCGGATGTACGGACGCAGTGAGACGAACGGATATGAGTTGGACGGGCCGCCTTGCATCGCCAACCTGGCTTCCTGCGAAAGATGAGGCAGTTGAAGGACGGGCTGTCGTCGTTGGCATGGAAGTCGGATATTAATGAAAGCTACTATGGACTGCACCAGAGGCGTGTGTTGGCTGTGGTTGACAAAGTATTCGAGACAGGCCATGTACTGGGGGTGCCATTCAAGGGGATTAATGTTAGCCAAACTCGCTATCGAGCTAGGCCGAGACCCTTCATGACCTGCTGCATTGTTAGAACGATTGTCTGTTTGCAAGGTTCATGACTGAAAAGGAAGATGCATTACCTGCAGTGCCATTGTAGGCGGAGTCTTTCCTAAACGCCTCGCCTGCGGTGGCTTGAGTGCTTGATGCCATACTTATTTGTGACATACGACAATGGAGTATTAATTGAAGATTGGAGGTGGAAATAAGGGGAAGGATCCAAGAGCCGGGTCTCAGGTAGTCAAAGCAAAAACAGACGAATTCAGTTCAACCACGATTCTAGCTAGAAATGGGAGATATGATGAAGGAAGAAGAATTAGAGAAAGGATCCATGGCCGTGAGATCGGGCCTCCTTATAGAGACCGACAAGACCGTATACGGACGGTGGGATTGCGTGTCTTCACAAAAAGAACATCGAGAAAGGATTGGACGCGAAGAGTAGTGCGTAGATCCTATACCTGACCCGATGGACGTGAAGGGAAAATTTTTCACAGATGCATGGTAACACATGGTGAGCGACAGGACTATTGAGGGCAGTGGAGATGCCGCGAGCATTTTGAAGCTATTCGGACGTCTTGATTGCTCACAGTGGACCCAGCCACACCACTAGCCACGTCCCTGCAGCCTCACTGTGGCGCGCCATGCGAGATCAATCGTGGCTGTGCTATCATTTTCCTTTTCAGGAGAACTCCATAGTCAAATCACAGTCGAATCATCACCACCATCGTCATCCACGATCCAGGATCCCTGCATGCGGCTGACCCTAGCTACAGTTTGCATTTTCCAGTTCCAGATCTCCGGGAGCGGACCTGTTCGATTGCAAATGCCAAACCTCAGCTTTGCCACGGCTGAAGGGATAAATTGTCAGACAGGACCCCGGTACCACCATAAGGATTCAATTCGAATGCTACAGAGATACGTGCGGATGCCACGGGTTATTATTATTAGTGTTATTTCCTCGTGTACGGGCTACGACGGAGCGCTAATATCAAATTCCACAGACTCGGCTACCTGAACTCTGCAGATCCGGCCAGCAAATTGTCATCTCGACTGTGCACGGACGACGCGGACATATAATAAAAGAGGAAATAATAATCTTAATAATACAGAGCAGCAAATAATAATCCCGCTAAGATCGGAGGATGCAGCTAAGATCAGCACCAGAAAAGCAACCAAACTAGTTGCCCGGACCAGAGAAGCCTCCGTGCTTCATTCCCTGTTTTCGCCCCGAATGAGATAATGGGTCTATTCCTGCAAGGGAAAGAAATGTAATTCCTGCCGATCTAAATTCCTTAGATTCCCTAGATCCGTGGATATATTCCAAATATGCCAGGCTGGGGCTGAGCAAAAATGGAAAAAGCAATGGCTCAATGCAAGGGACTCTGGCAGCTCTTCTGATATAAAGTCAAGGCCATCGTCCATGGACTGAACAGGATACGTCAACTCCCAAACAGGTATATTTATCTATATCCATCTTGTTGTCATTGGTTACGGTTGTGTCCTTTCCTGGATCTGTCACATCTATTCCTCGACTTGGACTCTACGAAGCTGTCAACCTTGGAAGTCTTTAACGGTTGATTCCTATTTCGACATCATACATATCCATATACATATCGTATATAATACCTTCTACGGCTTTCTATCACCTGCCGTTGTTCCTCTCTTCTCTTGACAATGTCAACCACAATGCGCTGGAAAACAAACTACGAACTCTACGTATGTCTTCACATCCATCCCTGCATAGGTATGCAACTCATCTAACAACCATCCAGTCCGACCGAAAGACACCACGACCATGCACCCCAAATCACATTCGAAATGATTGCGAAAACGAAAACAAAGAGGAATGGGAATACCAGCACCACAATACTCCTGACTTCCTCGATCCAATAGCCATGCTCTACCCATACGTCGCCGAATGCCAACAAAACGAATGCGCCAGCGACAATAGCAAAATAGGCTACTGGGCAACAGCATACAGCACATCCCAGGAGACGCTATCCTCCTCGTCTTCCTCGTGGTCGTTGTCGTCTTGGTCGTCACTGTCTTGTCCCTTGTCGCTATCGTTATCATGCTCTTCGAGAGAGTGTCGGGGTCAAGGTCAGGATCGCGAAGGCCCATCTTCCCACAGAAGATCGAAAATGAGATCTAAACTCCGTCAGTTTTTGAGACGGCAGAAGGCCCAATAATCAAATCAATCAAATCAGTCTTCGGTTTTGAATCCTGTTCGACTCGATCGACCGACCAATTCACCTCAGCAATACCCCTATCGTTCATTATTATTATCGACGTTCTCTTTTCATGGCTACAACTGCGCTTTCTCCTTTGTACTACTTGTATTGTATTCCATCGTTGCTGTTTTCATTTGTCCGTACCTTAGCATTGGCGTTGGGTCCTGGCATGGACGGGAGAGAGGATCAAGGGTATATCTATCTATCTATGGGTGTATTTTAATACCACCGGTGTTCGAATAATTCGAGGCTATTGCCAAGTTGTGCTGAGTACCTGGTATAGACCAACTACTGTGCGTAGAACCATTATAGCATGAAAACACAGAACAGGAAGCCACTGGCATCCGGAAGTATTCGCATTGATAGTACCATCCAAACAGTCATGTAGGTCATTTCATTCCCAAAAAGAAAAAAACGTCGAAGGGGAGAACAGGGTATAGATTGCAACAGGCATAAATCAAATCCAAAACATGATCAATATAATCCTCATACTCGCTTGTGGCACAGCAGAAGATAAGCATCCAAATTGACTCCAGAAACCGCAAATAATCGAGATAGTCTTCCAAGACTCGCCTTGAGTAGAAAGGGATGATGATGCGAAACGCATTACTCTACCGAGCATTAGAGGGTATCCAACGCGCAATCAGTAATCCAGAATGAAAAACACATCTCCAGGTTGCACAGTGATGCCACAGTGCCATCGAGGTTATTATAGCCCTTCTCGACGGCTTCCTAAACACACTCAGTCGTCGCACGGCTCCCTGAAAAGCCTCCCACTCCACCGTCCGCCAGCGTCATCTCCGTCCGTCCTACCTCGCGACCAAGCACGTACCCGGCCGAAAAGCTGATGGCTGAGAAAATAACCACCACCCCAGTGCTGATGACCCAAGTCATAAATGTCGGACCGCCTGTTGAATTCGCCAAATTCGTCCTACGGCTCCTGCGAGACGTTCCACGGTCTTTGGGAGAACTTGATCGTCGTTTAGCTTTGGAGGTAGGGGATGTCGTTCGAGCCGCTACAGGTTTCGACATCTTATCTGACCGCTGCGGCCTGACAGCAGGCACAGATGGCAAAGGGTCTTCCTCCTCACTGCTCTCCTCACCCATTGCAACGGATTCAGGGACCAGTCGGAAGGAAGATGGCTGCGCTCTAGAGATGCCCACGGTAGCGGGCTGAGAATCTTGCTTCGGTAGCCCTCGTGCGGCAGCCGCACAGGACAAAAGTGTGGACAGACTAGCACGAAGAGCAGCATCATGGTCCGCATGATAGGATGGAGAAACCATGTTGAACGGACTATGTTGCTGTTGTCTGCGAGAAGAATTCGAGCCGTTATCAGTACGGCTTCGGAGAGCAGTGACGCGACTGCAATCAGAGGGCCCACTGGGTTGACTGCGACGCAATTCCGTCGGGCCTGTCCATGAAGGATCTCGAGAAGCAGGAGGGTGGGAAAAGGCGTTGGGTTGAGGGACAAACGGAGTCGAGTTAACACGCATACCAAGGGCGGTGGCGTCATCATCTTCATCGTCGCTGGAGATGTCCACAAAAGCGGGGGAGGGGCCTGCACGGATAAAGCGCGGTCGCCTGGGCAGCGGGAGCCTCAGATCTTCATTCGAGCTGGTAAGAATGCGATCCGACTCGCTCTCGCTTTCCTCATATTCATCCTGGCTGCTGCTCGCTACACTGGGCTCTCTAGATGAGTATTCGACCTGAGCAGTAGTGATTGCGGCAAGGCGTTCGAGACGTCGTCGCCGACTGGAACGGTGAGATGGGTCCGATGCACGACGCTGGACACGGAGCCCGGTGGTGATGATCTCATCACTGGCCGCTACGGAGGACAGAGACGATGTAGACGGTTGCGAGGATATTTCGACCCAAGAGTCTAGTGAATGAGGAGTGCGTAAGTCCATGTTACAGGGAGGGGGGAAACGATGATGAGGGGTTGGAACTTGGCAAAGATGTGTGCGTGTCTGTCGGGGGAATATAACCGATATCACCCTCACCCCTTCTACAGCAGAATGAATACGTACCATCTGATCGCATGGTGAGAGTATTCTCTCGAGATGTCCGATGGGTTTCTGCCATCATCCGACTGGAAACTCCAGCTTCAGAGGCAGCTGCTCTATCATGCACCTGACCAAGGTGGTCACTTGTAGGCTGCATGGTCGTGGCCAGTAGAGTGAATAGAGGATGAGAAATGGAAAGGAAGCAAATCGAGGAGGGCAAGGAAGGGGATAAAGAGAGAAGCAGCAAGAGTCAGACCACCCGACGTTGTGGCAGGGAGATGTTGCGTAACCTTCGCAACGCAGGCAGAGATGAGATGATATTGTGATGTGGACCGGCAGGACAGCAATCTTATCAGGCAAGCGATGTGATATGATCCATACAGTGAGCGCCCAAGGCAGAGGCCGGTGGAAACGGTGAGGAAAAGAAGACAGATGGAATTGCCAGGGATGAGGAGAGAAAGGAGTTACTCGGCTGACTGATGCTCACACAGAGTTTATTATTATTCCTAGCGGTGTGCAGCACAGTCTATCTATCACGACCTCACTGCATAGATCAATTTCCCTAGAAATTCAGAAAAAAATAAAGAATAAAAATAAAAATAAAAATAAAGAGAAAACACACATAAACATACAACTTTTGTCAAACCCCCAAGAGAGAACGAAATCAAATCAAACAGACCCAGCAGCACGGTACGCTGCCAACGGAACCTACCTTAGAAGGTAACCTTCTTGCCCTGGAACTCAGGGATGCCGCCCCGGTTGCGGCTGACACCAGCACCAGCAGCACCGCCGCGTCCAAAACCACCGCGTGCACCGCCGCGACCGCCACGGCCACCACCACGGCCGCCCCGGAAGCCGCCGCCAGCTCCTCCATTGCTGGGACGCGGGGTGCTGTAGTCCAGGCGCACTGGCCGGCCATTCAGCTCGGCACCGTTGAGCTCATTGAATGCTTTGCGCGCCTCGTCCACAGACGAAAACTGCACGTAACCAAAACCCTTGGGGCGACCCGACTCGGGATCAGTAGGCAGGCGGATACCAAGGATCTCACCCTTCTCTGCGAATAGGTCCCGAACAGAGTCCTCGTTGGCACTGAACGGAATGTTGCCGACAAACAGCGTCTCGCTCTCGGGGCTGGCCTGGTCCCCGAATGAACGAGCGCGAGCCTGGGCGCGATCCTTGAAGTTATTTCCCTGTTGGTTGTTCGACTGACGAGCACTGGCATAGTCGAGGTTGATCTTGCGACCGTCGATCTCCGCGTCCTTCTTAGCCTCATATGCTTTAGCAGCATCAGCCGCATTGGCATATTCGACGTAACCGAATCTAGATTGAACTTTGTAAGCAACCCGTAGAATAACCTGAAGAGTATCACGACCTACCCTCGAGAACGACCAGAATCACGTTCCGTCACAATGCGGGCACCAGCGAGTTCTCCGAATTCTTCGAACTCGCGGCGCAGCCATTCCTCGTCAACGTTCCACGACAGATTGCCCACAAAAAGGTTAGCAGACTCTCCGCCGGTCTGGGTTTCGGTCTTGGATTTCTTAGAAGTTGCTTCGGTTTGCTCTTCGGCTTTGCGTTTTTTGGAGGTCTCCTTCGTGGACTCTTCACTTTCCTCAGATTCGGATTCAGAATCGGAATCGGAAGAATCAGAGTCGTCCGAGTCTTCAGATTCATCGGAAGCCTGCTACCGTTGTTAGAGACCAAGCAATACTGCAATTATATCCAGGATCACATACTTCACTTTTAGCCTTCTCTGTCTTCTTGGCCTTAGTAGAAGCCTCATCCTCATTTTCGGACTCAGACTCAGAATCAGAATCAGAATCAGAGTCAGATTCCTCGCTTTCGCTGGATTGTTTCTTCGCGTCGGCCTTGGTAACAGCCTCCTTCGGTTTCTTCTCATCCGAAGACTCCTCGTCAGAATCGGAGTCAGAATCGGAATCTTCGCTATCACTAGATTGCTTCTTAGCTGAAGCCTTAGGAGCTTCTTCCTCGTCAGAGGACGAGTCACTGGACTCGGAATCATCGGAGTCAGAGTCGGATGAAGACTCAGAAGACTTGACTTCAGCCTTCTTCACCCCCTTAGCATCTCCTTTCTTAGAGGGCTTCTTCTCGACTTCGCTCTCATCTTCGCTGCTGGAAGAGCTGGCATCTTCCATCTCCTCGTCGCTGTCAGAGTCAGAGTCAGACTCGGAGGACTCTGCAGCTTTCTTGCCCTTGGCATCCTTCTTTGTTTCCTTCTTAACAGGCACCTCATCTTCACTTTCGCTATCGGAAGAGCTAGATGAGCTCATCTCCTCATCGCTTTCAGATTCGGAGCTGCTGGGTGTCGGCTCCTTCAGTTTGCGCTGAAGCTTTTGTTCCTTGGCAGAGAGCTTACGGGCAATCTCTTTGCTCTTTGCCTTGGGGGTGGAAGATGGCTTGGTGATGCCAGCATCCTTCACCTTGCTCAACGACTTCTCGGCGGCCTTGTTGGCGCCCTTCGAACCTTTGTTCTTCGACATTTTAGACTGGGAAGAAATTGGGATTGGTAAGCATTCGAAGGGCTTAGGTGCAACGAAGAATAGAAGTACATACCGAAAAAATGTATTACAAGAGAAATTGAAAGAGTATGATTTGCAACCAAAAATAAGACGTGCGGCAAAAACCTACGCTCCCTCAATACCCGATTTTGTGAAGATATCCAAGTGTTACTGATGCGCAACCTGGACAAGCCCCCAGAACGGAACTCTATACCCACAAGTAAACCCACAACGGACAGTGTTCAAGCCCACAAGAGACAGATAGAAGGTATGCAATGGTCTGTACTATGAAACCCACGAAGTGTTCCTATAGAACAGAATTGCAATAGACCAACGGTTCTAAGCCCTCAGTGATAAGCCCACAGTTTGTCTGCTGAAGTGTACTTTGCAAAGTACGGCCCACGCTGCTGTGTCAGTCAAAACTTGACAGAGGAATAGAATAAACTTAGATTCTCGAATAGGGGAAAACTTCTTAATGAAGAAGCGTGGATAAAGGGGATGGAGGTAGGAGGAAGGGATATTTACTTGCAGCAGCTGCAAGATTTTTTATTTTTTATTTCTACCTTATACACCGCCTACCATAAACAGACTAGCTCCAGCAGAAGAATTGATCTGGTGGGTACCTTTCCAGCGGTACTTGATTGGTACCTCCCGGCCCACGGTGAATATGCTGCAAATCGAAGTACCTCCGTTGGTACCTCCAAATACGCTCCCGACTCTCGCTCTCACAAGAGTCAGTCAACTCGGTCTCCCAAGCATCTGCGCCACCTTTCCTTGTCTTCCGTCCTCTCATTCAATCTTAGTATCCCATTCAACCGCTTCTGAGGCTGATGGGTCACCATTGAAGACAAGACCATTCCATCATGCCATCTGCCCCGTCCTACCGTCCGCGAAAGAAGAGAAAACTCCTTGCGACCTCGCCCGGCTCAAATAATGCCCTCATACTTGATGCTGGGAACGGCAGATTAGTCCCAGCATTTTCCCTGGTTTCTTTTCTGTGGGCTGCTCGGGCTGGGGTCTCACAATGGCTAGTACTGCCGCTTGTTCTCATGGTGGTTGGCCTGTTCCGGTGGGCTGTCAGTCTGTGGGGGTACTCAGGTACATCGCTGTGACTTTGTCAATTCAATCAGGAGGAGTTTTGCTGAGCTGCTCTTAGGCTTTCGGGCACCACCGATGCATGGCGATTTCGAGGCACAGAGGCACTGGATGGAGCTCACCTTACACCTTCCCATGGCGAAGTGGTACATGTACGATCTGCAGTATTGGGGTCTTGACTATCCTCCCTTAACAGCATACCACAGCAAGTTATTGGGTAAAATGTGTGTGGTACCCAGTTGCGGTCCCCAGAATAAATAAGTCTTGATTCTGACCCAGACAGAGGCTCCTTCATCAACCCCGCATGGTTTGCGCTCGACGTATCCCGTGGCTTTGAAAGTCCACAATTGAAGGTATATATGCGTGCTACGGTGCTTGTCTCCGAGTATCTTATCTACGTTCCTGCCATTGTCACCTTCCTCCGTCGCTATACAAGGATGCGGGGTGTTCACACCTGGTCTGCATCGATTGCCCTGGTTGCCATTCTCCTCCAGCCAGCAATCATCCTCATCGACCATGGTCATTTTCAATATAACACGGTAATGCTGGGACTCGTGGTTGCTAGCTTGGATGCAATCCTCGCCGGTCGGATGCTCTGGGCCGCCATTTTTTTCGTTGGTGCCCTAGGATTTAAGCAGATGGCACTTTATTATGCACCTATCATGTTTGCTTTTCTTCTAGGGGTCTGTATCTTTCCTCGCATCCGAATTTTGCGCCTACTTTGCATCTCGCTCATTACGCTGGCTGCATTTGCCGGTATATTTGGCCCTCTCATTATTGGAGCGATTGGCAATGATGCTCGCCAGATCTTCTTGTCAGCATCCCCTCCTCCTCTGATGCAGTTACCTCCGATCAAACTTGACAAGAGTTCGTTCTTTTTTGCACCCACGTTTCAGCTTACCCAGATTATTCACCGCGTATTTCCGTTCTCTCGTGGTATCTTCGAAGACAAGGTCGCGAACGCGTGGTGTGCTATTCACACCTTCTACAAGCTCAGTCGTTTCCCGGTACATTTCCTCCAGAAATTGTCTCTAGGAGCCACTCTGACTTCGATTTTTATTCCTTGTGCTGTCATCTTCCGTCATCCGCGTGCTTCTCTTCTTCTTCTAGCCCTGTCCACTGCGGCCTGGGGCTTCTTTTTATTTTCTTTCCAGGTCCATGAGAAGAGTGTGCTGCTGCCCCTCCTCCCAATGACTCTCTTACTCGCTGATGATGGCGGTTTAAGCAAGGAGACCCGAGCGTGGGTCGGCTGGGCAAACATACTTGGTGCATGGACTCTATTCCCTCTCTTGAAGCGGGAAGATCTGCGGGTTCCGTACTTCACTATTGTTTCACTTTGGGCATATCTGCTAGGCCTTCCTCCGACGACCCTGGAAACCTATCGTAGCCGGACCCAATCCAAGGATTTCAACAGAGGCCCTGAACCTCACATTCTCAGCAAGCTTCTACATCTTGCTTTCTATATTGGTATGGTCGTGTGGCATGTTCTGGAAGCCTTTGTTCCTCCTCCTGCTGGGAAACCTGACCTTTGGGTCGTGCTCAATGTCCTAGGAGGAGCTTCTGGATTTGGAATTGCATACCTTTGGTGCCTGTGGAAATTAATTGTTCAAAGCCGGAAGGTTGAGCAGAAGATGACTGTGAAGGAGCAGCAGAAGAAGAGGCAGTGAATCTCTCATGCATTTTACACATTGTCGATAGATTTGATACCCTGTTTAATCGTAGACTAATTATCCTGCATGAGTTTGCTCGTTAATCACCTAGGGGTGCATCCCTCAATTCCCACGTAAAAGACAGGGCCAAAAGGAGGCTTTATTGTCTGAATACTTTGCATAAATCGATATATATATGTTTTCAGAGAAGCGATTCTCCCATGTTTTATAGACATATCGCATAATGATGTACAGTATCTCCCAGATATATCAAGGACCACAAACTCCATCTTGGAAATATTAATATACAAGTATCCCATGCTGCAAACACACAGTTGGTACTGAAAAAGTTATGTAGATGAAACCAGTCCAACTAGCCCCATACCAGAGAGCACATTGGAAGTATCACTCCATCATACTCCATCATGGACAAAAGAATAGGGCAACTATATCCGCACGATTGTATGTCACCGCTCGGGTTGTAATCGCTATCCTAGATCTTGAAGCCGTACCCAGCCATACAAGCCTTATACTGCTCAATCATAGGCTTGCAGTCTTGTGCAGGATCATCGGACTTGGAGAAAAGCATGCAGTCATCTCGAGACGACTTCTCAGCTTTGCAGACGCAGCAAGGCTATACATAACGGGGAAATCCCAGTTAGTCACTCTTCGTAGATTCGTTTTCTTGTCGAGGACAGCGTCGTACCTTTGGTTTCTCAGTTTGGGATGACTGGGCGCTGACTGCAGGTGCAGACGGGGCTGGATGCAAGTTAAAGCGTTAGTCCGTGCCGGATTGATGGAGATGAGGGTATATGTGGTAATTTGTGTTGGGCTTTGATAGGTAATGAGGAAACTGATGGACTTACCGCTGGAAGAACCCCATAATGACGAGAGATTGAAAGCCATGATGGAGGATGAAATGCAGTGCTAGCTCCGGTGCTATCCGATTTTAATCCTCGGAAGATCAAGGCAGAGGATGGCTCGAGAAAGAAACCGGAATTCGTCATCCAGCTGACTAATCGGTTCATAGTTTCTGCGATTCTGGCGGCTGTTTCTGACCGTATCTGATCACGTGCGATTATACTCCCGACGAGAAACATTCATCTACTCCGTCTCATCACATAGAATAATACTGCTAGTATGTGATCCGCTTCCATTCTTGATGACGTCCGATATCCATTCATTGAAACCATGAATAGACTCAAAATTGTTATTAATCTCCGATTGTATATCCATAAACCGGTTTGCCGAACGGAAATAGCCCTTTTCGGCCCGAGTCAGGCAGTCGGAAGCTGACGTGAGCATTTGTGATGATGACAATTATACCCGCTCATTTACTCTGCGCGGTTATTCAGAACAGGAGTGGGTTTCAATCTATGATCGTAACTTCGGAAAAGGACCTAACCTAATCTGTTCCATGGTTAATGAGATCGACATCGTGTATGGCATGGCCTCGAACATACCATCCCTCTGCAATATCGACGACATATTTTCTGTACAGTGGTCCACTTGACGTAGATGACCCGCAACGAATGCTTATGCAACAGATTACTGAGGATTACTGGAGATTCGATGAAAACTTAATGGAAGACCAGACCGCAAGCCAGCACTGTATATAAGCTGTGTGCGAGGATCTTGGGAAATGGCGCTCTGTTATCCCAGACAGTCGGTTCTTGTTTTATTGACTGCCTGCATATCTGTGCCTGCCCACTATGACACGCAGTCTGGCTCTCCTCGGAGTGCTGCCCTCCTTGCAGCGGCCGTTCCTCAGCCTCACTTGCCTCATTTGTCGAATTCTAACTACGACTATATTGTCATTGGAGGAGGCACTAGCGGTCTAACAGTCGCCAACCGTCTGTCGGAAAATCCGAATCTCAACGTTCTCGTCATCGAAGCTGGTAGCTCAGTTTTTGACAACCCCAATGTCACCGATGTGAACGGATACGGACTAGCATTGGGTACTGACATTGACTGGCAATACGAGTCTGTCAATCAGACATATGGAGGTGGCTCTCCCCAGGTTCTTCGTGCCGGCAAGGCCCTGGCTGGTACCAGTGCCATCAATGGTAAGGTTCAAATTCGATCCTCACACATGCGCAAATTGAGCTAATCAGTGAGATAGGAATGGCTTACACTCGTGCTGAGGACGTCCAAATTGATGCCTGGCAAGCTATTGGCAACGCGGGCTGGACTTGGAATAGCCTTTTCCCTTACTATCTGAAGAGTGAGAACCTGACTCGTCCTAACCAACAACAAATTGAAGCTGGGGCTTCTTATAATCCAGCTGTCAATGGCGAGGAGGGTCATCTCCATGTTGGCTTCAAGGATTATCCTGTTGGCGATCTCACGACTTATTTGAACCAGACCTACCAGGGCCTTGGGATCCCATGGACGGAGGATGTAAACGGTGGAAAGATGCGTGGCTTTAATATTATGCCTTCCACCATTGACTATGCCGCCCAGGTGCGTGAGGATGCTGCGCGTGCGTATTACTGGCCCTTCAAATCTCGCGCCAATCTCCACGTCATGCTCGACACATTTGTGAACCGAATTGTGTGGGACGGCAAGGCTCTCGATGGCCAGGTGACCGCGCAGGGCGTCGAGGTGACTTCGAGCAACGGAACTGTCAGTGTGATCCCTGCGAAGCGAGAAGTCATTGTATCGGCAGGCTCTCTGAAGTCTCCCGGCATTCTTGAGCTCTCAGGTATCGGCAATCCCGCGATCCTTAGGAAGCATAACATCCCCGTTCAGGTCGATCTACCCACCGTCGGCGAGAACCTACAGGATCAAACGAACACTGATATGGGGGCTTCTGGTTTCCGCAACATCACTGGTGCCAATACACTTGTTTACCCAAATATTTACGACATTTTTGGTAACGAGACTGAATCCTTGGCCCAGTCCCTGCTCCACAAGTTGAAACAGTACGCTTCGGACGCGGCGAAGGTCAGCGGCGGCACCATGAAGGAAGCCGACCTAGAACGTCTCTTCCAGTTGCAGTACAATCTTATCTTCAAGGAGAACGTACCGATTGCCGAGATCATTATTTCTCCTGGCGGTGGAAAGGCAGTAGCTTCTGAATACTGGGGTCTTCTCCCCTTTTCCCGAGGCAACGTTCATATCTCCTCATCTAGCCCTCTTGATAAACCAACCATCAACCCCAACTACTTCATGTTCGACTACGATATGGATATCCATGTTTCTATCGCCAAGTTCATCCGCCGAATCTTCGAGACTGAGCCCATGCGGGGCCTCATCCAGGAGGAGACCGCCCCTGGTTTCTCTGCCGTTGCCCAAAACTCTTCTGATGATGCCTGGAAGAACTGGCTTCTTGATGGACACTGTGAGTTTCTACCTCTACCCACACTATCTTTTTCAAAGGAGATAGATACTAATTCGTTTGAACTCCCATAGATCGCTCCAACTTTCATCCTGTCGGCACAGCCGCAATGATGCCTCGTTCTCTTGGTGGTGTTGTGAATGACCAGCTCACTGTCTACGGTACTACCAACGTCAGAGTTATCGATGCCTCCATTGTTCCATTCCAGGTTTGCGGGCATTTGACGAGCACCCTGTATGCAATCTCAGAGCGGGTTGCTGAGATCATGAAGATGGAGGCTGCTTTCTGAGATGTTACGTGCCAAGTCATGTTAGATAGATAGCAACGTCAGGTTGCATTAGACATAGTTAATACTATTGGTTATCCTACTACTGGAGTATCTCAATCCTCGCGAATATCCCTAGGTAGCCTACTGTATCAAGGTGACCTCTTAAGTATCTTGTTTCCTTTAATAATAATATATGAGAGGAACTCGTGAGCGGTCCTTGAGGCGGCGAACTCAAGCGGTAATCAGAACGACCGTCCGGAACGTCGGTACAGGCTGTTGGACGAAGGGTAAAGGGTGGTTGAAGAGGAATAGGAAGAAAAGAAAGATACCAAGGTCAACTAAGACACTCAGTCGAACAATACTATAGCCAAGCCAACACACCCTCCTAGGCTAGAGCCGCTACGCACGCAATGCGAAGACTTGAACGAAGAACTTCACGTAGAAAATCCTCTTGAACTCCCTAACTATGCGGATACGGGCAATCTATTTATCGTCAGTGAGGGCTGACGCCCGGGAACACTGAATAAAAAACAACGAAACGAAACGATTGAAATTTTCCAGAGTTCTCTCGGTACAATAAGAACTGTTTAAATATAGGGAGAAAGAAAAAGGAAATCATATGTGAAAAGGCAGTAGGCATACACGTAGTAGTCCCAGTCAATTTTCCCGACCTATGTACCCACTCATTTGGCGACAAGCGTCGCAAAGTGCTTCATCTTTTCCAGGTCATTCGTGCGCCATGGACCGTAGGGATGCATTGTCGAAAACGGCTGAGTATGCAAATCACCTCTGTCGAAGTAGTCTGCATACCCCTCGTCCGCTGCTCCAAGTATGGTGTAGATTTCGTTCGCGTCCTGGGATACAAGTGGCCGACTTCATCAATTAGCTAGCTAGCAATTGCTATTAGATGGTTGGTTATGAGAAGATACAACCTACTGGGTGCTTTGAAGGGTTCTCCCTCCCTCTCTGTTGTTCTTGATACAGAGACATCTCCCCGGATGCTTGCATTCGGAATTACGTGCTGTTCAGACAATGGTAGATAGAAGATACTAATAAATGGCTAGTCAAAGGGACAGGGCACAGAGAGGGCAGAGGCAGATGAGCCACTGAAGCTAGTAAAGCTAGTTGTGCAAAGAGGTCATTTGGATGCCTCAGCGATAGACAAAAAAGTGAAATAGACTGGAGTGTGCAGGATGATGCTCATTCTGATGGAGTGGACAAATGAGCCTGTCTCAGTCCTGCTTTTACTCTCATTCACTGGAATGGATTGACTGGTCTGGCTGCATATTCCATACAAAGAACACATGCTGCAATTCAAACACTAAAAGGGCCTGTAGAACCCAGTCCCTCAACTGCCCAAAAGCTACCTAGGTACCTCTATGTAGAGGATTTCCTCTGCCGGGTGGGGCTTTCCTATCTGAGCTGCCGCCGCTTTTATGAGGGCGCTCAGAGTCAGACTCACTGAGTAGATTTCAGTCCGGACTCAGGGTCACTGAGCAGCTCAGAGCTATCACGTGAGGAATCACTGATGTCCAATGAGCGATCAGTGAGCACTCAGACTATGCTCAGACCATTCCCAAAGGAGCACTCGGGTCCCACAGTGCTGGTTATTTGTGCATTATTTTTTTGATGGCCATAATCATACCCTCATTTCTTTGAAGTGCTCTATGCTCCAGTTCACCTCTTCCTTCTCCTTCTCCACTCAAAAAAAAGAAACGCATCGAGAAAATGATGACGCAAAGTCACAGATATGACTTTTCATCTGCCATCAGGTGGATCAGGAGAATGTTCTTTGTTACTTGTCTAGAGTTGCTTGTGCGTTACATCCAAGCTATAAATTGAAGCTGCAAGTCCTCTCTGGCCAATCCATCCTGCCCATCTTCTTTCTTCCCATGCTTCCACATCTGTGCACTATTGTTTCCCTCTCTTAGTATTCAATCGATGATGGGTAGGAAACAATTTTTTGCACAGCGAGACGAGCTCGCTAAGAAGAAGCGCCGAGAGCGATTGGAAAAGAGTGGATATGTCTTCGGAGCACATGCACATGAAGATGCGATTCGAGACAAAGACAAGAGGATCGAGAAGACCAAGAGGATGTACAAGGAACACGCGGAACTATGGAAGAGTAAGGTCTCTCAATTGTGATGCCATAGATCCCAAATGGGAAGGAAAACCTAACTCTACTCCTAGATTTGTTGAGCAAAACAGGATAGAAGGCTACGGGACAGGCGTAAATCCCAGTCCTCCGAGTTATCAGCTCATCAAGGAGTTTGTCCGTTGTACATTCATTTCGCCAAAGGACGACTCAGCGAGAATGGACGACCATGTTCCGCGCTACGGACCATCCCTGCGCTCCGCGATGATCAGCATTAGAAGTAGACGACACCACATATGCAGTTTTCTCATTGGACACGTTCTACCTCTGATGACGCAGGAGCTCAAAGCGCGCCAATATGAAGGCAAAAGGCACCTGCATGACGCAGAACAAAGTTTCGAGTTATCTCAGCATAATGGCCGTGTGGAATCAGTAGGAAAGCGGTGTGTTTCTCGTGTGATATCTGTGTGACAGCCTCGAGCTAATGCATGGAGAAGCTGACAGCGTAAGGCCGCTGTCTGCCAGGGGAAGAAGGCGAAAAAGTGAGAGCACGTCAAGGTCTACAGATGGGAAGTATATAAAGACCAACTTTGCCCACTCCGCCATGATAAATTGCCAAGTACATGCCACGATAGACATGATCACAGCGCTTTGTGGGGAGGGCCACTGCATCTGAGACTTCGTGGGTTTGGATAGTTGGGTGGAGTTCCCGAAGTGTGGTTTTCAATGAAGGGCGGGATGGATCCAAAGCCATTAGCATCATGGAGATGCCTAACAGTTTCGTTGATTCTTGCGCATTCTCCCGGGTGAGGCTTGGAAGCGATTTTTCGGTCACTTAGATGAATCACAACGACGGGAAGTTGATTCTGTTCTGATAAGTGCCCCTTTTCGGGATCATAATCTTCATTCGAGATGTCGAACACAAACATCTCACGAACAAAGTAGCGTTGGATCGCTAAGAGTTTTGTATCGGACAAGGTAATTTCTTTCTGATCGTAGAGACTTTTTTCGTTGATCACTTGAATAGCAAGCTGGATGATGTCCTCTGGCGACTGTTTCCATGCAGGACTCTTGTTTGACACAATAGCGAGCACCCGAAGTGGATGTTTTCTTGTCATAGTGAACTATCTATATAAGTTCATTGTCGGGTACGTCGCGGAAACCTAACAAGTCGTAGATCACTTACTCAGGTAGTAGTCTCAGGCAGAGGCCGCAAAATAATCACAGTGTCAGCTTTTTAACACAGTAGGTCCAAGGAACAGTGAGGATGGCGAGAGCGGCTAATAAGTAATATATTCCAATCGCACCGCCTTTGGCGTTCAGCGCTGATTTTGCCGCCCCTGGTGGAGCAATCTCGCTGTCGGCCAGTGCTTCGTCACATGTTCGACGCTGCTAACGGAAAAGATGAGAAAGTAGTACGGCAGACCATAGCTACTAGGCCGGATGAAGCTCGATATTGAGACAGTAAGCACTGCCTGATTAGGCAACTACGGAGGTATATAAGGCGGTCCGATTAGTTACTCGTAGATAGCTCTGCTTAATGAAGTTGTTGACTCCGCTCGTTTAGATTCAACATGAATCAGACTACGTACGTCTATTAAGCAACTGAGGCGGTTGAGCATGAACCTATAGCTAGATATTGTTACGGCAGTGCCCTGATATATATTGGGGTAGTAAGAGCAGTTCGAGGGCTTATCCTGTCTTTTGCCCCTGGCCCAGCAGCTTCTCATCTGGAATGTTCCCTAAGGAAACCGATATATATGCCTGCTAATACTAACAATAAATATGTTGACACTTATCCATCTAGGTACGAAGTAAACCTGCCATAAATAATAACGTAACTACAGCTGGTGATGTTGATGCCTGAATTCACAGGCAGCCGAATGCTTGTTAGTTCAAGAAAGGGCTTCTCCATGCTGACTAAGCGTGTCCCTGCAGGAAAAGGAAACGGGGAGTCTTGTGCTCGACAGAATAACAAGAATAACGCACATCTTCCTTCACAGAAGGCTGACAAGTCTCTCAGAGTCTCCTTAAGAGCAAGTCGTCTTTAATATTTCTGACTTAGGCCTTTTCCGACGTCGTTCAATTGCTGCCATCTCCAGATCGTCTGGTAACTACCCCACCATGGCCCCTCCAAAGGTCTTCTCTCTCGAGGGCAAAGGCCTTAAATTCGACACTGCCGAGGACATCGAATCGCACATCAAGCCTCTGACCGAAAGTACCGATTTTACAGAGGTTCGCCTAGGCGGGAACACATTCGGAGTTGCTGCTTCCGAGCGTCTGGCCGCCGTTCTGTCCACGCAGAAGAATCTCCAAGTCGCCGAACTGGCAGATATTTTCACCTCACGTCTGCTCTCTGAGATCCCCAGGGCTCTTACATCGTTGTTGAATGCCCTTCTTGAGATCCCGACACTTCACACGGTTAACCTCTCCGACAATGCATTCGGTCTCAACACCCAGGCCCCCCTCGTCGATTTCCTCTCCCGTCACGTTCCTTTGCGCCATCTGATCCTGAACAATAACGGTCTGGGCCCCGCGGCCGGAACATACATTGCTGATGCGCTTACCGAGCTGGCTATGCGGAAAGAAGAGGCCCGCAAAGCTGGGAAGGAGGTCCCGCTTCTCGAGAGTGTCGTGTGCGGGCGTAACCGACTGGAGAATGGCAGTATGGAGGCTTGGGCTCGAGCGTACAAGGCGCATGCGGCTGGCATTCGCTCGATTAAAATGACCCAGAACGGTATTAGACAAGAAGGGATCTCGTTGTTGCTCACGGACGGTCTACGCCACGCCAACGCAATTGAGGTTCTTGACCTGCAGGACAATACCTTCACTATTATGGCATCTACAGCTCTCGCGAGCGTTCTGTCAAGCTGGCCAGCTCTACGCGAGCTCGGTGTCAGCGACTGCTTGCTTTCCCCACGCGGTGGGATCAAGCTAGGAAAGGCACTGGCGGAGGGCAAGAACCTGAAGCTGGAGACTCTACGCCTACAATATAACGATATCACGGCGGAAGGTGTGAAGCATTTTCTTCACGCTGCCAGGTCCACATTACCGGCTTTGCGCCGTATTGAGCTTAATGGGAATAAATTTTTCGAGGATGACGGTAATGTGGTGGAACTAAGGGAGCTTTTGGAGGCAAGGAAAGAAGAGCACGGCCATGAGGACGACCCAGAGGACATGTGGGGTATTGATGAGCTGGACGAGTTGGAGGAGGACAGTGAGGAAGAAGAGGAGGTCGATGAGGAAGAAGAAGAGGAAGAGCACATAGCTGCTAAGGACCTCAAGGAGGCGGTTCAAGCTGAAGACCAAGAAGTGGCCGAGAAGGCGGATAAGGACGTGGACGAGCTGGCTACGGCACTTGGAAAGACTGGCATATAGATGGCCTTTTGACAACCAAATTGGAGGTTTCCTTCATGTTCATAGATGATGCTTCGATGTCCTGTTAATAGTAGAATTATCATATCATAACTATCATAACTATGCACAGCGCAGATGCCCAGGCATTTGGATCACGTGATAAAAAAAGCAATGGCTTTCCGAAAACGGAAATGGAGGCTTGGCATCGACCGTGTCCGCCGTTCCTTCGACTTTCTCTCTGTCCTCGCTCACGTTTTCTATCCTGTTTTGCAGTCTCGCATTCTCTTCTCGTCACTGCTTTCCATCTTCTTCATCTGCTTTGTGTTTTCCGTCCGCGATCGTGTTTCTGTTGTCTGAGCTGTTGCAATCCGAGCTTCCCCGCTTATCCCTAACTCTGGACGCTTTGGAAGTGAGTGCGCATTCAGTCCCTCATTGTCAAGTTATCTGCGTTTCGTTTCTCCTTTCGTGGAATTATCAGCATTTTGGGGTGGAATGCTCTGCGCATATTTCCTAGCTCGATATCTCCGGTGCTTAGGCAATCCAGACCCTCAATTGCGATGGCTATCTGCATCGGCACGTGCAGTTAAGAAGGATCTCTGAGAGAGATACGGGCCAGGGGATAAAGCCATGATGATGAAGATTTCGTTTGAACTTGAGCAGATGAGAGTTTATGATGTTTTTGAAGGCTGGAGGTTGTCTGTGTTATGTGTTCCAGGCTGCCACTCGAAGGGACACTTGCGCATTGACATTATTTCACATACGCACCCTTGTTCCTGGACTTCAACGTCTAGCTGGTTTTTGCTATGGCGCTCGTGCATTGCTACTAACTTGTTTTCTGACAGGCTACTTGACTACTTCCTTGTTCCCTCGCCGTCACCTAGTTTCCCCGATCGCATTTGTCGCGCTTGACTAAATATCTATCCCATCATGGCGTTGGACGCCAAGGAGATTGAATTGAAAGCGAAGGCACTTACGAAAGCGGCGACCCAGAATGAGTCCCCTAATACCATCGTTTCTCTACTGAAGGACCTGCAGAAGGGCGTCACTCCGACGGAAGACCTGCTTCGATCAACCCGTATAGGTATCATTGTCAACAAATTCAAGCAGCACAAATCGGCGGATGTCGCACGGCTATCAAGTGAAATCGTCTCCAAGTGGAGGAACGAAGTTAATAAGCAAAAGGCAGTTGGCGGGTCACCAGCGGGCAACCGGCGACCGAGCGGATCCCCGCGGCCGGCTCAGAATGGAACGTCACCCGCTGCTGCTACGCCGTTAGAAAAGAAGTCCGAATTGACCGTTCCCCCGGATAAGCGGACGTGGAAGGCGGATGGGGTCGATACAAATCAGACTTCCAACAAGGTGCGAGATAGCTGCATCGGATTAATGTACGACGGGCTATGCCTTGGTTCAACGGAGGCACCCCGTGTGGTCCTTTCAAAAGCCGTGGCCGTTGAGGCGGCGGCTTACAATGCGTTTGGGCCAGAAACGAAGGAGCAATATCGCACCAAGATTCGCAGCTTATACCAGAACCTCAAGAACAAGTCCAATCCGATGCTGCGCGTGCGTGTTCTTTCCAATGAGGTGACACCAGATCAGTTTGTGCGGATGACCCACGATGAGCTCAAGTCAGCAGAGCAGCGGGAAAAAGAGCGAAAGATCCAAAAGGAAAACATGGACAAGGCCATGGTGGCACAGGCAGAGCGCAGTATCAGCACGAGTCTGCAGTGCGGCAAGTGTGGGCAACGGAAGGTCACGTATACGGAAGCTCAGACACGGAGTGCGGACGAACCGATGACCTTGTTCTGTACGTGTATGAACTGCGGGAAGTCGTGGAAGCAGTAGTCTTTTTTCTTATTCCTTTTTCTGTTTTACTATTTTTCCCTTCGCGTTGTGGGGGTGGAGTTCGGAAATCGGTTTAAAAGCTCTCGTGTTATATGCTTTGGCGCGATGAATCAGGAGGCAGTGGGTTTGCGATTTACACCCTTTGAATGGCTACGGCTGTAATGTTCGAGTAGATAGATGTTCATTTCCCCAACTCAGCAGTCCGCATAAATATAGTTAGGCAACGTCATCGTTATGTCAGCCGAGGGAGTCAACTCTCCCTTTTCAATGCAATGATCTAAAGAGAAGGATGTAAAGGAAAGAGAAAGGAGAAAAAGAGAGAGAAAGAGAGAAAGAAAAATGCCATCTCGCACAACCCTAACAGCACCCGTTCACTCCCTCCTCTCTAGCCTGAGCAACAACGCCGGCTCCTCCCAAATACAATCCCACTTCACCACCGACCCTCCCCCCCAAATCCACGAACACGGCCTCCCTCTCTTCGCGCCATTCCTCGGGCGAACTTTCAGCGGCATTGATGGCGTAGCGCGGTACTTCGACCTACTATCCCGCTACCTCGAATTTCAGAACGTATCCTTCGAGAACGAGGACGGCTGGATCGTCGACGAGATCTCAATGGCAGTGTTCCTACGCGGCACGTCTCGGTTCCTATGGAAGGAGACGGGCGAGACGTGGGATGAGACGTTCTGCTATCGAATTTCCCTTGCGGAAGATATGGAGGAGAAGGAGAAGAGGTTGTTGAAGGTGCAGGAGTATCGGGTTTGGGGGGATACGGGGGCTTTATATCTTGCGTCCCGTGGGAAGTTGGGGGAGGTTTCGAGGGAGGCTGGGGCTACAGCTGGTGCTGCTACAACTACTGCTATGACGGGGGAGACAAGGAGGGGCATTGATAGGAAGAAGAGTGGGTGTGGAGAGGTGGTGGGGAGTGGGATGAATGTTTATGGGAGTTGTGGAGGGTAATTTTTTTCTATTCTTCTCAGAAGCATTCTGATCATTGTCATTATTTACTATTATGATGATGACTCGCTATGATTATGAGAAACGTAATCCACCCTCAGGCGTGTTGGTGATGCTCAAAAACGGGAGGAAATTCAACCACCCACCATGCCTCCAAAAGCACATAAAAATTCAAAAGATTCAGCTGAGCAAGATGGGATAATCTTACTTGCAATATCTGATATTTAAAAAGCAAAATTCGCAATATACGCGAGGCAGCACGCATCTTTAACGTTCCCTGTACAACTCTTGAACACCAACTGAATAGATATACTTATCAAGCTGAGTTACGTGCAAATGGCCATATATTAACTTCAAATGAAGAGGGATCACTTCTACAATATATTCTCTCTCTGGACCGACGTGGAGAAGCTCCCTGACCATTCCATGTACAAGAAATGGCCAATATTCTTCTCTCCAAGCGTGGTGCAACATCCATCCAGACAGTTAGGGTAAACTGGGTCTACAAATTTGTTAAATGACATGATGAGCTCAAAACACGATATTCTTGACGATATAATCACCAGCGTGAAAAATGTGAAGACCCTAAGATTATTAGGGAGTGGTTTGACCTAGTGTAATGGTTTGAATGTAGAATTCATTTTGGTGCTAGATACACGAAGGATTCCTTGAGAGGAAGAGAATAGGTCTTTTCGACAGGCGACGGCTTTGTGTATAAGGAAGGAAATAGGCGAGCTGGCAACAAACAGAACAAATGCAACAAAAGGGACAGACAAAACAAATGATACAAATAGAGCAGGTAGGGTACTCAGGCGTTGGCCCTGAGAAGACACCCACACCACCAGGCAGCTGATCAACAAATTGAATTTAAGCACCAAAAATACTGGAGAAGCAAGCAACTACAATCAAAAAGCTTCTAAGGCATCATACAGAGAGCTCCCCAAGTCCAACAAATACTGCATTAAACCAGCTTGTTAAGGGGCGTGAGATAGCTATGAATAGCGCGATTATCCTTGCCAAAGAGAACCAGGACCTAGAAGCTGCACATGAGAAGCAGCTTTAAAAAGGAAACAATCTAGGTGGCAGATAGCTACTACAGAGGGTCTATCTATTGAAAGGCCAGCAGCTTCTACAGTATGAGAATGAGGGCCAAATGCTCAAAATGCTCAACCTATTGAACCAGCACCGGCTGCAGTTTGAGTGGCATGTACGGGCACCACCACGGTGTGGTGATTGCCATATATTATTGGACATAAAGCGATTACAATATCCTAATCGCTATAAGAACTAGTTTTTATAAAAACATGTGGTTTTGGGGGTAAGCCACCTGTCCTTTAGACCATGGTCTAGGGTGGCCCGCTCGGTGGTGGCTTACGTTATGGTTATACTGGGTAAATATACACAGTTCGCTGGTTCTACTACATAAACCTGACGCCATTCTTCCACAGTCGGGATAAACACGAACAGGAAAGTGCTTTGAAATCAATAAGCTCAACATGTCCGACCTGGGTCTGGTGGAAATCGACTCGCTGGAGGCCCTCGTCATCGTCGACAATGAGCTCGATCCCATGTCCAGCCCGGCCCCGGACACGGTGCAGGTGTCTGGGCTTATGCCCAGTCTGGCCACGCATACCGTAGACCGGGGCGGTGCTCAAAGGGAATTGAAGATGGATCATATCTGTTGTTCTGCTCATGGGTTGTCTATTCTGGTGGTAGGTTGTATTCGGTGATATACGTACTCCGTATGGACGATATTGACTTAGAATAGACAGCGACCAAAGACAACGTGAAGCATTCCATCCTCTTCGATGCAGGCCCCGAAGAGGATATATGGGAGCGCAATGCAAGACGGCTACATCCGGATCTCTCGTCCGTCGAGCTCATCCAGCTCTCGCACTGGCATCGGGATCATTCAGGTTGGCATTCTCATTTCTTCATTTCGGAAAGACAATGCAGCTAGAAAAATGCCCTGGATCTGTTGACAGTTGTACAGGTGGTCTTCTTCGCGCTATTCGTCTGATCAACGAGGCAAAAGCAAAAGCAGCCAAAACAACAAACACCAACACCAATCTTACAGTCGATCTTCATCCCGATCGACCTGAGTATCGAGGCTTTTGCTTCGGTTGCAAGATCATATCCCTGGAAGCTGACCCGTCGTTCGAGGAGATCGAACGCGCAGGCGCCGTGGTCGACAGACACGCGGACGCCCACACGGTCCTGGACGATATGTTCCTGATATCCGGGATGATTCCCCGGGTTACCCCGTATGAGACGGGGCTGAAGGGTGCAGTACGCTATGACAGCAGCACAAACGACTGGCTTTCCGATGAGCTGATTAGGGACGAGCGACTTCTCATGTGCAATCTCAAGGGTGCGTATAGAAGATATATTGCGACAAATATTATGCATTCTGACCATCATCATCTCTACTACGTGCAGGGAAAGGAATCATCGTTTTCACAGGCTGCAGCCATGCAGGCGTTGTCAATGCTTGCAAGCATGCTGTCAACTTGCTGCATGGTTCCGTACCTCTGCATGCTGTCGTCGGTGGGTACCATCTAGCTACTGATGACCAGCAACATGTGAAAAGAACTGTAGAGGACCTCAAGCGTCTGGATCCGGCTGTTCTCCTTCCAGGGCATTGTACCGGCTGGCGGGCTAAGTTTGCCATAGAGAATACCATGCCTGGGACTCTGGTGCCCTGCACCGTGGGCATTAAAATCACATTCTAGAAGCAGCAGCAGCAGCAGCAGCAGTTCGATCTAGTTGTCATTAGAAGAAAACCGAGGATAAAGCAAATACATGCTTCCAGGTATCCCAATTGCCTGTCTGGTCCGATCTTTGTCTCCTTCTGCAAGGCCTGATAGACCACTGTAAGCTCTTCTTTTCCTCTGCGTCCTTGTGATGACATGACGTCGGCATGAGACTCCCGCTGCTGCTAGATATCAGGCAATATGTTTACATCAAGCTCCTCTTCCGATTCCAGCCAACCTGTCCCCGCTCTAGGCTTTGATGGTTTGCGGGGGGAGGGGCAGAGAGTTTTCCCCAGCCCACTGAGTGCCATAGTCAGTTCTGCTGCGCGAATTACATCGACGTCATGACGCTGACGTCTCAAGCAACCCCGGATGACACGACACATGCAGGGGTATAAAAACCGAATTCATCCAGTAGTATTTCTTTCGTTTATTATCAAAGTTTTTGCCCGGAGCTGCTGCCTCGGATGTACCCCCTCTTCACATGGAGAACCTGACAGTAGGGGAAGCTAGGGTATTCTCACATTGATATATTGATATATCTTGCTCGCCTCTGAAAAGCTCTCGGGCGATATGTTCGATTTAGGATATACATCCGATCTTCAGGTGGAGTCAGTCGATAGTCAGAAAGAAAACGGCTCAGAATGCAAATCCATTTCCAATTGCAAAAGCCCGAGCCGCTGATTGCGTTGGCTGCTGTGCTTCTAGCCCCGGTCGTGCTGCTGGTGGTCCTTGTCGCTCTGCTTATATTCGTCAGAGCCCTTCGCATTGCCTATCGCAGTATTTGCGTTTATCGGCGTGGTGGGATTCGAGCTCCTCAGATCCCGAATAATATTGTTGAAAGTACACATTAACCTCCCGCATATGACTGAGAAGCTGCTGAATACTAACTATATGGTGATGGAAAACAGCCTGCCGCTTTATACTGTCGATTCTCAAAGCACAGACTGCAAACCAGCTGGGCGCGTTCTTTAATGGCCTCTTCGCCAAGTACGGCACATCGGCATCGCCGAATTGCGTCGAGGTCGACCTGACGGGAGGTTTCCGCGCCATCATCACCCGCGAGCCTGAACATATCAAGACCGTCTTGACTGGGAAGTTCGCGGACTATGGCAAGGGCAAACATTTTCATGACCTGTGGTCTCCGTTCTTGGGAGATAGTATCTTCACGACAGATGGGAAGAAGTGGTCGAGTAGTCGGCAGCTCATCCGGCCCATGTTCATCAAGGATCGGATTAGCGATCTCCATATTTTTGAACGAAAGGTTCAGACTATGATGAGTCTGTTCCCGGATTCTGGGGTGGAGTTTGATCTGATGGATCTGTTTTATCGGATGACTATCGATGTCACAACGGAGTTCCTTCTGGGTCAGGGGATCAATAGTTTGGAGAATCCGCAGAGTGACTTTGTTCAGGCGTTTGCGGAGGTGCAGCGTATTCAAATGCTAATTACTGTGATCGGGTGAGTTTTCAATTATACATATGCGAATTGAGGGAGGTTCATACGAAGCTGACACCTTACTCAGTCCCGGAGAACACTTTTACCCTCGCGGCGCATACAAACGGGGTATCAAGAACATCGACAACTTCGTCCTTCCCTTTGTGCACCGCGCCCTGTCCCTACCAGTAGAGGAGCTGGAGAAGCTCAGCAAGTCCGAGAAATCCTTCACCTTCCTGCACGCGCTGGCTCGTTTCACGCGGGACCCCAAAGTGATCCGCGACCAGGTACTTTCCGTACTTCTGGCAGGCCGCGACACGACAGCCGCAACGCTCTCATGGGCCTTCTACGAACTCTCGCACTACCCCGAAATCTACGCGAAACTGCGAGCCGAGGTGCTCGAAGCCGTCGGGCCCACAGCAGCACCTACATACGAGAAGCTCAAGAACATGCCCTACCTTCGACACACGATCGACGAAACCCTCCGTCTGTACCCTGCTGTGCCGTACAACGTGCGCTTCGCTTTATCGGACACTACTCTACCAGGCGGCGGACCACCGAACGGCGATACGCCGATCACCGTTCTCCGCGGCGACGCGGTGATCTACTCGACGTACGCGATGCAGCGACGCGCGGACCTGTACCCGGCCGTCTCGGAGAAGTTTGCAGATCCCGCCGTCTTCTCGCCGGAGAGGTGGGAGCACTGGACTCCGAAAGTGTGGCAGTATGTCCCGTTCAACGGGGGACCGCGCATCTGCATCGGGCAGAACTTTGCGCTGGCGGAGATTGGATATACGCTCATCCGCATCTGTCAGAGGTACGAACGGATCGAGTATGCTGGGAAGTGGGAGGAGCAGTTTCATAAGGCGGAAATAGTGGGATCACCGGGACAGGGGGTTCGAGTGAGGTTTTATAAGGCTTGACCTAGTATAGTTAGTTTCGAGCATTTTTGGATCATTATTATAAGTATACGATGAAGATGGTGATGATGATTATGAAGGTGATGATGAATTCTAGTAGGCAGCAATGTGCGGAATAGGAGAATGCCAACAAAGCCAGCCGTCTTGGCCTGGTCCATGAGCAGGCCGAATGGAATCTTGGCTGATGTACATCTCGGATGATCTCAGGGCATGGCATGGTCTGGGCTATTTCAAGGAACTGGCAAAAAAGCGGTGGTCCGGTGTGGATGGGAAGAGCTCATGATGGTTGTATGATTGTGATTCTGGTGATGATGACGATGATGTCTTCAGAAGTGTCTTGACAAGATGAAGATAATGCGATGAAGAAGGTTAAACCAGATCTACGAGATACCCGGCCATCAATTAATTGTTGCACATAATGGCGCATCACGGGACACGTAGTAATATGGAAGTAAAATATAATAACAATATTAAATACCCAGACAAAGTATGGAAATAATAGTAATAACCCACTGCACTACTGTAGGTACAACCATAGTCCGGGCTTGGCCTTTTGGGGTCTTTCATTTCCCATATTATTTCCAAATTCCCACAACTTGCACCATGATACTACGGAAGAATCCTAAAAGGTATGCATGCTCCGAGCAATCTGATAAGTTATACCAACGACTTGCCGATTTCCGACCGGCACAGACCGAGTTCTGACTTGAGGGCTTTCACGGAAACATGTTCAACCACGGCTCACAACATGCCAGACAACCCTGGACCCAGGAAGAGCATGGAAAGAAAAAAAAAAAAATTCTGCTTTGCCTTCTAGAAGGTATCGAGAAGGGAAACACTGTGTGGGCTTGAGACGGCTTCCAGAGCCAGTCAGGTTAATGCCTCATTCTTTCTTGTCCTTGTCGTTGATGAACTGGCAAGTTGCTTGCTACTGGCATGATGATGATAACAAAATAAAACAAATAAAAAAAAATAATAATCATGATCTTCCGTCAATCCTCTGATCAGACATCTGTGCTCTGTGCAATGTAGTCTCTGCAGCCACCAGCGTGTGCACAGGGCTCTGGGAGGGACAAGCGTGCGCCGTTGTCGTCATTTATCGCTGACCGGTTGAATTGAATCAAACAGTAATGAAATGAAGACCAGATCATATCATATACTGTCGCGTGTGGCTTCATACACAGCGGGATTTATCAGTCCCAGTATACTGTGCTGATAGAAATCCCGCAAGTCGACTGCCGACGCAGCTGTATGTAGTACTCCGTATCTACCGTGCTAATAAGGTACGGCGCAACGCTCCAATCACCCGCGCGGCAAGACCAAAAAACGCAAAAAATGGCTCGAGTCGGCGAGGTTTAATATGCATACCTCGTTCACTACGGAGTTATGTGCATGCAGAAGAAGCTTGTGTTGGTTGCTGTGGTATCGCGATAATATAGTACATAATACATACTACGTACACACGGCACCGTAGGATACAGATAGAGTACGGACAAACAATCAGGAAATCATCATTCGCCTGCCAGCCCACGCTAAACACACCCGAGCGGTCCGACACGCCATTCACAGTCCGCCGTGCGCTGCGTTCCAGAACCGCCTAAGCCCGACTGGGCTTAAAGTTGAGCCATGGGTCCCAAAATGGAAAGCCGGTCCATGGGATTGGAAGAAGCAAGAATCCGTCGGGGAGGCTTTACCATGTCAGGTAAGCCTGGTTCATGTCCATACAGTATATTACAGCAAGGGTAAAAAACGCGTTTCCTGATTCTGCATGTCTGGTTTTTGCGAGACTAGACGCATCCGGCCGTCAACCTAGTAGCTCTAGCTACTACTAGGAGGTAGTAGTAGATTGAAGTACTCCGTACATAGCTCCTGTGCAATGGCAGCTGCCAAACTGTGCGTCTGCATCCGCACGAACAGCAGGACCAGGTGAGGTCATAGACTGACATTTTCCGGAATGGACATGGAAAGATTTTCCACTTCTTTTCTTTTTTTCTTGTTCAGGTTTGAACTCGGACTCTCGGGCGAACACTTTTTCTGTTTTGTTCTCGTTTTTCATAATAATCGCTGCCGACGAGCCGTCTTGGACGGCCAGTGCCGCTCTGGCTTTCACGCAATGACGATGGAGGCATTAGGAACAACGCCGCAAAAGGTTTAGCCCAGCTGATCTCCAGGGCTAACGAGGACAAAAAATCGCGCATAGTAAACAGGCTCGGCGGACGTCATCACCGGGCAATAATAGCCAGTGGGGGCTAGGCCTGGTGGAGCTCTCGCTGATACGAATGCGGTATCGGTGTCGGCATCTGCGGACCACGGCAGCCATTTTTTTTTTATTTTGTATGATTTTCCGCAGCCGGGGAACGTCTTGGCGTGGCCTTGGTGGTAAACATTGTAAATAGATAGTAATACTAAACAATACCCGGCCATACCGCCCGTACCATCCATGGATCCCCCAGTTCCACTCCCGGAAATTGACCCTGCGACAGATCCCACCGTTGGTTCTGGGACAGATGTTTCATGGACATGGAATAGCAAGCAAGAAAAAAAAAAGAAAGAAAATGACAGTGCACAGTGCATAGTGTGTAGCACACATACAGTATCAGATACTGAAAACTACCTAATCAAGAGATGCAAGAGCAGAAGCATGACACTGCTGTACACGGATGCAAATAAGCAATAAGAGCAGTGGGCCAGTTGTCATGATCTGGAGCTAATCCGCATTGGGCAAGGTGAATACGGCGTAACGAAATGAGCTGCAGGAGTTCTGCGTATCTGGATCATTATTATTTATTTAATTTAAATAATAAAAAAAAATAACCATACGCATCCAACGGGGCAATTCGCCTGTTGGAGCTTCGCGGACACGAAAACTTGTTGCTTCATCCAGCCAAGCCAGAACTGCTCCCCATCCCAAAGTTCCATTATTCCCTCACCTATATTACCGCCCCCCTCCCTTTAAATCCCCCTTCTCCCTCTCTCTCCCCTTCTTTTGTTCTCCTTTCTTCTCTCCTCCAGGAACATCCGTCTCTCGCCATTCCTGTCATATTGTGCTTGCCTCTGCTCATATCGTTAGGTCCCTCCAAGGCTGTGAGCCGAAGCAACAACAATGGCGGAACGGAGGATCTCCTACGCTCCGGACGTCGAGAACGGTGGTGCCCACGACACTGCCAACCTCGACGAGTACGCTGCTCTGAACCGTTACATTTCCACCGCCCAAGCCAAGCGTCGTGACTCCACTGGTAGTGGTGCCGGGGGTGAGGGAAAGAAGAAGCCATGGTGGGCTTTCTGGCGCAAGTCTGGTGATGGTGCTGCTGAGGATGGCAAGGAGGAGGGGTTCGTTTGCCCTGAAGAATGGCTCGAGACCGACATTCGCTCTGGTATTCGCTCCTCGGATGTCGAGCCTCGTCGCAAGCGCAGTGGATGGAACGAACTTGCTGCCGAGAAGACCAACCTTTTCCTCCAGTTCCTTAGTTACTTCCAGGGTCCTATTCTCTATGGTGAGTTTCTTCTGTTGGCAGGAGTACAAAGTGCCCACCGCTGATTATTTCCAGTCATGGAACTCGCTGTCGCTCTCGCTGCCGGTCTTCAGGACTGGATTGATTTCGGTGTCATCATTGGTATTCTTATGCTCAACGCCTGTGTCGGTTGGTATCAGGAAAAGCAGGCTGCCGATGTCGTCGCTTCTCTGAAGGGTGACATTGCCATGAGAGCTTCCGTTATCCGTGATGGTTCTGAGCAGGAGATTCTTGCTCGTGAGCTCGTTCCCGGTGATATTGTAAGTCTCATTTGGTTCGTCATCTCTCCTGATGAGCTTCACTAACTGTAAATTTCCCAGGTCATTCTGGAAGAAGGTCACGTCGTCCCCGCTGATGTCCGCCTGATCTGTGACTACTCCAAGCCCGAGATGTTCGAGGCCTACAAGGAGTTCATCTCCAGCGCCAACGACGATACTCTCAAGGAGAAGGAGGATGAGGACGAGGACGAGCTGCACCCCAACCACATTGGTGTCTCCATCGTTGCCGTTGACCAGTCCGCCATCACTGGTGAATCTCTCGCTGTTGATAAGTACCTCGGTGATACTTGCTACTACACCACTGGTTGCAAGCGTGGCAAGGCTTATGCCATCGTCACCGCTACTGCCAAGCACTCCTTCGTCGGTCGTACCGCTGCTCTCGTCCAGGGTGCCAACGACACCGGTCACTTCAAGGCTGTCATGAACAGCATCGGTACTGCTCTCTTGGTTCTGGTCATGTTCTGGATTCTTGCTGCCTGGATTGGTGGCTTCTTCCGTCACTTGTCTATTGCCTCCAACACTACCCACGATGGTGACAGGAACTTGCTCCACTACACCTTGGTTCTTTTCATCATTGGTGTCCCCGTCGGTCTTCCCGTTGTCACAACCACCACCCTTGCTGTCGGTGCTGCCTATCTTGCTGAGCAGAAGGCTATTGTCCAGAAGCTTACTGCCATTGAGTCTCTCGCTGGTGTCGACGTTCTCTGCTCTGACAAGACTGGTACTCTTACTGCTAACCAGCTCTCCATCCGTGAGCCCTACACCGCCGAGGGTGTTGACGTCAACTGGATGATGGCTGTTGCTGCCATTGCCTCCTCCCACAACATCAAGAACCTCGATCCCATTGACAAGGTTACCGTTCTCACTCTCCGTCGTTACCCCAAGGCTCGCGAGATCCTCTCTCGCCGCTGGATTACTGAGAAGTACACTCCCTTCGACCCTGTCTCTAAGCGTATCACCACTGTCTGCACGTGCGATGGTGTTCGCTACACCTGTGCTAAGGGTGCCCCCAAGGCTATTCTCAACCTGGCTCAGTGCACTGTGGAGGAGGCTAAGCACTACCGTGACAAGGCCGCTGAGTTCGCTCGCCGTGGTTTCCGTTCTCTCGGTGTCGCTGTCCAGAAGGAGGGTGAGCCCTGGCAATTGCTCGGCATGTACCCCATGTTCGACCCCCCTCGTGATGATACCGCCCACACTATTGCTGAGGCCCAGAACCTCGGTCTCTCCGTCAAGATGTTGACTGGTGATGCCATTGCTATTGCCAAGGAAACTTGCAAAATGCTTGCCCTCGGTACCAAGGTCTACAACTCTGAGCGTCTGATCCACGGTGGTCTTGCCGGCTCCCGCCAGCACGATCTCGTTGAGAAGGCCGATGGTTTCGCTGAAGTTTTCCCTGAGCACAAGTACCAGGTCGTTGAGATGCTCCAGCAGCGTGGTCATCTGACTGCCATGACTGGTGACGGTGTTAACGATGCTCCTTCCCTCAAGAAGGCTGACTGCGGTATCGCCGTCGAGGGTTCTACCGAAGCCGCCCAGGCCGCTGCTGATATCGTCTTCCTTGCCCCTGGTCTCAGCACCATTGTCGATGCCATCAAGCTTGCTCGCCAGATTTTCCAGCGTATGAAGGCCTATATCCAGTACCGTATCGCTCTGTGTCTCCACCTTGAGATCTACCTCGTCACTTCTATGATCATCATCAACGAGAGCATCCGCTCCGATCTCATTGTGTTCATTGCTCTCTTCGCTGACTTGGCCACCATTGCCATCGCCTACGACAATGCTCACTTCGAGGCTCGTCCCGTCGAGTGGCAGCTTCCTAAGATCTGGGTCATCTCCGTTGTCCTTGGTGTTCTCCTTGCCCTCGCCACATGGGTTGTCCGTGCCACTCTCTTCCTGCCCAATGGTGGTATCATTCAGAACTACGGTTCTCCCCAGGAAATTCTCTTCCTCGAGGTCTCTCTTACTGAGAACTGGCTGATCTTCGTCACCCGCGGTGGAAAGACCTGGCCGTCATGGCAGCTCGTCGGTGCCATCGCCGTCGTCGATCTCATCGCCACTCTCTTCGCTTGCTTCGGCTGGTTGTCCGGTGCCTTCGCCCAGACTGACCCCTTTGACCAGGCTGGTCCCCACGGCAACACTGGCTCTGGCAAGTTCTCCCGCAACGGTGATGTCGGTGTTCCCACCATGATTGTCATCTGGGCTTACTCCATTGGTGTCATTATCATCATTGCCATGGTGTACAGCATCCTCACTGATATCCCTGCCCTTGACAACCTTGGCCGCCACACCCGCTCCAAGGCCGACACCAAGATCGAGAACCTCCTTGGCCATCTGTCCAAGGTTGCCATCGAGCACGAGAAGGACGAGAACGGCAAGGAGACCTTCTACCTCACGTCTCGCGCCGAGGTCGCCGAAGACGACGAGTAAACCACTTGATTTGGTTGTACTATTTGATTCCCTGAAGCCATGGGGCCTACTACTACTCTATGCTAATTAATATTGTCTAACTCTGGGGATGTCACTGGCGCTAGCATACACCAGCGATGTCCACATGCTTTTGTTTTTATCTGTTGCTATTTTTGCGAAACGTGTTTTTGCGAAAGTACCCATAGACCATTTTGCTGCATATCGTGACTGTGACCGACCTGTCAAGCTCTATCCCTAGAGTGATTGATACCTTACTTCGCTTCCTAATTGTATGTATGTCATTAATAGTGGTAACTTAGTCAAAGACAATCAAATCAAGAATACCAGGTTGTTTATATTACTCTATTCATCTTGGTAGTTTCAAACAATAGGAAATTCACTGCGGACTGTCTTGTTCGCTAGTTGCCACACCTTAATCTTAACGACGGTAGTATGCATCATGTAGGAGCTCTGTAGATGAAGTATGTATCATGTTCTATCACTCCAGTGCTCGCAGTTGCGGGGTTGTCTGCCACATTCGACCTGACATTGTATATTTGCTGCTTCCATGGATTCATTCAACCTTAACGCGACAGCTGGAAACAGTGCTCCGATAAAGTGCGGTCAGACCGATGACGACGCACTGAGAGCTTACATGACGGGTACCTCATCTTGTCCTTCGACTGCTCTTCCTCGTTCTCTCCACCCAGTCCGTCCGACGAATGCACGATCGAGCTTGTTATCTCCCTGATCAATGGCCGAGATGATTGTACTATGAACCATTTCCCTCCTTGAATTAAATCTTCTTCCATGGCGTCCCCCGCGACGCTGTTCCGTCGGCCGCCCAACGGCCTCGCCGGAGCTCACAACCATCTCCATCCACCCCGATGGCGTCCCTTTCATTGTCGAAACATCTATTCCGCTGAATTCAAGCCGTTTGTCCCGCCCTCTCCAAGTGAGCTGGGCCGTCCCGTGCCCGCTAAGACCTACGTGCGAACCCGGAAGTGGCTCCGACGCCTTTTCTACCTCTCAGCGGCCACAGGCGTCATCTATGGCATAGACAGCCAGTTCTACGCATCGTCCTTAACTAGGACTGCGCGCACCTTTGCTCTGGGGATCTTCGTAGCGCTGGATTACAAGATTAATTTCCGGCCCAGCCCACCCTTCGCTAGTTCCATTACTGCTGTGCATGCGCGAAATGCTGAACGCTTGTTTGACCTCTTGCGCACCAATGGCGGGCTCTATCTCAAGATCGGACAGGCGATTGCCATGCAGTCTGCCATTCTGCCTCCGGAATTTCAAAGAATGTTTGCGCGCATGTTCGATGATGCTCCGCAGGATACGTGGAAGGACGTGGAAAAAGTGATCTGTGAGGATTTTGGGAAGTCTGTAGAGGAAACTTTCGGCGTGTCATTCACTGGTGATCCCGCGAAGGGTGTTATGGAGCGAAGGGCAAGAGCCAGCGCCAGCGTCGCGCAGGTGCATTGGGCTAGACTGCCGGACGGGAGAGAGGTTGCTGTTAAGATTCAGAAACGGGAGATCGCGCAGCAGGTGAAATGGGACTTGTGGGCATTCAAGTATGAGACTTGTCCCTTTTTTTTTTTTTTTTGAAAATGATGTTAATGCCGCTACGCTCAGCGCTGACTACAGTTTATAGGGTAGTTACGTGGGTTTATAGTCGCCTCTTCGACATTCCCTTCTACAGCCTCGTTCCCTATGTCAGCGAGCGCCTCTTCCTTGAGACGGACTTCGAAAATGAGGCAAATAATTCCGAGCGGATGGCGAAATTAGTTGCTGGAGATCCTCGACTGCGGGACCGAGTTTACATCCCCAAAGTCTACCGCGAACTCAGCTCCAAACGCGTCATGACGGCCGAATGGATTGAAGGGGTACGACTGTGGGATAGCAAAACCATCACCCGTCCCTGGCGAGGTGGTTGGCGTCAAGGCAGCCCTGGCTGCCATGGCACGCCTTTAGATCCCCCGGGTACAGAGGATCTGGTAGAAAAGGCCACCAAATATCCGGCCGCTGTTAACCTCAAGCCGGAACGCAACGAGTGGCGCGGCTGGAACAATCGGGGTGGTCTCGGTCTATCTCTGAAGGACGTCATGACAACCATGGTGGACCTTTTCTCGGCCCAGATATTCATCTGGGGGTTGGTCCATTGCGATCCCCATCCTGGCAACATTTTTATCCGTCGACAACCATCTGGTAAACCGGAGCTCGTCCTGATCGACCATGGTCTGTACATCCAAATGGACACAAAGTTCCGCCACCAATACGCGCAATTATGGAAAGCCCTCCTTGCCTTCGATAACAGCACAATCAACACGATCGTAAAAGAATGGGGCGTCAACAACGCCGACATCTTCGCCTCAGCAGTCCTCATGAAACCCTACCGAGGCGGTGACCTATCCACGCAAACCTCCCTCAGTGGCCTAAGCGAACACGAGGCCGCCCAGCGCCATTACGAAATCCAACGCAAGGCTCGAAAAGCTGTCCGCGACATCCTCGGCGATGAAACAAAATGGCCGAGAGAATTGATCTTCATCGGCCGCAATCTGCGCATCGTTCAGGCAAACAACCAGTACATGGGCTCGCCCGTCAATCGCATCAAACTAACAGGCCTGTGGGCCTCTCGCGCTCTCGTCGAATCCCCCGACTTGCCTTTACTCGAGAAGATAAGGAACTTTGGTCACCATCTCCTCTTCCGCTTTACGCTGTTCAGCAGTGATTTGTTTTTCTTGTTTACGAGGGTGAGACAGTTCTTCCATTGGGGTGGTGGGTTGGAGGATGAGATTGAGGCACAGATGCAAGAAATGGCCAAGTCGATGGGGGTTGAGTTGCAGTCGAATTTGTTTGAGGGTTGAACATTCCTCCCCTGGGTGGTGTGGGATTTCATACCTTGACAAGCTTTTGGATAACGTTATATTATTGCTGTGCAGTCTATGCCCTGGTCGTGAAGGGAATAAATAAGATGGAAATTCTTAAAACACTATATTTGTATCTATTATCAGATATAAAGGCAAGCAGCGGATGTTTACTCGCCAGCCCATCGCCAACCCACCGTCAATTCAGCTCAATTTGATTCAATAGAATAACTTCAGTCAGATCTTGTAGTACTTGGATTCTAAGATACAAACAAAATATACATGTTTGATCATAGCCATGTGATTGATAATATGTATATAGATAGACATAGACTAGAAAATACAAAGAGAATGTATGTATGTATAATGTATAGTGAAAGGCATGTAAAATGAACAAGTAAAATAAATAACCAAAGGAACGATTAGGGGGGGGCAGAAGAAAACAGGTGTATCAATAATAAATCGAACGGATACCAAAGGCAAGGGACCAAAAAGTATCTCAAATATGAAGTATGAAGTAGACAGAGAGCACTAAAACTGCTCTATCCCCCCAAACCCAGCAGGCCTCCACTCCTGTCCCGGATAAGCCGTGCTAGTCATGAGGATTTCCTCGCTCGAATCATCAGCAGAGATGGGTAATTCCACAGGTTCTGCGGAGGCATTGATGTGTCGAGCCTCGCCGCGCAAGATAGTATCGGGAACTGAGTTGGGACGGGCACCGACTTTCATACTTCGAATACTTGGTGCTGTGGCAGTAATGCCAGGAGCGGTGCTGGAGGATATAGATGCTCGGGGGGTGTGAAATTCATCCGAGACGACGGACGATGTTCGTCCGTGAAGGGAAGGTAAAGGAGACGGCGGGATCACAGGGGATTGTGTCTGATGCAGTGAGGGAATAGGAGAGGTACTTGCAGTAGATTGCTGTTGCTGGTGGTATTTAGCTTTGAAAAGTTCCCGAGAAACTAACGATGGACTGGTTGATGAAGGTGCATAATAGCCTCCTGGAGGTGGAGCTGTCCCTCGAAATGAACTGTTGGTGCCTAGCGAACTTGTCCCCTTATGGCGATAAGGATTAAATATGTCGTCCGGTGAGTACCAGATATGACTTGTCGGCGATGTATCGAGGTGAGGTGTTATCGGCGAGCCCGACATTCGCGGTGACTGGGAAGAAGACTGAGTGACTGGCGGTTCTAGGGATCTAACAGGCACCTTTTCTGTATCCCGGGTCCCTCCTGAGCGACGAAAGAGTCCCTGAGGAAGTTAGCAGAACTCTGAAAGGGGAGATCGGGAACTAAGAGCCTGGAGAATACTCACACTCAACTTGTTGCGTGTTCCCTTTTGTGACCCATCCGGCCCAGTGAGTTCTGATGACGGTCGACGGGGAATACCGATTTTTAATTTCTTCCATCTTGACATAGGAGTTTGAGATTGACTCGCCTGAGGAGGGTATGATGGTTTCCCTTCTACAGGCGAAGCTAGTCGAGAATTCTGTTTGGAATCAGGGACCAGTGCAGCAGGTTTCTCAGAATTCAACTGGGCACTGTCGGATCTCCTGTGAGTGCCCGGAAGAAGCGTATGTTGCGCATGTCTCGGAGTGGTCGGTCCAGGGCCTTGTTTGGGGTTGATACTGCTGCCTTCTAACGCTGGAGAGTCGCTAGAACGGTTCTGTTGACGTTGCTTACCGTCTCTAGGAATAATCTGGGTCCCGAGCTTGTCCAAATCAGAGGACATGCGTTCTGCGACTGCTTGCCCTCGTTGCAGGTGTTCATTCTGGGGGACAACTGAAACCGATGACACCCGAGATCGAACAGTTGAACTAAAGGAGCTCCTCTGTCGTATATCTTGCTCATGTTTCGACTGCACCAGGGAGCGATAAAAGCGGCTCCTTGGTGGCTTGACTGTTGTAATGGATTCTGTAGGTCTGTGTCTCTTGGCGTAATCAGGTACCGTGGCAGATGGGCGCTTAAAAGCATCGCTAGATTCGTCAGTGTTTTCTTCCGACTTAAGGGACAAGCTGTCATTGGGATGGTGAGCGGCATCTTGTCCAACGTTTGATCGTGTTGTATCTTGACTGCAAACGGGAGATACATCCATAGAACTACTTGAGACATCATGGGAATTCAAGTCCAGCGGAAGTGTCGACTCAGGCTTCTCCGCCTGAATAGGAGTGCTTTGGTCCGTGAAGTCACCCCCTCCTTCTTGGAGGTTTTCGATACTTTGAGCGGTGGCAGAGCTGGACGTTTCTGTAGAGTCATCCGCGATATCGTTGGTGGTGTTAGGTTCTGCTGCGTTTTGTTGGCTGTCGGCATGATGCGCAATGTTCGATTGCCTCTTGCTTGCTTCTGTAGCAGCAGATTTTTTGGAAGTCTCTTCTCCATATCCTCGATCAGACACAAGTTGGCAAGGGCCAGGATTATCTTTCTTAGTATGAAAAGTGTCCACCGGTTGCCCGTTTATTAATAGATTAACACGGTCTTCCATTGATTTCATCACCGTGACTTGGGCAAATTTGAAATCCACGCAAGCGTCATCTTCATTCTCAGAGGACACGTTGCTGTGAAGATCATTGTTACTCTCAAGATCCTCTTTGTCTTCGGGACAAGCAGCCTTAGAGTGTTCAAGGCTAATCTGTTTCTCAAGGGCGTTGTGCTCCCCCAGAACTTCCTGGTTCTCCAGATTATCCTCCCTTTCAGGCAACGCACCCTCTGGAGTGACACTGTCATCGAGACACTTGGCATTTTCCGAGTCCTCGCGCTTCTTGACATCACCATTCAGCCCCCCACTTCCTTGAAAATGCACACTCTCCCGGATGTTCGCATGGGGTTTCTGGTTTTCAATATCCCTACAAAACTCAAACCCCCATAGACCATTAAGACTCTCAGGGTGCTCAAGCTTCTCAGGATCCCCAAGGTTGACGCTGTCCTCAGAATCGCTATGTTCTGAAAGTTTGTCAAACTCCCCAAGATTCTTAGTTATTTGAAATCTCACTCGCTTCATGACTGCGTCGTGGGTTTCATGGTCCCCTTCATGGTGAGCGGTTTCAGTGTCTGCGGGTCCCTGAGCGGCTTCGCTCTTAGCAGGATCATTTTTAATGTGACTGATATCCAAATGAGGAGTAGCGAGGGAGTCATCAGATTCTGCTGGCTGAGGAAGCGGAAAATCTTGCGGTTGCTCGGACATCCTCAAATCGGCATCGCGCGAACGCCTGTATGGTTCTTGATCGTCTTCATTGTTATCTTCAGGCGAAGTCTTCACTGTTTCAGATAAATCAGAGCCGGAGGACTGCGGGGAAGCAGTACTTTTGACCTCCAACTGTCTATCTTCATCCAGATCCTGATTTCCTGTATCTTCTGGAAATCCATCATCACTCTTCGAAGCGAGGGATGGCACATTGTCAGCATCTGGTGGGATGTCGCGAAGAGACTGAGTAGAGACCAAGGACGACCTCGTCGAAGTTCCAGTACCACTAACACTAGAAAGATTCAAATGAGAGAAATCAGTCAAGGACGGCCTATAATTGTTCTCGCCTGACAAAATCCCTGGTGCAACCAATCCCTGCGACAATAAGTTGGTATCGTCCAGACGAAGAGCAGCGATCAATTCCCGCTCGAATTCAGATGAAAAGTCCAACGAAACGTCAGGATTCGCTGTTGATGGGTTCTCTTCGTGGCTACTTAGAGCTGTGGATAAGAACGATGATTCTTGACGCGTAGTGCTGACTGCTCGATCCTTTAGCTCTCGATTTTCGGTTTGTATGTCCTGCATCTGCAATTCTGCCGTGTCTTGTGAAAGAATTCCCCTTTCTCCTATTTCATTGGCAGGCGAATCAAGGTCACCGTTTACATTAATCTCCTGATGCTCTGCATTGTCAAGAGCAATTTCTAGATTCGGCGCCTCATCCGAACCAGACCCAGAACAATCTTCCGTATTACCGGGAAACTTCACCTTGGGCAGAGTGGCAAGGTCAATGGAAGTTCGCAATAGCGGGTTCTTATGATAGAGGACATCTGCATCTTCGATGGACGAAGAGAAGAAGCCTGGATGCGGTAAACTTCTGCGACGGCCAATTGCCCGCTTATAAACCTACAACATAATCACTAGATTAGAGAAAATCAAGATCCCGATAGAAAAAGGAGAAAGAAAAGAAACATGGAAGAAGTTCAGGAAAAGAAGAAGGAAAATATTTCATGCCAAAATCTCCGAAAGAGTGAACTGTCCATATACACCATAATACCAAAATCAAGACCAGTGAATGTGAGCTTGAGAACTCATCCAAAGCCATATTAGAACACCGTGCCCTGCCTATGGAAAAGCCGTAACATCCACAATGAGAAATCAAGGATCTACCTTATCTGTTCCCGCGTTGCGAAGTTTACTCCTGCCCTTAGCAAATAGTTCTTTGGCGGCACCACCAGCCTTACCACCTAAAAGCCCCGCTGTATGCAGGAACTCCTTACCTCGCTGAGAGCCGCGTTGAGAACCAAGTTGTCCGGAAGGCCGCTTATGAGAACCAGAACCGGGCAAGGAACTGTCTAAGTGAGATGCCAAGTTGCCCAGAGACGTCAGCTTAGGAAATTTGGCTTTGGACGAAAACTGCTTCTGATGGACACTCGCAAATTGCTGATTCTGTTCCACAATATCTGAATATTCCGGATGCGTCAGAATAATAGCTTCAACCCATTCATCAAGGCCGGTGTTGATAGAAGCAAACTGGTATCTAGTTCGATCGAAAGCACGGATCCGCTCCTGGGAGGACTTGATGCCGAGAATATCACGGAACCCTAAAAGGGGTAGGTCGGTCGCTGGCGGTGGTGGTAGTGATGGAAGTTGCGTTTGTTGATCCTTAGGTTCTTCACTGGGAATCTCGGGGGCCGGAGCATTTTCTACAGGCTCCAGCGGTTCAGGATGAAGAGGCAGTGATGTATGAGCAACGTTGTCTTCCATGGACAAAGGTGAAGCGGGTTCCTCGCCCTCAACGTTGTGATCATTGCCACCCGGATTTTGGGTAAGCGGAGATGTCACAGTAGCGTCTCTCACCACTAAATCCGTGTCAAACCCAGAATCCATTGGCGCGATTTCATGAGCCTGCAGGTCTGCTGAAGAAGTTTGGTAAAGAGAGTATTCTTGGTTTGGAGCGGCCAAATCCTCTGAACTTGACGATTCCCAAGAAAAACGTCTCTTCAACTTAGGTTGCGAAACTTTTTTCTCTGCTTCAATAGGGGAATAGACGTCCTCACCGGCTGCCAATACCTGCTCCTCGAGGGTGCCAGGAGAGGGCCCAGGGTGACTGGTCGAATACCTGGAATAGTCATCCGGCGAGAGCGTGTTCCCATCAGCAGTCCGCAACTGAGACTCATTATACTGCTGCTCTGAGTCCCTTGCTGGACTGTTTTCCCGGCTTAACGAAAGGATAATTTCTTCCCTCAGTCGATCATTGTCTGTGGCCTGCGGAGAGGTTTCGGTGCTCGCCGTTGAGACGATGGTAGGTAAGTTGCCGGCAGATAGCTGTCCAGTGTTTGGAGTAGGGATGTTGCTGAGGCGAAGAGGCGGGGGAAAATCATGCTTTGGTGAACCAGAACGGGGTTGTAGGGGGGCTTCTTGGGGAACGTCCTGTAACGATTCTATCTCCGGATGCTGTGGATTGTGCTCAAGGGGTTCTGAAGGGGACACAGAAGATAGTTCCGCCAGCGCTGACTGTGGAATTGGGTCACTGTCCCCACCATGAATCTCTGGCTTCCTTGAAGCGCTATTCTCCGAGCCAGGAAGGCTTAAGTCTCGACGATGGCCGGGCTTGAAAGCGAAATTTTGGTCTGTACCATTCTCAGACGTAGACACAGTTTCGCCGAGCTCCTCCATTATGGTAGGTGTCTTAGCTTCGTCTGGGCCACCCCTGCTCATTATAGGACTCACACCTATAGTACTGTCGCTGTCTGATCGCCCCAGAGTTTCGACTGTGGTACTTGGTGTTTCCGGAACGTCAAAGGCTTGATGAACGACCGAGCGGAATCCGAGGGAAGGATTGTGCTCTAGTGAAGTCTCCTGAGAATCTCCCAGGATATCCTCCTGGTGTTGTGGGCTACTGGTGAGAGTCTCGCTGGCGGTGGGTAATGGCTTGGTCTCCGAATCCCCATATGCTGCATGATCCTTCCGCTCAAACGGTGACGTTGACTGCTCTGCAGAGACCGGTTCAACAGTATTGTATAGATTGGAAGACGCATGGGTGTCGGCTACAGGATCAGAAGTGCGGAGATGTGGTGGTTCGAAGCTCAGCTCAGTGGCTTCCGAAGTTTGTTGTTTCTGCTTCTCTTCGAGCATTCTCTTATATATGTCTGCCGGGCGTACAAACGGAACATGCGAGGGATCGATTAACCTGCCGTCAGATGTTTGACTGCGAGCTGCAGGAGAAGGCCGTTGGACAGATCCAACCGCGTCCATTGTCATGGAACGGTCAAACCCATGGGGACGCCGTGGGACAGCAGGTAAAGATGAAGACGTTCCCACTGACATATGAGATGGTACAGGGGGAGATCCTACTTCTTCATCGTCATCATGATCGTATTCACCATATTCATCGTCACCCCAATCGTCCCCATCGTAGGAAATCTTCTTAGCCTCAACCCAACGTTTCGTCTTCATCCGGTTCACATTCGTCTTGAATGAAACCGGCTTCGGGCCATCCTGGCTATTCGGATCCGGTAGAAGACTGGGAAAACAATAACAGGACACACTTGTTAGCGATGGTGCATCGCATCATGATAGGCAATAATACAAAATAATGCAATAACGAGTCTGCATGCGAAACTTACACTCTCCCATCATATGTTTGCTGAAATGGACTAGCCATGACTGCGGCAATCTATGGAGCAGATATAACCAAAGGGCGTTGAGTGAATGAACTGCCAGCCTGCTTTGGAAGGCTATCTAAGAACTGGGGGTATAATAGGGCTGTGGGTCCCTGGATTAGATAGGACCAGGACCTTCGCGACACCTGGGAAGAGTGCTGAAGTTCCAACAGTAATGGGAAGACAACGGTCCTCGTAACAGAAGGGCCTCGTTGACGGCAGTCAGTAGGGAGAAGACAGCAGGGGATGCGCAGCCTCAGCCTTCCCCTGGCATTGCAGGGGATAAGTAAACGGCTTGTAGCCGCAGCTGAGGGGGAGCCAAAACTGTTGGTGCTTAAGTAAGCGCTAGACAGCGTGGCTGGTGCGGGGATGGCGGGTACGTCACGTGAAATAAGCCACGCCGCACCAGCCTCCCCCTTCGCGACGACAGCCTGCATACTACGTACTACATAGTACTACGGAATATACTACTACTGCTGTACGGCATCGTTTCTCTGGAGACGCTGTCTTCGTCTGCCTCACGTCAGTCATCGGTCATGCAGGGCTGTTTGCACTAATCCCAATCGCCCTTATTCCCTCTTAATCCGTGCGCAATTTGATACCCACTACTACGAATGTACCACGCCTTACTCCGTGCTCACCAACTGTCCTCCACCCTTGCAGCCGATTACGTCTCCACCTGCTTTCACTATATGTATATTTGTCCTCTCTAAGTCTACTCCTTGCGGAAGACTTGGTTGCCAGGTTGCCTTTTTATTTTTTCACCCTCGTTCTTCCTGTTAAGAATCAACCCATTCTCCTTCCCACGACCGCAATCTCGGATTCGCAACATGGCCGTATCAATACAAGACCGCACCAGTGAATTCGGAGCGATTTTAGGACACGCACAGAAACGCCTAGCATCCTCAAAAGTCGGGTCGCAACGCCAGGCATTGCTTTCAGACTTAGAACGAAGACAAGCGAATGGTTCTGCGGATGCTGCTGGTGGCAAGCGATCTAGGTCGGAGTTTGCGCGAAGAGCCGCCGAAATTGGCCGGGGGATAACTGCGACTACTGCAAAGTTGCAGAGGTTAGCAGAATGTAAGCGATTAGAGATAGGCTTTCCCCAATTGTGTTTGGATTGCTACTAACTGCACATAATAGTGGCAAAACGGAAAACGCTATTCGACGATAGACCTGTTGAGATCTCCGAATTGACATACGTAATTAAGCAGGATTTGGCGTCGCTAAACTCCCAGATTGCTTCGCTACAGGCTCTGACCCTTGCCAAACATCCAAAGTCGACTCGAGCCAAAACAGACCAAGAAGGAGAGCACAATGACAATGTATGCTGAATGCGAAAGATATGCCTTGATTACAGTGCTAACCATTCTACAGGTAGTCGTTATGCTTCAAGGGAAGCTGGCGGATGTCGGTTCGAATTTCAAAGAAGTCCTGGAGGTTCGCACAAAGAATATACAAGCTTCACGATCTAGAACAGAGAACTTTGTGTCATCCGTGTCATCGAAATCGCACGCAGCCCTTGATCCACAAAGATCCGACTCTCCCCTCTACAATACATCTGGTAGACGAACGCCTCAGCCAGGGTTTCAAAGCGGAGCATCGGATCTACTCACATTGGAGCCTACAAATCCATCGCCTCTTGGACGTCCATCGATCCACTCGGACCAACAGCTACTAGTCATGGAGGAAGCACAATCCAGCAACTCATATATCCAAGCGCGAGGGGAAGCTATCGATGCCATTGAACGAACTATTAGTGAGCTTGGTGGGATCTTCGGCCAGCTGGCTCAGATGGTTAGCGAGCAGTCGGAGATGATCCAACGGATCGATGCGAATACCGAAGATGTGGTGGACAACGTCGAAGGCGCTCAGCGTGAACTACTGAAATACTGGACAAGAGTGTCTAGTAATCGTTGGCTTGTGGCGAAAATGTTTGGAGTACTCATGGTACAGTACCAACTATCCTCTTGAATATACTTGAATATATGTCAATGTATACTGACCTGTGACAGATTTTCTTCCTTCTCTGGGTTTTAGTATCACCTTAAGGATCTCGATTCCTTTGCACCGCATAATACCCGTTCTCTTTGCCACTGTTGTTATATTTTCGACGTGGACTCGAAGAGTATGCACTTTCCTGAAATGTTCCACTTTACGGAGGCTAGATTTGCTGTTCTATGTTCTGTTTTTCGTTACTTTCCTTACACAAGGACCTTCTCAGCTGGCGAATGAATATGGTGATATAATGCGATGCAACAAGAATGCTCCTGGCAAGCCACTTGCTATTATTGCTTGCTATTGATTATGAAATTCCTTTATGGGCGGCAGCTTTTTCTCTTTACCTCTGTATATGTAATATAATGATATTGGAAATCCTGAAACCCGTGTCCAAAATGCGGGAACTCTCTACGCCCCGAACACTCGTGTAGTGGATAATCATGAGTAGTGCACATTATTGTAGGCGAATGTGCTCTATAGGCTATAGCCTCTTCTCCTCTTCAGTACTCAGATTCTATATTCCATATTCCGTATTATTCCCTACTCTGTACGTAGACGTCTAAATATAGACACGCAGCTGAGTTGTGCGCCAAGCCAGGAACAAACCTTCAAACAGAATCATAATCCCCATAATACGGTGCAATTAATAGTAGCTTATCTTTCCATAGCATGCATACCCTTGTCCCCAATCACAAACGGCATCTGTGGTGTCTTGGTCCAATGCTTAATGCATCTGGAATCGCCCAGTCGGGCCACGATAGCCATGGCTAAGCAGCGCCACAGAGAGAGATGGATGAGCAGTGAGCGGTCAATCCAACCCAACCCGCTGCGTTGTCAAATATCCCCGGGAGGCTGCGTTGGGTTAAGCAGAGCAAAGATGTGCTGTTTCTTTTCGATCATTATTCTCCCTAACCGGCCTGGTGATGCCCGTCTGGTTGTATTGTGTTGTGTTGCAAAGGACTAGCTTCTCCGACCATGCTTGCCTCCAAGCCAGTTTTCATGAACCTGCGAGCTGTCAGTTGTGAGTGGAGCTCAATCGCTATTGAACTATGGAATTTATCTATCCAGTGGATACATACATAATTGCCAGATGCAGTAACTATGTGCTCTGTACTGACAAACTACGGCGATGACAGCGAGCAAGCCTCAGGTGACACACCCGGAGTTAGTACGACAGTCTATAGCCGCCTCAGATGGTTGCAGCAATTTATCAGAACGGACTCTCAGTCCGAGCAGTCGCGGTTCCACGACTCAAAGATATACGACGCAGGTCACAGATCGGACACTTCGAACGCCCTCCCCTCTCGGCAATGGGATGCATACCTATATACTATCAGAGGAAGGCAGAGATTGGAATACAACTGCAGCTGCAACAAATGTGACAGTGCGTTTCCCATGGCAGAGAGTTGCCCAGCTCAGTTATATATCTGATACTGCGACCGATCCACGAGATTCGAGTGACTACGACGGGGGTACTCCTACGCCGGTGGACGATACACCGTATATTCGATTCGCGATTAGCCAATTGACGCGTGAAGACAGCGATGATGCCGACGAACGTGGAGGATGGAACGAGGGCTTAGATTATCCTGTGCGTCCAGCTGCCTCGGCGCAACAGCTTCTGCTACAGAGACCGGCTCAACGTTCAGCAGAAGCAGAGATGTCCGTCGTTGTAGATCCGCAAAAATACAGTGTGGTATATCTCCCTTCATCCTGCTGCCATGGACGCTGGGAATCATCGTCTTGTGCTCTCCGCTCATGATTACAGGTATCATGCTCTGCAACTTCCAGTACCAACGGAACCAGGGTCACTAGGGTTATAAAGACCTTGGCGGCTCGTGGTATTTCGTGGCTTAATTCCTTTCGCAAGTCCCGGCGACCATCATTACCATCTGCTTTGTGATCCAGGTTGCAGTACATTGCAAAACTCCCGCACGGTTCCATTTGTCGGTTGTTTATTTCAGGAGTACTTTGTCATTGATGATCCACTGCCTGCATTGCATTTGTTGAAGTTTGAACTGGGCTGATATGGGATCGCACCTGCTTGGCGGACGTCGTCCTAGCATCCAGTTGTCGAATATACTGCCTCTGCGCATTCTGACAAAACAGTTGGATCCCCGCGCGCTGCAACCATTTCGGGATTGGCCTTCAGCTACGGCGCTCCGGCAGAGAAAGGCCTGGCGCTCCTCCAAGGCCAGTGCACGGCGGCATAGATCTTATTTGCGAGCGTAGTATCGCAGTAACCCCTATACAGCGTCTCTCCTATGTATCTCTCACCGAGCTCCCATTGTGGGAGCCGAAAAGCGAAGCCGATTATCACTCGGCGACCGCAGTGCCGGGAGACAAAGAGCCGCCACGGTACGGAGTACGGGTTTGGGGATGTTATGTGGGGCGATGGCAAGAAGTATTCGGGGATAGACAGTTAATATCGTTGATTGTGGCGGATAGCGTGATAATGATAATGGCGTGGAAGTGTCCTGTGGGCATCTTATGAGTTATTAGTGTTGTATCTACTTCCAGTGTATGCTACTATTATGGAGTAGGATACGGGGGTAGAGACGAGGCAGGCTGTGTTCCACGGCACGAAAGACAAATGACACTGTAAACGCACCTTCATTTCAGACTATCACTTCCTTCGCCTTGCTTCTATTATACTTTAAACTTCCACTGGCTCGTGTTAATGAATATCTCTGGACAGCGCGCCGGTATGATTGGGAGAGGCTGCAGTGTAGCATCGGCAGCGAGATAAGACTTGCGTTTCAACTCTCAAGCAAGGAGAAGCAGGGAAGATTCACGGATCGATGTTTGACATTTAATAATGGCCCAAAAGCAGGCATTGGAGATGGATTAAATGCAAGGGAGATGCTCCACCGGTTGCAATGCAGTGGCTGTGACGGATTCCAACTCCAACTTCCATTCCCACTTCCCACTTCTCCTTCTCTACTCTAACTGACGTCTACTTCTCTCCTGTTCCTGTTCTTATTATTATTCCATCCATCTTACCTGTCACATCCCTATCGCTACTACTGCTACTCCTTTCCTGGCTTGCGCTCCTCGCCACTACCAGCCTCCTCCAAAGAAATGCCATCCCTGCCGTGCGTCTGTCCTTCATAAACGCTGCCGTCGACTGCGTACGCTCTGCATGCGCATACATGCCGCTATCTGCTCGCATGCATCTGTCGTGGCCTATGGTCTCCTCGTCTTAACCCGATCCGCTCTTTTCTCTTCTCTTCGTCCCTTCGCCTGAGGCGCTCTTCGTTCCCGCGGACGCCTCAGCCATGCTCCTCAAACCCGCGACCCCCCTCACCATCCTTCTCCTGGCTGCCTTCGCCTTGCTGCTTATCTCCGTCATTTCCACCCCTATTGTACGAGGCATTCCGCTGGCTGCCTACAAGAATTTCGATTATGGAGTCTTTGGCTATTGCAAGGGAAACCAATGCACCAATGCCCACGTTGGATACAGTACCAGTTCGTCTCTCCTTCCCTGCTTGTCTTCCTCGTCAATTGACCCCTTCTAGGTGATCTGGCATCCACCAGTGGCACCGATGACTTTGATCTCCCCTCGAATGCTCGAAAGTCGCTTTCGTCCATCTTGATCGTGCATCCCGTCGCGGCCTTTCTCACCTTTGTCTGCCTCTGTATGGCCGCAGCCGCCCATTTTCACGCCCCATCGCATTCGCCCCGTTTTCTCCTGGCGCTTCTTATCCTGCTCCTTCCCACACTCCTGGTAACTTTACTGGCGTTCCTGGTTGACATCCTGCTGTTCGTACCGCATCTGAGATGGGGTGGGTGGATCGTCCTTGCCGCCACCATCATCCTCGTGACATGTGGCGTGTTAACCTGTGCTATGCGTCGCACCCTGGTCAGTCGCAAGGCCAGGAAGAGGCGCATCGCTGAGAATGCGGAAATGAGTGGTGAGAACTACTACAATCGACAGCATGCCGCCGCTGCCGCCGCCGGTTTGACGACGGACAAGCCCGGAGGACCCATGTCCACAGACGTCAAGGAGAGCTTTATTACCACTTCTACTGCCGAATCCCTTCGTCCATCCACTCGCGGGAGCGATGATGAGCGTACTCCTCTCAATACCCGTACCACTCCTCCAGGTGACGCTCCCGATGTACCTCCCCTCCCCGGCCCTCGGTTTGCTCCCAATGGTTCTCCAACTGGACAACGCTATAATGGATCGGGAGACCAGGCCGCTAATCCTACCATTCCACCCGTTGCATATGGCCCCCCACCGGGAATGCGACAAATGCGTCCCGATCAACGCCCGCAAAACCATCGAGGTGCACCGTTAGGGCCCGGTCCTCGTGGCCGAGGAGGTTATCCCGTCAGAGGTGGCTATCCCCCCCGAGGTGGGTTTCCCTACAGAGGTGGTTATGGACGAGGAGGCCCCTACGGAGGGCCCAGAGGCCCACCTCCAAATGGCAGACCCATGCGAGGGGGTCCGATGCGAGGGTCGCGAAGACCACCACCGCCGCCCCTCGGCTACCCTCAAGGCCCTGGTGGTCTAGACCGTAGCGTCGATTCCTACGATTCCGGATCATTACCACCGGAGCATGGGCATAACCCCCACGGTCCGTCGTCGTCTGCCTTCCCAACACAGCATCCTCCGGATTCGCCGATCGGAATGGCCGTGCTACCTGATGAAGGACCCATTGGTCAAGCCATTGAAATGACACCGCAGACGAGAGAACCCGCCCCCTCGCGTAGTCTGTCTGTGAACGAGCGCCCGTTATCCCCTGAGAGCCCATCGAGCCTGTACAGTCGGTCAGAGTAAGTGAATTACGTTCATTAAGTTTCCTTGGTAAACTGGTGTCTAATTGTGTTTAGGGCTTATATTCCACCGCGAGATGGCTGGCGGCGAGATACGCCTTCTATTGCTGAAAGTGAACCATTGCAGATGAACTTTGGACCACCTCAGCGCACGGGTTCTAAACCGAACACCAACTATTATGAGGATTTAGACCCTCGTTTCATGGACAGGCAGGAACAAGGGCCCAGTTCTCCATTGCCATCCGCACTTGTCCCTGGTTCATCTGGTAAGATTTCTCCATGACTTCGTCCGATGAATCACTTGCTTACCTACTACTAGCAAAACCAGTCACTTCACCTCCATATCCGAATGCGCTATGAATGTGCTGGGCATCTTCTCTGATTGGGCATTATTTACCGCAACTAAAAACTTGCAACCCTAATGAAATTTCCTAAGAGTTTATAACCGCAACCCAGTGCTGGTATTGCCACGGGATGTGCACTTCTCCTCCCTCCCCCCTTTTCTCTCTTTTCTGGACTCTGGGGGCCTTTGAGATACCCTATCATGTCAATGTTTCATGCTGTCGGGCCTAAACACTAATTATTGCTTGCCTTCTCATGACTTCAGCTGGCATTTCGATGCCTCTTTTCTTTACGACTTTACTGCTTGGTTTGATCATATTTCGTTCCCGCGATGCTACCTTCCTTTTAACATGTCTCTTCTTTCCTGGCTTTACATAGAGGTGATCTTCCCTGTGTTGACTGCCTGTCAGAATCCTAGGCTGGCCATGGACCCTGCAGAACACGCGTCCTACAGTGCGTCAGGATGGTTCTTCATATACCTGGTTCGCTCTTTGGCCTGCTCCGAATTCGCGCATTTTAAGTACAGGTTTTAGAGTCTACTCTTTTTGTGGTTTGTTCTTGTCTGCACTTCATTATTGGTCCACCTTCGGCGTTCTCTCTTGTTATTTTACCTTTCCATTAATGTTTGTTGATGTCACTCCTCGGGAAATAATAGATGCGGTGGGCCCCGTATGTGTATACATGAACCAGGATACGTTAGTGACTATGGTTAATTGCACTGAGACGGGGACGGCCCCTTCTCTGGATGATATGATATCTCTTGGAAATGCGTTTTTTTTTTTCTCTCTCTCTGGCAATGTAGCAGAGCTGTAATACCTGATGCTGGATGCTGGACTGAGCAGTATGACGCGTAAAGCCACGTGACCCGCCGGATTCCACCTTCCCAACCTCCTGTTGATCGAACTTGATCTTCATCTTCATCTCCTTCCCCACGGAACGCGCAAGAGCTCCAGCTTCGTCTTGCATATCATTGTCCACTAATTTACGCTCTAGTGTAGAATTGCCTCTAGAGTCGGGGATTGAGCATGATGGTTGCTCCAGCAGAACCTCGCGCGCCAGGAGCATTCCCAGCTCCCAAAGCCTCATATATGAGCTCATACGGACCTGAATCCTGATCCACACAGCCAGGGGAGATCTGCGTCAATTGTCAGCTGCGATGGATGCTGCACATGCTAGGGAAATTGCTATCCACCGTGACTGACCATTTCCAGCCCAGCAGCCATGACTTCTCATTCTTTTTTGAATCAACTTCTCTTCTTTACCCATGTCTGGCCATTACACTTTGTATGATCATCTGTTATCTCTTGTCGTTTATTCTACTTCACAAGGTTTACTGACTGGCCTGCCGGTGTCTGTGGCCAGTCCTCGTTCCTTCGTGGATTGATATTCTTTCCTTCTCCGCTTTTTGGTACCTTCGGGTTCGCACATCATGCTGGTTCATCTTCCCTATTCGGGCTCCCTGCTTTTAATACTTGTAGTGTCAACATTTGCACTGCACGCCAGTCCCTGGGCCGGTTCCCGTGAACATGGCGGCTACCTGTCTCATCGCCACTCTCAGAGCCTACGATCGTAAGCACCCGTGTCGCGTATCAATACCCTGGCCTATGCAGTTACTAAAAACTTACCAAGGAGATCGCCTACTGACGTGAGCCCCAATAGTGATGCGACCACGAGTTCATCTCATCGGTTTTGGTACGAAGTCATCGCCCACAATGGTGAGGCCTCCTTCATGGACCCTTCCCAAAAGTCCAATTACAAGGTGTTCCGGAACGTCGTGGCCGATTTTAATGCCGACAACACCGGCCAGAGTGATGCGTCGGCAGCCATCCAGAAGGCCATCGACACCGGTGCTTCGAACGGACCGGGCCGCAACACCAAGAAACTTGGTACAACTAGTCAGCCGGCGGTAGTGTACATCCCCAGTGGCACCTATCTGCTGCGAAACAGCTTGCAGTTGTATCTCGGGACAGTTGTCGTGGGAGACCCCATAAACCCGCCTGTGCTCAAGGTGGCTTCAGGATTTTCCCCTGACTTCGTGGTCCGTGCCAAGGATCCCAACTATGGTGGTACAGATAACTTCTTTGTGGGGTTTAAGAATATAGTCATTGATTCCACCGATGTACATCCGGACCAGACGTTGACCCTCCTGGACTGGACCGTTAGTCAGGCGACGCAGTTGACGAATGTTTTTTTCAATATGCCGAATGACTCGACGGGGCATGTCGGCTTGAGCACATTGTCGGATTCGAATAGTAATTTGATCTTGGTGAGTTTTACCAATAAATCAGGATGGTAAATTTTGAGGCTGAGACCGTCTGCAGAATGATCTCCGATTCCATGGCGGACGCGTTGGTGTGGAACTTGCTGGACAGCAATGGGTCTTCAAGAACATGACGTTCAGCGGCACCGCCACCGGGGTTCTTGCCAGAGGGTTCGATTTGGTTTTCCTCGGATGCCATTGGGAAAACGGTCATTTCGGTATTAATGCTGAGTCTGTAACTGGGTCTCTAACGGTCATTGATTCTAGCGGGACGAACTTGGTCTCACTGCTCAAGTCTCCTGATTCCTCTACCTCAGGAAGCCCTATCATTCTCGAGAACATTCGCAATGATGGAACAACAGTCACTCTTGCTGATAAAAAAGCTCTAATTGGCGATGTCTTTGATACTTGGATTCACGGTGACCTGGTAAGTGTCGGTGCGAAATGCACTATGTGAGTAAACGCGGCTTACGAAAAGGCAGTACTACCCAGGCCACGGTTCTGGCAACCATGTCGATAGAAAAATAGTTCCTACAAAACGCAGCCCTTCCCTTCTCGGTGATGAGGGCCGCTATTTCACCATGCGCCCTCCAACCTACGAGGAGTACCCGGTCGACTTTTTCGTCAACGTCAAGGAGGTCCCGGAGTACCCTGTCCACGGCGACGGTGTAACGGATGATACGGTAAGCATCAATGCAATTTTGGCTGAAAACGCCGGCTGCAAGGTGGTTTATTTCCCTGCCGGCACGTATATTGTCACCGGAACTGTGTTCGTACCAGCTGGATCCCGCATTGTTGGAGATGCCTTCGCTTCCGTCATCAGCGCACTGGGCCCGAACTTTAAGAACGAAAATGTACCGGTCACCATGGTCCAGGTAGGAAATCCGGGAGATGTAGGCGTTGCGCAATTCAGCGACATGATGTTTACCGTGGCTGATATCCTGGAAGGATGTAAATTGGTATGTCTGAGTTTACGCCTCAAATTTATCTAGTCTTGGCCACTAGCAGGCTAATGTCGCAGGTCGAGATAAATATTGCTGGCTATAACCATGGTGACGTCGGCCTCTGGAACACGCACTTCCGTATCGGTGGCTCAAAAGGCTCCAAAGTCAGAACTGAGTGTGGTGGCTCACCGTCCTCCTGCAAGGCAGCCTGGGCCCTACTTCACCTAACTGCAACCTCGTCCACATATATTGAAAACATGTGGGGCTGGACCGCCGACCACGATCTCGAGCTCGACGGCCACGTGAAGCAGAACATCTCCACGGCCCGGGGTGCTCTCATTGAAGCCAGGGGAGGAACATGGTTGGTTGGAACTGGCTTTGAACACCATACGTTATATCAGTATAACTTTTACAAGGCATCGAATATCTTTGCGGCACTACAGCAGTCAGAGACTCCTTACTGGCAGGGTGTGGGGAGTCCGGATCTGGCACCAGCTCCATGGACTTCAGCGCTGATAGAGAGCGATCCTTCTTTCCAGAACTGCTACCCTGATGATAGTACATGCCGCATGGCCTGGTTCGAGCAGATCCAGGAATCGTCGAACCTGTTTCTGTACGGGGGTGGCGTATGGACCTTTTTCAACGCTAACGGAAATTGCCGTGGCTGGTGCCAAAAGAATGCGATCCGAGTAGCGAATGCGAAGGATGTATACTTGTACGGCACCAACACACATAATATTGCCAACATGATATTGGAGGGGCCTGTGGTGGTTGCACCGGCTGATCGGCACGCTGGTGGTTGGGGAGGTGTGATTGCAGGGATGTTCCTTGGTTGATTCTGTTGGTGGCCTTGTGTATTCGTATAGTGTATAAAATAGAGCAGACGCAGCATAGCAAATGAATGGTAATAGGCATGTGCATGAATACTGTCTCATCCAAGTAATGTATCTAAAGCGTAGGAAGTGCAGGAAACGATATCTATATGTATTAAGCAGGAGCAATTGTCTTAACTGCAAATTATTCTAAACATGACAGCTATGTCACAGTTGCTGGTTCCGGATCGTCAATGCAAAGGCAGACGCAGCGACAGAGCAGGCAAGGGAGATGACTTGTATCATCAGCATGAGATAAAAAGGACAGGGGCATTCCAACTTACTATGGGTGCGTTTCAGACCATCAGCATAGCATGAGACGACGACCTCCTTTACATGGCCCGTCAAGCCAGAGATATAATGTACATTAGAAGTAACCTTGTGGATGAACTGTGCAGAAAAGTCAGCTGAGTTCATATAAGCATAGTTTAATATCACTAAAAAAAAAGAGGTATATACCTGGTCAGCTCCATCACCAGTAAACTCCCTCTCGAGAGCTCTCCTAAATCCCGCATCGAGAGCAGCATTGCTAACAGTGATACCGGAGGAGATACCGAGATTAGTAAACAGAAACAGACCCCCCGTGGCCATAGCCATATATTTAGCATCTAGCATGGAAGTCATGCTAACGAAGACACTAGCCTGTGCCATTCCCATGCCCATACCGCCGGGAATGATGTAGAGAGATTCCCAGAACGACGTGTGTCCGTTCCAACTGAAGAAAATGAGGATGTACGTTACAGAAGCGACGAGGCCGGCGCTGACAGCTAGGGCCTTGAAACGGCCGGTGCGCTTGATGGTTGCACCGGTTGCTAGGCCGGCGAGAGCGTTCCCCACGACAGCGGGGACAAGATGGGCGCCTGCGACGGAAGTGGAGGCGGAGGAGGTCACTTGGAAGTAGAGCGGGATGCAGTACATCATGCTGATCTGTGCGATGCCCTGGAGGGTCATGACGAGGTAGCTGGGGAGGACGTTTGGTTGGCGGAGGATACGGAGGGCGAAGAGGGGTTCTGGGGCGATGTAGGCTTCGACAAGGATGAAGGCAATGAAGAAGATTATTGCCGTTGTCAGGAGGGATATGGATATTGGGGCTGTCCATGGGAACTTGTTGCCTCCGGCGTCGAGGAGGAGGATTATTGCTGATGTCGAGAGAGCAAGGCAAGTCATGCCGAGGAAGTCGATGCGTTTGAATTTTGATCTGGTGGGATTGTTGTTACTATTGGCATTGATATCGTCATCATCATTGTGCTCTGTAGGTTTTGAGGCTGGAGGTATTGTTAACTTCAGCTTCAGTCCGGTGAGGAGCATGGAGATCCAGAAGAAAGGCGCTTGGATAAGAAATAGCCTGGTTGATGTTAGGGCTGTTGCTACTTTGTATATATAGGTACCTTTATAGATGTGCAGTACTTACCATCTCCACCCAATTGAATCTGTCAGCCATCCTCCTGCCGGTCCTCCAAGGCTGCGGCCAAGTGTCATTGCGATGTTGATATATGCTCTCCATGATGCAATTTCTCTCTTCGGGACGAGATCTAAATACTGACGTTAGCTTATACCGCTATAAGGAGAACAAAAGCAACAATTCCATACCGGTGACGATCACTGAACCCACCGTTATCAACCCAGCTCCGCCAATCCCACTGATGGCTCTCCCTAGGATAACCTGCCATATTTCCCTGGCAAAGGCACTGTTGTGTTGCTCAGCAATGTCCAGAAAGTGAAACACCGGTTTCATTGAATACGCAGCATACCCAATAACACATCCCACGCTGAAAAGAAAGTACGCCATCAACAGGACAGGCTTTCGGCCATAAATATCGCTGAGCTTTCCATACTGCACACACATAGGGATCGATTTAGGTACCGCCGTGAGCCCTCAGTTCCGAAGAAATCCCAGCATGGATTGTGCTTACCACGGGCTGGGCCAGACAAACACCAAGGGAATATGAAGTTGAGAGCCAGTTTGCATCTTCAAGACTGGCAAATTCGGAAGAAATCTTCCCCGCTGAAGCAAAGACAATAGTAGTATCTGCATTGGCCATGAATTCGCCTGATATTGTCGCTCTGGTTAGCAGGGATGTCCCCAATTGCGGTTACCCAGCACAATCCAAAGAAGTCCAACCTACCAAGTAGCAAGACCGAGATGACACCCTTGATGCCTCCTTTCAGGAGGTCTGCATCCTGATGGGATACACCCACCAAGTCTGGAGATATAAGGGCCGTCTCTTCATCCTCGGTTATGTCGTCTGTCATTTTGGTCGACGAGAACGTCGTCGAAGACTGCGCGTCAAAGGCTTGATAAGACGGCAACTTTCTCACGGAAGATGGCATATTCCGACCCACCCTTAGAGGAGTCGATTCATCGGCCTTGATTGACGCTGCAGGAGAAGCAGTCATTGTCACCCGCAATGGTCGAATGTGCCTTGTCCTGGCAGACAGGCAGAGAGAATGATCGAACCAAGAGGGACAGGCGGTTCCGTGTCATCCTCAATTCCAGGAAGAAAGAGAGGGAAAGAGGACGTGGAGAGAAAAGATAAGAAAGGCCGAAATTGCATCATCTGCACTCCGAAGTCGTGATTCTTCTTCTTTTGACCATCCTCTTGCATTGCTCTGTCATAATGTCGAGAAAGAATCTCGCACGGATTCCCCCAGTAAAGCAGCCACCAGCTTGGTCATCTTGAGTCTTCTGAGGGATCCTGGTAATAACAACAAGGACACTATATCCATGTTGCAATGGATGGTTTGTCATGCTGGAGATGCGAGGATGCAGGTCACATGACTGTCAGATTGCCGCCGTTTTCGTTTCGCATCTTCAAGTTGTAACATATTGTACATTGTACACTTAACATCTCTCCAAGGATTCGTTTGCCATGCTTTCGTTTTTGGGCTGGGGATCGAAACCCCCATCTCCAAGCCAAACGCCATCTGATGATGCCCCGAAGAACGATGACCAACAACACCCACCAACAGACACAGACATTCCTCCCACACCTGCTACTACTACCTCTCCAACACCAATAATAAACAGAAACCTCAAACTCCTCTACGGCGGCCTAACCTTCTTCGCTCTCTCCCTCCTGGTAACCCGCCGCGCCACCAGGAGCCGTATCCTCGCTTCCATCCCGCCTTACTACACCTCCTCGGTGTACCATAAACCATTTGAGAATGTGTCAAGTGCAACGGATGCAGTGGAAGCACTCAGTCTGGCTACTCTCAATGTCCTGTCTTTCTCAATGGCTCTCTCGGGGGGTGTTCTGTATGCACTGGATATCAATAATGTGGAAGATCTGAGGAGGATTTCTATGCAGACTTTTGCGGGTGGTATTAGTACGCCTGGGAAGGGCCAGTCGGATGAGGAGTTAGAGGAGATTGAGGCTTGGGTTGTTACAATACTTGGGAAGAAGGCTGAACGGGAGTTTCAGAAAGAGAAAGAACGGTTACAGACCGTGAGCAAGGAAGGTGATGGTCAAAATAACGGGGCCAGGACTTGATTTTCTTCTATTGCCCATTGTTCAACCGATCCCCGACGAGGAATCGACTGGTTTTGTATGAAATTATCTGTTTCATAAGGCGTACGGTGCTTCCTGGTTGATGGACTGCATCTGGAATCATAAATATACTCTCCACTCAAGCTGGTCCACTTTTCCTACTATGGCACGGTCTGTTGCAGCGCATCATACAGCTCTTTCCAATTTCCTGACAATGAAATAAGGGTCGGCAAGCTTCCATTTCGACAATATGGTATTTGCAGTGTACACATTACGTCACGCATTCAAGCCATCCGCCCATACCTTTCTCTGGCCGTCTGTTTCGTCTTCTCCAAGAATTCATCATACCGGTTTCTTGTATTCCGTCCTGCCTCCTCAACCGCATCTCCCAATTTGCTTCCCTCGGCCCCCAGACCCACGCCTTGCGCGTAAACCTCGGTGGGGATTGGAGCAGTAACACCAGTCCCTTGTGCTCCCAATGCCGTGCCTGCGGACCAACCCATCTTGCTAAGAAGTGAAGCTCCCTTGGATGATGTCTGGACTGGAGGTTCATCCTCTTTCGCCGGGGCTGCCTTTTTGGCCTTGGCTGTCGTTTTAGAACTGCCAAATGCCTGGCGTCTCTCCTTCGCACGATCCCGGTACTCTGTTGAAGTCTGCTGGATAATACCATGTTTCGCAAGTTTTCCCATGGCTTTAATCTTCAATTCTTCATTCTGCAGGTTTTCCCGATGTAACTGGCTGAGGCGTTCATGTCTGTTGACTTCCGCCGAGCTCTTAAATTGGCGCATGCAGAGATAACAACAGTTGCGGTTCAGGTCAGCGTACGATTGAGCCGGGGGTGCCGTTGAATTCACGGGCGAGAGTCCCCTCTCAGGAGCAACAATTGCTGGCGCATCTGTAGTTTTCTTCTCGTTCCCAGCCTTCTGAATGCCGTGAAGTTCAGCATGGCGATTGCTCCAAAATTGTAGATGCGCGGGCATTGCAAGCTTCTTAGCGCCATTTCCAACTGCAGCATCCGCTTTTCTTTTCTTAGCCTTCTCTGTCTCTTTACCGCCTTTCATCTGGCTTTCTGTGATCGGGTCCTTCGATTGTCCCTGATTCTTCTCTGGCTCCTCGGATGATAGCATGAGTTCCGTGACATACGCATCCTCGTCCCAATACATAAGTTTGAGATGGGGGTTGTTCAGAGGACTGAACGTGAACCGGTCCATGCTGGCTGTCGGATTCATCACAGGGACAAATACTCCAGCATGTATGTAGCTGACCAGGACCGGCTTTGACGAGATTGTGAATTTCTCGAAGGAATTCAGTCTCGCCATGGCGGCTTGCGCATCCTGGATGATGTTAGCTCGGAAGAGAGACACGAGAGCAGGAAAATTGATGTAATGAAGAGGATTTTGGAAATACCTGAACAGTATCAAATTCAGCAAAACCATAGCGCCAACTTTCGTTGCTCTTGCGGTCTCGCACAAGCAAGACTCGGCGGATAGAGCCGTCCCGTGCCCCCAAATTGGAATCACCTGTTGTGGAAGCTACTTTGGCCCCTTTCTTTTGATTACCAGATGTACCATCGGCATGGGTATTCGATGCTGGCCGGTACAACTTAGCAACACCTTTTGCTAGCAATTCCTCTGTAACAGAAAGTTCGAGCCCTCTGAACAGGAGAAACTGAGATGGCTGGTTCTCTGATGCGGCATCATTGTCGCCATTATTATCTACCTTGGGAGCAGGAGCACCAGGAGGGCCGACAGGGCCGGATTCTGCTGCCAAGAATTAGAAAGGGAAGAAGCAGATAACCACAGAAGAAGAAATACCTGGCCGGGGTGTTTGACAGCGAAAACACTTTTGACGGGTCGAATAGTTGACAATGGCACACTGGCAAAAGTTATTAGCCAGCGGTATGTTCTTCGCCAGACAGAATCAGACTTACGACTTTGCAGACCCAGTCGCCTTCGGATTTTGTTCGGGCTCTATCCTCTCGTTCACGGCTGTATGCAATCCGGACTCTGCGACGGCCGGGGCCAGTAGGATTTGGCCCGTGAAAGTAGATAAACGGGTGGTTGGGTTCCAAGAAGGCACGCGAATCACTGATGCTTCGGAATCGAAGAAATCCCAGTTGTCGCGATTTCTCTGTAAATCGTTAGTTGACTTGTAAAAGAGCATGAATTTCAAAAGGGCACCAAGCATACTAGTCTGCCGATCACGGATGACTCGAACCTCTTCAAGTCCTTCGATGTGGTAATACTGTACAAGTTCATTCGAAATCTGTTCAACACATGAACCGGGGAAGTCCCGGTGACATGCACGTCTCAGCATCTTGACATCAAGAACGGTTGGGTGTGAAGCGCAGCTGAATAAGCTAGTGCAGTGATTGAGGAGAGGAAGGATGGCCCAACGTCTTCTTCCGCCATCTCCACCGGCAATCCGTCCATCATAACCTCTCTGCTTTCCTGGCCATAGTTTCGACCTCGCCGGAGGCTGCGACTGCGACTGCGGCTGCGGCTATCATATGGCGGCGAGCGATAGCCCTCGCGATCGCGATCTCTGTACGCAGGTCTTCCTCGTCTGTGCTGCGGAGGAGACTTCGACGGCCTCCGACGATAGTCATCTCGGTCTCGACTTCTGAAGCGTCGTCTAGAATCTCGGTCCCTGGAATAGTCGCGTCTTCTGTTCGAAGTAGGTCCTTGAGAGCGCTCACGGTCTTTGTGTGCCAAAGAAAACCAGACGTATAATCAGTAAAGTGTCAAACTAGAAATATGTCCCGCCTCTCAAAATATATCCACGGTCAAAAGATCATTGCTACCATGTAGGGAGGAGCGTATACCGCCAGGCGAGCCGTGCCTGCGATCTGCAGCAGAACGCGATCGGGAGCGGGAGCGAGAGCGGTCGTCGTACATGCTGCCGTCTCTGTTGTATGAACCGGAACCCATGGGATATCTATGACCCTCCGGGCTGAGATGTGACATGATGGATAGAATAAATAAATAGCTTGGTTGGACAAGAAGTTGCAGAAGAGAAGATCCGGAGTTAAGGAGGAGACAAAGTCGTTCTTCTGGAGGCGGCAGGCGGCGGCATAATAGCCTGTTTCCATTCACCGCCTTCGATTGCCCAAAAAGAGCAAATGACTCGAATGTCCAGAGACACTTTAAGTATCAGTACCTACATGGATATGCTATAGGACCAATGTCGTTCGGATACTCCTAAGGCCGCCGTGGGGGATTGTGGTATTGGCCACGGGCTACCTGGTGAGCAGCTGTGCCCTAATTATTTACTGTATCCGTATAAGAGCACTTGGAAAGCCACAAGATGGCATTGCGCACACCATCAGAGCTCGGAATGGATAGACAAATCTCAAGAGTACGCAGCTCTAGTCGCGTATTAATAATATTTTGTTTGTTGCATGGGGTTCATCAGTTTCTAATAGTGTGTACCACAGTGACTGCGATTCTAAATAGATGTGGAGAACTGAAGAGATAGCATATACCCCTCGCCGAAGAACCCCTCAACTCAACACAGTAACACAGACCGGACAAGCACAAGGACAAGGACAAGCCAACTCGAAATGTCCTCCCAAAAACAGACACCATCGGAACAGCCATACAACGAAACACAGTCTTTAACCCCAATCCCCGCCCACCTAAACCCCCAGACCTACCCACGAACGCTCCAGGACGCCACGAAAAACATTCACCTAGAACTCACCTATGACGTACTAGACCCTACAAAAACACTATCCCAGATATCCTCCCCATCAGCAGGTGCCAATATCCTTTTCGTCGGCACAACGCGCAACAGCTTTGAAGGCCGACCTGTCAAACTCCTTAGCTACACGAGCTATGCGCCGCTGGCGCTGAAGACACTGCTCCGGATCGCGGAGGACGCGGTATCCAAGTTTGGGTTGCTGGGAATTAGCATTTCACATCGGTTGGGGGTTGTGCCGGTTTGTGAGGCTTCGATTGTGGTGGGTGTTAGTTCGGAGCATCGTGGGCCTGGGTGGAGGGCTGGGGAGGAGGTTTTGGAGGTTGTTAAGGAGAAGGTGGAGATTTGGAAGAAGGAGGTCTTTGAAGGTAGGGATGGAGATGGAAACGGAGATTGGAATGGCGAAGGTGAAGGTGAGAAAGGTGTGTGGAGAGCGAACCGGGATAGAGATGCTCATGGTCGGTTGGTTTTGCAGAGAATAACATAGCTGCAGAGACAGGGGCAGGAGGGCAGAGCGCACCGGGTTACTGCTATAGAGTATAAACACACATCTTCCATAATAGCACATCAGAATATCCATACCGTCCAACTATATCAAATGCCGCAGCTAGAGTAAGTAGGGTATTCGCTATAATACAGCCAGATTCTTTTTGTCCTTAACGCACATTACCATTACCTTCTGATCCGCAGCATCATTTTGTGTTCAATGGTTTGCCCTCTCTCTTCCAATCATTGATATGCTCCATAATTGTTCCCGTCGCCGTTTCGGGAGTATCCTGCCGGCCGATACACTCCACGAAGTCACCATCGGGATCTACAACCACTCGCACGGTCAGATCAGGGCATGTTTAACAGTGCATTCATCGGAAGCAAGAAGAATGGACTCACCCATCAAATAAAAGTAAATACTGTGATCCACCAAATAATCCTCGCCGGGCTTCACGTCCCGCGGAGTGCTGAAATAGACCCGATACTGCTTGCACACATGCTTAATCTGATCATACGTCCCCGTCAACCCAATGATATCCGGATGGAATTCTTTCAGGTAGGCCTTGAGAACCTCGGGGGTATCTCGAAGCGGATCACAAGTGATGAAAACCGGTAGGAAGATATTCTGTCCCTTCGTCGCCTCCTTGACCTTATCAATTACGTCGGCCATTTTGTCAAGCTCATCGGGGCAAATATCCGGGCAGTGTGTGAATCCGAAGTAAACCTTACCAAATGAATAATAACATCAGCAAAAGAAGCGCACAAGCAGAAAGAAGGAAGGGACAAAAGAAATGGCTTACAAAGCTATACTTCCCCCTCAGATCCTGCTCCGTAAACTCCTTTCCTTCCAAATCCTTTAACACAAATGGGCCCCCAACCTTGGGCTTCCCAACCCCCTTGCTCAGCTCCGCAATTCGCTTCCTCTCCAACCTCGCTTTCTCATGTCGAAAATACACTATCATCCCAGCACCAGTCAGTACGAGGAGAACTGCCGCTTTCCATGAGAAAGGTCCGTTGGAGTAGCGCGATTTCAGCTGGCCCATTGTCTTCGATCGGGGACGGGGAGGAGTCGTTGAAAAGGTACGATGCCTGATATTGACTTCGGCATTTACATTGGTATTGAGCGCTGGACGCGGTTGAAATTTCCTAGAGAGCAGAATAGAAGATGCTCTTCTTGGTGTCTGTGCAGAAGTTTTTATATTTCTGCATTGCGAACGCGGGATGGATCGGAGGGTTTGGGGGACGCTGTACTCAAATGGGAAGCAGGATGCTCGGCCTGCAGCTCGGGAGATGAGTTTTATTGATGAGGCCATTGTTGGTCATGAATTGGATGGTGAGGAATATGGTTGATGGGGGTGGTTGATTGAATTGAAGATCTACAGCATACTCCAGATTGCATGCACCTATACTTCGGATCAGATGCTTGCACCGTCACATGACTTTCCGCCCTGGGACATCAGAGGAAATCAACAACGCTGTGCAATGCTGGATGCTATATGCTGCATGAGGTAGAGTAGACTATCATGTTATGCTCTTGTTTTGTCATTTTTTATCTCGATTAAATTCTAGTAGTGAGAACTTCATGTCTAAAATTACATTACTCGACCATCTCAGAGCCCGGTATGCTTAACTCCGTGTCAACCCTGGATGATGGCCACATGACTATTAATTTCTCAGAGAGAAAAGTATGAAAAGTGAAAAGCAATGAATAAAAATGCAGAGAGAGATAACAGAGGAAAGAGTATTTGAAACGGTGCAGAAGGGAATCACAAAATGAAAAGAGGGGGAATAACACGAATCGACATCACGCTACTGTAGTTAAGATATGCATCACCTGTTGGTTCATGAGATGCATGGTTGCATTGGAGGGAAGACGGACGAAAAAGGAAAAGCAGAATCACCATGCCGAAGCTTTTTGATATCACTGAGCCAGACGGAAATATCATGCGGGTAAGATTCCAAGGAAAAGAAGATCTCTCAGTTTAGCGCTCATTGTACGCTCCGGCTTGCTAAACTAGCACGACTAGGAGTCGTCCGGCTGGGCTCATCCTCCTCAAGAACGTCACTAAGCCGTGTAGGGTGCCGATGACGAGGAGTCACGGACTCCCATTCGGAGCCCCAGCCAGAGCCACTGTAATCGACAGGGCCTGAGCTATAGCCTGGGTACAGTGGGCCAGAGGACGGTGCCATTGAGCCTGACACATACCCACCGCTACTCACGTAGGGACCTTCACCCGAGGCATAGTCATCGCTTTCATCCGATAAGGTGGGCGGATAGACGATATGACGACCATAGCGAGCGTATTCCTCCTCGCTCGGCTCGCTACTTGCGCCGCTGGGTTCGCCAAGTTCTGATGTAGCAGGACCAGGATGGCCAGCAGAGTGCTCCTGCCGGTAGAAATGACTGGGTTGGGGCTCGGCTGCACTCGATGTAGGCGGCTTTTCCTCCGAAAAGGGATCTGTCTCTGTGGATGACGAAGACCTTTCTTCGTAGTATTCACCGCCTCCCCTCGGGTCAGCCACCCTCGATGCGCCTTGGCCTTGACCACCCATTGCTGACGCGCTGGGGCCGCCGGGATAGGGTCCTTCGCGTGTCGGTGGACGATTTCCAGTGTTAAGCCGACTCGGAAATCCTTGAATCATGGGCACCACCTGTACGCCTCCGACCAAGGTGGGCTCTCCATTTCTCAAGGATTGGGTTCGATCGCGTTCCTCCTGTTCACGGCGACCAAGCTCTTCCCATGCCCGGCGGGCTTCCTCCTTTGAGATCTGAAGCTCACGGCGCATTTCCTTGAGAAGTTCTTCGTTTCTTTTCTTTTCGCTCTCGGCTCTCTGCCACGAGTTCAAGGCATCTGCGCGCGCCTGCTGTTCAGATTTCAACTGCCTTTCTAGCTCTGCCTGGACCTCCTTGGCTCTCTCCTGCTCTGCACGGGTGTCGAAGAACCAACGCTGAAATTTACGTTCGGACGACGCGCGCAAGCGTTGAAGTTCCACCACCGCATGAAAGAGGTTTGCTCCGGCGGCGGAGAGGTCTGTGATCTGACGCGCCATTTGTTGGTTAAGAGGGTCGTTATTGAGCGTCTCTCCATTCTGTTCGAGCTTACGAATCCAATAACTGGTGAGACCCTCCCAGTGTGAAGACAAAGATTCCCATCGCTCGAACGCATGGGGGAACGTAGATCGGCGCTGCTGTTGGGGCTGGCTGGATGGTGGAGCCTGCAATTGCTGTGTTTGAGCTCCAGTATCGGATGGGACGCCTTGTGATCGAGCCTGTTGTGCGCCTGCAGCAGCGGTCACATTCTGTCGAAGACCAGGAGAGGCCCCCAGTGTAGCTCCAGCCTCTTGTTGCTGTTGTTCTGGCTCCACTGGAGGTCTAGAAATCGATACCTTTCGCTGTGCGGTTGTGTCGACGGCAGCACCGGGGGCATATTGCTGAGTTGGAACCTGCGTCTGTTGGGATTGCCGGCGTCTGCGTTCAACAGCCTCCTGTTCTCTATCCCTTGCCTCTTGCTCCGCCTTTTTGCGAGCCTCTCGATCCCGACGCTGTCTCATGATATCTGTTGGGGTTCTCACGCCGCTATTTGGCTGGTGACTCTGAACGGGTACAGGACCTTGAGCCGCACGGATCGTCCCATTCTGAGTACGACCACTGCTTCCAAGCATAGGACCCGTACCACCAACCAAGTCTGACATGGAAGCATTCAATTCGTCCCAATCGGGTGTAAATGGGAATGGTTTTCGGATACCTTCCTCTAGAACCCAAAGGATGGCAGACGATGTCCGTGAAGAGACACCTCTTGTCCTTTGGGGCCAGTAGGACTGGTCGAGCAGCTGGTAGGGATCGTCGACCGTGGATTCTTCCCCTTCAGTGTGCGCATCAGACAAGGCGGGAGGCAACGCGGCGATCCCACCCGGGGTAACTGGGGTCGGGTTGGCTGGGTGGGTTGGGACTCGGGGGCGTTGTCCTTCTGACTGCCTGTTCTGGTAGTGCAGAGCGTTTGCAGAAGCAGCCCGTCGATGGGACGATGGTCGGTCTTCCTCCTGTCGGTGAGAGCGTCTCAATAACCGACGCGCCGTGCCCAAGGCTGACGAGGGGCGACGCGACAAGTACACAGGGGCACAAGTAGCGGGATCGCAAGCAGCCTGCTGCTGGCGCTGCCGCAAGCGGGTCGTAAATGATGTCGGAGGGTCGTGAACTTCGTAGGCTTCGTTAGACGCGCTGCGGGCGTTGAGAGGCACTGTTGCAGATGGCGAATACCACCGGGGGCAGCTGGGGCACAGTGCAGTATGGTCGAAGAAAGGCGTATATATGGTTGTCGCGTTCTGAGAACTAGCTCTGGATGTGAGGGATCCCCGTCAGATCGATTGAGAACCCGACGAGAGCGGGAGGCAAGGTCGGACGACAGGTAATACTCCGTAGAGACGTGGGTATCCAGGGAGGAAGGAAGGGACAGCACAGAGGGCTCCGCACGAAGAAGTGTAGGAGATTCAGGATTTCGTAGAGAAAGACATACAGACGGGCAGAGACGGCGGCCCTAGAGAATCTAGGGGTGACGAAAACAAGGGCGGTGATAAATGGTGGCTGGTCGAATGGACAGAGTAAACGACTATTAAATGGGATGGCTGGGCCAGTTGGCCGGCAGGGATGACGGGGCAGCTGCGGAGAACGGCCACGAGCAGGGAAACACGCCCGCAGGAGTCATTGATGCCGCGACCGATTGCAATGGTCCGATGGATTGAAATGAGTAGGGATAGGGAGAGGGAGAGCAGGGAGTGACGGTGATCGTAGGTGGGCCGAAGCGAGCTGAAGGTGAAGCTTATGAAGATGCCCGTCAACCCGTTTTCATCCATCCTTTTGGGCCTCGTTGGGCGACGAGGGCAATGTACAGCTGTCTGTTGTTTCATTCATGTCTTTGCGAGGATGGTCCACTTGTTCGTTTGCATTTTCATCCTATTTTTCCATGGATGTTGGGGCGTTTCCACCTGCTGGACCCTGGTATACCGTTAGTATCATTCCGCGTGGATAGAGGACAGGCTGCTTCTCTACGCATACCGCATATCATGGTTGAACAGGGTGAAGGCAGAAAGAGAGAGAAAGACAGAGGGGAAGAGGCAAAGGTGGATGGGTAGCATGAATGAAGGGATCGTTACTTCAGAGGCGTCTATCGTCGTCGTAGAATTGCATTTGCTGTCACTCTACTCCAGTCCTATTATTATATTATACTGCTTGATTCTTGGAGGTCAACCACCTCCACTCCCCCATGAACAAACACATCTTAAGAGAGATGGACACTATTGCAGGAGCATCGCCAGAAACCAACTTTACTCCAGTCGACGCATCGAGTTTTCAGCTCCGCCACTGCTGCGTCCATTAAGCCAGGGATAAACACTCCTTGCTGCTCAGGCGAGTGTTTGCCGTCTCATCCACTCAATGAGACATCACCTCGTTTGAATCCCCCCTCTCTCTGTCTGTCTGTCTTCTGGGCTAACGCCACTGCTTCTTCATCCAGCAGGGCTGTTCTTTTACTAGGTATTCCATCAGAGCATCGTCCCCATACTCTGGATAGATTGGCGATAGTATCTGAACAATTCAACATCCGTTTAATACTATGATACTCCCCAGGCAGTGGCGTAAGGGGGAATTCTGAATAGATTCGGAATAAAATGCCGGCTTAGGCAGACTGAAATCAAGTTTGGAAAATGCAAGTCGCTCTGCAAGGCTGTCAGACGCCGTTTATCTCGGAGGAAAAAAAATAAATAAATAAAAGAAGGAAAATAAACAGGTCCAGTTATCCTTATGCTGCCAATTGGATCCTGGCCGATATGCAGGATTCCGGTTTCGAAGGAATTTCTGTGCATCCTTCGTCTGCGAACCTCGACCGGTCAGCAGTCGTGGATACAAATACTAATAGCGCCTACGATCGTCTCAAACGAAGAGCGTGTCGAGTCCGCTAATATTCAATAATCGAACGGTTACTATTTCTCTTATGCAAGAGGCTCAATGGGCGACGAAGGAAGCCTCTCGCAGCACCAGAGGACGATCCCGGACAAGTCCGCGAGAGCTTATATCCCATCCTTCACTGGAGATATCACATTTGCTTCCACCAGCCTCTGTGCGCTATTGTCGTCTAGACCCATCGCCTCGTTTCATTTTCCTGATTCATGCAATGAACTTTTGTCGCCCATTAGACATGACTCGGTGCAACAGCCACAGTGCTCTTCCCGATTTGATCGAGCCTGCATGACAGCACTCGACTGCGCATTCCCACGAACACAACCCCAACTGGGCAGTAGAATAGATCTTCGCCCGATCTATCATAAATGGCAACAGGGTCTGCATGTACCACAAGCATCTTCAGAGATGGGTACACTGTAAATTGTCTCAGTATCCCCACATGGTCCTACACGGCATTACATACGATAGCCTATCTATCGAAGCTATGAGTTTCCTAGCCCAGACCCTCATGGCTGTCTGTCTCATTGCATGATGCACGCTGACGAAAAGAATTCTGGAGCTGATAGGCCATTGGGTCTTGACGAACACTGGCCTTGTTTTGGACCCCCGGGGCAGTAGTTCCGGCAGCCTGGCAAAATGGAGCTTTGATGCGTTTTCTTAATCGAGACGTCTATAAACCTCTTCCCTTGCCCTGGCCACATCTCTTTTCTCCAGACTCCTTCATTCTCATACAAACCATCTGTCCGGGACCTGTGAGGGCTTGGCGATGCCCATCCCCTGTCGCTCTCTTTTGTTAAGCCGTTTTGGCCTGGATCATACTGTGCCAACATTCTCTTTTCTCTGTTGAAACTCCTATTCAGATGGCCGACGGTTTCTATTCCTATTACCCGAGTCGTCCGAACTACGACTATCCAGAGGACGACCTATATGTTCCGGACCCCACAACGCACTGGCACTCATACGGTGAGCAGACATGGCCAGGCCGCCCTTGGAGAGCCTACTCAGAGGCACCGGGAGACCCGAACTTGGATCCGTTCTACCTGGAGGACTCACTGGCGTACACTGATCCCTGGACTAGCCATGACCCGTATGACCACGATCCTGCGTACAGTGACGACTATTATGAATTCTACTCTCTGCAGGGACCAATTGAGACCGAGTTCGAACAGGACCACAGATTCGCTCAATGTATAGCTCACCAAGCTGCGAATATGTACCCCGAGCAACGTCAGAGCTCTGCCAGTTCGTTTGAGATAGCTACAGTGCCCAACTTGAGTCCTAGCAGCTCGGTTACTTCTCGCCATTCTGCGACTGGCTGTCCTGTCGCTGCCCGAGGATCGACAGAACGAGCTTCTCCTCATGGCCAGCAAAAGGGCTACTCAGGGAACGGCTGTTGCTGCTGTCTGTCCCCGGGCCCGTCCCATCAATTCTTACCCTCAGGGATGCCCGCGGAGTCTTCAGCAAGAGATATTCTTGCTCCACCCGGTAGAAGCCCTGCGGTTTACCCCAAAGACAATACGGCGGTCTGTTCTCGTCAGCCTATGAAGCCTTGCCCGAGTACTCCCACCGCTTTACGCGGATACTCGAGTTGGCGGCCGTCCCACCGTCATGGCAGGCGTTCCTTGATTGAGCTGCAAATGGGCTCCCTTGATCACTTAGTCGATCGAGCTACCTACGAGTCGCACGAGTTTCTCTTCGATCGAGGACCGTTTTCATGCCCTGATGATAGTCCCAGACTCCGTCCAGCCACAGCCCCCAGTACATCTCATACCTCTCGTGTGGTACCCACCGGTTCCGAATTGAGATTTACGCAGTCAGACTCAGTCCCTGAATCTCCCATTGAACGCTCGGTGTGGGAACCGGACTCTGATTCTGAATCCGAGGGACCTTCATCGCCGAAATTGTTGTCGAGTAAATCCATTGAAACACTGCGCAGGGTCCGGAGCAAACTGCAACTGCGAGCCGCGAAGTCGGGTATGAGCCACGATTCGGCAATTCGGGAAGAAGAGGAGGAAAGAACTGGAAAGCTTCAACCCGATCAGGACAATAGCAGCAGCAACGACAACACGACAGATGCACAACAGGTGACTAGAGCAGAACGGGTTACGGAAATGAATTCGAACCAGGAAGTCCCCTGGTCGAGGGTCCAGCAGAGATTCCCAGACCCTTGCTCGCTGCAGTTACTACCCCAGTCTCATACTCGGTACGGCAACCGTCATGGTGGTCCTGATAACTCGTCTACTCCGGTTATTGTCATCGAATCTGAAGGAGAAACACCTTGGACTTGGCACTACCAGACCCAGCTCTCAGATACCCGAGAAGACAAGGAAAGACAAGCTCCCTATTGTCATGGCAGCAACATGCGGAACTCCATTGCCCTCAGCCGCCCGTCTCGCTTCCACCGGTTCATGAGGCCATTGCGGGGACTGAACTGCTACGGTGTGTAAACTGATCAGCGGTGTTTCAGCCAGTCGATCCTTACCGAGGTCTCCGAAACGAGCATGTTAAGAGACATGGTTTGTGTTCGAAGATCAGACTATCTCCCTTACTGTCCTTTACTCTTTTCCTTTCTATCCATGGCTCTCTTGGATATCCCATGCAGTTTCCGCAAACGTTTATGCTGGCGGTCTGACGCTGACACGACGACGCCTTATGCTTTTCCCTTTACGTGTGGACGTCATAATAATTATGCTACATTATGCCATGCCATGCTCTATCATTCCATGCTACACATGCTACACGATGAACTTACGATACTACTGAGCTATTTTTGCTCTGTTAACGATCGCTGACGACTTTTTCCTTTGTCAATGTTGTTTTTCATGTCTACGTTTGCTATGTACATTGCTATGAGCCATCGAACCACTCATTCAGTCTATTCCTTGCAAGTTCCAATCTTTAGCCAATTCTGAATCTGCATGATCCTGATGTAAGAACCTATATTGTAACAAACAACTCGGTTTTATCGTATGTAACGTATATGATGACATGGTTGCCCTCTTGGTAGTGGTGCCTTCGAGTCAGACTGCCTGGCCGTTTGGCAGGACCTGATAGAGACATTAACATTTACCATGGAGGTTCTTCCAGGAGATCTGGATCATGGGAATAGATGGCTCATGCTGGGTTGGTCGCCTCCCAGGATAGGAACACGCCTGCTCCTTGGATAAATCCGCAAACCTGGTCCTCGATTGACTCGAGGCATATGCCGTGGAACCGGACTGCCGATCATGCAAATCAGCAAGTCTAGAGGTAGCTAGGATATCCCATCCAGGAAGAAACGTGATAGCTATAATATTCGTGAACTTCAACTGAGGAGGACGAGATGAAGAAGGCCTTCAACTCTGTCCCGCAGGCTCCCCGTCCTCTCCATCCTTCTCCTCCAGAGCCTCCATAGCCTCCTCCCAATGCGAAACCGCGACCTTCTCTTCCCATTGCGAAACAACACCATCCCCTCTCCGCTTTAGCCTGCCTTCAGGCTTCTCTTTTCCTTCCTGTCTGTCCCGGTTCGGATCGACTTCCATTTCCGAGAAAACATTCTGCACGCTCAACTCGTTCACGGCAGCCCTGAAGACACGTAGGACCTGTTCTCTGACATCATTTCTTTGGAGTTCGCTATTCTCCGTTTCATGCTTATTTCCATCGTCGCCATTGCCGGCTGTGATTACTGCAGTATTCGGAGAGCGGGAATTGGCACTGCGCTGCATTTTTTTCACAACCCCACCACCCGCCGACTTGTTCCCCTCGTATCCCCGTACGATACCCTCTAGAATACCCAAGACCGTGCCAGCGCGCATCCCCAATTGAGCGCCGACGGGGAAGCCTGCATCAAAGCCGCGCTGGAGGTGTTCGTTCTTGGAGGACGTAACGCCATCGCGGTATCCGGCTGTGAGGTGTTGGCGGCGGAGGGAGGGGAGGTCTGAGAGCTCGGATTCTTGGGGGTTGGGTGTAGTCGCAGTTTCCGGGGTGGTCCTGGGAGGGGAAGAGCCGAAGATGTCACCTAGGGTGTCTGTTGTGCTTTGCATGGCGTGTGGTCTTGTGTGTTGTGATGGAAGTTGAGAGTCCGGAGATGAGGCGGGTATCTTAAGAACCGTCCATTATTAGATAGACACGATCATGTACGCTGCGCAACACGCCGTTCCTCTCTGGATCAGATCAAGTATCTCACTATTCCACGCCGCATTCCCCTGTGGCAGTCGGATGGATCATGTTATTTTCGGACTCATTCTCAACTCGGGCTACGGACCAACATTCAGTCCGACTCGCATACGCCCAAGCGATCGGAAAACAGTCCGACCAAGTCTAATATTAAAGGGCGCGATGAACGGTCTTATCGAGTCCACCATGAAGAAATGAGTGTGGTAGAGAGGTTTTGACGCTCCTACAAATCTCATCTCATCCTAGATAGGGCGTTGTCTTCTCTCCACTACCAGCATGCCTCCTAAGCCCAATGCCAATTCTCCAGTGAGAACTTCTCTCCTTCTCTTTCCACCTGTGGCGATAGTCTACGGCATCCACAGGGGTCTCACATACCTCGAAGCTAAATATCCCCCTTTACCACCAGAGCAGACAACGAGTATCGCGCTTCGCACCCCGTCGAAGCCGTCAACACAGCGCTGCGCCTACGTAGACGTCTACGCAGCCAGGATCCCATTGCGGATTCTGGAAAGAAAGGCCAGATCGCTGCAAAATGGAAGGACAAAAATCAGTCGTGACAGCAAGAGAGAAATGGAGATAACGAGCCAAGACCTCCAAGAAGCCTGGGCCCGAGCCCTGCTCCGTTGTCGCATTCTCCGCGCCCAAGAGAAACTATTTTCCCTATTCAACAAAGACAATGGTTCTCTAAATGAGGCGAATAATGATGCTCTGGATATGGGTTTTGTGGTCGAGCGGACTCCAGCGGTCAGTAACAACAAACCCTCATCACAGCTCGATTCGGAATCAGAATTCGGCTACCTAGTCTCCTGGAAAATGGCCCCCGAGCCTCGCGAATTCTTCGAGAAAATATCTCAGCACGGATACCCCTGGCGTTTGATGTCCGGGGGACGGCACGAGCTTAGTGTCTCACAACCCTTTCCTCCCTCACGAACCGGGGAGGTAGCATCTATACCTGACGATGTTATGGGCGAGCAGTGTATTGTCGAGGTGCGGTTTGCTTCTGCGCATGATTACGAGGTCGTTCCCGCGGAGGAAGAATTGGAGGATCAGAAGACCATTCCTAAGTGGACGGGTAGATTGCATCGGGGATACGCGAGGTTATTGCTCGATCAAGCCGTGAGGGAGTTGGAGGTGGAGGACAGTGAGGGTTCTCATAGATAATTGCAACTCTGCATTTTTTTATCTTATCTGCGTTCATCTTGCGTTGTATATATAGAGAGCCATAACCCGACAAAATTCATGTGTCTGTCCCATTTCACGGAAGAGAGTCTTGAAATGAATCCCCTACGAAAGGAGGGCACAACTGCTCCTTTACATTTCTCCTAAATTCTGTCCAAGAAAGCTCCATAGGAACACTCAATCCAATCTAAGCCAGGTACCTAGTATTAATATGCGTACTGCGTACTAAGTACCTAAGGAGCTGGATATCCTACAATACCATTTGATTCATAAACTAATACAGCTGCACTAGAGCGGTAGGTACAAGTTAGGAGAATTAGGGTTTACTACCTCAATCAGGTTTATTTCCAAATAAATCTTAGACTCCAACGAAGACGGATATTGGGGAACTTGCCTGTCTCCATGAACCCTGAGGTCTATCTTATCTTATCTGATAATCTAATCTAATCTACATTTACGTCAAGAGATTGTCAAAAGTGTAAGGGTTTGAACATAGAATTCATTGTATGCTAGATACACGAAGAATTCCTTAGAGAAAGGGAAGAAACAAGGAGGGATACGGCTTTTGTGTACAGGGAAATAGGCGAGCCAGAGTAACAAACAGAACAAATGAAACAAATAGGACAGACAGAGTACTAGGCGTCGTCCCTGAGTTTGCAATATGCCTGGGCGTAGCCCATGACAAAAAGTAGTTAAATGAAAGGCCTGCGGTCAGAGATGAGAAAACTATTTGTGGGCACCTGATATCTAATCACGTGTCATTGCCAACTAATTAGCATGTGAGCACAAATCCTGAAATCTCCCAAAAATATCCTTCATTGGGCATCATTGCTTCTCAGATAGGCAGAACGGCCATTGGATTAATTGGTAAGTGTGAAATCAGCACGCTGTAAATCCGCTGGTGGTCTAGTTGGTTATGGCTTTCGGCTGTAATGGATAATTGCCACCGAAAAGTCGCCGGTTCGAATCCGGCCCGGCGGACGTTTCTTTTTTTCCCTTTTTTATATTTTAATTTTTTTTTATCCCATGAGCAAGCAAGGATTATATTGACCAAAAGTATACATGGAGTTAAAATATAGTACCAAAATGGAATCGGGAATTATAGATTGGTCTAACGGTAACTCTAAACTGCTCACTTTCCTGCCATCATGCGACTTGATCTATTCGTTGACGCATTCATTATTACTCCAGAGAATCCAGGCAATAATAGTATTACTTATTATATTATACTGTATCAACTCGTTTCATCCCGTGCTTGGTAAAAGAAATCCATTTATTCCACTCTGCTCCATAGCCCATCGGTTTCTCTATTTCCCACCCCCAAACGCCATTCCACGAAATAAACCCATTGAAGACCAAGAACTACACCCTAGGTAAACGATACGAAGAGAGAATGCTTTTCCTTTGCCAGAAACAATGTAATCAAAACATACCAAACTAATCATATCCCAAAATCCACCTTTTCACACACCCCGGCCTCACGGACCATCTGTTGGACACGATTCAGCATCCATCCGGACGTTATGCGTTCGGAACCCGCACTTTTAACCCCCAATCTCGGGGTTTTCGAAGTAAAGCATCTCTTTAACCCATGCTTGAAAGAGTACTGCACGCACTCCGGATGCTGCAGGCAAAAGCTGTGGCAGTCATCGGCCGAGGCAACGGCGGCAGCACGTGGCTCGGGAGAGAAGTTGTCCCAGTTTTCTCGTGGGGTGGAGGAGAGAGATGGTTGGATGAGTCCGGTGAAGATGTCTTTGTGAAGAATCATGTTGTTGTGCTTGTCTGACTTTTGGTAGGGGTGGTGTTAGCAGGATTGTATTTTCAGTTGCTGGGATTATTCCCATCGTTTCATTCCATCGAGACATCCGAACAAAGGAGGGAAAAAAAACTTACTACATTCAATCGACGCTGTTCAAAGACCCACAGGCTTCGAATATCAGCCGGAGACAAGTGATGTAGTGCCACTGCGGGGAAACACCAGGGTCGTCGGTAGAAATCCTGTGTGAACTCGTCCAGCTCGCCCAGGTTTGAGTTTTGGAGAAGTGGCCAGGAGAAGCGTAGCGGCACACCCACATCAAACAGCACTTTACCCAGCACACAATCGCCGGCCCAATGGAAATCCGTGTAGGTGTTGATGCCCACGGGATCAGCGACATAGGCACCAACGGCGCGTCGCAGAGCCGGGTTTGAAATCACAAATCCGGATCCGCCGTGGGCGAATATCACATCTCCAATCTGTGTCTCGGTTCCGATATAATGTGGCTGGTCCGGATTGAACTTGGACAACCATGCGAGCAGGTTCGGCCACACGGGATAGGTATCGGCTTCCATGAAAAAATACCACTTGGCGTCCTCCTTGTACTGCAGCGTCTCCTTCACCATGGGGAGAAACTTCCACTTGTCCAATTTCCATCCAGGGTTATTGGGCTTGCCAACAGCCGAGTTGGCCTCGTCCTGGAAATCCTGCATTTTCAGCCCCTCCCGGCCCATCTGCTGCAGGCGGTTGTAGAGATCGAAATCCGGAACCTGACGCTTGACTTCCGGGTCCAAATGGCGGAATGCATCGTGAATGCGTACGCCGTCGATGTCCTCCTCGAAATCGGAGAATATCACATAATTTGGGATACAGCGGAGGGTCGTATTGAGGTGGATGGGGACCTTCTCATATGCTTCCGTGACGCCGGTTTTCATTACGACAAGGACATCTTCCATTCCCGGGAGAGGGGGACAAACAGGATGTGGTATGTCGTCATCTTCTTTCCGAACCGGGTCTTTTATTATACTTCCGGCAGATTCCTGCACCTGGAGCGTTTGTCGTTGTGATCCGAGTAATCCCAGGTGCAGTAGCTGGTAGAGCATGAAGAGGCTAAGAACGGTCGATATCAAAAAGATACGGCGACGTGAACGGCGGGGATTCATTTTGGAGGTAGTGAACTATCCGGGGGTGGTCGAGGGAGGCATTCATTCCTATACAGTCCAGAGCAAACAGTAATAGTCAGCAAAGCGGGCTTGAGAAAAGCACAGGACACACTGGGATTATAGCAGTGCGTTGTCTGGAAAGAAACCAGGGTCCAAATCATATATGATATAATAAAGAAAAAAAAGAGAGGGGGGCAACCATCATCCTTGTGGATAAAGAGGCGACAGGGATTATGTGTTACTTCCTTCCCTCGGAAAAGAGCAACACCGAAGGGAACGGTTAAAAAGAAGCAAAAAGGGGAAGAAGACGAGAAAGACAGACTGCTAGGCTGTCAAGGAAGAAAGAACGACAGGATCGACCGAGCTGCCAGCGAACTGGAGCAGAGCAGAGCAGGACCCATGTTGGGATTGTGGACTGGGCGGATGCGGGAGAGAGAAAAGTAGCTCGACGGGCGATGACGCGTGTAGGCGATAGACAATGACGGGCGATTGATTCAATCAATAATAGCAACAATAACAGCAGAAGAACCAGAAAATCATGCCTGCTGAAACTCTGAAACACGCATGCCAGCCCGCATGGAGTAAATGGCGATGCACATCGCTCTCTCGCTGCCAGGCATTCTCTCTAGACGCTGCTCCACTCAGGGGATTCATACCCGCATTTATTGTTTCAGAAATCTGATGCATCGCCATTGTGTGATGATTCTGATTGAAGTTATGAACCCAAGATGCTGACAAGAGCTTCTATGCGACATCCCCCTTAATGTTGGGATGTAGATCCTACATGCTGATCTCCTCTGTACAACGGACAGCGCACCGTCGAAGTTCCTGTCGGTTATGCAGGACAGCATAGATAATTACTACAGCGTATACATGGCATTAACATCATACTAACTATCCAAGACTCTCGTAGACCCATGCGCTGCACCCGGAACTACTTCCCCTTGTGCCCGTCGGCATTCGTGATCATCTCCCAATGTATCCTGATCAACTCGGGGATGATCAGGCTCTCAATCTCAACTTCGGGAACAGCCCCGTGCTCGGTTCCCTGCTTCGCTTCTTCTCGCTCATCGTCCTTGTGGTGCTTTTTGCTTTCAGCGAGCCCGACCTGATCCTCCACACCTGACGCACTCTTGCTGCGTTTGGACTTGGGGACGCGGATCCACCGCTCGTAAGGCTCGTCTAGCGTGACGAAAACCACTTCCCACTTTCGCGTAGATAAGAGGTTGCCGATGACCAGGTGGTGTGAGTACCGCTGAAGAGCCGTCCGAGCCTTGTACACCAGCAAAGATGGATCTGTTTCCAACTTGAAGGACACGATCATGCTCCCGACCGGTGCCCAACCGTCGACAAGTCTGTGAAGGAGTTTTGGCACGGGGTCGAGATTGATGATGAGTTTCTTGCTCTTAGTCGGGGGGGTCGGTTCGTTTTCGCCAGTGTAGATCTCCGAGGGGTCGACCAGACTGTCATCGTTACCTTTCTCGTTCCCTGACGAAAATGACTCCGGTAACTCCGACGATTGAATTTTATGCTCTGACATACGGTCTCGCGGAATGAAGAAATCGCTCACAGCCGCAGCGAGGTAGAAGAGCGCATTGGCGCCCAGTGGCCGCATCAGCTTCGCCAGCGATCGCAACTCGAAAAGGTACTCGGAGATGGTGGTGAAGGGAAGCAGAAGTAACAGGTTATTTCGCTTGGCGTAGCGGTACTTGCGGAGCACATCTCGCATCTCATCCTGGTACTCACTGCGAACGACAATGGGCCCGTTGCCACTGGCGGAGTTTCCGCCCGCTGGGGGTGCCTCGTCCATAAAGTCGAGGAAGCAATTTGTCGAATGCGAGTAGTGTCGCGAATAGGGAAGCAGACTGAACTGCCTGTGTAGGAATATCACCGCGTAGCCTGATTGTAGGAAGTACTCTGCGGACGTAGCGCCTCTAGTCCCAGCGGAGAAATTGTCGATGAAGCGCACCGTTTGGTTCTCCAATGGTACGGTCGTGCCTCCGGAAGTGACGAGCACCAGACGCCTGTTGGCTTCGACATGGTAGTTGATGAATGCGCGAGCAAGGGCTTCGTGCCTGGGGAGGTCTTTGGGTGGGGGATTGGTGTTGAAGTAGGCTGATTCTTGGTCTTCGTCCGATGCCGCCATTCTGGATGCCATATGTTTCCTGTTTGAGAGAATAACGATGTTGATGCAGCAATGGATTCCACTGATTCAGCCGGCAGATGAGTGGATATATTCCTTGTCGCCTGTGTTTGTAGGCCAGCAATATTTCCCCCCAACGCTTTGTAAGGCACGACCTTGGCGCACCCAACAGTCAATCAACGGAACATGGACCAGTGAGGAGAAAAACCTAGCGACCCTGGATGTCAGTAAATTAGGAGGAAGAGAGAGAGCAGAGACCCGCAGACGATGACTGTCGTCGGTTGTCTCTGTGTGTGGAGAAAAGGTATGCGGAGTGTTATTATCCAGGCAACAGGTTTATTATTTCTCCAGCATCCACAGTTTCACGGTTGACAATTGACAACGACGACGATGACTTCAGAGAGTACGACACGGTTCTACTCCCATTTACACTCCAATCAAGCCAAGAAAATGCAATGCTCATTACTGTTCTTTCGTGCCGAGGGGTTTTCTGCCACTTTCGGATAAATCAACTGTTCCACTGACGTCAACCGAAAAGCACCTCGGTCAAAACTCCTCGCACCGGACAGCATTATTACTACAAGCAGTATAGTTGTCGCGTCGTTGCATATTATTATTGACTACCACTAGTATTATCCCTATTCCCGAATCCACCAATAACGTAAAAGGGAAAGTCGGCATCTCAGTTGCCTCTGTTCAGAGATAGCGACTGCGTAGTGCTTGACTGATGGTGCTCATCCGGCTAGCCATTCCACCACGCTGCATATTACTTAGAAGAGCCTCTTCCAGTGCCGACTGTGTCACGCTCGCATCTATTCCAGGCGGGTAGCCAGTTAGCAGGGCTGCTGAGCGCATCCAGATACGATATTCGTGGTCATCGAGCGCTTACCATCTAGGTCGCTGAAACTGCTTCCCATGCTGGGAGTTCCCTCACTGGTATCTTTGCCAGAAGCGCGAGAGCCCCGATGCGCAAGCTCTGCAGTCCGTCGAGGACTCAGTACTCCCGCCTGGCTCGCCCCCCGGGGACCTTCTGTTTGGGATCGACTGATAGCAACACCTGAGCTGGCTGAGCTTGCGGACGACTCAGTTATTAGAGACTTATTGGTTGGAATCGAGGGACGTCCCGTTGTGTGCCACCTGGGCATTCCTGGCCGCTCAGCATTCAGGCGAAGCGTCGCATTAAGGTCCTGTGCAGGAGGCTCGCCTGGCGCCGGTCCATTCTGGCGGTCCAGAGGAAGGAAAGCCGGAGAATCATCTTCATCTTCCTCGTCACCCCGCATGCCCGGCTTATACGTGGAAAACTTCCCGAAGCGTTTGAATAGGGGACCCCTCGTGTTTGGTACTTCGTGATCTTCGTCATCTGATTCGGACTCCGACGAAGATGACAGATCCTCTTCTTCGAGCGTAGGCGATTCCCGGGGAAGCGCAGTCCGCGCCTGCTCTTGTTTAAAGGAAGGCCGTCGATCGTGGGCTTCCCATCTGGGTTCCCTGCTTTCTACAGTCGGAGTCGTATTCTGGGAAGAATCCCGTGGGCCTCTCATAGCATGTACTGAAGTGACAGAGCTGGTGCGTTGAGGGTAGCCCGTACCTCGTTGGGAGTAGGAATCCTTTTGCAGCATTGTAGGTCTGCTAGGGGGATGTGCTCCTTGGAAATGTCAGCCAGCGTAGGCAGTCCCTTGGATCCATTAAGCTCACCTGGATTGAGGATATTCCTCGTAATCGATTGTACCCCCAGTGCAGAGCTCCCCGAGCCGGACCAAGGAGGAGGCGAGGTAGCATGTGGGTGAGTCGTGCCAGCCTTTCTCATCTGGGCGCGAACTTTTGATAACTGCCGGTCGTACAGCCATGCTGCTTGCTGGAGTAAGAAAGGAAGAGTCACATCGAATCTATCCGCGCTGGAATCCGAGATAGATTAGCGAGCCTGGCCCTACTCCACCATCAGGGCTCCGGGGATGGTAAATACAGTGCTTTCCCTGTAGTACGGTCAGCAAGAGGCCCTCCACAACGACGGGAGAGCATTACAATCTACATCATCCCCCTTAGAGGGCCTTGAAAGGACGTCCCACAGAGCTTGATCTTTGACAGCATTCCATTCAACCTAAGGAGCGTCAGCAGGGATACTCTCAGAACACCTTCATTTAGCAGAACTTGCAGGTGGAGGATCGACAAAGTCTCCTCTGGCAAAGGGAAGACGGATAAAAACGGTGAAGTTAACATCCTCTCGTTTTTGGTTTGCCATCTGCCTCGTTAATGATGACTGCAATAAGGAAAGGATGGATTGTTCAGTATGAGCATGGAGTAGATAGAAGTTGGCGTCATCCCACAAGTGCGTGGCAATGTGCCGAGGGCCGTGGTCAGTGCTTCCGAGCTGGTCAGATGCCGAGCCACAGCTGGAGCCGCGTTATTGCCACGCCGCTTCTCGTTCATCCCGGCTTGTATGCTGTACTCTGTACATGGAGAAAAATAGCTAATAAATATACGGTGTACGGGAATATAATAAAAATAAAAATAAAACCACGGTGGAGGGGGGATCCATGCAGGTACGTCGTATTCTGCAATAGTCAAATCAATAGTGTGCTAATATTTCGATGCCACGGAGTCTTACTAGCAACTAGTAAATAACAACTCCCAAGGCACAATGCGGAAGAGTTGGCGAGACGAATAAGAAAGACACAAGAAATAAGGGCCAAAGTAAAACGAGGATCCACCTATGACGATGCTGGAGTCTGTCAGATTCAATCAGAAGCCTGTCTCTGCTTTATGAACTTATTATCTGTCCCCCACCCCGAGCGATACCTAGGAACTCTTACGGTCTACTACTACCACTCCTGCTAATAATAATAATCACAAATATCTGCGGAGTCGAATGCTGCTTCAGAGCCTCGCCGTGTTCCTCGTCCACCGTGCTCTCGGTGCTGTGGACGAGTCGTTAAGCTGCTTCTTCCTCTCCCTCCTCTTCCATCTTCGCACCTGAACGAACCCGCCGCGCTTATCGCTGAATTTTCTCCCATCCTCACTCTCCGGCCATCGTCCATGGGTGATGACACCCGCTGACCCAGGTTGCAAGCTTGCAATTGCACGCCCCGCCAACAGATTGTCAAATGGATTCGCTAAAGCCTGCTGGTATTGACCACGATCGATACCGCAAAGAGGTTCTCCTTTTTCCCTCGGAGGAAGCAGAGACCGCGGCGGAACGCAGTCTGTTCGATGAAGCGTGCCAACTGGGCCTAGAGATCCCCGAAGTCGAAACTGCTGGGTCGCTGGCCGCGTCGGTCACGTCGAGCGTGGCTGAACTGTCATCTCCATCTCCCGTCATCTCGTCCGTCTGCTCCGACTCTACTACCACCGACCGCCCTTCATTTGGCGATGCGACGAATCCCACATGTCGCGACAGATTCGCGTTGGATAGCCTCTCCCCGTCGCTGTCCGAGGTCACCCTTTCCTCAAGTCGGGCCATGCCGGGTAGCCCGCGATCGATCGCATCACGCTCAACACGTCCACCGTCCTTCAGTTCCGGCGAGGGGACTCCAGGTGGTGCACTGGATAGGGTTCGGCGTCACAGCTCCGCTTTGAATGCCGTCACTCCCGAGAAGAAGGAGAAAAGAAGAAGGAGCTTGGTATTGGCGTTTGGCAAAATATACTCTCATTCTCGAAAGTCCAGGTCACCTTCTACGTCGTCTTGGCCGTCCACTGTTCCTGTTCCCAGTCCTGCCCAGTCGACCAAGACATTGAGGGAACGGCATGAAACTTACGCGGAACTGAAGAAAGGGAAGGCCAATAATGATGACGATGTCCATAGGCCCGATGGTAAGAGAGAGGTCCTCAAAGTTGAGATCCCAGTGTACGACGATGCGGCATTACAAAGGAGCGTGAACGACCCGGAATTAGCGGAGATGTTCGAACTGCACAAGGCACAGCGAAACCGCTATCTTGAGTTTCAGACAGCCAGTCTTCATGAACTGCGACGAAAACAGCAGACCGCTGTGGCTGAGATGCTATCTCAGCACAAACGTCTGGAGGATGAGAAACGTGAAATGGTAAGGACTGCACCCTGTAAGGCGACCCTGATAACCTATTGATTTCACAACTTCAGAATACTCTCGTCACCTCTCGGATGGAAGAAAGACAGCTGGCAGTGGAAATGGACCAGCGACGGGAATTTGAAAGAGCGAAAATGAATTCGCGCACTCGTATCAAGCATATGGAACAATATTTCAACAATTCTACCCCTCCACCACCACCTACACCAAGGACTGAATCCAGTGACAATGGACGCGACGTCGCACAGCCAGTCCGGCGGTTCACTTCCCGACAAAAGGCACAGTTGGCTCAGGAGTATCGCCAGTACGAATCAATGGATCAGCTGCACGAAGCCAAAATCAAGGTCCTCCGTGATCGCCAAGAAAGAAAACTACAGGAAGCCATAGCACGTACCGAAAAGGAACTGGATGATCTGATTGATCTCCACGCCGAAGATTTAACAGTCCTCCAGCAGGAGCACCGACGGGAAGAAGCTTCCCTAATGCATGCCCTCGATTCGAAGAAAATAGCTCTTCAACGTCGTTGGTATTTGGAGGAAGCCGTTTTACGCAAGAAACTTGGATTGCGACATGGACAGCCCTATGGGCCTCTCCCTGACATATCATTCAGCGAGCAACCTGGCCAAGCGAGAGATTCTGCAATTTGCGTGACGGCGGACAACAACAATAATAAAAAAACAGGACCTACTACCGAGTGTGATGAAAAGAAGTCGTCCTCTTATCAGAGGTCGCCTGGTGAATCTACCTCTGGCTCTGGCTAAACAAGCGTGATTTCGATGCCCCCAAGTGATACCCGTACCACCCCCTTCCAAAGCAATATATGCACCGGCTTTCAATAGCATTAATGTCTACATCCTGCATTTTGGAATTAGTTCGTCGTTGTACGGCGTTTGTTTATTGCATATGGTTGTTGCATGATACATTATATTATACCTATACTACTTACTCCCCTACCCCCTCTTACCTCTATTCTATACACGACCGTTGATGATCGTCAATGGTATGATCAGGAATTGCGAGGTCTGCTGCCTAGCTATGTACATACATGTTAGACTGTTGCGTCCTACCTGTAGTATATAATGAGAAGCATGTTGTGCTGGCCATAAACAACTTGAAGAGAAGAACTATGCAGATCGCAGTCTATCAAGGACACCCTCCACCCTTCCATCCCTGCCAGCGAGTGCATTCTCCAAAAATTTATCCCTCCTGCTGTCCAGGCCGATGACGACTGCCCGCTCCACCATCCCGGAATTCGAGACCTTGAATCTACCCACGCGTCCGTCTGCCCATTCTAGCCGAACATACCGCGCCTCTAGCGACGTCGCAGACAATGAAGCAATCCCCAAAGCCTTCGAAGCGTGGACAGAGTCAGGATCCACTTTCCCATCCTCCGGCAGTGTAGAGGTATCGGACGACAAGCCCAATTCATCACGTAGCATATCTATGGCATCAACCCGCCGATGCCACGAAACTAATTCCTTGTGCAGCTCTCGAACGAGAGCGTAGAGATCTTGTCTTCCTGTTCGGGGGACTTTAGTCTTCCCTGGCTCAATGGTCGGTTCGCTTTCTCCGTCGTCGTCAACATCGATATCTTTTGCCTCCTCGGCACGAGGCAAATACAGTCTCTCTAGTTTCTCCATTGGAATAAAGGCCGGGATGGTATGTCTGTGAACTCGAAGATGTGTCCGATGACGATGAGTATTACCTCGTTCCCGTTTCAAAAGCACGTAGTACGGTTTCGCGAACTTCCCATTTCGCGTCGCGATATCGATTCGTATGCCGAGAAGATGATTGTCATCATTTTCGTCACCATCCGCATCCGAAGAAGATGGATCTTGAAACGGAAACGCCGTTACCCCGAATGCGATGCGATAGTGGTTCGACTGGGCATGTTTCCCTGCCGACTCGACCAGGGGGGATATGGAAGCGTCCGCTTGTAGACTGGTTGTGGGTGTGGGCGCGGGGGGGGAAGATCGACGTTTGAGTCGTTTCTGGATGTGGTCGGAGGACAAGAGGCTGGAGGAGAGGAATCGTTTTCGCTTTTGGAGGGTTCGGACTGTTCTGTCAGTTAGGTTTGGGGATTAAAAGGTGAATCGTACGCGGAGCGGCAACTTACTTTCTGCTCGGATGGATGCGATCTCTGCATCCAGGTCTTGCTCCGTAGAGGAAGGGTAATCGGTAGAAAGCATTTTGGGGATTGAAGTGGAATAGCCCGTCTGCAGGTAGAAGTTGAGGATATTTGTGTATACACTGATGGATGGTGCTCAAACGTGTATATCACGTGACTCGTGGATTACGGATGTATCGCACGCACAGAAGACATTTATTATGATGATATCGTTGGTATAGCTATTGTGGATCTCAGGAAGAGAAGAGAAGCATCAAATATTGGAAAATATGTCTTGGTGGAATCCATGGTAAAGCACATCCATGCGTGCCGTGCCCTCTTTAAGACACAGGTCGAAATGCAGCCCAGGCTCTACTAGAGTAATCATAACCTGCATCCCCGTAATCCGGGCTCAATTGCCAAATATTCTGCAGCTTGTAAATTATGAGAGCAAGGTACCTTGGATCTAAGCCGACAACTAACTGAATGCCGAGGGTGTGGGGGCGCATCCTCACTTATTGGTTCTTCCTCTTTGTTCAGGCCAGCTTGCCTTTGAAGTCCCCGTCTGTCTGGATGCGTAGATGTCTTCCTTTTCCCCCGACAATTTCCCCCCTCGCCCTCCTCCTTAGCAGGTCCATCCTCTGCTCACTCTGTCTCGTTCCTCTCCACTCACGACCGTCATTGCCAGTCCGACCTGGAAGCAGTGGAACTGGTCCGCCTACCTCCAACAGCCAGCGACGACACACAGTTACACCAGGCCTTTCACAGCGAGGATTCCCCCTCAACCCGCGCATCGTTTCCCTCTACAGCTAGCGAAGGAGCCGAGTCAGTCACAGACGACGCTGCAGACGCGCGACTTCTCGGTGACGTGTCGAATCCGGGCCCTAGTCAGATGAAACGCAAGAACCGCAACCCTTCCAAACCTCGCTCCAAGCCGAAACTGACCGTCGCAACCGTCGCAACCGTCGCGGACGACCATGCGGACGCCAGGATGAATTCCAGTATCGAGATGCGCAAGAGGGATACCTCTGCGGAGTCCACGCCGTCTGCGCGCGCGGCCCGGTTCATGCAGTCTGCTGGCTTTTCCTTGAACGACGACCCTCCTCTCACGCCGCAAACGCCAGCCATGACCACAACGAGCTTCCGCAACCTTCCTTTTTCTGATCGGAGAAATTTCATGTTGTTGTGCCTGCTTTATTTCTTGCAAGGCGTGCCGATGGGGCTGGCAAGCGGGTCTGTCCCGTTCCTGCTCAAGCCCTACCTGTCGTATGGCCAGATCGGAGTCTTCTCGTTGGCATCCTATCCGTACTCGCTGAAGCTGCTCTGGAGTCCGATTGTCGACGCTGTCTGGAGCCCAAGATTTGGCAGACGGAAGAGCTGGATCACTCCTGTCCAGGTGTTGTCCGGGCTGGCAATGATCTACCTAGGAGGCAGGATTGAATCTATGATGAAGCAAGCCGGCGCCAACGGCGGAGCCGGCGTCTGGGGCTTCACATGGTGGTGGTTCTTCCTGGTCTTTCTATGCGCCACTCAGGACATTGCAGTTGATGGCTGGGCAATTACGCTTCTGTCTCATACAAACGTCTCCTATGCCTCGACGGCCCAGACAGTCGGCTTGACTGCCGGAAGCTTCCTTTCGTACACTGTTTTCCTAGCGTTTAACTCGGAGGATTTTGCCAATCGCTGGTTCCGCTCAGTACCGGCAGAAGGTGGCTTGCTCTCTTTAGGAACATACCTATCATTTTGGGGCTGGACGTATTTGGTCGTGACAACCTGCTTGGCTGTTCTGAAGAAGGAAGACCGAGTCATGGAGCGAGACAGCATCCTAGACGTCTACAAAAGCATGCTCAGCATTCTCAAACTTAAAAACATCCAGACAATTATCCTGGTCCACTTGATCGCCAAGATTGGCTTCCAGGCCAACGACGGTGTTACAAGCTTAAAACTCCTCGACAGGGGATTTGGCCAGGACAACATGGCTCTCGTGGTATTGATTGACTTCCCCATCGAAATCTGTCTGGGGTACTATGCCGGGAAATGGTCGACCCAGTACACCCCAATGAGACTATGGTGTTGGGCCTTCATGGGACGACTGGCGGCAGCTCTCCTGGCCCAGGTCACCGTTATGATCTACCCTTCTGGCCCCGGCGTTCCATTCTGGTATCTCCTCACTGTGATCGGTGAACATGTCATCTCCACATTCATGAACACGGTCATGTTCGTCGCTGTATCCGCATTCCACGCACGGGTCGCCGACCCGGCCATCGGGGGAACATACATGACCCTTCTGGCGACGTAAGTGAACCTTTCATCTCTCTCTATATACATATATACATCCAACTAACCGCTCAACCAGCGTCTCAAACCTAGGCGGCACATTCCCCCGCTTCTTCATCCTCAAACTAGTCGACCTCTTCACAGAAGCCACCTGCCTCCCACCTACCAGCACCCCCCCGGCCGAATCCCTAAAAGACTACTCCCCCATCACCTCCCCCTTCTCCTGCGCCCTGGAACCGGACAAGAACCGCTGCGTCAATGGCGGCGGCACCTGCCACGTCATCAGAGACGGTTACTATATCACCAATATCCTGTGCGTGGTTATCGGTGCCGTGACCTTTTGGGCTTTCATTAAGCCTGCCGCGCGGAAGTTGCAGAGCTTGCCTCTGAGAGCGTGGAGGTTGGGGCATTCGTCGTCTGGGAGTTATAGGGCGCCTTGACTAGGTTTTCTTTCAGTGACAGGGCTTGTATTTTTATTTTTATTGCGTTGCCGGCCTTGTGCTTTTCAAGTTTACTTGGGATTTTGCTGGATGGATAGACAAAAAGATATAAGTACTATCTTTATTTGCTATATGATTAAGTAATTGGTTCTAATTAGCTATATATGTCATTATATAGGATTTTTATACTCTACTGGTAAATCGACTTTGAATTGCTAATACTAATGCTGAGACCAGGTCTCGCTTCTAATCCAAGGCTGTCGCGGTGCTGGCCCCTGCACCCTGACAAAGGTCAGGTTGCGGATCAAATCCCAATGCGTTGAAGTCGCCAATCTGGGCATTCAAGGTCATATCCTTTGAATGAACATATGTGACACCTTTGATGTGTTGATCTATATGGCAGCAGTTTGTCCTTGTACAGTTTTCGGAACATCCCATCATCCATCTCTTATATATATCAGCTTTGACAGCAGTGGCCATCTGAAGCATTGCAGAGGTTTTCAACAGGAAACTAAATGGCCAGCAGAACAGTGGAAGATTCTGCTTTGCAAGTATCTTATTTGGCTTGGTCACTCTCTTGCCCGCAGTGCATCTTTTTTCACAAGCACCTCACAACCTTCCATCATTAGCGGTCGGCTTCCTCCAACACATTCTCATGAATTCCCTGGCTGCCTCGTTCGGCAAATTTGATTGCCAGAAACATTAGCATTGGTGGGCAACTGGAGCAAGTCTCTATACAATGCATCTGATCCTGATCTCAAGTGGGATTTCTCACTTGAAATGCCTGCTGGAAGCAGTGAGCTAGAAGAAAATTAGTTATTCCGGCACTCCATATCAAATTGGATGTGCCGCACTAAAAAGCTGGTAGATTGGTTTCTGGTTGGGTTTAGCTTGCCTACACAGTTGGTATATGAGTGTCCGAAAGGACCAGAGAATGGTTACAGTAGGTCTGCTCCGATCAGATGACTAATTAAAATGAATTTTGGGACACTAACTATTTTCATAACTAAGATAAGGTAAGCCTATGTACAGTAGCATGTAGATTAAATGTCTTCTTGTCAATATTCTTCAAGCAGCAAGGCAGATACATCAGTTGCTGGTTCCACGATGATCTGATGTCATCATCCTGGTTCTGATACTCCACTAAGATTCGCTTGTTCTCAACGTCTAACCTTTATTTTGACCGCATGAAATTTGTCCGTTTGCGGTACTTGCCTGGTTACCATTCTCTCTGCCCGGCCATCTATAGTGGTGAAAAGAGACGGTTGTTTCTTCATAGCTGCCTGATTTCAACTTGTTTAACTCAAAACACATCTGTATCTTATTCAGAAATCAAATGCCAATAAGAAATGAGGCCCTCATAAACCATGCGGTTTCTGACAGTTGTATTGCGCCTGTAAAAAGAGGACCTGTGAATTGCCTTTCCTAGTTAGATTTATTGTTTTCGACATGGTCCCCCAATACGTAATGGAGGTGGATCGTTGGTTGGTGACTAGCTAGATAGGCCTACGTGGTGAAAAGGGTCAGCGAGGGCGGACCTATGCGGCAGAATCCCACGTGATCCAACAATACGCCCTCCTGTAAACACGGGCCGCCGGGCCGCCGGAGTAACAGAAGCAACAGGGACACATAATGAGGCATTTCCGGTATTATTCTTGGCGCTTAGCACCAAAAAGCAAGGAACCCCGATGGAATAGTTCCTGAATGTATGAAAGGGACTGTTAACAATAGCAAAGGAATTCTCAATTCAGTTAGCTAATTAATTAATGCAAATCTGATACTAATACAATAATAATGGAAATTGGTTGACCTTGCATTGGCCATAGTAGTATTACACAAAACTATTTTTTATCAGTGGTGGAACTCACACTGGTGAATGGTAAAGCCAAGGGCTCCAAGGTTGCGACTGCAGTCAACAATCTAGAGCGCAAGCTAGTGCAAGAAGGCAACGCTTACCGCTATCCGTCCCCTTCTCGCAGGTTTTCCACTAGGAAAGGAATTCCACTCCATGACCTGGAGAAATGGAGACCACCACCTAGCCTAAATACTGTAGTGAAACGCACGCTGTAGCATCCTTCAAGGCCCAGGATTCACGACAGCATTTCATTGGATTGCACTCATTATCGGGCGCTTACTTTGCGTATACCATGGACGCTGAGGTGATGCGGGTGTTGCAGAGGTCTGGGAAGGCGATGCTCACCTGGGGGACGAGGGTTGAAGCTGTAAAGAGCTTGAAACGGTGAAAAGCCTGTTGTCTCAGAGGGAACGATTTGTCCAGCGAATTCCGCTTCTGGTGGATAGTCGGGCCAGTCTGTCCGAGAATAAAAAGTGCATATGCAAGAGCACGTCCATGCAAGATGCAGACAAGTTGATTTACTCAATCTATGGATATTAATAATTCTTAAGTATATATGGTCAACCGCCTGGACAGATACTAATCTACAGCCCGGGTACCAGGATCTTCGAGACATTGGTCAACTCTCATAATATCCAATCCCTTATTCTTCACGAACCGGATCGCATCCCGGAAGTATCTAATCGTACTCGGACTCAAATAATGTAAGACAGCTAGATTCCCGCCGCTCTCGACATCTCGAATGAAAGCCTCAAGCTGCTTCTCCGGCGTATCGGTACCAGACCAAATCCAGTCCTCGATATCAACACTCCAGTTGATAATGTACGCATTGCCCAGGAGGGAAGAGAGCCGTTGGCGGGTCCTAGAGCCCACAGTCCCGAATGGGGGGCGGAAGTAATGAGCTGTGCCGTTTGGATCAGAAGGTCGTCCCAGGCAGGATGAAGAGAGACAGAGGAACAGACACGTACATTCTATTCCTAGGGTGTCCTTCAAGGACTGGATGCTCTTGGTAATTTCTGAATCAATCTCGTCAATTGTTTTCAATGCTTCTAATCTGTGTATACATAGTCAGTACACCAACCAAGCTGCCACCGGTGAAATCAGAATTTACTTGGGATGTGACCAAGAATGCAGGGCAATTTGGTGCCCTCTGTTCTTCATCTCCGTATAAACATTTGAGAAGTTCGTTTCGGGATCCCGCAGACCAGCTCCAACAACAAAGAAGGTAACGAGCACATCTTCCTCTTTGAGGATGCTCATAACCTCCTGCGCGAGCCTAGGATCTCCATCGTCAATACCAAAGGCGAATGAATTGGGCCTGGAGCAATGCAGGATCATCTTCCCGGTGGCTAGTTTTGAAGGAGTATTGAAGTCCACCGGTACGTCTTTCGCATTCACAATGGAGACCTCGTATAGCGTAAACGTCTGCATCTGATGGTGTCCGGCGGCCGTATCGACACTGCTATAAAACCCATGAAACGAGATGGAAGCCGCCAGTTCATGATCGATGTTGAAATGGTCCAGAGGGATATAGACCCTCCTTTTCCTTTCGCCGCGATCATAGCCCTCACAAGTTATGGAATAGTCATTATCCGCATGTATATAGCGGCGTGCCTCAACGGAATCCCAGGTCTCGGGGTATGGATTCCTCCCCGAATCGCAATCCTGATTGTGCTGGTTCAAAGTAACACTGAACCTGTCTGTTCCGGAGAAGACAATGTGAAGAAAAGATTTATTTTCTTTGTACAAACGCAGACTGCAACAGCTTCCCTCGCCCGACAGTACGGTATGATAAACGTGGTCTGGGTCCGAGGGGAAGAAACGAACGTAGCTAGCTCCGTATTCAACTGGGATATCTCCGCCTGCACCATGCCAGAAGCCTAGGTCATTGCTGTCTGGGTTGCGGAAGGTGTCAATAGAGAGGTATTCTTGGGAAGTGACGGAACTGTTGATGGAAGTGGTAGGGAAGGATGTTGAGATACCAGTAAGTGCAAGGTATCCCCATACGATTGCTGGTGAGGATAAAGCTGGCTTCATTTTGAAGTGCATTTCTCTCCTTTATGTACTGTTTCTGCCTTGAGAATGTGAGGGTGTTATTCTTATTTCAAACATAGACTGCAGTTGCGAGGTAATCGTAGTTCCTTCCCAGCAAAAGGGGAGCATATGCAGAGGCACAGAAAACTTCTCCAGAGACAAGTACAGCTTCATCCTAGCTATTGGACATGAAGAATAACTTCACTTCCATTGCTTGAGACCTCATATAGCCATAAGAGGACAGACGCTAGCTAGCTATCCCGCTTCAACAACAGGCCAGATAAGACCCGCAAACAAATAGAAAGATCCGTCCTCTCACCCTCAGCTGGAAGAAATGACAGATTTCATCATACACCCGGCTAGCCCATTGAGCAGAAAGCCTGCCGGCATCCCTTCCACTGACCATCTTCGTCAACATAGTAGGGAAACATTACCGAAGACTGAGGCAGTCTCGTCCCGAAAACTAACCAATGAACCACATCCTTAGGAAGAGCTCCACGGGAAAGACAAAGTTCATACCTAGGTACCTCACATGAAGGGCGGTCAGATGCTTTATTCCCAATCAAAATCCGCCTGCGCTCCATCATTAGGCGCTCCCCAGGCATCTCCACTAGCGTCACCACCGTTGGCATTGGCATCATCGTCATTAGCATCGCCCTCATTGTCAGTGTCGTCTTCATCAAAGGTAACAACACTACCTTCGGGCTTGTACGACTCGAGAAAATCAGGGATGCTCTGTTTAGACTCTAACAGAATCTTAACGAGATCTGGTGCAAGGTCAGAATCTTTGTCATTGTAGAACGAAGTAGCGAGACCTTCGTTCCCGATTCTAGCGGTGCGGCCTGTTTTCGCCAACTGTCAGTACCGGTATTTCAAAGGAATAAGCCGCTGCGGCTTACCAATACGATGGATATACTCAGTGATACCGCCGTGGCGGTAACTCGGCAAATCGAAATTAATGACATGCATGACGTTCTTGATGTCGAGCCCACGAGCAGAGACACCGGTAGCGACGAGGATCGGACACTTGGCTGTCCGGAAGGCCCGTCTAAAACGCATTAGCCAAATCTCTCTCAACCCGAGTAGTTTCATCCCGACTTACAGAGCATCTTCACGTTCGCGCTGGGTGCGATCCGAGTGGATGGAGGTACTCGGAAGTCCCATGTTGTACAAATAATCGTCCAATAGATCTGCCTGCGTCTTTGAATTGACGAAGATCAAGGTCCTGGATGGCGGCATGGCAAGAAGTAAGTCATAAAGACATTGCTTCTTCAAATGGGGCTCCGCATAGACGATCTAAGGAAGAGATCCTCAATTTAAGCAAGCTGGCCAGAACACCCAGTTCCGGACGTATCGCCGTATCGAGAGAACTTACATTCTGGTCGACATTTATGTGAGTACTGCCAGGACGTCCGATACGAACACGAACGTGGTCATTGGCAAGGTATTTACGAGCAAGTTCGCGGCAGTTTCTGTTGAACGTAGCCGAAAACATCAAATAACGATGGTCGGCGTCCTCGTTCACATCTTCGGCCTCGTCAGCTCTATCAATACTGGGGACCAAGGCTGTTCATACCTCCGCCGGACATGATTTTGGTAAATTCAGACTCCCAATCAGCGAGCAGAAGCTCGTCCGCTTCGTCAATGATGGTGTACCTTGGAAACACTGTTAATTAAAAGAGAATTCTTCATCCAGGATAGAATATCTTACTTGACCCGACGAAGCGATAGGATATGAGGCTTGTCCATAAAATCCAATAGACGACCGGGAGTACCAATGAGAATGTCACATCCCTTCTGAAGCTCTTCACGCTGGTCACGCAGAGGGGTACCACCATAAACCACGCAAGGACGCAGCATAGAACGATAGCAAAGGCGGCGTGCTTCGTCAAATATTTGAGTCGAAAGCTCCCTGGTAGGGGCAACAACAAGCACCAGCGGCTCAGCACGGACAGCATCTACTGCAGGATCATATCCCGTGCTCACATTGGGGCGTGGAGCAGCGAGCTTTTTGGCCTTTCCCATGAGCTGAGAAAGGACTGGTATCAAGAAAGCAGCGGTTTTGCCAGAGCCTGTTTTTTTTTTTTTTTTTTTTTTTTTTGAGATAATGAGGCAAGAAGCCGCAGAAAGGGGGTAGGGCATGAGTGACTTACCAGTCTGAGCTATGGCAATTAGATCATGTCCAGTCAAGACGGCCGGGATCGAATAAGCCTGGATAGGCGTCGGCACCTCATACCGGCAAAGACGAATATTGTCCCGCATAACGGGATGCAGACCAGCGTCATCGAACTTGTCGTTATCAGAAAGATAGGTTATAACGAAGATGCAAGTGGCCGACTTACACTTTTGACAGGGCTAGGACGCTCCCTACTCTCTGCGATGACCTCAATGTTCTGCAAACTGTGGGCATTTATTTAGCACAACTGGTGCCAATTGAAGAGGGCAGGGATGTGAAAATGACAAGACATACTTGTTCAGTTTCATTCCGGTGCGGTTAATCCAATCGTTTCTGAACAGCATATCTTCCAGCTCCGAATTGGGAGGGCCGATATCACCGAATTCGTCGCGCCATTCGTACTTGGCAGCTTTGGCCGCCCATTCTGGAAGGTCAACAATGTCATCGCCCTCGGCAGCTTTCTCGAGCGGTTGAACGGTGGTGCTGTACTTGGAGTAATCGTACTGCTGGGGAGCAGTCCACCCCTTCTCACGAGCAACGGCAGCAGCATCAGCATTCACTAAGCTCTGCTGGGTAGCAGCGGCTGGGGGAGCAGCATCCTCGAGCGCGTTGCTCATACCAGTAACATCAAAGCTACCCATGTTTCCACGCGTCTACGGAAGGTAAATACAGAAAAACCGAGCTCTTGAAGATGTTGAGTACTCTGAAAGGGAGACTATGCACGTAAGAAAAGGGTCAGCTTTGAAAGGGGAACAGCGTAATGGATGCTTGGAAGAACTCGGTGAAGCCAGTATCAATCAAGCCCTCAACAGACAGAAGGAGGGCTAGATCTAGCAGCGAGATTTATCTTACCTGAAAGCCCGTGAGAACTTATGGCAAGGAGGACCAAAAGAAGGTGGAAGAGAAGAAGAGAAGAGAGAGGAGAAGCAGTGGTGGGTTGTCGGAGTGAGAGAACCCCAGTGAATGCAAGAAACGCAGAGGCCCCGCAACAGATCCAGAAAAGCTTCTCCTAGAGATCCAGAGGAGTTTCTACAAACAAAAATCCAGTCTCTCAAGTAGAAGCCAGGTTTCCTCTTCGAAGATGACGTGAAGACTACGACTGAGGGTAGAGAGCAAGTCAGGATAGAAGAAAAGACAGGAGAAGATATACAACGTCTAGTCACAATGACGGTCTGCAGGTTGTTCTGAATGCACCTCATGCAGTTTGTTTAAAGAGTACTTAGAGCCAATGCTATCCTCATGCTATTGGATCAATTGAAATGAGGCCTTCCGCAATGAGGAAATCAGCAGAGGAACTGTATTAGGAGCTTTGAGAAGACAGACAGATGGACCGGCAGGGATGTATGCACACATACATGCATCCATTTTTCACAGCTCATAGTTCTCATGCAAGAAAAGAGAAAGTTCCAATATAGCTGCACAGTTGTACAAAGAAATTGCAGGGTTTGAAGAGCAGTAATGGAGCCAGGGCAATCGCCCTCCAACATACTCCACCCCCCCCCAATTTCCACTAGACTAGGGTGCAACCAGCATGCAGATACCCCGATCAAAGACAAAATGCGCATTAGCAGATTGGCTTGCTCCGTTTGCATTGAGAGATGAGGTCTCTGTTAGGGATGGGCAGATGCACACCAAGGATATGATAGATAGAGCAGACGTATCCTTGTCAGTCAAAAATGCCGAATAATTCTGTCCACAAGGCGTATCGATTCTTTTCTTCTTGTCCCCTGCTGCAAGACAGGGAAAAAAAAGAAGCGTTTGTTGAGGCCGGACACAAGGCTGCTCATCCCGCGGAGCTTACTCCGTAAAACGAGCGAATTCATCAGAGATGTGAACAAGGGGAAACCATGCTGATTCGCGCGAGAACACGCTGCAGGGATATATATTATTTCCTCTGCTTCCAGGGAGGAGAAGCGTGAAATGGACCAGTTCCAGCGCAAAATCAGAGACTCGGAGCGGGCAGAAGGAGATATACGCCGTAAGCCTGGGCACGGCAGCTCCGCAAATGGGGATTTCCAGCGACTTGGCCTGCTGGGAAATGAAAATGAAAATGAAAGACCTGAAGTGAAGAAGATGAGCCCTGTCTGAGCAGCACGAGTTACCATGTCTTCTTCAAACCGCAGTTCGCTGCACCAGGACGCCGACGGCCTGAAGCGCCTTTCCAAAGTCTCCTCCGACGCACGTCAGGTCGAAGAGGCAATCTCTAACCCGGGCGCCGTCAAGATCAACGTCCAGGGCGCTTTCATCGTCGACGACGAATCGCAGTCAAGGAGCCCCGTGGAAGGAGAGGGCGTTGTTCGCCGCGAGAGTCAGGATATCCGTCTTCCTCATCATACTGGCGTCGTCAGCCATGTCGCCGTAGATGTGAGTCTTCTTTTTTTGTTCCCCGCACAATCTCTTATCCCCCACAGTCTGCAGCAGCAGCGTCTGCACGTCGTTGCTAACCACTGCACCCTTCACAAACACACAGATCGGTGGTTCCCTTGCGAAGCTAGTCTATTTTACACGCGAGCTTGACTCCGCTGACAACGGTGGTCGCCTGAACTTTACGAGTTTTGAAACCCATCGTATAGACCTTTGCATCGACTTCATCCGCCAGCTGAAGGAACAGCACGAACGTCTCAATGGCTCCGAACCAGACGAACTGTGCGTTATGGCCACCGGTGGAGGTGCCTATAAATATTATGACAAGCTGAAGAAAGCACTCAACGTTGACATTCTACGGGAGGACGAGATGGCATGCTTGATTACTGGTACGCCATTTCTCTTCCTTATTACTTAGCCCAAAACACTCATTGGTCCAACAGGTCTTGACTTCTTCATCAACGAGATCCCGAACGAGGTATTTACGTATAGTGAATCGGAACCCATGCAGTTCGCTGAAACCCGGCCCGAAGTCTATCCGTATCTCTTGGTCAACATTGGTTCGGGCGTGTCAATGATCAAGGTGTCGGGACCCAGGCAATTCGAACGCGTCGGTGGAACCCATCTGGGTGGTGGCACGTTCTGGGGCATCATGTCTTTACTGACCGGTGCCCGGAGTTTCGATGAAATGCTGGCCATGGCTGATCGCGGAGACAATAGCGGGGTTGATATGCTTGTCGGGGATATCTACGGCATGGACTACAGCAAAATTGGACTGAAGTCCACGGCCATCGCCAGTACGTTTGGCAAAGTCTTTCGTATGAAGAACGCGGCAGAGAAACACGCAGAAGATGGGGAGGGGCTGTATACCGAATTAGACCAACACGATGGCGAGACAGTCTTCCGCCCGGAGGATATGAGCCGGAGCCTATTGTACGCCATAAGGTAAGCGATTCTTGATGTCGAAGTCTACCAGATATTGAAGGTCGAGCCTGACGTATGTCTAGTAATAACATCGGGCAAATCGCATATTTGCAATCCGAGAAACACAAAGTGACTCACATATACTTCGGCGGCTCCTTTATTCGCGGCCATCTGCAGACGATGAACACTCTTTCCTACGCTATTCGATTCTGGTCCAAAGGCGAGAAACAGGCTTACTTCTTACGACATGAAGGCTACCTCGGCGCCGTCGGTGCATTCCTGCGAAGACAGCCCGTCAACTGGGGTCGTCGAAACAGCCTTGACGACTCGATCTTGAAACGGTGACTTACAGAAGCAGTATCGAAACGCGTAATGGTTGAAGTTCCCGAGAAGCAGCCTTGCCCTTGGGTGTCGACGAGTTCGATGTTTTGGACCGTAGCCGGTATATGCTTTCGTTTCCCGACATACACTGTAATCTACATATTAGCGATATACTTACTGTACATACATTGGTTAGGACAATACAGGACTAGTCTCAATTATTCTATTAACGTGTTTCCTGTCTTTTCAACGGGGGATCCCAGTATATCTACTGCGTACGGAATACATAGGAAAAAGGTGTTTAAAAACTCAATGACGCTAGGTCTTGGAGCGTCCGTGAAAAAAAGCCATCAATGCGTCTTCGGGGCATCGCAAACGCCAACGTCGAGGAATTATTTGTCCCTTCCAGCCATCCGTCCACGCCTCCGCCAGATATCGCAAAATCCATGCTCAGCGTCAAGGAATAACGACTTACTTAACATGATATGAACAGTAAACTTGCAGCCGGCACCCAAGAATGCATGGTCCTCAGAAAGACGCCGCTCTTCTCTCTCCTTCAGTGCAGATCGAGGAGCCGCAGAACTACTACCCAATTACACGCTTACCACTGTTTCTCTTCCTCTTCCCCTTTCTCAATACATATGGGAATCATCTGTATCCGGATTGTACTGATCGATGTCTTCTAGGAGACCAGAAATCCCTAGGAAAGCCTCAGACCAAGTCGGAGATGGATGACTCTTCAGGCGTAACAGCTCTGAGAGCGTTCGAAATACACTATCGCCGCCGAAGGGGACTGAAGGCTCCGATCTGGACATCTGTGCAGTCAGGAATTTTTCACCCTAACGGAAGGCAATCGCTTTTTCACCATCACCCTTTTTACTCTTCCGGGATTTGGCTCAGCAAACTACGCTGCGGAGGACCAATCCAGAAACCCGAGAAGAGGAGGAGGAACAAGAAGAACCCATCGTTAGGCGAAGATCACGCGTTATACCACCATTACGCGATAGACAACTATGCTTTAGATCGTCTCGTGGCTTAACGATTGTGCAAGACCATAAACACTTAGATGGGAACGAAGACGATGGAGAACCTCCACGTCCAGCTAATACTAAAAGATGCAAAACTGATAATCACCTTGCAACTACGGAGCCGCCTACGGAAGCGAGCGACGTATACATGCGCATTCTGTTCAAACTTGTCTCCAAAACGAATGCGACCTTTCGCGCTCCCCTGAAGAGATGCCGGGACGCTAAAGACCTGTTCTCTAAAGCGCCAAGGTCTCTATGCTGTCATGTCAGCTACCTTCCAAGGCCGCAGCCTGAAGAGCAATGCCTGTTTGAGAATGGTGAAATGAGTTTGATTTACTAGTTGCTCATGCCAAGCGGGATTTGCAGTGGGTGAACCCTGGGACCTTGGACATCGTAGTGAGTAGCGTGGATTGAAACAATCCTCTCCGTCTAAGAGTCGTCAACCTTGGTGTCTAGGATCGGGGCAGAGACGGCGAAGATACGCTTGGACTCATCGATGACAGCCTGCTTTTTGCTTCCAGGTGACATTACACAGCAATGAAGACGAGCAACGCCTGTCGTCTACTAGATAATCTAATTCCAAGAACTCACTAATCCAATCTGGTTTCAGGCGATTACTCCGTATGTCTGTTCTATGGCTGTCCGCTACTCCTGCAGGGTGCTTGAGCGCTGTACACAACAGTTCACTCTTGAGCCCAATTAAGTGTCTTTCTCATTGTATATGAAGTAAATTATCAAGTTCCTCTCTTCCATGCCCTTCAGTTGAATGAAGCCTTACCGTTGATGACTAAGATGTATGTGACTGTGTTTGTGCCCGCGCATTCCTACAGAAGTGTTTAATGTTTAACCCCGATGAGCAGAACCAACCCGCGATCCAGCCATGCTTTGAACAGTGTTTGCGTCTGAGTTTACCTCTGTGCGATGAGCCCGTTGCCTTCCTCGTCTCTCCCCCCCATCCCTCCCCCGATTCCCGTCGAGACGCACCCGAATCGAGCGAGCAGCCTGAAGGCATCATCTCCTTCGCAGACACGGTCCCTTCCCGACCCGGATCGGCTTGCACCCGAGGATGCGTACTCGGCTAAATCTCTGGGTGCGAATTGCGATCTCCGTATCCGATCTTTGAATCGCAATGATGTCTCGGTCGCTGCGTTGCGACAACCGCCTGCCGTGCCGCCTTCGGATCCTACGCCCAAGGAGCTACGGAAAGTGAAAGGGGGGAGTAGACGGAGGACACGGAAAGGCGCCTGGAAGAAACTTCTATGGGTGAAACAGTCGTGTATGCGTATCTCGATTGGATTGGATTCCTTTCTTCTGTCCTGCCCGGTGGTTATACAGCCCGCTGACCTACGCATGAACGAATGAATCTGCAGATCCTGATAACTATACCGATACTGAGACCTTCCTGGACCATCTCCAGCGGAATCCACGGGTGCGTCCGTACGATTTTTGGCCCCTTGTGGCGGACTCTACGGTCATTGTTCAGCATGTTTCGTCGGTGGTTATCTTTGTCTGCTGTTTCGTCGGCATTGTCCAGGAGCGAGTCAGTCCTGTGTCGGTGGTCTGCTGGGGTACCGTGGCGACGGCAATGGGTTGGGTGCTGTGGGATTCGTGGGTTTGGAAAGAACATGATGCAGCTTCGAGGGCTGCGCAAGCTGCAGATGGTATCGCGGATGGCGATGACGGTTCTAGTTCTGGCTCTACGGTGAGCTTGGTCAATCCGTCTGCTCGGACTAACCAGAAGGAAAACCAGCCCAATGGGAAAGACCCAGATCGACAGCTGCGACGTTGCAGTATGGGCCTCAGCGGGGATTCTTACGAGGTGCCGCCAGAGCCTACTACCTCGCACCCCGCCACTCCTACAGCGAATGGAGCGCCTGACGGTAGTTGTCTTGCCCAGCATCATTCTTCGCGTGTGGCAGCGGCGAAGCCTGGACGGTTATCGTCACGGAGCCGGCAGCGTTTGACGACACTTAAATCGGCACTGATGATTTACTTCTCGCTGCTTGGTCTCAGTCCTATCCTCAAATCGCTCACTAAGTCTACTGCCAGTGACTCCATCTGGGCGATGAGTTGCTGGCTCCTCATCATGAACATATTCTCCTTCGACTACGGCAGCGGGGAGGGCGCGGGCGCCACCAAATTCCCAGCTTCCCTCTCTACCAATGCAGCCGTGATGGCGTCTACCGTGCTTGCTTCACGTCTGCCGTCCACAACGCACGTGTTCAGCTTGATGCTGTTCTCCATTGAAGTCTTCGGCCTGTTCCCCATCTTCCGTCGACAGTTGCGGCATACATCTTGGACGGGACATGCCGCGCTGACATTGGCCCTGGTGATCACAGCCGGAGGAGCCGTGGGGATCACTCTAAGAGGAGGCTGGGCATCCGCGATTGTCGGATCGTTCCTGGGAAGCATCCTGACCGCATTCTCCATGGGAGGCTGCAGCTGGTGGCTGATCAGTTTGCAGAAATACAAGAATGTGGTGACGGGGCCTTGGGATCCGGCACGGCCTATTCTGCGGCGGCGCTGGGATTGATGGCTCTTTTCTTCCCCACAACGAGCGAAGGCATGATGATTAAGTTCACTAGTCTACAGCAGATGATGATGCCTTTTTATTCGTTTAATTCATGGATGCTGTGGGTTGGGCTAGAGACATTTGCTATCACAGGCTGACTTTGCCTATCACGCATTGATGAAGCTGGCGATTAATTCCCTTTTACTGGAAATAATATGCGGGTCTCTTTCAGACTGGACAAATAATCCAGTCTTAATAATAATAATAATAAAATGAAGGTGTCAAGATAGTATATTAGACCCCACAGGATGGAGGTGACGCCAAATGTGTCTTTCCCCTCATCTTCATCTGTGACCTTCCCTGCTCCAAGCACAGAGAGTACGGAGAAAGAGACTGTCTCAAGAAACATTATGACGAAACAATACAACTTACCCTTTGAGGTACGCACACACTGTGATTCTGCTGCTTGGAGCTGCAATTGCCATTCCATCTGAAATCCCCACATCGGCGAGTTTCCGATGGATGGAGGCATTACTTGGATTTCTCCATGCCTCGCAGCATTAAAACCAGCACTTTTCCACAGACTACTCGCTAACCATGCGTGAGAATAGCTCGACGACCCTACACTGCTCCACTTCGACTCCTACGTCGGGAACGAATGGGTGCAAGCCAAACGAGGCCAGAGATTCGAGGTTGTCGGTGGGTGCAATCATCCTTCTCCTCTGTTTCCTCCAAACCTCACCAGACCAAACTGAGCCTGAGGGATAAACTATAGACCCCGGAACCGATATTCCTTGGGCAACGTGTCCGACCAATACGGCAGAGGATGTGCCGCACGCAGTGGAAGTTGCCCATGATGCATTCGAGAAGTACAAACGAGTCAACCCCCGCAAGCGGGCTCAGTTGCTCCTAGAATGGGACAGGCTGATCCGCGCGGCCAAGTCGGATCTAGCTAAGGTCATCACGCACGAGACGGGCAAACCCCTTGCCGAAGCACATGGGGAGATCGACTACGCCCTTGGCTTCACCTGGTGGTTTGCAGGCGAGGCGGAGCGGGTTCACGGTGGCATCTCTGTCCCTGCAGCTCCCAACAGACGCGTATTCACACTCAAGCAGCCTATCGGGGTAGCTGCGGCATTGGTGCCATGGAACTTCCCCGTGGCTATGATCCTGCGGAAAGCGGGCGCCGCGCTGGCTGCTGGATGTACGATGGTGGTGAAGCCCAGTCCTGAAACGCCCATTTCGGTGCTCATACTGGCCCATTTGGCGCAGAAAGCTGGGTTTCCCGCCGGTGTGTTTAACGTCCTCACCACGGATCTCGAAAATACTCCATCCCTTAGCGAAGCACTTTGCAAGCACCCTCTTGTCAAGAAAGTGACATTCACAGGCTCCACGCGCGTCGGGAAGCTTATCGCCTCCCACTGTGCGGTAGGACTGAAGAAAGTCACCCTCGAACTGGGCGGAAACTGTCCCTTTATCGTCTTCGACGACGCCAACCTCGACCAGGCCCTGGAGCAACTGATGGCCCTGAAATGGCGCCATGCCGGACAGGCATGCATCACAGCTAACAGAATCTACGTCCAGGACAAAGTCTACGATAAGTTCGCAGAATTACTGAAAGAGCGAACGAGCAAACTAGTCGTCGGCCACGGCGCATCCGAAGAGACAACCATGGGGCCCTTAACGACACCCCGCGGCGTCCACAAGGCCCAGCAACAGGTCGATGACGCCAGAAACCTCGGGGCCAAGGTTATTTTAGGTGGCAACCCACATATCATCACCAAAAGCAACAGCAACAACAATAGCAAGGGCTATTTCTTCGAACCCACTATCCTAACAGGCATGACGCAAGACATGCTGATTTCTCACGAGGAGAGCTTCGCGCCCATTGCGGCACTGTACCGCTTTCACACGGAAGAGGAAGTCGTCGAGCTCGCTAATAAGACGAGCATGGGTTTGGCCAGTTACGCATTTACCAAGAACGTTGACCGCATGTGGCGGATGCTGGAGAATTTGGAGGCGGGGATGATTGGGATGAATACAGGTAACTAGCCATTGACAAACACCGAGCAGTCCCCGGTTCAGAAGTTTGAGCATGAATCTAATACTGTAACATTAGGGAACTCGTCCGCTGCCGAATCGCCATTCGGGGGCATCAAGGAATCCGGATATGGCAAGGAAAGCGGGAAGGAAGTGGCTATTAATGAATATCTGATTACGAAGACGGGTACATTCACGATGGAGGGTCAATATTAGCATAGCAAACTATGCGTAGTATTGTCTTGTTCTGTTCTTGTTAACTAGCTAGGTACCTAAGCTCGGCATCCATCCTCGGTCTACGCGAAATGCAGCTTGCTAGGGGATGAATGGATGGACTTTGCCATTATGACCAGTTCACGGTTAAATTGAATTGGATTGAAACCAGTTCGACGCCAGATACCACTATTTTTTTCTAGGGACATTTTAGAGCAAACAGGCATGCGAGCAGAGAAACTAACAAGTCATGCGAATTCTTTAATTTCCAGATTTATTTTATGTATGCTTATTCCCTTCTAGAGGAAACCCCGATGCTACCCTTCATCTTTAAATATACAGATAAGTTACATCGTACATCATATATCAACGTATGCGCAGGAGATTTTCTAAATAAATGAACTCGTACAGTGAGTGCATTTTGCCCGAATATGCACCCGCGCCCAGTACGTATCCAACATTGCAGGACCATACATAAACCCAACCCACATATGTAAATATGTAAAAGTAGACCACATCATGAAAAATGCCACAACGCATCAAGGGTTTAAGGTCATGATCGCATGGAATCTATAAAGGCGAGGGTCAAATGATTTTGTAAAAGAAGCATAATGATGACAAAGAAGCCTCGATGTTGATGCAAAAAGAATGAAAAGAAAAGGAGGAACAAAAAAATCACCGCTGGCTGGTTCCTCGTTTGACTGCCCACTCTTTCAGAAGTCGAGATACTTCCTTGAAAGATACGGGTTTAGTGAGAAACAGGTCGATGCCAGAAGCTAACGCCTCGGACTGGTCAGCCGAACTGCTCAGGCCTGTCAGTGCGATGATGAAGGCCGGGCTGCAGCAGTCGCGTTCCTTCTCTAGAGACCGAATGGCTCGTGTTGCTTCAAACCCATCCATGACCGGCATGGATATATCTACAGTGAAAGTTAGCATACGCAACTATGTTTTGGAAAGCTGTGGGCAAAGAAGCCTACCCATGAAAATAATGTCATAACCAGGACGCATTCTCTCCACTTCTTCAACGGCTGATTTTCCGTCTTCTGCTGAATCCAACGCAAGGTGATCATGTCTCTTCATGAATGTCAACATTAAGTTGCGGTTGATCGCATTATCATCCACTACCAGTACGCGGGGAGGCTGTAGTGTCCGCGGCTGAGCACTGGGATACTCCAAGGTCGGTGAAGGACTTCTCCAAGGTGAGGGGGTGGAGGCAGATGATGTCGCTGGCTCAGTTAAAAACGATTCCGTGGATTCAGACTTGGCTGTGGCATCAACTGATGAAGGAGGGGTCTGACTAGCGGACCCGTCACGGTCAGACTCTGAGTTCCTCTCCGACAGCAGCTCCAGCACGTTGCACGCTGCCGATTTATCATCTGCTATGACATCAGAATCCTTCGGCCGCTCTGGGAGCGTGCACAACTGCAGGCTAGACAAAGAAATAGGCTGAACATCTGCTTTCTGTTCTTTTAGACACTTCAAGATCCCATTTGCCAGCTTGTTTGGCCCGCACGGATTGCAAAGGACATTGATTGACGATGCGACTGGTGATAAATGAAACTTTGTAGTATCAACGCATCTGTTGCACAAGACAAGAAGGGCAGGTAGAGTTTCCGGAAGACTGTCATCGTCCTTCCAGTTCACAGGGAGATCATGCCCGTCGGCCACCAGGATATCAACTGGGGTTGATGAAGACCACGCTACTAATTCAAGACCGTACCAGACTCTCAAATACTGCGCTATCACTCCCCAGCGGGGCTGAGCAACCAAATTCGCCGGGTTGACCCCCCAGATAGCAACACTCCGTCCTGCAAAGCGCTCCCGAACCAGACAGGCCGCAGACGTATCTGTTTGCCGAGCAAATGATCCTTGAGGACCAGTTGGCGGGCTATCAGCGCCTCCGCGACGAGCCAGAGGCAATGACACCTTAACAACGGTCCCCCCATTAGGACGGCTTTGGATACTGATAGTTCCGTTGAGCGCTTTGACGATGCTTCGAACTATGGATAACCCGAGGCCGGTGCCCACGGCCAGAGTATCTTCTTGTGCAAAAGGCGTATATAGGCGACCACGAAGAAACTCCGGTGAGATGCCCTTCCCGGTGTCCGACACAGTCAAGGTTAGCCATTCTTCTTTCACATCTCGTGGGGAAGAAGGGCGACTGTCAGGAGACTTTGGCGATTCTGCCATTTCTAACTTCACAGTAACACGGCCTTTTTCGGTGTACTTGAGGGCATTACCAAAGATGTTCATTACGATGCGTCGCAAAGCACCGGGCTGAGTCTTGTAAATCCAGTCATGGTACGCAATGTCGATCACCACCTCAACGTCGCTTTTTATATCATCGCCAATGCTGCTCACATTGCAAATCGGGCGCCGCTTATTTCCGGCGGGAGAGCTCACCGGCTGGTTGTCGGATAGAGAAAGGCATGGACGGTCGCCGTACCTATGTCCTAAACATACGCCTTCCACGACCTCCTCGGTCAAGACAGCGACGTCAGTGTAGACGGATTCATCCAGTTGCAGACCACTATTGTCGGCTTTTTCAGATGGCAACTCTCTACTGCGCCTGAGATGGCGCCAGTTCTTACCCAAGGACACTATCTTGCTGTAATCCAACACCTGGTTTACCGTATCCAACAGCGTACGGCCACACGCATTGACCGTCTGCAGTAGGGAATCCTGAAATTCATTGAGGCTCGTACCATCCATCAACTCAGTAGCGGCCAGTATCCCATGGAGTGGGCTACGTAATTCATGCCTAGAATCCGAAGAAGGAAAAGCCCCAGGGAGCGCGGGCAGACGGAAGTGGAACAATCAGCCTTACATACTTGGAAATTCGCGGGGGGTACGCTGTATTTTTACTGATGACAGGCATAACTCACGAAATGCATCCGATGAAATCACCTTTCTGACGGTCGGCAATCAGTGATTTTACGCGACTCCATTCGGCCATGATAGAGGTCCCAAAGCCCATGACAGAGCTCAATTCGACCGCGGAGCTGAAGACTTGAGTTTCCACTGTATTCCAGCAGAAGCATCCGGCAAACCACTGCGAACCGGCGGCATTCCACAGGGGCACAAAAAGCAGCTGACTTGCGTTGGGAAAATATCGATTGAGCATGGCTGTCTCTGTTGCTTTCCATTTCCGACAGCCACCACCAAGCTTGGGGGGCTCGACGGACCTGGTGACGTGGTAGAGAACATCCTTACGATGCGAATCATCGTCGTCCGAGGTAGATAGAGACCCGTCCCGGTGAAAGGACCAGAGTTTCCCCTTGGGATATCGCCGGAGCAATTTGCCGAGAAAACTCCGATCCATGTTCGCCACGGGATAGGAGACAGTTGAGCCAGCTTTGGGAGCGAACGGATCGTCGTTGGTTGATACCGCCAGGACAGGAGCTGGGCCTTTGATATCCGTCGACGGGGAATCCGAGGAACTGCCGTTAGCATCCAAGAAGACGACACCGCCATCGCCACTCAACTCGAGACTCTCGCGGAGCAGATTGGCCGCCCTTCGAAACAGCCAACTCGATTCATCTGGCGAGATGCTCTTGCGGCTGTTCCCAGCCTCTAAGTCGGAGAAGGGGGTGACTAGATCAGAGGACGTGCCGGTGTCCAATTTACCGTCGGACAGGGAGCTGAAGGAACGCTCATCTGCGCTACGGGATCGTCGAGAACGACCGTCCGTGCAGGTAGCTCGCGAAACGTCGGGAGGACTAGCTCTGAGATTGACAGCGGATGTTGGCGGGCTGGGCTGCGGCGCCGAGCTGCTGGCACGAGAGTGATAGTGGCCATCGACGAAACTGGAACTCCCTTCGACAAAGCAACTTAGGCCTCGAGACAGTCGAGCAGCGCGCCGTCCCTCGGAAGCCTGGCGACTTACTTTCAGATAGTCCATAATGAGCATAGATACCGTGGCCAATGTATCCTTCTCAGCGGCAGACAGACCATCGCGAACCCGGGTATCCAGCACAAAAAGACAGCCAATGTTGATATTATTCTCTGTGGTCAGGGGAGTTCCGGCGTAGAAACGGAAACGGGGCTCCTGCTCAACAAATGGATGATGGCGAAAGCGATCATTGGAGCTCAGATCGTCGATGACCAGGAAATGGGAGCGGCCTGGTGATTTTTCAGAAGGCAGGAGCGCAATGGTATCCTGGCGAACATGCGGGATTAGTGGTGACTAGCAGAGTGAGAATACAGTAGCATAGGAAGAACGCAGTTCTCACTTTGCATAAGTTCCAGGGATCAGTAATGGTAGAGCAGCCGGCCCAGACATCATCTCCTTCGCGTTCGTAGACTGCGGGATCTGTGACGCTGAGAGTCTGAGTGGCTTCGGCCAGAATGAACTGCGACTCACGGTCGAAGACACCAGAGGGAGGTCAGCCAGGAATAACATATATATAAAGGAAAGCAAAGTGAAATAAAAGACAGAGGGCAAGCGACGAACCAGATCATGGCACGCTGGGCATTCAGGCGCAGGGCAGCCAGCTGGGCAAAGGAGGTCAAGGTCGGACTATGGGAGCCCAAGACAGCAATGTCGTCGTCGAAGACATGAGGAACGATGATATCGGGAGGAGATGAAGATGCGGAATCGGTGTCTAGGATAGAAGTCGACAGGGAGACCGGGGGGGAATCGTCAATATCGGGAGACTTGAAGGCAGATTGCCTGGATGGCTGGAAGTACCGGTAGAGCTCGCGGGTTCTGCGGTCGGCCCTGCGCGAGCTGCAGGTAGGGGAGTTAGAGGCGTCCATGATGGACAGCGTCAAGCAGCGGGGGCATCGTCTGGGCAGACGAAGGGAAGAAGGGGAGAAGAGAAAAAGAACGTAAGGATGAACAGGATGAACAGGATGCAAAAGAACAGCGACAGGTGGGGATGGGCTTATCTAGACATGCTTCTAGACCGGTTTCAGAAGCTTCCCTACTCGAGAGTTCCGTCCGCGCCCGTAGTTACAAAGGGTCCATCCATGGATTGAAAGTGCCTAATTATTGGTATACATCTGTCCATTTGCAGTGTGCAGCCGTTGAATATGGGGCTATACAGAGCTATGTATGAGTAATGTAAGTATAATAACGTAACCAGTAAGTGAGCGGCGCACCTCTGTGTTCCACGTAAAATGACACTTTTTAATATCTTAATATCTCAAGAACAAAGCATACAGAGGGCATAGAATTTGAGATATGGGGTGAGCTGACACTATATTTGTATACATGAAGCAAAGAAATTTTTAATGTTTTTCTTGGTAATATTAAATTACAGCTGTATTTTTTAAGTTATTCTAATGTTCAGAAAAATTAATTTCAAAAAAAAAAAAAAAAAAAAAAAAAAAAAAAAGCAGGCATACTTTTAGAGCCATTTTATATATTTATCTTACTGGTATGGTTGTTGAGGTTGTTGAGATATTAAGGCCTTAAAAGCGTCATTTTATATGGAATACAGAGGTGCGCTAGCTTTTTACGTTACAGTGCATAGTTAGTTAATTATAGTCAGTTAACGTAATCGGTAAGCGAACCGGCCACGTAAACGAACCGGCCACATCTCCCAAAAATAACTCTATATATTGATTTCAAATCCCAATTTCAAATCCACATACAAAATGTATACAAAAATCTAACTAGCATTACGATTAGGACATCTGTTAATTCGATGCCCAATAACTCCACAACCACTACACTGAAATTGGCGTCGTACAATTGTTTGAGAGGCTGGGAGCTCCGGCTCGGCCGGAGCAGTAGTAACAGCTTGAGATGCTTCAACCTGACCTTGTACGAGTGCTTGAGCTTCTTCTCTAGTAATCCCTTGCTCAGTAGATATCTGTTTCTTAGATCTTTGGCGTTTTTGCTTCTCTTTTTCATTCGCAGCTCGAAAATCATGGCTTTCTTTCCGTACGAGTAACAGATCATTCATTGTGATTTCATAGGCTTTTGACATCCGCGTAATTACTTGATCAATCACTTGATTTGGATTTCCTGTACATTCACTTATACGTCTCTTTAATGTAGTTGACTGGCGTAGGAATTGACGTATATTTTGAGGTGTCTGTAAACAGGATGATTGTGTATTGCTGGATTGACTTGGAGGGGGGGTTGGCGTTTTCAATTGAATATTAAGTTGTTGAATAACTCGATCCGGATTGAAAGGCACTAATCCAGTGGCTGTGAAGCTATTCCGGATAGTTTGAGCTTTATAGGCCATCGTACGAGCCTGTGGAAATGCTGTTAAAAAGTCAATTTTGTCAATATGGTTGAAGCCAAGCCTCATTCGCTGCTCAACAAGCTGCCCATAATGCCGTTTTAAAACAGCAAAACAGCCAACATCAAGAGGCTGTACGAGATGTGAAGAATGAGCTGGCATACAGACTGGAATAATACTATTCTCAGTACATGTACGGTCAAATTCTGGTGTTAAATGGCTTCCATGGCCATCAAGAATCAACATAGCATATGTTCCCAATGTATGAGCACGAACAAGAGGAATAAAATGGGTTTTAAGCCATTCTAATCCTATTTGATCTGTAGTCCAGCCATTTTCACTAATATTGATTCTCCAATCATCTGGGAGCTCATCAAACCAGCCTAATCGTACATTTTTTTTGGCTTTGAAGATAATGTACGAAGGCAGGGCCCATCCAGTTGAATTTGTTGCTTCAATTGCAGTCACCCATTCTCGATTTCCAGGTTGTAAAAGCTTTGGCTGAGCGTATCAATCGCTTCCAGTAATAACCTTTGCAGTTGCGCAGAGTCCCATAGCAAAGCCAGTCTCATCAAAATTGTAGATATCTTCTGGTAGGATTCCGTACGTAGATATAGTAGTTTGTACGCGGTCAAAATATTCTTGAATAATCTTCGGATCTTCACATTTCGCACGTTCATAATTGTATCTTCATGAGAACTTCGAACTGATCTCTGGGCGACGTTTAACAAGATTATATACCCATTTTTCTCCAACCCGTTGATCTCCAGATTGTGAGAGAAGATAATTGGCCATTTCTCGTACGAGAGAGTGCCGGGGGGTAATCCACGTCGATCTAAATCGAGCACCCATTTGACAAGCGATTCCTCCTCAAATTGAGCTAATTTATGGTTGTTGGCGCGTATTAGCTGTCGATATTGTCTTCCCTTTAATCGATCCTGAAGAGTTGTACGAGGGATTGTATAGATTCGTGCAGCTTCACGAATACTGCGAATTTTTCCATTTTTCAAGTCGGAAATAGCTAATTCAATCTTTCCCTCTATTTGGGCTATTTGTAATGGATCTTTTTTGCGAATTTGTGGCATTTTGACGCGTTGAAATATAGTAAATCAATATATAGAGTTATTTTTGGGAGATGTGGCCGGTTCGTTTACGTGGCCGGTTCGCTTACCGATTACGTTAACTATACTGGATTACATACGCATCACTGACTCATGCATTTTCTCCTGGCCAATGACAGACCAAAGCAGACTCACCACTGTGAATCATGCATTGTAGATCGTACCATGACTGGTCCGTGCAGATAAGGCCCCCACACTACGCCCGCATACGCAAACCCGTAATCCCACTGCTCATAGGGTCATGTTCATGTCCATTCCGTGGCATTTACTCTACTTGCCAATATCAGTATTTCCACAGCATCATGTGACCGTTCCAACGGCTCTCCAAACCCTCAAAACCTCTCCATCAGTCGCCTTCGCACCGTCCACATCCGCGCCCGTTTGCCGTACATATACATCGGAATCGTGAACAGGAGACATGCCAGCTGGATCCCCCCTAGCACCAGAAAGACCGTCCGCGCCCCGTCCGCGTCCACCCAGTCCACAATGAACAGCGAGAAAACCAACCCGTGGAAGACATCTAGATAAGCAAGGATCAGCAAATGGAACATGCCCTACAAAATACAAAATGGTGGTATAACTTACTCTTGCTGAAATTCAACGTCACCAGCGCCTCCCCTGCGTACTGCCGGTAGCTGTCCACGCAGAATGTAATAGACGTCGTGCTGCCCAGAGAACAACCGAATGATACCACCCCGAAGAATATCGTTGGCACAATCCATGAATCATTGATCTGTGCGCTCCATCCAAATCCCATCATTCCTATCGTCGTTGACACTGCGATGGGGATCGCCATTACTAGCCGGAACTCTGGCTCGTAGATGCCCCCGTTCCGACGCGCCATGAACCGCACAATGATGTCAGACACTTTTCCCGCCACCCCCGTGCCCAGAAGCGCCCCGACAAATGGTGAGATGTAGATTAACCCCGTCTGTATCGAGCTGAAATTGTAGCTATCCCGGCTCTGGTACACGTGGGCCACGACTTCCGAGAGCACAATCAGCCAGCCGATCGACAGAGAGTAGACCACCGATGACCACAGCACCGATGGGTAGGCGTACAGAATGAACGGCCGGAATGCAACCCGCAGCCAGCTGTCATGTGCAATCCGTCCATTCCACAGCTTGAGCGTCTGCAAGTACGGGATACGAGGCTGCTCGCGGAGTCGGTTTGTGTAGCGCATTGCCATACTGATAGATCGTGAACGGCTCGTTGAGTCGCTACGAGCTGGGGATGCTGCCATCCTCTTGGCAGCTTCGAGATCTGCCGCAGTGCCTTCGGTTTGTCGAGACTGCTCCGTGATGGCAGTTGAACATGGCACATAGGCCACCAGGTCAGGTTTCTCCAACATAGCGCAGCGCATATCCGCCGCGCCTTCATCTCCGGCCGCATGAATTTCCGCAGACGCTTCGACTTTCTCTGATCCTACCTGGGTCTCCTTCTCAACGCCAGGCTCATCGACGAACCCAACATGGGCCTCCTTGCGCTTCTTTGGCGGTGCTGCAGGGAGTACTTTCGGCTCGTCCCCGTCTCCGTCTCCATCTTCGCCTTCCAGACGCTTGGCATGGGGTGGACGACCGCGAAAACCGCTAGTCACCAAATCCGACACGCTGCGTGGTAAACGCGGGCGCTTGTGTGACTGACGTGGACGAGGCGTTCGGTCCCAGAAGGTCTCGGGCACGAACAAGAAAAGTAAAACAAGACCACCTCCGACCACCATTGCAACGACCCAGAAAACCCAGCGCCAGTTCAAGCTGTTGATGATGGCAGCACTCACCAGTGGAATCAGGTTCTTACCCCCTAGAAGGAGAAGCGTGTAGACACCGACCCGGTACGCTCGCTCATGTAGGAAGTAAATTTCGGCTATCGTGGCAGAGGGAAGACATTCCACCGGACTGACTGCAATTCCCTGGAAGATGCGGGCCAAGACCAGGCTAGGGTAGTTTGGAGAGAGAGCACACCAAACGGCAGAGACAATACAGAGAGTAGCACCAAGGAGATAGACCGGACGCTTTCCGTATAGAATAGCTGTAGGAGACATGATGACGGAGCCCACGCCAAGCCCAAGCATGTACAACCCGGTTGTATATGCGACATCCTGCGTTGACACACCATAAGTCTCGGCAACATTGTTGAATCCTGCCGCGAGAATTGGCGTCATGCCCCCGCCGATCAAGCAGTAGAACCCAAGGGAAAGCAATGCAGCATCCCGTCGCCACATAGGCCAGTTCAGAGGATCGTTCAGCGAATCATCGGGTTGTGGTTCGAGAACAATCTGACCATCAGGCGCCTTCTTTTTCGAAGGAACCGGTTCGGAATGGGGATATGGAGATGGTAGCGATGAAGCAGACGTACGTTGCTCTTGGTGCCTCAACCTCAGAGGTTCGTTGCGGTTGGATGAGAGAAGTAGAATCGTTCCTATCATACGTTGATAATCCAGTTAGAATAAAAGAGAAAAGGAAGAATATCCCTTGAATAGCCACATACCTGGTACTTCATCTGTCTCCTTGTCACTCAGGATACCTAGGGTAGACTTCGAACGATAATTCGCATCCTCTTCCGCAGAGCGGGATGCGTTTCTCCACACGATCCCGAAGAGGTTCTTCCAGGCGGGCGGTTTCTGGCCACCAGTAACTAAGTCCTCTCCTACGCTTTCTGAAGGATTCACCATAGTGTCGCGCTGGTATTTCAGAAAAAGCTAGTTCCTCCGGTTAGCTTCTTTAACGATTTTCTTTGCAGCAGTGTCTATCATCAGGCTCATCTCTCTCAACTCGAAGGGAAACCAACCTGACACAAGGACCTTCAATAATGGTTTTTTTTTTAAAAAAAAAAAGGACGAAGAAGATGCCAAGGAACTAAAAGATAGAGGAAAAGAGAAAAGAATAGAAAAAGGGGGGCAGAAATGACGGTGAGAACCAAATTCTCCAAGACGATCGAGTGAGTACGCTATCCCGGGAAACGAAGTCAGCGCCCCGGAGAGAACGCACGCAGAAAAGAAGCGATAGATAGCATATTTGGAAGAAGGAGAATCAGCGATCAGCCTGGTAAAGGACAGAGATGACGACGGAGAGAAAGAGGAGCGTTTTGTCACGCGGGAGAGACGACGGGTGGTGGTGGCGCTGGACGTCGTACGGGTCGTCGAGAATGAGCTTCAATTTCCCAGATGCCAATTAATCAATTAATCGTTTTTATTTAATCTCTCCAAGCCATGACAACTGTTGCACTAGCTCGCACGGGCGTCTGACAATACGCAGCAGGAGGGTCAGCGACGGAAGAGCAAAAGACACGCATCCCATGGCTCGCAGCCGCTGATGGCCCACAACCGCTGATGGCCCAAGAACGAGGCTTCACGAAAAAAGGCCAACCTGCTTGTCTGAAGTGCAAAAAAAGCCCCGCAGCCAAGATCACCGCTGCAGTGACCATTATGCATATCAGCTGCCGCTTGACTCGGGCCATCGTCTGGCTTTCTTTCTGCCCGGTGATGTCATTTCTTGCCCGATTATTGCCCTGGCAGAAAGCTTCGACCAATGCAGCTGAGGGAGGAGATAGTTAGTGTGTGCATGCTCACTACAAGCGGGTTAAAGCTATCAAGAATCCCCTTCCTATAATCCGAAGACATAGAATAGTCTTAGTTTACAGGGAAACCGGGTTTTACTGTAAAATTTGATCAATAGGCGTGTTAACAAGGTGGAGTAGAGTACAGTGTGCTTTGACGGCACCCCAGCAGAGCTACGTCAAGTCAAGCAGAAGATCAGTCCATTTATCTGAGTCTTGGCTCTCAATTTAGAGGAGCAGAATACAAGTCTGTGTCCAGAATGCTAGGCTAGCTATTCGGCGTCAACCCTTTGAATCATCAGCATGCATTCCAGCCATGAAGCCCTTCTACCTAGCACCCTAGTGGGTTCTGCCAGCTTAGACCGCCCTTGTCTAGGTCGCCACATTAGTTAGATAGTTCGCCCCTTCTATTGGACAAGCATATCCTCGAACACTTTCGCGGCAAAGTCACGCTCCGCGACTTGAGAAGGCCGTTGCCCGACATAACTATTAGCCTCATTCTGGGCGGCGGAAGCAGCAACCTCGAACCGAGCACGTTCTCTTCTGACAGCTTCACTTGCAAGCCAGAAGTTAAGACTGAGCAATGGCTTGAAGAGCAACTGTCTATCAACGCCGGCGTCAATCAGTTTTTTCACGCGCTGCTGGCCATGGTCAGGATCCCCGTCTCCATGGTGAGTGACAAACACGAGCGGTTCTGATACATCGTTGGATGAATAGATACAGATCATCTCTTCACCTTCTCCTTCAGCGCCAGAGCTACTATTCACTTGTTCATCTTCGTGACTGGTGTTCGTTTCGGCCCCATAGACATCGATATCAGCATTCGATTGAGTCACAGCAACCTTGTCTGAATTGATTTCCGAATAGGTATCGCTTTCGGAGTCGGATTCGTCTTCATCCTTCGGCTCAGACTGTTCTCCCACCTTGCTTGCCGCAGAATTTCCTTCTCCAGACTTCATTTTCCCAGGCTTCATCTTCCCGCTTTTCTTCTTGCCAGGTTTCTTTGGACGAGTTCTCTTTGCCTCGTTGTCTTCGACCTTATCAGTTTCAGTCTCCTCTTCCGTAGGATTATTCCCCCCTCCCTTGCTAAACACTTTTTGCGCTTCTTCCTCAGTAAAACATATTTCGTGCCAATACCTGAGCTTAGTTATTGTCAATTCGCCGGCAGCAGGATTTTCACCTCGATCAGCCTTCTCCGTCATAAGACCCCCAGGCCCAATTTTCTTGACCGGATTCGCAACAGTTTCGCGGTCGCACAACGGCTCTTCCATGTCATACTTGTAGAGATCGGAGTCAGGATCCAACCCAGGGAATGCAGGCAAAAAGCCTCTTGGGGATAAGAGTTGGATGAATTCGCGTGCTGCCATTCTTGCAGCATCTTCGCATATTGTCCCAGTTTCGCAGATCGGCACCACAAAATCAAAAATGTGCGCTTCATCCTTGTATCCGAGGGCAGCAGACGTTTCGGGGAATTTCCATCGGCCCTGAACGTATTGGAAGATTTTCATGACCAGACCACGCAGGCGTTCACCTAGTGCATTGTCGGCATTAGATCTGTAGAATGCGATGGGTCGATGGACCAGGCTTCGGGCGGCTACTAGCTCGGAACAGATGGCGCAACGGTATTGAGCCGACTTCAAAATGTCTGTCTCGTGGAAAGAAACGATGTGGCAGAAGTCTACTGCGTGATCAGCCGCAGTCTTGTTGGCATTTGGAATCACAGAAGCAGGCCACTTGGACGTAAATGCTAGGCAACTGAGACGACCACGGTCCGGGGGATCGTCGACCTGAAGTCTTGGTCGTCCGACAAATATAGTAACTCCAATCTCATGGACCCTCTCCTTAGTCGCATTACGGCAACTGGCCGGGTTGTCGTGAGAGTAGAGCCACTCCACAGATTCAGCCAACCAGTCCTCACTGGCGTAAGAGATGATGGATACCTCGCTCGAGTGAGCAGTTTTGTTGTGACTCTCTTCCAAGGATGGTGACTCAATCCCTCTGTCGAGAATGCTGTTGATACGTTCGTGAATCTTGCTGTCGATAATTTGGCGACATTCGCCATCAGGTTGGCACACTGGAACAGCCAGGGAACACACGTACGGTCTATCCCCTGTGGCGCGACTTGAACTGCGGGTTACATATGAAGCAATCGTTGACATAAGCTTGTGGGCCTCTTTAAAGCCAGCCAGCTCGATATATCCATTCCGTGTGGCAGACAAAGCACGATGGACGAGGCTCTTCGCAGGAGTTTTCCTACAGACAGCACATTCTTGGACCAGACGACTAAGAATATCCTCATTAAAAGAAGAGGCTAAGTTTTCAATCGTACGCAAGGAGCGGAGTTCCTGAGACAACCTTCGCTGTAAGTACAGACGATGCTCATCGCTGAATCGAAAGAAACCTTCAGACAGATCGTCGATAGGAACAGAATGACGCTCTTTTTTGGGGCCGAACACTTCGTCCGAAATCTTCGCATCAAAGAGCACTTGATTGAGCTTCCGTGGAGGGTCGAGGCCTCCGATGAAGACACTCAGACAAACTTCAACCTCCTTGGATTCTCGATTGACAGGGGTATTCATTTCGGGAGCACTGCGCACCTTTGTATCTCTATGTATTTTGAAATGTACACGTTTAGAATATGCAATTTGACGAGCTGTGGTACTGCAGTCTTGCTTCAAATCTGGTGTCAGCTTTTTGGTTCCAAGCAGGCCTGAATGGTGTGATGCCACTACCTTCTCCATTGTGGCTTAGTGGCGAGGCGATAACCAAGCTGCCCATAGAGGTGAGTAGGTATGTTAGTATGTCTTCTGTGAGACTGTGTGAGAGTTAGATTGGCAAATTTCTGGGAATAAGCATGCATATGTCTGTGCAGAAACTATATCCACAGTGAATACTCATGGCTGTACTGGAAGGTTGGCCTTCATCCACAGAACAGCATAGAATAGACAAGAACAGCAGACTGTTCTTTTTAAACATGTTAGAAAATGAGGCTAGAATAGGAACACCTTGCAAGTACTAAGTGGTTCTTCAGTGCATGTATACTACATAGAGCCAATATATGGCAGAGAAAGCTCCAACAAGCTCAGTATTGCATGGCTGCATGGTGGAGGCAGTTGTTATTGCAGTTACGCCTCCATCTTGGGCATTTGAAAAGGCAGCTATCTTGGCCTTCCAGCCCCAAACAGCAGCAGGAACTTCCATTGCAGGGTTAGCCAAAGAATTATTATCATCCAGAGCACAAGATAGATAAACTTGAAGATGCTAGTTCTGTTGGATCAACTTGCTTGTATTGTATCTATCTAGGTTGGTCTAGCTATTTTAGTGTGTCAGGCCAAGCGAGGGCGGTCTAATATGGCAGAATACACGTGACCTCTAACAAGTTCTTAATGGAGGTGTATCGTTGGTTGGTCACTAGCTAGATAGGCCGAAGTGGTGAAAAGGACTCAGACTGTTGCAGCTTTTGTATCGTTGATGATATACCCTGACGTTGTACTTGGCTCCTCGATACATCCGTATAGTAATAGCAATCTTTTTGCTTGACCATCCTTTAGAGCTACAGGCACGATTGCGACATATGATTACTATTTCGATTATCCGGAAATATACTTGAGTTCAAGACCAGCGCTGGGCCTCATCTCCATTAATCGTCTGCTCTCCAACAGCTATGCTAAGATGAACCTAATTCCCCTCTATACATACTCGGAAAAACGCACCTCCCCCAACACAGCTTACTCTTCTTTCACCGACATCTCATCAATCATCATCTGGTCAGAATCCTTCTTCCAGTCTTCATAAGTGCGATACAAGTACTTCTGGGCGGCTGGGTGGTTTCGATAGTAAGTCTCATGATTGATCTCACAGACACCGTCCTCCTTCCCCTTATGGTCGATGCAGAAAGGGCGGTTGCATAGAACACATAGCTGGATTGGGAGTGTATCTTCCAGGTGTGGCTTCCTCAACCGCATCTGCTCATGGACGTGGCATGATCCAGAATCGAGAATATGGCTCTAAAGATTTATTAGGCTCAAAACTAGAATTAAATATACTGAGAGTTAGGAAACTCACCATTATATGATTTCTATGAAGATTGTGTTATTGGGGTTTGATGGTAGTTTCTTAGGATAGTGAGCACTGTAAGATGAAACTAAAGTGGGGGAGAGCGGGGGCAGGTTGAGCAAATACTAGTTTTTAAATGTTGCAGGGTTGGCTAGTCACAAACTGGATATTATCGCATAACAGTAGCATATCTTGGCACTAGCTTCATAAGAAGTGGTTATGCATAGGCATTGTATGAGCGATTAAAAGACACGCTGTTGGTCTACTGCATTATTGCACTTCAATACGAGAGTCATAGAATGGAAGGGAACAATAATTTTCCCAAACCTAATAACGTACTGCCGTAGTAAGGGCTTTCAAGAGGCATTTACAAAAGTGGCTTAGTATATCCTATATAAGGGTGCCCAAAAGCATTCAAGTGTATCAACAATTGCGCCAGTATTGCAACCAGCTGTAGGAAATACTCTATACTGTTTTCCCAGGAGAATACCTTGATACAATCTAAGGAGACGTCAGAAATCGTCGACACGAGGACGTGAAAACGGGAAGCAGGCCGAAATCTGGACTAGCGATTATTTAAGGGGGATTTCATTTCTACGGTCGCACTTGGACGAACCATTTAACGTATTTCCCGGTCGAGCGGGCCACCTGCTAATTCCTGCCCGCGGGCTAAATACTAGAGCCTCTACCAGCCAAACAATTGCATTTTTATACAAAAACTAATTGCTAAGGGGATTGGGACATCTAACTCTAGTATGTCCCCAAATATGACAATTAGAACACTGTGGTGGAGCTCATACGTGTGGTCCAACTGCAGAAAGTGCTGGATCTCTAGGAAGCATATCTTGACCTTCAACAACCTCATTCTCATGCTGAAATCACTCTAAACCCTCCTGAATCGCTGAGCCCTCTGGAATAGCTAGCTGCCTAGTAGAGTGCTTTTGCTTTTGACCTTTCCATTCATTATTAGCGCAAAATTTGCATATTTCTTCACGTGCAAGAACAAGCTCATTAAGTGTCAATTCATGACCTTTAATAATCTTGTCTAATTGCAATTCTAGCAAAGGTAAAGGGCTGTGAACACATTCCCTAAGCAGTTTCTTTGCAGCTGATGCCTGCTTCTCCAGCTGCCTAGTAGTATATGGTGTTTTAGGTGCTGAATTAGTTGACTGACTAGGTGGTGATGTAGGGGTCTTTAGTCAGATGTCTAACTTGCTAAACACCCTATCTGGATTAAATGGAACTAATCCAGCACCTGCGAAGCTATTTCAAATAGTCTCTGCTTGAAAAGCACATTCGTGAGCATGTGGAAAGGCCTCTAAGAAATCAAGCTTATCAATATGATTGATTCCTAAGCGTGCTTTCTGCTCCACCAAGGTCCCATATGCCTTTTTTAAAGGCGCAAAACAGCCCACATCCAAAGGTTGAAGCTTGTGGGAAGAATGAGCAGGCATACAGATAGGAATGATATTATTCTCACTGCATATCTGATCAAATTGAGGTGTAAGATGGCTGCCATGGCCATCCATGACTAGAAGACGGTATTTCCCAGTCATATGACTAGAAGTAGCAGGAATGAAGAGATTTTTAGGCCAGTGAAGGCCTATCTTATCAGAGGTCCATCCATTAGGACTAACTTCAATTCTGCTATCACGTGGGAGCTTGAAATCTTGATACCAACCCTCTATATGGACCTTGTCAGGGCCCTTGCCATGTAGACCAGGACGAGCACGTGAGCTTCCTTACTTGGATTAGCGTGGCGCGTGGATAGGAGTACGTCGTCCAGCTTCACGTAGATCTCTTCCTTTTTCCTTCCTCTTCATGCTTGAAGTTCTCGTTGATAGCTGCCTAGATAGCTGAATAGCATCCTATTCATCGTCTGGTTGAGCTCCGTGACAGACCTTCCCCTTGAAGATAATGCATGGAGGAAGTGCCCAGCCAGTAGAGTTGATACACTCAATTGAAGTAACCCATTCCCGATTGCCTGGCTGTACAAGAGAGGCTTTTCTATAATAATCAGCTCTAGTAACTACTCAAGCAGTAGCTACTAGGCCCATAGCAAAGCCAGTCTCATCAAAATTGTAGATATCCTCCTGTACAATCCCATGTTGCATTATAATGATTTGTACATGATCAAACCACTCCTTGATGATTTTAGGATCTTCACATTTCGCTCATCGATAATCATAGCGTTGAGAATAGCATGTTTTCATTTCATCACGCTGTTTAATGAAGCTAGAGACCCAATTCTTTCCAATTGATTGGATAGGTGTTGTACCATGCTCTGCAAGAAGAATATTGGCCATTTCTTGTATTTGGGATGGTCAGGGGCCTGCTCCACGTTGATCTAGCGATAGAATCCATCGTACAAGGGATTCCTCTTCATTTTGAGTCAATTTATGGCCATTGGCGCGTGTTTCTGCGCGTGAAGTGATTCCATTAAGTCATCGCTGGAGGGTTGTATGAGGGATATTATAAACACGTGCCGCTTCGCGAATATTGCAAATTTCCTGCTTTTCTAAAGCAGAAATAGCAAGTAAGATCTTTCCCTCTTTCTCAGCTGAATTTCTTGAATTTTGACGCACTTTTGGAGGCATGGTTGGCGGTTGAATTAGTTGAAGCAGTAAAACGCGTAGAAATTTGATGAGGTGGCCCGCTCGACCGGGAAATACGTTAACCTCCCCATGGCTTATCTAATGTAAATATGCTCCTGTGCAAGCGCATTGTCTCGAATATATTCAGAGATCATGAGGGTAGTCCTCTAGGTATCTGACATTCAAGCGATGGTTGTCTACGGTGTGCCTTCGCCAATACATCTCGTTGTCCACCGGCTCGTTGCAGTAGTTACAGTGACGATCATCCAGATGCACGGCTCGGAAGTGTCGTAACAGACCCTTGTGGCGGGAGTACTGCTTGAGACGCCGATTGTCACATCCTGCGGGGTTTCCATAGCACTGAAAGCACGCTCGGGGCTTCGCTGCAGTTCGGATGTCTTCACCAGCCTCCTGCAAAGCAATTTCATGCTGTGAGGGTGACGGGGTAAGAAGAGGGGATTCGGTTGGCGCAATAACTTCTTCTCTAGGGAGGCTAGGCTTTCGGGGTTCTTTCACCGGAACGGTCTGTTTGGGCCGTCGGCCTCGTCGCGGGCCACCTTCTAGAACATCACAATAGAGTCGAACTGCTTCGGTAGCCTCGTTTCGCCGCTGCCACTCTGCTTCCACTGACAAGGAGGTAGGCCAAGTCATGAGTTTACCCAGCAGGTGAATCTGCTGTGGAAGGAGTTGCTCTTCAATTTGGAGCTGCTCCTTAGCCTCTTCATCTAGAATAGCAGTGCCCGCCAGTTGCCGCTCAATATCAAGGACCACCTGCTCCTCATCAAATTCCTCTCGCACACGTTGGCGGAGCGCATACAGCAGTCGATTCCGCGTGTTTGTGACTCCCCGTTTTAGTTTGTCAAGCTTATCGAGCTTCCGGCCAGTCTTTTTCTGACTGCGCTGAAGCTTTTTGGAGAACGCATCCCACTTCCGAATAGCCTTCTGCAGCTCTGGATCGTGCTCCACCGTGGCCTTCTGCGCATCAGTGAGCTCTCGGGGCCGACGTCGGTCAATCCATCGTCCCATCCTAGTGACTGCCCTCATCATGGCCGAATCTGGCTTGAGTCCTCTCATCAACGCCTGCATATCAGTGTTGATTCGCCGAGGAAGGTAATGATTCAGGAACGTTCGGATGTCCGCATGCTTCATGATCAAGTTCTGTTTGGCGTCGCTAACAAGACCTAGCAGTCCCAACCGTTCTGGATCAGTATCGTATGACGGAAGGACGGACAAGATGGCATACACCACAACTTACCGCTTTCATTTAGAATGGTGCCGCCACCGTACCGGAACCGATGCGTGAACAATGACCACTTAAAGCCGGCGATCTCCCCAAAGACCTTGAGCTGTCGAGATAGGGTACTTTGGGAGATAGGCTGATCGCGATGTATCTGAATCTTGCCGCGGACGCATTTGACCTTGCAGAATACATAGTGCTTAGCCTTGTCCCGTTTCAATGGGACCTCCATCTGCTGGCGGCCATCTTCCACCCACAAGCGTCGCAGGTCCTCCATGGATTTTATTCCCGGAGCTCGAAATGCATCATCATGAAAGAGAATCCCGAGAAGGAACGTATGAGGGCTCAGCATCAACGACGGGCCATAAATAATTTCGGGGAGGGGGAAGGTGTTACTGATGGGCCAGTTAGCAACGGGATTCCTAACGGGAAGACCTGCGGAAAGAAGCAGGAAGCTACATACGCTTGCGTCACACCCATGTATTTCTTCGCAAATTTATACTTGATCTCCAGAAGGATTCGGGGCGGTCCACCATGAGGATCCCGTTGGATCGAACACTGCAGATGCTGGTACTGAAGACGACGCATGGCATTGATCCGATTTACCGTGAAGCACGCCATTAAAGGGTAGAGACATTGCTGCATGCGCTGAAGACCAAGATCGAACCGTTTCTCCATTGTACGTAGTGTTGTCTCCTGTAGGGGTACCACATCTTCGATAAACATCAGGGTCTTTTCTTTTTCATCCGTATCTAAATCATGCTCCCTTGCAATCCTGCGAATACTCTGGAGCAGAAACAGGTTAGCAACTCGTCCATAATCGGGGCTGCGATTGATCCCAACCTTTCTCATTCGCCTTCCGAGCGCATTGTCCATGGGTTCCCCGGTGACCTTTTCATAGTGACGCAGGAATGACTTCCAATCGGTATCCAAAGACTTGAATTTCTTGATACCCTTTAGCTTCCGGCCATTCTTCCCTCGCCGCAAACGTAGGCACCAATGAAGGAACAGAGTCAACTCCTTTTTCCTTGCTTCGCGAAGAGCTGAAGCAGGGTTCGCCCACAAGGAATCTGGTAGCGCCCTGTATCTCTTATTCCTCTTTCGGCAATACCTGATCATTTATTAACTCGTGCCAAAAGCCTCACTGCGACTGTCGGGGTTGTAGGCCTACCGTTCCCATCTCTCGTCCATCCGCGTAATGTTTCTTCTGGTGCCGTCCGCGTAACCATCATCATCACTGTCTGATGATAACTCTCCATCCGAGTCAATGTCGGGGTCCGTGTCTGAGTCACTGTCAAAGCCACTGCCACTGCAGTCATCGTCACTGGAGCTGGTGTTCGAATCGTTGTTTCGTGTTGGGGCTCCTGACAGAGCAGCAGGCTTCCGAATTTTCTTCTGGGAACATTGTTGCTCAGGACGTCAAGAATGGTGGGCGTCGACATTCACATCATCGCCACTAGAGCTGCAGTCTGAATCTGTCGCTAGGCGGCTTAGAGAAGAAGACCCTTTCTCACTCTTGTGAGACTTTCCCCACGAAGGTCTCTGTTTAGAGCGGTTCTGACGGGGTCGACCTTTGTCTCTACGGCGAGTTGAAGGAGGCACATCAGAGTCTGTGACATCTGTGACATCTGTAACATCCGTTTTCAAGTCCACACCGGCCGCGTCGTCCGAGTCTAGACGAAAAGACGTACTGCTAGCCGTTTCTTCGTCGTCACTGCTACGGCCAGCGTAGGTACGGGGACAGCGAGCCATGACTCAGGGAAGAGCAGGCGATAGAAGGTCTGGTAAAAGGAGGAAAAAGAGATAGGATGAGGTGCCTGTTAATGATGGGGAATGTGATGGAGGATTGGCTGAGGAATGAGACGAAAGAAACGAACGGACGGGCAGAAGCTCGTCCTTTATGGAAAAGGGTGACCATAGGGTGTGTGCCTCACTCAGGGAGGGGGGCACCCCAATTTCAGTTCTCTTCCTCAGAGCCTGGCCTCGAAAGGCGGCAAAGAGTCTCGCTGCAGCTTCGTTCAGTGAACAGCTTCAGCGGTCCTGTGTTAGGTGTTGGATCACGTGGGATTCTGCCGCATAGGTCCGCCCTCGCTGACCCTTTTCACCACGTAGGCCTATCTAGCTAGTGACCAACCAACGATACACCTCCATTATCTGAGTAAAAACGTCATGTGACTTACACTCAGCACATGACCGACCAATATATCAGGTGACAATACCCTAGGGTTTTCATCTGCCTCCTTCCTTTTCGAACAGCCCAGCCCCCGCAATACTAACCCCCTCGATCCCCCTCGAAACCTTCATCTTCCCTTCGATACATCTCCATACGCTGTGCACCATCTCCTCCTATTCTCACGCTACTGTCAGCCCATTTTCCCTTCTATTCCTGAGTGGGCTGACTCCAGAACTACCTAGATAGTCTCCGCCTAACTTACCGCCTAACAACGGTTACGCCTTCCGTTCAGCCACAACCCCCAAACATTCAGTGCCCGCGTCACGTCCCAGCCATAGTTGAGGTTAGGGGCCAGGCCCATGCAGTGAGCCCCCATGACTACGGCACCACTATCAGTGCATTCTGGACATCTGCAGACGGATAAAGGCTTAACAAGCAACGACATTAGTTCTCCGCGGAGGCATGTTGCGAGGAGTCAAAGTCGGCAGCTTGAGGACGCGAGAGACGGCTTGAAGGATGTGCCATCATTACGAGATCTGGACAGCGACTGGGAGAGAGCGCATCGAGCAAGGAAGAAGAAGAACAGCAGTAATGGAGAAGGTGAGATGAGACTAACTTCCTTATTACATAGCAGCCTTGCAATGTTGCGTTTCCTCCCTTTCATGCGCGGTTGACTGCGCTTTGGATCCCGGAATGTTCCCTTTGCATTGTCCAATCCAATGCTATTGGTTGTTAGCTGCGTTGTGTTTTGAGTTTCTGTTTTCTATCGTCACTACCGGCCTACTACTTACGCGTACCTTCAATGCACAGAACTTACAGTTGTCGAGGAGTCGCTTGTCAGATCTCCTCACGGGTGTCGATCTGAATCGGAATTTCCAGAAGATCCAGCCAACATTTCAGGTACTACTATACTTCCAACGGATTCAGAGCCGGATACAGGGGACCTTGACCCTGTTATGATGTCCGAGGCGCTTCCAGATTTGCAGCGGGCAGCAGAGGGCATCTTGAATTTTATTCTACCCCGCTGTGCTGACCCTATCGGTTTACTCAGCCTGGCAAAAGGACTACGCAATCCCAAAAATACTCAAAGCAGAAGGTTCCAGCGCTTTGTCAAGAATTTGAAAACGGAAGCCCAAGTGTTCGGTCATCATGAATTCATTGATGGCGATATGGTCAAGCGTTTACTGCCATATGCTTCGTTAGATCAATCTGCTGGAGATAAGGAGTGGAACCCTGATCCTATTTTGCACAAGGCGAATTGTGCTCTTCTTGTGGTTAATGCCATCTATGCGGATCCTGGCTCCCTTATACTCCGGCAGCTGGTCAAGAGATTGGAAGGGCAATTTCCGGCGCCGTTTATGAAAGGGATCGTTGCCAGTATCGAGGAAGGCGAATCTATCGGGAAGAGTGTTCTTGAGAGGCCTACTTTGGATCTTGCGCTGGATATCCGGACTCAATTCTTAAGGTTGGAGCTGGAATCACGCCGGCATGAGGAAAATTTTGACCCAGAAGCTATCCTGAAGCAAGTTTTCTTCGACGAATCGGTGTACGGTGACTTTGACCATGACTCGGGCCAAGTTCCACTGCGTGGGTTCGGGATTGCTCCATTTCAGGATGAGAATGGACATCTTCCTCGGCAATTCGAAGAACATGTTTATGAACGCGTTCAGGACATTGGTGTGCTGTTGAGGAATGAGGATGGTTCTCTTAACCTCCGGGGACTTGAAGCTGCGTATCATTGGCAGGGCTTTGTCCACCGAGCTATCCGCTGGGTTCGCAAAAGAAATGAGGAAATCAGCCGGGAACTGAAAAGTCAGCCGAGTTCGGACGATGTGCGTGACACAATTAAAAGGGAGTTGAGCCATCGGACCAGCCTAGAGAGGACAACTCAGGACGGTCAAGTGCGAAATATGTCCACAGATCATGGGATGGCTAAGCACAATGGCGATCAGCATGAAAAATTGAACCAGGCTGAGAAGGTCACTGAACGGCGAAAGTCGAAAGGCGCATTCCGTAATACGTTTGCAATTGAACGTATCACAGAGAGGTTACGGGCTGCAACTGAAACTTCAGAACCTCCACGACACTCAGATCCTGCTTGTTCCGGAGCACAATCTGCTGTTCACGACTCTGATCGTCATCAAACCACGCCTATTTCTGCGCAAGAAACGCGTGAAATACCGGTCCCTGCGGATGACCATCCTTCTCCGCGTCTTAGCGCAGAGCTGCAGGACGAGTTTGGCCTGGTGGATGATTCTCATTTGGATGTGGGTGATACAATGGAGAGGGAAGCAGAGAGATCTCACAGCCCTCCAATCTTGGGTAGGGCTACTTGCAAACAACTTCAAGAACCCGTTTCTCGAGAAACTGCGCCTGCGCATTTGGCTCGAGTTGATCCTAAGGGATCCCTCCCGTCAACCCAGGAACTATGGAGAGCCGTTACCGGACAAGCAACGCCCGGTCCATCCAGAGAACAGGCAACGGAAGCACGGCGCAGAGCCTTTATAGATCGCCAAGAAAATGCGTATCGGGTTTCGCCGATCAGTCAAGGCGTGGGAAGTGCCGAGAGGCAGCGTACGAATTTGCAAAATCCCAGAAAGCGCTCCCGAGCAATTTTCAACTATGATGATGACGACGATGACGACGATGACGATGACAATGGCTTTTCGGTAGATGACCGCAATGTCGACGTGGTTACTAAGAGATCTCAGAAGCCGGATCAGTCTCAACACAAACGACAAAGACTAGATGACAACCACACCGAAGGCCAATTCGAGTCCCAGCTGCAACATAGCTTAGAGCGGTCTACTGTCCCTACGCAGGAACCCGTTAATTCCCGTCATCAACTACCCTGGCAGCGAGTTCCTGCACCCCGTGCCCCTACTCCTGAAACAGGCTGGCTTTCGTCGAGGCCACAAGCGAGAACACAAAAGCGCTGGTCTGAAGCGGAAAATCAGCGGCTTGTTTTATTGATTGAGAAGTTTGGAGTCCAATGGGCGAGGATCAAGAGACAGGATGATTTGTGTCCTGCTAGTGATGGGGGTCCGAAGTTGTCGGATCGGTCACAGGTGCAACTAAAGGATCGAGCCAGGAATTTGGTACTGTCATATTTGAGGTGAGTATAATGCTATATCATTTCTGGTCGTTCCCAGTTTCTTTCTTTTTTGCGCGTCCCATCTCGAACTAACATGAAAGGATTTCAGGAATGGAGAACCGCTTCCCAAGAACTTTGATCAAGTCACGATCAAAGCTGTGGATCGCAAAAGACTGGAAAGGCAGGGCATCAAAATTCCCTCTCGAATTGAATAACAGTACGGCGGGCGATGTGAAGGTGGTGCAGACAGCTTCGACATTTTGATTCTTGTGATTTTGCATTCGTCTTTCTTTCCTGTGACTTAATCAGTTTTGCTAGTTTATATTTTTCCTTTTCCTTTTTGGGTACATTTTTCATTGGTGCTGGGAGGTTATATATTTGTGATTTTTGTGATACCCCCTATAGTTAGTTAGGTATAATCACCATTTGTGCCGGAGTTACCGAAAATGGCAGTGCTCCCAGATCAGGTTTAGTGCTATCCTCTCTCTCCTCCCAGGTATTATTGTGTCCTGATCTGGTTTGGCATACAGTGTTTGCCCTGAAAGGAAACTGTCAGTGCCAGCGCCAAACTGCCCCACGCATAACTCACTCAGAGCCTGGCCTACTGCAACTTCTATATAAACCACTGGTGTGTTGTTCAACCATCTTTCTATTCTTTACACCTCTTCCCTCTTGCACTTGCTGGCTCTCTTGTGCCTCCCACCCCTTCAGCTTGCTCCAGCCTCACTGGTCTTTTACTGCTGCTGTACCGGGGGAACCCCGGAAAGGTTTGAGGCATTTCGTTTTTCTGTTCCTTAGGTGTTTTCCGGGCTTGGGCACCGGGCGTCAGCAGAGCAGACGATAAATAAAATGCTAGGCTCACGTAGTTAGATAGGTTTCAGAAGATTCTACAACAAGGTTTATCTGTGCGACGTTCTTCGTCTTGTGCTCAATTGTGGGACCTATAACCGGGAACGGCGCAGGCCAGGCTAGGGAGGGGTCATGTAGCGTTGATACGTGCTAAGATGACGGTGGAATACATACCTAAGTGCATATGTTACCGCAGGTGTAGGCAAAGATATGTGTAGCCTTGATTCAGACTGTAGTTAGTATGGCGTTGTGCTGGGACCGGGGTTGAGGATATTGGGCTATAGGTTGTTTGCATTGTCTATCGTATTTGCTTGTAATCTACCTTCCTCATGTGCGATGAAATGCTGATTTGATTTCTTTATATCTTCCTCTCTAAATTTCATTATTTATTTATTTATTCCAAGCTTATAATTCCATGAGGCTGGTCAAGGATACATCGAAATTGCTATTTATTTGCTTGAGAAGAATCCGGCAATCTGCATCATGGCATATTGTACGTTGCGCCAGCGGGCCGATAAAAGGATAGTTATGATAGCTAATGTTCGAAAAATCGTTACATGCAATGCTTGAATAAATACGTAATGTACACTGACGTTTCTAATCGTTTCATCATCAGCCAGTTAGCCTATAACTGCTGTGAAATCGAATGATCTTCCCTTCCAAGAGGGAAAGTGAATCTGTCGAGTTCCCCTGTTGCTCCCTATAATCTTCCTCAAAGCGAAGTAGTATACCTAATTATAGGAAAGCCATCGCAGCCACACAGATCCCGACAGCGACAGATGTTAACCTTGCAGATGCGACATGTGCAACATTCTCAGTCCCAGGCAAAGCTGGCGGTAGAGCGGTCGGCGATGGAGCAGCAGAAGCGTCTGAAGTCAATCCTGATCCCGTGCCAGAAGGTGCAGTTGTAATAATAGTCAGAACGCTTGAAGAAGCAGGGCTATCATAGATGCCCCCATTCTTCGCCGTGAACGAGGCCGTGGTTGTCTTGAAGGTACTCGGGAGACTGGCGGTCTTGGTGGATGACCCGATGCGTATAGGGGTAGTGGTGCTTCCCACCGAATCGACAGTGATCGGGATTTGTGTTAGTACAGCAGGGTCTATGCTGGGTGCCGTTATGGCGGCGGGAAGACTGGATACGGGGTCTGTATCGATAGTGGCAGAATAGATGGACCAGGCTTTTCTGCCGCCGCCTGTTCTCGTGGTTCGATTGTTAGTGCCGCAAAAAAATAAAAATACAAATAAAGGGATCCCATACTACACAGTACTGCAGTATGGAAAAAGAAGGCCAGGGAAGCAAAAAGAAGGGAGACCAACAGTTCACCATCGCATACCCTGCGCACTCCAGGTTACAGCTTCCCTCATCGACCTGATACGAAGAATCGGGCGTCTCGGTCCCGCAATAGCATTGATTCCCTCCCGTCAAGGCCGCAATAGGGTTCCCATTCTTCCAACACAGCTGCTGGCAGTAACCCGGTGATTCATATAGATAGGTCCCCTGAGGTTTCAGAGAACCTGGGTTGTTGTAACAGCCGACGTTGACGTAGAGTGGTTGGAGAGGTAGATTTAACGCTGTTGACAAAGGAGTGGATATCAAAGCCAGCAGGCAGAAAAAAGACCAACACTGGATTCTGATCATTTTGCTTTTCAATGCAAGAACAGATCGAGGTATCAGAAACTAGTGTTCGGAAGTCGAAGGGGGAAAGGAAAAGAAAAAAAAAGAAAAAGAAAAGGGTATCAGAGGACAAAGAACAAAAAGGAAACGTCAGGCACGAATCATATGGAAACCAGCTCCAAGATGCTATGTGTTGTCAGAAATGAAAAAGAGAAAGAGAGAGAAAAAGAGAGTAAAAGAGAGTAAAAGAAATACGATCAAAAGGAAGGCCATGGATGGAATATGTGAGGTCCAGGTGAGACATGCCAGTTGCATTGCATCAGAGATACGCGAATGGTGGACTGCAAAGTGAAACAACCCGGAGAACACCACCAGACAAGAAACGGTTCCCTGCACGCTAATAGGAAAAGACATAAATGGGCTGGTGTTTGAGGTTTAGGATCGACCAACGCGCACCCGCCGGAGAACGGGTGGGACGGTGGGAGAGACAGGGGTCGGCGGCTGTGGGCCAGGTTGTTTCAGATCCTCTCCGCTAGCAGTAGCACTGTGTTCTTATCTCTATTCCGGTTCTCCATGTTAAATATGATGCTGATGAAGCAGATAATAGATAGATAATAGATAGATAATTAGCGAAGTTGAAATCTTTCGAGTTGCCGTCTTTGGCAGGATCACGTGGGGTCAGGTGTCTGTCCGATGTCGTGATTAAGCACTTCGTCTTCTCTTTTTCCTTTATCTCCACGCTGCCTAACACGCAAGGCAGCATTAGACTTCAGCTTCATCTGGGAATTACTCCCTTCCATCCGTCCCTTGCAATTGGCCTGTTCCTGTTCCTTTAGAATCACTGCCCAAGCCATGCGTGCCCCAATGCTGCTGGGACTACTGTCTACTGCAACGGCCCTTGGCATACCCTTCCACCAACAACCCCTCACTACTTTCTCAAAGGAAGACCTCTGCCCGCTGGCTCCCAAGGTGAACGCGCCGGATGATGGACTTCTCTCCGCTCTCAGGTTTGTTGAGGGTGAGTCTTTCCGGACTCTTCAGGTAGAACGGCTCTCCAGGGCAGTCCAGGTGCCGACCACCATCGGGGATTACATGATTGATCCTTACGATGAAGGCTTCGCGCCCTTTGTCGAGTTCCATAAGCTTCTAGAATCGCTCTTCCCGTTGACGTACGTTAGCAAAGTATACTGAAGAACGCTTCCTCGTTCTTCGAGCCCTTCAAGTGTTGGGCTGACGCTCTTGCAGGCATGCCCAAGCTCGCGTCGACCATATCAACCGACTTGGTCTCGTGTATACCTTTAACGGGACCGATGAGTCTCTGAAACCTCTTCTTTTCACTGCCCACCAGGATGTTGTTCCTATTGATGATCCCTCTGACTGGACCTACCCTCCATTTTCAGGCCATTTCGATGGTGAAAGGCTCTGGGGACGAGGTGTGAGCGACTGCAAAAACGTCCTGATTGGTCTTCTTTCGGTTGTGGAAGACTTGCTGCAGCAGAATTGGAAACCCACCCGCACTGTCGTATTGGCGTTTGGTTACGACGAGGAATCCCACGGCTTTCTTGGCGCAGGTGCTATCTCCAAAGTGCTGGAGAAGAACTACGGTCGTAACAGTTTCGAGTTTATCCTGGACGAAGGTGGTATGGGCCTGCGATCCTTGGACGATGTCGTCTACGCCCTGCCTGGAGTGGGTGAGAAGGGCAGCATCGACATCGTGCTCACCTTGAGCGTCAACGGCGGGCACAGTTCCGTCCCACCTCCCCACACTGGCATAGGGATCGTAGCGGAAATCATCTACGAGCTAGAACGCCAGGATCTCTTTACTCCTTTTCTCGACGATAGGCATCCTTCGCGCAAGACGCTCGAGTGTCAAGTCCGCCACTCACCAGACTATGTTGAGCCTTGGCTCGCAGACGCCTTGGCGTCAGATGATTATGTCTCACTGGCAGAGGCCGTCGCGTCATCGCGTGGCGAGCAGATCCGGTACACTCTACAAACATCACAAGCAGCCGATCTGATCCAGGGCGGTGTAAAGACGAATGCCCTTCCCGAGAAAATTTCCGCGACAGTCAACTACCGGGTCGCGCTGCATCAGACGCCGGAAACGGTCAAGCAGCGCGCGATCAAGATTATATCCCCCATCGCTGCCAAGTACAACCTCAGCTTTAGCGCTTTCAGCAGCCTTGAGATATCTTCTGATGAGAGCAATCATCTTGAGCTGACCACATTAGGCGAGCCTCTTGTGCCAGCGCCCATCAGCCCAACAGATGTTGCAACTGACGCTGTCTGGACCTATTTCTCGGGCGTGACTCGCTCTGTATTCGAATCTGTGCCTAGCCTATCGGGCAAGACGGTTGTCGTGAGCGGCGATGTCATGACGGGTAATACCGATACGAGATTCTACTGGAACCTGTCCAGGAACATTTACCGCTGGAGCCCGTCGAGGGTGGGAGGACCGTTGAATATTCACACGGTGGACGAAAACATCAACATCGATGTTCATCTAGAGGCGATGGCCCTTTATTACGGTATGTTCTAAATCTTACCCATGGAAAGTAATCTGATTGCTGACTTGTATAGACCTAATCCGGTCTTTTGACCAGTGGAATGGATCCTCATAGACCCATGAGAGTCGATGTGAGATGATAGCAGTATTTAATGAGCAGCCTACATATGTGTGACATGTGGCCTTGATGAATTCTGTATATAGAATAGAATAGACGTGTCAGAGTGGTGGTATATAGATAGAACTGACCAAATGAAAGTCGCATTGCGTATGGAGCATTCATTCATCAGAGGAAGAGAGAGATTGTGTGTGTGAATCTACCTTCATAGCATCCTAAGCAATGGGTTATAATGGATTACACCTAGACTTAAAAGTCCAGGAACTATATCCAGTACAATTCTGTGAGGCCTGCGGTCCGAAAGACGCAGGTCAAGCGTCACGGGTGTAGAGTAGCGCGGATACGAGTTACGAAGGGCTCTAAGGCGTGCGTAGAAGGATTGGGGGAAATGGTAACCGTGCGTGTAGCCTTGGTACAGAGCTAACCGCTGGTCTTGTAGGACTCCGGCGGTAAGGAGGACAACTTGTTAGATCGCGTGGTATTCTGCCGCTTAGATCCGCCCTTGCTGACCTTTTCCACCACGTCGGCCTATCTAGTTAGTAACCAACCAATATATGCCTCCATTAGTCTCCGCCTTCACATCATCTACTGAACTGCATTACTTGATGGCCACCTCTTCTCACTTCCTTTACTTCCCTCGCAATACTGTCCCTCAGCACCCTCCTATCCTATCATATACACTGGGCCAGCCTACTCTGGCCCCCACCCTTCAGAGATGGCTATCACCTAATAAAGACTGCTTAGCCTCTGTCTATCTATTCTTACTTCATACCTGTGAAACTGCTAGGCTATTTTAGACTATATCCACAATAAGATTTTCTAATCTTATTAAAAATATTTAATATAGCCTCTGCGGTCTTTGCTATACAACCTAAAAAATACTTTTCACTAAAGTCGACCAGGCCCTGTGGAGACATTCATTATTGGAGCAGCTCTCTCTGCTACCTCTTTGGGTAAGCTATCCGACTCCTGTCAGCCCTATTCCAGACCAAACTAATATCAGCCAGGAACTACATTTGTGGTAATCGCTTCGGCCTCCAGCGAGGTCGACCTTTCCCAGACCCAAGTGGGTTCTGCCCTTGTCAGCGCCGCTGTTATTGATGACGTCGTTGGACTTGTTATGTCAAGGTCGGTATCAATTACAACTGACACTTCATCTACGGTGCATTGTTGACTCTAGAACAGTGTCATTGGTGATTTGGGTAAAGTCTCAGGAGGAGGCCATGTCAACCTGGGATGGCTGATTGGACGCCCGATCGTCGCATCAATCGCCATGGCGATATTGACGCCCATTGTCACCAAGTGGGGTTTTGCACCTTTCTTCCGTCGATTCATCGAGTACCATTTCGCGCGGTTTGACCACATCTCCAACATCATCCTGATGAGTCTAGTTTTATCAGCATTCATCTCGATAGCTGCCTTCACAGGCACATCTATTCTGTTTGGCGCTTTTCTCGCAGGCAGTTTCCTCACTTACCTTCCGAGCAAGCATGCTGAGGGTCCATTTGTGGTCATGAGCCGTGAGGAGGGTGAGCGCGAGGCGGACAAAAGCCCGACTTTTGTTCATACATTCGAACGATATCTCCTTGGCCCACAGGAATATCTCATGGAGCCTCTGTTTTTTTGCAAGTATTGGCTTTGCAATTCCATTTGTGCAGCTGTGGACGGGGAAGCGGATTTGGAGGGGCGTGGTCTATACCCTCTCGATGGTTTTTGCGAAGGTAGTTCTCAAAGATACAACTATTCTAGTCAGCACTTGCTTACCTGTGTCCAGCTTGTCGTCGGGATCTGGTTGCAAGCCTGGAAGTTGGTCCTGGGCGAAAAGCCCCAGAAAACACGGGAATCCTCTGAACAAGGGCAAGGTCAAGAACGCCGCAAAGGAGAGTGTAGCCCAGCTCAAAGCGATCATCAAAACAGCTGGGATGACACCTGGCTAGCCGCATTACTCCTAGGCTCGGCCATGGTAGCCCGCGGCGAGATTGGCCTCCTGATCATCGAAATAGGGCACAATGAGATCCATACGTGAGCGAGGAGGCTTTCATCACGGGTGTGTGGGCGATTCTTCTTAACACGATTATCGGTCCGGTTGTTGTTGGTATTTTGGTTCGAGTTTTCGGAAAGCAGATTGGAGAGAGTGAGTGGGGTGTTCAGGAGCTTGTGATGCCAAGTTCTTCTAGGGCGCAGGAAGAAAGGCGTGAGGAGGTATAACACATCCTTAATCTGATAAGGATTGCCACGCTCTGTACGCCAGCTGAGCATGGTTTATGGATACATTTTGCATGCGATCGTCATTCCACAAGCGTTAAATATTTAGACACTATCGTGTCTTTTCTGCGGGCTTGCTGTTGGCATTTTGACCTGGGACTCTCACTGCAGCAACGACGGATCTTTCTGAACTGTTATATGACAAAGCAGAACGTGCGGTAACAACTTGCCGGTTTCATCATCTTCGCGGACCCCAGCTTCAGATGCCGTGGATATGTCTCCATTGCCCCACAAACCTCCGTTTACTGCCAAGGCGGACGTGGACCTGACCTTGCCGACACTCAGCCAGCTGTCCATGAATCTATCCATGTCAATGAGCTTTCCCTCGGCTTCGCCGAGCCCTCTGCCGGATTCACCATTGGTGGCAATTAAAGATAGCCTGCAAGAGCGAGAAGACCGAAGTACTTCCAATGTCGACTAGCAGCTGGCTGGAGTGTCAACTGTGGCAGTAACTGGTAACTGGCATATTAGACAGTGGAATGCTTCGAGGAAAGCAGTCGGACTTACGAAAGGCATTTGCCAAATTTGCTCTGTGATATTCATGCCTTCCACTGCAAACCCATTCCCCATAACAGCAACTGGTCCTGTGAAGGGGGGCGTACGTGCGTTGTTCCCTGCGACAGGAACCGGGTTGTGATCAAGGGATCTCAGGGCTGGGCACACTGAACGGTCTAGTAAGGAAACGATATAATAAAAGAAACACAACGACGATGGAACCTCACTCCTATACGACGATGACAATACTAGTGAAGCAACTCAAAAACCAAAAGTATGCTCTATTCCTCGTATCTGGGAGGAAACCATCCTTAAGTACTCTCCGGCCACGGGCTCCACCATACATGTATGGCGGAGACCGCGGCCCTACGGCGTTCTAGGACAGGAAATAGGAAACCGAGGTTTCGCAGTGCCCCTGGCAGAATATATCAAAAGTTATATTTCTTATAGTCTACTAGGCACTGTGCTAAATCTAACTAGTGATAAGGCCTTAAGTATCTAATCTATACTGGTAATATTCGGTCGTCGTCGCGAAACCTTGCGACCGATCTCCTTGATATTATCAGCTTAGTAAACAGTCTCGGTAGTTAACTATCAAGACGGTCAAGGGAAAGAAAGCCAGCATAACATACCAAATGTATCCACTCCCCCGCCGGAAGTCTGTGGTTCATGGATCCACTGTACAAGCTCTTCCATCGCGCACCCTAACGCCTAGCCGCACGCTTCTAGTTGAGCTTAGGCTTACGATCATTCCATGGTACTAACCCTGGTCTAAATTTATTATGGGACTTATGGAGTACAGCACTAGAATAGTTGGGTTACATTGCACCAGCAGGGGGGGGGCTTGCGATCAGGACCACGCGTTCGCCGACATACCAATATCCAGATCTCAACTGCCTGAAGATAGTATATTTTTTGATGATAATGCCTTTCCCCAAGTTGGCCAAAAGAGCCTAAAGAAGTCCCATTTTGTAATATGACTGAGGCCTTGAGAAGTATGTAGAAACTCCTCCACCTGACTGCTGTATGCAACAGACAGAGGACTGAAGATCCCAACATCAAATGGCTGTAGTGAGTGAGTTGAATAAGGTGATAGGTCATCAGAAGGATCTTATTGGCATCACAGTAGTTTATAAACTTCATTGTAAGATGGGATCTATGGCCATCAAGAATTAGGAGCCTCCAGCGCCTCTGGGCCTTATCCTTGGTCTGTCAGTCAAAAATATCCTTTAGCCATGCAAATCCAAGCTCATTATTGGTCCAGCCACTTGGTGATGAAGCAAAAAAGCAGTCATGCTCTTTAGGATTGAAATCCTGGAGCCATGTGTCTTGTATATTGCCGCTGACTGCTTGATAAATTAGGCCTAGGGACAAAGAAGTCCCATCAGCACAGATGCAAGCAATAGAGGTAATCCACTCGCGATTTCCATCCTGCAAGTTTTGTTTAAAGCCTCCCTGCTCATATTTATGCCTGGAGAAGATCCGGAGGCCTTTGGACAGCATTCCAATGAGAAAATCCTTCTCATCCATATTATAAATATCCTCTGGCTGTATCTCATATTCCTCCAACTCCTTGGCCAACATAAAGCATATTTCTATGCAGAATCGGCTCGTTTTCTCTCAGAATCAATAGCGGTTGTATAGGTGGAAATAAGTTGATCTTGATGCCTCTGTAGGAAGCGGCCTGGCCAATGCTTCCCAGGCTTCTTCCCAGCAATTTCTTTCGCAAAATTTCGAAGCATCTCATGGGAGGCACATAAGCCACGTTCAGTAAGCTTATTTACATACTTTATAAGCTCCTTCTCATGTTGGTTGGTGAGGACTCGCTGCTTTTCATACTGGTGGTCTTTTGAGTGCTGAACCCCGCGGTGGCGCCTTGACAATGTTGACCGGCTTACTCCAAACTGATTGGCAATTTTGGTATAATTAATTGATTCATCTGGCTTCAAGGATTCAATTGCTTCTAATGCTGCATCAATTGGAGTCATATTGAAGAAATTATGAAGGTTGAAATCTCTATGATTTAGAACGTCGGTCTGCTTAATTCGGGCGGCAGTTGGGACTGGGCGTCAGGTGATCACCCACAGTACCCGTATATAATGGATAGGCGCATGTATCGTCGTATTACTAGGTAGGCCTGCCTGTGCCGTGAGGTAGGTAGCAAGGGCGGTCTAGGACGGCAGAACCTCACGTGTACTAACAGTATAAATGTTGGATCACGTGGTATTCTGCCGCATAGGTCCGCCCTCGCTGACCCTTTTCACCACGTAGGCCTATCTAGCTAGTAACCAACAATATATAACCGACCCCGAAGGTTACCGTAGGGGTCGGTTACTATTTATAAGATAGATTTGACAGAACTATAGTTAATACCTTAAGCCTACTAAAATATTATTAATTAGTTAAAAGCCCCTCTGCTCCAGAGTTAAGAGGACCTGATAGTGTGGAAGTGATATATATAGAAAAATCAGTCTAGTTCAATAGAAGTAAAGCAAAGGATCCGCCCATAACAGGTCGCGCTTTGAAAACGAGGGAGGAGTCTGGGTAGCTGTTCTCCATTATTAGCATTTATTCTAAATAGTAGCGGATAAAAAAAAGGTCAAATAGTCCTAGGATATGATCAATCCCAGCTATTAATAATGATATGGACTCACTCTCCCGTAATAGTATCATAGAGATCCGTCAAGGGGAAATTAGTCGGCGAGTCGTTGATCCATGTCGCTAGATCCTTGATGAATGTGTTTCTCGTGTCGCCTGAGGCGATGGCTGCGACGAACATTTCCCAGTCGCCTAGGGTGATATTGGATTAGTTTAGCTCTTCAGTGTGCATATATATAGACTGAAGAAAGAGTAGACATACCCTTCGTATACGTATGTCTAGTATCCAGTGGAACACCGTACTTCTGCGCGGCCGTCGGATAGAAATTACTTTGCATGTCATACACCGACTGTGGGACAAGGTGTAGCTGTAGCTGTGTGTCTGCGTAGAGATTGTAAAGGAGGCCTTTTGAGAAGCAGTTAGTTATTATCAATAATCAACAATGATTTCTCTCTGTCTATGAAGCTTACCGTGGGTATCATTCTCCCCGTAGGACAACGTCGTATGCGGAGGATCCGCGTCATGCGCAATTCCCAAGGTCTGCCACTTGTCAATGTAATCATGGGCGATTGCCGTATAATTGGCGCTGTCAGCCTCGTTCCCTGTTAAACGGGATATGACGGACATAGCTTCAATACCGATGATTCCTTTCAGGGCCAGATTCGTTTGATTGCTGTGTCTATGTAAGTACAGTAAAGTGTAGGCAGCCGATATAGAAGGGGCAAAAAGAACTCACGCCAAAGACCCAGCAAAATCATCCGTTGAGATCTGATTAGCAGGATAAAGGGATTCTACTGCCAAATACTGTATCCACTTCTTCAGTAGACTGTAGTGCTGTTCGAGATAACCCGTATCTTGCGCGCGAAGAGCATAGGCCAGTGCCATGATGATCATATTTCCGCATTCCTCCAGCGGCATCGGTTCGTCTTTTCCGTCCGGGTGGCCGGTAGCATTGGGGTAATGGGCACCCAGATCATGCATGGCCCAGCTATTCGGGTACAGGCTGGACTCTTGGTACTCGAAGAGCGGATCGAGCAAGAGCTTGAGGAAGGTTGGGTTTGTGTACAGGAGGATCGGATGTGCAGGGAAGATGACATCCACCGTGTTCATGTTTCCGTCTGACGAGATCTCCTTCATGAAGGCGTAGGTCTTATCTCTTGATCCGCATATCTGTACGGAACCAAAGGCCTGGCGAACCGAAAGAGATGTGATGGTCAGATAGTTTTGGCCACCGGCAGCGATGGAGTCCCGAGCCACCTGGGCGTCGAATTGCGCACTGAGAGAAGAAGACTGCGAATAATCTTTGTGGAAGAATGTAAGCTGAAAACGAGCAAGCAAAAGCCTGAAATTAGCCTTGATTCCACATGAGCTTCAGGTCCTGACACCTACCGCAGCAACGTCGTCTGGGAAGTAGCTGGTCCATGCAGATTGGACAGCAATCGTGCCGCTTTTTGTAGCATACTGGATTGCATCTGTCTGAGCGAGACCGATGGAGAACAAGGAGCGCACAGGCGACGGATCGACAGCACCCAAGTCAATAGAGAATGCAAAGACAGGATAATTGTCCGAAATGGCCCTGTAGGTTGTGTCTTCAGAATTTGCCAGTTCGCCGGTGGCTGAAAACATATTCCGAACATCATCGGCGCTTCCGGACTGGTACCGCGTGCTGTTCTGATGATCTGTTGCCCAATACCAGTATCCCCATTCAGCCCTGTCACCGATTTCGGAAAACAACAACTGAGTCTGTCGGTATACTTTATGGTAGGCAACACCATCAGCAACGCCGTAATCCCATTGTGCAATGGCATCAGTGTCTCCTGAAACCCAGTCTAGACACGGAGGTTGGTTAAACTACTTCGAACTGGATGGGATATGGAGATTGACTAACCTGCTGCGATATCCGCGTACAGCTGTACATCGTGGCTAGCACCATCGATTGACGTGACTTCGACGTGGAGATAGGAAGATACAAGTGACTGCCTCTTCAGATCATCCGGAGTGATTGGAGAGAGGAATGTAATGTTCATTTCCACCAAGCCTCCCACGTTCATGGTGAAAAGACTCCTTGTCGAAGTATACTCGTACGCCGTCTGCTGGACGTTTTTGGTCCCTGTTGCGCCCATCCATGTGTACACATCTCCGTCTACACGGATTAGGCCCGCCCATGTAACAGTCTGGCCTCTATATTCGTCTATTAGCTATATGTTCGTGTAAGAGACCGTCTGTGAACGAGAAACACAGAAAAAAAAAAAGAACTCACGTCCAAAAAGAAGGCCATTGACCAGCCAAGTAGCCTCCATTCCCCCCATCATTCCCAGCTTCCAACCATGTACTCAAGTATGGCGATTTGACAGCTAACGGTATAGCAGGAGGTCTCGCAGGAGAGAAAGTCGAGCCCTCTTCAGAAGCCCATACGGACGTAGCGAAAACTGCAGCAACCAGACAGCGCAACCGCCGCATTCTTTCTTTCTTTCTTTTAAATAGGGAATTGAACGTGCAATTACCCAGGAATGCTCCCGCTTGAGGGAGAAAAGGGCCTGCTTTTTAAAGCGGCAGCATGGTGGATACAGTACATGCCCACTCTCTGGCCGTGGGGGAGGTAATAGTAATACCTCCTCCTGCTTCTTGTCTGCAGATGCAGTCGAGTTGAGCCATCCATTATTGTGTGAGAATCATTTCCCCTCGGCATAAGACCTATGCGCAGGTCAGACGATCCTTCATCATGCAAAGGTACAACTTCGCTTAGATTCCGAATCAATGATGTGATGTGCAAAAGGACGGATATGCTCGGTGATTCCAGAATTTCAGAGACTGAAGACTGCGAAGACTGACCTCGGTGTCAGTCAGTCACCCGTATCTATCATATGAATGAGGAACAAGAAAAGAAAGGAAACAGGAACTAGCGGATGCAAGATGCAAGGAGGATGGCATCGGCAGTAGATCACAAGGGGAGGAATCGAATGAGGAATCTTTCTGCAGCAACGGTGGCACGGTAGCTGACAGACTCTGCTGGGTTTCTCCGCAGAAGCAACCCCGACTCAGGACTGGGATCAGCAGCACCATCCTTGCTGGATTGCACTAGTCATGCGTGGTGGAGGTGTCTATAGTCTATCTGCAGGATTTCACTGTGACAGGCCTGCATCTGTGCAGCCTGTGAAGCAGTGGGGTCAAGACAAAGGGTTGCATGTTACATGGAACTTGAGCAAGGTAGCATTCATTATTATATTAATTTGTTACAACACAAGCCCACTGATCATTTATTCGGCTAGGAATCATCCCAAGAAACCCAAAAAGACGGTCAGCTACTACGAGAACTCCGCGCCAGCTCAATGCAGAATTCCCCCCATTCACATCCCCCGCTCGTCGTCAGTATCTCCTCCGCAATCGCCTCCTCCAGGCGCTCTCCGTATCGTTTCCGGAACTCAGTCTTCACGCGTTCCAGGTGTCGCGGCTCCCAATGCAGTCGGACGAGGCGGGATATGAGCAGCTCGGAGCGTTCCCTGCCCGTTCGCGACTCGCGAAGAGCCTGGTTCAAGAGAAGTGCGTCGCGCATGGGACGGTTCAGCGCCCCATTGAGGACATGTGCTAGTGTTTCTCCCTGTCACGCAGTCAGTTGTCACGGTCCCATAGGCAAATTTGAGGGAGCCCCGGGGAAGTCAAGACGGGGTAAAAAGGAACGAACATACAACAAGGTTGCCCGATCTCGCAATCATTGCCCGCGTGAAGTTCTCCCGGTACACATGGTCGTATGCCCTCAGCACCTCCCGTAGATGCGCATCACTCCGCAGCACAATGATGAATATCATCGCAGTCTCACCACCCTCCCGCGAAACGAGTGCTCGACGCAAGTCCTGCAAGTCGCGCTGCACCAGCCCCGCATCCAGCGGCTCGCGCTCCTCTTGCCGTCGCTCCTCCAGAGCAAGCAAGATGGCCGTTCGGAACTTGTCCGCTTTTAGTTCCGCTTTCATGCACTTCTCCAGGCTATCCGAATAGCGTGAGTCGCGGAAACACTCTTTGATCTCGCGGATCTGGGCATTCGTACGGCCCATCAGCGATTCGATCAGCAGTTCCCGTCTCGACGTGCTCGACTGGTAGTAGCAGTTGGCCCAAAAGGCTTCCGATTCCCATCGGCCCAGTGCTGTAGCGTAGCAGATCTTTCCTAGCGGGTCGTTGCCGAGTTTAAGTCGAATGTGTTTGGCGATGTTGATGCCCTTGCCATGCACCTTGACCAGGTTTTTATACTCCTTTCGCAGGGCCAGAATCTCATCGCTGGACAAATGCGGCAGAATGCGGGTAAGGACTTTGATATCAACACTGCGGAAACGGGCCAGGGCTTCCGACATTGCAACAGCATCGGGAACGGGGTCATAAAAGGATACCATTTTCCGGCCGCTAGAGGGGGATATGAGCACCATTGAGTTATGCTCGGGGCCGGGGCTGCGACTGTGTTGGTCCGAGTGGTGCCGTGTGTGTCGACTGCGGCTGCGACTGCGGCTGCGGCTGCGACTCTCTTTGGGGATTTCAACCTTCAGCTCCTTACTCGATGCGCCTCCGTGCTTTCTTCGCTCAGAGCCCTTATTCAGAGGCTCTAGATCAGATAGATCATCGTTGAGTTCGGCCGGTATTACAATTGGCGATGGCATAGGCGAAATGGATTGATATGTACCTTTGTATGGTTCCAGAAGAGGGCTGGCCGGTGCACCACCCATGCTTGTGGTAGAAACCGAGAGGTCGTTCACAGACGATACGGAGAGACTGCTAGGACGGTTGCCAGCAGGTTTGCCCGCAGATGACATCGAGCGACTACGATGATTACTAGGCGTTATTGCCGTCGGGGAAGATAGTAGGCCACCGCTCATTGTATAGTCCTGGGTATCAACCCTGGCAGCTGCTGACCATGAATCCAGCTGGGAAGAAGGCATGGACACATAATTGAAAGTATTGGGATCGATCTGCGCGTATTGCCACTGCTGAGGCTGGGCGTATAACTGACTCCTTTCCGGATTTGCATGCTGCGGCCTAGAAGTAGCAATCTGGGGTCGACTGGGGGGAAATTCCTCGGGAATGGCCTGCGTTTGCATCTGTACCCCGGGTCGGGAGGAGGGTGGGACGAAGCCCGGCATTTCGCACTCTGGAATTGGGGCCCAGTTGGACGGATACGTAGGCGAAGTTGGCGCGCCAGCAGTGGTAGTACTGACGTTGACAGGTCCCATGGCACTGGAACTTGAAGGATGCACATTAATAGGCTGATTTGGATCGACATCCCTAGGAAAGCTACCAGGCACTTGTTTCTCTGGCCTGTCAGAAGGCAGCGGGCTCACGGTAGGAGGTCCACCAGGTTTGCTGGACGACTTGGATAAATCCAATTTAGTAGACGAAGTGCTAGGAGAAGCCGAGAGGACATAATTTCTCGCCGCAGTGTGGAAGTCTCCGTAGACCAGCCCATCATCGCTAGAGTCTGAATCAAGAATGTTCTCAGAGGAGCTCCCACCCTTGCGTGGACGATGACTGTAGTGCGACCTTGCGGCCGCCATCAGGCTCACATCATCCGACATGTCCGAGTCCGAATCCAAATCTGAACTCGTCTCACTATGATGCATGCTGTGCCTGTGCAGATATCCCTCGCGTCCGCTTCCCTGCGCCTCATCCCCCGACAGATAGTAAGTAGAGCCTGACGCGTGACCCCGACTACTCCCACCACCATTTCTCCTTGGATCATGCGACAACACATGCACAGTCTTCATATCGCCGTCCTCGCGGCGAGAGCCGTAGTGGTACGTCTCCGGTGCTCTGGAGTCAGCGGACGGGAGCTGAGAGGAGGAGCGATGGCCACCGGGTGACTTGGAACGCCCACGCGATCGCGATCGCGGTCGGGAGTGTGTCCGCGACCGGTGATCGGGGACTTGGAGAGACATGGGAGAGTCCGGGAAAAGAGCAGCTATGAGATATAATGGACGGCAAGACGCGACCGTCGCGAACTCTTATCGCAATGCTCCGAGCGTGGGTTGAATCGGGAAGGGGAAGGGGATAGTAGACGTGGGAGAAACTGAAGAGAAGAAGACAAGACAGGGGCGACATCTTGAAAGACCAGGCTGGGGAAGTATGACTGCCCATCACTCTTGGTATTATTATCATTATTATTATAATAACCGCCGTCTTCGAACAACTTTGACTAGGAGTAATTGCAGCATGTCGGCGCTTCGGGTTTAGCGCCGTCAGCCGTTGCTGCGTTAGGTCTAGCTCTGGTCACATGCCAGTACAGTACGATAATTACGTATCGGATGTCTTATTATTACACGAGGCCAAAAAAATTACACTTTTGATGGGCTCTCCCAATTTGTATTCAGGCCTAAGTGATATCTGCAAGTAAGAAAAAAAAAGAAAAAAAGCTCGCCCCGGAAAGGGCTCGAGAAACTCAGTCAAAGGTTGACGAAAGAAAGGAGGTAGGAAGCGCCATTTTTGGTGTTACAGTCTGCATTATAGCCGCCGACTTCTCAATGTTCGTGGCGCCACGACATACAAGTTGGGAAACTGGAAAAGACATGGAGGAGGCGAAAATACAAAGACGAGAAGAGAAAAGGGGAATAATTGAGGGAAGAAAGCACCCCGAACAACGGAGAAGAGCCTTGGCCCCAAAAGTGATGACAATTGAATATGCAACGGGTACTTGTCGACCCAATTCCATCTAATACCGACAGGGTATGAAGCAGAATGGTGGTATAATGGTAACAGGAGAAAAGTCGACAATGTAATGGAAGAAAGGGTATCAATAGCTGTGCCCAGAAGCGAAATAGCGCAAGGGTGTAGTTGTCATTGGGAGAAAGCCGACGTTGAATCAACTGGGCCCCATGCGCCAAATAACATTCGAGGTCTTGAGTCTTGACTTCTACAGTGGTAAGCCTGCGTAGGGAGACCCGGATGGCTGCTATCAGACCATTAAAATAAAGAAATTCTTTCACAGTTCGAGTCAACCTCAAAGTATCTCATAGCACTGCCGAAGAGCCATACGAAGAAAAGCAGGGAGATGAGAAAGTCGAATAAAGGCGCAGGAAACAGCAAGATGGCAGTCAGAATAAACGCGTCCTTTTGCTTCTGCCGGTTGCCAAAAGAACCTCCCCCCAAAAAAAGGATGACAAAGAGACAATATGTTTCGGTAGATTCAAGTCGACCGACATTCAAAAGCCTCTACCGCATTCGATATCCGTTGCCCGCAGGACCTAGTTTTCCGCCGCGAACTTGACTCTGAGGAGGGAGTGCACCATTCCGATTGAGGCGGTTGGTTCTCCATCGTTCATACCATACCTCACGGCTGGCCGCGCGGAGCTCGGAACGCCACTCACTGAAGACAGCATCCTTCAGCTTGACGAAATCGCAGTGCGTGGGGTTATACGGGTCAGCAAAGCCCCATGGGAACCTACGCCCAACTGGCTCCTCTTCCGACTCCAGAGAGTAGCGGTCAGGAGATAATATTGAAAACGGGATGATCGGGCTCGTAGCAGGAGGCAAGGAAGGCTCGGGCTGCGAAACTGCCGCCGGTTTCCCTTCCTCTGTCAGTGATGCCGAAGTTAGAGGGCTTTCCAGATCATCAGGTTTGCCCTCTTCTTCTCCGGAATCACTTTCCGATGACGTGAATTCCTCCTGATCTTCCAATGTGAGGATTTCGAGGGGATCAATGTTGGCCTTCTTTAGGCTGTCCCAAACCGCCTTTTTCAAATAGGCCATATGAGCGGTGGTGATAGTATCTGCCTTGCTGATGACGGGTACAACAGTTGTTTTTCCCAAAACGGCCCGCAAGGTCTGGATGTCCAGTCTCTCATCGAGAATGCCAACAAGCTCGGGGTCTGATGCCTCTACAGTCCCTTTCAAAGCCCTTTCAGCGGCGGCTATGTTCATATCCAGATTTGCGGGATCCAGAAGCAAGAAAGTACAGTGGATGTGGGTGTCTCGGACTCCAGGAGAACGCACGACCCTCATCTCTTCGGTCAGTGTGTCTTCGAATTTGCTCTCCAGGAAACCGGCCACAACTCGCATCTGGATATCCACGACGTTCCGCTCCAGGCCGTGAGAATCCCACAAGGTAACCCCTATCCGCTCCCCATCGACCTCCGTTTCCAGGTAGTGGGAAATGTATCCATCATCGTAGGAATGGTGACCGAAACTTTCCAGCTCATCGACATGGCGGATTGGATGCTTGTGGGATGGCAAAGCCAAGGATTTACGAAGGAAGTTGACGAACGATGTCTTTCCAGAGTTACGAGCTCCGATAACGAGGACACTATTGACTAGAGGTCAGCAGGTGTCTCATCAATTCATAGTTAGCATATGCGACTCACTTATACGGAGTCGGATCCTTGCGTCGACGCAGTCTCCGTGGGCTATTGATGCTGCTCACGGCGCTGCTTGCATAGCTGTAACGGCCGCGATGGGTCATACTCTCCGTTCGTGCGTAGGGATCAGGGCTTGCTACTGACATTGGCGAGCTGACGGGAATGGATGGCGGGGAAGCTTTGGGTGCGGAAGACGACATTTTGGCCGCTCCAGCGTTGTCGGACAAGTCGTCACCTCCAAAGGTTGCAAGCTGCGGGGCGGGAGACAGAGAAGGGAGACGAGGGGGTTGCCGGGGCACTCGTGGACGTTGAGCCTCCTCTTCCCTTGCCTGCTGCTCCTTCATCTTCTTGCTAGCTTTCCCGCTAGACGACCTGCGTTCAGCTAAAGGCTCTGTTGACTTGCTACGACGAAGAAAGCCCAGAGAGGATTTCCGCGAGCCAGTCTGATTGTTCACCTGTTCTGTGATGGAAGGGATCCCGTCTGACGGCGAGGCATGTCGCCCAGATGCACGGGATCCAGACACTGCGGCTGCCATTGATTATATATGGGTCGCTGTTTCCAACCAGAGCTGAGAGTGAATGACAAAGACAAGGATTGATAGTGGATCTGAAAGAGGAACGGGCGATCCACTCGTGGCTGACCGACGAGGTAAGATAGCGACAGTCACCTATTACCTTATACGAAAAAGTCAGTCTTTTAAATCTCCCCGTTTCAGTACTTGATATCAAAGCAGGCTTGAGACAAGGTTGATTGGTAAATCAAATCAATGGGGTATCTGTCGTACAGGCGGCTCAATGTCTCCTTGAAACCGACAGGCTGCAGATTCCACGACAGCGAGATGCGGCAACCAGAATAGAGAGAATTCAACAAAGCCACGACATGCACGAGCCCAGCAAGCGTATGTCGACAGTAAATAACACGTTTCTGCTAGAGAAACTTGCAAACGAACGGATAACGAGTGAGAGGGTCGGGAGACGAATTTTTTTTTTAAAAAAAATCATTAATTTCGACCTGACCAAATTGAAAACTGGCCTGCTCACGGCGTACTGCCCATGCAGCGCACGGAGACTAAGAGAAGGGAAGAAAAAGGGCGGGGAGTGGGATAGTCGAACAGGAAGGAAGAGAAAAGAAGAACAGTGATGATGGATGAAACGAAAGAGATGACAGTCTGAGTCCACACAGACATGAAAGGGAGATCGATAGATTTGAGGTCAGTTCCCCTGTCTGTGACTTGCTTCTAGACGCTCTGCCTTTCTGTCACAATTCGGACATGCTCTGATAATATCGTCGCAATGAACTAATTCAGGGGTAATAAAATAAGGCCGGGGCTGTCTGGTCCCCACTCCTGCTTGTCAGGACGTTTGATGAACTGGCCATGCCACTTGGTTTAGGCTTAAAGACACCTAAGCTATGCAATGCTGTTGTTCAACCATGCTTACCACAGTCTCTCTGCTGATCCATGGATCAATCAGTAGCTATATGCCTATATCATTTGTACTTCCAGACGATTACCTGGTAATCATCTCCTTAAGCATGTCGTATTCGTACTGCGTATAGCGTTAAATTACTGTAATGAAGTACCTTGGGCATGGTGGGGCCATTTCCGTTGGTATTGTTTAGACGGAACTTAATATCGTCTCCTGCCTGCCTTTCATTGGCTGGGCTTGGCTGTTTCGGGTACTGTGCTGTACAGGCCGTACACTAGCATACAGTACGATACCCTCCGCAGCGGAACCTTATTGAGATTAATTACGGAGTATTTTGTACCCGTTTAATATTACTTCTCAGCTCTAGCGTCCATCATTGCGATTTATCTATGAAGTACGGCAGGAGAGCATCCCATGAGTCAAATATCATTTCTCCTGTTTTCATTGCCATGGCTACCTAACCTCCCTGGTACCTACCGAAGATACCTAGAACGTTATTCTCCAGATCCAAAGAGCCAAAACGCTTATCCGGATCACCTGGCATGAACCCATCCGTTAATTATAGATACCTACTATCTTCATACCGAGAGACTGACTCTCACGGTCCCAGATCAGTTCGAACAATGCACAGACCCGACGGGCACACATCCTTTCGGACCAACTTCTTGAACTTCGGCCCGTTAGGGCCAGCCGAGTACTTGGACTGCCCGAAGATTTCCTTTTGTCCGGGCAATTTATCGTCCCCCCATTGACCGTTGAACTGCAGCCAGCTCACCGGGTAACTGGCGTCATAGGGCTGGAATTGTGCCGTGTCGGCATTATAGCTGTATGCATATGCGCTAAGGGTGGGGTCCCACAGGACTCCTTGGTCGGTGTGGTCTACAATCAGGCCGTTGTTGAAGTTGAGGCCTGGGATAGTGTGGTCGTGGTTCCTGATAGGAAGTTTACAGGGTCAGTGCCCCATTCCTTTGGGGCTGGGGGAGGGCTAACAAAGGCCTTCACGTACCCTGATATGGCATATACGGCATGCGTTCCATTCCCGGAGTAGGCAATCGGTCTCTGGCCATTCTTCTCTGTCGCCGTGTAGCTAAATGCCTCTCCGTCGGAGTGCTGACTGTACCAGATAGCATCCGGGACGCCGTTCACAAATCGAATCATGTTGTGCTCCCTTGTCTATGTTAGCTGCAAGCTGCACGTTTACAGCCCACGTGTGTGTGTTCCACTTTAGGGTTCCACGAACCAGTCCCCGACGTGGTCGCCAAACATCATACCCAGGACAACATTGCCCCGATTGTATCTATTCCAGTCAGTGCCATCCTTCAAGTTCCGTTGATAATAATAATGTCTCTCGTCTGCTCACGCATAGAAGTAGAAATAGAACGCGTCAACAGTCCCGTCTCCATGGTCTCGCACGATGATCGCCGAGGACACAGCACCATTTGTCTTGCCTTGGTCATCCGGAGTCACTCCGTTAAACCATGCCGGCTGTATAGTGGCATTGATGCCTTCTTTTGATGTCAGGTACACGCTCGTGTTTCCCAGGTCGTTAAGGCTGTCAAGGTTGTCTAGGGTCAATGGGGACAGAGCTCCCTCAACTTCTTTCCAGTTCACTTCGGGAATGGTATGGGCCACCTGTTGTCCGATGTCAGATGGTCTATACTCGTCATCGCTGTATAGCCAGACTAGAGGCGCTATGTGGTTGTTAGAATGAGGCTGCTTCCTGAGATTGGCATGAAATGTCTACTTACCATAGTCCAGCACATAACTAGGAATACTAGTTGTGCTCAGGTCTCTGGGAACTTTGATCGGTGATCCCGTCACCGATGAGAAAAGCGCTGCGACTACCGTCGACAGGAACGGCAGCGAGATGGATATTCCGCTGCGCATGCTGATATGCTGCCTGTCTTTCTTTATATAGATATCATATAATCCTTCCCTTGCAGAAGTGCCCTGTCAAGTTCGATATGAATCTCAACCAGGTCCCCAAAGTAGTTCAACAAGGGGCAATTGAACAGTTCTATATACACAACCATTACAATTCAGACCCCTTTTTCTGATTGGCATCTCATGCCGACGGACTCCTACGGCCAAACCTATGCGATGTGCAGACCGGTTGAAGGATTAGTCTCTAGGGATCCTCCTTGTATGAAAGGATTGAAGATCTGCCCTCCTCGGCGCTCATAATTCACTCGAGGACTCGGGCACTAATACTGTGCGATCCTATCCGTCAGTCATGTCGAAGGAGCTTAGGTACTCCATAGGAAATCACCAATACCTAATAGGCAATCTGTTGTAGTGCTTCGGGCATCGGAAATCCGAGCGGAATTAGAGAGCACTTTTTCTTCATGTGCTTCCTTTATATATTATGTAACGGTATATCCACTATGGAATCCTGCATTCGACTGCTTCATGGATAGCCACTAGAATACCTAGATTCTCATGTCATAGTTGTGAGATTGGAGGACGGGAATCCGTGTGTTTTGGTCATTGAATGCATCTTTATCTGCACGAGACAAAAACGTTGCAATTTACAGTTGCATATGTCCGTAGTGGCGTGGCTGAAACATATTTACCTATTTACCATGTATAAGAAAAAAAAAGACGGATTATTCTGAAGTATGTAGAATAACAGCATGTGCCAAAGTTAGTGGCTGTTGGCTACTTCAGCCAAGCAAGTTGTATCCACCTCTCGGGCTGATCAAGCCTGACTATATTTACATATGCCACAAAGGAGAGGGAACAGACAAGAAAAGACTACTGTTTCTTAGCTTGTTCTTCCTTCTTTTGCTTCTCCCTCGCCAACTTAAACAATCTCAAATCCAATGGAATCCTCTCACCCATCCACGTTGCGCGCTGCGTGTGATTCCGTTCCTCCTCGGAGTCAATGGTGTTGGGATGGATGAGGACGCTTAACGGACCCCGATTGATGACTAGCCATGGTATGAAAGCTCCGAACTGGGCTGGAGTGAAGAGGTTGACTTCGAACATGGCCACTAGATGCGGGCCAATGGGTCTATCGAAGAAGGTATAGATACGGAGTTCGGGGACTGTGGAGACGATCAGCACTCGAACAGAGAAAAAGAGCCATGTGCTAGCTTTCGAGGGAGAGATGCATAGCGTACATTCACGTCTGATCCTCTCCCAGAGAGCTCTTGCGAAAGTAGCTTGGTCTGGATTATTCTATGTAGTCGGACTGTCAGTCCATCGACAAACAAAACAACCTTCGTCTGCAGCAGGGAAAGGAGAACTCAACTTGAAAATGATAAATGTGAATATCAAAACCACCTCGTCTCCCTTTCGACAAGGGATCGGGAAACTCCTCGTATGCTTTACTTAATATCCCATGTTGGGGGTTCTTGAGAGATTTGCCATCGTCGTTTTTCTCACTGCGCGTTTCGCGGCTGGGTTAGCATTACAATCCAATCCGACTCACCTGTTGAGACTCACAAGCTGGAGAGAGCATAGGAAGAACAAATACTCTATAGGCACTTACTCGGAAAGAGGCTCGAGGTTCTCGTATCCCTCCAGTGGGGAGGGGTATGAATATGCAAACTGGTCCGTCATTTCTAGGAACGTCTCTCACAGACTACTGAGTAGTAGCGTATGCTATGCAAGAACTGGAGTCTCGAAATCGATTCTAAAGGCCTGATCCATGTGCAAATCGGCCATCCTCGAGTCAGGGCGATGCACTTCGATTTATATATTCGGGATATTAATTGGAATTAACGCCATGGATGTTTTCCGCGTTCTTACAAAGCAGTGGGGAAAATGTCTACAGTGACGAGCACCATCTTGCAGATTGAACAGATTCATAAAGTCATCACCGCATTCAATGCCCAATAATCAAAACATGCTTGTTTTATATTACTACCAAGGGGCCTTGACATGAATCTGCCCATCCCCCCCAATGACCTTTCCTCGATCCCATTCCCGGCCCTCGCCTCTCTTCGACCACTTCACATCTTCCGGCTTCCTCTCCATGTCTCCTAAGCCAGTAAATGCACTGTCGCTTTTCCATCGTTCCAGAACACTCTCATTAAATCCCGCTTCGCGCAGCCTTTGCTCGCCTTTTTGTCTCCAGCGAGCACGGTCACGGAGCGCCTCCAGAGCAAGTTCCCAATCATCATCCTCGTCCATGAGACCTGGCACCGGACGACAGGTCGGCTTACGCTCTATGTTGGAGTCGTCTTCTTTTTCCAGTTGGACATCAAGAGTAGGATCATAATCTGGGGCAAAATGTGCATCGATGTTGCTAATATTGGTCTTGTACGCACCCCGACCACGCGGACGTAGAGCCTGTTCATCTAGACCATGGCTTTTCGGTGGCGGTGGACCGATTAAGTCTTCCAAAGGATCAGATTCCTCTTCTGAGCGGTTATCACGCAAAGTCGTAGAAAGGGGCAGGGTTGCACTGTTCCGCTCGTGCTTCCGAGACCCTTCTGGGCTCTGTCGATTGTCTCTGTATTCGTGGCTTTGTGGAGAATTGGGCGATCGAGAACGTGGAGAACGTGGTCGCCGTGGTGATGGGGAGCGATAGGATGTATGCCTAGATTGCCGATGGCGGCTGTGGGAACGGTGGATACGCTCACCTTGCGGGGAACCGCTACGAGACCTTGAAGGCGAGCACCCACGGCTTCTTCGGCGGCTGTCACCCTTATCACGGTGCCGGCCGCTTCGAGAGGCTCTAGAATACCGGCCGCTCTCGCGGTCATCCGCCTCATGTCTCCGTCGGTGCCTTCGTGATGAACCTCTTTCGGTAGATCCCGAACGGCTCCTATGTCTTCTTCGATGAGAATGAGCGTGTCTACCTTTGCGTTCTTCCTCTCTTCTCTGTTTCGGGTCCTGGTTCCCCGAGAGTTCGCGACGCCGTCCCGAGATGTGTGAAAACGATGACGAAGCGTGTTCCCGTAGCTGTCGCATTCGCTCCCTGGCCTCCCTCTCTTCTTTTCGCTTCAGCGCCGCATTATGGTTATCCGTTTCTCTGATAATGTTTCTCAAAAATCGGGTATTCGGTTTGGGGGCTCCGCTTGTAGGCCTATAGACAATTGACCACTCAGTCAAATCGGTGAGGATAAATAAGTAAACAAGAAAACACCCGCGCACCTCTTGGGCATATATGCCTCCAACCCCTGGGAGGAGTATTTCAAAGAACTATCGCGCGCTTCCCGGGCAAGTAGCCTCGCAACATAGTCGTCATCGCTGAGGTCTCCAATAGATTCCCCAAGGATTGGGGGCATGGCGAATTTGAGTGCGAAATCGCAGTGACAGTCAACAACACCAAATCAGATGATTATAGAATATTAGACCCCAGAAACCACACGAATTCCCTGTTCCGCAACGCCAGCAACAGATCAGAAAAGGAAGCGGAGGAAGCGCTATTTGGAGGCCGATGAAAGGGCTGCTCACCGCCCGCGATAACAACAACAGCAACGCCTCCGTGTTGACCTCTGCTCTCCGCACTCTCTCCGAGACGCGAAAAATATCCAGCATTTGAACACAATGCGACTCGGCGACATCTTTCACCATACATCCAATCCGCACTTGCCACCTTCCTACCGAGTTGCATCCTCTCTGGCGGTCAAATGTTCTGAACAAGATGGCAGACATCGCACATACTGAAGTTCTGTCTCAGTTCCAACAACTCATAGGGGACAAGGACGATCTGACGGCTCAGCTTGCAATCATCCGCATAAGCGAGCCTATTTTCTCAGAAGCGGAATCTGAAAATGCAAACCGCACGCCGCTGAAACGTGGTTCAGATGCTTCTACACTGAGTAATCCGACACCCGCGTCTCTCGAAACTGACCTGGCGCATTACAAGGTACGAATTGAGATCCCCCTATATTCTGGGACAGCCGTGTGCTCTGGAAAGAATAGCGGATATGCTGATATAGATCTAACCTCGCGATAAATAGGAGCTGTTTTCAAAGCTACGCTTTTCCTACGTCGAACAAGTAACGAAAGAGAAATTTCTACGCGCCATTGTCGGTGATCCGCCGCTTGTGGTCGGACATAATGAAAACGTTGAATTAGAAACACAATTGGCAGAGGTGAAAGCGGAGCTCCGTTCCCGTAAAGAGGAGGTGCGGGTTATGCTTGAGGAAATGGATAAGACGAGTCGCGATCTCGCGAAGCGTGAGTCTACCCTGCATCTGCAAAGATTTACCTTTATCTTATATGTTCAATCCTAATTAATCTCATCGAAGGTTACAAAAACGTTCAGCTGCAGATGACGCAGCTCTCCACACTCCCCGAGTCGATTGCGAACCTCGACTCAACAATTGCTTCCTTGCGCGCAAAGCAGGTGGCAAACATGGACACATCCAGTTCTAGCAATCTTTCATCTTCGCAGAATCTCACTCTCCCCGCGACTTTGTCTCTGTTGTCCGAGCGAGAGGCCGAGCTTGCTGCACTAAACCGTCAGCTAGCTACACTGCAGAACAGCCTCCCTCGGAAGACAAGAGAAGCCGAGGCCATGGAGCGAGAACTACATGCTCTAGAAAGGAGGAAGGTTGAGGCAACAGCGCAGGCACGCGAGGCCCAGAGAAAGAAACAGGAGGGCGAGAGTGATGGTCTCGAGGAGACAGGGCGATGGTACCGAAGTGCGGAAGAAACGCTGAAAAAGCTGACCGAGGTAAAAGGATGAGATGGTATATATGCTTCTCTGCGGTTTTATGACAGAACGAGGGGACTACGGGGAACTGGTGTTTAGATATACATGTTCGGCAAAACGTCTTAGATGGGAGTAGGTTAACATCAAGGAAGCCAAACAGGTTGGCGATTTTTTGATTCGTCGAATTTCATCATCATACGACAGGTATATTACACTGCAGTGGCAATGAAACCCCCTATTTCGCGGAAATGAAACCAATCCGTACTCCAGAATTTTAATTTACTCCTCCTCTTCTTCACCTTCCTCGTCATCACCACCCTGGGCAGCACGAGCCTTCTTGCGGGCAACACGGCCAGGGCGGCCACCACCGTAGGGCGAGGTAAGAGCGAAGTCAATGTGCTTCTGAGAGTCCAAGCGGACCATGAAAGAGGGCACGTTGACAATCTGCTTGCCGACACTGTTTCAGAAAAGAGACGTATTAGCCAAAGAAGCAGATCTTGTAGCGACTGATTTAAGCCATACCGAATGTGGCGCTGCTTGATAAGAACACGAGCGTGGTGGATGGACTTGGCAAGACCGAGCTTGTAGACGCAAGTCTGGAGACGACGCTCCAAGAAGTCCTCAATACGGAGGGCCAAGACGTAATCGAGCTTCATACGGGACTCATCGAGCACACCGATGCGGACCAGACGACGAATCAAGGCATTGCCCTCGAACAGACGCTTGGGGTCCTTCTCGTCAAGGGTGAGAAGCTCACTGTCGAGCGATTACTTGTTAATTCTCTTGATTCCATACACATGATAGTTAAACTGCATGTGAGTTTAGTGCATACCGAGCAGCACGACGAATCTTGGAGAGGGTAAACTGGACACGCCAGACCTCGCGCTTGTTGCGAAGACCGTACTCGCCGACAATCTTCAGTTCCGAGTCACTAGCATCAAAATAATGGTTAGGCACAGGAACGTCACGACATAAACAGAAGCACGCTTCTGATTAGTGGCCGGAGAGTACTAACAGACGAGCGGACTCGAAAGCTGTGTGGAAATCGTTAGAACTGCATTTGACTGGCGCCGTGGCTTCCTTCGCCGGCTTGGAGGAATCATGTACTTACGACGACGGGGGACGCTATAGGTCTTGGAGTAGACGGGACTGAGCGAATCAAGACTGGTTAGAGTATTGCGGCAAGGAGCACTGTGAAGAGAGAGGACAGCACTCACGGAACGGGGGCCATGGCTGCGTATTACCCGGTTGTCGCGAGGGTTGTCGAATACAGACCAAGAAGCACGAAGACCGCGACGGTTGAAGAAAGCTGGAAAGTGAAAAGTGGTTTGGTAAGCGAGCGAAAGTGGAGCCAGATACGGCTTAGCGGCAGGGCTAGCCCTGATCCGCCGTCCAAACAGCACACTAAGCTTCCGCAGCGCGACAGAGGCACTTCCATCCCGTTGACAAAGTTCTTGACTCCAGCACCACAGCACCGCCGACATGCCTCACTCGTACGGTTTGAGACGCGGCACTCGGGTATGTTATTTGCGATGGCCTCAATTTCCGCTGCTTTGGAGCTGTCGATCTGACCACGTTGAATAGTATGCCTTCAGCCGCGGCTTCAAGAACCACGGCACCATCCACCTGTCGACCTACCTGAAGACCTACCGGTACGACAGACTTCTCCGCAATGGATATGGGCTGAATGCGCAGGAACTGACGGGTTTGCAGGGTCGGTGATATCGTGGATATCAAGGTCAATGGTGCTGTTCAAAAGGGGTCAGTAACTTCTATCTCCGCCCCGCTGCGTTTTACGTTCAGTTTCATTATTTGAATGGGAATTATGAAGGGAGCATATCGCTGAGACAAAACAACAGCATGCCGCACAAGTTCTACCACGGCAGGACTGGTGTTGTCTACAACGTGACTAAGTCGTCCGTCGGTGTCCTTTTGTACAAGAGGGTCCGCAACCGCTACATGGAGAAGCGCATCAACGTCCGCATCGAGCACGTTTCGCACTCGCGCTCCCGTGAAGACTTCCTCAACCGTGTCAAGGAGAACGCCATTAAGAAGCGCCAGGCCAAGGAGCAGGGCCTCCATCTGCACCTGAAGAGACAACCCGCCCAGCCCCGTGATGCCCACGTCGTCAGCCTCAAGGAGAACGCCCCCGAGACCATCACTCCCCTTCCCTACGACACCCACATCTAAAATAAATGGATATGGTCGCTGCGGTTGTTTGGTGTTTCTGGGTCTTTGTTATTTTTCATCCGTATCTCTACTTCCGTTCAAGAAGATGAGCTTTCCATGAGACGAAATCGAAAAGGGTATCGGATGTTCTGGCGCGTGATAATAAGCCTGTGCATAGATTCCCCTGAATGAGAAAAAAAGAAAATTATCTCAAAGTGTCTGTTTAATTTCGGCTCGAATCAGAGGTATACGCCTACGCAGCGACTGTTTATCGCGTAAGTTCCTAGTAGCCTGGTCATCTGCACGTTCCAGGCTGTAATAACAAGATTCAATATCTTTACTTTTCGAATATTTCCAGCATACTGGCGGAGAGCATGTGACATGCTTGCCTGAGCCACGCAGCGACGAGTTCTTGGGAAGAATTCAGTACAATAATCATTATAACCACAATCATATCGTGAACTTTCAATCAGCTTGTATTATGCCTTCGTTTGGGATAATGTCGATAATATCTGCTAGGTCAAGAAAGTTTATTCCTTCGTTTCGGCCGCATTATAAGTTGTCTTGCTCGCTCCAGCTGTCTGGCTGACCTCGAACGGACGGAGGAACTGTTACGCAGCACGCTGCCAAGGAGGAACAGATATCCGTGTGATTGATTCTCGGCGGTATCGATGCGCCCTGCACGGAATGATACAGAGCCCAGACATGTTTGGGGCTTGGCTTACATGCACGATGTACCGAATACTGGCAGCCTCGTCAGTTTACAAAAAATGACGGTATCTACACCGTATACGACGACAAACAGGGTGGCGAAGCTCTTTGGAGGGTGGAAAAAACAAAGGACTTTTTATTTTATTTTTTATATATTAGCTGCTTACGATGGCTGTCGGGCTCCGCGTCCCCGCGCGCTGATTGAGCGATGTTCGAGCTGTGCCCGGGTGATTTCGATGACTTGTCCATCCCTCGCAACAGTGTTTATTAGCAGCGAGCCTCCAATTTGAAATGACTAGAGTGATCTTCTGGGATCTGCTCTCTATCGAATATGCGCTGTGCTGTTCTGGATTGTATCCGGATTACCATTGCCAGCTGAGGCCTTATATACCACTCTTTCCACTCTCTCCAGTCAGCAGAGACCAGCAAGAAGTTCCCGTTCCCAGCTGCACGATCCATCGCCTTGCCCTGCGTCCTCTTCGTGCTTCCTCTACATCCATCTTTTCAATCATGGAGCTGTCAGATGACGCAGAGGGGCACGTTGACTACTTGTCTCTACCCTATTGCTTTCTAGATGGCAATCTGCCTCAGATCCCAGTTTCCGATACCACATCCTCTTTTGTAAGCCTCATCCATGCGGTGTTCCTAGACTTAGGCTGACTTCACAGGAAGGTACAAGATACATTTTCAAGACATCGCATTTCTGTTTCGAGTAACTCCACTGCTGGGCCCCCAGATGTGCCTAAGCTTTCAGACCTAGACTATGATACCATAGACGTTGTGAGAAACCAGCTAAATGACCAGACAAATGATCTTCTTGGGACAGGCAATGGTGTGATACCACTGCCGGATAGTTTCGATGACCTACTAATGGATGGACTCCCTTCCTCGTCTCAAACTGCTACCGCCCTTGGTCCGCTTTCCTTCGAGAACCCTCTTCATTCCCCATTCAACAAGCCGAGACTGGATCCTGATGACGTCGCCAGATTCGTAAATGAGACTCTTGTTAAGTTCAATCAAGCCGAGCTGTCGCGTATGAAATTTCTCCTTCAGGATATCCAGACTCGCATCGAGTCGATCCTCCACCCACGAACTGAGATCGAGACGAAGTCAGCGCGCTCACACGTCAGCCCCCGTTCGGATTCCGGAATCTGGTATATCTGCGTGCTCTGCGAATGCAATCAGTCTGGGGGCGGAAGGTCCTATAAAACTGCTGGTGCCTTAAAACGCCATGTGAGGGATGAGCATACGCCTCAATTCAAATACAATTGCCCCTACAGATTTGGTTGCGATTGGTTAACCCACAGGAGGGACAAGGTACATGAGCACTTACGGAACAAACATGGACATAGAGGACGCTTGTCAGCAGCGCAGATCGGAAAACTCGAACAGCGAATGCCACTGCCGAAAAGCTGCCCCATCTGCTCTGAACCTGTGGGCACCTGGGAAGAACTTTTCCAATGTATCGCCAGCCACTGCCGTCGTACCGAAGGGGACCGCCTGAATGGTAATGCGAACAGGAGGGGCGGCAACGGTGGAGGGCGTGGGGGAAATTCTAACGGCTATCAGAGTTGGAATTCCCCGGGTTCTGGCTTTGGGGAAATGGGGAATTCATCTACCTTTGGCAAAAATAGCCACACTGACAGTCGTTCAAACACCGGTTCCGGTTCAAGGTTCACTCCTTATGGTAGGCACCAATCTGAAAGTTCACAGTCAGTCAACCAGGACTTGGGTTTGGAAGCAGCCGATGAGATCGAGCAGGAGCCTTGTTCACATGCAAATAGGAACCACCCACTGGCAGAGATGAGTGGTCCCTTGAGGCATGTGCAGCCTACTGGATCCTTGGTTACAAAGGCTTCCCGCACGATACAAACCTCCAAGGATGAGCTTCCTACCTCGAGCTCGCCTTCCCGTCCAAATATTATCCTGGGTAAAATGTCCCTGCATGGTGGGATTCATCTTCCTAGCCTGAGATCTGGATCCGGAAGATCCCTCTCTGACAAATCCCTAATGTGGGAGCAACTGGACGCTGTTAAGCAACAGTGTACAACCTGCGGTCACATTATCGATGGTTGTCCTAGGTGCGGGCTGCTGAAACAACTTCCTGGTATATGCCACTTCTGTGTGAACAGTAGCCCTATCTTGATTTGGTCTCGAATGTCGCAGTATTTGAGAAATCACGACACATTTCAGGATTTTGCATGTTCTGGAACGCCAAATAGTGTCTTGTCAACACTGAGGGTTCATGAAACGGTGTATCAGGTCTCGCAGGTTTTGTGTTCCTCCAGTCATCGTTTGACGGATCCCCGAGATACAGGATCTCGGCTGGAAACTTGGCCGGCAAAAGGTTCGTATGGACTTGCTTCTCCATCACTGGGTCGCAGATTTTGCTGACTACATAGAAAGGCCTCTTATATGTCGATGGCTCTTGGGTCTTGAAACAGGGAACCCTCGGCTCCTTTGACGGCAGGCTACTTATGCTGAGTTACGGCAGCATATTTTCTCTCCAGTTGCCTCTCTCTTGGGAGCGTGCCATCGAAATATCGATTCCATTTTCTGACTCACCTCCGCAACTCTCCGGGACACTCTCACCGCGCCAGAAAAGAAGAAGGAACTTGGCATTGCGGAGACGACTGCAATATATAGCTAGAATGCTTCATCTCTGTGCAACCTTCACAAAGACATATTCGACTGCAGAAACGAAACGCATAACTTTGCCCAGTGACAAGCCCGATCAGCAAAGCCTTGATAAATGCAGTCTCATCACTAATCTGCGCGTTTTGGACTTCAATTCGTCCATCTTACGACTTTTTTCATATATAAAATGCATGCTTACGTACGGAGATGCGACACCACTCAGCGCCCTGGATCATCAGACGTCTCTGGCCGCGATTTTGTTCGGTATGATGATGGTTCTGGCTGATACGTCGACTTCCCCGGCGTCTGCCGGGTGGAATGATGTTTTACTTTTACGACATTTTACGATATGATTTTTCTCATTATTTCAGGTATTGATATGCCTTCATGATATTATCGACTCTCTATATCCCTTTTGGCCGTTGATGCTAGAAGCAACTTTCCTTTTTCTTTTCTTCTTTTGTCCCCTTGATATGAAAAAAGTTTTTCTTTTACATGTCGTTATCAGGATACCCTTTGCTGTATACTGCTTGCAATTCTTTCCGATTATCAATTTGTTTTTCATTTAGGGTTTATGTGGCATTGAGTCATGCATGATATAGACGGGATTGTTTGATAGGACATGACATGGATATACGCTGGATATAGATTCGGACACAGGGAGCAAGCATCAAGAATGGCTTAGAAAGAATGAATGTTAAACAGACCTTCCCTGATAGACAAACGCCTTTGGAAAGACCTTCCTGATCTCCTTGAATTGTCTCCATATGATCCTTTCCCACCCATCCTGGTGTATACCCACTGTCAAAGTCAATAATCCACGCATCCCCGTTGATATCGATCAAAACGTTTGTTACCTTTACACCCCCCTCTGAATAGTATGAGCATTATGCAAGCAAGCCAAGGTTGTCGTCACCGTATCCCATTTCATTCGCAATGTAGATGGGGTCTCGAGACCCAGTGAGCATTCCCAAGTTCTGTTGCCCCGAGTTAATAAAACCCCAATTATATGAGAGCTTTGTCATCCACGACCACGCTGATCAAGCGAGGAACTCGGGCCTTATCACTCAATCCAATGACTTCAATTCCCTTGTATGTATCCTTCATCGTAATCAAGTGGCTTGAAAAAGCACACAGCCCACCAGCAAGTACCTTCCTTGGCAGTTTGGAATACCCTTCATTATGATCAGAGATGCAATTTCGATCTCTGACGGGCTAAATTTGAGCCATTTCGGATGCAACGTCAAATTTCCTGGATCTACGCTGTTTGGCCATGGTTGCCTCGGAATGTCATAGCCTAAGCGCGGTTCTAATTGCTCATTTATGACATAGAGTAATTAACGATATGTTTCTGGGAAGAGGTAATCTTGAAATGTTAAAGGATATTGGTTCAACAAAGTAGGCTCAATTTGATCGAAGATTGGGAGAAGAGGACCCAGCACCCAATGCTGTAGATCTTCTTTCGCCGAATCAACAAGATCGTCGTCCTCATTATCGCATAAAGAATCCACCAGGCGGATGTAGGTTTCCAAGGATGAGGGAGATTGACAGAAGAGCGCTGGTGAAGATTGGATGCGGAAGCACTTGCCTTTGCACACAACAGTGATCTGAGCTGACTTGCCATTTCGACTAAAAAAATTTCTTTGAGAAACCAAACCGGGTCCTGAGCTGTCATAGTAGATGTACAAGTAATTCAGAGTGATGATGGTGATTTGAAGGGTGACAAGAGATTTAAGTATGAAGGTAGTTGAGCAATGCACCAGCAGCAGCATTGGGTGAACTCAATAACTAGAATAATTTTCCATCTAAATACAAGAGACATAAAACAGAATCCTTGAGTTAACAGATCAAACAGACATAGATGCCACTATACTAAAAGTTAGGGTATATCAATCAGACAACATGAAATATGAACAGAAAAAACAGGGAGATAAAAAAAAAGAAAAACTGCTCCTAGTATCCGTACTGGGGAGCTAGCTATTCATACCCCAGATTTTTGGATTTGAACATTATTACAGGTAAGGGACAGACAGATAGACAGATGGACAGACAATGCAAATGACCAGACCAGAACCATGGTGGGCAGGGGGAATAGGAAGAGGGCAGAATGGACACTGATATCAGCTAAACATGTATTTCTCAGAAGAAAAGAAGGAGAACAACATTTATTCATCTAATACATCCGAAAGAAAAGAGTTGAATGTGAAAAAAAAAGAACCCAAATCAAACCCGCCCCCCATTTGCTCCATGATCCGTTAGTTAATGAATAGCAATTTGAAGAAAAAGGGAAATATAAGAAGATGAAGCTGATACTGTCCAGCGTTAATCAAGAGTAGAAAAGGAGAAAGAAAAGAGACTTGCATTGGAGAGTTTCAAAGTCTCTCTACTCCTGTCGACTGCGCTTCGCGCCATGAGGGTTCCACGCCCCGTCTCCCATGCCCTGGTTAGGGAAGAAGCCCTGGTTAAAGGGGGTATTGGGGCCCTGGAAACCACCTTGACCTGGAGTGAATATTTTAGTTAGGATCATACATAGTCCAGTCCAGTCCGCAAGATTGCGGTGGCCAAAGAGACGTACCCTGCATGCCCATATTTCCACCCATTCCACCCATCATCGGGTTCATACCCCCGGCCATTGGAGTCATGCCCATGCCGCCCATCGGGCCCATGGTAGGCATGCCCATCATGTTCGGAGCGCCCATGGGACCACCTCCGCGGCCACGCATGCCGCCACCACGCATACCACTACCCATCATGTTCCCACGATTGTTGAATCCCCCATAGTTGGGCATTCCTCCCATCTGACCTCCCTGAAACCCGCCACCGACCATCGGGCCAGTTTGGAAGCCTCCCATGGGCTGGCCGAAGTTGCGGTAGCCCATGTTGTTGTTCATACCGCCGCGGTTATTGAAGCCGCGGCCACGAAAACCTCCGCCCATGTTGTTCATAAAATTCATATTCTGATTCATCGGTGAATTGAAGCCTCCCCTGACTTGGCTGTCCTTCCTCATAGGAGCATCCTTGGGCAATGTGCGGAAGGGATTCGCTTGAGGATAGGTATAGGCGACCATATGCTTCCGGCCACCCTGACCGGATACGTTCATGGATTCAATCTTATGCTTAGTGGCAGTTGCTGCTTGTGTAGTCGTAAATTCAACATACGCTTGGCTATTGAGACATATTAGTTAGTCCGCAACTCAAGATATCGAGAAGAGGAATACAATAGCCTTACCCCTTGCTTTTCCCGTTCACCTTGTGCTCACTGAAAGTTACGTCTTTGAGTTCGTCTTCGCAACCAGCCTGATTAACCCAGCCACGGATGTCATCGTCAGTAGTCCACCAGTACAGGTCGGAAATGAGCAAGGCAGTTGTTGCATCCGGGTCGGATGGGCGGTCGTCCAGATCCTTGCGCTTCACACCCTGTGGAAGATTGGCGGCGTCCGAAGTCGTTACATGTCCGCCATTTGCAGTATGACTGTCTCCATTACTGTATTTTGTTCCTTCACCATGTGCAGCATCATTATGGGTATTATCAGGGGCGTCTAGGATGATATCAGGCTCTTCCTGTTTGTAGTCCCCATGTTCGTTGGCATTATAGCCACCACCATCACCATAGATATCAATGTCGAAGTTATCATCTTCAGTAGCCATGGCGTCTAGATGAGGTTCGAAATGTCAAGGCAAAAATTGATTGCTTGTTTGTGAAGTATACACAGACTCTCTTCCTTTCTCTTTCTTTCTTTCTTCTCTCTCTGCCGTTCTCGGTTGATCAGGGAGAGTACATGTCTGTAGCAACAGGTCATGATTAGCAAGAAAGGAATTAGAAGGCAACCAAGAGTCCAACATGTAATCATGCAAAACAGAAAAAGCAGGGACAGTCCTCGTCAGAACATTCAAACCGCACTTGTATATAACCTTCAGACCAAGGGAAGAACAAGAAGAGAGACACAACAGAGAGAACATAATACGTACAACCAGAAGCGAATGATGCCTCAAACAGCAATCCAGAGATAAGGCACCAGCCTGTGGATTTGACAATCGCTGTAACGCAGATGTGGGGCGTAGTTCTTTTTTTTAAAAAATTCTTCTTGGAGTACCAAGTACAGGCAATATTGTATTATTAAGTGCAGGAAAAGGAGATGATGAAAAGAAGATAATTTCCACAAAATCCGCGGCGCCGCACAATTTCCCTGCCACAGTCAAGCGGAAGGTTCAACAGAGATTGGACTAGAGAACAGGCGTGACAGATTGGGGCTCGAGATGAAGGAGCACAGGAGTAGGAATATCAAGCAGAGGTTGTCAGTAGCAATCCGCGTCAAATAAAATCCTCCCCCGACACTAGCACAATCAAGGGAGTACACTGGAGCTCAGCCCAGTTTGGATCCCTTGAATTGGGGGCCCGGAACAAGCGCGTTCGGGTTTCGAGAAGATGACGTGCAGAACAAAGAGCCTTGAGGACAGAAGGTAAACAGAAGTGGCGATGACAATGGCGGGAAACAAATGAGAACCGGACAGTGAGATCCTTAGATTATCTCCGGATAAAAGAAATCGAGGGTTGGGATGAGAAACGGAGAGAGGAGATGGAGACACGACACTTTGTTCCAGAGAGCTTCTCTGATCTGAAGCGGAGAGGAGCTTGGAGGCCGTTCGGAACGGTGCAAAGTGTCTCCGGTGCAGCTGTGGGAGAATGCCAGATTTCCTTTAATGGAAGTGCTATAGGTGTCTCCTCCTTTGCTCAATCCACCCTACTTCCTGTTTCTGTCCCTCTGCTTCACATCACCAATCTTCCTTTGTGATCCAACCTTGCCACCATTTTCTGATTACCCTGCCACAATGTCTGAAACCCTCCAGGAGCTGGCTGACATCCCCAAGGACTTTGTCCGGGATGGTTCATTGTTCATTCGCAGGTGCACTAAACGTACGTCTATTCCTCGAATGTCCGATCTCCAGTCGCAATTGTTTTTGTATTGACCTGCATTATGGAACAGCCGATAAGCGTGAATTCATCAAGATCAGCCAGGCCGTTGGAATGGGCTTCCTTATCATGGTAAGCAAAGCAAAGGACTATGTGATATGGGTACAATCCATCTCTTTCTTTGGAGCGATGCTAACAGCTGTCAAGGGTGCGATTGGTTATTTTATCAAGCTGAGTGAGTCCTTGCCAGACGAGAAGCTATACCTAAGGCACATTGTGCGCTAGAATCATCGAGTCGCTTTGCTGACCTACCATGTTTTTGTCTCAGTCCACATTCCTGTTAACAATATTCTTGTCGGGGGAGCATAAACTTCAAAACGGTCGGGTCGCACAGCTTGCTATCAACTGGTACTGCGTCGGGAGCAATCAGCATGATGGACCGTCTCCCGGTGTGGGAGACGGTCCCTTTTCTTTCTTTCTTATTCCTATTTTCTTCCTCTTTTTTAGATCCTGGGCGTTTCAAACAGACAATGACGTGGGATGGGCAAATTCTGTACATTAATAAACAATAATTCTGATTATGGGCGACAGCACATGGCGCATAGGGTGGATTGACTGATATACGCCAGCTTGCACAAAACATTGTCCCGTAGAATCTTTCATGCGCTACAAGGTCGAAAGCCTCTTTCTTGATTCATAACGTCTGTCGTTCCCTAGAAATATACATACAATGTCCACATTATGTCCAAGACCATTATTATAACGCCGGGTACTCCGTATCCAAAGATCCAACTTAACAGATTAACCTTCAATACCAACTGTAAGACATGATTCCAAGACGTTCATCTCCGGAGATGGGAGTTACCATGTGAGGGTTGGTGCAATGGCACCAATTTGCAATCGTAGTTGGCTCCAACTGGTGGGTCTCCTTCGTCCTCGCTAGCACCATCATTCCAACTATGCAACGTGCAGGTCCCAGCTGATGGGCCCTGGTTGCCATCCGACGAGCCGTTCCAGGATGTTGCTGTTTTCCAAGTAAGCGGATTTGAAATAGAAGAACGGGAAGGACATGAACTTGTTTGCGTCTGTTTAAAACTCACCTGCTAGCACGGGTGCATTGGGATGCCAGCTTGCATCTCGGACGCATGTTTTCCACGACCCTCTCCAACCATAGCGCCCGTGTGATTGCGGATTATGCGTAGCCCCTCCAACGTCTATTGTTCCTGCAAGCGTCGCATCCAGATTGTAGACATATACCTTCCCATCTTGGCTTCCAGTGTACACGTATCTCGAGTTGGTGCTTCCTGGCGGAGAGAAGTGGCATCGAATCAATGTTTTGAGTACTCGGTGGCCGACGAAGGTAACTACTGAGCAGTCGTGTGGATGAGGCTCATAATATTCTTCTGGATAGGAATCCCATCGGTACTCAAACCCCGTTGTATAGTTGCGAATGTCGATCGTGTCAAATTTCTCTGTCGTCATCATCTTCCTCAAATCCCAGAGTTTCATAGTCTGGTCTTTGCCATTGGATAAAACATATCTGCCATCGCCTTTGCTGTCAATGTACGTAAGACCCTCTGTATGCCCAATGAATACACCCGCTTCGCGGCCATCCCCCATCGAGCGCCGGTCCCAAACTCTTAGTGTTGTATCATCAGAGCCTGAATACAGGATATGTGGGGATGATACATCCCCAAAACAAACTGCATTGACATCCGCTTGATGGTTCTGCAGCCGTAGAACTGCCTGTTGAGTCTCAAGGTCATAGACTACAACGGAAGGGTCATCTTCACCAGTTCCAGCTACAATTTCACGGCCGTCCCCAGAAAATCTGACCGAGTATATCTGATAAATGATCAGCAAAGGGAATAGAAAGACAAAAGGCAAGTATTGCACACCCCAAAATAATCCACGTGGCTTCCCCGGCCGTTGGACGAGGAGAAGTCCAATATCGTCGGGTCAGACTGATCCGCTGGGTCCGTCGACGCAAGGCAAACGAGATTCCGAATAGAGCTATACGCTAAGAATCTGTTGTCAGGACTTAGTGTGGCATCCGTGATGGTCCATCGACCAAATGGATAGTCCACAGCCTTGTAGTATCTCCATTCGTACGGGTTCGATGTATCGTACATCCTAACCTTAAAATCCTGTGAGCAGCAGAAGAAGAAGTTACCATCATCAGAGAATTGGCCGGAGTAGCATCGAGAGTCAAAGTGAATAATCTTGTCCGCGACAGATCCGGGGATCAAGTCCTACAGTGCATTAGCCAGATGCTCCGCATGGGCTCTCTTCATCCAGAAACATACTTGGGCCATTGAACATCTCTCCCTTTTCCAGGCTCCATCCGGGTAGATGCGCAGTTCACGCCACATCAATTTCGTTGCGATCGTTCTCTTCCGCTTTCTCAGCGTATTGACGTAGCATGGGTTGCTCCCGAAAAGGCCGGATCCCATCAGTTCAGTTCCTTGCTCGCTCGGTGGTTTAGGGTACTTGTTATCCGTGGTGCGGCGCCTTGTTCTCATCCGATGTCTAAGCAGCTCCCCGAGATCATTGTCATCGTCATCAAAGAGTGTATCGCCGTGCCAGCCATCAAAGTGGAGGATATCCCTCAGTGGATTAGAGGCCAGCAATTGCAAAAGCCGAGCTGCTGAGACTATGATGGTCAGCACGTAATATGAGAGGCAGAAGAATCATCGTCGACTTTCAGCCATACCTCGGGTGGTGGGTGATAAGCCACCTCCATCGTGGTCAGAGTCGTCCATTGTGAATTCAACGTGAATGTTACCATAACTTGGTCCCGCACGTTCCGCTGCAATTTGATGGTTCGATTAGTTGGAGAAGCAATAGAGTAAGCCAGAAAGGTCGCGAAATGGCAAGGGAGTATAATGTTACCGAAGAGGCGCAGACCGTCTTCGTATTCCTCCTCGTCCTCGTTTTCAGCTCCGTTCTCTTCGTCCGAATATGCTTGACGTTCTGGCGATTCTAACTCCGGGATTTGATGATCATCGTCATCTTCATTGGCTTCGAACCATTCTCTTACGGGATGCCATATGGTGGCATACTCTCTTCCAGACGAGGACTCCGCACCGGGGGGTGATGAGCTCATGGTAACTTTCGATGAGGGGGAGGGGTTATGAACTTATGAGGCACAACCACAGGGGTCACACCTCAGGCTGCAGTTAACAGCAATTGGCAATTGGCGGATGAACAGTTGACGCTACTTATCGATTGACACGGATTCCCCACTGTTAACTCCTATCCCCGAGAGACCGGTCTCTCCCCTCAGGCAGTGGATCTCCGCAGAGCAGAATGCAGAACGGCGATGCAGGACAGATTGTGGATGCCATCTATTCACCTCACGATGGATTCGCCATGCAGCAAATCCGCAAGAAGTGAAGCCGTCGACGTTGTTCATCCCAAAGAGGCATAGTGGAGGCATATGATAAAGCCCTCGGATCAACAATAGTCCGGTTGTCCCGCTGTCACGACTCCAAAGTGTCTCCGTCGAATGGCTGACGCCTCCAGCATTTGATTCTGTCCCTCGCGTGCGACACAACGTGCTTCCAAACATCCCATAGCTGATTTGGGCTTTTCAGCCCCAAGAAGCCAAACATTTCTAGCTTGCTGCTGCATGGAAGCACTGAGTTCTACTTAGCTCCACACGTCAACGACTTCGATTTTCAAATAGAACCCCGCTCTCGGAAGAGCTACGAGCTAAGATGCAGGCCGTACCTGAATCGCGACAACAGACCTTTGAGGAGATATATGGTCCTCCTGAGAATTTTCTGGAGATCGAAGTGAGTCGATTATCTCTCTCTTTTTTCTATCCAATTCCTTCGTCGGGATTACCCTCTCCCCATTGCGAATCTAGCATCCATGTATATATATTGTATAGTTTATACCATTACTGACCATGCCACTATGTAATGCTGTTGCTTTTGTTTAGGTCAGGAATCCTCAAACTCATGGTACATCGCGGAACATGTACACTTCCTACGAGATCGTCTGTCGCACGAACATCCCCGCATTTAAACTGAAGCAGTCTGTTGTGCGCCGACGCTACTCCGACTTCGAGTACTTTCGAGACATCTTGGAGCGTGAAAGCACACGAGTTACAATCCCACCACTTCCGGGAAAGGTATTCACAAACCGGTTTAGTGATGATGTGATTGAACATCGACGAGAGGGTCTGCAAAGGTTCTTGCAGATCGTGGCCGGTCATCCCCTGCTGCAGACTGGAAGTAAGGTGCTGGCAAGCTTCATCCAGGGTGAGTCTTTTTTGCTGCTTTTTCTTTTTCTAGGTCATATATTTTATGTTCGCTCCGGGATGCTGATGCTGATACTTTGAATCCGTAGACCCAAATTGGGATCGTAACGCCTGGTGATTTTTCTATGGATCTCTTCATTGAGTAGGATTTAGAATGGAGCTCTAAGCTTCTCCCAAACGACTTATGACGATATATCTTTTATCCTCGACTCTCCGGAATATGCTAGGTCTGCTGACTCTGGCACATGGGCTCTGTGAATCAGGCCACATCACAATTTTTTGTTCTATCGTGACCTTTTGTACGTCACACCCATTCTTGATGAATTCCTTCTCATGAAGTTAATGGAACTGTTTACTTTCTGCCCGCCATATTTGACTGTTTTGGCTTTTTTCTTTGTCTTGTTTGTAACTACACAGCATAGTAAGCGTGTTTGCAATGCTTTCCTAATATATCTTTCTTTCTTGGATTCTTCGAATTTGTCTTCCTGCCAAGAAGCCGTCCAGAAATGTGTCCAACCCAAAAAGTCAAGGTCTGTCAGAAACTATATGCCAGTATTTTGTTCCTTTATCGTGTCTTGTTAACTGTACCGGACTAGTTGAAACTAGACAGAAATAGGGACAAAACAAAAAGAACAACATGAATGTGAACTTTTTTGGTAGCCCCCTTTCCGGTGTTGTCAGACATATCAAGGCCTCAGAGCAGGGCAATGGTAATAAAAGGAAGAGCGCGTAATAGGGGTATATTGTAAACAGAATCAACCAGGGGAAAAGTAAAAATAGCTGTAAATGAGGTATCAGAAACCAGAGTGCAATTTGAAAAAGGTAGGGGAATGGAAAGATATTGCATAATCTGTTAATGGCTTCAGCATAAAATATAATTTTCTTTCTTGTTCCCTTCTAGGGAGCTACCCTAGCTCATCCCAAGTCATGGGAGGAAGGGTATTATCCCCCCAGGTCGCTGCTTCAATCGCAGAGTTAATTGTTATAGCGGTAGTGGCTGGCTTTTCATCCATCGCTGAAAGTTGGAAAACCGCAACAGCGGTGGATGTGCTCGCCGTTGCTAACGACGGGAACGGCGGCTCGAGCAAACCTTGAGGAACAATACTGGGAAAACCCGAGTCTCCCAGTCCTGATCCCCCCACACCTGATCCAAGGGAAGATTGAATATTATGGCGATGACCGCCATCATTGTCACTGTTGTTGTCATTGTCATTGTCATTATCATTACTATCATTGTTGTTGTTATTGTCATTGTTGCTCTTGAGATGGTTCGCGAATACTGGAATTTGCTTAGTAGTTTCTCGAGTGCCGTCGTCAGTAGTATTATTTTGCAGTGTTTTATCATAAACAGGTCCACCGGCTCGATATGCATGAGGGAACTTGGTCCGAAATCGGTCTCTTAGATGCGTGGCTTTTCTATGCCCCAGATTCAGGCTCTTATCCTGTTGGATAAGTGTCCACTGGAACCCATGAATAGCATGACCTTTGAGCAAAGCATCGTCTTCGGCCGCAGTGAATGGGCGTCGGGAACGCCGCCGAGACTTCGTACTGATATGAGGTTCGGGAATTCCGAGAGACTCAAAGGTAGATTCGGATTTAGTCGAAGACTCTGTGGACTCAGGTGATGGTGGATGTCCTCTGTTGACTTCCGGATCCTTCGAATCACCGTTCTGTGCTGAGGTCAATTCCATTGACGCCTTGGGTTGATCTTCGACATTCACCTCCAGGTTCCCTTCAGCAGTACCAGAGCCAGTCCCAGAATTCATTAGTTGCGGATTTGCAAGGCGGAGCTTCCCGCCAGATCTGCCTGTCTCTGCTCTCAGAAGCGCATTGGCAAACGTATCACGTAATTGCTTGGTGGCTTGGTTTATATCGGAAGCTCTTCACTTGAGTTAGGTGTTGTTCAACAGACTCAGGATACTATGGGATAGACTTACTGGTAAGCCCAAGGGCAACACACACGGAACCTTTTGGGGGGACAGAAAAAAGATTGGGTCAGTAAAGAAGTAGACAAGAAACACGATAGTTCATACCTGTCTTTCAGGTTTGAAGCGCTCCTCTTGTTAAATTTCAACTCTGGCTGAGCCAATATTGCCGTCCAATTGCCAATTCCACACTTAATTACGCCCCTCAGTAAAGCAGCCGTCTCCTCTTCCGTCCACTTCCTCAAGTTCTTGCGCGAACGACCTCTGCGTTTGGGTGATAATCGTACATCGTCCTTCTTTGGTGGGGTTGGAGATTTCCTTCTAGCTTTCGAGGGATCACTTTCACTTTGCAGTTTGTGGTGTGTCAGGTCATGCGATCCCCCCTTGTCGACGGGAGAGCCGCAAACCTCATCGATCCTTCCCTCTCGTTTCTCTGACTGCTGAGGGTCAGGTTTCGAAGAAGAACCAATTGGTTCGCAAACAGATCCATGTTCTGTGGGTCTTGTAAGAAGTCGCGCGAGTGATCCAGACTCAATCGGGGGCAAGAGGGCAGCGTTCGGAGGGGGTTCATTTAACCCATTTAGAATGGCAAAAGGACCGAATGGTGGAGGCCGTTGCTCTTTCTGCGCTTGAGGAATTGGAAGCTGCAAATGTTCTCCAAACGAGTCTGTCTGGGCGTCTACACGACGACGTTTGCGTGGAACATGGAGAGTATCCTCGTGAAACGAGGAGTATGGAAACCGCTCGAGGGCGCGTAGGTTGACAAAGGCAGGTAGGATTGGTTTGGGAGGAGTCTCCAGGTTCAAAAGCGAATCGACCGAAGGGTCCTTTTTGTCATTGGTTCGCGCAGCGTTCAATAGCTCCGTTAGCGTAGGTAGATTTGCAGGCAGTTGCCCACCGGAGGGACTGGTCTTGGAGAGGTTGCTGGGTTCTACAGCACCACTGGCATTAGGTTCGAGTGGAGAGGGGACACTCAGAACACGAGAGGACACGGGTTGGCGGAGAGGAGCTATGCGCAAGCCTTGTAGCTGGGGAAGTTCGCGGAGCTGTGATGGGGCATCATCTAGAGACCGGACGAACGCGGCACTGGTATCCATGTCGAGAGGTCTGAGATACCCTGGAGATGATAAGAACAATCCACTTATGGATCACCACTCGCTCAGCAATGCAACAGACGGTGCATGGTGGCAAAAAAGTGGTACAAGAGCAGTTCGTATGTTTGAAGAGGATGGAGTGGATTACGGACACTACCGTTTTGGGAACGGCAGCGGAGCATCCATAAATCCACGACTCTAGGGTCTATCATGCTCCATTTCTCGTACGTTGTAAACTCTCTTCCCAATAGCTGTACAGCTACACCATTGCCGGAAACTATTCAAACTATCTATCACGCCATGTCTACCCTCTTCCCAAGATGGCCTCACATCCTCTTTGGAATCTTCGAGCCAATCTCTCTGTAAGTGGGATCGGGACTCGCCCTACGAACCTTCGGATCCTTCTCATTGCTATATATATATTAATGCACCGAACAGGCTTCTGGGCTGGGCAGCGCCGCTTGTTGATCTCGACAGTTTCATCGCAGGCCAAACGCCCAAAGTCGCGGCTCCTACATCTCTGCACCCCAGCAGCGTGGCACTTGCCTACCAGCTAGGCAATGTGTATCTCCTTCTTCTCCTTGTAGGAGTCGGCGTATGCTACACCACTTCCGAGCCCAAAGTGTTGCGGAACTACCTCATTGCCCTGGCCATTGCGGATGTCGGACACATCTACGCGACGTATGTGGCCATGAGGTGGGAGGCATTTGTGGATGTCTCCTCGTGGAATGTGCTGACATGGGGGAATATTGGGGCGTCGGGGTTCCTATTTGTGAACAGGATCGCCTATCTGATGGGAGTTTTTGGCTATCCTAAAAGATCTAAGGGTGAGGTCAAGAGGAGCTGAAGTCATGCATGGAATAACAGCCAGCATAACTGCATGTGGTAGTCTGTATATTATTTCCAAGCCTACAGTTAGCTTGATTCTTTTGGAGTACCCTCAGCGCCATAATGTACATATTTATACAGTACCTGCATCGTCTCTGATGGTCATTGAAGCCTCCCAGTCTGTCATTTGTGGTCAAGATCCTGTCCGTATTGTAAGTCCGTTACTGGCGTCTACATGTACATTCAGAAGATGGTCTGGAGTCGCAGAATCTATGCTGGTATGCCATCCTCTTTCTGGAAGACTTCCTGACACTTACTTCGGCGGAGGACTTTGTGCCCAGTTCACAAATAATAACCACCATTATACTTTGAATACTTGAGACGGTGCCCCTTCAAGAACCGCACAATTCGCCAAGAGTCACTCACCTAATATATATCAAAGATGAATTTAGGCTAGAGTACTTCCATATGCCGTGTTTGAGGGACTCAATCGATGCTTACGGACATGTTACTATGGAGCTCAGCTCATAGAAAGAGGGTAATACCAAGGCTGATTACTACCAATTCAACGTGCTCCTAGACTGACTGCTACTTGAGAATTGGTCTCGATCCCATAATCAGGGGAACATAGAAGAAAAGTACCGTAAATCAACATGTATCCCATTGATCGATAATGAACAAGAAGATGGGCCACTTTTCCCGAGCAAATTCCGTTAATTTTATTTTTCAATGGGTATTAAAATTTTTTATCAATATGCTATACCTAACGCATCTTGTCATTACACATCTACTGAGCAAGAGCATAAGCACGGCGGCGGTCACGCTCCTCAGCAATGGAGAGCTGTGGAGATGATGTTGTTAGCTCAAGAGTTCAGAGATATAGTAATATAGGAAGAAAGTCTGCAGCGCAAACATACCTTGACACCCTTGCCCTTGGGTAGGGAGATCCAGGGCTTGTCCTGTCCAATAACGAAGACGTTGGACTCGCGGGTAGCGAAGGAGTTGTCAACAGCATCCTTAATGTGGACGATATTGAAACCACCATCGTGACGTTCCCGGTGGGTGATGACACCAACACGACCCATGTTACGACCACCAGTGACCATGCAGACGACACCGGTATCAAAGCGGACGAAGTCGGTGATCTTGCCAGTGGCAATGTCGATCTTCACGGTGTCGTTGACCTTGATGGCTGGGTCAGGGTAGCGGATGCTATATAAAAACACTAGTTAGCATACTTGTCCCTTACTTACTCCCCGAGTTGCGGCGTAGTATGATTCTATAGATAATCAAGTTCCTCCCGCGCGTTGCCGATCAACCAAAGCTTGGTCCAACGACTGAATGACGCGGAACTTTGAGGAGAGTAATTGCACTCACGTTCTCGCATCGTGCGTAACCAAGAATGGGATCCCGCCCTTGCCAAGCTGCACGCGCTTGACCCTGCAGAGCTTGTACTCCGCCTCCTCGGCCTGGATGCGGTGGACGGTGAAGCGACCCTTGGTGTCATAGATAAGACGGAAGTTCTCGCCAGTCTTCTCGATGGTGATAACATCCATGAAACCGGCAGGATAAGTCGAGTCGGTGCGGACCTTGCCATCGACCTTGATCAGGCGCTGCATGACGATCGCCTTGGTCTCACGGGTGTTCAGGGCGTACTTGAGACTGAACAAGGGCAGACAATAGTTAGCTAAAAATATTTAGGTATTCGTGTTATTTCTTGACTCGTACCGGTTGCGGATGAAGACGATGAGAGGAAGGCAGTCCCTGAGCTTGTGAGGACCGGGAGATGCCTTGGGAGCATAGGTTCCGGACATCTTGTCCAGAAGCCAGTGCTTGGGAGCGCTCAAGCGCTTCTGGTGCTTCTTCCTAAAAGACGCATAGCAGTTAATACAGAATTCTTCCTTTTAACGATCACAAATGCAGTCCGTCTCGCATGTGGTCATGAACCCAACGAGACCTCCCTCGCTGCATCCATAAAACCAGAAACAGCAGCGTAATGGCAACTTACGGTCCGCGAGGCATCTTGACTTTTCGACCAGCTTAGTCCTGTTGGTGTCGTCGGGGTGTCGCGAGAAGGGAACTAGCAAACTCGACAGCGGTCCTAAGTTACTTTGAAAGTTCGCTTAGCGGATGGTGTATGCGGGATAAACCCTAACACTAGGCGATTCTCGGACTACAATCCAACTTTAAATATATCACGTGACTAGTTAGATGACGAGAGAAAGGGAAAGTATTTGAACTGCTGCTTGGCTCCGCAATAACAACAATACGTAACGACCAAAAGGTGGAGTATCTATTATTGTTTTTAACATCTCATAGATGAACAAGCCACGGGATGGTGAAATATGTACATGAAAACTAAACATCTTTTCTGGCCCTGAATCTTTGAGGTCTCAAATATCACGTGATAATAACATAACTTAACCACATCTTGCCTAAATAGGAAGGTAAATGTGTATTCCAACCAAGAACTTGGAATCTTTTCATAAGCTTCATGTTTCTGAAAGATTCCTCTATTTTCATGAAAAATTGAAACACAATGCCTTTCCAAGGTAGCAACTCATTTTATCGAACCCTCTTTAGACGTAGCCTTTGATAACAGCGACCTCAGCGTTAAGGATGGACGATCCTGCTGCTCCAATGACGGTGTTGTGTGAGAGTGCGGCAAATCTGATGTCGAAGTAACCGCCCTGTTGTCCCTCACGCACTCGTCCAACACTCACAGTGTATCCGCGAGAGATATCTCTGTCAAGTCTTGGTTGGGGCCTATCAGGCTCGTCAAAAACGACAATCGCCTGCTCAGGAGCAGAAGGGCATCCTAGTTTCTGAGCTTCAGATTTATATTCTCTCAAGGCCTCGACTACTTGCTCTGCGCTGGGAGCCGGGCGATTCTTGAATCGTAGCGAGACAAATGCCATGTGGCCGTCAGTGACTCCTACGCGAGTGCAAGTGGCCCCGATCCGAAGACTATACTGTTCCTGGAAGCCGGTGACATCTGCATTCAATGAACCGAGGATCTTCTGGGCTTCATTTTCCAGCTTGTCCTCTTCACCGTTAATAAAAGGAATCACATTGTCCACGATGTCAATGCTGGGCACACCGGGGTAGCCAGCACCCGAGATTGCCTGCTCAGTAAAGACCTCCACTTCCTCAACCGGACCGAATCTGGCCTGGAGCGCAGCGAATGGAATGACAATTCCTATGACAGCACAGTTGGAATTGCAGACCAAGAACCCTTTTTTCAGCCCAAAGTGCTTCCTCTGGTAGGGAATCAGGTCTAGATGCTGGGGGTTGACAGTTGGAACCACCAGTGGCACAATGGGGTGCTTGCGGTAGTTCTTGGCATTCGAAAAGACGGGAATCTCCGCCTTGATGAATTCCATTTCTGCATGTGGTCAGTAAGCATAGCTTCCTTTCTTGAAAGCATATCACGCACCAACGTCGCCTGCAATATCAGAGTTCAATCCGGAGAATACAATGTCGCAGTCCTTAAATTGCTCGGCCTTGCAATCACGTATAATAAGATTGCTCAACTTCTCGGACATGGGTGCAGACTGTTTCCATTTAACGGCATCCTTGTACTTCTTGCCAGCTGAACGCTCAGAGGCGCCCACGGCTTGGAGATCCAAGAAAGGATGGTCCGCGAGCAGCATAATGAACCTTTGGCCGACGGAGCCTGTAGCTCCCAGGACACCTATTTCATTGTAAGTAAACAGCATAGATGAGATTCCAGCAGGGGCGTATGCATACCGCACTTCTTTCTGGGATATGAGTTTGCCATTTTATCGCTGAGCGTATCAACTTATATCCGAGTCAGTCAGATCGCCCAAAGAGCAACCAGCAGAAGTGTAGATCCAACGTAGAGAAGCAGAGAGATGCAAGGGAATGCTTACAGCTTCCAATAAAAGATGAACTTCTGAAGAAGGATTAGAGAAAGAGAAAGAAAAGTGACTCAAGCGGCGAGAGAGAAGAAGGGCGTCTTCAATCTTGCTGCGACATCGCTGCTCTCGGAGTCTCGGTGGGGACCCCAACCAGCCAACGAACGATGCGTAAAACGATGAGTCATGCTAAATTCCTCGGTGTTGCCTCTGCGGCGAACATCATGCAACAGCAATTATATGCTCATCGTCTTAACAAACAACTTTGATGTGGACAGAGCAGAATGAATCATGGTCTGATCCTTCGAACTGGTGGAGCGTTATTGATCTGGAAAATGATGAAATAATACTCGATGTTCTGTACTCGATGGAAGGGTACAACTGATATCAAAAAGGGCTACAAATCCAAAATGTTTTTATACGCTACAGTATATACTACTCTATGCTCTGTCTTGAAAGTCGAAGATTTTACCGGGGTTCAGAAGCCAGTTCGGATCAAGAGTGTGCTTGATACTGTGCATCACGCCAATCGTGGCTGGTCCCAACTCCTTCCGCAAGGACTCCTTTTTTCCCATGCCGACGCCGTGCTCGCCCTGTTGTCCTGATTAGTTCAAGTCCTTAGTGGATGGAGCATAGGATACTGTACAGTGCAGGATCCCTCCATATCAATGGCTCGCCCGACCATGTCATGGACCACCTTCTCCACGCGTTCTCTCTCTACTGGGTCATGCCGGTCATACATGATACTCGAATGGAAGTTGCCATCGCCGATGTGTCCTAGGATGCTGGCAAAGATGCCAAGGTCGTTCAGATCCTTCTTGGAGTGTTCTGAACTAGTCAGTAGAGCAACAAACTCATCTTCTTTCTGCGCCTAAGGACTTACCGATTATATCCGGTAATCTCGAGATCGGGACGGCCACATCCGTCGACCAAACTTCAGATCCCTGCTTTCGCAATGCCAGCATGCTCCATAACGACTGTTTTCGTGCGGACCATAGGTCGTGGGCTTCCCGCTCGTCACGAGCAAATTCAAATGAGTCGGCATTGTTTTTCTTAGCCAGGGCTTTGGTTAGGTTGATGCTATCGGCCACCCCGGCGGTGGAACCGGAAAATTTGAAGAACAGGGTCGGCAGCTCTTTCCAGTCACGCCCAGTACCACCGGCTCGGTTGATCACATTCATCTGCACATCGTCGAGGATTTCCATACACTGAACGGGAATGCCACTTTGTGTAACTTGCATGGCTGTGGATGCGGCATCACGGATCGTTTTGAACGCAGCAATTCCGACGCGAGTCTCTTGCGGAATAGGCGTCAGCTTGAGCGTAGCTTCTGTGACCATGCCCAGTGTTCCTTCCGAGCCGACAAACAATCCTGTCAGATTGTAACCAGCGGATGTCTTCCGGGGCCGTCTCCGTGTCTTGATGATGCGCCCGTCAGCAAGGACGACGGTAAGGTTGATTACCCAGTCCTTCATTGTCCCATAGCGTACGGCGTTTGTTCCACTGCAATTGGTGCCAACCATACCGCCAATCATTGCTGTCGGACCAGGGTCGACAGGGAGAAAGAGACCACTATCTTTGATCTTCTCGTTTAAATCCATCCACCCGATGGCTGGTTGAACGACGACGTCCATGTCTTCTTTGTGCAGCTGGAGAATGCGGTCCATTCTGTTGAAATCAACCGTCAACCCGCCGTGAAGGGAGGAAAAGTTACCTTCGAGACTGGATCCTCCGGAGTACGGGACCATGGGCACCTTATACTTGGAACAGATCTTGGCTATTTCCGACACTTCCTGGGTAGACTCTGGGTAGGCGATAGCAGATGGTAGCGTATCTGAATTTATGGAGGACCATTCCGAAAACCCATGCTCCTGGAGGTTGTCCTCGTCCGTACTGATAGCATCATCACCTAGTTTCTCGCGTAGTTCGGCAATAGCCTGGCGATAAGCACATCAACAATGGGTCGATCAGCATGACAATGGAAAATGCAGGGTATTGGACCTTTTGGAAATCTTGGGCAGAGCCATATCGAGGCTCTTTGGAACCAGACCCCTGGCTAGACACGGCGTACGTGTAGCCCAGGCCGGCAGCGAACACCGATACGAGGACGGCCTTGGTGGTATTCCAGAAGGGAGACGAGGATGCACTAGAGGATGTAGAGCTGGCATTTCTTCTGGGATTCTGGCTGCCATTGCTCCTTACTACGCTGGCAGCATTCAGAATGTTGTTCGGACGGCCGGCGAAAACTCGCGGTCTGCCAGCGACGATGCGGGGGAAGCTCCGGAGAGAGCCCAAAGGTCGCATGGTTCAATTGATACTGCAATGTAAGACTTTGATGTATGCAAGAATTACTTAGAAGCCATTGAGTCTGAGATGGCCTTGAGACAAAAAAGAAGGAAAGAAAAGAAAAGAAAAAGGAAAACAGCCACAGGGAACAGGCTGGTGATAGCTTTTCACTATACTCCGCAACCACTACGCTCGGCGATTGTCCGACAGACAAACTCGGCGAATTAAGCGAAGTACGATGTAGATATTTAATCTTCCATATCTATTGCGCAATATTTCTCAAATTGGCCGTGCTCGATAGAGTCTCGGCGGTCGTTTTAAGGCGTTTTTTGAAGCAGTATGGCTGCGTGGTTTGCTGAAGCCGTGCAGAGCATTGACGGAGAGGAGAGGAAGAGCAGCAGCTGATATTATTCATTGTGACAGCTGAGAACGGTTCTTCTCGCGGCAATTATCATAATCATGAATTAGTATGGGGAGAACTGCTCGAGGACTTCGCGATGTGCCAGGCCCAGGCCCATTCAGGGTCTAAGAGGCATCTGTCGGAGAGACGGTTGAGGGGGCAACCAGTCGAAAGATCCAGCTTCAACCTCTCCAGCTCTGACAAGCACAGATTGTCCGATTACCGCAGATCCAACAATAACAAGAATAGTGAGCATCCACGGGGCAGAATAGCTTTTGATATAGAATCAAAACTATGCCTGACAGGTTACCCTCGCTTACCCGCGAGGTGGAACGCCTGCTCACGGCTCCATACGTGCCCGCTCTTCAGGTGAGTTTGGATTGTTTATTTGACACCCAACACAGCCATGTACGCTGTACATGCAACCAGCTATCAGATGATAACGGTCCTTAGGATCTCTATGATATTGTCCACCGATGCTCCCCGCCTGAGATTCGTTCATGGGCCTTTTGCAAACCGTGTCAAGTGGGTCCCCTGGGCGACCTTCTAGTTCAAGCACTTTCACACTCAGCATTATCCCTGCAATTGCTCCGCAACTTCGGTACGTCCATAGAGTTATCAACGCTGTATTGTCATCTTCTGACATGCTGCAGCATCGGCTCCTTCCTTCCGTGATGCTCTGTTGGAGCGACATCCGACTGCCTTAGATGGCTTCCTTCAAAAGGCCGTCGAAGATGGAACCTCCGAGGTTAGTTATATCCTATGTTCCCTAGTGTCTGCATTATTTGTACTTATTGATAGTAAAAGTACTTCCCGGTGTGTGCGGCACTTCTTTCGTCGCCTCTCCCTTCTGAGTTTGTCGTACCAACACGACTTTCTCCCTTTATCATGAAGCTGGTGTGTAGAATGGGCGAAAGGCCCTGCGTGGAGACTATCCTACCTTTGTATCAGGTTATGGTTGGCCTGCAAGCCTCTTCGAGTATCCTGGATACCCTACCGTTCGAAACAATGACTACCCTCCAGATGGAGTTCACTAAGACACTGCGCAACTTTGATGACCATATGGGCAATCTGCTCTGCCTTGCCACATTTGCTAGTATTGCATCCTCGCGTAGGGCAAAATTCGATGACGAATATGCACCGCAGCCTCCGTCCTGGCTCCAAAATATACGTCATTTCTTTGGCCCCAAGCGTGGCTTGAAAACGCTGGACCTAGTTGTCCTGCGTGTCATTCTCAGCTGCTCAGCTACTTGCAATAGCCTACCTGTTAGCCAGGCTGCAGAAAGCATTCGACTCGCCATTGATATTTGTGAGACTGTTAATCTTGAGCAAAGACAGGCATGGATCGCGGGCAATTCATCTAAGATTGCCAAGTTATGTGAGAAGTTGACAAGGGATGGCATTGGCCATGAAGTCCAAGCAATGGTATGATCGATACGGATTTCCTTTTTTTTTTCTTGGGGGATTATTTGCTGACTGGTTTAGGGCATCGCCTTTCTTATTACCTTTCTTCCAGCTGGTAGTTCCCTACCGCAGATAACGACTCTTTGCCAGCAGATCCTATCATCAGAACGTGTATTGCAAATTGTACCTCACGAACTTGTCCCACGCATGGTAGAAGTAATTGCCGTAGGTTCCCCAACCAGTGATTCCGGTATCCTAGACACTGACTGGCTTAGGCCTCGCATGGAGAGACTGCTGTGTGTGGCTTTTTGAATCTCGCGTTCTCTACAATTAAAAAAGATGCCACAGACTGCAACACCCTGGCTTCTTTCAACCTATCAAGATTGCTCCTTTCTGGACTGCAGAAAGTGAAACCACTGCTCCAGTCCCCTTCAGTGCATGAATTAGTAATGACCTTGGGTGAAGTGACAGTAAAAGAGCTACTGCTTAGCTTTCCAAGAAAGCCTGAGCAGCCAAGCTGTGAAGACTCTAGCGCCTGCTATGCTGCTAGTTCCGAGGCTCAGAACTCCTTATTTGTCGATCTTTTCGGGATTTATGCTAGATCTGCATTTCCGGGAAGGATACAGGAAGGAAATTCGGGCCCCGACGACGTTAGAAACCGTCTAGCCGCTTTCATGGGCCACCTAAGAGACCTTTTTGCTAGCAGTTGCTGTTCTTTCTCTGCATCAAGATCATTGGATATTCGCAATGTTTTTCCCTCACCAGTTTCCCGAAAGCAACCGACGGACAATTTTTCAACTCGCGACTGGAGGGCTGAAATGGCGGAGACACTTATGCTCAATGCACGAACATCTTACGATCATATGTTGGAAAAGGTTGAGGAAATCTGCTACGATCTAGAACACCGCTGCTACAATACTGAGGCTCCTTTGCGGGTGGTCCAAAAGGAACGCGACCAGTTCATGGCAGAAGCAAATGAATTGAAGCAGCGCAATGAGGATCTACAAATACAATTGCAGCAAGCATCCAACACTATTTCTGATCTCCGTCAAGAGATGGTTCGCCTGGAATCCCACGCAGAGTGCGTCTCCCGTCGCTCAGAGGCGCTTTCTGCCGATCTTGACAATGTCAGAAGGGAACTTGAAAGTCAGAGACATCAATCCGAGAAGGTGGTCCAGGTTGAAAGGGAAAATTCCAGAACAAGGGAACTGGAGCTGGTTGCTACCGCGACCGAGAGAGAGGATCAGATTGAAGGGTTGGAGCGGCAGCTAAATCTTCAAACAGCAGAGAATAATGAGCTGCAGCACAATTTGGAAACTCTCTCAGGCGAGCATGCAACACTTATGGAGGAAACTCATTTGCTAAATGAAAGGGTCGGTGGGCTTGAAGTATCCTTGGAAGAATACAGGCTTCTTTTGGCACAGAAAGATGAAGAAGCCAAAAGATCATCTGTCAACAAAGAGCATTTGAGTTTCAAAATAAGGGACCTAGAAGCAAAGGTAAGATATGCTGCCACCTGCTTTTGAGATAGGGTATGTATGCTAATGCAATATGCAGCTAGAGGAGAAGGTTCTGGAGTACAGTGCACTATCATCTGCATTGCTTGCTGCAGAGGAAAAATCAAGGATTGACATGGAAATGTTCAAACAAGAACATGAGCTTGCAATATCTCATGCCAGTTCTGAGGTCAGTATCTACTCCTGAGATATAAGAATGACTGGCTTTTCTAATGCATCTTTTGTTAACGGGCAGTCCGCCAAGCGGAGCGAAGAGAACAAATCCCTGCAAACTGCTATGCAAGAAGCCGCGTCCAATGCCACAAAGGAGTTGCAAATGAAGGAACGAAAAATCCAGCATCTAGAAAGCAAGGTAATATCTTACCCGGTATTTGTGCCACCAGTGCTGTTTCTAACTTTACCTCAGGTGCGATCTCTGCAAAACGAGCGCGCAACCAAAGCGCGAGAATTTTTAGAAGCTCAGCAACACATCAGCCGCTTAATGACCGTTATGGGGTTTAAAGCGGACCCTGCAGAAGCAGAAGATTCGAGCAAACGCCGACGGTCTAGGTCCCATCTGGAACCGTCTCATCTTGCCATGCCACCGAAGGGCACTAATAATGCTAGTTTTTGGCAAACAGGCAACATTGACTTCAATTCGGAAAGCTTTCTAGGAGAGTCTTTTGGGTCTATTGCCTCCAATTCACCTGGTCCTGATCCTGGTCCTAGTCCTAAGCGACCAAGGGACGACCTAGTCGATGCAACAGCACCTTTGCCTTCGCGTGCCAAGGGGACAGATCACTTCAAGGCACAGGATCTGCAATACCCCCGAAGCTCTACCGGGAAACGACGAGAGCGACAGCCGCTGGGAGGCGCAGATCCAAACGCCACTTCTCCTGCTCCCGATACTTCACGATTTAAAAGTCGTCGGGAAGGATCTTGCCTTGGCAGCCAGCTTTGTATTACCAGGGATGAAAATCGAGAAATAGACGTCGCTGATGATCTGGACGTAAAGCTTGACGATGGGCTCACATTTACCAGTGTCACCTTTCCGGGGAACGAAACTTCGAGCTGATGCAGGATACCCAATGATGATCATGATCATGAACCTATTATAATTATTAATCTAATGACTTGTTTCATCTTAGAAAAATAGATCACTTAAACAGATAGTGCTAGTGAAGGCTATGAATTGAGTTCAAGCTTCAGCATGCCTCCTATATATTTCTAAGGATGATTTCCTTTTCATGTCTGCAGATGTCCACTCCTGCATAGCTAGTCGTATGATACATCCACCTTTGATACTCTCCCTTCTGTTTGAAGAATTTTTATGTCCATTTGGAAATTTTCAGTTTCTTTGTTCTTCTTGCCCTGTTGAGATTGCCATCGGAGAGGCACTCATAATCCCAAGAGAGACGTCAAGTGGTAGCAATTATCCGACCTTCCTCACCCTCAGTCGAACCAGGTCGACAAGGTTACTTCGCGAAGGGTGTGCAAAAGCAGGAAGATATAAGGGGATACAGAAAAATGGGTCATCGGGCGAGAGAGAAAAGTGAGAATCGTAGGCGCCATCTGGGCGCCTCTGATACTTCCCATCTCAACTTCAACAGTCTCATTCACCCACTCATGGTGAATGACCAAGAAGCCTGCCCTGCCACGAGCAGAAGCAGTAGCAGTAGTGACCAGGCAGTTGAGACTTCACTGCCACCTTCTCGTGACTCTTCTCGAGGGTCTGGCTATTCAGCTCGAGCTGAGAGCGGAGGCAGGGTCATTGGACTCTATCATCCATCTCTCTCTCCTGCCACCTCTGACTCTAATCTCCATCCAACTCGGACAACGTCTACTACTACTTCTTGTTCTTCAGATTCTTCATCGTCGTCATTTGCATCAGCATCATCATCACGCTCCTCATCCAGGATGCATCCTTCTAGTCGTTCGAACCCTCCTTTTCGAGACAAGGATCGTCCTCCACTGGTCTCTCTTCCTACTGCTTCCCAACAAGCTCTACCACAGGTTTTAGATTTAATTATCCCACCATGGAAGCAGTGGAATTCCGTTGCCATCAATTTGTTGAACCTCCCACCTGAAGCCAATGCATACGTCCTGTGGAAGGCATTCCAGAAGGAAGGGCCTATCTTCTCTATTGATTTATTTGAAGACAATCACGGGAGGAGGGAGAATAAGGGAAAGATACGTTTCAAGTTCGCTTTAACTCTTTGTTCATATTCATTTGGCTCTCGCTATCATCGTCGACTGACTGTCTGACAGGCCACCCCCCAAGAGGGATTTCTGGAGAAATGGAATATATGCGATTACTTTGCCTAATAATCGCACTTGGTCGATTCCACTTACCCTTGATCCCAAGCGCGTGAATTTAGAAGTCCCAAGTCCCGTCAAGGCACGTACGACTTATCCGGCCGAAATCGTGAGTAGTATCCATTAGGCCTAATGTCAAGCATCTGCCAGAGCTGACGGTGTCAAGCGAATCCCCATCCGTACCATGGATATCGGGGTACAAGCGAACGAGACCTCAATAGTTCCAATGCATACCGTTGGGACTGGGATTGATAAGCATCCTTTCTTGGTGGTTGACTTGAAACGCAGAGTGCTGCAGGTCTACTTCCAACTCGCAATTCACAATCCACGGCAGAACCAGACCACTGCAGCAGTGTATCATGACTATCGTCTTACAATTACATTCACACAGATGACTAAGATTTTTCAGACATCTGACCCAGTGTCAAAAACCGTTTCCCACTTGACATTCCTAGACGCTCCTCCCGTCTATCATCGTCGTATCAAGAACATTGCCAGCACTTTTACTGACGAGAACAGCTGGAGAGAAGGAGATACTTGGTTTCGACAGACAGATATTGTCCATCGGCCGGAAGAGCTGGCTGCACTACCAATAGGCCTGCGGAAGTTCAAACCTTTGGTTGATATCGGTGAGTATTACAAGTTCTCCCCTTTGACCCTTTACAGCTAATCATTATCCTATAGGTCGTTGGAATTCCTTCAATATAACGTATCCACCGAATGTCGATGCCAATGGGAAATTGGGTTTACTTTGTGACGTCCTGAAGGATTTCAACATCGCAATCGAGCATACAGATCGCTTCATACAATGGGATAAAGCTAAGAGACCACCCCCAGTGTGGAAGTGGATAGACTATTCTGAAAGTCGACCATCAAACAAAGCTTCATCTTCATTGGCAGATTTGATTGATGAGACTTATATCCCCCTCTCCTTCCCTGTCCGCTATCAGTTGGAGGTCTGCATTTCCAATGGGTATCTCTCCGAATATACGATGACACGAGACTTCCTCGTCAGACTGAATGAGATGGGAGACCAGAAGGCTAGAAAGCTTTTGGAGCATGTTGCGTTGAAGAAGCAAGTTTATCATGACCCTATGAAGATTTTCAATCTCATGTTCGTCAAAGGGGTCACGGATGCTAAGATCCCAGGATACTGCTGTTATATGCGATCTGCTAGAATAACGCCAGGCACTATCTATTATAATACACCATCTGTCGACATCTCAAATCGCGTTATTCGCCATTACATTGAATATGCTGATCATTTCCTCCGCGTCCGATTCACGGATGAAAAGATGTATGGCCGAATCAACTCCACCGATAACAACACAATGGATGAGGTTTTCACCCGCATCAAAAGGACTTTGGCAAACGGTATTATCATCGGCGACAGGCACTACGAGTTTCTTGCATTTGGAAACTCTCAATTTCGCGAACATGGAGCCTATTTTTTTGCCCCTCTGCCAAATCTCACGGCTGCCAACATTCGAGCCTGGATGGGCCATTTCAATGACATACGAAACATCGCCAAGCACGCTGCAAGATTAGGGCAGTGCTTCTCAACGACTCGGGCAGTAACTGGTTGTCCTGTGCAAGTCCGTCAGATCGAGGATGTTGAACGCAACGGCTATACTTTTTCTGATGGTGTTGGCCGGATTTCGAAGTTCCTTGCTCAAATGGCAATGTCGGAGCTCAAAATCAAGACTTTTACTGGCAAAATTCCTTCTGCATTTCAATTTCGTCTTGGGGGATGCAAAGGAATGCTCACTGTTTCACCCCAAGCCCAGCGCCAGGAAGTGCACATCCGGCCGAGTCAGCACAAATTTGCAGCCACACACAATGGCCTTGAAATCATCCGTTGGTCCCAACTATCTATCGCAACTTTGAATAGACAGCTCATCATAGTACTCTCCGCTCTGGGTATTCCAGACAGGGTTTTCCATACCAAATTAAAAGCTATGTTGACAAGTCTGGATGAAGCAATGAGAAGCGACCCACAGGCGATTTACCTGCTGAAGAAGTATGTGGATCCGAACCAAATGACTCTGATAATTAGTCAAATGGTATTGGATGGTTTCAGGAAGTCCAATGAACCATTTCTGACATCCATTTTGACATTGTGGAGGGCGTGGCATTTGAAGTACCTCAAGGAAAAGGCAAGAATTGCCATTGATCAAGGGGCAAACTTGCTTGGTTGCATGGATGAAACTGGTATTTTGAAGGGATATTTTCACAGTTCCTTCCCAAGCAAGGATGTCTCGTATGAGGATAAGCTAGCTGCACTGCCCGAAATATTCGTCCAGGTATCTCGTCCTGAGAAAGGCGGGAAGCTTGAAGTGATTGAAGGTCTATGTATCCTGGCTCGCAACCCGTCATTGCATCCCGGTGATATCCGCGTTGTACGGGCAGTCAACGTCCCGGAGCTACATCATCTGCAGGATGTAGTCGTTTTCCCGCAGACCGGGGATCGGGACATAGCAAGCATGTGTTCTGGTGGGGATCTGGATGGAGATGATTACCTTGTCATCTGGGATCCAGATTTACTCCCAGATGATTGGTTCCGCACCCCGATGACCTATGCGAGCAACAAGGCCCGAGACCTAGATAGGGACGTCACAGTCGACGATATCACCTCTTTTTTCGTGACATATATGAAAAATGATTGTCTTCCTCGGATCGCCCATGCCCATCTTGCCTGGGCAGATCGCCTTGAAGATAGCGTCAATGAAGAGAAGTGTATCCGTTTAGCACAACTACATTCAGATGCTGTGGACTACAATAAAACAGGAAGGCCTGCTGTCATGAACCGCAACTTGCAGCCGCGAATGTGGCCCCATTTTATGGAAAAGAAACATAAACCAAAGGAGCAAATTTACCATTCTCGAAAAATCCTGGGTCAGCTCTACGATGCGGTTGAACGTGTCGATTTCATCCCTAACCTTGAAATGCCGTTTGATACCCGAATACTGGACTGCAGCCTAGAAGTCAGCAAGGAATTGCTTCAGTATGCAAGGGGTCTCAAAGTTGACTATGACACGGCGATGCGCAGGGTCATGGCGCAATATGAGATCAAAACGGAATTCGAGGCATGGTCCACCTTCGTCCTAAGCCATGCCAACACGAGCAAGGATTATAAGTTGCACGAGGAACTAGGCATGATTTCGTCTTCTCTCAAGGAGGCATTTCGGAAGGAATGTTATAAAAAGGTCGGAGGACGGAGTTTTCAACTGCTGGCTCCTTTAGCAGTCGCAATGTACCGTGTTACCCATGAAGAAATGGCTGCGGCATTTCGAAAGCATCAAGATGAACCCATGAGCGTCAAGTCGACCCCGAAGATTGATCAACTGCCACTAATTAGCTTCCCCTGGGTTTTGCCTCACATTCTGGGGAAAATCGCAATGGGTCATTATGAAGTTCCAGAGCGGCCAGCAGGTGAAACTGACGGACCAGAGAAGCCCTCCGGTGTGCTGGATGCAGGAAATAGCGATGTTCATTTGGACGATTCTGACGCCAGGGCCTTTCCGGCTTCCTCTCAGCTTCCTGCTCAAAACATTATCCAGGAGGATCCATTTGGTTTGTTTGAGGGCGAGTTACCGATTCAACATCTCTCCCCGCACAAATCCAATCTGAGAATCAATATCGCACCTGTCAATGAGGACAGTAGCAGTATCAGATCCCCGGATCAGCTGCTCGACTTCGGCTTTTCCGGAAAATCAAGTCAGTCAACATCCAGAACTAGTTCACCATCTACAGTTCCTATGAATCTGCTGGACCTTGATGATATCCCTGATGGCAACGGCATCGAGAAAGAAACCGCCAAGGATGACATGGATACAACTGACGTGATGAGTAGTGATGGCGGTCATAAAAAGACAGAAGTCACAAAGAGTCTTGAAATTGTTGAGGAAAAGGGGGGTCTGGAGCCCAATGCCTTAGATGCACTCAACGAGTTGCTCGGGACCTAAGTGGGAAAACCCCCGACCCCTTTTCCTTGAGATCTTGAACGAAAGAAGAAATGCTTACTTAAAATATTCAAAAAATTGCCATCATGCAGAGAATACCCCAAAGTGTTCGCTTCCCATTCTCATTTCTCCATTTTTATGTGGGGTCGTCTTCCCATAAAACGTGGAACGTCAACGATGAACATTCATATCATCCACGCTTCTCACTACGGTTCGGTCAATGATTTCGATGTTCTGTTAAGGCATGGGCGCAACCCAAGGAAACTATATGCACAATCTAACATAGGCAACGGCCACTTGATAACTGATAATAGATTAAATCAAGCCACACATACATAGCATACAGGGTACAACTATTCAAAGTTATGGGTAGACACCGAGTGTCCTGACTCTGGAGTCCGTCCATAGGTCAAGACCTTTGGCCTAGTAGTGTATCTAGTATTACTTCTTTCACCAGAACTTGAATTTATCCGGGTCATTTATTATCGTTATTGTACATTTATCTCGTAACACATACATCCAACTTAGCCAGCGATGATTCCAAAGATGATATCAATCAGACAGGGCCTTTAACTACCAATCCAAGAGATGACGATTGCTTCTATATCGGAGGAATTCGATAACCGGATCCAGAGATGTCTTAGTGTACTCCCATCTAGAGATATGCCTAGACCGCGAATAGAAGATAGGGCAGTCCTTGCTATCGCATTTGACGTCGTCGCTGAATGGCACACCCGCACAAGATCGGCAGACATCGTGGAGGTCCTTGACAAGCCTCTCCTCTCGTTGCTGACGGGCGACAAGGTTCAACAAAGAAGTATGCGGCTGAGCCATGCAGTCGTTGCAAATGGGGATGTCGATGTCCTCGAGTCTTTGGACTTTGCAGACAATACATGAGGATGATTTCATGTATGACTCTAGCGTCTTTTTGAGGTACTTTTTTGCTGTCGTCCTTCCGCCGCCGCCTCCTCCCCCTTCCTCTTCGCTAATAGTGGTCGTGGTTGCGATGGTGGTTGTGCCTTCCACACGACGGGCGCTATAGAATTTAGGCATCTCGTCATACCACTGACGGACGTTTGCACCGACGAGATTGAAGATCCGTTCAACTGGGGGGATGATATTCTTGGTGATATAGTACTCAGAGTCGAGTTCGATTTGGGCATTGTGGATGAGGGTTTCCGGGTCAACACAGCGATCGACAAGTCTTGACCCAGGAGGGCCCGTGATGACGACGTAAGGGACGCGTTCACCGTATTGGGGCTCCGAACGAGGATCCTCAAGCATCTTCTTCGTGCTTATCATCGCTCCTGGGGGAAGTGGACCACGCTCGCTATATGCCCCAAGTCTTACTTCCCTCGCGAAACAGAAGTCCTGGATGGGCACGTTTCCCCGCATGATCTTGGCGCATTGGTTTTGAAAGTAGCATTTGACTTGGCTAAGGTCTGTTGTTTTGAAGAGAATCTTGAGCATGTTTTCCTCGATTTTCTGTTCCGCCGGTGTACCGTCACGCCGGACCGTTTCAATCCCCTTCGCGTCAAATTCAGGCTCTTTCTGATTTCGATGTTCATACTTGAAGCCGACATATCGCTTCTTGGCAAGCAGAACGCAAGGATGGTATACTTTTTCGAATTTCAACTTCACCGGACGAGGATTCATCTGAGTTATAGCTTCCGCGATCTCTTCGCCTATATCAAAGGCTTCTTCTCTGGTTCGTCCTTTGAGGTAAACGAAAAGACTGTCTGTGTCCCCATATACGACCTCGGCGCTCCATCGATCATTTGAATGGATAAAGTCAATGGCTTTCTCAAGGATTTCCCGTCCGGATTGGACAATGCTGTCAGCAATCTCCGAGCAAGGCATACGGCCAGAGAATGTCGCCGAGGTATAACCGTATGTCACGTTGGCAATCAACTTGAGTGCAAGCTGTCTGTGGTTAAGAAGACGTTGCAAGATCTTATCATCCTTGTCTGCCTTCATGCCAGTTTTCAACATAACACGAGTCTCAAGAATCTCGGAGAGCATCCTTGCAAGAAGCGACCTCCGTACCGCCGGCTTCGTGTACATCATTCCATTTGGCGCGATGTTTATTTTGTCGCGGAGTAGCTCCAACATCAGCGGTTGTCTTTTGTAATCTGAAAACCCCATTTTGTCCCGGCCCTTCCAGGATGAAACCCTCCCGAGGAAAGTAGAATAGCAGTAGTTATAGGCGATCATGACACTTGGGTATAACGACTGAAAATCCAACACAAGGAGAGGACTTGTGTAGAAACCGCTCTGCGGCTCCATAACCAACGGCAAGCATTCGAGAGCATTCTGCTGGCCTACCTGCTTCCTACTTGGGGAGGGCAGGATAAAATTCTCGGGCTTCGCGATTCGAAACATTAAGGATTCGACCTTGAATTGAGAGCCACGGGAGAAAACCGAGAGAAAATCGATGCCAAGCAATCTGGCCTGCTCGCTTGTCCGCGATATCAACTCGTTCGAGTCGAGGATTTTGATGTCCATTTGTACACGAGAGAGGAAGTAGTCGATAACTTTGAACCGATTTCGAATGTTCCCACTTTGGTACCAAGAAGTAAGGCCTTGGAATGAATAGTGAGGGATCCTGCGACGCAAGACATGGAAGACAACGTTCTCCATAGTGTACTGGAGTAGATTCAACTCGCTCCTCATAGCGCGCCAGATGTTAATCATATGTCGACCGACTATCCGAATAGAAGATGAATGGGTAAAGCCCCAGCGATCTGAATCCTTTCCAAACCTCCCTTGTGCCTTTGACTTGACCCTAGATAGTTCATTGCACATATCGTAATCGTATTGCTTTTTTGCCCTTTCAATCAAGTAACCCCAAGAGCTACTGTGAACCTCATAGCCTGTAAGGATATCTGGGTCGTAGAATCTGACGATTTCGACCAATCTGGTAAACAAATCCAGCTCAGTCGGTTCATATGCAAGGTCAATTTTCAATGTGTTAGAAGCTTTCACTTCTGGCCGGTCATGAAATATCATTCCCACACGAGACTTTGGGATCTTGCCATTGGTAGCAATGTTTTCATTTTCCGAGTGGAAGCACCAAAAAACACATGTAACTTCATCCTCCTCCGGATTTGGCACAAGTACCCCCCGAGTATTCACATGGATTTCCAAACTCATTGTGCTCATATAGTGAACCTCATGCTCGACACTCGTAGATACTTTATTCTGTGAGTGGGTATCATGGCCGCTATTCTGGGTAAGGGCTTCTATTTGCGAAAGTACACTAGGTTTTGTTCCCTGGTCGGCATGCCTATCCTTCGGGTTCATGATTTCAGCCTGCTTAATGGTTTCAGGCTTTCGCTGCACATTTTCAAACCATTCTATGACCTCAGAACGACTGGGTGGAACAGGAACAAACTCCCATACCCGACGGTGTAGGGATTCTCGTAATTGCCTGTCTAGTTTTGCCTGGATATCTCGGTTATTAGGCATTGAAAGTTGATCGTCAAGTGTTGTAAACGACCGTCCTGATGGGTCGAAATCTGGTAGATAATGTATTGTGCTGCCCTGCAACTGGAACTCGCGACCAGCATATTCACGCGGACGTTCTGGCACGTCGTTTTCGTCACTATAGTGAGCCTTCGAGTAGATCGCAGAAGGTGCTTCGGACGGAACAGGACAGGAGCGGCGAAAACAATACACACGCCGATTTGAAGGTATAGTGAAAGCATCACAGACTTTTGCCGCTATTTCATGTATATAAGGGTCAGAAATAGTTGATTCCAAGCTAGCAGAAAGAGGTTGTAGCTCAGATATATTTTCACCATCTCTCTCGTCATTTGAAGTAGGCATGTCGGACTTTATAAGAGGAGATTTAATCAAAGTTTGAGAAGCATCCAGGACTATGCTCAGATTATGAGCTTGTTCTTGGGTAAACCTCCGGACCGTCATAGGGTCATAAGGATCTTTGACAACGGGAAAATTAAGCCGCTGGTTTTGTCTGCTGATCCTTGAATGAGCGGTATTTTGCAAGAGTAAAGACGCGCGGTCCGAAGGTGACTTTCTCGAAGCACCGTCGAGCACATCGTGATGAGTACTGCTTCTGATTCGCTCTTCTTGAAGGGTAATCTTGTCAGATTCGAGACGCCCATGTTCCTTACCAAGCCTTAATTTTTTCTTCGCAGGTGCATAGTCAGGCACTTCATAGAGCGACCGTTTAGCAAAGCTCGATGTGTTTTTCTTGTTAGAATTCAAGCTCGTCTTAACTGCATGAATACCTAACTGGTCATCTATCAAGTAATTTATCTTCTCTTCTTTATCCGCACTATGGGAAGATAAGCAGGAAAAGCAATCATCGTCCGAGTAAGAATTCGTCTCACTATACCCGAAAGATACTGCTACTTGTTCATTAGCCAGGGTATTGGTCTCCCCTTGTTTACAGCCGTCTTGAACCTGGTGTAATTCAAAATCAGACTTCCCTTGCTTCTGGTTGAAAAAGTCCCCAACGCTGTTTGAAGCCGTTTTGATCTGTTCTTCAAATGACTTGCTCTTCACAAAGTCTTTGAACGACATGACTCCGCCACTGGAGTTCTGGAGCCTCTCCCTGGAAGCAATCTGAGACACCATTTGACGGTATTCTTCCTCATGGGCCCACTTGCCATTTGAATGGTCTCTTGTTCCGACTGACATTGAAATGAGATCTTCTGGATCAAACGGATTGCTTTGTGGGTCAACAATGCCAAGGCGCTTCCTCCGCCTGCGAGTTTCATCTTGCCACAGCCCAGCCATGCTGGGAACGAGCCTCTCGCCAGAAGTAGGCGGATCCAGGAACTCAGTAAAATCATGGTGCAGGGGCCGCTCTTTAACGTCCAGTCTGTTTAAGATATCCTGGACACAGACATCTACCTCCAAACTGCAATGGCTCTGCCTCGGGAAAGCAAATTCATCACATATAATGTCAGGGTGAATTGATTGATCGTGCCAACGGTGAGACGTGTTAACCAGTCCCTGGCTTTCCGGAACAGGCGACCGAAACATGACTTTACTGCACTTCATATATGCACAGCCGTACAAATTATAGTCGCACATCCACTGTGGAATGTATTGTAAATGACTTTCGTAGGGCTGGAAAGGGCGCTCCATTACAGATCCCTGAAGGAGAAGGTCTGCAAGTCGGGTGACATAAGAGGGATCCAACAGATAAGTTTTTAGGAAGAACCGGTATCCAACATAATACCCATAAAACGGAATACCCTTGATTAGTGTAATATGAGCGACAAACTTCGCCTTCCTGTCGTTAGCGCCTAGATGGTAGCTAGCTGCCAGGGCATGGTCGATTGAGAGATGAAAACTCCGGATGGCTACTCTCACTAGAAAAAATCGGCTCAGCAAAATGGAGCAGATATAGAGAAGGGACCACGAACCTGTCTCTGGATCCAAGGCACCGTCATATTCGATATACAAGTAAGGAAAAGCACCGTGGACATGAGCGCAGACCTTCTGGCCAGTTTCCGTGGACCCAAACACACGGATTATGGGCACCATAAGCCTGTCGTTATCGTAGTCTTTGGAAGCTCCAACCCCGTATGGGAGAGGAGGATCAATCTCTGAAGGGGTCGCCTGATAGTGGTCGACACAGTTCAGGCGAACTAGAAACGGCACCATGGCTTAGTTTTGTAGCAGCCAAGGTTGAAATGAGCGACATATCGCGAGAAGAAGCTGGCTATTCTTGTAGCAACAACTTTGTACAGCGCCCGCGCTATAGTAAACGTCTGCGACCATGCTCCTGTCTCGAGAGTGGTCCGAACACGATGGAGCGAAGAAAAAACAATATTGTTGGTGACGACAACCTCTCTGTCACGTGATGTTATATGGCCCAAAAGGCTTCGGAGCTCCAAATGCTTGTTTCCAACTTTCCACAGTGCAGACCGTCTTGTACTTGAGTGCTTCCCGCTTGAGATTCGGTCGGCATTGCCAGTGTTACCTATCTTTAACAATTTGATCTTTCTCTCCTGCCACTTCGCAGTGGACTAGACTTCACCATGTCACGGAAGCCCACCGATGTGGCGTCGAAGGAGCGCAACGAATACATTCCTTCCTTCATTTCAAAGAAGCCGTTTTACATTGACGACGAGTCCGGTGCGAATGACTACTTGGAGCATCAACGACTACACAAGCAGACTACCGACCAATCGAAATGGTATGAGCGTGGTAAACGGGCGGGCCTGGCAGCCACCAAATACCGGAAAGGGGCCTGCGAAAACTGCGGCGCAATGACCCATAAGTCAAAGGAATGTCTAAGCCGGCCCAGGAAACTTGGTGCCAAATGGACTGGAAAAGATATTCAAGCGGATGAGGTTGTACAAGATGTGCAACTAGGCTGGGACGCTAAGAGAGATCGATGGAATGGTTACGATCCAAGTGAATATCGACAAGTCGTCGAGGAATACGAGGAACTGGAGAAGTTAAAACGCAAGGCTAAACAAGAGACAGAAATTAATCACAAATCTATGGATGATGAAGATGATGAGGAGGATGTGACAAATGAAGAGGCTCGGTATGCAGAAGAGTCCGACATGGGGAGACAACAAAGCACGGCAACCCGCAATTTACGTATTCGAGAGGATACTGCGAAATATCTCTTGAATCTTGACCTTGATTCAGCAAAATATGACCCGAAGACGCGACGGATGGTAGACATGGGAGCCCAACAGGATCAAGCTGCAGCTCTCGTCGCTGAGGAGAACTTTGTGCGCGCTTCTGGAGATGCTGCAGAATTTGAAAGGGCACAGCGTTACGCTTGGGAATCACAGGAGCGTGGTAATAAGCAGCTCCACCTCCAGGCAAACCCGACGTCCGGAGAGATCCTTCGGAAGAAAGAGAAAATAGAAACGGAATCCAAGCGTCAAGCGCAGCGCAAAGCCCTCTTAGAGAAATACGGCGGTGAGGAGCATTTGGCGCCGACTCCACTACGAGATGCTATGGTGGTCGAGAATGAATGTTTTGTCGAGTACGACGAGACAGGTGCGATAAGGGGCGCGCCTAAGAGGGCAACAAAGTCAAAATACGCCGAAGATATACTTATCAATAACCATACCTCCGTCTGGGGCAGCTGGTGGTATGACTTCCAATGGGGCTACGCCTGTTGTTTCTCGACGGTGAAAAATAGTTATTGTACTGGCGAGCAAGGAAAGAGAGCGTTTGAGGAAGAAGGCAACTTGCTAACGGTGTCAGACGAGGACAATGATTTCAACGCGCTGATAGGAGATGAAGGAAAGCAGCTTGCTGAGTCTCGTGGCTCAGAAAGAGTAGAAGGACCAGCTTCCAACCCAAAGAAAAGGACATTGACGGAAATAAAGACTGGAATCTCCGAGGAGGAACTGGAGTCCTACAAGCGAAGCCGCCTTGCCCGAGAGGATCCTATGGCTGCTTTTATAGGGAAGGACGATCTTCTGCAGTAGCTCGCCTTTCCCTGGTATCCATATTTTAAGAACGTGTTAACTATGGCGTTGTCTGTATTAGTAAATACCCTATTCTATGTATATAAGGAGATGAAAGAAGTTATCGCTATTATGAGAAAACTCGGCACTGTGTCTTTACTCCAAAGTGGCATTGCAATCGATGCCGTAAGGACAGGAGTCGTTATTTCTCAGCATCTTGATTTTGGCCTCAGGCTCTCAAATTTATCTGTAGTTAGTTATTAATGGAGGTGTATTGTTGGTTGGTAACTAGCTAGATAGGCCTACGTGGTGAAAAGGGTCAGCGAGGGCGGACCTATGCGGCAGAATCACACGTGATCCAATAGTTATGCGCCACTGTCAGCTGACATAACCTTGTCACGGGATGAGGGTTCGAGCCCTGAGCACCACAACTCGCTTAGCATCATCAATCTCAGCGAACCCCCGATACGCCCAGCGACGACGACCACGACAACCAGCCCTTCCACGGAATCGCCAGGTAAGCTGCCATTTTTCGTCATTTTTTAAAAGAACTCTTCATGCACATCATTCGGTTATATCGTTAACCTGGCTGACGTGCATTGTCTCTAGCAGATCCCTAATTCAAGATGAGTACGTTCGAATCTAAATTACACCACTTGCCATTGAGAGATCATGAAGACTCACAATCATTTTAGCGAAGGGTACCTCCAGCTTCGGCAAGCGCCACAACAAATCCCACACTCTCTGCCGGCGTTGTGGTCAGTATTAAGTTATTTCTTTGGCTGTTTTTGGATCGATTTGCGATGCTTGCAACGGGAGGGATCTCGGGATATAGGAAAGCCGAGATAGGAAGGAAATACGAGCATATATACATATATATATGAGTATTTGGGCTGACATTTTGCGACGATTTGGGGATAATTTAGGCCGCCGCAGCTTCCACATCCAGAAGTCGACCTGTGCTTCTTGCGGCTACCCAGCTGCTAAGACCCGCAAGTGTACGAATTCCCCGATGCTTGATTGACCCCGCGATTTGTGCAATTATGAGAAAAAATTACTTTTATTGAAGTCCGAACGTGTTCGCTTACTTGGGACGTTATTTTTCATAAAACAGTCAACTGGAGCGAGAAGGCCAAGAGGCGCAAGACCACCGGCACCGGCAGAACGAAGCACCTGAAGGTTGTCCACCGTCGCTTCACAAACGGATTCCAGATCGGCACTCCCAAGGGCGCCCGCGGTCCCGAGAACCACTAAATATGCTTTCGACGTCGCGTTTTTCGTTCTCGGAGGGATGAGGGGGATTGGTGTGCGCCATGTATGACTTGGTGGCTTTGGACCAGATGAGCGGCTGTTCCTTAATTCAAAGCGAATGAAGAAGCTTTCACTACGGAGTTTGTTGAGACGGTTTCCCATGTGTCCATATTCAATACCGAACACGGAATGGTTCGCGGGGTTCTTGTGGGAAGAAAAAAATGGGGAAAACACACATGAATTTCCTATTTGTCTTTTGACGGCTGGGCGAATGTCCCAATTTATGGCAGATGCAGTATTGAGATTATATCTTTCAATTGATCTGTCTTCTGGGCTCAAAATATTTCATGAAAAAGGAAAAGGCTACGCTACTTTTTACCCCTTTTATTTCTTTTCTGCTTCCATGAAGGAAATTTTAACAACCCCTGTCACGGCTTTCGAGGCATCTATAAATGATGCAACGAGTAGCTCATGTTGCTTATAAATGTCGGAACGTCAAGAGGAATCTATTATACAGTTCAACCCCAGCTCTTACTCCCCACGCCCGAAAACTCTCACTCCCCCGTCTCTCTGTACAAAATATAACACTTCCTTCTCCAGATTTTCCTCCGCACTGATTTCATCGCCTTCCCACGCACCTCCTTTACTCACCCTTAACACGCCACTGACGTCGCTCGCCGCTCCCGTTTCTAGGTTTCGAAGCTGCATCACAATTCGAGCCTGATGGGATAGTCCAACAGCAAATGCGGCATGTTCTGTCTCCAGCGGTGTTGCATTCTGACGGTCAAATGTTGACGCATGTATTAATGGAGAATCGGCAGAGAGTGTGAGAATTGTTGCGTAGGCATGCTGTATCAATAAACATTCCGATCAGCAAGAGTACTTGGAAATCAAATGCGTATTTGGAAATCCTACACACCTGTCGTAGCCCCATTACCCAGTTTCCCATTTCTGTAGCACCTAGCCCCTTGCCTGGCCCTGTAGCGGCCAGAAACAGGTCTGGCTGATCAATGACTAGGAGTACTTCTGTTTCATCTTCCACTTGCTCCCCATCCTTCATAGAGGGCTTTCGCAATGACTCGATGACGGACGCAACATCCGTTTCCAATGCATCAAGGGCTGTCAGATTGCTGCCGGAGAAATGTAATTGCTTGCACGCTGTTGATGCCCTGCTGAGGTTAAAGTTGCTCGCTATCGGGTTTGATTGTCTTGGTATAGCATCTGGCTGAGGTCGAATGGGAAGTGACGCTCTTGAAGAGAGTCTGACAGACTGCACAGAAGCTGGCAACGTAGATGAGACTGTTCTCTCCGGTGCAGGAGTAGAGAAAAGCTGTGAGAGCCCATCAATGAACGCGAACTCTCTCTTGTCTGTAAGGCGAGCGAGATCAAGGCCCTTTTCCGCTGTCAGCTCCTGTATCTGGCGTTCTGCCGCTTTTTCCTAACCCATAACCCATGACATATACTGGAAATATCGTGTATGATTATGCCAGGCCTCATGCTGGGGTGAATATAGAAATGGTGTTGCCCAAATACCATCCCTAATCATTGGCACACAGAGACAAGGACCAGCAACAGCAACAGTGGAGGATAGTCGAAAATAAAAACAAAAACAGAGGATATTGGGTATAAGAATGAAGCATAGTCACCTACCAGTCTCTTCGCCTCTGTCCTCCAAAATTCCCAGCCCCGCAGGAAGCTTACAAGCACAACCTTTCTCTTCTTCAGGTCGGCATCTGAACTGGAAGGAGAACTCAATGCTGCATGGAGGTATCTCAAGACTAGCCAGTTCCCGGTTGCTGCGAGAACAGATGAAATTAGCGTCAATGATGATGGTGATAGAGAAGATAGATATGGTACGAGTGGTGGTGGGAGGGCAGGTTGGGTAGGCATTATCGACAGTGGTATCTCTTTTTTTTTTTTTTTTTTTTTTTTTTGTGTGTGTGTGTCTTTCTTGTAGAGAAATAGAGAAGGGCCTTCAAAGGTCTCTGCGATGGATTAATCAGTTTCGACAACCAAATTATCTTGTCTTGCTATGTATAGAAATTTGACAGAAAATGACGCTGTCTTCCGATTATATTTTTCTGCCCCGCCAAGACCTGTTTCTTTTCTATCTGGACACAGCATCAACACCACCATTATTATATCATCTACTCAAACGTTTTCATCTTCTACATATTCCCGGATACTTTCCATCCAGAGATCCATTAATCTGCAAGCAGCGGCGGAGACTGTGCGGAAAAGATAGATATCTCCTTGACCAGATATTCCAGAGAATAGTTACCCATGTAGTATAGATTACATGGTTGGCAACACTTAGGCCTAACAGCCTGCATTTTTTTTTAAAAAAAATTTAATTAACCAAGGTCAAAGAGAGAGCTTTGCCTAGTACACAGTCCTTGACCTGTCAGAGTCCTCCACAGCCAACAGATTGAGCAGCGTATGCTTTTCGGCACTTGCAATAGTCTGGCTTCTGCCAAGACGGGGGATCGTCCTCTACAGCCAGCGACCTCAACTGCAAACAGACAAGATACGCCTTGTCGCTCTTTGACCTGGCCAGTGCCGCCTGGTGCTGGAGGTTGTATCACTTATTCAACGAGCAGACGCGGGACTGATATGATGCTGGAGATGCAGGATCCATCTGTTAAATTGAAGAGAAGACGGGGAAGGGAGTCAAAGGATCCTGAACCCAATGAGAATCAATTTGTAAAATGATAGACTTGAAGAACCTACGGGATCTTGTCAAGAATAGCAACTGAAGTCTTCTTCCGCCGACTCAAAAATCCAGCCGCCACTCCGGAAATCGACCGTATCACTACTACTGTAGTCTTCAGTCCTCTTGAGACATCTGGTGTCTGGCTTCAGCCAAAGACGTTAATACTTGCCACCGTCGTGATGTCAGCTTAATCATGAGAGAAGCGCGTCTCAGAAGATTCTCAACGCCGAAAGCCGCCAGTCACGTGACACACTCCGCTTCACTCCCACCAAAAGCCAAAAAATCGTCGAATCTTCAACCAAGCCGTCTTGCACGCATCGCTGCGTGTTCGGATACATTCTCGGATTCCATTAGGAGTCACAGTTATGATTATCCGGACGTCCAGAGCCCTAATCCTTGATAGCCGTTGCCGTTTACACAATCGATCATGAATTGATCCTGGTTGTGTCCATCATGCGTTCTCAAGCACAGCCTTGACCTTTGACTGCTTATGTACGCTCTATCTGTTTATGACCGTTGTGGGAGTTTCCATTTCGTGCCTTTCTCACTATTGTTACAACTGAAACTCTTGTTCTTGCGAATTTTTTATTTGTTTTTATTTTTTCCCCTGCTTGTTATAACGGTGCCGTCTGGTCTTCCGATTCCCCACGTGTACTTCTCTTCCACCCCCCCTCCCCTCCGGCCCTCGTTCTTAAAAACTTTTATATTGGACCCATGTTGTTAATTACACCCTTTTGTACCGAAGGGTGAAGTGGCTCCATCATTACTAACTACGGGTTGGAGGTTCTCCCAGTCTCGAATGACCGTTACGGTGCAGTAGTTTTCCTAAGCTCAAGATTCAAGAGATCGGCTTTTGGTTTGGTGAAGATGATAAATACTCGTGATTCTCATTCGTACGCTGTAAGTTAATTAAATGATTCTGTCGACTCAGAAACAGATATTGATACGTCTTCTAAAAGTGCGATGAATGCAGGCTGCGAAAGTCAAGGGTGGGTCATGCCTATTCCGGAAATTGGCTATTCTTTATTGATATGATCTGCAGTGCTCGAAGGAACGGCCGTCTTGCATGCAATGCAGACAGCTGAATAAACAATGCAACTATAGCCCCAAAATAGCTAGGAGCCCTCTTACACGGCAGTGAGTACTCCTGTCACTTCTTAAGGGTAACAGGTGGTGACAGTCATTTCTTTTAGGCATTTAACATATGTGGAAGAGCGCTTGCGAGCCTTTGAAACTGCTCTGGGGAGGTTGTTCCCCGGAGGCGATTTGGATGCCGTTGTCAATTCCCTATTGCAAGGTCGAGATTGCCAGCCAAACCCTGGGACACCTTCCAAGCCTTCTTCTAGACATTCAACGCCGATCAAACCAGATCCCGATGGTGCAGAAGCAGCCCCAGAAGCCTTACCGCAACAAGCTGACGGGTTTGACTGGGCTGAAAAAGGGCTGTCCCTTGGTGAATTGACAGATGGCATGGCCGCTTTGTCCATTAGGCCTGAAGGAGCAGGATATTTTGGTCTGTGAAGACCCTGAAGCCGAAGCTCTCCTTCCCTTTCAAATATTTGTCTAACTAACTCCCTTTATGCTAGGGGCGTCATCGAGTGTTGTTCCTCTCCGAGCATTGTTAAAGTATGGTTTTGACCTTAATTTCGAGGGTAATTCGGCAAAGCCGCGTAGTCTCCGCCCTGAGACAGTGCCATTGAAGGCGCAACTTCTGAGTACTGCGCCATCCGGTGTTATTGAACAGGCATTTATTGATGCGTACTTTGCCAATTACCATACCACTTATCCTTTTGTCCATGAGGCGACCTTCAGGGCTCAATTTTACGGGCAAATACCGCGTCCACATGGCCAGGCATGGCAAATACTTCTGAACACAATTTTAGCTCTTGGGGCTTGGAGCATCGGGGATGACAACTCAGATATTGACATCACCTTCTATCAAGAGGCTAGAGGGCATCTACAGCAAGTTTCTGTCTTTGAGACGGGTAATCTAACGCTCGTCCAGGCGTTGTTGCTCTTAAGCAACTATGCACAGAAAAGGAACAAGCCAAACACTGGATGGAACTTTCTTGGATTATCAGTACGAATGGCAATGAGCCTTGGTCTCCATAAAGAATTCCCCGGATGGAAGATCAGTCTCCTTCAGCGGGAGGTCAGACGGAGATTATGGTGGGGTGTTTACATCTTCGACAGTGGCGCCGCCAAAACATTTGGTAGGCCTATCCTATTACCCGAAGAAAGTGTGATGGACGCAAGGCAGGTTCTCAACATTCACGATGAAGTAAGCTGAATGTCTTTCTATTGATGTCTCTATTGCCGTCACTGCCATGAACAGTTGCTTATACTGTACAGGCCCTCACATCAACTACAACGGCGTTGCCCTCTGAGGTGGATGGACCGACGATATACTCGGGTTTAATTGCACAGTCCAGGCTGCATATTTTGACAAATAGTGTCTATCAGCGGCTGATTTCGAGCCCAAGCCTCACGCCCGAGGAGACACTGGATCTTCAAAAGCCCATGGAGGAATGGTACGACGGTTTGCCTGATTATTTTAAACAGCAAACTTCACCCCAGGAGCCAGATTACATTTCTTTTGCTCGTTGTCGCTTGCGGTGGCGTGATTGGAATTTAAGGATTCTTCTCTATCGTCCCATCCTTCTGCGCTGGGCGTCCAGGCGGTGGACGCGTAACGCATTAGCTAAGGATGAAGACCTTCTAGAGTCAAAGTGCAGAATTCTCTGCTTGCAGCATTCCCGATTAACTATTTCATCTATATCTGACTTCATGGATAGTCAGATTTGTACGAGATTAAGAGCTTGGTATATGCTGTACGTTTGTCTGCTCATTCGTTGCAGCCATGATTATAACCCCGCTGGGTTTCTTCTTTTTCAGGCACTCCCCCCTCTTTTTTACTAACAACGTCCGTGTAGGTACTTCCTTTTTCAAGCTGGTGTGATTCCCATCTTATTGCTCATGACGGACCCTACTAGCCCAGATGCTCCCTCTTGGTTCCGGGACGTTGAAACCACGAAGGCACTCTTGTCGCACCCATCTCTAAGTAACAATAGACTGGCCAGTCGCTGCTTGGAGGTGGTTAACCGTCTATGCTCGCCTACTTTCTCTGATTCTTCCTTTAGCGGACCAGGTAGTCAACAGCCATTTCTGATGCAGTGCCCAGATCAATTGTTTTCCCAGGCTCCTTTCGGTGGCATGTTTCCGGATGTTGATCAGGAACTCAGCATGAATAATCTGGAATTTTCAGATTGGTTTAATTTCACCGGAAACAATGAGATGCCATGAGCTATGGAAATTTCACAGTTCAGATTTTGGCTGGTCAAACCGTGGCGCAGTTTACTCTCAATCACTGATACAAATTAAGGGAGGGGCAATATTGACCGGCCACCCTTATGCCAAAGACTAGGGGAGGACAATCTGATACTGCCACCCGAGTTTGAGACTGCGACAGTCTAAACTTTAGGATGCGCTTGTCAGATAACTCTTTTGTATTCGGACAGCATCCCGTCTTATCCCACAATTGCTCTTTTGGTACTGCATCCTGTCAGCCATCTCGCAACAGCCAAGGCTTAACTCGGGAATATCCATATTGAAGCACCAAGTGCACTCGACGTTTTCGCCGGTTGCTGCATGAGTGGCGAGAAAGTGAAAAGGTGAAGGTCTCCTAATAACGGAGCCTTTTCGTAAATGATCAAGCCTTAAGATACGCCTGCAGAAATCCATTGCAAAACGTGGGAAGGCCGTGGAAATGTTTACAGGAGAGTTCTGCGATGAGATATGCGAGCCACTGCATTTGAACATGGACGATGCATAGGAAATGTTTGGAAACTTATGACTATATACATTATTTCTACAAGTTACCTGTTTCTATAGACAAGAGGCGTTGGTTTGATTGTTAGAAGCTAGTTATGACAATGTTGCAATGCGTATATATAGTACCTAACGAAGTACTCTACGCTAGATTCTTTGTATTGTTCCGTAGTTGCTTTGCTTCTAGTAATGATGCGTGTATAGGTATGGAATATTATTCCCTTGGCAATAGAGATACTAATTCTTCCTTTCCGTATTACCAGGCTGTCGAAATCATGCTGTAGACCTGCATAGACTGCTTGTCATTCTTGTCACTGTCAAGCTATAGCGTGCTTAGTGATACGCGGGGTCTCCGCCCGATAGTCCGAGCCCCCAACAAACATTACCTCTTATCACCAACCAACAGCTCTTCCAGTCATCATTGAAACATCTTCAAATAAATCTAGGTCAAAACGGCCAGCACCCCTTTCACAATGTCTGACGATGATGATTTCATGCAGGATTCTGGCGACGAGGAGTATGTCCCTTTGTTTTCACTGCCTAACTGCACTACAAGCTTCACAAGCTTCAAGACTAATAGATATGGTCCATTAGATATGACTTCGAATACGAAGACGCCGACGAAGACGAGTCCGGTGATGTTGGGATCGAGAACAAATATTATAATGCCAAGCAATTAAAGGGAGATCATCCCGAAGAGGCCATCGATGAGTTCTTGGAGATACCTGCCTTGGAAGAGGAGAAAGGAGACTGGTATAATGCCGCCTAGGCCTTTGGGATTCTGGTGAATCGTCTTGGGTGCTGACTTTGTCTTCAGGGGTTTTAAGGGACTGAAACAAGCCATCAAATTGGAATTCAGCCTCGGAAGATATGGTGATGTAGGTGGACGGCCTTCTCTTTCTTCAAGCCATTCATTAGCATGGAAATTGCGCTGATGGCTGTTCTGGTGATTCTACTTAGGCCGTCGAACACTACTGCGAGCTGCTCACATATGTCCGATCAGCTGTCACACGTAACTACTCAGAAAAGTCGATCAATAACATGCTTGATTTCATCGAAAAGGGCTCAGACGACGCGACCGCCTATCAGTGCATGGAGCAGTTCTATTCCCTGACTCTCGATGCCTTTCAGAATACCAACAACGAGCGTCTATGGCTGAAGACAAATCTTAAACTGGCTCGGCTTTGGCTGGAACGCAAGGAGTATGGGCTGTTGAGCAAAAAAGTTCGGGAATTGCACAGAGCGTGCCAGCGTGAGGATGGCTCGAATGACCCTAGCAAGGGAACCTATCTCCTTGAACTATACGCCCTGGAGATACAAATGTACGCGGAGACGAAAAATAACAAACGGCTTAAGGCACTGTATCAGCGCGCTCTTCGAGTTCGGTCGGCTGTGCCCCATCCTAAGATTATGGGTATCATCCGCGAGTGTGGAGGGAAGATGCACATGAGTGAAGAGAACTGGGAGGAGGCACAGAGTGACTTCTTCGAGTCTTTTCGAAACTACGATGAGGCGGGGTCGATGCAACGTATTCAGGTCCTCAAGTATCTGGTATTGACGACGATGTTAATGAAGTCGGATATCAATCCGTTCGACTCCCAGGAGACAAAACCCTACAAGAATGATCCACGCATTTCGGCCATGACTGACCTGGTGGATGCGTTCCAAAGAGATGATATCCATTCGTATGAGGCGATTTTGAGCAAAAACCCAGACGTCCTTGCAGACCCGTTCATAGCGGAGAATATCGATGAGGTCAGCCGCAACATGCGTACCAAGGCGGTTCTCAAACTGATTGCTCCCTACACACGCTTCACCATGAACTTTATATCGAAGAGCATCAAGATATCCGTGACTGAAGTCCAGGATATCTTAAGCTTTTTAATCCTGGACAAAAAGCTAAACGCCAAGATCGACCAGGAAAGCGGAGCAGTGGTGGTCGAAAGCACCAGCGACGTTGACCGCTTGCGATCCCTCCAGGAATGGAACTCGTCGCTTCGAACTCTTTGGCAAACCGCGCTGAATGATGGTGAGGGATTCAAGGTGGATGAAGCCTTGCTTCTTGGGGCCCAAAGCTCAGCCCTGTCCGGGTTTGCAGATGACGCTCCTGCAGGTTTGCGTGGTGCCAGCACGCGCTCAATACGGAAGGGAAAGGGCAAATTAGCCATGTAACCATCCAGCATGAGACAATATTTTGAAGCACCAAGCTGCGAGGCGTGGAGTTAGCAGCGGCTACTCCCAGTCGAAGCCGCCCTGGCATGACTTTCAGTTCTTCCTACGGGAGCAGGTTGTGTCCTCTGCTAAGCATGTACAGCAAGTGCTCCAGGCCTGTCCGGTTGAACCTGACAATGACACCGGGGCCCCCTAAACGCCATTCTACACGGTCCTCCTAGGTAATTAGTATTTAACGATGAGACGATTTTATTTTTATTTTTATTTTTCAGCTTAGACCCACCGAGCCTTTTTTTTGCGTCTTCTCTTCCCTCCGTACGGTCTCTATTTAATGAATGGAAAATACAAAGTAGTAACGGACAGAAATATTAGTCAACTGCAGTGAGGAGCAAGGCAAACCCATTGACGCTATGTATGTATCAATGACAACAATGGCTATGATGACAATGTACCTACCCATGCACCCCCAAAGGAACAGATGGAAAGCAACAAAGAAGGGAGGTTAGGAAATACAATAACATTGTCATGCACTATCTCTGCACTAACAAGGGATTGAGAGTGGTAATGGTGACTGTTCAGTAATAATGGCAGTATTATTCCATATTATTGCTCAGTGGAGGGTGCAGGACGAGCTACCTCCTAGCCAGCCAAGCGTGCAGACATGGCAAATCTAATCGACCCCACTCCAGTAAAGGAATCTGGACTGTTGGAGTAACTCAGGCCGACCTCCTCGCGTACTGCTCCAACCGGATGCATGGTTTGGGGAGATATGCATGCAGGGTGCGGAATTGCAACCCGTTCTCAATCCAGCGAGAGTTCTAGTGTTGCGTTACTAGATGCATGCATGAAGCAAAGACGGAGTACCGTGTACCTTGGCCTCAGTACCTATAATACCACCATGCAGTAGCGGGCTTTGGGCTCTCGGGCGGACTCCCAGACAGGACTAATGGAATGCCCTGCTGGATATCATGCGGTGCGTGTGCCAGAACTCTGAACATGTGGCCTCATGAGGGTGCGCAGCGGACTTGGCTGAGATAGGAGTCTTTCCACACCCACCCACGTCTGGGAGTCGATGGGGTGAGGAATCAAGATGAGTGGAAGAGCAGACGTCGAGGTGGGCTGTCGTCGTGGAACTCAACGCTGCAGGATAAGCACGTGAAGGCGTCATCGTCGGACGATGGCATCCTCCCAAGTTCCAACTCAATTCAGCGTCGCTTTGACTCCAGCTCCATCTCGCTTTCGACCTCTTCCTTTCCGTCTCATCGTCTTTGGCTGATTTTGCTTTTTCTCATCGCTTCTTCGTCTTGCCTCCCAGCCACTTAGCGACGCCCCTTCTCCCCGCACCGCTTCCTTCTCTTCCCCTCATACGCACGGTTGGTCTTCACTGCTTAAAACATTCTCTTCCCAGTCGATCCTCGCTTATCTTTACGCTGAACGTACTTGGCAGAAGTTATCTTACAACGTCCGCACCGTTGGTTGCCGGCCCATTGGGTCTGTCGCGTTTTCTGTCAATTGCTCCCACGGCGTCTCCGGGTGGACAAGGTTAGATCTTTACCTTTCGGTGCATTCAGCCGGTGATGTCAACTTTACTTCCCTCTTGCTTCTTACACAAATATACCTAGGTAGTTAGTCTACTGCGGTAGACTCCCCTGTTCCTTTGTTTATACGCTGTAAGAAAAAGAAGGTAATTCCTGCAACCCCTAGGACGGTCGGTCCGCCTGCCTTTCCGTGAATCCTCCTTCCAGTATTACTCCTTGTCCAACAGATAAGACTGAGCTCAGCTCAGCATACTTGGACAAGGTACAATATAATTTCCACGCCGCGCTCTCTCCTTACCGGCTGTCTATATTTGGACTCGCGCCAGTTGGTGTCAGATAAACCGGAAGATTTCACGGTTACGTTACTCTAGCTTCCATCTGCTACTTCCGTCAATTAGTATTCGGACAGGGCTGGAAACTGCTCCAAAGACACCCCTGCCATTCATCGAGCTAACTTGACTTGGATCCCTCGTGCGTTCTGCTCTTTCCCACTCCCTTCTTCATCCTCCCCCTTTTCCAAACCCTCCTTTTTAGCTTAGGTACTCTCCCTTTGGGCTACTGAGGCTGATTGCTTTATCTCATCCCGGCAGTCATCCCAACTTGAAGCTCTTGTAACAGTGGGTTCAATTCTGGCAGTTTTAGCCAAGCATGAATACATTGACACCCGAGGAGCTGGAACGGTTCCAGAAGCTGTCAAATGAGTTCGAGCCAGATATCCAGGTGAGAAGATTTAGTGCGCGCATACTCACGCATTGATTGATTGAGTTGGATCATAGGGTCCTCTGGTGTCTCAAAAGCAATCCAGCAATGCAATAGCCTTGGAATACGCAAATGCCGATCCAAATTTCTCTGCAAAAGCCAGTGTATGAGACCTTTCCGGAATGTTGTTTCTGAGGGATTTCAAATTTTTGACATCAGTTGCTTAGGCACTGGCGGTCACGCATCCTATGTCACGTATTATGAAGGGTGATGGGAATTGTGGTTGGAGAGGTACTAGCTTGCACTCCCTGAATTGCTACTTTGTGTCTCCAATTGCTTACTCCGTGTAGCGGTTGCCTTTGGATACTTAGAAAATCTTTTTGCTCTGCGTGATACTCTCAGAGTCCAACGTGAACTAATGCGGGTCAAGTCGTTGTCTACGCTTCTAAACCAAGTTGGCCAGCAAGAACACTTGTACGAGATGTTCGTGGATGCAACGGAAGAGGTCCTTACGAAAATATCACAGGCCATCCAAAATGGCATTCAAGACGAATCATTCCTCGAGGATGCTTTTAATGACGAATACAACTCCAGCGCAATTATCTCACACTTCAGAGTCAGTGGATTTTAATATGTTGATGATTTAATTTCTGCCCAGGAACTACCCTGCTTTTCTGGGGTTGATTACTGACAATGGACTACGCAACGTCTCACAGCTCCTGACAAGTGCATGGATGAAACTGAACCCTCAACGGTATCAAGCGTTCCTCCCCGTGCCCCTTGACGAGTACTGCGCAACTAGGGTAGAAACCGTCAAGTCGGAGATAGACGAAGTCAGCCTACAAGCACTGGTCGATGGTGTCATCAGCGGGTCTGGTTTTGCAGTCGAAATTCTGTACCTAGACCGAAGTGAGGGAGAGGCGGCAACACTTCACCTGCTGACCCCCAACCAGCCTAGTGTTGCGACCATCCGACTTCTGTATCGTCCGTAAGTTTTCGATGCATGCTCCTTTGATATTCCCCGACAAGCCGAGTCAACTGATAAATTGCGCAGAGGCCATTATGATATTCTTTACCGACCAGAACAAATTGTGAATATGGCACCTGTCATGGTCAATTATCAGTACGCAGTGGCTTCTAACTATCCCCCCTGGGATCAAGGTGCTCTCTCATTCGACCTGAACTCGCATTTGATGGCAATTCCGGGTTTGGCGATGGATCTGTCGTTCCCTTTTGCTCATGCACCGACCCAGATTGCCTCTGTTCCTCCGGACACACAGTTTCGAGTGTCCTCACCCCAAGAAGTGTACCAATCACCTATTCCTATCCAACCTGCTGCTCCTGTCATACCGGTACTCTCTCAGAGAAAGACTCGCCCGACGCCACCGCCGTCGACGACTTTGTCGAATAGATCATCGGAAGGACCACAAATTCGATTGAATCCTCTGGTCATGAAGCCTAACCTTCGCCGCTCTTTCCCGGTCACATCTGTCAAAAGGTGATTTGCTCCCTTTCCCCTGTTTCTTATTGCTTCCCACAAATCGCAGTACCTTTGGCTTATTCGTGCAGTTCACCCTACAACCAAGCACATTTCCAAAACCAAGATTTCGAGCCGATTCATTGGGATCCCCGCGATTCTCGCAAATGAAGACCTGGCCTCAGCCCACTTTGGGTGAAGATTAACAGATCGACTTTCCTTTACACCTTTTTGATGACTGATGAAGTGGATGTGTGATATGTCTCTCTTTCAACCGGATATGAGGAACTTGCTTCGGTTTTGGTTTTCTCTGGAGCTGCAGGTCATGTAATCATTATCCTTCGAGTCGAGCTTTGGGATTTGCCTTTCTTTGATGGAGTCGATGAACAACAGCCCTCCGACGTGTTTCATTTCGTTTTGGTTTCCTGTCGAACATTGCAGGAAAAATTCCCTTGTCAGGCGTATCTTGAGCGCGTGTCTCTTCTCTTTAGCGTTGGCTGCATGTGTATTTCATGTGTGCTTTCGGGAGGGTATTCGACTTCATAGTTCTGCGTGAACTGTTCCAGCGGCGGTCCAACTCTTTTAAATCGTACTTTTCTCATTCTATTCGGTCTTTTCCTGTTCGCAGTTGAACTAATGCCGTCGGCCCTGGTCAATAAGGTGGATGTACTGGACGTGTGCGCAACAATGGTAGCGTGTATACATCTGAATTGTGACCTTCGAGGGAAGAAGCTGAAAGGTCAACGTTCGTGTAGAAGGCTTTGCAATGGAACCAGCATCGAAACAGCTCCAGGCCGGACTCTCGCTGGATCGGGAGGATCATAAATGAATGCACAGAGTAAATAATAATAGTAATAATGACAATACGCGAAATTGAAGCTTGGATGTGTTGAAACTTGGTCGAGCCTGGCGAAGCCTGCGGGACATTAAGATTAAATGCAATCTTAAGGTTGCAAAGTCGTGCATCCTTACCTCCTTTCATCCCCTGCGCTTCGTCCACCAACCTCCGTCACATCCAGAGCATCAAACTACTTTCACTATCATCCGTTGACTATCCTTCGACCTTCTATCTCTTATTCCAGATCGTCCGGATCCTTCTGCTTTGGTTCTGACCGAGCTCCTCCCCTTCCCCGTCGTCCAACCCGCTTCCCACGTTCTCCCCGGATCAGACTCTCCAGTCAATCTCTGGAATATCTCCAGTACCAGGACACCAACCTGCCTACTCGTCTGTCTGATCGTCTCCCCCGTCACGATGGAGCTGTGCGGGCGCCAGAAAGTCGTCCAGCGCAAGATGGTGCTCCTGTCAGTCCACTCCGAGACCGCCTGGCTTTTCTTTTTTTTATTGCCTTCTATTTGCCCGTTATGCCTGTTTAGATGTTGACTCATGGATATCAGGGGCGACGGTGCTTGCGGGAAGACTTCGGCATTGAATGTGTTTACCAGAGGGTTCGTTTGGCGTTCTACTTCTCCCTCCCCCATATAGTCTTTGGGATATACAGCTGACGGTTCTGCGATACAATCAACCAGCTTCTTTCCGACTGTCTAGTAAGAGAGATACATTCACCACCACCACCACCATCATCATTGCTCTTCCGGGAAATTGATCTTATACGATATCCGTTGCCATCATCACTAACGTCCTCTGTTGCGCAGCGAACCTACTGTCTTTGGTGCGTCACAAAGTTTGAATTGAATGGTAATCGGAATATAGTGGGTTGCGAACTGACTTCGTTCTTGTTCTCTATTTCTAGAGAATTACGTCCACGGTAACTGCTCCCTGCGAATACCTACATAAACCTCCATGCTTCTTATTGCAACCTTGACATACTTATCCGCGTCGTTTCTCCAAGATGTATTTGTCGACAATGTCCACATGGAACTGTCCCTTTGGGATACGGCTGGCCAGGAAGAATTCGACCGATTACGTGCACTTTCGTACGAGGATACTCATGTTATAATGCTTTGTTTTAGTGTAGGACATAAGACGCCCTCTGCATGTGCAGCTGGAGGAAGAGAAGACTAATTCGAAACTGCTGGAACCAATACAGATCGATAGTCGTGACTCGTTCGAAAACGTATCAACCAAGTGGATTTCTGAGATTAACGACAACTGCCCTGGAGTCAAAGTCGTCCTTACAGCACTCAAATGCGATCTGAGGAAGGACGAGGACGAAAACGAGAACCCGAATGCCATAACCTTTGAACAGGGCTTGGCTAAGGCGAAAGAGATTGGTGCTGTTAAGTATCTGGGTAGGTTGTTTTGCATCGCTGTCTTTCTTAGCCGAGGTATTTGTTTTCTTTTGGCTAATTACACACAACTTTATGCTAGAGTGCTCGGCCGTGCAAAATCGAGGGATCAGAGAAACCTTTTACGAGGCGGCAAAGGTTGCCCTTGAAGTGAGACCGGCTGGATCAAAGAAATCCAGTAACGCATGCATTATCCTTTAGATCGAGGAACCGTTGTACCCGTTGAGCCGGGTAAGCTCTTTTTTTTTTTTTTTTTTTTTTTTTTTTTTTCAATAGTCACAGACTGTCCAAGACATAACCCAGGATACGATGACTCCTGGTGAGTGTCATCCGTGCCGTCCCGAAAGAGTTCCTTCTAGATACTCGCGCCACTTTCAGGGTTTTTTTTGTTGTTGTTGTTTGTCCTCTTCATTTTTCCAATCTGGCGTATGGGCAGAGCCAAACTCGTCGACTTCTAGCCGAGCGAGGGTTTTCTTTTTCTGGAGTTGCTGTTTGAGCGTGGGTTCATATACCTTCTTGGTCCTTATTCTGTGTTCACCCTGCTATTCCTGCTATTGTATTTTCAATTAATTATTTTTAACACAAGGTTATGTCTGTGTCTCTAGCATAGCCTAGTGGATCAACAATAACAATGCCGATGGCCTAGACCCTTGGCAGATTCCTTTGAAGACGGGCTATTGCTCTACTAGCACTCAGAGAATCATTTTGGCATGGACGCCGTTTAGGACGTAGAATTGCACTCACTACAAGCAGGACAAATAAAGAAATCGCATACATAAACAATATAACTCAAGAAAGATGAATACCAAGCAAAGCTATAGACTAGACCATACTATTGTTGCTTGTATCAGATATCCGGAACTCCTCTCAGTTATTTGGAAACCCCTTATTAAATAGGGAAAAGGGGAAAAAGAAAAAGAAAAAGCGGCGTTATCGGTCGTTCTCTTAGAGATCTTTTTGTTTCCCGTGAAGGCTGGAAGAGGGCGGGAGTCGTCAACTTTGTCTTTGTGAGAGGGAACGGGAAATTTCCATCTTCTATCTGCTCCATTTCTCTTTTTCGAAGCATTAAACCATCAAAGAAAATAGGAGAGGCACAGGGAATAGTCACGTAAGAGGAATATAATAAGAAACAAGAACGCCACATGGATTTTTAATGGATTCATAACCAATTCAATACGGGCCGGGCCCCCCGTCAGGTGTGTGGATTATGTGACATTTTCATTTCTTTTTATTTACTTCCTCCGGAAAGAGCATCCCTCAGTGAGTCTGGCTTTCCCACCGGTAGGCTGGCAGAGGACGGTTGAGCAACCTGCGCAGATGACGACGGTCTGGGCGTGCGAGAAGACGGTGGTGATGGTGAAGCAGCCGGGGCACTTGACGTCCATGAAGAAGGAACGGGGAGCAGGCACAAGGGTCTATTGTTTCAAAAGGAAAAACGTCAGAATCAACCCTCTGATCCAGTATTCGAGGAGTATACGTGTTCGATCCAAGGTCGTACCTTGAGCTTGTGCTTGCGGGCCTCAGCCTGAGGCGCAGGGTTGAGGAGGTCGACCGCGAGAACCTGTCAATTCGGAAATGTCAGCAAGACATGTATATACATACAAAGAGAGAGATATATATATATAATTTTTTGTCTTGATTCGGTGGTGATAGTGATGTATAATATGGACGATGGACGGCAACGCAGGAGCCAGTGTGAAGGAGTATGTAATGCTCATGAAATGAGCCTATCTCGTCCGGATCGGGTCGCAAAAAAATATCAGCATCCATCACTTACCATCTTGACGAGACAACAGATCAATCAGCGAGGTGGGTTGAATGATGCGCTGATGGTCGATGGCCTGGTTGAAGGGTGTGAAGCGGAAGAGGAGGTCTCGTGGAGATGGAGAAGTTTGAAGCGCGAATCCACTCGGCGTCGCCCGTTTGGGGAGCTAGGGTTAGAGCCCTCGCTTAGTTCCCGGACTAGCGCCGTATCGTTCTGTACCGGTATTATTACTGACACGTGCACGACATTTTATCACGTGGTCTGACATCAGTATCTTGAGCTTTGAAGTCCTCGGAAGTTGGCACTACGTTCGCTGCAATTGACATCTCTACGGCGGTTATGCGAACATCACTCTGAGCTATGCACCCACGTCGTCGTCACCCCTCCTCAATTAATCACTCTGTGCCTTCAGGTGCTTGTACCTGCCTCCCTACGCCATGAAGCTCGCCCATCTCCACCTCCCCAATATCACCTCATTCACCCGAGTATCGCGCCTGCAAGAAACCCTCACAACGCACCTCCTTTCACACAAAAGACTGGCAGTGGCCACAAGAGCGGCTGATGCATTTTCATCCGCCATCAGCCCTCTTACTCCCCCTCCAGACCCGACTATTGTAACCTTCACCCCGAACCCTGTATACACCACGGGACGGCGCGACCTCCCACCCTCAAACACGAGTCCGGAATCATCATCCCCCCGGCATCCCGAATCTCTCTCTCTCCCGCCATCTCTAGAGCCGATCCGCTCTCTCCTAAACCCCCCACATGGCTCCCCGGTGGCAGAATACCACCCCACGCTGCGCGGAGGACAAACGACGTACCACGGACCGGGTCAGATGGTCGCATATACGATTCTCGATCTTCGCCGTCTTGGTTTAACGCCGCGGTGTCACATCAGATTACTTGAGAAAAGCGTTGTCGATGTTCTTCGTTCCTTTGGCATACAGGGGCTCATCACGGAGGACCCAGGTATATGGGTGAAGCCTATTCCCGAGAAGACATCCTTGTCATCGTCGGCATCGGATATCCCGAAAAAAATCACCGCTGTCGGAGTCCATCTACGTCGCAACATAAGCAGTTACGGGATCGGGTTCAATGTGACCGAGGAGCCGATGTGGTATTTTAGACAGATTGTCCCGTGTGGTCTTGAGGGGAGAGAAGCGACGAGTTTGGAAGCATTGGGTGTGCGAGGAGTCAGCGTTGATCATGTTGCAGGCATGTTTGTGGATGCGTTTGCGGAGAGGTTCAATGCGGATTTTGTAGGTCCTGGTGGGCGAGGGCAGAGGATTGAGAAAGTATATCGTATTCAAGAACAGGACATATTGGATATGTGAAGTGAGGATATGATTCCGATGTATGTGCTTGTCCTGCTGGCTTTTTGAAGGCTGTAATTAATATTACTTGGAAGATAACTTATGTAGGTATGCATCATTTGCATGATTCTATCCAAACCCATGTGTACCATTATTCCTCATAGACCTGTATTTCCGCCTTCAACCATCCAGACTCAAAGACTCAAATCCGAACCAATCACCGCTTAACGAAAAGAAGATAAACAAAGGCTCAAATCTCCACTAACGCTCTCGCCCTCTGGCGAATCTCATCCCCAAAGTCCACCGGGTTCCTAGGATCCCCACCGGTCATCAACGCCAGTTTGCCCGTGGTATCATTAACAAGCAGGTTGGCGAATTGATTCCTCTCCAGAACCTCCTGCGCCTTATCGCGGTCTTCTCTGACGCCGGACTGGAATGTCTCAGCATCAATCGATTTGAAGAGACGGTGCGTGTTGCGGACGAAGTCAAAGAGAAAGAAGGCAGTCGGGTTGACTGAGGGTGGCTGCATGAGGGGGTGCGCTTCGAAGGATCTGTAGATGATGATAGACGGAGTATTAGTTTTGATTAGTCTTGGCTTCTTTTGATTTGTGACGTAGGTGGCACGATTCGAGACATACGACAGTAGGTTAGCCATTCGCTGGTCGATTAGGTCGAAGCTGAAGTCCAGCTGGTCTGATCGGCTCATTATCACTGTATAGCGTGTATGTCTGCTAGAAATTCTCAAGTAAAGAGGTTTGTATGAGAAGAAACGTTATGATGGCGAAACGAAAATGACTTGTTACGTCCTTGTCACATGGGCGCTAGCCCTGATGCGGACAGTGGCCAGACTGCATTCTGAGAGCATCATCATTATCATCACCATTGTTATTATCATTATGTTGCATCTGCAATCATGATTATAACAATAATGATATAATCCTGCTGGCAGTTCTCCATATCCGCTCCAGATTTCCCCGCATGTGGGTCGCATTGACATCTTCAGAATTTAGATACATCCGCTGCCCCATATCCGCGGTGCATCTTCCGCGCCGTATACTTCCAAGTCTGCGGGGTCACGATGAGTGAATATCCCTTGAGTCGTCAGGAATATAAAGGGAGGGAATGTTTCTCATATCAGGCCTAGCCAGCAGTCCTCGAAAAAAAATTTCTTACGGAACCACCTTGTCATTCAAATTGAAAAAGAAAATGCTTGGGAAAGTCGCTCTGGAAGAGGCATTTGCCTTGCCACGCTTCCATGAACAGACGCGGTGGTGGGCATCGCTCTTTGCAGTTGATGCAGAGAAGCATGCCGCTGAAATCACTGACATTCGCCAGAAAAGGATTGAGTATATGGACAAGTACGGCGTGGGATATCAGATCCTCTCATATACAGCGCCTGGGGTACAGGATATATTCGACCCGAAGGAGGCGCAAGCTCTAGCTGTTGAGATAAATGACTATATCGCTACCACTATTAAAGACCTCTCTGAGCGCTTTGGGGCATTTGCGTGAGTGTGCTTTCTTTCCTTTCCTCATTTTCTTCTGTGCTGTCTCCGCGGCGGATGAACTAGTAAATGCAGAAACTGTCTTCTTCATACCCATGCTAAAAGGTTTTGAATCTCAAGTACCTTGTCTATGCATGATCCGAAAGAAGCAGCTGCCGAATTGTGCCGCTGTGTGACGCAGTACGGTTTTAAAGGTGCGCTGGTTAATGACACGCAAAGAGCCGGCCCCGATGGAGAGAAAGCCATCTTCTATGACCAGCCCGAATGGGATGAGTTTTGGGCCACTGTGACTGACCTCGACGTGCAATTCTATCTCCATCCGCGAAACCCCACTGGGAAGATCTATGACGCTCTGTGGGCCGACAGAAAATGGCTCGTTGGACCTCCTCTTAGTTTTGCCCAGGGTGTGAGCCTCCATCTCCTCGGAATGGTAAGCAATGGGGTCTTTGATCGCCATCCAAAGTTGCAGGTCATCATTGGACACCTGGGTGAGCATCTTCCTTTTGATCTGTGGAGGATTAACCACTGGTTCGAGGACGTGAAAAAACCACTCGGCCTGAAAGAGAGTTGCAAAAAGACGATCAGGGAGTATTTTGCACAAAACATCTGGATTACCACCTCTGGCCACTTCTCGAGTCCTACCCTTCAGCTCTGCTTGACAGAGGTTGGGGCAGATCGGATCTTGTTCTCGGTTGATTATCCTTTCGAAAATCATAAAGACGCATGTGCTTGGTTTGACGCGGTGGAGTTGAACGAGATTGACAAGGAGAAGATTGCTAAAGGAAACGCGAAGAAGCTGTTCAAACTCGGCAAGTTCAAGGATGACAACGCATGAACGAGCGTTTTGGGATTGTGGAGAGAAGTTAGATGGGCAATGGATAGTGTACTCCAGGAAATACTGTATCGCCGAGGGTACCTTGGATTCCTAGTTATAGCGTCCTTCCCTACCAGTAACATCACCTCTCTAGAGCAGCAGTAGGGAAGGCTATCTTATTCACAGCTGTTACTCTTCTAACATTATATGGGGGATTGCTATCCCTTCTAGTACGTTAGTAGTATCCATGAAATTGATATTATACCCCTCCCATAGAAAACGCAGTATGAAGTCCTCATCGCCTGCAGGCAAGGATGGAAGACTCAATGGGTCAGATAGAGAAACTGTGGAGCCTTCATAGTTGTCTTCTCCAGCTACAGAATCATCTATGACCGCTGCCCCAGAGACTGCTGGCCGTTGAATATCTTGCCGCGCACGACGGCCGTGAACGCTTGGCCCCAGCGACAAGATTCGTTCGACATAAGGCGCTCTGGCGTTGCGTCGCTCGCACTGCAATTGTCGCCTGTATGTATCAATGGCTTCGGAAAAGCTCGTTAGGATGCGGTAGTACTGCGTAGCCTGGGGGCTTAGCTGTCCTAGAGAACTGAGAAGCCGGCGCGCGCTATAGAAAGCTTCGTGAGACTCAGAATTCGTTCCATCTTCTGCTAGTAGAGAAAATCCCAGAACAAGTCCAGCTGCGAAGACCCATGCTCTGAAAATCAAGTTAGCGACTGGTTAGGAACCCCTCATTAAAGGGATGATTCTTCATACTTCATGATACACATATTCCCCAACAGAATGCCGGATTCCGCTGCGTCGCAACACATTTGTGCCATGTATGTTGCAGCATCGATGCAGACGCCCGATAACTCGGCCACCTTGCCTGCCTCAATCTCACAGTGTCCTCTACCCCGCAGTTGTCGTGTGACGTGCTGTATCAAGAATTGGCGGGACACCAGGATGATGCCAAAATAATATGTGCAGGCTACATGGATATTGCCAATCATTGCTTCACGGTAGTTCCGCTCGCAGAGCTTCTGCGGTGGCTCCCGTAATTGTACCGGCAGCGCCTGGCTCCATTCACGCCAGATCTGTAGGAAATTCTCGGCCGAATTCATGTCCAGCTTGTCCGTCTCTGCCAGCTTCTGCACGATAGATTCAAGCACGGAAGAGGACTCGTAAGTCGCGTCCAGTGCTAGGTTGCGGTGGGTCATCTCGTGAAGAGGATCCCTCGCGTGGAAGCTGTCAAGATTAAGTGGCACGCTGCTACCCGGACGTCCTAGGATAGAGCTGCAGATGAGATCAAATACCCGAACGCTTTTGCCGGTCCGCAGCCTAGTCAAACACATCAGGTCAGATTATACCAGCTGGTCGACAATAAAGGAAAAAAGAAATAGCGTACCTTATGTCTTTCTCCTCTGCAGACATATGCTTGTATGGCTCTGGCACATGCAACCCTAGAATGACAGCAGCCTTCGAGGCCACGCCAATATACATGAACGCCGCATTTCGACGACATGCGCCGAACATGTAAAAAGCCAATAGCAGAAAAATACGGGCCATATTCACAGTCGGGTTTTGAAGCATGCTCTCAAAGGCCAACTTGCGCGCCTGAGAGAAGTATTTCGCCGCACACATTAAATCCTCGTTAATACCCCGACATTGAGCCCCTATTGCGATCATTAAATAGAGAGCCGTGATAGCTTCTTTTTCTGTCTCCGAGGCGCCAGTCTCGTTGGAGCCTGGTGTGCGAATTGCCGCTGCCAACTCGATCATCCCGGCAAGCTCCCGCCACGTATACAGATCCAGGAGACCACTGGACTTTCCCTCATATTTGAGCTAAAATAACGAGCAAGCGGGTGTCAGGGAAGACTACTCACGGCGTCGAGGGAGCACTGGACCAAGGCTCTCTTCGTTCCCTCGTCCAGGTCATCCTCAAAGAAAGCCGTTCCCACATCTGGGACGTCAACTTCGAACATTCTATGGCTGTTCAGGTTCTCTGTGAATCCTGTTGGCCCGACATTGCGTCTCACGATAGCCTTCAGGAATTGCAGAAATGAGACAGCCGCAGGACTCCCCATGAACACTTTCAAAACATATCCCGTCAGTTCAAGAATGATAGCAGAACTGGTATGCTATCCACGAGCCATACCTCTCTCCCCACTGGAACTATACAACATGACCGGCCGCTGCCGCATCGAAGGCGTAGTGTCCCGCGTTTCGCGAGTGTCGTCCCTTTCCCGCGCTTCGGGCCGCTGACCAGCTTCAAGACAGTGCTGCGGCGGACTGTCAGGCGAAGCAGGGCTCAGTGCGGATATTGCAGGATCCTGCGAGAGCCGTGTTCTACGCTGCGGTGGGGAATACTCGCATAGTTCGGCAATGTTCCTCCTGATACAAGTGTGACAAGGTTGATTTGAATCACAGCGCTTTTTGGACGCCTTGCAGGCCCTACACGCCCTGACAGAGCGCTTGCGGTCCTGCGGTTTCACACGTGGACGTGGCATTTATGCCGGCTTGATGATTGAAAGGGAGACAAAGCATAGCATGGCTGAAAAGCTGGAGATGTGTTTGGCTCTCCTGGCTTATCTTGCAGCGAGAGCAGAGAGAACGGGCAAAACGGAGATAAGCGGATGTATTCGCGTCGGGTAACGCACTGGACGCGGCCCGCATACACCGTCCTCATCCAGGTTTCAAGGATCTTGAGTCTGAATGTCGAAAGAGATATCCATCGTTGGCCACGGTTGAATCCAGTACCCAGGCCATGACCTTATCAAAATGGATGCTCTGATATCTTCCTCCTCGGGTTTAAAATGACCATCGACCCCCCGGGGATGCGAGGGTCACCAGTGACGCAGGCATTTCTCTTCATAGTATCAGAGCATACTACTCTATCAAACATCATCAACAATGGTTTCAATATCGGGCGAATGGCGGCGACTCAGTGTCGGCGTTGTAGGAGGAGGTATTGGTGGTCTGGCAGTCGCCATCTCCCTCCGTCGTGCAGGCCACGATGTGACCGTCTATGAGCGTCATGACTTTGCGGGCGAGGTTGGCGCCTCCATATCTTGCGCGGCCAACGGTACGAGGTGGCTGCATGAATGGGGCGTGGATATCGCCAAGGGAGATCCGGTGATATTGCGCAAGCTCATCAACCGCGACTGGAAGACGGGGGAACCAGTCAGCGTCTACGATCTTAACGACTACGAGGAGCGTTGGGGATATGTATACAACATGTTTCATCGCCAGTACATGCATGCGATGCTGAAGGACTGCGCATTTCAGGAAGAGGGTGAAGGAACGCCGGCCAAGCTTCTGGTCAACCATCAGGTAAATGCAGGCAATGCTCCTCCCGCTTGCATCTTTCATGTATGCTGAGAATGCTGTGTAGTGCAAGGATATCGATCTAGACACCGGCATGATTACCTTTACCAACGGAAACACAGCCCAGCACGATCTCATCGTGGGAGCAGATGGCATCGGTTCTGCCGTCAGACGTATCATCGGTCTCAATCCGGAAAAGAGGCCGGCCGATTCAAGCTGTCTGCATGCCAATGTACTCACCGAGGATGCCGTCCGGCTCGGCCTAGTCGACTACTCAAAGGACAGTGCATTGGAGTACTGGGGAGGCCAGGAGGGCAAGTGGGACAAGATCGTGCTCTCGCCTTGCAACGGTGGTCGCTTGCTGTCCTACTACTGCTTCTTCCCTCGGGAAAAGGGAGATTATACTAACCACAGCTGGGACGCTGACGACCGTCCCGTCGAGGAACTTCTGGCTCTCTACCCAAACCTTGATAGTCAAGTACACTCTCATCTGAGCATCGGCAAAGAAATTCGACCATGGCGTCTCTGGATGCAGTGAGTCCTTTCCCGAGAATCGAGCTTCCACTTTTCAGTGATCTATCGCTAAGTCAGCATGACAACCAGTCAACCATACCCATACATCGCGCGCAGCATGGTGTGTCTGTTAGGCGATGCGGGACATCCGGTACGAGGGTTTCCATTTCGACAGTCATAACACCCCATTAGGATTGCTAACATTGTCTTCTAGATGATGCCTCACCAGAGCCAAGGTGCCTGCATGGCGATTGAAGACGCTGCGGCACTGGGTCTCATCTTCAGCAAGGCGTTCTTCAGGAGCGATGTTGTGGATTCGCTTTCGATATACCAAGAGATTCGACTGCCCCGAGCCACCAAGGTCCAGGCGGCTTCTGCAAAGGCAGCATACAATATCAACGAGCGCATCGGTGAGTGAAACCCGGCAATAGAAGAGGAAAACATGACGCTGACAGACAACGCACTAGGCTTCTCCAGCAACACTGATATCTCAACATACAAGGTCGAGGATGAGAAGCAGAAGCTGACAATTGAGGAGATGAATGCGTAAGTTTCGACTCCTCGGAAGCAAGAAAGAGGATCCTGACATCCAGCCCAGGTACGAGATGTCCAAGGATATCGAAGAAATAATAGCAACACGCAAAGGAGTCCCCTTCACAAAGAAGTTCATCAGAGGCCTTCCCATCGGCCTGAAGCTATCAAATGGACTAACGGTTGGTGAGTCTTGAGGGGAGGGTTATGTTATGGTAACGCCTAGCATCGCTTGTCCAATACCTATTTGATTCATATTTTGTATATGGCTATTCTTCCAGATTGGTATTTGTTGGATCAGATCTATAATGCGATGTGATGAGCATATTCAAAGGCATTCTGAAGTAACCGACCCCTACGGTAACCTTCGGGGTCGCGCGTATTGCGCGACCCTGACAACCACCCGAGCACCCCAGCCACCCGAGCACCGATTTTAGAACTTCGTAGAATTCCAACCCATCAACTTTATCATATAATTCAACCACCACCACCATGCCCAAATTCAATAAAAATTATGAAGATCGAATGCTCAAAGCTATTGACGCGTTAAGCACACAAAATCCCCCAAATATCGCCAAAACTGCACGTGAATATGGAGTTAAACGGCAAACCCTCTCCGCAAGGTGGAAGGGACGGTCCAATCTATGTGAACGACCACCAACCAACACCAGATTATCAGAAGAGCAAGAAAAGGCTCTGTGTCACTATGTTGATACTCTAGAGCAATTAAATATAAAGCCACTTGCACAAATGATCCAATCAAGTGCCAATTCTATTCTGAGATCAACCCATACCAGCCTAGACACCCCTCCACCTACTGTCAGCGAGAAATGGTTAAACTGATGGCTAGGAAGGCATCCTGAATATAAAAGACGTCGCTCTAGAGCTATAGAGCTTGACCACAAGCGTGCAGAGGATCATGAGGTTATTCAGGAGTGGTTTCAGAAGCTCCATCAGACCATCCAGAACCATGGGATATTAAAGGAGGATATCTACAATTTTGATGAGACTGGCTTCAATATCAGTGTTGGTTGTGATCAATGGATTATTACCAGGGACTTCAATATTAATAAGCCTCATATTGGGATGAATTCAAACTGTGAATATGTTACTGTGGTTGAAGCAGTCAATGCAGATGGCTGGACCTGCCCACCACTTATTCTCATGAGTGGTAGCTGTATACTTACAAATTGGTTTGAAGCTGCTGATATTCAACAAGACTATTCAATTGGAGTATCAGAAAATGGCTATATGACTGATACAATTGCCTTCCAATGGATTCAGTCATTCTATCGGCATACTAAAAGATATAGGAAGGGTCAATATACCCTTCTTATATGTGATGGATACGGCTCCCATCTAACACATGAATTTGTTGAATTCTGTGAGAAGACCAATATCATCACCTTCTTCTTACCTCCATATACAAGTCATTTCTTGCAGCCATTGGATGTTGGTGTTTTTCATGCATATAAGCACTGGCATTCAGAAGCAGTTGCAGATGCAACCTACTCAGAATACAGTAAATTTACTAAGGTTGAATTCCTTCATGCCTTAGGGGCAATTCGCAAGAAGACATTCAAAAAGCGTACTATTCGGCATGGATTCCAAAAGACTGGCATCATACCATTCAATCCATCAATTGTACTCAATCAAATGCCTCAACCACATCATCCATCCTCTTCATCCACCAATACCAATGATGTTGATTCCTGGGGCAGTACGCCAAAAAAAAGCTGAATGATTTAGGGAGATTGGTGATAGGATATGGGAGATTCATGATATCAACAAGGATCAATTTAATGAGGGCCTAGAGCTGCTTATTCATGGTGGTAGTATGCTAGCATCATATTCAGCTGCTATCGAAGCTGAGCTTGACCGGTATATTAAAGCTGCTAGGGACCGCGCAGCTTGATCACAGGCCTCTAGGCGCAGGATTCGCAAGGGAGGCATAGTATCAAGCTCAGAGCTTGAAGCTATAAATCGAAATACTGCGAATATTAATGAGCAGGCTGAAATAAAGAGGTGGAGGACTAAGTATAAGCGTTGCCTACCAGAGCTGCTGGATGTATGCATTCGACGAGGAATTATTATACGAAGGCAACGACATGCTAGGGCCCAAGCTGAAGAGTAGAGCTTTAGTTTAAATATATTTTGAAGTTAAATACTATAGAATTCGTTGAGATATTGAAGCTAGAAGGGGGGTCTAAAATTGGTGCTCGGGTGGCTGGGGTGCTCGGGTGGTTGTCAGGGTCGCGCAATACGCGCGACCCCGAAGGTTACCGTAGGGGTCGGTTACTCCGTAGAGACCATGAGATTCTTGCATGGAATTCTTATCAGTGGAGCTCTTCGTGACTCAACGCCCGAAGACGAAAAACACCCGACAAGAGTCTCTTCTCCTCCTCCTCCTCCTCCTCCTCCTCTTCTTCCGACAGCTGATGCTCATAAAGATCAGGCTACCAGCCTCCGGTATCATCAGTTTCAGCCTCAAGTTCTGCACTCGTCCGCTCTCGTTGCACAGTTCCTTCACCACCGCAGCGACAATGGCTCCAGCAACTACGACCGGCAACAATGCACCAAAGCAACCTCTTAAGATCCTCATGCTGCACGGCTACACGCAATCCGGATCCGTCTTCTACTCAAAATCGCGAGCCCTGATCAAAAACATCCAGAAAGCCCTCCCCCTCCATCAAGTCGATCCCGTGTACCCCACCGCGCCTATCCGTCTCGACCCCACCGATATCCCAGGCTTCGAGCCTCCGTCGACCACACAAGAAGGTGGCAGCGGCAGTTCCCAACAACAAGAACTCGAGGCATATGGGTGGTGGCGTCACTCATCAACCCCCTCGAATCCGCCAGAGTATATCGGGTTAAATGATGGGCTCAACGCAGTGGCTACTGTTATCCGCAATGAGGGACCCTTTGACGGCATCATCGGGTTCAGCCAAGGAGCTGCTCTCGCGGCGATGGTAGCCAGTCTACTCGAGCCCGGACGGAAGGAATCATTTACCCATTTCTCAGACACGAAAGTCGCTTCTGCCGGGTTCGATATCCCCGATTCCAACAACCTCGTGCCCGGCATCCCGTTTCCGGAGTCCTTCGAGGAAGTTATGCTCCGTTCCCGGCAGGGTCCTCTGAAGTTCGCAATATGCTACTGCGGATTTCGGGCTCCTGGGCCCAGGTATAGGGCCTTCTATGAGAATCCGCCTATTCAGACTCCCGTGTTGCATGTGCTGGGTTCGTTGGATTCTGTTGTCGATGATAGTCGGAGTCGGGCTTTGATTCAGGCCTGTGCTGGTAATCCTCAGGAAGAAGGGAGGGTGGTCTATCATCCTGGTGGTCACTTTTTGCCTAGTCAGCGTGCCTACTTGGATGCTGCTATCAAGTTCGTAAGGGAGCAGTTGGAGGGGCGGAAGGAGGACGCGAAGAAGGAAGTGGAGGAGGATGTGAATGACATGGATGTGCCCTTCTAGGGGTGGGCCTCTACGCATGCTATAGACAAATTTCCAGCTTTATAGGCCGTTAGAATGAAAATTTAACGTAGAAAATAATGGACAAAGATCCGAACCATTGCAGGAACCCACTGGAGGCCAAAACGCCGTATATCACTGATCAGCAACACCATTACGAGGATGCGTTGGACGATCATTTGAAGGGTCTAGCACCGATTATTTTACATGCGCCTGCAATTCGCGAAACTTTCAGTGCCATTCCATTATTGCCTGTCATCGACGTAGCAAATGTGGGATAATCTTAACGGGCCTTGGACTTCTCAGTCCTAGTGGGAAGAATCCGGGCCATCATCTCTTCCTTCGTAATCAAATGATCAATACGCTCCAAGAGCCCCAAAAGATTCTTCATATCGCTGCTCCACTCGTTCAACACGTCGTCAGCATCACGAGGTTTGGCAAAGTTCACAAGGCGCGCTGGACGGTCAATCTTGGCGTATATGGTCTTTAACGTCACCAGTTCACTGATGTATTTCTCCGTCTCCTCCTCGGTCAGGTCCAGAAGCTGTGTTAGACGGCCCATCTGGATGCGAGTATAATATTTGGCCACCACACGGACATTATGCTCAATGACACGCTTTCGAAGATCCTGCCATCTCTTGTAGCTCTGGCTATCTCTGCCCAAGTTCGGTTCCGCATCGAAAATATCAGTGCTGCAAAGGTGCTTGCCGAATTGCTCCGCAACCATAGGCCAGCGCATCAATTCTTGGACGGTAAACAGCTTCAACAGCCGTGACTCAACGGGCACCAGCGACAACCGTGAGTCTGTCTGGATGCGGTGCAACAGGTCTGACTGCTCATTGTCATACGGAGACAGCACGATGTAGTAGACGACTCTTGCAAGTACCTTGATACCATCCACCCTGTTAGCCAAAGACAAAAGAGGGACATAGAACACGCTTAACTTACAGCTCGGAGCTGCTCTGGATTGTTTTCCACAGACTCTGTATCCAATACCTCCCGATAGAACTTGCAGGCATCGAGGTATCTGTAATCATGATTGGCAAGGGTAATCTGCTGTTCGTAGTACCGCAACTTCAGATCGGTCACATCATCGTCGATTTCAAGGGGTGCTTCATCGGGTTCTCTGATCTTCTCTCTCTCCTCAGCTGCCTTTCTCCGTTTCTCGATCTCTTCGGGTGTCTTCTTCGGTTTGCGGGCGAAGTATCGCTTGTTGATCTTGCGGCTCAAGATAGCAGCCTGCGACCAGTCACCTCTCTCAATGCAAAGAGCTACTTGTTCCAGAATGAATTCCGTCTTCTCCCTTCTGGTCATCGAACCAAATGTCTCCACTTGCAGTTCGCAGAGAATGTCGGCCGCGGCATTGAGATCACCTTGACTCTTCTTGATATTAGATAGGATGCGAGTGACGCGGGCTCTCTCGACCTCAACGAATATCTAAGGATCAGAATGGAGTTAGCAATACGGAAGCGGAGAGCGTGAGCGTCTGCTGGAAATGAAGACCGACCTTCCCCTCTGTCACTGTCCGCAAGGTTTCGATAACCGACATTTTCACGTCTAGATTGGGCGTGTCATCTAGAAACCCCATCACTGACTGCACCATCTTCGTGGTGGCTTGCTTGAGCTGCGCATGCTTCTTGGAGAGAAGAAGCACCTGGTCGTTGAGTAAATTCCAGTCGCCTGCATTTTTACTGATTGTGACAATGGAAATGAGAACTCTGGATGTCGTAGCGAGATCTGACGCCTGTAGATCCAGGAAGTTAAGTATGTATTTAAACTTGATCGTGGATCAGATAATGGGCGATACCTGTCTTGCTTGCTTCTCCAATACCAGAAGCTTGTCAATAGCACCTTGCACATCGGTCTACCAGGAAGAAGGACGTCAGCATACTAGCAGATCCCAGCAGAGAAACATCTCAAACCTTTGCAAGCTTCTCCGCCTCCGGGATGAGCTTGTTAGCATCTTCGGTGTAGTCCTTCTCCGGCTTTAATACGGACATGGCGTCGCGTCTTCAAGCGTGAAAGGGGAACAAGGGTGAAGGAAGCGTAAGAACGTGGTATCCAACACAGGAACTGCAGCAAACCTCCGTATATATGACTGGGGAGAGGGGAAGAAAGGGAGAACAATATGGTGTTGCGGGCTAGAGTGTCATCGAAGCTGCGTTGCGTAAGGCGTTGCTGTCGAGAGAGCTGGAGCTATCGATCACGTGATTGATCTGGGTTGACCCCAGTGATCAGAATAATAGCTTATAAGCATTAGACCTTTTCAGTCTTCTATTAATATGTTCTAATATTCGATCTCTTTATTTTTTTCTCTGGTCATTTCAATGTATAATCTATGACAAGGCCCTGGGCCACCTAATGAATATGGAGGACTGGGCTGCCTTCAATAGCAGTGTATCTATGAATAGATAGGCCTCTTTGACCTCCAATAATAACAATTAAATTAATTGATTTTGAATTATGCACATATTGAGCATCCAGTAGATATGATGGTCACGGTGGATTGAGACTGTTGTACTCCGTAAGTCTTGATGACAGCCAGTAGTCGCTCGCCCAGAGAAACTTGACTTCTCCAACCATCGCGTATTCTCTCTCATCTTCTCCCATTCCAACAACGAAAGATCCATGCCTGAAATCAAGAATACCTACTTGTCCAACGGACAGATCCTCCAGAGGTAGATACAGCCATGTTCCTTTTCTCGGGTAATCATCCATCGTCACTGACGACACGATAACTCCTAACTTAAGTCCCCCGCTCTCGGTTCGCATCACTCGCTTCTTCGAGAATGTCTACTTCTTTCTAGGCCTTTACTTTGTGTCGCTGTTCTCGGTATGTCGAGTCAAGATTTTCATAATCCACAAAAAAGAATGATGCCTATTCCTTTGCTCTCGACTGTCCTGGTTTCTCTACACTCCCGATCGTCACAATGATTATCAAGGAACTTCACTGACTCTAGTCTCATCATTTTACCTCTAATCAACAGCTCGATCCATATACTGCGGCCCAGAACTCGCAATTTAATATCACCCGTCCGGTAAATAAACACAACACTCGACCGCGATGGGGAGGCAGTGCTGGTTCTTCCGGCTACGGAGGCGGAGGCGGTGGTCCAGGAGGTAGCGGGCCTCGTGGGCCTGGACCTAGGAGGATTGGAAGGGTAGATGATATCCGGGCGCCAGAGTGTGGGAGTTGTCGTTGAGATGGATGCTAAGTATCTGGGGAGGGATCCCAGGCTTGCGCTGATATGAGGTGCACACAGCTTAACGTATCATCACCATCGTCTTGGGTTGCTCCTGCAATGTAAATGCTTGTTCCTGACCCGGGATTTGGAACTCCGCTTTTGATTGTGTAACCCCATCTATAGCTGTTGTCCCTGTTGAGCATGCTCACAGCCTCCAGGTGGCACGGCTTCTGTTTTGGTCGCTACAATGTTTCCAATGCATAATTAGCATTCATAAAACGATGAGCACGGACAGAAGAACAATCCACTGTGGTCAATTTTAACATGCCCGCGGGTGGAGAAAGGACGTCATTGCAACACGTCCATGCGATGGATGTAGGCCTATGAGAAAACCACATTATGATGAATAACACAAGCCCGAGAACCACCGCTCACTCTGACACAAGAAAGACTTTGCACTGTCGATGATGAAGGCCTCTCTCCACTCCCGATTCCTCTGTCTCGCGCATCTGCGACGGCCGCAAGCCCACCCAGACCATGAGACAGCCCAATTTCAAGGTGCGTCGAGCAAAGAATAGGTGAAACAGCAGCCTCACTGATAATACTCTGTATAGAAACGGAAGAAGTCCCCTGACCACGATATCATCCACCATGCGGACGGTGAAGACCTATGCACAGCGAAGCCTTCGGCCGTATTCACTCCCACCGGAGGTAGAACGCATACCTTGAGCGTTGCTATTCCCGGAAGCATCGTCGCCAAGTGAGCTCTTCCTCATATTTAATGTCATAGCTCGAGTGCTCACATCTAGAAACAAACAAACAGTGTCCCATCCCTCGAGCAAAAGACGTATCTCGCAGGTGCTATCGCACGCGCCCTTGCAGTGTTCTGCGTAGACGAGGTGGTGGTATTTGACGATTTCGACAGCTACGGCAACAATGGCAACGCTGAAAGCGGCCGAAAGGTTACTCTCCAGAACCGCAAACAACCCTGGAACGGATACACTGCGAATTCAGACCCCTCGCATTTCCTAGCTCATCTGCTCTCTTACCTGGAGACTCCGCCATACCTCCGGAAATATCTCTTCCCCATGCACCCCAATCTTCGCACGGCAGGTATGCTCCCCAGTCTGGACATGCCGCATCACCTCCGCCAGAATGAATGGTGCGATTACCGCGAGGGCGTTGTCATTTCTCGTCGAAATAGCGGCAGCGAGGGGAAAGGGAGAAAGTCCAGCAAAGATCACGGCGAAAATTACGACAATAATACCAATCACACTAATGATCACAATCAAAACGGAGACACGGCAGTCACTGTCATCGATACAGGCCTCCACCAGAAGGTCATGCTCCGAGACATCGAACTCCCCGAACGAGCGCGAGTCACAGTCCGTTTCTTCTCCCAGGACCAACAGATACAAGCCGAACCCGTCCACTCCTCCACCCCCCGTCAAGAAGCAGGATATTACTGGGGTTACTATGTCCGCCGTTGTCGCTCACTGTCAGCGGTATTCACTGAGTGCCCCTTTGACGGCGGCTACGACCTGTCCTTTGGCACGTCGGAACGAGGTGTCCCCGTCTCTGATATCATGAATGGCCAGTACGACGACAAAAGAATTAATGGCGGCGGTAGTAAAGGCGATGATGATGATGGTGATACCACAGCCGTCTTCCCGGACTACAAGCACCTTCTCGTCGTGTTTGGCGGGGTCGCTGGCATCGAGGTCGCTGTCCGGAACGATCGCCAGTTACGCGGCATGTCAATGCGGCCTGTTGATGCTAATAAATTGTTCGATTATTGGGTCAATCTGCTGCCTGGACAGGGTAGTAGGACTATCCGCACTGAGGAGGCGGTTTGGCTTGGGCTGACGAGTTTGAGGCGCCTGGTGGAGCGGAAGAATCATGGTTATGGTTATCGCCATACAGACGGGCCTGTAAATCAGAAGAGGAGAACCAGAGGAGATTATTGAGCCATGTCTTGGTTTCATGGTTTCATAACGTACAGCGTGGAGAGGAAAGGGTTGCTTGGGATTTCTTTAACACACTTCCACACAGAAGTGTCATCGCCCTGTATCTGTATTTGGTATGTACCTAAGTTGTTGTGGTGATATCCATGGACAGCTTTAATGAATTACTTTTTGACTTTGGTACTCAAGACTGGATATGCTCTAGATTCAATCAGTAATAGTCCGCTCTTTAGTGTTCAATCATGATATCTCCATGCAAAATACAGTCCTAACTTTTCCCATCCTAACCGTGTGCGCCTTTCCAGAAGAAACGATAATAACAGGGATGGCATCGACGCTGAGTGGCTTAAGAAGCCATACTCCATCATTAATTCCCATCACTACTCTGATCATCAGTATCGCTTGCGATGGCGTCGTCCTCAGTGGCCATCTCTTTCAGAATTGCATCGCCTTTCTGCCCCTTCTTTTCAGCCTCGAACCACGCCTCCCGTTTCCTCGTCTCGCTTTCTTCTTTCCTCGCCTGTCGCAAGACTCTATCAAACTGCACCTCTTCCTCTTTCATGTACGCTTCAATAAGACCGTCTTGAAGCCTGCTAACAAAAGACCGGAGTCCGACAATTTCTTCTAAAGATGTCCGGCGGGCAGTTTCATTGATGGCTAGCAACTGCTTAAGATTTTTGACTTCAGATTCAAGTGATTCCATCTTGGCGCGATCGACTCTTGCTGCTGCTGCTGTTTTCTCGAGAGTCTGTCCCCCTTGGTTTGAAGGTGTCTGAACTCCGTTGGCATCGGGCTGGCGCAAGGCAGCCAATTCTGCGAGACCTTCTTCAATAGTCGAGACAGGGAAAGATGCATGAGTCAAGGCTTGTGAAAACTGGTCTGATTTCCCGCCGTCTTTGACGATGGATCGAGATGGTGCTTGATCGACTAGATGAGTATGGACCACATACTCCGCAGGCGCAGCACCTGCAGAATCAGACAGGTCGGTGAAAGAATGATCAACGCGAGGCTTGACTACGGTACGCATGATCCTCTTTAAATCAAGAGACTTGTGGGGTAGACCATTTGGTCGTAGCATCACCAGGTTCGTGACGGGGTGGGTATAGTCCGCCACTGTCGAAGCATACTTCCCCCTAGCAATATTCCACGCCAGAACCTTCCCGTTTCTATGCCCAGACAGGAAAGTTGTACCGTCGTACGAAACCGAGATAACATCAGCTGCACCCAAATCCGCTGAAGGGGGCTTCCATCGATCTTCTGCTGACAACTGCGACGGGGTAGATTGTAATGAAGTGTCGTAAAGCGGGTGCTGTGTCAACTTGGTACTGTAAAAGTCGATCTTCTGAACGCTCCCATCCTCGTAACCCACATAGGCCGCGCGATCAGCCGGGTCAAGAGCCACGCATAGCGGCGCAAAGGGCAAAAGGAACGTTCGCAAAACTCTCCCCGTGTGATAATCCCACACAATACATGTATTATCCTCGGAAGTAGAAACAACGATGTTATACCGGCCAGCACTATGGCCCACTGCGAGAGAGGTTATTGCGGCGCGATGGCTCGAAAGCATGCGAATAGATGCCTTCTGCTGTTGTGGAATATGGCTAGAGGCGAGCTCGGTGAAGGAGAGGAGTCCTACCAGAGACCATACATGGATATTGGCATCTGATGAGCCTGAGATAACAAAGTTGGAGGAAGGATCAACGACGAGAGAGGTGACTGGTTGTAGATGCAAAGATGCAGTAGATATACGGCGGCCGGTAGACGTCTGCAAAGGCAGTCAGGAACTTTTCATCCACTTCACCTGTTAATCCCGCTATTTATCCTGTCCATGACATACCTCCCATAAGATCAACCGTCCACCCTCCGTTCCCAGGACCAGGATGTCGCCATTCTGGCCTCCCGCAAGGGCTATACTGCGTATCCGCTCTGGGAAGGGAACCGTCGCTTCCTGGTTTCCCCTCTCTCTACTATAGACATGGACAATTGCTTTCTCTGCTTGCGCCGCAAAGACATGTGACGCGCTCACAGCCAGGCAGCTCGTCGGCGTTGAGCTTTTCTTGAAGCCCGAGCGGAGGGCCGGCGAAGGGTGCAACCCGTAGACGCAGATTCCGAGATCCCGCAGAGTCGCGGATGCTGGAATCTTCGAGGACGTCAGCGTCGACGCAAGGAAGTCCTCAGAAAGCATTGGGAGCGTCTATGTATCGCGATGGATGGCGCTTGAGACCTGACTTCTTTGCTGCTCTCGAATAGTTCATGAATTTCATGAAATCTTTCCGTCGCCGATGAGTTTGCATTGTTTGTCCACACGCTCCCACTGTCATTGGTGATTGTATATCCTCCAGCATACACTGTACACTGTACAGCAATTCTCTCCTCCATACATCGCTCGTCACATTCCAAACTATTAGCGACACTCGCGCATCTTCTGTCATCTGCAATGGCCAAGGTGCAGTTTTCTAAGAGTCTTAGCAGAGCAAGCATGGATCATCCAAATACGGCTAGTTCCCCAGGTCCGGCACAATGATGATCCGCCATAGAACGCAACGATAAGCTTCACTGGGAAACTAACTTCCTTTCCCGCGGAAATCCCCTCCGTAGCATTTCCAAGAATCCGTCCACAGCCAGCAGCCATGGCGAGTTCTGGGAATAGCCTGCGGTTGTTCTACTCATCCTCTAGGGACGTACCCCGAGCACTGGCGATTGTTCCGATGGGATATCGTGGCTACGCTACAACCACTCCTGATCCTTCCGGTCCTCCGACGACACAACCGCGCAGGCGAGCAACAACTTTCCGGGATAAGCTGAATGCAGGCCCTTCCTTCGCAGACTTTGTTACTGGAGGAAACGCTCCTCTGGAGCCATCGGAGGCGTATGCCCTCAAAACTGCCCTTGTCGGGCCTGCCGGGAGGAAGAAAGAAATGACCCGGCTACCGTCATGGTTGAAGACACCTATTCCGGACTCGAAAAATTACCAGCGTCTCAGGAAAGATCTAAGGGGTCTCAAGTTGCATACTGTCTGCGAGGAAGCTCGATGTCCAAACATATCCGACTGTTGGGGCGGCAGCGATAGGTCTGCGGCAACAGCTACGATCATGTTGATGGGAGATACTTGTACCCGGGGATGCCGGTTTTGCAGTGTGAAAACCTCCAGAGCCCCTCCTCCGCTTGATCCGCACGAACCGGAAAATACTGCCGAAGCCATATCGAGGTGGGGGCTTGGATATGTTGTTTTGACGAGCGTCGACCGAGACGATCTTGCCGATGGCGGCGCACGACATTTTGCGGAAACGGTGCTGAAAATCAAACAAAAGGCTCCCAATATATTGGTTGAATGTCTGACCGGCGACTATGGGGGAGATACCGACATGGTTGCGCTAGTTGCTCGGTCCGGCTTGGATGTATATGCGCATAACGTTGAGACTGTGGAGGCCCTGACTCCGCAAGTCCGTGATCGTCGGGCCTCGTTCCAGCAGTCACTCCGTGTCCTTAGTGCTGCTAAACTTGCCAAGCCATCTCTAATCACAAAGACTTCCCTCATGCTTGGACTTGGTGAGACAGACGAGCAGCTATGGGACGCTCTCCGCCAGTTACGCGCTGTCAACGTTGATGTCGTCACTTTCGGCCAGTACATGCGTCCGACGAAACGTCACATGGCTGTTCACGAATATGTTACACCTGATCGATTTGAGCTATGGCACAAACGGGCGATCGATCTGGGCTTCCTTTACTGCGCCTCGGGCCCGTTGGTCCGAAGTAGCTATAAGGCTGGCGAAGCATTCATCGAGAACGTGCTGAAAAAGCGGCGTGCTACTGCTGAAACTGCGGGAAAGGCTGCGAGCGAGAAGACAGTTGTTGCGGAAGAAGCAGCGCCGTGATTGATGTCCCACGGTAACGCGCGGGTACTCTTATCAACCCGGTCTCGTCTGCATCTTGCATTCCCCCTTTCGGCTTACTTTCCTTGGTTCTGGCGCTGGTTGGCTTCTGTCCGGTGTATATAACGAGTGGCAAGGGCCCCTTTCTGTTCAAACACTGTATTGTTGTTCACTTGTAATAACGAGGATATGGGCGATCATCTTGCATGCATAGAGTTCAGGTCTGGTTCCTGGAAGGCATGTATATTGCAGTCACCATACTGGAACTTATGTGCATTGTAGTATTGAAGTCTCCGAGTATATCGGCATTATAAATGCAAGCTACGTCCGCAACTACCTATGTGAATTACAAGACGATTAGCCCCTTCGCGATGCCCCAGCGCGTAATACCATGCCAAAGAAGACGCCTTAGGTAGAGAGCGTATGTCAAAAGAGTTTGAAACTCCCGGACTCATAACTGTCATTACCGCCGCAGTCTCATATCATAGGCTTCTGACACAAATTGTGCAACTACCAACCATCAGTATCGGCACAATGTCGAGAAAAGTCAAGAATCTGGTTGCTTGCTAAGTCTCCATCAAGAGGGGTCATCCTGCCCGCAGCCAATTCCACGAACATGGGGCCAGGCTGTCTAGTAACCTGGTCGCAAGTTTATATCTTCTTTGAATCTGCAACAGCTGTCAACTCCTCAATTTCATCCTTTGTTAACCCGAGAAGGTAAAGAATATCGACAAGGCTTGGTCCGTTCAGGCGGGTCGGTGCCTCAAGCTGCACTTTGCTCTTGGCATGCCACGCAACCCCTAGTCCCGCGGTGTTGAGCATGAGAAGGTCGTTGGCACCGTCACCAACGGACATTGTCTGTGAGATCGAAATTGAATTTTCGGCAGCAATAGACCGAAGAAGGGCGCGCTTCTGGGCTGCATCGATAATAGGGAACGTGGGCAGAAGGTTACCGGTCAGAGTTTGTGTTATTGGATCAACCTCGAGCTATATAAGCCAAAAGGAAAATTGTCAGCAAAACACACAGGCTGATTGTGAGTAAAGCTCACAGAAGGAGCATTCGATGAAGTATGATGTAGAGCGATGTTGCATTGTTACAATGAAGTGCAGTGTTCAGAGGGTCGTAGGGTAGAGAAATGTCACGTACATGATTGGCAAAAGCATAATCAATTCCAAGCTCCTTTGCCAGCCATTCCGTAAGAGGCTGGAAGCCTCCGCTCAAAACGGCAAGCTTGAAACCAAGCACTTTCAGAGCGCTACATAATTCCCGAGCTCCAGGAGAGATGGTAACAATCGACTTAAGTCGATCGAAGACATCCGCAGGAACTCCTTTTAGTAGGCTAACACGTGCCTTGAGAGATGCCGAGAAATCAAGTTCACCGTTCATAGCACGAGCTGTGATTTCCTGCCGAAATATGAGCATTGTCGCAGAAATTGTCGATGCATTCAGAGCCTTACAGAAACCTCTTTTTCCACTCCGACAAATTTGGCAATCTCATCAATGACTTCATTCTGGATCAGAGTGCTATCCATATCGAACACTGCCAGCCGTTTGAACCGGCGGAACACGCTCTCTCTCTGAAAAACGACCTCTACATTCCATTCCCGCTCAAATCTCCAAATGCTTTCATGTTTCTGAAGATCTGCAAAGGTCAAGTACTCTGGATTTGGAGGAGGCCAAAATGTAACTTCAACGACCCGAGGTTGCGCCTCCTGATCTAGACAACGATGGGATGTGTATGTCCTTTGATAAGGAGTCGAAAGGGACTCTAAGGTCTGGAGAAAACTTGCCAGGCACAATTGGGAGACAAACCGTCCATAAAGATGATCTAGCGGCTCCGGTTCTGGCGCCGGGGGTTCCCGTGGGATTTTCTCCATGTCAACAGTAGGAGCCGAGCCTTCCGGTACCACGGGAGGCGGGAGTTTATCCCCTGGATTCGCTTGTAATGATATATCGGGATGGACATATGGATTAATAGGACTCGAAGACTTGTAGAAGATAGTTGCGACCAACTTTGGAGTCCCTGGTGGAAGATCACTCGCCTCATGGTTAAAGATACTGTGGACAATGCCGCTATCGGCAACCTTTTCTGGATTAGGCTTGATAGGATTGCTGTTCAGAACGAGCGGAGTACTAAGCGTATCACCAGGTTGGCGAAGAACATCCCCCAGGTTCTGAAAAACTGGTGCCTTGTACTGTTCATGGTCTTGGAGAAAAGAAGCGCTGGAGAGTCTCTGTTTCAAAACCGGCCGGGCTGGCCGGGGATTGTTGGAGTTTGGTGTTGCCATCTCGAATGGCCAGCTATATCAACAGGGGAAAAAAGCGCTGAGCCAGGCGACACAGCAAAAGCTGTCGGGGGAAGACCGCGGGGAAGTCCTGGAAGGCGAAGATGAAGGTGGTGGGTGACAGAGTTGAGTTTCACCGGGAGGAGCATCGCTTTGGCATCATCCGAGGTTCCTGGACACAAACAAAGCAAATGGGACAAACAAGACAAACACCAGGTAGCCTTTCCTGCAAACGATGCAAACAGCATCGTGAGATGAAGTTGAGAAAGACTTCAAGCTTCAGCTTTCGCTGTCTTTCTCTCTCCATTGCTAACATACGCCGCATTCAGAATGCTTCGTCCTCGAGGCTCCATGCCTCCAGTACCGGGGACCATCCGGTCCATACGGCCTCCCTTCACCCGGACCCCACGGGCATACCAGCTTCAACCGTTCACCAACATATCCCGACATCTGCTCCTCTCGAATCCCCCGGGCCGCCCGCAACTCCCCTTCCTCTCCCCAGTATCAGGGAGTCGTCCCGTGCCGCCGTTATCCATTAATATTCGGCAGCATTTTGCTCGTCTTATTTCCACTGAGCGACGCGACTACTACAAACGTCGTTTAACTCGTGGCGTCGGATTAGGCTTGCTATTTTCTGCAGTTCTCTTCATACTCCAAATGTTCAGATTGGGCTATTATCAGGATAAGATCGAGCATAAATGGCCCACCCCTCCAGAATGGACCTTCATAAGCCGTTGGTGCTTGCGGTCGGCGCAGGCTCTCCAACATCCAGAGGCGATTGGAAATCTGACGACCAATTGGCCCAGAGTCATCTCATACCTACAGGAATTGATTGGGCGACTGGAAAATATAGACGGCGAAGGAAAGGGGATTGTAGAGACGCTAGGTGAGGAGTCTGCCATTGAAGGCGTTGGCAAAATGGGATTGGACATCTCTGGAAAGAGCGAGCCATGGCGAAGAGGCTATTTCCAAGCTCTCATGGGCCTTGCGAAGGCCGCAGAGAACCTCGATGGCTGGTTGACGGATACAAAGCAGAACATTTCTGCTCCGGCGCAATATGTCGTTGGCCCGTCCAACCGGAGACCTAAGCCCATGCCCGCCGGACAGGAGAGAGTGCCTAAAGAGGAGGACTGCGTACCGGCATCGCCAAGCCCCGAGCTCTTCTATGTGAAGATCCTGACAACGGAGGGCTTTAGTGAACGGCAGAAGGTTGACGCAGCTCTTGCATATGCTGATTGGCTTGACTATAAGGGCCTACGCAAAACTGCTGGCAATGTGTATCGACGGGCTATTAATATCGCTGCTTCTGGCCTCCCCTGTGATGTTGAAAAGGTCATTGACCTGAAGACAGGTATCCTGAAGAATAACGGCAAAGATATGGCATCTGAGAACATTATTCGAGTGTCGACTGCACTTGGCGTGCGTCATGCTCGTCAAGGCGAGCTCCCGATGGCGCTATCTATCCTCACATCCGTTCTAAAGGCGCGTCGTAGTCTCCCTCCATCCGATACAATCACTACTAAATTGCCCTCACCCTCAACATCTACCAGTGACCCTTTCTCGTCGATCATCGACGCCCTTAAAATTATGTTCGTGCCAGTTGAATATCCTCCCCCACCACCTTCCGGAAACGAATCACCCTTGCGCACACACAGCTCTATCTGCGACGAGGCTGGCCTCATGACCTATATTGGAGAGATAATCTACTCAACTTCTTCTAAAGAAAACGGACTCGCATGGACCCGTGATGCCGTCGACATGGCGGAAGAGATCGTTCTCGAGGTACAGCATAACGACCATGAGATGCACGAGAAATGTGCCGAGTGCCTTAAAGTAGCTCTAAAGAACTGGAGGACAATGATATCGATATTACTTCGCAAGGCTGAAACGGAGGAGTCGAAGGCCGCAGAGAATGCGAAATCATCCTGGTTACCGTTCTCTGCCAACAGGCAAGTTCGGGCTAAATCCCTTGAGAAGAAGAGATGGGAGGCCGAGAAGTTGATTGTGGACGATCGTGCTAGACGTATCTGGCCTGTTATTGAGGGCGAGTCGGAGCTTGGTATATTTGCTCCGGGAAGTTCGTTGTTTGTTCTGTAATTGATAGCAGTCTCTTATTTTTTCTTTTTTCTATCCCTATCTCAGTGATACCCAGCGAGGGGTTTCATTTCGGGGTTTTAGGAGTTAGGATTATGGATGGTTTCGCGGCACCATTACTTGCTTGCGTACAGCTGTATATATAAGTATAATGTAGACATGGGAGGTGAGACATTGAATATAAGGCAGGGATACCAACTATCTCAAATTAAAATAGAAACCACACATTAAAATTGGGTCCACCTACATCTGCTAAGTGGAGATTTAATGTAGTCCATGCAGAGGATCAATACAAGCAAGATTGGCAAGTATATAGTAGCTCAATTATTTTGGTAGAAGTCATTATCAGACGCTAAAGGGGTAAGAGAGAAGTGTAAATGGACAGATAGAATATCACGAAAACAGCATTCCCGGCAGGTCATCAAATGCATTCCAAAAGGGGGTACGAAGTGTGATAGTGAAGGCAAAAAGAATGAAGGAAAGAAAGGAAGAAATATAGAGAGTGTATGAGAGTGAAACAAAATGCCATCCAAATACTTCTCAGAAGGATTGCCATAACTTGCCTGCAATGTAAATATTAATCCAAACAAACTTGTCAAGTCTTCATTTCCCACCCACAACAGTCCCATTAGGCATGGTGATTGAAAAGTTCTCAAAGTCGAGCGTGAACCCAGAACCCTTGAAATTGTAATTGGAGACTTCTAAAGTATTGTTCCCTGTGGTGCCAGATGTGCTGTCGCCAGTTAAATATGACTGGATTCTCTGTTCAGAGTCCATGGCTGCTGCCAGTAGACCTGTTTTCTCTAAGATGAAAAGGACAGAGATCCGGGAGAAATCGAGTTTCAGGGGGGACAATGCAGAGTGCGTGGAGGTAGGCTGAGCCATTGATGCTGACTGCGTGGTGGTCATCGATGCGGACGTCGTAGTCGTAGTAGCCGTAGCGGTAGTCCCGGTTGTCTGGGACGAATCGTCAAAGACAATACCGTCCATAGTAGAAGCTGAACCTCGAGCGGCGATGGTCTGCGTCGGAAGCCCTGATGATGTTGAAGACGGTGGTGTGCCTGGATGAGATTGCGCGTCTAGTGACACAATGGTGGATTTCAATTTCAATTCCCTCTTGCTGTTGCTGCTAACACCCGCAAACGACACAAGAGCATTTTCCGTTGTACAGGAGACGTTGGCCTGACTGAAGAGAGCAAGGATGGTTGTATGGTCGAGTGGAATACTGAAGTTGGCCTGCGAGTCTTCAAGCAAGCGCGGAAGAGCGCTACCAAGCGTGACGTTGTTGGATTGGGAGTCCTGGCTGAGCTGAGTCGTGACACAACTAGTGTCTCCCGGGGTCGTGCATTGATTTCCCGTATATCCGTTGTTGCACACGCACGAGCAGATACTCCCACTTGACACGCTGACTCCGCCGTTATGGCAAGGCAGCGATTTCTCACATACCGAGTTGCCGGAATCTTGTTGCCGAGGGACCACGACGACGAAAATGGGAACAAGGACAGCGACGAGGATGGCGACCAGGGCTAGGACACAGACGAGCATGAACATCCACGGTGACATCCCACAGCAACGTCTTTGGCGTTTCGGCGCTCCTTGCGCGTCAGGCTCCGAGTGAAGTGATTCTACTCTTCGCAGGTTCGACCTTGGAAGAAAATGTGAAAAGGTGGAACCAGGTCTTTCCGATGTGTGCATCGCAGGAGGAGGAAAGGCGGCCAAGATCCCTGATATCGAAGAAGATTCATTACGCATATGGCCTTTTTCAACTGCATTGTCAGTTTCATAATAGTCTTGATAGTTGATCGTTGAGCTGTACTTACCCGAGGACAGATTGATTCTACTAGCAGTGCGACCGCGCTCCAGATTTGAAGCCAGCCTGGTAGCACGCTCGATCAAATCCTTCAAACTTGTAAGACTTCCCCTGGCCTGTGCCTCCTGGACGGCATCCATATCAAGGCGGGGAGGCCGGCGGCCGAACGGTCTTCTATCACTCATCGTCGGTGCGGCTTTAGATAGTGTTCTGGCTTCTTTAACATGACTGCTGTTGTTATTGGCGGTGTCCTTAATCACCGGTTGTGAGGATTGACCGAAGGGATATTTTTCAGGATCCAGGTTGAAAGCATCAGATGACGGCCTTCCTTCAGGCTTGTATGAGCCGTCTTCTCCGGCTTGAGAATCTGAAGCAACCCCCTTTCCAGCACCATCTATCTTTCTCGGACTTGCCTGCCTCACGGGTATAGCTTGAGCGATTTTGGATCCATGCTTGTCATCCAATTCGCTATCCATATAAGCCCCGATGATATCAATGTCTGTCTGTGAAGAATACCAGCTAGATGGAACGACTTGGCGCGACGGGGATTCTAACGGGCTATGTTGGGAGAATGACTCCTCGGATATGGTGGGTGGGACAGGAGGGGGTCTTCGCCCGTAAGTTTGCGACCCAGGGCCAGAGTTCTGTGAGGCACTCTTCACCATTTGATTCTGGTCCTTACGAGGAGTAGGAAATGGAGGTGCTGAACCTCCCGACCGGGCCCTGTCACGCATCTGGGGAGGTACACTCGTAGAGCTAGGAGGTTTGAGATTGGGGCCCTCGGTAACTCGGCCTGGTTTCTGTTCAAATCGGTAGGAAGGCGGGTATGGTAAGGCAGAAGAGGATATATTTTGTCGGGGTGACACAGGCTCCCCTGGTCGCGGTTGTCGCATAGGTGGCGAACATCTTGATGCTTGTGCTACATCATGGGATTGACGAGGCACGGCCATAGAGTGCGCAGAATGAAACAGCGGTAGGGGTGCCGTGTTAGGGCCAGGAGTGCCAAGGTCGTGATGCGAGCCGGCAGTCAGCATCTCCCTTGCACGATGAACGGATCCCTTTTCCTCCAGACCTACCCCAGTGGGATTGTCACTCCTAGATGGTCCGAAGTTTTGATCCATTAATTCTCACAAGTGATGGGTGTTGGAGAACTGCACTGGAGAAATAACTTTCCATAAATGGGTGGACGGTAGCGAAAATGCAATACTTTAATTCACCGAGCGCAAAACATGAAATTGTATGTTGTTAATAGACGAATGGCCCGCCTGGGCTCACAAATGGTCGAGATGTAGATAGCTACCAGCTTGACAAAGGAGCGTTTGAGGTCAAGATAGCGAATAAAAGGAATGAAAACGAATGTTGAATCAAGTAATACAATGCCACCTACGTCTCTGACTGGACACTGCCAAACGATGAGCTTTCCTGGCACAGGTTCAGAGCGAAAAGAGAGGGAAATGGGCACACTGTGCCGATAGACTGGTCCAGCGGTGGCTATGCGCCGTGTAAATCAACCAAAAAAAGGAGATGAAAGTCCAAATGCGACACCAGCAATATCACAGAGCTTGCTGTGTCTCAGTGCAATATGGAACGTCCACTAACTGGGAAAGTCAGCATCAGCTTGAGGATTCGCGTGTCCATCGAGGGATATCTCGTTTTGTCCCAACGTACTGTCCATCAATATAGAGAGAGAGAGAAGCCTCAGGCCCTCGAAGAAAAGAACGACGGGGTAATAGAGTTAAGTAACAAAATGAATGGAATTTAGAACTCCTGGCAGCAGAGGAGAAAGAAAGAGAGGGAGAGGAAGATGAAGAGGCAGCAAGGGGATCATCAGGCGGCCGTCGGCTTATCCTGAGGCCAACGGGCGTAATATAATCAATATAAATAATAATTAAAACATGGGAGCGTTTTTTCCTCCCTTATTCATGCAAGTCCCATGGAATGGACTGTTAATTTAGAGACCTCGGTTTTGCATTTGGTTAAATTAACCAGAACCATGCAGGAGCCAGGGGTGGTTTCGAGAGCGTCTGGCAGCTCCGGACCTCGCAGACTCGAAAAGAAAAGAGGAAATATTCCCGGGAGAATATGAGCGTTGCTGGACATGGCTTGCTCTGCAATAATAATAACCAGCAATAACTGGCGTAGCGAGAGTCTCCATGCGATGAGGATCTTCAGAGCAGCCCAGAACTGAATAAATTGCTTCATTTGGATTCCAGGGGCTGTCAGTGCTGCTATTAGGTTTATCTGAAACAGATCTTCCCGCACCACTCGTGTGCATGCTTGATATCATTGCCTGTCGTCCTGTTAGGAATTACGTATCTCACTCTCTCGCAATTCACCTCGTAGTCGGTCGATCTTATTCTCGACATTGCGCATCTCAACTATTACACCCGCCAGCTCTGGCAAGATACCCTCTACGGCCTCCGTAAAGGACGTTTGCGCCCCGCGCAAAGATTGAGGAACGAGAATACCGTACCAGCTGATCGGGTCGGAAGAGCGAAACCGCCTCTTAGAAGACTCGGACGTCGGACGCGCGGCGGATCCTATTTCAGAGTGTTTGTCGGCCTGAGAGGGCGCGTCTTTGGTTGTGGTTGTCTCTTCTTCTGAAGCAGTCTCTTGGTCTCGCTTCGAGTCCTTCTGACTCGACCTGGATTCCATACTCTCACCGGCAGCCCGTTCCTCGGATGGTCTGCATGATGTACACTCGATTCTGAAGGAAAAGCTCCCCTCCGATCCGCCTTCAGCTTCAGTGAGGTGATGACCCTCAGACCGCAAAGGTTGGACTGATCTTGAGGAGCACATTGGTGTCAGCATCATCCTACAGAACCACACGTGTGACAGAACAACCTACATCTTTCGGTTTGCTTTCATACGTTCATCGTAGTAATCGGCGCCATATCGTCGGCCGGGAGGGCAAGTGTAGTTGGCATGGGCGAGAGAAAAAAACCCCTGTCGATTTAGTGTCAGCATGCCTCTTCCTGAGAATCTACGGCGTCTATCTCATGACATACAGATGAAAAACGCTTCCCTAACCCCGTCAGCAATTCCTGATGGCGATCAAGAAGATAGAGGTATTGCTCAAGAAGAGAGTCCAGCGGGAGCAGCGATTTCGCGGAGGGATTGGCCAGTAGAGGCTTCTGCTGGGCATCCAGAGGAGCTTCAGAGCTCTGGCGGGAAGCAGGCGGAGTTGGAATCTGCGCCATTAAATGTCAAGGAGATAGACGATGATGCTGGTGACGCTGATCGTGATGCTGATCGTAAGAATAGTACGAAGCACAGCACTGGGATAGAAGCAGAAGGATGACGGGCCGTGCTTGGCGTATCTCCGAAGCGTGAAGCCGTATACAGCCTGCTGTCTCCGAAAGCCGTTGGAGACAAATCTAATATTTTATTATCCTAGTACCGAGTGTCTTACTATCATTATATCGTTGTTGCTGCTCGTGGAAAATTCCCTGCCTTTCCGGTGACGTTTTCTCACGGGGATTTCTCCCTCCATCAAAGCTTCATCTTTCTTCGCCGATTCCATTTACCAGCTGTCGATTTATTCTTGCCCATAGCTTGCTTCTTGTTTTCTGTTCGCATTCGCTCTTTCGACTCTATTCGATCTACAGTCTTGTCATCATGTCCGTGACGACGCTGCATAGAGATGCGGCTTTTCAAGCACGCTCCCTGGTTAGTAACTCCAAGTCCTGCTTCTTTTTCCTTCTCCTTCGTCTTCTTTCTGCTACACTATATCTATCACTGGTGGTGTGTACCGAAGTACTAACCTCTTGTCTTCCTCCCCTTCTTCGCGCTACTGCAGTTCCGTTCCCTTCTCCGTCAATCGTCGCAATTCTCCAACTACAACTTCCGAGAGTACGCTCGCCGGAGGACGAAGGATGCATTTCGCAAGCATCAGAATGAGACTGAAGAACGCCAAATACAGGAGTTGATTCAAGAAGGCTTGCGGAATCTGCGAATGATGAAGGTCAGTGAAGTAATGATCACACTCCGGGTTTCAAGGACGGCAGAGACCATTTCGGGTTCCGCGAAGAAGCAGGGCTGATGTCCCGCTATCTATAGAGGCAAACCGTCATCAGCCAGTTTTATCAATTGGACAAGCTCGTCATTGAGGGACAGCGACCAGGAGGACAACGATCGGTGAGCCTTTCTTCTTTCTTCCTACCCAAACCTATATCTCATATCCCTTGCAGTTGAAAGAGACAGGAGGTGAAGGTGGGATGGTTCGCCAGAAGGATACTGGGTGAGTGTTATCTCTGCTCTCCGCATTATGCAGCTGTAGCCTTCTGCTCCGTTTTCTAACGTCTGTCGCAGCTGGGATTGACATAACCAACCTGGCCAGTTAAACACGACCAGAGTGGACTAGGAGAGCCGAACAGAGAAGATCGATCGCATCTGTCCGATATGTCCCAATTCGCGCAGTGCCACTCAGTTCGATGGTTGGAGGATTGGCTGAACCATAGACTACCCTCTGTTGTGTACTACTTTTAATGAAAACGACTACCACGGAGTGATGCAGACTCTGCACTACTCATGGCCTTGTAATCTACCATGCAATACGAGAATCTTTAGCTTCTCCATTCTTTATTTATTTCGTCAGTGAATGCCTTTTCGATTGTAGTCACGTGATATTACGGCGACGGAGTAAACCGTAACACAAGAATAAGAACAAAACGCCTCTCGACCTTCGTTGTCTGACACAGAGCAGCATCTCGTCTGCCCCCTTTGCCTTAGCTGCTGCTATTCTCCTTATCTGTTCAAGCACTACGCAGGCTATCTGAGGGCTATTGCGCTTGTCGCGATGCCCCCTACTGTAAGTTCATCTCCGCGCTGGCACGCGCCCGGTTCCCGGGCCAATCTACGGACCAACGCCTGTATTTCATTAGATGCGAGAAGATGGAGACGCGGCGCACGACTAATTACAGTCTTGCTAATACGTGCATCAGTTTAGGTCCTCCCGCTCTGGTCGACAGTTCATCGATAATAGCACAAACCGAGGCAGATCGGGCCATTTCGACCATGATATATTCGAAGGCATACCAGTTCGTCGGTGGACGCGCCAACAACATACCGTCTCCCAAGCCCCGAAACCCGACGAGTCAGAACCAAAAACCCCTGGATATGGTGGGATGTCGTCCCTGCCGGAACTTGCCATGCCTAAGGATAGCCAGCTGTTGATGCCCGCAAGCAGGGCTCTCCTTCGCGCCGCCCGCGCGGGGTGTATATATATCCGCCATGTTGACAAGGATGTCGAAGATGACGAAAAAGAAACGACAGACGTGGAGGATTTGGTCGCTGCGAATGGGATGGAGCGCAACTTCACAACGCGCAAGTGGGCGCTGGTTCCTAGACATTTAGAACCCCCTGAGACCGAATATCTTGCGAAAAGGAGACTGGGATTACCAGCCTTATACGGCGCATCTGCTAAAGTTTCAGATGGCATTGCCGATAATGCATCCGGTCCCATGAGGAGGACTAAATTTACAAGGGTTGATCCGGCAACGGGAAATATCTCAGTCTACGAAGCGTGGGTTCCCGAGGGCTACAAAATTGAAGGAGAGGTTACAGGGGCCGTTCAGACTATATCTGCAAGTAACGATGCAGATGTTAAACCTGAAACTCTAGCTCCAGGAACAGTCGTCGAAGGCGTCGGGGTGGTCGATTCTGAAGGCGTGGTTGTGGCCGAAACCAGTTCGGCAGCCGTTGTGACTCCTAAAAGGCGGCCGCCACCGCCGAAGCGTAAGGCCAAAGGTTTTGCAAAGGGCAGGAGGAAGAAGGTCATGTTTGCATCTGGCGAGGGAGTTGATGCTGCCGCCGTACACGGTGCGCACGGTGGCTCTGTTGCTGGTGTTGGAGAGGGGGATGCATCACACATGTCAGTTGATCCTCAGTCTGAACAGGAATACGACGCGGAAGATGGCGAGGAGGATGAGGAGAGTGATTCCGACGCGTCCATGATAGACGTGAAGAGTCCAGAGGCCACTACTCCAGGCCCGCAGCTGTCCGTGGTTTCAGATCGACACCCCGATACCCCAGCACCTGTCGAAAAGGAAGCCGAGAAACCTTCAACATCTGCTTCGGAAGAGCTTTCTGATGGTACCTCGAAAGGAAAACAAGACCTCGCGGTCTCCGACATCCCCACGGCCCATGCCCCCGTGGATGATACGGTCATGGCAGATGCCGAGGCATCTTCAAATGTGCCTGAGGATAATTTGCCAACCGTATCACAGCAAAACCCAGAAACACAGAAATATCCCGTCCCAGACTCTGTGGCACCAGGGGCTACCTCTCCAAAAGCTGCAGCACCAGATACCGCAGCGCTGGAAACTACGGATAGGGAATCCGCTAAAGCAGAGGATGCTGTACGCAAAAGCGCTATGCCCTCATCAGTGCCTGGAGCCCCAGAGCCTAGTGAATCAAAATCTGCGCAAACGACTACACCCGCTGCTCCTGATTCTAAAGTGCCAGAGGCTACTCAGGAGCCTGCTGGGGCGCCCACTGAGAAGAATGATCAAGCCCCGTCTGGTGAAAATGTTGAAGAGACATCCCTTCTGCCACCAGTCATCGCGGAAAACATAGAGCCTCAGTCTACAGAGCCTAGCAGTCAAGCACAGGAAACTCCGAACGCTACGGGGACAAACGAAAAGCAACCGGAAGCAATGCAGATGGCAGACAAAGCTGATACCTCTGCTAGAGACCCTGCTCCTGAATGTACGGAGCAACCACATCATTATCGACCTCCGCAGACAACCGCTGCGAACGAAGAAAATGACCCCCCGATTGATAACAATGGTACTGGTGAACAATTCTCAAAGATAGATGACCCAACAACAGCACCTCCACAGGAATATGGTTCCAAATCCCCAGGCCCTACTTTCTCTATAACTTCGTCTTCTGCCCCTTCCTCCCCTCCCCCTAGTTCCCCTTCTACATCAGCCCTGGCGGCCCTCGAAGAAGAGCAAATGAGGGAGGAACATGGACAGGAACAGAGAAAGCCCGATGAGGCAGCCGGTCATGCCGGCAACGATCATGCTGGATCTGCGCCGCGGAGTCCAGAGGAGAATATCCCATCTGGTAATACTCCCATAGAAGAATCGAAACAAGACAGTGAGGATGGCTCGAAAGCGGAAGCGGAAGCATCGAATTAAGGGAAATGATTCAGCAATGTCTGCCAGATCAAAAGTGACAAGTATGATGATATATTTGTTCGATATATATGCTGTACTGTATTTATGCTGGATTTTTTTTTTTCCTTACCTAATATTTCCTAAGGTCTGGTCTGTCCGAGTAGATTTAGTTCCAATGTCTATGAATGAACACATTAAATATCAATTTTAATATATTCAAGCCCTGGGACCGGAAGGACAACCGAGTTGAATTAGTAGTAACCAAAAAGTCATATCCTATAAATGTAGCAAGTGAAAAAAAAAGCAAAAGAAGTCTTCAGACAAGGATGGTCTGTAACCACACAGTTCCATCCACATAAAAAGAGAACACGAAACCTCCAAAAAAGCAAAAATCATAGTGTGTGCTTAGAGGCACCAACAATACTGGCCCAAATAATGTAGAATGCCCAAAACAGGTATCCTGAAACCCAGACACAGAGCCATGTAACTGTAAGGATCATATCACTGAATCTTCGGTCAGTCATAGTGGGGTCTCTGGAACTGCATGCTTGCTGGTCTTTCGACGCCGTTTGGCGATGCCTGCTGGACCGTCACCCTCCGCCGCAGTTTCCCTGTCCCTCTTACCAGGGCCCTTGTCCTCAGCTCTTGCTGTTGTCTTCTTCCCCTTGACAGCGTCTTTATCACCAACTCGCTTGCTCGTTGCTGATTGTTTAGGTTCGCGACCTTCCTTCTCTTGCTCCTTTGATGCCCGCTTCGGAGAAACCGCTGTCTGATTACCTGCTGTGACCCTCGGCTTTGCCTTCGCGGAACGCTTGAGCTTGGATACAGATTGCTGAGCGGATGGCGATGATGCTGGCTTCTTTGTCCCGTGGACAGTTGTCCCCTTCAGTCTAGACCTTATTGCCACTTTTGGTAACTTCACATTGGCTTTCGTCCGTTTGGTCTCCTTTTTTACCCGGCCAGCCTTGGGCTTTAGAGATTTTGTGGTGGTAGAAGCTGTAGTCTTCTTAGATCCTGGGGTCCTGGTGCTGGCTTTAACGGTTTTGGTGGCCTTCGCAGCTGTCTTGATAACGCTGTTAGTCTTTCTGGTGTTCCTTATAGCTGTAGCCGCTCTGCCAGTCTTGGTAGCACGTCCTCTCCCTCTGGCATTAGTCACTTTCCTCTCAGAAGCGTCGGTCTTGGATGCAGTGACGCGCTGTTTAGTCTTCGTAGCAGCCCTTTTGCCCTTGGTTTTCACAGATCCCATACTCAGAATCTTTCGCTTCTTGTTAACACGTGAGGTAGATACGTCAAGCGCAGCTTCGCGCTTTCGCTTTGCCACCACAGTTCGAGAGCCTGCACTCTTTGTACTTGACTTAAACCTGCTCGCCTTCTCTTCAGTTTTTGATTGCTTCAGCATGCGTTTCTCCTTGTCTTTTGGACGTGGGCCAAGGATGCCACGGCAAGTGGACGAACCACATCGGCATTCCTGGACATTCTTCTGGGAATATGGACTGTGAGGTAAAATGTCAATGCCAATTCATATCCATGCTGAGGCCTTCTTCTGGCCTATTTGGGAAGATTTAGAACTCACTCAAAATTGTAATCGTAACTCAATTCATCACCTGTCATGATCCCACGAGAACCAGCGAAGAGAGCCATGCGTGGTTTCCCAGAAACAGTCCATTTCTCCATTCGACAGTTGGGCTCGCAGGAATGATTCACAAAACGAGCGATGGAGCCTCGAGTCGCGTCGATTATCATGTTCTGGTCAAAGTACATGAGATAATAACACTGATAATATGTCAAGTTAACCCCACTGCGCCATGAATCACAGAATGCTGCGCATCACACCCACATCGTTGTTCTTGTAAACTGTTCTCATTCGTCTTTCGCACTCAGCTTGAGTGATAATCTCTCCTGTGTATTCCACGATGATCTGGTTCGGTTCGAAAGTCCTGTTGCTGCGGACGCCATAACCGCGGTCTTTTGTCTTGATCACCTCGACACCTATATTGTATTTGCCTCCAGCCTTGGTTCTCTGCTTGAGTTCTTCGAAGCTGCGGTTTCCGCACTCGGAACCTAATCGGCAATTACTATCGTCGCATTCATAGAACATGAAGCGATTTTGACAGTTTTCGTCACAGCCTGTTGCTTCTGTGCATGTGCATGACGACAGCTCCAAGTGCTTATTTGCCTTCCATATTCTTCCCGCTTCGCCAACGAAGACATCTAAAGGTCAAGCTAGGTTAGCCTCCGATTTGATGAACCTATAGATATATCGAAAGATTTACACACTCTTGTTGGTCCTCCTCCACTCATCGGGTTTTGGCTGACCGGGTGGAAGCGGAGAAAAGATATCAAACGGTAGTCTGAAATCTCTTCCTGTCTTCAGCAGTCTATCACCAGCAAACATAGGCGCTGGGAGAAATGTCCGCTGGGCGGGAGTTGTGCGTCTTCGTCTCGAACCGCTCTTCCTCTGATACGCACGGGTTTGTGTCGTATGCTCCTGTCCAGCGTATAATCCGTGGGAAAGCCATATCTTCCGTCTATTTTGAGGTGCAGGTTTGGGCGCTGCTAGAGTTTCTTCTTGCGCAGCTTGATCTTTTCCTTCACTTGTAAACTTTGAGAACAAAGCGCTTTCAACACCACATCTTTTTTTGGGCAATGGAGGCTCGCTGGCAACATTCTCCTTTGATGTAACAGGCTTTCTGGGCCGCAAACTAGCTCTTCTGTTGTTTGCCCTTGCTGCCTCACTCTTCGTCTTCATAGTGTCTCTGGTACGTTTGCCCAAAATGCTGCTGAACTTGTTCGTCGTTGGTCTTGGACCCAAACGGGCGGAGCGTCTCAATGGCTTTGGACTATCTGCATCCGCACTCGATGTCCCATCTTGCTGTCGGTCTTTATCCTCTTTCCCAGCCAGTACCTTCTCCACGAGCCTCCGCAACGTCCGTGGCGGTAGCGGTGCATTTGTATTCCCCTGATGCTGTTCTTGGGACATCTCCGAAATTGGTGTATCCGGCGCCGTTGGACGTTCGTGGAGAGCCGAACCACTCTCTCGTGGTGGGAGCATCGTCGAATCCACGGCCGCAGCATCATTGTGGAGACAAGACGGTTGCGACGACTCTTCCTCGAAAACACCAGAAATGGTATTGACATCTTCTTCTCCGCTGGATAAAGTATGTTGTTGGGCGTCAAGTTGCTCTGTTGACCTCAGGGACTCGCGCGTTGCTCGTGCAGATCTCCGCCACGACGTAGGTTTCTCTTCTGTGCTCGCGTGCTCATGGTTGCTGGAAGTCTCAGAGCGACTGTTTTCGGGCGTAAGGAGTTGCTCTGAGAAATCGACGCCCATTATGTCTTCAGCATGCAGTCCTGTTGGGTGGTTATGGTCCGGAGAGGCTGTGAGAGAGGCTGCCGACGCGCCGGCGGAGAAGATGCTTTCCAGCCCCATTGTTAGACAAGCTCGTTTGCAGAGGGATTGTAGTGTCAAGCCCCGATGAGAGGATTGCCTGGTGACAGACTGACAGACTTTGATGGGAGCTGAGGGCTGTTTAAGCGTGATGACCTGGGAAGGGTGGGCTGCTTCCCCTTGCTTGGCGGCGATATGCGACGCGTCTCAGAACATATGGTGGCCACGAAAATGCTCCAAGTGTGCAATTTCGAAGCACTGGAGGAGTTGAACGACTGCGACGCCCATGGGAGGAATGCCGAGAGAGCGACGTGGATGTCGCCGGTATTGTCGCCGGCCAGGATGGAGGTGCACAGTCCATGGGACGGGAGCTGACGGGAGTCTTTATTATATACACAAGATCGATCGAGGCTAATAATAAGTCCAGCTAATTAAGACCCGCATGCTAATCCTGATGTCTTGAAAATAGCGAACCTACAACTGTGGGCTTCGTATCCTTTAGGCTACGCCAAATACCTGCTGCTCTGAAGTTGATTATGATGTAGTAGTAGTAGTAGTAGTAGTAGTAGTAGTTGTACAATCGCCTCCTGCTTCTGCAACCCACGCGGTAAAACAACACAAGAAGAGAAGCCCGCCCTTCAAAGCAAAGTAGAACTACGCGAACATGACGCGGGTATCACTTCTCCAGACTGAAGATAAAGGAAACACGTGGGACATAGAGGACGCCTCCCCAAAAGAAAGACAATGGCATGATGAAAGTAGCTGGGAACAAAAGAAGGAAAGAAAGCGAAGTGAAAACATAGTACTGGCTGCAATAAATTATTAAAAAAATTCGACATGAACTCGACACAAAAAGTTCCCGGATAAGATGGTGAAGAAGAACAGAAAGCACACAAGAGGTATCATTCAGCCAGATTCAGAAATATGTAGCAAATAGGTACTTTTCAACCCTATCGCCCGGCACCGACACTCTGCATCTCTATATCCGTTTGAGCGTCGGCGTTTCTGACGCGACGTTTACGTCTCCGTGGATTCAATCGCTGATCTCCTGATTCATAAGGCCGCTTGAATTCCATATATGTGGGTGGACGCGGTCGTATGAAGACAGAAGTCCAGTTCGACAAGACGTTGCCTTGCGTAAAGGGCCGGTGACGGTCGCTTTTGGCGAACTTATGGGAATTGAGGTATTCCCTCGTTGTTTCGCCGCGGCCGGTAAGAAAGAGGTGGTACGACAGGAGAGAAGCGGGGTATAAAACTCCTAGGGCTCCGTATATGACCATCGCCCAGGGAACTCTCCATTTGTCGACAGCATGACTAAAAGAGACGTTTTCACGGGTTCGGTAAGCCAGGACATGCGCAAGGCTGGCGCCGACTAAATAGAATGCGAGGATTGTCACAGAGCCCACAAACGCTAGGAAGTACCGGTAGTTACGCCGGCCCACGCAGTTGTTCAGCCAGACGCAATGGTGGTCAAGGGTCTCAACACAATTATTGCATACACGGCAATGGTAACATCGAGGTGGCCGCCAAATATTGCAGGTTTTGCAGTACTTCACCGGCACGTCCATTGCTGCAACCTCAGAGGTGGCCAACTTGACCATGACCCAGTCGTTTGTCGGTGGACCTGGCGCTAAAGGGTTTTCTGAGAAATCTGGGTCAGGATTCGGATGGAGGTTTCGGGGGTAGATTCCAGGATCGACAACCGAAGCATGGATAAACGACGACATGCATATAAAGAAGAGATATGCGTATATGATGGGAATGGCGGGCGAGACATGGTGCCACAACCAGGGCGCCGAATACCCAAAAAATAAACCGGATGGAAGAACGATGAGTATAGCGGTAGCAATATTGACCGGCTTGTCTCTGGAATTCTGTAGTCGCCCACCTAAGAAGAAAATGGTGTTGCCAACGAAATGTTCATAGTTTTTGCCGAGTTTCCCGTCTGCAGACTCGGGATTCTGTTTCCCTTCAAGGAAACTAGGTGCTGGAGCCGAGTCTGCAGGAGGCAGCTGTTCAGCAGCATCAGTCCGATCCTCACTCTCGCCTTGCAACGAGTAAAACGTAAGAGGCGACCTCTGCGGCGGATCCTGGCCGAGGGTTGTTTTGTAGTCAATTCCCAAATTAATATGGGCCCTGGCTGTTGTGTTTCGTTTTTCATTATCATGGAAGAATCTGATATTCTCTCTCAGGTTCCTTGCAGCAGTCGTATTACCCCTCTGGCTAGGGCTTACCGTGCTCCAGTCTGTCGCGGCAGGATCAGTGAACTCGGTTCCCCGTGACGGAGGAACCTCCGTATCAGCCTGCGGAATGGAGCTCTGAGGGACTGTGCTGTTTGAGGCCAAGCTTCGCCTATTTTGACTTGCGTAGTCGGTCCAGTCCTCACTTCGTGCGGAAGTTTCTGTCGTTGTTGGACGTCCTCCTCGATGCGCCTGCAACCGCTGGGAGCTCATGGGGCGGAAAAAGGCCTGCGCTGTTAATGAGGGAATGTGCATCCGACTTAGTCGACTGTTGGCACTCCCGGGCCTGCTCGTCATCTGGCTAGAAGCCGCAATGGAGTTTCTTGCTGGTAGACCTCGTCTTGACCCAGGAGGCTGTGATCGCGGAGGTTGGGATGAGTATCCAGTTTGCGACTGGGAGTATTCTCCATCGTCGGAAGTTATATCTGTCACTCGAGACGAGATCCCGCTGACGGAAGGAGGCTGAGGAAGACCCAGCGCATGTGGTTGAGTGGCAGGGGTGTTGACCCCGTCGGTGACTTCGGTGTCGTTTTCTGACCTCGACATGATATCTCAGACAATTCTTAGGGTATAGATAGGAGACTGCACGGCGACATAATGGAATTTCTAGAGCGTTGTCGAAAAAGGGAGCGTTCAGGTGCGAATAAGCGTGAAGACAACTGGAGAGAAAGGAGAGGGATCGTCATGCGAAGGAGCGACAAGGTCAAAACAAAGACAGGCTTAGTGGTGGTAATAATAGGAATAAGAATGTCTGAAAAGGAATGAACAAGACGAGGTGGAGGCAAAAGAGAGAGAGAGGGATAAATACAGAAGAATAATAAATAAAAAGGAGACAAGGAGAGACGAGAGACTGGTTTTTGGCCGAGTTCTGGATGGATCGATCACACGGGGGAACCAAGGACGGCCCAACGCGAGGCAAAGCTGCTGACGTTGTTGCAGCTGTAAGATATTGCAAGACGCAATCAAGGACACGAAAGACTGTGAGAAATGACGGGCGCTGGAGAGCCCAGCATGGAGACGAACAGCGCGCTGTCGTGGATGATATCTATAGTACATTGTACCTCCGCCTGGTAACAACTCCCATTCATGACCGTTGATGCCTGATGCTGGTTTCTAGCCTGAGGCCTAAAAGATGACTAAGCGCGGGCCTGGCAGGAATGTCAGGTGACGTGTCGGCAACATCATCGTCCGGCAGCAGGCCAGTCTCTCCCACTTCGCCGCAATTAATCTCGCTCGCTCTGCCCGGTCGTCTGGCACCTTCTCCTCTCCTATCCACCTATCTCACATCCAACAATGTGTTCGATTGCCGCCGTTGCTGCTCGCCGGGCATTTGCTCGCCCTGCTGCTCTTCGCGTTCCTCAGCGCCGATTTCTCGCTACCTCTAAGCTCGAGGAGGGCGGTCTCGATAAGGCTCCTAAGAGGGATCCTGAGCTCTACGTATGGCGTCTAGTGTTTTAATGGATTATACTAGAGTATAATTATCTAATTGCTTTTCTTAGGTCCTCCTCGGTGTCATGTCCGGCGCCTTCCTGCTCGCTGGATGGTAAATATTGTCCCTCCCGAATTGCCGCAAAAATCATTGGTTGGAGTGCGTCGGTCCTGGAGATAATTGCTGATGCGTCAAATTCGTTTTTATTTGAATCTACAGGTATTTCGGCCGCAAGCCCACTTCCGTGACTTCAGAAGAGAGCAACGTTCGCATTGGCGAGAGTGCCATGCCCTGGGAGCGTGAGGATAAGGGTGGAAAGGCCTTCAAGTACCAATATCACCCTCACGGTGACAAGAACCAGCCTCTTAGAGAGGCCCCCAGTGCTCTCAACACCGTCATTGTCCCTAATGTCACTTTGCCAAAGGTAATTTCTTCCCCATTTGTCTCAATTGGACCCCGTCGATCGGCCAATAAAGATGAAGTCATTAACATTGCTCGTTTTCTCCTTGGCAGGATCTCCATGATCGCTTTAACAAGTACGGCAAGGAGGAGTGGGACTTCTGAGCTGTAACTCTAGTCAATGCACGTGCTAGTTACTGTACACTATAACCGCCATGGAAACCAGAATGCTGAAGAGCCGCATATAGTCGTTTTCAATGTTACAAGGGTTTGACCTCGCTATACCTTTACCCGTAGCGGGCTTTGGTAGTAGATTAGGCCCGAGGTAGCTAATGGTGATAAATGAATATATTGCGTACAGGGCGAGTTATTCGGAAATAGACGGAAGCATCAACCCTCAGAAAGTCATTTTGACAACATTGATTAGTAGTGTATCGTACTCTGAAACAGGAGGCGAGAGGAATCAATGTCAACTAGCAATCCTGTATTATTTGAAGCTTTGGTTACCTCATTTTCCTTTTCTTGGTTACAGCACTGCTTATTGTACGCAATGTATCCCAAGAGCAGGTCTTACCCTGCGTATCTATTGCCCAATATTCCAAGGCGTTAATCTTCCTTCTCTAACCATGACGGTGCGACCTTCCCGTCGACCACATCCACCTCGTGTCCATTCTCCAGACGAGTTCGTCTCTCATACCGAGTTTCAAAGGAGACTTTGCCTTCCTTCTGCAGCGCAGCGACAAGGCTTTCGTCCAGGATGTTGCCGTCTTGATCACGGTACTCGACTCGCGCTTTGCTCCCACGAAGTCGCCGCTCGGCTTCTGGAGTAACCTTGGCCTGCTCCTCATTCTGGAGGACTTTCTGGTCTTGCTGCTGCATTACTGGAGGTTTGGGGGGTGCCACTGATGGTGCAGTTGGGACAACAGGAGCCGATTGTAGAATTTGCGTCATATATTGATTCAGCTGATTTGCACTGCGTCAGCTGGAGTGACTTGACAATGCCTGCTTAGAATCCGCGGCGAGGAGGCTTCCATTCTGGAACACTTACGTCAGTATAGAATGTGTTGCAATCAAAATCCCACGTAGGGAAAAGTTTGACACTCTTGCAGGCATCCTGCGTCCAGGGGTTACCGTAGACAAGGGGGGAGTACAGCGTGAAACAGAAAATGCCGGCGGCAAGGAACGCCGCGGCCAGCAATTTGCCTATTATTGGTTTGGAACTTAATCGTAAACTCCCAATTCTGTTTGCTAGGAAATCAAATTCCTGGCAAAGGGCGATCAGAGCGAAATATAGCGCTGGAAAATAGTGATGGAGGAAGAGTTGTCGGGCCATGAGGTAAAATGGGAAATAGTGGAAGGCCCACCCAAGGACACTGGTGCCAACTTCGTAGTCAAATCGCTTGAAATTGATATTATGGTAGTCACCACAGCTCCTCTGCCACCGAAGAATGGCAACGCCTTTGAACAGGACGTAAATGGCAATGGCTGCCGTTGAAAACCACCAGATAAGTGGATTTCCCAAGAGATAGATTTGACGGTGATCTCTGCCCCAGAAATTGATGCCGCGACGTAGAGTCGGCCACGACGGTGGACGAGAGTCCCAGTTATGAGACTCTACCAAACCAGCGTTGACAGTCCACATAACTTTTTGGAGTTCCCAGAACTTACCCAAGAACCCGGGATTCTTGTAGTTCACCTTTTCAGCATCTTCAGGAAGCGTCGGGTGGTTATTTGATTCAATATACCAAACACTATTTGGCAGGGTACCTCCTCTCGCGCAAGTGACTTCTTGCTGACCCCAACCCCAATCAGGGAGCTTAACCGGATGGGAAAATAAGGCACAGCCACTCATAACATGAATAAGCCTGAATTTTGTTTCAATAGTCCGTACTCTCTTCTTGGCTTCTTCATTGTCAGACATGGATTTGACAATCTCGATTCGGAAAAGGTCGTTTGCATCGCCAGGGAAACCTTCGAATCCATAAGCCGAAACTTCATTTTGCCAGTCGGCTTCGGTTACAGGGGGCCGGTGGTCATGAGAATGTACTCTTCTGTGCGTCAGCTTATGGTAGAGCCTTATCACAGCGCCATCTTCAACAAATGAGGCCGTGATGTTGTCCCAAGCATACGGTCCCTCAACTTCGCCATAGGGCCCAAGGGGCTGGGTCTGATTCTCGACAATGAACTCATTGTTCTCATCCTTATGAGGGTAAAGCGTAATCTGCTGCTGATTGCTTCCAGTGGGATACATATGGGGATGGGAATGCAGGTAACCACCTTGAGTATTAAAATGGCGGAGGCTGATACGAGAACCAAAAGCGACGTCAGCTGGAACATCCTGCATGGCTTTGGAGTTCAATGTTGCTTGAAACTGAGATGACATGAAACCGTCGCCATCCCCGGGATTTACCAAGCACTGAAAGTGGATTGCAAACATCGCGCAGTAAAAACCGATCGGAATAATAATGAGGCAAAAGGCACGGGCGAAGAAGTGTTTGAACCATATACGCTAGAGTACTAGTCAGCATCTGCCGGATAGATATCAAAGGCGAAGGGAAGATACGGACAGGTGTCACGGTGATATTATCGCCAAGCAACACCCAGAGCTGAAGGATTGTGAGAGAGCCGACCCAGGCAGTTGTGAAAAGCCCAACCCATTTAACGCTGAGGGTGGCGCCTAGACTAAGGCCGGTCATGACCAGCCAAAACCACCATAATCCACTGAAAGCGGCCGATGGTCCCAGCTCTTGTTGGTTTGTAAAAGATGTGAATGACAGCGTCGTTAATGCGGTAAAGAATACCAAAGGCGAGTCGAGGAGTATTAGACGAGACTGCGTGACCAGACCGTTTTCTTGGGATTGTCAGTATACTTGCGCCTGCTTCTTTCCCCCCATTCTGAAGTGTGGGAGCATACCAAAAGTTACTAGCCCAGCACCCAAAATTGCAGTTATGGTCCGGCACCCCGTCGACTTCAGAATAAGAAACATCAAGGGAACTGTGAGTACACCCAGAACAGCGGGAAGCATGCGCATCGCAACGTACGGTACGCCTGGCTCCAAATAGTCCGCGCCAATGTCCTTGAAATCGAAATTCCCGTCAAATCCAGCGAGCCAGCCTGCAAGCGTAATGAGGAGCTTCGCAAGAGGAGGATGGACATCCATGAAGAATCGGCCTTTGATGTACTTGGATGCAAAACCGCCAAAGCTGTTGATACGGTAATTAGTGGGAATATCACCAAAGAATACCGGAGACAAAATCTATACGCACTGTACTTCATCGAAAACAACACTCGAAGGCTGGTAGATTCTGAATAGGCGGACAATTGCTGCGACAATCGTCATGAATGCGAGGGCCTTGTAGTCGGAGGTGGGGAGGCAGAAGATGTCATTATTCACGACACCTTCTGATCCATAATTTGAAGCTCTGGCTGTTGCCTTTTTGCGATCTTTTGGTCTTGGAGAGCGACTGGGAGAACGCCTGGTCTTCAGGAGAGGTTTAACCTCCAGAAGTTCTTTGGATTTCTGGGGCATTTTGACCCCGCTAAGTGTGAAAGAAAATCAGGCAACAGAGATGGTATCTGTGGCGATCCAGCAAGAGGGTAGAGAACTGTACAAAAGAAAACAACTTCAGAAGTCGTCTGTGAAGATATGAAGGACGTCTGTTTCACGGCAGAAGCAGATGAAAGTGAGTTCGGATACAGCTTTATAGCTGAATATATTAACAAATCTGAAGGGAGATAAAGGATTAACGAGAGTAAAGAAGGAAGAAAATAGCCCCATAATAGAGTGCAAATAGGTTAGAAAACGGTCAAGAGGATCCGGACCAGAAGCATGTGCGGAGTAAGATGTTTAGACTCGGGAGAAGTTAAGGACAGATCGCGGCTGCGGAGGAACTTCGACGTCAGCTCTATGACAGGGAAGGATAGAAAGAATATGACAAATTCTTTAAAAAATCTAATTTGAAATGGATTATTATTGCCGCCTCTTTTATTTTCCTTTATATTATTTAATTTAAATTAAATATATATTTTTTTGCTCCGTAACGATTGCTGCTCGTCGCGGCTATCAATCGCCATTTAGGCGCTTGTTAACGCGCGGCTAGTGATAACTGGCGCTAACCTTATTTGGCACCGTAGAAGAACGGGGATGGAGGCAATGAAATAGAAAAGCTTACCATAACTCTGAAAGAGTGAAGAGTGACACTCATCAACATGGCAACCCCCGTGGCAAATGGAGACACTGCTAGTCGGCCAGACGAAGTGAATAATAAACCGCCTGAAGGCGTGGTCCTACCACCGAAGGATATTCGAGGTCAGTCCAGCTGCAAACTTCGCTAGATTGTGAACGCGCTAACTTTCTCCGATAGCTATCGTCGAGAAAACCGCTGGGTATGTGGCTCGAAATGGGCCTGTATTTGAAGGTATGTGGAATCAAGTATTTTCAAGTTCAGATTTCGTGGTCCCAGAGCTAAGCGCTGTGTTTTGGTTATTAGAACGTGTCCGCGACAAGGAACGAAACAACCCCAAATTCTCCTTCCTAAATCCAAGTGACCCCTATTCCGCATTCTACGTATGGCGACTTAACCAGATTAAAGAGGGCAAGGGTACTGGCGCGCCTGTGGGCCCTTCAGACCAGGCTGCACCGGCTGCTGAGCCAGAGAAGCCCAAAGGCCCTCCAGCACCGGCGGAGTTCCATTTCTCTGCTCGAATGCCCATAATAAACGCGCAGGATTTGGAGATCGTCAAAATGACGGCACTGTTTGTCGCCAAAAGGGGAAAGTCTTTTATGACGGCCTTGTCTCAAAGGGAGGCTCGGAACTTTCAATTCGACTTCTTGCGTCCGCAGCATAGTCTCTACCAGTTTTTCACCAGACTAGTAGACCAATACACGATACTATTGCGACCAGAAGGGGTAGATGATACTACCTCAGAGCAGAAAAGACTGGCGGAGCTAGAAGCCAATGTCAGAAACAAGTACCATGTTTTGGAAAGAGCCAAGCAGCGCGCAGAGTGGGTGAAATATCAGGAACAACAGAAACAGAAGAAAGAGGAAGAGGAGGAAAAGGAGCGCATAGCCTACGCACAGATCGATTGGCATGACTTCGTTGTGGTTGAAACGGTTCTTTTCACTGAGGCAGACGACCAGGCAGAATTACCGCCACCGGCATCTCTCACAGATCTCCAGTCAGCGTCCTTGGAACAAAAGGCCATGCTGTCTCTTAATCCTCTGCGCATTGAAGAGGCCATGCCGACGGACCAAGACACTCCTGTATACTATAATGCCTATCCTACGCAGCCTCAACCAACTCCAACACAACCAGTCATTCCCACCCCCCAGGCCGAACCTCCCAGCTATGTCATGCCCCAACCTCCTCCCACTGTTCCCCCAGTTCCAGCAGCAACAGACGATGAAGAGCAGCGCATTCGTGAGCGCATGGAAGCACGCGATCAAGCTGCTGTAGCGCAAGCCGCCGCCAAAGCACCTCCAGGACAACAACAGCCCATGCGTATCCGCTCGGATTACGTCCCGCGCGCTCAAGCTCGCCGCCTCCAAACCTCCACTGCAACTGCGCTCTGCCCGAACTGCCGCCAGCAAATCCCCATCACGGAGCTGGAGCAACACATGCGCATTGAGCTCCTCGATCCCCGGTGGAAGGAGCAGCGGGCCAAGGCGGAATCCAGAAGCGCGACGACCAACCTCTCCACCGCCGATGTCGTCAATAACCTCAAACGTCTCGCAAGCCAGCGAAGCGATGTCTTCGATTCTACAGCTGTCCCTATGTCTGGCGAATCAGAGGAGGAAGCACGGAGAAAGAGACAGGCTACTGCCGGCCCGCATGGTTACGACGGTGCTGGCCCCCCTGGGACCATACCTCCCGGTGCTGTGCCTCCTGGTAGCGCTCCACCGGGTCATTGGGCGCCCGGCGCTGTTCCTCCGGGTTATATGCCTCCTGGAGTCGCCGCTCCTGGCATCGCGCACCCAATGCCAACAGTTGGTCCCGCTGGAGGACCGCCGCCTAACCCTCCTACTTTGAATATCGAAGAACAGCTTCGACGGCTTCATGAAAAGTACAGGCAATAAGTAGTAAGTGCTCTATGATTTTTTTTTTTTTTTTTTTTGTTCTCTCCAGTTTTATCCGGAGTTTGATCGTTGTGGGTGTTGGTCTCGTTCGTTGGTAACTAGTACAGTATGGTCTCATATATTATCTTTCTTCAATGGAACTTTATTGTTTTAGAAGACAGTATGAGTGGATATATTCTGAACCTGGCCTCTCATCCATGCAGGAGCTCTATAGTAGACAGTGCATAGTCAACTGAAACCATTAACACCATCTATGAAACACAAACAACATGGCCTCCAAGCATCATTTTCACATTGATCAGCTCTCAAAACTGGTATGTACTAGTAGTACCATGCATTATTAGAAATCCAAACTTGCCGCCTCTACCAGACCCCAGAACTGAAGCACAAACGAAAGCGCAACAAAAAGCATAACAAACACATGAGGTGACATTAAACCATTCACAATAACTATTGGGCTGGTCAGTTCACATTGCCTGTGACATGGAGATCCTCATACCCAAAGGATTTTTTTCATAAAACTCAAACATCTTTGCAAAGTTGAGTGTCACATGGAAGAGGACAATATGTATAGAAGAATGGGAATATAACCAAAGGTGTAATAATACATTAAGAATAGAAAAAAGATCGCCAAGACGACGCATTAAAATGAATAAGTAACCGTGTGGCAATGCAGGCATGAAATCAAAGCCGCATAGACAAGTCGTATAGTAAATCAGGAAGAAAAAAGAGAGAAAACCTGCCGGTCATTATTATAATTAAAAAGTATCGCAGGCGTTTTCTGAAATATCAATTGACCGTTGATAGGATAGACCAGAAGCTCGTGGTCTCAACTTCGGTGGAACGTTCTTAGTTAAGATGACGGTCTGCAGATTGGCTGAACCGAGAACCGCATTGTATGAAGTTGCGTTGGTGTTCATTGCAACAGTCCCACCGACTTCAAAGTCGCCAGAGCCACCAGAGCAATCATCAGGGATGTTGTTATTTGCCAGGCGGGGATCTTAGGGCGATGCGGTCTCAAACGGGGCAGAGAAATTGATGCTAGCAGACTTGCTACAATCAACCAATGTGGGGGACTTCCCTGTCTGAAGCATGCTGCTTTCATGCTAATTGCTACTGGTCATCATTCTCGCAATTATTCTCGGGGGGATATGTGTTCTGAGACGCACTGTCCGAGGGTGGCAAGCTCCTTTCCGAGGTATTCGTTAAGGCGAAGATGGGAACGACACCTGCACCGACCCTGGACCAAAATATCCTTTCTCTCAAGCGAACTGTTTCTTCCCAGGCATCCTTCTCGTCTTCGACATCACCGATACGGACATGGCCGTCGAGGATAAGACGGAGATAGCCAGCAAATTCACAGCATGACCGCAGTTTCTCTAGGCAAAGACCGCACAAAGGATATCGCTGGGCCGTCTCATTATCCGAAGTTCGGAAGCGATGAGTCCTCTCGTGATCAATATCATCTCTGCGCTCGCCACAAAGTGAGCAAGGGAAAGCCCATTTCTTCGAGGCAGACGGCATTGGTTCAACCACCAGACTGCCATCACAGATAGCGCTCATAATAGTGCGACGAGCGAGCCATGAGATGCCAGGGGAAGCGTCTAGTCGCAAAGTGGGCTCTATATCTTCCATGAGAACACGCTTGTAGAAACGTGTCTCCTTCAGAGGAATATGCAAGCCACTATGTGACGGTGAAGACGGATTACTGGCCGCAGACGTCTGCTGAGACTTCACAGGTGACGGAGACACCGATCCAGACCCACCATTACTGTTGCCAGCCAAACTGGCAAGACCACCTATCACGTTGAGACCAGAATATGACCCACTAGTAGAGCGACTAGGGGGTTTCGAACTCTTCGACTGGGTCAGCATATCCCGAAATTCGCTGTACGCTTGCAGGTCTGTTCGACAGACCGTCTTGATTAAGTTCGAAAAGCTTGTTGAGGGTCCTGAGCTGAGTTCCTCAATGTCTGAAGCCACATCCTGGGTATTTAGTACTTCAGTCGTGTTTTTAACAATCAGCGGCGGCTGAGGACCAGCTGGAGAAGCTGGGACCGAGAAAACGGTGCGGTTATCAGAGTCGTCCTTGACAGGACTCATGCCCTGCATAACAGTTTTCAACTCTGACAGCTGTTCTTGATGTGACGCGAGTAGCGACTCCGTATCTTTGATCTGTGCCCGGAGTTGTTCATTCTTCTTCTCGACCGCATCACGTTCGATTTTAGCAGCCGCCACCATCTAGACAGGTATTAGATGATGCAAAGTATAAAAATTATAAGCACATGAAATACCTTATTCGCTTCCTCAAAAAGGGCTGCAGTGAGACTCTCAAGCTCTTGTTCGATAGTCTTCTTGCCTTGCTCGACAAGAGCTCGTTGGGCCTTCTCCTGAGCAAGGGCCGCTTTCAATTTCTCTATCTCCTGTACCGCATCGGTCTTCTTGATATAGATTCCATCGTCAATATTCTTTCGGTATTTTATATTTTCCGCTTCAAGGCTTTGGATTCTCTTTTGGGCATTCTCCAATTCTTGCCGGGTCGCAACAAGGGTATCGTCAAGGGTAGTCTGATTATTAATTGCTTGAATGAGTTTTGCACTCAAAGTAGTCACCTCATTGCTTAGGTCTGGATGTTGCGGTGGTGCGGATGTTGTGCGTGTCAAATCCGAGTTGGCATTTCCATTGAGTCTGGGGTCCTTGAGGGTGCTGAAGTCACTCTCAGGAAATGAGGACGGGGAGAAATGTAGAGAGGGACGGTCAGCCGTAGCACCAGAAAGATCGTTGGTGGACTTTGCTTTCGTCACAGTCTTGTCGGGAGAGGCAGATCGACGGCGCACCATGCTGGGTGGCGAGAGGAAGGTGGGATGCGGGTAAGTATGGAAAGCAATTAAGCTACAAAGGGACATCAGGCTCCAGCCTCCCAAAGATCAAACGGCAAAACTCGATAGAGGGAAGTGGAATCGGGTAGTCAGGGTGCATTGATGGACTTACTCGGCCATAATGGAGGAGGCAGTCGTCCCCGGATCTCCGTACTTTGGTTTCATACGCAAAGACAGTGGATATAAAGAGCAAAAGAGTGCAAGTTGGATGTCGGCAAGGTTGAAGAAATAACGGTATGTTCCCAACCACAGTCTGTGGCACGCACACAAGGCCAAGAATGTAACAGAAACAGCAGATAGTGGACGGCACGCTCGACCGTACAGAGCTGGCCCTAATCGAACGGGATAAGGGTCATTGAGCCGGGTAGCCAATGTATTCCGACGGCAAGAAAGGAACGACGGAAATGAGAGATATTGTCGGATAGGGAAAGGAAAATGCGAGAAAGGACAAGGTAGAGAGCGTGAGGGTAGTGGAGAGGATGGATCGAGTGTTCGTCAGAGGCTTGGGAGGTTCGGTTGGGTCGGAGAGGCAATGCGCGCTTAGTCATCCATTTGGCGTGGTGCGTAACTAACTAGTTATCTGCGAAGAATTGCCATTACGCGGTGATCGTGAGTAATTTACGCGGTACGGAGTATTATTATTATTAGATATGATAGATCATATGGATCTCGCGTTAATTAGGCCGCAGCGATGACGATGGCGGTATTTTAATTACTTCATTACAGGAGAATATTGCCTGATTTGCATCTCATCCCGCATTTCGGCCTCAGGCTGCAACGCAGCGGGGCGAGAATCTTCTCCATCGCGATCCAGCAGATCTACTCGGAACTTGGTTCTGCAATTCACTTCTGCTTAAGAGCTTCTATTCCAGCCGTACCAGGCTCACTACTTGGGATTTATACTGCTAGTTCGCTATTTTCTTTTTTTTTCGTTCCGGTAACAAGAAACAAGAAGAACTAGCAACAGCAACACAGGCATCATGGCCGATGCAGAACTTGAAGAGGTTAGTATAATATTCAAGAAGAGGCTGTCCTGCCCTGTCTTACAGAGGGGAGTTACCTCTTTCTAAGACTGTGGCCCCTGCATGTGATATCCATGAAGACTCCTACTTAAACTCCACATAGATCAGACGCGCACGTCTCGCGCAGCTCCAGCAACAGGCCAGTTCGCGAGAAGGGAACGGAGGCAGCTCCAACCAGGAAGAACAGAGAAAGTGAGTTCTGGTGTGATAATTTGAGATATGAAAGCGGGACCACGATAACCATGCTGACTATTCATGTCTTGCTAGGCAACTCCAAGGTATATCTTATAACCAATCCCTCTCGCAACCTGCAGACCAGTATTGTGATCTCCAGACTTACCATACATGTGTACCCGACAGAGCGCCGCATTGCTATTCTAAACCAGATCCTTGAACCAGCAGCTGCCGACCGTTTAGGCCGTATTCGTCTCGTTAATGAGTCACGAGCAGCAGATATCGAGAACAGGCTCATCATGCTAGCCCAAACGGGTCAACTACGACAGAAGGTCACAGAGGAACAGCTCAAGGAATTACTGAACGCTGTCGCAGAGAACAATCGGAAAGAGGAAGAGTCGCATAAAATTGTGATTAATCGCCGCAAAGGCGGATGGGATGATGACGATGATGACTTACTGAATCTGTGATGGTCCCTGATCGAATGCATAATAACGGCTTCGCAACTTTCACATAAGGGTTAATATCTGTTTTATTCCTTTTTGTTTTCTTGTCTTGTCTTTTCTTATTTCTTTTCAAACTCCCGAACTGAACCGTTCAGGTTCTGACCAGCTACTGCTAATTAACTGGAAGATTATCTGGAGCGCAGTGCCGGGTCCCAAGCTGCCATTCCAGTATAAAAGTGGAGTATCTTTTTCGACTTCTCGAATGCGGTCCTCGCCATCCCAACAACGCATGCTTCTCAGATTATGGACTGCCGAGGCTGTACTTTTCTATTCTGCACTTTGCGCCACCTCCTTTTCTCTTCTCTTCTGTTCCCTAATCATTCTCCGAATAATTCTCATGTCCGGTGGCGTCTGAATGCCCATCTCCTGTCGTAATTCATTGACATCCTTTTCAAACAGTTCTTCCCAATAAACGTTGATCAGTTCTTTGCTGGCAAGTCCGCTTTGTATAGCCCAGGGAAGATACAAAGCAAAGAACCTTTCTCGCTCAGCGGGCTTTAGCCGTACTGCAGCAAGAACGCTCAACCCTGTCATGGGAATGAGTGTGTTGAGAAACTCAAATGTCTTAAGTGCAACCTCCCCTTCAAAAAAAGTTGGCAAGCCTGTCAGCGCATGATAGAAGTCATGGCACTCGCGGTACCGCTGCATGACGTACGCGCATTCCTCGTCGTCGATGTACTGGACGCTCTTTCGGGTGTCTGGGGAGACATGCTCACGATCGAGCCAGGTCACATAGGTGCGACCAAGGGTATTCTGGGGAAGAGAGCGGAGATAGGGCAGGTCAAGAGAGTCAGAGGTCATGCGGGGGCGGTCACGGAGGATGCGGCGGCCTGTCGGGTCTGAGAGCATGGCATTACGAAGCCGGTAGATGAAATAGGGTGTTGCAGTAGTTTCACCCACAGTTGCAATCAGATCTACAAGGTTTCCATGGATGTCAGCTCAATTGGCATATTGAAAGAGGTGCTGCAAGTATCAGGAACAGGAAGCTATAACGCAAGAACGTTTTGACAATGCTCACCGGCTCTTCTTGGGTTCAGAAGAGCTCCCAAGGCAGAACCCGCTGCGAGCACACCACGCTCGACGAACGTCAGCGGAACATGGCCGGGGTAGTTTGAGGACGGACGGTTGAGAACGGAGAAGGCCCGCGCGGAAGACGTAAACAAAGACGTGGGTGTTGAAAAAGTCAATGCTCGCACACAAGGTACTCCATGTCTCCCTAGGACTGACATTTTGTGCCCGAAGGGTTCAAGGTCACAGTGAACATGACTCTCAAGAAGACATCTGGAGGTAAGTCGGCGTGCGGACGGCTCTGGACGACGAGGCACGCCATTCGGTAATATTTCCGCTGCAGCGATCTGAGATTAGTCAGCAGATAAGCGGCGCTTGTCGCTTATCGGAGAGCGACCACGGGAATTTCTCTTCCAGTTCTCCAGCACGTCTCATCAGCCAGATTTTATAATGCAAGCTCACTCAAGATTCAACATGCAGGATCTAACTGGAATATCGTTCATCGTCTGTGCTAATACTCACTGATACCGCATCTACAGTCAGTATTTATTGCAGCCTTCAGATGGCCCCTATTAGCGGCCCGCTATAGTTCTCAATTCATCCTGTCTCAGTGTCCACATTTGCAGGCTATTTGGAATGGAGCCATCATGGAGTCCGGGAGAAAAGCACAAGCGGTTTGCGCAATGGGCTTTATCGCAAGGTATTCAAGTAAATGGCGTCTTCCCTGCACGATTTTCAGGTCGTGGGTTGGGAATGATAGCAACCCGCGATATTGAAGTACGAAGACATGTTTCTTTAAATCCATGGGATTGACCTATATGCTGATCCCATTTCTTTTTCTTCTTGATAAAGAAAAACGAGACTATGGTGACCGTTCCCTTTCAAGCAATGCTTACCGTTGACACCATCCCCGAATCCTTTATCCGCAAGTTTGGATCTCCTCCAAACATCTCGGTTCATGGACTCCTCGCTGCCTTTTTGACCCACGGAGACCCCGAGGACCTCGTGAAATATGACCTGTGGAAAAGTGTCTGGCCCACCAGGAAAGACTTCGAGGACAGTATGCCTTGCCTCTGGCCGCGGGATTTGCGTATTTCGAACTCTGAGTACGACGGCGCTGACATTTCCCATCCATCCCGGGCTATTTTCCTGTCTCCTTCTATATCTGGTCGTTGGAATACTTTGCGTAATAGAAAAATTCAGCAAAAAGAATGTGAATATGAGTCGCATCATCAGAACCTCCTCGCGCAGCAGGAAAAGAGGTTACGGACTGCTTGGGACAGCGCCCTGGCTGTTTTCCCGGACACAGACTGGGAAACTTTTTCGTATTACTGGTTTATTGTCAATACAAGGAGCTTCTATTATGTGATGCCTGGGAATGATCCCCCGGAGGACCGAAATGATGCTCTTGCTCTAGTGCCTTTTGCTGACTATTTCAACCACTCCGACATAGCAGTAAGTGCAAATGTTATTAAAACATAATTAGTAATATGAATTTTCTTTTCACTGACGCTTCTCTTCATCAAATAGTGCGATGCGGACTTCAATGGCAAGGAGTATACTTTCCGAGCTGCAAAAAGCTACGGTATGCCTCTTCGCGCTGCTTTTTCTTATTGTCTACAATTCCTTCCCTCTTCCCTAATTTAATGCATGGTCACACACAGAAAGAGGTGAAGAAATCTTCATGTGCTATGGAGCTCATCCTAACGACTTTCTTTTCGCGGAATGTAAGAAGTCAAGCGCCTGGACAAATCCCTCCCTACATACATATCTTTCCAAAGCTTACCTAGACGACTAGATGGATTCTTCCTCGAGGAGAATGAATGGGAAGTACTATACCTGGATGACATCGTGTTTCGCATTCTCAGTCCGTCTGATCGAGACGAATTGAGACTACAACAGTATTACGGGTACGACATCTTTTTAATATCTATTCACTTTTTCGTTCTCTCTTTCTCATGTACAGGGAATATCGCAGAAATTATCAAATGACCTCCGCGGGTGTTTGCTACCGAACGGAAATCGTTGCGTGCATGAAATATATGACACGCAAAGACTGGCGGAATTATGTGCTGGGCATCTCGACCAAGGGAGTTAATGCCGCAAAATCGTTGTCCATTATCCAAGGGTGGATACGAGCATATATGAAAGAGGCCGACAAGACGCTAGCAGCACTGAATCTGAAGCAGGAGTCTAGCCAGGGGAGTGATGAGGATCGAGGGAAATTGGAGATGCTTTTGAGGCGCTGGAGACAGATCAGAGTTCTCTGCGACGAAGCGTTCAAAGCAGTGTCTTGCTAGCATCAGAATTTCCGTAGGTTATTGTTTCCAGCATGCTGGCCACATATTCTATGATCGAAGGGCGGCGTTTTTATTGTGAGCTTTGACTGCAAAGAGGACCGGTGCGTATGTGAGTAACCAACGTTGTAAAACAAAATGAAAAGCAACTTGACCCTTATTAGGATTCTCCAAATTCAATGGCGGGATGCTTGATAGGGATTGCCTCCGCCTCTCTCTGCATGAGTATTCCCCGTCTAGCAGCGAGCAGGTGCATAATCATATAGTTCAGCGTGCATTTAATCCCAAGTTCTTCGCCCCTACGCACAATGTAGCCGTTCAAATAGTTGACCTCAACATTTCTTCTGGCCCGGACATCTTGCAGCATGGAACTGCTGTTTTTTGCGGTCTTATTCATCAGTTTCACAGTGATGTGGCGCAGACGCTCCACGGAGAAACGATGCTCGATTCCAGGAACACCTTGCAATTCTGGCAGGGCACAAATAACACTCGATATTTCAATAAGTAGCAATCGCATGACACGGGAGAAACTGAAGTGGTAGAGGGGCTCCCCGTTGAGACAATCCAGAATGGCCGTTAGCGGGTTGATAACACAGTTCGTAGCCAATTTTTCGAGCTGATATTGAATAAGATCGGAAGGTGTCACCGCGACGGCAACAAGGGATGGTGCGAGAGTCAAACTGCGAAGCAAGTACTTGGTTGTCGGAGCCCAGTCGACATCGTATCCATGATTCGCTGAAAGGTCGATACCTCCGCGTGGTAAAGGGCTAAGTATCGTGGAACCAATTCCAGTGTGGGCCACATGAAACGGTGCTTTGCGAAACAAGCCATGGCTGATTACACCAGACATGTAGTTTGGGCGGTCCGACTGATTGGGGAAAACCGATGCGTTAACCTCGTCAATTTGTCCCATGCCATTCTGAAGAAAGAGTATGGTCGAATCTCGTGTTAGACGTTCTTTGACACTTAGTAGGGCCCTAACAGTGTCCGTTGCCTTGCAGGTGACAACCAGACACTCTATATGACCATCGTCTCGCTCTGCATGAGCCAATTGCTCCTCAGCCGCTTTCTTTAGAAGCTTCTCACTCAGCTCGTGTTCTCCTCCTCGGTCAACGACCTGCGCCGAGTAAGGCAACGAATACCATGCTTCATTGCTCCGAACATTAACATCAAATTCTGTTTTGATGTCATCTAAGCCATTGGTAAAGAGAGAAATGCGATTCCTCCTTTGCACCAGCAACTGATAGAAGCGGGGGTTATGAAGCATTAAAGTCATAGGCGGCCGAGACGGTCTGGTCGCCAATGAATGTGCAACAAAATTTCCCACATTTCCCAGTCCCAGAATGTGTATCCGTCCCGAAAGTTGGTCCTCACTAGCTTCTTCTCCTAATTTGTCCGTATTCTGCATCCACGACTGGCGACGTAGCCCGCTTGACAGGTAACGACGGGTGGCTCGACAGCCGAAGCCCATGCGTGCCACGGAACATGATTCAAAAAGCCCAGTCCGCAATAGCGGATGGCTACCTAGTGTATACAACACTTTGAAAATGTAGTGGTGAATATGTTGAAGAAGTTAACGTCGAGAAGCGAATTTCCGGACAGCCGACTGGATTCGGCCGAGTTCCATATGCGAGCTCAGGAATAAAAGTTTAGCCAGGTCTCAGTGTGTCGAAGAAATATTTAAGAGCCTAACAGAACATGAATAGTCGTCAATGGGACAAGATATCTCAATGAGATGAGGTTCGTGAAGTAACGAAGTTCATGAAGAGGTTAATCGAGAACGGTAAAAATAATGCCCGAAATCCCCCACCGTCAACCTCACCGCCCAAATAGGAAAGTGGTTTCCTCAATTCTCTCTTCAATATTTCTTCAGCAATCTGCACAGCCCAGCATGGACGCAGAAGATCTATTTCCGCTAATTGAGCGGCTGGATGACAATGTCGATGATCTTGAAGAGATTTTCAAACCTTTCTTGGATCTTCCGCTCACTGCTACAGCCAGCAAATTACCTGTATTAGACAAAGCCAAACTTCATGTCTTAACAACATACGCCCTGGAATCACTTATTTTTTGTAAGCGCATTTTTTACGGTACCCTATATCTAACTACATTTTCTTGCTAATGTTTAGCCAGCTTACCTACGTCTCCAAGGCGTAAATGCGAAGGAGCATCCGGTTTTCAGGGAACTGACTAGAGTAAGGCAGTACTTTGAGAAGATCAAGGCTCTGGAAACAGAACCAGAAAAGCGGTCATTGATGCTCGACAAAGCGGCAGCTGGCCGTTTCATCAAGCATGGTCTTGTAAGTTTTCAGTCGCCGATGAATGGGCTTATTGGCGCTGTCAATTGACTCTTTTTCTATTTTAAATAGGCAGGAAATGATAAAATCGATTTAGAGCGCGCGGAACAAGAAGCAAAAGAGAAGGCCGTTGCGCAACTTAGAGCGGCAATGTTGGCTAAGAGAGGCGCAGGATCCGAAACCCAATCTACTGGACCGGAAGACCATGACCGCGGGTCAAGTTCTGATGCAAAGTCAGGTGCCAGTTCAGACAATGATAATGTCTCCAGCGATGGCAGGAATATCTCTACTGGGTTACAAAAGGATATGCAGATGCAAAAACCAACAAAGACAAAATCCGAGAAACAGGGTGAAGACCCAAAGATTTCCCGACGAGAGATAATATATGGCAAGCAACGACGGAAAGAAGTAAGGAAAGAGAGACGAGAGAGGAAAAAGGAAACGCGGAAAGCAAGAAAGGGAAACGAGCGAAGCCATGGAGAGTCGTGAGCTATGAACACAATCACCACATGGAGAGCAGATCCTTGTGTATAGTCGGGCTGGCCCGATCTCACGCTACGCTGTACAGAGGCCTGCGAAGTTTGCTTTAGATCTACGATATTCATGGCCAAAGGCAGCTGCAGCTGTACGGATATCTCCAGCAATTGAGAACCCCATAGGAATAGAACTTGTACTCTGGAGTCTGCATAACTAACTAACGTAATCCACAAGCGAGTGACGCAGCTCTGTATTGCATAAATATAAAAGGGCACTTTTTTAAGACCTTAAATATCTCAGCAACAACACATCTAGCAGGCAAAATATTTCATATCTAGCATGATTTAGTACTACATTGATGTATACTCGGCAGAGAGATTTCTATGATATATATTTCTCTGGGTAAGATAAATTACAATTGTATTTTTTGTATTTTTAAATGTTTTGCTATTTGAAGCCGAGAAAATCATGAAAAAAATTTTTTTTAAAAGCATGCTTCTAGAGTATCTTCCTTTCTTCTATCATTCTACATCTATTGGTGGTCAAGATATCAAGGTCTTAAAAAGTGCCCTTTTATATGCAATACAGAGCTGCGTCACTCGCTTGTAGATTACGTTAGTTAGTAGTGTATTATTACTCAGCACAATATCTCATTGCACGTGATTATAATGAGGCCAGATTATTGGTCAATATGATTGTCCAATCGGAGTGCGGTCGGCATTTCGGAGGTTGCTTTTCTACTTCCCGTTCCCTCTGGACGTTTCTAATCTTCTTATATTAAACATCCCAGCTTCACCTGTTGAACATCTCTGCTCCTTTTCTCATCCCTTGATATCCATTTCAGTGTCTTTCAAAAACTATAATTAATATGGCTCGTCAACGCCGCGGTGCTGCCCCCACTCCTGCACGCAGCGCTCCCTCCAGACCTACTGCGGCACCCGCTAGACCGGCTGCTGCTCCCCAAGCTCAACAGCATTCTCAGCCTCACTCTACAGCTGCATATCCTGCTCAGCAACAGCATCATGCCCCCCCTCCTGCGGTCCCGGCCCCGGCCCCAGCTGTTCAGCAGAGCTCCGGACCTGGCCTCTTCGGCCAAATGGCATCGACCGCAGCGTAAGTAAACAGTCACCTTTTCTTCGGCCTCCTTGTTTCCTTGGGATGAGTGCTTAACTCTTATTCTCTATCCAGTGGTGTAGCAGTCGGTTCCTCCATCGGACACGCCATCGGCAGCCTTTTCTCTGGCGGTTCCTCGTCGAGCGCTCCTGCTGAGCCTCAGCAGGCTTCTGCCCCGGCCCAGCCCATGGACAGCAACTTGTGGCAGGGTAGCTCTACTGCAAATTACTCCGCAGAGAACGGTGCTTGCGCGACTGATATCCGCAACTTCCGGAGCTGCATGGATGAGAATAAGGGTGATCTGACTATTTGCGGTTGGTACTTGGACCAGCTGGTACGTGTTTGTTCAAATATATTTCCCCTCTGGGCTTATCCGAGCAAGAGCTGACCGGTATAATTGTGATGGCACAGAAAGCGTGCCAGGCTGCGGCTAGACAGTACTAAACTGCTGGCGAAACTACTTGCCATGTGTTGAGGTATCTCTGGGTGGCGCATAAAGGTTAGGTGCATGGTGATGAGATGATACTGTAAAAAACATGAACAAGTACGGTAAAAAATTGGAAAGATATCCTTGGCCAGTGCCTTCGTTGCATGAATAGTGGAATTCCTTTTTAACTTGCCCAACTAGTCATACTTGTCGAGTCGGCATATATCCATACAAATGTACCGGAATGTGGATTTGTATGCTTGGATCTGACGGTCGACGTTCAGAACTCCAATTGCCTAGTAAGCGAAGACCACGTTCCACATTTCTTGGTTATGCGCTCGCCTTAGTAAAATACTGTTAGAAAGGTTTAACCCAACACTTCCATACAAAAAGAAAATATGCACTGTACGGGTGTACAGTCATCCAAGATTGAGGACCCCTGATCCCCTTAACCGAAGTCACCAGTAAGGACGTATTAAAATACTTGGAAGTAACCCATATCCATAACTAGCCTTTTTAAAGTCTTGTGCAAACTCAAGTTAAAATTCGTTTGTGTCAATCCCTTCGCGGCTCGAAGTTGAGCTACGCATGGCACCAATGTAATCAGCACTGCATGAAATCTCACAATGATGGGTTCTATCCATCTGCATACCTGGTTCCCATTGTAAAATTCATTATCACTCCGTTCATTATCTCGTTGATCCCTTAAGGTTCTGATCCTCGGTCTCTGCGAGGTAGTTGGTTGACCTGCCCTCCGCACCTCATCACCAGACGGAGATTCAGACCCAGTGTTCCGGGAAGATGCGTTTTCGGACGGTACTGACGGCGAGCCATAAAATGATGAGGCGAGATCCATCAAACCGCCCACGGTCGATGATGCGAGACCGTACAAAGTACGCGCTCCTCTAACTGGGAGGCTCAATGCCGAAGGCGCATAGGCATTCGCATAGGATTGGATGGAAATCATGACTAAATTTGCAGTGGGTCCAAGGCTAAGTTCTTGCAATGTTTTTTCCTCATCCATGACCGATAGTGTGTAGTTGGGTAGAGGTGTGAGAATATGTTTCAGGTTATACGGCTGTGTTTTGTCAGGGAGTTGGTCGTCCAGCCAGGGCCGCACATCCCCGCGGATGGTATGAGAGGGAGAAAAACTTGATCGGACGGAGGTTCCATCGAAAAGCCGCACTTGCAGACGATACTTCGAAGGAGGCGCTTGAGGTGCTGGTGTTTGATTTACTTGTTCTTCTGGAGATTCACTGGTACTCTTGCCAACTGGCTTGTCAATGGCAGGACTTGCAGGAGATGTCCTAACCTCCTTTCTGCCCTGGATTACATCAATTTTCTTAAAGCTGCTGGTATTTTGTTTTGGCCTGGTCTTTTTGGGAGTATCTTTCTTTGATTCAAGACTTGGTTTCAATGTGATCGTGCCGTCTTGAGATGCTTGCACATTCTCAGCAGGTTGTGTCTCTGCTTGCATTTGTCCACTGTGCTGTGATTCAGCTGTTTCTGGAATAACATGAGTAATCTGAGTCGCAGGCTGAGGCTGCTGAAGAGGGCTGGAGGTGGCAGGTGCAGGTGTTGGCAGAGCTGCTGATGTTGAAGGGGTCCTATTAGTGTTGCCTGTAACTGAATGTTGCTGCTGTACTTCGGAAACTCTATCCAGTGACCTGTTACCAAGAACAGCTCCTATTCGTCTGCAGAAGTCGTCCTTTGTGATTTCTGGGACAACGTATTCCTGCAACATGCCGTTCCTATGCTATCGTCAGCCACATACCTCCGCGGAGAGCTGGTACATTTGCTACACGTACTTGATAACAACCACAGCAGGAAAGCTTGAAATCGGACAGACAGAAGTCAAAAATTGGGCTTCCCGAGATCCTGCTTCGAGTCGTAAGGTGACTGACCCGGATTGTAGTAATCGCGCAAGCTGGTCGTGTTATATGTACTATTAGTTGGCGGTGACTTCGAAAATGGACACAACGTAGAAAACAACATACTTCGTCATCTGTAAAGAAGTCATTCTCCCATTTCGAGCTTGTTGGGGTATCATCTATTTTCAGCACTTGTGTTAGCTACTACGGTACATGTAGGAAGACCGGAAACGAAAGACGCAAACCTCGAACGAAGCAGACAACTGCCCTTCTCTCATTCAAAGCGAGCGAGATGCCATCTTGCAGGCTTCCTTGGAAGAACATGATTAAAGATGCTCTACTCTGTACGGCGTGAAGATAGGAAGTAGGAGTATGTAGGTACAGTGTAAGTGTACTCCGTCCGGAGTAGTCTTTTATCTCCGCCCGATGTCACGGGCCACTTCTTCCCGGAAGTAAATAATGTGGATGACATTCCCGTTAACCATCTCTCCCATCTTCAAACCTTTTCTCAATTGCCCCCTCCGCTTGACTATGCGGCCAATTCTTTCAGTCCTCTTCCGAACTGCGCCTGCGGCCAGGTTCGCACCGACCCGGACCGTTCGCAATCATCGCATCCCTTGGAGGTTAAACCTCAAGAGCCTCGATTCAACTTGCGCAGGATGTTGCACCCAACAGAGACGAGCATATCAGCAGATGGCTGACGATCCCAGATGGGTTTCCATGGTCGATCAGCCGCCGCAGATTGTTCGTGTTGGTCAAAAACATGGGCCGGGCCTGATTATCCTGGGTATGTCTACAATGGTTACTTGAGTTTTATCTATGGATGTATGCTAAGGATTGGACCTCCGTCGATCACTCTAGCGTTGATCCCCCTAATTTCCTTTGTTCTAGGCACTTGGCAGGTTCAGCGACTCGATTGGAAGACGAAATTAATTGCTAAGTACGAGGATCGTCTCGTCAAGCCTCCTCTCCCACTTCCCCCAAAGGTCGACCCTGAAGCTGTCACTGAATTCGACTACCGTCGTGTTTACGCAACAGGCCATTTCAGACATGACCAGGAGATGCTGATCGGTCCTCGTATGAGGGAGGGCCAAGATGGCTTCCTTGTCGTCACCCCTCTCGAGCGAGACGATGGCCAAAGCACCGTGCTGATAAACAGAGGTTGGATCTCGAAGAAGCTACACGAAAAGAAAGACAGGCCTCTTGGGCTCCCGCAGGGCGAGGTAACCGTTGAGGGCTTGCTACGGGAACCATGGAAAAAGAATATGTTCACCCCAGATAACAAACCAGAAGAAGGGATATTTCATTTTCCAGACGTTAAACAAATGGCCGAATTGACGGGGAGCCAACCCATTTGGATCGAACAGACAATGGGTAAGGCAATCCCTGGTCTTACGGTTGACTTGAATGATACTAAAATCTTTTAGTACCGGACCTGGTGGAGTCCTATGACCGAGAGGCCAAGGGTATACCAATTGGTCGCGCCGCGGAAGTCAACCTCAGAAACAACCATACCCAGTACATCTTCACATGGTAAGAATATTCGAATGTCGAAAGCTTTGTTGCGTTAAAACAGAAAGACGTCGTTATAGCTCCTTGAAGAGTTTCCGCTGAAACTCAGTAGGTACGGTTTATCCCTCGCAACGTCGATCATGTTATGGTCGATCATCCGGAAAAGGCCCAACGAGGCGCTCCGCCGAGTCCGTCAGGGCAGACATTAGCAGTGAAGGTTTTCGCATTATGTCCATTTCATGCATTGATTGGCGGCGTTGAGGCGTTTGGGTTGGTGACGCTGATAGATCCATATTCACGGAGGCATCACCAGCCTCATCTCTTGAAGTAGCTCCTTGGGCAGGTGCCTTTGTGCAAGGGAGAAAATGGTTGTCGAGTTGTTGATGTGACGTTGCCTATTCAATCAGCCTTTTGTACATTTAAGCTCAACATGGAGATACGTATTTACCTTCGCATCAACGTCATGACATCGCTCTCATCGATAGTACTCCTTCCTGCATGCTTGGAATATACCGCCAGGTCCTCACTCATCTGTTCGAAAAACCAGGATGTTGCTTGCTCGATCGCAGCCAAGGTATCCCTGTTAATCTTGGTCTTGGACATAGCTCTAGATCGCGCAAACTGGGTGGCCAGTTTTCGAACTACTCCCGAGGGAATATTTGGAATAGGAATTCCGTGCCTTGAAAGCTTCTTTTGCTTTGGACCTGATTCAGAAATATCTTCGTTTCTCAATCCTCCCCCGATTATCCCCGGGCTTTCGCTGAGGGATGCCTGAGGGGAGAGATTGAGGTCAAGTCCAAAGCCACCTGCTGCATCGTCAGAGGAAGGAAAATCGGTGGCAGCCAAGTCTGGTTGTACGTCCATTGCCGTCAGTTCAAATACTTCGTCGTGCATGGGTACCTCTGCCGGATCCTCAATGGCAGGGGCCGCGGGAGAAGGAAAGTCGAAAGTAAAATTGAAACGTCCAAGATCCTGAGTTTCTCCACTTTGCATTATATTAGCCATGTCACCTTACCAAGAATGAAAAGGAGCTCTTGCACTCACCCCTTGTCAAAGGCGCCTTGGCTGATGGTAGTATCATCCTCCCCTTCGAAAGCGCCTCGTAACCCCGTGTCATCACCACGTTCCGAGCCACTTTCCAGTCCGGTTGTCTCTCCGAAATTCTCACTTAGCCTAACACCAGCGTAACTCATCAAGGATGGTCTCCCCTGGTTACTCTCGTCGCCCGCCTCGCGAGGATACTCGACCGACCTCAGCGTAATCTCCTCTTCATCAATTGCCAACGAGAGTCTAGGGGGCCGCATCTCGATACCCCCATCATTCTCCCCTTCCTCGTCCTCTTCCTCTATCGGTAAAGATAATCTCGGCCGTTCAACCTCGGGCTCCCTATCTAACTCATCAATTTCGTCTTTCACTTCCTCGGAAGGCGGCTTGGATTCAACTGAAGGTGACGAGTGTATCAACTGAGACGTAGGAGCCAATGCTAAATACGAGAATTCCCCATCATGTTAGCCGAAATCGTTAATAATTCTGTTTCTTCGGGACAAGAAAGCATACCTTTTCCCAGAGTCTTCAAAACGTCAAAGGTGGATTCTCTTTGCACCCGCCCGCTTTTCCGTCGATCACGACTAGGCGTGTTGGCTGCGCGTCTCTGCATCGCACGTAGTCCATAAGGCGTTGAAGGCGCAGCAGTGACTCTCCTTCTTGGCGTCCGTCGGCCTGTCCATGGGCTTCCCGGCATGCTGTAGCGGCTAGGGGTGCCAAGATGCCTCGGAAGTCGCTGCAGCTATAATATACATCAGTCGGCATTTATAAATATGGTTACTTGACGATTGTCTTACCCGGGTCAATGTGGTTTCCCCTGGGGTGTTCGCATCTGAGGCTGGAGAGTCTTGCGGTGTCCCCCGGCCATGCGATCTAGGGGTGGCCATTGTGAGTTATACTGCCACTCGCGGATTCAACAGTTCAAGGGAAAAGTATACTATCGCGCTTTATAGCTGTTTAAATAAAGTAAATAGAAGCTGGGCTATCACTGCAGGTAATGAAGAGATAGAAATGCTAAAACAACGCGTGCTCGCCGGAACGCAATGCTTATCGATAGTGAACTAACATCATGTATTTGATGACTAAGCAGAAAAAAGCCAACGCCTTGTTCAATTCTTCTTCTTCTGCAGTTCCTCATTATTATTGTTACCCATAGATATCTGTTTTCGATTGGCCTATACGCTTCCAAAATGCCCGAACAAAAGGGCAGTTCTGCACTCTCCACGAAGATAGACAAGAAACGCAAGAGACACGCCGAAGACTCTTCACACCAAAAGACTACACCCGAGAAGACGCCCAGCAACGGCTATAACAATAATCCCGAGGGGCCGAGCAAGAAGAAGCGGAAGAAGACCAAGAATAAGACCGAGAAGCTTTCGCAAAAGCAGGATGTCGAGGACCTGGAACGCAAAGGGGGAATTGACGAGTCTATCGGGGAGATGGATGGGCGGTTGTTGGCCGATCACTTTGCGCAGAAGGCTAGGAAACTCAACAAGGAGTTGACTGCGGTGGAATTGGAGGATATCTATGTCCAAGGTCAGGAAGCTTTGTCCGTCTTTTATGGGCTGGTGAGTGCTGAAACTAACTGTGTGCCTAGAATCGACATTCCTTGATACAACCTCTTTTACATCGTCGAGGTCTCTGGATAAGTTACCTGATTTTTTAAATACTTTCAAACCTAAAGGGTGCGATTTGTCAAAGTCCGCAGAAGAAAAAGGAAGTCCACACACTCTTGTCATATCTCCTGCCGCGCTTCGAGCTGCGGACATAGTAAGGTGAGCGGGCGTTCATTTGGCGATTTGCTTGCTAGAATACCTTCGGGAGTATGGCTGACCGGTTGGGCTCTTAGAGCACTTCGAAAATTTCAAACGAAAGAATCCATCATTGGGAAGTTATTCGCAAAGCACATCAAGCTAGAAGAAGCCAAACAGTTTCTTCAAAGAGCACGGCACGTATATCCAAACTTCAATTTGAGCTGAACGTTTGATATTCTTCTAACATTCTATATAGGGTTAACATCGGCATCGGCACGCCTTCGAGGATTTCAGACTTGATTACATCCGGTATGTCCTACGTACATCCTTTCTTCTGATTTTGTCTATCCTATCCAAGGCTTTTCGAGATTCACCCAGCACTGACCGCAGCCCAGGGACACTTAAACTAGATGAACTTGAACGCATTGTCATCGATGGATCATATATCGATCAAAAACAACGTGGCATATTCGATATGAAAGAGACGCATTTCCCTCTATTACAGCTGCTTACTCGCCCGGAGCTTCGTGAACGCTACGGGGCCAAGCAGAAGCAAGCACGGATCCTGGTATTTTGATACCACATTTTAATGTGGGGACGCAGTTTCATTTAATTACCATATCGCTATGAATCTCTAAAAGTTGATGTATCCCTAGTAAAACTTGGTAAAAACGTAGCCCTAAATTCCGCCCTTCTCACCGCCAAATACAAAGGGCAGAATCACTAGATCCGAAAAGAAAAAAAAAATAAAAACACCTATAAATTCCTACAGTATCTGAGCATCATCTTCGCTCTTTTACCTTGAAAGGAAGTTCTTTTTCTTCATTTTTCTTAAGCCAATATTAAAAACTTGCGCCAATTAATTCCAATCCCTTAGTGACGCTTGATCGACCGGATCTAGAAAAAAAAAAAAAAAACATACACAATGGGCGACAAAAAGCGCAAGCTCCCCCAAGATCCTCCAGAGGATGGAGTCATTGAGACAGAACCAAAGGGAAAGAAGACGAAGCGAGAGAAGTCGAATACTGAGAGGAAGGACAAGCGTGATAAGATTGAAACAACGGTGACAAACGAGGATGCTGCCACGCAGGTTCAGAGCAAGGGTGAGCTGAATAAGGAAACTAAAGAGCGAAAAAATAAAGATGGGAAGGAGAAAGGGAAGAAGGAGAAGAAGGAGAAGAAGGAGAAGAAGGAGAAGAAGGAGAAGAAGGAGAAGAAGGAGAAGAAGGAGAAGAAGGAGAAGAAGGAGAAGAAGGAGAAGAAGGAGAAGAAGGAGAAGAAGGAGAAGCTTGAGACTGAAGAGCAAAAGGAGGTGAAACTCGGTGACGAGGAGGGACATGCTGGCAAGGAGTTGCAGGACACCTCCAACGCAATGGATATAGATATACAGACGACAAACGAGACAGTGGAGTCCTCCAAGCCATCAGAGAAGAAGGACAAGAAAGAGAAGAAGAAATCAAAAAAGGACAAGAAGGTCAAGGAAGAGAAGACGATAGAAAAGGATAATGAGGGAGAAACGAACACCTACCCGGAGCCCGAGACAAACGGATCAACGATTGATGAAGCTGCATCATATTCGCAGCAACAGCAACCGTGGCCACAAGGGAAACAAGCCAGATTCATTGTATTTGTCGGTATGATTTTAGCCCCATGTTCATATTCTACCTCCTGCAAACCTCTACTGACATATATAATCTCAAGGAAACCTCCCCTACACTGCAACCGTCGAAGATATGAAAAACCACTTCGCCAAGAACCCACCTGCATCAGTCCGACTAGCTACTGAGAAAGCTAACCCGAAGAAATGTCGCGGGTTTGGATTCATCGAATTCGACCACTACGACCGCATGAAGACGTGCTTGAAGCTATATCACCATTCGTCATTCGACGATGGCAAGTCACCCGCGAGGAGGATTAATGTTGAATTAACGTATGTTCCACTTAATCTATTCTCATTGACGGATAGAGTATCCTTATCCCGGAAAATTCGCGGCTAATACAATATCCAGTGCCGGGGGAGGTGGAAAATCGGAGAACCGCAAAGCGAAGATATACACGAAGAACAAGAAGCTCGACGAGGAGCGTAAACGCGCCTTGAAGCAGCAACAAAAGGAGAAGAAGCAAAATAAAACAAGTAGCAATGGTGGTAATAGCTACGGAGAAGAGGCGCAACAACAACAACAACAACAAGACTTGTCCAATGACGATTTTGCTGGTATCCATCCTAGTCGAAGGCAAAGGATGCGTTAAACCAGGCCGGGCTGGTTTGGAAAGCAGGGATGAGTTCCAAAAAAGTGCCATCTACCTTCCTAATACAGATGTATCTTTTGCTTGAAGTTTTTGTTTTGCGTTGCGACGTTTCCACTCACTCTGTTCGATGTCTTTGATTATGGATGGCCGATAGAATTCCCTTCAATTGAATTATTGTCGCTGTACAGACTAGGTAGTCTCTTCTGAGAAGTGTAATCGATGTGGATATGTCTATACGGCCCTGGTTACTCTTTGGAAATTGTGTCCAAGTGAATACAAGCGGCTAGAATACGAAAGAAACAGCTGACATTATGACTACTATGGGGTAGGAAGGTGGTGCCAATATGTTCCAGCCCGGTGACATCTACTGCGAAGGACATGCGATGCTGCATGCTCATACATACTGGATTAGAAGGTAGAGGGAAATACGGGCACCCTGACCCAAGATTCAAAAAGGGCGTCAAAGCTGTAACACCATGTGAAGAACAATATTCCAAAATATCCGAACGCCAACTTAGCCGTTTATAGAAAGGAAAAGGGGTTACAGAATAAGGCATTTCTTGTTCTTGGCCTTCGCAGCCGGTCGGGGGTTGAGAACAGCACTGCAACCAAGAAGAATAAATTAGTGTGAATGAGAGTAGAAAGGAAGAGATATATATAAATAGCCCACATACCGGATCGCCTCATCGAATACGCTCTTCAGATTGCGTTGTGTAAGGGCCGAGCATTCGAGATACTTATGTGCCCTGATCTCCTTCGCGACGGCGAGCGCTTGCTCATAGGAGACAGGTTCCATTCGTCTTGCCCAGAGGGCCTCTAAGGTGGCTCTATCATCCCTCAAGTCAAGCTTAGTGCCAACAAGGATGATAGGGACATTGGGAGCATGATGCTCTATCTCAGGATACCACTGGATGATGGTCAGTCACATCTGACAAGATTCACATTTTCCGTCGAATTCAGGATAGCAATGAGGAAGGAGCAGTACCTTGGCTTTCACGTTGTCAAAAGAGGGAGGGCTGACAATGGAGAAACAAATTAAGAAGACATCCGTTTGGGGATATGACAACGGTCGGAGGCGGTCATAATCTTCCTGTCCAGCAGTATCCCACAGGCCTAAGCTTATGGGTTTACCATCGACCATCACACTGGCCGTGTAGTTGTCAAAACTGAAAGGAGGGTCAACAAACTGTGTCCTCGGGATAGAAGGGCGTAGCAAAACACGAACACAGTAGGTATATATTCCCCGGGGAACGCATTTGTTGTATAGGAGATAAGCAGACACGTCTGTATAACCAGCTGTTAAGCGCTCTGTCCAGACGGGGGATTTCACAGGTATAAGCACCGACCTTTCCAACTGCACCGTCACCAGTCACGACACACTGCGAGCCGACAAGCATTAGCTACATGCTCTCCTTTTCTATGAACCGAGGCGCATGGGAGAGTGGACCTTCAACGACTGAGTCGCAGGACCCGATGCCATCTTCTTGCGAGATTATCAGATCGATAAATGATAGAGGCGATAAATATATCGAAAGGGAGCCCAATCGTGACGATGGATTATTAGATGTATATACGAGGTCGGAGGATCAGAAGGGGATTGTAGTATCCGCTGTTGGCTCAAAACACGCTTAAGGGGTATCTGGGAGAAGGTGAAAACAAGGATCAGTGCCCGTTCAGCCCTATCAGCGAAAAAAAAAAAAACAGTACCTAATATTCCATATGCATAAGTGGAGATAGGAGAGGGGTTCTTTGTTGAAGGGGGAGGGGAAAGGGACTCTCTCTCACCTTCCAAAGTGCTCAAAACACAGGTTGCCCAACGGCTAGGCCAGCTGGACCAATGGCGAAAATTCATGCAAAATTGGAGTGCAAGGAGACGAGAGATGCAGTGTCGACAAGAGGGTAGACGAGCCCCTCCCGAGAAACAGAAGACGGACAGCAGCAAACAGCGTGATTAAAAGTGTAGCACTGCGTCCATTGACAAGAGGTCAGTGCCTGGGGATGTCAGAGAAGCCAATAAGCAGGCCGTTGGCGGCGCTTGGGAAATAGGAGAAACGCACAGACAGGGTCTTCGTGCAGGGCGAGAGAGCTCCTGAAAGCTGAAACGAGCAATTCAATTTGGGAAGGGAAGAGGGTCGGGACTGGAGAGAGTACCGGATAAGCTAATCTCACGCTCATACGTGAGATGATATGGGTCCCGGAGATAAGACGGGGATAGAACAGGGATAAAAAGGGGGAGAAGGGAATGAAGCTCCAAGGATGGGAGAAATGCAAGAGAGAGAGACAGAGATGAAGTTGCAAAGAACAGCCCAAATCACCGCCCCGATCGAGCTGCAGCTGGATGGGAAGCGACGCACCGCATTGATTGGCCATCTACCGACTCTACGAAAGGACACGCTTGAGTGTTTTTAATATCGAGTGTCCAGGATCATATGTTTACGCCGGTTTTATTTTTCTCTGTGGACTTTTCTTACAGGAAACCAAAAGCAGGGAGTGTCAACGAAAAGGGGTATCCCAATACTTAACCGACCAGATACGCCATAGGGTGGATTCGCCCGGCTGCGCTCTATATAACTGGAGGAGCAACCAAGGAATCAGGGATCCCGTCAAATACCCAATTCAGAGAATCGAAGACTTCGGAGAAGCCCGCCTCGCCCATGAATCCTTGCTGAAATTGGGCTGGGAAGACCAGCGTTGGGTCATTCAACGTGTTGCTATCTGGCTGTTGGCCAACAGAACCAGCAGTGTTCACCATGTTCTGGTTGGCTGCCACAGCTACACGCAAGTTAACCTTTCTGCGCATGGGACAACAGTACCTCTGCAAGCGATTATGAAACTTACATTGCACGTCGTCCGTGTTCCGCATCGGCCTGAACCTCTGCCGCCAATGCCATACTGTATCATACACATGGCTCATGCTCATTCGGCATCGGACCTTGAGATGCAAGGCATCCTCGCCGGAATCAACCTCAGAACCATTGGCATTCCACATTTGCGCGAGGATGTCGGCAAGCCGCACCGGTCGATCATGATCCATAACGCTGACCCGCCTGATTGCGGAGATCGCTCCATTGAAGAGCAGTTTCCCATGCTCGAAATCGATATGGCGATTGAACGAACTCTTTAGCATCTTCATAAGAGCAAATGCGGCCGACACGATCATTTGGAGAATATAATTCGTTGCATGACCGAGCAGCTCTCCCGGCGATGTCTCGAGGTCCAGCACTCGTCCAAGAAACGACGTCGTTGCGATGAAGAGCTTCGTCACGTCTTCACTCCGTGCACTGGCTCCCAGAAACACGAAATACCTTAAATGCAATTCCGCAGCGCGGAGATGGATCATATTAACATCTTTGCGAGACGTCAGTATGCTATTCAATATCTCCGAAGGGACGCGTTTTGTGGGTTTCGTACGCGATATCCCGTTGCAAAACTCAACCTCCATCTCCTTAAGCTCACTCTCAAGAAGTTGAACGATTAGCAACTTCTCGGAGCTGAGAAATTCAGCTGCTTCAGGCTTGCTACTATACAGTGCTCTTGTGACCCTGTCACAGAACTTTTCAATGCGCAAGCGAATCCTCAGTTCGTCTGAGGGGTGGTAGTCGGCATCATTCAAAGACGCTGGCTCAAGGGCCCAATCATAGATGGTGCTGGGAGGTTGCCCGTAACCGGTGGCGACACTGTAGAGAATGTTTGTAAATTACTTCGCCTGCTATGTCAGCAGAGGAACTCACGTCTGGGCTACAATGTTGCAGACGACCCAGGTCTGCAACCGATCCTTCAATGCTTCTCCCTTGACTTCCATCCGGAAAGTCGTGAACTCTTCAGCCTGCACCGGGCGATGCAATCCCAGTTGCATGGCAATCTGCATCATCAGTCCACTGAGCATGAATGTAGCGTCAGTCCTCTGACTGGTCGTGGGTAGTGGCCACGTGCAAAGAAGGCAAAGCGCCTTGACAACATGATAATCTTGTGGCACAGCAGTAATTGTGGTCCAAAGGAGTCTGTTGTATGGGCCTGAAAGCGAAATGAGGAGGCCGGGTTCTGATGGAGCACGGCGGCTGGCGACACAGACAATAGTCCATGCTAAAAGAGAGGAACGATTGAGGTACTCCTCCGGGCCTTTTTGGGGATCCAGAAGGGGAAGAAAAGGGTGATAGAACCTGAAATACCTGTCAAGAACTCAGTTTTCATTTCCTTACTTTCTTTCTCTTTCTCTCTTTCGGCTTCTCTCATGGAATCCTGAGGGAAGAGAGGCATCTTACTGTTCAAATAGTCGAGATACTCTCCCTCTCGAGAGAGAAACATCTTCTAATCTCCATGGATTGCCGTCCTGGGAGAGAATCGAACCATGACCCTGGATAGCAGTCAAAGGCGATGTGAGAGACGGCTGTGGTTCTACCGGAACGGACAGCGGCCTCCCTGTGTTGGATGTAGCAGAACCAGGACCGCAAAAGGCATCCTCCGAGGACTGAGATAGTTCGTCACTCGGACGGGCTTCCCCAGACCGGGCATGTTCACCACTAGCTAGACGTCTTCGGAGATCGGCAATCTCCTTTTCCATCTCGGCATTTCGCCTGTCAATCAATCTGTCAGAAAGGATACCACATACTGGAAGCAAGGGAGAGAACCACCTTCGTTTAGAAATCCGTTTGAAAGAAGGTTCAACCTTGCACTCAATCCCCAGTCGCCGGCAGCGCGAACATACTGCAGCTGGAGTTTGAACTATATCACATCGGAGCTGATGGAACGAGACATGCCTTCAGCCCGCAGCCCATTGATCTATACATTGGGGCCTCGACAGGGCTCACCTTCTGCTGTTTACACTCATTGCAGGCCTTCCTGCTCCCACCGCGCCGCTTTCCCGTAGGAATCGGCTGTGTTTTCTCCATTTCAGGACTTGCGATAGAAAGATCCAAGCCCGTGGCGGGCCGATGAATCGTGGGGTCACTCCGAATGCCGCTGGTAGAGCCCGGCGGCGTCAGAAGGCTCCCGCGGGCGCTCAATGCATTTGCCGACATGACATGGCGAAATTGGAGGTCCATAGATAGGATATAAAAGGGTCTACGCCGCGATCAGTCCAGGAACCGCAAGGAGAGACACGCCGATTTCCGGGAGAGTCGCGGTTCTTTTTGCGGATCAGGCGAAACTCGGCTGTTGCTGAGTCAGCGTATCGAGGCAGTCAGGCATCAAGATTGCCCCCATCTCCATCGGGCATAGTGTCCTCTTACCCCGTAGCGTAAGCAATACTCCGGACAGTCAACAGCGTCTCCGTACTCAACTACCTTCTCCACGCTTCTGTGCCCATCCCGTCTGTCCCCATGGCTGACCGTGTCTCTGATCCCCCGTCTTCCCCGGGGGTCTCGAACGGCCCAGTTGCGCCGCATACAACGTCCGTTCCTGCTCCTACTCCTGCTCCTGTTCCCGATGATGTGAAGGCTCGACTGGATAAAGTTATCTACTCCGATGTAAGCAACAATACTGGCCTGTGGAACAGCCTGCTCGTGCCCTGCTGTGAGTTACTAATCTATCTACCGCTCTAGATAGGAATTACCACGCTCCTGGCCAGGCTGAAACAGAGCGTTGCGTCTGCGAAGGTTAGTTCCCCCCTCTCTGCCTCCCCCAACTCTCCCGTCCGACGTCGGATTTAGCATCATTCGGAGTCGCGTGGGCTGATGACACACAAAGGACTTCTCTGCTTTTCTCAAAAAGAGAGCATCAGTGGAAGAGGAACATGCGCAGGGGGTGAAGAAACTGTCTCGTGCAGGCATCGAGATCGCCGCTCGCCCCGAGAATCGTCAAGGCACCTACAGTCAAAGCTACAAGGAGATCAACCGTATATATGAAAGAGCTGCTGAACATGGCCTCCAATTCGCCGTCTCCGTGCAACAGATGGCAGATGACTTGCACGAGCTGGCGACGAATATGGAGCGTAGCCGCAAGCACTGGAAGCAGATCGGCTTGAATGCAGAAAAGAAGGTCGCCGATGCCGAGTCTCTTGCGGAGAAGGCGAAGGCTAAATACGAATCACTGGCCGAGCAGTATGAGAGAGTCAAGACTGGAGACAAGCAAGGCGGGAAATTCGGGTTGAAAGGTCACAAGTCAGCCGCTCAGCTTGAAGAAGAACTGCATCGCAAAGTCCAACAGGCGGATAGCGACTATGCCTCCAAGGTTCAGTCTGCACAGGCAGCACGACAAGAGTTGATCTCAACCCACCGCCCGCAGACCGTGCGCAACCTCCAGCAGCTGATCACCGAGTGCGACTCCGGCCTCACATTGCAAGTGCAGAAATTCGGTGGGTTGCCCTCCCGTGAGGTGTCCTTTACTTTATTTTCCATGCTAACCCTACGAATAGCTACTTTCAATGAGAAATTGCTTGTAGGCCAGGCCCTAAGCATTAGCCCACTGAAGGCAGGTCAGACAGGCGGTCCTAGGACCCTCCAGGATATTGTCCAGCAGATTGATAATCAGAAGGATTTCAACGACTACATCCTAGCCAAGGAAAAGGATCCCGGTGCAGTCTCCAGGCAACAAGTCCAGTATGACCGTCATCCGGTGAGTCTTCTACCACTACCTTTGCGATGGAATCTCTTTCCTGCTGTGCTGATGCACGCAAACAGAGCTTGGCACCCTCACCAGCGCCTGCTCCTCCACCCAGTGCTCAAAATAAACGGCAATCTATATTACAGCCGCTCAAGACCATCTCTCAACAGTCACCACCTCCCTCTCAGGCGTCTTCTGAACCACCACAGCTACCTAGCATTAGTCCAATACAGCCGTCACCAAATACGCCACAAGTCGAGCCATCGTCTCCTAAGCCAAAGCTGCAGATAGTTAACCCTTCCCACCCTGAGGAACCAGGCTACGAACAACCAACCCAGACCCCCGCTCCAATACGAGACCCATCTCCACTCCCACTTCCTCGAAATGGGATCAAGAACGACCTGCCACCAGTGCGACCGGTCTTTGGGGTATCACTAAACGAATTGTATGCCAGGGATGGGACTGCAGTGCCACTGATCGTGTACCAGTGCTTCCAGGCCACGGAGCTCTTCGGCCTCGAGATTGAAGGGATTTACCGGCTTTCTGGTAGCGCTAATCACATCAGCCACATGAAAGCGCTTTTTGATAATGGTGAGTTCTGCATTAAATACTGAAAGTGGTATCGCCACTAACTCAACCTATAGATGCGTCGCAAGTGGATTTTACTAATCCGGAGAACTTTTACCATGACATCAATAGCGTTGCCGGGTTATTAAAACAATTTTTTAGAGAATTGCCCGATCCACTTTTCACATCGGATAGCTATGCGGACTTCATCGACGCAGCTCGTAAGTGTTCAAGCATGTTGCCAGTGAACTGTTCGGGACTGACTCGTAGGACCATAGGCATTGAAGACGATATTCAACGCCGGGATTCGTTACACGCGCTAATTAATAATCTGCCAGATGCCCACTATGCTACGTTAAGGGCCCTGATATTGGTATGCCTGATGTTAGCGTCCACCCTCCTTTGAATATCGGACTGACAGGGAGGTCTAGCATCTAAATAAAGTTCAAGAACATTATTTGCAGAACCGCATGAATGCTGGAAACCTAGCAATTTGCTTTGGGTGAGTCATAGACACAAAAACCATGTCCTCGGCCAAACATAGCTAATGAATCGAACATCCAGGCCTACTCTCATGAGTGCCAACTCTGGCGGCAACATCGCCGACGCCGCTTGGCAAGTTCGAGTCATTGAAACCATCCTTCTCAATACATTCCAAATATTCGACGACGATTAATTATTTCTTTGTAATCATAATTCTCCCCCCCAATGTTGATGTTACTCTGTTTCAGTTCTATGTTCATAAACATCATGTATTCCCTTTCAACTCTATCATGACATCGCAATTATTTTCTGTATTTATCAATTGCTTCCCCAATGATTTCTCTTTTGTGCAAGGGGGTTTTGAATATCCATGATGAGACGGGGTCCACGACATTGATCGAATATTGTTATTTATGCCTCTTTAAGTTCCTTATTTGTCTTTTTCTCTTTTGCATCTTTGCCTGACAGTATGAACATACAAGATTCATCCAAGTTAGTTGAATTGACCCGACTATTTCGTTTGGGTCTTGCTGTCTTCGATCCGGTGCATATACGATGTGATATTTACACCCTACGCGGTTTGCACGCTGCTGGGGTACAATTAATTGTTTTATATGGCTTGTTAGAGATAGATGAGGCATAATCCTTTCATCAGGCGGTCTATTGGAATATATAAACGCTTTTGTTGGCAGTGCAGCTTAACTTCGCAGAGAAAGATAGAATGAATGTACAATAAAAAAAATAAATCGAAAATGCTATGAATACATGAGACATGGCCTCAAAAGGGTAGGTAGATCTTTTCTTCTTCCCAACCCAGAGCTCTCCGCCACCTAACAAGTTTCCTTCCTTTGTACGGTTCCCTTGTGTCTTCGCGAAAACTCCCTTTAAACGCCGCCCGTGAAGAACAGAGGCCTAGTCTTCGACTGGCAAGACAAGGCAAGGCATCTAGAATGCTCTAGGTCCTCTAAACCACCGCAGAGTTGGTTACGCGGGAACATAATCCAGTTGACTACGACAGGTATTCACCTGCGGCCCCCTTCTACCTCGTCTTTTAATGCCATCAGACGCTCGTAGAGGCTAAGCTTTGTGGAGAACATGGGGCTCTCGAGGTCCTCGACAGTAGAGGGAGTGGCATGACCCCAAATGCGCCATTCGCCTTCCTCTCCAGCCCACCGTAACTTCTGGATAACGATATATTCCGTGCAGTCCTTGATCACTGGGGCACTTTTAAGCGTCGGAGTAGAATTCTCTGCTTCGCGTTTGGACGGAACGGTGTACTTGCTGGTAGATTGTCTGCTGGTAATGCGCAATATAACTTGCCGGACACCCGAGTCTTCCAACTCTGGAATCTGTGTTGCGCGATCCGATACGACGCGGATTCCAGTAAAGAAAGTTGCTGGGCCGCGAATGTATTTTTGTAGATCCCAAGTTACTCTCTCATTTCTCGCGCGGCGTTCGATTTGAGAACTGAGACTGTTTGCGAGACCGGTACAACAAATCTTGCGTAAAGAGAAGATATCGCCCCTACATTACGTCAAAGTTGGAATTAGTAAACAGAAGGCATCCAAACAAAGGTAGAGAAGGCTTTTTTTCGAACCTACCTCGCAAAAGCGTTGTACATCCGTTGGTGTAGTTCGCGCCCTATTAATCGCCGCTCCTTCAGGTTGAGTGGAAGGCCCCTCTCTCCCGTTTTGCAATAGTAAATCAGTCTGTAGAGATATTAGCAAACCGGTATTCGCCTATTGTGACCATCCCATCCAGGCCGCTGGCTCTCTTCGCATCTTTTTCATCCACTGATCCTTCTATTCCCGATTATAGTAACAGGGAGCACATACCCCAAAAAATTTTGAAAAGCAACTTTTACCGATAGCCACTCAATTGCCAGTCGTTCCCGTGGCTGTTGGAAAATAGAAGGCATATCCCGCCAGAGCGGCCGAATGAATGTACCCGGCAACAGCCCGAGGTCCTGAGGTAGATCACTTCTCGAGATATCTTTACTTCTTGTCTTCATAGTTGGCTGAGCAGGTTGAGCCACAGACAGCCTTTGCGGAACTCCACGCATCCTGGGCTGGGCTGGCCTCTGCTTGGACGAAGAAAACAGTCGCCGTTGACATGATGCCGTAGTCGATAACGACGAAGCACCCGAATCATATAATCGAGGGATGGCATTGCTGGATCTGGAGACCAGAAGAAGACATGACGGAGGCAGCCGAATCGACGACGCCATGGCTCGCAACAGGATACCGGCCAGAGGAATTGCGGACGAATTGCTGGATGCGAATGCTGAAATCGGAAGACTCGATAATTTGCGGCGGAGCTATCATATCACGTGGCAATGCCCCTTGAGACTTTCATCGCAATAAAAGAATACTTCTAATGATGAACACTACTTCACCGTCGACATTTTACTTTTCACAGCCGACTCCCCCCTCATTCATCAATTGCGCTACTATCGCTAGAAACGTCGTGTTCTCACAGTGGACAGTTCGCTGAGGATATCCCTAGTACGAAGCCAAGAAGTCTTTACAAGAAGAGATTCTCGAACCTCCTTTCGCTATATAGCAACCTTTGATTTCAAAATATATCTTGCGCGGCGGCTGCATATGCCGTGCAATAAGGCTGGCTTCTCATCGTGATGCCTCTTCTACGCCGTCCTCTCTTCAAACTCCGTCCCCCGAGGTGACCATTTCGAGGACGACGAACTCAGACCTGACAACGACCCCTCCGCTCTCTTCTTCTCTCTCCACGGATTCCTTGGAAAAAGAGACCATCTCTTCTTCTTCTGAGGTGTCTACCGTTGTCCCGCCATCTCCGGCGTCGTCCGCCTCCCAGAGTCCCCCTGGCAATGATGGCAGCAGCCATGCTGCCGCTACTACGGCCATGCATCCACGCGTGGCCGTTATCCTGGGCGTTGATCGCAAGTGGTACGTGCCTCTGCTGGTGTGCCGTGCTCTCAGCACCGTGCCCGCCGCTTGGTGGGGGTTGCGCTGCGCGTTTACCTTCCTAGCCGAGCTGCTTCACATTCGACCAGGGATGGGACGGGAAGGCTGGGCCGCGGCCATTATAGGAAGTATTGGAGCAAACTGGGATGTTGAACGGAGATTTCGCGTGACGGAGGTAGCATTGGCTATTGTGTGGGCATGTAGCTCTTCTATCTCTGTCTCGTCCGCATGCATCATGATATACTGACCATATCTGCTGTTGTCCAGTGCTGCGCATCTGCATATCTTTCTTATTTCTTTGCCGACTGTATGATGTCTCGGTGGTTGGTTTCCTTTCCCTTCCTATTATTTTTAACATACTAAATGGTATCTCTCTTACAGGCTTTTAAACTATACCCCTCCAGCAGTTGTCATCCGTCTTCTAACAATAAACGGGTTAATCGCATATCTTACTTCTTGGGTTCTCTATCTCTCCGGTGCGTCTTCGGACCCGCGCCTCCTCCTACCGGCATGGATCTCTATTACAACGGTACGCTAGCACGACTCGGCACCATTATAAATTAAGTCTAGGTAGCTAACCTCCCTTAGACACTCACCTTCTTGTACCACGCCACCCAGAACCGCGCCATGATCAAACGCGAAACAGCAGCCTCCTTGTTAGTCGTCTCTGCCGCCAGCTTCATCAGCATGACTTCGTTACTTCTGCAGCTCCATTTGACTCGGGAAAATGAGCCAGAGATGCCCGCGTTCGTGATGGGAAGGAAGCTGTGGGGGTGGGCTGTTGAAATCTTTTTACAGATGCGCGTTACAGATGACAAAGCTGGGAGTTAACTAGTCTCTTTTCTCTCTGTCTAGTCTTATGTTCATTGAATATCTTGGAGACGGTTCATCGTCTGTACATAGCTGGCCGGCAGTGTTTTAATAATAGATATACCATTTGTTGGTTGTAATACGCCCTACATAGAAGAGTCCACCGAATACAGTACAATGGCAAGAGTATCTCGACCAATTACTTTCAATGGCATTATAAAAGCCACAGAAGAGAAAATTGATTTGACAGTACACGGTGGGAAGAACAGGAAAGAGAAAACGCGTCGAGAAACACATCGTCTCAACCGAATGATCCTAGTTGGCCAAATCAGAGATGTCATAGAAGAATGACAGCCCTTCAAACACGCCATTCCACCAAATAAGCAAAAAAAAAAGAAACAAAGAGGACAAAGTAGAATTGAATCCATCTAATGGGTATCTACCAACGCCTCGTTCCGTCATAGTTCCGTCCTTGATACAATAAAGAGGCTCACAACCCTGGCGAATCAAGTGGTTAATTGGCGACTCGGAGGGAATAAGTAGCGTAACGTGCCATCTCCGCAAGGGCCCAGATCTATACGCCGGGTACAGAGATGCTATCGAAGGCGAAATGGTGTTTGGGAGCTGCAGACGTTAGCAGCGCAAAGCCAGAGATAGCCCCCAGGGGGGCCAAGCATCTCTGTGGGCACCATAGACTGGGAAGGAGGGACCAGAACGAGGCATAGAGATACGTCTAAAAGCCGTGGACCTGGTAGATATGTTAGCATAGTCCGAATGAGGAAGTTGTCAAGGCTACGAACCTTGATGGTCTTGGCATCCAGCTCAAGACCTTCTTTCTTATCGGTCAAGAACTCCTGAACATCCTTCCGCTGATCCCCTTGGAGCTGGATCACCTCGCCCATCTCCGAGTCGTGAACGATGGTGCCATTGCAGGCTAATCATGTTAGCCAAGCCTCCTGGCTCGATAGGGGGATATGGGAAAAACATACCAAACTTCTTCTTGATCACTTTCAAGATCTTCTTCTGATCGAACTTCTTAGGGAGACCCTGAACGGTGGTCAAGGTCTTTCGGCCATTACGCTCTGGAAGAAAGACGAGGGTTACTATGCTGTGCTGGCTTCAATCATCATGGTGTATGCGACTCACGTTGGATTCGTATATGTATGTAATTCTGAGACTGCTTAGTCTCGCCGGTGTCTTCGTCAGCTTCGGCGAAGGGGTCTATGTACGAGCGCGTGTTAGTCTCTGGTATCAGCCAAGACGCGTGGTAGGGATAACGGCAAGGGTCAAGCGAATTTCCCGTTCCCCAGTATGTGCAAAAAAGGGGGGTACTCGTGACGGATATTTCTGTACATCCCTACCTACCATCTAAGACGGTAGAAAAGCGAATATTGAAAGGGAAGATGAGAGGTGGCGAATGGACTTACCGAAGGTCTTAAGGTTTTCGATGGACATAAACTCGGCCTTTTCTGGTAACTGGCCCTTAAAAGTGGTTGTAATAAAAGAGACGAGGTCTGAGATATAAATCTCTGAAGCGGCTGAGCTATAGGGATTTCGAAGGAAGTGCAGGGAGGAATAGTTGGATGATGAGGAAGGTGGAAGATCGAAAGGAGAGGAAGAGAGCAACAAACCCTTTTTGAGGGGCTGAGGGGGAAGGCGGTGAGCACGTGATCCGGTGGCCAATCTCGTATCTTCCACCTGCCGATAAGTTACCAGTTACACCCCTGATGCATCAGTTACCTATGGAGAACTCGCCAGCGGAAGCTACCTAGGTGGGTATTAGCATTAATAATGGCCTCTATTAGTAGTACATAGATATGTCACTACACAGATAGACCGAATATTCATACAAAACCCAACGGTAGTGCGGGCAGTACAGGTGATTAATACGCATATGCTCCTTCCGGTTCATAGCCCAGCAACTTTCTCCAACAGAATATTATACACTTCCAACCACCGCGCGAGTTCCCTATGGGGAAGTAGAAGGAGCCGCCGGTGCTCCAGCGCGCTGGGACGGCGGGGGTATGAATAGAGGAAAATACGTCTACATGAGGTCTCAGCACAGGATTCAAAAACGAAAGGACTCTGTGGGCATAGATAGTCTGAAAACATACCACTACCAATGCCATCACTGAAAAAGAACGTAAAGTTAGCGACCCATAATAAAAGGAAGGAGTCGTGGCAACTTACAGGACATGAAAACCGACATGTAGCCTGGAGTCGACGCAGTTTCCTTCTGGTCTGGGGACTCTGCCAGCCAGTTCTGTAGCGCGAACACAAAGGAAACCCTGTATGATGGTCAGATTACCGGCTTGTACTAATAGACAGGGCATTGCCAAAGCTACCATCCAATCATCCTGTATGCGAGAAATTCGTCAGACATTATTGTTTATTTCTGGTAAAAAGGAGACTCACCTATTCCTGGTAAACATCTACCAAGATGTTAATAACTGTTGCTATGAGCTATCCACGGATAGTGAGGAGTCAAGGGAACTCCCAACTCACTGCGGCCATGGGCAGGGTGCTGGTCATGGCGCCTGAATCAAAGGGATTAATAACTGTCATCCTATTCATATCAGATAGCGTGGACCATGACATACCCGACATGTCAGCATTGTCCTTGTCTTTGGGCGGGTCGACATAGGGGACGACTAGATATCCCAGGAACGTCGTCAGGACAGGTATTCTGGGTCAGAAAGCAGAGGAATCGAATTGCAAAAAAAAAGGACGCACCAAGATCTACTCTCCGCATATCCTTTTTTGAAGCCATCTCTGCGGTGAATGCCTTTTGGATTGGACAGCTGTACGGAGTATCAAGATTGATGTTGAGACGGGGAGAAGCACTGGGATAGTCGATGCCAAGACCAGACACCGCCTAGTGATTTGATGTATCTACAGTACCTTTGGGTAACTAGTTATATAGGTATCTACTGCGTACATCCATGGACATTACAGAGTACATCTGTCAAATAGCCTATTTGTCTTCTTTGTCCTGGTTTGTTTGCTGGATGAATCATCGGATCATCGAGGAACAACAGAGCAGTGCTGCGCTGTATACGCGGTGTTCCATGTCATCGGGCACTTCCCTGTATTACTGTAAAGATCAGGCAGCGCTCAAACATCCTGGACGAAGGAATAGTCGCGTGAGATGGTATTCTTCTTGTTGATAGATGTAATCGTCATGGGATTAATGCCACTTTGGAACAAGTTACAGAGGTAACAAGACTATATAACCCGGAAATTCCCTACACTGTATGCCCATGGTGCAACACATTTTGCCACTTGGTGCCCAGCCAGCCTAGAAGTGCGACAACGACCGTTATGACACATCTGCATGTGTCGCCGCGAAAAAGGGGGCTAGCAGGGCTGCAGGAGCAAGTGGTGCAGACGGGAATCAGGCATCTCGGTAGATGGTGGACTATGGAGTGTAGGTCATGACTTCATGTTTGTCGGCATGGGGAAGGAGAGCACAGACAGCATATTGTCCATACAGCCGAAGACTTGACTTGATGGTGTGATATGGCCATTCTCTTCTGCAGGAGATGATCATCTGATGGCGCTGGAGGACGGGGAATCATCGCCAGAATCACCACGACAACTAGCAATAACATCTAATAATGTCGGCCGGGAACAAATAGGCGGACCGGCACGGCGCGGTAACAGGCTCAGGTCACTATTTTATTATTACTATTATTCCGTAGTGGTAACTAGTATTAGTGGGAGTACTAATTATTTCCGACTCTTATCTGGATGCGAGTTATCGGCTGCCTCTACACTGTCTTCTTCCCTGTCCCTTCGACTCCCTTTGTCCAACTTCGCGGAGCAGTGTCCCGGCGGAGTCGAAAACATCAAACATTACTTATCTAATATTATTATCATTTCCTCCTGTCTTTCCATTTCTCCATTTCTCCCCCAATCAACCTACGGTACATTTGGACCTTCCCTCGTCTTGCTGGCTCCTCTCTTATCGTACTGACTCCCGTCGTTCAGGCATATCCATATCCCCCGACGCCACATCTCTTTCGAATTCTACTGCACTCGCACCGTTATAACGATTAGAAGCCTACGCTGGAATGTACAACATGAAGCTGACATGATTTCCCATTCATCTGCCGGCGTCCAACCATGGGGCCATCCACAAAGCCCCGTCACCACCGGCCTTGGACGTGTCGATGAGCCTCAGACCTCCGGCTCGGTTGACCTACCCAACCCGCAAGCCAGACAGCCGGCAGTTATCGATTTGACCACAAGCGCCTGGGGGACGCTGGACAGAGAACCTCCTGCGAAGCGCCTGAAGCTGGATGTGTCCGCTACTTCGTTCATCCCCAATGACACCGTCTCCCATGCCACCGGGGATGTGAGGACCAGCTCTGCCATTACGGCCTCGAAACCATTTTCTGTGCCGTGGCGCGCCCGGCCGACATGGTCCTTTCATGCCCTGGTATCGGAAACCTATGGTGCGGAACACCATAAGGATAATCAAGCAGCCCGTGTTCAGGAGGGGGAAACACAAACACCTCCTCCGCTTCCCGTCGTACCTTGGAAGTGTCCTCCTGCGGAGCCTTGGGGACAAGATTGCGCTGCGTCGAGGGACTCTCCCGCGGGCGATGTGCAGACTACTTCTTATCGCATCGAGGTCCCCGACATTGCGCCGGTTCTGAAGGGCGACAGTAAGTCGTTTTGTACAATACATTCGGCATCTGAGATATGACAGCTAACAGAAAGAATGTTATAGAAGTTGCCGACTTCTCTCCCTGGACGGGACACCACCCAGAGGATATTCTGAATGAACAGACCGCAAAGCAAGGGTACTATGACCGTGCTCGGGTTTCCCAAAACGAATCCAACACAGCACGACCTTCGCTGTACGCGCAATTGAAACATCGCTCCGGTTTGCAAATGCTGTCTTCTGTGTTTGCTGCTGCCCTAGACAAGCGACAGAACCATGACACCGTCACTGCACAGTCCACTTTCAAACCGCCGCCTCGCGTGACTCTGACAGACAATAAGCGTGAAGCCTGGCTTCGGGATCTCGCCAATTCGTCGGTTCCATTACGTCGGTTGAGTCGCACGATCCCGCACGGTATCAGGGGGAAAGTCCTTCTTGACCAGTGCCTCAACAAATGCATCCCTGTCGGGCGAGGTGTTTGGCTGGCAAAGTGCGTCGGTGCCAATGAGATTCGGGCCTTCAAAAGAAAAGGTACCAACGGCACAGTGGCACTTGGCTTGGAGGCAAAATGGGTTCGAGACTGGACAATAAACGTTCAACAGTTCGTTGAGGGCGTAGTAAATTCGTGCGGAAAAGCAGATTGGATGATGAAAATGACATATACGTATGCTACCCCCGCCTGTGCTTATTGCGTGGGACGCTGACATTATGAGGCCATTTCAGCGTCAGTCTAGCTGCTCGCTTATTCTCTGAGCATATGCTTGATCACGACCACTATCTAGATTGGTTTTTGTCGTCACTTGAGGCAGCCTCCATCAAAGTACTCCCTGTCTGGCTCCTGATGCTTGGTGTCTACTGGGATGGCATCTTGCGGTACCGGAAACGAGGAAAGCGGTTGGCAGAGATATTGCTTGAAAAGAGGCGGCAGGTCATGCTGTCCAAGCAGGTGGAATTCCTCCAGCCGCTTATTGACCGACTATCCAACTCCATCAAAAGACTTCTTCGTGAGAACACCTCCTGTGTTGTATTGCCAGATTCGTGGGACAACTACAGGGACACACTGGCTTCCTGTTTGGATTTGGATGATCGCGTGGATAGAGCTATTTTCCGAAGTCTTGCTGAACGCAACGCTCGAGTCCAACGTCCTAAGGATAGTCCCGGAACAGCACAGCGTTCCCGACGGCAGCTCACTATTCATATCTTGGACTCTGTCCGCTCCACACATGATATCAACTCTACTTCGACTGCATGCTTAGACGCCATTGAAGACAGAGCTGCCTTGGTATCCACGTTGCTCGAATGGACAGCCTGCGTTTTCCGTCATGGTGTCTTCAGGGTATTCACTGGCGTTCGCCTTTTACGCAAATGGAAAGCCTGTGGGATTGACATCAATTCACATATCCTTGCCTTCCTCGCACAAGCCGGGAACAGCAGTGGGATGAAAATGTGCAATGTGTACCATGTGATTTCAGAGCTTGTTAGGTCTCAGACGTTTTCGGTCGGCAGGTACCTTCAATGGCTGATGGCTAGAGGTGCGACGGATAGAGTTCAATCAAACAAGAGCAAGGTAAGGTGGTCGTCTCACTCATCACTCCGAGACAGTTAACTAATGCGAAGGACGTAGACAATCACAGCTGACGTTGGGCTTCTTGCGCATCTTCCTGTCAGCCGGTTACCAGAGCATGTCCGCAATCTTCGCTACACTCTCATGGCTCGAGCTGGGTTCTCTGCCTCAGAGGAATCTCTGATGCTACAGATTGTGAAAAATTCCATTAGTCATCGTTTCCCCAAGATCTTTGGGGCTAAGCCGGAAGCCACTATTCCGCAGAATCTGTCTAAACTAAATTTGACTTGGACCGTCAAGTCAGAAATCGGGCAGTGGATTCGACGGGGGGTCGCAGAACATTACCATGACGCTGCAAGGTAAGCTATCGTCGGCCTTATTGACATGTCGAACTTACGCTGACTGTTTCAGGGCGAATAATGAAAAGGCATTCCCTGCCGAGGATGTCTCGGCCCTCACTCCTGAGGAATTCTACGGCATCCGTGACATCTTGGAAAGCTTTGGGGATCTCTCTATTCTCGCTGATGTTCTGAGGAATGCCTCTGACAGTGATGATGCGACCGTTCTTGCTGCAGCTGCAGACACACTTAATTACCATTATGATGCGTTTTGTCCCATGGGCGCCACGACGGATCTGTTTCGGAGATTCGTTCAGGCATATGTCCGGCTTAAGAATTTTGGAACGTCGAACCTAGACTTCATCTTTTCCCTCATTGAACTTGGTCTTCGAATGCCCGGCGAATTTAATACTGTGGCCCTTCTCCGTCAAGAACTTTCTCGCTTGGAAAACAAGTCTTCCATGACGGCATTCTCACCAGTCTCTGATTGTGTGCCCGATGCAACCACTGAAGGAGGTTCTCCATGTCACGAAAAGCTGGACCAACTTTTGTCTTCTGGAAATGGCATGGATGAGGCTACTTTGGGTATGGTGTTCAATACACTAACTAAGCAGTTGGAGTCCGGCCACAACCGAGGAACGCTATCTGCAAGTGATACTTGTCGGTATCTCGCGCGATTGAGGTTGTTCCTTCCTAAGCACTTCGATCTGCTCTTAGTACGCTGGGTTTGTACTGTCTTAAAGTCTCCTACTCGACCGGCGTTGTCAAAAGTTCTTCCTCCTTTAATCGGTGTCGGTTGCGTTACCATCCAAGCATTTCTATCGCTGTTGAGAAGTCTCTCCCAGCGCGAGGAGACTGTGTCTCGAACAATTCCCAATATGCCTGATCTCCAAATGGACTTACTTGAGCTCCTTGTGCCTATCGAGCCAGGGCAAGATAGTCCCTTGGACCTGGTGGGTCTCACTCTTTTTCTCTCCGTAATACGTCGCGGTTAGATTTTTAACATATTTATCTTAGGTCTCTTACCGGTTTCGTTTAGCGCAACAAGATTACCTCCTTAAACATCCAGAAGAGGTGCTCGGTATTATTCGTGATACTGCCGTTTCTCTCAATGGACAGCATACTCCCATGACTGAGTCGAGGCAAAACGACTTTCAACACCGCATGACCACCTTACTTGTCAATCTACTTATCCGGAACCCTGAATGTGCCCCTCAAAAGTATATGCAATATCTCGACCAGAATGCAGTACCTCTTGTTGCTTTACAGAAAGCACTAGATCATTCGCTTGGTCTTGGTTTGCAAGTTGGTATGTCAAGGCAACCGGATTGTACCTTTATTTTGGCCTTGTGTTTTCTAACAGTACACCAGATCAAACAATAATCCTGCTCGAAGTCGAGAAAATCATCAGTGTGACTAGTGACTTCTCTCTACCGTTTTGCCAGTTGAGACTTCAAATCTTGTTCAATGCAGAATCGGACGAGGAGGTTAAAAATAGCATAGTGGATGCAATGTTCAAGGTCGCAAAGGCGGGCGCTCGTGCTAGAAACCCTCACTGGGTTGACTTGGTTTCGGTATTGGGCCAGGATGCTGTGCGACAGGTACAAGCCTTTGTGGTATTTACTCTTGTGCTTTTGCTGATTCAGTCTAGATTCGTGAACGAGCCGAAAAAGAATTTCTCTCGATCTCACTGTCGGAAGACCTGACCGATGGTCGTGCGACAACCGCAGCTGACAGTCAGAGCCCGTTGGAGATCGCAAGAGTGCATCTCACTATCATCGATGCCTTGTCCTACAGCATACCCGAAACCGGCCTTTCCTCCATTGCGCCCGCTCTCGTAGAGAAAATGGACATGCTCTTCCACAAGCTCGCGGTACAGCAGGCAAACTTTAGCAGTTTCACTCGAAATGCGAATGGTGTGCTTTCCGGTCAAACTGCTGGGTCTCACTGTGACTTTGAAAAGTCTCTCGCGTTTTGGTTTTCAGCTCTACTTAGGATGATTGTCATACATCGGTCGGCGTTCAACACGCCTTCTTTAGTACCTAGACCCAACTGCATGCCCGAGCAAACTCGCCTGTTGGTATCGATATTTTGCATTGCCCTTTCACGCCTCCCGAGCAGTTTATTACGTCTCTTCCCTATAGCGGATTACTTCCCCCACCAACCTGTACAGTCTAGAGATTTCCGGCCGTGTCCTGGTATTTTACTTCATACGCATGCCCTGGATGTGGCGGCATCTCTTATTGATGCTTTTCCGGAAGAGATCCGGCTTCAATGTGCTCGATTTCTAAAAGAGAAATGTCCGCCATTTCTCAACTTTCAGAATGATCCTCGATTCGTCTATCTCCTAGGTCCCGTAGTGGATCTTACGCCTGCCAATGCTGCGCAGCCTATGTCTGTGCCATCACCAGCTGCTTCTGGCTCCACTCCAGCTGCGACACCCTCGATTAACCCCCAAGCAGGTTCTCCCGCACAGCAGCCTGTTGGTTCTTTCCCATGGACAACGGCCGGTCTGTCTGAGGGCCCGAGCTACACATCTAGCCATCTTCATATTCAGTATCGTGGTCGTAACATTGGACCGTTTCCGTTACGTCCATGGGAGCTGATAGAAGATGCTTCTCCCTTTATGGGTGCGAACGATACTGCAGTTGGTCTAGGGTACTTTGACGCAAGACGCGTTAAATCCTAGTCCATGCTATTTTGTTTTGATGACTTCTAAATACAGCATTTCAATCTTTGAATTTTCGGTTGTTTTTTTCTCTATAACACGGCTTCTATACTCCCTCCTCTTCCATGCCATGTTCATTTTGCTCAGGCGTTGGTGTTTGGTATTACGTTGATATAGATAGGGGAGGTCAAGGTCAAGGTCCATATTTCTTTCTTTCCATTTTGAACGGATATCCTTTTTTTTTTTTTTTCTTCTCTTTGCACTGCCGTTTCTTCAGGTCATGATAACCCGTATTCCTTCTGATTTACTGAATCATTGCATCGATCTCCATGGCACGGGCATTTTTGCTTATGCAGGGCAGCACATCACAGTTATTGGATTGGTTGATACGAAAGCAGGCATTCATGGAAACTGTATTATAATATATAGATACTAAGGTATAAGCACTCAATTATTAGTGATGATGATATGGATGTCCTATAGAAGGACACTTGATACGGTAGTAAATGGTAGTGAGGGACTTCTCCATAATAGGCACTATTATATTATGCTTTCTTATCCAGGATAATTCCTACAGACAAGATGGATGATGAGAGAGAAAGAGATTCATGTATGATTTTGATTTTGATAATTTTTATATTTCAATTAAATCCATTCCCATAACGCCGTTCCATAACGCCAAATACAAAACACAATTTGATCAATTTCTTTTCACTTAGTACTCCAAATCCCGTTCATGATAAACCCGATAATTCCCAAATCGTCCAATTCCAAACCATCCAGTTCAGTTGTTCAACTTCTCGGTCCTTGGGTCCTCTTTGGTATTGTTTCCGTCGGAATCAGAGTCGTTCGTCTTCTCGGGACCGTCGACATCCTTCTTGTCATCATCTTTGCCCTTCGTATCCCCATCATTCTTGTCGGTTTCGTTATCATTGTCATTCATTTCGTCCTTCTCTTTATCACCTTCTGCATTTTTATCCTCTACCTCCGCCGCCTTAGAAACATCCTCACTACCATCGAGGGATTGACTGCTCTCCGAGGAATCCTCAGTCGTAGGGGCTGGAGGAGCAGCTGGCTGCATCTCCCAGTGCCTCGGCACATCTCCATTATACCAATCACCCAACCGACCCTTCGTCTTTTGGTACTTTTCCAGATCCTGGACCACGGACATGATCTGTTCATCGTCGAGATCGTCCTCGCCTTGCTCGTAGGCGGTCCGGACGTATTTTTCAACCTTCCTTCCAACTTGATCCGGATACCAGACATTGCCCTTGTCGCGAATTTCGTAGAGGACGTCTTGGCTGCGTGGGGTTTCGGGTGCTTTGCCTACTAGGTCCTCCATAAGGTTGGAGTTGGAGTTGGAGTTGGAATCTGGGACGGTGGGGAGCAGGGGGTTCCCGTCAACGTCGAGGAGGATCATATAGTATCTGAAGTCGTTTTTGAAGTACTGTGTCGTATGTATTACTTAGCTTCTGTGTGCCTAAGGGGAATATATACATTGCATCCTACCTTGATTGCATCCTTACAGTCGTCAACATAGGCGAATGTCACATTGCAGACATATGTGTAGGTGTACACGTTCATCCAGGGGTCGTAGAAGTACGGAGTGGCCACAATGCTGTAGACCTCGAGAGGGCCTTTGCCCTTGAGGACCTGAAGCACCTCCGTGGGTGTGATGGGCATTCCGTCACGAAGTCCAAGGCAGGCAGTTCCTATAGAAGCGTTAGACATGTATTGAACATGATCTTATCACGAGGGAGAAGCTGGAATTTGCGAGGTCAAAAGAAACGATAACAAAAGAGACATACTCCTTCCTCTAGATCTTTCAATTCTCAACCAGCGTCCATGAAGCATGGTGCATTCATTCCATGTTAAAGCAGTCTCCGCAGCTTCCATTGCCTGTATAGAGCATATTGTCAACTACATTAGCCCATTTAATTAGAAAGATGCACATCAAGGAGGGCTGCTTGCCTCGAATTGCACAAAGGCACCAGGCAGTCCTTTCTTCTTGTCCTGTTTAATCTTCACATGGCATGTACCGAATGCCGAGAATTTCTCTTTCAGATCTTCGGCAAGGGTCTCAAGAGGGACCTTGGTCGAAAGGCTAATGATAATGTCAGTACAGTTTCACGTTCTTTCTCAGAAAAAGAGCGAGAGGGAGAGGAAGAGCTATTAGGAGTACTCACTTTCCAACAAAGACACAGGCGCTGGGGGGGAATAGGCCCTGGGCATTTTCGTTGCTGGGCTTTTGGCTCTGTCTGTCTCCACGGCGGGGATAGTATTTTGTGTCGTCGTAAGGATTAACAACGACTTGAATAGTCATGATGCTTGTTAATGTCAAGCGAACGTGTTGTCGATGATATATATATATGTATGTTATTTATTTCAGTACCAATGCGAGGAGTATGACAGGATGCAGAGGATGATAGTTAGACAGTATAGAAAAATAGTAGATAGAACGAGGGTAGTAAGGAAGAAAGTTCAAAAGAAGGAGATCGAAAGGACGAGGAGGATTTTATGGACAAGGACAAGGGCACCCAGGCACCATCCTTCGAAATCTGGTAGAGAAATGCAAATTTTCCAGATGCTTTTCCAGATGCTTTTCCAGAAATAGAATGTCATGACGTGAAAGAAAAATCAATATGTCTATAGAGAGTGGTCGATGCATCTGGAAGTCTGGTAGGATAGCAAGGCTCCAGGAAAAATTCATGAGAAGTTGTCATTGTGAGGAAATCGTCTCTAAACGTCTCAGGCAGCAATACTGCAAAAATGGCCCCTCTAAAACACCGGAGGAAATCCATTAGACAGACATCAAGCAACGACCAGTGAGGGTATTAACTTGTAAGTAAATATAGAAAAGCGAAAAGTGGTAGAAATAATATTTCCTAAAGCGACGTGCACGAAAGTCAACATTGCTGGGACATATAACCGTGTTCCCAAGCAATACCACACACACATATGACCAAAAGAGCCTTTGGATAGTCCCAATAGATCAGTATGCCAATAAAAACAAAGCTCAGTAGGGAGAAGAACTGACGCCGCTCAGTTTCAAAGTAATTACTACGCTATTGTTTTCAAGCCTGTCAAAAGTTCGAGGTTCAAAGCACAGCCATCACCAAGGTGGTATCATCATTCAACGGCGCCTGGGATGCAATCACTGGCATCGATTGACATGGCATAATGGGCACAGAGAAGGTAGAGGAAGAGAGGAAGACGATGCTTGACGTTTGATCGACTTTAATCTTATCTGATCTTCGGCAGGTGGAGTTCGCCCAACTGCGCTTACACGTGCAGCTGCTATCGGCCTTCTCGATCTCTCCTACATCGAACGTAGACATCCTCAACAGCACACTATCATCCGAAAATGATCCCCACGGCTCGGTGTCTGGCTGCTAAGCAGTCCGGATTCATCAAGCGAAGCACAGAGGAGTTGGCAAGACTAACAAGAATAGGTTTGGCGAAACCCCCCGACATCCATCACCACAGCGCTGACAATGTTATTCGAAGCATGGAATACGGAGGGTCTCCGAACTCCAACGAAGCCGTATCACCTTCTTGATTTTGAAGATGAAGCAACCATAGTAGGCTGCAAGACCATGGCCGACCGCGCGGTCGGAGGCTTCAGCACTTCAAGTCTCGACTATGTACCCGCGGAGCCTTCTACAAACACACCAGCGCATGCCAGATTCCATGGAAGCATTTCAACAAAACTTCCGAAGGACTGGAGAGTGCAGAGAACGGGTACGTCTCTTGAGAGTCCTTGAATTAGTACTGCTCCTTGAATTGACCAAGCTTGGATATCATCCAGGATACGCTGCATTTCGTAATAAGGACCGAGGCCTCTGGCTCTTTGGACGTCTGTTCTGGGATATCGATCCTTATTCCTACCTTGCTCTACGGGTTAAGTCCGACGGCCGTCGTTACACCGTGAATATCCAGACCGATTCGATTGACCAGACCGACATCCACCAACACAGGCTATATACGCGGCACCATCGCGTTAATAATAAATCGACCCATTCAGATGGCACTGCGGAAGCTGATGTCCTCTATCCTCATGGAGTCCCCTCCGCTCTTTCGGATGTTCCTCCACCCTCTACAGTCATAACGACCAGTACGTCCGGCCCGGAAGGGTGGGAGACGATTCTCTTACCATTCAACGATTTTGTTCGGACAAACCACGGCATGGTTATCGAGCCGCAGACTTCGCTCCTTCGCCAGCGGGTCAAGAGCATAGGAATCGGCCTAACGGATCGAGTAGAAGGGCCGTATGACTTGCGAATTCACCGCATCTGGGCCACAAATGGGATGAGTGAGGATGAGATTGATGAAGAGAGACTGATATGTGGTCCAAATGCTCTACCCGTTGACGAAGGTGTCAGCACTGGTTGGTCTGCCAACCGTGGGACAGACAAAGACGACCAGGAGCTCAATGTCGAAAGGAAAAAGCCAGAAGGGAAGAGGAAAGGGCTTCAAGGCTTACGATCTGAGTGGGATGAGCGAAGGAACTAGTCAAAAGTGTCCTGTACAATAATGTAATTGCCAATGACCTTTTATTTTCCTGTATCTAAGTATCCTTTATCATGCAGACGTCAAGCCATTAGGGGAAAATAAATAGAAATCCAAGAATACGATAACGCAGCTAGTTGATCGCAAACACTTATTCGCGTCCCGCAATTATCTCCCACGCTTCCTTGTACTTTGCGCTGGTCTTCTTGACGACTTCATCGCTCATCAGAACACCTTCTTTTCCTTTCAACCCGTGCTCAGTCAACCAGTCCCGCAGGAACTGCTTGTCGAAGCTCTCCTGACTGCGACCAACCTCGTACGAATCTTTGGGCCAGAACCGGGACGAATCTGGAGTCAATATCTCGTCGACCAGTACAATATGGTATCCTTCCGTGTCGAGACCGAATTCAAATTTCGTGTCTGCAATGATGAGGCCACGTTCATAGGCATAGGCATGAGCAGCCTTATAAATTTGGAGCGAGAGAGAGGCAATAGTGGCAGCATATGGCTCGCCTATAATCTTAGAGGCTGTAGATCCCAACATACGTTAGCTAGTTGACAATCATCAAGGGCTTCTAGGACACAGCCAAGATAGTACATGCCTTCATCAGGGTGGATATTCTGATCATGTTCACCGGCCTCAGCCTTTGTGCTTGGTGTGTAGATCGGCCCAGTGGGGATTGCCTGGCTCTCTTTCAAGCCTGGGGGGAGTTTAATTCCATGCACGGTTCCGTGTTGCTGATACTCCTTCCATGCCGACCCTGTGAGGTATCCTCGGACGATGGCTTCAATAGGGAAGACCTTGAACTTGCGCACCTGCATGCTCCGATTCTGGAGCACGGGTCGCAGATATTCAGGGATCTGTGGAGGGAGGTTGAGGGTAAGGAAATGAGTGCGAAGTTGAGGAATAGCCTTCTGGATGATTTCGAACCATTTGGTTGTGCACTGGGTGAGGTAGACGCCTTTGCCGGGAACTCCCTGTCATACAGGTCTTGATATCAGCAAAGAAGGCCAAGAATATGATCATGTCGAAGGAAAGCAAACATTTTCCATAACCACATCGAATGCAGAAATACGATCCGTCGCAACAATGAGCAGAGTTTTGTCGTCCACTTCGTACAAGTCGCGCACTTTACCTCGTGCAACGAGAGGCAATGCACCTCGAAGGTCTGTTGTTATAAGCGCCTCTGCTAAGCTCATTTTTTCCTTCCTGCAAGATTGGTATTGGGAGAAAGAGGGGTTGAGTCAATCAAATACATCACTTTTTATCGATGCGGACCTTTTTCCCGGCAATTGATGGCCTTGATACCTGAGGCATTAATTGGCTTACCTCTTCCAGCGATCTTCCGAGTCGACTTCAGTAAATTGCAACGCAGCACAGCTGGAATACAATTCCTTCGAATTCAGACTTATTTTCCTCTGGGTATCCGTCCAGAATCAAACTATAGTGAGCAGAAAGGACCCAGCGAAGAAGATGGTGTAATTATCGAGATGAGTCGCTATCTCACTCCGTCAAAGATTGCTCTGCTGTGCCTTGTCGCCATATACACTGAAGGCGTTGTCCCCAACACCTCCGCCGTCCATGTCCTTTCATTTCTGGTGTCGTGTCTATTTCCCCTAGACCCTTCAGAGCCATTTTCCAGCTCATCGAAATGGGAGCGGCAATTCTCAGTTTCCATTTCCGACTTGGAGGAACTACTGTCGAACCGTGAATCGTCCATTCCCGGGCGTTCTGTCTGGGACCTGTTTCTTAGGAAGATATGGTCTCTCAAATGTTTGGATGCACTTGAGATCTTCTTCTCTGATATATCATCTGTCCTTTCAAAAACACGCGAGGAGCAGATCTACGATAGGGAAAATGGCATCGCGCCTGAAACCGGCCGCATGCGCGTTTCAAGATCCTCGCCACTGGGTGTGTTCGTGAGAAGAGCCCAGCTAGAGTTTACGAGGCTGCAGTTTCATGATTCTGTAAAGCTTTGGAAGTCCTTTGTCAAATATCGTCTTCCGACATACCATGCATGGTCAAAGAGGAATCCTTCAGATGAACAGGGCCCCATTGACGTTAACTTGGTTGAGATAGCCGAATACCCAAACGAGTTGTTGGCGAACACGCTGTACGGCAACATAGAAGACGATTCAGAGTATGAAAATGCAATCAGTACAAAAGATGTGGAACGGCTGTTGGAATTTCAGGTTGGCGAATTGCAAAGTAAACACGATGCTTGCTTTCTTATCTGGATGCATGATGGCCACTAACGGATTACAGAGCTCGGTGGGAGAGTACCTGATGAGATGAGAGCGCAGCTGGGGCGCATTCTTTCTTCTGGGGTTACTGTTCCAAGCCTAGCACACTATCTCAGGTTGGCAGTGACGCTGTGCAATATTTATTACCACGGGCTGCTGCTGACATTTCCTTAGATTTCTCGATTCTTGGAGAGCTGGAGATTATCCGACAGCCTTTGACAATCTTCATCGGTATTTCGACCATACAATGCAGGGCTATGACCGTAGCTCGTATCAGTATGCGCTGCTTAATCTTGCTGTTCTTCAGGCGGACTTCGAGTGTTACGGTGAAGCTGTCTCAGCCATGCAGGAGGCTATTTCAATAGCCCGGGAATTGCATGATATGAACTGTCTAAACTTCTGTATGAGCTGGCTGTATCACTTTGGTAAGGCATTTCCAGAGCAAATGAAAGATGTCCAAAACTCTGGTATGCTTGGGAATGAGAAGGAAGGCCTGGCCTTCTTGAAAGCCAAGGCAAAAGAGACTGAGATGTGGAGTCTCTTGAGTACAACACTACTGAGCGAGGCCAAGCTCGAGCTGCAAAATGTAAGTTGAATCCCGGATAACTCCAGGTATTGTACATGTCTAATCCCATCATAACATCGTCCAGGGGGAAAGTCTTGCTTCTGTGTTTGAAAATGTGGTGCGAGCATCATATCTTAACGTCACAAAGTATTTGGTGAATTCGACCGGGCCGCAGTTCCTATTGCAGACTGCATTGTATGCTAGGATAGGTGCGACTCACTGAAAACAGACAAGCTGGCGACAGCACTGACTATTTATAAAGGCGTGACGCATCTTTCCTGGCTGAACAGTAAAGTTTTTTGCGAGTGCTATGCTAATCGGGCGCCATTCGAGGATTTGCTGAAGAGCACATTTCGGGGTTGTCAGCTTGTACGTCCATTTATTTCTGGCTTTATGCAGGCAGGATCGTTCCTTTTTCTTTTTTCTGATATCCCACAAAGCTCGCACAGAAGGGTCGCTATAACGAGGCCCTTGCGCGTATGAACGGTATTTCTCCCGAAAGGCAGCATTCCCTCAAAAGCCATCAACATTGGACTTTTCTTTCTGGCGTTCTGCAGCTGAGACGGCGGATTTGTCGGTATGCTTCGTCTCCCTTATTTGAAGGACGTTCCTCATCTGACATGGTCGTAGGGATGACAGGGTGGCTGCCGATTACCTACTCTCGCAACTCCAAGAAATCCAGCTTCCAGACGCTGACGTTTCGCTTCTTCTCACATTCCTTTCCATTGAGTATTACGTCCGAAAAGGACACTACACTATCGCACTGGATCTGGTCGAACAGACAGCCAAGTCGATTCAACAAGGGAGCTTTGACATCCAGTACCAAATAAAAATTCTCTGCCTCAAAGCCAGAATTTTTGAGAGGACATTCCAGCCCCAGCGTGGCTTCTCCTTGGCTATGAGAGCAGCCCGTATCGCATATCGCTCCCGCCTCATCCCAGGTCTCTGGGAAGCCATCAGCACCCTTGCAGCTGTTCTCCTAGGGCTCAGAGAATTCACGTCTGCAAACGATATGATTGAAAGCATCATGCCGCAGATCCTGGAGTTGGAGGACTGCGAACTCGCCGCACGGGGATACTCTCTTCTCGCCGATGCAAATATGGGCGTGGCCGGTTCCCTGTGGCGCCAGGGGAGCGAGAACACGCCGGCCCGGAAAGAATACGTGAATCGTGCCTTGGGGTACATTGACTGCGCGTATGACCAGTTCGAAAAGATTGATGATGTCATGGGTCAGTGTGAGATGATGGCTAAGAAGGCTACGACAATGCATCTCACGGGGGATCTAGTGTTGGCTAATGACTATGCGGCGAAGTATTTGGATCTTCGGAGACAGAATGCAACGGAGAAATACTAGCTTGTTGATAGCATTAGGATGAATGATATGTGCAACATATGTCTCTGGGTCTGGGAAAGGAAGGGGGAAAAGGGCCCTTAGCAAAGTCTGGAGTCCGAATATGCTGGTCGAAGAATACATTCCTAATGTCGTATAGGTAAAATTTATGAGAAATGGCCATACGATCGAAAAGAGTACGAACTCTACAAAGATCCTCGATAACCCACATGATCCCTTTCTAGGAAGTCAATTAACTACAGTCTTGTTGGTTTACATCGGCCGTTCAGATTGATGTAACTACTTCTCGAATGCAAGGTGATTTGAAACAAGTGAAATAAAATGAATGATAAGAAAGCGCGAAAGTGAACTAAACTCATCAATTTCGACAACTGTTCCTCGAGAATATCTTGATGAATATACATGACTCTCGACTTCCCGACCTGGCCTAACTCCCGAATCCCGAAGAGCTCCGCTACAGGGTCTCAAGGACAGACTTAGGTAGCCTTGTCCTCCTTGTGGTAGTTGACCTTGTCATTCCAGCTAGAAGGAGTTAGTTTCAACCAACAGGATTATCGGGATGATTGCACATATATATGGCGTGGGAAGAGAAGATAAGCTTACAAGAAAGTCTAGCCACAAAAATTCAGTCAGCAAACCTATCAATCCCACAAATAACGAGGGTATAATGGGAATATCTCACCTTTTCACCATCTCCCCAGGGGAAGTTCTTGACACGGATGTTCTGGTAGGGATATTCCACGCGCTCCTCAAGAGGAGGGAGATGCTCCCAGTGTTCCCAGTGCTCATTCCAGAGATTGTATGCATTGAGACCACCGCCAATCAGGCAGGGAATGACAGCACTTCAAGGGGAGGAAATTTCATCAGTAAAGGCCATTAATGGTAGGCTAATGGTTTTTTTCTTTTTTGGAGAGTAAACATACTAGATGCTAAGTCTCCGCCAGAGGGCTGTGAGATGCCATTGAGTCAGTTATTTATCCGATAAAAATGACAATTGAGAACACAATAGATAATACGCACAGCTTGTGCCAGCAGCATGCTCCTTGACGGCGGCTCGCTCGCGGTTGAACTCATTGTCCACTACCCACTCGGGCAGCTTGGAGGAGCCGGTGCTATTGAACCGGCAGGGAACTGTGGAACGAACGGGGGCGGTCCGCAGCGGCTGCAGAGCACGCTGGGACAAACGGGCGACATTGCGTTGAGAGGCCATAGCGATAAGGTGAGGGGAGAGGATTGGAATGTCTCTTTCTTCCCTTTGGAATGTGACGGCGATGGGATTACCACGGAGGTTGAGCGTTCCGCCGGAAACGAATTCCAATTAGCGGTCCCGTGATTCGGCGCCAAATGTTCTTGATTATGTCATCCTATGTGGCCTGATGTCATCTCACGTGCTAACTGTCACGTGGTTTGGAGCTCGATTGTTACGGCATACCTACTCCGTGAACATAGTTGCAAAGTGCATCTGTTGTTAGCCTGTTGTCCTCTTCCTGGGCTTCATTCTTGCCAGTTCCCTTTGATTCTGCCCGAGAGATGTCCGGTCCGGTCTACTCTAACATTAGCCGGAATGGGGTTTCGCGTTACGACATGGAACGGTGAGCTCGAGTATCCCTACAGTCTACACACAGCAGTAACACTAATTCTATTTTGCTTACGAGTTAGTCAACGGTATTAGGTGGGTATATATATATATTTCCTACTGAAGCTTGAGCATGCAGATTTGCTGAACCATTTCTTAGGAACCCGTTTTCATATGAGCCATGGAGAGGAAACCGAACATTCGAGGTAGGGAACTCGCTAGGTTATCTTCTGTTGTGTGTGGTCTCTGACTAACAGGGAGGTATTAGTCTATGTTTGATATTCTCGAGGCGGATATTGTTGTATTCCAAGAGACTAAGATACAGCGGAAGGATCTCCGAGATGATATGGTCCTAGTTCCCGGGTGGGATTGCTATTTCAGTTTACCTAGGGTTAAAAAGGGTTTGCTATTTGATGTCCCCACTATATTGGTATTTATGTGCCGAAATAACGTTGTAAAGGATATTCTGGCGTTGTCATCTACACGCGCAATGCGACATGCGCTCCTATCCGTGCGGAAGAGGGTCTTACGGGAGTGCTCTGTCCGCCGAACTCATCGGTCTCTTTCCGAGATCTCCCCGAGGAGCAACAGATTGGTGGCTATCCGACACTAGAGCAGCTGTCAGGTCTTGAACTTGATACTGCAACTCTCGATTCGGAAGGTCGTTCTGTCATTCTCGAGTTCCCGGCGTTTGTCCTCCTAGGGGTGTATTGTCCTGCTAACCGGGACGAGAGCCGCGACTGTTTTCGTTTGAGCTTTCTCGATGTGCTTGATTTTCGCATTCGAAACCTTCTTTCTATGGGGAAGAGAGTATTCGTGACGGGCGATCTGAACATCTCGAGGGGTGAAATCGACTCGGCTCATGCCGCCGAGACCATCCGTAAAGGAACGGTTACGGAAGATGAATTTGTGTCTGCACCGGCACGGCGTCTTTTCAACCAGCTACTGACCGATGGGAAGGTTATTGGTGAACGTGATGAGGCCAGGGGACAGCCGGTTCTCCATGACATTTGTAGATCATTCCACCCTAGTCGTAGGGGCATGTACACTTGCTGGGAACAAAGGATAAATGCTCGGCCTGGAAATTACGGCTCAAGAATAGATTACGTGCTGTGCAGTCTGGTTATGAAAGACTGGTTTTCCGATTCGAACATACAAGAAGGTCTTATGGTCTGTCTCCTTTCCACTGCTCCATCTTGTTTTTTCTTATTCATGTCGGTCTCAAGAATATCTGCTAACACCCACCAGGGATCCGATCACTGTCCTGTTTACGCCGTGTTTAATGACTGGGTTACTCTCAATGGGGATTCTGTTAACATTCGAGACATCATGAACCCTCCTGGCATGTTTGAGAAGGGCGAGCGGAAACGGGAATACACGATGAAAGATCTTTTGCCGTTGTCTGGACGGTTGATACCCGAGTTTGATCGTCGGAGGAGTATCAAGGATATGTTCTCTCGTAGACCTGCTGGCTCTTCACAGAAATCACTGCTCGTGGTCGGGAGCTCTTCGACACCAGATGCAGGACCACACACAGCTGTCAATGGAGCAGCCAGCAACAAGCCTCTTCCTTCTAGCTACAGAAATAAAACCACCGCGGATAACACTCGAAAGCGACCCCAGCCATCCGACTCGCGCCCGTCTACTGCACCAAAGCGTTCGAAATCAGCAACTAAAGCTACTGCCGTAACATCGCTCGCGGGCCAACGAACTTTGAAAGGGTTCTTCAGGACGAATAACAATACAGTCGGAAGCGCGGACAGGGACGACAATGAGAGTCCTACGAAAACTGCAGATCAGCGAATGGCCGAAGCGACGGGCCTGGCCACATCTAGCTGCTCGGGATCGAAAGATGGAGATACTTCCACAAGACAACCGAACGCGACAGACGACCAAGCTTTTGTCCTCTTTACAGAAGGAAAACCAGTCATCGATCGTGTAGCCAGCAGAGAAGATTGGAGCAAACTATTTAGCAAAAAGCCCACGCCCAAGTGCGAGGGACATCAGGAGCCATGCATCAGCCTCACGACGAAGAAGCCCGGCATCAACTGCGGACGGTCGTTTTGGATATGCCCGCGACCTCTGGGACCTAGCGGCAATAAGGAGAAGGGTACGCAGTGGCGCTGTTCGACGTTCATCTGGGCCAGCGATTGGAATTCTTCCTCGTAGTAGCCTTGCTATACTACACCTTGTACTGGTTTACTTTCCTGCTGCATTTACTAGACCAATAATGATACCCTGTTATTTGCATCTGGGATTGCGAGAGACATGGCATAGCCCGTAGTCTGAAGTCTTACTGTCCTGTCCTGTCTTTCTCTCCTTCAGGTAAATACCTAGCAGGCAGACAAGCATTCAATTCATCGCAGTGAAAGCGTCAAAGTTTCTTCTCCCCTCCAGACCAGACGAGAACCTTCCAGATCCACGCAGCCAGCCTCCTTCTGCAAGTAAAAGAGTTTTCCCCAGTGACTCAGAGGTACTGCGTAGTAACAGTCCCTGCAGTGACTGTCTCTGTCCGGGAATGGAAGGGAATATCCACCTCAGCGGCTACACGTATGTACATGCCACTGTCATGTAAGGGGTCTGATGCGAAAAGCTTACTCCTCGGGTCTTGCAAACCGTAGCTGTGATCCTAATAAAGATCGAGAAATGTCGCGACCATTGCTGTCTTGTTCTGGTACATGTTTTTTGGGAGTGTGGGAAATAAGTGCATGGAGCACCTCGAGAAATGCGAGGGCATGTAGCATGCTTAGAGCCAGGTACTACTTTCAGTATATACTGAGTGGACTGGCATTTACTTAGTGAGCCTGGCACTGAGCACTCTCTAAGAGTGGTGGCAGCTAGATGAACATAGAGGTACCTAGGTACAGCCTCTTATTAGAAAATACGTACCTTCTTGTCCGAAAACCCTGCCATTGGAAGCTGGACATTCTTCCGCCTCGAACAAATTCAGTCGAAACAATTCGCAAGACTGTCTACGGGACGGAGAGAGCGCCAAAAAAGAACAAGATTCCATAATATTCTGGTGGCACTTGGGCATTCAATATGAAGGTCTTGCTCTTTTGGATTTGTTGGATCAAACATCTGAAGGGCCTGAGTAGGAGCTCTAGGTAGGTTCCTCGTCGAGCGCGTCGACAAGTACGAGCGAGATGTGGTGACAGATCAGTCCTGGCAAGTCTTCCTGACTTGGATGGACCTAGTTGGTGAATGGTAGGTCTTAGTGAATCATGTCCCGGCCGTTTCTTTGTTCCCACGCCAGGATATAGATATACCTCTGTCTAACGTTCAATTAGTCCATCTTCTCCTCTCTTCCATCTTCCTATTTCCTTCTTTTCATGGGTTGGAAACCTTGGAGACTTCTTTCTTGTGCATCACGTTCTTATCCCCCCCGTCGTTATTCTACCGACCTGGTAGAGAAATAGAACTGGCCCTCCGAGCTCCAACAGAGGCATTTTCAGTCGAGATGGCTAGCATCATGACCCCCCTTGAGCAAGCCTTCAACAGCTTTCTGTTGACCATGCCGCCTCATCGACTAGAATCGCTACTCAAGTACCTCAACGAGGCCCGGGCGCACGAAAATGATCCGAATCCTGCTGTCGACGGTGCAGCCATGAACTCTCCTTTCAGCGCTGCCCGTCGTCCTACCTTGCCTACGCCAGCCGCTCCTCGTTCCCCAGCTTTGCGTGGGAAGCGTTTCCGTGCAGGAAAGCTAAGACCCCTCAACAGCTTCATCGCTTTCAGAAGTGAGTATAATCATTCGAGACAAAAAAAGGGAGGCTTGAACTGAACAATGATCAGGTTTCTACTCGAACATCTTTCCCGAATTGACTCAAAAAGCGAAATCTGGAATCCTCAAATTTCTTTGGCAGAATGACCCTTGCAAGGCCAAGTGGGCAATTCTTGCTAAAGCATATTCCATTATTCGCGATGACCATGTGGGCGAAGTATCTTTGGACTCATTTCTGAGCTTGAATATGAGTTATCTTGGGATCATCGAGCCTGATCGCTACCTTGATGCAATGGGCTGGGAGCTGAGTGTCGACGGACAGAGTCAATACACCATGACTAGGGTGAAATCAACCGTTACAGCCGAAACTGAGGTTTCCACTCTCCACTCGGCCGATGATATTGTCACCCGTTGCTACGAAATGGGCTATGTATCTGAGGAACGTCGTAGTCATAAATCGAGCCACAATGGTGATGGGCCAGTTACTAACATGGCCTTTGTCGCTCATCCCACCCTGGTGGTCAACGAGAATGATAGAATTCGGATTTCGGGAACCGACAACAGTGTGGTTGGCGACATGGGTACAAAACCTAACATTCAGGTGTCTTCTTCCAATTCACTGGCAGACACACCGTCTCCGGGTCCTATCGACATGAGTGTGATGACTGGTGATGTCTTTGGCCAAGAGCCTGACGTACCTACTGTCCAACCTTGTTTCAACTCGCAACCAAAGGCGGAAAATGACTTCAATGTGGATATGCAGTTTGCTAATGCTCATGGAGCCCCGTTCTTTCTTCCCTTTGACGCTATGGAGATGCCCATGATGGATTATGATCCCCTTATCACAGGACCACTCGAGAATTACGGCATCGACAGATGGCGGAATTTTTAATTTTGTTAATAAAATGGCAACCAGTGACGTTCAGGTGACTTTATGTCTACATGGATTGGACGCTGCAGTACCGTCAGCCGTCACAGAAACAAACCAACGACCAAGTTCACGACGATCATATCATACAAGGGGGGAGGAACGGAAGAATTGACTCTGGCGACAAAAGAAATGACGAAAATGACAGATCAAGAGATCTGAGCTTAATGCGGAGAGGGAGAAGACATGGCGTTCATGGCTCTTTGTTTTTGTTTTTTCCTTCTCCCTGCTGCACAAGGAAGAGCGGCTATCTGTCTTACATTTCGTTTCGTTTATTTTCTTTTCTTACAGACTTGTCTTGACTTACCCACTGTACAGAATTCTGTTCTTCGGACGTGACTTTCTCCGAAGTCTGCCCTGGAGGGCTCGAGATACAGAGGATTAAGCCTCGACTTGATCTGATCTCTAGTAAATTGCTCCGCTGCCTCTATCGTGCTTTTAACTTTCTTTTCTTTTTTAACAGTTCGTGGCTTTTATTCTTACCCCTAACATAACATAACGTGATCAACCACGGAGTCGATCACCTCATGCGTTGCGGCCGCGCATTGAAAACCTATTATATTCAACCATCCACCATACTCCCAAACCTGCCTAAATCCTCAAAAGGTTCTCACTAAGCAAGAGAGGAGGCGCGTATGAGGATATCTTCAATTTTGATGAAAGCGGATATGCCATGGGGCCTTACTGCTACTGCAAAGGCAGTAACAAGAGCTGAGATATATCATTGAATACATCAGTTTTACAGGATGACGGGCTCTACCACCATGCGTTATCTTCAAAACAAAATCCCATATTATAGATTGGAGGATCGGAATCAGTGAGAATGGCTGGACGGCTGATCGTATTGGATTATGTTGGCTACAGAAGATTTTTATCCCTCAAACTACTACGTAGCCGTATTACTGCAAATATCGCCTACTGATTTTAGATGGCCACACCAGTCATCTAAATCTAACCCCAGAATTCGATAAAATATGCAGTGAGAATAATATTATTCTTCTCTGTATGCCAGCTCATTCATCAGCTTGTTCACAACCCCTTGACGTTAGCTGCTTTTCACCTCTGAAAAGAGCATACGGACGCCCGGTTCGGGATAAGCAGCGACGAAGGATCCATTATATCGCCAGAATGCAGTTGTTTCGGTCAAAAAGGAGCTTAATATTTGACCTAGAGGCAAGGGTGATCGACTCGGTGGTTGATTAACTGTGTCTGCCCGTGTTGTGCACAATATGGGCTAGACTTTTGGTTCTTGTATTTACTTTACGAGACGTGTCTATAAGGCAGAATCTCTGTCCCCGTTAGCTGGTTAGTTGGTTTAGTTGCAGTACATTGTCAACAGTCAGGTGCAGCGTAGACCCTGTCTGTAGTTCGAGGGAGGACGAAATAAGGTTCCCTTGGTACTGCTGCTAAATATATCCAGAATAACCTCACAACCGCCCGAGCCACACGCTCCCCGTGCATCTGTCCAAGGATGTCCCTGCTGTAAGCGCCATGCCACATCCTGAAACAAAAACCGTCAGATTTGCCGCCCGTTTGCCGCATCCTACATATATCCCAAGCACTACGCACCAGGGCATCCCCGGAACAGAACATAGGTTCCGCAGCCGCCCACGGGTCCAAAGCAAAAAGTAAAATAAAGATGGCAAGTAGAGTTACGGTTTGAGCCGCGGTGGAGATCGATAGATACAAAACATCCATGCACCATGCGCAAAGCGACAAAGACGCAGCCCAAAGAACAGAAACAAAAGTCCCAACTAGACGAACCTTCCACCATCCCATTCGCTCCTCAGTCTTCCTGGTACGAGATCTTGCGCATCTCTCCCAGCCGTTGCCGCGCACGCGCCAGGTTGTTCTCGAGCTGGAGAATTTCGACCTGTAGGGGAAGAGAGAGAAATCAGCATGTAGAAACAGGAAAAATGACAGAGCAGAAAAAATGCCCACCTGCTGCTCCATTTCCCGCACTTTGAACTCGTGCGAGCTGAGCTTCGAATAGTCCACTGTCTCTCCCTCATCCCGGTTGCGCTCTGCAATGATATCCTGGACTTGGCGCACGAGCGCCCTGCATGCGGCCCCGACCGCTTTGCTGGCCGTCTCCAACCGGTCCTGCGTCTTGCTCATGAACGACGCCTTGACCCGACTGGCCGCCACCAGCTGCGCCGTGCTCGCCGCCACGTCGTTGCTCGCGACAATAAGCTGTTCTGGAGAGTTCCGGCCGGAGATCACCCCATCGGCCGTTTCGATCAGTGTGTTCGTCGATGACGCCACGGCCTTTGCCGCCGAGATGAGTCCCTCAGTCCACCGGTTGTTCTTCTTGTAGAATGCGGTTCTCGAAGAGCTTCCACGTCCCTCCCGCACAATCTCCTCTTGCGTAGCCGTAGCAGCCTTGATCAACTCTGCAATCGCATTTGTAACCGCTAGAGCTGCCTCCACAATCGAATCATGGATGCGAAGCTCATACGTCGTGTATCCTTCACGTGGCTTCTTCTTGAGCTTCGCCAGACGCTGTGCGGCCGCATCAATTGCATCTGCAGCCTTGCTGAGTTCCTGGTCAACCATCTCACTCAAGTCGCCCTTCGTGCTGATCTTCGTGCCCTTAGGGGCAAACGTGTCAACCAGCTTAGATAGCGATTGCAGATCCTGTTGCACTTCTAAATTGTTGTTGATCACAACGTCCGTCTTCTGCAGAGGCTCCAACCCCTCCAGCCGGAAGGACTGGAGTCCCCTGAAGAACCATACCGTCGCCTGGGCTGACTTCCGAGCAGAGTTGATCAGCTGATCTGCACTCCTGTCGTCGTTCGCAAACCGTGTCAACCCCTTAGTGTTGCTGAGGACATCCGAAATTGAGCCTGAGAAGATTGAAACTGTGCGAATGATCTCCGCATGAGTGCTGTTGGGTCCATCTGCAATGAAGTTGTTGAAAGCTGTCGAGAACTCTGTTGCAGAGGCTGACGCCTTTTCAATCTGCGAGAGTACATACGGAGGAGAAGCATTCTGGTTTCCGGCCTGCATGCTAGAGTCCAGCTCGTATAGAGCATCGTCCACGCGCTGAACACCGGTTTGCAGCACAGAGTCAATAATGTCGTTGATCTTGGAAATGCTACTGTGCAGGACGTGGTCTATTTGTGTATCTAACGCTTGATCCGCATCGCCTTGTGTCTATTCGCAGGTCGGTTAGTACAAAGAAGACGCTCCTTTGGGCATTGGATTTCGCATGGGAGACATACTAATTTCAACTCCTCAAGTTCCATGAGGGCCTGTTCCATCCCCGATTTATAGACTTCAATCTCCTCATCCTTCTCACGTAGGGCAAGATCTTGATCTCCCTGTCGTTCAGAGTTCCGAGACAAAGCTTCTTCAAGCGCTCGGTTTTTATTCTGAAAACAGACAAGTGTCAGTGATGATGAGTCAGTATATCAAATACATCCAAAGATAACCTACTCTAAGAGCCTCTTCCAGGTCGGCCATCTCACGATTGTATTTTGATAATAGGGTGGATATCTCCGTGCCCTTTTGACGTTCGGCATTCTCTGCACGATCGATGGCCATCCGAAGTTCCCGCTTGACCTTCTCAAGTTCTTCCTTGTTAGTTCCTGTCAGACGGTCCCTCTCGTGCAGAGCACGGTCTCGTTCTCTTATCATGTCGGCCAATTCAAGATTCTTGGTCTTGATCTCACGCTCAAGTCTTTCACGCCGCTCAATCGCCTCTTGTGCAGACGCTGCTTTCAACTTGAGACCCTTAGTAGTCTGCAGAAGATCCAGGTGTTCTTGTCGGAGTTGGGAATAGAGCTTGGCGAGGGCTTCATACTTTGATCGCCAAGTGTTTACTTGTTCCTGCAAGGCACGAATCTGGTCGTCTTTGGATGCATTCTGCAGGTTCACGTTGTGCGTCAACTGGTTCATCTGTTCTTCCAAGTCCTTCACACGACGATCATATTGCTGTAACATCAATTGGTCCTGCTCATACTGGGCCCGTGCATTAAGGTTCTCACGTTCCAGCTCTGCCAAGCGGCCCTGAGTCTGCGACTGATACTGTTCACGAAGGAGTTGTTCCTGGGCAAGTCGCGCTTGTTCTGCTTGGATACGCTGCTGCTCCTCAAAGTCTCGTTGGGCTTGCTGCTGAGCAAGGAGCTGCTGTCGCTGCGCGTCTTCCCACTGTTGTTGGATACGCCGCTGCTCTGCCTCGTATTCTTCCTGTTGGCGCTTGGCTTCGTTGGTCCAGAAATCAGCAATTGGCTCCGGCTCCTCCATCTCCACTTTCGCTGGCGGCGGTGTGGGTTCCCGTTCAATCTCCTTGGCCGGTCTCTTAGGGAGAGCTGGGCGGTCTTCATCTTCGGCGAACAGATTTGGAGGGTCTTGAGGAAGCTTGGGGACAGTGATGAGACTGGTCAGATAGCGCAAGTTGGAGCACTCATAGTAGAACCGGACCAATCGATAATGCTGAGCATCATAACGTGCACGGAGAGGTTCCAAAGCCTCGGCATCTCCGGTTGCTACACATTGTAAAGGATGAAATCAGCATTGAACAGTCAAAAATAAATCAGGAACGGGTTAATCTCCATACTTGTATGCATAGCCCTCAGCATGCTGGTAATAAACTTGTAGATACCATAGCTCTCCTGCACCAGAGGAACCAACGCGGAAATTCGACACTCGTTATTAGTACCCGACAGGAAGTGCGAGAAGATCAGCTTTTGGAATGCGTCGATCTGATCTTGCAGAGTCATGAGATCGCTAATTGTCTCGTAGCTGATGGCTGTCAGCGAGAAACGGGGGGAGATTCTAAAGAGGGAATCCTTGGCTTACCCTTCATTGGGATCATTGATGGTCTTCAAACTGATATATTCCTCATACTCAAACAGACCTGGAAAACGATCAGGGAAAAGGTCCTGAACCATTGCATTGACCACAATCGGATGAAGCTTACCATTGAATTCAGGATGATTCCGATGGAAATGTAATTTCGACTCAAGAAAAAAGACGTACTCCCTAATGAGTGGAGCATAACCTATTATTCTCGAGTAAGTTACGACCATCCTCTGAACAAGTCCGAGTCGTGGCAAGGACCAACATACCACGAATCCCTTCCCCGCCAACCCCTCTCATCAAAGTATCCAACCAGTTGACATGTTGTTGTGCTTCTTTAATCACGATTGGATGGCCTTCTTGCAGGACCTTGTGTATCGTAATCAGGGCTTTGAAGGTCTGGATTTCATCGGCGAGGATGGGTTGTCTGAGAACATGGGAAAAAGCAAAGATTAGTACACAAAGCACAACGAATATGGGAGCAGAATAGATCGTTGACGAAGATATGATAAACTAACACTTTCATGCCAGCCCAAAAGGCAGCAGAGGACCTATTGTCCCAAGTGTAGACGATGCAAGCCCGAACATGTTTCCGTTTCGGAGCGGTTTCCTCTGTCAATTGCCCAAAGTAGTCAGTAAAACACGAAGAACAGAGAATGAATAAACCAAGAAACTGCGCGCAGATCTATCCCATTTCTCCTCCATCACAACGGACAGATAAACTCACCGATATTGGTAGCTTTGCGAATGTTAATCGCAAGGTCGGCCTCGGTTCTATATAGTGAGAAATAACTCCAGTCAACAGCGCATTCCCATCTGGTATTTTCCTGTGCGTTCGGATACGAATGTCCTCTTACCGACTACTCATCACGAAATTCGACTGAAATGGCGGGACTCGATTTCGACCCGGCTCGTGGAGAGTTCCTGTATAGTAGCTTGCGTGGGCTGATGGCCCCTGGAACTGCGGAGGAAGGTGGCAGTTGTTGTTACTAAGCTTGCGCTAACCGGAGGCAAGGTTGAATCAAAAAGAAGTACGGAGGATTCTCGCAGACAAGAAGAGACGGAATGGCAGAGAGCAGGCAGCAGAATTCAAATTGCAGAAGGACGGCGAGCAAAGAAAGAGACAATGACGTTGTGAGCGTTCCTGAATCGGGGGGAATTCTGGAGCCTGCATGGACACGATAGCTTCTTGGCACCGCCATCATCGGCCTCGTCGGAACTGTCTACTCTCTATCTTTTTATTTGTTCTTTTGAAGGAATTGAATATATGTGCTACTCCCTACTCCAAATCCAGAATAAAATAAAGACGCCAGTTGCCTTCCCCCGTTACTCCCAATAGTCCCATACCGAAAGATCATCTCAATTAGGGGACTGGCAATGGCCAGTTAGTCGAGCAAATAACTTGGTGTATCCCCTTGAACGCCACAGAAATTCTACAACCCACAGAGGGGAAAGAAATGAGTATACCTAGAGTCAGTCAACACGTCTGCACAAAGACCGCCAAATAGTCCATTGCAGATGCTAGTTTCCACGTATGCGTATGCGTGTGCCATTAATGCTGCGTCTGTTACACAGCCACTCCATTCTCCGACAGAATCTCCGCACTTTCCGATGCAAGACAAGGGATAAGGGTCTCATGGTGGTGCCGGTCATCTGCGTCCTGGTTGTGTTCATGCAAATCATGATTTCTGTCAGATCTGTTATCCCTCTGAACAGACACATCGTCTGTCGAAAGTTGCTTCATGAGATCCGCATTTTCGTTCACCTCCGTAGCCGGGCTGTTGGGACATGAATCTTCAGGCGCCTCGACCACCAGCAACTCAACCGGTTGTTGTTGGCCCTCCGGCAGATCAGAGTTAGCCACCGGCTTGCGCTTGGGCGTCGACGGTTTGGAAGCCGGCGTTCGCTTATTCTCTGGCTTTGAATGCTCGCGGAACGATTGTACAGGTACCGGTTTGCGTTTGGGCAATGGGTGATTTCTTTTGGAAGTGAACCTCTCCGGAGTGGGTAATGGAGTGCCAGGAGGTGGGAAAGGATGGCCACGACCGATCGGGTCCTCCGGAGTGCCTGCAGGCCTGGGTCCTTCCTGGCTGGAATGATTATTAGGATGATTGGAATTATGATCTCCCTTCCCGAACATATTCCATCCCCATTTCTTCGCCACGGCGGTGGCCGCTCCGATGGAGAGAGTACCCAGTGTTTTCTCCTCAGAGGAGGACGAAGAATTTATAGACTTTGTAAGGTTCTCCAGCGTACTCCGCCGACGAGGTTTCTCTTTTGGCCTTGACAAGCCGGAGGCGCCATTTGCATCTTCCAGACTACTAGAACTCGTTCTCACATGGACTGACGAAGGACGCTGAAGAGGGTCATGGGCACTAGTTTCTCTGGTGCTCTTGAATGTCTCGTTTATAGAAGAGCCAGAGCTCTGAGGTGCGCTGCCTGGAGTGATTAGACCGTCCTTGGGCGGCGAGCCATTAGGTGTCCTATTCGGCGAAGACGGCGGAGAGCGGCTTGAGATCTCGATCATTGCGCTTGTTGCAATACTCTGCTCAATAGATTTGCTATCACGCACAGGTTTATCAACCTTGGCAGTATCTGCAGTAACCACAGGATCTGCAGTGTTGGAGAAAGTCTGTGCCCGCATCGCTGGTGGAAACTGCTGCATGTTACTTGCTGATTTATCGATTGCTGATGAAGTCCCATTTGAGTTACTCAGATGCTCCCGAATTGACGATTTCGAGGTGCGTCTCGATTTGAGCACGGTTGACGAAGACGCATGAAGAGTGGGCACGCTCATGACACGTTCATCTTTTCTCTTAAGCATCGCAACCGGATCCTCCTCGACAGCACCGTGACTTGGAGGCTGCTCCTCGGGTTCACATGGTATTTCCGGTTCGGGTTTCGGCTTGGGTATCTCTTGTTCCCAGATTCCGCCCCGAAATGATTGGGAACTAGTATCCAAGAAAGGGATATCATCCCAGAAAGGAAGTACAATGCTCTCGGCGACGACTTCTCTGATTCTGCTTTCAATGGCACGAAGAACAATGCCCAAAGTGATCTGCTTCGAACTGACAATGGGCTCTATATCCATCACCATATGTGGCATCGACTCGAATGAAATCCAACAGCGATTGCTTGGGGGTGGCTTAAAGCGTAGCAATCCATGACCCTCGAGCTTCTTCAGCACCACCGCAAGGACCAGATCGACTTCTCTCGCCTTAAAGCGAGACCCCAGCTCAATACGCACAGTGGCTGAAATCTCAACCCGGAAGTTCCCCGAGTACTGAAGGTCGGCTTCAACACAACAATTTCCGTCCACAGTCAAATCCTTGAGTCGTGGGTTAGTTATGAAGGGAGCTTCCTCTCCCATGTCGATCCTCTGAAGGCCGATCTTGCTAACAAAGTTGGGTTTCTTAACGCGAGATATCTTTTTCGTGATTTTCTTGCGCACAAATTCCTCCATTTGGGGTGTCTTGTATAAGGCAAGGAACAATCGACCCAGCACAGCATTGACCCATCGTGTCTGCAGCTGTTCCTCGGAGGAATGCAAGCGCTGGACGAGGGTAACAATATGCTTGACATCGAACTGCTGAGACTTGGGAGGCAAGTCTGGGTTATTTCCCATCTTTCCCTGGTTCTGCAACATGGCAAAGTAGAAGTCTTCCTTCTCTGACAGATTCTCCGAGAACAAATAGAAGGGGGGAGTCGGTCCTCCAAGATCGCCGAGGGAATCCAGTCGTCGCGAGAGACAGATTGCATTCCTCTTGATCCATAATTCGCCTTCCTGTATCTCACCCTCTCCACCGTAGATACTCACAGTGTGATGCGCGAGGGAAATTACATGTCGCACCTCAACCTGGTGTGCATCGTCATAGAGCATCAAATGGCCATGTCTAGCAGAAGTATATTGTCACTAATGAGGTCCAGACAACTAACTCCATAATGACACTCAAAGCAAAAGCAAAAGCAAAAGCAAAATAGCACAAAAGGGCAAAGTTATTTACCTCAGAACAATATAGAACACATTCCTCGCCTTCTTCAAGTTCTTACCATTACCCTTAACCGGCTCAATACTCGGCGCTTGCTTCCGATCGAACAAGCTTCGGTACATAGTCTGATAAACACTGGGACTTTCTGCGGCAATCACCTCCCCAGCAGGCGTTGTCCTCTCGGGAGGCTTCCCATTGACCCCGCCAGGCACATACTCACGACAGACGGCGAAATACCCAGCGGCGACGTCGGACTCGTAGGTACGATGGAACTGCTCCGCCAGCTCATCCGTGCCAGATTTCAGGCTGTACTGGTCATCGGAGGGATGGCGGAGGTCGTCTCGAGCCCCTGCGTATTCTCGTTCGGAGTTCTGCGGGGAAACGGATGGGGAGGTCAGATAGACATATAGGAGGATCAGAGCGAGGATTAACGGTAATAAGGTGATGCCGCCGAGTATGTACACGAAAAGGAGGCTTCCGAGTGAACCCATCGGGAGCTGTTGATTAGTGCAGAAGCTATAACCAAAGCGCCGACATCACGGACAGAGAAGAGGGCATTCGGAGGGAGAGTGCAAGCAACGCGGGAAATCTGGATTCTCGACGAAGAGATTCCACGTTGAAGAGATAGCTTTCAAGACTTTTTTTTTTCTTTTCCTTTCCCTTATTTCTTTTCGAGGGGAAGAAGCGTGAGACGAGCATGGTTCAGAGAAGCAGTAGCAAGCAATACATCATGGCCGAAGCTCCGGCCGGCAACAATGTTGTCCCGTGTAACTATCGTATTCGTATTACATCATCGTCGCTGTCGCTGAAGAAGGGTGTGCTTTTCTCATGCCACGGGAATGCGGCGTCCCTCGGTCTACTTATGGAGAAAAGAGAAAAGAAGAGAAGAGAAAGGAAAATGAATAGATGACGACGTAAAAACAGCACTGCCGACCCCACAACATCCCAACTTAATCCTTAATAGCATGTTCTCTTTTGATATCCCCCTATCTTCTCCGCTTCATGGTCTTCTCGCACATCTCGATTAAGCCGTCCTTGGCTTCGCTAGCGGGAAAATCGCTGATTGCCGCTACAGCCTTGTCGGCGAAGTCCTGGGCGAGGGCACGGGTTTGTTCCACACCGTCGCTTTGACGGACGATTTCGCGGGCCTGTAGTTGTGATTACAATCCATCAGAATTATTTATTGCCCGCTGTTATTTGGGCTTTCTAAATGAGACAGTACTGACCTTTTCTACATCCCCCTCCTTGCTGAACTTTCGCCCAACAAGAGGTCCCAACTCCGGGTTTTTCTTCCAGGCGAACAAGAGCGGAGCTGTCGCAAGACCCAGTTCCAGGTCGGCACCAGCAGGCTTGCCCAGCTCTGCACCGCTGACAGTATAATCCAACATGTCGTCCACGAGCTGGAATGCCAGGCCCAAATTGCGTCCGTAGGAGTATGCCGCTTCAACAACTTCGGGAACACTACCCCCGAGCAATGCGGCCGCGCGGCATGATTTGCTGATCAAGCTAGCAGTTTTGAGGTAGGTTTTGTCCAAGTAGTAGGAGATAGTGTTTTCGGTAAACGCAGGGTTGGCCTCGTCCTGGGCAGTGTTCTTCAATTGCATGAACTCACCCTCCACAAGGTTCGCAATCACTGTTGCCAAAAGCTCGGTCACTTCGGGATCTCTCAAACGTGCAAGAGCAACGGAAGCCCGACCCAGTAAGAAGTCCCCGGCCAAGACGGCCATCTTGTTCCCAAACTGGACATTCGCGGAGTTGGCAGATCGACGGCTGACAGCGTTATCGATAACATCATCATGCAAAAGCGACGCAGTATGAATCAATTCGGTAATCTCCGCGAGCCGTCTTTGCGAAGGAAGGATATTGTCGTCGCCCGTGAAGTCGTATTTGCCCTCCGCAGAAGAAGCAACAAGAGGATTGATGTCGGGATTCACGTCCGCAAGCACGGACGGAGAGCTAATGGGTTGGTCAACTATTCCCACACCGGCAGGCATTGAGCGACTCATCCTCGGTGCCAGCGCTGTAGCCTGGGACATGAGTAGCACCAGGAGAGGCCGCATGTGTTTGCCTTCACTTTTGGTATAATACTTGGCGACCTTATCCAGCATAGGGTGTCCCGATCCCAACAATTGGCGAATGTTCTTCGTCAAAAACTTGAGCTCCTTCCCAACAATCCGCAACGGGTCTACTGAAATACCCGGAGGGGCCTTTGGCAGGCCTTTGGTGAAAATCGCCTGAGCAGCGGAGACGGCTGCGCTGAACGGTGACCCATTTTTCCGCCTCGTAGGATGGTAGTTTCGGGATTGGAGATGAATCCGGGTCGCGCAAAAGTCATCATGGAGGCATTTCCAGCATATCGAAGAGCTAGAGGAGGACGAAGATGCGGTTCGTGAGCACAGTATCAGCCCCGAAGCTGCAATTGCCCGAGCTCGCATGGCTCAATTGTGTAAGGATGAGGCGGAATCAATCCCTGGCTGTAAGCATAGGAATTGACCAGTCTAGGAGACTGGAGGGTTATCCAAGCAGACAAATCAAGGGATAATAATGTGAATTAAAAGGAAGGAGAATGAGGATATGGACTCGGGTGTTCAGCGTCAGCGACTTTTTAGAGTTCCGCAAAGATCGGTCCAGCGAAGCTTTGAGAGAGCTCTTCCGCAGCTCGGGACGGAACGGACTCTGGAAGCATTGCCTACGCACAGCTGGATACAGAATAAAAATGACCATGCTTGCAATTCACACATAAAATTCTTATTTAGGAGTTGTTGTGTGTTAAATATTAAAACAAAGGTTGCATGCCGCCAAAAGAGGAAAAGAAAAAAAAAAGATAGAAAAAGAGAAAATACTGGCAGACAGCGTATGCAACACTGTCTGGTTAAACCCAATGATAACCGTACGACCTTTATATGGAAACATCCTGCGTATTTCTCCTCGTACATACTCAAGAGTCGGATTGCGGGCAATGCAAGGGCCGAGAATGCCACGGGCAAAATCGGCGCTGCACAACTATAGCCTTCTATATCCCCTAGATAGCATCGAAATCTCCGCCAGCATCCTCATCATCCATATCACCTTCCTGGATCTCCTTAACTAGCTCCCGCTCTCGCTCGCGAGCCTCCTGCGCGCTCTTCAGCTCAAGACGATGCTGGTTCATCGGAAACCTCATAGCCTAGCGAGACAAAACATCAGTATCAGCGATAACAAGAAGAGAAGGGATAATGATCATAGGTTGAGGAGCGCATACCTTGACACTCTCATCGTGAAGACTCAAACATGCGGTAATACGATCATGGAAGGCCTCGCCAGGTTCCCGAGTAGCGTAGACGTCTCCAACGTCTTTGCTCTTCATGAATCCTCGCTCGTGATCCAAAGTAGCTTCGATGACCCCGTCTCGGATTGCCTTGGCAACAATGTACTCGGCTGACTCCTCGCTATCCAACCCCAGACGGAGACAGATGTCCCGCAGAGAAATGCGGGAATAAGACAGTGACATCATCCGGATGCCCGTCTTGATAACATTCTGTCTCAAACGCAGAATGAGGGTGTACGTCCCGTCTTTCCTGAACGTTGCACTATGCGTATTCACGGTATTCAGGAACCCATCCAGGTCACCTACGCTCACAGCGCGGGTGAGCAAAAAGTACGGGTGCAACGCCCGTTCCAGAGCAGGCTGCCGGAAGATGGACCGGTCAGGGATATCACCCATCAGGAGTTCAACTACTGTAAGCAGTTTATGAGAGGCTTGGTAGAAGCCACGTGCACTGCTGCTGGAGGGTGACTTCCGAGTAGCTCCAATCAAATGCCCATGAGCGTCAGTGTACTGCAGCTGGATGGCACGGATCCGACCCAGGTAGTAGAGGTAGCGCGCAATTTGATTGTTAGAGGCAGAAGAAGGAAATCTGTTGTGAGATATGAGCAAGTCTGCCTGGGAGATATGGGAAGTTGATAGGTAATTGCGCAGCAGAAGCGTCATGACGGTGGCTTGCGTATCCACATCTTTCCGGAGGACTGCTGTTCTGAGGGCCGCCAGCAAAGGCTGGCGAATTGAGATGACTGTCGCAGCGGGAGAAGGTGGAAGCGGGGCGAGTTGCTCGAAGAAGAGAGAGTAATAGAAGTAGACGCGAGCAGCCAGGGAGTCAAGAGTGCGACGGTTGAGAGTCCGCAAACGCTCGACCAAGCCCGTTGAGAATTTGGCACCGCGTTGGAAATCTTTCTTTTCGTAGAGATGGATCTGGACTAGAATAGACAAGTATGTGTCCACCTCGGGAAGCACTTCTTTCGGGGATGGTTTGCTCTTCTCCGAATCGATAGCCATCTTCGAACTGGCCACAACGCTCTCAAAAGCTTCCTTTCGATCTACTGCATCAAGGAGGAAAGACGCCGTGAGGCTTGAGGGCGGATATGTCTCAATAATCACTTCTGCCAGCACATCTGCTGTGAGATGTTTACGCATTGAAGATATAGACCGCAGAACACGGAGGGTGAACCGGGGGTCGAAGTGTGACACAGCTCGCTCGAGCAGCAGGAAGTTGGCCTTTATATCTGAATTTTCAAAGGTTTCGAACCGTTAGGATCAAATATATTGGAGAGGAAATAGAGAAGAAGGGTCGTATAGGACCAACCTTGTGTGGCCTTGACCTGGGGGTTAACCTCTGGTTCAGCTGTCTCACCCTCAACACCCTCCATCGCGACATCACCTTCTGCCTCCTCACGACCCTGTCCGGGTAATTTCGATCCCTTGGTAGGAGGAACTACAACAGTCATCTCGTCACCATTCCGATCCTTACTGGTGTCGATTGAGGATGTAGGCCCACCTGCCGTGTCATCTACCATCTCAACATCGTCGCTGCGTTCTATGCCATTTTCCAGTGGCGCCGAACCGTTTGTCTGTGACTTGTCACTCATGTCGGAGTTCGAAGCAACCTTCGCAGAGGCCGCCTTTTTGGTAGACGCGGATTTGGCCTTGCCAGCAGTGGCGCGAGGGGGAGCAGACTTATCCTTGTTGGAGCTGGAGTTCTGCGAGTTGGAACGTGTCTTCCTCTCGCCGTTTGCAGATGAAGGAGACTCCGACTTATTATTTGATCTCAGCGAGCGCCTCTCGGCCGGCATCTTTTTTCAGCTTCGAGCTCAGATGACGAACAGCAACCGCGGCACCAAGCTGGAGGGAAGGGGACGGGAGCACCAAGGTCCCAGAAGTTGATTGGGAAACAGAACGGTAACTAGGTCGATACGACCGATTCAACAACAAACGATGACAGATAGAGCTCCTGTGAGTTGACGAAGATGGGCTGTCGAGGTGATGATGTGATGTCAAGGTTGGCTCTGAAAGACAGGCTGTAGACCGAACGACAGCAAGCTGCTTAGTCACCCTGCCGCCAAGCAGCTCTGCAGCGGTTTCCTGGTCAGCTGCAGCTGCGCCTGGCTCTGGCGCAGAAGCTGAGATTGCACGATGGGGCTGTTCCTGTGATGTTGGATAGTCTTTTATGACAATAGTAGCAAGAATAATGACCGGGAGAGCTGGTTCTCTCGAGGTTGTTGGGAGATGCTGGGAGATTTAGGAGCCTGAGGCAGCAACGGCAGATGCGGCAGCTCTGTTTACTATTATTCTGAGCGCACTGAATGCATCTACGCTATATGCCAACATGTCTTCGTCCATGGCAGCAGCCACTATGGCTTTTCTGGATAATCATCTGGAGCAAATTGCTCTTTCATCCACCGCCATCGCTGAGCTCCCGTAAGTGTCGCCATGTTCGGTCTTGCAGAGCTACGATCAGCGTGCTAACCAACCCTCAAGTTTCCCTCCACCAAGGATCTTCACGAATGCAGTTCTTGGATCGCACGATATCACTGCCTTAATACGCGATACAGAAGCTCATGAACGTGCCCTTTTCCAGATCGACCCTGCTACGAAACTCCAGAGGCGTGCGACGCGAAGAGGGGCTCCGGAGGGAGAGTCAATAGCCAGTCGAATCTACTCGGCTAGAAACAACCGAAACCAGTCGGCAGTCGCAAGAGTCCTGGGCTCTGATATGATGGAAGAGATTAAACGGTCCACTGGCACCTCGAGAAGGGGTCAAGCTGGTGAGATTAATGTTGAGGTGCTTCTCAAGGGAGCGGAGATCCTCTGTAAAGTCTAGTATGTCTCGTTGACCGTAATCTTCTCCATGTCTCTAACAGTCTATCAGTCCAGTCACTGGTGCCCAGGAAAAAATTGCCACCCTACGTTATCGTCATCAGGTAATCTCAGAATCGATTGACAGCCTAGAAGAACGCGTAGCCATGAACTCGGCGGAACTGGAACAGATGAGCCGCTCATACGGCGACGATTATGACGACTACGACATTGCAACCATATCCCAGCCAGAAATCCCGGATGTTACAGATGAAGACATCGCGCGGGAGTTGGAAGAAATCCGAGAGTTGGAACGCAGGAAGCGGGTTTTAGAAGAGCGCGTCAGCGGCATGGAAAAAGACCTTGGTGGTCTGGTGTGGTAACAGCATTGTACCCTCCTTGCAGGGGCCAAATACAACCTGTGAACAGCCCCCTTTGACCATGTGGGTATGTCGCCCTATATTCCTGGGGCAAATGCAGAGTGTCATGTCACCGTTCCGGTGGCATCTTACGGCTGGATCAAGACAAGTGGCCAACAACTTCTCGATGGAGTACTCTCGGATTCTTATGACCAAGGATCAAGAAGCCAGTGCACGTTCTTCAGGGAAACGATTCATCCTTATTCTGGAGTCTGACATCTTCGCCGTTACCTCAGTGACTGGTCAGAGATTTTTGCTAACACTTCATGCGAAATCATGAGGAATGAGGCAATGGTTTTCTGTTTCCTTTTTTGGGGCATGACAATGCTGCAGTGATGGGGCTGCTTTGGCTTTAACGCATTGCCTTCCAAAGATGTGTAGGGCTATTGGCATTCATTTTACTAAGGGCTCTATATGCGATACACGATGTCTGGAGCAACAAGCTCTCGCTAAATCTCCCAACTAGAGTATCGGGAAGTATCCGGATATGATATGACGATTCTGAAAATTCTGATTTAAATGCATGGTAGAGATTGCAATATTAGCTACCATCATCTTTTCCAGCAGCAATTTGTTTCCTTTCGCCTGTCTTTTTTATGTCTCGAGAATATCCACTGCATGCATCTGAATACTGAGAGATCGCGTCGCAGACCCAACCTCCTTCAAAGGCAAAATTTATAGATACCCAGAATCTGCGAGTAAAAGTAAATAAAATGCCTGTCAGCTGTAACTCCATTGCGGACTGCTTGGCAATGTTGGGTGATGTCAAGAATTGCTGTTCAAGTGAAGCTGCTGTAGTGAATCCGAGATGCCAAGCCTGAGGCAGCATCCCGACATCAACCTCAGCTCATGCCTTTTGTACCTCCAAACAAAGCCAGCTTCAGCATCATCTCCCCTGCTGTTGATCAACACATGCTGCTACGCTCCTTTCATTCTGTGCACTATTTTCTCATATCTAGGCCTTACTGACTCGGTTCCTGTTGCTTATTTCAGCTCATTGTATCTTGTCTGTTTGCCTCCTTACCTTCGCTTTGTGACGCCGCAGTTGGCGTCTCAGACACTGTTTCTGAACTGCTGCAGCCCTTGTATAGGGATCAACTGGCAATATGGATACATCCAGCACTCCAGCGAATCAGCCAGCTCCTCAGCATCATTCCAACCTGATACGAGCGGAGCAAGTCGGGAAGCTGCCTCATCTGGACCAGAAGCAGAAGCTGGACTACACTGCTGTCGTGCGCAACCTCTGGGATATGCTGAATGGCCGTGACCCTCAGAGTCCAGAGTATCAAAATGCGCTTGTGAGACTGAACCATATTTCTCAGACTCTCATGAAAGGAATGCGGGTATTCCAGCAGACTCGTCAACAGACCCAGGCGGCAGGTCAAAACCAACAGGGTCAGTCGGGCCAACGGCCGCAAGCTCTCAATCCGCAGAATTTTACCCAACTCCTCCCGCAAATCCAACAGAAGATCAACAGCATTCAGCTCCTTCCCCCTCTGAACCTCGCCCCGGAACAAGTGCCGCAATGGCAAGCTGAAGCAAGACTGCGTTATGGAATCGCACTCCAGAAGCATGAGGTTGGTCGAGCTCGTCTCGCTGAGCTGCGCCAGCAGTTTTCCCAGCGACAGAGTGCAGGAAACATGAGTAGGGAGGAGGTACAGGAGTTCAAAAATCGGCAGTTGGTGGCTGAAAAAATTCTCCGCGAGGGTAATGAATTCTTGACCAGATTCAAGGACCAACAGGAGAATGTCAAGGCTCAACGAGCTCAGCAGCTTGGCCAGACGGCGGTGCAAGATACCTCAGGTCAAGCACAACCTCAAACGGCACATCCCGATCAGGCCCCAGTTGCTACAACAGCTCCTAGCGGAGAGAACCGCCCAGCAAGCGTTTCAGCCCAAGTGCTTCCTGGACAGGTCACAGCACCCGCGCCCCATACCATCAATTCTGCTGTCACTGCGGCGAGAAACCAAGCGGGTCAAGTATCAGCGTCCCCCGTGACTTCCCAACCCAGTCAGACTCCCACCGCGCAAGTCCCAGCTGCAATTTCTGCCCCTCCTCCTCCCCCTTCACAGCAACAGCAACAGCAGCATCCCCAGCCCTCTCAACCTCAGACTCAGCAACAGCGACCGCAGGGTATGCAAGGCATCCAGGGCGTCCAGGGCGGGTTCGCTCAAACCACGAATCCAACCGTCTCCGCGTCAACCACGACTGCACCCACTGCAGGTGCACCGCTGCCTCCCATCCAACCCCCGCATCAACAGGAACAACCGCGTCCCTTGTCTCATCAAGCAGCCATGCAGCAAGCTGCCCAGAACTACGCAAACAACGTGAATCAGCAGAACATGCCCCAGGCAGCTGTCAATCCCCACGCGCATCCTCATGGCTACATTCCCAACCGTAACACTGAGAATTCGACTCGCAACACTAACATGCCCATCCCGAAAAACCTGAACGTGTCGGCACCAGAGCCCATTCCGATGGCGCCTGCGAGGCCAACTTTGTCAGGTGGACCCAGCCATGGTGCCATGGGAATGATGGGTCAGCCTGCTATCCAGAAGCACCCTGGTTACGTCCTCGAAGGCGAAGGCCAGCGCGTCCTCAGTAAGAAAATGCTTGATACCTTGGTCCGCCAGGTCACTAGAGGTGGCGAAGGTGAGGGACTCACTCCTGACGCGGAAGAGGTAAGAAATTCTTCCCTATATTCATTTTATTTTCTTTCCATCTGTCTATGCTCCTTATCGATGGCCGTGTAACTGATGATGACAACCAGTTCATTCTCCAAATGGCTGATGACTTCGTCGATGACGTTGTCACCGCTGCGTGCCGCCTTGCCAAACTCCGACCCTCGTCCACTCTCGAACTCCGTGATATCCAGCTCGTCCTGGAACGTAACTATAACATGCGCATCTCAGGGTTTGGTACTGATGACCTTCGCACCGTCAAGAAACCCCAGCCAACTCAAGGCTGGACCCAGAAGATGTCTGCCATCCAGGCTGCGAAAGTCACCCAGGGAAGGGCTGAATAATTACGATGACAATAACGATGATGATATTTGTTCTTGTTTATTCCTCATTTCTCAAAGAAGGTACCAGCTACACTACACTATGCTGTCTTCGTTCTACACTATTTTTCCCCCTCTTTACTTTATTCTTCTCGATTTCTCTCGTCGCTCGACAGGGTTAACTAAATTAATACTGGTTATAATGTCAGAGGGTGGCTTCTTTCTTCGATTGTGTGCCCCAGGTGTGCTTAGTCCCTGGCTCCTAGATGGGAATACTTTTCATATGCTTGTTTTTGTTTTTCTATTTGTCTATCTGGGAAATTGTTCTGTTCTCTAGGTGAAAATTGCGACTGGCGTTGACGGGGACTGGAAGGGACGAGCAGGTCAGAGAAATCAATATCATCATCACCGTCATCGTCTAGCTAGTTGTCAATGACTGAAACGAAGTATCTGAAATTTTCTAAAATTTCTATGCCATTTGAACAAAAAAAAAAAAAGTCAACCGAATGAGGTGCTCTATGCGTGGCCATTTTCTTCCACATTCTCCCTTGTCCTTCATGAACAGCCAGGTAAAATAATAAGTGTCAGAAAGAAAAGGAAGCCAGAACCAGGTCTCTGCTTATTGTGTTGGGTTTCTTCTATCAATCATCTAGACAAAACTCCCTCAAAATCATGAAAAGACCGAAACAAGAATCCTGTTTCTCTGCCCCTCCCATATATGCAACTAAGAGAGAACCAGGCGAAAAAAAAGAGAATCACACAATTACCATGTCACGCTAAAAAGGAAATGATTTATTAAAGGGCAAGGTGACAAATGTCAAGAGAAGGGTAGCGGTAAACCAAAGGAACTGGTCAGACAACAAAATCCAACATATTACATGGGTGACTTGATGTACGAGGTATCATGATACCAGGAAGGTGAAAAAGGAAAATGAAAAAGGAAGGGATGTGAAAAGCGCGTTCTCAAAAAGAGATGAACACAAGAATGGCTTAGCCACACTGCTAGTGGTAGGAGGCTGATGCTGATGCGGCTTGCCCTTATAAAATCAACAATCGAGATAATACAACGCAATGCAGGGGTAATTCACACGGTAGCAACAAAGCTAGCAAGAAAAGAAGTAAAGAAAAAGAGTGACTCGAGAGAGGCGAAGAAGAGACAAACGAAAGTCGACTTGCATTTCCAAGAGCTTTTGATGCAATGCATGTATCCCGTCGTAGACGGATCCGGCCGTTCCTGTCTCAGACGGCAGAGGTAAAAGGAATAGTAAGTCTGAATAAAATGGGTAATATAGTGACCGTCTAGGCAAGAAGGTAGACGGAGATCGCCAATTATCAAGTAAAGCGTATGTCAATCATGGTAACATCAACACTCTCGCCGGAGTGATTTCTAACTCGGAAACAGAGAAGCATAGCGCTAAAGCGGTGCTGATGAGACGAAGAACAAGGTAATGTACGACACCCGAATATTATGGCACTAGGCAGAAGCGAATATAGCGAAACAAGCGAGAATTCATGAACAGAATACGAGACATGTCTGCGAGTACTGAAATTTTGCAGTCGACAGGGTTCTATTGGTCTGCCGATGGTCGTCTCGAGTCATCGCTTTCTCTTGTTCCTTTCCCCTTCCCTTCAACGCTGTGGTGAAGATGGTGAGGCATGTGACGGAAGTGGTGAGAACTACCTTCATTGGGAAGGGGCGGCAAATCTTTCTCTGCGTGATTGGGAAGAGGCCAATTTTCACCATGTTGACTCTGTCCTCCAGTACTGCTAGACTCGCCGGCCTCCTCGACAATAGGAAGTGCCGAGGCACCGGCTTCAGCGTCTCCAGGAGTCCAAACTGTGGACAGCGTCCGAGAATGCGCAGGGTGCGGCTCCTTGGCCGCTTGCTTTTCAGCCGCCTGCAATTGTCTTTCAACGGAAGATGATCGACGATTGTGATCAGCAGACTGCTCTCGGCGGTCTGCTTCTTCTTTGGACATGGTTATGGCATCGATAAACTTGTAAAACCGTTCGCCGTAACTTTGCGGGGGGATTGGCGAAATTTGTGTCCGATCGTGAGAAAGGCCCTTGACAAAATGCTCTATCCTTTTCACCATTCCATACTGCGGACGTCAGTTACATCGGAACGGCACGGCAACCTAACAAGAAAAGGTAAAAGGAGCAGGAGCCGGGGAGGGAGCAGGGAGAATATAGACAATAACAACAGGGTTCACGTACATGAGTCAGAAAATCGATAATTCCTAGATAATATATCTCATCCCGATATTGGCCATTCTCATCGGTAGCTCTGAAACCCCCGTCGTCAGAATAGAAAATATGAGACTTCCTTTCATCGAGAATCTCGTCGGGCATTTTTGCGGCCGCTTGATCAAGAGGAACAGGTCGCTCCCGCTGGATAAGCATTCGAAGTTCGCGAGCCTTGCGTTCGTTCTCCAACCTCGAAGGAGTGCGCATAAGCACATTCGGATTCGAATCTTCATCTCGGTCACCGACTGGCTGGAATACTTGCAGGGTCTTATTCCGAAGCTTCTCATCATTACCTCTCTCAAGGTCATGTATACCAACCAAAAGGGAGTAGTCCATGATCTTGAGCCTCTTTAGAAGCTCGACGTCTCGTTTGAGCTGAGTGATGAAAACCTCCCGCTTCTGCGGGCCACATTCGATGTGCCGGTGTCTTCGGATCCAATTCAGGTCCTTCATGGTCCCTCTAGGATTCTTCTTGAGATCATCCTCACTTAAGTCACGTCCAATAGTGGACCCCTTGAGGTCAAACGTCTGATGGATATCCCGATGAGGTGGGAACAAATTGTTCATGACGACGAAGTGAATTTTTCGGCCGTATGCCATTTTGACACGGTGCAGTCCATAGAATTGCGATATCAAGGTGTTCGGGTTCTCTTCGACATGCTTGTAATATTCGGGAAGAATTTTCCGAAGCAACTTGTGTTCAGAATGGTGGATAGTCTTGATGATATACTTGTAATCTCTCGAGAAGTAGAAGAAGCTTCCGCTCTTTCCTGGCGAGCCCAATTCCGAAAGAATATACTTGCTGGTGAGTGACATTAGGTAGTCGGCAGGGTCCAGTCTGAATTTTGCTCGCAAATGCCGAAACACCCAGGGCGCATAGTCTTTGAATTTAAAATCGTACTTGGCCGAGGGGGTTAATTCGTTTCCGGTTCTGCTCCAGCAACAGTTAGGGAAAGGTCCAGTGAATTGCGTGGGAAAAAAGGGGTATAACATACATATCAAAAGAGAACTTGTGTTTTGCTTGAAAGTCAGCAGGGGTGAGCTCGCGATCCATCTTTGCATTGATCCTTGACACGGTGAATCGTATCCCTGTCAGCATGTTGTATGCAGTGACCCAATTTACATGGTTTTGATCAACTTTGGTCCCTACAATGACACGATCGTCATCATCTTCATCGCGTCGCTTTCTCTTATATTGCCTCTGCTGCTTAACGGCCTTCGCCCAGCGCGCTGCATCATCGTCCGGGTTAGCATCGTCCGGGTGTGAATCAGAGTTGTTGGTTCTCGTAGACCGTCTCATCAAGCTCTGTGATGTCCGCCGAGCGGTACTGTAAGCGGTATCATCGGATTGATCACGACTGTTCCGACGGCCGACCGATCCCCGTCGCGGGTGCAGCGTGTTCCGGTTTCGAAGGTTGGAAGTCGTTGATGCAGTTGGGTCCTGGAACTGACCGCCATCCATACCAGATGGAGGAGCGGGAGGTGACGAGTACCGGTGAACTGTTGAGGCCTTGTTCGAGGGAAAGCCGTCCACGTCAGGAGACAAGAAACTGCGGGGTTCGGGCTGGGAGGACGACAAGCGGGTTGTCGACGATCTGGGCACATCGGTGTCGGAAAGCGCGAGCCGGTCGACAAATGTGTTTTGGTCGCCATTGACCAAGGTCTTCCGTGGCGCGGGCGGCATTGTCCCATTAACGGGTTGGCTGGCAATGGAGGCTGTAACCGAAGCGACATCATGTCCCGTGTCAGAAGACTTCCGTGCCAAGTCCCTGTCCAGTGTGACGGAGCCCCTTCCACTGTCCTTCATGTCTCGCTGAGACCCATTACCCAGAGAGTGTGAACTGCTGTCTTTGGAAAGCGATGCCTCTCGTGTATAGGAGCTAACACTGGATCGGGGAGCAGTCAAGGAGTAGACACTACCATCCTTCAGATTAGTGAGAAACTGTCGATCAGAGTGGTGGGCGTCGAGGTGACCAGTGTCACCATTAGGCCAGTTCGTCCAAAGAAAGGTATTTCTCACGGACGCTTTGTCGAGCGATTTTCCCTGCGGCGGGTCCAAGGAGCGAGGACGGGTGGCGGATGCTGTGCTGGCCATTTGACGAGGGACTTGGTTGGAGAGGGACGGCATAGGCGGGTTGGGAGAGGGCGGACAAAAGAGGAAGGAGAGACAGGAGGAGAGCAGGAGAGGAGTGTGACGTGAGGTCTGCGTGGGTGAACAACCTGAGAAGGTTAGGACCAGGTACCGGGGCCCCTTGGGTTACGCGGGCGGGATTTTCTCCTGGTCGAGACAACAGGAGACAGGGTAAAATTGGAGCAAAAAAGAAATAAAATTAAACAGAATAAACAAAACGAACCAATGGCTGCAAATCTATCTCTGAATAAACGGATGCTGGAATAAATGAATGGATATGGTAAGAAAGAATCGACGCAAGAATGGGAGGACAGACGGAGGTAAACGAAAGCAGGATAGCAGCAGGAGGCGTGGCTGGTGAAGGGCAGAGGGAGTTAGGTTAGTTCATGATGGGTCGGGTGGATAAATCAGAGACAAGGCTGTCCGGGAGATGGAGAAAAGGCGAAACGGAGATGGATTGGTCTTTGATGGACGAAGATGAAGAGGATGAAGAGGGAGAAGAGATGATGATGAGATGATGATGAGATGAAGAGACGAGATGAAGCGATCACGGGAGACACGCCGTCCACGCTCGATGCTGTCTTATTATTATTATATTATTATCTGCTCTTCTTCTTCTTGTCTCCCAAGCCAAGAGACTCTTTAAAATAGAATGCTCATCAATAATCCTCTTCCTCTGTTTATCATTTCTGCCTCCGCGATAACCTCATTTCCCGTGCATAATCTCTGCGACTGCTGCTACTATTATTACTCCGTACGCTCAGCTCATTTCCTTTGACGGAGCACGGCTGCTCTCCACTCAGTGGAACCCCTATGTAGTTGAGCATTAATGATGTTCATTATTATTACAGGGTACGATTATTATTATTATTCTTCTTCTTCTTCTTCTTCTTCTTCTTAATTTTTTATTCGTATTCATTATTGTAGTCATGTTGCTGTTGCTCAATCTAATACTCCGCTCTCGGTTCTAATAATAACCACAGAAACAGGGCTCTTCAATCTCCAATAAATATAATGAATACTTCTACATGCAGTCATCTCTCGCTGACTGCCTGCGATAATTCCTGTTTGTTGGTTGTCACACAATGGCTCCATCAATTGATATCTGGCGAGACCCGAATCCTCCCATGGGTCGAGAACCTCTCAGGCTCTCACAGAGAAAACACGGACTGGCATCTGTGCTGCATATAGCTGATCCAAAGAAACGGTTCATATAATATCTATCCCGGTACTGCACCGAGTACGCCAATGCATGTATTATCCTTACAGACGGGCTGAGCTCGGATCGGCAGGGCTCGTCGTACTTCCACCTGTTCCTCCAGCATTCCACACTGCCTCTGCAGCTGTGATATCATCCAACACGTAAATAATCTACAGATCGGCGCCGGATGCGCCGCACAGGTTAATCATAACTGTCCGTTCCCATTACACTGCACCGCGTACTGCCAAAAGTACTCAAGATGGTTAAAAGAAAAAGGTCCCTTTGCGAATATCCTCCCACCGCACGACGCCAGCCGTACCAACGGAAAAAAAGAAACATCAACCCGTCCCAGACGCAATCTCCATCATCGCAAAATACACAGAAAATAAAGAAGCCAAGGAATATAACAGAAAGGCATAAACGGGGTAACAGAAAGCAACAAAAAAACCAGAGAAAGGGCACAACCCAGGTGATATCATTCGGAAATCCACGATGAAAGGAAGACAAACATGAACCGTATGCAAGAAAATTGTCCAGGCACCCATATTTATGCCATAGTCTTCGTCCTGCCAGTTTTCTTCGTTCTAGTGGTTTTCGCCTCAGGCTTGGCCAGACTCTTAGTTACCCGTCCGGACTTGGTCTTGCCAATAACCTTGGGCTGTTCCACGATTGCTGGGGCAGTCTTCTGGGGGGGAAAGGTCAGTGGAGAGAACAGAACGACAGCGATGTGCTGGTCCACGTACCGTAGTAGTCGTCTTGCGACTCCGAGGCTTGGCTGTGTTAGCTTTGGGCCGTCCTGCCGTCGACTTCTTGGTAGTGTTGGCCACTTTCTTGGTCTTGGCGGGCTTTTCGGCCTTCTCAGCCTTCTCAGGCTTCTCAGGCTTCTTGGTAGGTGTCTTCTTAGTCTTAGTGGTGGTTGCCTGGGCAGAATGTCAGCGTAATTAGAAAGAATAGGGCCTTGTTGGCGCCGGTTGACGAGAAATAATTCTGACCTTGGCTGCAGGCTTAGCTGCAGGCTTCGCAGGCTGCTCCTTCTTCGCAAGCTTCACGGGTCCAGAGGGACCTGTGGAGAGACAAAGCATTAGTTGGACCATAAACATAACAACCATGGGAGAGAGTGCGCAGCGGATCTTATGCCTACCCTTTGGCTGAGTGAACTCTCCCTTCTCGACGCCCGCCTTGATAGCCTTGTTGAACTGGGCATCAAAAGCGGCCGGAGACGCGACGGTGATGTTGTTGTTTGCCAAAACATACTTCTTGATGGACTGGCGGCTGTTCGCGATACAACATCAGCTTCTGGTTGGACAGGAAGAGGAATAAAGCAAAGGGCTCCCGAGCCAAGGCATCGCCAGCTTGTTGGGGCATCCACGGAAAGAGTTACATACCTGCTACCGTTGCGCTCTTTCAACTGGAAAGGAAAGTCAGTAACGAGTTCGAGTGACAGGATGGAGTATAGAGCTAGATGATCGAATAGTCGGGGGAAAAAACAGGTAAACTGAGGCAGAAGAGCGTGTCAGGGTCGGGAAGCGGGCCCCGCGCGACATTACAGATGAAGCGGCTGGGCATCAGCAGTGATCAACTCACGTTCACAATAGCATCCTTGATCATATCTATATGGTTCGAATCAGCGATCATGCGCGACTATAACGATTCCAGGATCACCATAACGCGATGTTGTGGTGGTGGAAGATCAGTGGAAACATACCCCGATAGGAGGCATGAGCAGGGGCGCCACCCTTCTTGGGCGCGGCAGAAGTAGCTTTCTTCGGAGGCATCTTGGACTAGAATCTGGGGTGCTATCAGAGAAGAGACGATAGAGAGGCGTATCTGGGAGAAAATAAGCTTCTCAGGAGAGAGGAAACAGCTGAAGAGTGTGGAGGCAGAAGGGGAGAGGAAAACAACTCGACGGGAAGTGATGGCAAGGGAGAGCCGCGGGGCATCCGCGCTTTATAGGGCAGCGGGTGTTGACACAAGATCACTCCCGCGCACTGTTCTGCACCCACAACGCGTCAGAAAGAGCCGATCTTTTTTTTCTATTTTCCTTGCTCTGCTGTTTGGGCTTATTTCTAATACATGTTATTGGTTTTATTTATTTACCTTTTCTCTGGTTTTGCTTATTTCTGTGTGAGTTGGATATGTCACTGTTCTTCTACACAGAATCCAACCTGATCGTGTTGATGAAGGATTCATATCTGAGGTGACAATGACAGTAAAGTATAAATAATAAACACTGGATTTTGGTTTCTAATTGTGTCTTGATTCTTGTCTTGGCTCTCACCAAGCTCTAGACCTGCTACTCTGTAGTAGATCAATGATTATCCCTCAGTGCAGCTCCTCTACTGTAACCCACACAGCAGAAGCTACAGCAGAAACATTGACCTGCGCATAATGTCAAGCAGTATAATAGTATACTATGTAGAGAGCATCCGTAATATATATAATATAGTACACACCCCGGTAGAAATATGCCCGTTTACCTAAATATAGCAGGCGATGTTGAACAGTGAGCACAGAGCATTCCCATTGATCTATCATATATATACTTCAAATATCCATCAACTCACTGATCTCAAACAAAACTTCTTATATCTCCTCAATCCAAAATCCAAGGAAATGCCTTCGAGGACAGCTACGTGTAAATACTTCAAATCTTTGCCCGAGTCCCGGTGTTTGTTGGGGATCAGACTGTCGTATCATCAGGGATGGTTCTAGCTTCGAGGGTTACTTTTTCATCTTTTTCGCGGTCTGATCCCTAGTTCTATAGAGGTTGATTTGACACAGATTCTAGAGAAGAATGTCACACGATAAGAGATAATCGATATTTATTCATTTTTGTTCTCAGCGTCATAGTACAGCGTGCAACAGATCTAACCCCAGATAGTATTAGGTTTTTTCCTCCCAGGACAACGCCAGATCACACAATTCCACATAACGCCTAGCCTGGACCCCATCGTGAATCGAAAGACATGGTGAACTTGTCACTGTCGCAGTGTTCGAGCCCTCATCCCCTTTTATTTTTCTATTTTACTTTTTTAACACCCGGTTGAGAATCCTCCTATGTCGCCTACACGGCTCCGCGAGGTCTGGCTTTGGCCTCCTTCTTCGCCTTGGCCTCTTCCTTCTTCCGCTTCTTCTGCTCCTGAATTTTCTCTTCGTGTTTGCGTTTGAGGCTCGCCTTTTCCTCCTCAGTCCTAGACACAGGCTTAAAAAAGCCCTCCAGCCTCGATTGCTGGGCAGTTTTAAGATTCTTCTGCAGCCGTGCCGCACCGTTGCGCACCCGGTCCTCGCTAAAACCCTTGTCTCTCACCAGAAAATCCACCAGACCCTCAACGTCAGGAGATTCCCATTTAAAATCAAGGGCCGGGTCATTTGCTTCCCTCACGTCCGGGTGGAGAAAAAGCTCTCTAGCGTCTTCATATGGCCAGCTGTCGGGTACCACGTATTTCTTTTTGGGGTCGCTCTGCATATATTCGACTACCTTATCCAGGCTTCCATGCTCCCGAATCAGCTTGAGGGCTGTATTAGGACCGACCTTTGGGATAGGCTCCAAATAATCGCAACCAAGTAATATACAAAGATCAATAAACTGCATCCATAATGGTCAGCATCGCAGGCTCTGCAATTAGAGAACTCGAATTCTCGGGTTGTATTACCTGCTTGCGGTCCATATCAAGCCCTTCCAGTGCGCGATCCAGGTGGATTTCTTGAATAGGCTCTTTCCGCTGTTCACTAAATGTAAGATGCCTTAGTAGAATAGGTGCCTCGAAGCACAAAGTATCCATGTCTTCAGATGCAGCAGCGTAGACCTTCCCCGCCCTTGCAAGGACAGCACATTGAGCTTCTGCTTCTGTAGGTGCGTCGATATATGGAATGCCCATGAGTTTCAAGAGTTTCTTACACTCCGCATTATGCTCCTTCGTAGCGCGTACTGTTCGCCGCGAGAACTTCTCCACATCCTCTGCGGTACCCGTCTCCTTAGCTTCTTCATGCGCCTCAGTTGCCTCAGATTTTCGAGCAGAGCGCTTAGCCAGTTCTCCGGACTTGAGTTTCGGCGGTGCTCCATCGAAGACGTAGAGAGGCTTGATACCGTTGTCGACCATGCGTAAAGTGCGGTAAAACATGCCCAGCAAATGCGACGTCGTCTCGCCCGTATCACTCATGAGTTGCTGGCCATCGGAACGAACAGCAATGAGGAAACTGTAAATGCTCATGGATCTGTGTGGTATCAGCTGTGGATTCTCCCTGAGGACCGTCAAAAGGCGACATTGAAACCAAACAACGTACGCATCCTGTGAACAGCGATCAGCCATCAGCAACTGAAAGGTTCTCCACGCAACCACTAGATCTGGCAGAGTTGAAAGAACATACTATCGCGACTTTGCGGCCGAAATGATTTTTGATCTCCCCGGTCTTAATGGCGTCGGGAGCATTGTCTGCGATCACCTGATAAAGATCTGGGAGAAGAGCATCATCGTGAGCAACATGACGTTGCGATTTGCCAGAGAGCGAAGACGGCAGACTCACGTTTGATACCCATGTTGCATATACTACTGTGCTGGAAGTATAGATGCTATGCTCTTCTGCCAGTTCACGTCGCTGTTCAAGGCAGCCGCCGACCTGTCTTTCGTCGCGACTCGACGCGTCACGGGAGTGGCTGTATTAGAGCTGATCGGGACTAGCGCGTCACAATAGATATCACGTGAAGACTCCTCCCCACATCCGGAATCGGGGCCGGGTGAACGTTTTCCGGCTCTCAGTCACCTGGTTCCACATCCGGATAAGGCTATCAACTCCGAGAGTCGCATCTCCATCTCATCTCGTCTCAACACCCTGTTCCCCGCGCCGTTTAGCGACTCCGGGAACTGCTGTCCTCGAGATGTCGATGATGTTGGACTTGCAAACCAACCATGAAGCGGAATCGTATGCAGTTTGAAGCCAATGGCGATGCGACCTCTGAGTCTCCCTCTCAGGGCGCAACCAAGTTCGCGCCGACCCCCGAAGATGACTCAAGGCAAAGGGAGCGACATATTCCGAAGATATCGCGCAGGATTCGCGCATGCACTGAGTGTAAGCGACACAAGGTGCGATGCGATATGAATGCTGGCGAATCGGTATGTCAGAGATGTCGTCGCATGGGTTTGGAATGTGTCGTCAACAAAAGTCTCCAGACCCTGCTGCAAGATGAAGCCGAGTGAGACATTCCAGTTCATTCTCCTTCTTCTTCTTTTTTCTTTTTTTATTATCTAACTAGATATCCCCTGGAACAGATGGAAGACTATGATGGAACTTGTGGTCACGGATCTGCTCAAAAAGGCTCAGTTACCGGACCTTTCATACTATCAAGCAAGCAACGAGTCGCCAGAGACGTGGTCGAAAAATGGAAATCGCAAAGCATCTACCACATCAATAGACGATTCTAAAACAGTTCTACTTAATGACAGCAGGGTTGATTCGCCAAATGCTAACGGAGGCGGCGCAATTCAACCCAGTTCATCTAATTATGCGCCCTCCCGACAACAGCCGCATTATACCCTTGAGAAGGGAGAAGACAATGAGGTTTCCTCACTGGTCACCGCGCCAATGGGAAGTCTGTACGAGGTCACTCAGTTGGGCGAGTTGCGGGGAAATTCTCTAGCGCACCAATTTGTGTCTGATCGGGCGCTGGTAACCGACTTCATTTCTCGAGGCGTGGTGCAGTTGCAAGAAGCGGAAGAGCTATTTTCTAATTTTAATCAGGTGTTGAACCGTTATCTATGGGATGGTGTAGTATTGGTGCATAAGGACCTCACGTCTGTCCGAATGTCGTCCTCGCTTCTGGCTGCTGCTATTCTCACCGTCACGGCTCTCCACATGCCCGATAAGGAACAGACTTTTGACAAATGTTACAAGGAATTCTCGAGGCTGGCCTCCGAGTCGATGTTATGTCATCATCATACATTAGATGATCTACGAGCTCTGTGCATTGGTGCATTTTGGCTGGCAGATCTCAGCTGGAAGCTCTCTGGGTATGCCGTTCGCATTGCCACGGAGCTCAATCTACATCAGTGCTACCGTAAAGCAATACGGGGTTCGCCAGAGCATAGGGAGCAGGCTAGACTCTGGTATGTTCTTTATGTATGTATATGTTCCCGGAACCCAAGTTTGTCACGAGAGGTATTAACTCCTATTACGCAGACATTGGAGCACCATTACTCGATTGCATACGGGCGACCTCCCATTATTCACGAAGATTCAGCCATCACCAACCATAAAACTTGGACCTCCTCTTCCACCACCTCGCAGTCTGACATACGCTTGCATTGCCAAGTGGATCTATTCATCATACTCTCACGAGTGTATCATTTTTTTGGCCCTGATGTTGACATGGAGGTACCCGAGGGCGATGTTCCTATGATAGACAGATTTAATGCTGACTTTGATGTATGGCGTGCCGCCTGGCTGCCACGCCTAGGTATGCTTACAGAACCATGTTTTTGATTCCAACGTCTGTACGTTGCTGACCTCTTAACCTCCGGACAGGTGAAAATCGGTACATTGGTACCTATCCATATAAATGCGTCTACTTGCACTATGATTTCTCTCGACTGCAGTTGAATTCGGTGGCCCTTCGTGCTTACCACTCCTCCTCGTCAACACGCATGCTATCACCTGCGCGAAAAAAACATGCAAATATCGCTATCGAAGCTGCTATCGCCACGCTTAGGACTATTTTGGATGATCCCCATATGCGTAAGGCACTGGTGGGAGTCCCATTATACCTTCATTGCATGATTACTTTTGCTGCAGTGTTTCTTCTGAAGATTGCTGCCAAGGTGTGCTCAAATGGTGTTCCTGGCATGTTCGACCAGCGCAACTCCATCGCATCCGCCGGATTGCTCCTAGACATCTCATATGTTCGGGACTTGGTTAGCCAAACAGTGGAGTTGATGCTGACTTGCGGCGAAAGAGCAAGTGACCGGCATCTCAGTAATCATATAGCTCGTGGCTTGAAAAAGATGTTGGCTGGGCTTGAGGAGTGGGAGAAGAGGTGCACATGTAGTCAACAGCCCCATGGGCAGATGCCTCAGGTGACACCCTCGATCTTCGAGCCGATTAGTATCACCGGAGCGCATCCACTGGGCGAACCGCACGCTGTACCTCTGAGCCATCCCCCATCGTTAGGAATGGCTCCTCTGTCTGCCGAGCGGAACAATGGAATTATATCCCAAGAGCCTGGAGTCTCCGAAGGCTCTCTCAACCCCACGACTTTCGACTGGTGGGGTTTTGATGAAGAGTTTTTCCCAACGGGCGTCTTCGACTTCCTACAATCTCAGATGCCTGCTTGATGAGATCGTTCAACTCTATGTACAAGGTCTTAGCATCTGCGATGAGATATATATGTATAATTTGGGCCTCTGGATTGGCGTGGCCTTCTTACTTAACAGGCGCTTTACCAGATGACGGAAGGTAAAATGTGCAGAAAGATTCCCCAGTCCGTCATGAGAGCCATCCCCATTGACGGCTTTGGGGCCCATCCCAGACAGATCCTACATGGATATCAGACTATTCCCGCACTGTTAAGGGGTTGTCTTCCTCCGATTTAGTCGCCACATGCCGACGGGAGACTCGAGTTCAATCATTTGGGACCACTGTCCACAATGTAACTGGCACTCTAGAGGTTCACTTGACACAGGCCACGACCAGATCTACGCATATTCCATGTTATTAATAAAAAGTACATGACCGTAAGATACGAGTAATAAATATATTGCAATTGGACTGACTCTAACAATCAGCTCCGCCTGGAGCCATTGAGCCGCGGCAAGGCATTATTATTCTACTGGCAGAGGCCCTTCCTTTCGCATGCAAAGCCTACGCGTCTAGTCAACACGATGAAAACTTAACTGCATAAGGAAGGTTTAAGCGTTCTAGTATGAGCCTAGGGCTTGGGTACAGCGACAATACTTGAATCTACCGGGGTGAAGCCGGAGAGCCGGATCATCTCGTATATTTAATCTGTAACCACTACGACGGAGAGCCTTTTCTCTTTTGGAATCATAGCGACAGTATTTTTATCTCTTCTTCACGGTTCAAGTGTCCCGTACGGTGTAGACTGTCATATCTTGCACTAGGAAGGGAAAGCTTCCCCGCAGCTCCGTCCAATATCCCTGTCGACCTCGGGTGACACATCAAAGCTAAAGGTAACTAATATAATACATCATTGCTCGAATTAATACGGTGTACCCTCTTTTTTTTACTTATATTAATTGGATTCCTCTTTTCTTTTCTTCCTGAAAGATTCAGTTCAATCGAAAAGAGACCAGACTCCTGGCGACAATGAATCGCTCCATCTTCCTCACGGCTTCGGGTTATCTCCGACCGGCAAGTCGGGTTGCTCCCCTTGTACGTCGCTGTTCACCGGGTACTTTCTCTGCTGTTCGCAGATATGCATCGTCAGCGGGGTTTAACTGGGAGGATCCTCTTCTGTCCTCGGAATTATATACGGAGGAAGAATTGGCGGTTCAGGATACTGCTAGGCAGTACTGTCAAGAACGGTTACTGCCTCGGATTCTCGGTACGTTGTCCTGCTGGCCGAATGGTTCTTTGTCTTCTTCTAATTTATATGTATATTTTTTTAGATGCCTACAGGAATGAAAACTATGATCGCAAGATCCTCGAGGAAATGGGCGAATTGGGCTTCCTCGGAGCCAATATCGAGGGATACGACTGCGCCGGAGTCAGCACTGTCGCCTACGGACTGATAACCAAGGAGGTGGAACGCGTGGATTCCGGATATAGGTCGGGAATGTCAGTCCAGAGCTCTCTGGCCATGACGGGTATTTACAAATTCGGCACGCAGGAATTAAAGGAACGGCTTCTGCCGCAATTGGCCAAGGGGAAGTTGGTAGGGTGCTTTGGCCTGACTGAGCCCAATCACGGCTCGGATCCGGGTTCTATGGAGACTGTTGCTAAAGAGCATCCGACAAAGAAAGGGTATTACTTGCTCTCGGGAACTAAGACCTGGATCACCAACTCTCCTATTGCCGATGTAATGATTGTCTGGGCCAAGCTGGATGGCAAGATCCGCGGTTTCGTGATTGAACGCAGCAAATGCCCACTAGGAACGTTAGAAACGCCAGCCCTGAAGAACAAGACTGCCCTACGAGCATCCATCACAGGTATGATCCAGATGGACAACTGCCCCGTGCCAGCGGATAACATGTTCCCGGATGTGGAAGGCCTCAAGGGGCCTTTTACCTGTCTCAATAGCGCGAGGTTGGGAATCGCTTTTGGAGCGATGGGGGCACTAGAAGACTGCATAGATCGTGCACGCACCTATGCATTAGAGAGAAAGCAGTTCAAGGGGAAGCCTCTTGCCAGATATCAGCTGGTGCAGAAGAAATTGGCAGACGCTGCGACAGATGCTGCATTCGGTACATTGGCTGCGACGCAGGTTGCGAGACTGAAGGACGCAGGGAAGTTGTCACCAGAGATGATCTCCATGGTTAAGAGACAGAATACTGATAGGGCGCTGGCAAATGCACGAATGTATGTTGTTTTCCCTCCTTGAGATGCCGAACACACTCTACAAGGATGCCCATGGACACGATACTGATTTGTCACTGCGACGCTTAGACTGCAGGAGATCTTCGGTGGAAATGCAGCAAGTGATGAATATCACATCGGACGACATGTTGCTAACCTGTTTGTGGTGCAGACATATGAAGGACAGAGCGACATCCACAGTGAGTATCAGCTGCCTCGCCGTTCCACTATTCTAGAGTGATGCTGACTATTGGCAGCCCTGATTCTGGGACGGGCGATTACAGGAGTCCAGGCGTTTGTCTAGATGAGACAGCAAGAATAGGTATCTTTTTGAAGGGGACATCCAATGACATATATTTATCTGCATATTACTGTACAGTCTTCAATGAATGAATAATCCGTTGGAAATCCAGTCACGTGGCATGTATTTTTCTTTCTGTATTCCACATTCCTTCGGTGGGGCCTGCCTGCGCCACAGGCTGCACAGCGTCATCGTTGCGAACAGAATCATGAGCATGACCCGCAAAAAAAATCGGCTTCTGGGAGGGATCCGCGTCATGGATGCCTGATCGGGAAGGAAAGTGGGGCGAGTGCGGATGTGGCTGGTGCGGTAATCGGCGGTACGGTGTGTCACGTACCGTACGCAGGGCGTAACGTCATGTAAAGGCGAACGGCGTGACTTGGCCTTTTTTCGTTTGGTTTCTTCCCTTTCTCCTCCGACTTCCCCCTCCTCCTTCTCTCCCTTCAAGACGTAATAAGCATCAATAATATGTAAGTAATCCGAACCTTTTTTCCTGAGCAAGGGAAGACTCTTTTCTTTTTTAACCTGGGAAATCTCTTCTCTCTTCCTTACTAACCTCTGTAGTCTTTGGAAAGGCCTGATACCCCCTCGTGCTCGCTCATACGATACACCTAAGAGATCCCTCCCTCTCTTTAATCTCACATACTACCCGACATGGCTCTCAAGAGAATTAACAAGGAACTCGCTGATCTAGGCCGGTAAGTTATATACCAATTTTTTGGGTTTTCTTGTTGCGTTGCTCTTGATGATTTTCGTCGCCCACCACTCCCTCCTGCGGGGCTGTCTCTTGGGAGTCATCATACGCCCTTTCGGCATTCGATAGTGTATATCTCTCTTTTGATGGATGTACCAGCTAACCATCTTAATAGTGACCCTCCTTCTTCCTGCTCTGCTGGTCCCGTAGGAGATGATTTGGTGCGTTCTATCTTCTGATCTTCTCGACGGTCGCTCTGCAAAATACCACCCCGCCGCGGGGCAGACAGTCGCCTAAGACATCTGTCTCTCAACAAACATGGTTAGATATATATACTGATATACGTTTGCTTTGTTTAGTTTCACTGGCAAGCAACAATTATGGGTCCTGTAAGTCTTTTCATATATATTATATATATATATTTTTCATTATTTTTTTTTTGCGCCCCTCGAGCCTTGTTCCACAGATTTTGCTGTGCTGTGGAAAGGGAGTATTTCCAGCCATTCAATATTTCAATTTCTGCGGAATCTCACTAACAATGCATTCGCCGTAGGGTGACTCGCCATACTCGGGAGGTGTCTTCTTCTTAACCATTCATTTCCCTACCGACTACCCATTCAAGCCTCCTAAGGTCAATTTCACTACCCGAATCTACCACCCCAACATCAACTCAAACGGCAGCATCTGTCTTGACATCCTGAGAGACCAATGGAGTCCTGCTCTCACAATCTCCAAAGGTCGGTGTTTGTCTGTTTTCAATATATTGCTTGAGGCCCCTTTGGTTCACGATACTAACCTCAATTTAGTGCTGCTCTCTATCTGCTCGATGCTCACAGACCCCAACCCCGATGATCCCCTGGTTCCCGAGATTGCGCATGTCTACAAGACTGATCGTCCCCGATATGAAGCTACCGCTCGCGAATGGACTCGCAAATACGCCATCTGATCCCAGCAAACTCAAATGTGCGCGGCCACCGCGGTCTTCCTCAGTCTTCTCTGCGTCCTTCCTTCCCGTTAGATGAGATCCGAAGCCTGGCGTACCGTGGTCGTAGTTCCTTTAATTGCTTTCTTTGTGGAACATTTGCGTGTCTTTTACGTTTCTTTTTGGCGGAAATGTCATATCAAACGATCATTATGACCAATTCTCATGCATTCATGGCATTCTTATTTTCCAATGGATCTGACAAGTTGAACTGACGGAAACAACACAACGTCTCTGGTCAGTATATCGGTATGAAGATGTTGCTGGTACTTGGCGGCGAAGTTTGCTTGCTGTAAGATGAAGGGGAATGGTGGCATTGCTGTCAAATAAATGGGATTTAGATAATTCCAAGTCAATTTGACGGAAGCTGAGACCGTAGATATGTAGGATTTTCTATGCTAACCATGCATGTACGTTTGTATATCTTTCTGCAAACCAATATTACTCCGGACAATAATAATAGATACAGCCTGCAATGGATTTCAACCTTGTCTCAAACACCAAACCTCTCCCTCATATCCACACCCGCAAAAACAAATTATTCCAACCATCCATCCTAAAAACTGGCAACTGAGCCACTCACTGTCGCTGATTTCACAGATTGTTATGCAAATATAAGAACCAAAATAATGCAATAGACGCAATAGACAATTATAAATGTAGAGTAAAAAGGGAGGGAGAAAAAGAACAAAAGGGAAGAGCGGAATATAACCACAGTGACAAACATGAACTCAAAGAGGGACAATGATGAAAAGACAAAGAAACCAAAAACGAAAAACGGAAACTAACCCATTCAAGTCTCAAGCCACCTGACTCCCCCTGCGACTACTAACCCTAGACCCAACCTTGGACGCGCCACCATCAGCTTTAATAGTCCTCTGAGACGAATACGACGCAACCGACGAAACCTGACTGACGCTATCACTCGGCTTAACCGGTTCGTCGAACTTACTGGACCGTCTCGAGGTATGGGAATTCGCGTGAGAATGAGAGGAGCGATGAGTATAGTGTGAGCGACGCGAGTGTCTCGATTCGGCGTCTTCAGGGTCGACGTCCACGGCGTCCAGGAAGACGGTGCTGGCATCCGCGTTTTCGGGGATGGGTGCTTGGTAGGCCGAGGCGGCGGAGGCCTTGCTGCGGTAGGAGGCGACTGATCGGTCTGGGAGGGGGACATGACGGGCTGTGTGGGTGGAGGAGGCGGTGCTTCCTCCTGCTTGGGATTTCGGGGAAGAATAAGAAGAAGAGGCCTGGTGGTGATGGTAGGTGGAGGAATGACGGCTTGAATGATGCGAATTACGGCTGTGGCTGTGGTGGGATAGACGGTCGATGGAGTGGTTGCTGACTTTGGAAGGCGCTTTCATTGTGGATGACGAGTGCACGCTGCTGGCTTGGTCCATTGTGCGTGGCTTATCCACGAAACTGCTAATGAATGTGCTGGGGTTGCAGGGGAAGGTCTTGGACCGTTCCAAGGGTGGAGGGTATTCGATGGCTCTCAGAGGCATATCTCGTGTGGAGGAGTATACGCTGCCGCTGGAGAATCTCCGTCCATTCCCATCGTCGCCATTGTCATCGATGATGCTACCTCCTGCACCGGGTGGGAAGTACTCGCTGCCTTCGTAGATGGTAGTGGCATGCGGGTTCTTGGAGACATAACTGCGGGAGACGGTTGATCTTGCATCCTGTTGAGGATAGTAGGTTCCAGGAGATGGCGCTTCGATGGCTCTGTACTGCTCCTGCTGCATGGGAGCTGACATAGGAGGTTGTGGCAGAGCCTGGGATTGGTTCCGCGGTGGAAGCGCCAGTTCGAGCAGCTCCCGGGCTATGGAGCGTCCCTGGGATGGGATATTAGAGGAATCTGATGACGAGCCGGAGTCCGCTTTCGCCATGGTGTAGGCAATTGCAGCTCCGGCGGCGGCACCCAGAAGAGTTCCAACGACTGTTTTGGCAGTCGTGTCCCCATCGGATTTCGGGGGCTGTTGTTGTGTCGTGTGTATGATATATGTAGGGCCCGAAGATTGGGTCTCTCGCGTGGTCGTTGATGATGAAGACGAGGTTGTAGTTCGCTGCACGATGGTGGGTGCCTTGGAAACACGGGAATTGTTGGCCTCTGACTTGGCCGCTGACTTGAAGGATGCAACGCTTTCGGGTGGTTTGACCGAGCTCACTTTGGATGGGGCCTTGGAAACGACAGAACGAGAGCCGTCTTCAAGCAGAGCCAGGGTTGGCCCTCTTGCCTCTGATATTGGCCCTCTTACCTCCGACTTGGGCGCGGCTGGGGGTTCTTCTCCTGGTCGATATACCGCTTCAATGCTGTTGCCATCAAAATCAATCACCGCCGCGCTATAGTAGCCAGATAGCGAATCCCGGGTCTTGGGCTCTCCATGAATCTTCCCACCAGCCTTCAGGGCGTGAATGAAGAAGTCACCCACAGCCTCCTTCGAAGGGGCAGGGAAGGCGACATGTGCGGCACCAGCTGGAGAGCTACAATTATAGTCAGCCAGCGTGTCGGATGAAAGCAAGGGAATTGGAACGAGCTCTGACATATTTACTTACCCTGGCTTTTGTTCTGTTATCCAAAAGTCCGCTGGTTGCCCACGTTCCTGGCCAAAGCCAATATAATCGTCATGACGACCAATGAACTGATATCCCAAAGGCTGGAGACAAGACAGGAAGAAGGAGGTGGAAGTCGGCAGGTGGGACACCGTCAGAGTAAGATGAGATACAGGCATGTTCGCGGAAGCCCAGTTGAGTCACTGGGGCGGGGTTTCTCAGCAAGTCCAGGTAAATGAGCGAAAGTGAAGAAGGTAATAATAAGAGGAGGAAGAATTCCAGATGTAGAAATAGAGGAAGCTTCTCTAGTTGAACAAATCCCAGATGTCACTCCGGGCGGAGATTAAGTATATGTACAGGAACAGACCAATGAGTCAGAGACGAGAATGAGAAGAATAGGAATGATAGAAAGGAAAAGAGAAAAAGGGATGAAGCAGAATTGAACATGATGCAAAGTTACTAATGCCCAACACTCAGCATCGTGAAAGCGCTAGGCGATAGACAACAAATCCATCCATGCGATGACAACAGTCGGGCCTCTCCACCTCTATGCCAGAACAGCATAGTCGATGATTATAGATAGCTAGTGCTCCGTACAGGCATGCAGGAGCGCATCACCGCTGCGTTTCACTTGTAAAGAACAGGAATGTTCACGGGACAGCGGTGGCACTGGAGACGGTTGAAGACCCATCGGGCTACGTTCGTCGACCTGTTTCGACAGAGTCAGAAACCATGGGCCATAATGTGATAACAATAGCCATAATTAGAGATAGGGCGTCAAAGCTGCCATGTCACCGCGGGGAAATCAGCGGACGTTCCCGTAGGTGGTCTTTCCACCGAGGTCCATAGCGTCTCTCTCTTTTCCCTGGCACCAGGTCCTTCAGATTGAGATCCAAAACAGGGTCAAGTGCAACAAGGGTGGAGTTTAAGGAGCCAATATCAACAGCGAGCGAGCTGATGGTGAGGTACTTCAAGTCGACAATCAATAAGTAGTAAGACATGAACAGCGGAGCTCCGTGTCAAGGCCCAAAGAGGGACCAGAGCCCAGAGCAAGTAAGGGCCATTCAGCATCCAGGGCGTGGGATTGTCCTCCGTGAGAGGAAGGAGAGAGTTTTTGGGCATTTGTGCCGCTGTTAGTTGCTGCACAGCACTCTCTGACCGCCGAAAAAGCCCACTGTGTGGAGATGCACTGCAGCAGTAATCATGCTATGGCTCTGAAAGGCAGATAACAGGTCAGTTTATGCTTTTCAGATGGATGAATGGATGAATGAAGATGGAATGGAAGAACTGACCAGCGAGGCTGAGTGCTGGCAATGCCACTTGGTCGACTCCGTCCATCATCCTGAGAGAAACGCCCAAAGAAAGGCTGTCGAAACCGGCGAGAATGATAATGATGTTAGTCCTGTTTCATATTATTATTATTACCGTCGATAATAATAATGTCTAATAATGAACAACCTGCAGGTTGAGAAAAGCGTCAGGTCCACAGCCTGCCCCGTTTACGGTCTGTCTGCGTGCCACGTCTCTTAGTCTTTTCCCAGCCACCAGAACTGTCCACCTCCAGATCACTGGCTAATTACTTCTCTTCTGATCCCATTCAACATCGCGACATCTCGGTATAATTAAGGATGAGGCGAAATAGCTGCGTGATGTACGGGATATCGTTGCGGGAATCGGTTACAACATCGGTTACAGCCTACTATTTTGCACACACGAGTTCTTCTCTCTTCGTTGATTCTTTTCGCGGTCTATTTGCACCTTATAAATAAAGTATGATGGGAAAGAAAAGAGAGGGAGAGAAAAAAAAAAACACCAGGCAACAACGCCATGTAGGTTGACTCATGGCCCTGTTTGCTCCATAGACATATCCAGATGATGCACTCCTGCTTCCCCTTCTCTGACTCGGTAATATCATAGATTATAATTCCGTCTCGCTTCGTCCCGTATTCCATGCGCAAGAGGTGACACCCAAGGCTGCACAACTGCCCAAGGCGGAGATTGGCAAAGTAGTAATAATGACAATAAACGGAAGAAAAGAGAGTAAACACATAAAATAATGTAAAAAAAGGGAAGGAAAAGAAATAATGCCAGACTGCTTAGAGGGCGTTAACCCTGTACTATTCAGGCAGTGAGGACTGAAATTGTTAGCGCATTAGATTCTGTGATGGTTGTTTTTGGGGACTATCCAAATGGCGTTGAACCTTCAAGTCCCAGAAGTTGCGTGGTCTTGGGCGCTATGAGCGCATAATCATACCAAAAACCACAGATGCAAAGAAAAATTCCAGGATGAAAGAAGCCAAAGAACACGTCGGGAAGCAGCAGATCTTTCGCAGGCCTGCGTGCGTCGAGCTTGGTGACATCATGAGTGATCATGGTATCTTCGTGAGGGAAAATCCGTGATCTGATCAATTCTGGCTGTTTTAGAAGCAGAATGATACTATACTGACACCATGACTAAATAATATCCCAGACTTCTTCGGCCGCATGACAGAATTTACTGCACGCAACGCTGGCACTCAAGCTATAGTTACTGATACTGATCGTGTCATCTTTGAAAGAATCGGCAAAGGTATCATTTCCCTTGGCCATCGCACCAACGAAGATACAGATGCTCTCCTTGGGGTCCAGGGTCTCAATGTAGTCCTTAACCCGGACCACGGGCGCGTCGAAACTGAGGGTCACTTTCCGGCAGTTGGGAGGCAGATGGTCCGTGATCGGGTTCTTAATTACTTTCAGCAGCTTCTCGTCCGAGTTGGTGGAGCGAATGGAAAGTCGGTGTAGCAGCTGGACCATGAGTCCTGCGAAACGCTTAAAAGTTCGTGGAATGCGTACGGTAGGGTTGACTTCGATCAGAACGCCCTTTGCGGTATGGATGTAGATTTGAAGTTTGCCGGCTTTATTAATGGGAGAGTCTAGGAGTGTGAGGAGACACTGCAGGCGGATAAGAGCAATAAGCGATCTATGACTCGAAACCAGATAAACTAGACGGTTTGGGAAGAAACAAACCTGATGCGTGATGTCCGGACGAGCTTCGCTAATATCTCTGTTTGCCTTGCGCATGACACCAATGTGCTCGTCACTGTTGAGAAGGGAGTATTTCTCCTCCCGACCCGCACCGTTGCGACCGCCATGAGAGGCTTTGTAGGTTTCCAAACTCGCATTCGACAGAACCACAATCAAACGCTGGGTTTCCTTATCGTGGGGTGAAATAGGGACATGTTGCTCCGCGACAAGCTGGGGAAGTTCGGGAGGCGGGCAAGACTGAGTCCCTGAAGGAGCAGATTGGTTAGCCATTAACATTTAACGGATATCCAAATCAATTCCAGAACCACTGTTGAAGGGGCAAAGGAGGGCACAGATGATTTTCCGATACAAGAAACGACGGTCCCTAAGAATGCAAAGCAGATAGAGGGATAGACAAAGGAGACGCAGCACACGGACAGGTCGATTCCAAGGTTGAGGGGAACGGGAGCATTGATTTTCCATTGGGTAGACAGGATTGCAAGTACATACTGGCTCGCTTTCTCTTCCCGGCCACCTGGATTGAAGTTGACATGTCGAGTACGGGATCAACGAGGTAGAGCAGAAGGGAAAGCTGCGGTGCAAAGGTCAATTGAAGAGCGAGAGCAGCTTCTTCTGGGAAGAGTTGCAGTCGAGAAGAAATTTTACCCCTCAAAGATGCCGGCGAGCCTGAGGACCCAAGGCAGCGACCATTGGCTGGTCAAGTGCTGTCAGGTGCACGCTTATCCCAATTTGGTAATACCTAGCATAGCCTGTCTGGAACATTATTCTATGGCAATTTAACCCTGCAGAGTCATTCCATTCCCCGGTTCAATCAGATGGGTAGTGCTGATGCTGCGGTTTCCGATAGATCATATCGTTGATCCGACTGACTGTAAATCCAAGCCAAACTGGCATCTTAAGGCTGGCTGGCTTACAAGTATAATAACACTTCTGCATTCTGCTTAATTACTATGTAGTACGCAGCTGACTCCAGGCCTATACGCTGTACAACTTAGTACCATCATGGCCCACTATTTACAGCTGGAGCTGCGGATTGATCGCCTGTACGGAGTATCCTTGCAGAGATGCATCCTTGGACCTTAGGTTTGAGCCCGTTTGTCCGAATCGGATACTTTCATAGCTGAATGAAGCACGTATTTCATAAAGTTTACTGAGTACAGTAATAATAATATGCAAGCCCGGTCAACTCTACAGTTCCTTTGTTTGAAGCCATGGCACTTCAGAGATCGGGTTGTTTCTATCAGGCTGATGGATCAATCAGATCACAATCACAACCGCAGCTGTAAGGAGGCATAGATACATCTGCCTTGGGCATATGTCCGGCGCTTAGTGGATGTGTACACTGCACTGTGCAGTGTACAGCGTGCTCCGTACTCCGTGCCAAACACCGAGTCTTCTGAGTGACTCAGAGCGTACACCATCTCACAGATGTCGACCACTGCTCCTGTTCCGTGACAAGTGGCCACTCTGCGAGCCTTGTTGAGTGCATGCTGTACAGCGTACGTAGTAAGCGAGGCTGGCCGAGGGAGGGAGAGGCAGAACTTTTGGGCTCAATAGTCAGTGTAGCGACCTAAATATTGAGACACTCATGCCAACATTTTCAGCCTTTAGGCAGAAATATCTGTCTGGAGGAACATTCCGGAATTATTATTATTATTTTCTGAAACGAGGTGTCTTCATTTGCCTCAGCTTGCTGGCTCAAGAGTCGATGGTCGAATCACGAAGGAGAGAGGGTATAATCATCTTTCTGGTGGCTAATTACCCCGGCCAGCGTTGAGGAAGATCGACGGGATAGGATATTGGTGCCAGCTATGCAGACTCCATGATCCAGAGTGCTCCGTAATATAAGTAGTGAATATGATGAAGCCATAGAAAATGCGTAGCAGCGCCAAGACGCCCGTTGCAGGTAATATGACCCCATCGGGACTAGCGGCTGTGGCACGCGTTCCGTCACCGATCGAATCACGTTAAATAATGCGTCTTGCGTCGTGTTAGGAAGGTAAACATCTTCTTTTGCCACCCAACACCTCCGGCAGAGCTGTTATATCAGGCTCGTGGGATGATCCATTCCCTTGTCTCTCATGCGTCGCTAGAAGTTCTCTGGGACTGCCTACACTGACATGCCGTGGACTGTGACAAATTCGTTCAAACGGTAAACCCCAGCTCCTATCCTGGACGAGAGAAAAAAATATGCCCGTGTCTAGCTAGCTGACTGGTAGCTCTCCAGAAGCCTCATGAAGACGTACGGAAGACCAACGTGGCGCTGCTTGGACGATGACCGCCGCCCGGTTGCAAAACGGAGACGTCTACAGCCCGGAGATGAATCCGATGAAGCTGAATCCAACCTTCAATATGCTATACGCGAGTGCTCGGCCGCCGTGCTTTCCAGTCCGTCGCGTCACAATTCGGCCGTTTCCTCCGATGACTCTCATGATGACGACCTCTCGACCCCTCCGTCCTCGCCGCCAAAGTTGAGTCCTCCGCCGGTCAATACACGCAAGCCGACCTTTTCGTTTCTCAAACGCAAGCATTCATCCAAGGATGTGACCAGTAATGGCTCACCACTCGCCGAGGTCAACTCCAATAGTGTGCGGTCCTCCATGGACCCGCCAAAGAAGAAAACACAGCAACAGCAACCAGTGCTGAAACAGATGCAGATCGACCTGGGACACGATGTGAGGAAGACCTGTCCTACATGTGGGATGGAATATGTCCCGTCAAACGCGGAAGACGTAGCATTGCACAAGAAATACCATGATAGGAATTCCTCGGGCGTGGATCTAGGTAAGGCTTTTATGAGAGCAAATGCTTCTCGTTGGGTCTACGAAGCTACGCGATTCGACGAGGGTTATGTTGTGATTGTAGATCGCAAAGCTTCGCCCACTGCACGGAATCAAGCAAAAAAGGTTCTGGAAGTCGTCAACAAAGAGCTGTCGTCGCCTGAAATTGCAGACGATGCTTTATGGAGCCAGGTAGAGCCTCCAAAGCATCTCCAACGAAATGGGACGATTGAGAAAACAGACCGGTACAGGGTCTTTCTCCATATGAAGGATAGCCGCTGTGTAGGGCTATGTCTTACAGAGCGCATCTGGGAATCACGACTAGTGGAGTGCACCCCGTCTACGGATGCGGATAAAACGAATGGTGCTGAGCAGTCGAACCGTGCCTCCATCAGGGTTCGCGACGAAATACACCCAGCAATCGTGGGGATCTCGCGCATCTGGACCTCAGCTTCGTCCCGGAGGAAAGGCATTGCCATGGATCTTTTGGACTGTGTGGTAAACAATTTCACCTACGGCATGGAGATCCCGAAGGACCGCATCGCGTTCAGTCAGCCTACCGAAAGTGGAAGACTTTTGGCGGAAGCCTTCTTCGGACCGGACGAGCAGTGGCATGTGTATAGTGAAAGCTGAGTGCGGAGTGCATGGGACGGGCGGGCTGATACCCTTTCATAGTTATTATCTGGTTTTCAACGCGTGCGGCTGACCGTCGTTGTGGGAGGCAATTTAGATTTACTATTCTGGCCATATCTTGTATAAGCCAAGGTGTTTGGGAGGACAACCGGAGGGGAGCTTTCTTTTGTATGGTTCCCATGTGTCTTTTTGGAGAACTTGTTTTGCGATGCGACTGTACTATAGCCTTTTGTCTTCTGCCTTTTTGCCATCACCGTCTTCTTTCGGGCTTCTATGTAGAATTACAGACGAGTCATTGTTGCAAGCGTGAAGTCGCGGGACTTGGGCACTGTCGGAAGTCTGCTGGTGTTGCCGGAAGCCGCGCGAATAGCATCGATCCGCGCTGGGACCGTTGACAGCTCGCAATCTAATCCTACACCTCGTCTCCCTTCTTTTGCTTCTCCCTGATCCCATGGTCGTAACGGCTCATCTTGTCTGCGATGTCCGGGTTAAATCCCTTCCGTCTGAGGAGGTCAGAGGGTGAGATCCCTTTCTCCGTCCCATCCGAAGTCCAGCGGGATAGGCCATCCATGGTCGTCATCTTCAAGGAGCATTGATTACCCAGCGATTACTGATTGACACGTCAAATGCTAACAGAGGTAGATATCTCAGGTCGGACGGCTGCTCTCCCAACCTCCAGTTCCGTTTCTTCCCCAGCGCCATCGCCCCTCCCCAACCGTCCCATTGTCCCAACCCCCGCAGTTGAAGCCCCTCGAGCACCTCTTCCGTCGAAATACAATGGTGACACTCCCGTCGTTCCTGATGCAGAATCGTACTTCAGTTACAAAAGTGATACCCAAGGAAGAAGTTGGAGCTCGCCTCGTGTCTCATCCGAAAATGATCGTCTAGCGCCAACGGGCACTGCTCCACACCCATTGCCCTCTTCTTCAAGTGCATCATCCCCCATGACGTTAACTCCACCGTCTCCTATTGCAGGCAGAAGGGAACAGGACATTGGAGTCGATTTTACGCCATCAAGTGGAGCAGATACCCCCCAGGCATTGCCGAATTTCTACCCAGGCCAGCGTAGTGCAGGCAGCAGCAGGACCGATCTTTCTCGACGATCTCTTTCTAGCGGCCGACCAAGGCTCACAGAGCCGCCGAATCGCCCGGATCTGGACGTACCAGCACAGTCAGAAGTCAATGGCGAGTCAAGAAGTCTTGCCGGCCGTTCAAAAAGTAAAGAGAAGAAACCTCCTCCACCTCCCAAGAGCCACCATGGAAAACCCATCGAACCTACTCCTGCCGTGGTGCCTACTACGGAGCCCTCCAAACCGGTGGATTTACCTCTTTCTAATGATTCTACCTTGAGAAGTTCACCCCATACCACACCCCCATCTCTCAACAAAGCTTCTCAATTGGCTTCAGATTACTTCTTTTCAGTGTCGGCGCAGCCAACCGAATCACTAAAGCGTAGCCAGTCTCAGCTCAAGCGCCCTCCGACCCCACCTTTGAGCAGGCGACATAGTCAAATGAGGAGATCCAATACCACCACTTCTAGGAACAACTTAGCTCGAGTCTCGATGCCTCCAGGGGGTCTCAGTTTCGATGCATCAAATCTTCCCAGTCCGGGTCGAAGGTCGTTAAATTTACCCCGACAGCCAGAGGAAGAAGGAGATGACCGCGGGCGCTTCAACCTCCAGCCCCAAGAAGAATCTATTACTCGAACAAAGGAGGCACCGGCTCCTCCCATTGCGAGGATGTCATCTACAAGGAGTGCCAAGCGAGGCTCTTTAACAGTATCAGCAGTGCCACCCCCTCCACCGCCGCCTCGGAGGGTCAGGGGCACGAGTAACAGCGACAATAACACTAACTCCAACGTGCCGCAGGAGGACGAAATGGTTGGATACGATAAGAATACTCTCCCCCAGCCGTCCAATGCTAGTGACATCCTGGCAGACCTGTCGCGCTTGCAGAAAGAGGTCGACGACCTTCGTGGGCAGTACGAGCACCGGAAAGGCAGTCACTAGCCTGCCTGATGGAAGAATATGTAATGGCCTTTTTTCGAACCCTCTTCTTGAATGCTCTTCGATGGGGATAGCTTAGTTGGTGTATCCCTGCTGCATCAAGCGCCATTCATGCTGAACCCGTTCATAGGGAAGACCTCACGATTTAGCAGATGGACGGGGTGTATAGTATACAATGACGAATGAATCATGACGGAAGGCAATATTCAGCTACGACGCCGATTGCCGGAGGATCTAGGGATAGACTTTTTTACCTTCTTTCTTTATTTTATTATTTCCCCTGTTTTGTTAGTTCTACGGTGCAATTCGCGCATTGGGTTAGCAATATTGGCATATAGTTAGCTACGGAGTAGAGATTCCCCAATTTTATCAGCGTCAACTTTCAGGATACCAATTTCTGGCCTGTATAAATATGACCTCCTTCGGGGTCATCCAGGGATCCACTGTATCCGCCCAGAGTGACATCGCGATGGCTGCGAATCTTGAGCAGCATTAGCGGAGGGGGTAAATGACGTCTTCTGCCGCCTTGTTGGGGCTGAGGATCGGCTGTGGATTCAGCATCAGAAGTGGAATGAGACATCCTGTTCGAATTTGGTTTAATCCCTCCAACTGAATGCAAGTTGCCGTTTCAGTCTCGTTCCTGGTCAGTCTCCTGTGAAGCTCGACTGGCGTGCCGTAGGAGATCGTTGTATGATACTTTGATGGGAACTCGAACTCTCCGCCCATCACATCACCATCCATCTTTCATTCAATCAATCCTCTTTGATCATAACTTTATTCTTTCATCTGCGCTTCGGATAGTTGTGAACGGAGACAAAGCGTCTCTTCCCGTCTATACTTGGATCCTTCTGGAGGAAGTCGAGCTCGATCACCAGAGATAAATTCTCCATTGGCAAGGCCGACGGACTCTTGCTATCGCGCACTTTATCCCCTTGAGCTTCACTTCTTAAACAGTTTCTACGTCTTGATCCTTTGATTCTTGTAATTTCGGATTCGAACAACCCAAAAATGAGCCGTCCAACTCTCATTGATATTCCCCCTCCTTCTGACCCTGTCACGCCGTCAGATATGGGACCGTAAGCATCTTGGCTTGTCCCTATTCTTATTTTTTATTCCCTTCTTTTTTTGTGTCCTCTGTTGTCTTCCCTATCTATTCTATCTTCGATTTCGGCGATGGCGACAATTGGCTGATAAGACATGCTCATTTCTCAGAGGAACCCCCAATTCGGGCACTACGTCCTTGTCCGCTCTGTCGACTACAGCCATTAAAGATGGACATCATGGTCAGCCTTATCCTCACAGCCGTCATGCGCATCACTCCTCCTCAGCTTCTATGGCATCCACCACGACTCTCGAGGCAGAGCGGGCCGACCGCATCTCCCGTCTAGCGGGATTGGAGCGTGTCGCCACGGGTCGCGCTGGTAGCCAACTGTTGGGAACGCCTTCGGGTAACGCCGTTCAAGCTGCGCACGCCTCCGGGTACTTCGATGGGCAGCAAAGTATCAAGGAAAGGAGCACGGTTGGCAGCGCTAGCGCGACGGGCAGCATTGGTGGTCGCACCACTTGGGCCAGTGGTAGTGACGGGTTAGATCTCGATAAGATGAGCGAGGATCCCGACGACGAGGTTTCGAGCGTGAGCAATGTCAGTGACGAGGGCGATGCCAGCTTGGTTGGCTTTGGAGAAGGCGCTAGCAGCACAGTCAGTGGACCGACTTCGCATCCTGGGCTCCTCAGTAGGATGTCCTCTGGATCGCATCCCAGCTCAGGAAGCCCCATGCTCAACCGTACGAACGCCGCGATCCCGTCCTACATGCAGCGTACCAGCGAAAGCCCGATGTTTCCCGCTTCGCCGTCTCCTGGCGGATCTACTAATATACCGGAGACATTGCAGGATGCCCGCATGGTAGACGGGATGACATACGACCCAAACGTTGTGGATACGACTGTGAGAACACCGCGACTTGTGTCGGAAGAGGGTCGAAGTGGTATCCCAGGACAATTGGGTGCGTCATCATGGAGAGTCACTCATGCGCGTAATAACTAGGACACTAGCGTATGAAATCGGAAGGGAAACGAAAGGCGTCGGCATTCTGGGCTGTTTCAATGATGACTATGACTTTGACTTGTAATTTTATGGCGGTGGTGGACTGCGTCTACTTTGCTTTCTTTTACCTGGTTCTTCTTCTCCTGTCCTGCTTCAAACAGATTGGCCTAATATAGGTTCTAGTTCATTGCCAGTGATTCTTCTAAGTTTGCATTTCTCTTCCCTGGCAACAGACTTAGCCGAGGTGACAATGGCGTGGTGGCGAACAAGGAGTTGTAGGAAGTGGACGAGAGAATGCCTCTTGAGAATCATATTCCAGAAGAGAAAGACACAGTATGGAGGCAAACATAGAAAGAATACATGTAGTGTAGGAAGTCGATTGGATATAATTATGCTGCGCTGTATCTGCAGCAAGAAGGCACTCGATGTTGGTGACGGCATGCTTAGTAGTTATCGTTGCTCTGGAGGGGAAAAAAGGAAAATCCTTCGCTTGCGTTCTTCCTTTTCTTCCTCTTCGGCTCTCGCGCTCCCTCCTGAACAGCTTCTCCGGTTCCTCATCCCCCCTCCTCTCGTCCTCGTCCTCGTCCTCGTCGGTTCCGTCCTCATCTTCAGAAACCCAGCTTCTTTTCATTGCTGGCATTGACTTGTCAAGCACGGAAAAGGCTCGAACGACCCAGGGACTGGACCAAACAAACCCGGCAGAGTTCTTTGGCTTTTGGCCTCGACTTCTTGCTGCATACTTTTTTACAGAATCCTTGTTCCATCGCCGTGCCAAGTATAGCTGAAGTGCTTTTTTCTTCTTCTTTTTCTACCGTTCTTCTCTCTTTGTCATTGATCGAGCGCATTCTGCGTCAGACAAAAAGGACACAACGTCAAATCGACAACGAGAACGTGAAAACAGTGAATAAATAATAGCTTACCAGTCGCCACGCGTATCTAGTCACATTAACGGACGGAAGTCCCTTTGATTCATCTCCTTTTATTCTTTGCCCTTCGGATCACGCCGCCTTGACTCTTGGACTCGCAGTCTGTCCCGACAAGTTCAGACAGGATTTGGAAATCCTTTTCATATATCTGAAAGTTTTTCCATTTCTTCTTACATCGTCCTCACTGTTTCGTTACACGAGAGTGGGTGCATAAGATCAGATCCCTCTGAAGGGCTTTTTTGCGTTCGCGACGAGAGTCGGCTATTTATTATTGCTATATTTTTCTTCTTTTTCTTCTTTTTGTTGCGGCACTACCTGTGCTTGTTGTGGTGATTTGGATATACACAGAATGGCAGCTCCCACACAACTTGCATGTGAGTTTTGTTTATTCCGTCTTTTTGCTGTGGTCCTGCTGCTGATTGAGTCATGTTGCTAACTTGCTACCTGCCAGTCCGAACACTCAAAGGGATCGGCATCTTGGATGCTGCCCCCGTTTATGAACCTTTGCCGGGATTTACGAGGTAAGTGACCAGAACTCACTGCTTGAGAGGTAGCCAGAACACTGACTCGCTTATCCCTGAATTTATAGACCTGAGGGGAACCTTCGCTGTAGCTCTTATTCTCCATGTGGCCGATACTTTGCATGGGCATCTCCAGAACAGTGAGTCTATATGCTGCAGCAGAGACATTGGCAGATCTGGTCTGTGCAATGCGTTGCTGAAAACTTGTCTCACAGGGTGACCGTTGTTGATCCTTCCGTCGGACACGTCATCACTACCTTCCCCGTGAAAAACGTCTTCGAGCTAGGGTTTTCACCCCTCGGTACCTACCTGATTACCTGGGAGCGTCCATCCAAGGATGAGAAGGGCGATGCGGCCAAGAACCTCAAGGTTTGGCGTGTGGTGGAAACTCCGGAGGCCAAGGGAGACGAGCATACAGCTGTAGGCAGCTTTGTTCAGAAGTCGCAGACCGGCTGGAACCTGCAGTACACGTCCGATGAGCAGTTCTGTGCCCGTGTCGTGACCAATGAAGTCCAGTTCTACCAGAGCGACGACCTGTCGAAGGTCTGGAATAAGCTGCGCGTGGAGGGGGTAACGGAATTTGCTATCTCTCCGGGGAAGACAAACTCTGTTGCTGTCTTCGTCCCAGAACGGAAGGTATGCGATTTCTATCTTGGTGGCCATAATTGCCAGTTTGGGGACAGATTGCTGACTCTACAACAGGGGCTACCTGCCGCAGTCAAAGTATTTGTCGTACCCTCCTTCGGAGCACCTGTTTCGCAGAAGAGCTTCTTCAAGGGGGACAAGGTTCAGTTGAAGTGGAATTCTTCTGGGACGACTTTAATAGTACTCGCCCAGACTGACGTTGACCGGTCCGGAAAGAGCTACTACGGAGAGACAACACTCTATTTGTTGAGTGCCAGTGGCGGCTTTGATTCTAGAATTGACCTAGGTAGGCCATGATCTTACTATCTGTACCTGTGAATGGATTCGCTAATATCCATCATGCAGACAAGGAGGGACCGATTCACGATGTGACATGGAACCCGAACTCCAAGGAATTCGGTGTCGTGTACGGCTACATGCCTGCGAAGACTACGATTTTTAACTTCCGTGGAGTGGCCAAGCATTCTTTCCCTTTGGGTCCTCGGAACACCATTTTGTTCTCTCCTCACGGTCGATTTGTCCTCGTAGCTGGCTTTGGCAATTTGGCGGGCCAGATGGACATCTACGATATGGACAAAAACTACACCAAGATTGCTACGGTGGAAGCTTCGAATTCCAGTGTCTGCGAATGGTCACCTGATGGGAAGTATATTCTGACCGCGACGACCAGCCCGCGATTGAGGGTGGATAATGGCATTCGGATTTGGCATGTTAGCGGAGCCTTGATGTTCAATGAAGATATGCATGAACTTTATGATGTTTGCTGGAGGCCTCAGACCACCACCCAGCATCCGCTTGGAGACCCCTTCAATCCTCTACCGACCCCGCACGCCTCTGCACTCGCGTATCTTAGCACGAGGAAGGCTCCCCCAAAGCCTGCGGGTGCCTATCGTCCTCCCGGGGCCCGTGGCCAGGTAACCCCGCTGGCATTCAAGAGGGAAGACGAGGGCGGTGCCGCGTTCGTCAGGGATGGAGCGTCATCTCTAGGAGTGGGCGGTGCGAACGGATTTGGCAGGCCACGGAGACGTGAGGTACCTGGAGCAGAGCCTGTGGAGGAATACCTCCCTCCCGGTGCAGCACCAGGGGGCGGCGTGGCTCTACCACCAGGCAGCGATCCATCGGATAAGGCTTCGAAAGCAGCCTCCAAGAACAAGAAGAAGCGGGAAGCAAAGAAATTGAAGGAACTTGCTGAGAAGAACGGCGTTGCCGCAGCCGATGGCTCTGTCAACAACAACGCTACCAGCCTCCCGCCGTCGAACGCACCTACTAAGCCTTCGCGCAGCCCAGACCGTCGCGGCGACAAGAGCCAGAACCGCTCTAAGGGTATTAACCAGCCGGACGGGAATCAGCGCAAGAATGGTATCCAGGTAAACGGCGCCCCGACCGGGCCTGCAGCTGGAGCCAAGAAGCCGACCACGGATAGCACTGTCACTCCTGAATCCGCAGGTGGCAATCCGACACCGCAGGATAAGAAGATCCGAGGGCTGTTGAAGAAGATACGGGCGATCGATGAGCTGAAGATGCGTCTTGCCGGCGGAGAGAAGTTGGAGGATACCCAGATGAAGAAGATTCAGACCGAGGATGCTGTGCGCAAAGAGCTCGAATCCTTGGGCTACAGTGGTTGATATGATCTGGGCCACTGCATGATTGGGGTTTATGGCTGTTGGGGGTTCGGTCAGATGAAAGAAAACAGTAATTGGACAAAAAATTGAAGAGAATCAATCTCTTCTACAAGATTTTGGTGAAGGGGATAAAAGATATGATGGCGATATGCGATGTGATATGATGCGCTTGCTGTGACTGTGCCTCGACTGTTTGCTAACAGTACAGTCCAGGAAAATCAAAGGTGCATACATACATACACATACATACACAAGCATGCATGCGTTCTGCTCCTGGATGGAAGTGATAGGAATCTAGGCATGCATGGGCAGTGACTGGTTGGACACAGTGTCAGATAATCAAGAAATCATATGTATTTCTATCTATACAATAAGACTGAATATTGAGAAATCAAGTCATATTATCATCATATTTAAAGTTTGATTGTTTTATGCTTCTTCTGCATTTACGGGATAGACTACAAATGTCCCTGCCATGCATTCCCTGATGCAAATCCAATATTATCCCGCTTCAACTCGGCTGCTTGTCCATTTCCCCTGCCACTGCCACTGATGTGGAATGCGCCAGGCTAGATGAAACCCGACAAATCAGTGCCAGTACAAGGAAACTGGACAGGCAGTACGACCCAAGCGTCGACTGGGATATATATGGCACTGAGACTGACAGAAGACAATTAAGTCTCGTGTAGAAACAGATAGGAGGACCTTTTTTTCGAGTAATAGGCAGGGGAATTGCATTCTTGATGTCCCGCGTCCGATACAGAGCTTATTCCCAGTAACCCCGGATGGGGATGAGGGAATTTCAAGGCATGGACCTCGCCTTGCGCTCCACCTTGCGTCGCGGATTGCCAATGGCTTTGAAGAAGTTGGGCCTGCGCTTATAGTAAACTTCCACTTGACAACCGAAAAGACTTGCACGTAGGAAGGATAAAAGCATGGGTATCTCTACTTATTTTATTTGAGGTTGAAAAGTTCTTATCTGAGGCGATTTTTACCACCAGATCTTCCGTCAGGAGAAGGGTTGCGCTCGTTTCACAGGACTCTGCAGGCGACCTGCGTTGACCATGCCACTCAGTAAGCGGTCCATGCCGTCCACATCGAGCTCGCCCCTTCGTAGTCTTAGCTGGTCTGTCTCCATAGGGGTGGCCTCGGTCATTGCCGGCGCGGGAGCACGGTCGGCTTCTGGTTCTGAGAGTTTCGGGGCAAGGATAATGATCCGACGCTCAGCAGTGACGAGAACATCAAATGGTCGACGATGGGTCTCCTTGTTACGGCGAGACGCGGTAGGGATGTAGCCGACGCCCTTGAACTTCTCCCCGAAGAGATAGACGTCCTGGATTGTCGACACCCGGCAGCGGTTCGATGCGTCGAACGTGCCCGTGGCCTTGATTGCGTTTCGCCACAGTGACAGTAGGCTTGGAATGACAGCACCTTGGTCCCCGTGTCGAAACAAAACAGATTCGTCAGGCAGCGGATCCCGCGACGAGTTCGTTTGAAAGACGGATATCTCTCCAGACGCTGATGGACTGGAAGAGCTTCCGTGTGACCCTTTAAGAAATGTATCCTCTCGGGTTCGTTTTGTAGATGGTGTCATCGGTGCGAATTGAGGCCGCGGCTCAACGGTAGTCCCTTCAAGCGAAGCCCTGCTTCCCGGGAAGGGATTAAGGATTCGACCACTGACGGAGTAAGCTGTCAGCGAGCCACCGGCCACTCCTTCGACGCTGGATTGACGCTCAAGTGGTCCCTTAACACTTCCTGGACCAACCCCTTCGATATCCCAAACTCCCCACTCACCATCGGCAAGTAGAACAATCACAGCGCGTCCGCCAAGAACCCACTCAGCGTCGACAATGGTTTTCCGACGCATAGTTCCACTGGGAGACTTCTGGAACCCGGGATAGAAGCTGATAAGCCATTTGCCTTGCAACTCGGTGGCTTCCACACTGCTCTTTGAGATTGAACCCCTCCGCGAGATCCTGGTCGGTCGTACCGAGAAACACGAGTAGATCTTGACGCAGCCACTATGGAATGCCACGAGCAAGCTGGAGTGGCGCAGGGATGGGTAGGATGACGGATTAAACGAGATCTTCTTTGCAGGAGCAGGCAAATAACACCGTTGGAAGGGCTCAACATCATCTTCGGGCAGAATGTATGTAGTTTCTTTGCCGCTACTCTCCACAATTGGAATCCGGTAGATAAGAAGCGTGCCGGAGGCCTCGGCAGAATGAGTGGCCACGAGAAGATCCCACTCTTCCGTGCTTGAAGATTCGTCGACAATATCGCTTTTTTGACAGGTGAATGTAATGGAGACCCCGCTCGGGATCTCCTGATGGGACATCAATCCGCTAATCGAGAGAGTTTGGATTTGCCAAGTTGAAGGATCTGTTTGGGCGGGATGGGGAGGAACTAAAGGCAGAGCAACCACGCGGGTCGAGTAATCCGCACATACAGCAGAAACAACAACCATCTTGGTCAAAACTGGCGGGAAAGGATCAAGGGATGAACGCGCCATTTCAGGGAGAATGCGAGGCACTGCCAGATCGAGAACAAGGCTTCCTAAAGGAACATCGATATGCCGGATAATATGCTCGTACGGATGAGAAGGATCGACCTCTGGCTCCTCTGTCTCGAACTGATAGATAGGCTGCTCATCTCCTGGCGATTCAAGATTGTCCTCTTCATCAGAGTCGATGATCATGACAGCGTCATCGTTGCCCCCGTTGGTTTTCTGTTTCGGTTTCTGGTCCTTCTTTGGTGACTGCACGAGCGGGGAGAACGGTTTTCCACCTCTCCAAACAATTTTTAACCCATTTTCATAGCCGTATATGATGATTGAAGAGCCGTTAGGTGTGAGAATCGGGTAGCTTTTAGCTGCATAGACGCGGTGCGGAAGCTGGTAGCTGAATGTTCACTTGAGAGTAAGCCTTTCTGGTATTCCTAGAAATGAAAACAAGCTCCGGACAATAGATACCTCAGCTGTAAGCCATCGTCCCTAGGCCTGACCAGGGGTTTTATAGGAAACGCGGACATCGTGGCGACGTGAGAAGTTGTTTCGAAGTCCCAAAAGCCAAACAAAGCGTAGAAAAACTGTGGGAGCTGGCTTCAATCACCCTTACGGTGAAACTGCTTGGGGAATCACTTATGCATTCAAGACTATGCCTGAACAGAGATCGGCCGGTGTATGCAGGCGTGTTGCACTGTTGCAATGTGAGTTGAAGTTGGCAGAAAAGCGGCGAAGCTGAATTGGGAGAAAAATGAAAAGTAGCCGCGTCCAACGCGTCGACTCGTCGACTCCGCACCAGCTCAATAAGGACGAGAGTCTGCTCTACACCGAGGATCATATAACCAGTGATGGGTATGATATACTCACTGGCTCCAATTGCCAGGATACTGTCTACAACTACGCTTCGATAATGGCTACTGTCAGATCCCATGGCCTCCACGGGCCGTCGGCCCTCCCATTTCTCGTTGCGGAAGATCTCATCACCCCCAATCCCTCCGAATATCAATATGTATGGAAGACTACAGTCGATGAAAGTTCTCAGCCGCCTGTTGACGATGAGATCATTTGGACAAAGACGTGCGTGGTCTGGTCTCGCGGCGGCGTGGTGAAAACGGTATTCCGGCTTGACCTTGAGAAGGAGGAGATACGACATGCTCTTTTCACATATTTTGCGCCGGGGAATCTGAGAAGATCCGACCGTGATTGCAGGCATGTTGGCGAGCAATCCTGGATGAGTGGCGAGTCCAGACAGGGTCGCACTGCTGAATCGAGCCATGGATTGACTTTCAATGGGCACGAAGATCCCCAGACAGCAGAAAAACCATCGAGGGCTTTGGTTGTCGTTCTCAAGTCCCAGGCCCATATTTTCTTCTTGTCAGGGAATAGCCATGTCATTCCTTTGCCGTTCGAGGTCCACTCAGTGTTTGCTACTCCACGGGGTCTTCTGTTTCAAAGAAGACTACACGAGGAGAATCACAAACCATATCCAGCAGCTCCCCCCAGTTCTTTTGTATCGTCATTCCATGCATCTGCAGATTTTCGCTCGTCCCAAACCTCTACTGGCAGGGGCAGGCAGCCGTCTCTCGGCCTTTTCTCTGCCGGGTTGAAGCCGAAGCCCAGCCAGCATGCTGATCTCCCCAGAGTTTTCTCTCTCATAGACCCTCATTCTGAGATGGGCTTAGTTGTCTCTAATCAGAATTCTCGTTATGTGCGTGACAGCGGCAGAATTTCAGGATTCGATCCGTTGGACCCTACTGATGAGATTGTATATGTCTCTACGCGCGACGAACTCTCACGATCTAGCCTGACTCTATCTGATGCTCCATTAATCCTCGTTGTTACCGTCAACACAAACACCAGCTTCTACACGATTTGGGCGGCACGATATAGAGATGATGATGGCAGGCTATCCCTAAAGAAGAGACGGAAACGGGATACAGGAGGCACAAGGTCTAAACGACGCAGCTCACATTTTGGAATGGGAACCGGTTCAACTACTCCTGCCGGTCGCCCCGTAGCTGGTAGGGAAAGCTTTGGGCACAGAGGGGACGGGTGGAACGTTCCCAGCTTGTCTAATTCACAAATCGAAGGCAGACCCGACGAAGAAGAAGATCTCGCTTCAAAAATTGGCGACGATTTCGGAGACATTGGTGTCCCTTCGAAAGCATCCAGACGGGTAAGTTCCTTGCTAGCTCGGGCTGATCTTGCGAGTAGCCAGGACAGAATTGCTTTCTCAGACCTTGCTACTGGGAGCCAATCGAGTTCTATGGTACATGGAGGTGCAAGACAATCCATGGGAGCTACCAGCAACAACCGCGGTAGCTTTGGATTTAATCCCAGAGCTTCTGCGACTAGCTCCGTGCGCAGCACTGCGGGCAACTTCCTTGATGCCCCGGTTGACAGACTCCTGGAAGAACTGAACAATGTGGGGCTATTCGAAGGGTTCGAGAATATGGAACTTAGGGGATCAGCATCGGGTCTTCCTGAGGAGATCATGCTCTCCAAAGTCGAAAGCTTTTCTTTGAAGTTCTCGGGCGGCTTCCATACCCCCGTTAAACCTAAGGGTGCCCGCAATTTAAGGATTTCTACGTTGTCCCCCTCTGGAGGAGGCAGCATACAAAACAAGAACTCAGAAACCGTAGCCGTGTGCGTTGTGGACCGTGACTCGAAGTCGATGGCTCTTGTCAATTTAAGGGTCGACAGGGTTTCACTTCCGCAAGGGGAGAAAATAGCTTCAAGAAGGGTGAAATCAGGACTGACGCCGAAGAAGCATTCTTTGCTAGTTCACGCCACTGGAATACAACACTACGAGGATGTGTGGGACTCTTGCAAGATAGTCGACGGTGATCTGTCAAGGTTCATCACGGTGGGTGGGACGGGGTCCGGACAACGCGAGCTGTCATTACTGTCGCCGTGGAGTGTTCCTGTTAAAATCGAAGTCCCTGTCAAGCTGATGCTCTATGAGCCTCACGGGGTATTTGCCACGAAGCTTGTGGATTGTCCCCGTGAGGGAGGTGTAAATAGAATTATGACTGATTCCCCGCTTACGATTACCGGGTTAGATCATCCATCTCTTCGAGGGATGTTCGATGTCGTCGATTCTCACCAAAGGAGGCACAGACTTCAGGTTCGGATGGAACCAAGCAATGGGCTCGTTCAGAAAATTCTAAAAGTCTGCACATTCGTTCTCCGCGATTCCGATAAGGCCGAAGACAGCTTACTAGCCTGCTGGTGGGAAGTCATGAATTGGCTCCGCACAAGGGAGGGAAATGAGAATGATTTGGAATGGACCGCGATGGTAGTTGTGTTATTCGCAATGGCGGTTCCCTTCCTTGACAGCGAGCAGATCCAGGCACCGGTCAGGGCCCGCAGAAAAAAATGTTTTCTACGGTCAAGTAGCGGTGGCTACTCCGATTTAGAAAGCTGGGAGATGATGCTTGAACAAGAGTCAGGTTCTACCGGTGTTGTTCCCCCCTGGATGGTGGGCAGCTCCTGGAGCTGGGTGGTCGAGCAGGATGCTGAAGACCACGATGGGGAATCCCGTGAGGACGTGCGGCATGGGAAAAAGGCATCGGAAATTGATCAGTCGGGTTCTGACTGGTCTACTTTCCGCAAAAATTCCTATCTTGTCCGTTGCACCGCTCTGGCCCATGAGTTCCTTCAGAGTCCGCAAGGGGCAGCTGCTTCAGGACCAGAAGGCTACTTGCCTACGGCTAGCTGCCAGAACCAAGATACGCGGCGAACTGCACTGTGCACGATTCTGGTAGGTCTCCACCTCCTTCGAGAAGAGAGAAAGCTCTCTGTAACAGAGGCCGAGAAGTCCTGCGAGCCTCTGGGTCTGCTGGCTCCAGTGTTGGCTCAAGTCGGTGGCTGGCTTGGATGGAAATCCTGGTCATGGACAGATAACGCGTACTATGCGGTTGAGTTGGCCAGCATGGATCGCTGGGCGTTTGAAAATCATCAAATATCAAGCCTTGACGTACCTCCGGAACCCTTTGCACCGCCCTCGATCTTTGCCTTTATAGAGAAGGCCTGCGGGCAACGCTCATCTCCATTTCTTACACTCCTTGACTTACTCACCATGGCAGACGGTACTCAAAAAGGAGGTAAATTGTGGCAGGAATGCTCTGCTCTTACGCCAAGAACACTCGCATTGAACGGCTTCCTTTCAGAAGTGCATAATGCCTCGACCTTCTTCCAGAAAATACACCTTATGCATCGCTGGGGCCTGACAAGAACTATTATAGAGACGCTCCCCGAGGGTGTAAGCGCGCCGTTGTACGAAATGATAATGCAGTCTCAAATGCATGCTTCGACATCCTGGGATCCGGCGCTGTTAGAATTAATTGACCGAGATGACCTCTGCATGTCAATGAATAAGAACACGTCTCAGCCATCTGTACCGCCGCCGCAGCCTATTCTATCCCACGATGCCGTCCGCGACTTCCATAGCATTGGCAACTCGGCACTCGACATTGATGCAATAAATTCTTTCGAGGTCTCTGCAGAAGCAGATCGATTCTCCGTAACCAGACTGATCTTCCGTGAAGACAAGCGCTTTGTAGAGGCGACCAGACTGCTCAATCAATCCAAAGCGCCTGTGGCAGAGTGCATTCCCGAGCCTGACTGGACTGATTCGGACCTCTTAGAGGCGCAAAAAGATATCGTACAACTCGTGACTCTGCGTACGCTGTCTATCCCCGCTGGACGTGGCATGCTATCGTTTAGCGGCCGATTGCCTCTGTTGACGGAAAAGTTACCGATCCCGTCTTTCTCGCTGCAGTGTATCATGAAACCTTCCAATGTGACAATTAGCGCTGACAGATCCGCCTTCGGCGAGGAGAAAGTCTGTTGGGCATTTTTCCATAACGGCGTTTCCACCGGTCTGGCGATATCTAAAGCTTCAAAGGGCATTGACACCTCTTGGATACTCTTCAACAAGCCCCAGGAGTTGACCAACAGACACGCAGGTTTCTTGTTGGCTCTTGGTCTGAATGGGCATTTGAAGTCGCTGGCGAAATGGGTTGCTTTCAAGTACTTGACCCCTAAGCACACTATGACGTCTATCGGTCTCTTGCTTGGCCTGTCTGCTTCTTACCTGGGCACTATGGACACGTTGATAACTCGCCTGCTTTCTGTGCACGTTACGAGGATGTTGCCCGTTGGTGCTGCTGAGCTGAACCTGTCTCCGTTAACGCAGACGGCAGGAGTTATGGGGATCGGGCTGCTCTATTGCGGTTCACAGCATCGAAGAATGAGCGAAGTCATGCTATCGGAGATTGAAAACGCCGAACAAGAGGAGAGCTCTATGTCCCGGGAGGATATGCGTGATGAGGGTTACCGTCTGGCTGCGGGATTTGCTCTCGGGCTCATTAATCTTGCCAAGGGAAAGGATCTGAGAGGGATGCGAGATATGCATATTGTCGAGAGACTGCTGGCCATCGCAGTCGGCACAAAGAACGTCGACCTTGCTCACATTCTTGATCGAGCCACCGCAGGTGCAACGATTGCACTTGCAATTATCTTTATGAAGACCAATGATGAGGTCCTCGCTCAGAAAATCGATATTCCAGACACGACGGTGCGCTATGATTACGTCCGACCTGATCTCTTTCTCCTCCGTACCCTGGCGAGACACCTCATTATGTGGGATAGCGTGCGGCCCAGCGAAGAATGGTTCACCCGAAATCTTCCCAAGGTCTACCGTCGTCGATACCGCTTGACCAGTGTTCGCTGTTTGTGCAGCGATGACATGCCGTTTTACAACATCATCGCTGGTCTCTGCTTCACCTTAGGTCTCCGTTTCGCAGGTTCGGCCCAGGCACAAGCCCGAGATATTCTCATTTCGTATCTCGATCAATTCATACGGATCTGCAAACTTCCCGTTGTTAATTATGACATGAGGCTGGCGCGGAATTCGGCTCGCAACTGTCAGGATATAGTTGCTCTCTCCGCAGCTGCGGTCATGGCCGGTACTGGCGACCTAGCACTGTTCCGGCGGCTGCGATCCCTTCATGGCCGAATCGACAGTGACACGCCGTATGGAAGCCACATGGCCGCACATATGGCAATTGGACTCCTTTTCCTGGGCGGAGGCAGCTACACGCTGGGCACTTCTGACCTCGCGGTTGCCTCGCTATTGTGTTCGCTGTATCCGATCTTCCCTACGACTGTGCTCGACAATAAATGTCATCTGCAAGCATTCCGTCACTTCTGGGTTCTAGCTGCAGAGCCGCGTTGTCTCATTGCTCGGGACATTGATACTCGGCGACCGATCTCAGTGCCTATCAGGGTAACAATGAAGAACGGTGTCGTCCGGCAGGCTACGTCTCCTTGCCTTCTCCCTGATCTCAACGGACTGGCTAAGGTCGAATTACAAAGCACCGATCACTGGCCCCTTGTTCTGGACTTTGGCCACGATGACCATCTGCGTACCAAGTTCGGCCAGGGGGATCAGTCTGTCTATCTCCGACGCAAGACGATGTATAATCTGGCCGAGTCGTCAGCCTTCGCGTCGACTTTCTCAGGACTCAGCGAAGCACAGGATGTTCTTCCTTCCACGTCGAGACTCCCCGTCGCGTTGCCAACTGTGTCTCCACAGGGAGTTGGAGCAGGAACAGGAATCCAGAGCATGAACATGAACACAACCATATGGGATTGGATTTTCAATCTACCATCCCTCCAAACCCTGGATATCCGCGAAAGGTCCCTCCTCCGACCACCCCTCCCTAGCCGGGCTCTGGTACCGTTGCAGAACCAGACTTCTCCCACGTGTGCGCCGTGGCTACGCACCTCTGTGGTGGACAGCAAACTTCTTCTGGAGAGTACCATATCTGACATCATGAGGACAGTTCGTTCCGGACGCGCTGGGGATGCAGACGCGGTTAGGGATCGTATGTGGCAGTTGCGGTTGTTGTTCAGCTGGTTTGATGAGAATCATGTTGGTTCTGGTACTAGTACTGGTGCTACTGGGGAACAGGTGGGCGGGCTCTGGTTACGAGACGAGTTTATAGAGGAGGCACGATGGAAGATATGGGGGGCTCGGATTGGGGATGATTCGGGTTGAATGGATTATTAGGGATTGTTTCTAGCAAGCAGGCTTGATATCAGAATATTCAACTGATGGGCGATGAGATGAGATGATTATGAGGCCGGTTGTCATACATTTTATATCCACTATTTCTAGATACCACGAACAAAACAAATAGATATCTATCATATCATATCATCCCGAGGCCCCAATGGGTCCTTCGTCTATTCGAGACTTATTATTAAATAAACTCGACCAATTAATTATCTGTCAGTGGTTGAAAACGGACGTAGACGCTGTATACTTCCCACTCCCAGAAAGGACATCAAGGACGACAACCTTCAAGCAAATGATAAACCGAAATAATAGGAAGAAGCCCACAGGACAAAAACCAGAACAGAACACTCTTGAGAAACTCATCATATCACAAGCAGGGTAGACAGGCAGACAGACCTCTTTTCTATCCGGCATGTTAAAGCAAAGCAAAGCAAACCTCGAACAAAGACATAAAAGTAAAACACCCAGTAATATTCCGTAGACTGTTTTATGGTAAAAACGAATAAATCAGAGCACACTCCTCAATCTCCGCACGAGTAGACTCCAGATGTTTATTTTCCTTCCTGGTATCATTGACGCCGAAGAAATAATCGCACGCATTCGTATTCCACAACCAGCGGAAGCAGAAGATAATGACAAACCCCGCTGTACGTATTCCTTTTTCACACAACTCGTACCACATTACTTCAGCATAATTCCCGCTCCTGGGATATGATTCCCGGACGGAGGTGCGGGTGCGAGTGCAGGCTTGTGGTTTGGAGCTATTCCACCGCCACCTCGAGCCCCAGTACCGCTCCCGCGGCCATGGTTGCCGCCTCGTCCGCGTCCTGATCCTTCCGAAGCAGTCATGCCAACATGCTCGCGTTCCTTGTCCTGTTCCATCTGTACTCGCATCGCCTTGTTGGCTCGTGACTTACGGACAACTCCTCCACGGGACCCCGGTCCCCGAACCGGTAGTCCGGTGTCCTGAGAGATAGGTATCGCCGCAGTGATGGGAACGTGTTGATGATTTGCTGACGTGCGTGCTCTACCAGTTCCTCGGCCACGGCCACGACCGCGTTTGACCGTTCCGTCCGCCCTGTTGAAAGAATTAAATTAGCAAAGAGAAAGGGAGAGGGGGGGGATACGGAAGTAGACAATATACCTTTCCACTTGAACCTTGTCGCCCTCCGGAACGAGAGGTCCGCTGTAGACGAAAAAGCCATCTTTGCTCGCTGCCGCATGCTCCTGCCAAGCCAGCTCACTGTCATCCACAAATGGATCGTCCCGATCGTAGTCTTCCATCTTCTTGCGACGCTTCTTCTTGCCGTCAGCTGCTGCAGCAGGCAGTGTGCCATTGGTTGCCGCTCCGGAGCCCATCCCCCCCATGGAGACATCGCCATCAAGGTCACTGTCGCGGTCCACATCGACACTGAGATCCTCATCCGCACTCTCGCCGGCAGAAAGACCCTTGGTACCTTTCTCATTTTTCTCCAGGGCAGCACTGGCAGCGGCGATTCGAGCAAGTCGTTCCCGTTGTGCAGCGAGTCGTGGATGCAAGGCCGCAAAGCCATACTTTTCCTCAGCTAGACGGGCGAAGTTAATGATCTTGTTACCTGTGCCGTTCAGTGGAATGTGTAGAACAATGTTGGGAGCACTTCGAGACGAGGTAGAGCTGTCATCAATGCCGAACAGAGCATTGGTAATCAAACCAGAGCCCTGTGGAAAGGGATGGGGAGCCTCTTTCGAAGCACGTGCAGGTTTGGGGGACGGCACGGTCGATGGAGGTGCAGAGGAGTTCTCTTTCTTCGACGGTGCAGATGGCTTCGCCGTCGAAGCCGTAGGGGACTGGGTCTTCTGGTCAACATCCACTTCCATGGCGACAGGTGCAGTCTGATGAGGGGAAGGAGAGCGCTGGACCTGCGACGGCACGGATGGTTCCAGCTGTTGTGAAGGGGGAATGGGCTGTGACGGTTGAGTTGCCGGGAACAGGCCCTGCTTCAGCGGTTCTGGATGTTGTTGCTGTTGTTGTTGTTGCGGTGGTGGTTGCTGCTGCTGGTGGGATTGGTCGTGCACGTAGGCTTGTGACGGCTGAGACGGTTGCAATGGATGTGACTGTGGAAGCGTCGATTGTGTCTGTAGCGTAGTTCCATGGGAGGGTGACGGCGTGGGTAACGGCGACGGGGCCAGGGAAGAATGTGATGAGGGCACTGGGATCGCTGAAGCGATGGGCGGCGACAAAGCGGACGAGACATGCCCCGAAGAAGTTCGCGTTAGACGCGGGAATGCGAGAGGCGACACCTGCTGGGGTGGAGGAGCCGGCGGGTCGATGATACTGGCGATGGAGGGCGACTCGCTTGCCCTGAACTTGCAAGGGGAGACATTGTGCGGCGGGGGGCTGTAGGCGGCTGTGACGGTGGACGCGGTGGGTGCGGGTGCAGGGGAGACATTCTCGATGGCAGAGCCTCGAATGGGGTCGTAATTCTGACCGCTGGAGCGCTGAGGAGGGGGAGCGGAGGGCTGCGACGGCGGCCTTGAGGGCGGGAGAGACGTGAGCGGGTAGGGGGAGGACGAGCGAGGCGGATTGTTCACATAGGACGGAGGCAGGTGGGGTGACGGCTGGAGGAGACTATGAGGATGCAAGTGATGGTGTTGCTGCTGCTGCTGCTGCTGCTGCTGGGGATATTTTGCAGGGAGGGGATCCTGGGGAGCTGGAGCCAGAGGGACGGGGGCATCGCTGGGACGCGAGTCGCCTGAGGATTGCGGCTCCAGCTTGGGCTTCTTGCGCGACGTCGTGGAAGAAGCCGTGGTAGACTTCTCGCGCGGACGACGGCCGCCACGCGGCTTGGCCTCCTTCTCTTTGTCCTTCTTCTTGAGCTTTTCGCTGCCGTTGGCGCTGGCGTGTTCTTTGTCATCAGCGTCGTCATCCTTCTTCCGACGCGACCGTCGCGTCGTCGTGGTTGTGGTTGTGGTTGTGGTAGTTGTGGAGGCTGCAGCAGGTCGAGGGTCTTTTCCCTCGGAGGGAGAGCCGTTGGGATCAGCGTGAGGTTGGCTTGTATTTTTAGTATCGTGAGCAGCGTCGTCTTTTGCGGGCCACCGGGCCTCGGGCGGATCATTCGACATGGCAGCGGAAGGCTTGATTCAATTTTCAGTGGAGGGAGGATGAGCAGGAAGAGATAAACGATAGACAGTCGACGAAGAAGCAGAACGGGAGCGGATGGCGATGGATGAAGATGGTTGACGTGTAAAGGGGAGGGGAGAAGATGAGAAAGGAGGGAGAAAAGAAGGAGAAGAGGAAGAGAAGATACAATTAGATCAGATTGAAAAGATCTGCAGGAAAACAGCCAGGAAGAGGAGAAAAGGAGGGAGAAAAGAGGTGGAAAAGAGGGAAAAGAGGGAGAAAGGAAGAGGAAAAGGAGCGAAGGAAACAGGTCGGATGATCTGCAGAAACACAGATTAATTGATTATTATTACAGACTGTTATAATATGGGATTGCTGTACGTACAGTGTCCGCCGTATGTACACTTCGCACTTCCTACACAGTAATGGAAAGTTGATACTCAGCAATGAATACCATACCACCACAACAACAAGAACAACCACCACCACAGCTCTTCCTAATTACAAATGGCTCCTCCTCTCTCCATCCGCACTTTCTTCATCACAAAATCAATCTTAATCTCTTCCTGAACACCCTGCTGCACACAGCCAATCACCGCCCGCTTTCCGCTTGTAGAAAAACGATTCCCGCGCGGCACCTGTGAGCCGCTAGTCTGCTTCGGGAATGGCGCTTCTGCAGCCCGCGTTTATTTTAGGTTTTGGAGCCGCATCGATCCCCGGATTCTTTTTCTTTTCTTCTCCAGCGTCTATGATACATCCATCATCACCACCATGTTCGCGGGCGAGCGTTTCGTCCTCGACCTCGATGACCCTACTCCCGACTTGTCCCATCCTACTGTCCCCGATCCTTCCCTGTCTTCCATAGCTTCGCCCTCTCTCGGCCTCATTGGCGAGATCCGCGAACGCCACCCCGCTACTGCTCCTGCCCCTCCCAAACCACCGTCCGGCACAACTGGGTTTCCCCAGCACAAACAGCGCATTCGTCAGTCTGCATTCAAACAGCAGAGATTTCAAAAACAGTCTGCTGCACCGTCCACACCTGCTGCGCCTACCTCCCCCGCACCATCCACCAGTCTCCAACCAGCAACCCTCGAGGATGAGAAAAGAGCCATAGACGAGGAGAATAAACAGCGACTGGCGGCCATGTCGCCGTCGCAGATTGAGGAGGAACGTGTTGAGTTGATGTCAAGCATTGACCCGTCCTTGCTCCAGCGGTTTCTACGGAGAGCCAGGATCGATGACGATGACGAGGACAATTGGCCAGTTCAGCAGACATCTGCGGAGGAAGAACAGAGACAACCGGAAGAAGGGAAAGGTGTACCCAAAAAATCAGTCTCGTTTGACATCCTGGAGACTCCTGTCGCAAAATCACTCCCTGATCCGGCTACGACCAAGATCAACCCTGTTAGCGAAGACCTCCCTCCAGCTCATCCTCCCCAAGACCTCCACCCGGCTTCGGAATTCCCCTCTCATGCTTCCTTTCACTTCCCGACCCCCCCTCCACGACAGAACCCCATGCCTAACCTGGACCCCTCGTCACCCTCATTCCTGTCCGACCTCCAAACCCACTACTTCCCTGATCTTCCTCACGACCCCTCCCTGATCTCCTGGCTGCAACCCCCACGTGCAGACCCGGAAGACCCCGAGTCATCTCTTTCTGCCTACCATCCGGCTAGCAGTGCTGTCTCCGTGGCCCCTGCCTTCATCCGTTTCTCTCTCATCGGCACGATTCTGTCTCCATCGACATCCCTCTCCCTCCCAACCTCCTTGGGTCTGCACCATCACGGCGACGATCCCCATGCGGCGGGATACACCATTCCTGAACTGGCCATCCTTAGCCGCTCCTCATTCCCCGCCCAGCGATGCATCGCCTGGCAGGTCCTGGGACGCATTTTGTTCCGTCTGGGCAAGGGCCAATTTGGGGAGCGCGGCAGCACTCTCGTCGAGGGCCTCTGGTCCGTTATCGAGCGTGAAGCTGTCATCGCTGGCATGCTGGCCGAGGCTGATGGGGGCTCATCGTCAAACCCCTATCATATCAAAACGGGCGCAGAGAAGGACACAGATAAGGACAAGGGCAGTATGCAAAATAACTCATCAGCCAAGGAAGGAGGAGTCGCCATTGGAAAGCACGCCAGCGCCAAGGCATGGGCTGTAGAAGGCGTTTGGCTCTGGCAGATGGGAGGCGGAGGAGACCGGGGACTACTCAAGGAAGGAGCTGTCAGATCACAGTAATCTCTTTCATGCGTCAATACTTTAATCTATGATTATATTTTTTTTCGTATAATGTCCAATTAATTATTCCGTACCATGAATTAAATGTTGAATATTGTAGATAGCATGATTGGAGATGCAATGAAATAAATGGGCAAGACATGACGCCCGCCTCATGATGCAGATGGATTGCATTTCATATACACATGAAAAGGGATATAAGACGATCTTATTGCAGCCTAGACAAGAACAGATATGCTCAACTAAAGCAATTAAAACGTCCTAGTAGATACTTGCCAATGTCCAGAACTCCAAACTGTAGGAAGAAAAGGGAAACTTATATCTATCCGGGGCAAAAGTAATAACAAATCCACATGCTCCCAACGGTCATGGCTATTTACTGCACCCTTTTGCAGTTCCAGGAGACAGTCCTGCAAAATGGCACTTGTTGACAGTAAAACCTGAAGTAAAAGTGAAAAGAGCTTAAAAAACTACCCTCCTGAGACAGTCATATCTCATCTCGCGTTCGATTTGCTTGGCCCAGTCGTGGCCCTGTGGTTGGGAAAGAAACTTGACCCGGAGGAGCTGTCGGACGCATCGGCAGACCCACTGGGGGCTGCTGTCTGCCATTGTATGGGATCTTGGGGGATGAACGACTTCCGAAACTGGGACCTTGGGATGCGTCCTGCGCAAAGCTTGGGTCTCCAATTCTAGGCCGCGACGCAGATGCGTGCCGGTTGGACCGGTAGTCATGATCATCGGATTCCAGAGACAGGTGTTCGAGGCTGAGGGGTGTTGTGTTTGTTGAAGACTTGGTCGAACTACTGAAGTGAGAAGAAGAGGATGCACTCGATGGGCCGTTGTGATGCCGGTAATTGACTTTGTCCTTGGTCACGTCATCGGCAACGTTCAATGGAATTTCTTCCGATGTTGGGGTATAATCTGACTGTTTATACGAGGGTTGTTGAGCCCTGGATGGTGATTTGTTCATGGGAAGTTTCAATGGCACGTTCATATCTTCCTTGAGAGACTTGGGAGCCGGGGGTGCCAGGTACGACTTCCGATTATGTCGCTCCATCATACTGATCGCCCATTCTTGGAGGTCAACTGGAGTTCGCTTGGCAGCCTGTAAGAAAGCATCTTTGTCCTGTTAAAATAGAAGAGGTTAGCTACCGGAAGATAGAACTATCATAGACAGTCTACCTGCGAGTAAGAAAGGGATCCTTACATAGAGCTCTCGAGGAGTTGGCCGCTCTTCCGGTATCTTCAAAAGACATTTCGCCACAAAGTCATGTAGAATTTGAGGAAAAGCATCGCTCTTTGGAAGCTTGGGAGCCGGCTCGTGGACAATCTGCTGGAGTAAGTCCAGAATACCCATCGGGCCAACACTGGCACGGTCACCCGCAGAGGAATCTAAGCTGTCAAAGGGAAATCGCCCGACTGCCAATTCCATCACTGTTAACCCCACACTCCATACGTCCGATCGTACCGTGTAAGCCCCGCCTTGGATACGCTCCGGGGCCATGTAGGTCGAGGTGCCGACGAAGGTGTCTGCAATCGAATTTACTGTCTCCGTAGCGACACCGAAGTCGCAGAGTTTGATGTTGCCCCGCGAATTCACGAGAATGTTAGAAGGCTTGATGTCTCGATGCATGATGCGGTGGACTTCGTAGAGATAAACCAGACCGGCCAGGACCGACTCGGTGATCTTTCCTAACACGTCGACTCGAACAGGACCAAAGTCCTTGGATATGCGGTCGAGAGAGCTGAAGCACCGTCAATAGTCAGTGCCCATCATATTCTCTTCCTAGGCCTGGAGTTAACCTACCCACAATCCATGTATTCCATACACATGACAATGTCTCTAGCTTCGTTCTGGAACGCTCCGTAGAAGGTGACGATGTACGGGGAATTGCAATCATGCCCGACCTGGAGTTCCCGCAGGATTTGTTTACGTACGTTTTCTTTGGCATCTACGCGGATTATCTGCGAACCACCACAGGCGTCAGCTCCTCACCATGACATCTTCAGAAGGGGTATCAAGCACACCTTCCGGGCCATGACCACCTTAGTGGTAGCATGCATGACCTTGGAAACCGTACCGCCATTTCCCGCCCCCAGTTCCTTCAATGGAATCAAATCCTCGCTTCGTAAATCTAGTCGAAACTCGAGACCGATCTCCAGGGTGTCCGTGCGACTTCCGTTGAGAGTTCCAAATCCTTGGGCATCGCCTTCCGATTGTTTCGAGACGGGCTTGGGAGTGGGCTTCAAGGCCAGACCCTTGACATTCTTACGTTTCAACGTTCGTGCTTTGAATTGGTCGGTCATGGCTGAGATTGGGCTTTTCCGGTGAGGAAGGTGGGGAGGATAAGCGGACGGATGAAGAAGAGAGATGAACGGGAGTAAAAGACGGTAAAGGCCTCAGCGGAGATCCAAATCAGCCAGTCCTTACCGTTTTCTCCTATTTCCTTCTCGTTTCTCTTCTTTGCGTTGCGTCGGTCGAGCAATGGAGATGTGAATGATGGCGGGTGCCGTTCCTTTTCCTAGACTGAACTGGACTGTACCACCAAACCGAACGGAAGAACAGGATGATTTCCTGCCCTTTATTTTTGCCGTTATGATAACCCTGGACAATGGAAGCTCCGAAAGAGATAAGTCTGATCGGTGGGTAGTCGAAGAAAAGAATAGGTAGGATGTTGGGACGACGCTGGGTCGAGACTGGGCGCCAATAGCCCGGCGGAGATTCGTCTTCGTGTCCGCTTTGATCAACCATCCATTATTATTATATTAAAAGGGGGAGCGATCGGCCCAACGGGGAGTCGTCTAACCTATCATCCGAGATTGCTCTTGGATGTTCTCTTATCCTGCATCTTCTGGCTTGACATGATTTGCCATGGAGGGTTGTTCAGGACACGGAGAACGGTTGGAGTCGTCGAAGATGAAACAGCAGCACGGCGGCTACAAGGCGGGAGAGGTTCATCTCGAAGCCTATAATTAGATATCTTCATGAATATCTCTTGGTTGGACCATTGTCTGGTTAGTCCTGACAGGAGATGGAGCAATCAAGCGCCTGTAAGTCTATTGAGGATATCTACCTACTAGGTACTAATACCAGCAACAGTGCTTAGGATCTGCCCATGTCGGCATCTATAGATACTAGTATCTAATACTTCTTGCGACGCTTCGGAAGGTTGTTCTTTGCCTGGATAACATTACTGGCTTTGTTCTGTACTCTTCCTGGAAACAATTGCACATGGCAGGTTATACTCGCAAGCAGGACTAGTTGAAGCAAGCCTAGGCTGTTTCTCAGGAAGAATCAACATACTACTCCAGGCCGGGGGGATGAGAAGAACTCAAGGGTGCTCTTCATTTCTTTCTGTGTGGTTTCCCTCTGAAGAAAAGGCCGCTTGCGGTTGACTGCTATATGTGATAATGCGAACCATATGCCGTCGGTCTCCATCTTCAAAATCGGGGACAGCAGAATGTGCCATAGACCTCTGTGCCAGAAATCAGTTAGTCTTATTTCTTTGGGGAAATGGCCAGGGCTCTTCCCTACCTGATCCCAAACGAGCACCATCCCCTTCTCCCACGAAACCTGACAACTAAAATCCAACGAGCGAATATGATCATGCAGGAACCCCAGTAACAACTGGGACTCTTGAGGCTTCAAGCCGACAACCTCACTTGCAATTGTTGGGTTGACAAACAGTGCCGATTCCCCTGTGACCAGATGCGCGATGACGAGTGGATGTACTGCTTTGACTGCCTCTGAGAGGGCACGCTCCTGTCCCACTCGCGCAACCTCTCCTACCGAGGCGCTCGTGTGCAGTAGCTGCAGATTGCGCAGCATGGATTGGAATGTTGGGGAGAGGCTTTGTAGGCAGCGGTCAGGGATGTGAAGGCAGTGTCGCCGCCACCAGAGGCGGGCGACTCAAGGACCCAGAAGAATGTCACGCCGGGAGTTTTTGCAGTGAAAGTCTGATCAATATGCCAAAGACCGTAGGCTGTGCGGCTGCCAAGCAGGCCGCGAAGATTTCCGCTGGGATTGTTGATCAGAGAAATGATATACAATCTAAGAATCAGGGAGGTTTGTACACTTTTTTCGTCAGCATAGACGACATGGAATTCCGAACCTGTTCCTTTCGGATAGCCCATAGTGGGATGCTTCAAGTCACCGTTAGATACGCCTCTACATGCATGCATCTGACACCCAGTCCTGAATCAACCCCTACCTGGTGCAATGGTCCAAAATGGCTGACAAGCTCCTTTTGCCACTGGGGACCGATATCCGCGAAAGTCCTCTCTGTCTCACCAAATCAGTACACACTGGGTTGGCTGACAAAGGGTTTGGTGGAGGCGCACAAAAACCAGGACACCCCTCTCTACGGCCAACAACGCAAGCTGATCCAGCCCGTCAGCCGTTAGATGACTAATTTGCACCCCGGAATTTCAGTGCCAATACGCGGCGTGATGTTTTTGATCTGCGCCGTGGGAGTGAATATGTCTGGCTTCTCCCGGTTGGCTCGAGACCCGCTACTTCGATATCGAAGGGCAGGACATCAATGGGCTTTAACGGCCCTTCCGGTCTTACGGGGAGGTAGTTTGGATAGAGGGGCAGAGCAGAAGGTGACATTATGTATGGGACCTGGTTTCGCTTCATTTCGGTATATGGTGTTGCGTGTAGTGAAGCATGACACCACGGCAACCAGGGGCTTCTGAGCAGCTTTTGTACTCTTTAACCAGTGCGGATAGTCGACCACCGAGGCCGGACGATTAAGATAAATAAGCTGACGGCTGTGTATACTCTATGTGAATATACATGCTCGATGTGCGGCTTTACTCCGACGCATTCATCCTCTGCCCACCCGCTAACATGACCAAGTTGCCCAGTTGTGCATGGTGCAATTTGTTCTCTATTTTGCGAAGTGAGATAGCAGACAGCGTGGGATATTGACGGTAGAGAGGGGGAAAGGGAATGGAAAGGTAGTTTGAAGGAGATAAATGAGAATACCGTAGGGTCCATGTTCCCTGCAATATATACTATAATACTGCGTCTATATGAACAAGATCCCAGTCCAGCGATCATGTTCCTTGCATTCTCGTATCTACGGCACATACATATAAGCGAGGAGAGGAGATTGCTGCTGAAGCTGGATATCCTGCTGCTGCTATGGATGTTCGTCGCCGGCTTGACATATGTTCCTAATATTGACCCTATTGCCGTGTATAATGGCATCTATCTCGCCTCTAGAACATGGACCAGTTGAGTACAACCTAGGCCTTCGTGTCTGGGATGAAAGAAGACCTGGATTTGTATGGAAATGTACTAGTCGAGTTCACTACGTTCTTTTCCATCGGATATGCCATCGTCATTATCCCCTCACAGATGACCCAGACGTTGATACGCCCGAGTAGCTTCCTGCCCACGTGTGAAATTATCTGGGGTTGTCTGATTTTTGGTGTGAGCTTGTTTCTTTTATTTCGTTTTCTTCATATATTCACGGGGTGGATGTCAATGTTGATTTCCGTTGGAACAGGATATATGCTGCCCCTAATGCGCGGACAGTCTATGCGCTGCGATTCCTTCTCGGAATATTCGAGTTTGTCAGTCCTTGTATTTCCTCTTGATATATTAATTTGTATCATGCACTGATCATATCCCTTAGACACCCCGGCCGGGGATTGTCAGTCTCATCTTTAATTGGTGTGTGTATTTATATTTGTATACTCACTGCAACTCCAGACATCCACAGACTCACGCAAATCCACACAACAGATACACCATCGGAGGTTGGCAAGCGGGCGGCTTTCTTCGGCGCCAGTGATATGGTAGGCAACATGTTCCTCAGTGTCTTGCAGGCAGCCCTGTACAAGAATCTGGATGGCGTCAACGGGCTAGCGGTACGTTACTAAGGGCTTTGATAACTAACATATACAGGGCTGGCAATGGCTCTTCATTGTGAGGCACATACGCACAGCTTTTCGACAGAGATTGTAGTATCTGACTCTTCGCCAAAGCGGTTGTATCGCCATCTTCTGGGGCCTCCTCGGCCTCCTAATCATTCTATACTCGCCAAGTATTACACGCGCTTTCTGGCTATCGAAAATAGATCGCGCTCTTGCCATTGAGCGTATCCGTGACCATGGTACCGAAACATCGAAGCTCATTGACGGGCATCGTTTGGGCCGGAAACTGTAGCAGGTGATCAAGAGCCCGCTCCTATATCTGTTTCTAGTGGCATACGTGCAGTTTGCGTGGAGTCAGCGGACAAATTCGTATTTCTTGTTGTATCTCAAGGGTTTGAAGAACAAGGATGGTGAGCCATTGTACAGATGTATAGACCCCAGCCCTTGAAAGAATGAATGACCATTCCATGTTCTTATTCTGGTACTTTGCACTGCAGCACGTATAAGGTGAATCTCATCCCAATGGGTGGCTACGCCCTTTCTATCGTCAGTACTATTACGCTCAATGCACTCAGCGACTGGACACAGTGGCGCTGGCAGATCTCCGTAACTGCAGCAGTATGGTGGCCTGTTCCCCTCTTGCATGAAATAGAAACAACATTGTTGAGTGTGAGAGGATAGGCCTTCTAAATCATCTATTGTTCTGTCCTGGCTTCATGGCCGGACTCTACGGCTACAATCATAGCATTTTATTTCCTCACGTATACCATGAACGCGTGGGGGTGAGTGAGCTGCCAAAATGTCAACTGCACTAAAACAAAGACAATACAGATCTCGCCGACGCAAGTGTGCTGAATAGATATGCTCTGCTCGCCTGGATAGCCCAGACCCTCAGGAAGGAGCCTGAAGGCCGATCTCTGATGGTGGCCGCCCTGTCACTTTAACCTGTATGACTTTTTTTCGTTTCCACCTAGTGGCCCCCGGGAATTCACCCGTGTAGCGCGCTGACGAGCTGGGATTATTCATCTCAACAGACGTCGGACATGCAACAATCCCTCTCCGTGCATGGCGAGTGTCTTGACAGTCCACGGTACCCGATTGGATTTCCGCTGGCTGCGGCATTTGAGGGTGGGAGCATTGTAGCTCTGCTGGGGATGAAAGTGTACATTGACAGGTGTGTTTCTTGGACATGCATTGGTTCTGTGTGAGTCAGCACTAACACGAGGATCAGAAACCAAGATATCCTGGAATATGGGTTTGCCAGGAAGCCAGATGCAGAAACAGATGCAGAAGAGGGAGAGCGAGAGAGCTCTGTTGACGAGGAGCAAAGACACGCGACCGCAGACAAAATGCCCGGTGCGCTCTTGTCGAGGTCTAATTAATTTTTTGATATGCAGAACTCTGCTCAATATTAATTCCGATGAATAATTGTATCTCCGAATAACTATGATACGTACTATCTCTTGCAATCGCATCCACAAATCACCTCATCCAAGAGAGCTATTCGATTAGTCAGGCTGGTATTATCTGCATCGCGGGGCTCCAGGCTGGTCCAGAGGTTCCAACACCGGTTCCCTATCTACGGTCACACCAAGAACTCATAATAATAAAATGCAATATCCACGGATCTAAGATTAATGCTAGCTCCAGGCACGGTAGAAATCCACGGAAATTCTGTCCCTTAGTCTAGAAGCGACTCCTTATGTAAGGCCGGGCAAACTCGCTGACACATTAAGCCACCCACAGACAGGTGTTTCCTCATGGCATTTCTAATTCTCTCTGACCAGCTGAAATCGGCCATGGAACGTCTCGGCTGCCACCAACTGTAAGCAGCAACGAGTTGTCGCCAGCGGGTTGTGGAAGTCGTAGGGCTTCTGGACATGCATATACCAATGTCCGGCAATAATCCTGATGCAAGCCGCGGAACACGTGCCACCAAAGGTATGGCCCATCGTCCTGACGATAATAACAGCTTCACAGCATGCATGCTAATTGACCCTGCACAGTGTGGACCACTCTGATAACCAATGCTGCTTACCTTCCCGGCGTGCTCACCCTGGAGTATTCCCTGCGAAGATCTGGCTCCAAGTACCCGCTCGTTGTTCTCTACACGGACTCGTTTCCTCCCGAAGGCCATGCTGCTCTCGATGCTCGTGGTATACTGAAACGCCATGTCACTTACCTTCTTCCTGCTATGCACAAAGATTATGCCAATGATGTCCGTTTCTACGACTGTTGGAGCAAGCTCGCATCATTCTCGCTTGTCGAGTATGAGCGCGTGGTCCAGCTTGACGGGGACATGCTGGTTCTCCAGAACATGGACGAGTTGATGGATCTCGAGCTGGATCCTCCTGAGATGGAGGGCAATGCAAACCGCGTCTTCGCGGCAAGCCATGCTTGTGTTTGTAATCCGCTCCACAAAGCTCACTACCCCAAAGACTGGTATGACCCTGTTCCTCGCAACACGCTCCATCACGCCTAGACCTGCAATGTACTAATCAGACTGGTCCAATATAAGGATTCCGGCAAACTGTGCATTCACGACGCAACATGATACCCCCGACGATGCACAGGTAGCTGGTGCCTCAGCCACTGCGGGCCATGGTATGGCTAATGGAGGCCTGCAAGTCGTGAATCCGTCTCAGGCGATCTACGATAAGATCACCAACCAGCTTGCTACTTCCGCCACCACGAATTACGACTTCGCTGATCAGTCTCTTCTCTCGGACATATTCCGCGGCCGCTGGGTCACGATTCCATACATCTACAACGCGCTGAAGACCATGCGATGGAAGGGTGTTCACGATGCTATCTGGAGAGATGACAAGGTTAAAAATGTACACTACATCCTCAGCCCGAAGCCTTGGGATGAGGATGGAAATATCCGGAAAGAGCCCGGTCCGGATCGGGACCCATCACACGCATGGTGGTGGGAGTTTACCGAAGAAAGATATAAGGAGGAGGAATCGAGAGGCGTGCGCGACCGGTTTTAGTATTGATATTCATTGTCTTTCATAGGGCTCTTTCATTTCTGCTATACAGCACCCTTGGCTAAGGGGCGCTCTTACTGCATACGACTGTTGTTGTCATCCTACGCCTCTAATGTTAGAAAAATAGTAAGATCAATGTTTCTTGACTTTGCAAGTAGTAGCTTCTAGATGAACCACCTGTTATTTTTGAAGCAAATATCAGACTGGGAGTACGTTGTATTTCCAAGCGCAGATGCACATGATTGACTAGCCTAGCTCTCTTGGCATTCAAGCCACATATAAACACATACATACTTTGTATACTAGACAGGTTGCAGGCTTTCCCTTTCCATTTTAGTGCTCACCACCTGTTCACACAGGTCAGCACCCCACATGAGAACAACCTAGCCTTCTGGAGAAGAGACAGGCCACTTTCAGGATCAATATCTACCACAGGAGGAGCAGGCAAGCTCCCCAGAATAATGCATGCAGCTCTGGGAGTGAGCTGGCTTTTCCTAAGAGCCTTAGTGCTCCCAGCCAGGTCCTTGCCGAGGAACCTTAGCTCGCCTGATCAACCATAGCTACACTTTGCTGGAAATCCTGGAATGTCTGCCAAGGAGATTCTGAAACGATTGTGGAATGGTAGACTAGGCAGGCTGGCATTATTTCAGGGACATTGTACAGATAATACTAGTTACGATTGTCTATACTCTACCACTATTCAGAGATAAGCGCAGAAGAAGCAGGCAGTGTAGAAACAGTGCTTCATTTTGCTCTACTACACCATGTTCTAGCGTTCAAGGCCTAGAGAACATGAGAATTTGAAGCATGGCCAGAGAGGTATGCTTTTGGCTTGCTTTTCAAAAACATCCAGCATACTAGCCACCCGAAGGCAAGGAAGGTAGTTCCCTAACACCTTCAACTGCCACGGGCCAGGCTGCTTGAAGTGCTCCTCTTTGACAAGACTAATACGATCCCTATGGCCCTGGCGGAGACTAGCAGGCCTCAGTCGCCGTTTACGACTCAAAAAAAAAAAAAAAAAAAAAAAAAAAAAAAAAAAAAAAAAAGCAGAAGAAAAAGAAGGGTAGAAAACAAAAAGAAGTGGAGGAATGATCGCTGACAGACACATACGAGCGAGTGCAGATTAACAAGGGCAGCAGACTGGGAGGATGCAGAAGTTGGAGAGAGAATGCGTGGAAACAGGGAGAGGTCGGTTCCTTATACCTGAGACAACGGCGAGCGGTGGTTACTTCATTTTTCTACCAGTTTAGTAACTCTTGCTTAGAAGGATTTGCAACCTGAGGATCTGATCCCTATCAGCTTTTTGCTTGTGCCATTTTTCTCATGGGCAAATTGATGGGCATGGGTAATCTGAGGGTGGTTAATCTGGCACCATTTCTGAGCTACCCGCACAAAATAGAGGTGAGAAGAAATACTCACTGATCATCACCCTAAGTAGCCTCATGAAGGTGGTGGCATCCAGAAGGGGAAAGTGGTAGTAGTATAAAAATCCTATATAGTAGCATATATTACTTCCTTAGTACTAGCGCGGAACGCCACAGAGACCTACCTATTTCGTTCTTCTAAGCAGCTCCCCTTCACTTGTCCAGAGAGAAGTCTCTCAGACTTCACCCCAATCCAGTTGCCAAATCTCCGGTTTGTACCGGGGTCCCTTTTCTCTCGTCTCTCATTTTATAAGAGATTCAACTTTCTTTGTCCTTTCCTCACTGCGATTCATCCCTTTGGGTCTCCTTCCGCGTCGGTGATCTCTCCGTGGGCGCCTTACTGCGCCTGAATCAAAATGGGCTCCAATCTCGTCGATACCGAAGCCTTTATGGGCAGTGAGGATGAAAATGAAGAGCGTTATGATGAATACGATGGTAACGGTGAGGTAAAGGAAGGTGCTGGGACCGTGGGACCCTACGTTGATTCCAGCGAAGAGGACGAGGAGGACGAGGATGACGAAGAGGCTGCTCGCGCTGTGAGTTCTACCGCCTAAGAAATTCTACCGGACTACACTTATATACTTTGTTTACCACGGTATTGACTTGCATTTTTCTTTCAGGTTCGCGAAGGTTTCATTGTCGATGAAGACGAAGAAATTGAAGAGCGCGCCGAGCGCAGGCGGGAAAAGAGGAAACGACGACAGGAAGAACGCGAGAGAGAGGATGAACACCTTGATGAAGAGGATTTGGAACTTATTGGAGAGCTCAATCCAGATTTACAACCTGCGGCCTCGGTATGTTGATCACCCATGGATGCGGTGCGGTCCTTTTGCAGTGTAAACATGCACCTTGACTAACCTAGTTGTCCTCTCCTGTTACAGTCTAAATTTAAACGCCTGAAACGAGGCCATAAGGAGCGAGAACACGCACGGCCTTCTCGTGGCATCGACGACATGTTTAGCTCGGATGAGGAAGAAGAGCCTGCCGGCTACCACAGACCCCAGAGACATATGCACGATGAGATGGACGATTTCATCGAAGAAGATGTCTTCTCCGACGAGGAACTACAGCGGGAGAGGGAGGATCTGGAGATTGCTCGTCCAGTGAAGAAAGGCGTGAGTGGTCTGAGTGCCGCTGATATGGCCGGACTTGATGAGAATGCTCTCGAGGACATGCGGGCCGCATTTGGAGACGGAAACGAATATCTTTTCGCTCTGGAGATGGAGGAACAAGAAGATGAGCATGAAGTTGATGAGGAGAAACATCTTGATTTGAAGGATGTTTTTGAGCCTTCTCAGCTGGCGGAGAAGATGCTGACGGAGGCAGACAACGAAATCCGTCTTTTGGATGAACCAGAGCGACACCAGGTGGCCCGAAAGCCATACCGCCATATCGTCCTAACCGAAGAGCAGTTCAGAGAAGAGGCCGGCTGGATAGCTAACCTTATGCTCCTTAAAAAACGGGTCGAGTCCGATTTGCAGGAGCCATTCCAGCGCTCTGTTGCCAAAGTTCTTGAATTCCTAGTAACGGATGACTTCGAGGTTCCCTTCATTTTCCAGCACCGCAAGGACTACATGATCCATGCCGTCAAGGTACCAGTTGAGCCTGGTGCAGAAAAACCGGATGGCCCGCAGTATACCATTAAAGCCGAAAAGCTTTTGAACATGACAGACCTGTGGGATATTTTTGACTACGATCTCAAGTTCAAAGCCCTGATCGACAAGCGAAACACCATTCAGAAAACGTATGATAACCTCCAGAGCGTGTTCAACGTGAACGATCCTACTGTCGAAGAGCTTCTTGCTGCAGCCGTCACCATGGAGGAACTTCAGGACGTGCAAGATTACATACATTTTCAATATTCGGCACAACTTCGTGATCTGTCTCAAACAAACGGTGAAACGAATGGCGAGTCTCACCGGCGAAAAGCCTCGAGTAAGACCAATTTCGACCGTGTCAGGAACAGCAAGGCTTACGAATTTGTGCGAGCATTTGGCATTTCGGCGGATGCATTTGCGCAAAATGCACTGAAGCAAGGCCACCGTCAATACACTGAAGATCCAACGGAGACGCCGGACGAGTTAGCAGACAAGTTACTAGACGAGTACTTTACCAGCGGGTTTCATGTAGTTAGAGCGGCCACGATGACGTTTGCAGAAGAGATGTTCATGAGCCCAAAGCTGCGGAAAGTCGTTCGCCATGCATATTACATGAACGGTGTTGTTGACTGCTTCCGCACAGAGAAGGGCTTGCGGAGAATTGATGAGCAGCATCCATACTACGAGTTTAAATATCTACGGAATCAACAACTCAGTGACATTGCTCGTCGACCAGAGCTATTCCTACGCATGTTGAAGGCTGAAGAAGAGGGCCTGGTTGAAGTCAAGGTTCGCTTTGAGAACTTCGAAAACTTCCGACAGCGCCTGTACCAGGACATTGAGTCTGATAACCTGAGTGAACTCGCCGACGCGTGGAACAAGGCACGCCGAAATGTCTTGGGGATGGCGTTGGCTCGACTGGAACGCCTGATGAACCGCAGTGTGAAGGAGAACATCCGCCAAGAATGTGAGAATCACGTGGCTAAGGAGTGCCGGGATGCGTTCTCGCAGAGATTGGATCAAGCCCCCTATAAACCGAAGGGTATGATCCTGGGCACTGTTCCCCGAGTTCTGACCCTGTCGACAGGATCTGGTGTCCTTGGAAAGGAGCCAATCCACTGGGCTTATGTTGAAGAGGATGGTCGCGTGCTTGAGAATGGAAAGTTCACGGACTTGTCGCTTGGAGACAAAGATCGCAGCATCGCTGATGGCAAGGACGTGGATGCCTTCGTAGATGTTGTTGATCGGCGACGCCCAGATGTCATCGGCGTTTCCGGTTTTTCCCCAGAAACCCGCAAGCTGTACAAGCTTTTAACTGAGCTTGTGGATAGCAAGGACCTTCGGGGTGCCCCATACACGGACGATCGCGACGAGGAAGTCAGTGATCCCCTGGAGGTCGTCATTGTGAACGATGAGGTGGCTCGACTTTATCAAAATAGCGAACGTGCGAAGAAGGACCACCCCGGCTTTGCTCCTTTGACCCACTATTGCGTTGCCTTGGCCAAGTACTTGCAGAGCCCCTTGAAGGAATACGCTTCCCTTGGTCGGGACGTCGTCTCAATTCAATTCAAGCCTGGTCAGCAGCTGGTTTCGCAGGATCTCCTCCTGAAACAACTCGAAGCTGCGCTGGTAGATATGGTCAATTTGGTTGGCGTTGATATAAATGAAGCCGTGATTGATCCTGCTACAGCGAATCTGCTTCCTTACGTCTGCGGTCTTGGCCCTCGGAAAGCAGCACATCTAGTCAAGATCGTTAACATGAATGGTGGTGTGGTTAACAACCGGGCTGAGCTTCTAGGAGTAAACGCTCAATACCCAGCCATGGGCGTAAAGGTATGGAACAACTGTGCCAGCTTTGTTTATATCGACTTCGAAAACGCAGATCCGGATGCCGACCCTCTGGACAATACACGTGTACATCCTGAAGATTACGACATTGCTCGCAAGATGGCTGCTGATGCTCTGGAGCTGGACGAAGAAGACATAAAAGCAGAGACAGATGAAAATGGACAGGGTGCCATCGTTCGGAAGCTTTTCAGGGAAGAAGCGCAGGACCGCGTCAATGACCTGATTCTGGAAGAGTATGCTGAACAGTTGGAGAAGAATCTGAACCAGCGTAAGCGCGCGACTCTCGAAACGATACGCGCTGAACTTCAACAGCCATACGAGGAGCTTCGGAAACAATTCGTCTACCTCAGCTCCGATGATATCTTTACCATGCTCACCGGCGAGACGCCGGAGACACTTGCGGAAGGCATGGTAGTACCCGTGTCTATTAAGCGCATCTTGGACGACCATATCGATGCCAAACTGGATTGCGGAATCGACGCCTTGGTGCCCGAAATGGAGATGACCGACCGATATGACATACCCGTCCGGTCGCTGTACGCCGTGCACCAAACGGTCCCAGCCAAAATTCTTTTCCTGAACAGGAAAAGCTTCACCTGCAATGTATCGCTCCGCGAAGATCATGTCAGCAGGCCACAGAGAAAGCCGCGTGACCACATGCCGGGGGAGTGGGATGACAGACTTGAACAGCAGGATCGAGAGGCACTACAGGAGAAGACGCAGAGCGGCGTGCGTGCCATGCGCGTCATTAAGCACCCGCTGTTCCGACCCTTTAACTCGACGCAGGCCGTGGAGTTCCTGGGCACACATAGCCGAGGAGATGCGGTCATTCGTCCTTCTTCTAGGGGTCCGGACCATCTAGCCGTGACGTGGAAAGTGGCCGATGGCGTCTATCAGCACATCGACGTGTTGGAGTTGAATAAGGAAAATGAATTCTCGGTTGGAAGGACGCTGAAGATCGGGGGTAAATACACGTATAGCGATCTGGACGATCTGATTGTCAACCACGTCAAGGCGATGGCTAAGAAAGTGGATGAGATGATGCTGAGTGACAAGTACCGCGGCAGTAACAAAAGTGAGACGGGTAAGTTTCGAGATGAAGGGTTTTGGAGTGGAATTTTGTATGCTAACGAACTGTCTTACAGAGGCCTGGTTGGAGACGTACACGAAGGCGAACCCGAAGAGGTCGGCGTATGCATTCTGCATCGACGCGCAGCACCCAGGATACTTCCACCTATGTTTCAAGGCCGGCGAGAATGCGACTCTGCAGAGCTGGCCTGTCAAGGTGATCCCACAAGGATATGAGCTGCAGCGGAACCCGTACCCAGATATGCGGGCATTATGCAATGGGTTCAAGCTGCTCTTCACCAATATGATGGCTGGCAGGCGGAGGTGATGATTCATTTGGCCGTCTTTCTCTTTTTGTTTCGCGCCGTTTACTATACTATTCACATGTTCTTTTTTTTTTTTTTTTTTCTTTTTTTCTTTGCTTTCCTTTGCTTCCATTCCGTCATATACCAGTGCATCTAAGAAATGGTTGAAAATAGATTTCAGTTCGGACGATTTCATAGCTGCTGTGTTGTTATTCTGTCTCTTCATTTCCCTGGTGTTTCTCAGCCTGTATACTATTCTTTGTCAAAAAAGAACAAGGATGTTCTCTCCGTGATACACTTTTTCTGCTCTTATTCTGTGGCTGTGGAGCATCCAGCCTGGAATCGAGGAAACGAGAGTAGATAGTAATTATTAAGGAACCATGAGCATATGCATCAAGCCTCGAGAATAAGCCGACGCATGAGACAGGGCCCTCTTCTGAACGTGAACAGAGGGCATCGTCTGCCTGGAATCCTTGCATTTTCCAAATTAAAGATCTCCCAATCGGGACACTCCTGTAATTTCCTCCTCTCTCATCCTCGGTCGCTCTGCTTACACTCCCTTTCCAGCACATGCATCACCCCTCACTGGCTTCTGTTCTCTGTTTCTTCTTTCTCCCGGGCTGAGGCGAGTTCGCCTGCATCCAGCCCTGCTTACTTCGCCCTCGTTCTGTCTGCGTTTCATCGGAACAGGTCGAGTCCTTGTTCCCCGCGCTGTAAACAACACCACAACGTCAAATACCGAGACTCGCGCTGCTTGCTGACTGCCCCTTCTCTCGGGAAGACTTTGGATTTACGTGTTTACGATCCGTGAAGGAGAGTTCCATCTCTGATCCTGCAGCCATGGCGGGAATGGAGGAGTTGGAGGTTCATAGCAAAGTACGCTCTACAACAAGATCATTGAGCTAGCTATCCCCACAAACAGCTCTTGCGCTGACTGACGCCTGTTCTTCTCTCCCATGTCTAGTCCTATCTCGTGCGATGGATCCGTGTCAAAGAAGAACATACTATTTCCTGGAGCATCCAGCCTCACAAGAAGTCCCTCAATTTTGGCATCTTCAAGCATCCAGGTCACTCCGTGACCGCAAATGTCCCCGGATCAGGCTCCCACAGCACTGATGTGAGCGAAAGCAATCCGTCAAGTGGCTCTACGGGAGCGCGTCAGAATGCATCAATGCCAGTCATCGAGAAATTGACGGGAATTGGGTTGAAACCCATAAAGTGGATTGGGAAGTGTGAGGCCGACAAGATCTCCCAGGGCACCTACGACGTTCCTCGGAATGAGGGAGGGAATTACGCTCTTGTCGTCGACAACACCTTCTCCAAACAGACCTCCAAGACTGCTACGCTCGTCCTGCTCACTTATCCCACCGCTGTGCCGCCGCAGTCCGGTCACCAAGGCATCCGCTATAATCCGGCCGGCGCCGCGCCCACGCCTGCGGATCCCGAGGCTGCGAGCAATAATACCCGCGGGGCCTCCTATCTCGATGTTGGCAAACCCGGCGATGCCTCGAGACAGGCAAGGGGAAGGCGTCGGTCGCTGGTGGCGAAGTCGGTTAATAACAGTAACAATGGTGGTAGTACCAAAGGGCTGCCGTCAAGTTCAGAATTGTCTGGAGATTCGCCTACGACCGTTCACACGGGCATTCTACAGAAGCGAAGGAGGAAACGGCACCAAGGCTGGGCAAGGAGGTACTTCTCGCTGGACTTCGGATCGTCTACGCTGTCCTACTACCACGATCGCAACTCCTCCGCTCTACGCGGTGCTATTCCCCTGGCCCTGGCAGCCATTGCGGCTAACGAGAAAACGCGGGAAATTTCTGTGGATTCCGGTGCCGAGGTCTGGCATCTTCGGGCGAGCAACGATCAGGATTTTGTATCGTGGAAGCGTGCGTTGGAGAAGGCCTCCAAGACCCCTGCTGACGATACCCAGCAGAACGATATTATCCGTCGAATACCCTCTCTCCGCATCGCCCCCAATGCTTTAGAGGAGCGTGAATGGATGCAGATCGAGAGACTCGTGGGTCATGTGGCTGGCTCAAGGGATGCAGTTAGACAGCTCGCAAAGGACACAGATCCCAAATACCTTCCACCACAGATTGCCTCTCCCTCGGAACGCCCACGAGAACGATCGCCAAGTCCCAGTTCCCGTCTGAGTCCGAATGCAGCTGAGGCGACGAATGGAGATGATCACTTCGACTCGCGTGACAGACGACCCTTCTGGAAGCGCAAAGCAAGCTTCAACTCCTATTCAGGCTCTAAGCGAGGCCCGGTTTCTCCACAGCTGACTGTCCCTGGCCAGTTCTCAGATGTGGCATCAATCACTGGGGATCGGAAGCCCAGTAGCATCTCCAGCCATGCCGATGGCTCAGAGGATATCCACGACCGGTTGATGGCTGTTCTTCGGGATCTAGACAGTGTCGTGGCTGAATTCAGCACGATGTTCGCGGAAAGGAAAGAACGGTTCCATCCACCAACGCTTTCTGCTCACTCTCGACGGAGCATTGATTCCGATATGTCGCAGGAATTCTTTGATGCCAAGGATGGGGCTATGTCGCCGATACTTACCATCCGGGACAGTGACGATGAAAATGAAGTCAAGCAGGCGGAGACCGTGGCAGACTATGTGTCATCGGACAGTGACGAGGAAGACCTCGAGAGGTCGATCTCGAATGCTTTGCAGAATGAGAGTGCTTTGTCCTTATTCCCCGTTAAACCAAGGTCGCTTGTCCCTTTGCCAATAAGTACCGTCGTCAAACGCCGGACGACCGTACCCGCGCCCACCCTCATGCCTCCAAGTTTAATTGGGTTTCTACGCAGGAATGTCGGCAAGGATTTGTCACAGATTTCCATGCCAGTGTCTGCCAACGAGCCGTTATCCTTGCTTCAACGTGCGGCGGAGCTAATGGAATACTCTGTTTTGTTGGATAAGGCTTCTACCTCCACGGATAGTGTGGAGCGCCTCATCTATGTAACTGCCTTTGCGGTCTCATCACTGTCAAACTATCGGGTCCGCGAGCGTGCCATCCGCAAGCCCTTCAATCCCATGCTGGGGGAAACATTCGAACTCATTCGTGAGGACCGTGGGTTCCGATTCATTGCCGAGAAGGTATCTCACCGACCGGTGCAGCTCGCCTACGTGGCCGAAAGCAAGGACTGGAGCATCACGCAGTCGCCTATGCCGACGCAGAAATTCTGGGGTAAGTCGGCGGAGATCATCACGGAAGGCATAATCAGACTCACCCTGCACACCACCGGCGAGCATTTCAGCTGGTCCCCCGCGACATGCTTCCTCCGCAACATCATCGCTGGTGAGAAATATGTTGAACCAACCGGAGAGCTTTTAGTCTTCAACGAGACGACCGGTCAGAAGACAGTGTCCACATTCAAAGCTGGCGGCATATTCTCTGGCCGCAGCGAAGACGTCACCTCCAAAGCATTCGATCCCTACGGCAAAGAACTACCCCTAGGCATGGTTGGCACCTGGACGACTTCTCTTCAGCTCGTCAAGAACGGGTCCCTCACAAACACAGCCATTTGGGATGTTGGTCCCCTCGTTCCTGACGCCCCCAAGCATTACGGCCTGACCAGCTTCGCCGCAACCCTGAACGAACTTACCCCGATCGAAGGTAAGAAGCTTCCCCCGACAGACTCGCGACTGCGTCCGGACCAACGCGCCCTCGAAAACGGAGATGTTGACCGCGCTGAGGAAGAAAAGACTCGACTGGAAGAGAAACAGCGCGCGCGGAGACGTGAGATGGAAGCAGCCGGTGAATCCTGGGTGCCGCGGTGGTTTACACGGGTTGAAGATGCCGCTACAGCTGGTGCCGGCACAGAGATCGTGTGGCGCCTGAAAACAGGTAAAGACGGATACTGGGAAGAAAGGGCCAAGGGGACTTGGACGGGCGTGACACCCGTGTTTTAATCCTTTTCTTTTTAGGGACAAAAGGAAGAAGAGTAAAGTAAAAAGATGAGCATGCATGTACATAGTTTATATGTACATACCGTCTACGAGGCTATGAATATTGCAATAATGCGTCGTTTAATCAATATCGCTAGTTTTCTTCGTGGTATAATGTTACACTTCTTAAGCTGCAGAAGGGCCAATATTAATCATATACAAATACCCAGCAGCCTTGATTTACCCAGTACCAAGAAGCCAGATTCAATAATCCCATTCATTTACTAATGAATTTATGTACCACCGGGAGCATTGAGTCATTGATACTATCATTCCAGTTTGGTTTCGAGCCGGTTCGAAGACATATCGTCGCTCCTGCAAAGCCCATAATTTGCTGACGACCATGAAAACAAAGACCGCCCCCAGTAGACTTGCGGTAGGTCAAAAACAAAAGCAGAGTTTCTGCTGAAATAAAACCCGGGTTACCCTAAAAACGCCAATAAATGCCCCAAGCTTTGGCCCGACGTCTCCTCTATATTTCCGTGATGTCCACAATGCGTGTGGTCTGGCCTCCCTGGATATATGCATATCGTTCAATTTTGCTTCGCCTCCATCCTCATTCCCGTAGTTCGTGATCGTTCAGGTCGTATTAATATAGCATCAATGACAGGATGTTCTCATATCGGACGAACCAGCATGAAAACAAACTATGACCGGCTGGTGGATATCTAAATTTCTTCGTCGGAATGGTCCAGAGCAGCCCACTTACGGGCATGGCTTCTTGATTTTGCAGCCTTTCGTGCTCCGGCACGATCGGTCTGAGCAGTTATGCGCATCATGACTGGAAGGCTATCCAAAACTGCCCGATTCCCCTGGTAGTAATGTTCAGAGAATCCGCCCCGTAAAATTCGTCGTAGCGTGTTAAGTCGGATCCACTTCCACCAGCGGTCGATATTCATCGCACTGTCTCCTATCTTTACGATTGCTCGACTGCCATAGTGGCGACCTGTGTCTTGATCGATTGCCGTATTGTACATGGGGCCACGCCGCGGGTCCTCGATCGTCGTAAGAATAGAGATGAAGCTACTGTGCAGGTTCTTCTTCTGCTTCTTGCTTATGCGCTTGCTGTGAACCGTCGCAAGCGATTGTAGCTCACGTTCAATTTCGTAGGTGTTATGATACGCATCGTAACGTTTGACGAGTCTGGTGCCGCCTCGATCGCCGCTGAATAATTCTTCTTCGGAATCATCCTCTTCGTCCGAATTCTGATCGTTGTAATCTTCTTGCGGGCTGTAGCTCTTTTCGTATAGTAGGGCAATATTTTCTCCAGCGGCAATCTGAACCTGTGAATGTTCACTGTTGAGTTGATCCAAAAAGATCTGGACGGCCTCTTCACTTTCAGCTTCAAGATCATCGATCTCGGTGGCTAAAAAGCCCCACTCCTGAATTGCTGCAGTGACACTGTCCGGATCATCAGTAGCATCGATAGACTGGCCATCGGAGGCGACAATATCGAGGAAGAATGTCATCTGCCCGAAAATGCTGTCTTCGCCTGCACCCCCAAACGCGGCGCAGCAACTCAGGCAATGGATAGCTGCTGCTTTGACACTGTTGGACGTTGAATCTCGAATTGTGCGTGTAATCAACGGCTCAGTATTTTCATAGATGGTGTTATCGAAGGCGGAAATTGCAAGGAGCTCGAGAGCCTGAAGAGCCAGTGTTGTCTCGCGCTCGCTAGATTGAGTTTTGATGCTCTTAAGGAAGACACTAAGAAGGTCTTTGATGCGAATCCGGATCTCTTCTTCCACATAGTGGAACTTGCTAATGCGACAGAAAGCAGCAAGAGCTGCTTCTCGACCCTGGACACTGCTGCGCTTACGTTCGAGGAGATCCTCGATGACATCGTGTAACTCTTGAGTCCAGTCGACATTTCCTAGGTCGGGATTATCGTTCAGATCATCCAGAGAGGCGATACTGCAAGTGAGACAGTCAGTGCATAGTTGCATCCCCATGCTAGTAGAATGTCAAAGCGATGACATCATCACCGCCACATCTGAGAAAGTAGACGTGATGCGATATTGAAGATGTGGAAAACATGAAAGAGAATCTAGCTGACCTCCATGCAGTGCTATCGCTCAGACTGGCTGTTTCCTCGTCGTCCGAAGGCTGCCTGCTTGCATTACGGGAAGACTGGCGAGAATGCTGAGCAGAACTGACTCGCGAAGCCGAGCGTGAGCCTTCACGAGACGCGGCTTTGCGGGAAATAGTCTTCCCACTCTCTAATACCTGACGACGAAGGTCTGGCATGATGATGAGAGGGGCAAGTGCGAAGCGCGAATCAATATGAGGGGCAATGAGATCGAAGTGGGTAGGTAGTAGTATAGATCGGATGGGAAAAAAGTGTCGATGTCGGATGTCTATTCTATAAGAGCTTGTGAATTTCTGAGGTATATATCTTTCGTTCTTGTTGACATGACAGAGAAGATGGATGGAGCAAGATGAAGATGCAGAACAGGAGAAGGTGGTGGTCAAGATGAGAGCTTGTAGAGTGTTGACTTCGTCGAGGAACCTTTTCTCTTATCATCATGTGACTGCCGCACATCACATGTCTTATTATCGGATTCTGTCGGAGAGTCAGAGTCAGGCAAACTATCCGTTGGATCAACTTGCTTGTATTGTATTGTATCTATCTAGGTTGGTCTAGCTATTTTAGTGTGTCAGGCCAAGCGAGGGCGGTCTAATATGGCAGAATACACGTGACCTCTAACAGGTGTATCCTTGGTTGGTAACTAGCTAGATAGGCCTACGTGGTGAAAAGGGTCCGCGAGGGCGGACCTAAGCGGCAGAATCACCCGTGATCTAACAGATTCCGGTGGATTTTGTGCCTGCTAATAGCAGACAGGATCGAAAAGCTACCTAATCGCCAGGGGGTATCACTATGACTCTTCAGGGAAATACTTGCTGGCACGAAGCTACGCTATCTCCGCTGTACAAAAAACTCTAAAATTTTCTGGGCCTTTATTCCCTCCAAATACCCCGCCCCCTCGCTCCTCTCAGTAGCATAGTCGTCATCGTCCACTTCCAGATCTACCTGCAAGCTGGCATTGTACGCTTCCATGACTGATTCCTCATCGACCGGCACGCCGCCTTGGACTAGTACGCGAATGCATTGTGACAGTCGCGCAATCTCGCGTCTTGTTTGCGGCGGAATATCATCATTCTGGCTAGAGTATATCGAGCTGGAAACCACTTCCTCCATGCGTGTGATCGAGACGTTCTCTGTTTTCGAGGACGCTGCTGCGGTACCGTCCGCGTGCTTGGAGATCCAGATGTAGCCATTCACACCGAGTATGACATCAACTTCACCACCTCCGTTGGCCGTCTCGACAGTCCAAACCTGTCTGCGAGATCGGACTACTCCCCCTGTACCCGCTGCCGTACCTATTGGACCTCCGCCGGTAGGTCCTGAAACTCCTCCCTTTGAGACTCTTGAAGCCCCACTCCCTCCAGTCCCGGCCACTGCGAGGAAGAATCCGTTTCTTAGCTTTCCATATTTCAGCGACCGCGTATGTAACGAGGCTGCACCATCAGAGTGTACACTTTGAACTTCTGCGACGACCAAATCTCCCTCACTGAAAAAGGTTCGTATTTGTAGCTCATCGGTGCTCGTTCTTCGACGCAAAATGCCACCCGGGAGATTGATCGCAGATAGAGGGAGCTGTGCTAAAAGGGGAGCAGCAACGTCAACCTTCCACCTCCGAGACTGAACCTCCACAATGCGCCCAACAACCAAGTCACCTATCTCCGGCGTATAACGCGCGCGAAGAGGTCGCACAGAGAGGAGTTTGTTGGTTTTCTGAATAGTACCAGCGACAGTGGCGATGATGGACGTAGAAAGCGGATTGGTATAAGTTCCATGACCCCTTGAACTTTGTTAGCATGTGCTTTGGAGCATGAAAGAAAATTTCCACGGCATAGCGCGAAACCGTGCCTTGGAAGCATCCAGGCCAGAGATAATAAATCAAAGAAGAAAGTGCAGCCAACCTCATCCATTGAGGATCATCCGTCACAACCTCTCCAGGGGTTACAATTCCTGTATTTAACTTGCTTATGCCAGCAATATGATGTCGCTTCGCGGACTGAAAATGGCCTCCTGTTGCCGTATCTGCGTCGCTCTCGGAATCCATTGACATCGCATCAATGTCGGAATCTGCTTGCGGAACATCGGCATCATCCACAACTGGGGGGAGTATGGTAATGGCCATCTTTAATGAAGATATAAAGAATGGAAGAAAGAAGAACCTATGATTTGAAAAGTCCAGATTGTAAGATTCATGTCCAAAGTTGGTTGCAAAATCCTCGATATCGCCGGAGCGAAACATACAAACAGAACAAACATCACGTGCAGCCCTTCCCGCCTAGACTAGTTACGCATTTACATTCAGATAGGCATATCGCAATTGCTTTGAGTGGTAATACATTGCGCAGTGAAGTAGAAAAAATAGAAGGGCATAGAACACCACTTGGGAGGTCTTCAAGCTGCTGTGCCTGATCATTTCTTCGACGCCCGCTTTCCATTAGAAGCACCATCGTCCTTCTTCTTGCGGCTTGGACGGCTGCTTCCACCCTTTGGTCTGTAGCCAGTGTCTTCATCGCGCTTGCGCTTGCCTCTTGCACTTCCTGACGTAGACCCGACTTCCATTAGAATTCCATCCTCATCATATATGTCCTCGTTCTTGCGAACTTGTCCTGAAACCCGTTTCGAGGAGCGTAGATTTGCAGGTCGAGAGCCAGACTTCTCCGAAGTAACCTCGTTGTCCTGTAAGAAGATTTGTGGCTGGTTTTTCCGCAACCAATTATAGACAGATACTGGGTTCTTCATGGTAAGCGCACGTTCGCGTTCAGCAAGCGAAGGTTTCTCAGGGGCGCGGCTCAGCTGCACGGCTGCCGATTCATCTCCCAGGCTTGCATCCAAGGTCAAACAGTAGTCAGTCTCGTGCTCAGGTGTCAGAAACCCCAGGTTATTCGAGATTTCATTGTCTGCAGACTGCTGCTGGCCTTCTGGTGGCGGTACCGTATGTGGGGTCCTTAATAAGGTGGTGTACTGCAACTCCGGAGCGAACGCCTTCCCGCGCTTCACGGCGTTCTCCACCGAACGATAGCTTTCGGGTGTAAGAGTACCAGCTGCCACTTCTACCCTGGCTTCATTGAGAACGGATCTTGCTGTTGCTGGGTCACTGATCATCGTCATACTGCCGCTTTCGGAGCTTGTAGGAAAGACGGGGTCACCCGGGACGCTGAGGTCATATCGCAAGGTTGGCGGCATGTGAAGATTGTCGTTAAACTCAAGAAGAACCTCGAGTAATTGACTGTAAACGATTAATTCCCAAATTAGTGGCCCATACAAAGCGAAAATTTTGGATTGCTCACTCATTCTGCTCTTGAATCCGCTTTGACAGATCCTCTATGCGCAGCTGCTCCCGAATGAGAGCTTCGCTCTCTTTCATCTCAAGTTCGAACTTAAGCTTCATCTTTGCAAACTTCTTTCTGCAAGAGACAAAAAAAAGTAAACATCAGCCTTAAAAGAATTCAGTGACTTCACGGGGCTAGCATACTTGAAGGACCGGTATGACTGCTTGACAGGAGGCGCGTCAGGCAAGCTCTCAACTACAGATTGAGTCTCATCACCATCTTGAGCCATAGTAGAAGTAGAGATCTTTTATGAGAGCTCTATTAGAAACTGATATTAAATAACTTGGTAGATATGAACTAAAGAATGTGAAGTATGGCAAGAGTGGTGGAAGCGTGATGGAAGCGTAACCTTGGCGGGAATGGAACAATCAGGGAATTTGCGTCTAAGCGGCGTTCCGGTTACCGTAAAAAGATTCATGTAATTAACTAACTCACTGCTCCGCGAAAAAGGCAACTAACACTGATTTTTTTCCTGTTCAATTCCCTATCTACTCACATAAACATGGCTGTCATATCAGAAGAAAACCACAAGAAACGAAAGTTGCACCAAGACAAAGAGCTTGAGATCGACATCTCCGCACCTGAACCACCATCGAAAAAGGCTCTGCGCAAAGCCAAGAAGAAGGCTGCTGAAAATCCCTCCTCAGAAGTATCTGAGAAAGCAAAGACAGACTCCTCCAATGCTGATCATGAAGCGACTCCCACAGGTAAACGCTCGGATTACGGGATCTGGATCGGCAACCTTGCATTCTCTGTGACCAGAGATGACTTGCGCAATTTTTTCACTGGCAATTGCTCCTTCACAGACACCTCAATTACACGTATTCATTTACCCAAGGGACCAGCTGCGAGAGATGGGAAGTCACAAAATAAAGGATTTGCCTATGTTGATTTTTCGACCAGCAAAGCCGCTGAAGAGGCGTTGGGCCTCAGCGAACATCTTCTTTCTGGCCGCCGCGTTCTTATCAAAGATGCTAAGAACTTTGAAGGCAGACCCGAAAAACCAAAAGAAGAGGGACAGACTGCGACTTCGTCGTCCGGCTCCGGGAATCCGCCGTCGAAGCGTATATTTGTCGGTAATCTTAGTTTTGACGTGACGAGAGAAATGCTTGAGGAGCATTTGGGAAAATGCGGGACTATCATAAATACACATATTGCGACGTTCCAAGATTCTGGGAAATGCAAAGGCTACGCTTGGGTGGAGTTTGAGGATCTAGCCGCAGCTGAAGCTGCCGTGAAAGGCTTCGTGATGGCCCCGGAGGACGAAATGGAAGAAGAGGCCGACGTGAATTCTGGATCCGAACCTGCCAATCGAAAATCAAACAAGCCTGAGAAGCGCCGACAGAAAAAGATATGGGTGAATCAGCTTATGGGTCGACGAATGAGGATTGAATTCGCTGAAGACGCAACAACGAGGTACAAAAAACGCTTCGGCAAAGAACGGGAAGGCAAGACGATGAATTCGTCGGAAATGGTCGAAGTTGAAGACGAGGGGAAGGAGCCTCTTGATGATCAAAGCAGACGTCGGCAACCTGCACGAACGAGTAGCCAGGGAGCCAAGCATGATGCCAAGAACAACTGGGGATATGACAAAGAAACCGTACAGAAGCTTAGCGGTGCTATTGTCGAACCTCAGGGCAAAAAGATTACATTCGACTGATCTATTTTCCTGTGATCTCAGTCCGCCTTGGCCCAGGAGTGGTTAAAGTGCGATAGATGTATTGTTGCAGCCAGGATAATCTCTACAGCCTACGAGGGCACTGGCTCTGAATACGAAGTGTATACTCTAGCGGCATTGGAAGCGCATAATGTAGTAGAAGTAAAGCCTTGGAGATATACTGTAGGTTGAGAAGTAACACTGTACGACGATGCTGTAGAAGCTCGCGGGTCACGGGTCTAGAATCTCGTTGCCCGATGCGGTTTAACGTCCTCGGAGACACGCTATTCCGGATTGGGCCAGGTTGACATGGACGGAGATGTCATGGCTCAAGCTATCTCCATAACCATCACTTCGAGTCTTCGGACTGTCTACTTTCCCTGCATTTTCCTGCCCTCGCACCTCAACTGCATCTTCTATCGCCCATAATTCTCTCTTCGCTCATTTATACCCCAAGGAAATACTCCTCTCTTCGAGTATTTTCCATCCGCGACTCCTCTAACTCGCCTCCCCCGCGCATTTGACCTTCCACGCAGTTGTTACCTGCAGGGGCATCGGGACAGTTCATCTACAGGCTGTTTTGCCAGCCGCAGTCTTTTTCTTTTATTTCTAGTGCTCTGTAAACATCTTCGAGTCGGTCTGATGGCCCCTCACAGTCGACGCCATGTCGGTGCTAGCCGGAGGAAGAGAAGAGATGAGGAAGGCGAGGATGAAGGCTCGGTCGATGGAGGATTGGAAGAGGACTCGTTGAGTGAGGGATCTATTATTAGTCACCAGGATGACGATGATGCCGATGGGGAAGGTAGTGATGAGAGCGAGGATGATGCTTCTGTGCCTTCTCAGAGTGACCGCATCGAGAGCCATCGAGTTAATGGTCGTGTGCGCAAGGTGGATGGGCAATCGGGTCGAAAGTCTGCCTCTCCAGTAAAACAGCATTTCGCGTCGACCGTATCAGATACAGAAGCAATGCTGAATGGGATAAGGATCTCAGAAGGAGACGGTCAGGTGGCAGAAATCCGTTTCGATGATAGTAAGGCAGACTTCGATCGGCCTGCTAGAACGCCGTCAGCACCCCCCGCAGAACAGAAACGAGAGAACTTTACAGAGAGGAAACGTCGCGAACATGAGAAATACGTCAAGGAATGGGATGAGAACCCTGCCCTTGTACCTACAAGGGGAAGTTTCTTCCTTCACGATAAGCGTTCAACGGAATCAGGGACGGGTGGTCATAATAAATCATCCAACAAATCCAAATCAAGACCATATGGTCTTATCGTCGACGGGAATGTGCGAAGGTAGAGTATTTCGCATTTATCATTCTAGGAAAAACAGCAAATATGCAGCCTCGCTAACACCATCCAGGAATCCGCAGAAATCAGACGCAAGCGAGGGTCAATGGACTCACGATCTCCACGAGACAGTTGCAAACGACGGACCACCTGCCTCCAGACCGTGGACCACGCCTTCCGCTACAACAACATCCAATGTGCCAAAGACTGCTCCTGCACCACCCAGATCGTCCCCTCCCAACCGTTCTTTCTCCAGCACCACTTTGATCGGGAATGTCCCCGTTGTGGTCTTCCTACCGGGCATGGAACGCCCCATTCATCACTCTACCATCCCAAAGAGACAACATACACGTCTGCCTCAGCATCGACCTCCTTTGCGTCGAGACAAACCTGTCCGGATTTCTCTTCCCGGCCAACCTCCAAGATATATATTCCCTTCTACCGAGCGGTCTTTCATCTTCATTCCCCGAGCTCTGCGACCCAACCAACAATCCTTCCGAGGTAGGGGTCGTGGTGGATTTTATGGCGGGAGGCGCCCTAGCCTCTACATGAATCCTGGCTACTCGCCAGGTGTTGCTATGAGCCGGAGGTCGTCTATCGGGAGAGCATCTCACGAGGGATTCAATTCACCGGCAGGTTCTGTTTACTCCAGTGGCAAGCCCGTTGTTCGGCTTCCACTCATCAAACCACCGGGAACTGTTATACCTGCTGCTGCTGGCCCAGTGCCGACCGCTTCTATACCTCAAGCTATGCCTCTTCATGCGCAGCCCCAGAATCCTGCCTACCGTGAGAGTCGACCAGCCCCGATACCAATGCACCAGCCCCGCCCTCAGAAAGCTGTTTCTGTCGCCGACATTGAAAGCCCAGCCAGTTTCCCAGTCAATCCTCCGCAGCCGCAGCGGGAACAGCCATTTCACCAACAAGTTCCCATGTCCATCAACGGTCCAATTTACGGACCTGATGCCTCCATTCTCCCTCATGGATCTCAATCATCTCAAGCATCCACAGCTCAATTATCACACATTCCAGAACGTGCAATTCACGCTCAACCATTCCAACCATACAGTCTCCAACAGCCTCAAGGATTCTACCCATCCGCCTACCCTCCTGGAACTGCCTATTATCCTGTTTCAGGAGTTGAATTCGCACCTTATAGTACCGCCGTTGGCTCTGCTGCTTCCATGCCGGCATTTCCACCACCTGCTCCTCATATCCCATATATAATGCCTGCGCCACCCGCTGCAGCTGAACAACCTGCCCAGCCTGGCACCGTGGCGCACGAGTCTGGGGGGACCGTATATTATTATGATGCTGCGCAGTTGCCACCAAATGGGCAGTATACATATCCGCCTCCGGCACCTGGTGGGGTTGTGGGGATGGGGGGAATTATGACTCCTCCCGGGACGACGTACTACTATGCTCAACCGCAACCGAGTGTGTACTACGCTCCTCAGTGAGTGAAGCATAACGGGCGTTTGTTTTTGTTTTTTTTTTTTTTTTGGCGATTTTGATTTTTTTCTTTTTCTCCGGACCCCACATCCACATCCCTCTTCTCTCCTTTTTGATTCTTTTCTCGCATTCGACTTTCCTTTCTTTCCCCCTCCTTTGTCTTATTTTGTTCTTTCGTATATCTTCTTCCCTAAGCCAAATGCCTTTTATCATTGCCTGTGGTCTGCTATGCTACAAGAATTCTTGTCCGTACAGATGCAGCTGGTCTTGGTCTCTTGTTTTCCAAGTCCAGCATGGCCGTGCTGTGTTTCCATCTACTTCTGAGTGCCTGCGGCTTTTATATTATGATTATTTGCTGCATTTCAGCGATTGTCACTACGCATTTTGGCATCTCACCGTCTGCATGCCGTTGCCCTTTCGCTTTGATGCCTGCCATAGACGGCTACCCTCGTGCTATGTCCCGGTGCAGAGTCATCCGGGCCTATTCCATTCGATGGCTGCTTCCCAGATAAAGAGCCCTTTACGAGGCGTTTGGGCAAGTAGCCGACTCTGTTTCTCTACGTCTATTCTGCATAAACCTTCTCTTCTTCTGGTTCTCCGCATGTTCCCAACACCCTGACATGTTAGCCGTGGATGTATTCAATGACGCAAAAAGTAATTGAAGAGCGATTGATCTACAGTAGTCGGCCGTTACCCAGACATTTACGTAATTGCACGTAGTATGTAGTATGTACTACGGAGCGCGGTGAAGACCGCCGTTGTCATCATGCGTCAGTGCTTTCGCTTCGGGGCTAGCGCCTCTGGGCGCGCTGGCCAATCTCGGCCGACCGCAGGCTCACCGCCCCGTGCGTAGCGCTGGCGCAGATGACCTCCCCCGTACGCGGTCGCAGGCAGCGTCGAGCATCCCCGGCTCTTCCTCTCTTCCTCCCATTCCTCTCCCCTCTTTCTCTTGCTCTTCCACCATCTCCATCATCCTATTGCTCCTCTCCATCTCTCTTTGTCTGTCTGTCTGTTTTATCCTCAGCTTTATATTTGGCTTCCTTCTTTTACCATTCCCTTGCTTATCTCTAATAAAGTAGGTATACCGCTTTATTAAGCTGTCTACAGACTCCCTTATCTATTGTTCCATTGACTGACCTGGCTCTCCAGCCTTTCATCCTTTAGCCCATCTCTCTGCATCATGGCTATGCCTATCTCTGCGGCTAGTCTTGTTGGCCCTGAGTCCTTAGTTACCGTCAAGGTCTTCTACAATGACAGTACCCGGCGTTTCAAGGTCCCTTTGAAAGACCTGGGTGCCCGTGTCTTCCCCCAGAAGGTATATCTGCCCACTTAAAGCCCCCGATCGGATCCACACCCATCCCATGCTTAATGTGTTTGATTCGATTGCATGTACCTATTTTCTAGTGTGGTGTTATTCCATGACTGGTTGATACATGCTAATAGCCAATCACGTAATAGCTCCGCCAGCTCCTTGGCATCCCGTCGGATGTTAACGTCATCTTTGAACGCTATTCCGACAGTGCCGCCTGCTACGTTTATCTTGACAGCGAGAACGTAGCTGTCTACAGGCAACTCTACCGTGCTGCGAAGGCGAAATTGAAGCTTCGTATCAGGGCTATCGTGATTAACCTGCCCCGTGCCACAACCGCAACCGCGACGACTACGTCTCCAGTCGTCTCACAACTTCCTCCCCAGGAAATTCCAACGGAAGAGCCACCCCTGACAGATCACAGTCTCCCAGGTCCTGCTCAGGATTCCCCTCTCTCAGTATCGCATGTCGATACCCTGCATAATTCTTCGGTCTCTACTCCAATCATACCCACCGAAGCCACCGAAGCCACCAAGACCACCACACAGCAGCCCAACACCGACGTCGTGCCTCCACCGCCTTCCTACCGGGAGTCTATACCAGGTCATGATGATGCTAGCCTTCCAGTTATCTCTCATACCTCACCTAATGGCACTTTCTGCATCAACTGCGATAATTGTGGCCGATCCATCCCCGACGAACATTATCACTGCAGCATCTGTGCGAACGGCGACTACGACTTATGCGCAGAATGTATTGGGGCCGGCATCTCCTGTCCGGTGGAGGGCCATTGGTTGATCAAACGATTTGTTAAAGACGGTATTGTGATCAACAGCACGACTGTGACTGCTTCGCCCAAGACGGCACAGACCAAAGCGGAAGACAAAATATCTTCCGTGGAAGCTGTTGTAGACAAAGTGCCAGTGGCTGTCTCGGTTCCTCCAGTTTCTCCCTCAAAGGTAGAGAAGACTACCTGCAATGCATGCCTCAAAGGTTGGCGACCTCTTTCTTTTCCTAACCCCATGATGTTTGTCTAATCTCGTGCAGAACTCGATGAGACCAAGATGGTCACCTGCACTGACTGTGAGAACTATCACCTGTGCCTGGCCTGCCTGCTGAAGGACAAGCATGGTCACCATCCAGCCCACACTTTCACTCTTGTCCACGATCGCCAATTCTGTCTCAAGAGTCTGGTTCTGTCTCGCTGCCAGCCCGGGCGTCACCATCAGCATGCAGCTATTTGTGATGGCTGCGACAAGGTGAGTTTTATGGCCCCGAGCTAGCATGAATGGGACGTCCTGACCTTGCAATTCAGCGCATCATCGGCGTACGTCACAAATGTTTGACCTGTCCAGATTGGGATTACTGTGTGGAATGTGTACCAAATGCCCCACAGAGCCACCCTGGCCATCGCTTCATACCTATCTACCAGGCGATCTCTGAGCCTCCTCAACACTATGAAGTTCATTACGGAATATTCTGCGATGGCCCTCTTTGCAAGGATAGCCGGCTTCCCGGTTATATAACTGGGACTCGTTACAAATGTTCTGTGTGTCATGATGTCGACTTCTGTGCGAAATGCGAAGCGCTTCCGACCAATACTCACAACCGCACCCATCCACTGATTAAGTTTAATACTCCCGTTCGCAGTGTATCTGTCAGCACTATTGGTGATGATGGTCACGGCGGACATGTTACCCTTGGTGACCGCGTTCATAAATCTACCTCGTCCGAAGCTCCTGCTCCGGTTATATCCAAGGAGACGTATATCGAAATTGCTGATGATATGCAGCGCGAGAAATCCGAGGAAGTCAAAGTGGCTGATAAAGCCACTCCTGTCCCTTCAGAGCAAGTTATGACTGCAGAACTGCCTAGTTCAAAGCAGGAACTTGGTAACCACGCTGTGTTCGTTCGTGAAACTATTCCCGACGGGACTAAGCTGCCACCGAATGAAGTATTCCAGCAAACATGGACTCTGCACAACCCAGGGCCATCCCCTTGGCCTGCTGGGTGTGTCGTGCGCTTTGTAGGTGGCGACTCTATGCTCAATGTCAATACAAATCAGCCGTCAAGTCTAGGTTCCATAAAGTCTGCGATGGAAAGCGATGCGCTCTCAGCACCAGTAGAGCCGGGGCAGAACGCTGATTTCACTGTAACGCTGAAGACCCCTAACCGTGAGGGCATTGCCATTTCGTACTGGCGACTCAAACTTCCTGACAGCACGCCCTTCGGTGATCGACTTTGGTGTGATGTCCAGGTGCGGGCTGACTCCGAACACGTCAAGGAAAAAGAGAAGGAGCCCGTTGCCGCTTCTGCGACAGAAGTTGTGCAATCCGAACGCAATGACAGTGCTATGATATTCCCGCTTTTAGAAAAGGAGTCACCAGTGGCAAGCACCCATGAGGAAATGGCCCGGGAGCTGCCTTCGGCGCCGACTGTGTCCAGCGCTTCGGAGAAAGATGTTCTTGAGGATGTTGAAAATTTGACACTGGATGATGCAGACACGGAGGATGGATTCTTGACTGATGATGAATATGACATCCTCGATGCTAGCGACCAGGAGTTCCTGGATGCCAAACAGGTCTAGAGGTAGTCCTTCTCACTTTCTCATCTCGTTCTTTTTTTTTTTCCATTTCTTTCAGTTAGGCTTGTTTACGCCAGGATGCGGCTAGTGGTGGGAAAGTTTTATTTGACATCGGGCTTTTTGGTTTGCATGCGGTCCTTTCCGTTCTTTTCTGATCGAGCAGTGCTTGTTCCTCTGGCGAAGGGCTGCCATACTAGTCTAATGTACAATTCAGCTCGTGGATTCGCCTCTTTTTTTCATAACATGTCTTTGACAGCTCTCGAGGTGATGCATTGGTTATGTCTTTCCCTTTTGGTATCCGTCTTGCACGTGACGAACACCCTGAAAGAAAACAAACAAAACCAAGACAAAAAAAAAAAAAAAAAAAAAAAAGGAAAAAAAAAAAAGAGAGAGAGAGAGCCAGAAGACTGTTTCGAGATGAGGCTCAGCATAGTTCCACTCATTAATAATTCAGTGTCTGCTTTGGTTTGGTTTGGAAGACAACTGTAGACATCTTGGCAATTGGATTATTTTATGGTATTACTCCGGGGAAACCCCATATTTTTATGCATGAGAATCTCCGAACCCCGGTTTTTGGGCTCCACTTCTTCCGAGAATTAATTTGCTCTTTATTCCATTCCATAACATCTCGCTCGCTGTGACTCGTCCGGCTCAGGGATCTTCTCTCCTTTTTCGGCGGAAAATGCAGGCTGTATACACTATGGACTGCGTGTGAGCGCCCCCCTCTTTTATTCCTTCCAACTCCTCACTACAGCTTACACTGACTGTCATCAGCCGGCTGATTGTTTACCATGCGAGGCCTCGCTTTTGCTTTTGCAGCCCTGGTGGTTTTGGCTGCTGTACTGCTGTCTGGTCCTGTGTCCCGTATAGTATCCATTCTGGGCATCTTCAGGAATACTTCTCCGGCTGCGGTCGCCGCAGACAAAATTGGCACAGTGTTCAGGAAAATCGACGATACCATGCATTGTGAAGACCTTCATTATTACCAACCAGCTAATAAGCTCTTTACCGCATGTGAAGATTCTACACTGCCTCGCTTTGAATGGTTTCCGCCCCTGGGGATTTCAAGAAACCGTCTAAGGCCAGCGGTTCTATTCATGTGATTGATCCCAAGGTATGTGGAGGAAGACTCGAGGCAAGAAGCTTAGCGGAAAGTTGAAGGTGCTCTACGTGCTGATAGTGACAAAGACCATGACATCGACCCGACTGGCCTTTCAGAATTTCGAGCAACCGTTCATAACTCATGGGATCGACGTGATCGAGGATCCTGCCGATGCCAATGCTGTCTATATCTTTGCTGTCAATCACCCATCTAATCCAGAGTACTATGAGAGGGAGAAACCCGACACGGACGCTACCAAGGCCCGTTCACAGATCGAACTCTTTCACCATGCCCTTAACGACCACAGTCACACATATCCGTTCGATCCGGCATCCATTGATCACTACGCCCAACGATATCTACGCTGACAGTCTATCCTCATTCTACGTCACCAATGACCATTTCTATTGTGAAGGGATTGCCCGTTTGTTTGAGGACATCGTCTCAGCTGCCAAATGGTCCAACATAATCCATGTCCAGGTCGACGAGCTTCGGTCTGCAGACTCCGAGTCCGGTCTGCGTGCCACCGTCGCTCTGGATAAAATCCATAACGCCAATGGCCTGGGGCATGGCAGCCCGGATGGAAAAATAGTGATCACGAGCGCGATGGGTGCAACCTTGTTCCGTGCCCAAGCAAACGAAACCAACCACACCATCTCCATCCCGGAGACAATTCCTGTGGCTTCCCAAATCGATAATCCGAGTTATTTCTCCGATCCGTACCGTACACCTTCTGACGACGCAAGTGGCTATCTCTCTGCGGGACTCTTACGGGCTATCGACATTCCCAGGACGCACACCGAGCGGTCAGCCAAAGATGGCGTGCTGGTGTGGTATCTGCGGCCCAAGTCTAACCTAGCGAGTGTTGTCGAAGGATCGGATGGCTGGGAGCAGAATGTGTTGTTTGAAGATGATGGTACTAATATCCGGAGTGCCAGTGCGGCGGTCCTGGTTCCAATTAACCCTAAGGCTGAGCAGGGGAAGAAGAAAGCGTGGCTTTTTGTGACTGGGTTTTTCTCAGAGTCTATGATTGCTGTGAATATTGATCTGTAGTTATTTGGAGTGATTGTATCTGTATACAGAGTAATATTATCATTATCAAAATACTAAATTGTACAAGTAGCTGTAGTTTTTGGTGCCTGAGGTGTCCGTTGATTTCCAAGATCGAGATTCGCTTCGCCTGAGAAGCTTCACATTTCGACTCAATTGCTGCAGACCTGCCAATTCCCCCACGGCGCTCTGGTTCTTAATTCTTTCTCAACAGACCTTAGCCCCATGCGTTGACCATGTCCACAACCCTTAGCGGCCACCGTGCCGTTCTCCGCTTATGCTCATGCTCATGCCCATCGTCCGCAGCATCGTGGAGACGGCCATATGCCTACGACATTTTTTACAGCGGCTTCCATGATGCCCATCCTCGCCGAAATATCTCCTCATCTCATCGAAAACAGCCTAAATCGCCGTCATCATCATCACCCACAGCATCCCCCTCTTCCCACGCAATCACAAACGTGAACCCTCCCGCAAGCACTCGACCAGCCGATCTCAACCTCCCCGACCCCCTCCCTTCTGCCTCAACGATAGATAAAATAAAACGCTTCATCGCAATCGGCCGTGCCTACCTCGCCTTCTACAAAACGGGCCTGAAGAATGTCTACCATAACTACCGTGACTCGCTGCCCATCCGGCGCTCACTGGGGGTACCGGCATACATTCCCACGTCATTGCCTAGTCCCAGTCATGGAGCTAGTTCTAGTTCTAGGAAACTCGCGTCGAAATCAAAATACACCACATTCCACAACTCCATGCTGTCCCAGAACCTGACCAGGTCACAATTCCAACTAGTCCACCGCGCGGCCCATGACGTGCGCCGCATCATCCCCTTCAGCATTCTTCTGATCGTCTGCGGGGAGCTAACGCCGCTTGTCGTCCTCGCCATGGGAGATGCTATCACCCCGTTTACCTGTCGGGTTCCGAAGCAGATCGAGAAGACGCGTTCTCGTCTCGCATCTCGGAAACGAGAAGCCATGCGTGTCCATCAGGCTAGGAAGGTGGGATCCGTTACACCACCTGCTCCGGGGTCGGAGGAGGAATTGCAAATTCTGGCTACGGATTTTACGAGTGGGGAGTGGATTGAATCTGCGTCCTCGGAGGAGATACTGAGGGCCTGTGCGGTGCTGGGTCTTGCGAAGACGCATACGCGGTGGGGAGGGTTTGTTCCTTTTTTGTACCGGCCGCGTCTGTGGAGGTATGCGGCTTATTTGGGGGTGGATGATGAGTTGATTCGACGGGGTGGAGGGGTTCAGGCGCTGAATGCCATTGAGGTCAGCATTGCGGTTAGGGAGAGGGGAGGCGTCGATGTTGCGCTGGGGAAGTATGGGACGGAGGGAGAGAGCGTGGAGAGGAGATGGTTGGACAAATGGCTTGCGAGGAGATGATGCATTTGGTACTGTATATAAAAGTAATCTCTATACGGAGTGTAACGTGAATATTATTCGTACAGGACATCATGGATTATGCTCAATCCTAATAATCCTACGACCTCGACCAGATTCAGACTCGTAACGGTAACTTCAATTCCAACCAGGTCTCAAGGCCGTAGGAAAATGTTCCTGTCCAATTGTCTGCCATTTTACTTTGTGCATAACCGCGGACGGATTAAGATTTTAAGATTTATATTTTACCTAGATTCTGCATCCGGGACACGGAGAGAGATGTTTCTTATTCTGGTTCATTATCATTGCTACCAGAATGGTGACGAGAAACATCGTCTGAGTGCCAGCGTGACTGGAAAGAAACAAATGTGCTCTAGGGTTTTTGTTTGTATTCTGTAAACCAGGAATCATATATACGTACGCACGTCCTAGGTGCTCTTTTTGACGTACATCCGTGTACGACTAGTCCCATTCGATGAGGCCCGGTGGAACCTCTACCGTAATGACACTTTCAGGGAAAAGTCCACAATCCCAGTTCCTTGATGAATGGAACTCGTAGAGAGAATATCCACATCGGAGCATACATATGCCGCCGCATTTGTTTCGTTGAGGCCCCCACTGACCTCAATCAGGAATGACTTGTTTTTGCCAGCCCAGGTCTCTTTAAGTTGCTTAGCTGCCGTACGGACACCGTCCGCGGTGAAGTTGTCCAGCATGACAATGTCCGCGCCAGCTCCAATGGCGGCATTGGCTTCATCGATACTACAACACTCGACCTCTACCTTGGTGGAGAAGCCGGCCGCTGCCTTGGCGGCGTGGACGGCCCGAGGAATGGCAGCGGCAATGGAGTCAGCGGACTTGCCAGCAGCACCATCGCCGGCAGATCTGTTGTTTGCGCAGGCCCAGACGTGATTGTCCTTGAGCATGGTCATCGAACTAAGATCGTGCCTATGCGGGTCGGCACCTCCGACGAGGATGCCATATTTTTCGACCACGCGGAATCCAGGTGTGGTCTTGCGGGTACCAGCCAGAGTACCATTCCATCCATGCGAACGGAGGGCCGAGACGAGGGAAGATGTCTTGGTTGCGATGCCTGAACAGCGAGCGAGGATGTTGAGGGAAACGCGTTCACCGAGCAATATCTTCCGAATTGGGCCTCTGACAGTGGCGCAATGTTTGATGGGGGTGATGGGTTCACCTTCTTTGACATGCCATTCAACCCTTGGGATTGTTATTTATAAGAAACAGACTCATTCCTAACGGGTGAAGAGGACTTACGTGCAGCCCAATTGGGAAAAGACTTCATCGAAGAAAGGAACGCCGGCTACGATGCCCTAATGCCTGAAGGGTCAGCGGCCAGACGAAGGCATGATAAAATGAGCTAGCATGATATGGTCTGATCCGATGTCAGAGTGCAGAGGATTGAAAGCAAAAGGTCCCAATCGAAGAGTATGATGCTGGTCGATTGGAAAGGCAGAGGAGGAAAGGGAAAGCCAACGACAGACCGGCAGACAGCATCAAGATCAGTCATACCTGGCTCTTGCCCAGTAGCCTGGCCCCCGCTTCCGACTCTCCAACGACGAAGCCACCATAGTCGAAACTGGGACAGTCTTCCTCCAGCCACAAGGCGATGAGACGCTTGTAATTGGCAGGCAACAAATGCCGAAGATCTCCATACGAGGCAGCGGTGACAGCCATGGTCAATGCTATGATTATGACTATGAATAGTAGTAGGATGGCAGGGGTTCTGGGCCTGATAGGGGCAGCGGCAAGTTGCCTGTTGGATCGACCGGTCGGCAAAAGGGCACTGATCGGGCAGATGGGAGGGCTGAACCTTGATAGTAATAATAATGGATGATGACAGTGATAAACGTACGAACCTTGAATAATAACAACGTGAGATGAAAAGAAGTCGACTTAGGAAGCCCAAGGTGGGTCACGGGATCTGCAGCGTGGTAATCACGTGATCCACGCGAGAGAGCGGGCGCTCGGGTGATCGGCAACAAACGGCCGGCTTCCTGTATATTTCCTATCCTGCACTTTCTGAAGACTGTGTGCAGTGTGGACGACTGCAACAAGAATCGGCCCTTTTTCGGTGAGTTCGGTGCCGTAGTCAGTCCCGTCTTTGGGCCGGATCAGATTGCTGGAAAGCCTAAAAGCCTCGAGGAACGATCAAGGCGCGAGGAGGATGAGGTCTATGACGCCAGAGGCGCACTCAAGCTGGCGAGGAAAATGTGTTGCAGTGGATGAGAGTGGTAATATGGGTACAGACGTTGGTGCAGTATGGAACCTGATTTGGGGAGTTTGAAGATAAGCGTAAATGTATGTACTATGTAGTATGAGTATGAGGTTGGAGATTAAGCAGGGAATTCTTTGATATTGCCGTATTGGGAAGTTGGTTTCGGCCGTGGTTCGCTAGTCGCAACAGGAGAAATGGCATGACTACGGGGTTTGCTCAAGCCAGAGTTTTATTAAGACCAAGTCTAGAACAGGGCGATCAGGAACGAGGCAAAAAAGAGAGAAAGAAGATATGGACCCAGCCAGCTGGTTAGAAGCTTTTAATCTTGCAAGAAAAGAAAGTTGTGGGAGAAGGCAAACCATTTAGTTGGTAAGTACTAAGAACATGTACTATTATAGTAATAATACTACTAAGTAACTCAGATGTACATAGCAGTCATAGATAGATACCGAAAACGGAAATACTACCAGAAGTGGAGAGAAGTGGCGCAAAAGATCTCAAGTCAGATCGATCTGCCTTGATTCTGTGCGAGCAGTGAGCAATGAGCATACTCAGAACATCTCAACGTCATGCTTAATCCAAGCAGAAAGTTCTCCGTGTTCCCGTCATGATTTCTGGGGACTTAGTAGTTTCTAATTATTAGATAGTAGTAGTATTACTAGTAGGCGGTTAAAGCGGTGCCCAGCGGCTAAGACGGACCGTAGTTGACATTTCTTAATTACTATCAGTATAGTGAACTATGATAATAGCATGTACTATGAACATTCGAGAATGTATGGTATTGTCACCGGCGTCACGGTAACTGTTCCCGAGTCCCGATCGAGTCAGTTGGATTACCCTGCACTTTTTTATGCACCTCCACATGCGGGCCCGGTAATTACCATACGTGTATTTTTTCCAGATGCTTGCGCTCCCGGTAACCCGAATCTATTCCGACAGCTCTTCTTGACCCTGTTTTACATAGTATCTACAGCTGTCATAGACTTTTAATCGTTCTATATTATTATTATTGTACACCATTCTTACTATAAGATCTGTCAGCAATAGCTGGCCGGATATAGCAAGATCTACTATATCCGGGCGGAGATAGAGGGTTTCTTCGGGGGTCTTGGCGAACTGAGCGATTTCCGCTCCCGCTGATTAATGCGCACGGACCATGTATTTATTATTAATTATTTATTTATTTAATAATAATCGCGCAGCAAATTGCTGAACGAGGAAATATGCTGATTCCTTCATACTTATTTCTATAGCATACTTTGTAGTATAGTATATATTATTATGTGCTATTAACGCTATAACATAGTATAGCATAGTATATAGTAGTAGTCTACATGATATGTATCTACTCTAATGACTCTAGCAGTATATGTATTATGTAGTATGTGCTGCACAGAAATTGTTCCAGACCGCGCGTCAAATGCCGAACCTTGCCCAGGTTTTTTGAAAAAAAAAAAAAAAAAAATGATGGCCCTGTGATCAATTTTCCCTAGCGGGACTCATCCTGCCGAGCGATGTCATTACCAGAAATAAAAAAACAAAAAACAAAAAAAATACCATACGTTACGCCGACTGTCGTCAAGCCTACCTAACATCGTCCGGCTTTCGCTTCGATCATTCTTATTTCGCACCTCTTAAAACCCATTCCGCTCCCTCCTTCACGCCGGCTTCCCTGGTTCTCCCATCCGGTCCCTCTTCTGCGTCCTGCGGCTTGCTCCCGTCCTCCCTTGTCTCGAGCTAACCCTCCTGTTCTCCCGCCGTCCCTCCGCTCTGAGCCTGCCTGTCCTCGAGCCATTGGCTTCCTGCCATCCTGCAAAGCTTCTCTTGAGCTCGTCGACCGGTTCGTGCGTCATATCGATCACCTTGACATTGACTTGACACCTTTGGAAAAGAAAGAAAGAGGAAGAAGAAAAGGGGGGAACTGTATTCTCTACATCGCGTCATCCTTTGCTGTGATCTCTTCTTTCCCCTCTTTCTATCAATTCATCCAGTGGACAGTCGATCACCTTTTAGTCTCGCTGTCCTTCTGATTCCTACCTGTGTTTTCGTGGTCGATAACTCTACTATTATCAAATTATCCCTTGTTATATCACTTTATTATCCTCAATCATACCGTATACAATGACTGCGCGTCAGTCTTCCCCCACGTCAGATACCCTGGCTCATTCCGACAGCGGTGTGCGCAAGAGGGTGTGCAAGGCCTGCGATCGATGTAGACTGAAGAAGTCAAAGGTACGCTGCGCGGCTGGATTCAGCCATGTCCGCTTGACCCACTGACTTGGTGCAGTGTGATGGTGCCAATCCCTGTGGACGATGTAGGGCAGACAATGCCATCTGCGTCTTTGGCGAGCGGAAGAAGGCTCACGACAAAGTATATCCCAAGGGGTGAGTTCCAGTCTCCTTTTATTTCTGACTATCGCTAACCATCTATACAGATACGTCGAAATGTTGGAGCAACAGCAGGTCTGGCTTGTCCATGGCCTTCAGGAACTATATCGACGAACCAGCGAAGGCGAAGGTTGGCCCGGGGACCCACTGAAATGCGAAGCCAACGGCCATCCGCTCACACACGACCTCCTGACAAGATTGGGTGCCCTTGACCAAAGGAAAGGTGAACATTTCGAAGAGGACACGGAAGCTATGCAGCAAGAGCTATGGCGACGGAGCTCTGGGTACATGCAGCGTCAAGAGTCGTCCGACTGCAGCTCGGAAAGTGCCCAGTCGCCTGTCACCCAGTCTCGTTTCTCAGACGCCTTCACTGCTCGACATCAACTCCCTCCCACGCCACCTACATACAGCCCGCTATCACGCAGCCAGCCATTGATCAAGACGGAGCCGCAGATTGTGCCTAATACGCCGTCGTACACTCAGCAACTGTCAATGCAAGGCGTCGTCAACCCAATAGCACTGCAAGGCCCGCAGCAACAATGGCCCAACAGTGGCTTGCCCAGCAGTGGCTTTTGCGACTTTGATGATGTGGATTTCATGTCGCCTACCGACTACACAAGCATGCCGTTTGACGAACAGCAGATCAATTCGCCCATGTTCAACCGTCAAATTCCCGTCAACTGCATGGCATCCAATCTGTTCATGGACACAAAGAGCGAATACGATGATTTCAATCAATTTCTGAATCCAAACCCAACGGAGATCACATCGATCTAGAGAAATGGACCCCTCCGAAACTCGGCCCTCGTTCAGTGTCGACGCTCTTTTTCCTTATTTTTGTATACGCCTTAACGATGTGATGCATGTACACCATACATCTCCGTTTTCCCTTTTTTTTCGATGACTTCCGTGGATGCAGGTTCTAGTCATTATTCTACTTCCCCTTCCTTATTCACGGCGAAGGAGAGGGGAAAGGGGACAGACAAGCATGCTTGTCTTGCCTCAAGTGTACAGGGAATTCTGACTATCATTCACTGAAGAGGCTTAAGTGTCATTATTATTGTTCTTCTGTTTTGTCTTGTTATAAAATCCACCCAAGGTGTCTGGAGTCGAGGTTCAAATCACTTGCAACGGATGGGACTTTTGTTGCCCGTCTGTCAAGAAGGCGAGAGCAGGCGTCAGGATATGCTAATTTCAACGGCTTGTCGCTTTTCTTTCTTTTCAACTGGGAACTCGAGAGATGGATTCTCTTGGTTTTTTATTTCTACTATAATTGGGCTGGGAGGTTGTCTTGATTTGAGAGTACCCTAAGTTGTTTGTTTCCGTTGAAGTTTAAGCAGCAGTATCGCCATTACACGATTGTAATGTAATAGTCGATGACTGACTCTAGTCCTTAATTATTATTAAATAGAAATCTGCTGCTAGTCTCGATCAATTATTAATGCCGAGCGCCGATGGAGATATCGGTCTTGCTGCAAGGTCCGTCCGAGCTGCTTACTCCGTAGGCTTAATAGCTGTCAAATGCCGAATGCCCGTTATACAGTGTAGATAGGGTCCATTATTAATTATCAACGAAGAGTAACTTCATTCCTAGGTACGAGTACTAGGTACTGGTAGGAGCAAAAACAATATAGAATAGTTAGTACGGACTACGAGTAGTCTTGAAATCCCTATGTACTCGAGTCCAAGTTGTAATTCAGATAGGGAATATAATGCATAACTATCAATGTGTATAATTTACATAATTCGGATATGTCTTGCTTAGAGATCACAAGTTACGACGCAGTCCATAATAATAAAAATAAATGCCCCTGATCGGCGCAGAAAAGTAGTCGGATTCTTCCAAAAAGCCGAACTTCAGGATACAGGTCGTGTGTTGTGTATGGCTATTTTGGCCGATGCAGGCAATCAATAATCAATCAATGCATTGATTGATTATTAATGCATGTATCTACTTCACGTAGACTGTACCTATCTGTATTATACTCTGTACATAATTACCATACAGTTGGTAACAAGCCGAGCTACTATAGTAAGTACAATGTACACGCACCGTGGGCTGACCACAACGCCATCTTTATCTCAGTTATGTATGCCTTCTATCAACAATATGTAGAACAAAACCCCTGAAACAACAAGATTTTATCAATAAACATATTGTATAAGCACGATAGAGAAAAAAGAAAGAAAAATGACAGATCTCTCCTCATTCACCTTCCTCCCCCTCGGCGGCATCATCCAAGAATTCCGTATAGCAGACCACAACATTGTCCTCGGCTTCCCCCATCAATCACAGTATGCCCAGTACAACATCCCCCCATTTCGGAGAGACCGTCGGCCGCGTCGCGAACAGGATCAAGGACGCTGTGCCCCGCGATCTAAACGGGGGACGCGACTACCAGCTCGCGCGGAATAACGGGCCGAATTCTATCCACGGCGGCGAGAAGGGGTGGGGGAAGCGAGTCTTCGAGGGGGTCCTTTGCTGCTGTTAAAGAGGAGGATAATGGGAGTAATAAGAAGTCTATGAGGTTCAAGTATCTCAGCGAGGATGGTGAGGAGGGGTATCCCGGTTCCGTGAGTTGAGGATTTGGTATACCGCCAGCAGGGAGGATAAGAAGACTGTTCTGACGGTCGAGTATGAGGTGGAATTTGTCGGGGATGAATGTGAAGAGACGGTGGTTAATATTACCAACCACAGGTTGTTCTCCGTCTCATGAAAGAAGAATGCAAAACTGACTGAAAGATCAGCTACTTCAACCTCGGCAACACCCCAACCATCCAAGGCACAAAAGCCTAGCTCTTCAGACTGCTACCTCCCCGTCGACACCAATGGCATCCCACTAGACAAGATAGACAAGTTCCCACGCAACGTGACCGCGCCCTTCATCCTACACACCACCGAACCCCAGCTGGACGACGAAGCAGTCGTCGAGTCAGACCCGTCCCGGATCCCGCTGGACACGCGCGCCCAGCCCCTGAAGCTGTTAGGACGGTTCGACAACCCGACCTCCCGGCTGCATCTGGAGGTGCACAGCACAGAGCCCGAGTTCCAATTCTACACGGGCGAGTACATCGATGTGCCGCAGGTCGAGGGCGCGCCGCCGCGTGGTCAATGCGCTGGGTACTGCGTCAAACCGGGACGATATATCAATGCTGCCAACAAGCCTGCGTGGAGATTCATGTGTCTGCTCAAGAGGGGGGAGGTATATGGTTGTAAGAATGTGTACAAGGCATGGCAGGAGTAGTGTTTGGACAATATCATAAATGATACCTCGTATCTGCTGTATACTATGTGGGACTGGACCCTGCAACTAACCCTGAATGGAATCTCGGTTCTAACGGCAAGACTGACGTTTCGGCATGAATTAAAATAAAACAAAATAATTGAAAAGAAACATTCCAATATTGCCAGCATCCAGGGGTATGGATAATGGAATGGACTATGGAGTACGGGGTAGTCTAGCCAAAAAAGCCTCACACTGGAACCCAGACAAGAAAGGAATAGAAGAAAGAAACACCTCGGACTCGGCTCTCTGCAGTCCGAGGCATTAAATGGGGTTTATTTATATTAATAACATTATTATTGATATGTGCACAGTACATACGAGCCATGCATTTCTGTACTGTCTCTGGATTATTGCAACTGGGTCAATAGCAGTATGTACAGGAACATAGGAAACATGCTCATCGAGGACAGACATGTAATAGAGAATAACAAAAGAGGAGGGGTATATAAATAAACAAAGAAGAAGAAAAACCAAGACTGTCAACAGCAGAACAATCGTCGCCAGAAACTATTATTATTATTATTATTATGACTCCCACCCGACGATATCCCATACCCCAGTATTCGTTTGCCCATGCTTGCAAAATAGCTGTCGTGTTGACTGGTATTATTATCTCTGGACGCATCTTTCACCATCTCTTCCTTCTCCGTCATCAACACCTGTGTTTGTGAGGTAGTGGGCTGCAATGATGCCTGCGCGTCCGACGATGAATGTCCATAATGTAATCTCCGGGCTTCGACCACGCGGCGCACGATCACTAACAAATGTCAGTATTATCATCACATTCAAAGAATAAAAAGAAGTCACTGACAAGCAAATGTTTCCTCGATATTAACCATCTCCCTTGCACTGGTCTCCATAAATCCGCATCCGTGCTTCCGCGCATACTCCAACCCATCCCTGGCAGGAATCACGCGCGAATTCTTCAGATCGCACTTATTCCCAGCCACTATCTTCACCGGTGGAGGCATTCCCACATCCAGACCCTTGGCGCTGGGCCCCAGCTCCTGTCTCAGTCGGTAGTTGTTCTCCTCTCGCTGCTCCGCCTCCATCCCAATCATGTCCATGAAGTAGTCCAACGCCGGCAGCGTCGGCGCATTCGTGATGTCGTAGACCAGGAGAAATGCATCCGATTTCAAATTCGCCGTTGCCCATAGCCCGCGATATTCTTCCTGGCCCGCCGTGTCCGTGATGGATAGGAGATATGGGATGCCGTCAACCGTGCGCGTCACCGAATATGAATCTTCTGCAACCCCCTTGTTAGAGCTGGTGTGGACTACAAAGCTATGCGATGACGGGACGATGTATTTACCAATTGTGGGATCGTATCTGATGATCGAGAAGAGGAATTTCGCGGTCAGTTCGGAGGACTGTACCAGAGTAAATGAGGGACTTACTCGTGTATCCATTGGCTGCGAACCAGTCGAAGAGTGATTGATGACTTTCCTGTGGGTGCGTAGATGTCGAACACATTAGAATCCCAGTTTTTATTATCTACAATAATGGAGACACATACCGCATCCACCATCTCCGCATATCGTGATGGAGATCTTGTCGGCCATTATGATCAATATTGTAGCAGGACGCTCCGAAGAAAGAGTGAACTTGGAGCCAGCAGGTAGAACGAATGAATTGATGAATGAATAACGTGGACAATGAACGAACGAGCGCAAGGCTGGCGCCCTGAAGGAGAGTAAGGAGGGGGTCGACGGAAAATAGGGAGAGACGTTAATGTTACATGTCCATGATCGACACCAGGGCCGTGCGACGACGGGAGATAACATTGCTATTTAGTATTATTTATTTAGTATTCAGTATTTACGTGGAGGATATCAGGGAAATGCAGAATGTTTGTTGATCAAAGGGTATATCAATATATACAAGACAATAAGTACTGTACACCGGAATAATAACGACACCCAATGTACCCAGCGCGATGAGAAAAACACTACACTTCAATGTCGACGTATATGCCCTCGCCTTCACTTGAGCTCTCCTCCGTACTCTCTCCCTCACTCGTGTGTCGGTTCCCTGTCTCAGCGCCCGCTTTGCCTCTTGCAGCGTTCTTGGTTGGGCTGCGACTGCCATGATTACTGCCATCCGAGGACGTTGCTGTCAATGCTCCCTTTCGCACACGCTCCTTTTCCAGTTGAGCCCGAAGCCTTTGGTTCTCCGCGTCTCGTTCTTCGAGGCGCTTGCGCGCCCCGCTACGGTCAAGGAGGCGAGCTTCCCTTTCAGCCTTCAGCCTCTTTTCTAGCTCATGAAGGCGATGCGCCCATTTCTGGTCATTCGTCTCATTCCCACGGCGGAGATTAGGAGTCAGAGAATCGCCGTTACTGGCCAGCGTCGTTGAAGACGAGAAGTGCGTCGGCTGCGGAATATGTGTCGAAGTTCGGGATAAGCCACCCCTCTCTGAACGGGTTGACTGAGAAGGATGGTTCATGGATTTCTCAACCATCGATGCAGAGTTATGCCGGACCAGCGACGACCGCTCTGCGTCTAACGTCGTATTTATGGTCAAATTCGGAACAGGAGAGCGCGGCGACCTACGTCCTGCTTCTCCAGGGACGGCAGCAGTAGGAGAATTGCGGCTCCGCGAATGTGAATGAACAAGATTCAGCTCGGCTTTCAGAAGCCGATTCTCCCCTCGAAGTTTGGCTACTTCTGGGGATGAGTTGGAGCTGCCCCTGCTGTGTTGTTGGGCTCGAATATTCCGGGCGGCTTCCTCCAAGCGGTCCAGTTTCTTCACTCGCAGATTGAACGTATGCTCGAGGGACTGGTATTGCTTGGTCAAGTCGCGCTCCACCGATTTGATCCGGTTCTTGAAGCCTGATATCACATTCTCCACAGTCTTGACGGCCAGTAAAAGATTGCGGCTGAAGCCTGGCCAAAAGAGAATATTGCCAATGACCTCCTGGCTCGGTAGATTGCCGTTGATCAGACTATTCGAGTGTACCCAATCCGGGCCACACATGGTGGACAGGCGCTTCCAAATGGTGAGCAGCATCGAGTTTCGCTCGCTAAGCTGCTCCTTATACTGCTGTTCCAGGGTCGAATAACGTTTGCGATCCTGGCTCCTGGCTCCCTCCAGCTCCGAGATCCGCGAATTCGTTTGCGTAATGGTCCGCGATGCCTGGTGATGGGACTTGAGCGCCTGTTCGAAAGACTGTTTGTCTGCACGGCGTGCTTGCCGCTCGCGTTCCAGAAGCTCTGCTAGTTTGCGGGACTCGAGCCCGTGGCTTTCAAGAAGGGCATCACGGTTGCGCAGCAGCGACTCCTTCTCATCCAGCTTCGTCCGGGCACTCTCAAGCTCCAGAGCAGTCGATTCGAGTTCCTTCTGTAGCTTGGTAATGTTGGAGATTAAACTAGACCGGCTGCCATCCAAGTCTCCGAGAGTTTCTCGGAGGTTACTCTCAAGATCCATCAGCCGTTCCTTCCAAGTTGCCGTCTCAATTTCTTGAGCAGAGAGGCTCTTTTTGAGCTTGCGAATCTCCTCCTTGGCAGCAGAAGTTTCGCGGTTCAACTCGTTCATGATCCGCTGGACCTCCTGCTTTTCCCGGGTTCCGACGACTTCGCGCTGATGTCTCTCCTCTGCTAGACGCTGTTCAAGCTCCCTGGTCTTGTCCCTCTCGTTCTGGAGGCTCACCTGGCATATCTTCAGCTCGGATTCAAGATCGGTGATCTTAATCTTGTCTCCATCTTGCTCTTCTCGAAGGAAGGCTATTTCATTTTCGCCCGACTCAATTTGTACCGTCAGCCGCTGGACCTTCGCGTTTGCTTCGAAGAGTCCCTTTTCCAAAGACTCAATCTCTCTGTTAGACTCCTCCAGCTCCTGCTGGACGGCCTTGTACTTCTCCAGGTTACTTTGCGCATCTTCCTCAAGCCTGAATATGCCCTCGCTTGCGGACCGCACCTCTGCTTGGAGGGCCTTCAGGTTTTCATCTTGGTCCCTTAGAAGTTCTTCCATGCGTTGAAATTCCTCGACCTTTTGGTCGAGCTCGTCCGCAAGAGCATCTATTTCTTCCTGGGCGTCCGCCCTCAAATCTTGGAAAGCGATCTCACGTTCCTCCGCGACCTGCAATGTCTGATTGAGTTCTTGCTGTAGATTCCGGATCTCTTCTTCAGCCTGGTCCACATCAGCTTGATATGCTTTGTCGCGGGCTTCCAGCTCCCTGGAGGACTTTTCAAGTTGAGCCCTGATGGTTTGATTTTCGAGTTTTAGAGTCGACACCTGATCCCGCAGCTGCCCGTTCCTAATTTCCCATCCTTCGCGTTCGATATCGCTAGTCCGAGACGTTCTGGTCCCATCACTGCCACGAGAGGATGGCCGTATGTTAGCTCGAGAGGCCGAACGATCGAAGATGCTGTCTCCAGCAATGGATCGCCCTCCATCTCGGCGCTGCCCAAGCTTTAGCTCTTCTATTTCCTGGTAAAGGCGCTCCTTTTCCCGATTCCGGGATGTGAGCATTGAAGTCTGGGCGCTGACTTCCTTCCGTAGTTCTGCGTTCTCTTGCTTCAACAGTTCCAGCTCTACAAGCGTGCCACTCGCAGAGCTGCCGATAGTGGCATTGCGGTGGGCATCGCGGTCGGAGATAGCCGAGTAAGACAAGACTGAGCCCATCATCGACCTACTACCTACTGGACCGGAGCTTGTTTCGCCTTTGAGGCGTAGAATCTCGTCTCGGAGCTTCTTATTCTCTTCCTCTGCTTGTTCACGAGCTGCGGTCTCTGCTTCGAGCATATCTTTCCACATGTCCTATGAAAGTCCGTGTGTCAGCCCAGCAGGAAGAGGAACAGAAGTCCGGAATTGCAACTTACTCTCTCCTCTCTTGCGCCCACATCCGATCCCTTAGCTCGACCTTCACTCAGCGACTTGACTAGCTCAGCAAGTCTCCTCTTCTCGCTCTCTCTAGCAATGCTCTTCGCCCTCAAATTATCAATCTCGAGCTCGTAAGCGTCCAGTCTCTCCCGTAGAAACATGATCTCTTCTTCGTACTGCCCCGCATCGCGATCCTCATCTTCTGAAGCGTCAGGATCGTTGTTGATCATAGACCCTTTATCCGACTCCTTATCCTTCAGTTGCTTTTCCAAGTCACGGAGTCTCCTCTTCAAGTGCTGGTTTTCTTTCTGCAGTTTTAATTTATCGGACTTCAATTCCACGTTCTCAGACACCACTTCCTTCATCCCTTCCTCAGAACGCTTACTTAGCGCCTCGTTAAGGAAGTGAATTCTCATCTTGAGATCAAAGTTCTCCTTCGACAGGCGATCAATAGTACTGCTTTGCTCTTTCAGCGTCATTGTCCTACCGCTTCTTGTAAATCCAGGGGTTGGGGCACCTGTCCGCTTTCCTGGGGACACTCCTCGGTCACCAAAATCCTCTCTGTATTGTCGTACGAACACGCTAGGGATTTGGATGTCCTTAAGGCGATCTGCGATGGCTGTATCTGTCGGCATGTTAGAATTTTGAGGCGGCTGTCCCTTTGGAGTCATAGGTGCTGAATCATTAGCAGTCGGTTTCTGTCTAGATGTTCCCGGGCGCGAGTGTGATGAATCATCCTCTTCATCTAGCGTCTGTAGGCCACCGCCGCCATCAGCAAGACCGGTGGCATTTCGCTTCTCAAGAACATTTTCATCGCTGTAACCAGAAATCCCCGACGCCAGGCTCCCAAGACTAACCGACCTCACCAAGTCATTGTGGCCTCTGTTCTGAGAACTGCTACGGTCGCCAGGGGCTGCACCGCCCGATTGAAGTGCATAATCGGCCCCTAGCGTTGCCTCGCTATTTGTCGTTTCGGTGGTTGAACTCGTTATAGAGGAGGAAGAAAGACGATGAGAAGATGAACGAGTGATCAGGTATTTGGGTCTGCTTGCCCTCCGGTTCGTATTTGATCCAGGGCCGGAGGTAGCTCCTCCATCACCTCCTGCGTTGTCTTGAAATAGGGGCAATCGGCCTGGTGACAAGCTCTGTGAGCTCTGCCTAACTGTCAGTGACATTGGCGGCAGTCCACCCTTAGGGTCTGGTGAAGGGGATCTGTCTCTTAGTTGATCTTGATGAGGTTGGTCAGCCTTATTGGAATCATTAGCAGGCGCGGAACTGTTCCTCTGTGCAGTCCTAGCTGCTGCCTCCGCCGCAGGTGATGAGGCAGCAATCTCCAGCAATGTAGTATTCCCTTCATCTTGTTTCATAGAAATATCGAGTGTCGTATCGAGGTCAATGGTTGACTCTTCGCGTTTCTCTGTGCATGGAGTCTGCGAGACATGCTCTGTTTCTTCCGCACGTGTACTATTACGGCCTCCGTCTGTTAATACGAACGATATCTCAGCATCGTTGTGCGCTTCCATAGGCCTTTCCGCATTCCCAGGCGAAATCCCTAGCAAGTACGTATCATCAGGGCCGGCGTTCTGGTCGGTAGTAGGGATTTGGATGGCCGATGGTTCCGGTAGAAAACTAGACTCCATATCCATCAGTTTTTGGCGCATTTCCCTCTCCTCCAAGAAAGTCTGGTTTTGGTGCCGCTCATCTCCGTCGTCGCTAGATGGATGCTGTAAAGGACTACTGTCGCTATCGTTGTGATCCGTCGACTGAGGAGGCTTCGGTGATGTGCGCAAATAGTCACAACCAGACTCTACCATGGTTGTTGTGGATGTGTGGTTTATGTTTGGGCCGGTTATGGTCGCTCCCAGCGCGTCGTCTGTCCCGTCCCCTGGTGGATCTTCCCGTCTGTCCTCTTCCAACATAAATTTATTTGAGTTGATGGAACGTATTTTAGAAGGAGAGATAAAATGGCGTGTATCAAATTTAGCAGGCACATGAGATGTCCTGCGTGGTAGAAACGAGTCTCCGATCGCATCTGCAGTTGTTGACGTTGGAGACGGTGACGGAGAGTCGGTCGACATGGTGACAGGCCCAGGCACAAGAGCCGTCTCCACACCCGAAGCTTGGCTTCCGAAACGGAAACGGTTATGGTTGGAAAGCCTAGAGGATGATGCGCTTTGCTGCTCAGGAAAGAGAGACCTGCTCTCTCGACAATGCCCATTGAAAAAAACTCACAGCAAGGACAGCTCAGAGGTTGTTGGAACTCTCGTCTCTTCGCAGGAGAGCAGCAGCTGTATTATGGCCGTATCGTATCGTATTATATTAATAACCAGTGTAGCAGGGTCACATGCACAGTCACATGAGCAGCCATGCCCTCTTAATGGAGGTATATATTGTTGGCGAGGTCCTAGATAAGAGGAATATGCTCGCTGTTCCTAACGACGAGTACGCGTTGTGCGTCTCGCTACTGGCTATCTACTCTATCTGATTAAGCCGCCCTAAACCGAAAGAGGAAAGGAGCTGAACCTCCTGGGCCACACATATATCGTTGGTTACTAGCTAGATAGGCCTACGTGGTGGAAAGGGTCAGCGAGGGCGGATCTATGCGGCAGAATCCCACGTGATCCAACACCTCTTCACTTCCTCATTCAGAACATTGACAGTCGCAAAGATAACTAATCACATTACTTATGTCACTATACAGGCTTTTCATTCTACAATCACAGAGACTTCCTCCTTTTGGAAGCTGCCACCTCCATGGGGGGTACTCAGGGTGATGCTCAGTGCGTAATTCTCATCATGAGCACTCATGGTCTGCTCAGTAATCAGTCATGTGCTACTATGAGCTGCTTACCCCCTATTTTGTGCAGGTAGCTCAGCAAGATGCCAGGTTAACCATCCTCAAAATTACCCAGGCCTATTGTGATGACCCGTCCCATAGGGGCTGCCAGATCTAGCTCCGCACGTGACGTCGCCTGTTTACATACTGCGTCTACGCACCCTCCAGTCCTTCTTCTTTTCTCCTTTCTCCTCTCATGTCTGGTATTCGTTGAAAATAGTACTGAATGGCACATGTTGCTTTTTCTTCATCTATTTGTAATACTAGTCATCACACTTTGTTGCTTATTTCCTCCTTGAATGTATAAGCCTGGGAACAACCCTAACATTGCTGGCACCTGTGCGTCCTCACATTCCCATTGTGTTTGAAAAAAACTGCTAGTGAACAGAAACTAGCATTAGGGAAACAGAAGTCTTCTATCGGCAACTAAACAACACCACTCCTCAATCCAAGCGTGAGGTCCATATAGAGGGTTGGTATCAAGATTTCAAGCTCCCACGCAATAGCAGGATTGAAGTTAGTCCTAATGGATGAACTACTGATGAGATAGGCCTTCACTGGCTTAAAAATCTCTTTATTCCTGCTATTTCTAGTTGTACAACTGGGAAATACTGTCTTCTGGTTCTTGATGGCCATAGCAGCCATCTTACACCTCAATTTGATTAAATATACAGTGAAAATAATATCATTCCTATCTGCATGTCTGCGCATTCTTCCCACAAGCTTCAACCTCTGGATATAGGCTGCTTTTCACCTTTAAAAAAGGCATATGGTGTAAAGGGGGGCGTACGTGCGTTGTTCCCTGCGACAGGAACCGGGTTGTGATCGGGGGACCTCAGGAATGGATATACTAAGGCGATGCCGCTATACCACGCGGCACCGAACGATCTTAGCAAGAAAACGATATAACGATAAAAGGAAACACAACGACGAAGGAGCCTCGCTCCGCTCTGTACAATGACAACGATACTAGTGAAGCAACCCAGAAACCAAAAGAATGCTCTATTTCTTGTAACTATCTGGGAGGGAACTCTCCATTAAGTACTTGCCGGCCGCGGGCTCCACCATACATTAGTATGTCGGAGACCGCGGCTCTACGGTGTTCTAAGATAGGAAATATGGGAGATCCGGGGTTTCGCAGTGCCCCCGGCACAATGGGAGCTTAGTGGAGCAGAAAGCATATTTAGGAATCAATCATAATTGATAAACTTGATTTCCTAGAGGCCTTTCCACAAGCTTGTGAAAGTGCTTTTCAAGCAGAAACTATTCAAAATAGCTTCGCAGGTGCTGGTCTAGTTCCATTCAATCCAGATAGGGTGCTCAGTCAGTTGGATATCCAGCTAAAGACCCCTACACCACCAGGCAGTTGATCAACAGATTCAGCACCCAAAACACCCTATACTGCTAGGCAGCTAGAAAAGCAGGCATCTGCAACAAGAAAACTGCTTAGGGAATGTGCTCAAAGCCCTTCATCTTTGCTAGAAACACACTTGGACAAGCTTATTAAGGGCCATGAATTGGCTCTAAATGAGCTTACGATTACACGGGAAGAAGTACGCAAATTTTGTGCTAATAATAAATAGAAAGACCAAAATCAGAAGCAATCTAATAGGCAGCTAGCTATTACAGAAGGGCCAGCTATTCAAGAGGGCCTAGAGCAATTTCAGCACAAGAATGAGGCCTATGAAGCTCAAGATGCACTTCATATAGATCCAGCACTTTCTACAGTTGGGCCACGTGTACAAGCCCCCCCACAGTGTTCTAATTGTCATGTTTGGGAACATACTAGAGTTAGATGTCCTAAACCACCTAGTAATTAGTTTTGATATAGAAATGCAATTGTTTTGTTGATATAGACCCTAGAATCTCACCTAGAGGTGGGATTGGAGCGGAGGTGGCCGCTCACTTACCGGATACGTTATAAGGGGGTCTTGGCATTCTTATGCTGTTTAAAAAGTTATGGGATGTGAAGATATGTGCAGGGATTATTGACAAGATGGCATGACAGATCATTGGAGAAAAGCAGAGTTCATCCCTCTCCTGCATCTTCCAGACAATGTTAGGAGATGGGCTGTTATTAAGTTGTGTGCACAAGTGGCTCTCATGGCTTTTCTACGAAGGTTGCTACAGTGGACGTGTCTTTGACTTGGCTTTGAAGGAGGTATTTGGAGAGAATAACCAGATGTTTGAGGTCCTGTACGCTGACAGCTTGTTTATTACATCCTCTAGGTCGAAGTTTGGCGTTGTGGTGACAAGCATTGCGAAGGGAACAAGGTCTTTTATTTTCGGAAATTCAAGGAAGACTGCGGTCGGTACCAGAGGAATGCCCAGTCCATGATCTGAACATACTGACATCACATCTAGGATATGACATCATTCGGCTGATGGATACAAGTGTCGAGCCTCTTGCCTGGGAAGGGTAAGTCCTCTAGAAACTACATCTAACGGCAATTGCAGGGCTAGAGCCACAGCAGCGAAATAAGAAAACGAAATTCTGTGAGAATAAAAATCCCATATGCTGTATTATGTATTATATGTATGTACACCAAGAGCAAAAGAGAAGATCATGAACCCATGAGAGAAGTCCCGTCAAGTCTATCCAAAGAAAAAAAAAGGATAACCATACTGTCCTTCAGAACATGAACGATCGAAAGGTCACCCATAAGAAATATTATCTAAGAGAGGGTGGAAGGCTTCATGAGTGACGTTGCAAGGTATACTCATGAAGACACTAATATCACTTCTTGTGGCCCTTTCAAAAAAGGACAAATATACATCGAATCAATGGCATTTAGCCTAAGTGTTATATGTTACGCAGGAACGCTGGAAGGACCTAGGGCCTCTTCGGGAACACCCTCTGGTTCGCCGTCTTTGCCCGCGTTGATACTATCCTGACGGGATGCGTATATTTTGTCCTTCAGATCCAGCGCGCCTTGAAGGGAGTCTATGTACGTGCGGAATTTCACAATTTCACGCAAGAGGTAGGAAGACTTGCGCTCCCAATTGGCCATCGCCTTGGACGCGTTAGGGTGACGTGGAGAGAAAGCAAGGGTCATCGCTGGTCGGAGATCATTATGCTTCTGCAGCTCGTCCTCCACATTCCTGACATACGTCCGAAGTGCCTGCAGCTGATCAGCCTCGGACAATGATGAGGCCACCATACTCTGCTGCGGAGGCGCCCAGTCACTAATGTGGATGCGATCCGCTGGAAGTCTCGGTCGTACACTTTGCTGATCAATAGATCCCCTGACCGAACTTTGAAAACTCATCCGTCCAGATGAAGAGGGTGGAGACTTGTTGTTCTCGGCGTGGATCAGGGCGCTATTCGCGACACTCTCACTCCATCCATATTCGACGTTACTGACTCCTCCAATTAAGGGTTCTTTAGAAAGCCTCGCACTCCAATAATTGGCAGTTGAAACGAATTCACGCACTATCTCTGGAGTGCCAGCTTGGAAAAGATGAACAGCCCCAGTGGGCAGACTCAATGCCCACACGTGGGGCCGTGACTTTGAATATCCAGGTGACGGGAGAGCACTTGCAATGGTCTGACGGAGGAGGAATTTCCATGTCTCCTGTGCATTCTCTGTCCAATTTCCACCTCCAACCACTACGCCACCCGTTTGACGTTGTTTGACCTTTTGACGTACAGACCGGGAGGACTCGTTGAATGAGAACAAGCGCATCCAGCCTTGCTGAATCACCGCAAAGCATTCATTCCAGTTTCGGTCCTTCGCCCTCTTGTCGACTCCGTCGAGGTGATGCTTGTGCTTTAAGTTCCCTTCTTTGGCCCACGGTGCGCCCGCAAGTTCCAAAGTTTCATCCTCGATAAGGGCAGTGACCCGTTCAGAAGCTTCCGAGCTAATTATCGAATTACCCGAATCCTCGCGAATAATCGCATGGCTCAACGCATTGGCAAACCCGATAGATTGTTGATAATCTCCGCGTGGGTAATCTGAACCCAGCGAATCAACAGATACCGAGGTAAACTTTCCTAGAGAGTATTTACTCCAGGTACTGGATGCAGAAGGACTCCAGAGAGAAGACTGATCATCTAGGCTGGTGCGGCTGGAGCCCATGTACGACGGAGGGTATAACCGTGTCCGCGAGCGTGCCTTTGAAGACCAACGGGCGCCTCCACCATAACGAGAATCAGCGGAGCGAGCTCGGGGAAAGATATCAGAGCCGCTTTTGCTTATTGTACTAGGGCTCCTGCGCAGGCCGCCATTCGTAGGGCTGAGTAAATTATTTGACGGCGTTGCCCGAGATTCTTCGTTCCCCGGCCGCGATCCATGAAGAGGAAGCCTGTTCTTGTGAATAGATGTATAGAAGTCCCTGAGGACTATCTCAACCTGCGTTTCCCATGCTCTTATCGTCCCATTAAATGGCTTATTGACCAGAAGCCCAGCATCGGTGTGGAAAGAGTAATCTGAGGCATTGTCACCAGCTTTGGGTCGGTCGCCAGCACGCGGAACCCCAAAACTGTCCGGTGCTGCATCGACTGCTACTCGATGAATGGTTGGCATGGTATTCCGAACGAATTGATTTTTTGTCATCTTCTGGTCAATATCCGCCAGATGGAGATCGGTATTTAAGAGGAGGATGGAATAGCAAATGGTGTGGACGACGTCTGTTCGAGTGTCAGCAGTTAAGGTATGATCACAATCATCAAGCGGCGGCGTGGGTTTATACCTGTAGCTTTGAACCCGTGGTTTGGATTACACTCGCACCACCGAGTAGAGAAAGCATCCAAGACTCTGTCCACTTGCTGCGTTTCTCCTTTCAGTACGAGACGAGTACACATGTCCCGTAGCGCTGCAAGAATGTCCATGTTAGACCACTTGAACAGCTCCATGTACGCCTTTCGGATCATAGCACGGTCGGGTTCACCAAGCCATGCTGCGGTTGGTTCATCGCCCATGACTTCATCTGGGCTATCAAAGAGCCTCCGCGACCGTTCCCTGTCCTCCACACTCGGTGATTCATCGGCGAGGTCATCAGAGGTAGCAGCTTTTCCTTTAGTAAACTCGGCCGGCTTTTGATTTTCCGTTGAAGTCACCAGTGTGCTGGACGGGGTATGATCATCAGAGGCTTTAGTGATTATGGCACTGGAAGGCACCTGTTTATTAACTTTACCTGCAGCATTTGCTTCTTCCAATTCCTCTACAGCTCCTGCACTTTGGCCATTGGAAAGTCTAGAACCCGCCAGGCCTTCTTGGAAGTGGTCTTTAGTTGCAGGCGAGAGGTCTGGGGCAGAAATAAAACTCCTCGCTTCGTCTAACTTCTGTAAAGAGGGGAGATGCTGGCCAGCCTCGGTATCGTTCGATTTGGCGACATAATCCCCTTTTCCGCACACACTAGCAGCTGACGATGAAGGATTTGGATCACGGGAGGAAATGGTAGGATCAAGGCTATATCTACTCTTTGGCTCCTCACTGAGAGGAGCGGCGCTGTTCCGCCGTTTCTGTGTTTGAAGGTGCGCTGAGCTTGTTTTGTCTTCTACATCGCTGCCGCTCTTTTCGGGGTAGCGACACTCTTTAGGGTCAAGGTATGCAGAAGAGGCAGTATTCCCAATGTAGGAGTCCATAACCTGTCTCAGGCTGCTCACAGGACTGGGTTCAGCATTCATTATGTCCGCCGTTTTCGGGTTGTGGAGTTTCTGAGGAAGAACAATTGGCGGTGGCGCTGAGTCTACCACGGACTTCTTTCGTCGACGGAAGAAAGAAGGCTTTTTATTCACCACTTGTGGTTTTTGTCTGCGTCCCCTTGGTATTGTGTGCCGTCCATCTGAGACTTTTTGGTCGCTTTCCTGGGGACGCTGTGCCTCGGCGTGGTCTGAGGGCTCGGTTGCCGAAGTTTTCGATGATCCGAAGACGCGACGGAAAAATCCAGGTCGTTCTTTGGCAGATGCTTGCTCGGCTGGAGGTGAATGTTGCTTGTTAAAAGATATAGATGGACTGGGGGCAGGTGATTCTAGCGGTGGCTGTAAGACTGCACCCAAGTTCTTGTTGTAATTCTTGACCGTATCTGTAGCGAGATTCTCGGGGCGACTCTTCCTTGTATGGTTGGTGCGTGCGGACTTCAGGCTGCTTTTCCGGGAGGATACGGGCGTTTGTGACAACTGATTGGTAAGTGAGTGTACAGAGAAGTCGTCCTGAACGGTAGAAAACTGCTTTCTGGGTCCTGCAGGGACACTTGGAGTGGGTGCTGCGTCGATTCCATTGTACAGCAGCGTGTCATGATCATAGGCAGATTCCGCAAGAGACATATAGGCTCGTCTCATACCGTAGTCAAAGCTTGCAGAGCGTCGTTCACCCGCAGAGCCCAGCCGCGCCTTGGACCGAGCAGGTCCAAAGTCAGTGTTGGAACAAGAGCTACCGCCACTGCTGTGTCTTGAACCATTGGCTCGAGTGCCGACCACACTTCGTGAGTGAGTTACCTCTCTGATGCGGCTATTCGCAAAGCCAGAGCGATAGTTTGAGCTGCTATTACTCCGGCGACCTCTCACTGTTCGATCTATGTAACTGCCGGCTCCATCGTCGTTTGATGAAATTGAGGAAGAATACGTATGGCCCCGATAGGGGGCTCGTCGGGGGGAATCTGGTGAATCCATCTGGTACGGATCTGACTCGAAAATAGAATTATACAGGCGATAGTCTTCTAGATCGAAGCCTGTCTGAGCGAACTGGTCTAGGGAGAGAAGCATATTGTCGACGATCGAGGTTCTGGCAGCATGAGTGGGCGACAGAGACAAGTCATGCGAGTCCCGTCCATCGACCGGGTCACCACTACTTCCCTCGGTCTCATTGGATGTAATGTGATCGGCAAACGTATCCCGCACGGATGGACGCGTCTGGCGGCCTCGTTTCGCAGGCTTGTACCTGTCAGTCTGCGACGGGGGTGTACGAGGGGGCTTGTCATCTTCAAACGCATCACGGAATTGTTGCTGGGATTGCCGGGACATTGTTATGTTTGTTGAACGTAAAATCCGATTGCTAACTAACGTGTGATAAAGCTTCTAGGAGGGACGAAGAAATAGTTGGAAGTGAAGGTGATGGATCGGCAACCCCTTGGGGCAGCACCCCATTAAAATATAAGACAGAGACGTCTTCCAAGGCGGTATCCTGCCAGCGGATGTCCACATCCGTGTACGTAGAAGCTATTGAAGGAATCGAATTGACTAGTGACTGGGGGTTGCGTCACCAGTAGGTCACGGCATTGGAATGGTGGATTGTACCACGCACGACACGGACTATTGTAGACGGAAATAGACGACTCGAGATACCTCAGGCCAAATACTTTTGATGAAGAGATGAGATGGTTAGATCAAACCGGCAGTTCAATTGACGGGAGGTGAAGAAGAAGCTTGACAGGCCGGGGAGAGAAGGGAGGGATTGCAGTGCAGTAGTTCTCCTGTTGGGCATGATAAACGGCGAGTGACTTACAGCAGTATGGCTTATTATGAATGACTCTTGTCTCAAGCGGGCATAAAGGGGCGGACAGGGTTGGAACTAGAATTGAATGAGAGATCCGATGGGGGTTCACCGTGGCTTTTGATCCTGCTCCTGTCGTCGTCAGGGGTATTATTGAGCCCTTGCATGCATGGATGTGGATGCAAAACTCTATACTCCGTATCGTAGTCGAAACTGATCTGAAGGTGAAGACGACGGCGGATATGCATTATTCTCTGCATTTGCCTAGTGTCTATTAATTACGAATTAGTCAATTGATTAATTTATTAACTAAATAATTCATTGATTCTTAGTCTAGACAGCAGTCAATTATCAGATCAGATATTTACATCCTTCAGAGAATATGGCAGCAACAACAACAAAAAGACCATTGCACATGCTCGGCCAGACTCCGAGGAAGTTTCAGAATAATAATCCCAATCCTTCTGCCGATCGACTGCCCACGTTAGCGTTCAACGACGGCCTGCAGCCTGCAGGGAGAATTCATTTCTGCCTCAGTCATCATTAGATGACATAATACTACTGCCTCAGGCCTCCATTATGTCTCCGAAGTTCAAAGGAACAGCTCAATATCTCCCAGTCGACAACTCTCTCTCCCTCCATCTCTCCGCCAGTATATGAAGCGCTCCAATTTAACTTTCCAGTCTCTGGACATCCAGAGTGTTGGTATATCTATCGATCAGCGAAAATGAATGCCCATATATCCGTTCCTCGTCAGCATGCCGGCCCTTCTACCTTTGGCGGCACCACGCCAGCAAGCCGCAGGTCCAGTATACGGATGCCGCGATTCTTCAAGAGGTGTGTCGATCTCGAATGCTGTCTCTGACTTCCAACACATCTCCGCCCGTATGGATTAAGATGAACTGATCATGTCTTGCGCATTTCGCTTGGCCTGCTACCGACTAGACTATTCAAATTCCCCCAGATGGACTTCGAAATGGCTATTTGGGAAATGACATCACTGTTGGTAGCCCCCAAGAAAGTCTTTAAATCGATATACTATCATGTATGTGGTTTCAGCTTCTTCTTCTTCTTCTATCAGTATTATCTGTTTATTTTCCCCCTTCTCCGAGACGCTATGCTAACCCCATTGCCAATTAATAGAAACGTAGGTTCATCCCTAGTCACCAGTATCAAATATCGGTCCAATAACATCCAATGACCTCCTATCCTATCCAGTTTGGATTGAAAGCGCTGATGTCGACTGAGATGCACAGAAACTAAAAATACATGGCACCGTCCCGATCCCTCGTTCACCTATCTACTCTCCTTCTTTCTACTTCTCACCGCCCTTGCATGGGGACTAGCATATACACCGTCCTTCGGCGCTATAGTTCGCCTTTCTTTCCTCTTTATCTTCATACATTTTATAGGATCGTCGCTCTTGATCTCCACGCTGGCATACTTCGTCATAGGAAGACTATTCGGCCCCAATGGTGCCGCTGCATCCCTGACGGGGCTACGAGGCTCCAGGGCCCGCAGAAGAGGCGCGGCTCAGGGCTTGTTCGTTCAACCTGGAGAGAAGGACCAATTGGAATTTGGGTATTGTTTTGATGTATGTTCCCAATTATATAGTATCCTCTCTGGTCGAGACGAGATATTGATCGATTGATTTTTCTTTTACCACCAGGTTTCAAATCGGGCCTTCTTCCCGCTCTATCTGCACCTATATGTTGTCCAATTCCTTCTCCTGCCTGTTCTCACCCGCAATCCGAGCAATTTCCTGGCTACCTTCCTGGGAAATACCCTTTATCTCTCTGCTTTCACCTATTACACATATATCACATTCTTGGGATATAATGCCCTTCCCTTTTTACATAATACTGAGCTGCTTTTGATCCCTATTCTTGCTTTCGCTGTGCTGTGGTTGGTCAGTCTGATTGCAGGATGGGGTATCGTCATGCATGGCCATAGTGTGGAAGGACTGTTCTGGGGCGTATAGTGCATTGACATAGGCACTTTTTTTTCTCCATGATATATTCGGTACAGAGCACGAGCGCTACTCGTTTGTATTTGTTTCTTTCTTTTTTCCCCTCTATATTGCGTTTGGTTTCATTCTCCATTTGCTCTTTTCTTTGCATCGCGTTTGGTCTATTCAGGCAGCACAAATACAATTTAAAAGAACATATCTCAGAAAACTTGGCGTACGCAGAGGACCGTTCTTACTTCAAGATATGCAAAATAGATTGAACAGAATATGAACCGATTTCTCTCAAACATAATCGCTTAAGAAATAGATCACCTGAAGGAATGAAAGGAATCCAGACCGATTCTCAGTGCTTGTTCTTAGATGAGCCCTTCTTCCCCTTAGCAGCCAGATGCTGTTGCATCTCCCTTTCCCGGGCTTCAGCGCGGGCTTTTTCGCGCTCAGCTTTCTCTTCCTTCTCAGCCTCTTTTCGTGCTCTTTCGGCCTCTCGTCGCTCACGGACAAGAGCTAACCGCGCGAGATCCGCACGAGCCTCCTCCGTCTTCCCTTCGGCGTGGAGTTTCATGTAACGTTCTCGGGCCTGTTGCGCCTCGATGGCCTCCCTCTCCCTTCGTGAGAGCTGTGAGGTATCACCATCCTTGGGTCTTCCACTGGTTTCTTCACCAAGCAATCCCTTCTGAAGTTGTGCGCGTGAGCCGGCTGTGTGATTTGGATTCGCGGGCAAGTCTAGATCGGATTCTTCTGATTCGGATGGCGGTAGGTCTCCTGGCTGCGCAGCGGTTTGGTTCTTCTTTGCGAAAGCGGCTTGCTTTCTGGCTTTTGCGGCAGCGCGACGTTGTTCCCGAGTCATTTCTTCTCCTGCGGCTTGGCTGGGGCCTGCCTGTTCCTCCTCAGATGATTCTTCCTCCGAGCCGGATTCATTCTGGTCTTCGTCTGATGAAGATGGGATTCCATCCTCAGGGTCCTGTACAAAAGAAAAACGTATTTACTCAAACGGTCAGAGACTGGTTCTTTGATAACGTAAGGTGTTTGTGCATGTGTGAGGTGAAAGGACATACGCGCCATAAACCAACTGGATTGCCATCTTTGTCGACGGGCTGGACGTCACGGCTGAAGTGTTTACCGCCTGTGTTTGTGGAATGGCCGCCAGAGAGTCAGAATTCCCCGTATTTCCTTGGCAGAGGTGACTGGAAGATTCAACAGAAGACTTGCCTCCTCTGGACGGTTTGGAGAACTTCCCACGGCCGCGAGGAGCCATGACAGTTGCGCAGATGTGTACGGGGTACTAGTAGTAAGTAGTACTATCCCTGGGTAGAATTGGGCGCAGCTATTTACCGGAGAACCGAGTAATTCAGGCGACGTGATGCACTAGTCCAATGATGCCTGGAATTAAGAATGGGCAGTTGTTCAACAAAGATCAGATCTCCTCGAGACAGACACACTGGATCGACATCACTGAGGGGCCAAGCGCGGGGTATGTCGTGTGCAAAAAAAAAAAAAAAAAACACTTACGGTACTATGCAGAACCCAATGCCTGCCAACACATTAATAAGCTGCACAAGAGAGAGGATCTATCCAAGAGCAAGTTGGGATGGAGGAAGATGAACAAGGAGAGGAGAAAAAGATGACGAGGATGAATTTCAGTGGGCGAAACGACATGACTCGAGAAGGGACTCATGTTTACCAAGACAACAGATTGCTGACCCTGCGTTCTGCCAATAGATATTATTCTATGCATTTTTTTGATATTCCATTGCATCGTTTTGTTTTGTCTTTTTGTTCAGCGGTCTCTTCTACCTTTCCGCAACTGGAACAATCGACTCTACACCCGAAGTCGCAAGGCGAATCCCACCTTTGCTACTCTCGTGGCTACTAAGATTGAAGCGCCTGCGAAAATGCAGGAGGCCATGAACATTTGGGCATAGAGATACTGTCCACCATCACTCTGGATAAGAGCCCCGGCGATCGGGGAGCCGATCAGGGCTGCGACCCCGACCACCCCGAACACCATCCCCATCCTCACACCAATCTTACTCAGATCCGTAGTGAGAGTGCTGAGTGTTGCTGGGAATAAGCTCTGGATGCCTGCAGCAGCTGCGCCGTATACCACTGAAAAGGCATACAATCCTCCCAGGCTCTTGACCCCGGGCCATCCATATGTCACGAGACTAGTAGCTAGGCTGAAGGGAATCAAGATATTCAAGGGACCCGTGAAACGATCAGCACATAGGCTAGGGATGAGACGCATGGGAAGTCCGATTCCATTCATGACCAAAAGAAGGTCAATCGACGTCGACTGTGACACCCCAATAATATTGCGTGCGAAACTGCCAATGTAGAAATACCCGACGTACAAGCCGCAGAAGTTCAGGAACATGCCGGCCGCATAGAGGGCATATGGAGGCTCTTTGAACGCCTCCAATTCGAGAATGGGTCCGCTTCTCCGAGGAGGCAACCGCTGTTTGAGAAAAACAAGGCAGGGAATTAGCGTTCCCAGTGCAATAAAGCCTAATGTCCGCATGGTCCATCCGTATCCAACCCGCGGCAGTAGCCGCATGACGACAGCAGGAAACACCAGTCCTCCCGTGGCAGATCCAGAGGCTACAATTCCCATTGCAAACGCACGTTTCTTAGTGAAGTAAGTTGGCACTAACGAGGTGGTGGGACAGAACATAAGGCCAGATCCAAGGCCCTGGGCGACGCCCTGTGCCAAAAAAAGTTGCCAATACTTCGTGGACAAGGATGTCATGAAAATGCTAAAGACTTCGAGAACTGCGCCCGTCACTAAAGTTGCCTTGAAAAGACCAGCATCCGTCGCACGGCCCGAAAATATGCCAACGAAGAACAGCAGGAAGATCTGCACGCTTCCCACCCAGGAAATATCAGATGGGGGATGTCCCAGAGTTTGTGTATAATACGTCTGGAACACGCCAAAACTGGCAATGTAGCCCCATGTGTTGAATGTAACAATATGAGCAAGGGCCACCTGCGTCCATGCTTTGATGCCGCCATCAGGCGGAAGCTCGATTTCCTTGCTAATTTGCCTGGTGCGAACCAGGGATGATACTTTGGCTAGGGTACCGCCTTGGTTCGTATTTGGAGCAATGAGGCTGTGGTTCACTCCAGGGATGCCATCGACGATGGCTGCTTCCTCGTCAGGTTGACATGCGGCCAATGGCACGGACCTGTATTCCGTCGTATGGACCAGATCCCCCTCCATTACTCTATTCTCATCCTGGGTCACCGTGCTCGCCATTGACGATGGGGTTTGCGATCGATCGTCCCGCCCAGGAACAATAGATCTTGACTGGCCGTTTGTGTGAGCCATCGAGTTCAATTAACGGAATAGAAGTCTATCTTGGTCTCATGGAAAATCAAAAGGGCAAAGATCAAGTCACTTTGTGTCGCCGAACCTGTAATTCCAAGGAGGGTTATTAAGCATGAAGCCCTGCCAACCGAGAGCGAAGAGGTTTAAAAGCCCGGGAAAGCACCGCTACTCGTTTCCAGTGGAGCGCGCATTCTGACTCACAGTCGAATACGCAGTAATATAAGGCAATTCGCAGAGAAGTCCGGCCAACCTCTGGGGTTCTTTTTGGTATCATTTGCCGAATCGGCAACTTCAGCCGGAACCCCTCTCGCTGGGGCTCGCTGACGCCCTGTGGAATACACGCGCATTGAGCCGTGGCGGGCAAGAAATTCAGATCTGGGCCACAAGATAATAGCGAGACAAGATCGTCAATGGCAGGTTATCGTTGATTCAGCCATCTGGTTCTTTGCAGTTTGGACAGTGGCCTCGGGACGCCCTCCGAAAACTTGCAGTTGTCGGGATGAAGTCAAGAACATGCAGATTAGTAGTCACGTGGCGTCTAAAAGAACATCGATTGCATTGGCATCGTCTCTTCTCTATACTCTACACTATTTATTACTATGGGTTGCGCCGTCGTTTTCCAATCCGTCCATCAAACTATCTATCTCTCAAGCCGCACAGCCGTCCTGCAACTGCACCGTCTTGGTTCAAGGCAGTCGCATCAGGCAAACACCGGATTCCTATGGGAGGGTTATGCTGCACCTCCCGTGGGCATCAATTGACACCCACAATCCCTGTGATGCACCTGCAAAAGGAGATAGACCGGCCAGGTCTACCAGTACATGGACTTTTCATTTATATATACCAAACACCACGATGTAACTGACCCTGCAATTACGCACTCTCGAGCGCGGGTGCCCCTCAATGGTCTTGGCCATTGAGCATTGCAATTGTAGAAATGACGTCTGCAGGCTCTAAAAGATGCCAGCTTGCAGTCGTCTGCTTTGAACTTGCACCAACGGTGACTGGATACACATGGTCCGATGAGAGATCAAATTTGAGAAGGGCACGGAACATATCTGCACCGAATAATCAGCAGTTGTCCAAAAACGGTATAAAACATGCTGCAATGTATATATGGGAAATTGGGGAACATGGTGAAGAGGAAGGAGGAATACCTTCGTCTGTAAAATCATCTCCCAAGCATAAGATAAAGTCGGGTGCCTGACCTGGCCCCATCCCATATTCTTCGACCAGTCGTTTAGCGATGCATCCCTTGTTCACAAATGTCGGCCGAACCTCCAGATTTGCCTTGCCAGCCATCACTTCCACGTCCCATCTTTTCGCAACAGTCTCCTCCAGATGCTTCCGACACTCCTTGGCCTGGAACGCACCATACTCCGGATCCACACGCCGGTAGTGCCATGTCAATGCAACCCGCTTTCGCTCGATAAAAGAACCCTGTGTCCTTTCTGTGTAATGTTGAAAGACATCCATGACTTCTTTCTGCCACCCCATATCTGTTTGCTCTGCCAGGTTCTCCCAGTCATCAGACCGGGGCTTCCGGATAAAGCAACCGTGCTCAGCACTCAATCCCAGTTCAGGAATGTGGCCCATCCACTCATCAAGGAACGCCTGATCACGTCCGCTAATAATCCAGACGGCATTTCTGGGGTCTGCAGCCAGGCTTTTGAGGTTTCGCAGCACCCGATCTGACGGAATCGCCGCTTGCGGATCCTTAACAATCGGTGTGAGCGTTCCATCGTAGTCAAACATGAAAAGCCGCCTTCGTGCCCTGCGGTACTGCTTTAGCAGTTTCGCCCGGTCCAGGGCGGGAGTGGCCACAGACTGGTCAAACGAGGAGAGGTTCGTAAGCAGTCGATGCAGATATTGCTTGGACCAGGCCGACACTGTATTTGCAGTAACATGTTTATAAAGTTTCTGGTGCTGTGACTTCCTCTCATCAGGGCTCATGGTCAATGCTTGATTGATGGCCCCGGCAACCCCTACCAGATCCCACGGGTTGATGTAGATGGCGCTAGGCAGCGTTCCTGCGGTACCTGAGAATTCTGAAAGGATCAAGGGCCCATAGTTGCCCTGTTGACAAATAATGTATTCTAAACTTGTCGTGTTCATTCCATCCCGGACGGTAGTGATCAGTCCGACGTCGGCAATCCGCAACAGCGCAAAATATTCGTCCCGTGAGAGGTACTGTGGATAATATTGAACAGGGGAGAAGCTTAGGGAACCAAAACGGCCATTGATGGCGGATACCAGGTTAGAAATCTGACTGGCTATCTTGTTATCAGGGTCTTCCTTTTCTTCCTCGACACTCGTTGGGCTTGTGACCTGAATAAGGACGACCTTGTCACGCCATTCGGGATACCGATCGAGGAATACCTCAAACGCTTGCAGCTTTTGGGCAACACCCCGGACACCGTCCAGTCGGTCACGGCCGACTATGACTTTCTTTCCGGCGTACAGACTGCGAATCCCCGCTACAGCATTTTCAACATCCTCAGTCCCAAAGGCCGCCTTCTGAACCGCTTTGACATCAATCCCAATGGGGAAAACATCGACAGCGACGTGGGCGCCGTACGCATCAACGCCAGCCGAGGTGGAATCGAATCCGAGGATACGCGTACAGCAAGACGAAAAGTGGCGGGAGTAAGAAAAGGTCTGAAAACCAATCATGTTGGCGCCCAACACGCCTGTCAGCACCTCCTTGCGCTTAGCCAGACAACGCATGAACTCGCTACTCGGAAATGGAGAGTGGAGGAAGAAGCCAATGAAAACATTCGGAATTCGTTGCCTCAGCAGGCTGGGGAGGAGGAATAAATGATAGTCATGAATCCAAACTATATCACCATCTCGGTATTCCTCCACGATACGATCAGCGATAACACGATTCAATCGATCGTAGTCAGCCCACCACTTCCTTTCCGACTTGCCATCAGTAGGGCCATGCTGTTTGTAGTGCAGCAATGGATACAGCTCTCGCTCAGCATAATGCCTCCATCTCCCTTGATCCTTGAGTAGGATAGTATCCTGGGGCTCTTCGGACTCATCAGTCAACCACACGGGCAAGATCCTGCCGTATCTAGTAGAACTTAGTTGATCCTCGAGCCGGTCCCGGTCCTCTTTACCCACAGTAAACCCCTCTATGAAGGGATGAGTGGGCGGTTTGAGACTGGCATCCACAGGAATGGGTGCCACGGCCTTATTCAGCGGAAGGCTCGCTGAGGGCGGCACGGCCGTCACCTTCCCAGTAGCATTGGTGGAAATCTCTTGCAATGGGACCTTCACATCTTGGGCTGGCTCCACCTCACCGGTCCAGCCAACAAGGATATGGGACCATTTATTATCATCGGAGGCCAGATAAGCAAATGAATCGAATAGGGCGGAGGTGCCTGGGCGGTGTTGAAGACCCTTTTGTACAGAGAAATTACGTCAGCTTGGTTTCCAGTTTCAATAGATACATTCAGAGAGAAATATGGAAATATCATACCCACTCGGAATCTGGGCGATGGCGAATCTTGTAGGGTATACAAAATGCGGCGCTGATAATTCGACCGGTAAGCTTCAGAACGGGGTGCAGCTCGCGAGGGTCGGGCTCGGGCAAATTGGGAAAGGAGCCCTCCACCAGGCTCAGGCGGCGCAAGAGCTCTATTGGGGTCTTGGCATCCTTGACGACCTCTGCGGGCGATGTTGGAGAAGCAACATTATCGTTGGTTCCATGAATGTCATTGAAGTATGAGGGGGCGTCGGTCAAGACAGGGTGCTTTTTGTCGGCATCAAGAGTCGGGGTGGCCTCGGAAGCACCGGAGTAGGCCTCTTCCCCAAGGGTCTTCACACCTGGCCCAACGAGGACGGGATCTGGCTGGCCACCGGGAATGTAGTTTGGAGTGCTATCTTGTTCGGAGGACATGGCGGAGGAGAGTGGCGGTGGAGGTGAGTTGCAGGAGGAAAGGGAACACAGTCAATTCAGGTAGAAGAACGTGAAATAATGAATCCGGGATATTCTATCTAGCACATGGTAAGGACGATTAGCCTGAGGAATTCAAGAGACGGCTGTAGAAGTCCCTACAGAGGGCGAGTCGAGGCGCGAGATAAGATGAGGCGGAAAGTGGTAGAATCGACCAACAGCAAAGACGGGAACTAGCTAGCCTATTGCAGCGGACGCGGCCCATAAATAACACGAAGGCTCGATAGTATTAAAAGAAAGAAGGGAAATGGATGGAAACAAATAGATAGGAGAAAGAAAAGAAGAAAAAGGCCAGCCCCAGAAGCGAGCTTGGCTGGGGGGATGGAGGGAACGGGAAGAGGGAAAAAGGGAGACGACAAAACTCGATGCGGGGAGCACTTGCGGCAAGTGAGGTCAGTCACCACCGCAACCAGCCCCTACAGCTGTTTTAGGAGAACAGAACTATGGGAATAATAATAAAGAAATCTTGCATCTATATATGAGGGGTCTAAGCGGAACTATATCTGACAATCTGTCCATATGTATATCGCTCATGGGCCCATAGGCCAGGTGATCGATTGGCCTTCCAGGGGCTTTATTATTCAATTCCATTCCTCATTCACCGGCTAACGAAAGGGAACAGTCTTCCTGTCCATGAAAAATAGCATTATTAACCAGACATGATGGCCAAAACTGGGAGCAAGTTCCGTTGCAGAACAGTGCAGACTGTAGATACGTCATCATCGCCCATCATATCATATCCATATCATAATGTACCTATGTCCGAAGCCACACACCTCTGTGCGGGATGAAGGGCAAACTTGGTTCTAGATGCATGTCTCATGGCAGAGCCAAGCGAGATCTGAAATATTGATTGATGCTAATAATATACTACTAATAGTCTGCGAATACGCCGTAAAATCGCCCCGAGTCTCAGCAGCGAATCTATTGCCTTCTAGACCGCTTAGGGCTGCACAGACCTCGTGATTAGCATACCCGGTCATGTGATGCCACCTTTATTCCTAACCGTATAGGGTTAGTACCAAAATGCTTGGTTTGATTAGTCATTGTACACGTGTGCACTCCTGAGGCAGCAACTCATTCGACACCTGAACTTCTCTCCGATTCTCAACTTCGCCAACTATCAATATCAACTTCTTGTTTAGCATCTTGCCAGTCGCAATGCCTTGGCCGTGCTGACTATCCTGCGATGCACTCTCCCTGCCGTCTTTCTTCTGATGCGTTCCGCCGTATTCCTCCGTTCCCCAACCCCCGGAAGTTCCATCAGTCCTTCCTACTCCGTGCCAAGGATCCGGTGATCTCGAAGAATAATCTCCAGAAGACGCTTGAGGCCCATCGCTTGTCCAATCGCGCCTGCCTTGTGCGTAAAGTGCCGACCACTATCCCCTCGAAGAGCGTCATTCCGTCTATTTCCCCGTCAGAGAATCTCCCCGACCATGGACATGAATCAATTCTTCCCTCAACACAAGAAACTCAGTCCTCCGGGCCGGTGAAGAGAGTCATAAGAGAACGCTCTCCCCCAAAAAGAGCATCTAATCTACGATTTAGAGCACACAGGGTTGCATCTGATTGTTCTGCTGGTGCTGCTGCCGCCGCCGCCCACCAGCACCTACGGTGGGACGTTGACGGAAAGGGCAGACCAGAACAACGTCCATGGTTAGACAATCTGAGTTTCGTGGGAAACTACTGCGATGCGACTTCTTATCTTGACTCAGAGATCCTTGCTCTAGAAAGGTACTTGATACCAACCCAGCGGGAACAGGCCAATGTAGATCAGTTGGCTCACAATGTTGCCGGTATACTGGGAGGAGTTGTGCCTCACCCACCGGAGGTCATCGGTTCTCGGCGGACTGGAATGGCTGTCAGTCATTCAGATATAGACTTCATTCTTTCTGTGAGTGATCCTGAGACCACGTCCGACCAGCTCAGGAAGCCAAGCCCCTCTCGCCCCAAAATGATCGGCGTCTATACTGCACTGCTCCGAAAGGTAGAACGTGTCTTTCAGCAGAGCCAGGTGTTCAATGGCCGAGTCTATTTTCTTGGGAAACAGTTTCCTGTTCTATCGGCAGTTCATCATCTGACTGGCCTCCAAGTTCAGTTATATTGTGGACAGGGCCCTCCCTCATCTATCGAATATATCCAGGGCTACCATGCTGAGTATCCTACACTCCGACCCTTGTACCTGACCACACGATTGATCTTGGAATCTCGGGGTTTGTTTGGCGCCCACGTGTCATCTGTTGGATCCGACGCCCTTCTGACGATGATTGTGGCGTTCCTGAGAATGAATCACGGTCGTTTCCAACACCAAGAAGCTCTAGGTGAACAGCTCCTCGCCATTTTGCAGACATACGGAGAACGGACGGATCTTCAAAGCACCGGCGTCTCGGTTGACCCTCCGGGATTTTTCAACGTTGATACCACCAGAGACGGGGCTGAGCTGTATGACTCTGGATCCATCCCGGCCTATCTCCGCGGCCAGCGTTCGCTGATCAACCTGAAAAGGACAGCCCTTGCCAGGAGAAATTTGCCCGTTGCACGACGCCTGTGCATCCAAGACCCATGCAATTATATGAAAGATCTGGGCCGTTCATGTACTCGAACAGCAGAGCTTCAAGCCGCATTTGCCGATGCTTACTCGAGTCTGCGCACGTCAATTGATACGTGGGACGAAGGACATTCCCCCAGATCTCAAGATAGTATCCTGGCGCATGCATTACGGGCAAACTTCGATGACTTTGAGCGAGTCCGCGCAAGGATTTCTTACACTGCTGGAGTGCATTCTTAGCCGCATAGCTTAGGAGTGAATGTATGCCGTTTCATTAATTATGGACTATTGCTTACCCCTTATCTCTCCGCTCAATGAATCTTGAAAATTGATTTCTTCAAGGACTATTTCTTTACTTCATTCGAAGTATAGTGGACCATGCTGTGTTCAGTGGCTACGCTTCATACGTAGTGTCATTTTCTTTTTGTCCCTTATTATTACCCTGACTATTTAAATCTATTTAATACATGTTAGCAAAAAGGAAACGAGGCAAAATGTGAGGATCGCAAGACGGTCAAGACAAAAAAAAAAAAAAAAAAAAAAAAGAACGTCGGCCAGCGTCGCTCAGGAACATGGAGGTTCAAGTTACATATAATTAGGATTAATAGTACTTCTTAGACTGGAATCAAGCCCATAGAGAGTAGGTTGTTAACATAGGAAACAAAACGGCGGGGAGCCCGAAAGAACGCCTTAGAAGCTGCTCCGAACTGTTTCGGTCGAACAGCAAGCAAAAAGAGAGTGAACTGGTACGTGGGAGAGCACTTGGACGGCTCTGATTGTCGCTGTTGTCGATGTCGTTGTCATTGTAAACCAAAGAGGTCTCAAAAAATTTTTAATATAATTAATTGCTAACAGCCATCAGTATATTGTCCTCACTGAAGAGATTCTAGCAGCTACTTACTATATTTCAAGCGGAGAGATCTGGTCAAGAGCATAGAGCCAGTTTCCACCCTGCTCTTCTTTCTCGAGCCTGCAGGGAATGGTCAGCATTGAAGACAGTTAATTAGTCAAAAGACCGGGATGTCACAAACCAGTCGTATGGCCACATCACCAGATGCCCCTGGACTTGATTCAAGAGCTCCTCAGCACGCGCCTTATCCATAATCTCATCCGACGCATGGAAATCCCTCCTTGAGCTATGCGTGGCGGCTCTCCGCTTTCGCCTCCATGCCTGGGAAGTCGCATTCAAGTTCAACGCATCGGAGTAATCGACAAGGTGGGGACTACTAGATTGCTTTTCGTTTCCCTCCGCGGTAACAGCAGTGCTGTTGCTTCGCTCGTTCCGTTGATCACTGGACGGGAGCACATCCGATCCTCTCGATGCTGACTTTTCATCAACCGGCATCGTATCTCCATTCGTAGGACTAACTGGTTGTTGGTCATTTTCACTTCGACTAGACTCAGTTGTCTGCTGCCCAGACTTTTCGTCTAGCATAGACGGATCAGACTTTGATGCAAAAGGGGCTTGTCCCTTAGCCCCCTGGACAGTTGGGATCGCACCAGGAGTACCAGACTGTTTCGTTGGTGAGGGCTGGGACGCCTTGGCATTGTGCTGGCTTTGCATTTCATCAAAACGTTCACCATAGGCAGCATATTCCTTATACTCCTTCCAGGATCTAACCTCATTGTCAGGCATGCAACGGAATACAGAGCGGAATATGTTCGTGTTCTTCTCTGCAACAGCATGCCAGGTGTCAAGGTAGAAGGCACCGTTCACGGGGTCCATCATGCAGTCCTTATCGACGAAAATACGGCGCAAATCCCGAGTCGAGGGGCGCTGATGTTTGAAATTGTCCGGATTATCTCTTGGTGATAACATAGGGAAGCTATTTTCGGTGTTAGGATCAACGGGAGAAGACAAGGCGCAAGGAGACAGCATGTCATTCATGTTTTGGTTCGATTGGGAGCCACTGGCAGTAGGAGATGAAGGTGCTTGTTGGAGATCTTTCATTTTCGAAGCTTGTCGGTCTTGCTGTTCCACTGCTTTCTTTGGTTCTTTTAGAACACCTTTGCCTTCGGAGGCAATTGCGGAAACCAATACTTCCTCATTTGGACTCAAAAATAGAGAATCACGCGCGTCACCTAGCCCTGCCTGAGTAGCGGACTTTAGACGATCAGTCCCATCGCCGTCAACATCTTTCTGGTGCTCCGGGTTGCCCGTCACTCGGGGGTCCGCCGTCAGCCGCTTGTTTGTTTTAAGATTAGGGTTGTTGCCTTGTTCCCAGTCAATGTCATGGTTAAAACTGCGTACGTCTTCCGAACGTGAAATGAACTCGTCTTGAATGCGATGACGGCGCTCCATCATTTCCCTCTCATCCTGTTTCTGCTCGAAGTCGGGCTCTTCTCGACGCCCTCGGGTTCTGGATCCTGCTTCAACAACCTCGATTTTGCGCAGCTCCTGCTCCGTCGCGATATTGTGTTCTAGTAGTTCGTCCACGTCGATGCCTAGATGTTCCCTCATCAGGCGCATGCGAAGTGTATGAGGGAATCTCCCAACAAGATATGGGCGATGGTTCATAGTAGACCAAATCATATCCGTGTCGCGCACAATAGCTGCAACCTCCGAGTCCCTTGATCCCAGCATAGACCGCTCATTGATATTTGCAGAGCCGATGATTGCAGCTCGATCGTCCACAATCATACATTTGGCGTGGATGTAAAGCTGTTCGGTAACAAGCTTTTTCTGCGGACCTATTTTACCCCAGGCCCGGAGACTGTAAAATTCAATATAATCTTCGGGTTCGATACCGAGAGTACGGAGTCGCCCAAATATGGATGTCTCACCACGGCATATACTGCGATATTGACACTGCATGATCAAGCGAACGCTCGTCCCACCTTCGCTGTCAACGGTGTTTTGGAAGCCAGGCATTAATGGAATGATAATGACCGCACGCCAACATTCACCATTTTTGGCCGCTCGAACTATGCGTTCGACCAAGGCATCTCCGATCTGATTCTCAATCCTCCGTCCGCTTATCTCACAGGTTGAGACAAAAAACTGGTTCTCAATGTAGACAAAGTGCTCGGATTCTTCGATCAATTTGACATAAGCATTCATAATGCTATGCTCGACAATGTCTGGTGTTCCAGTAGACCACATGCTACTCGAACGCAAGAGCTGGATTTCACAAGTTCCATCCAAATCTAGGGCTTCCAAATCAGCAGCATTGAAATCGGGAGGGGGTAAAAGAAAAGGAGTTGGCCGTGTTGGTTTCCGCTGGCGCAAAATGTAGTTCCATCTTTGAACGAAGTGGCGAGTGAGGTCTCGCGCCGGTTGACCAACTACGTGCATGGAAATATCGTGCCATGGCATCCGGGGCACGACATTGCGATCGTACATCTCCTCGTAAGGTTTGTCTAGATCGTAGAAATCCTGAATCCGGGGGTTGGAATAATCCTTGCCAGGCCAAAGTTGGCAGTGGTCGGCATCTTTGGGCCCGCCCTGCATCTCGAAGCCTGTCGGCTTATCATCGATCAACGTATGTTGCGGTGTATCCCAACGGCCAAAACACAGGTCGATTCCTCCGACAAAGGCTAACGTGTGATCAACAATGCAAAGCTTCTCATGGTGCGCCCAGAAAAACGTGTTCTGCCGGAATTGGTTTGGGGATCTCTGGACGAAGATATTGGGATGCAGGTCGAGCAGAGAGAATTTCGAGTACTCTGAGTCAATCGGTATGGCAGAGTTGATATTCCGATACATGATCACGAATACCTTCACCCCTTCACGGGCCTTGCGCTGCAGAAGCCTATCTAACCTCCATTTCTGGCTTATGGCGGCTGGCCGTCGCATGTATAGCTCTGGACTTAACCACCAATCATGGATATAGATGACATCTTTCGCCTGATTAATCGCTCTAGAGACAAGCCACATATGATCACGTCCATCCACCAACCATTGTGCGAAGCAATTGGGACGGACAGGCGCGAAACTGCCAAAACGATTGGGTCTTGACCATGGTGTATTACCAACCATGAACCTTATAGAATCCTCAAACTGATGTAGCTGGCGCTCATTTCTCGCTAACAGTCTGAGTTTCCGTTCCGAGTTCTCGAGTCTCAAAGTATGATGCTTTGGGTGCCTTGCGGATTCCTTGGCGGACTTTGCAAGATCGCTCGCATTCTGGTTACGGAGACTGACTTTTCGAGCTTGAATTTTGAAAAACGGGTCTACCAGGAAAACATCGTAGATGTTCATCTCTTCAGGAGAGTCCACACAGACAACGTAGCTGTGTCGAACCAAAAACCACTTTGGGGAATGGCGCTTTTTGATCAAGGATGGGGTTAAAGTCCTTCGAAAATCGAGGCCCTTCGAAGATTGAATAATTAAAAACCCTTCCTTCCCGTGGTAGCTTCCCTCGGCGGCGAGACGAACACCCAGCGCAGAGAGTTCGAGAAATCTGCATAAACGGTTGCTATCAGGTTTGAATATCAGGAATCTAATCATTCTCTGTAAATAGCCATCGAGCTTCTTCCGTTGATGTTCAGGGTACGTCTCCCTTCTGGCTACTTGGGCCAGCCCAGACCCGACGCCGCCCTCTGCCGTTCCTGCAGCTCCTGAAGCGTCAGCCGGAGCTTCAGCTTCTTGTGCGGATTTCCTCCGTGATGCACCGCCGATCGATCTCCGAGATTGATGCTGATGTTGCTTTTTCTTTTTGGGTGTCCTTTCATTACCGCTAGTAGCATCCGCTGTTGTGTCGTAGACAGCTTCATCTTCTTCATCCTCTGCTTCGCTATCCAGGCCTCGGACTCCTCTCAAATAGGGAAAGACACTCTTAGGTAAACGTGGAAGATGTTGGCCACCTTCAGTGCTCTTCATTTGGATGTACTTCTGGGTGCCAAAGTGAAGTTTGTACTTCAAATGTAGATTTGCAAAGTCTCTCAACGTTCGATGAATAACCCATTTCATGCGTGTCAAGCCGCTTCCGTACTCGAGCTCGATTTTGAAAACCCAATGGCGATCTCCGGAGTGAGAATCGATACGGCTATCAGTGACCTTAACTTTCAACTGCTCAAGGAGTATTGGAATACGCTTGCTACCGTGCTCATCCCGCTGAAACATGCTCGCTAAAATCAAAGCAGCCGGAACACCAGAGGCCAATTCAGCTAGCAACTCCGCCGACTTTGCGTGATCAACAGTGTTGGTATCGGCCTTGCGGCGCTGTCCAATAAGCTTGAGACCCGCCTTAATCTGCCTCCATCTTTGGGCGCTGAGGCTAGAGCCACGTTCTGCACGATGACGCCTCCAGGATGCTGCAATCCCCTCTGCATAGTCAGAGGGGCCAGTGAAGCCCGTCAGCCGTCTGATGTTCCCGGGGCGTCTTTCCTCTTGGTCTGGTTGTGCATCCTGTTGTCCGACCTGACCACTGGGGAGCCAGGTACTTCGCCGCCTCCAGGCTGGCTCCCTGTTGAGCATCTCGCGGCCTTCATCCTCAGAGACACCTTCGCGGTGTTGGTGAGAGAAGTCGGTCGTGTCCGCTCTCCGTTGGAGGAAATTGGGACGATCAAAATTTGCGAGGAACGATGATCGGCGACCCGCCATTTTTGGAGTTGTTGGAGCAGTTTGTGGCTCTCTCTCTTCCTGCTGTCGTCTTCTCCGGCTCTTCTTTTTTGGAGGGTGAGTCCGCTGCTCAGCACCGCTCTCTTCAGCATCGGCATCAACATCGCTTCCTTCATCCAGTGTATGTGGAAACCGAAATTCTCCCCTTTCTGAAGTCGGAGTCAAGATATTGCCGTTGTGCCTCAAGTCGGCTTGTCCGCCAATCGTCACCCCACTAGTTGTACGAGAGTGCGAGGCAAACGGCGGCGACGCGGCGAATGCTTTCAACTTGGTGAAGATGGAATGTTTCCCCTTAAACATCGGGTCTTCGTCATCTTCAATTACTGACGCGGGCTTGGACTGCGATGGTTGAGTCGCACCACTTTCATCCCGAGAGAACTGCACGCTCGAACGGGGTTGTGAGCCCGCTATGTCTGGCAAGGACGGCTGCTTCTGGGGGCCAGCTGACAGCTGGTTTTCATCCTTGGGGCTGTTCTGTGGCTGAAAGCTCAGCGGTGCAGGGTCATCCCGTGGAGTAGTACCCAGCTCGTTCTCGCGGTTCTCGCGTGCGGGACCCCCAACTTTGGTGCTCTCAGAATTGACCGTCTGCGTGACATTTAGCAACCCATGGTCGCCTATATGATCTTTCTTTCCATCCCGCTTATCAGGTGTGAAATGTTTAGTATCAGTTCGAGAGGGAGAGGACGACAATATCGGGCCGTCCGGGGTCGAAAGTGTCTCTGGAAGATCCGTGGCGGGATCGTTGTGTGCGTTTTGACGATTTTCATTAATAGCAGAGGTTTCCATTTCCGCAGCGGCCATATTGCTTGCTCAGGGGCCTGTTGCACTGTCGGAGCTTGGGGTCACAGAACATGGGTTCGAGGAATACGTATGTACCTTCAGCACTCCGCATGTGCTCATACATGCCAACTATCTTTAAAGGGACAGAGAACCAACAAAAAGGGGTTCAACATGAAGACAACAATATCTGCCAATCCCAAATTCGTGGAGAATTATAATGACTAATTTTTGCACAAAGAGATGGAGCAGAGCAGGAAGGTCAGACTGTAGAGTGGTGATAAAGCTGTATCCCTGACGGTGAGGGAGGCTGCTCCATCGGGCAAAATCACCAGAATTCCCAAAACGGCTAGCTTAACACGGGGATTTGTAACCGATTACGCATCCATAATACGAGTACGGTACAGTACAGCCAGGCACAGATCGGGAGCATCCGCCCCACTGTTCGCAGTCACATGACATGCGCCCTAGACACGTGGTGTGGCTGGTGCAATTGTTCTGCTCCGCATCTTCGCCGAAGTTTACCCCTCCATCCATGCACGCTGTATGATCTACGCTGTACATCTGTAGAACTACATGCTGTACATATCACCTCACAATCGCTGTTCCAAACCACAAACAGGGAATTGCTTGGCTTTTCGAAAATGGCAGACTCCTTGAAGTCTTCAGAAGCCGCTTCTTCCGCAGATGCGCCGTCCGTCTCCAAAAAGACATATTCCATTGCAGGCATCGTCACGACGGTTTTCGGTCTGGATGAACTTTCTCCGCAAGCCTCAGAGGTCGCATGTCTCTGGCTTCTGAACCCTAGGTTAGCTACTCAGGAAAGGATGGCTCCTTTTGCGATTGCAGCAATCACAGACTGGAACAATAGAGTCCAGGATGGTCGTGCTCAGTCACCAGCCAAAGGCTTGATTGCCATCACATTTGATCAGAGAAATCATGGCACGAGAATAATCGATCCCATCGCCAATGAGGCCTGGCGACAGGGGAATCCACGACATGCACAGGACATGTTTTCCATCTTCCGTGAGTTGCAGCATATGCATATTTATCCATCAACCCTAATGCTTCCCAATGTGCGAGTACTAATCAATTGTAATGTGCAATATGCAGATGGCACTTCTCGGGACGTATCTGATCTGATCGATTATCTCCCGTCATACATTTTCCCCAAATCTGAGCGCAAGATTTCGGACCACCTCGTTCTCGGCGTTTCGCTTGGAGGCCATGCTACCTGGCACTGTGTTCTCCACGATCCCCGGATAAACACTGCCATCCCCATCATTGGCTGCCCTGACTATATAAGTCTCATGGCAGATCGCGCGCGACTGTCGAAGCTACCCTCATGGACCAGCAGCGACCCAGAAGGCTCCCAGTTCCTGGGCTCCGAGGCGTTCCCTCACTCCCTCGTGGAGGCTGTCCGCAAATATGACCCTGCAGGCTTGTTTCTGAGTCACGTTGATTTGGGCACTGCGTCTGGTCCCCTAGAAAATGGCCCCTTACCTGAACCGACCGAGGAGGAAAAGAAGACGCTACGACCGCTGTTGACTCATTGTCTCGCAGGCAAGAGGATTCTGAATCTATCTGGTGGGCTGGATAAATTGGTGCCATATCATCGGGGAGCATCTTTCCTGTCATGGCTCAAGAAGGCCGTTGCACCCGGTGGCTGGTTCGGCGACGGTGCTGTTGTTTTCGAAGATGTCATTGACGAAAATGCCGGGCACGAGGTAACACCGAAAATGATGCTCGAGGCGGTTAGATTCATCAGTGAATCGATAGATGCCGCCAACGGTAGCCCGAGGAAGTCTGGCTTTGTCCGTGAATCGAAAATCTAACGTGCATGTCTAACATTAGTCAGTGTAAATAGAATATGCTCCTTTCGTAAACTACGCAGAATCGGAGCTCCCAGGTACGGATGTACGGCGCAGTCTACGGCGAAAACCAATATTATTCGCTTGGCATAAAGCGGATGTAGAGAAATATAGAAAAATCCGTCAGAACTTTAATGGAGTCTTCACACGAAGAGCGGTTGTTTTTGTCAAGTGATAATATTATAGGACGGAGAAATGAGGCATCGGCTATCTCTATACGAACACCACGCATTATTCTGAAGATACCGAAACTGGAGTAAGGGGGAAAGGGTAAGGATAATATCCTCATGGTATCTGTCTTGGCAAATAAAATCGTTAAAGACGTTCGACGGCTATGCTATGGACGTTGAACACAGAAACCTTTTGAAGTATCTGAATCGGATTGAAGCCTATCCGCGGCTTCTAATTTTCCTTTCTTTTTGACGCCTTTCTTTCCCTGTGAAATAGAACTGGCCGCCAAATTACCATGACCAGACATAGTGAGATAGATAACCTTCCCATTTTCACCGTCTCACTCCCATATTGTAAATCCTCATTCTCCCTGTTTATGCGACCAACTCAACAACACCACCGGCCTCCTTGATCTTCCGCTCGGCATCACGGCTGAAGTATCTGGCGCGGACAACAATGGGGACCTCGGGAATGCGACCCTTGCCCAAAACCTTGGAGTAACCAAGGGACAGGAGGTCGATGACGGGAGCAGTATCGGCCTTCTTGCCGCTCACGTAGGCGTCACGCTGCTCAGAGGGAACGAGAGACCACAGCTAATTTGAGAAAAAGTGCCCTATCAGCCAAATTGCCCGACAAAGGATGGTTAAAAAATAATATCCATTTTCCATCTCCCCCTCTTTTCAGTCATTTGCTCTGCCTTCCCTCCAGACCTATTTATGACCAAAATGCACCATCTTGTAGGATCGGATCTCACTAATCACTCCCGCCCAGTTCTCCTAAGCTTCATTCAAACGTACCTTGTCAAGGTTGATCGTGGGCTTCCAGAATTGCTGGCTAGTCCTGTGGAAGTACCTCATACCGACTTTACCGAAGTAACCGGGGTGGTACTTGTCGAGGTTGGTACGGTGGTGGTGCTGACCACCGGCCATACCACGACCACCGGGGTGCTTGCGGTGCTTGCCAATACGACCTTTACCGGCGGACACATGACCGCGGCTGTGTAAAAGGAGAAATAATAAAACGGGTCAGTTTCCATTTCCATTGGAATGTGTTTCAATGCGACTGTTCGAACAACACGAAAAGGTATCGTAGGTTCCCCAAAGCAGATGGCCGCTCGGGCACTCGGGACGGTGCAAAATTAGGAGATCACGACTCACTGTTTCCTTGTCTGCGTGAAACGGGTAGGCATCTTGTCGACGGTGCTGCACTCGACAAGACCGGTCTGGGTATATGGCGATAGGGATGCGGTGGTTGACGTTGCTTTCAAGGATCGGAGTTAGACTGTGCGGCTAGACCCGTTCGCTTGCCTGTTGTAGGGTCGAGCCCTGATATTTCTCGGCGGTGTTTCACGTGATTTATAGGGCTACACTCGAGCTGTACGTCATCCTCCACTTATTATTACAGCACTAGCTACGAAGACGACGGAGCAGATACGGACAATTTTGCTAATTTAACGGAAATCTGGCGTCAATATTATAATGAGATATATATATTTCTTGCTAGCTTGCCTGCCTCGCGAAAAATTTGGAGAGACTGCTTAAGATCACGCCAGCTGGGCGATGTGTAGGGCTGGATACAAAGCTCTGTCTGATCCAGGTAGGCAGTTTCCCTTGTATACGGGGTGTATCGTACCTTTTGTCAATCATAATGATCGCGGCGTAATCATTTCGATGCCGGATTGCCCGACCAATGCTTTGATTAACCGCACGCATGCATGCGTTCTCGTAGAAGTCTCTTCCGGAAGCCTTCGCCATAGTCCTTTTATGTTCCTCGGATCCAGAGCCTTGTTTCAGAGCTTTTTCTTCAACATACCTTATCTTCGACTGCCAGACTACGCTGTGTATGTTGGGAAAGGGAAGCCCGATGATAAGCACGCCTCTCCCAAGCTCGTCGGAGAAGTTAATACCCTCCGATAGCTTTCCACCAATGACAGAGAGAAGTAAAGCTCCTGAACCTGATTCAACAGCGGCTGTGTATTCTTGAAGTATTTCCTCGGTTTTGGAAACAGCTCCACGTGATTCGTAGAAGATGGGCTTTCTCTGTTCAATGAGACTAAACGTTGACTGGCGTGCACCACCATCGACGGGCCTTTTCCATATACTCAGCACGGAACTTAAGTAATCATAGCTCGGGAAAAAGGCGACAACGCCATCAGGGATGACCTGACAAAGTGTGGCAATGGTTTGTCCAAGGTCAAGTATCTAAGATGCGTTAGAGTATTTAAGGTTCATATGAATATTCGCTCTTTACCTGCCATTGCTTGGAGAGAACCAGGAAAATACAGAGGGAGGCCAGTAAATCCTACCATTTTTTCGGAATCGCGAGCATTGTAGGTAAAGCTGAACTCCGAGCCCAGAACTCCCTTGCCCAGCGATTGTGCCGTTAGATTCTCCGGTGGGATAACATGGCCGTAACTGAACGTCTTCAGTCGATCAGGTCCGACATAGGAAAAGAGATGGTTTACATAGTCCGTCATCTGGAACCTTATTAGCATTATAGTAGCTAGAATAGGGCCAGCATATTCTATTTACAGGTGACATTGTCCCGCCTGCCAATATTACCGCTCTGGCGTCTTCAACAATATCCCGAAAATGGTTAGTTGGATCAAGGAGCATATATTTTAATTGAACGTCACCCTGGCTTTTCAGATAAAACAAGTGTCCTTCAGCGGACGGGTTCATGAGCGGCAGGAGAAAACTCTGTATATGAAAGAGTACTGGAGTTGTCGGCGTCTCGCTCGGCTGGCCGGTCGTTTGTGCTTGCGAGTAATCAGAATAGCCGTCAACCTTCCTTGCCAGTTTACTTTCCTGTAAGTATTGCGACAGCTTGTACGGATTGATCTGATCAACACCCTTCCCAGCCATGAGGTCCGAAGCCTGTATGGAACCTTCAGATGCCCCCTTGCTTTCGAGTATTGAGCGGAGACGAGTCGCGATAGAGTCGATAAGCCTGATGACCTGGGCGATATAGGACCTGTTCTTCCCTTTTAACCGTGTCTTAAACCTTCGTGCATAGGCAGTCAGCTGGGAGTGTGCCATTCGCAGCTGAGAGAGTGTGACGGTGACAGAGTGAATATTAGATATCGCATCCATGAGATTGTGGGCCTCATCAATGATTACAACGTGGCCCTTTATTGAAAGATCAAGTGCTTCTCGAGCTGACTTCTGAAGCAGCAGTGGGTATGGAAGGGTGATGATCTTTTTTGTATTCTTAGTAATAGTCCAAACATTATAGGAAACGTGCAACTAACCTCGCTATGTTTGACTACAGAACGTGATGCGTAGTACGGGCAGAGGCCAAGCTGCTTGCCGACTTTACCCAAGTCCTCAATATCTTTGATACTGGCCAATGCGTGGTCTCGAAATTGCAAATTCAAAGCTTCGCTATCCTTCGACGGTAGATAAGGACATCTCATTCGGGCACTGACGCTCGGTTGTTGCAGATCCAGGCAGCGTTCATTGATTGAAGTTGCGTTTCCCAAAGCAGCTACTTTCGGATTGATGCACAAGTTTTTCCGAGATCCAAGAGATACATGCTTCACACGCTCCCCGAGTTGTAAGATATCATCATTGCCGTGCGTACTGAGGTCTTCAGGTATGCTTGATGGGACAGTAACACGCCGCAGTTCAGCCGCAAACTGTGTCAACTGGGAGTGTGTCCTCGAACAGTAGAATATCTTCACGTCATCATCTTCCGGGTCTTGGAGTTCTGAGGCCTGGCCGGAAATTTGGCCCTTGAAACGTTCCAGTAAAGCTAGCGTACTAGCAGACAGACCATTGTAAGGGTCTGGTCTATTTATGTACGTTTTGGGCTCATCACTCTCGCTCTCGTAATCCTCAAGAGCAAATCGACCGTCATCCAGTGCATCGAGGTCCGGAGGGGGCGAAGAAAATCTCTATGAAAGCGTAATCTCTAAGCTGTCTTTCTAATTTAAGCGTCATGAAGAACTGAGCATTATATATACCTGCTTCTTTTTAGGCCTCTCATTGAAGGAGGCCCTTCGCTTTTCCTCCTCTAAGCGAGCTCTTGCCAGCCGCGCTTCCAGCTCCTTCCTTTCCGAGATTGCACGATGAGATTCGCGTTTGGCGAATTCCAGCATCCACTCTGGTTCGCCATTATCACCTACGAGGCAATTAGAAACTGTAGGGGATCAAACACCACGAGATGTCCAGACATGTTGTACTGTCGACAGTCTCTTGGAAAGCTTTGCGCTTATGGTTGCGGAGCCAAGTCAAGGAACCACAAATTAGACTTAGGGATTTTCCCTAAGAAAGAAAGCTTAGAGACTCTTTCTTTTAGGGGAATAATAGTGCCACAGTGACGTACAGTACCTGTCATGAAATCTGAGTCAGAAGAAGATAAATATAGTGTCACCATATTTAAGCTTACCAGTGGGAGATTCAAAGACGGCGACCTTTCCTTCTTCCAGACAGGTATACAAGGCGCGCATAAACTGGAGCTGAATGCCGTACGGAGAATAAGGATGGTGAAAGTCCTCTGCCTGCAGCTCCATGACGCGTGGGTAACTGTACAGAGGTCATCAGTCACACATTCTTCTCGTATTATTTGCGGATGTCAGCCGAACAGAACAGAACAGGCGTGAGAAGCTGAGCTTTTCTGCCGAGAACAGTCGGGTAAAGAAAGAAAGAAAAGGACTTGTTTGTATGCAGAATACAACTGTTACGAGAATTTTAAGTTGCCTGAAGGGGAAATCTGATCTAAGCGTTGCTGGTGGGTCTTGTAGAGTTGGGGGTTCAAAAGTTTTTAACATGCAAAAACATGCTAAATCCACCGCCCAAAATTCTGCCAGGCAAAACAACACGAGCATGTTTGGCTTCAAATCTCTGTACATTCTCTATAACTGAAAATAAGGATTTAACCCCTATTATGCGAGCTTCATTCAATTCGATGGGGCTACCGCAGAATTTATTGAACACTATTCCACATCGTGTTCAGGCGATACTATCTGCAGATGGTTGATATACCAAATACTAGGCGGAGAGGTCAAATAGCGCAATCTAGTACTAAATAGGAAGGCGGTTTTTTAAGCGTATTTTTGCGTGTTAAAAAACTTTTGAGACCCCACTGTACATATTATTTACAGTGGTAATAAATAATAAATATTACATGTAGCATTCTGTGGGTTATTAATAGAAGACGTTCGTTTCTCGAAAGTGGACAGCCGCTAGTAAGCACTACAGCAGCATGTTAAATCATAAACTGATAACCCCAATCCAAGCTCTGGATGCAACTGGATATAAAAATAACAAGAACGTTTTGCTGACTGACTACGATCCCTATCATCCCTATTCGATACTGTGACTGCGAGTTGGGGAGTCTGCATGGTCGATATGAGGCTGAGAAGCAACAAGGGCAATCATCATAATCGTCGTCGTCGTCGTCGTCGTCTTATATTTTTACATTGTACACGACTCGGTACAGCGTAGTACTATGGATGCATGTCATCATTGTAAACTTTTTTATTTTTTCTTTTTTATTTCTTCCCTTGCGACCATTTCTCTCGCTGCCCATCTGCCCCACCATATTCCCCATATTTAATATTAATTTTTGATTGCTGTTGTGGTTGTTAAACTCTGTCAAGGTTGATGCCCCTCTAGTAGAGTCTCTATGCCTTGCTTTCAGGAATTATCCTAATAAGATTATTATAATAGGGATTGACGGAGTCTTTCTCCCCTGTCGCAAACGTCAGTTTTTCTTGTTTCTTATTTATTATTTATATACTTATTTTATTTTTTGGCCATCTCCTGTCTCCATCTTCTCTCTCAGCTCCGTACCATACCATACCATCCATCTCCTTCCCTTCAATTCCCCCGCTTTGGAGGCGCAGTCCGCCGTTTTATTTCTGTTTCTGAACAAAAAGAAAAAGCACCTTACAACTAGGATCTATTTCTGCCTGTCAAACTAATACCTACCTGAGGAAAAATTCTTAAAAAAAAAAAAAATTAAAAATAAAAATAAAATAAAATAAAAAGACAATAGTTCAATCCTGACGGACCACTCCGATGGCGAGCAGGCCGCCTCGAGGCCAGCAAGGGCTAGCTGCGACCTGGTATCCAGGGGGCCAGGACGATTTCTACATGCCTGAAGTGATATCCCCCTCCCCCAAAGGTTTGAATACCCTCAATCTCCCCCCTAATCTCACTCACTCTCCGTTATGGTTGTTCATTGAACTTTCCTAGGGTCATGCCCGAAATACCGGAATCCATGCAGGATAACATCGCGCATCTCGAGCGGCAAGCTCCTCCAACTGCCTCGCTGCATAATCCTCACTTCCCTGAACGCGCCTCCTCTTACGCCATGACTACTTCCGCCATTAATGCTCCCTCTGCCGAAGCACAGTCTCAGGATTTCTTGGACTATTATGCCTCTTCAGACTCCTACGAACTGGCCCCCAGCGCCTCCGGCATCTCTCCCTTCCCCGTCCTGCGGAATCCCCCTCCAAATGTACCGCCCACCGACGGGGACAGGGAAGCGAATTTAGAAAGGGCGAGGCTGGCGGTTCTGTCCTCAAATGACCCCGAAATGCAGTTGGCCTGGGCGCAGGATGCCCTTGCATATGTCGAGATTGCGATGCAAAATGAAGCCCGTCTGTCACTCATTCAACCTCCGCGACCCCAAACCCCGGTGGTAGAGCGCCAATTAAAATCAGACGCGATGAATATCGTCAATTTTCTGGCCGACCAGTATCACCCCAAGGCCGAATTCATCAGGGGCACTTGGCTCGAGTTCGGCAAGTTTGGTTATCGCATGGACAAGAAGGAAGCATTCCTCTGTTATTCCAGGGCTTCGGAGAAAGGATATCCACGAGCGGAGTATAGGATGGGCATGCAATTCGAGAACTCCAATGAGCCTGAAAAGGCAATCAAATACTACGAGAAGGGTGTTGCTCTGGGCGATTCTGCCTCTTACTACGTATGCCCCACTCATCTGTCAACGCCAATGGCGCACGGCCGGCTAATCCTCTCCAACAGCGACTCGGTATGATGATTCTGCTTGGCCAGCATGGGCAGCGCCAGGATTATCATATGGGGTTAGACTACATCCGCGTGGCTGCACAGACCTGTGATCAGAATGCCCCGCAGGGAGCTTACGTATGTGGTGATGATTACTTTCCTGTTTTCTGAAATAGAGAAAGAAAAAAGGTCTAACATGGGTGTCTGCAGGTATACGGCATGCTTCTGGCAGGAGAGCTGCCTCAAGTCAATGTGCCGGAATCTTTCCTCCCGCTTGACATGAATGCCGCTCGTGTCAACATCGAGAAGGCTGCCTATCATGGATTTGCCAAAGCTCAAGTTAAGATGGGCGCTGCCTACGAACTTTGCCAGCTTGGCTGTGATTTCAATCCTATGCTCTCTTTACATTATAACGCTTTGGCTGCACGTCAAGGTGAACCGGAAGCGGAAATGGCCCTAAGCAAGTGGTTCCTCTGCGGCCACGAGGGCGTATTCGAAAAGAATGACGAGCTTGCTTTCACCTACGCTCAACGCGCTGCTCAAAGCGGTCTTCCTACCGCGGAATTTGCCTTGGGGTATTTCTACGAAGTCGGGATTTTCGTTCCCGTTGATATCAAAGAAGCCAGGAGCTGGTATAGCAAAGCCGCAACGGGCGGCAACAAGGATGCAAGCAGCCGGATCGAGAGTATTTCCCGGTCAAAGACCTTATCTAGGAAAGATCATGAACGGGTCGCAATTGCCCGAATCAAGTCGCGGTACGGATCCCAAGCGCGGCCTACCAATCTGGGGCCCACCCCAGAAAAGCTTGAGATGCCCGACCCTTCCAGGATGAGTATTTCAGATTCCCCCAGTGCTTCGTCCACCCCCTATTATAATAGACCGGATTCTAGAGTTAGTCAGCCGAGCTATCCTATGCCAGATCCGCGGCCGAGTTCTGCATTCGGCTTCAATCCCAATCTTCGCGCCAGCGCTGCAAGCTATGGCGTACCCCCCCAGGCTCATCGTGCTGCATCATACGGACCAGGGCCTGTGGGTTACCAAGCTGGCCCCGGGGCACCACCATCAGCTGGGACGACGAGCCCGAGTTCCATGCACCCTCGTACAGCTCCTGGCACCCCTAGACTTGATATTGGGTTCTCTGCACCTCTTGATTCTCCTGGCCCCAGACTTAACGGCCCCCCTGACAGACGGCCTGCGAGGACACCGGTGGGTGGCCATCCACAGAATTCGGCCAACGCCCCCAGGCCAGGTGGGTTGCCTCCTCGTGTAGACTCTGCACCACCTCCAAGAGAATCACCATCATCGACGCCTAGACCCTCCAAACCCGCTTCAGCCCCCAGGCCTTCTGCGCCTCCGAGTACATCCACCAAAACTGCACCGCCTGCGAAGTCGCAAACGTCAAGGCCGCCAAACGCCCCTACTGCTCTTCCTGGAAAAGGACCAAAGACTTTCGAAGAGATGGGAGTCCCAACTGTCAAATCTGATAATGACTGCGTATGTCTCTCTTCCTCCAATCCATTTCTTACTAGTTCTATCATGGAAATCTCCAAGCTGATACATTGACAGGTCGTGATGTGATACCACAACCAACTTCGACCTTGATTCAATTATTCCTCCTTGGTATATGCTGAAGCACATTCATATTCTTTCCGACTTCTTTCCTTGTTGCTGCAGATGGAAATTCTCTCGGAGCAGAACCAGTATGAATGGCGATTCTTGTGTTTTTTTCTTTTTTTATTTTCGATATACTTTTTATGGCATGGACTTCATTCTTGAATATGCTGTGGTTATTTATTTGATCATTTAAATGACCTTTATTTTACTGTCCATTTGTCCCTTCTGTGACCCTGCATTTATGCTTTTTCTTTCCCACCGTCATTGCCAACATCCGCCATTTGTCTATAACATATCCTTGCAACGGAACAATTTACTCCCTACGCTTCTCTCTTCCTCTTAATTCTACGGACTTTCTCAATGACTTCATAATGTTTCTTTCGACACACGATTCTTGTCCTTGACACCGGAGTGTACTTCACGTGATGGTCCATTCCCATGGATCTCAACTCTAAACTTGAGCAGTCGGTTTAAATTACATGGAATAACTGTTCGTCTTCTATCCCCCACTATCTTTTGAACTGGAATTCGAGTAGTTAGTGCTACTTTAGCGCGCCGTCCGCGATGTCTGCAAGGAAAGGAAGAGTTGAAAAGGCTTCTGGTAATTATGACAGGCAAAGGTTTAATTAAAGCTCAGATGGACTGATCGAATAACTAGCCGTCGACGATGGCGTTTCAATGATTCTCGAATATCTTAGTGAGTTTTCCTTACATGCCATCCCATATATATATATGGGATGAAAGCATAAACCATCAAACCTGGGATAAAGACCACCTTCTCTAACTGCAGCCCTTGTGTGTGTTACTGTAGGAAAGCAAAAGTAACTATCTTTTCCTTTCCCTCTTTCTCCCCATGTCCATCCGTGATCAAGTCTTGTTGTCTCTATTCCCTATTCGCCTTTGAATCGATATTAACAGCCTAATTTGAGCAGTCGCCCTTATTCGGTTCGTCCTTTAGCTCCTTAGGCATTCCTAACGGACGAAGTGGTTGACAATATCTCTCGTCCATACTCATCCAGGCCGTTGAGATCTCGGCGAATCTACACAATAAGGTCACAAAAGTAACCGCAGCGAAAGTTCTCCGAGAGCTACACCAAAACGAAAAGATAGAGGGTCGAGTATCCGGTTAGGTCTACCCCCTGAATGAAGTCATGAAAGGCGTGGAGAGCAAGTATTAATCTGTCCTCTTCTTGTAGGGAAACAGACAGTCTACCACGCTTTGCAGGCCCCAGACGACGATGCTACTCCGGAAGCCATTGCAGCTCTGGACAACGATATCAAGATTCTACAGGATCAGCTTACGGGGCTAAAGGCTGACGAGAAAAAGGCACGAGCGGAGCTAGCCACGCTTAACGCGAAACCCTTACTGTCCGAGATCCGGAAGGATATTGGCCAACTTGAACTAGAAAAAGAAGAAATCACGACTAATCTGGCCAGACTACGCAGAAATAACCCTACCCAAGTTTCCCTGGAGGAAAGAACAAAGATCGAACGCGAATGGAAGATCTGGCAGAGGCATGTCAACGTGCGCCGCAGGATCTGCCGCGAGTTGTGGGGGAGGTGTTCCGATGTTTTGCCTGAGGATATGACCCGCGAGGAGCTCTGGGTTCGTTCGGAAAACTTCATCCCCCGTATTATTGGTATCTTCTTTGTTGAATTCCATTCATTCTAACCGTTTATTTGATTGACAGGAATCTTTGGGACTTGAAGGCGCATTCAAATGATAGTGCCCGAAACCATCCTCCACACTCAAGCAACCATGTTTGATTCGACACACAGGATTTGGCCTAAGAAAGTCAATCGAAGCTGGATGGGGGGACGTAGAGGAGTTGATAAGGACTTGTTTCAGCAGCAGGTCATTGCCGGCGTTTGGTAGTGACGCTCCCACGGGTTTCCGAGATAGACGAATGCCGGGATGGACTGTGGCTGATAAAGTGGCATGCTCGAGGCATGGTTTGTGCGCATGTACGCTGTAGCCGCATGGAATAAATCCAAGAACAAGGCGAGGTATCTGTATGCAAGGGAGGATGCAGCCTTTAGCAGCGTAAATGGCACATGCAGACGTCGAAGGCGTGATATCTCATACATAGTATTTATTTAATTAATGGCGGGCGATTGTCCCCCACTCGTCTTCTTCGCGGCTTTTTGTAAGCGCGTTTTCCTCTGCGATAAACCCCTCCGAGAACTGCATTATTATGGTCTCTATTTACCCCAATAACTGCAGCTTCTTTGCCTCTGCTCTGTGCCCCTCTCCACTCTATCTCCATCTCCGCCTCTATCTATTTCCAAATACCCATCTCTCTCCTGTCTTCCTCCACCCCCTGCTGCTGTCTTCGTCTGGTTGATGCTACTAGTAGCTGAGCAGCACCAGCTAATCGAGCGATAACAGCCTTGTCTCCTCTTCTGACTGCTCTGCTCCTCTTGGAGATGAGAAGTCGAGCTCCTCTTGCTGTGCCTTCCGGTTCCGGGGCACAGTCTGTCCAGCAAAACGGCCATTCCCGCAACATCCCCGGCTTCGAAATGGCTGCACGCAGCCCTCCTAATCACAGCAGTAAGACCGTTACTTGGTTTCTTTTAAATCGATTTGTCAAGACTAACAAGTCGGTTCTTTTATCGCCTTACTTTCTCCGGCGGGATACAGATACCAAACACGTTCCTTGCAAATTCTTCCGCCAGGGAGCTTGTCAGGCCGGGCCTGCTTGTCCCTTCCTACACTCTACCGATGCTGCTGTTGATTTTGCACCCTGCAAGTATTTTACCAAGGTACGCCTTCGGATCCTTATCGACATTATGTACATTTTGCTTCCCGTGGTGTTCTTAGCGCACCCCACCTTTCCCTCCCGAGCTACTCGAGATCTGGCACGCGAGAAGGTATCTCCTGGTTAACAAGAGATTTCATCCGCAGGGTAATTGCAAATTCGGTGCCAAATGTGCACTTGCACATATCCTACCAGACGGGCGGCGAGTGAACCGGCCGACCGTTGGCCTAGGAATGGGCGGAAGCCACCTAAACTTGGGCGGCCGTGTCAATCCACAAGCCTATCTGAACCAGGATTCCGCTTTGACAAACTCAGTGCTTTCACAACAACGGATGAATGGTCAAGACCCCCGGTATATGCATCAACTCCCTCAGGATGAACTCGCAGCCCTGCATGCGCAACAACCGCTTCCTTACGATACGATTCCCACGATCGACGCCGGTCTTGTCTCCGACACGGGGTCCAAATATGGGTCTCCTGGGGATGATATTCGATTTCCCATGTCCCCAAAGCATCTAACAGCCCTAGATGCTCCTCTTCCTTCCTCCTTTGACAGTGAAGGAATATCGCATGCTGCTCGTTATGGCCCTGTTGCAGCCTCCATGCCTTCGAAGTTCGGTTTAGAACTGTCTCCGCCGGCACAAAGACTCGGAGCGCCTTCGGACTCACTTAATCATCTGCGAGACAGTGTGTACAGCTCTGATTTGCGGAAGCACGCGTCCGCTATAGGATCATCTCCTCCTGGAATACCGGAAGACTCTCTGGGTCCACGATTCTTACACTCCCAACGAGCTGCTAAGCCGCGAGTGTTCTCGGCTAGTGTCCCTCGACTTGCGGCATTGGATGATTGGGACGAAAGCAACTTTCCCATGGAGGAGGACTACCTACCGGTCAATTTACATGACGATGTTCTTACACCACAGGAAAGATTGCGGAGACTTTCGCGAACAGACCATGATTTCAGTTCTAGTCACCGCGACCTCAGCGGACTTGGCATGACTAGTACTAGCCTTTCGAAAGTCGGCTCGCCTCTGGCTTCCAGTCCTTCTCGATTCGGTGCCTTGTTCGCCAAACAAAGGCAGAAGAAGGAAGAAGATGCACACGGTTCCTCGTTCATGCATGTCGGGTCTCCTCTTCGCGAATCCTCCTTGAGCTTGGGCACTAGTCCGAGCCTTGCACCAATCGGCAGCCGGCAGGTTACTGGTGATATCTCGCCATTCGTCTCTAGTCCCGCTCGGCAACCATCCATGTCAGGGATCTCGCAGCAGCTTAACAGCCTGTCCCTTCATCCGGGATTTACACGCCACTCTTCCTCCACTGGTCCTGTTGGTCCTGGAAGCCGTTTGGACCGCACACTTTCTTCTCCTGTGAGCACGAGTAGGATTGATGAAGAGCAAGGTGACTTGGTCTTCTCCATGGAAGAAGAAGAGAACAACAAACGGAATAGCGCCTCCTGGAGTGCCAGTAAGGCCAGTTCAAATGAAGAGCAAACCTCCTCTGCAAGCAGTCTGGCTTTTCAACCTTAGGTTGTCCCGAAGAGACTCCACTGGGGCAGGTTCATATTCCTTTTTTTTTTAAAAAAAAAAAAACAAACAAACAAACAAAAAAAAGAGAGAAAATGGAAAAGGGTACAAAATAAAAACTAAAAGCTACAAAAAGGAATGACTGGACGAGAAACAAAAAGCGAGGCTTCCACGAACCTGACCGTTGACTGATTGGCGAGAATTTTGCATAGAATGGACAAACGACTCCGGAATTTACAGCTATCCCTTTAACTAATTAGTTTGCATTCAGTCTCTTTCTAGACACATTTTGGATTTACCAAAGGCGAACGGATCAGCCAGATTACAAAATTTTTTATATGTCGTGGGCTTCCTCTTATGTCACTGCTGCTGATATGGTGTCCTGCAGTTCTTCAACGCAACTAGGAACGGAGAACCAAAATCGTTAATATTCTTTCTGGGTCTGTACACACTTTGTTTGTTTCTTTCTTGCTCTCAAGGGGATTCTTTTTTCTTCTTTTTTCCCTACTTTGGTTTTTTTGCCCTGACATCTATCTGTCCATCTACCTTGACTGAGATCTCACGTGCCTATATTATTCACGGATCGATGATAACTATGTATCATCTCTTTTCCTTAGCCATAATTTCACGACTTTTTCATGAATATGTCGGTTTTTGGTGCTTTGGAATACAAAAAAGAATATATATAATGGAAAGGAGAGATATAACTGTTCATTTATTATCTATGGCTAGTGATTTTCCCATGGAACCTGTCCATGCCAGTGTTCCTTTTTTTCAAATACTGTACAAGCGAGCTGGATCCTGTTGTGGAAATTTCAAGATAGTTCTTGGGCCAATTTACATATGCATGGCCCTATTCCCTTCGCCGGAGTAGGAGAGAGGGAAAATATATTCTTTCATTTCCTAGAACTCCTGTATACAAGGAGCTGACAATAATACCTAATATGAGAATATTGATACACGTCTCAATTAAAGCTTGTAGCATACCTACATAGATGTCTAAAGATACATATCTAGCTACTCAAGGCCTGCCCTGCCGTCCTAGATAAGTAGAATAAACACGATTGCGTCCCGTTCCATTACCAGACAATCTAAATCCAGGATGAGCGCCGTTCGAACGATGAAAAACTCCCTGCTAAGTCCACTGGAACAGGAGAGGAATCTTCGAAATGTTCACAATCCATCGAACAGTGCGATTAATCGCACATCCCGGTGTCAACCTTTCAAGTCAACGTCATCCATATAGATGGCGTTACCCTTTAAATTAACAAAAGTGGCAGTGTTTGACTGGCCCCGGATTCGCCTCACCTGCTCTTCCGAAAGGCGAGAAGCCAGGATTCTGTGATCAAGATCCTCCGTATCGGCTCTCCTGGCTTCGTCTGCTCTGTCCCTATACAGAATTTCGTAGAGCTCGTTCGTACCAGCTAGAATCTCATTCGTCATGATGTTAACGGCCATTGTTGCCAAGCTTTCCACGCGAGCAGCAAGAGCCGTCTCTTCATCTGCGCGTATGCGCTTTACATGTTCTTTCCGTTGCTCTTGCTCACTGCTCTCCCTCCGCTTTCGCTGCTCGACACGCTTGCGACGTTCATCTCTTGCTGCCAGGTACTTCAGAGAATGACTTAACACCCTCTGGGCCGGGGGGACAACATCTAACGGAGGCGAAGAAAAGAAAAGAACATGGCCCTGGTCGTTGCAGTGGAACTGTTCACGAATGTCCGCAGGGATGGCAGCGTTGGCAGTATCACTGAGATGGAAGACTTCGATCGGACGAGGTGCATTGGGGTTGTATACCGCTGGAGGCACTGCTAGTCGGTTCGCTTGATATGCTGCATAGGGAGAGGCTGGTGCTGGCGAATACTGATGTGAGGCCGGTGCCACCTGACACGGAGTAGAACTAGGTGTCTGTGGTAAATAGGTACCGGACCGCCTTGGCGGATTGGGTTGATAAACCGGAGGGGTTGACTGTACTTGAGGTTGACTGTAGGCAGGTGTAGCGGAAGGTACTGGTGAACTCTGAAGGGGAATAACTGGTGCAACTGGTGACTGTGCTAAGGGCGGTGCAGTAACGTCGATAGAGGTATGACCTTGACTATCCATTCCCCGCGACGTAGGAAGCTGATTGATAGAAGGCTGCCTGGGAGGTGCAGGGGGCAGCGCTGCTGGCTCGGGTATGGACTGAGGCGGCGGTGACGGTGTTGGCTCAGGCGGAGGGGATTCCTAGGACACGTCAGAATGGTTTCTCTTCTTTTTCCTGGGGTGACAGTGAGCACCTACATTTTCATCTCGAGGGCGTCGATGGACCGCTCCAACAACTGGCGGTGCATTCTCCGCCCCCCAAGTCGGTTTGGGGACATCATCAGTCTCCTTAGCGTCCTCCTTGAGTAGATGTTTGATCGGACTGGGGATTTTTTTTATTCTCCGAGGGACATCGAAGAGATCCATCTCGTAGTCCTTGTCCCTTACTTCATCCGGCAGACAGCTTGCCCAGGTCTTGATCTTGTTCAATTTGTGCCTCTCTTCATTGTAACGAGCTTCACAGACGTACACATCCTTGTCAGGAGGAAGGCCCCTTGGCCGCCCACGATTGTAGCGGGTGAAGAACATAACGAAGCAGCGATCGACAATCTCCTCAATGCGGTGGTCACGATATTGCCCAGTCTTCATCACCTCGTTAGGATAGAAATGCTTCTCAAAATGATGGACGGTTTGCTCTGGTCGGTAATACCAACAAGCATTGACCCATTTGTCACCTTCTGAATCTTGCCAAGTTCGATATATTTGCGCCACAATAGGTTTTGTCACGTCGTTTGGATTCTGTATGTGGACCCAGTCACCAACTTTCCATAACTCGCCCTTGTACAGAATCCCACCCGGGAGTGGTAAGCGGCCATCCTCGGTCAGATACTCGCTGTCGGGCTTTCTCTTCTCTTTCTCGGCTAGTTTTCGCGCTTCCGCTTGTAGATCAACCGCATCTCTGTAGATTTGGCTTTCGGATTGATTGTAGACTTTAGCGTTATTAAACATCAGATCAACATCTCTCATGAAATGGTCGACAGAGTTGTACTTCTTTCGTTTGGACTTCCTTTTGATGATGTCGATGGCCACGGGCTCCTTGATTTCTATGTAGTAGTCCGGGTATACTGCCTTGTCTGGGAGTCTTTCAAAGTGCCGCACTTTGAGCTGACCGCTAGGGTCCTTCAGCTTCCGGATCCCCTTCAGCACGGCCTTAATCCTTGCCTCCATCGGGGTATCGACTCGTGGTGGCCGACCTCTCTTCTTTCTCAGTTCGGGGTCATTAAACTTCTGACTATCGTCTTTCGTGCCGTCACGTTTGGATCGAGAGCCTCGCTTTCTCTTTCGCCGAGTATCGTCGTCTGAGTCTTCGTCGTCGTCGTCATCTTCATCATCCTCGTCGTCCTCGTCCTCTTCCTCGGGAAGGGGGTCTGCTTCCGGAATTTCACCAAGATCTGGGAGCTCAGCTTCTTCCGCGGAAATAATCCCTTGGTTAACCAACTTCTGGAATTCTGCGATGAAGACATCCTATTTAATAATGCATCAGCGACGTTCGGGATCGACAAGCAACGAACACCTGCACACCTTGATGACGAGCGCGTCCTCATACGCTCTCGACTTTGGACGATTGTAGGTTTGCGCATTATGCGGTATCTAGTAAGACAGAATATGGTTGGTTAGTCACAGAACCTTTCGTATGTGTATAGTAGTGGCTATGCGGCGAAAGAGAAGTCGGGATCGCATACCAGAGCGCAGTCGCGCACAAATTCAGCAAACGTTTTGTACTCGCGTTTGTTTATCTTCTGCTTCAGGATACTAAGAGCCATTGGCTCCTTGATGACTTCATAATAGTCGGGAACATTACGCTTGTTAACGCTGCGCTGGAATAATTTCGATGGGTCATGGCCACTGCCGTCGGGAGATGATTAGATCAATAAGCAAATGAAGATTTGAGACGACTCACTCTTCCTCTCTGTATTCATAGATGTTTATGACAACGTCCATCATTGATCTCCACTGCTCATTGGTAATTGTCGAGGGATCCGCCTCGGCTTTATCCTGGTCCCTCTCAGAACCGTCATCCTTGCCGTCGGTTTCGATTGATTTGACAGGCTCTTCGGCGGTCGGCCGAGCGCGAGATGGGTTGGATTCTGTTGGGACCTTCTCCATACTTTGAACACGGCCGTCAAAACCAAGGACGAGGCTAAGTAGCAAGGCACGCAAGGCGGATGTGTGCAGCTTTGCGCTTGGTTTAAGCTTAGTTTGATAGCAAAGGTGCGCGCGGTTTACCGTAGGATAAGAGAAAGCTTTGTGTACTGCTTACTCATCCCTTATCATGTGACTGTGTTTTACCGTATCGTAACGTTACGCATTCGGTCGCTGGACATCGCAAACGTCGTCTCTTAATCAACTACTTCTAGTAGGAGGTAGGGATTTAAATAACTTCTTATTTGCTATTAGACAAAACTGATGAACTCTTAAGTGATGTCTGTCCTGTCCTTGATCGTTTCTAGTGCGACGGCTCTTTACTGTTAATTTCTATATATAAACTGCTGCAGATTTCTGAGGGAGATCGAGTTGCCATCCCACCTTGCTGCCCCACGTCATCTACATCAATAGCTGTGGGTTGAGAGATAGCAATCGCGGGACTGGTCTTGTTGATCCTGCCTCAATGCTCTAAATTTGCGATCTCTTCTGGAATCATTTGCCTCGTCTTAACTTATAACAATCGCGTATTGCTTATCCACCTGGTGTAGGATGAGATTCCGAGTCCGCGGGCCTGCTGGTCAGTCCACCGTCGCACTCGATGACTCGGCCACTGTCAACGAGCTTCGAATTCAGATTGCAGAAAAGACTGGACTTTTGAACTATGACGTGAAATATGGGTATCCAAACCCCAAGCCTCTCGAGATCGACCGATTTGAGCCAAGCCAGATGATCAGGGAAATGGGGATCAATCTGAATGGTGAACAGCTCATTATCACCAAGAGAGAGGGCCCTGATGACAGTCTCCAGATCCAAGCACCTACTGTGATAACAAAGATGCATATTCCCACGTCTCAGCAAGCGCCGGGTATACTGTCTCTGTCCCGCAAGGACCATAAAAGCGTGTCGGACGATCCTCCTGAGATACCGTCGCCCGAGCACTCCGGCACTTTTGTTTTGCGCATCATGCCCGACGATAATTCTTGTCTTTTCCGCGCAGTCGGCAGCGCTCTCATTGGAGGCATGGACACCATGACTGAATTGCGATCTGTGGTTGCACAAACTATACAGGAAAACCCGGAGACATATTCAGAGGCCGTTCTCGATAAAAAGCCGGACGACTATTGCCGCTGGATCCAGAACGAGAACTCTTGGGGCGGTGGTATTGAAATCAGCATTTTGAGCAAGCATTTTGATATCGAAATCTGCTCGATTGATGTGCAGACACTTCGTGTGGATAAATTCAATGAAGGACCGCCCACGCGATGCGTTCTTGTGTACTCGGGAATCCACTATGATACAATCGCATTGTCGCCATCTGACCCTCCTTTTACGCATGCTTATGCTCCCCCCGAGTTCGATACAAAGATATTCGACGCAGCAGACCCACTGGTTCTTGAGAAATCTCTAGAGCTGTGCAAGATATTGCAAACCAAGCATTATTTTACGGACACGACCGGGTTCCGCATTCGATGCAATACCTGTGGCGGCACCTTTATCGGGGAGAAAGGTGCTACCCATCATGCAGCGCAAACCGGCCATTATGATTTCGGTGAAGCCGGTTAGGTATATGGTACAGAAATCTAGAAGAGAGCATTTGAACAAATACCGTTAGTGTATAATTATATATTGTACATGTTGAATCTATGAATCCTAGTCCTAAGACTTCATGGGCGGCCTGTGGGACAACCCAGCTATTTAAGAATGACCTCCACAGAGAACTGACAACTACTTATTTGTCTGTCAAGGTAGCAGTGAAGAGTCTAAGTAGTTCTCAGTGAATTTCCATGAACGCTTCTTGAGGTACCCACGAGCGGTGCCAAAGTCTAATACTTTTACAGTTTCCACGAATCCGAGTTCTAAAGCATGGCTACTTCGTCCACTTCTTCTTCGGCCCCGTCACCTTCGTCCTCACCCGAATCTGCACTGTCTCCGACATAGCCTCCCCATTCAACATCATGCTCAATGGGTTCCGTGAAGAACTCGTGGTGTAAGGCTTCCTTGGCGCTCAATCGCTTTTGTGGATCTAATTCCATAAGTCTAGCGAGAAGGCGTGTCGCTTGCTTCTCACTTTCTGTCAAATCCTCCACGCAGCTTGCCCACTTGACCAGCCTTTCCCAGCTGTATCCTTTCTCTCCAATAGTCGGAATACTTGTCTCAAATACTTGCCCATGTATTGCCGCCGCGGCCTTCATGCGACGAGCGCCAAAGATACTTGCCATTTCTATCATCGCATCAACATCGTCGGCAGCGTTAAAGAATGGGAAGCGTCGTCCGAGAAAGGTCAGAAGTATAACGCCAGCCGACCACATATCTATCTTTGTAGTCTGAGAGGTGCATTTGAATAGAACCTCTGGTGCTCTGAATCCGCGCGTTCCCGCCCGATTGGCGCGTCTTGATGGCCTCGAGTCATTCTTGGGATAGCCAATCGACGATCCTGGCGACATATGAGTAGAATAATAGCTTCCCACTATCCGTTCACGGCGCACATGAGGTGGGAAGGCGCAAAGGCACGTTCCCGTATACTCAGAACCCTCGCGCTTGTGTCTCAAGTTAGATTCTATTGGAAGTGATACGGTAGCCGGCGGATATAAACTTACCTCTGCAAGTCCAAAATCAACTAGAACACCTTCTCGAACCTCCGGATTGTAGAGGAAATTGCTAGAGTCACACCATTGTCAGCATAAACCCCAACCGGGAGGAATATGAAGGAGTCGGCTTACGTGGGTTTGATATCGCGGTGAAGAATATTATGCTTGTGGACTGACTGTAATGCTGTAAATAGAGACCGGAAATAATGACGCATATCAGAAACCATAAAAGTGCGATATTGGATGCGAAAATCGGTATGGGGAAAGAAGGGCAAGACTGCCACAACTTGATCTTGATGTCTGAATGCAGTAATGAGTGGGCACACAGATTTGCATCCTCGGAGATCATGTAGTAGCTCAAGTTCATTCTGAATCCGGATAGGGCTGCTTGTTACATATATTTTTTTCAATGCAACATATCGAGGTTTCCTTCGTTTGCTAGGCAAAGTGTGATCGCTCTCGTCGCCCAATCTCCGCCTCTTGGGTGGAGGGCTTGGCCAGTTCTGTTCCTGAAAAGTATCCCAATCGTTTCGATAATAGTCGTACAATAGGTCTTCTGCCTTGTATACAGTGGAGAATGTGCCTGAAAAATGTAAAGCAGTCAGAAATCAACCCATCCTGCTCGGGAAAGCGACACTATACCCTCTCCAATCCGGTTGATCAACCGAAACTTCCGCGAAATTCCTGGGAATGTATCCTCTAGCCTCTTCATATCTTCTCTGACTGACTCTTCAACCTCTTCAAGCTTCTCTTCTTCCTCATCTGCTGCGCTCCCGTCGGTATTCTCAGCTTCATCTTCAGAATCGTTCACATGGAATTGGTCGTCAGGGACGTCACTGTCCACGGCGATTTCACCTTCCTCGGCACAGTCTGCTCCTGTGGTATTTCCTTGGTCGAAAGAGTTGCTCTTTTGAGCTTCAAAAAAACGTGCTGGTGCCAGTTGCACAGTCGACATGGTATCAAGTTGTCCGCCAGCGGGCTCTCAACTGGCACTGCCTTATCTTGGGAATGTGCTGGTGGCTACTTTCTATGCTCGAATTCGGGTGAATAGGTATAGCAATTCAACTGTCTGTCAGAAATATGCTGGTAAATTAGCAAAATAAATATCCAAGCCAAGGAATCATCAGCATAAGCCCGTCAGTTCGCGTTCAGTTCTGCGGCGTGTCGACTCGAGTGTAGGTAGTAGAGCTTTTAGTGGCATTGTTTATTCCAACCTGCCGTATCCGGCGTATCTGACGTACGCCGCTCGATGGTACAGTATTACCGTGGTGTTTATTTACCGCTAGTCCGTAGATGGTAAGAATATCTTATCACCGGGAAAACAACGACCAAAACGGAAAAATACAAACAAAAAGACAGCTCCTTCCGCGTTCATCATCGCTCTTGAACATCTCAACGTCCCTCCACGACCCCTCTTCCTCTTACTTCCTTCCTCTCCTTTTCCTTTTTTGGCCTTGTTAAAGATCCTCTCTCCTTTGCAAACATGGAGGACAGGATACAGTTCGACCTTAATGAATCCCTCAAATATTACCTAAGCGATCCTACCTCTGTTCCCAACCCAGAGGCAGACTCCGATCTCCTAGATTGTGAAGCAGAGCTCAATCAAGTCCCCACGAGCCTCATTGATTTTGTACTAAATCCTGTCGTGGATGCTGTTGCTGAGAATCCAGAGGAGCTGGCTAGACCATCTACTTTCGACTCTCTTCAATTTTTACTGAAGTATGTCTACCGCTCTATCAACAACCCCTCTTGAAGGGCTTTATGCTAGTGTGCATGTGTCTAAAGTGGCGAGTTTGTGCAGATATTCTTCGGCCCTTCCTACGAAGTCTCTAAGCAAGCTTCTCGATTTGGTTGTCTCTGGATTATCCGTCGAAGCAGATATTATTCATGGCGACCTTGACTCCGACGAACAGGACACCATCCATCATAAACAATTACTCGAGATGTACGGCTTTTTGCTTCAATGGGCCTTGTCCGCTGTGGAGGCCAAGGCAGCGGAAAAATCTGCAGAAGCTGTACCTGCACGTAGGGGCCCAGGGAAATCCGCTAGGTCCAAGGCTAGCGTGAGGGATGGTCATTGGGATTGGACGTCTCAAATTCAGATCTCCATGGAGACAATGTGCAAGGTTATGAAGTTGAAACTGGGTAGAATCTTTTTAACAACCTCTGACCGGGATACTTTCATCAACCTCTTTACCCGTTCCGTCTATCTCATTCTTGAGAATGAGCAACGAGTGAAGTGTATGCCGATTCGCATGCATGCATTTAAGGTCCTCTGTATTGCTGTGAAACATCATGGCCATGCCTTTGGTAGGCCCATAAGTCTTTACGCGTAGCTGCTCGATCGCTAACTGCTGGACAGGGGCGCAAACATCTATCGTGCAGGGCTTGACATATTTTGAGCATCTTTCAGAGCCTATGGCTGAATTCTTACATATCCTTGCGGAACAATATGACTATCCACAGCTTTCGGATGAAATTTTGAAGTACGTGGTCGCGCCTTTGTATTACTTGGAATAGCAGCTAATTCTATGCAGAGAGCTTGGAAACAAGGAATTCAATTCAAATGATACCAGAGGACCTAAATCCGTCTCTGCGTTCATGGTGAAGCTTTCGGAACTTGCTCCACGATTAATCATCAAACAAATGACACTCTTGGCTAAACAGCTTGACAGCGAGGTACTGCGACCCATTCTTGACCCCGATATAATATCTTTCTAATAAGATTTTCTGGTAGTCCTATACTCTCCGATGCGCCGTAATTGAAGTGTGTGGGAACCTCATCGCTGATATTAGCAGACAAGAGGAGCGCAGCGACAACCACAAGACGCAGATCAATGCATTTTTCGATGTGCTTGAAGAGCGCTTCCTCGACATCAACCCATACTGTCGCTGCCGGGCCATTCAAGTGTATATGAAGATCTGTGATTTGGATCAAAAATTTCCAAAAAGACGACAGTCGGCCGTAGAGCTAACAGCACGGAGTTTAGAAGACAAAAGCAGCAATGTTCGAAGGAATGCCATAAGATTGCTGGCAAAGCTGGTTTCCACGCATCCATTTAATATTATGCATGGCGGCCAGCTTTCTTACAAAGATTGGAACGCGAGACTCGAGGATGTCGATGCTCAACTGAATTCTCTACGACCCGCAGAGACGCCCGGTTTGGGTGGAGAAGGCACGAATGTCGATAGCGAACTCCTCGATGATGTCACTCAGATTCCGGACGAATCCCCGTCAAAGGCACCGCAGATTACAGAAGAAGACAGGGCTGCAGCGATGCAGAAGGCTGCTGAAGAAGCAGCAACATCAGAACTACTCGCGCGACTGCAGCTGATGAGAAAATATTACTGTGAAGCGCTTCGCTTTATTGAAGTACTTCACTCGGCCTCAGGCGTCGTTTCTCAACTATTATCATCAAGAAACAAGAGTGAAGTCATCGAGGCGATGGACTTCTTTGTGGTACTTGATGCATACAAAGTCGAGACTGCCCGCGGTGGAATCCGACGAATGCTTCGTTTGATTTGGACAAAAGGGAATAGTGACGAAGGCAAGGGGGTTCAAGCACATCTTATTGATTGCTACAAGGGGTTGTTTTTCGATGCACCCAGCTCCTTCAGTTCTAATGATGCCGCTAATTACGTCGCTCGAAATATGATCAGTTTAACCTTTGGTTCGACGCCAGCAGAGCTTACGTGTCTCGAGCAACTTCTCAGCACGATGATGAAAGCCGGTCATATTTCAGACAGCGTCATTGCAAAGTTGTGGCAGGTTTATGGCGTGCAGAAAAGGGAGATATCAAGGACGCAGCGTCGGGGTGCCATAATCATCCTTGGAATGCTTGCTTTGGCAGACCCGGAAGTTGTGATTAAAGAAATTGAGACGATGCTACGAATCGGTTTAGGAAGCCTCGGGAGATCAGATCTTGTTCTTGCAAAATATACATGCGTTGCCTTGAAACGCATGATGCCCAGCCGTCACGCAATATGCAAAGATCTTGGCATTCCTAAGCTCGCAAACGACCATCCCGTTCTCAAAAAGCTCGCTTCTACGTTGGAAATTGTATCAGATAGTAAGGAATGGTACGGCGTGGCTGAACAAGCTATTGGAGCCATATATGCACTTTCGAAACACCCTGACGTCCTCTGCACCGAGATCATCCGACGGAAAACTAAATTCGTCTTCCAGCCACAAGTCTCACGGCCTTCATCATCCAGCGGCCTTGCCGAAGGTGACGAGCAGAGATCCGAAGCGTCTTCGACAGAGTACCAAAGAGTCCGCCCGAAGACCACGTCTTCAGCACTCTCTCAGCTGCTCTTTGTTGTCGGTCACATTGCAATAAAGCAGATTGTCCACCTTGAATTATGCGAGCTTGACTTCAAGCGTCGTAAGGTTGAACATGAGAAGAACAAACCGGACAACTCAGCATCTCAAAAGAAGGACGAAGCAGCTCAGGTCGATGAGCTTGATCTTATCGGCGGGACGACCGAGGACGATTTCACCGAAGCCATGGCACATATTCGGGAGCGTGAACTTCTTTATAGCGAGAATTCGCTGCTGTCGAATTTCGGGCCGCTTGTCACAGAGATATGCGCGAACAGTAACACATATTCCGACCGTAACTTGCAAGCAGCGGCAACATTGTGTATGGCGAAGTTGATGTGCGTGTCAGCAGAGTATTGTGAGAAGAATCTCCCACTACTGATCACTATTATGGAGCGCTCCGAAGACCCTATCGTCCGTAGCAACGCCGTTATTGCTCTGGGCGATATGGCGGTTTGTTTCAATCATCTCATCGATGAAAATACCGACTTCCTATACCGCCGACTCAACGATGACGATGTCTCCGTCAAACGGACCTGTCTCATGACTCTCACATTCCTCATTCTTGCTGGTCAGGTTAAAGTCAAGGGACAGTTGGGCGAAATGGCAAAATGTCTGGAGGATGATGACAGAAAGATCGCGGACTTAGCCCGCATGTTCTTTACCGAACTTGCTACCAAAGACAATGCCGTGTACAATCATTTTGTTGACATGTTCAGCCTTTTGAGCGCGGAACGAAATCTCGATGAGAATTCTTTGAGACGCATAATTAAATTTTTGATTGGCTTTGTTGAGAAGGTAAGACGAATACACTTCAAGAGCCCTTATACGACGACAGCTGACTTATTTTGCTATTATTCAGGAAAAATATGCTCGGCAATTAGCTGACAAGCTTGCAGCTCGTCTTCCTAGGTGTGAGACAGAAAGGCAGTGGAACGATGTGGCATATGCCCTATCGCTTCTGCCGCACAAGAACGAGGATATCACGAAGCTATTAAATACGGGGTTTAATAAAGTAGTAACCACGAGTGCCTAGCTGCGACGCGGGACTAGCTTGGTGGTTGCCGAGGTTATAAAAACTGGGGCCTTCTAGGTTAAATTGTGTGGAGGCATAACGGCGTTATGATGATAATGCATGGATGGGGGTTTGGGGGAATTTGATCATGACTGGCCAAACTGGAAGAACCTGCCTGGCCTAGGTGTCACTCTTTGTTCTTGTCCATTCTGTAATTTCTCTTCTGCCGTTCTCTGCGCTTCGGTGTCTTAAGACTCTCTTCACAGGGATTTATCCAAGATTCTTGTTGACTATATATGAACAATTCAAATCCAGCCGCCTTTTGATATGAATTCTAAACTTATTACAAAGAGTAACAGCATAATATAGATAGAAAAAGGCAAACGACACATCCCCACCCAAAGGGAACCAAATAAAATAGTACAGAGGAATGCCAGGCTGGGTCGTCCTCTTTAGATACGCCTAAATTCAAAACCGTCTGATGATCGAGAAGCTGAAACCTGTCTATGCGCCTAAAACCTTGCTTTCCTCCAGTTTGTAGCTATTTTTGTGGAGTCCGTCGAGAACTTTACGCCCTTCTTCGGTCAGCTCAGGCTTCCCTAGTGGTGTGACTGCCTCTGTAAAAAAGCGTGGCGTCCACTCCTCATTCTTCTCTTTCCGCTCTGATGCCTTCTGTCGCTGCCGTTCCTCAATCTCGTGCTTGAATTTCGTAGCTTGACTATACTGCTTCCCCAATATCGCTGCGGTAACATCAGACCAGAATCTGCGAGATTCATTCGGCAACTGATATTCATCAGGAGGCAGATTCTTCGGGATTGGCATGAGGGGATCGATATCAATCAGAAGTTGAGGCTCCGTTGATCCAGGGAAGGTGAAGTATATTTTCCCATGCCAGGAGCCGCTGATACGGGTAAGGATATCAGATTGTGGCACATCTTTGATCTTTGTCGAAGAGTCATTGTCTGGGTCATAGCGAAAAATAACGCCCTCAACCCTATTCTGGGCCCGGCCAATCCAACCCTCCTCCAAGTACTGTAAAATAGCCTTGATGCGCGTCTTGGGGCAGGTGATATAACATGTATCGGATACTGAAATAGAGAGAGCACCTCTTAACAACCCTCCCAAATGGGCACTAGGGTGGGTTAATTGATACTCCTCGTTATCCCGCTTCTCAAGATTAACAAAGATGCCCAAATTGTGCTGACCAGGACTAACGCGGATACTCGTTCCTGTAAACTTCGCGGTGATTTGGTCAAAGCCTCGAGCGGAGATGCCTCGTTCTGCGCAGTCTATATAGAAGGCAGAAACCGGCGGATGGTGGGAAGTCTGTTCGGTCAAGTAACAGATCTTGACCGTTTCTCCTGCTGCATCTTTTGTTGTTGAGACACCATTGACTATGTCTTGACCTGAAGAGATAGGCAATGAGGGAGTGGAGTCTTCGACCTCCCAGGTACACTGGGATCCCAAACGTATCAGCCGCATTCAACTGGCCCTATTAGTTTTCGGTCAAGTTCACTAGACTCACCCTGAAGAATTCTCCAAGCGTGGAATTATACGGTTTGCATGGCTTGCCTTTGATGTATTTCTGCCGCATATTCAGCAAAGTCAACTCGTTAAGAAAAGACCTTAACCAAGGTATACCAGGTCTTTGGTAAACCAGAACCTCAACACTTCCAGCATACGACCCAGCGGGTCATCTGACTTGCCAATACTATGATTTCCTGATTAGAAATTGACCCTCTTGATTGATGTGAAAGGGTTATTTTACCGACCTTGCAAATGTCTCCGGCCGATCCAAATAATTCCAGTATTCTAGAAATACCGAATTAGGACAGATTCATAGAGAATATACCAGCCTAACATATGGCACCAGCTGCCTACCAAGGTTCGGGATCGGTTCCAACAGATTCGCAGGCAACGAAAAGCGGACAGAAGCGATATCAGCCACGCCAACGAATCTAGCGTCATTACGGAAACGTATCAGCCACGAAAAAATAATAAATAAACTATTGTGTGGAGGGGCCGGGGTACACATGAATCCAGTATTAAAGAACCAAATGGGACTCTTACTTTCGAAGAATGGAAAGGAACGTCCTCAGCTTTGAAGAATCATCATGGGCCTTCTCGGGAGCAGCAGATGTGATGGAGTCAGATGCGGGACCGGTGGACATGACGGGCCCTAACGGTGAGCGCGACTCAAGAACACAACAACCTCCAGGGGAAAGAAAGCACTGGAAGCCATCAGCTATGTGTACTGAAAATGATGCGGCGAAAGGGAAAGGATGACCAACAGTTCGATATTAGTGGGGAGGGAAGTTAAAGATGCGGTCCAAAAATCAACGGCGGGCAGAAACAGGAGCTTGCATAGCAATATCTGGAGGAAGGGCCCCGGTAAGCACAAACACAGCCTACCCTGGTTCTGAAGGAGAGGGAGGAGAGAGCGAAGAGTTGAACGTTGAACATGGAACAATCCCAAAAGATGAAACCTGAGGCTGTGCAGGGTCTGTTTGGAACTGGCGGTGACGTTATGTGGCTGGTGCCTGCGGTTCTGTATTGTATGGTATTGTCTTATACTGTATTAGTACATTACAGAAAATCGGGTGTACAGCAATGCGGCAAAAGTTTTAACACCCTGCCACGCCTTTTAATATTCTGCCACCTACTATCTAATATGGTGAATACCAGACTCAACTATAGCTTCAACACAGTGTGGCATAGTCTCATATAAGTTTTGTAGGTGCCTAATATCTAGTTTATCCCATGCCTGGAGCTGATGCCCGGTGTGCCCCAACCCGGAAAAAATACCGAAAAGATAACAGAACGAAAGCCCTCCCCTGATAGTGGCACCTAATAGGTTTTTGGCCCCCTCTTTGACCGCCTCCACCACACCGCCCCTGTATTTTATACCGCCTACCCTATTCCATATGCTACACCCTTTTCACTACTATCCTCATGCCCAACACCATGCCTCAAAGAAAAGGAAAGGACTTGGATCCAATATACCATGCTCATATTGTGAGCTCCATACTACCTGCTGATGGTGTGCTAAATGATTCATAATGTGCATCTAGAGATTCCACTATCAACAATCAAATACACTATTAAAATGGAGCACCAACACCTCAATAATTCCTCTCTACCTTGTCCTAGTCAACCACGCAAGCTTACTGAAGAGGATCAAGATCATTTGTATGATGTTATTTCTACAAACCCACATGTGTAAAATACTGAGATCTTGTAACGGTCTCGAGGTAGTTTATTTAACTAGCTAGGCCACTCTACGAGTACCCTCATTAATGTCTTGACATATTGTCATGTTGTGTATCATCTATCCTGTTGACCTACTTGCCATCGCGTTGGGTGTTTGCCGGAAGCAAAACCGGCAGACGAATCCAAAGGGGATTCAACATGATGACAGACCCAAATCAATATGAATATGGCTAAATCAACAGATCCATAAACAGAACAAAGAGGCAATCTTTTGCCAAAAAGGAGGTAACTACAGAAATTACCCAATGGTGTCTCATGGTCATAGGTTATAGCAAATCTAACCACTACTGACATCCAATGAGTACATTGGTTACAAGAACAGAATTCCCGCTCTTGGAAACACATGGCATCTTAGGATAGACAAATCAACTCCGGTAACAGGCCAACTACTGTCACCAGAATACCCAGACAGCTCGCCAGAGAGTGTTCGTTCTGCAGTGTTGTGGAATATGCATGTAACTCAGGGAAGAAAGACAGAATGAAGCTGTATCGACTACACGTACGTAGCCTACTAATGTAAAGGGGGGCGTACGTGCGTTGTTCCCTGCGGCAGGAACCGGGTTGTGATCGAGGGATCTCAGGAATGGACACACTGAACAATCTAGCAAAACGATATAACGATAAAAGGAAACACAACAACGAAGGAGCCTCGCTCCGTTCTATACAATGATAACGATACTAGTGAAGCAACCTAGAAACCAAAAGAATGCTCAATTTCTCGTAACTGTCACGGAACTCAACTAGACGATGAATAGGATGCTATTCGACTATCTAGGCAGCTATCGACGAGAACTTCAAGCATGGAGAGGAAGGAAAAAGGAAGAGATCTACGTGAAGCTGGACGACGTACTCCTATCCACGCGCCACGCTAATCCAAGTAAGGAAGCTCACGTGCTCGTCCTGGTCTACATGGCAAGGGCCCTGACAGTAACTATCTGGGAGGGAATCCTCCATTAAGTACTCTCCGACCGCGGGCTCCGACATACTAATTATGTCGGAGACCGCGGCTCTACAGCGTTCTAAGATAGGAAATATGGGAGATCCAGAATTTCACAGTGCCCCCGGCACAGTATCCATTCTTAATATGCCTAGTATTTTGTAGCATATGCTCATACAGGTATATCATGTAGCCACTGACAAACTTGTGTACTTATATTCTCAGCCATATTTAAGAATATTTTCAGCTGCTGCTAATAAGTGAGAGACAATTTGATTTTTGTTTCACATATGCTATGCATATGCTATGTATACACATGTATACATATGTATGTGTTGTAACAAGTGTGAATGTGAGAGATGTGACTGTAATGTGTGTGTGCTTGCTACAATGTTATTACGCGTATGTATGCCAAGTACATGCATTGTGTATGCCAGACGCCTCTGGTATTTATGCATCAAATTTTATTGGAGCAGGAGTTCAGCCCACCTAGAGACCTTGCAACGCATAGCCTTGGCATACCTAGAAAATCTCTAGGTGTGCCGAGTATTTTTCCGTTCCCGGCCTGTACCGCGAGGTTTCTCCGGGGTGGGCCGAGCTGCTAGCCCATGTGGATCAGGGGTGCGGCGTCTGATACCAGATACTAAAAGGATACCGTAGGATTCGTAGGGATCGTGGTGAACGCTCTATACCATGCGCTTCATCGCTAAGTTCATGCGCTCGCTTGCTCTCGTTCCTATATACAGGATCTGGGATACTCGGGTATTGTCATCTTTCCTCCCGGAACATATATACTCCGTATCCCGGGACCGGATTATTAGATAATCCATCTGTCCGAAATAGTAACGTATTTCCCAGTCGAGCGGGCCACCTCATCAAATTTCTACGCGTTTTACTGCTTCAACTAATTCAACCACCAACCATGCCTCCAAAAGTGTGTCAAAATTCAAGAAATTCAGCTGAGAAAGAGGGAAAGATCTTACTTGCTATTTCTACTTTAGAAAAGCAGGAAATTTGCAATATTTGCAAAGTGGCATATGTTTATAATAGTTTTTGTACAACCCTCCAGCAACAACTTAATGGAATCACTTTACACGTAGAAACACGTGCCAATAGCTATAAATTGACTTAAAATGAAGAGGAATCTTTTGTACAATAGATTCTATTACTAGATTAATATGGAGTAGGCCCCCAACCATCCTAAATATAAGAAATGGCTAATATTCTTCTTGCAGAGCATGGTACAACACCTATCTAATTAATTAAAAAGAATTGGGTCTCTAGCTTCATTAAACAGCATGATAAAATAAAAATATATTATTCTTAATATTATGATTATTGATAAGCAAAATGTGAAGATCCTAAAATTATTAAAAAGTGATTTGATTATATATAAATCACTATAATACAATATAGGATTGTACAGGAGGATATCTATAATTTTAATAAGATTGACTTTGCTATGGGCCTAATAGCTACTGTGCCGGGGGCACTGCGAAACCCCCGATCTCCCATATTTCCTATCTTGGAACACCGTAGAACCGCGGACTCCGACATACTAATGTATGGTGGATCCCACGGCCGGAGTACTTAATGGAGGGTTCCCTCCCAGATAGTTACAAGAAATAGAGCATTCTTTTGGTTTCTAGGTTGCTTCACTAGTATCGTTATTGTCGTATAGAGCGGAGCGAGGCTCCTTCGTCATTGTGTTTCCTTTTATCGTTATATCGTTTTGCTAGATTGTTCAGTGTGTCCATTCCTGAGATCCCTCGATCACAACCCGGTTCCTGTCGCAGGGAACAACGCACGTACGCCCCCCTTTACACTACTGCTTAAGTAGTTACTAGAGCTAATTATTATAAAAAAGCCTCTCTTATACAGTTAGGTAATTAAGAATAGGTTACTTTAATTAAGTGTATCAACTCTACTAGCTGGGCACTTCCTCCATATATTATCTTCAAGGGGAAGATCTATATAGAGGGTTGGTATCAAGATTTCAAGCTCCTGTGTGATAACAGAATTGAAGTTAATCCTAATAAATAGACCTCTGATGAGATAAGCCTTTACTGGCTTAAAAATCTCTTCATTTCTACTATTTCTAATTATATGACTGGGAAATACTATCTTCTAGTCATAGATGGCCATAGCAGCTATCTTACACCTCAATTTAATTAGATGTGCAGTAAGAATAATATTATTCCTATCTATATGCCTACTTATTCTTTCCACAAGCTTCAACCTTTGGATGTGGGCTGTTTTGCACCTTTAAAAAAGGTATATAGGACCTTGGTGGAGCAGAAAGCACACTTAGAAATTAATTATATTGATAAGCTTAATTTCTTAGAGACCTTTCCACATACTCACAAATGTGCTTTTTAAACAGAAACTATTTGAAATAGCTTCACAGGTGCTAGATTAGTTCTATTTAATCTAGATAGGGTGTTTAGCAAGTTAGATATCTGACTAAAGACCCCTACACCACTACCTAGTTAGTCAACTAATTCAGTACCTAAAACACTATATACTACTAGGCAGCTGGAGAAGCAGGCATCAGCTGCAAAGAAACTGCTTAGGGAACATGCTTATAGCCCTTTACCTTTGCTAGAATTGCAATTAGACAAGATTATTAAAGGTCATGAATTGACACTTAATGAGCTTGTTCTTGCATATGAAGAAATACACAAATTTCACACTGTCACGGAGCTCAACCAGACGATGAATAGGATGCTATTCAGCTATCTAGGCAGCTATCAACGAGAACTTCAAGCATGAAGAGGAAGGAAAAAGGAAGAGATCTACGTGAAGCTGGACGACGTACTCCTATCCACGCGCCACGCTAATCCAAGTAAGGAAGCTCACGTGCTCGTCCTAGTCTACATGGCAAGGGCCCTGACATTACCCCCCTCTTTAAGAGGGCTGTCCCCAGCCCTCAAGCTGGTAAGTTGTCATCTCCGTGATCTGGTAGGTCATTATCATTCTCCCAGGCCTTTAGCCATTCATTCAAACACTGTGGTGGTCCAGGGTGGGAAGGATACGCTGTATGATAGTCTCACAATCAATAGGGGGATCCTTTGAAATTTTAGGCAGAATACTATGTGTTATCTTTATCATAGCCCACCTATTTGACCCAATATTGGAGCTGCTGTTTGTTGAGCTGTGATGCTAATATCTTTTCAACTTCCTATTCTCACTCTCCATTGATAATTACAGGCTCTGGGGGCTC